CTTGATTATTTGCTTGTCTAAGCGCACATGGCCTGGGATCCATGATGTCCGCAGAGGTAAGCATTGAGGGGAGACTTGCCAAGCTGCTCATTCTCGATAAGCTGGCATAGACGAATGTATGCACGCAGATACTTAAGTGGATTTACCTTGGCATCATAGTATCGGCTGTCTTTGGCGAATCTGTGCTTGGCATCATAGGCACTAAGGACTGGTGCCAGCTTGTTGTAGATTGCAAGCATCGGTGAGGTGAGCACACTGAGATCAGGGTGCCTAGAGGCAACTGCCTGGCGGAGCTTCTGTGCAGGCGTATAAATATACACTTGACATGCATTATTGAACTCAGCCTTAGACACATTGCCCATTGTACTGTGCAGTGTGTTTTTGCGGCTGCGAATATCAATCAATTTGGCCAGAATCCGCTGTAGGCAACTGCCATAGTGCAACACAATGTTGTTCTTGTATGCTGTCATCAGCTCGGTATCCACGTATGTTGCTACTTGATTCATGTCGCATACGCCATGTAGCTCGATATCGCCATTATGTAATAGATAACCATAAATATGGTATCTAACTACATCACCGAAATCTGCGGTCGACAGTTCTGACTTGTCCTTCCGGTTGACAAAATCCTTGGCAGATATGACAGTCTTCGCCTTCAGGTTGCGATATATGAATAAATAAATAAAACGAAAAAAACCCTTTTTCACAAATGTTGCTGGGTCAAAGGCATCATCGTAAGCTAGCTGATGGAGTAGTATCCATCGTGCAAGCATGTATGTATGTTCTTTGATGATATTGACGCTGTGTACAAATTGCTCTAGGCGGGGCAACATAGAATCACGGAAGCCAATACCACCAAGTGATGTCTTTATGACAGTAGTGCTGCGGGTAATATTCATTTGAGAAATTCAATAGGCAAGTAAGAAGAGAAATGATGCTGTTCAGTTTTGCTTTATTGCGTATGCATAGCATTAAGAACTTTTTATTAAAAATTATCTGGCTTGCATGGTTCTTGAGGCCTTTAGCACTGATACATTCTCTTGAATCAGTCTATACAGACTGGGTCCATTGTGGCTCAAATACTACCGCTTACGCATATTCATAAGACAAATTAATTTATAAAATAAATCCACAAATATTGCATGACCGCTAGAAGAGATATATGGCCTTATTCAATAGGTGCTCATAAATAAATATCCTAAGAGTGTTGCGCAGTCAGTGATGACCACCATGATGATGCCATGGAAGTTATCAGACCGACCGACAATGAGAGCAGCTCTTGCGCTGAACCAATGGAGATATCTAGTGGAGACCTGTGACCACTACAATAACAACTCGTCACCCTGGTTTCACCGATGAGGTCAGATGCCGCATAAGATCAAAAAGGAGTTTATAGAGTAAGTCACCCAAACTCGTGTTGAAGCTTAAAAGTTTTATTTTATTTTATTTAACCAATTTAATCATTTCTAGCGGACGGTCGGACACTTTTTGGACTATAAAATCTTATATAAAAGTACTAGCAGTCTCATGCTTGCGATGCAAGCGCACCTCTATGTGTGCCAAACGCTGTTTGTCACACATTTCGGTAGAGACTGCTAGCGCCTGCAGCGGGCTGAATACATAAATACAAATTTGTTTTTGAATATAATAGGTTTTAATATAAAATATTTAATAATTTTAATACTAATAATAGTATATGGTAGAAATTAGTATTAGCTAATAAAAATATATTTAATATAAAGTTAAAATTAAACTAAGAAAATATCTCCTTATAGACTATGTTTTTAGTCTTAGGTTCACTATCAGGATAATGTGTAGCTGACCCTAACATTATCTTGAGATTACTAAATGATTGTATGCGAGAAAGTGCCACATAGAGTTGGCCATGAGTAAAGATGGGTGATGGAAGATAAAGCCCAACTCGTTCCATTGTTTGAGGAGGCCATTCACAAATATAAATAGTTAAAGAAACTAAATAACTATTATCAGAATAACCAATTAACAAATAAGAAATCAATTACTAGCAGTAGATAAATATTTTAAAATACAGAATGTTTAGTAGTGGCCAAAAAGATTCTAGCAACTAGATTAACAAATAAACAAAGATGCCAAATATGGTGCTTCTACGAAACCCCCTTTGGCATCCTGAAAAATTTCAGTTGATTTCTCGGGACGCAGCCTCTATCTCAGTAGAAGCATATTAATTGTGTATCAACTGAAATTTTTCAGGATGCCGAAGGGGGTTTCGTAGAAGCACCATATTTGGCATCTTTGTTTATTTGTTAATCTAGTTGCTAGAATCTTTTTGGCCACTACTAAACATTCTGTATTTTAAAATATTTATCTACTGCTAGTAATTGATTTCTTATTTGTTAATTGGTTATTCTGATAATAGTTATTTAGTTTCTTTAACTATTTATATTTGTGAATGGCCTCCATTGAGGTGGCAATAACTCTAAAGAGCTGCATATTCTGCTGTTCATTAGGAAGCTCAGCACATACCACTCGGTCGATTTCTGTGATAATTCAGTGCTTTGACTCACTGTCCAGAATAAGCAGAATATGTGCATGAGGCAACCCTCGCTTCTGAAACTCAACAGTGTAAATATGACCAGCGACCTGACCAAAAATATGCCTCTTTGTTAGATCTTTAATCAGTTCCTTCAGCTTGATATTGAAGACACGAACTGTTAGATCTGGGCGATCAGCAGCAGATTGTCCAGGGAGTAATTCGGCCTGTACCTCCTGCCAACAGGGGTTGCAGGTGAAGGTAATAAATAGGTCAGGGGGGCCGAATGTCCTCACAATAGCCATTGCATCTTGATAGAGCTGATACATATGGCGGGGACCAGCAGTATATGAGGATGGCAATATCACTCTACGACCAAGGTTAGCACCAACCATATCGGCTTCAGATAGCTGGACAGCATCTTGAAGGCCTATATATAGATAAATATATTTGATTAAAGTTAGCAGCAGTTTCTTACTATTATAATAATTCATACTAAATGTGCATTAACCAACAACAACAACAACAACAACAACAGCATCATTTCTTACTATATTTTATATATGATTGAAACTAATACATACCTTGGTACATTTCAGCACGAATATTGTCTTGGTTTCTTGCATACCATCGTAGGCGGTTGCTCTCAATAGTGGAATATGCATCGACAATATACTGCTGGAATAACCTCCTACTTAGGTGGAGGATTGGAGCTGCCTCACCACGAAACTGAAGCCGGTAGGCATAAAAGGCCATCTGAGTTACACGGCTTTGGCGATGGGTTCCAGAGAGTGCTTCATCTCCAACACCATTCTCTGAAATCTCTGAGACGTTATCCTGGGCTTGGATACTGTCTTGATGTGTATGCCGATGACCTGAAATAGGAATGTCAGGATGCCAGCCATCCTCCCCACGTGGGAATAGAAGCACATAGTGCAGTGCAGCATAGGCAACATGTAGCTCTGAAATCCGCTGTAGTGTACCATTAGTTGTCCGTAGGATGATATCACGGCCATTGTTCGTAGATTGGCCATCGGGTATAATTGCAGCTACTTCATCTGCTGTTGGTAAGTTGTAGCGACACGAATCGTTATTGCGACCTGCTGTAATTGCTATGCATAGCTCAGGGGATGGATTCTGCTGGACAATTTCAGCAACCTGATGGAAGCGAGCAGCATACGGATTGACTGAATGGAGCATCTGCTGGAGGAGAGACAGAGTATTCTCATCAAGTCCAGGAATTGCAGTCATTCGATTTGCAAGCTCATTGGCAGTGTCGTAAATATACAGCTGTGCATACTGTGGCTGCTCGTTGCCATATACTGGAAGTAGTGATCCAATTCTATGGTACATCTGACCACGAACTCGAAAGTTAGAGACACCTATGATATGATGATGATATGATTTGAGATTTGAGATTTGAGATGAGAGGAGATGATTCCAACAATTATATAGCTATTCATAAAACAATCGTAGAACATAGAACGTAGAACGTAGAACGTAGAACGTAGAACGTAGAACGTAGAACGTAGAATGTAGAATATAGAACGTAGAACATAAAACATAAAACATAGAACATAAAACATAGAATATTGGTACTTACCACCATGATGCCTGCTAACTTCGCCATTAACTACTCCACCTGTTGAGGTAAAGGAGAGTACCGAATTATACATTCGGATATTTCGCTGGAATTGCCGCGCTTCAGTGTTAGTGCCAGTCAATAGTCGAAGTAGTATTCCTGGTGGCGGTTGCAGAGCTGGAAGCACTACAGCTCCACGTGCACAGCAGATCTGAAAAATTGGACGTGTCATAGAGGACTGCTGGATTCGTTCGGCAGTCCATAGCAAGGCACTACAACTGGTGCACTGCACATCCATTCTTCCAAGTCGGAGAGGTAACGTGTGTGCACCAGATACCTGCAATGCAAGCGGCAGATGTGCACCTGATGCAGTACGCTGAATCTGTCGTTGAGAAGCACGCTGAGCCTGTCGCTGAGAAGAACGCCGTCTGTTAGCAGCATTGCGGCTCTCATTGCTCTGCATTGCCCGTCGTCTCCGACTTCGTAATCTTTCCTGTTCAAGTTCATGGGAGCGGTCCCCCTGAGCACTCAAAGCCCTCTGACGTTGGCGTCGTGCACGATCAGCAATCCGACGACGATTAGAAACCGAGGCATTATTCGTACTACTACTATTAGAATAGAATACCATCGTTATTGCTTTTAAATGAAGGAATAAATGAGGAGTATATAAGTATATATCTCAGTAAAACAAAGTCACAGTAAACCACAAAAATATTTAGAGAGAGAGAGATAGAGAGAGAGAGTATGAGTGTTTACAAAAAGAAAGTTTATATATATATACCAGGTTTTCTTGTCGTTATCATGACACTTGACAGGTATAGTAAGGTATTGTATGATTGTTTAACAGGTCACACATGCATATTTAACAAAACACGTGCATATACACCCATTGTTAAACTAAAAATTTGTTTTTTTTTAACCAATTAAATAATTTCTAGCGGACGGTCGGACACTTTTTGGACTATAAAATCTTATATATAGGTAAAGATAAAGATAGATAGACATGTATTTATGCTACTCAGTGGGCCTTTATATGGACAGTGACATGAATCGGAGGAGAGCACTTGAAGACAGACGACATGGAGGCGATGCCGTCGACGGTAGACATGCTTTCAACTGACCGCTCTGATTCAACCGACGAAGCCGTGCTATCCTCTGAAATGGAATTGCCATCGGTGGCCGTATCGGTGGAAATATTGGATGAGAAAGCAAGCGCATCAGATGCCGTGATAGACTCATCCGTAGATGTGGTCGGCACGTCAGAAGAAGCTGCTGACTTGCTAGACAAAGTAAGGGACCCCTTGTATGAGGTAAAAGATTCTTCGCACGAAACCTCGGGTTCATACGATGAAGGCACTGGCTCCTCAGATGAGACAGCAGACTCGTCAGAAGAGGCTATTGGCTCGCTAGACGAGGTAAATGATTCGCCAGACGAAGTGAAGGACTCGATACATGGGGTAGAGGATTCCTCGCACGAAACTTCGTATTCATCTGAGAGGGAGTATGCTATGTCCGAAGAACCAGCTGGCTCATTAGACGAATTGGCAGACTCATCCGATGGAGGAGCTGACTCTCCAGATGAAGCGGCGGGTTCGACTTGTGAGGCTGTGGACTTGTTGGAAGTAGATAGCGACTCCTCAGAACTGGGGGTAGCAGACAAAGTGTCGGATGTAGCAGACGAGAGAGATTTCTCTGATGAGTTATCCGCCTGAGACGTCTCGAATGTGATTGATGAAGCCGGTGCGCTGGATGTAGGGGTGGAAGCAGGCATATCTGTGGTCGTGGGCAGAACTGGGGAATCAGATGTGCTAGATGGAGTTGGTGCACTGGAGGTGGTCGATGGCACAGATGTCTCCGAGGCAGTAGCCTGAGTAGAGACATCAGTTTTCGAGAGCAGAGCATCAGCGCTGGATGTGGTGGACTCAGTAGTGGCCTCAGATGTAGGTGGGGCAGGGACAACAGGCGTGCTTGTGGACTCTGGTTCGTTCGAAGTGCTGGTAGGAGCAACGTCAGTCGCCGAAGTTGGATCTGGAGTGCTAGCATTGGAAGCTGCCGTCGAGACGTCGCTGGCTGCAGAAGTTACTGTGGGAGTTTCGACCATGGGCACATGTGTAGCCAGGCAGGCCTCAATCTCCTTGCCTGCATACAACTCAAACATAAAGGTAGGGAAAACCTGCGCCGCCACTCGAAGCTGGTCGATGGTCGGGTTAGCAACCAGCTTGCCATCAGTGCCCTGGAGCTCCTTCAGATGTTTTTTCAGGGTCGGCGTCAGCATCCACGATGTCGACTTGATGATCGGGTCGCACTTGGCCTTGATAGTACCCCAGCTGTCTTGCGCGCATTCCAGCGTTGAGTCAGCGGTCCAATCCATGGACGCTTGAGCGGTAGAAATGGTAATGGCAGCGGCCGTGATAATGGTGGTGAGTAGTTTCATTGGAGGCAAAGCGAAATGGCATTCAGGCGATGGCTGTATGCTGCGGGTGTTCTGGCTCATTGGACCTCATATTTATATGCGTTCTCCCTTGCTGCATTTGCTTACCTATACCGCTTGTTCTGCTAGCACTCTGTCGAGATGCGCCCCAATAATTTCTGGTATGAAGCACGGCAGGAGCTCACCGGCAGCACTGCTTGGCGCCAAGTCTAAACAAGTGTTCAGCACGCGTGCCACACACTGGCTAAGCAACGCGCCGGAGGATGGCCGGTACACACAAACGCGTATCACAGACATTTCAATCCCAGAAGTGAGCCTGAAATGAGATACGCAATGCAACTCAAGCGGTTATTCTTGGTCCAATTCGTGTTACATTGTTCATTTCGCCTGTTCATCCGGCCAGCCATCGACCCAACGGCCACCAAATTGCTGCCTTGCTTGCAATACCTGCTGCAATCTGCCAACATCAGGGCATGGTGTTTGTGGAACACTGGCCAATAGTCTAGTGGTGGTCTCGTTCTCTGCAATGCGTCGCTTGGCCATGGAGTAGCATGCCATTCTGGCGTCAGAACACGGCATGGCCTAGCACAATGCCGGCAACAACAAACTCCAGGGCTAAAAGCCACTGTGTAGATCAGATGATCTGATTTGCGGATTCCCTTCGGACGAGGGTGAAGGCTGCCATGGCTGCAGCTGGAATGGCGGAGCACGTGAAACTGGCTTACTCGTTAGGAGAAGCCGCACAAGAGAGCGTGCCGCGCATCGCTCAGCAGGCATGAAAGCACGAGCCGCTGCTGCTCGGACAAACGGAGGAACAGCAAGGCGTGCTTGATACTACCGCCACCTGCTCTTCTCTGCTCCATCTTCTGCTTCTATACTCTAACAACCAGGACTCCACCAATGTCGCTCGCAGGAAAGGTTCTATTCATCACTGGCGCCTCCAGGTAACGTGTCACCCGCTGGGGCTTTCCTTACTGGCAATCAGCACACACGGATTAAAGCACGCGTGCTGCCGTTAATGTAGAGGCATCGGCAAGGCCATCGCCCTCCGCGCTGCACGGGATGGGGCAAGCGTTGCCATTGCGGCCAAGACCGCTGACCCGAACCCGAAGTTGCCAGGCACCATCTACTCGGCCGCCAAGGAAATCGAGGCTGCCGGAGGCAAGGCGCTGCCTATCCAGTGCGATATCCGCGATGAGACCATGGTTCAGGAAGCAATTGCCAAGACTGCTGACACATTCGGCAAGATCGATATTGTGGTCAACAACGCCTCGGCGATCAGCCTGACGCCGACCGAGAAGACCGACGTCAAGCGCTACGACCTGATGCACAGCATCAATGGCCGGGGCACCTGGCTTGTGTCGAAGCTGGCGCTACCGTACCTGAAGAAATCCGATAATGCGCATATTCTGAACCTGTGCCCGCCGCTGGCGATGGAGGAGAAGTGGTTTGCGCCGTTCCCTGCGTACACGATCGCCAAGTACAACATGTCGCTATGTGTGCTCGGCATGGCTGGCGAATTCCGCAAGCATGGGATTGCGGTCAATGGCCTGTGGCCGCTGACGCTGATTGAGACCGCTGCGCTGAAGATCGCTGCTGACGGCATGGGCGAGCGCAAGTCGCGCAATGCCGAGATCATGGCTGACTCAGCCCATGTTATCTTGACGAAGAACTCGCGCGAGTTCACTGGCAACTTCTGCCTCGACGAGTTGCTGCTGCGCCAGCACGGCGTCACTGATTTTGGGCAGTACAACAACACGCCAGGCACCAGGCTTGAAGATCTAACGCTAGACTTCTTCCTCCACTCGAAGCAGCTCGAGGATCTCTATGCGCTGCGCAAACAGCAAGGTGCCGAGCACTAGACATTTTTTCAGCCACCTCTGCTTTTAGCGCATGTCGCTAGAAAATAGCTTTGGCCATTATGAATAGCAGTCCATAATATCGACGGAATGCATGAAGTGGTCTAACTAATGGTCCTGTGGCTGCGGAATACCAGTGGCCCAGCCAATCGATAGTCTTCAAAGGTTTCCTGCAAATATACAAGTGATGGTGGATGCTGAGGTTCGTCAGCTGCAACAAAAGTTTAAGCAGTTTGCGACACTGAGTGTCTTCCTTTTGCTCAGGAATGACGAGAAGCCACTAGAGTTTACCAAGATCGCAAACACCTTTGGCCGCAGTGGTGCAGGCCTGACGCAGAGCGACTTGGCGATATTTTGCGGGATCTTGGGAAAGGACAGGCTGAATGTATTCTGGGAAATAGGCGAGGGCTCGCCATACCTATGCTACACCTTGCATGCCAGCAAGCCTGCGGCATCTGCAGCACGCGCGTCTAAGCGCCGCCGCACTACTACACAGAAAACGCAGAGTCCTGCCGTGCTAGTTACCCAGCTCATCGAAGATTTCGATGCAGCACTCTCGCGCATTCAACTGGAGCAAGGCTTGGCGGCAATCACAGAGTTTGCCGGCAGCAGCTTGCCACCGATGCCGCAGCAATTGGGTACCATTGGAGACGAATCCCTGGCGATTCCGGATTTGATGGCTCGACTGGCAGGCCTCGATTTTTACAGCGGGCAGATTATCTCCGGCGCAGGAAGAGTTGTGCCGGCTGCCGCTGCGCAGTATGGTGAACTGGAGATGCGTGTGGACCCGCAGATACTGGCAGCTTTCCGGAGGATACGAGGCGTGACGCAGCTGTACTCACACCAGGCCCAAGCCATCGATGCTGCCCTCCGAGGTGAAGATGTGGTGGTTTCAACGGCGACGGCTAGCGGCAAGTCGGTCATATACCAGATGCCGATTCTTCAGGCACTGGTTGATAGCCCACAAAGCAAGGCACTGCTTATCTTTCCGACTAAGGCACTGGCGCAGGATCAGCTCGGCTCGTTTCAGCAACTTGCACGCAGCGTTCCGGGGCTGGAGAGCATAGTAGTTGAGACGTTTGATGGAGACACTCTAGGCGGGAAATCCGGCGAGCGGCAGCGGATTCGGGATACAGCGTCGGTAGTCCTGACTAACCCTGACACGCTGCATGTGGCGATGCTGCAGAACAAGAAGCTCTGGGCACGGATTTTTGACAATTTGAAGTACGTGGTTATCGATGAGCTGCACGTGTACCACGGACAGTTTGGACAGAACGTGTCTTGCATAATGGCTCGCCTAGCAAGGATATGCGAGAAAGCCGCGTTTCAGTTCATCTGCTGCAGTGCGACGACGAGCAATCCGGGCGAGCTAGCTCAGCAGATTACGCATCGTAACCGAGCTCACAGTAGTCGACACTGACGGATCGCCCCGTGCCAACATGCACATGGTTCTATGGGACTCGACTGCAGCCAGGAGGCAGCCAAAGCAGGCCAGTGATCTGGTCAGGATTGCAGCAGTTTTGCTTCAGAACGGGACGCGGACCATTGTTTTCTGCAAGTTCCGCCAGGTATGTGAGCTAGTATCCCGTGAGATCGTTGATTATCTGGAGGCATCGCCTGGCCTGCAGCCCCTACGCAGATTTGTCGCGAGTTATCGCGCCGGATACACGCTGGAGCAGCGGCGACAGATTGAGCAGGACATGTTTTCAGGAGCGACCCGGCTGATCATAGCGACCAGCGCTCTGGAGCTGGGCATTGACGTTGGTGTCCTTGATGCAGTGGTGATGGTCGGAGTTCCAGCCAACAGGGTCAATTTGTGGCAGCAGGCAGGACGCGCCGGCCGACGCGGCAGAGCATCGCTAACCATGGTCATGGCCACAGGGAACCTGATTGACCGCCAGGTAGTCAAGCACCCGGAGGATCTGTTTGTCCGAGAGTTCTCGTCGATGCAGATTTCCAGCGAGAAGTCGGTTGCACTAGGGCACTTGCAATGCGCGGCGTTTGAGCAGGCTATCGATCTGGCGTCGCCAATCGACAGGGATCTAGTCGAGAATATGCAGCTAGCTGCCGATGATCTGGCTGGCAACCTGGTCTGGGACTCGGTGACTCAGCAGTGGGTTGCATCCATGGCGTTCAAGCCGTGGCCTGCGGAGAAGGTGCCGATCCGATCAGTCCAGCAGTGCGAATGGCAGGTGATTGAAACGCACGGAACATCCGGACCTACGCTGCTCGAGGAGCTAGACGGAATCCACGCGGTGTTCACGCTCTATGAGGGCGGAATCCTGCTGCACCGGGCTCGGACATACGAGATTGACAAGGTCGATGCCGGGTCACGGGTCGCGCTAGTCCACTATGCCGACGTGTCGTGGTACACGACTGCACGCGACTACCTCGATGTTGTTCCCGGCAGCATCCGCAAGTCATCGGAGCACGGGGTGGTCAGTTACGGGGATGTGGAGGTCCGGGTTACAGTGTTCGGCTACAGGCGGATCGATCAGCGGAGCAGGCGGGTACTGGAGCTGGTCGAGCGGCAGTCGCCGGTGCTGACCTCGCAGTCGCTGGGCATCTGGATCACCGTCCCGCAATCAGCGGCCAGAAGGGTTGCTGGGGCTGGCCTGGATGTTGAAGCCAGCGTCCATGGTGCCCAGCATTCCCTAATGGCAGCGCTGGCCCGGATCGTGGGGTGTCTTGTGCAGGACCTGAGAACCGAATGCAAGAGCCCACTAGCAGCCCGATCCAAGGCCGCGCGGCTGATTATCTACGAGAAGGTTCCGTTTTCCGCCGGACCCACATCCCGTGCGGTTGAAAGGAGCCAAGAGATCATCGGGCTTGCACATCAACGGGTGCTCGACTGCGAATGCGAGAAGGGATGCGCGTCGTGCGTGTACCTGGGGTCTGGCTGTAGCGAGCACAACCAGTGCGTTGACAAGGCGGGCGCGCTGCTCATTCTCGCTACCCTGCTCTAGTCTGCCGAATAAAGCAAGATGTCAACATGGGAAGAAGCGCGCAGCATCTGGCCTGATTTGGGTCTGAGCGATCCGACCTCCTGAAAGTCGCTGCTGTTTTTGAAATGGAAGGAGCGTCTGGAAGAATCCAGCTGCCATGGCACATGGCAATGTTCTCAGTGGTTCTGGCGGAGCGAGCCAATGGCGGATCCGGCGGCCAGCGCATGGATGGCTGCTTTTGCTTTTGCACAGTCGCAGAAATGTTCCCATGCACACAGGCAGTCCAAAACGGCGACGTGCAACAGTACCGCCAAATGCAGCTCATGGGAACCAGGGCGGAAAGGAGATCCAGGAGTGTACGTACAATTTATTCGGAAGATAAGGGCGACCCGCCTGGGCCATCACTGGCTAGATTATGCAGAAGCAGCAATCCCCGTCGTCACAGCACATCTCCTCGAGGCAGCAGCCGAGGCCGAGCCCCGCGAGGCAGGGCATGCATGAGCCGCCGCCGCCGCGAAGGGCGGGCCGCTGCTGGTAGTGCGGCTGCTGGACGTAGACAACCTGTGGCTGCTGAGGGCCGTAGTACCCGCCCGTGTTGTATGCTATGCGTGTCGCTTACAAAAAGTCCCCGATGATGGTTAGGAGCTGCCAGGAGAAACCACTTGGTGCTGGTGGGATGTTGGGTAGCGCATCCTTTCCGCTCTTGTGAAACACTTACCATATGAGGCAGGCTGCTGACCGTACGGTGCAGCAGGTGGAGAGTAGTAGTGGCCGTGGCCCATTTTTAGCGCTCTTGAGTGTGCGGGCAGTGCTGGGGTGGGATTTCCACAATATGGACAGCGCCGGCTATTAAGAAGAGAAAAACCGAGGATGCTCAATAGGCCGAAGAACGAGGTTGCAAGAACGGATTTTCGCCATCTCTTCTGCCGCGGGAGGTGCTGCAGAGCGCACGAAGGCCTCATGCACGAGTGCGCATGGGATCCGCCACCTGGGCGCACACATGACCCACGCCTCTCCTCTGGTGCTATATTGTTCCCACACTCGACAGCGAACCTGCTGCCAGCAAGCTTATCGCCGCGCCCGCGTCACACCCGCAGCCAAGGCGCGTTCCGATCGGGGGGGTGCGGTGGGTGGCTCTGTCGGTCTGAGGGACCAAAGCAAAAGCACTGCTGGCGGTCCCCGGCCACGGCGCCTGCTTTCGCTTTCGAGGCTGGGCAGCCTGGGCCTGGCTGTGAGACTTTGTGGGAACTGGTGATCGCGCGAGGGGTGTTCCCAACCAAATTCGGCCACTGTGCTTCATGTGGAACTAGACAGAGGCGGCTGCTGCCGCGAAAAGGACAGCACCGCCTCCCCCTATCGCGCTGCTGCCGCTCCAACGCCGGCGAATTTTGGGGGAGGGAGACGAGCAGTTTGTACCCCCCTATCCCCCACCCGCACAGACGAAAACAGAACGATGATACACATGCACGTCTATGCAGCAGCGGTAGCAAGCCCAAAAAGGCAAGCCACAGCGCTGCGATGGTTTCATATGAGCAGTCCAATCAAACCGGAAGACATCTCCGCTCCTCCGTATATAGGCGGGGCGATCTCGCATAGTGGCCCATGGGAAGCTGTCGAATGACAGCTCCGAGGGCGGGAAGCGGGGACGACACAGGCCAGCAGAGCCCAACAGCACTGCGCCATTTTGAAACTAATGCTGTCCTTTTTCTGGCCAAAGGGGCAATCGCAGTCGCAGTTGCTATATCGAGCTGGACAGAATTCACAAGGGCAGGTGGTGTGTGGTTATTGGGGCCAAGGGCCAAGGGCCAAGACAGGGCTGGCGAGGGGGAGCGGGGACCCGGGTTGCGGGACAGAGTCGTGAGGGGTCTGGAGTATAAGTATCGTCAGCCAGCGCACGCTCCGGCGAACAAGACATCCCCATCCTCTAAGCATCTTCCTGGCTGTCCTTTGCCTGTTCCCTTTTTGTTTCCCTCCCCTTTCTCTCCCTGCTGGTTTCATCTTCTACTGCCCTTCCTTTAATTACACACATTTCCTCAGAAACCTGCTCAATGGCTGGCATAAAAACCCTCTTCAACCGGCCGCCGACGCCCGTGTTTGATTCCATGGGCGCCCAGGAGAAGGCACACGGGAGCGAGACCTCGAGCGTCAACTACCCGTCTGCCGATGACGACGGCTACGTCCCCCCGCCGCGCACTGCCGGGTTCCTGAAGACCCTGGCCAACGTTGTGTGCATCATCATCGGCACCGGCGCCCTCCAGATCCCGTATGTGTTCTCCAAGATCGGCTACGTCGGCCTCGTCATTATTGCCATCTCGGCATTCATCGGTATGTACTCGGGATCAATCACAATCAAGTGCCTGTACTATAAGGAGGGACAGCGTCTGCGCACGTTCACCGACATTGGCTACCACTCGTACGGTCGGCTCGGCCAGTACTTCACGCAGTTCTTCAACTACATCTTCTGCATTGGCACAACCGCCCTCTTTGTCATTCTCTCCGGCGGCTTCCTCTACGATCTGATCAGCGTCGACCACAACATCAACGTCAGCAAGCGCGTGTGGATGGTCATTGTCTCCTGTGTCATCACCCTCCCTCTCTTGGTCCTCAAGCACATGTCGGAGATTGCCATCATGTCCATCTTTGGCTTCCTCGCCTCGCTGGTCATGATTCTAGTCGCCGTGATCCAGTCGGTCCGCTTCCCCTACGAGCAGAAGCCCGGTATGCCTCCTGCCACCCACAAGGCCGGTATTGCCACAGGAATCCCGACGGCACTTTCCTCGATTGTGTTCTCGTTCTCGGGCACCATCATCTACCCGCATGTGGAGGCTTGCATGGCCAAGCCCAAGATGTGGCCGCGCGTGATGTCTGTCGCCATGCTGATCTGCTTCATGCTCTACTCGCTCGTTGGCGTTGCCGGCTACTGGGCGTATGGCGACCAGACCAAGTCGCCCATTCCTGAACTCGATCCAGAATGATGAAGCTGCCGGCGCTGTCAAGGCTGCCAAGGTCCTGGTTACCATCCACGTCATCCTCGCCGCGCCGCTGCTCATCATGCCCTTCTTCCTCGAGATCGAGGAGCGCTGGAACATCAACGTCCAGCGCTTCGGCCGCTTCAAGGAGCTGCTGATCCGGGACTCGTTCCGTGCCGTCATCATGGTTGTCATCTGCGGCATCTCGATCGGCATCCCGTACTTTGACAGCGTGCTCTCGCTGATGGGTGCCCTCAGTGTCACCATGATGTTCACCTTTGTTCCCGTCGTCGCCTACTACCGCATGTACGGCGGCTACAAGAAGATCCCCTGGTACGAGCTCATCTGGATGGTCATTGTCATCGTCATTGGCCTGGTCGGCTGCGTGTGGGGCAGCATTGATGCCGTGAAGTCGCTGGTTGACCAGATCAACGGTAAAAAGTAACCCGATACCATTTTCCTCCATATCTCTCGATTTCATTTAATCCCGTGTATTGTATAACAAAGCAATTAAATTCAATAATTACTAGATCAGAGCAACTAGCAGCAGCAACAGCAGCAATCGCAGCATTCCACACAGCAGCAGGCGGTTCCGACACCGCACAGGAAGGGACAGCAGCCGCTGCTCTTTTCCTGCGGCGGAGGCTGCTGGACGTAGACGACCTGGGGCTGTGCCTGCTGGCCCTGGTTGTAGTACGGCGCCTGAGGAGGATTGTAGACGTTGTCGTGGCCCATGGTGGTATTGTTATTTAACGAAGCAGGTGTGCTAGTAGTGACAGGCTGAAGGCAAGTAGAGAAAAAAGGGATGTGCTGTTTTATAGGCAGCCGCAGCGTGCTGGTCTCCTGCCTCCATTGACAAGGAGCGGCTTGGTGTGTTGGCAGACAAGTCCAACAATTAGCGGCATGCCCTCTGCATTGCCAAGACACGCAGCGGACATGGGGCCAGACATCATGCGAATCACTTTCCTTTTCCAATCCAAAATAGTAGCTGCTCCACCACAGGGGCCGTATTGAAGCTGACAGTCATGACGGCATATACGAAAGGCGCATTACTTCTCGGGCCACCACTGATTTATTAATAGCAAGAGCGTCCCTTTCTATACACAGCAGCCAATCGCTGCTGTGTCCCCATGCCACATGAGTCGGGTACAGTAAAACCTCCCTACTATCAGCAGCCTTGGCAATACCGAGATGTTTGGGGCCAAGGAGTCAAAGCAACATCCATGGCATTGGCCAGAGTGGCTTTACTTGGACCACTGCATACGCTGAGGACTGCTACGAGACTGCGACAGGAAGAGAAGGCGAGTTTGCAGACCTCCGATTATCCCTTAGTTTGCACAAGAGGATTTCCGTGAGCCGTCTTTTAGACGCTGTCTGCTGCAATCGCCAGATCCCGAACCAAACTAGGTGCCGTGCCCCCTTCAACAGCAGCAGCAGCAGCAATCGCAGCATTCCGGCGCAGCAGCACCCCGTCCCAACACCACATAGGAACGGGCAGCAGCAGCCGCTGCTCTGTCGGGGCTGCTGGACGTAGACGATCTGCGGGTGTGCACGGTATGGCGGCGGCGGCGCACTGTAGAAGCGATTACGACACATTTAATGCACAGCTTGGTGGAAGTAGAGGTAAGAGGTAAGGTAAAGGCCATAGACCAAGAGCGTCAAGAACTGGCACGCCCAAGGGTTTGCTCATGCGGTTTTAAATGCTGTACCTGCCAATAGGTGCCACTGCAAATGCGGAGCAGCCGACTCCCTCGCCAAGAGACACTGCAATCATGGCCAAGAGTCTTGGGAGCAGGCTGCCGTATGCGTGGATCATTCTATGCGAAGGTGTTGGAAACGGGTAAGGGGCTAGGCTGTGGGCATATTATCAGTGCCTCAGTTTACTTGAATGCCGATTGTAGGTGTGCTTGGAATAGCAGCATGTCCACAAGGAGTTTGGAAAAGCTCTTTGCAAGGTAGAGCGTATTTGACGAACAGAGCCCGCCAGTTGCAAAACAATATACAAACCCATGAACTGGAACAACTAACGAGTCCTAATGGCACCACAGGTAATAATAAGTAGTATCGTCGGCATGCTGCTTGCATTACCTAACAGCAATCAACAACTGATCCATGCGCTTAGCAACGATTTCAGCATGCCATGTCACTGACTGCATGGTTCGATTCCATTTATTCATATTTGTTTGTAATCCATGAAGTCTACGGCTCAGCAGCAGCAGCAGCAGTCGCATGCTTCCGCACAGCACCAGCCAGAGCAAAGTCCGCAGAGGAACGAGAAGCACCTGTTGTGGTGGTGCTCATGGATGTCTGTGCTTATGACGGTGAAGAGCTCGCGCCGAGTTCCCGTTGCTACTCGAGTCTCTGAGGTTGGCTGGCAGCGCTGAAGGCGAAGGAGTAAGGCTGTTTGTATTCCATGTGATAAGGGCTTGCAAATGCGGATATGGTTGGAAAAGCTGAAGCGCTTGCCTCAGTACTCTGCTTGCATGCTATTTTTCACCTTTATATAGCTGGTGGCATGATGTACACAGGTTTGAGCCTCATCAACCTTGCAGTCACTATGACTGTATTCTGCCAGGACAGTTTGGCAAGAATTACATTGGCCATAGGAAATTTGCTGGCAGCTGACATTCCATTGCATCATATGTACGCCATTGTTGTGTTAATAGGGGTAAATAAGTTTGGGTTTCAAAACTAAAGAAAAGGGAATGGAGAAATGGAAAGCTACTAGTGCCATGCACGCTAGCCTTTTTTTTTTTTTGAAGATTTCGTTGCTGTGCGGCATCTGACCTCCATCGGTGACACCGGGACAGAAAGCTGTGATTGTAGTGGTCACAGGTCTCCGCTAGGATATCTCCATTGGTTCAGCGCGAGAGCTGCTCTCGTTGTCGGTCAACCCGATAACCTTCCATGGCGTCATCGTGGCGGTCATCGCCGGCCGCGCAACACCATGAATGAGTTCAAGCGAGCACAGGACAATATGTGGGAACTGGCAGCATATCCGCATTCAGCCAGCTGAGATGGCTGGTGCTGACCCGTGAATTGTGCTTGCTGCCAAGAATGCAGCATGTCATGCTGCTGTAATTGATTGTGGTGTTGATGGTTCAAGAGCACGTGTATTTGCCAAGGGATATGGCCGAGATGGGGAAGAAAAAAGATCGTAGAGTACAGTGGAAAATGAGAAGGAAAGGAGGGTGCTGTGGATGCCGTATCAAATTCGATGACTGCTCATTTCGTGATGTCGCTGATCAGGGACTTGATAGCATCGACACTGCCCCAGATACTGGCCACCATGCCGAGGATAAGAACAAAGCCCATCCAAATCGCCTCATACCAGCGGATAACCTTGAACCCGTAGAGCTTGACGTAGCAGGTAATGGGCAGCAAGGCAAACATTGGTGACGCAGGCGATGGAGCTGATCAGCTCCAAAAAGTCTGAAAAGTAGGGGATAGCCAGGGCCACCCCGCACACAGCAACCACAACAACGCTGCGGTAGATGAGGCGCACAGTGTACTCGCGCTTTTTGCCCAGGCGCTCGGGAGTGATTTTCCAGGCATTCTCGATCTCGAGATAGAAACTCAGCAGCATGATCGGCGCCGCCACGATGACGTGCAGCGTGATCATAATCTTTGCGATAGTGTTAGGCGGCCCGGTCGGGATCGAGTCGAGCACGGGCGTCTGCACCTTGCTGCCGTATGCCCAGTAGCCGGAGATGCCGATGATCAGGTACATGATGGCACACATAGCCATAGCGATACACATGACTTTGGGCCACTGCTTGGGGCGGGCCATGGTGGCCTCGACGTGTGGGTAGACGACGGAGCCGGCAAACGAGAACACGATCGATGAGAGGGCTACTGGAATGCCGGCGGCGATGATAAAGTCGTGGTTGGCTGGGACCTCGTTGGGGTTGACGGTGGAGTACGGGAACAGGAAGGACATGATGGTGGCGATGAGAATGACGATAATGGACGCCACCAAGCCGGAGATAGTCATGAATGCAGCTTCGGTCATGGACTTGACGAGGGCAACCGGAATCCACATGATGATGGCGACGAGGATCATCCAGACCTTCTTTGTGACATTGACGCCGAGCGGCGACAGCATCTGAAAGATGAACTGGCCGGCAAGGATAATGTACAGGCACGCGGTGCCCAGTGTGTACATGTAGTTGAAAAACTGGGCCGCGTACCTGCCCCACCGACCAAAGGCCGCATATCCAATGTCGGGGAACGAGTGCAGGCGCTCCTCGTCATTGCCCTTGTAGTAGAGGCACCTGATGGTGAGCACCCCCGTGTATGATCCGATGCCACCGGACAGAATGACTATGGCGATGCCGAACCAGCCAGTTTTAGAGAAGGCGTACGGAATCTGCAGTGCGCCGGTGCCAATGACCACGCACGTCACGCCGGCTATGGACTTGAATATGCCGCAATTGCGCTCGGGCATGATGGTTCCGTGGGCAGCGGGGGCGTTTTCTTCGAGGGCCTTCTCGTCGGCGACGCCGAGCTCGTCCTCGAATGGGGTCTTGTCGTCCATTGATTCGTCGTCGACAAACGGTGGGGCCTCGGTGATCTCCATTGAGGCGGCCAGGTCCTCATTGTTGTTGGCGGTGGGATGGGGCGTGGGGCCAACGCCCACCCCCAGGTTCATTCTTCTGCTGAAAAAGTTGAGAAACGACATGGCTGGAAGGCTGGGCAGGGGAGGCTCTAGGAGAGTGGGTAATGTGTAAGAATAGGGAACAAATCAACTAGTGGTTGTGTATCTGCGTTGCTGTGGATTGGAAAAAGTAAGAAGAGCGTTGCGTCTATGTGCAATGCCGAAAATCAGCCAGTATATATACACAGATGAAGGAAAGGGATCTCGCAAAGACTAGAACAAACTAACCGGAGAAATAAAATAGAAGTAAAGAAGTGGATATCTGCACGAAGCGCTCCCGGCGAAAAAGAAAGTTGGCAGATGAAAGGAGAAATGGACCGAAGGAAAAGCAGGGAGGCAGAAAAAGACGCCGACCGGGCCCAGGCACAAGATTTATGATAGAAAATTGTCTCAGGCGCTGTAATGCGTTCATGGTCGCTAAGAGCTGGGACGTGGAGGCAGCCACGAAACAATGCCCAGGGGGAGTGGGTGTGCGAAGGCAAATGCGCATACACGGGATGGCGTCAATGTCGTTGGGGCCATTTGGTCGGCTGGAGGAGGAGGTTGTGTATCTGGACGTTATATGCATCTGCCGAATAAACGTAATGGCTGTATGCAGTGGTATATGCAAGAGGGGCGGTCCGTTTTCGGAAATGGACGAGAGCAGCAGCCTTGATCCGGGAGCAAGGCTCGATCATACCGAGCAACGGCAGCTCAGAAAAAATCCCGGATCAGCAGCAATCTTGCGGTGTATTTCCAAGGCAGGCAGGCGGCTTCCAGAGGCGCTGGTCGCGCAGGCGTGGCTCGCGCTGTCCCCCTCCCAGCCAAAAGAATTTCCCCCACCTAAATTTCCGCTGTTTGGCCAATATTAGCGCCCAGCGGCAGGATAGGATGCACGGCCGCGCACGCTTCGTCGGGCTACCAAAGAAGGAAGCTAGAAAAAAAAGCGACTAACGGAGACGGATAATTTCGGTGTGACGGGGTCGAAAAATTCCACCCCAGCAGTTTTTTCTCTTCCCTTGCGGGGGAGGCTTGTTCTTAAAACAACAGTCTTGGTTTATCTCTCGCTCGCACAGAACACTCTTCTTCTCTGTCTTTTTCTAGTCTCCTCTCTTCCGCTGTCGAATTTCAAGATTCACAAAATACATTTTGACGAGAATGCTTCGCACAGCCGCTACTAACGTTCTTCGCCAGGCCAAGCCTGCGCGCTCTGCTGTTTTCCAGGTAAGCAGATCCTCGCTCTTTTGAAACAGGACCTAGGTTTCTTTTCATGCACACGCGACCTCACTTGAAATTTGACGAACCAACACCTTTTCTCCCCCCATCCCCCTTGCTGCTGTATGCTTGGCCATGTATTGGGCACTGTCTGTGTGTATGCTAGTTCGCAGTACTCGTACTCGATGTGGTCCTGGCTGCAAAAGCCAAAGAAGGAGGCGCCCTCTGGTGGCGTGACTGCGACTGGCAGCAGCGCCAGTGGCAGTGGTGCTGAGCAGGTTGGCAGGCTCCTTGCGACAATAGCAGAGACCAGGCAGGTTGACAGTAACACCTTCAGTCTTTCTAGCAGCGCGCGAATTTTTTGGCACTAATTATCCGCAGCGATTTTCCGATTAGGTTGCCCGCACCATGGCCTCGGCTGCCGGCGAGGAGACGGTCACGTTCGAGTTCTGCGACAAGACGTTCGAGGGCTACAACATCGAGGCGCCGTCGCAGACGACGACGCTAACCAAGTCGGATGCGATCGCGCTGTACCGCGAGATGCAGATGGTGCGCCGGCTCGAGATGGCGGCTGACTCGTCGTACAAGCACAAGCTGATCCGCGGCTTCTGCCACCTGTGCACTGGACAGGAGGCGGTGCCGGTGGGTATCGAGCAGGCGCTGACCAAGGATGACGCGATCATCACGGCCTACCGCTGCCACGGATTCACGTACATGCGCGGAGCCGAGCCGGTCGGCATCCTGGCCGAGCTGATGGGCCGCAAGGGCGGTGTGTCGCAGGGCAAGGGCGGCTCGATGCACATGTATGCCCACAACTTCTACGGCGGCAACGGTATTGTCGGCGCGCAGGTGCCGCTGGGCGCAGGAATCGCGTTTGCGCAAAAGTACAACAACGAGAAGACCTGCACGGTTGCGCTGTATGGCGACGGAGCGGCTAACCAGGGCCAGGTGTTTGAGGCATATAACATGGCCAAGCTGTGGGATCTGCCGGTGCTGTTTGTGTGCGAGAACAACAAGTACGGTATGGGTACCGCTGCTGGTCGCGCTGCTGCCAACACCGACTACTACACGCGCGGCCAGTACATCCCTGGCATCCGCGTCAACGGCATGGACGTGCTGGCTGTCCGCCACGCTATCGCCTACGCGCGCGAGTACGCGACCAGCGGCAAGGGCCCGCTGGTGCTGGAGATGAAGACCTACCGCTATGGTGGTCACTCGATGTCCGACCCCGGAACCACCTACCGCACGCGTGAGGAGATCCAGCACATGCGGTCCACCTCCGACCCCATCACCGGCTACAAGGCGCGCATCCTCGAGGCCGGCATCATCACCGAGGAGGAGATCAAGTCCATTGACAAGTCCGCCAAGAAGCTCATCGACGAAGCCCTCGCCAAGGCCAAGGCCATCCCTGAGCCGCCTGCTTCGGACCTGTGGGCCCATGTCTACAAGGAGGGCTCCGACATCCCGTACCTGCGCGGCCGCGTGCCTGAGGAGACCCACTACTACAACGTCGACTAAGTTTTCAGTAGCGGATTCAGTCCAGCAATGATTCAATCAAAGTATTAAATTTTTTAGAGTTCATGATGGTCTTTTGGTGGCTTTTATATACCGCAGCACCCCGCTTCATCCCACTAACTAGACCGCTTAGTCGAGCTGTGCTCCCGGCATGGGGCCGCGTAGTCTGCCCTGCAGGCTCGCAAATAAACCTGCTCCCTTCCCTCCCTTCACTATTCCTCAGCACACACCAGGTGTTCATCACCAAGTGACCTATAAAAATCAGCCATGACTTGGACCCAGAGTTCACGCCGAACAGCACCTACGAGCGGCGCAAGTCCGCCATGTTGTCGGCACAAGCCAGCGCGGAAGCCGATGCCCATGCTCTGGCAAGTCAAGGCCAATATGACAAGTGCCACCTCAGGCTACCAAGCAGCACTCACCTTTGCTGGTGCAGCGCAGGCCGTCCGACAACCAGCTCCGTGGACGGACGGAAATCAACACGGGCGGTACGCAGTCTATCCCACCTCCTGGTGTAGGATCTAGCTCTTACACTAGCTCTGGCAATTATCAAATTCCAAGCAATTTGGACTGACCATGCATTTATGGCGAGCGTTCTGCCTGTGTGGTTAACAGGTCCGCGCCATGGCGACTATACAGGTGTGCTGACCACCCGGGTATGCCGTGCCTCAACTGGGCTCCCAGGCAGCCTGAAACGCAGGGTTCTTCTACCATGTGACAAATGCTTCTGAAGCAGCAGATGCCCTGAAGGAGGCTGATCGTACTAACCTATCGGCTGTGCGTGTTGCAGCTCGCACAGAGTTCGACGCACTCACGACAACCTGCATGTTCAAGGGATGCGTGCTTGACCCCCACAACCAACCCGTTGGCAAGGGGCCTCGGGCTGTGTAGCATGATGTTGTTGCACACCCAGCTATGACGGGCATAGCATCAGTAGCCGTACACGCTCTGATGCTAGGGCTTCATTCAGTACGGAGGATGTCTTCACATCTTGTCTGCAGCCGGATATGCATCAAGGCACCATACTGTGCTGCACTGGTATTATATACAGCTCGGGTAGTCGTTGTGCATTTCCTTAGGCTAGCGAAAGCAAATAGAGGAAACTACTTTACTCATTTCTCGGGCAGGCATGACCAGTCGATCTCGCGCTGGCCATTCTCGCGCAGGTACTTGTTAGCCATCTTGAAGTGGCCGGCCTCAAAGAACCCGCGGCTTGCGCTGAGCGGCGACGGATGCACCGACTTGAGCACCAGGTGCTTCTTGCTGTTGACCTGCGCGCCCTTCTTCTGCGCATAAGAGCCCCACAGCATAAACACCACGTGGCTGCGGTTCTTGTTGATGGCGCTGATGACTGCATCGGTGAACTTCTCCCAGCCCTTGTTGGCATGCGAATTGGCCTTGTGGCACTCGACGGTCAGCGCAGCATTCAGCAGCAGCACGCCCTGCTCAGCCCAGCCCTTCAGGTACCCGTGACTGGGCCGCACAAAGCCCGGATAGTCCACCGCCAGGCCCTTGTACATGTTGACCAGCGACGGCGGCGTGCGCACGCCCGGCCGCACGCTGAATGCCAGTCCGTGCGCCTGGCCCGGTCCGTGGTACGGGTCCTGCCCCAGGATCACCACGCGCACCTTGGAGAATGGCGCGAACCGCGACCACGAGTACACGTCGATGGCTGGCGGGAAGATGGTCTTTTTGGCCTGCTCCTCCTGCTTCAGGAAGGCCTTGAGCGCAGTAAAGTACTTTTTGGAAAACTCGGGCTCCAGGTGCTTGAGCCAGGACGCATCAATGGTCTCATACTCTAGGCGCAGCTCCTGCGGATAGTCCTTGCGAACAATCGCCGTCTCTGCTGGATCCTGCGACTCGTCTGATCTGCTCTCTCCCTCAGCTGCCGGACTGGCGGCCTTGGCCCGCTTCTCCGTTGGCTTCTTTGGCTTGAAGAAACTGTCGAGGGTCTTGCGCTTCTGTCCAGCCAGTTCTTGCATTTCTCAGTAAACAAACAGAAAATACTACAAAAGATAAAAAAGGGCGATTCGTTGGTTTGGGGAGCCGACTGGTTTTTAGTGCTCCTGCTGATTGCTGCGCCACTGCCTCGCTAGCCGCACGAGCCGCAGCCGCTCCAGATACTCCTCCTCGACAGCATAGTCGACTTTGCTTTCCGCCCACTGGCCCACAAACCCAGCTACAGAAACAGTGTCTTTAGTCAGCGCGTCGAACAGCGCTCGCCGGCGCAGATACTCAGTGGTGTAGGCTGCCTGCCGGTCTGCTACCACACGCCTCGCGTACGCCTCCGTAATGCCAGCCACCTGGTCGCACTCCATGTCCAGCTACCGGCTCATCTGCGAGCCGCCGCTGCAGGCTGTCCAGTTGCTTGATGGCATGTCCATATTGCCGCAGCGTCTTGCGCAGTTCGGCAATGGTGGACTCGGATTTGGTGCGCAGCACAGAGACCAGCAGGTCAGGGGCGGCGGTGCGTATTTGCTCGTCGAGGTTGCCGAGTGTGCTGGCCAGGGGTACGGACTGGCTGTGGATCGAGATCCACGACTGGATGATTGCGTCGAGCTCGCGAATAATCTGAATAGAGTCGGCCGGCATTAGCAGGGCTTTACGAGGGAATATAGCGGATGGGTTTTGCTGAAGAGCCGCGTAAGCTCTAGCTCGAGAGGTTAGAAAAAATTTTGAGGCGTCTTTTGGGAAAGCGACATGAAACAAGAATCAATTCCCGATGAAATAAAAAAGCTCTTGTTTCTCTTCTCTCTCCTGGCTATCTCCTACGCTGCTTGAAGAAACAAAAGCCATGACTATGCCGGAAGCCGCCGCTGCAGACCCTGTTGAGTCGCCGCTGCCAGTGACTGCCGAGGAAGGCTCGGCCGACGACCCGAGCAAGAAGGAGAACCTGCGTGAGCTGCGCGAAAAGGCCATGGCCCAGTACGACTCCATGGCAGAGGACCCGAAGCGCATGCAGCGTCTGAACTTTCTGCTGGAAAAGTCCACAGCCTACGTTAGCTTTGTCGCGGCCAAGCTTGACAGCAACCGGCAGGAAAAAAAGAAGCCGAAGCGCAAAGCCGCCGCGCAACCGCGGCAGACCAAGGCAAAGAAAAAGAAGCGCGGCAAGCAGCTGGAGATCAACGAGGACGATGGTGTCCTGGAAGATGAGGATGAGGAGCGGGTTATTAACGGTGAGGTCGTGTCGGACCGCCAGCCGAAGCTGATCACCGGCGGCGTGATGCGCGAGTACCAGCTGGAGGGCATGGAGTGGATGGCGTCGCTGTATGAGAACGGGCTGAACGGGATCCTGGCCGACGAGATGGGGCTGGGCAAGACGCTGCAGACCATAGCTTTCCTGAGCTACCTGCGCGAGCGCCGCGTGTACGGCCCGTTCCTGGTGCTGTGTCCGCTGTCGACGCTGCGCAACTGGATCTCAGAATTCGTGCGGTTCACGCCGTCAACACCCGTACTCATGTACCATGGCACGCCGGACGAGCGCCGCAAGCTGCGCAAGGATAAGCTGCATAAGCTGGACACATCATTCCCGGTGGTGGTGACCACGTACGAAATGGCCATGCGCGACCGCCTGGCGCTGCAGCGGTTCGCGTGGAAATACATAATCATCGACGAGGGCCACCGGATCAAAAACATGAACTGCAAGCTAATCAGGGACCTGAAGATGTACCAGAGCGCAAACCGCCTCTTGCTGACCGGCACGCCGCTGCAGAACTCGCTGGCGGAGCTCTGGGCGCTGCTGAACTTTCTGCTGCCCGAGATCTTCGACGACCTCGATAGCTTCCAGGCCTGGTTCGATTTCAACGACATCAATGAGCGCGAGGGCCGCGACCGCATTATCTCCGAGGAGACACAGAACAACGTTGTGTCCAAGCTGCATCACATCCTGCAGCCATTCTTGCTCAGGCGCCTGAAGGCTGATGTCGAAAAGTTCTTGCCGCCCAAGCGCGAGTATCTGATTGCCTGTCCAATGGCGCCCGTGCAGTACGAATACTACCAGGCAGTGCGCGGCCCGAATCTGCGCGAGTTCCTGCAGAACCGCCTGGCCAGCGAGTCCGAGGCAACCACACCGACCGAGTCAGTGGTGGCCGAGGAAGACAGCCTGCCCCGCATGCGCTCGCAGGCCAGCCGCCAGCCAGAGGCCACAGAGACTGACGATCGATGACTCGCTGACACTGGTGTCGTCAGGCAGCAGCACACCGCACCAGCAGCGTAGCGCCGGGCTCGAAGCAGCTGCGGGCGCGGACCATGATCAAGCAGATGAATCTGCAGTTCCGGCTAATGCAGCTGCGCAAGGTGTGCCAGCACCCGTATCTGTTCGACTTCCCCCTGATCAACCCATCCGACCCAGAATCCGAGTTCCTAATCGACGAGCAGCTGGTGCGCTCTTCTGGCAAGCTGCTCGTCCTGGACCGACTGCTGCCGGAGCTGTTCAAGAACGGCCACCGCGTCCTGATCTTCTCGCAGTTTGCACGCGTCCTGGACATCCTTGAGTTCTATGCTGGCCTGCGCAACTGGCGGTTCTGCCGCATTGACGGTGCAGTGCAGCAGGGCGACCGGGAACAGCAGATTGCAGAGTTCAACACCAACGCTGATATTCCGCTGTTTTTTCTGACCACGCGCTCCGGCGGTCTGGGCATCAACCTGACCTCAGCCGACACTGTGGTGATTTTTGACTCGGACTGGAACCCGCAGCAGGACCTGCAGGCGCAGGACCGCGTGCACCGCATTGGCCAGACCAAGCCTGTGCTCATCTACCGTCTGGTGGTGGCTGGCAGCTGCGAGACCGCAATTCTGACGCGCGCCAACTCGAAGCGCAAGCTGGAGAAGCTGGTCATCCATGAGCGCAAATTCAAGGGCCTACGCAGCAACACGGCTGCTACGGCTGCCTGAAAAGGACAAGGATGATCTGTCGGCCCAGGATATTGCACAGATTCTGATGGCCGATGATTCGGAGCTTGTGGAGAAGGACCAGAGGGAGCTGAAGGGTATTTTGGAACGGCTGGGTCCTGATGATGCAGTGACCGGAGGAGGCTGTGCTGACGCACGAGGAGCTTCGGGCGCTGACCGATCGCTGCCCCATGGCGTATGAGCGCAGCACGCGTGTTCCGGGCAAGCTGGCATCGAGGATTGAGCAGCTCACAGCGACCCGTGATGAGACTAACGATGTGCTTGCCAAGATGGAGAAGCTGTAGTGTGTGTTTTGACCTTGACTGAGCCAGAATCAAATGTATCTCGATATATAACGTAACCTGACCATGCACCACTTCACATGATGGCTGTATTATATACTGTGCATCAGCATCGATTCTTTTTGCATTGCTGGATAGTTTCAAGCATGTCTAGAGATGACCAGTCGGCAATCGCGCTCTGGGTTCTTGGGCGCTGTGACAAGCAGGTGCGAAGCCTCGATAATCTTCGGGTAGCCATGCTCGCCGATGACTTCCGGGCCGATGTGTGTGTAGTCCTCGGGCAACGACCAGTCGTAATCCTTCAGCATGTTGGCCAGAATAGTCTGCATCTCCAGGAACGCCAAGTGCCTTCCGGGGCAGATGCGGACGCCAGGGCTGAACGCAAAGAAGTTGCGTCTCGCTGCCTCGCTGTTCAGGAACCTGGTCGGATCGAACTTGTGCGGCTCGACCCAGATTTCCCTGTGATGGCTGACGGCGCCATAGTTGATGTAGATCTGCGTGCCGCCGGGGATAAAGTGTCCCTGCAATGTGACGCCGCTGGGAGGTGCCACGCGTGGCAAGTACCCGCCCTGCACAGGACACAGCCGCATGGACTCGTAGATGATGGCCTCGACCAGCGGCAGCTTGCTCTTGACGTCGGCGTGCGTGATCAGGTGTTCGGCAGCAAAGTTGCTGCGCACTTCCTCGACGACCTGCTTGTAGATTTCGGGATGGTTCATGAGCAAATGAACAGTCCACGTCAGCGTGGTCGCCGACGTATCGGTGCCTGCGACAGTGGCCACAATGGACTCGGCAGTAATCTGCGTCTCGTCCATTCGCACCTTGGACTCGGGGTCTTCGGCGTCAATGTACGCCTGCAGCAGATCCACCGGCTTCTCCCTCCCCTGTCTCAGCAGCTCCCGGCGCCGGTCGGCTGCGCGGCGGCAGAACTGCGCCAGCTGGTGGAACTTTTGCTTCCACGGGTTGAGCAGGAGCGAGAACGGGAAGTAGTTGGTCACAGGCACTGTGGCCATGGTCCCATTGTACATGACTGCGGCATTGACCCAGTCGATGATCTCCTGTGTCGTTGTCCTTGAGGCAGCTGAAGTCGTGTCCGAACGCCAGCGCTCCGATAATGTCGAATGTCGCCAGCATAAAGTCGTTGCTGTAGCCGATCTCGACCTTGCCGTCTGCAGACCTGCTCAGCATTTCGTCCCACTTGGACTCCAGCGAGCGGATCCCGCGCTCAAGAATCATCGGCTCCATCTGGTTCAAAAAACTCTGCGTAAAGAACGGACCTAGCTGGCGCTTGCGCATATTGACAAACGCCGGGTCGGTTGCACTGAACGTGTTCTTGACCCCAAGCAGATCAACCGTGTGGTAGAAATCGTAGAACTTTGCGAATGCGTGCGAGCCCAGCACCGTGCGCACATCGGCTGGATTGCAGATGGCTACGGCATTCGGCTCCAAAACAAATACGTCCCCGTATGTTTCGTACTCGGACAATGCATAGCGGTTGATTGTGCCCGACTGTGTTCAGCACCTGGTTGCGCTTGCTTGTCAGGCGCTGCCTAGCAATGGCCCAGGAATTTTGCTCAGCGGTCGAGAGGTACAGTGCGTGCAGGAGCTTGTAGCTGGCCAGGGCTGCCGTCAGCGCCAGTCGAGATCTTGGCAAATCCGATTTCTCCCACCCGGGCAACGAGGCTGTCAACGTCTACCGATTGGATGAAATCTATGAGGAGCATATTCTTTAGCGTGAACCGGGAATAGACTGTAGAGCGAGAGATGCTGTTTGGCAGTGCAGAGGAGTCAATGCAGTTCTGGCGGAATCGCCCCCAAGATATGTTTTTGTAGCCTGTATCTCGCCCTCTCTCCTCGCGGCCCCCGACGGATCCGTCCTGGGCTATTGTTGTTGTACAAATACAAAAAAGCACCACATCATATGCACCATGCATGCGGCTGAAATTACATTTTGATTGACACCACAAATCACAAAGGATGAGACCAGACTGGTGCAGCGGGTGGAGTAACAATCCGCTTGGCCGCACCCATCACATCGGTTGGTCCTAGGGAGCCCGAGGTCAGCAAGCAGGCGTTTAGTTGGCATTTGATTTCGTTGCCCCGCCCAGCCATTCATTCGTGCATGTGCTCGGTGCAGAGACGTTGTTCTCTTGCTGGCAACGGTTCTTATGCAGCAAAATCTTCACAGCCACGGCTGCACATGGAAACCCAAACTGAGCACGATGCAAAATAGGTTCTTGTGACTTTGAGAAGTCCCCTCCAATACCATGGCTGACTTTGCATGGCTTCTAACGCTCTTGAAACATCTACAAAAGCCAGACAGGCGCACTAGCATCAGTGTCCAGAACCGAGCTGGATCATTGGCGAAGGGAGAACTGCATTATGCCGATCGCTTGGGACAAGTTGCAGGCATTTTATTTGCCGCAGATCGGACACCCAAATGGGAAAAGCAACGTCTGGCAGCAAATGCGCGAGTTCCTAGATCTCACAGCCCGGACCAAGTTCGGCCCAGGATCCCGCTTGGCTTCAAAAGCCACCGCATCGTACGCTAGCCGCATATGCTGCAATGCCTGACAGTAGGCTCTTTGGGCTTACGCCAAGAACATAGCGCATTTGGTGGTATTGTCGCAGATGTCTGGCACAGGTGAACGGCCATATATTGGCACAATTCCTGTCACAGTATGAAACTAGCTCAGAAAAGGGACAGCAGCATTATACTCGGAAAATGAAAAACTAGGCACGCTTGGTGAGAACCAGTCGGCAGTCGCGCTGGGGATTAACTGGCGTAGTGACGACAATGTGGACGGATTCCATCAGCTTCGGGTATCCATTGCCATCCAGCACATCTGGTCCTAGGTGGGTATAGTCATCGGGAAGTGACATGTCGTAGTCCTTGAGCATGTTGGCTAGGATAGTTGACACCTCAGCCCACGCCAAGTGACGGCCTGGACAGATTCGGACTCCAGGACTGAAAGCCAGGAAAGTTGAGCCGCGCCTCGTCGTTATCCAAGAACCTTGTTGGATCATACTTGAGCGGCTCATCCCATGTGTTCTTGTGGATGCTTGCTCCAACATAATTGACGTTAATCTCAGTCCCGGCAGGAATGAAGTGACCTTGTAACGTTATTCCACCAGGTGGAGATACGCGAGGCACAGTACCGCCAAGGACAGGACACAGACGGAGTGCCTCATATATGCATGCCTCGACAAATGGCAGCGACTTCTTGACCTCTGCGTATGTGATGACATGGTCTGTCGCGAAATTGCTGCGGACTTCATCCACAGCCTTAGCGCGTATCTCAGGATACAACATCAGCAGATGTGTGGCCCACTGCAGCGTGTTTGAGGACGTGTCAGTGCCTGCCAGCATCATCACAATTGTCTCTGCCTGTAGCTGCGTCTCGTCCATCGAGATCTTGGATTCAGGATCCTGTGCGTCAAGGAATGCCTGCAGCAAGTCTACCGGTTTCTTGCCACCTTCAGTCAAGAGCCTCCTGCGCGCAGGCAATGGACTCGTTGCAGTGGCGAGCGAGCTTCCTAAACTGCGACTCCCAGTACCAAATTGCCAGCGAAAACGGAAAGAACTTGAACAGCGGCATCGTTGCACGCATACCGTGGACCTTGACAGTCGCATCGACCCAGTGTGCGACTGTTGGGTCGTTCTCTTTCAGCCCTCGAGGCTCGGTGCCAAAAGCCAGTGCGCTTATTGTGTCCAGTGTTGCGAGCATAAAATCATGGCTATAGTCAGTCTCGATGCTGCCGCTCGAGTTCTGCGCCAACTCGCTGTCCCATTTCGACTTTAGTCCCAGGATCCCGAATTGCAGGATCTTTGGTTCCATTCTTGTGACATAGGCAGCATTGAAGTATGGGCCCAGCTGGCGCTTGCGCATAGAAGCCAACTCTGGGATTACGCGCACTGACTGTGTTTTCAATCCCAAAACACGTCCAGTGCTGTGTAAAAGTCACCCTTAACGAACGCGTGCGAAGAAAGGACCGTCTTTATATCCGACGGGCTGGATATGGTAACCGAGTTCGGTCCAGCAAGGTAGATATCGCCGTATTCTTTGTACTCTTCCTTAGCCATCCGCCCCATCCCACCAATTGCACTTACAATCTGCGTTCCGCAGCGACGTCAATCGTGCAATGAAAGGCCCAGGGACATGGCGGAGTGGCGACAAGAATAGGGCATGCACAACCTTGTAGCTCGCATATCCCCCTGCAATAATGGCAGCCAAGGTGGCTATGTCGTCTTTGCTCAGCTGGCTGACAATATCCTGCAGGGAAATCGATTGGAAAGCGTGTGCAAGAAACATCGGTCAAAGAGTATAAAACAGAGGCGAAGATGGCTCACAGCACGCAGGAAGCACCCGCTCTAAAGCAGACTGTTTTTATGCCGCTGCCGTCCGCAATGAAAAGCCAATGGCCACCCGCGTAAACAAGCAACTGAAAATTCTGGCAATCGCTGCGCACTATTTCTGCACAGACGCGATGCTTGCTAATTAATACCTGCCATCACCGAAGATAACCAATCTAATCCTGAAGACCCTTGATCAGGAGACGACACACGTTAGTAGTGTTGACTGCTGGTGGAATTGGGTGTGGTCTGTGGGTTGGATATCGGCAAATGCCTTCTGAGATGAGAGTCCAAACTGTATTACCGAATGAAACAAGAGAAAAATGAAGGGCTACAGAACCCGGACAGCAGCCTCTTGACCCTTCCAGATGCAGCATTGGACAATCGGTTTGAAAAAGCCCTTGTGCTAAACGAGGGGAGGCTAATGCTAGGTTATGTGCCTGAGTCAGCAGGATTCAGTATAGGGGCTGGCGTCGATGACTAATCCCATATATAGCCACCTATGCCGCTGTGAGGTTGGCAAGTAGGCTACTTGCGTTTGGTGAAGAACCAGTCGGCAGTCGCGCTGGGGATTAACTGGTGTAGTAACCAGAAAATGTACTGATTCCATCAACTTCGGGTATCCGCTGCCATCCAGCACATCTGGTCCTAGGTGGGTATAGTCATCGGGAAGTGACATGTCGTAGTCCTTGAGCATGTTAGGCTAGGATAGGTTGACACCTCAGCCCACGCCAAGTGACGGCCTGGACAGATTCCGGACTCCAGAGCTGAAGGCAAAGAAGTTAAGTCCGCGCCTCGTCGTTACCCAGAAACCTAGTTGGATCATACTTGAGCGGCTCATCCCATGTGTTCTTGTGGATGCTTGCTCCGGCAAAATTTACATATAACTCGGTTCTTTCGGGAATGAAGTGACCTTGTAACGTTATTCCACCAGGTGGAGATACACGAGGCACGGTATTGCCAAGGACAGGACACAGACGGAGTGCCTCATATATGCATGCCTCGACAAATGGCAGCGACTTCTTGACCTCTGCGTATGTGATGACATGGTCTGTCGCGAAATTGCTGCGGACTTCATCCACAGCCTTAGCGCGTATCTCAGGATACAACATCAGCAGATGTGTAGGCCCACTGCAGCGTGTTTGAGGACGTGTCAGTGCCTGCCAGCATCATCACAATTGGTCTCTGCCTGTAGCTGCGTCTCGTCCATCGAGATCTTGGATTCAGGGATCCTGTGCGTCAAGGAATGCCTGCAGCAAGTCTGCCGGTTTCTTGCCACCTTCAGCCAAGAGCCTCCTGCGCGCGGCAATGGACTCGTTGCAGTGGTCGAGCGAGCTTCCTAAACTGCGACTCCCAGTACCAGATTGCCAGTCGAAAATGGAAAGAACTTGAACAGCGGCATCATTGCACGCATACCGTGGACCTTGACAGTCGCATCGACCCAGTGTGCGACTGTTGGCGTCATTCTCTCTCAGACCTCGAGGCTCGGTGCCAAAAGCCAGTGCGCTTATTGTGTCCAGTGTTGCGAGCATAAAGTCGTGGCTATAGTCAATCTCGATGCTGCCGCTCGAGTTCTGCGCCAACTCGCTGTCCCATTTCGACTTTAGTCCCAGGATCCCGAATTGCAGGATCTTTGGCTCCATTCTTGTGACATAGGCAGCATTGAAGTATGGGCCCAGCTGGCGCTTGCGCATAGAAGCCAACTCTGGGTTACGCGCACTGACTGTGTTTTCTACCCCAAGCATATCCAGTGCTGCGTAATAGCTGCTCTTTACAAAGGCATGAGAGGAAAGTACGGTCCGGATATCTACTGGATTAGAAATTGCAACCGCGTTTCGGTTTCAAGACATAGATGTCGCCGTACATGTTGTGCTCCTTTTTTGCCATCCGCCCAGCTCCACCAGATAAACTAAAGAGCTGTGTGCGCAGGGGTGTCAGGCGCGCCAAGGAATGAACCAGGAACATGGCGGAGTGGTGAGAATAATAGAGCGTGCATAGCTCTGTGGGTTATATATACACCTGCTATAGCTGCTGCCAAGCGGACAGCGATGCTACAATTAAAGCACTCAAGGATATTCTCTAGAGCATCGGGTTGAAAAAGAGACATTGTAAGAGGCAATGCTGAAGCGAGAGAAATCAAGGGCAGTGGAGAATAGTGAAGAGAGCAGAGGTGTCAGCGTCACGCATTAAACCCCACTCCATCCTAGGGAAAGCAGCCGGACTAGGGATAGCGTACTATTTGCCTGGGAAAGGGTGTCATTGTCCCAATAGCATGTGCGAATAAACAAACGCAGAAGATTATGTGGATTGCCTGCCTTTACAAAGCCACTACATCCAATCCTGTCACACGCCATGTCAGATGCCTCACTCCCTATGTCGAGAGATGCTATGTGGCCACACCTTATTGTTATATTAGTGGGAAACGGAAATAAAGGTAATGCGGATTACACACGCTTGGTTAGAACCAGCCGACAATCGCGCTCTGGGTTCTGAGGCACTGAGACAAAAAAGTGACGCGAATCCAAAACCTTCGGGTTGCCGTTCTCGTCAAGTACATTCGGACCACGCAGCTTGTAGTCCTCAGGGAATGCGATATCGTAGTCCTTCAAGACATTGGCGAGAATGCCGAGCATCTCAATCCAGGCCAGGTTCCTGCCAGGGCAGATGCGGACACCAGTGCTGAATGTGAACATATTACGACGTGCCTCCTCGTTGTCCAAGAAGCGAGTCGGGTCGAATTCCAGTGGGCGGTCCCACACAGCAGAGTTGAGGTTGGCGCCCGAGAGGTTGACATAGATTTCAGTTCCAGGCGGCAGGTAGTGGCCCTGAAGAGTGATGCCGCTTTCGGGGACCACCCGCGGCCACAACCCGCCTGTGACTGGCATGAGACGCATTGACTCGTAGATGCACGCCTCGATGAATGGCAAGCCCAGCCGCCCTTCGCTATATCCGATCAAGTAGTCGGCAGCGAACTTTGTGCGCACCTCATCCACAGCTCGCTGGTAGTGCTGCGGATAAAGCATGAGCAAATGCACTGTCCACATCAGCGTGTTTGACGATGTCTCGCTTCCAGCCAAAAGCATCAGCAGGCTTTCCTGACTGCACTTGAAGTTCGGTCATCCGGGTCTTTGATTCGGGGTCTTCGGCGTCAATGAGCGCCTGCAGCATGTCAACCGGCTTGTTCTCGGGTGACGTTGCAGAAAGGTACCCGCGACGCATGTTGACTGATGCCTTGGCGTAGTCGATTACAGAGTTGTAGCTGCGCTCCCAGCGACCCAGCAGCAGCGAGGCAGGGTAGTTTGCCAAAAGTGGAAAGTTTGCGGTCATGCCGAGGTATGTGACAGCATCACCAATCCAGTCGATCATTGTGCGGTCGTTGTTCTTGAGCGCGTTAAACTCGCGTCCAAATGCCAATGCACCGATCGTGTCGAATGTGGCAAACAAAAAGTCCTTATAATAATTTACCTCGACTCTGCCGTCGACAGATGCGGCAAGCTGGGTCTCCCACTTTGCCTTGAGCGATAGAATGCCATTCTGGGCAATCTTGGGCTCAGCCTTTGCCAGGTAGTTCATGCTAAAATAGGGCCCCAGCTGGCGGCGGCGCATGCTAGCCAACTCAGGGGCTGCGCGTGCTGCCAGTATTCTCCATCCCAACAATGTCAACTGCATGGTAAAAGTCTGACTTGCGGAAGGCGTGTGAGGCCAAAGACGGTGCGGACATCCACAGGGTGAGAGATGGCAACAGCGTTGGGCTGGTAGACATAGACGTCGCCGTACTCTCTTGGTTCGTTGCGGGCAAATCGGCCCATATAGCCAATGGCACCAAGGAACTCGGAGCGTTTATTGGTTATACGAGCAAGGAATGGACCAGGGACATTGCAGAGGGGAGAAACGTAGAGAGCATAGTACACCCGGTAGGCTATAGCCAGGCTGGCAGCAGTGGCTAGCAGGTTGACGTAACCAATGTGCAACACAGTGCTAAATAGACTCCAAATAATGTCAATGGTTATCATGTTTCTAAGGAAACGACGAGAAATTATTGGTACGAGGAACAGGGAGAAATGCGGGGAGAGACACGGGAAGAGGATGGCGCTGCTCTATTCCTTTTTGTGTCGTTGGTGCTTTGCTCATATCGTGGATTCGGCAAATGGGAGGACTTTTTGACACGGGTTTTTCCAGACGTCCTTGCCCAGATATATAGGTCGCCTTAACATAAGTTTGTCTCCGGCATTGGCTGGGCCAAACGAGGATTTGCATGTCTGCAGCTGATGTGCTCGTATACAGTACAGGTCAAGGGCATATATTTCTTTGGTGGCCATAAGGCGTGCCATGGAGCATATTCGGAGAATAGTGCGAACGAGCGCTCACTAGAAGTGATCATGGGTGAGATTACGAGATGCGGCTCGGATAGCATCGGGCTGCTGCCGGATCTGAACTGAGCCGGGCTGGGCCATACTGCACCTCTGCTAACCTCCGCAATGCATCCTTACTGCACGCCCTCCAAGCATATAAACCCCGCACTGCTGTAGTTGCCCGGCCTCAGCGTTCTCTCCTTTAGCTGCACTCTTTTTGTTCGAAATTTGAAATGGCACACCTTTTACCCCGGGCGCCAATGAGCCAGCTGCGGCACCTGGTTGCTACGTCTGCGAGCAGGCGCGCATTTGCGTCTGGCCATGCACTGCCCAGGGCTGGCCAGGCAGCGATATACACGGAAACAGGCGACCCTACTAGCGTTCTTCGCGTTGTTGAGCAGCAGCTTCCTGCTACGCTGCAGGATGGCCAGGTGCTTATCAGGATGCTGGCGGCGCCTGTGAACCCGTCTGATCTGAACCAGGTCGAAGGCGTGTATCCGGTGAAGGGCCGGTTTGGCAAAATCCACACGCTTGATGGGACGGCACTGGATGCGGCAGTCGGTGGCAACGAAGGCGTCGGTCGAGGTCATCGCTGTGGGTAGTAGATCTGCCGGGGACTTGAGTGTTGGCGATTGGGTAGTTCCCGAGCGGGCAGGAGAGTTTGGGACATGGGCAACGCATGCTGTGGTTGACCGGGCTGCAGTGGTTAAGATCCCAGGTGACTGGCATGCAGGGCTAGAGCCGTTGCAGGTAGCCACCATAAAGGTCAACCCGAGCACAGCGTACCGAATGCTGCGTGACTTTGCGTCGCTGAACCCCGGCGACTATGTGATCCAGAACGGTGCCAACTCGGGTGTTGGGCGGGCTGTGATACAGCTGGCCAAGCAGCTCGATGTTCGCACGATCAACGTAGTCCGCGATCGCGACAGCTTTGACGAGCTGGCCAGCGAGCTGCAGGGGCTGGGCGCCGATATTGTGATCAAAGACAAGGAGCTTGACGGATGACGCGGTAAAGCGACGGCTCAAATCGCTGGAGGCGCCAGTGCGGCTTGGGTTCAACTGCGTGGGTGGGCGGGTGACATTAGGCGATGACGAAATATCATCTCTCAGGGTGGGTCGCTGGTCAGCTACGGCGGCATGTCGCGGCAGCCAGTGACCCTCCCGACGTCGCTGCTGCTGTTCAAGGATATCCGGGCATATGGCTTCTGGATGAACCGCTGGTACGAGACCAACAAGGGCAGCACCAAGCGCCAAGAGATGTGGGCAGATATCCTGCAGGCTGGCGCGTGAGGGCAGGTTTGCGACGCAGCCTATGCAGTGTGTCAGCTGGCCGGGTGCGGCCGGCGTGGATGCTGCGCAGGAGGCAGTGTCAGGAGCAGTTGCGTGGGGCGCCAAGCATGCGTTCATTTACTAAGGCAGGCTCTTCTGTTTGCTTGAAAGGCTTGGGCAAACTCCGGATCTCCAACCCCCTGTTTCTATCGTCCAGCATCACAGCTTGGTCACGATGCGGGGCGTACGCTGATTTTTTCGTTCTTGGCAAACAGTCGCTGATCGTTGAAACTCGACTGTTTCTTGGCCAGAAGATGAGCGAGGATGGTCACATGCATGTGGAGGTGCATCTCCTAGGAACAACTACCTGGGGGTATTGGGTGTTGCTCCGACCACCACTACACAGCCCAGCCACTTGCTTTTTGTTGGCCATCCGGCTGCAGGATGCGCTGCGAGTTCCGTTCGGCAAACTCTCGCTCAATAGGAGCAGGGCTCTTCGCTGTTCCTTTCTTTTGCTCGCTTTTCTTCTTGTAATTACCCAGCCTCCTTCTAATACTACTCTACATAGAAGCGTCTCATCCCCCACCTCTTATTTAATCGATGCAGTTCAGCATTACTGTCGACAACCCCGACGAGGACATCTGCGTGTTCCAGGATGCACCTGGCGTGGTCTGCGGCCAGGTGAATATCTACACGAGGAAAAAGGCAGAGCTCCGGGAAGTGGATATCCGACTCATCTGCGATGAGCTGATTGACATGTTTGGTAGCGAGTCGGGGAACGGGCTGTACACCAACCTGCAAAAGACAACCAAGACTATCAACAGCTGGGTCGTCCTCCCCGAGCGGCCCAAGGCGCATGTGCTCGAGGAAGGAACACACCAGTATGCGTTCGAGGTTGGTCTGCCAGCCGGTCTTGACGCAACCATCACAATGCGGTCGTACAAGCTGGAGTACTTTTTGGAGGCACGCTTAAAGCACTCGTCGTTCTTTAAGCCCAACGAGGTCGTCCGCATTCCTATCGTGCTGACCCAGATTCCCATGTCTCAGAACCTGCACAATGACGACGCTGCGTCGCTCGAAATCAGCCCTGTCCCTAACGACTGCCCGCTGAGCATGCTCCGGCCGTGCGATGTGCCTATCGGTCACTCGCTGCGGCCTCGCTTGGACCTAATCGACCAGGGAAAGCCGTTCACGCTGCTGCATTTGTGGCACGAAAAACTTGCATTCCGCATTAAACTTCCCACACGGCCGTGCACTGCTGGCAGGCTCCACCCCGGTTGTTGAGTTTGAGACACTGCCTATCGACCAGAACTTTAGGTTCACTCGCGTTACGCTGGCTTTGGAGGAGGTTGTCCTGATGGCACGCCCACAGCGGAATGCGGTGTCAAAGTCGATCAATGTCACTGAGACGCACATCTCGAGCCCAGACCGGCGCCCGAGTGGCTCCAGGAAACGGCGCAGCACACTGGCAACGCTTGGCAGTGGAGGCAGCAGTGTCAGCAACAGAAGCAGCACAATGGTCAACAGCGAGGGACTAGTGGGGGCAGGGCCACAAAGCGTGCGGCGCCAGTCAAATGCTGCAGCGTCGATAATGTCTCAGTCATCGACATCTAGCGAGGAAAACAAATCGGTATTCCAGCTGCACGTCGCACACCCGCTGGTCAGGTCAAAGGGCAACAAACTTGTTGGCGGCAGCACAATCTGTAAGGTGCGCGACTTGGTTGCCACGCCAATCTCGCTGCCCTCGACAGCGATTTCGACGCTGCAGTCAGCCATCAGTCCACTTCAGCGATACTGCAGGACCATGGATTTATAGCTGCACGCACCCGGATTCGTATCCCATCGCTGTCTGACCTCCCAGACGCATCTGGATATCCCGCAATTCGCACATCCAGGTCCACCACCAGCTCTCGTACACACTCGAGTTCCAAAAGGTCAGCAATATCCCCGCCGCACAGCAGGATCCTGTTACCAACAGCTCGCACCCTCGTGTCTTGGCAGTCTCGGAGATGTACCGCAGCATTGGCAAATCGCATATTATTCGGCGCGATGACCTCCCTGACCCCTCGGGGTTGCCGATTTCCGACGACCTCCTGTCCAAGCCCCGCGTTGTCCGTGGGACGCTGCCTGTGTCCATTGTGCCAGAACAAGCTGGTTGACTTGTGGGAAATCGCGCCACGCAGCACCGAGGACGAGCCTGCTGAACGTGTTTCTCCGCCGACTTTGCCCACAGGATTGAGGATCATATGGATTTGCTGTCGCTTGCATGATCCACCTGCTGAGAGCATCTCCATGACCACTATGGCGCCAACAGAGGCTCCCTTCCCGGTATTGTCGAAGCCTGCGCCAGTAGAGCCGACCATGAGCTTCCCGCTGCCCTACAGCGACAGTGGGGCTGTGGCAGCGAGTGGTTCTGGCATGGGTCCTGCAGCTAGCAAGCCCTGCAGTGCTTTCGCATCAGCCCTCAATGCCAGCACTCAACCCACAGTTTGCGAGCAGCTCTTCATATGTGTCACCGCTACCGCAGCCACTGCCGATCCATGAAGCTCCTACTATAAGCACAGTGCAGAGCCACAACTCATCCTACCCGGCACGAGTTGTCACCCCTACCAGTGCGGCGGTGACCCAGGTAGATCCTGTACCTGCTAGCCCGGTTGCGCAAGAGTCTGCACAACCAGGCCTGCTACAGTCAGCACAGACAGTGTCGATGCCGGTACCAGTGCAAAACCAGGTGCGTGCTGCTTCTCCTATCGGCGGCTTCCACCTCTCGGCTGGATTCCCTGGTCCAGCACAGCTTGGTCAGTGCGCCAGACGCTACAGTTGCAAGCGGCAATGGGGTCTGCCGGAATGAGCCCATCAGGCAACCCAATGTTTGGTCTCCAGCTCGGACATCCGCCGTTCATGCAACCTATGACCATCGTCGCCCACAGCCAGCTCAGCGGCTGGCTGGATCACAGTCGATGTTCAACCCGATGATGGGCAACATGTTTAGTCCGATGCAGATCCAGCAGCAGATACTGATGTTCCAGGAGCAGCAGCGCATGCAGCAGCAAATGTTCTTCCAGCAAATCGCAGAGCAGTATTCCATGTTCATGCAACACCCGATGATGCAGCCACCGACGTCGCCAACTATGTCGATGTCAATGTCCTCAGCAGGGATACAGGATACCAGGGATACCAGGAGTACCAGGAGTGCCAGGAGTGCCAGGGATGCCAGGAATACCAGGAGTGCCAGGGATGCCAGGAATACCAGGAGTGCAGGAGTGCCAGGGTGCCACTAGCACCCCTGTCAGGCGGTATGCCAGGCAGCCCACGCACGCCTTCAGCATTTGACTCAGCCGTGGTCACACCCCAGCCAACCACCCAAGATGTACAGCCTAATGCTGCCCCAGTCGACACCGAGGTACAGCAAGTATCTCCCGCGCAGTCCCCACCACTTGTTTCTGAGCCATCGGATATGGCCACCATCAGCCCCACTGGTTCTGCTAATGCCCCTACGACGGCACCTGTGACAGCGACATCTACTGCCATGGCCGCTGGTGCTGCACCTGTCGAGCCCCAGCAGGCGGAACCACAGGCGAGTACGCCAGCTGAGCCTGCCGAAGTAGCTGTCCCCCGTCTCGTCGCCTCCAGTTCGAGAACGCATCGCCACCAGCCATCATCTCAACGAAATCATGGATGTTCCCATCGACTACAGCTCGCCCCCGCCCGACTACGAGGAGTTTGCAATGCCACCGCCGTATGACCACCAGTCAAGCGTCGGAGGACGACGCTAGGGTTAATATATGTGGCCTGTATGTTAAAATGTTACAAAATGTATTTGGATCAAGTACGGGTGTTTTTAATGAAGGAGGTTTCTACATGATAGACGACTGCTTTCGCCGTGTACCGCACATAGACATCGGTGTAGAGCAGCCGGATGGTCTCGTTCTTGACCTGGTCAAGCATCGAAATCGCTCATATTGCCGGCTCTCTTGGGCGCGCAAAACCTCGTCCACAAGCGCTCCCGGCAGATTGACTGCCATGCCAGCGTCGGGACGAACGTACACGCCGATGAATGCGTTGACGCGCTTGACCACGGTGTTTGGGAACTGCTGTGGACTTGCGGATGTGCTTTTGCGGGCACTGGGCGACGACAGTATCATAGATGCCGTGGATTACACTGGTGTGCAGCACCGTGTTTTTGATCGGCTGGCTCACCGAGATGTGGTGGTTCCGCCTGCCAAACAGACGGCCAAGGACAGACTCCTCTTCCTCCTCAGTGTCTTCACTGATATCAACTGCCTGGGGCTTGTCAGGAATGGTGTCGGCCTTGGATGTGGTACCAAAGGCGCGTACGGTATACGCCTTGATGAGCTGGTAGTCATCTATGAATGAGGTCAGCTCTGAGCAGAACGACTGGGCAGTGAATCGCCGGAACTCCTCATACTGGATCGGGTTCTCGAGCATGTCGATGAATCCCCTGGCGTGCGTAAGCCCAGCAGCCGCTGGTCGCCAGTAGGGGGCGGCCAGTGCTGATTCGAAGCTGGATTCAGGCCAGGACGAGTGCAGACGGCGCGCAAGTTTGCGCGACCTGACAAGCGGGACCACCACCGAGGTGATGTGGACACATATGACGCTGAGCCAGGCAAAGAACAGACCGGAAAAGATAAGCCGGATGCGCTTCAGCTTGACCTCCCACACCATAGCCAGCACCATATCGAAGACGGCCAGCGTCACGCACATGATCAGGTCGTATTTGATGCCAAAAGCGTCGTTAAGACCCCACACCTGTGCGAGCAGGATCGGACAGATCACTACAAGCGCAATGCCCAGCATGATGAGGACCGGGAGCTCGGGCCAGTCAAGACCGCACACGCGATTCAGGGGGTGGATGGAGTAGAACGGCGTCGCCGCACTGAACACGGCGGTCATAATTACTATACATGTCATGAAGCCGCAACGAAAAGCAGCAGTGCGCGACTCGTAGCAAACGGCTGCAGCCGCATGTACTTTTGCAGTCTCTTTTGCAGCTTGCGGGAATGGGCGGGCAGGCAGGCGCCGCCCAGCACACTGGCTGCGTCGCCGGTTGCTGACCTGTGCGTCGGCAGCATGTGGTACGGGTGCCTCAGGGATGTCTCGTCGAATACCAGGCTGCTCTTGAGCGATGGCGTCATAGGGGTTACGGTTCCAGCATACGTGCTGTTCTCGTGCTGCAGCTGCAAGCCGCTGCGCTCCATGTTGGCCCTAGTTGGTCTCGGCGATTTCGGCAGCCAGCCTGCTTTTGAGGTTGTGCAGGTTGGCCTGCACGATGAAGTGCCAGGCGCGCGTCATGACGCCCAATGAGAACAGCGTCATGCCGCAGTTGAGCAGCCAGAGCTTGACTATGCAGGGCGTGTCGGCGCGTGCTGTGCTCAAGAGGCCGAGCAGTCCAACCAGGTACCCGCCCGCGGTCTGCACAGAGACAAGTGTGACAGAGCGCTTGACAAGATCGCGGCCCTGGCGCGCCTTGGACTGCCGGATAAACAGATACATTGTGGCGGCGACAAGTATTGTGTAGACGCCGAGCAGAGTAAATATGGCTATCTCGCGGATCTTGCGCGATCGCGGGCTGATGACATCGTCCAGATTGAATGTGGACGGGGCAGCCCATATCGGCGATGTGAGCGGAAAGAGGGCAATATTAATAATGCAAAATATGTAAATAGCAAAGGGGCTAAAGGGGAAACAAAGCGGCAAGGGAAAAGGGAAGGCAAAATATAGCAGAACAGGGAAATGGGCTTTTGCCTGGGGCTGCCGGCAAAAAAGCAGCCAGACATGCAATCGGGACGGCGTTAGAAAAACCACAACAGACTTTAACCTTCTTTTGCGCTCATTCCATTTCCTGCCTTCCCCAGCCAAATGGGCCGATGCAGCCATCTGTTTTGCCAGTCCCGACCGCCGCCTGGGACTTCTTTCCAAGGAACGCGGAGGCGGCGTCGTGCACAGTGCCTTGGGGCGGCTCTCGGATGGGTAGATGAGCTGCAATAAAATCGACTGCAATCGCCATTCACAACAAAGAAGATGGCCAACGGATGCGCTGACAGGTATGTAAATCGCACAAATAGCGGCAGAAGGCTGTGTAGCTGAGGCACAGTCCTGACAAAGCACCCTATTGGCGGGGCCACAATCTGCACGGAGGATCGTCGGAGGGAGCGTCCAAAAGGAAAAACTGGTCGAGTGGCATTCGCACAAAAGCGGCAGGTGTCGGGCTGGGACTGCGTGCAACGGAACTCACTTCATCGCCTTGGCCCTGTAGCGCACATACACATCGGTGTAGAGCAGGCTCAGCACCTCGTCCTTGGCGCGATCGAGGATGGTCAGAGGCGAGCTCGCGGCGGTTGAGGTGTGCGTAGATGTCCTGGATGATGGCGCCAGGGATGTTCACTGTCATCAGCGACTCGGGGCGGATGAACTTGGACACAAAGAGCACGAACCGGTCCTGCACCGACGCCGGGAACTCAGTTGATGGGGACAGCCGGTATGTGGGGAAGGCGAGGCGCGCGGCCTCCAGGATGCTGACGACCGCGTTGGTCCGGAGCTTGAGCGGCTGGTTGCGGGCTTGTTTGCTTTTGCCCCCAAAGCCACCGGAGAATCGGCCGCCGCCATTGCCTTTGGCAGAGCTCAGCGTGTGGCCTGACGAATGAACGTGCCCGTCGTCGATCGACGACTGGTATTCGGGGGTATCGGCGCCGCTCATCAAGCTGCTGCTCTCAAGGGCCGTCAGGGTCACCGCCTTGAGCATCTGATAGTCGTCCAGGAATGCGACCAGCTCCGCGCAGAAGCACGACGCCGCAAAGCTGCGGAACCTGTCGTACTGGAAGTCGTCGTCGAGCAGCATCTCAAAGTCGCGCCGCTTGGTCCCAACAACGATGTTCGGATGCGACTTCTTGCCGAGCACTGAGCTGCGCGGGGTCTCCAGAGTCTGGTGCTGCTCAACAACAAGCTCGTTGCTAGAGCCTGTGAGGCTGGCAGGCACGCTTGGCCAGCCTGTGTGCGCGCACGAGTGGGACCACGACCGAAACAACGTGCTTGGCTGTTGCGCTGACCCAGATGAAGAACAGGCCTGACACAATCAGCCGTGGAGCGGCGAGCTTGGTCTCCCACACCAAGGCCAGCGTTAGATTGGCCACATCAAAGCAGACACAGATAAACAGGTCGTTGCGGATACCGTATGCGTCCTCGAGCCGCCAGACCTTAATGAGCAGCACTGGGCAAAGGAACACCAGGAATGTGGCCAGCAGCCCAATAACCGGATAGTACCCCCAGGCCGCAACGCACGAGATGCTGGTCGGGTTGATGGAGAAATCGTCAGAGAGGACGTTGATGACGACAGTCAGGATGACGATAAGGACCATGGCAATAGCGATGTACATCATCAGCGCCTTGTCGGACACGTAGTGCTGCAGCTTCGAGATACTTTAGCAGATCCTTGCGAAGGACGTGCTTGCTCCACGCTGTCGGCTTCCTGCAGCTGGCCGGAATTCTCCATGCCGCCCAGCTCGAACTTGTCGTCACTGCCAAATGCTCCAAACACGCTGTCATACTGCGCCGGCAATGCATCGAATTCGGCCGCCCACGACAGCGGGATCGCCGTCGGCGCTACCGGCACATTGGTGATCGTGCTCAGCTTTGACTTAATTTCGTGGGTCCGCGATGTAACGATGAGCTGGGCCGAGCGTGCTGTCAGCGAGAGCACGATGAGCGACAGCCCGATGTTGAACAGCCAAAGCTTGATCGCGCACGGGTATAGTGTGACAGCCGTGCTGATGAGCCCCAGCAGACCGGCTAGCAGACAGCCGACTGCCTGTGTTGTGACGAGCGCGACCGAGCGGTTGACCAGCTCTGTTTCACGCTGTCTGAGTGAGCGCCGCAGGAACATGACAAGGGTAGTAACGACAAAGACGATATAGACGCCCATGATTGTGAATGTAACAATCTCGCGAGTCTTCATCTGTGACCCAGACATCACACTGGCTGGGTCGTCATCCCATGGGACAGGCTTGTTGACCATTTTTATGTGGGTATAATGATGTTTGTGCGATTAGCAGTACTAACAGGTGGATATCAAGCTATGAAACAGGGTGGCAATATACAGCAGGAAATATCGATAGAAGGATGAAATGATAGGAGGAAAGAGAATTAAACGAGAATAGCGGAAACAGGATGTTGACCTGAACCAGAAGGGGGGAGCTGGGACGCTTATATGAAGTGCAGCGGAACATTGTGGCAGGAGTCCTGGGCGGAGGTTTCAGATCCGCGTCTTGTTTCATGCTACAGTGTGCTGGGATTGCCAGGTATGCATGAAACAAACGGATACAGGTGGCGATTCGATGGCTACATGCAGTCGAATCATCGATCCACAGCGGCGCTGGAGTGGTTGAAAGGGATTTGGGCGACTCCTTCAGCCAAAGCATGCTATGTAGAGAAAAAGAATAAACAAACGCCCTTTTTATATTGGCGATTGCCTCAGTTTACCCCCCAATCTCTACATCCGCTGGCAATCAGTTGCCAAACACAGCCATGTGTATTAAACATTCTGAAAAAGTACGCATCTCCGTGCATGCGTGAAAGAGCCGCTGCACAGAATGAAACTCCGACCCAGCTGCCATAGGCGGGTGTTGAGCAAGTAAGCAGTCTCCCACTCTATCGACCCAGCGTGCCGATGCTGTAGAAGCCGGTAACAATGCTTGACTCCATGCACAGGCTATCTTTAGCAATGCAGGGCGGCTGTGGAGCTTGACTTTTTTCTTTGCTCAATGTCTCCAATACAATGCATCAGCCTGCATCCTTGCCTCAGCGTACCTCCAGCCTCTGTTAAAGTCATTTATTTTTATACATGGCGGCGGTGCCTCAGAATGGTATTCACATGTCATCGCCCAACCGATTGCTTCAAAAGCGGTGGCAACGTGCGATACATAGTTGCCCAACAATAGGGCGACAAAGCCTAGCATGGCCGATCGATGCAGCTTCAATGTACGTTCCGTTGGGTAAGGTTAGTAGCTGCTGCACTTGCTGACGAGCACACGGCAGTCGCGGTCCGGGTACTTTGGCTGGGCCGTCACCTGAGTGGGTCCGCGGCATGATAGCCGGATCTCCCGTTGCCGGGTCAATGTTGTCGGGCGTAAATAGCGCACCCTTGGGCAGACACAGGTCGTAGTCCTTCAGGATGTTTGGCAGCAGCGTGAGCATCTCCATCCAGGCGAGTGCTTTCCCGGGGCACGCCCTGGCGCCGGCGCTAAAGGTGATCAGGGTCTGCTTGGCCTTTGGGCTGTCCAGGAAGCGCTCGGGGAGGAAGCGCTCGGGGCTGTCCCACAGGGTGGGGTGCAAGCAGTGGCCTGCAAAATTGACGCCAACAGTGAACCCTGCTGGGATGTAGTGGCCCTGCAGCTGAACTCCGCCGCTGGGCACATCGCGTGTGAAGTTCTGTCCCGAGACTGGCCGGAGGCGCATTGCCTCGTAGATGCAGGCCTCTGTGAACGGCAACTTGGCGCGCGCGCCTGACGAGCGGATGACCTCGTCGTAGGCAAACTGGCTGCGAATCTCGCTGACAGCCCGCTTGTATGCATCGGGGTGCAGAAGCAGCAGATGCAGCGTCCACGTAAGTGTCAGCGCGGTGGTGTCGGTTGCTGCCAGCAGCAGCATGCGCACCTCAGCCTCGACCTGGTCCGCGGTCATTCGGGTTTTGGACCCTGGGTCCTCGGAATCGATGAATGACTGGAGGACATCGCGCGGTTTATCGCCGTTGCTGTGCGACGCCGCCGACTTGCGAGCCCGGATGGTTTCCTGGCCAAATCGGGTGCACTCATTCATATAGTTGAGCTGCTCGCTGATCAGTCCGCAGAACGGCCACATCCTGATAGGCGGGAAAACCGCCATGTACAACGCGAGCTTTACTGTCGATCGGGCCCAGCGTACAACGCGAGTGTCGTTGTTTTTGAGTGCGTGGAACGACTGGCCGTAGCCAAGGAGGCCGATAACGTCAAAGGTGGCCAGCAGAAAATCAACAGAATACACGACCTCGATGTCGTGCCCCACAGCGCGGTCCAGCTGGCTGTCCCACTTTTGCTTCAGCGCCAGGATGCCGTGCTCCAGGATCTGCGGCTCCATCTCGCGCAGGTAGCTGGGGTTGAAGGCAGGGCCGATCTGGTGCCGGCGCATCTTGTTCATCTGCGGATCGCGTGTCGAGAAGGTGGTCGGGTGCGAGATCACCATCTTGTCGTACTCGGCCGACTTGGTGAACCTGTGCGTGGCCAGCACAGTCGAGCAGTCGTGCGGGTTCGAGATGGACACCGAGGTGGGCGAGATCACATAGATGTCGCCGTATTTGCGGAAGTTTCGTTCACACACCTCCGTTCGCAGGCCAAGCAGTCGCAGCACCTTGTCGTGTAATGGCGTGATACGGGCCAGGAGCGGACCGGGTATATGACGTAAGGGGGAAAGGTACAGAGCGTACACCACGGTGTACAGAATGTAGGAGATAGCAGCGAAAATGGAAATTGCAATAAGCAGCGGCATTGTATCCGGAAATGGGCAATAGGCTGACGATGATTTGGAGGGCGTTTTGGCAAGGGGTACCGGCGATTCCCGATAGATAATAGCAATAATAATAATTAATATAGGGTGTGGGCACGTCTATGAATCAGATGGCTTGTCCAGGGATTGCACAGTGCGTGGAGTGTCTTAAGGCGAAGAAGAGCGAATGGAAGTCTAGAAATACGCGTTGAATAATAGAGCGGCTGCGAGTGATTCCTGGAGAGTGAATGCCTAGAAACAGTCGCTTGGTGATGGTGTGAGTGTGGGCAGGGAGTGAGATATAACGTGGTTGACGATGCAGTTGGTGGTGAGACATTGCAGTGCTGTCGGCCAGCGTTTGCGCATTTTATACCTGCGCACCACCAATCCTGTGTCGAAAAATCAGCGCACGTACTGTAGTAGAGTTGACAAGGCCCTAGTGACAAGTTGAAACCCGGAGCCTGATCACTAGCATTGACGTAGAGACATCCGCAGCACCGCATCATGAGAAAATCAGCCAGCATGACTTCATTTCATGGAGAAATCAACGTTATAAAAATACATGCTGCACGATATCCTCAGCATCGGATGGAAAACCCGATGATTTCGCATTTGTGAACGCGCCATCCGGCCCTGGCGCCGCAGCTCCCTCTTCCCCGCATGGGTGATCGCGCCACCCTGCACGGCCCAGCTCGATATCCCTGGGGAGAAAGGGGGAGCACTGGCATAACCGACATGGTGGATGGGGCCGGTAATGAGGCTCATTCCGGATACTCTCACCGCCGCTTTGAAGGTCGGTCTAGCCGGTTGGCCTGCCAAGCTGGTCACTGGTGTGGGGGCTCGTTGGTTGGTTGGCTGGTGGATGGATGGGTGTGTGATACCATCTTTTATTTACGGCCGGTACCAAAGATGTTAAATACCCATTTCATTTTGGTGCACATCTGTTTAAATACGTGGCTCCTTTGCCCTCTTTCCCTTCCTCTCTTATCCACCCATCCGCTCACCCCTACCCTCCCTCCGCTTCTGCCCCTCATCTCTGTCAGCAGGCTATAAAAAGCTCCCAACAGTTGCGGGCAGCCTTGATTTTTGGACCAAAATAGCCGCGGCCGTGCACGATCAGAGAATTGGCGATAATTTGCGATAGCAGAGGTAGGTATGTGCATTCTTAATCTCGGCATTCACGAGTGATTTGGTTCGCGGCAGGAATCAGCGCCTGCAATGCCATCGAGCGCCCAGCGATTGACGCTCCAAAGCGCAGGACCGGCCCAGCGTGTGACCTCATGATCTGCCGACGGACTTACCCACGGCTCTGCGGTATGTGCATGCGATAACGAGTCTCATGCAGTAGCGGTTTTAGGGCATGGCCGGTGGTGTGCAGGACATGCGCGTTATTGTTCCGCTATTTTTTATGGACAGTGTCATGTTTGTAGAAAAACGGAGTGGGCTAGTCCATAAATTGCAGCGAATACGGAAGGTGGTACAGTAGAAGCTATACTCGGAGGATTCCTCTTTTGGGTTTTGGGGGCTCCAGAGCCGCTGAAAATGCTATTTCCACACTGCGGCCTAGCACTGCGAGCGGTCGTTCTTAGTCATTGCCAACGTCGCACCCCCATCTCCAGGAGCCCGTTTTGTCATCCACCGCCAGCAGCACCGCACACCTCGCCCTGGCAGGAACCAGGCGGACTCCTCTGGAACCTGAAACCCAAACACTTAAATAGGAGGTTTCGCCCACCACGCACCACCCCCTCTGCTGTCTGTACTTTTACTAAATACTGCAATCGACCTTCCTCTAATAGTAATTCTAGTCTTTCAAGTTCCCACCTGGTCTCGCTCTCTCCACTTGGGTTCTTCGTCTTCCACCGTGTCAGAAAAATATAGACCAGACACACAAGATGCTTCGCTCGCTCTTCAGCAAGACCTCAAGCCCGTCACAAGACAGCAGCTCGCCTGCCCACGAGAAGCCGGGATTCGACGGCTCCAATCCTCCATCCGTCACTGGCGACAAGTATGTCGATGAGGCAGCTATCGCTGCATCGTCAGGGTTTGGCGACGGCGACGCCGAGAACATGCCGCCGCGCACGTCTGGCTTCGCCAAGTCGGTGATGAACGTCGTGTGCGTAGTCATCGGATCCGGGTGCCTCCAGATCAGCTACGCGTTCTCCAAGACCGGCTGGATCGGGGTACTGTTCATCGTCCTGTCGGCTGCAATTTCAATGTACACCGGGCATCTGTCAATCAAGTCGCTCTACCACAAGCCCGGCCACCGGCTGTACTCTGCGTCCGACACAGCGCGGGCAGCGTACGGACGGATTGGACAGTTTGTGATGGAGTTCTTCAGCTACCTGTACACCCTGGGCACAGCGTGTCTGTACATGATCCTGGCGGGGCAGTTCCTGAAGCAGCTGGTGGAGGACCACACGTCAATTGACAAGCGCGTATGGATTGTGATCCTGGCAGTGGTGATGTGGGTTCCGGTTGCGCTGTTCAAGTTCCTGACGGAGGCCACGATCCTGGCGCTGTTTGGGTTCCTGACCTCGTGCGTGGTGATTCTGGTGGGCACGATCCAGTCGCTGCGGTTCCCCGAGTACCCGCACTTCCACGACTCGGCGATCGGCAGCGGTGTGCCGGTGGCGCTCTCGTCGATTCTGTTTTCGTTTGCGGGCTCGGTAATTTACCCGCACGTCGAGGCGTCGATGAAGAAGCCGCGGCGCTGGCCGCTGGTCATCATGTGTGCGATGACAATCTGCGGCACAGCGTATCTTCTGATCGGCTGCGCCGGGTACTGGGCATATGGACGCAATGTGCAGTCGCCGCTGCTTGACTCAATCCCGCACGACAACGCAAACAAGGCCACGGTCGGCCTGGTAATGATCCATGTGATTATGGCGGGTCCGATCCTGATGTTCTCGTTCTTTGTGGAGATCGAGAAGAAGTACCGGATCCAGGCGTCGCACATGGGCAAGAAGAAGGAGCTGATTGTGCGTATTGCGTACCGGACCATCACGGTCGCGGTGGTGTGCGCGGTCGCGGTCGCCCTGCCGTTCTTTAGCTCGATTCTGTCGCTTATTGGCGCGCTGTCGTGCGGCATGATCCTGGCGGTGCTGCCGGTGGTGGTGTATCTGAAGCTGTACGGATGGCGCTCGGTTCCCTGGTACGAGCTGATCTGGATGTTCGTTGTGGTTGCTATCGGCTTGATTGCATGCGTCTGGGGAAGCATTGACGCGATCCAGTCGCTTATAAAGGATGTCAACAACCAGTAAGCCCCCACCTCACTGCGGGTAACCCTTTACATAGCTCATACATTTCCTCGTTACTTCTACCAATGCATATACCACTATTTATTCAAACTGCTTTTCCTTAAAATTTTTCTGGGCAGCCTCGCTAGTGAACAGGGGCAGCCATAAATCGTGATCCGCAGATGCTGCGTTGATTAAAAATTTCATGCGGCTTTTTTCTGCTTTGTTTGAAGAGACAGCTTGAATGTCGGTGCTGGCAGCTGGTTACAGATCATCTCTCGTTTTTTCATCTACTTGTCTTCTCACAAGAGCCTGTGTTAATGATAGACCGTCTTCCGGACAGCGTAATAGTGCAGATACTGCAGTATCTCCGATCGTGGGACTATGCGCAGGACGACTTGAGGACGCTTTCGCAGGTGAGTCGGCGGCTCCGGCCGCTGGCGCTGGCGCGCGTGTGGGAGTACTTTGCAATCACCGACATCGTAATATCGGGACGGTTTTCGCAGTTTCAAGCGATCCAGCCGTACCTTTCACGCCTACTGATCGCCGACGACAGCGAAATCACCGACCTGCAATGGCTAACGGCAGTGGACAAGCTCTCGCAGATGTCGTGGTCGCATATCAAAATGTTCTCGGTCGAGTTCACCGGCTTGCACCGGGAGAGCCTCGAATGCACGGAGCGGATCCTAGATTTCCTGCATGGGCAGCTATGGGCGGCAACGGAGATCTGGGTGGGGCTGGCCGACGACCACGCGCTGATGCAGCGGTTTTTCGCGCAGCCGTATGTCCATGTCAATGAGCTGCGGATCATCGGCAAGCTGGGGGACGGCGTGCCAGTGCAGACGGGGATGCCGCAGATTGCCTTGCCGCAGTACGGGGCGCTGAGCGTCGTGTATTTGGATGGGCCAGCAGCACAGATCACGTCAGTGGCAGAACTCGTGCGGCGATCGAGCCAGACGTTGACGGACCTGAATATCGGCGAGTACTCAGTGGGGCTGGCCGACACGCTGGGCATACGGCCGCCGTACGCCGTGGAGTACCCGCAGTTGACGCGGCTGGCAATTTCAAACAGCGACGACAAGTCAGCCGATCTGATTGATGGGCATGCGTTCCCAAGGCTCCAGTCGCTGTACTTTAGCGAGTCCGTGTACCCGTCGAATAGCGGACACAACACGGTGTCTGAATTTGCGGGTGCGCGGCTAACATCTGGGACATGGGGCAGCCTGCAGTATCTGGCAGTGGACGGGCTGTCACAGGGCGATGTGGCGGGGCTGGGACAGAGGATACCTGGGCTACTAGCACTCAGTGTGGGTGCGCTCGGCAGTGACGTGGGTCTGGCTGACAGCGACGTGCCGGCGCCGCCGCTGGACCTGCATGCCACCGGGCAAATCATTTCCACGTGTGCGAATTTGCGCGACCTGCGCATCGAGGTGCCAGAGGCCTACGAGGACATGTACAATAACAACCACGACGCCGGGTTTCCGGCAGCACCGCGACCATTTGCACCCTCAGTGCAGATCATCAATGAGCCGCAATATGAGCTGCTGCACCTGGCGCTGAACACATACGCGCTGACGTTCGACCAGCTGACGCAGTTGCTGGCGTGTCTACCGAACCTGGCGTCGTTCGAGGGCAACGTTCAGTTTACGAGCCGATTCCCGTGCACTCCTGGAGAAGCCGCACAGGCTGGCGCAGCTGAGCATTGCACACAGCACGCTGCCGAAATACAAGCACACGTTTAAGAGCAACCTGCTCAAATTCCTGGCGCAGTTTGCAGAGTTGCGCACGCTGGAGGTGTATGGCGAGCTGGAGATTGCGGGGCTGGAGATGGCATTGCAGCATGTGCTGCCCAAGTGCCAGGTTGGCGTGTTCCCGCTGATTCCGAGCTGGCTGCTGGATTATATGGAAGAGTCGGACGAAGGGTCCGAGCGGTGATGGGCAATGAGCGACGCCTGTCGTCTGAGTGCCCCTGTCCGATACTGCGTAGGTCGGCTTGCCGGCCAGCCCGGAAGTGGTGGGGTCGGCATACAATCACCTGACTATCTGGCCTGACAAATCGCCCCTGGCTCATCGTAAACAAAAACGAATCCTGCAAAGCTCTCTCTATCCCCTTTGTATTAAAGCCTCTACTTTTTCCACCTATAATGTTTACACAGAGACTGCTGAGCGGTGGTGTGTGCCGCCGGCTGTTTGGCCGCCGGCTCTACTCTGGCGCAGCAGACCCGCTGATTGCCAAAATCGACCCGTCGCGAGTCAGCTCGGCAGCGACCGGCAACTGGCTGCTGTTCACCTCGGGCCTGTCGCTGGCGTAATAACCGCAAACAGCCTGGTGCGCACCCGTGATGCGACCCTGGTGGCCCCCTCAGTGCTGACCTTCCGCATACCGCGCTCCGAAGAGCAGTGGACGAAAAAGTACCTGGAATACGCACAGACCGGAAACTTCCGCACGCAGCACGCGCAGATATCCATGGACGAGTTTAAGCAAAAGTACTGGGCAGTCATGATCTCCCGCAGCCTGACAATGTGCCTGGCCGCTGGGTATTTTGTGCCCCTGGTGTTTCTGCTGCGTGGCCGCCATGTTGCGCGCAAGGAGTATGGACGGATCGCAGCTAATGGCACGCTGGTCCTTGGGTATGCTGCGGCTAGCGCCCAAGTGCAGAGGTCGGGGGATAGCGGACTCTGGCGCGCCCTCGGTCGGCTGGCAGCTGGGGCAGGTGACGCTTGGGTATTTTCTGTTCTCCGACATGCTAATCTACGGGCTAGGTGTCTTGCGCACCCGCCGTCTGCTCTCCGGCCAGCTCCTGCGCTCATCGCATTTCCGCCAGGTCTTCGAGCGGCCAGAGGTGCGGACAGGCGCGCCTTTACGCCGTCCTGGTCGAGCACGGCATCGTGTGCGCTGGCATGGCTGGCGTCTTCATGGCCAGCACCAATGCTGGCCAGTTCTACCCGGACTGGCCGCTGACCGGCCAAAACGCCCTGTCCTGGGACGACCTCATTGCGTCTGGTCTGCGGGTGTGGGAGAACCCGGCTGCAGTCACCCTAGTCCATCGCTTGCTTGGCGAGGGCACCGGCGTGTTGGCGGTGGCGACGTGGATAAAGTTCATGCGCCTCAGGCAGGTGCTGCCTGGGTCGGCGATGGTGTTTGTCCATGCCATGCTTGGTATGACTGTGGCGCAGATTGCTCTGGGTGTTACGGCGCTGTGGACCACCGTCCATCCGCATGTGTCGCTAGTGCACGAGACCAACTCGTACTTGCTGCTGGCTGCCACCATCCTAGTGATGAACAGCACCAAGCGCCTGCCGCCGAACCAGCACCTCAGTAAACTGATCAAGTCTCTCAGTCTGCCGAAATGAATTCAGGAAATAGCAATGCACGGTGGGGCTGCAAGCAGTGCACGCATTAGCAAGCATAATCGCTTTGTCTGGAGATATCCGGAAATGGCAGATCGCACAGTGCATTTCCGATTTCCAGATCAGGGGCTGCAGGCTCCACAAACCAGCCATGCACTGTAATTCTATTAGCTCACCTTCTACAGCGCACCCGGCAGCTTGGTTCTATCGAAATTACAGAGCGTTTTCTTTAAAGCATTGGAAGCAACGAGAGAAGGTGGAGTGCAGAATGTATGCTGAAACTACTTTTTGGGGGGGGGTGCCACTTTTCACGAAATGAGCGAGGCAATCCGCATCCGCATGCTGGTGGGCAGCGGCGACATGTGCATGGATGCGTACACCACAGGCAGCGTGTAGGCGCAGAACTCGCGCGGGCCCATGTCCATGTCCTTCATCAGCAGAGTCAGGATGTGGTTGCTCTCCCACGGCGAGTTCTCGACATAGGCGGTCATTCCCTTGATGGTGTTTTTTGGGTCAATGAACAGCTTGACCACGCTTGTGAAGACGAGCAGGGCTCCAGACCAGTGCTTCAGCGTGAGGAGCTGGCGCAGCAGGCGGGCAAGTCTACGCAAGGCGTCCCTCTTTGTGTCAACGTCCTGGGAGGAGAGGCGGGAAGACTGGATCGAGATCACGTACTCCATGGCGAATACCATCCAGATGCCGATTCGGTCGAGTGGGAAGCCGACCATGTTACCGAGCGTGAAAATGTCTTGCAGGTTGCGGGCAGAGTCGAGGCACACATACCGGCTCTGGTGGAACACCAAGGCATCGTGCATTGGATCATCGGAAATGTACCTGTGGTCCTTGGGAACCCGCGGCAGTGCTGATGCCGACAGGATTCCACTTTCGATTATTCCATGCAGGGACCTATTCTCTTCGCGGTGCAGGAACGCCAGGGCAATGCGGTGTGTGCGCAGACGCATCGACTCGTATATAATGTGGAGGATCAGCAGCCAAGAGTCCCCGGCATCTACCGAATTCTGGTAGTACATGTGGTATCCGACATTGCGCACGTCCGGGGGTCCATTCGGGAGCGGGCTCGGCGAGTACTGGCGCCTGCGGAGATGTGAGTAGTTGCCGTCGAGCGGCACGCGGTCGTGGAATTTCACTTTGTTGATTTCTGCGCCCATGTTGCGGATTTTCTCCATCTGCACATCCCATTCCTGTGGCCAACTGGCACGGAAAGCCGCCACGCGCTTGTCCCAGGCCTTCAGCGCCTCAAAGTACTGGTCGGCAGAGCCCCTTTTCTCCAGCAAGTCAATGTACAGGTTGTGCATATGCGTGCTCAGCACTCCACACTGCCAGGTGGTGGCTGCGTACGAGAACCCAGATTGGTGCGCGCACGACGCCGGCGGGAATTCGACACAGTCGACGGGCGTCAGCCCGATGGTAGCAGTGGAATTGGCTGCGTAGTGGCAAAGGTCGTGCCTTGGATAATCGGGCATTTGTAGCAAGTTTGTGTGCCTGAACCGCTTAGTCAGCGCCTGTGCCGCAGTAAATGTTCTCATCCAGACGCTCCAGAAGCACGAGATCACATACTCGTACTCGACATCGCAGCTCCCCTGCTGTGCACCGCGCCACGGATACATGGTGCCCCTGAGCACAATGCGCTTGACCAGGGCCAAAGCATTCTCTGCCATCTCCAGCATTGTCGGGTACCTGCCCGACTGGTAGCCGTATTCACTGAGCAGCAGCATTGCGTACGAGGACCCGACTGTCGGCACAACACGGCCGCCGTCAAACTCCTGCAGCGCCTTCTCATAGCACACCGGCTCAAGCGACGGACTAACTCCCTGCAGGTCCGGCCGGCTTGAGAGCTGTGCCTCATGCGCTGCAATAGCCAGGTGCGCGAAACAGCACAAAGTCGCTGATATTGCCTTGCTCCAGCGTAGTCCAGAATTGCCGTGTGCGGATCTTCATCGACGAGTCAACAAACGACACTCGCAGCATTTCGTGCAGAATCCCTCGGCGACTCTGCAATACCGTGTCGCCGCACAAGATCCACCAGCGCAAATGGTACACCCATGGGCGGCGTCACCTGCAGTAGTGTCCAGAGTCAGGAATCGACGGGCTCAAGTACCGGCTATCTGGGATCCCATACGGATTAGTGCAGTTGGCAGCCATGTTCTTTGGGTCCAGCAGATCGAGGTTTGGTGGCAGCATTGGCTCGCAGTTTGCATGCCCGATGAGCGCAAACATCTGCTTCAGTGTCGACTCGGGGATGGTCTGCGAGAAGTCTGGCAGATCACACGTCTTCAGAATTTCCACCGGGTCGATCGACGGGCCAGCCGGCTGATCTTCCCCGACGCCGGGTGTCAGCAGAATCCCCGAGTCTGGCGACACGCTGCTCATGGTGGATGGCGTCAGCGCCGGCACGCTGAACAGCATCGGTGTTTGGTCCATCAGCGGACGGGCTCGTTTAGCCAGTGGGCTGCCGTCCAGTGAGGACAGCCCAGGTGATCCGTCTGAGGACTGCTGCGGAGAGACCGCGCCCCCCGGTGTGTCAGCTGTATTGGCGGCGGCAGCGGCTTGTGGGAACCGCTTGCGGAACCGCCCGGACTGCCGATACTTGCATTCAGCGTTGTGGGCAGCACATCGCCCGCATACGGGCTGCTCGCCATCGCACCGCTGCTTGCGACGCCGACACCGCTCGCAAGATCGGAGCAGCGGTATTTTCCGTTCTACCAGTGCTTTCTTTCCATGCATAGTGTGTGTGTAAGTGTGCGCCTGCAAAGGGGGTAAAGTTGGGGCTGAGGTCGGAATTCAGAAAGCTCCAGAAAAATAACGTGGGTTGAAGAATACTCTAGGGAATAAGCCGATATTGGACGAAGGGAGAAAAAGTATAATGGAGGAAAGAAAGAAGAGAAAAAGGATTTCCTAAGCGACACTCTCCAGCTATCCCCAGTGGTCGGCGGGTGATAGGGCGCCAAGTCAGCGCGCACTTCCGTCCGGGCACCGCTGACAAAAAAAGGGCTGCTGCTTGTTTTCTCGGGTGATAAAGCTAGCTCGGAGAACCGGCACACTCTGGTGGCAAGCAAATAAACGAGCACTGTGATTTTTCTGGGTCTTCACCGCGCTCCCCAAAAGGTGGTCTGCAAGCGAAAAATAAAAAATCATCCCACCCGTATCTGTGCCCAGGCTGCCGCCATCCCACGTCTGCCTGCTCACTCGCTGTTGGTGGCCGTGGACACAGCTGGCCACAGATTCTTCCAAAGCACGGCGTGGCCAGCCTTGCAGCGGCTGATTTGAATTTGGGGCAAAAGCGCTCATTGTCTTGCTGCTGCTGCTCGCTTCGGGCATGGCCACTGCCGTCACCTAATCATCCCTCTCCTGGTGCTCCGGATTTCCGCTCTTCCTCTGTCCACTGCCACAGCTCCAAACTCTGGCATCGGAAGCCCTATGGCTCCATTGTCAGGCCAGTTTTTCTGGAGCCAACATTGTGCTTCCTCTGGCTGCCTTGACTGGCACTGCTTCCTGTGGCGGCGAAGTGGGCTTGCTGTGCCAGTGGGGCGCAGGACAGGCCGGAGTGTGGACTGATTTCTCTGTCGGGTCCCGCGAGGAGAGCAGGTCAATCGCATGTCTTACTCAATTCTTCCTGCCATTTGGAAAAACCCTTTTGTCAACCAACCACACCATGCAAAAAATTAGCAGCGTGACGATCCCTCGATCTGAATTCTGCCGCTTACAGGTTGGTTGCAATAAATGCTGCTGGTTTTTTGGTCTGTACCTGCGCTCTCCATGTCCCTCTCCATGCTCTTGCCGCGTGCAGTGATTTCTGCTCTTATTGCATGAGGCATGCCTGTTTGTGACAGGCAAGCTGTCAAAAATCATCCATTGTGCCAATAATCGGCGTCCCCACGCCAAGGTCCCGATGTCCGCATCCACGAATACTGTTGGTCGGGCACCGACAGGTGGAGGGCGGAGTCTTGGCTCTGTTGCTATCCTCCTGCCACACTTCTGCTGATCACCAGAGATACTCCGCAACACATATTTCCGCAAAAAGCCAATGCCACTTGGCGACTGCGGCATCCCGACTAGCACCACTCTAGTGCCACGTTCGCCCAGTGCTCCTGTGATCCATGGCCCAGTCTGCGTTGTCTGTGGGACCTGCACTGGGCTGTTACTGGGCTCTGGCAATGAGCCACTGAGGAAGATTGCAAATCTGCTGATTATTCAGCACCGCCTGTCCCAGGATCGAGTCTGCATACAAGAAGCAAAGCTGGGCAAGAATCTGCCCACACCTAGGAATGCCCAATTTCCCCCTCCAAAGCGCATGCAGGCTGAGCCGAGATGCAGTTCTCTTAGGTGTACCCGCTTCCTCGTGCAGCACACTAGCATTGCAGATGGCCTCCTCATGCTGCAGCTGCAGGACTGGCCGCCAGCCAATAACGCCGTTTCGGATCAACGAAGTGTATGTCCTTGCACATTATCTTTCGCAAAACGGAGGAGATGGCTGCTGACCCAGGTCAAGGTCCACGAGGCTCGAGTGAACATAGCGTATTGTAAAACTGTCACTGACGACTGCATGGCTTACTACAGCGATCCACTCTGCATACCACCTATTTTCTCCGCCCTCCCTTCTATTTTGATACTGGGACAGGACACGCTTTACCCCTGGCCACCTCCAGTGATGTTCCTCGCTACTCCACAAGTGCAAGGCATTGATTATTTTCAGTAGCGGGTATATGTATTATCGCATAAGCGTGTCAAGGGATTACCGTCAAATAGGCCCTATGAGTAGGTCGTCTATCGCTATCCACTAGGGTAACCATGCGTGATTCATGGGCCCACATACCATACAGGCCGTGCAGTGAACACGTACCAGTCATAGTAGTGACGTTATTCATCGTCATTGCCCGGTCAGCAAGGGTGATGAAACCAATGGGCATGTCGCCGTCTTCGCTAGTACATATAATCCCACTCCTGGCAGATGTCTGACGCCTGCCGCACTGCAGCTTCACTTGCACCATGCACCGTTCAAACAGCGACAGCCTGGCTTCTAGGGAACAAGCGGAGTCAGTCGTGTCGCCCATTTGTGCCAGCAACGGCGCCGCCCACTTTTCAAAAGTCATAAATGCCGATCGGGGTTGCCTCAGCATATTCCTAATAATTGCAGCCATCTGCTTGCCAGTGGCCAGCCATATCCGGGGTGAAGAAGGGGCCGGTGCCTTGCTTGCCTTTGGAACCGCCATTGTCTGGATTACGTACGTTTTTCCTTGGGTTTCGCTTTGACAACCAGCAATACAATAAATGACAAGGCAAGCAAAATGGGCTGTGGAGAGGGAGAAGAAGAGCGCATGCAGTAGCTCTTCATACAGCGACTATAGCTGGATATTATATAGCCCTTGCTGTTGCTGACCATAGGTGATGGGCACTCACAGTCACCGATAAGGGTGCGTGTGTGGCAATCTTTGGGAACAAAATAAACAGACTGCGAACAGCCGCACTTGCGAGTAATTGCAAGAGATACTTGAACAATCTACCTCAACGACTTCGATAAGCATCAGTGGTAACAATGTTGGGGAATGTACCAACAGTCATATTCGGTTCAACCGATGGCGGTTGCAGAGCAGTGCTGGTTTGCCTAGCATGAATCAAGAGGAGCGGCAGACTGGAATGGTCCAGATTTTACATATTCTATAAGCTGGTGGGGTTAGCCGCCAGGAAGTTGGAGCTAGACATCTGATATCTCATTACTAGAAATGCTCTGCTCGCGATGCGAGCTCGGCTGCTAGTCAGCATGATTTGACACGTCGATAAAAGCATCATGGCAAGCCGATCATTTGAACGTGTCGGATGGTTGTTGGTGCAATGGCGATCATGGACATCTCCCATCTTGATGGCCTGCTCAGTGCAGGCGCTTCAGCGCTGGTTCACTGCTGCTGCACGCCTCTTGCGCGGCCTCTTTGTTGCCGGAGTAGTGCCGGAAGCATCGGCAGCAATGGCCGTAGAACGACGGAACCGTTCAGGAATATTGCCTGAATCACAGAGTGACTGGAAGATGAGTCTGAAGTTTAGAACTGCTGCGAAATCGCGGTTCAAGAGCCGAGACGAATAGGCTCGCCTGTATTGTGCCATGGCCCGCTTACATGACTCGCCTGTACAGCGGAGAAGGCCATGGCACTTCACAGTTGGGTTCTTCGATCTCTGGTAGGGCCGCGGGTTGGGAACATGCCGGAATGTCTGCAGCGACTTTTCGCAGCAGAACGGGCACATCGACGATGTCCGGAATTCGTCGATCAGATAGACTCCAAAGCCATGGTGCTTGAACTTGTCGCGCCATCCCTTGCCACGAATCGGCGCATGGTGTCGGGCCATCGGCGCACTCCAATTACCCATGATCAGCACTGGATCTGGACTGAACTTGCTCCGGAGTTTTGCGGCAAGCCTGTGGTCTGCACAGGCCTGGTTCATGATGTTGTAGGTCTAAAGCACACGGTGGGTGGTGTAGGGCAAAAGAAAAATAAGAAACGAGTAGCGAAAGATACCTTATATATGAGTATGTGTGTAACTTTCGTGTAGCGCGGATTCTGAATAAACTGTCAAGCTATGGTATCTTAAACCCGAAATATGCGAGCTTTGTGAGCGTATCAGCAATAGAAGGTGTCAAAGTCAAGGAATATATATTGATGAAGAAAGCTAAAGAGAAGTAGGAAAGGAGAGGCGAGCGAAAAGGTTTTATACCATCGCTCAGGTGGCACAGTCAAAAAGAAGAAAAAACGAAAAAAAGAACAACAGGATAAAAACTATGTAGTTCACAGTAATCGGATCTTGAGATTCTAACATAAATATGATATCTAACTACATCACAGGAATCTACGCTCGACAGTTCTGACTTGTCCTTCCGGTTGACGAAATCCTCGGTAGACATGGCTGTCTTTGCCTTCAGATTGTGATAAATAAATAAATTGAACGAAAAAATCCCTTTTTCGCAAATGTTGCAGGGTCAAAGGCATCATCGTCAGCTAGTTGATGGAGCAATATCCATCATGCAAGCATGTATGTATGCTCTTTGATGATATTGACGCTGTGTACAAATTGCTCTAGCTGAGGCAACATAGAATCACGGAAGCCAATACCACCAAGTGATGTCTTTATGGCAGTAGTGCTGCGGGTAATATTCATTTGAGAAATTCAATAGGCAAAACAAGAAGAGAAATGATGCTGTTCAGTTTTGCATAATTCTTAGGGCTGTCAGCATCAATATAGTCTCTTAAATTAGCCTATGCAGACCATATTCATTGTAGCCCAAATACTACTAACATGTATTTATAAGACAAATCAATTTATAAAATAAACCCACAAATATTGCATGACTGCTAGAAGAGCCATATGGCCTTATTCAATAGTGTCGCGACCCTATTTAAAGGTCACAAGCTTCGTCTACTCGCCCAGGCACTAATCAATTGATAGGGACAGTTGATATTATTAAACAAGAAGAGATGATTCCTCCCGGGTCACTCCTGGAGTGATCCAGTGTCTATTTTATAGCCTTAACTATGTGGCCTCGCCTAGGGTGATGAATCAGTCTCATCATCTGTGATCGGCTGAGTCGCATAAGCATTGGCTTTGAGTGACTGTGGTGTGATCACCACATCATCCTCCTCTTTAAGAAGGGGTAGCCCTTTCCTGGTAACCATGGTCTTGGGTGGCATCGCTGTGGTCCACGTGCTCAAACGATCATGGTGCACCAGTTCCGCAACTCGGCATCCTTGTGGCGTCACAAGCTTATATGTGTTGAACGGAGCACGTTCCCACACCATATACGGGCCGAGCCATGGAGGGTCCAACTTCTTCTTGGCCATATTCTTCACCTTGACCCAATGTCCAACGTCATAGGGTTTCCCCGTTTTTGTCGCCTTAGAATAAACCTCATTCATTCTGTGTGCGGCGGCAAATTGACGTTCGCGAGCGATATGGCGGGTCGAATTGACCTTGCTCAAGCGGAGGACTTCTTGGGCATAGACATCACGGTTGTCCTTGTTGTTCCAAGAGACCGGTGGCATACTATCCAGTGGTAGCCTTGGTTCTTTTCCGAACAACATGAAGAACGGGGACAACTTCGTCACAGCATGCATTCGAACTCTTGTTGCCCACACCGCCTGGGGTAGATATTGATCCCAGCGGTGCTTGGCATAGAACGCAAGTTTCGATAGCATCTGGCCTACCACACCATTGGCACGTTCGGTCTTGCCATTGGTTTGTGGGTGGTAGGATGATGTCTTGAGGTGACGAACATGGTTGCGGCGAAGGTAAGCACTTGTGACCTCACTAAGGAATGCAGAGCCACGATCAGACAGGATCTCTACTGGGGCACCGTACTGGAGTGCGATCTCACAGTAGATGAAGTCGGCAACCGTTTCAGCTGTAGCATCCTTTGTAGCTTTAGCCACGATCCAGTTTGATGTGTGCTCGATCGCCAGTAAAATCCAAGCGTTTCCTGACAATGTGCGGGGCATAATGCCAATGAAATCAATGCCCCAGCGAACAAATAGCTCAGCCGGCGGCACTAGCGCATTCATCGGGGCCTTTGACTTGTCATCTCTGCCAGCAGTCGCTGCCTGACATACTGGACATTGGGCAATGATGTCTTCCACATATGAGCGCATATGAAGCCACCAATGCCACAGACGCATCAAGCCGTATACTGAGGATACACCTAGATGTGCGAAATCCAAGTGATAGGCCTGGACAAGCGCAATGCGTGCTCTTTCCCCCTCTACGATGGGAAGCCAGGTCCTATGCTTCTTGATAAGCAGCATGTTCTGCTTGGACAGTCGCAAGTTGGGCAATGCACGTTGTACTCGGTTGACCTCTGGCTCAGTCACCTGCTCCGGCGGTGGTTGCTTCAGTATCAGAGCTCGGGCTGTCAGCTCCCACTTCTCCACAGGTGTTAATTCCTGCTTCGTAGTGGCCACCAGTGTGGCGAGATCAAACCGACGGGATAAGGAGTCAGCAACCACGTTGGCCTGGCCCTTCAGGTATACGACCTTGGGTGCTACGCTCATCCAGCGCTCTAGCCAGCGGGCTATGCGACCATGGGGATTTTGCTCCGCGAAGACACCAATCAGGGACTGATGGTCAGTATAGACTGTAACCTTGTAACCGCGTACAATGTACTCCCAGGTTTCGAAAGCATAGACGATGCCTAGCATCTCGCGCTCTCGAGCCGAATAGTTACGTTCAGCTGGTCGTAAGGAGCGACTAGCAAATGCAACCGGGTGTAGGAAGTCGCCATAGGCCTGGGCTAGAACAGCCCCAATCGCGAAAGAGCTTGCATCGGACTCGATCACAAATGGGCGGTCCCAGTCCGGCGCCTTCAGCACGGGTGCTGCTGTCACAGCCTTTTTAAGGGCTGCAAAAGCCAGCCGTGCGTTGGCAGACCAGTTGACGTCATCCTTCATGGTCCGCTCGTGGGTCAGTTGGTAAAGCGGCGCAGCGATCGATGCAAATCCAGGTACAAAACGACGATAGTATGAGCAAAGGCCCAGGAATGACAGTACGTCGCATGCTGTATTCGGCAATGGCCATTTCTCAACCGCTTCGAGCTTGTCCTGACAGGGCGTAATCCCACAGTCAGTCACCATATGGCCCAGAAACTGTACCGATTTGGCAGCGAAGGTACACTTTGATGGCTTCAGGTGCAGATCTGCCTTGCGCAGCGCCTCCAGGACCAATCGTACATGTTGTCTATGTGTCTCCATATCCACCGAGTATATCAGAATATCATCCAGATATACCAAGACAAACTTGTCGAGAAATGGCTGAAGTACAATGTTCATCAACCGTTGGAATGTCGATGGAGCATTGCACAAACCAAATGGCATCACCAAGAATTCATACGCACCATAGCGCGTGGTGAATGCCATCTTCTCGATGTCGTCGTTGGCCATTCTGATCTGATGATACCCTGATCGGAGGTCCAGCGAAGAGAACACACGTGCAGTACCAATCTGGTCCAGACAATCGTCGACCCGTGGTAACGGATACTTGTCCTTGATCGTCCGCTTGTTCAATAAACGGTAGTCGACACACATGCGGGTAGAGCCATCCTTTTTTCCAACGAGGATTATTGGATGAGCCCATGGTGACGATGACGGGCGAATCAAGCCTTGTGCTAACATGTCGTCGAGCTGTGCCTTCAATTCCGACAATTGCTTCCGGCCCATGCGATACGACGCAAGCGCATGCGGTGGGCCATCCTCTAGCCGAATAGAATGCTCGACTGACCGGTGAGGTGGCAGTTCTATCACTGGCGCGAATAGTGACTCGAACTCTTATATCGTCTGCTCAAGTTCTCGATCCTGGCAGACCACCTCTACGCCATTTGGGTTTGCTGGTTGGCGTAACAGCACAACCCATGCGTCCAATATTTTCCGGTCCCGAACCATACGGTGTAAGCCATTCAGGCTAATCACTGATTCCGGTACCGCCGTAGTAACCGTGATCTCTGAGCGTGAGCCATTGTGTTCTAGAATCCACTGGTTAGACTGGTAATCGGGAGTTAACCGGTTTTCCAACCACCAGTCGTAGCCAAGTATGATGTCTGTTCGATTCAACGGCAGCACAAATGCCGTAACCGGAACACATAATGCACCCACCACGAGGTCAAAGTGCACCGAGACTGAGATCTGGCGCACCGAACCGTCAGCCAAAGCAGCTGAATATCCAGACTCCTGGACTGTTTTAAGGCCCAAGTCTGATACTAGCTTTCGGCTGACAAATGAAGTAGTGGCACCCGAGTCCAGCAACGCTCTGACTGGGCGCCCGAGAACCGTGCCAATGAGCTGTGGTCTAGGGGGTTATACAGAGACACTTATCTGCCCATTAACTATTTATGCATGCTGGAACTATTAGCAATTTCAGTGAAATAAAAATTTCACCCAAACCGCCATCGGCATCTTGGAAAAGTTTCAGTGAACATAATTTCCTTGTGGTTGCTTAGCCACATCTATTGAGATATTGACTTTTGTTGCCCAATGATAATTAACCCCAAATATGCAAAGTTTTTCTTTCTGGTTGAAATTATGTTCACTGAAACTTTTCCAAGATGCCGATGGCGGTTTGGGTGAAATGGCAAAAAAAAATATTTGTATTTTTAAAATCAATTATACACACAAAAACATTCTGGACACAATAACAAATAATAACTATAGAAAAAATAATTAGTAGCAAAAAATAGTTCTGAAAACGATTATTCAAATATCTATCTAACAAAATTGCAAATAACTAAAATTTACAAGTCCAGGAATGACCCCCCTAGTTCCTGACCCGATCTGCAGTGAGGATAACTGCACGATCTTCACCTTTTTTGTCGGTTTATCATCAATCAATGACTTACACCGACGTTTTGGGCTACTGGCATCCGATTCATCCCAAGGCTGATCCAAATGTGACCAGTCTTGGAAGGCATCGACAAACACATCGTCGCTGGTGACTGATCCTCCAGGATCAAATGTAGTGTCATCAACATGTTCGTCGAGATCATCTGCGGGTGACCTGCCTTCCCCCTCTGGCTCGCGAGAGTCAAAGTTCAGGGCTGGCAGTTCTGGTGTGGGCAACAGCGAATCCGTCACTGCTGCCCTGCACCTTTTCCCCGGCTTCTTGGTGCAGTTCTGCGAAACATGACCAGGATCACCGCAAGCAAAGCAACGGCGTTGTGCACGTAGCCATTGCTTACATGTGGGGTGGTCCTTGGCCAAGGGTACCGAGATGGAACCGACCTTGATCCAAATGATCGAGCTACCCTTCGTGTATACCGCAGAAACTTCCATTGGTTCTGGTTGAGCTGGCAGACTGGATACGCCAGTTGCTGCTGGCTGCAACCCCGTAGCCTCTGCTACTGTCTGTTCTAACACATCGGCATTGTTGACTAGCCGTAGTGCTTCTACAAACTCAGTAGGCGCTTTCCGAACCAGCGCTTTATAGAGACTAGGATTCAGCCCATGCAGGAAATACGAAATTCGCTCAATGTCTGCGATATCGCTGCCGCCTACGATTTCTGCTTCCGCCGCGATATATTGCTGTAGAGTTTTACCCCGCTGGTTCAGCTCAATCAAGCGGTGTCGGAAGACATACAGGTGGTCAGGACGCGAAAGCATTGAGTTTGAATTCTGCAATGAAGAACGCCGGTGTGGCCATGATCAAAGCCTGCCGCCCCGGGTGTCGGCTTAAGTGCGCGTCGATCATCGTCTTGGCCTGTCCGACTACTGCATTTCGTAAGTACAACGCCTTTTGAGGCAACGTGCCAGATTGCATTGTGTCCATGTACGCTGACCATTTATCTCCCCAATTCTTAAAGGTAACATTCGACGTCACCATGTCGTATGGTTCAATATTCGGTGCTTCGTTGGCATGGACTGTCACTGCTCCTGGTTGGTTCTGGCTGTCCATCCTCTGCTGGATATAGCCCACGAGACGATCGCCCAGGACAGGATGCTCGTTCAGCAGCTGCAGGAGTTGGTTGAACTGGGCCTCCTGCTGCTCAGAGGTCGGGTTAGCGTTGTTGTTCATGGTGCTGAAAAATGGAGTGGACGTAGACGATAGTTCTGAGGACAGAATAAGGGACTTGGGTGATGCTACCAATGTCGCGACCCTATTTAAAGGTCACGAGCTTCGTCTACTCGCCCAGGCACTAATCAATTGATAGGGACAGTTGATATTATTAAACAAGAAGAGATGATTCCTCCCAGGTCACTCCTGGAGTGATCCGGTGTCTATTTTATAGCCTTAACTATGTGGCCTCGCCTAGGGTGATGAATCAGTCTCATCATCTGTGATCGGCTGAGTCGCATAAGCATTGGCTTTGAGTGACTGTGGTGTGATCACCACAATAGGTGCTCATAAATAAATATCCTAAGAGTGTTGCGCAGTCGGTGATGACCACCATGATGACGCCATGGAAGTTATCAGGCCAACCGACAATGAGAGCAGCTCTTGCACTGAACCAATGGAGATATCTAGTAGAGACCTGTGACCACTACAATACCAGCTCGTCACCCTGGTTTCACCGATGAGATCAAATGCCACACAGGATCAAAAGGAGTTTACAGAGCAAGTCACCCAAATTCGCGCTGAAGCTTAAAAGAGCTTTACTTTTTTTTACTACTATACAAGAATTTATAGTCCAAAAGTGTCCGACTGTCCACTAGAATCATTTTATTTGGTTAAGTAAAAGAAATAAAGAGTTCTGTATATTGGATATGAATACTACATACCCTATTCTTCAGCCTGGCCTGCTCTCATCTTTGGGTGTGTTGGATGCAACCATTCCTGTTATTATTCATGTTTTATTTACCGGCTGGTCAAGGGGAAGCAGACCTACAGCAGCAAGCAGCGGCTACAGGCTGCTAGAGGGCCTGATATACAGGATACTCTGGGCCAGCTGGCCACAACTAGTCCACATGACAAAATTGCTGAGCAGTTTCGGGTGGAGAAAGCGCGGGTTGATGACAGTAAGTGGGGCTTGTTACCGGAAACGACCCATACCAATATTATCTAGAGGCACCTAGTAATGGGGTCAAAGCATGCTGGCGATGCTGAGGAACGCTTGGGAGTCGAAACAAGGTGCCAACTGGGCCGAGATGTGCCTTGACAAACCAAAGGTGTGCATGGAAAAGGTACAAGAGTTTCTCAGCATTGAAAGCAAAAATGCCCAGCTGACAAAGCCGTGCCGGATGGTCGATAAAACGGCTGATAAGCATGCTTAGAAACTTGTATATAGAGTACTGGAACATTGGAACGAAAAGTATGCATATAAAAGTAAGAGCGCTGGATACTTTGAGCATAGAAAAATTAACGACAAAGCTAATAAGGAACAAAAAGTGAGCGTTGAGAGAGGTTTAGCGCGTTTAGGGAACCGACATGCTATGCCAAGGCTGACAAGCTTTATTAGTTAGGTCATACTGCTAAACCGACCTACGTGCACCTGCTGGATACCGGACACCATTATTAGCTACCTTTCAACAAAAAGTTAAAAATTGCATCAGACAAACAAAATGCCTAGTGCAATCGAGGATAAAAGATATTGACCGACTGCTCCTCAGACTCCAACGCTTCTCCTCTCAACTCTCCTTTGTCTTTGCTATTCCATGCCTATATCTAACTGTGGCCTGTAAATCGAGGCGGCTGGTGAAGAGGGAGCTAGTTTGAAGAATGGCCAATTGTGGCTGAGATGGGATCGGGGCAATAATGCAACCAGCGCAGCAAAAGTCATATTAGCTGTTGTAATTTGCTGTGGTAAGCACTGATGAGTGGAGAACTTGCATCCAACATCCTCATTCTGCACGTGGGCTTACAAAAGCGTTTCCAGCCATGACAAGACTGTGTTACAGGTCACCTTTGAGACTGGCAAATAGCTACACGGGTCTCGTACATAACAGCTCTGACGATCGAGTTGCGGAATCCCAGAAAACCCATGCAGGTATCGCACTGGCGCAGAAAACGCTCAGCGAGTAAAAGCATGTTTTTGTAACCAGTACTAAAATAAGAAAGGGAGAGCGTCTGCAAATCTGCAAGCCTTAGCCGTAAGCACTGGTACCCTTCACAATCTATACGGAACCCCGCTGCCTGGAACAAATATAAACCGAGGAATCGATGCATGGGCCTTTCCTATCAAGAATCATCCGTACCAAATGTTTATGGCAAATAGTCCGTTTTGGAAAGTAGAGCACTGCCAATGGCTCTGGCCACTTACAGGAGTATTGATGCTCAAAGACAGACAAAAAGTTTGGCTTAAATGTTACTATCCATAACAATCGTATTGCATTTGGATTTGTGAAGAATAAGCTGAAATTGTGATACATGCTCAATAGCCTGTCTTTTATCTGTACTCTATTTGCTTAACCCCCGCACCACATCTATCTATCATGTCGAACAAAACAACTGAAGGCATATGCAGCAGCGTTGTTAAGCGGGCGATTGCATTGGAGCAAGAACAGCGGGATAGGTACTGGCGCACAAACGCAGACGTAGTACAGCTCGAGAGACAGTTACAGGAGTTTTCCAATTCGGCAAATGAGCACCTTAACCCGACGTTGGTGAACGAGAAAACAAATATAGAGCCCATGCCAGTGTTGAGGACAGCTCTGCCATGCGTAGACAGGGACGGCAGACGTGAGCTGCTGTGTGACCAGACATTAACTATTGCTACCCAGGATGGCTCTCGTTCCGACGCCGAACCAGTTCGTGTGGCACACGCGGTTCCAGAAGATACCGGGAATGATATGGCGCTCGAACTCGATATGGCGTTTACACCACTGACGCAAATTGGCGCAACAACCCTGTACATGCAGTAGACGCCTGCTTATAAACACGCTTATTTATTGTTACCATGGTATCACGGAACATAGACCTCGTATAAACTGCGAGAAAGCCAGTGGCTGAGTATGAGAATGCAGACAGCTCGCAATCCAGTTGACTGGGGGCTAGCACCTATCTCCGTAAGATGCTCCGGGCTTACATGACCCACGGTGTAGCATTACACTAGCAGTGTGAGGAAAAAACGATCGTCGCCAATGGCAAATAGTGATCGCCAAGGTCCTCATATATGCGCAATTGTACAAGCGGGCGCTTGTAAGAGCAACTTCGCACCTTTTATGGCAATTGCACTTTTACTTCAAAAGCCGATTGATTCATTCGGTAGATGAGGGCTACAGCTTACAGCTCATATATATAGCTGCCGATATCCCCCTCCCAAAGTCTACCAAGCTGTACATTTGGGGCACTATGCATTTTATTCCTTCCCTTTGTCTGTTTACGCTCATGTCCTATTTCACTTTTAAATATTATCTGTACGAAAGGAAAGAGGAGTCCCGGTTGTTAGAGACTGATTGCATTTACTGGCCAAAGTAGTCCCATCCACGGAGTTTGTCAGCGTCAGCTACAGCGCTCGAATCGCGCTTGCGGTGGGACCAATAGTCCCAACCACGCTGCATAGCAACCATGTTACGGACACCAGAATCACGCTTGCGCTGAGCCCAGTAATCCCATCCGCGATGCATAGCAACTGCGTCATCAGCGGAAGCGTCGCGCTTACGCTGTGCCCAGAACTCCAGGCCATAAGCCTTTGGCGCAACCCGATACGACAGCAGTAGGGACTCCCGAAGACGTGGTGGTGGCCCCTGCAGTAGGGAGGGATGCAACACACGGAGTAGTTGAGGCGAGAATAGCAGCAGTGGTGACGACGAAGTTGGTGAGGTTCATGGCTGAAGGTATTTCCGGACTAGTGGTGCAGCTAAACTTGCAAGAGGGATAGATATCGGGTGCGAGATATTCTGACAAGGTGAATAGCAGAGAGGTAAGGGTAGAAGTAGTTTTTGTTTGTTGGTGCCATCAGGACAGCTGCATCCTTGATCAAGCCCCTTTATATCTGTCATGGCCGGGGTGTTTTGCACGCGCTCCTTCAGTGACCTGGCCGTTGTGGATCTATAGCGGCTTGTTTTTCTCGCATGCCTGATGCTGGCACCCTCAATAGCTGTTCTACACCTGCGCTCTCCTCTCTCTGGGCGGCCAGTGCTGTGATCTGTATGCCGCCCCACTTGTGGTTTTGCGGCCCAACATACAGCCAGCTGATATCCTCCATGGGCTACCCTCGCTGGTGTCACGTTGATCTCGTAATAATTGCTTGCCGGACACTAGCTACGCCGTGTTCATGAATGGCTTTCTCACCAAAAAGACATGTATCAACGAGCGTTCAATGTTGTGCAATGATTATCGTGGGTGTATATCTAGGGAGTCGGTAAGTATACGAATGAACCCGAAAACGCCGACGATTGGTGTTCATTGGCAGGCAGCGGAGAGGATTGGCGCGCCCCTTTGCTTCCACACTGCTGTTCCGGGATGCACAGACACTGGCGCTATGAATTCATAATTGCGAGGTGAGTGATCCGCGCCTCATTCTCTCCTACTCGCCAGCCCCGCCTTTACGCTCACACATTCCACAGGCTTTGTATTGGTCAGATATTCACATTCTGGACGCCGATTGCCCATCAGTGATCAACTCGGAACACGCATTTTTGTCAGTACTCTTGCGGTATACACATAAAAATCGAAACAGAGGATTTGGCAGCCGTTCCGCAATACCGCAAGAACCTGAGTCACCGAGGTCTGCTGGCAAACAATCCAGTCCCCCTGTCCACAGTTCTGGGTTGTTGGCACTTATTGGGAGCTGTTCAAGGCATCGGCGTCATCAGTAGAGCGGATGGTATATTTGGCCACCAGGATGCCATTGACCACAGACGACGGTAAATAATTTTGTCGCATTCCAACTTCTTGGCCGCTTTACAGAGCGCTGGTCACCCAGGCATGCCCAATCTCTTGATCACTGTTCCTGCATAGAGTGAAGGTATGATGGGAGAATGCTCTCTGCACCATATCAAACACATAAGGACAGGGCTATACTTGTCTATATCCAGGCTGTCTTTTGAATAACATAATGTTTATTATGAACCACATGCACCTTGTTTATGCACGCAGTTTTAACCCCTGAATGTCTCTACAGCGGTCCCACATGTGGCGCCCAAAAGGCACACATCTTTGGATTCAGAACGTGTGACAACGCTTTACAAGTACTCATAGCGCTTGGGGACGAGGTATGACCGCCGTGCAAGTCGGCTAGCAGCGGCCTGGTTATGAGCGTCAACAGCCGCATTGATTCCTGTCTGAAGGCCTGTATCGATAAGCTCGATGGTCAGGTCCGGACCAAGCTCCTTGCCCCATTTGGAGACCTTCCCGCCACGCTGGTTCGCGTGGTTATACAGAGACTCAGCCAGTGTGTATCTAAGATCACTGTCTTCATCATCGTCGGCCACATTACGCCTGGCGAAAGAGGACTGGCTCTTGTTGATCGCATTGGATAGCAGCTTTCCGATAATTGCCTCGACAGCGTTCGGGGGCAAACTGATGATGTTGGGCATAGGCTTGAATGTCTTGCCAGGGTCATCCTCACGCTGTTTGATAGCATCATCAACCCCATCGACGGATCCAACCGCCCTGGCTCCCTCAAAAAGCTCATCGATAGGGGAGTCGGCGGAGTCGCCAGCTACAGGAGCATTAGAATCAGAGTCCGAGCCAGTGGGAGTTGGAGCTGCGTCAGTTGCCGTCGTCAGGGAAGGTGCGCTGTTGTCGGATGTGGCAGTAGGCGCAGTGCTAGTAACTTCAGAGGCCACTTCCACATCGCTGGGGTTGGGTTCGATGTCGATAGGGGCAGCGGCGGCCAGCGTCGCTAAGATGGTAAATGCAAGGGTAAAGGAAACGCGCATGGTAGGTGAAGATAAGAGTTAGCAGAGTTCTTGTGCTTGTTGATGAGTGCTTGCCGTGGGTAAGTTGTACAGATGGGAATGCCTGGATGATGTTTTCGCAATGCTGCTTATGTTTAGGACGCACCAGTACTGCCTGGATTTTATACCTGGCCATTGCCCTGTAGAGGTAAATGTCTACCATGCCATCCTCTCATTCAAAAGCAGCAGCTATCTCCAAGCCTGCGTTAGTTTTACTGGCACAGCTAAATTTCTCTGGAAAAGGAAAGCTAATTTTAGATGCTGCGCATTGGCGCACACTTGCAAAGGATACCCTTTGAGGAGACCGCATGTCGATCCCTATTTTCAGATCATGTGCGATTGAGGATATCAGCGAGGAACATTTGGCCAGCACTACCGCCATAGAAACTATTACAAAGGATAGTGATGGTGGTTTCCTCAGTTCAGTCATACACATGCAGTCGATAAAGGCTGCACACACGTCAAAGGGCGTGCTGTTCTAAATTAATCGCCAACTCACTTCTCAAAAAGACCACTTTTCTTTCAGATACTGTCATTGTCGCTGCAAAAAGTAGCAGTTGATGGCACCACATCTTGGCACAGCATCTAAAAATACCACGAAGCAAGCGCTTCCAAGAAGAGAATCGTCAACTTCTAGAAGCAGCGCTCGATGAGGAAACAGTTGGAGCATTGCAGTGTGCAGCAACAAATCAGAAACACGTCGTAGAGTGCAACATCAGCCGTGCAAGAGATGATCTTTGTAGAGACAACCCTTTCCAAAAGTGAGAGCAGATCATGTTTACAGTGAACTACCTAAAACAAGCTATCCTCTCCAAACGCTGCTAAGCGAGAGAGAGCCTACATCTCCCTGCGGTATCTGGCAAACACATCCGCGTACAGCATGACCATAACCTCCTCCTTGACCTCATCAAGAAGGACGAGTGACAGGTCCTTGGACTCCAGGCGGGTGCGTACACGCTCAATAATAACTAGCGGCAGGTTCAGGGCCATGTACGACTCCTCGTTGACATACATGGAGAAAATCGTGACCAGACGGTCCATGACTGGAACCGGGAACTGCGTGGTCGAGTCGAAGCTAGCACGAGGGAATGCAGCACGCACAGCACCCAGGATGCTGATGGTGGGGCTGGACTGCACACACTTCTTGATCGGGGTCGGGGGACGATTGCTGTCGTCGCTGTAAAAGCTAGTCTTGTCGAGCGGGTAGTGGACGTTGTAAATGTCGATTTCCTGGTACTCGTGCATGCGGCGCAGAGCCAGGATGGTTTGGATCTTTAGCTCCTGGTACTCGTCGAGGAAGGCTGTGAACTCGGAGCAGAAGCACGTGGCAGTGAACTCGCGGAACTTGCAGTACTCGGGCGGCGAATTGAGCATGTCGACAAATTCGCGCCGCATGTCCTCGACCTCGCTAACCACCATCTCAATTGGCAGTCGGCCGTGGCGCATGCGGATACGAATGACGTGGGCATTCTTCATGGCGCGCACCAGCGGTACCACGACAGCCGAGATATGCATCATCACGGTCGCGACCCAGACAAAGAACAGACCCGACCAGCGCGTGTGCAGGTCGCCGAGTGCCAGCTCCCAGATCAGGAACATCACCAGCCCAATCAGGCCAGTCGCCTCGCAGACGATCAGATCCACCTTGATTCCATACGCATCGTGCATTCTCCACACACGTGTGAGCAGGATCGGGTTAAGGAACAGGAGGTAGATTGCAATGATGACCATGACTGGGACCATGCCCCAGTACATTGGGCAGTCCGTGCTCATGGGCTTCAGCGAGTAGTCCTTGTTGGTGAGGTTGATTGTCAACGTAAGCACAATTGCAGCCAGCATCACCGCGCCGATGAAGATGGCCAGGGCCTTGTTTGACACAAACCTGTGCAGCTTCATATACCGATGCATTCTCTTGTAGACTGAATTCTGCAGCGGCGGCAGTGCTTTCATTTCGTGTACATCCAGGTCGCCTAGAAGCGGTTTCTCCGAGCTGATGCTATCGGCGGATGTGCGGTCGACCGAAGTGGAGCGGCGCAGCTGCCCGTAGAGCATGTGCGTCCTGGACACCACAATGAACTGCACAACGCGCGCAAACAGTGCGGTCATGCATAGGATGAAGCCAAGGTTAACCATCCACAGCCTGATAAAGCAGGGGACCTCTTTTAAAGCGGTGTGGGCCAGCGCAATGGTGCCGACCATGAACGCGCCGGCGGCCTGCAGCGTGACTAGCACGATCGAGCGCCTTGACAGATCGATGTTTTTTCTTGCCGATTGTATCAGGAACATTGCCATTGTGACGAGAACAAACACACCGTAGATCACACAAATAGCGGTAACAGCGCCGACGCGAATTTTGTAGCTGGAGCCACCAGCCTCCCAGGCAGGATTATCGGAAGCCATCTCTGGAATATGCAATGGGATAATGCGACTGTTGTGTATGTGTGATGAGAATAATGTAGCAAATGCAAAAAAAAAAGAAAGAAGTGTAGTTGATGCCGATGAAAATGCAAGTGGGATGAAAGTGGCTTTGCGAAATGGAGAGGCAGCTGAGAGAGGTTGAGGAGCATGGTGGAGATTATAAAGGCAGCGGTATTGAAGCGAATGGGCTTGGCAAGTCCTGATGGGCAGGGCTGAGGAGATCTGGGCAATTACAATAGTGGAGGGGCTGATATGCGGTGAAAGGCGCGCGCAGTGGGCTTGGCTCTTTGGGATATCTGCGCATACAAGGCATATACGCAAAACGGTCATTAGATGGGAGGTCTGCAAAAGGCGATCCTAGCCTCTTTGTAGGATTCTATTTTCTAGCTGGGCAATCCATTGTGGATCGCGTTTCCAAGAGCCAGGATACCGCTTGGCAGTGAGAGTGCAAACGCCGGCCGCCGTCAGCCAGCCCAACTTTTTCTCCTCGCTACTTTAGGAGACTCTTCTCGATATCACAGCGTTGGTGCAAAAATAGAAACGAGGAATTTATTTTTGTCGGGAAGACTTCTAGAAATGAACTTGGAGATAACACGAGTGAATGGACAGGCTTGGGGTGGATCCTGGGGTTTCTTTCTTTTGCTTACTGGACCAGGTGCAGGAGGACCGAGTACACCCAGTTGGCGCTCTGCTGGGTCGGGGTCTTGTTCTTGAAATAGGCCTTGAGCTGATCCTTCATGTTTTCGGCAGTCCTGTGCCACGTCTATGTCGTTGTCGGTCTTGCCAAGATGCTCGAAGAAGGTGTTGATGTTGGAGACCAGCGCCTCGTTGTTTGCGCTGCCCTTGATCAGCGGCAGGAAGGCCTTGGCCGCCTCGACATCGCGGCGCTGGAACCTGTGCGGGGCGGCAGTAGCAGCGGCAGCGATGGCGACAAGGACAAGGGTAAGACGCATTTTGCACTAAGTGGGCTTTTGGATTGGAAGAGTTCAGAAGGAAGGGAAGAAGCAGGCAGTTGTGTAGGAGATTTCAAGACGGGGGAGGAGCATGCGTTACAGAGACTCAAAACTGATTTTGGTAGTCAGGACCGACAGCAGCCTTCATATAGGTCAGCAGGCTGGCAGAGCAAAAAAATTGGTTAGCCAGGCGCAGAGTAGGGCGAAAGAAATGCGTAGGAACGAAATTGACCGAAATTACGTACGGATCGGTAGCGCGGGTGGATAATAAATTCCGAAACAGTAGTGAGAGACATGCGGAGAAGGTATTGCTGCTCGGCATGACCATGTTTTTTTCTTTCTTTCTGTGCTGTGCAATCAGAGTTATAAAACGGGACCATGTTTTTTTCTTTCTTTCTGTGCTGTGCAATCAGAGTTATAAAACGGACCATGTTGGTCAAAGCTAACTCCCCCCGAGCTGCGGAGTTACTCCGTTAGGTCCATTCGCATACATGAGGAGCATGATTTAGACAGGAACAGTCCCACACTGCATTCGGCAGCAGACATACATGTGGGGGCGAGCACAAGGAAAGCTGCTGTAAACTATAGCTCCGATAGGTCTGGAAAAGGGGTTCCTGTTCTCCCAAGAAAAGGGGTTTAGGGACAATTAGTTATCAACAGATATAATTGAAAATCGACTATCAGGAAGTACCAAGCTACGGAAAGCAGAATTAAGCCAAGGGTATTTAGGTGAGCAGGGGCGCCAGAACCGACTCGGCCCAGATAGCAGCCTGCTGGGCCGGGGCCTTGCTCTTGACATAGGCCTGGAGCTGGTCCTGGATTTTCTTAGCAGTGTCAGTAATTCTTTGCGACTTGTCGGGGTCATCGGAGCCGCCCAGGTTGGCAAAGAAGGTGTTGATATTGGACTCCAAGGTTCCGTAATCCTTGGAACCGGTAACCATCGGGAGCACAGCCTCGGCACTCTTGTCGTCACGGACAGTGAGCGGGGCAGCAAGAGCCAGGGCAGCAAGGGCAGTAAGAGCGAGTGCAAAGCGCATATTAATAGTGTATGTGAAAGGAAGAAAAAAGCTAACTGTCTGAACAAAGACAGAGGTGTCCTGGGTGGTGCTGGGTTCTTATATATGGTGGGCGTGGCTGGGCTAGATTCCCAGAGCCGCTCCTATTGCAGGCTTGGCTTCTTTTTCTTCAGCCAAGATGCTGCTTGGCCACTTGTATGGGCAATAGGGAGCAGCTGAAGGAATAAAGAATGTGGTGTCAAGATACAACAATATCCGGGAATGGTGTTTGAATACCGGTAGAGTGCGCAATTCGCATGTACGAGCGCCCTACATTCGGCATTTCGCGCAAGCTGTTTCCCAGCAGCGGTATGCAGGCTGTATGGTTGGAAAAAAAAAGCAAATACAAGCCTGAATGGGGCATCTGTATATTGACAATGCATCACGGGCAACCATGAGGCGGGCCACATTAGGCAATTGGAGGCACGGGCATGTAGTTTGTATTTTCCCACTGGAGGTACGCCCTTTTTGTACGTGCGCCGGTGGAGGGAAGGCCGGGCCACATTCATGGAAGGCACAACAAAGAAAGGGATTGTTGCTCAGACGCAACAGCGGGTAAGGGAGGCTTGGGAGTACAGCACTGCAGCCCCGCAGGAAGCCATCCCGGGCTTTGGCATTCTGACAGGGGGATTTTGGTAAATATCGCAGACGCGAGAAGCAATGCAGAAAAATACGAATGCCCGTGGTGCAGCAAGATTAGAAACCCCCACCCATGGCCATACGGAAATACATCCAAAAGATATAGAAACGGCATTCTGAGATAATAAAAGAGCGGGCTGGTTTACTGGTCGGCAATGGGCTGGTATCCGCGACGCCTGACAGCCAGACTGTACACCCTGCACAGGGCCCAGGAAGCAGCCAGCAGGGCGGCAAGCCAAGTGGCATAGTAGGCCAGGCCATGGGCGGCCTCGGGGGCTTCGGGGGCGTGGCGCTCAGGCGACTCGGAGACTCTACGCACAATAGCGATTTTCTCCGGGTCACCAGACACCTCCTCCAGCACATACAGCATGCTCTTGTCCATGTCGAGGTAGCCGGGCGGCAGGTGGTAGTACTGCTGCGAGATCTCGCCGCACTTTTGGCGGCACACGTTGTCGGGCCAGAACCAGCCGCCGTAGTCGCACACCTGGCATGGGCGGTGGTCGCGCTTTTCGGGCGCCCGGCGCGTCCAGTAGCGGCCCAGGTGGTGCGAGTTGACCCACACATGGCCCTTGGTCATTGACCCCAGGTCGATGGCGTAGCGCGACGGCTCGTGGGCACGCAGCGCTGCCCGTGTCGATTTCAATGGCATACCAGCGCAGGCGGCTGCCCGCCGTTTTCTGGGCCGAGTAGGGGTGCCAGATCACGTGGTCGGGCACCGGCGGGTCCTCCTTTACGCCCTCCAGCGTCGGCTGCATGGCCCAGCCGTTGCGCGTGACGTCGATGCCGCATACCGAGACTGCGCCGAGCAGGCCGCGCGTATACGCCTCCATGTTGTACTGGTTGTGGGCCATGCCCATGGTCTGCGAGAGCAGGGTCAGGGGGGCGGAGTCGGGGGCGGCGGTCAGCACGTGCGCAGGAATGTCGATGGTGAAGGTGGCCAGGGTGTCGTGGCCGGCCATGCGCCATGCCCACATATGAGTCGCCGATGTAAGCGTAGACAAGGTCTCCGGCGTCCTTGAGCACAATCTGCGCGTCCTTGCCCTTGCGGCACTGCTTGGGGATGGTAATCTCTGTGCGGTACCACAGGTAGTCGGAGGTGTCGTGGGTCAGCTCGATCTGTTCCAGCGGCGTCTCGCTGTGGTATGCCATCTTGTTGGGCAGCGCAACACTGCGCACATGCATTTCGTCGAGCCGCAGGAGCGACGCGGGCAGCGGCTCAAAGCTGGCTGGATGGCGCTGGCCGCGACGGCACGCGTTTGGAGAGCCGGGCGGTATTGTAGAGGACCACGGGCTTGCTGCCCTTGTCCTTGCGGACCAGGGTCACGGACCAGCGGTGCAAGTCGTAGGGCTGGCCGCGGAACACTGCCGAGACGCTTTCCTGGGGCGTTGGCGTTGACCAGGAAGGCCACATATTCGTCGTCGTCACCGTAGACGTGAGCATTGGCGTTCTTTCCTAGGCGCTCGGGCACCGGCACATTGCTGGCAGTCAGGATGTGCTCGGCATCGATCAGGTGGTTGTGGAGGTCGGCCAGATGCAGGTACTTGGGCCAGTTCTCCAGCCCGTACTCGTCGATGAACCCGTCGTAGTTGTAGGATGTCATGATGAACGGGCCTGAGGTGCGGCCAAAGTTGGTGCCGCCCTGATACATGTAATAGGCGACGTATGTGCCGCCGTACGCATACCACTTGGCCACCGCATATGCGATGTCCTCGATGGGCCGGTGCGGCGCGGCCTCGCCCCAGCGCTGGAACCACCCGGGCCACATCTCCGTCCACATGTCGGGCATGTCCGGGTGCTTGCGGTGGAAGTCGGCTAGGTACTGGTCGCAGTAAAAGTCGTTCTGTGTCGGAATAACATGGTCGACATCCGAGTACTGCCTGCACATGATCCACGGCACCGTCAGGTTGAAGCTACCGGCGACCTCCCCGCACCACCTTGCGTACTTGTGCCCGTCCTCGCCCATCCGCCACTCCTTATCGCCGTACTCGTTCTCGATCTGCATGGCAATGAGCGGCCCGCCGTGCTCGGGCAAAAACCCCCTGGTGACCTCGACCGTCTTTTGAACAAACCTTTTCATTTCGCGCAAAAACGGCTCGTTCCAGGTCCGGAACACAATGTCCTTCTCGTGCCTCAGCCAGTGCGGGAATCCGCCGTAATTCCACTCGGCGCAGACATACGGCCCGATGCGCAGGACCACGAACAGTCCGTGGCGCTTGGCCGTCTCGAGAAACAGCGGGAGGTTGGCCCGGTCCGTTGCAAAATCATACTGGCCCTTGGTGTGCTCGTGCATGTTCCAGAACACATATGTGTCGATGGTGTTGATGCCGCCCCTTTTGGCCTTTTGCATTAGGCTGTCCCACATTGCCGGCGTGCTGCGCGGGTAGTGGATTGTTGCTGCAGTCAGGATGCGCGGCCGCCCGTCGATTAGCATGCCACGCGCCGAGTACCCGACCGTGTACGGGTCGCCCGGCACCATGCGCTCAACACGCGCGTATCCGCAATGCCCCAGCACCAGCAGTAGCAGCAGGTGGGTGAGAGCTACGAGCTTCATAATGGAGTAAGGCGTTTAGGGAGTCTGAATACAATAAAATAATACCTGTTTGTTGGAATATACTGTCTGCGCTTTTACTGATGAATAAAGCAGGACGAAAAAAATACCACGAAGAGCAGCACAGGAGCTCCCCTGAGCCCCGTTTTAAAAGGTCTCCCCTTGGTGCGTGCTCAGTCCCACCCCCTCTCCCATCGGGGCCACCTGACCAGACATGCCCCCTTTCTGGCCGGGAAAGCCGGGATTAGAGGAGGGGCTGCGACCAATATTCGAAGGTCACGCTGTGCAGGCCATATGGCCAGCGCATAAATTTGAACGGGTGATGTAATCACGTTTTTTTTTTTTTCTTGTTCTTGGACTGAAATCCTCTGTTGACACCAGAACCGTCCTCTGCCGATCGAAAAAAAAAAAATGAAGGTCCGCTCAAGCTTATTTCCCCTCCCCAGGTTCTGATTCACGGGATCCAAAAAGGACGTGGCGAGTTCCACGGGCCACAGTGGAGCAAGCGACCTGAGATTGACCGCGCTTCGTTGTACCAGCCCATGTTGACGTGTTTGGGGGGAGGACGCAGCCCACTGGTTCCATGGACACAATGAACCGCGTAAAAAAATTCGCATTATTTGTACCTCCTTTCTATATCTCTTGAAAACACACCGGGCTGGGTTTGCAATGTAGAATTTATCGAATAGAGGCTAAGAGGGAGAGAAAGAGAAGAAAAGAAAAGAAAGAGGAAAAGGGGGAATGGAGCCCCCCTTACGTACATGTCCAGAGGTTTCCCATGTCCAGATGACAAAACAACACGCAGCTCTGCTCCAGAGAAGGGGGGGAGGAAGTGAAGACGGTGAGGGGAGAGAGAGGACAAAAGACAGCTTATGAAGAAAAATAACAAAGTTGAGAAGGAAGGGGGGGGACGGTGGTACATCTTTGCCCTCTTCAGAGCACCAGACACTTTGACTTCTTCTTCGTCACAGGCGGCTCCAACGCTGCCACAATGGCCTCGTCAAAGACGTTCTTCAGACCCTTCTGCGTCAGCGCCGAGCACTCGACATACTTGACGGCGCCCAGATCGCGCGCCAGACGCTCTCCCAGCTCCACCGAAATCGGGCGCTGCCGGTTCCCCTCCAGCTTCGCCAGCGTCGCCCGGTCCTCGCGCAGATCCACCTGGGTGCCCACGATCAGACAGGGCACGCCCGGGCAGTGGTGGCGCACCTCCGGGAACCACTTTTCCCGCACGTTCTCGTATGACGCCTGCGACGTCACCGAGAAGCACACCAGGAACACGTCCGTCTGCGGATACGACAGCGGCCGCAGGCGGTCGTAGTCCTCCTGCCCCGCCGTGTCGAATAGCCCCAAGGTGTACGGCTCATCGCCAATCATTACCGTCACCGCGTAATTGTCAAACACCGTCGGCACGTACTCGGACGGAAACTTGTTGGTCGTGTATGAGATTAGCAGGCATGTCTTGCCCACCGCGCCATCGCCCACCACCACGCATTTAATCGTCTGCATTCTGCAACCAGCCTTTTTTCCTTCTTGTTTTATAAAAGTCGCGAGAAAACACACAAATAGATGAGAGGAAAAATGCGTCCAAACAGTTTTTTAGGGCCGACTTCGTAGGGAGAGGGAGGGAGGAAGCAAGAGAGGCCGTAATATGCTTGGGCAGAAAAAGAAAAGGAAAAAGGAAAATTACAAGGACTGAGAAATTGAAATGAGAAGGGGGGAAAGAAGGGCGAAAAATGGCTGCTTGTGCAATAGTGTCTGGCAGCACGAAAAGCCAACTGTCAACAAGCTGGCGCCCGGCTTTGTCTCTCGGTAGTCTGTGACACACTCGATTGCTATATATTGCACACTTTACAATAGGTGAAAAATGGTTTAGAGCTTGGCAGCCTGCTTCCGCTCGTGGTCGTCCAGGGCCAGCAGCGCCTGCTTCCAGTCGGCAGCCAGATCCTCGTAGCTCTCGAGACCCACGCTGACGCGCAGCAGCGTCGGCTCGGCAGTGACGTCCCAGCCATGGCGCCAGTCCACCAGCGACTCAACGCCGCCCAGCGACGTGGCGAACGCATGCAGCTTGAGATGGCGGGCCACAAACAGCGCCTGCTCCTTGGAGCGGAAGTTGACGGCAAACACAGCGCCAAAGCCATGCGGGTGCTGCCGGGCCACGTCGAACGGCGGGCAGATCTGCTGCAGCGACGCGTGCTGCACGCCATGGATGGCCTTGCCCACCGAAGTCTGCTCGGCCGAGGGCGTGTGGCAGGCGGTATGCACAGCCAGGCGGCGGTGCGACTCCAGCAGCGCAACGATGCGCTTGGCAGTCGCCGACTGCTGCGTGATCCGCACCGGCAGCGTCTTGAGCGACCGCAGCAGCAGCCAGGCCTCCAGGTTGCCCGCGTTCAGCCCCAGAATGTACCGCGCGTACCGCAGGCTCTCGGCTGTCTTGGTATCCTTGGCAACAACCACGCCCGCCAGCAGGTCGCTGTGGCCGCCCATGTACTTGGTCGCCGAGTGCACAACAATGTCAGCGCCCTGGCGGAACGGGTAGCTGATGGGCGGCGGCGCGAACGTCGCGTCCACCACCAGCTTGGCGCCCGCAGCGTGCGCCCGCAGCGCGTACTTTTCGATATCGAGGACCTCGCCGGTGGGGTTGATCGGCGACTCAATCCACACCAGATCAACGCCAGCGTAGTCGCACTCGGCCCCGACCACCTGCACGCCAGGCACCAGGCCCTGGTACTGCTCAATCACCTTCTTGACGCCAAAGTACGCGTGCCCGATTGCAATCTTCTTGGGCTTCAGCTCCACCAGCACCGCCAGCGACGCCGTCAGCCCCGAGCCGTACAGCACCGCGTGGCCCTCGGTCAGCGTGCTCAGCGCTGCCTCCGCCTTGGTGGTGGTAGCTGTGCCCTCGCGCGCATACACGTAGCGCTGGTCCGGCCCGTAGTTGTTGGCGGTGACCGAGGCAGAGGAGTACTCGTAGATGGTCGACACCGTGATTGGCGCGGCCACGTCCGGCGTCACCTGCAGGTGGTCGGCTGCGTGCAGAGCCTGCGTGGACGGCGCCGCAGTATCGTACAGAGGGTTCTTGATCTCAACCATGGGGGTGGTGTCTCTGGGCTTGGCTTCTTGGTTTATACAACTGAAGGAGAAGGAAAATGCTAGTGCCGCTCCTGCTGACGAAACGCCCGCCTCTGCCTTTTATACCCACCGCCTCTGCCCTCCCCCTCATCCCAACTCGCACTCTAACGCTGAGACTTTTGTTTTTGCTGCAGGCCTTGCAGAGTACTACTCAGTCACCTATTCCCTTTTCCCTTCCCTTGTCCTGCTGGGAGGGCTCGAATCCGCAGACGTCAGGACAACAAAGGGGCGATCTCCATTGTATATTTTTAGGTATCTGTGCGACGTTCTCGCCATTCACACCCTCGGCTCAGCGACAGCACATCGTCTGTGCATGGATGAGGCGCAGGCTGCGCTGTGGGATCCGAGTCCGAAAAGAGCACAGTTCCCGGGTGGCTCGGCTCATGCCAGCACACCTTCCGCTCAAAGACGCCGAATTTACTGCAAATGAACAATATGCCAGTGGCTCTACACCTTGACAAACACCTGCCGCGAGTAGGACAGCCTGTTGTATGAAGCAAAGAAAAACGACACTGCCCACAGCGCCCCAACATACATAATCATCCCGAGGTATTGCGAGCCGTGCCTGGAGTTCGCCAGAATTGCGCCACCGACCGGATTACCAATCCACGCGCTCAGCGCCGACAGCGTGTAGAATATGCCTGTGTTGCTGGCCAGTTTATCAATGCCAAACAGCTTGGCTGCCGCCAGCGGCACCAGAGTCCAGTATCCGCCGGAGCCAAATCCGTAAATAATCCCCATCACCAGCCCCGAGCCAACGCTGGTAGCAAACGGCCAAATGACTAGAGCACCAATTGTCGAGCAGCCCACGCCAAGCACCAGCGAGTTCAACACCCCGATGTAGTCCGCCGCCACGCCCATTGCCAGCCGCCCCACGGCGTTGGAGACATTCGATATGGCGATCATCACCGACGCCGTCTCCGCCCCCACCCCATGGCTGGTCCAGAACTGCGGCAAATACGAGACCGGTACAAGATACGCTGCCGTGGCGAAAAACACCATCAGGGCCTGTATTGCGAACCGCCGGTCGTGGAACGCCTTCCAGTCGAAATTCCGCAGCGTGCGGCTTTTGTCTTGGAACGGCACGCGCACAAAGTAGCACGCGATGGCACCAAATACTATCGTGTACATCGCAGATATGCGCTGGCTCCAGGGGACTCCGATGTGCCGGACAAGGAACTCGGTCAGTGGCGCTATTATCAGCCCACCGACGCCCACGCCCGAAAGCGCTAGGCCCGTGGCCATGCCGCGCCGTCTCGTGAACCACCGCGCTGGGGCTGTCGATGCAGGACTGTATACGAGGCCGCAGCCCAGTCCGAAAATTATCCCTTGGGTAAGACAAAACTGCCATGGCTATCAAGTTCATTTAGCGATTAGTGGCCCTTTACCTGCAATGCCCCCCTTAGATATGCATGTTTTCTTCTTACCTCACTGCAAAAAGACGCCGCGAGCGGACCAACTGCCAAACAGACAACGCCAATAAAGCATAGCATCCTATATGACCACACTTCGGCCAGCCAGCCCGCCAACATGCCCCAGATGTATATTCCAAAGTACATCAGTGTGCCAATATAACTCAGTGTCTTGATTCGTCCTGGGTCGTTGGCAAAATCGTGCGCCGTCAAGTACTCTTGCTGCACTCCCCATGCATGGAGGGACCCACAGGAAAGCCCCGTCAGTATGAAGCAGCTGGCCAGGACGCCGTAGCGAGTGTATTTGGGGAACTCGCTGGTGCAATCCATTGGTGCTGTATTAGTCGGCTGATCTGGCGTGCCAATATGCTTCTCATTGACCGGCTGGATACCAGGAGCTGCTTGCTCTGTCGGGTGTGCTTTACTGCTGTGCATTGCAAGTATCTACAAAGAGAAATAGGCAAGGAGCTTGTATATTTGAGAGTTCGGAGTGGGAAGCTTCAGTATTTATGCGCCAGAAACAATCTTTATCACACCTGTCCTCCCTTGATTCCTGCCTCTTTGCCTGGCACGGAACAACCTGCTTTGGCAGCCCACAGGAGCCGCACATTTTAGATGCAAAGATCGACCCCCGGCTTGAACGCCATTGCGTGTGAACAAGCGTGCTATTACAATAATTTTTCTAAATCCCGCCGTCCTTTTTTATTCTACCCACGACGGGCACTCCGACGGCCCGAGACGGCCCAAACGGAGAATAAACAGGGAATATTGGTCAATCGGGCTTATTTTTTTTATCGTATGCTACAAGTATTCGCTGAGGATACAATTTGCTTCAAGCCAGTTTTTTTTCTGAGAGTGGCCAGCGCAAAAAACACCTCAGATACTCTGGATGCGGAAATTGCCAACACACGAGTACTTTCACACACGACGTGCTTCTAAATCCAGAAATAAGTGACTCAGAGACGGCTGTCTATGCTGCCATACCAACAGATCAATGCCCCTGTGTGACTCGCACTTCATGTAGACGTCATTATCTGTAACATTGCTGACAAATAGTCCATGCTGTCGAGTAGGCATATGACAATGATGAGCTTGTAAATGTTCTGTGCAGGAAACGCCAACTATGGATGTCCTGCCCTGGTATGTGGATGATTACAGCATCAGCTAATTTGCATGATGAATGGCTGGAGTATCTGGAATCGGAGATTAAAAAATTTGCGAAAAAAGCTATGGATTGCACGGCCAATGTGGGCTGTGTCGGGATCCACAAGGAAAGTGCTGCGGAAGTAATGAGTGGAGGCAGTTCAGGAAACGGGCATATTTCTGGGTATGAAAAATCTGGAGGCGTTGCCGATGTAGTGTTTGCCTGGGCAGTGGCTCGTGCGAAAATCAAGCAATGCGCGCGCTATCCAGGTCAGAAGCGAGGAGACAGCACGCATTTTTGAGATAAATTACCAGCCCGCTAGTCATCAACCAAAAGGGTGAAAAGGACCTGGTAAAATAGGCGGATTCGTATGCTCATGGTACTTTCAAAACCGGAGGAGATACATAGCAGCTCAGAATGTACATAATCAGCGTGACAAACTAGCTGAATCAGCCTTTGCCCGGAAACTAAAATCGTCCTGGAGGGCAAAAACGCCAAGAGCACCCCTGGTTCTACAGCCTGACGCTGACATAATTGCCATATTTCTTACTTTTCCCCTAAAGAAAACAACCCCAGCTTGATCGGAAGAAAACTGCAATCTCCGTGCCAAGATTCTATCGGAAATCCAGTTTTTCATGCGAAACTTCTGTTGCTGCGCCGCACCACGCACCCCAAACCCGATTTTCGCAAAAACAAATATATTGTGAGATGTCTTAGTGGTGCTAAAAAACAGCAGTAAACGGCTGGCTTGGCAAAAATAGAATGGCCGCTGGATCGGGTATAAAAAGGCGAATGTCAAGCGTGGGCATTCTCAAATCCATATCATTCACACCAGACAACGTCAAGATACTAAAAAAACACCCCACCCAAACCCCTCCCCTACAACTGCCAAGAATGTCTTTCTTCAGCTCGTCCAACAAGCACACTACCGCCAACAAGGTCGTCCTCAGCTCAAAGATTGGTAGCGCCGGTGAAGGCAACAACTCATTTGACGCTCTTGAATACCTGACCGGGTCTCTTGGCAGCGCCGGATCCAGCAGCGGCCCGACATTCTACGCGCAGCAATAGATATAACTTTATACTTTAATCAACTTTGTATCGATTCAAACCGAATATATTTGTGTATTATTCAGTGAAAACTCTCCAGGTGACGTTGCCATGTAGAAAAAGTATTCGGGCTGGATTTGGCCAAGGCGCAGCAAGTGGATATGAGGCCAGAGCTATTGTGCACTGTTTCGCAAAAGTATCTCAACCCCAAGATAGGAGACTGCCTCGACAGTTATGCATCAAACATGCTAGTGCAAAGTATCTGTTTTCCGGCGTGTATCAGTAGGACTCTTGTCAACTCTGCCGCAGCCAGCAGCCACCTAGGATCTCCATTTTGCGAAATAAAAAGGTCTTGGCATCATTGACTCACCGTGCGTGTCATCAGAGGTGGCATGTGCGCTAGGGAGGCGGATACAGCCGGAAGCCCCTCCCCAAATTCGGATATGCACCCCTTGATTTCTGAAGGTAATGTCAAGAATGGAATTTCCTGTGGCCGCAGGACCTTGAACCTGTGCCAAACATCAATCTTTGTGGTTGGGGCAAAAGAATACGGGTTAGCTATCAGCTTCATGGTTTGCTTTGTCACGGAAACGTGCGTCAATGTCCTGTGCCACAGAATTGTAGATATGTGTGCCAAGATACAACACGCTTGATCTGTATAAAAGGCTCACGCAGAACCAGTCATCTCAGTCGATTCCTCACCAAACAACCAATCCTCTACATCTACAACACATTCGATCCAAAAATGACATTGACAGAGAAAACGACCGGCACTACCAAGAACAGACTAGCCAAGCTCTTCTTCAAGTTGGACAAGACCAACACCCTCAAAACCACTGCCACCAACGACACGCTGACAGACGGCAACAAGACAGGGGTCCTCGATGCTGGCAAGGGCGGCAGCGCCTTTGATGCCCTCGATGCCCTGACCAACGGAGGAACATATACTGGCACATACTACAAGACAAACACGTACACCCATCAATAATCCAGCCCTGTGTGTCTTGTAAATATGCTTCATGTTAAATATTGCAAATATCACCCCATTTACACATAGCTTTTAGTCTAATTGTAAAATCACTGATTCTCGATGAGCCAAAAATGCACGAGCTGGACTCTGATAGGAAAACCTTCTGCAGTGCGTGCGCACTAGGTGAAAAGCATGGGCCTGTGCTATTGGCAGAGATATCCAGATTCAGCAGGACACGCAATGTGAGCAGACAGAGGACCCTCTGATAAAAACTGAGCACACACGGCATACATTATAGCATGCAGTGCTTGTTGGTTTCTGGGATTTGTGATGTAGTTTTTTTTATTTCAAAGGTGGTATACTTCAACAGACTGGCGAGCAGAACGGAGAGAAGTACCTACGGCATTACTTGCTATACAGCCTCAACAACTGACGAATCTGATTCGTCATCCTGAATTGGCCGTGCTGCATAATCGTTGGTCTTGAATGACTGTGGGCTTGCCACAATAGATAGGCTAATGTGTCTGGAGTATCGTTTAAAGTTGAAGCGAAAACCAAACAGCTCAGAACGTATTGTATCTGTTTGACAAACTGGCTGGGTCCTGCTGCTTTCAGAAAGAAAATTTCTCTTGGAGGGAAAAACGCCAAGAACGATCCTTCATACCGCTTGAATACGACAAAATCCACACTTGGCCTACCTACACTTTTACATGAATACTACAGCAGGATCTGGAAGGCTCATTTTTATGCCAAGATTCTATCGGACGGCAGGCTTCAAGCAGGATTTCCTTTGCAGCTGCGCCGCACCGCATACACACTAGTGATGATTTTTTGTAGGTATGAAGGTATGTTGGGTGACTCGATCGTGGGGCTGAAGGCGGCAGTAAAAGGCTGTCTTGGCAAAAGCTTCATGCCGACTGGATCGAGTATAAAATGTGAGTATCGAACAGAGGCATTCTCAAATCCATATCATATACACCAGACAACAAGGCAGTACGACAACAAGTAAAGCTTCCTTCGCCAAGTTCTTTCCCCAAGCCCCTTCACTATCATCAACAATGTCTCTCTACAGCTCCTCCAACAAGCACACTACCGTCAACAAGCCTGTCCTCACCTCAAAGATCGGCAGCGCCGGCGAGGGCAACAACCCTTTCGATACTCTTGAGTACCTGGCCGGGTCCCTTGGCAGCGCTGGATCCAGCAACGGACCATCATACTACTCTAGGCAGTAGGCAATTCTGTATAGTTATAGAGATGTATTTATTCCAAATCAATGTTCTTATGGAAAGATCAGCGAGACCTGAATGGTGTTGGACTGCTACAAAAGGCGTTCCGGCTGGGAAAGACAAAAACACAGCCGATGGGTCTTGCGCCAAGTGCCCATGCACTATATCGCGGAAATACCTCAGTTCGAGATAAGAAACTTTTGTCTGTCAGGAAAGCACCGGGTACATCAATACCTTGTGCCTGTTTTCCGACGTGTATCAGCATGATTCTGGTCAGCTCTGCCGCAGCCAGCAGCCACCCGACACCCATCCCTGGCAAAAAAAAGGAAAAAAAAATAGGTCTTGGCACAACTGACTCATTGCGTGTCAGCAGAGGTAGCATGTGCACGGGGCTAAGCCAGCTGGAAGACTCTCCAGGAAAACTCAGATATGCACCCCTTGATTTCTGGGGCAATGCAAAAAGTAGGATTGCCCGTGGCCGCAAGACTTCAAAGATCTGAATATCATACCCGTCGCTGCGTTTGGGGCAAAAGAATACGGGTTAGCTATCAGCTTCATGGTTTGCTTTGTCACAGAAACGTGCATCAATGTCCTGTGCCACAGAATTGTAGATATGTGTGCCAAGATACAGCACACTTTATCCGTATAAAAGGCTCACGCAGAACCAGTCAGCTCAGCCGATTCCTCACCAAACAACCAATCCTCTACATCTACAACACATTCGATCCAAAAATGACATTGACAGAGAAAACGACCGGCACTACCAAGAACAGACTAGCCAAGCTCTTCTTCAAGTTGGACAAGACCAACACCCTCAAAACCACTGCCACCAACGACACGCTGACAGACGGCAACAAGACAGGGGTCCTCGATGCTGGCAAGGGTGGCAGCGCCTTTGACGCCCTCGGTGCGCTGACCACTGGTGGTGGATACACCGGCACATTCTACCGGGTTAATACATACAGCCGCATCTAGAGATGCATGGTTTGCATATACGCGTTATGTTAGATATTGTAAATACGATTGTGTCTACCCTTGCGAGAGTTGTTTATACAGCGAAGTCAATGCTTTATATACATCCAAAAGCAGAAGCAATTAGGACTGCAGGTTCTCAGTACGCTGGTATCAACAATGATCTGTGTGTGGGCCAAGAGTGCGAGGCAATAGGAAATAAGGGCCAGTAGAGAGCGAGGGATAAGACAAAAGGTGTATAGAATACGCATGTGTTGGCAATGCTTGTACATGCGTATATTTCTCTCACAGAAAATCGATAAGCATAAGTGGAGTTTTATGCGATAGAGACATCAAAGAATATATTGGCAGAACCAAAGCCAAAAGAAGAGAGGACAGCGAGTAGGAGACATTTATTGTGCTGCACGAGTTGGTCAGCCCTATATTAGACAAAAAGAAAGGGCTGTGGACAATTTTAGTTCACCATAAACGGACCTTGAGACTATACCATGCCCTGATCCATCAGCATATTTACAACATTATTCATAGCACCTCTGGCCACCAGACCCCATGTAATCAAGATAACATGCATCATTTCTTGATCAGTACTTGCTGGCATCGACAAATGCCCAAGCCCTTGTGTATCAAAGAGCCCTTCATTGAATGCCGCTACAGCGTTGCCACTGCCATCATGCAGCTTCCACAGCTTTGCACACTTATCGATAGTCCATTTGTACTTGGTGCCTGATGCATCCGTAAACTTCCAACCACTATTATTGACTCGATTTCTTGCGTCAATCCGTGTACCAGGCCCGAGGATTGCGGCAAATCCAGAAACATGAATTTCTGACTCTGCTACCAAAAGCACCTGTTCGTAGTTTGTGGCTGTTGTATTTGCAGCCATGTCTATGTCACACATGGTCCGTTCGTCATCATCGCTGTCGTAGCCCCCGATTGCTGCGGAAAGCGTAATCTTGGTTGGCTGAGAATCCAATAAATAGCCGAGCTGGCCGTATATCCTGACCTGCAAAGTAGTGTCTATGTGGCCGCCAAAGATGTTCCAGCCCTTCTTGTTCTTGCGTTTGACAATGGTAAAGATATTTTCACTCATAGTTCACAATAATAGTCACCAAAAACTGAGGAAAGGAATACAGATGTTGACATTCGGGCAACCCCATGCCCTTCGCCACCATGTGTAAATCCAAAGTCCCCACCTGTATAAACATTGTGGGCCGGAACGGCCCCATCCTCCTCCCCCTTTTCATCACTCAGCCAATTTTTTCTAAGTTCCATATTCATGTCCCATAAAAGGCTCCACAACTACTGGACTTCTCTGATAGGATTAACCAACAGGAGGACCTGGACCAAGAGGTATTTAAGCAAACGCCGAGCGCGGATACGGAGCCCTTAGCTAAGTCACGCACAGTCCTGGATAAAGATGCACCATTCTCAGCGAGTACACTACCTTGGGTACGACGGAACAATCCTAGCGGCATGACATATATACGATTCGATGTCGAGCAAGTATGATTCAGGTGCCCTGAACGCACATGGAGTGCGGTGCGATGCACAGCTGCAGAATCTGCCGAGGCAAGGTGCCTATGCAGCACATAGGTGGTGGCTCCCCGCTTTATATATAGTTTGCGAGAGAAGTGCCATCAGTCCGCCGTTTAGCCAGTCATCGTGGGAGTCAAGGCGGCCAGTAGAATCAAGGTGTTCGAGTGTGGCAGGCGGCCCACTTGTGATGAGGCCATCATACGGGTCACCACCACAGCTCGGATCCATGGAGTCGTCTAGCCCAAGGTCAGCTTATGTATCTTTCTCCCTAAGCAGACCGCAAATTAGCTATGGGCCAGTGCCACATTCCGGCAGTATGGCCACCAGCATGGAACGGTAGTCGCAGCACCGATCCAGCGATATCATGCAGCGATCAGTGCTGCTGCCACCACTGCTATTGGTGCAATGGCTGCTGCGGAGGGTAGCTACAGGACATTTGGCGAGAAAGGCATTCCTAGGAATATTTCAGTAGCTGCTACATTTGAAACAGCAATTCGGCTCGGCTCGGCGCAGGAACCTGGAATCAGCTCTCATGGATTTGTGGGCTGACGTTTTCTGCTCCAGATATCTTTTTGCTCTCCATTTGAATTCAAACTTTGTTCATTACTAAAGCAAATGCAGCGCACACCCATTCTAAGTGCCTGCCGACGCATTCCGCTGGGTCAACCACTGGCATTACGGAATTTTGCCAGCAGAGCGAACCTAGCCACAGCAGGAGCACCGATCCTTTTGGCTCGACATGTACAGCTGGGACAGCAGCAGCAGCTACACCAAAAATTCACTCAGCATCGTACATACGCATCAAGCAGTCCGTGGACCGCGAGATCGCCAGCACAATGGGCAACCTCCTGATTGTTGGCAGCGTAGTAGGCATGTTTGGATACATTGTATACGTTCTGTACGACAATATGTTTGCCGAACATGGCGTCACGCGTGTCTATAACGAGAGCCTTGACTTGGTCCGTGCCAACCCAGAGATCACTGGGTTGCTCGGCAGTACCATATCCGGATTCGGCGAGCCCACACATAGCCAGCGCCAGCGCCAGCGCTCGATTCGCTCATCGTGAGTTTGTTGACCCGCAGGGCCGCAAGCGTATGACGATGAAGTACTATGTCGAAGATGCCCACCATGTCACACCCTACCTGGGAGTGGTCAAGGTAGACTTTGGCTGAATCTCCTGTGACAAAATCGTGGGACTTTCAACTATATCGTTGTTGATATGTATCAGAAGCAGAACGGGACGGTGGGCGGCGAGCCAATCGGTCGAGTCGAGGTCTTGCTTACTGAGGAGTTTGCAAAGGAGGTGCGCGAGTTCCAGAACAAGGCGCGGAACCGCAGGTTCTCCACCGACACCAAAGGCAGCAGCGACGGCTCATGGTTTAGTGTCCTGCACCCATCCAACTGGCGTCAGTGAGCAATAAAATTAGTGTCAATTCGTAGGCGGTACAACTTGCTGGTGATTAATATAAGGGGAGTGTTCTTCCATCTTTCATTATTCACCCCATTGCGAATGCAAAGATGCGGCGGCGGGGAGAAACAACTTTCTGAATATATCCGGCCAATACAGCCGATTCGCGGGGGGTGCAGCCTCTTAGATATTAATGACCGGAAAGCATACGCATATACCAGCTGGGGATTCTGGGGATGCTGGGGATTCTGGGGATGTGGGGGATTCATAATAGAGGCAATGGCATCGGGTCTATGTCAGGTTTGTTCAGCATATGTAGAAATGGCCGCTTCGCCACTGCTCCCTGTGTTGTGGTTAATGTGGGACAGCACGCTAGGGAATACTAGAGTTAGCAAATCCTTAATTTGCACTTGCCCCAGTGTAATCCCCAGGTTGCAACTCGAGGGCTGCATCGTGGGTGTGTATCTCGCCATTGGCGCGGGCCAGCGCATATATGGCGTGCGCCGCTGGTGGAGGTGTGCATTTGGTATGCAGTGGACACGTAAGTAATCTATTGGAGTCAGCATGAAACCAAGACCGTCTATGCAACCCGCGGCATAACAAAAGTTCGCAGGATAGGAGCACCTAGCTAGTTTCTGGAGAGTATCTATGCGAAGGTATAATCTGCCCCAGTGGTACCTCGAAAGGATATTTAATTTTTACACTGGAGCAACTGGTGTGGAGAGCTGGGCAGGTGGTGGGGGACGATATTGCCTATTACATTATCTACAATATTAAATCTTTGCAAAATCTACAGCCTTTTTCCTGGAGTACAGGCCCGCTTTTATGTGTTTCTCCTCCTCCAATGTGCATGTCGAAAAGACATGCGGGTGTGTGTTTCCTTGAATTCCGCTTGTTTTCCCCCGATACCATGACTTGAGATGAGCGCTGGACGGCACGATGGCATGTCTGCACCAGGTGAGGGGTGCGGAGGGGGCGGGGAGGCTGGCAATGGTTAATGAAAATTCTTTTTTGCCGATAATGCAACGAGGGCTCGGGGTTGGTTCATGCCCATGCGAGTTTATGCTATAAAGTAGTCCACGCGGGCCTGGTCTTGACTGAAGAAAGAACCATCACCAATAGAGCACTGTTAGATTTCAACAACACGTCCTTATTGCCTCGCCTTCCCCGCAACCCCCTCAGCCTAGCCTTCAACCGCCCAACCCCTCATATAACCCTGTCATAGTCGCCGCCAACTGACTTCCTCTTCACCTTTGACGAACATTCAGTACCTTTTCTCGCGACTTTTATTTGGATTTTTCTTGTTATTCTCATCCATTCTCTAGCAGACAACGAAAAGTCACATTCCCCTCCCTCTACCTCATTCGCCTACTACATACACAATGATGCTTAAGGCCGTTCTCAGTGTTTTCGCAGTGGCTATTGTCGCCGCTGCCAACGAGTCGCCCGAACATGGTGACGTCAATGTCAATGTGCGGATTGCCGGCATGCCCGCAGCTGTGCGGCAGTCTAGCGGTCCTGCCCCTGTTCAACATCCTGCCGCGCTTTTCCACGCCCAGCGTCTCTGCCCGGGCGCGCGTCGATTCCTGCTTCTGAGGCCGCAACTGAGGCACCTGCTTCCACTGAGGCACCCTGCCTACCCAACCACACCCTGCTGCCAATACTCCTGCTGCCGTGGTTCCCGAGACTATGTCAGCGGCGTCGGTGACTGATCCCGCCATGATTGCTCTGTCTGAGATGGCCGAGAATGCTAAGAACTCTGTCGACCTGGCTTCGCGCATCATTGCCAACGGCATTACCGCCAACCACCAGCCAGCGGAGAGCGTGATTCAGGCCAGGATTGGCCAGCTCCAGCCCGCTGCTGAACCCGCTGTGCCCGCCACCTCTGCCACTGTCGCATCGTCGACTGCTGCCCCCGAGACATCGGCCACTGCTGCTGCTACATCGCAGACTGCTGCGTCCGACACAGCGGTCCCCGTATCGTCGGCGCCTGTCCAGAGCCTTCAGGTCTCGCCCAGCCCGATCCTGGCCGAGTCTGCCACTGGAACCCCGCATGCAGCCAACCGTATTGACACGATTGCGTCGTCGTCTAATGCCTCCGATCTATCGGCTTCGGCTACAGCTGTCTCGTCCAACGGCTGCTGCTGAGTCCTCTTCAGCTTCTCTGGCAGGCACCTCCGTCTCGGCTGCTCCGTGCAGGAGTCCGCTTCGGCAGAGTCATCTGCCACTGCTGCTGCTGAGTCGGCGTCCGAGACCGTTGCTTCGACCTCGGTTGTCCCTGCCGCGTCCTCATCAGGATCGTATGGCCCGTGCTGACTCTGTATCTGCCGACTCGTCATCGGCCACTGCTGCCTCGTCATCGGCCACTGCTGCCTCGTCTGTGGAGGCTGACTCTTCGTCGGGAGCAGCAGCGGCTACCTCAGGCACCGCCGCCCGCGCTGATACTGTCTCTGCTGACTCGTCAGTCGGCCACTGTTGCCTCGTCGGGTTTCGGCTGAGTCATCCTCTGTCTTGGCTGAGTCATCCTCTATCTCGGCTGCCACTATCTCGAGGTCCGGCTGCTCGTGCTGATCCTGTTTCCGCTGACTCGTCCTCTGCCTCAGGTTGCCTCGTCGGTGTCCGCCGCCTCTTCGTCAGTCTCGGCTGCTTCCACCTCGGGTGCTGCCGTGCGTGCTGATACTGACTCAGTTGAGAGCTCTGTGTCGCCGGCTACTTTGGCGTCAGCCGATTCCAGCTCGGCTGCGGTGGATCCAGCTCGGCTGCTCCTGTGTCGTCGTCTGCCTCTGTTGCAGACAGCACTGCGGCTCCTGCCGTGACTTCAGTTGTTGCCGAGTCGAGCTCGGCTGCTCCTGCCGTGGCTTCAGTTGTTGCCGAGTCGACCTCAGTTGCTGCTCCGGCGTCGACCTCGGTTGTTGCCTGAGTCGAGCTCGGCTGCTCCTGCCGTGACTTCGGTTGTTGCTGAGTCGAGCTCGGTTGCTCCAGCGTCGACCTCGGTTGTTGCTGAGTCGAGCTCGGCTGCTCCGGCGTCAACCTCGGTTGCTGCTCCGGCGTCGACTTCAGTTGTTGCCGAATCGACTTCGGCTGCTGTTCCAGCATCGACCTCTGTTGCTGTTCCAGCATCGACCTCTGTTGCTGCTCCAGCGTCGACCTCTGGTTGCTGCTCCGGCTTCTACCTCTGTTGCCGCTCCGATGTCGACTTCGGCTGCTGCCCCGGATTCTACCTTGGCTGCTGCCCCCTGCATCGACCTCGATTGCCGCCCCCGCATCGACCTCAGTTGCTGCTCCGGCCACTACTTCGGCTGTTGCTCCTGCTTCAAGCTCGGCCTCGATGATGACTGCTAAGCCGGAACTCAGATTGCCGAGAACATTGCGGCCACTTCTGGTGTCGAATTGCCGGGTCATCGATCTCGGTCGCTTCGACGATGGTCAGCATTGTGTCTGTGCGTGCGATCACTCTCCTGCCTGATTCTAACATTGCGGGGGATCTCCGATCTCTCGATGTCGGTTAACATGGGTATCCAGCAGGCTACTGCTGCCACAACCGGCACCGCTGTCACCGCTGCCACCGCTGTCACTGCTGCTGCTTCCACCTCTGCCTCCGCTGCCACCGCCACTGCTGCCCCTGTTTCTTCCTGTCAGCCCTGCTGATGTTGCCCCGATCACCAACATTGTGCCGGCCACCATCGTGATCGCGCCTGTTGCTGCTGCTGCCTGCCGCCGCCGCCGCTGTCACTCCAGTCACCACTGTCACTGTTGCCACCTCTTCTGTCTTGGCTGCTACCTCGTCTGCGTCTCCTGCCAGCCAGTCTGGTGCTGACAACGCCGACAGTAGCCCCTGCTGCCCAGCCCGAGACGACCGAGGTCCAGCAGGTCGATGACTCTGGCGATGGCTCCGCTCCTGAGGCCGCCAGCGACGGCGAGCAGCAACAGCAGCAGCAGCAGCAGGAGCCATCCAATGAGCAGTCCCAGCACGACGGCCCAGCCAACAACCAGCGCCGTAACGACCGCCGCGGTCGCCGTCGTCAGGACCGCAACCGCAGCAACGACCGCGCTGGCCGCTCGGGTCCTACTGAGCAGATGCGCGTTGCTGTCGTCGACAACCAGTTCCAGCCGCTCATGATGACCGAGGGCGCTGGCTGCCCGCTCGAGTACCACGGCTCGTCGGCGTGCCTCGAGGATAGCGCCAAGAACCAGTACCTGGAGTGCGTGTGGGGCAAGGTGATCCGTGTCACATGCCCCTCGGGCGCTACCTGCCAAGCCACCCCGGGCGTCGCCAGGGCCACTACGTGCGAGGCATAAGCAGCATGGCCCACCATAGCACCTGCCTACGCCCTGCTGCAGAACAGGCTCTTTCGTGAGCTGCTCTGCATCTTCGTCTGCAAAAACCCCCCATCTCCTCCGTTTTCCCGTGCAAGCCATCTCCCTTCTCTCCTCCCACCATGGCTGCAAGTCTCTACATCTGTCTCTATTCCTGGGTGGCCCTGTTGGTCCCCCAGCGTTCTTCCTTCCTCCATCAGCCGCCTCCACAAGCTACACTTTCCCGTGCTTTCTTGCTCATACCAGCATTTTTCTATATAAATCACATGACCATTACTGTGGGGATTTGCTGATGTCTTGGCTCCATGTCTTCGCGGTACTTGGCGGAGCATCACTCTGCTGCCATTGTATTTTCCCGCACCCGACTTCTGGCTTGGTAATCTTGGCCAGTTCTTGACCTAGCACTGTGCAACAAATAAGAGTCCGGGTGTGGCTAGAGAACGCAGCTAAAAAGGAACACCCAGGGCCTGCGCTATTGCTCTCTTGCCCAATATTTCCATCGCTCTGCTCTCTTCTTTCCACCTTCTCGCTGTCCGTTACGCCTCATAATACTGCTATTTTTCTACTCTAATATGCCCTCTCTCTTGGCCTCCGTGCCGACCAGCTCACTGTTCTGGTGGGCCACACCCAAGAACCTGACTGCCGGCCTGGTCGCCTATCTTTCGTACGAGATAATCTACGCCTTGTACTTTTCGCCGCTGCGCAACGTGCCCGGTTCTTTCTGGGCGCGCATTAGCAAAATTCGGACGCTCATTAGTGACATTAAGGGCGACGAGCCCGAGTACATCATTGCGAACCAGGAAAAGTACGGCAGCGTGTTTATGCTGGAGCCATACAAAGTGGCCATATGCGACCCGAGCGATTGCCGACTTGTGCTGAGCACGCACGCGTTCAGGAAGGACAGGCAGTACGGCAACATTGAGTTTTTGGAGCCCAACATGTTCCTAACCGTCGACCCAGAGCTCAACAAGCAGCGGCGGCGGCAAATCGGCCCAGCGCTGGGAATGGCGAGTCTGCGCAGGATGGAGCCCAAGATTCTGGCTGCCGGCGTTGTAACGTTGGTTGACAAGTGGGGAGCCCTGGCGGATGCGGCAGAGAATGGCGAGGCAAAGGGTCAGCTACTTTTACGACTTCTCGATGATGACGTTCGATGTCATTGGCACGCTGGGCTTTGGCAAGATGCACCGGCCGGTGCTGACCTCTGACGACCGGCGCATTGTGCGCTGGGTTAACCGCGCCTTTACGCTGATGTTCATGGAGGCCATCCTCCCTTTCCTCAAGCATTCGCCTTTCAACCGCATCTTGCGGCCGCTGTACCAAGACGCAAGCGATTTCATTACCTTTGGCAATGCAGCAATCAAGCAGCGCAAACAGGAGCTGGAGCAGATCGATGAGGCCCACAGCGATGAGAAGCCAGCAGATATTCTGCAGAGCCTGATTGACGCCGAGGATCCAGAGTCCAAGGTTCGTATGACTTCCGGACAAGTCACCTCAGAAAACATCATTACGCTGATGGCTGGTACGGACACAACAAGCAATACACTGTCTTGGGGTATACACTTGCTTCTGCTACACCCAAAGTACCACCGGCGCGCTGTCGAGGAGGTGCGTAGCCAGTTCACGCCAGACCATGTAATCACGTTCGACGAGGCCAAAGCGAGGCTGCCGTATTTGGAGGCATGTGTGTATGAGACTCTGCGCCTGCGTCCGGTATCAGGGAACTTGCCTAGAATCATCCCGCGCGGCGGCGTCGTGATCCAGGGGTACTTCATCCCCGAGGGATACTCGTGCTCGGTATGTCTGGCCGGCGCCAACATGAACCCTGATACTTGGAAGCGCCCGCACGTCTTCTACCCCGGTCGGTTTGTTGACTGCGACTATAACAAGCACCAGGTGCTGACCTTCAGCGCTGGTGTGCGAGTGTGCCCCGGAAGAAACCTGGCAATGGTTGAAATCATGACGACCCTGGCCAATGTGCTGAACCGCTTTGACCTGAGGCTGCCTGAGGACTCGCTGTTCAAGCCTGATATCCGCGACCAGCATGGGCTTCCTATCATCATGCCGCGCAATAACGCAGTAACCTCTGCTCCGATGTTCCCAGACCGCGACTGTAATGTCGTTATCAGCCGGCGCAAGTAATCATTATGCCTTGTACATGCGTATTTCTTTCTTACATTCCAATATTTAACGCACACCTCTGGCCTGCTTTTCTGCTCTGCTCTGGCTCGACATGTGCGGAAATTGACCCAAAAATAGACACGGTATATGCCTGGATGAGAGCTTATTTAAATACGGGTGAGCAAGGGGCTAAGCCACCTGAATGGGGTAGGCCAGGCGTAGCAAAATTAGAAAATGCCCGGCGAGCCCATCACCGCTGCGATTGCTGCTGCCACCGCCAAGGGAACAGCCAATCCTGGCTGCAAATCGACTGCGCCGTTTGGCTCAGTGGTCGAGCTGGGCTCTTTCTCGGAGCTTTCGGAGTGTGCTGGTCGGCGAGGGAGTGCTTGTAGGCTTATGTGTCGATGTCGGTGTTGGCGTCAGTGTCGGCGTCTGAGAACCAGCCAGCGCCTGGGCACGGCTCAGGTACCCAGCCGGCCACGTCGGCACAAAGGCCGCCGGTAGGGCAGTGGTGCCATACAGCCTAACAGCCTTTTCGTAGTCGCCCGGCTTGCCCAAGTACTTTGCGTCATTGATATTCATGTTGACTTGGTAGAAGATGCTCGCCCATGAGACAGACGCTGCCGACACGTACGACTTTGTATTGGTGATCTTTGGCGCATCCTTGATGAGGTCCTCGCCATAAACAGCACTAGCCAGAATAGCCAGCGGGAGTGTGAGTATCAGACGCATTATGCTATGTATTTAAGGTAATGTAGTGTTTGGAGGGTAGCAAGTGGAAAGAGCAGAGTGGAAAGGAATGCGTGTGCAAAAGTGAGGGTACGTTCTTGGAGAAAAAAAAAGGTGAAGATCCCTTAGCTCTCTGGCTTCTCGAAGCTACGCGCACAAGGCTATTTAAAGTCGCGGGACATTTCGCTCATCTTTGCTATTGCCACAGGCACTGTGGCGGCTTTTCTGCCTCCCTGCTGCGAGCAAATTTCGCGGCTTCCTTCTTAGCCAAATAGGCAGAGCGCGGCAGCGAATGACCATGTTTATTTTTGGCCGTTCCTTGGTCCTCCGGCGTATTGTGGCCTTTCGGAAGTGTGATGTTTGAAAACACCGGATGCAAACATTGTGTATTGTCTGTGCAAGTGTCTGAAGACGAGTCTCGGGTGCAAGTGCAATTACACAATTCTAGCTTGGGTTGGTATTGAGCTTGGTGAATACTCTTCGGTACACGAGAAACTGCCGATCCGCAGCTTCATACTCCATGCATCTACGTCATGGCCGGCTGTGGTTGTGCGCCGTCCAGTATGTTCGGCATTATTGTTTTCCACCACACGGCTCCTTACGGTTGCTTCAGTCGCCAATGCTCGAGGCCACCCAATGCCATTGTCTTTGTAGCTGCATGTGAGCCGAATGAGTAAGCGTTATGTGCATTGTGTGCAATACGTGAACAATACGCAAATCAAATCAGATTTAGCCGGTCGGTGCTTCGGTAGTCCCGAAAAACAGTACGCGTCTTCGGCGTGTCCACTTTCCTGGACCCATGAAAACGCTCAGGCAGCTCTTGCGCACTTGGTTGTCGGAATAACGTTTACACCGTTAATCTGTCCTTTTGAGCAGGTTGCGGATATTCATGAAATAGTCCACAAATGCTATTTGTAAGCACTGCGGCAAAGCGCTCCCAATATTTGAAAGTCATCGTATAAATACGGCAGAACTACTTGCCTCTTGGCCATTGCCAATTATCTTCTGAACCCATTCCAACTCTTTTACTATCCTCGCTAGCATTTGAGCCCGCCATGTCTTCTGCACCGCCTACTGAAATACCCACGATCGAGCTTGGAGTTCCAGGCGACAAGGTCAAGGTGCCACGCATTGGCTTTGGCTGTATGGGCCTGAGCTCCACCTATGGTGCCTCAGACGACGGCGAATCGCTAAAGACACTGAATCACGCCCTGGACGTCGGCAGCAACTTTATCGATTCCGCCGATGTGTATGGCTGTGGACATAACGAGCGTCTAATCGCGCAGCTGCTAAGAGATCGTCGTGATGACGTGTTCCTTTGTACCAAGTTCGGCAGCGCTTTCACTGAGCCGCCGCCAGGAAACACAGATACTTTCCACAAGTTCTTGAAGGGTGTTGATGGCACGCCAGAATACGTGCTCCAGGCCGCCTCTGATAGTCTGCGTAGGCTCAATGTCGACAAGATCGACCTGTACTACCAGCATCGCGTCGATAAAAATGTCCCAATCGAGGAGACGGTCGGGGCCATGGCAGAGCTCGTCAAGGCCGGCAAGGTGCGGTACTTGGGACTGTCCGAGTGCTCGGCCGAGACCCTTCGCCGTGCCTACAAGGTGCATCCGATTGCGGCGGTGCAGGTCGAGTACAACTGCTGGTCGCTGGACATTGAACAGAATGGGCTGCTTGAAGCCTGCCGCGAGCTGGGTGTCACTGTGGTTGCATATTCGCCGCTTGGCCGTGGGTTCCTAACCGGCCAAATTCGAAAGTTTGAGGATCTACCTGACACTGACTCCCGCCGCTCTCACCCACGGTTCCAGCCAGAAAGTTTCCACCACAACATCAAACTGGTTGAGGCGTTCGAGGAAATGAGTGCCAAGAAGGGGTGCAAGCCTGGGCAGCTGGCGCTGGCGTGGGTGCTGGCTCAGGACCCGAATCTGATTGTGATTCCTGGAACCAAGCGTATCAAGTACTTGGATGAGAACGTTGCATCGGGGCAGGTCCACATCTCCGATGCTGAGAACAAGCAGATCCGCGACATCATCAACTCGATCCCCATTTCTGGCGACAGATATCCAGAGGTCCATATGAAAAAGCTTGACAACTGAGGTGTTTCCAAATGCCATTCCAGCTCTTCGGCCGTTTAGTAATTACAGGCAATAGTCAGAGTACAGCTTTTTGTGTAGCACAACCTGTATGATTCTTCGACGATATAATGGCTGCCTGCCGACAAAAAGTACATGCATGGCCTGTGCAGTTGGAAAGCTGGATGGACTCCGCTTTGGGATTATCTTTTCTTGAAAGTTGATGAGCCAGCATTCTGCCCTTTTCTGACATCCTTTGTAGGCTAGCCCACTTTTGCATCTAAAAATAAGCAGCCTGACATTGGAATTCTACCCAGCACTCTTGGTGCTCTTGGCAGCATATAAAATGTAGCACTACTAGCAGGGTGTTGGTGCTATCAGCATTTATTTTTATCTCCATTTTCCGTCCACAATGAAATATATGACTACCATTTTCTTTTGTGTCATAGAACTCGCCTCGGTTGCTTTTTCTCAGCCGATTGATGTACACAAGCACCCAATACCACCTGTAGACATAGGCGCACAGGTCGATGACATAGCTGTGCGCATCCCGAAGCGCATACTACCATTGATGGATCAAATCGAAGCCAACCCAGTGCTAAATTCAGTACCTTCATTTTAGGTACTACACCTGTACGTTGCTAGCATGAATAGCTAATGAGCTGGCTATGCCAGTAGCCATGCCGATTGTTTCCATCTGCACATAGAGATCCATACCATCTCAAACAATATCGAAACTACATTACCACATGCAATAAATTTGTACACCCAACTTGTTTATTTGTTTGTGCCCAGCTCATGTTTTTTAGGGAAGAGTCCCTACCACAGCCCCAAAGCTGTAGGAGGCTGGTACAGGCTATCCTAAGAATGGCAACTGCTGGCTGCGGCGGATTGCCTGAAGATTATGTACCGAGAGCGAAACTCAATTTGATTTGTGTTTCTGAAACAGCTGGCCGCAGGTGGTATGCAATACAATTAGCTGTACAGCGATGAAATATTATGTTCCCAAGGCATATGCGGTGGAGAACCACCTCTGGACTGCCCTTGGGCAATCCCTTCTAGAATGTTTATAAACACATAGTGTTCTTCGTCATTGGATCTGAAGTATTTCATCGTTTGCAATAGGAGGGCAGCGGCATGCCTTGTGGACTTGGCGCAGCAGATAGCCTAAGTAATATCTATAAAATGGCCTGCTCCCAGTTGTGTGCTGGAAAAGCCCTTGTCCCACCACATTTCACCTTCCACTCCCAGCTATGGAATTACCTGTCGCCGCTATTGTTTGCACTATCGGTCTCATCCCATGCGTTGCTGCACGACCGGCTGGTACTTCCACTCACCCAATACGGCCTACCGAGCTGGCAGATGAGGACCTGGAAGATATAGCCATCCGTGTTCCTCAAGTAAGATGGACACTGATTGATCATGTGGAAGCCAGTCCGATACCAAGCCCAGAGCCTTCAAGTTGACCTCTTCTGCCAGTAGTCTCTGCTAGTTCACTGCAATACATTATTCGGCCCAAAATACTACGCTGCTTAAGTAAGCTAATTGGAGACACCTTTTGGCAAGCGTTGCAAGTGTTTATCGGAAGAAGGCAGCCTTCTATTATCGATACCATGGCAGCACCTGTTTATGCCTCTATGAAATACCCACATATGTGTAGCACGTTCACTTTGAAATACTCTGTGCTTACTTTCCATCACCGTCGATTTTCTCATTACTGAAATGGTCTATATTTTGCCCAGAGCCGCCTTTGGGCAAGCTCCTGAGCCGGGTGCTGCGCAGAACCTCCCTGTTTCAAGAGAGCACACCATTTGCTTTTCATGCACCAAGTGCTTGACAATGAGATTGTCCGCTGCACCAAGGAGGATCCAAATAAACCTGCTTGGGTTAAAGATAGTCGATGGCCGAAAACCTCGCTGATTTCTCATGGACAACATGTCCTCTTTGCTTGATCTGCACATTGTGCAATTTTCCATGCTTAAAATGGAAATAGCCTTTAGTAAGCACAGGTGGGAGGCAGTTGCGTCTGACAAGTATAAACCGTTGGATGGAGGGCCTGGGTCAGCAGGTAACGTCCATCGCCACTCAACTCTAAGATTGCCGTTTCAACAGCCATGAAAATCGTCTCAGCCATCATTTTGACACTGCCACCTTTGCAGTCTCCCCTTCTGCCCAGCCCATCAATCTACATAGACGCCAGTTGAGCGGTATTATTAACGACCTTGTCAAAGATGGTAGCAAGGAAGGGTCCGCAGCAGACTATGCACTATTTAATGCTGGAAGCGCAGGTGATGCAAGCCCCTCTCTGCCTTTCAAATCCCCAGATGCTATCAGGAAAGAAATGGCTGCTGCCTCGGCTACACACAGCATCAGCCTAGCCATCAATAGGCTAACTACACGTGTCAGCAAGGGATACTTAAAAGATGCTCTAGTCTACTACATTGAACAGATTCTACATACTGGGTCTAGCAGTACTCTCATCAATGCAAACACGCAGAGCCAGGTCATTGAGCGGTTCAACCAGCTGACTGGGCCTTTGTTGAAATGCATTGGCCAGCCTGGTCTCCAGATGGTAATGGATTTCTACGCTCAAAATTCACAGCATCTTCAGCCTGCGCCTCAACCAACTCAGAAACCTATAATATAGATTACCTGCTTGTCAAATACTTATAATAATTTCAAATGTCTTGGATTTGAATTCGCCATAAAAATAAATAGAACACCGCCAACCGAGTTTCCTGCTGGCTATGATGTGCGTGGTGGGAAATCCGGAGATCTAATTCCTACCAGCCCCTTGTATCCTGTATAAGGAGGCCAGAGGAGCTGAGGACTAGTACATGCAGCAACCATGCATGCTATCTCTGCCCATCGCTTTGCTGCCAGTCTATGAGGGATACGGCTCCTAAAAATCTCTACCCCTGGCTCGCACGCTGGCATGCACTGTCGGGAAATATCGCAGCGATCAGCACACTGGCAGCTTTGAGATCCACTAATTGCAACCCACCCTGCACAATATTGCCCTTTCCATTCTGGCCTTTATTAGCGATACACAACGATAACAAGAAGCGTTGAAGAGAGGAGTCGCGCATGGCTAATGGCCAGAACGCAAAACACAGGACCCTCACCATTCAAGTGCGGTAAAAGCCCAGGGATTTGCAAGGTTGCGTGGACATGTTTGGATCGGGACAAGTGCCAATACGGAAGAAAAGGATGCGTTGGTTAATGGTGTGGGCAGCCGCTATTTTTTGCAATTCACGTACGCTGCTGAGAGTGGCTAGCCCCCTGGGTGTTCATATATATGGCTAGATTGGTCTCTTTCGTGTCATCCGCGTTGTGCATTTGACACTCCAGGGATCTTCTCCCTTGGATTATTTCCACCTACTTTTGCTTCTACATTCCACCTATCAAAATAATGCCTATAGTGTCAGTGGCTTCCTCGCTGGTTTCGTCTCACCACATGCCGTACAAGTTCACATATGTCAGCCATAGCAATTTTGATAGCACCTATTCGCTTATATTTTCCGGCCAACTCGAGAACAGTATGGATGCGGATCTACTCTCGCCAGACTTTACAACCGAAACGGCCAAGAGCAAAATGACGCTCATGTTTCGTTTCAAGGACAACGGGCATGTGATGATGTGTGGCAAGTACGAGGAGCTGACTGGACGGCACGCCACACTGGCTAGGTACGGTACTACATTCAAGGCTGAGCGGCTGCCGTTTGGCAAACGCTGGATGTTCTGCAACAGCGCCGGGTGCTGGTACAACTGGTACATCTCCGAGGAGGGTGATGACATGCTTGTACTCAAGGACTATAACAAGAATATGTTGGCTGAGTTCCATCGCCCGCTGCTCCACTGGAAGATGGAAGGCGTGCTGACTATCCTATTATGACATGGACGAGGGCATGTTTGCGTTGGTACTGCTGACCGCCAAGATGGTGCATCGCAATATTGTAGGCCACTAGCTATCTGCTCTGTGATTGTCTTTTGTGTGCCACGCAATGTAAATAAGTCTGGCCAGTGAGAGCATGTCACAATGTATCTGCAGCGCTACTTTTACCGAGTGCTAGTTTTTTTTTTTCGATTTTTGCAATGTGTGATCTCCGCCTGGGATGTCAGCCGGAATGGTCACACGTACATCAAGCAAGAAGGATATATATAGTGTGCACAGGTAAATTTCGAACGGGCCGAGAGGGCTGCGGGCACAAAGGGAATTCATAATACATGCAGCGACCGCCTCTCCTTCTTCTCTCTTACGCAGCTTTTATTTACACCATTTATTACGTGCTAAGCTCTTGTTATATATTTTTCTGAATTATTCATCTGATAGTAGTGCAATGTACCGACACCGAAAATCAAAGTCGTCAGGGGACGTGCGCTTCACTGGGGTCACTGTCCGCCAGGCGCCGCCGCACACCATGACCTGGCACATCTTTAACGGGCGCGCAGAGGAGCCTGACAGCGGGCACTGCCACGCGATCCACCGCTCGAGCAACTTGGGATCCCTTCCACAAGATTGAAACGCCCGATTTTTTCTACACATACCTGTACTCGTCCGACGACCACTACACCATCGACGTGTTCATTCCAAACACTGTCAGCCGCAAGGTGATTCTGTACAGGGAGACCCGCATTCTGACAATATATGCGCTGGTTGTAGCACGCCGCACCTGGCACGATTTCAGCACAGGCAGGGACAACATCCACGAATTATGGAGAACATATGTGAGGGAGTTCCGGATTCCAAGGGACGTGGATTTCGAAAACATACGGGCGGATTACTACCGCAATGCAATTCAGATACGTGTGTGGAGGAGGCCGTCGAGACTCAAGCGCACGCTGAGCTGGGTCGAAGGGAGGTTGAAGCGAAGGAGTTCGCTTGGCATGGCCCAGTGACCAGACCAGGTGCCAGTCTTTTTTAGGGAGGGTGTGAGGCTGCCAGGCCAGTCGTATACTGCATGCAGTTTGTGTCCCCCTCCTCATGCTCGGCTGCTGATAGGTACACTATCTTACAAGATCTGAGGCTAGTTATAACCTTGCACAGCACCATGTCACTGGAGGCAAGATCCGAGTAACTGCAGCAGCTAGGGACAGATTGTGGAGTTTTGGCACAGAAAGGGACCCATGTAGGGTGCAATCCTCGGTGGTTGCAAGTGCGCCCCGGCCTAGCAATTTCTGACAAAGCCATGCTGCTTACCCCTGCCATCCCTTGGCAGCAACTAGTTCCCCTACTCCTACAGCATCGGCATACCAACGTGGTTGCTAATATAAATACCCTCCGTATTGCTGGCCCTGCCCCTCTGTTCTTCAGCTTACCTCTTCGTTTTTGGTCTCAAGTTCAAAAGAAATACTCTAAATAAAGGTTAGTAGTAATAGCATACATCGTTTGAAGGTAATTTATGCCAATGCTAATATCGTATCTGTCAGCTATAGATGGCAAACATTCCTACTATCGAGTTTGGCGTTCCAGGCGACAAGGTCAAGGTGCCGCGCATCGGCCTCGGCTGCATGGGCTTCTCGCCAATTTACGGTGAAGTCGATGACCAAGAGTCCCTGCAGACGATCAACCACGCCTTGGATGTCGGCTGCAGTTTCCTCGACACGGCTGACGTGTACGGCCTAGGCGGAAACGAAAAACTGCTGTCAAATGTGCTGAAGGACCGTCGTGATGACGTGTTCCTTTGCACCAAGTTTGGCAACGCCTGGAGGGATCCAGAGCCTGGGTTCCAGGGCGGGTTTGCGGATCTTCTGGTGGGCGTCAAGGGCGACTCCGAGTACGTGCGCAAGTCGTTCCAGAACAGCCTTGATCGGCTGGGTGTCGACAGAATCGACCTGTACTACCAGCATCGTGTCGACACATCCGTCCCAATCGAGGAGACGGTCGGGGCCATGGCAGAGCTCGTCAAGGCCGGCAAGGTGCGGTACTTGGGACTATCCGAGTGCTCGGCCGAGACCCTTCGCCGTGCCTACAAGGTGCATCCGATTGCGGCGGTGCAGGTCGAGTACAACTGCTGGTCGCTGGACATTGAGCAGAACGGGCTGCTTGAAGCCTGCCGCGAGCTGGGTGTCACTGTGGTTGCATATTCGCCGCTTGGCCGTGGGTTCATGACCGGCCAAATCCGCTCCTTCGACGACCTTCCTGAGAACGATTTCAGGCGTGGCAACCCCCGATTCCAGCCGGAAAACTTCCATGCCAACATCAAACTGGTTGAGGCGTTCGAGGAAATGAGTGCCAAGAAGGGTGCAAGCCTGGGCAGCTGGCGCTGGCGTGGGTGCTGGCTCAGGACCGGAACCTGATTGTGATTCCTGGAACCAAGCGTATCAAGTACTTGGATGAGAACGTTGCATCGGGGCAGGTCCATATCTCTGATGCTGAGAACAAGCAGATCCGCGACATCATCAACTCGATCCCCATTTCTGGCGACAGATACTCAAAGTTCGATATGTCGCACACATACAAATAGGCATTTGTGGTTGTGAGCAAAGCATGGTTTACAATAAAACAGAACCCTCTAAGGCACCCACTGCTTTACTACCCATGCACGGGTGCGGCCATGGGACCAAGAATCACTGACGGTCAGGCCAGTGAGCGAGCGTGGCCAGGTTTGCATGTCAGCCTAGTCATTGCATGTAGTCTCATGCGCACTATAGCTCTGACCCTTTGTTGGCCTCCATCGAGAGGGATAGGGCTCCAGCCTCCTTTCCTACCTGTCCATTCCCTCTGCAGTTTTTGCACCTTTTACATACCTGTACAAACCCCCATGCGGCGGCTGTCGAATTTAGACAACAACGTATTTGGCGCGCATTCGCATTTCCACACAATTTCCGCAAGCTCAGCGGCGGGCCGCACGCTGCCCGACTCGGGCTGGTTCCTGTCGTGGCCTGAGCACCGGCGCACCATAGGGCAGCACGGCGACATATTCAGCCGCGGCTTTTTCGATGAGCCGGCAGCAGTCACAACGCGCAGCAAGCAGTCGCATGAGCAGGACGAGATCTGGGTAACCAACGAGCTGTTCAAGGAGGCGAGGCCAAAAGTAGAAGTCAAGGACGGATTCCTGTGCGTGTATGCGGGGCGGTCACGCACTAATACGCACGGCGGAGTGGCTGCAAGCGAGACGTCGGAGGTGGTCTACCGCACTCTGCTGCCAGCAGGTGCGGTCCTGTCGAAGCTGTCTGCAAAGCGTAGCGGCGACACGCTCCACCTGGTGATTCCAAAGAAATAAACAAGGGCTGCTCTCCAAAGCGGTCACCTGAAGGCGAAGCTCCGAAAGGCGCCGATTTGCCGCTTTGTCACGTGTAAGGGGCAGTGCCACCCAGAGTTTCACATGCAAGGCGTCCATGTGCACATGGCAGGTGCATTGTCTTTCTCCGGGGAGAATAGCACCTCTCCCACCTTAAAAACGCAAGGACCGCCCCGGCAGGAACCTCAGGCTTCCACTTTGTCTCTTCCTCGACACTCTTCCCCTCGACTTTTAATAGAATGCTTCGCTCATCGCTCTTCAAGACTCTGCGCACGGCGTCTGCCACCCGCGCCTTCACCACATCAGCCCCGGCTCGCCAGTTCACTCTGCAGCTCAGCGAGGACCAGGTGGCGATCCAGGACCTCGCCCGCAACTTTGCGCGCGACGTCATCATCCCGGCAGCCCCGCACCACGACAAGACCGGCGAGTACCCAGGTCGACGTCATCAAGCAGGCATGGGAGCTGGGCCTGGTGAACACGCATCATCCCCAGCGAGTACGGCGGCCTGGGCCTGGGAGTGTTTGACGCAGCGCTAGGTGTCCGAGCAGCTCTCGTACGGCTGCTCAGGGCATCCAGACGGCCATCGAGGCCAACGGACTTGCCGAGGCACCGGTGATTCTGGCCGGCAACGACGCGCAGAAGAAAAAGTACCTGGGGCGGATGACTGAGGAGCCGCTGATGGCCGGGTACTGCGTGACGGAGCCGGGAGCCGGATCGGATGTGGCCGGCGCCAAGACCACAGGCGGTCAAGAAGGGCGACAAGTGGATCGTCAATGGCCAGAAGATGTGGATCACTAACTGGCGGCAAGGCCAACTGGTACTTTTTGCTGGCCAAGACCGACCCGGCGGCCAACGCCGGCAAGGCCTTCACGGGCTTTATTCGTCGACGCCAACACACCCGGAATCACCGTCGGCCGCAAGGAGTGGAACATGGGGCAGCGCGCATCCGACACCCGCGGCATTACCTTCGAGGACGTCGAGATCCCCGACGAGAACGTGCTGGGCACGCCCGGCCAGGGCTTCAAGATCGCCATGGGCGCCTTCGACATTACGCGGCCGTTGGTGGCCTCGGCGGCAGTGGGTGTTGCCCAGCGCGCCATGGACGAGGCTAGCAAGTACGCGCTCGAGCGCAAGACCATGGGCAAGCCCATCATTGCCCACCAGGCTGTTGCCTTTATGCTGGCCGACATGGCTATCAACACTGAAGCCTCGCGCATGATGGTGTGGAAGGCCGCGTGGCTGCGCGACCAGAACCAGCGCAACAGCTACTATGCGTCCATTGCCAAGGCCCTGGCGTCCGAGACCGCAAACAAGTGCGCCCAGGATGCGGTCCAGATCTTCGGCGGCAACGGCTTCAACACCGAGTACCCGGTCGAGAAGCTGTACCGGGATGCCAAGATCTTCATGATCTATGAGGGCACGTCGCAGATCCAGCGCCTGGTTATCTCGCGGGCAGTTGCTGATGCGGCCAAGGAGCTTTGAGTTTAGATCGAGAAAATTGCCTAATATTACTTGAATTTACATTAGCTCTGCTGCATACTAGCTGCCCTGCGCCCCACGGATCCTCCTTTGCCGTCTAGCAGAGTTTGTTTCTGCGCACCTGTTACTTCTGTACGCCATCCACCCTTGACAGCCGTGGGAGATAATCAGCCAGCAAACACAGCGCGCAGCTGTGGAGAGTGCAACATTCAGGATGCTGGCTGTAGAGATACTGATACTGCCGTTGTCTGTCTTCATGGTACTTTTGCATTTTCTTTGTAATAGTTAGTAGAACATAATCAATACAACGCCCGCGGCAAACCCAATAGTCGAGATTCCACGATACACCGTGTATTCCCGCTCAGCATTACCCATGAAGTGGAAGTGGTCAACCAGCATGCCCATGACCATCTGCGCAACCACCGACAGGGCAATGCAGATGCCGACACCGCGCCTCGGGATCATGTAGGTGATCACAAACACGTAGAAAGCGCCGCACAACCCGCCTATCCATGCATACCACGGAGAGTCGCCGAGCTGCTGCTTGTAGTCCAGATTCTTGGCCCCCTTGCTTTCGCCGATCCAGATAATAAAGCAAACCACCATGCCGCCAAAGAATGTCACCCAGGGCACGATCTGGCCCGGCACCTTCATGCCTCCGGCGCCATTCACCGTCGCCTGCACCGCCAGCGCGCACCCAGCTACCAGACACAGGAAGATACAGAATCCAGCGTTATCGATCGCCGACATGGTGAAAAAGTAGGGTTTAGTATGAATGAAAAGCTACGCGTAGAGACCAAAAGCAGAGGCAAGGTTTATCAGTGAGTCCGGGGATCGCAAAATGGACAGACCCGTATCTTTCGGTTTGTTTGTGCCTCCCTCTCCCCTTTTCCTGCGCCCAGCAGCGGGGATCGGGAGAGATGAGCAGGAGAAAAACTTTTTACACCTCGGTCAAAACACGCTTGCCCTGTGTACCACTGAGCATCGCCACAGAGACCCAACGGAAAATTCTATAGTTGTAAAAATTTCTCTATTCGGCATCCCGCGCTCCCCACCTATCACATTTGTCGCAGATCTCGCAGTCTTTACATGTAAAGACGCGGGTCACCCTCCCGGGTATATGTTCCTGAAAGCCACCAGATGTCGCAAAATGCGTGCTGGTACCCGGGAGACATTGCAGATACAGCCGGGGGTAGCCTCTTTGCAGCTAAAAGCCACCCGCCCACCACGAGAGAAACTATCCGTGACACATTCGGCAGGTAAATGAAAGGCGAGGGAGGCCACTCTGCTTTCCTCCACCTCCCCCATCCTGTAGTCTTTAAATTTGCACTCTAATTCTCAATATGTCTGATAGCGTTATTGGCACCAATGACAACAAGGCTCCGCTGGACTCCCTCAGCGACCATGCCACCTATGTCCGCATGGCTGTGATCATGTGTATCCTGGCACTCTACATTGTCTATGTGGCATGGTCGACGTGGCTCTTTGCAAGACGCACGGCAGCGTGTCCGCGAGCTGGTCCACCGGCCCATCCCGCTGCTTGCTAGCACAGACCGCCGGATGCCTTTTGTTGGGCATCTACGGTCTGCTGTGCACGGCGCTGCCCCAGTTCCCGTGCTTTGTGCAGCTCTGGCTGCTGACCATTGGCCTGACTCTTCTGATGATTGCGCTGGCTACGCGCGCCACGCAGCTCATCATCATGGCCAAGATGCACCAGGTGAAGAGCCAGCTGGCGGCGCTCGGCGGCGTGGGCATGACGCATGCGTGCTCTCAAATCACTCCTGCGGATTCCTCGGCTGGCAACCAGAGCAGCGCCAGACTGAGCGAATTTGCCGCTGGTCCCGGTCCGTTCCCAGCGGACAGCATGCATCTGGCGCCGGTGCTCAGGAAAGGCGACTATTCGGAGCGTATCCGTCTGCACACGAGCCTGGTGCGGTGTCAGCGGGTGCGGAAACTCACCAGCGACAGCCGGATGAAGCAGTACGCGGCCTGTCCTGCTCATGTGCATGTTCATCATGACCCTGCTGATCAACATACTGTCGCCCAAGTTCTCGCTTATCCCGACAAACACTGAATGTGGGTTTGTCTGGGGCATTTTCCCCATCATCGCCATCTACGGCACCTTCCTGGTCATCGTCGTGCCTGTGTTGCTGATCATGCTGTGGTCAGTCGAGGACGTGTACGGAATCAAGGACCGACCTGGCCATCTGCGCTGCATTAACCACGCTCTGCCTGGTGCTGATGATAGTCTGGAACGTCAAGCTGGTGGCCGCTCAGGAAGCCGATTTCCTTCGCAGTTCTTCGTCTGGTTGTCGGCATGCGTCCTGCACTTTATGTCGATTTCCTGGCCGGTGATCCGCGCCCGCCGCCTGGCCACGTCGCCGGGTGGCGATGCCTGGCTTAACGCGCAGCAGTACAAGTCGCAGGCAGCTTCCGGCGACGAGGCATTGTCGCCACGGCAATGCGAGTTTTTTGCCATGCTTGAGAGCGACATCGAATACGAGCGGTTCCGTCGGTACGCTGCCGCCTGCTTCTGCTCAGAGCTCACCTGCGTTCCTTGACGAATACCAGATTCTAAAGTACTGCACTGTGCATGCGCTTGAGCAGCGCGCCAGTTTTGTGCGGTCGCGGTCGCCGACCAACGTCAATGATATTTACGACAGACTGGTTGGTGACCGCGAGCGAAACCGCCCGCTGCGCCTCTACACCCACGTCACCGTCGGCATTCTGGAGACTGTCAGCGCTGTGTTTCCCGGCCTCCAGTTCTCCAAGGACTCGTTCTTCCCAAGCACAATCGCCTATGTGTATGTGTCGCTGGTGTCGACGTATATCCACCCAGAGTCACACTTGGCCATCAACGTGACCCGGCCACATTGCCGACGATATCCTTGACAAGCTCCACAAGCGCGAGATGACGCTGGGCGCGCTCGACACTGCCAAGGACGAGGTTCTGAGGCTGCTCTACACTGATGTGTATCTAAGATACTGCTCCAAGCAGGACCGCGTCGACAGCTCCAGGTAGCGAAAAAGAAAAAGCACAGAAGTTTATTCTAATGATCATTAAATATCCCCTCATTCAGCGCTTGGTGATAACAATATTGCAATCGCGCTCAGGGAAACGCGGATGCGACAGCAGCGTGTGCTTGCGCGGCATAATGACCGGCTCACCGTCCTCGCCCAGAACCTCGGGGCCGAACAGCGAGTCCTCAGGCAGCTCAAAATTGAACCGGCTGATCAGGTTCGCCAGGGTCACGAAAATCTCAACATACGCCAGGTGCTTGCCAGGGCACACGCGCACGCCGGCGCTGAACGTCAGCAGCTGCTGCTTCATTTCGGGATTGGCAAGGAAGCGGTCCGGATTGAACACGTGCGGGTTCTCCCACACATCCGCATTCATCTGCGAGCCGCCCAGGCACACGGTCAGCTGAGTAGCCCTCGGGGATGAAATGGCCCTGGAAGGTTGCGCCGCCTTGCGGCACTACCCGGGCCACATTGCCGGCCACTGGGCGGATGCGCATCGACTCGTACACGCAGGCCTCCATCAGCGGCAGCTGCGCCTTGGCTTCCTCGTATGTGATGATATGGTCCCGGTCGAATGCTGCACGCACCTCCTCCTTGACGCGCTTGTACCAGACCGGATGCAGAAGCATCAGATGCGTAGTCCAGCACAGCGAGCTGCTGGTGGTGTCGGTTCCGGCAATGATTGTCACGATGCTCTCCGAGACCACCTCCGATGGCGTCATCTTGATTTTGGACTCGGGGTCCTCGGCATCAATGAACGACTGCAGGATGTCCGCGGGCGGCTCAATGCCCTCCCTGACCTTCTGCTTGCGCTCGTCAATGACCGACTTGCCAAAGGCAATCAGCTCGTCGACACTGCGGCGGATCTTGCGAGTGAAAGTAGCGCAGAGGTTGGTACTTTGTAACCGGGGAAAATCATCTCGCTGACCAGCAGTGCCATTGACTTTTCAATCCAGTTGATCAGCTGCCGGTTGCCCGAGCGCAGCGCATCAAAGTACCTGCCAAATGCCAGCACCGAGATCACGTCAAAGGTCATCAGCATATACGTATTGTAGTAGCTGACCTGTGGCACGACCGCCGGGCGCGCTGTCGATGGCGCTATTCCACTGCTCGATGACGGGCAAAATGCCGCATTCCAGGATCTTGGGCTGCATCTTGCGCAGACTGGCCGGGTTGAATGTTGGGCCCACCTGCCGCCGCCGCTGCTTGTTGGCCTCCGGGTCGACTGATGTCACCAGGTTCGGCTCAATAAATGTGACGTGCTCGTAGTCCTTGTCCTTGCGGAATGCGTGTGTGGACAGCACCGCGCGGCAGTCGCTTGGATCGCACAGGGCAATCTTGCGCGGACCAACCAGGAATATGTTGCCATACTGCCGGTAGTTGCGAAGAATGTACTCGGACTCGTTGCCAGCAAACTTGTTCTTCCAGAACACCATCTTGTTGAACCGCGCCATGAAGTCGCCTGGGAATCTTGCGCACCGGAGAAAGAAACAGGGCGTAGATGAGCTGGTACAGTGGGTAGGCGCACACTGCTGCCATAGCCGCCTGTCTGGTGAGGTAGGGTGCGATGCTCTCGAGCACCCTGTCCATCGCTGGAATATCTACAGAGTACATCAGAGATTCAAAAATAATACAGGAGAGGAAATGGCGAATTATGAGAGATAAAAAAATAAACACTGTCCAATTCCGGACTGTCTACCAGTCTCCTTTCTGGTCTCTTAAATACCACTTGCATTGCACGCAGACGGCCTCTATGGAGCCTACACACATCCATTTGACAGTCGGACAGGACTGTTTCGGACCCCTGGAGGCACCGCTCGGATGTACAAGCATGGAAAAAGAGGCTGTGGAGGAGGGTTCGTTTCACGAGCATCCAGGACACGCAGTGGTCCTAACCAGTAAGGGATGAAAACGGCAGACTCGCTCGAACGCGCCAATCATGACTCGCCCGCGCAGCTCAGACATACAGAGTGGGGGACCGTCCAAAAGAAATAAAGCGGCTTCTATATCCGCGGACCCGCCAAGATTGCCACCTTCCAAGGTGTGACAAGCTCTGAAAACGAAAATGAAGGCAGTCCAGGGACAGAAATCCCGTCAGCTCCGTGCTGGTCGGAACGAGAGGACATGAGGTTTCCGAGAAGACGCCGCACTGAATGTGAATCCAGGACCGCGCAATTCGAGTTCATAAACCCCTCATAACTCTCCCCCATGTCCCCCCATCCACCACACAGTTTCGCGGAGGCCTTCGCCCTGCTGCTCTGGATATTTTGTTTGGGACCATGCTTGGTAGTTCAATTAGCGCTGAGTGGACAATCCTCCCCCACACTATTTCTCTGGCCTGCCAGAATCGATTGCCAAATGCCAGTCTAATTGCGAATGGCATCGCGCTGCAGAGGAGATGCAAGACGCTGCATTCTCCGCCTGCCCGTCCCAGCAAGCCAGAGCGATGAACAACAGGGCTGTGAAATTAGATTAGATCCAGCGATGATGTGCTGTTGCCAGCAGCAAGGGGAGGAGAGAGGACATGTGCATCGTAGCAAACACCCGGCGCACCCTAGAAGCCATCCGGGAATCCAGTTTAGACTACCTCTACATACAAGCTGCAATTTATTTTTGGAACCAAGTCCACCTCTTGGATAACAGCAAGCACACATGTTCCAGCGCATGGCTTAGTCCAATATGTACCGATTCTGGTTGCCCATCCTGTCCAGGCTCGGGGTGCTGTGGATGCCCATATACGCTGTGCCTCCAGCAGCGCTGCTCTCGAGATTGCCGCGGTAGAAACCGCCAATCGCGGTCATGCCCTCAGCGGTATAGTTGGCCGGATTTCCTCGGTCGTACGAGTTGCTGAGCTTCATTGATGTGTCATGCGCTAGCTGGTACTCACGCGTCATGTTGGACTCGCGCAGCCGCTGTGCAAAGTAGCTCAAGTGCTTCTGACGGTTAAACATGCAGTGGAAGACGGGCGGCCCCAGGATGACAAAAAAGTACACTTGAGCGACGAGAATGGGCAGCATCGTGTTCAGTGCACCAAAAATGAAGATGCGCTCCGGCGTCAGCGGAATCCAGGCCGTAGCAATGCCAATAATCAGACAGACGCATGCAACGATGAAGCACCATACGACCTGCCTGTACTCTGAGAAGCACGTGTTGATGTGCCGCGAGTAAAAGAGGACGAAAATGAAGGCCAGCATCTGGAGGAAGCAGAACGATATGCTCATGTAGAAGAGATTCATGGACCCGTCACAGCCCTTCCGTTCGGGGACGTATCGTATGCCATTCTCTTCTGGCAGCGCGATTGAGACGATGCCGTAGACGAGAGGAATCGAGACCATGTAGATCATCGGATACCAAAAGTACTTGCCCTTGACTCGCTGCTTCCAGATAAAAATGCTGATATACTGGTACAGCCTGGCCTGGAACAGAGACATCCACAGGTAGCCACCCAGGCACATCCGCAGCCACGAGTTGGCTGCGACACATGTAACCCTGTTATACTTGGGCAGCGTGAAGAACGTGTAGATGTCGCCAAAGTACCACAGCACTGAGGATATAAAGGTGTATATCATTAGCGGGATGTTTTTGGCCTTCAACGGAAGATACGAGCGGTTGGCGTAGGCGTAGACCTAGGATGAGAAAGTCGATGAAGAGGCACCCTGCAGCCGCACAAATAACATAGATCTCACGTGGGGTTGGAAGCGACACAGGTGCAGCCACAGGTGCAGCCACACTGGTTGGCATAGGCGCAAGCGAGGACATGCTTACGTATAGTGAGGATATGGTGTATTCGAGCAATGACTAAGAGGCAGTGAGGAATACAGCGGAAATAGGGTGGATTTCGAGATTAATTTACAGTAGAGTAGGGAGCAAAAATACTAAAGGCAGGGAACGGACTGAACACAAGCTACTGCGCCTTGCACGTCTTCTTATAGAGACAGCCATGTACGCGTATGTAATAATTCCCACAGACGACAGAGAACTATACGCCAAAAATAGAACCACTACGGTCCAAAACATTGCCTGTGCATCATGTAGAAAAGAAGGCAGCTGATAGCGAGCGACGATGGTGCATCCAGGGATCTCCCTGTAGACAGCTTGGCCCGCAGCTATTTCTTTGTACCTTTGTAGACCGCTACCAATTATTGTGACAAACTACAATTCCCCGTGTTTAGCAAGTCTCGATCAATTTTCTTCATGAAAATCACTCCCCCGCCAGAGCCCACTCATTTACTTGCACTAAAACCTGACTAGTAGTTGCTGTTTGTTGAAGAGCCGCACTTTTCAGCAAAACTTCCATGGTTGCAACCACGGCTGCTTAGTAATATAGTCCGTGCTTGGCTTGGCATTGTCACAGCGTCTGTGCGTGGCGACCATGTCGGAGACCTTGTGAACTGCACCCCACCTGCGCATTCTGCATAAAGCATTGGCGATTGCAACTGGCAGTGAATTCAAAAACGCCCACGCCCTACCTTTGCAATGTTGAAAATTTAGCCAGTGCTTGGTTTAAAAATAGAATAGGCAAAAAAGGGATTCAGGCGAAGCAGTCCCCGACGGTCATCGATGCATAATGGTGGGTGGTTTCCCATCAGCTCATTTGCCCCATGCATAAACCTGCGATCAGCAGGACTGGTAGATCACTAATGATTGTGGTGCATGGCCCAGACCATACATGTGCTGGTTTGCTGCTTACTGATACATGCAGCTGTGGTGGTCGGGAACAAACAAATGCTTCTAAGAAACGCTTACAAAGAGCATCTTCAATGCACCGAGTTAATCTCCATTCCCCAGACTGCTAACCCCGTGTGCTGCCGGTTGGTTTTTTTTTTTCGAAAACAACCGAGGCAGGATGCACCATCATATGCATTTGCACACATGAAGCAGCAACTGCAGTGCAGCTACGCGCTTTTTAGGTCAAAGAATCCGCTCAGCGTCAAGTAGAATCCCTACAAGATGCTTACGTAAATTGATTGCAAGTGGTCGAAACACGTTGTGATCCTCCAGGCGATGGCAGGCATAAAGTGGCTGTGCGCTATCTGCCAATCAATGGGTGGTGTGTGCCAGTGAACCTGCTCCAAAGTTACATTGACTGGGGCTGTTGCATCAATCGTCATTATCGCTGTCAATGTTGCTGCCTCTGCTGGAGAATAAGGCCGCAGCAATGCACACATCACTTCTTTGCACCAGCATAGCCTTCCATAGCTATTTTTAATATAAACTGTGTGGTTGTTAACACAGTCAGGAAGTGCCACAAAAAATATATTTTTGGCACGGTATAGCCGACAGAAATCATACAAGATATGCTAGGGTCCTTGCTTCTCCAGATCAGGATAGACATTTGCCTAGTACACTCGATTGCTGGGGTAGAACGTATTGCTTGAACCGCTCGTGCTATTGACCTTAGATGCGGTCAGCGGCCGAGGACCGTGGATCTGTGCAGAGTCAGTTGGCTGGCTGCTATCAGCGCAGTTGTACTCCCATGTCAAGTTGTGTTCAGACATCTTCCGCAAAAAGAAATCCAAATACGCGTTCCGGTTGAACATACAGTGGTAGATTGGCTTTCCCAGGGTGGTGACAAAGTAGACTTGACACGCCAGCGCAAGGAGGGAGGTTTTCAGTATCCCTAAAATGAGGATGCGCTCAGGCGCCATGGGAATCTAGTATGCTGCAATGGCAACAGTCGGCGATAACGATGTCACTGATAAACTAATCATCATCTTGCAGTGCTCGCAAATTGAAGTCCTGATGTTGCGCGAGTAAAAAAGTACGTATGCGAACACAGTCATCTGGCAAAAGGCCAGTGCCAAGGAGATGTAGAACAACAGAGACGACCCTGGGCACGTCTTGGTTTCCTGATTGAATCAAATTCCGCAATTGCGAGGCAGTGCCACACTCACTACAGCGTAGATGATCGGGAGAGCTACAACATAGATGCCTGGGACCCAGTAGCACTTGCCCCGGGCGCAACAATGCCAGATATAAATATGCAAATATGCCTGTAGAGTCGGTGCTGGAGCAGTACCATGAACAAGTACGCGCTGAGCGACATTCGCAGCCACGATGTGGTTACCACACATGCAAACCAGCTGCTAGCCGACCTCACGCCCATATAAGAATAGATGTTACCAATAAACCACAGCGCTGACGTAGCAAATGCTATTAGAATTAGCGGGAAATCACGCGACTTGATCGGAAGGCGTCCTCTCTGAATGAATGCATAGATGGGGCAGGCAGAATTCAAAATATACACAGCAGCTAGCACCCAGACTATAGTCTATCTTTTGATACCATCCGAATCTGCCATGAAAACGAACAGCTAAAACCAAGATAGCGATAGATAATATTGTAAATGTGTATAGACTGTATTGGAGAAGAGCTAGTAATTCAGCAGCAGCAGCAGCTGAATAGGCAAAGGTGGCTTCGTATTTATGATCTTTCAGAGCGTCCACAAAAACTTTAATCCCGCACGAGGGATAGTCACTGCTTTGTAAAGAAACTATGTAAACACCGACCGCTGGCTCCTGAGCATATCAGCAAAGCTCCCCTGCAGCAGGCCATTGTTGGAGCGATTGACTTAACAGAGACAGAACCATATACTGTATTAAAATACTGTACCAATTTGCAGTATATTGTCATCGGTGTCGATTGGATGGCAGGAGGCTTGGGTCTGGAATTGAAATTATACTACTGTGGGCAGTTCTTAGATCCGCAACTGGGGTTTTGATTCGGCCAGTCTGGTAGACCTGCATCCAGTTGCTGAGATGGCGGTATTTTGGTTTGGGCAATCAGCTGCTTGATCAGCTAGAGCTCTGACGACTGCTAGGTCAGTGTGTTTAATACAGTGCACCTCTAGATGCACTGCTTAGTGGCTAGACCATATCGCTGGTACACCACCCATGAGGAAAACCAAAAATAGCCTGAGCATACACAACAGACCTTTGGAGTAGCATCTAGTAGACATGCAGTCATGCAGCTGTTGGCTGAAACAGCGCTTTTATTCACAACACCACCCACCACTTGGCTCTGTGGCCTGTGATCTGCTTTGTTGGTATTCATTGGCATATTACCAGCGAGAAAGTGATTTCATCACGGGCTGCTGTCACTTGATATAAACCAGGTGTAGAAACCCATGGAACTATGCTTTTTATTCAATGAATGGGCTAAACTAGTTTACGGATGTACTGGTTGCTGTTGCTGTTGCTGTTTCTGTTGCTAGAGCTGTGTCCCTCGTTGATTTCTTCGAGTGCATGGTATGCGTTGAGTGCATTTTCCCTCCTATTCGGCCCACCAAGCCAGCTGTGACGGCTGGCAGCTACTGTTGTCGATGTCCTCAGAGTGGAAGTAAGGTTGTCAACCTGACCAGCAGTTGAGATACTGTACTCTTGCATAAGATTCTGGGTCCGTAGCCGGTGCATAAAGTACTCAACGTATTCATTGGGGTCGACGATCGAATGGTAGATGGGCTTGCTCAGCAGGACTATCAAATACAACTGGGCGGCGATGAGCATAAAAGAGGTATCCAGCATTCCTTTGTAGAATTTGCTCCCGGTGGTGTTAGGAATCCATCTGACAATGATGGATGCAACTGTTGCGGCAACTGTCGTGGAGATGATGATGACAATCTCTCGGAACTCTCGGAAACAGGTGTTGATGTTGCGTGCTAGATAAGTCAGTGCAATCGCCGAGCAGAGCTCAATCACGATTATGGCTATTGCAAACATGTAAACCGGCGCTTTTGTTACGCAGTCGTTGTTCTCGGGGAAGTACTCAAAGCCGATGCTGGGTGGAAAGAGTATAGCAGCTACTGTGTATGGCACAATGAGTACGAATACATAAATGGCAGGCCACAGCAGATACCGCCCAACTGCACGCTGCTTCCAGCGGAAAATGAGCAGATACTGCCAGATTCGGAGCTGGAACAGTGCGACCCAAAGGAATGTCCCGAACGACATGCGCATCCCAAGCCCACATGACGATACAGATCATTCGGCTCTTTGGCATCCACGTCGAGTTGTTGACACTCACATTGCCGGCCCACCACAGGAACTTGCCCAAAGAATGTCGCATAGATTAGTGGCAGGTTTTTGGCTTTCAAAGGAGGATAGTTTCTCTTGAAGAAAGTGAAAACCAGGACGAGGAAGTCTATGAATACCACTCCAGCGGTAGCTATCGAGAATGCCACATCGCGGCTATCAACATTCATCGCCATTCGCAAAAAAATGTGCTGTAAAAAAAGACAAGGAGACGAAGATTGATAAACGCAATACCTGAGCAGTCCAATCGACCCATCGCGATTTCGCCAAGGGATGCATTTATGTACTCCTCTTGCTCACAGGATTGCCAGTATCATTGCAGATAGGGATCCCCTCAATTTCACATCAGGCATGGAATGTTCCTCAGTACATGCTAAAAATGGTGTGTTCGAGCAATGTAGATTCCTAAATCATGGTCCGGATATGCCGCTCAGGCTGGACCGACATGTAGATTACGGCTAATCGGCTTAGCTGCAAAGGACTTTGGTTGGTGATCTGTCCTTTGCCGTCGACGGATAAACCTTTTGGAACATATGAGGTCCGCAAGCTTGCTATTTAGATTTACACAGTTGACAAGAACAAAAAAGCGGGTGTGCCTGTCCCATCTATGTGGGCTCCAGTCAGTCAGTATTCCTTTCTTGGCCACGGGGCTTCTTGGTGAATCGGTGCATATGGTTGCTACCTTGGATCTGTCTGGTCCGTTGCCGCTGGTAATCACCAGATTATTATCAATTTATTTTGCTACTTGGTTAAGTCAGCTCGGTCCATCTCCATTTCGCAGTGGGGCCATATAAATCTGGCAAGACAGTGTAGCGGTCGATGGAAAATTTCACCGGTTTGCCTAGCTGGTGTCATAGCCAAGGGGGTTATACATATATACATGTATATGATAGCCAGAAGGCAATAGCCGACGAATGCTATCCTAAATGGGGATACGATGGAACAGGGGACGGTGCTGGCTTAAAATTCGTGCCCACACGGTCATCTGAGAGTACAGCATAGATCAAGTTGGATCTCGATTATGGCGCTGGTGCCATATGTGTACTGGGTCGGCAGGGGTCGGCTGTCATTATCAATATAACCAAGTGGCAAAGAGCGGCTGCCCTCAACTTCATATACATCCAAAAGGACTGTTTTCATGGAGGTACTCAATAAAATGATCAAGATACGCGTCACCATCAACAAAGCAGTGATATGTAGGCTTAAAAGAGGATTATACCGAAATAAACTTGGCATGCCACGGCAACAACTGTGGCCGTGGCCATATTTGCCGCAGACTGGTTTTGTTGCAGTTCATGGAGCCAGCGCATGGCCACCGTGAACAGTATGGTGACGACACCACCGGTAATTCATATTACAATTTCTGCAAACTCGTTATAGCATGATCCGATATCGCGGGCCATATATGCCAGTATTACCGCTACCAGAAACTGCAACACCATCAGCACAACAGAGATGACATACAGTGGTCGCTGAACTGAGCATATACCAGTTGTCTGGTCGAAGGTGATTCCGACGCCTTGGGACATGATTACAGCCTGGAATAGCATAGCACACAGAGATAATAGCTGCACTCATAACCGCTGCCCACAGATAAAAAGTACAGCGAAAACAGCCATATGATGGAGGGGTAAAAGGAGGACAAGGATACACTGGAACTATTAATATAAAATGAGGGTTTAGAAAACTTAATTTTAGCACTAACCAGACCGATCGCGAGTACACAGTCGCTGGGTTCTCTTTTGTACCGTGGACAGCCTGAGAGACAAGACTATCTACATTCTAGACAATGCGACGGTCAGGGTAAATCGAGCTTTGCCTTGCTTTCCATGAGTCAACCAAGACCATGTGCATCTGCGGGTCTGATTCGTAGATCAGAAAACTGTCAGTGTGGCCAACTTGAGAATCAACTGTGAATGTCGACCGCAGGGAGGGATCTGTTATCCTTTGTAGAGTGGCTGCTGTTTCTGTCCGCTGTTGATGCTGCTGCTGCTGCTGCTTTTGTTGCTGGCGGGAAATATCGTACTCTGTCATCAGGTTACTTTCTTTCATCCTGTGTAGCATAAACACCAGGTACTCCTCACGATCTACCAGAGCGTGAAATATCGGGCGGCCTAGCAGCGCAATAAAGTATATCTGGCATGCAACAAGCAGCAGGCTGGTATTGATGATACCAATCACGACACGCGAATCATCGCCACGTATGATCCACCTAAAGGCGACTGACAGGCCAACCGAGGTCGACATAGCGACCAGAATCACCACCATCTCGGCAAACTCATTAAACAGCGGCGTCATTTTGCGAGCATGAATAACGAGCGATACCGCGGCAATCATCTGCAGCGCAATTATTCCGATGCCAGTGTAGTAAATTGGCTGGTTGGCTTCGCATACACCCTGCTCCGCATTGTAATCGAAACCCGTATCTTGGCGGGAGAGCTGCTGCCGCAATTGCGTATGCCGCAGATAGCGTGGCCATTGTGCATGTCGGTAGGAAGAAGTACCACCCCGTTGGTCGCTGCTTGAAAGAGAATATCAGTATAAAGTGATACACTCTATAAATGAACAGCCCGACAAACAGGAATCCGCCTAGCGACATGCGAAATATGCCCAGTGTCAGGATGCAGATGGCCCGGTTACGCGTAAGAAAGGTGTTATTGTAGCAATAGATTGTGCCGATCATCCAAAATAACATAGCAACGGATGACGCGAATATGTTTGTAAGGTTTTTCAACTTCAGAGGCAGATAGCTGCGTTGCCTGAACGTGTAAATCAAAAATAGAAAATTCAGGACCATGACGCCAGCGCCGACACCAACTATAATCTTGTCTCTGCTGTCTGGTACTGTCTTCATTGGTAAGGGGATCTGGGAAATGCGCTAAGAGAGACAAAATAAGTAAAGTATTTACATGGATAGAAAGCAGAGAAAAAGCCTTTGCCCTGGCCGTGACTTTGCTGCCCTTTTAAAGCTGGGTGGTGCGGCACTTGGGAAGCTCCCGTGCTCGGAGTCTGAATGGGAGTTGTACGCACCTGCAGTTCTCAATTGCCACAAAAAAGAATAGAAGCTGATTCCGAATACGATGTCATCGTTCCAACTCCCCTTTAAACCGCGTTCTGCGAATGAGCTCAGGAACAAATCACTGCACAGGCATGCAAGGCGGTGTTCACTGTATGCCCGCATGTTTATTGACAGCTTGCTGCCAGAAAGAAAAGACAATTGTTCGGTACCAAAATAGTGGCTGTGCTATAGCTTGGAATTGGAAAACTAAAAAGCTAGACAATTCTGCGATTTGGAAACAGATCCATCTGCCCCATGTTGGCTGTATCCTCGAGACGCAAGTAGCTTCCGTCAAATCCATTTGAATAGAGGGCAGCCGTGAATACCCTTGGACCTGTAGATGCGATGGTTTGCTGTGAGTTGTTGGCTGTGGGGTCTGTGACGCAAGCCTGCTGCCGTGCCGGAACACCCGCTGATGCTAATAGTTTCGCCGGCGCCATGCCACCTCTGCGCATACTCCCACTCTCTCCCTCTCGCATGTGATGCATAAAGTGATCCAGATACCTGTTCTTGTCAACGAGACAGTGGTATAGTGGGCGACCAAGTAGCACTATGAGATAGAACTGACAAACTAGCAGGTCAAAAATTGTAGTAACTGTTCCTGAAATGAACTCTCGGTCGTTTGATAGCGGTGCTATGCGAATAACAGTTGCTACAACAGCAGCCATGAAAATCATGGCGCAGATGCTAACCATCTCCCGTGACTCGTTGAAGAGGCTGTGGATGCGGCGGGTCATGAAAGGTAAGGACCAGAATAACAATTCCTTGAAAAATAAAATATCCGGTTGCTAGGTACTGCATGGTGTTGCTGGTAATGCATTGGTTTTGTTGCAGGTCGTAGTTGAATCCGTACTGACGAGGTAATGCAGCTGCTAATATTGCGTAGATAAGTGAGGGAATGGCCATGAAGGCAATTGGCAGCCAAAAGTATTTGCCTGTTGGCCGCATCTTCTTTATGAAAATGAGCCAGATGGAGTATGCTCTGAACTGCACGCAGCTAGCAAATACATAGCTTCCTAGGCAGATTCGCAACCAGGCGAACGTTGCGACGCATACCACCCAGTTTTTACTCACGAACGAGAAGTTGTGGGCATAGAAATCGCCTAGCATCCAGAAAATAATCGCAGCAAAGGAGACAAATATTAACGTCAGGTTTTTGGATTTTAATGGAAGGTATGTCCGCTGTGTGTATACGTATATGAGAGCGAATAAGTTTAATGCCAACACGCCCGAGCATGTTATAACCACAATGCGGTCCCGGTCATCTGGTATAGGCGTAGGTGCGGCAGTGGACATTGCTTAGTAATGAGATAGTAATGTACAGTAGTGGTGAAGATGAAGGAGCGGGAATGAAAGTGAAAAGAAGTTTGCACCAGATATTCTTGCCGGATCCAGCTGTATATTAAATACCTGTGTCCTAGGGGTTAAGCAAAAACAGCACTTGGCACTAATTGCCTTTTTGATGCCTCGACTGTTTACTATTGTTAGCCCAAGGGGACATGGCGATCGACGGTGGAAATGATGTGCATACCCAGAGGTTTGCACGTCAAGGCGACTTTCCTCGCCATTTTCCTCAAGAATCTCTCATTTGGAGCTTGCATCGCACAATCCCCCTGGTGTAAATAGATCCGCTTAGCATTGTTCATGCAATTTCGGGCGCAGGTGCACATTTTTTGCTGGTCGTTTTTCCAAGAGCTACTTCCCAGGTACAAGCGGGGTGCTAGGATATGTGCTGTCTCTCCACGAGGACGCAGTAAAACTCGTCGCACTGTCACAGGCTGTCGTTATTTGTGCTGTTTTCTCTTTACAAACACTCCTGCACGCCAGTGCTTGTCTTGTGCCCAAATAACGCTGGTGATCTGCTCACAGTTGGGGGAGACGATCTGATGTGTCTCACTAGAAACACCCACGCACAATGGATTATCAACGTGTCGTAGTGGAGAAAGGTGCAGTGGTGTCTGTATTCCGCACAAGAGCAGAGTTTGTACACTTTGGGGTTGCGATACTTTCCAGACGTGCCATCCCCAAACACATCAGGTTTTGCTCATGTCTGTGGTGCATGGGGCTTCCCATTACGCACGGCTGTCAAATAGTAGACATTGTTAAAGTACACCGCCACTATTTTAGTGCCAATTTTCGGTGAAAACATGCTTACGAAAACGATATCCGGATATACACTTCTAGACTCCGCTGTGGGTCCTGCGCGTGTATCGGGTATGGGCTATTGTGAAAGGCTTCACTGTCCACTTTCGCAAATTTGTCCTGAAACGTCAGCGCTTGAAGTGCCCTGATCTCGTTGACGGATATGCTGTATTCCTTGGGCCATATTGGTCTGGACCAGTTTCTCGATAAAGGTAGTCAGATACTTGTCAGGATCTATGAAGCAGCAGTAGAGGGGACGCTCAATAACCATGATGAGGCACATTTGGCACGCAATCACCATCAACAGAATTTTGACTGCACCAATGATGCTCCCTGGTTCCAGTGTCTTGATTACCCAGCGAAATGCCGCAGACACGATTACTGAGGACGCAATTGCTAGAATGATAACCAAAACCTCTCTGAATTCGTTAAATAGCGAATTGATATTACGGAGGAGCAGCACCGGCACGAACATGTAGACCATACGGAATATGATAATGACGATTACAAAACAGCATTTAGGAAGCTTAGCCCACATATATCTTCCTCGGGGTTGTAGTTGAAGCCATGCTTTGGAGATAGGGCAGCTGAAAAGACATCACATGTCATGCACAGTACTGTGAGATACACGATAGGCACGATTCTGTATAAACCACCTGGCAGCGAAACTCCATAAAGGTAAGTGCGTGCTCGTAAACACGCATAAGAGAGGCGCCAACGAAGACGAACCCATCCAGCGACATGCGGAATATATCAAACATAAAGGTACAAATAGCGTGGCTTCGCTTCATGTATGAGCCGTTGTTAATCTCGATGTTTCCGACTAACCAAAAGGCCATTCCGATGTATGACACAGATATAAGGGTCAGGTTGTTTGATTTAATCAAGTGAAATATGAGACAGGTTTCTATGTGTTTCCTTTGACATGCTTGCAGGGGCATGTGCTTCTGCTGGCAAGTTCAGCGTTGATCCGGAAAAGTTCAGACGCACAGCATCTTCCGATCCATACGATGTTGTGAAACTGAACCGGAGCGAACTTCCGGTATCGCAGTCTTCCGCGTCATACTTGTTCCAGAGATCGGTCTTGACAAGCTTGTGCATAAACCGCTTGTGGTACTCTTCACGGTCAAAGATCGAGTAATAGGCAGGTGGACCGAGAACGATGAGGAAGAAAACATTGCACACGACGACCATCAGCACCATGTTTACAGCCCTTATCCAGAATGCCCTGTTGTCGCCTACGGTGATCCATTGAGTAGCAATCGAAACTGCCATGAGGGCTGTGATTGTAAAGGTGAGTATGAGCAACTCCTTCGACTCGTTGAAGCAGCTATTGATTCTACGTGCCATAAATGTCAACACAATGATGGCCAGAACCAATATGATAATGATTGCGGTGGCAAAGTAGTATATCAAGCCTCCAGTCTTGCAGTTTGCGGAGGCTTCGTCGTAGCTGAACCCGTGAGCATCAGAAAGCGCCATGGCAACTAGTGCATATGTGAAGGAGGCAACTACTAAGCTGCCAGTAAGCCACCAAAAGTACCTGCCTACTGGTCTCCGCTCCCACTTGAAGATGCATACAAGTGAGTACACGCGGTACAAGAACACACCGAGTGTCAAAAATACCCCCAGGCTCATCCGGATCCAGGCGAAGTAAACGACACAAGAGAATAAATTAAAATTGAACAGCGACGGGGCATTGAATGCAGTGTTCCCAATAAACCAAAAGACTGCTCCGACATATGCCAGATAGATGCTTGGCAGGTGCTTTACTTTCAATGGCAGGTACTTTCGGTTAAGGTGAACATAGATTATCAAAGCCAGGTCCAGCGCGAGCACCACGGCGCAGCAGCTGACCAGAGCGATCTCCTGCCCCTTGGGCTTGTACGGCATGGTGGGTGAGGTATGCTTTAGTGTAAGAGTATGCAATGAAAAATGGACAGATGAGGATTGAGGAACAGAAACAAGACTTGCTGCTCGAGGTGGGCAGGTACCGGTGGGTATATAGGAATTCTGCTGGCCTCCCCAGCCCGCCAAGCTCTACTCAATGAGAGGAAATGCATACGAGGGCTATCCGCTGCCCGGACGTATGCATGACGCGAGGATATTTTTAAATCCAAAAGGATCGACAGGTATCCCAAGGAGTTTCTTTGCAGGCACAAAGAAGCTTTTCTGCTCGTTCGGTTTCTGAGCGCAAAAACTGGCTTGGATAGCTTGTCAAAGATAGTACTATAGTTTTATTTTTAAATTTGCCAATTTGGACAGACGTGTATGCACTACATGCGGGAAATAGTATGTACAGAAAGGGAAGGGGAATCTAGGTTTAAACGAGCGCCCTGGGCGGGTGCTGAATTTTTAACACGCTATCATCGACGATTAGGTCCGGGCTGTTTTCATAATAATAGTACTCGTCGTACATCTCAGCTTCAGGAGTCCGTCCGATCATGGCTAGTGCTCCAGCGCTGCATCTGTGCACCGTTCGCAATCTCATACACCGACTCGTTGTTCTCACGACGCAGCTTCTTCAAGAAGAAGCGCAAGTATGCCTCTCTGTTCACCAGGCAATGGAAAGGTCGGCTTTGAGACCAAGAAGTAAAAATTGACCTGGCACACGATAAAGTCGGTCAGCGTGACCAGTGTGTTGTATGCGAACTCGTTGCCCGAGATATTCGGCACCCAGCGCAAAATGACCTGCACCAAAATGGCAATGATGGTGACAAAGAACGTGGCCAGCAGCTCTCTGAACTCATTAAACGACGACTGGATGTCGCGCGCCATATAAGTGAATACTGCACACACAACCAGCAGCGAGATTAGCACGGCCACCTGCGAAAAAGTAGATTGGGTTTGTTGGCCTTGCATATCATTGTGTCTTCGACATACTGGATGCCCTTCTCTTCGGGAAGCACAGTGGCGAGAATCCCGTACAGCAAGCAGACAGTTGCCATGGTGGCAAGTGGGATCCAGAGGTAGCGACCAGTGGCACGGATTTTGTACTCAAAAATGCAAATATACTCAAAGGTGCGGAAAATGAGCAGGCACACAACGGCAAACATTCCGAGCGACATGCGCAGCCACGAGATTGTCGCAATGCAGATGGCCCATGACGTGTGTGTCAGGGACGGGATGGTTTGCAAAGACATCGCCCACAAACCATAGCACCATACCTAAGAGTGCCAAGAGGAAAAACATGCATATTAGCACCCATCTCGTTGATTTCTTGCACTTAATTCCATACACAGCCATTGGGTTTTTTCCTACAAAGTAGGCTTTTGCAAATAGACTTACTAAGAAACGATAGGTTAAGCAGCGGGATATTTTTGCACTTCAGTGGTGTATACGAGCGGTTGTAATTGATAAAAATGAGGACCATGAAGCTGAAAAAGCAGCATAGTTGAGCAGGCGGCAACTACTGCGACATCCCGCGTATCGGCAACCTCTGGCATTGTGGTGTAAAGCGGGATGTAGTGATGGAATGCTGCTCTTATAATTGCTTTAGTTGAGAAAGGATGGAAGAAATGGCAACGATGTAGGATTGCCTGCGAGTAGTCTCTTTATACGCTCACAGCCCCGCCATTTGGGCTACACCGTGCTGGCACACGCTTCATTCTTTCCAACAATGGTGCGCTTCACACACCCAACGCCGGTGCCTGCCCACCTGCAGCATGGGCTTCCCCTACGCGGACAATAAAAATGGCTGCAATTGGTGAAAACCGCAGGCAGCACTGATTCCAGCATGCATTATCTTGAGACCCCGTGGCCACACCTTGGCATGCAAGGACACATCCACTCTACCTCATGCACTCCTGGTTATTATCCTCGCCTTTCAGCATCAAAAAGTCTTGCCCAGGTGGCAAAAGGCGGGCAGGGTATTGCTGGCCTCGATTATACCGTACTGACGATAAAGGTGTTGGATCGAGCAGTGTGCAGTCTGGCGTTTTGGTGTGTGCACAGCCACAGCCGGTTCTATTGAAGCAATTAAGCACGCTCGATGCAATTCATTGAATGCAACATTTTATTACTTCTTCCTCTTTAACAGCTGCCAGATCCCTGGAAGAATGCATGCAACAGGCAGTGGCTCTGCCTTTGTAGCGTGTTTTCTGAGAATAGAATACTAGGTTGACACATACTGCTCATACGGTCTCTTCAGCGAGCTCGTAGCCGTCGATTTCGTCAAAGTGGGTCGTCAGAGCAGACTCCGGGCTCCATAGCTCTGCCTGTGGCTGGTGCTGCGTGGCAGTGGCTCTCTTCTTGCCGTACGTCGCTCGTGTGCCTGTCTTTATCGCATCCTTGGTTTTTGCCGCAGCTCTTGTCCTGCTGCTCCTCACCGCTGGCTTCTCAGATCTCCACGACTCGTCAGGCCCATGTGCTGATTCCTCGCTTCCGTCAGCATCGATAGCAAGCCTCTGCTTGCGGCCATTTGCTGCTGCCCTCTTGCCAAGCTTCTTTGTTGGCGTTTTGACCTGCTGCTGTGTCCGATGCCGCTTGGGAAGCTGTCCGCCGACGCTTGGCTCCTCGAGCCAGTCCCTTGTTGCCAGCTCGCCTGCGGCCATGCGGCTAGCCACGTTGGTGCGTCTGGAACGAGTTGGCCTTGGAGTAGCAGTTGTTGTGTTTTCGGCAACAAGCTTGTCAATATCAAATACGTCGCTGTCGCTCTCCTCCTCGCTGTCAACTGGCTCTTCGGCGAACCTCGAGTCATCACTAGACGCATTTCTTTCAGCAGTAGTGCTCGCTGTACCCTCAACAGATGCATCCAAGACCTTGTCAGCATCAGCCAGCTCGCTGCTGTCAGCTCGTTTGCGTTTGACCAGCCCAAACTCTAGTGCCCTTCCATTATGTCTGCTCGCCAGACCATCCTCATCTCCCTCCACCAGGTTCTCCAGCGGACCGTCGCGCCTGATGGGTGAGATGCCGTCGATGACCTCATCATTACTCACAAAGGCCCCTGATATCCGCCTAATCCCACCTGATGCGGAGAGGCGGTGGGTGCTACTGCTTCGGCGGCCGTAGGAGGTAGGCGATCTGGGAGTGCTGAACGGGGAGTCCACACTAGGGCGCTTCTGAGGAGTCCCCACAATCGGTGACGCGCCCAATGTCTGCTGTTTGGTTGGCGACACAGCTGATGTGGTATGGCTACGCAGTTGGCGCGCAGGACTGTCTCTTATCAGTATCACTCTGGCTGTCTATAACAACCTCTACATGCAGCTGTGTCGATCGTGCTGCCCGTGTAGGCCTGGGTGCGGTTGTTATCTTTTCTGCTGCTGCTGTCTTTGCTTTGCGTGTAGGTCGTGGCATAATTTGAAGAAGTACTTTATTGCACGAATTCGGAGAAGGAAAAAAGAGCTGCCTACGTGTGCAACCAACTGCGCAAGCCACTAATAGCACGAGGTGAGTTCCAGGCGCCCGGCTCGACTCGCCCTTGTTTCTAGAGCCGCGGGCAATCGCTGGGCCGAGTCAGTCCATTGGCGATCTGAAGGACTTGCCTGGCAAAGCCAGCACTAGACTGGTAGCCGAAGCCGGCATGGCCGTAGCAGTGAATGGCAGTGAAGGCACCGCCAAAGTCCTCAACCTCGAGCCTCACACCACCCACACGCGCTGGGCGGAAGCCGACATTGACAGAGACAATACTCCGCCGCAGAAGCTCGGTCCGCTGCTCGAAGCTCAACCCGCTGCTTCCCGGAACAAGATCGGACTCGAGTGCCAGCGCCTTCTCAAGAATTGCCTGCGTCGTTTCGTCATGCGCCGATGCATCCCAGCTCCCCCGGTCAGCCGTGCCACCGATGACTACTGTGCCATCGCCGCGAGGAATCACATAGCCAAAGACCTTACCGATGCGAGTCAGCGTGCGCTTGGCCAGTGGGAGCGTCAACTACCAATGTCTGTCCACGGATCGGGTACATGTTCTGGTCATTGACGCCGCCGAGGCTGCGGCTGCCCAGCGCCGTGCAGTTAATCACCAGTGGTGGGTCTGTACGAGTCTGTGCGAAGAGTAGTGCCTCTCTGATGTGGTCTAGACGACTTTGGATGACACGTCCGCCCAGGCTCTCGAACTGCGCTTTGAGGTAGCTCAAATAATGTGGTACGTTAATCAGCAGGGTCGAATATTTTAGTCCATAGGCAACCCCCTCTGGCAGCTCGCTTTTGCGCAGCTCTTGGACATCATCAACTTTTGTCGCATACCACAAAGCCGTTGGACGGGTTTGTCTTCGAATAGGTCGACCCCCTCGGTCTCAGATATGCCGCTCTCGGGTGCTGTTCGCGCCAGCCGCTGCATCTCGCGATATGTCTCCAACTCCATATCCTGCAGCAGCGTGTCCTTATCGCCAGCCCATGCCCGCCAGTGCGCCCCAGCCCATGGCGACGCCCATCCTGTGGACTCGCGTTGACCTACTGACTTGTGTTGCGGGATGTGTTCAGCGACGATGGTTACGTCGAATGCACCCGATTCCTGGAGTCGGTTTGATACCGTCAGGCCGATCACGCCGGCACCAATAACCACCACTTCGCGCTTTGCCATGATCCAGTAGAGTGTGTCTTGGATGTCTGGAGTGGAGACGAAAAGTGTGGGACGGCGGAAACAGCGGGTGCTTTCGGCGCATCCTGGTCATGCCAACTAGCCTTAATTGCATTTCCAAATCCAAGTCCGGATCAACGCCAGGTTGGATATTGCTGCATGTTGCTGTTTACAACGTGCATGTCGCTTCTTTGGCGAGAATTGATTACCGACCAGCTGCAGCTTTCTATGCTGGACCACCGACCAGAGCCAGACCGCTTGGGCTGCATTGGGGAAGACCATTGTTGACCTGGGCGTGCTGAACCCGAGGATCTACGCTGGCCTGATTTCCAAGATTATTTATGGCAGACTGAATGCTATGTCTGCTTATCAGCAAAGGAGACACCCCAGGAGCAACAGCACAAGAGCCAAGGGTATCCCTAAGGCCATGGAGGCGGTTGCGACTATTATACTCTTTCAGCCCCCCTCTTCCATCCCTACCCATCTATTCTGCTAACCATGCACAGCAAACTTGCTCTTACTACTCTCGTTTCGACTGTGCTGACGTTCACAGCAGCCCAGTTGGTAATAAACTCTGGAGACAGTGCCAGTGGCATTTTGTCCGGCGAAGGTGCTGTTTCAGAGGTGGTTAGCACCATTGATGATAACCCCCTTAGCCGCTTCAGCGACCCTAGCTTCCTCGCATCACTTAGCGCTGCCAATGCCGCTGCCTCGTCTATGGCCAACGGTCAATATCCTGGCGACGGCACACTCATACCTGCTATTGGTGATGCTATTCAAATAACTGCTTCCCCAGAAGACCCGTCCTCTTCGGCTTCATCTGCAACTGCCAGCCCCAGTGGCAGTAGCAGTGCTGGCGATGATAGTGACGATGATGGCATCACGTCGGACGTTGAATCCAAGCCAGGGGTTAAAACCCCTGCTGGATCATCAGCTACTAGTACTAAGCCCAATGGTGCCACGGGCTCGCAGTGTGCTGTCTCTGCTGTCGCTGCCGTTGCCATCGTGGCTGCAGCGTTCTTCTAAAGCGCCTGTTGTCTATTTTGGTGCCTATTTTAGAACAGTGAATACCCACCATCCTCTACTCAATTTGTGTATCTGCATGTATCGTGCAAGTACCTTCAAGCAAATGGAAAAGTACGGACTAATCGGCAGCTGGTAACATAGCATAAGAGAAAATGCTAGCTGAAAAGCGACCGCAGTGGTACACATATCGCTTTGGCTGCTGTGCAACCAGCATTGCATCCGAGTCCGAACCACGGACAATAGCGTGTTTGGAGCCAGGCCATCGGTTAGCTGCCCCTCGGAATCGCCGGGGCTCGCTGCCATCGGCTCGGCTCCGGAACAGCATGAATCAAAAATCAGTCATCGGCTCCCTTGTGAATCCAAGAAATCAAGCATCCGCTCTATATACGGACATAGGTTTGGCTGATGTTGTGAATCTGATGTTTAGTATTACTCCTGTTTGGGATCTTTGTGAGATTCTTCTATACCTTTTGAGATTTCTCTGTGCCTTTTGAGATCTTTCTATGCCTTTGAGATTTTCTGTGCTTTCTGTGAGGTACATGGCATAGTTTCTCGAAGACAACAGCTCGCATTGATTTCCTTTTGTTGCCATTGTTGTTTGTGTTCGGAGGTGACAGGTATGCCCGACGCTTGCTCACTCCAGATAACAGTCTCCCAAGATTTGAAAGCCAGATGGTATATAAGACAGAGATCTTGCAGTTGTGTAAAGATCTAAACCTCACTAGCATTTCTCTTACCTGTCTTCCTTTCTCGCCAACCTCATACGTCTGTAAACGCATATCATGTACGCCAAATCTGCCCTCGCTGCTATCGCAACCATTGCGCTCAGCTCGACTATGGTCGCCGCTGACAAGGAGCTCGAAGACATCCTCAAGGCCATTCCCTCCAACATTGGATGAGGCCCTGAAGGATATCCCGTCCGAGCTCGAAGACATCCTCAAGGCTATTCCGACTGATGACGCTGGAATCAAGAGCATGGTTGACTCCTTCGATGCTGAGATCTCCAGCATTTTCAACGACCCCAAGTTCCTCCAGTCGATCAGCGCTGCCGCCGCTGCTGCCGTATCGGCTGGTGACAAGAAGTCCAACAGTGCCATGGGATCCAAGCCAGCCGTCGCTGCCGCTGCTGCAGTTGCCGCCGCTGCTGTGGCCTTCTTCTAAAGATATCAGCGTTCTTTTTGACTCCGTCTTGACCTAATAAATGTCATCCTTTTTACTCGTATTTTTCTGTGAGTAAACCTGCATATATGCGCCATATGCAATAGCTGGTCATTAATGACTCTGGCGGCTTGGCACACCCCAATAGAAATTTGTTGGACAAAATGCAACACTTGGGGAGAAGGCTTTGCGACAGCTCCCACAAGATTTGTCCCTGGACAGCGAGTGCGATGTTGATTTAGTGGACTCGATTTGGAATCGCTGCCAATTATCGAGAACACATCCAAAAGCAGATGGGCATCAGCAGTGATTCACAGCAAAATGCGATAGGCTCTTGGAGGTCAGAGGCCAGTTGCCTTTTTGTGAATCGCCAACACCTGCCGTAGGCATTGTATTCAGCGGGCAAGCCCGTGCTGGAAGCTCCGTGGGCTTGTGCTTCTCCTGTAGTAGCCTTGAATCTCTTGGGTGGTTATACAACTAAAACCATCATCGGTAGAGGCAAATATGCACCCTGTTTTCCTGCACTCTCTTCTAGCCCACTCTAGTGTTTCTTTGCTGCTGTGCCTGAGCTTCGGAATAGGAACAAGCTTGTTGAAAGCTGCATCAGCTCCCCAATAATGCAAAGCCTGCAGACAGCAACGCTTGATTTTTCTTCTGGCATAATCCCCAGAAGTTCAATGGTCCCGCTATTTTTGGAACAAACAATGCCAATCTCGCCGGTCGGCACTCTGCAATCGTCCAACAATGGCTGCCAGCGCGGTCTGCGAGATCGTCCCAGGCATCTAGAGGCTGTTAGCAGTAGTATTACCAATCGCTCCGTGTGAGTGAAAATAATGATCTGCCGTGTCCTTGTTTCAAAAGGCTGCTTGTATTTTGTTTTTAAGTTAGGAAACAACCATGAACTCGCCGCATGGCAGGCAGAAAGGGAGGGCCTACATCAGTGAGAACAGACTAATATATAAAGAAGAACGAGCTGTGTCCTGAAGGAGAGGATATTCTTTGCTCACGACCTTTTCCTTAAAGTCTCGCTACATTTCCTCCCATTTATCTCTTTTACACATCCCGACAAATACCCCTCCCTCTCTCCCTCGTTAATTCGCTACATACCCTTTGCAAACGCTTACCATGTACGCCAAGACTGCTCTGTTCTCTCTCGTGGCCATCGCACTCAGCGCCTCTGCTGTCCAGGCCCAGACGGACATCAACGACATTCTGAACGGCTTCCCGACCGATGAGGCTGGCCAGGAGGCTCTGGCCAACTCCATCGCCGCTGGTCTCTCCAGCATGTTCCAGCAGCCTGGAATGCTTGAGTCGCTCAGCGCTGCCGCTGCCGCTGCCGCATCGGCCGCCGGCATTACTCTGCCCACCAACGCCGAGGAGGCTGAGGCTGCTGCCTCCAAGCTCATTGCTGCTGCCACTGGTTCTGACGCTAAGGCCCAGCCCACGCATTCCGCCTCCGGTGCTGCCGCCGACTCTTCCCATGCCTCCTCTGCCTCGGGTGCTATCGGCTCCGCTGCTGGTACCACTGCTGCTGGTGGTGCCCCATCTGCTCCTGCTGGTAGTTCGTCGGCTGTTGGTGGTGGCTCGTCGGCTGCCAGCAAGCAGACCAACGGTGCCACGGGCTCCCAGCCTGTTCTTGCTGCGGCTGCTGCCGTGGCCGCTGCTGCCGTGGCCTTCTTCTAAAAGTTCACTTACGGTATTCGTTGTTGTCTTTCGCGTGTAATAAACACTTCATACTATTCATACTTGCTTTGCACGAAAGATCCTTTGCACCAGGTGCATTTGCAATAATAAACCCCCCTCAGTATCACTGGTTAGCAACCACTCGCTATTCAGCACTTCATTTGCTGAACGGCACTTTCAGATAGCAGTCCCAGTTATCCGGACAATGTATCTATTGTTCTGGGCACTTCCACTTTGGAGCGTACTGTGAAGACTGCTATTTTCGATGTATTGGTTTGCTGCTGTTCTTCAACTCTATATCTGGTATAAATGTCGGCGTACAGCATATATCAGAAAATTAGATTACTTCTCATCCTTTTCCTATTCCTTTTATTCTCGAATCGGTCCAGTCACCGGTCTGGTCCTTTTTTTTTACCAACTCCTTATTAATATCTTCAAGACTGCCTTGGTCTGTCTCTTTTCCAATCTATTCTCTTTTACTTAGGTGCCACAGCCCGACCAAACTCAATAGCTCGTAACCTCAAACAGTTGCATGACTGTAGTATGAACATGGCGGTTGTGGCCAGCACAAACAGTGCATATAGCCCATACACCGTAAACACAATGCTGCTTTTGATTTTGTAGCTCCTGCCTCCGATAGCCCATTCTGAATCTCTGATGACCAAGCCTGTACATCTCATCGACCAGCCTTTCTGCTTTGGTGTGAGTAGGCTAGAAACGTCTTGGGTCACAGCCAAGGATATATGCGAAGTAATTAGTGACTACGAGATATTGAATAGAAATGCAAGGGTGTAAGGAGTAGGAATAGGAGCATAGCTATGACTAATGGCAAGGGGAACGGGGAGCAGGAAGATAGACTGCTTTTAAAGAGCTTAGGTCTTGAGCAGGTGCCAGGAAGAGGAGGTGGACTTGCAAAACGGAAGGTTGGATTTGGGAAACGCCTTGGTGGTGTCAATTGCGCAACAGCACGTCCTTACAGCATGGAGGAGGAGAGGGCTTTGCGCAGACGATCAATGCAGCACAGCTGGTAGGATTTCTCTACGCATTGCCTGGACTTGCATGGGCCAGTTCCTGCTAAAGATTGCCTTCCCCCATCCCCGAAGCGGGCCGAATATGTGGGTTCCTGACTGATTCCTGTCAAAGCCGGGGGGCAATCGCGCCTTTCGGTCTCAATAAAAGCAGATACAAACGGCACTGGAAACAAATAAGCGGAGCACTGGGATGTCGACACTGCGCACATATTGCATCTTCTCAGCCGAGTTTCCTAATAAAGGGCGCTGTCAGTGTTTAGGGACTAAGTCATCAAAACGCGCAATTTATCCAGCGAGCTATGCTACAGACTGGGGGAAAAGGAGACTATATAACACAAGGCCTGGCTAATATCATCTAGCGGGTTCGCTGATAGCGTGTAAACACGTCAGTGTACAGCATAAACAGCACCTCGTCCTTCACCTCGTCGAGGATGGGCAGCGACATCTGCTTGCGGTCGAGCTGGTCCTGGATCTTGCGTACCATGACTGAGGGAACATTGAGCGCCATGTACGAGTTGAGGTTGAGGTAAATAGAGAATATGCGCACCAGCCGATCGAGAACCGTAGTGGGGAACTGCGTGTTCTCGGCGAACTCGTGCTGTGGGTACGCAGCCTTAGCTGTTTCGAGGATGCTGACCGATATACCGGTGCTGAGGGTCAGCGGCTTGGCCTTTGATGCCGTTTTGTTGTATGCGAATTGCTGCGGATGGACCGACACATCGCCGTAAAAATCGCCGTTGGGACTGTCAAGCGAAAGTGACGAACGCCAGCTGCTGCTGGTCTCTAGTATCGGGCTGTCAGCATTGCCCAGGGCGGTGACGGTCTTGGTCTTTAGCGACTGGTACTCGTCAATGAAGGCGGTTAGCTCTGAACAGAAGCACGAGGCGGCGAACTCGCGGAACGTCTCATATTCGTACGGGTCATCAAGCACCCGATTGAAGTCTGAGCGACGTATCTTGGTAGCGCCGCGATCGTTAGCGTGCACAGAATCGCTGTCGGAGCTGCTTGCAGTTGAGTGGCGGTTTCTGATCTGATGCTTGGTACGCTTCGAGTGGCCGATGGCCTTGATCAGCGGCACGACGACTGACGAGATGTGGATGAGTAGCATGGCCACCCAGACAAAGAACAGGCAAGACCAGATCGACGAAACCTGGTGGAGTCCAAACTCCCAGATGAAGGCGACTGCCAAGCACACAATGCCGACTGTATCGCAGATAAGCAGATCTCTGCGAATACCGTAGGCATCCTTGAGCCCCCAAACCTGCCATAGCAGAATAGGGAAGACGATGAGGAGGTACACACCAATCAGGATTGTCACGGGGATGAGCTCCCAATACATCGAGCAGGCGATTGGTGACCGGCTTGATTGTGTAGTCCTTACTGATGGCATTGATGGCGGCGGAGACGGCAATGGCGACACTGGTTGCAATGGCGATGAATATGATCATCCTGCGGTCGGTAACGTGGTGGCGGCGCCTGATGTATTTTTTGAGCTCAGCTTGGATTTCTTGCTGTGTCTTGGAGGCCCCGTGCGACATTTTGGCAAACCCGCTTTGGCCGACTGCGCTCATGCCGTGCCACTCTGCTGGTTCCAAGTCGTTTACGTTGATTCCGTAGAGCTTCCCCTCGGCGGCTGACGAGATGTGTCCGTCAAGCCCAGGCACCTCTGTGTACTCGAAAATGTCCTCGTAGTGCACCTGTCCAGTGAGCGAGTGGATCTTCGAGATGATTATTAGCTGCATCGCTCTGGCAGCCAGGGCCGACAGCACAATCGTGAAGCCAATATCGTACAGCCACAGCTTAATGAAGCACGCCCACTCGTTAAGCGCCGTACTGACTAGTCCTAGCGTACCAACAATAAAGCAGCCAACGGCCTGGATGGAAACCAGCTTCACCGACCGCTTTGAGAGTTCGCTGCGAGGATTCCGGGACTGCACCAGGAACATGACAAGTGTGGACAATGACAAACACCGTGTAAACGCCATAGACCTGTGAACATCGATATTTCGCGGGCACGGTAGTTGCTGGTGCCCGGACGCCAAGAATCAGGGACTTCTGCTATCCTATTAAATCGTAGCATGTGTGCGTGTGTGGTCCGACTTTCCAGAGGTCCAGGGGTGTCATAAAATTAGGTATTAGATTATCAGCAACCCGGAAACAGTCGGTATTCAGCGTGGCCAACTGGTGATGCACGAACAGGAAAAGGTATTAGGATATATGGATGCAGAGCGAGTGAGGAAAATGAAAAGCCGGTAAGAGTGTACAAATAGGCAGGGTAAAAGGAAACAGGAAGAGGGTGAAATCAAAGCCTTTTTGCCGAAGAGATGGACAGCACCGCAAATATGTATGAAACAGGCGAGACGCGCTCTGTCAGACCAACGTACAACCAGGTTTTAAAGTATAGAATAAGGCTGGCTGGCAGGACTTTTGGCAGCGGGAGCATTGAAGTAGTCGCGCTTTTGCCTAAGCGCGAAGCAAAAAGCGAGGGAATGGGGGGAGGCGCTACTCTCCCGGATGCCCAAACGCTCCACATGGGGAAGAGTAATTTTAGAGCGATTTTCCTCATGCATGCAAAGCGTTTGGCGCTTGGTCTTTGTGGTGCCAAATGGCCCGTCAGTGATAGGCGCTTTTTGCAAGTAGTGCGTATGTCCTCATTGCCAATGGACATGGAGGCATTTAGCGCTTGAGTATGTTGCGGAATCAAAGAGTAGGAGGATTGCCGCCGGAACGAGAGAAGGGCATATGCATGATTGCATGAGCTTCGTCCCTCCATTAATGACGAGGAGTGCAACTATGTGCACATCGGTGCAGTCCCCAATTGGCCACCGCTGGTGCCCCACTGCCACCTGGGCTGGCCGGAGCCGTGCATCATAAAGGGGCTATCTTTCAATAGTAGGGTGCTTCTGTTGGGGAGGCGTGGAGCTCGGTTAGCATCGCGCCATCTGGCCGGCGGCAAATTGACTGCCTCGGCTGAACCAGCCAGGTATCCTCCGCCGGCGAATATGGATTCCGGACAGATGAGCGGAGCGATTTCCGGGCCATATTTCCTTTTCCACTCCCCCGATCCCGCAGGGTAATGAAGAGCCGATAACCAGCATCCCTGACCGAGATTCGCCCGGAAAGAGAACATGGACATGCGCTCTCTCCTTTGCAGCGAAATACGCGCCACCACAGCAGCCCATGCTTGTGGAGTCAATGCATGCTTGACGCCGGCCATGCTGCTGCTGTTCCAACCTGTGACATCCACTTTTTTTTTTGGGAAATCTGTTTGTGTACATAGCCTACGCATGTCTCCAAAGCGCAAATTCGATGGATGAAACTGCGGCCGTTCCACGCAGAAGCGGATCGACATTACAAACTGTCGATGATTCAGCCATCGAAACACGCCCACCGCATATACACCCACCACATACAGCCCAACACTCCCGATAGAGGACGGAAAACGATGTGCTGCTGATCTATGCTGCTGGTGTTTCCGTCAGCTGCCCTCCCACGGGTGCTAGTGGTTGACTGGCGGCCTATTTCCGCTTCGCCACATTCGGATATGCGCCTGGATTTTCTTGTTTTGGAAACAGCGCGGCTTACCAGCCGCCGTTCTCTGACGTACCAGACGTCTTATCCATTAGCCCATGGTACGGCAATTTACCGCTGCTGCATGCAAACGTGGACTGAACGCGTTGCACTCCCAGTTTCGCCCCTGCTTGGACCGGTGGGGAGCAAGGAGAATCACCATGGCGTTACAGGAGATGTTCAGATGCCCTCCTTGCCGATCCGTCTAATTGCTTGGAGTTGGCTATCCAATGCTGATTCGGCATGCACCGCAAATGTCAGCTGTTGCAGTACCACTGTCATAGCGGCGGATCCGCCTTTTGTCTGACTCATTTTGGCGAGAGCGATGGAGGTGTATCTTTGAAGCCCAGCTGTGATGCTGTGGGCTTAAAGAAAAAGGTCCATTCTTTGAAGCGCACAGCTGCAAGCTGCTGAAGAACCATTCCAACAACCTACTCCCGATAAGCAGTCGGAATGAAGATTCCGCCCTGTTGCCGAGGAGCCAGCCCCTGAATATATATCCCATAGTACACTAGCAGCTTCTATGGATGATACCTATGTGCCTTTTACTGCTGCTATTTGCTGCCTAGGGTATAGTCCACCAGACAATGCCTTTGGTACCTGGCCTTTCTTAATGACGCAACCATGAGCACTCTGCTCCCCGTTCTCCCACTCGTGAATTCAATAGCAGTCATGTGTAGTGTCGCTGGGTTGAGCCAGAACCAACAAACCCTATCGTACCTGCAGGAAGGTGTCATAGCGCGGCCCACCCTAGCGGCTGTCCCCACCTCGGCAAGCTTGCCTCCCCAATGCAGCCCAGGTCTTGGCACAGCGACAAGAGCATGGGGGCACTTTGGAACGGCATCAAAGGAGTGCGCAAATATTCCCATGGGTGTACCCAACAGCACTTTGGCCTGTCGCTGTGCCAGAAATGCACACTCTTTCACCCATATTCTTTCATGCATATTCCGCCACAGCCCGCATTTTGCGCTGTGTACGTGCTCTGGGGCTGGGGGAGATGGTGAGCGGATGGTGAAAAAGACAAAGGGTCGCTGAACAAGCCAGTGCGAAAGGGGCAGAGCAGGGCTGCATTGACTCTGCACAGGCACCTGTTTCGGGAAAGGCCGCGGGTGCTCGTCCGAGCCACACCAAATATTCGCTAGCACGAAATATACGGGAATCTTCAACTCAGAAATGCGCCTGTTTGTCTGGATTCAGTGCGCTGGCGCACCGCAAATACGCCATTTCCAAAGCATGCCATATTGCACAATATGGACAGGTATCAGCATTTTCTATTACAGGGGCTTGAGGCAGACATGAAAACACAGTCTCTAGCGTCTTCCACTCTGTCAATATTGGAACCCAGCACCTTGTTCACAGCTCAATAGGGGAGAGATTCTGGGAACGGGCGGCTTGTGCACTTGCGCCTGTATTGTCGGCGAGCCATATCCTATGCTCATACGTCACCGTCTCCAGCGCAACAAATAGACTGCATGCAGCGTATACGGCTTTTTTGAGCCCATGCAACAGAGGGCTCGCAGGACGGAGAGCGCCATCTGCGAGCAAAAGCGGGGAGGTTGCGGGTTGTCCTGTTGAAAGAATGGTGCGTGCCGGTATGTTTGGGGAAACAGCAAGAAAAAAGAGTGAAAATTACATTTAAACCGACGTGGGAGGGAGGGAGGTAGGCGCCTGAATTGGGCCAATGTATTGTGCTATGAATTCGTTTCTAACAATCTGGCTTGTATGCGTAAAATATGTAGAGTGAGCGATGGGGCTTGCTAAACACAACAAAGCTCGTGTTTACACCGATGAGAAAAATACACACGCACACACAAGTCCCACCGAGAAATGCTGCCATCTCGAGACATTTCCAGCACTTGGCAATGCGGCAGTGTGGGTTGGGGAGAAGTGGAAGCGACACTGGCACCAGCGCCAATGGCCAGAGTGACATATATATACATGCAAGCGGAGCGGGGGTCGGAGGGCCAAGGGACTATTGCACTGGTATTTATATGAAGACGGTTCCGCCATAGCTCACTTTCTATATATTCCTCCAAGGGGTGCTCTAATTTATTTCTTGCGCGAGTCCTCGTTTCACATACAAACTCATCTAATCAGCTTCAGTTATCTTTCAAAGGAACTAGTATCACTCACATCTAAAACACAGCTAATATGCAGTACGCTATTGTTGCCTCGCTACTTGCCGCCGTCGCTCTTGCGCAGACCCCGGATCAGCAGGCCGCCGGTGCGGCTGTCCCCGCTCAGCTTCCAGCTGGCGTTCAGGCTCCAGCCCAGCTCCCGGCTGGTGTTGAGGCGCCTGCCCAGCTTCCTGCTGGCGTTCAGGCTCCAGCCCAACTCCCAGCTGGTGTCGAGGCGCCTGCTCAGCTCCCGGCTGGTGTTGAAGCCCCGGCTCAGCTCCCGGCTGGTGTCGAGGCTCCGGCCCAGCTCCCAGCTGGTGTTCAGCCCTCCCCACAGCTCCCGGCTGGTGTCGAACCTTCCCCACAGCTCCCGGCCGGCGTTCCTACACCTGGCCAGCAGGTTGATATTGATCCGCTCAGCGCTGCTGCCGCCGCCAGCAGCGATGCTGCCGTAAGTATACACAACCAAATGCGTATCACACGTAAATGCTCCAGTGCCAGTGACTAACATTTGCTTCAACTCCATATTGAACCCATGTAGAAACAAATCGCTCAGCTGACGCAAAGTGTGCAGGACATTTTGAACGGCAGTGCCGATGTCGCTGAGAGCACTCCGCCCAGCATCAGCATCCCAGCTGGTGCCAGCAGTGACTCAGCACCCACTGCCACACCCACTGCCGCCGACAGCAACACCGAGTCTGCCACTGCCACACCCACTGCCACCAACAGTAACAGCGAGTCTGCCACAGCCACAGGCAGCGACACCGAGTCTGCAACTGCCACTGACAGCAACACCAGGTCTGCCACAGCCACAGGCAGCAAGACCAAGTCCGCCACAGCAACTAAGAGCAAGTCTGGTCACAAGTCTGGCGAGGAGAGCGGATCGGTCACTGGGTCGGATGAGGAGTCTGGAAGTGCCCATGAGTCTGGCGAGTCCTCGGTTGAGGTGAGCACCATCCAGTCCGAGTCAGAGCTGCTGTCGCTCGACTCGGAGTTTAGCGACAAGGAGACTTCGTCCAGCCGCTCCAAGAGCAAGTCGTCCTCATCTTCAAATGGCGCTGCCGGCGTTCAGATGGGCAGCATTGCTCTCACAGTGGCTGGACTCCTGGGTGCTGTTGCTCTGTTCTAAGCTCCTCTTGGGTAGCAAACCTGCACATCGCCCTCGCTTTGCACAGCACTCCAAACCCCATTGCACACATCCTCCTAACCACTACGCCTCCCCACACCTTGCCCCCGCCTCAGTTTCTTTATAAATTCTCCTTTCGAATATTAAACCAGCCTCCTTATTTCCTTCTCGCTAATCTGCTATCCCCAGAGTCTTGAATATTGCCGAGACAGAGCCGAATCCCATGTCAGGAGGGCGAGTATCTCTGAATTGCCAGGGCCGAAAAATGCAGCGCTGGCCGTGCTGGATCGGCAGGACCAGCGGCGATGCGAGGAGCTCGGCTGCCCATCGCTGAATACTGCTCTGACCGCAGCTTCTGCTGAGCACGACGCTCGGGGGACGAGGCATGCTTTACCACCTGGAGAGGAACACAATGCCGACGCCTCCCTGCCAGTCAAACCAGGCAAGTGCTGCATTGTTCAGGCGGTTGTTTATGTTTTTTCTTTCTCAGAAAGTTTCGACGCAAAAACACCGAGCAGCACCGTAATAAGCACAAGGCGATATAAAAAGTTTGCGCAAAAGAAACCACCGGCAGCCGACGCCACTGCAACATCTCACCTCTCCAGACACTATCTCTCCAACCTCATAGAGTCACCTCCGCGAAACTCATCCCCTTGCCGGTGCAAAAACCATGCGCGTAACGTCATACCTACTCCTGCTCCCGTTGTTCGTGGCAATGGCACGCAGCGACGACGACTATAGCAGCTTCATCAGCAGCCTCTCGTACAACTGGCAGAACGAGTACTCTGATCTGCGCTTCCAGGTCAACCAGCTACAGAAAAACGACCCGCAGCAGTACCAAGCGCTGGTGCTGGCGCTCGGCCTCAAGCCAGGGGTCTACAGTCAGCGTGCCGTCGGAGTACGACGAGAAGTGGGCATCGAAGTTTGTCCAGGCGGTGGGGCTGTACACACCGCCAGCGCCGAACTCCGAGCAGACGTTTGATGAGGCAAAGGCGACGCCGACCAAGGGCACTGATGACTCGGGGAATATTGTGATATCAGTGCCGACGCATTCGCCTACGTCGAGCAGTGACGATGGCAGCGACATGGAGTCCAGCGAGGGCACAGACTCGGGCGATGTCAGCGGCTCCGAGGGGAGCAAGTCAGCAAGCAAGAAAAAGAAGCCGGCATCTGCTTCGGGCGACTCATCGGCAGACGAAGAGAGCACGCCGTCGTCGCACAAAAGCAAGAGCTCGTCGGTGCAGTACGGCAACCCAGTAGTCAGCAACCTCGACTTCCAGACACAGGGAGTCAGGCCAACCGGCACTGGGTACAACGCTGCAGCACTGGCCTCAACACCTTTCGCCGCCGGCACGCTGGCGCTGGTCGCTCTAACAGTTCTATTCTGAGATAAACACACCTGGCCGGGTCATAGGCTCGATTAATAAGATAAATGCTACAGCTCCTGCCACAAACGCCGCCCAGATGGCGTACCGGTACTGCGGGTACTGCGATATCCTCGACACATCGGGCAGGCCCTGGATATTGCAAAAGCTGTGCGCTACAATTGGCCCCACCACGCTTTTGGAGCGCACATACAGAAACACGGCGTACCAGCCAAACAGCGTCGTGTAAGCGAACTGGAAGCACGTCGACAGGGCAACGGCTGACAGGGGCGAGCCGCTGCGGTAGCTGGTGATTGCGTGGTGGACATGGGCGACGCCGAAGATCAGCGGCGACAGAAACACACGCCTGTTTGTGTCTATGTCGGCCGCCGTCCACAGCGCCAGCACCGCAGACCGGAAAACCAGCTCCTCGGTAATAGGACCCACGATGTAGTTGCGGATACTGGATGGCTGGCGCATGGCTTCTGGGATGCGCTTCAAGCTCTCGCTCCTGAACGCCCCATCAAGCTTATCTAGGACCAGCGGTCCCAGGTACAGCGCTGTGGTCAGTACTAGTGCCACGACTACGGATGCACCTGCATCACGGATACTCAGGCCTAGCAATTCCACGGCATTCCACTGCGCCTGGCCCTCCTTGGTCGGCTGCTGCCATACAGAGAGCAGGAATGCCGTCAACACGAGAGAGAGAACTGTGGCCAGGGTTGCGCCACAAATGCGCAGGCGGATGATGCGCGGATGGTCGCGGTCGTGGATGGAAACGCCCGGCGCCGCAAACAGCGCCGATACCATGTAGATGCAGAACACATACAGCGACCCGTGGGCTATGGAAACGAGCACTGCCGCCAGCGAGCTTGGGTGCTCCATGTCTATCCGCTCGGCGACGTTCATTCTCGGGACAGTATAAGGAGTCTATAGGTTGAGGAGCAAACGAGGACTTGTCTTCTACCTCGAGCCATTCGGTAAAAAACATTTTATTTGCAAGCACGCGGAACACAAAGTATGGATTTGTCCTCTCCGCAATGCCTGGGTATGCTTCTTTTTTATTTTGCGGATCCTCTAGTCCTGGTCGTCCCAGTGGCCCTGCTGCTTGGGCAGCTTGGGTCCGCCGGCGGTCTTGGCCATGATGATCTGGTCGATCTGCAGGACGGTCAGCGCAGCCTGTGGTGGCATAGCGGATGGCCCACTGCTTGACAGCCAGTGGGTCGAGGATGCCCGCCTTGTGGGCATCAAGCACCCGCGGCTCGTGCTCGTAGTCGACGTCAATGCCGATGGTCGGGCCCGCGACATCGCCGGTCTTCGAGTGGTGGGCAGCAATCAGCTTGGCCACCAGCGCTGTGCTGTCCACACCGACGTTGTCGCCGAGCGTGCGCGCAAACACCTCCAGCGCCTGCGCGAACGCCTTCATTGCGTGCTGGTTCATACCGGCGGTCTTGTCGGCGGCATCCTGCACAATGCGGGCCAGCTCCATCTCGGCCGCACACGCACCCGGCACCAGCCGCGAGTCCTTGGTCAGAGCCTTGATGACGTTGACACCGTCGTCGACCGCACGCTCAGCATCGTCCAGGGCATTGGTAGTAGCGCCGCGCAGCACAATCGTCACCAGCGGCGACTTCTGGATGCGATCGGCAAAGGCCGGGCGCTCGTCGGCCCTGCCACTGGCTGTCAGCTCGTCAGCCGACCACTGGCGGATGATTGTGACGCGGTCGCCGCCGATCTCGTCGGTACGCAGCTCGTCGCAGTATCCCATCTCCTCGGCCATAGGAACGCCGAGGCGCGCCAGCGGGTTGGCACCCAGGACCCGGCACACACGACGCAGCTCAAACTTTGACGGGCACTTGACAGCAACCATATCATAGCGGTTCAGGTAATGGATGGCCAGGTCGCCGATGCCCGATCCGCACACGATCGCCTTGATACCAGCGTCATGCAGCTCGCGCACAACCTTCTCCATCTGCGCCTCCTCGCCCTTGGTGTAGTCCAGCATCTCGTTGGCGTTATGCAGCAGCACAGTCCCCTTGGTCTCGGTCTGGCCCATGTCCACAGGGCACGAGAACACCGCCACCTTTGCAAAGTTGGCCCGCCGGCACACGGTCTCAGGGGACCGCGGGAAGACCATACCGTGCACGACGCGGCTCTGGCTCAGGCCGCCGCCCATAACCTTGACTACACGCACGTTGTCGACATTGAACCGCGAGTGGTCGCGTGCCGGCATCGCCGTCACCACCGCCTCGGCCACCAGCGCACCCAGGATGTCCTCCTGTCCGTACTGCTTCGACGCGATCGCCGTCTTGATCGCCTTGAGCAGCTCGTCCTTGCTTCTCCAGTCCTTGATCTCGTCCACTGCCAGACCCTCCAGCGCGTCCAGCGACTCCTTCAGCGCCAGCTCGTAGCCGCGCGCAATCTCTGACGGGTGCAGGCCCATGCGCAGCAGCGCCTCGGCCCGCTGCAGCAGCTCGCTGGCAAAAATGATCACGTAGTTGGTTCCGTCGCCAGCCTCGGCCTCCTGCTGCTGGCTGGCCATCACAATCAGCTTGGCTGCCGGGTGCACAACCTCCAGCTCACGGATGATTGTCGCCGCGTCGTTGGTCACAAACAGCTTCTCCAGGTGGTTCACCACCATCTTGTTGCGCCCGTTCGGTCCAAACGACGTCCGCGTAATCTCGCTCATTTCCTTGGTTGCCTGAATGTTCCGGATTACCGCCTCTTCCAGCCCCTGGAGGTTCTTGTAGCCCTCCTTGAACAGCTGAGGGCCAGCCGACTGTGGTACGCGCAGAGCCATTCTGATTACTCCTGTTTAAAGTGCTTGAGGTGATGTGAAAGAGGGAAAAGTGGAGTGAGAGGCCGAGCTTTGTGAGAGAGAAAAAGTGCAAATTGCCTGGCAGAGCGTTTAGCAACAACAAAAAAATGCGTGCACCTTGGATCGGAGCTCAAGGAAGCCTGGAGAATTGGGTTGATGCACTGATTTGATCGCCTGCCAGAAAGCAGCAATAATCACGTGCTACTGCCCGCCGCAAAGTGCTACTTCGCGTACTCGACCGATGCTTCATCGGTCAGCCTCATCCCCCACACGCATACTACGCTCTCTGGCACGGGCTCTGCGGCGCGAGCGGCTACGCACTACTGCCAAATACCCGATAAAGATAGTTACATTTGTTTGTTATTTCTGCCAAAATGCGCTTGGCCATTCAAAACACACAAGCTCGTTCCTGGTCCTCCGCCATGCTGGAAGAATGCTCCAGGAGATTATAATATGTGGGGGTGGTGGCGAGCAAGGCTCTGCGCCTGGAGAAAGCAAACCACTTCGACATCTCCCGGATTCCCAGACCATCCTCTTTGTTTATTCGTGCTCTATACCATTTACACTCCCAATTCGCACCTACGGCTTCCACAATTGGGCTGCTCTGGGCAATGTTTGAGCCACGCTATTCGCCATCGCTGGATGCTGCGCCAAGTAGCGTGAGTTCGATGCTGGTCACCATCTCATCTAGCTTTGCCAGCATCGTTGGTTGCACATTTGTCATCTACCGCCTGTATATTCTAGATCGGTCACTCTGGGCTTGTCGCCATATGCTCCTGTGCGCACTCACGGGTGCCTATGCCGTCATGTGTTTTGCTGCCTTGATATCTGGCTGCGTGTTTCTTGTATATGGCCGCATTCCATCTCCAGCTGGTTGCACACTAGGTGGCATGATTGAGTTTTGGAGTCCAACAGGCAAGTAGCTCGAAAAGCAAATTTCTAATGCAGTCAAAGGTGAAGCACAAAGTAACCCTTTCACTGATATGCTTTTTAAATTTTTTTTTGCTTGTAGTGCGCTGACATCTGCATTTTGCTTATCGCACTTGGGTCCCTCTCTTCGGTCCGCCACCCCCACAGCTGGGTGCGACGTCAGACATGGCTGCAGACAAGCATCGTGCCTATGATGGGTGTGGTCATCTGCCTCCCGCTCACTGTCTCCATTATCGTTCCAAATCATCTGGCGGTTCCGCTCCAGCGAGTTTGCCTACTGCTGGATCCCGCGCATGCCTGTATACGCGCGCTGGATAGCCTTCGATGCTTGGCGTACCCTCAACATCCTTTGCATCTTCATCATTAATTTGTACATCCTGTCTGTCCTACATCCAGTCCAAGCGCCAGCCGGCCACCAGTACCCAGCACCTGTCGCAGTCGATGTCCAGTTCGGCGCGTCCGTAGCCAGCCTGTGTTGATCCAGGTGCCACGGTACTCGGCCATCGACAGTACTGCAGGTGTCAAGCCCACCATCAAGCAATTACTTTGGCGCATTCAGCCAGTCGCTCGGCAACGCACATCGGTGGGCTCTGTCGAAGCTTGGTGTCAGTAAGCCGGAATGGCGTGCCGACCCGCGGTCTAAGAGCTACTACCGATGACACAGCCGTCTGTGAGCGTCCGCCGTATAAGACCATCGACTACTACTCGATCGGGCTACAGCATGCATCGTACCTGCAGCAGCAACAGCAGCACCCGGATGCTACAGCACAAGCGCCACGTCACTCCATGGCACTGACGGTTCCAAAGACGCCACGTAGCTACTACGAGACATTCAAGCGCTCGCTTGCCAACACCTTTATTGGTCCGCTTCATGATCACCACCGACATCCCGAGCCCAACACTGTCGACAAACTCCATCTTCCGCTCCATCAACTCCCCCTCCAGACTGCGGACCCGCGCAACTTGTAGCGCTCAACGATGGCACTGCTGACAACACTGGCGCCACCAGCACTCCCAACCACAGCAACCCAAGTCTAGTTACAAGCTGCCAGCCTGCCAAGGACTCAGACAGCCGCAGCATGGCGACAGTCAAGCGATGGTACTTTGCGCTGACGCGTCTGTTGACAAAGCAAGGGCTGTCAAGCAGCCAGTGTCTAGAATACAAGCAGCAGAAGCTTAAGCGCTTCCATACCATCCCGCCGTCAACAACGTCCTCGCTTGCCGCACGCATTGTCCTGCCCTTCAACTCGCCGCTACAGGCAACGTCTGATACCGACCTGCCTGCTGCTTTGTCAACCCCCTTCATGTCGCGAATCCTAGAGACACGCATGCACGCAAACCGGGATAGCTGTATTGGCTGTGTATCTAGTGTCAAGGAGCACAATGGCATTGAGCCTGCGCACATCCGCGCCAACACCAGGTACGGTAGTGCTTCCTGCAATGAGCGAGTACAGCGATGACAGCGCCAAGATAATCGGAGTCGAGGCCATCGAGCGCTGGGAGTCGCTTGAGGAAGGTCGCTGGGTCGTCACCACCGACAGATACCGCAGAGACCGAGCACAGACGCATACCGTCGTCGACAAACGACCAACCACGGCGTGCATATCCCGCATGTTTGTCTATCCGGTGGTGTACCTGGTGATGTATATGCCGCACATTGTATACTACATCATGTCCACGTATGTGTACTACACAGCATTCCACAATGGCAGCCACCACGCACACCACAAACGCGGAATTGATTTGGACAACCTGCCAGCACATTGGACATCGGACCGGTATATGCACAATGCGTGGCCATACTATCACCACATATCGCAAGGTGTCGGAGGCGCCAGCAGTCTGTGCTGGCTGGCCATATTCCAGGCAGCTCACCTGCTCTCGGGTGCCTTTGTCGCCTTGCTCTTTTGGTTCACTGAGAAATAAAATTCTGCAGAAGGTATGTTTCCGTAGAGTCGGTATGGTGGCAAATGCCCGAATGGTGACTCGCATATTTTGTGCCACACGCTGTATTTTGCATGGCGCTCACTGAAGATATTCAACAGGAAGCAGTAGGACATGTAGTTACTTTTTCGCACTATAAATGTCACTGTTATTCTGGCCAAACATGCCACTGTTAATCTAACGGGGGATTCTTCTGTCAGCAACAGCAACAGCAGAAGCAGCAGTTTTTTCTTTTCTTTTGCCGTATTCATTTAGGGTCTGTACTAAGCAGCTTCTTTACCCAACACACGCTCCTACATGGCCAGTATCCGGGTATTCTTGGTAGTAGGATTACTTTTCACTACCGCCTGTTTCGCGAACAATGCGGCAATGAAGCGGCGGTGCTCGCATGAGCCAAAGATCCAGCCATGCTACAACTACTGCACAGCGCACCTGCACCAAGCATGGTGTCGAAAGGAGCTAATGGAGATTGAGAAAGAGAGATAAAGGTGCCTAGAGAACAAGCTTGCCGTCCTCCTCGTCGACGTCCAGAATGTCGGGCTGTTCCTTGGTGATCATCTCATAGTATGGCTGGAAGTTGAACCAGCCCGAGATTGGCGCGCCAACAGTCTTGAACGTATCGGCAGCAACAACATCGGAGATCGGAACAGGGTTGCCAGCAGCCTCAGCCAGCAGCTGGGCATGGCAGGACCTGTCCATGGCAATAAACCAGAACGCCGCCTCGTCGACCGAGCTGCCCACAGTCAGTAGCCCGTGGTTCTGCAGAATCAGCGCCTTGTTGTTGCCCAGGGTCTGGGCCATCCGCTCGCCCTCCTCCGCGTCAGCGACGACGCCGCCAAAGTTCGGGAACACCGCGTGGTGGTTGTAGAACATGCAGGCGTCCTGCGTCAGCGGCAGCAGCTCCTTGCCTAGCGACGAAAACGCCTTGCCGTGCAGCGAGTGGCTGTGGCAGGCGGCTACAGCCATCAGGGTGCGCCTCGTGGATCTTGGAATGGATCACAAAGGCGGCAGCGTTCACTGGGCTTGAGCCGTAGACAACAGTGCCCTTGTGATCTACAAGCAGCAGATCCTTGATGGTGATGCACCCAAAGTACTTGCCGAACGGGTTGACCCAGAACAGGTCCGGGTGCTCGGGGTCGCGGCACGTCAAGTGCCCGGCGATGCCTTCGTCGAGCCCCAGCTTTGAGAAGATCCGGAACGCAGCCACCAGGCGCTGCTTGCGGTGCAGCCGCTCTGCCTCGACGGTCGCGAATGTGGGCGGGCGCGGCAGCGAGAACGTTACCAGATTCGACTCCTCGGCGCTGTGGCTAAGCTTGAGGCGCTCGCCCGGCTTGACCTCCTCGGTGAAGCTGAAGCGTGACCCTTCGGAGTACACCATAGTCGTCTGTGCGTTTAATGCTCTGTCCGGTAAATGAGGATATGTGGGTGGTGGTGGCAGTTGCCAGAAGCAAGCGAAGGCTGGACAAGATTGTGCGGAGAGAGAAAGAGTGGGAGAAATGGCGGAGTGGGTTCTGGTAGCAGCCACCAGAGTGCGCCTTTTTTATATACTCTTCGGCACCACTCCTTTGTTTGCGACACCTTTTTCCCAGGGCCACTGACTAGACAACACAAGCGACAGGTATGGAGGGCGGGTGTGGGATTTTCCGCTCACACAAGAGGCAACTGGAGCGTCCGCGCCGCTTGTCTACTCGCCGCTCCCATTTTGCATCGCCCTTGTTGCGCTGCAACTCCCCGCGATGTCCGTTGCTCCTGGCCACCGAGATCGACTGATGGGCATGTGCTGGCAATAGAGCAGAATAAAGGGCATCGTCACCGTGGTCCACACATTCCTGTGCCAGCACCGCCAAAACCCCAAACCCAGCATCTTTGAGGGCGACGGGCGGTCCCGGTGCGGGTAGCCGCTGTTTCCGAGAATAGCAAGTCGCATCTCCATGGCAGCACATGGTCACCATGTCTGGGTCTGTTACTGGTGGTAGGGAGATTGGTGTGCAGACAAGCAGACGCACCATGAAAATCAAGATGGCCATCATCTTTGCCAGATTGACGGCGAGCGGTCAGGCGGCCTGCAATCTGGCAAACCAGTTTGGCTAGAAGCCGCCTCCGCCATTGCCAGCTGGGGCTGGCGTCACCTGCACTATGGAGATATGGCATTCAGACAGGCAGCTGGCGCAATATGCCAGTTACAGACGCTTCAATAAGTTGATATTGCTGACACCAAGAAAACGAGGGGTGGAACTCAGAATTATATAGGAAATTGAGAGAATGAGGTGGGAGTGAAATAAATACATGACAGGCGCCGAAGAGCGCCTGCTATAAATCCTTTAGAAGCCGTGCACCTTGACAAAGTCCTTCTTGACGATTCCCTCGTTAACCAGGAAGTCGCGGAGGTCAACGCGCTTGTCGCCCTGGAGCTGGATGATCTCGCCCATCTCCTCGTCCTTGACGATGTTGCCGTTGCACGCAAAGTCCTTCTTGAAGAACTTGAGCATCTTCTTCAGATCGAGCTTCTCGTCCAGGCCCTGCAGCGTCGTCAGCGTCTTGCGGCCATTGCGCTGCTGAATGCGGATGTCTACGTTGGAAAGGGAAAGCTCGAGTTAGCTTACATTCTCAGCCGAGGGTTGCAGCAGCGCAGATTGCAGCACTGTTGCTGGTCAGTGTAACTATGACAAAAGCACTAACAGTGCCGGAACGAAGGCCAAAACGGCCAACGCGTAAATGCCCGGCTATAGATTTGCTAGCAAAATTTTGATTTATCATCTTTCCAACGATTGCGAAATCGCCCAAAGATTCAGGCGGGAGACTTACGAATGTAGTTGTCGGTCTGGGCGGCGTCGTCGTCGAGGCCGGTGTCGGCGAACGGATCGAAAGGCCTTGAGGTTCTGAATGGACATATAAGCTTATAGAAAACGGCGGAAAGTCGCGAGCTAAAGTGTATGAAAAAGTTTTAGTATACAGGAAAGATGGCGCGCTCCGGCGGCGGCGGCGCGCTGTATGCGAGCTTTATAGCTCCCCCAGCCGAGCCGCGGAAGGGGAGGAACGGCTTGGAAGTTTTTTCACCTGCCCGGGCCGGTGATTGGCTGGGAGCAGGATCCCACAACCGAGCAGTTGCGATTTCAGCGGCGGCAGCAGTATAAATTCTGGGCGCAAAATGCGGCCAAAATGGGGTTGAATCTCCAGATCTCACCGAGTTTTATAACTCGTACATGATGAAATGGAGAGTGTTACAGAACGGCGCGTTTGGAGGGGGAGCGGGTTTACTCGCCCTCCTTCCCGGCCATTGATTCCACTTTAGACGGGGCGCAGCTCACAAACTTGTTACGTTTAATGCGTCCTCTGAATTCCATTCTGACCCCCCCCCCACAACTACCACTCGACGAATAGAAACCTTGATGCTGGACCTGCAGAGAACCGTCTCGGTTTCCAGCGGGAAAAGGCCGCCCGAAGGTGCTGCTGCCCGAACATGCGCTGAAGAACCAGCGCTTGCACTCTTGCATCGTTCTAAACCCTTTGCCGATGACAAGATTCTACCAGTTGGTGCGCAACTTCGTGGAGGGATATTGGTGGACCATCCGCCCTCACAGGCTGCAGCAGCAATCCCCGGACTAGAGATACTGCTGGCCGCTTCTTGCAGGCGCTCTCTGTAGAAGCACCGAGTCAACCAGCAAGCAGAAACGCCGCATATCTCTGATGTGTGTAAGAGAGCGGTTTTCGCTGCGTCGCATGCATACTATTACAAGCCGAGATGTGCCTGCTATCTTGTAGATGTGCACATTTGTCCCCCATCACAGCGCAGGCGATTGTCTGGAGAAACGCGTCTATCTAATATGGACAAAACAGAAAGGTGGCAACAACTAGAATTGTAAAGGGGGCTACAGGGTAATGAGGAAAGGAAAGAAATATACTAAAAACAGGCGCTAGATTGTTTGAACGGATGGAGAGAAGGCCAGAGAGATGATGGAGGATCTGAGATCCCTTAGAAGAGGACTGCCAGAGCAGCGATGGCAGCAACGGCCGGGACAGCAGCCAGCGAGCTGGCGCCCGAGTTGCCGCCTGTGGTCGTGGCCTTGCTTGAGGGCTTGCTCGCGGATCCCTTGGACTCGTCATCAGAGCCGGCAGACAGGTCGTCGTCCAAGAGAGCCAGAGGCGTCACTATCGGTATCGGAGGCAGCGTCCGAGCCATTGGTGGTGGCGGCAGAGGAGCCAGGAGACGAGCCACCAGTAGTAGCAGCGGCAGAGTTGTCCCTCAGTATCGCTGCCAGTGCCAGCAGCAGACGAGTCGGTGGAGGGGACCGAGACACCGGTGGTGCCAGATGCAGCAGTCTCGCTGTCCAGTAGCGTTGCCATCACTGGTGGCAGCGGTGGCGTCGGTAGCATCAGTAGCATCGGTGGCAGCGGTGGCAGCGGTGGCATCGGTAGCAGCGGTGCCAACAGCGCTCGAGGGGATGCTAGACACAGCAGTGTCGGCAGCGCTAGAGTCCTGAGCAATAACGGCAGCAGAGACGGCCAGGAGAGCAACGGCGGTAGCAAACTTCATTTTGTTAGGTATTTGGTGATTAAGATGGGTAAAAGAGTAGAAGCTGGCTACGGGTCTTGCCGATTAGAGGACTGAGAAAATGAGGAAAGCGCTTGAAGCAACTGGTAATGGTGTTTGGGTTCGCAGTGCTGGTGCCGATGCGTGTGCCTTTATATGCCAAATGGCTTCCTGTCTGGCAAGCTCCGCCTACCGGAGAGCATACCCGGAGCTAAGCGGCAGCAAACGGCTGATGGTGCTCACTATGCCGCTTGAATGCTCGCTAGGGATGCTGATCCAGAAGGGGGTATCTCCACCCGCCCTCTGCACCCCCTCCCGGCCCACATCCTCGCACATGCGCCAGCAAACAAAAGCCGCCGAACCTCCCCACCCACCACAGTGATAAGGCAGGCATAATATTGACAAATAGGCGCCCATGGATATTTTTTCTTGGTTCTCCGGCCCGCTGCCTGAGCCGACGCCCAAATAAATAGTGCCAATGCCAATGCCGTCAGCGATTCAGCGTCTTTCCCGATGGGACTGGCTGCGTACTCGGAATCGAGAAGGCGGCGGGATAGTGGAGCGACATGTATTTTTGGCATCTGGTGATGAGAAGAAGAAATACCGCGGATGATCAAGCAGAGGAGCGCCGTCACTGGGCAGAGACATCACATTGTTCTTTGACTAGAGCAGCATGGATGACGCCGATAGGGCCAGCAACGACGTCACACCACTGAAGAGAAAAAAAGTCGCTGGCCCCGGGTTGCTAGAAGGTGCGTTCTATTTTTCGTATGTCCACAAATAGCATATTTTTTCTACAGCCTCCGTCTTGGCATTCCAGACCTGCGGCATCGATCTGCTGCTACTGCACCGATCCAACTCTTGGCAATAGAACGGCCCAATATGCTATTCTGGTATAATCTGCTGTATTGGTAAGTTTTAGACAACCTTCACACTGCCCTTTCCCACTCTTACTGCATCCCGCCTCTGGGTCTCATTCCTGTAGTGGATACGGGACTGTGATTGGCGCTGCAAGGCGCGGGCCAGACCTGTGCAAGGACAGCCGGCTCCTGCTCAGGCCAGAGCTGCTGTCTCGGTGGTGCTGGCACCTGCTGCCACAGTCCAATCCAGTTTATGACTCGGATGGAATACTTTTTCACTGCCGCTCTCACTGCTCCAACAATCGACCAACCTGCACAGACCGAACCTCCACACTGCATGCACAGCTGTCATATCCGGTCCCCAGTTCCAAAATGAAAGGCTCCTGACTCAGATCACACTTGCTGTTTGTTTGTTCGTTTGGCTGGGGCTGGGTTTAGTTATGTACATCACCTCGCATTGCAAATGTTTGCTGATCCAATGCTTGCACGCGACTTGGCATGGGCTGAAGGTCGCTAGCCTTCCCGCGTCACCGCCACCCCAGCTGCCCAATTAGCACAAGCTGCTCTATGCCTGCCATCCTTGTTGGACTAGCCTGCCCGCCCCTTTGCTTCTGCAGCCCAAAAAAGCCACCTGACAAGCCTGAAATGCTGGTTTTAGAACATAAAATTTATTAACATCATCCACACATCCAGCCCTACAAACAAACCGATTATATCGCAATCGCAACCACGGCGGCAGCAATCACGGCGGCGATCAGCTGGCCAGCAGCCATGCCTGCCGCACCTGAATCAGGCTTGCTGGTCGGCGAAGAGGTAGCCCCGGTGGTCTTGCCGCCAGTGACCGAGGTAGCATGGGTACCACTTCCGCCCGTCTGGTCGGTCTGATCACCTGAATCCGTCGCCTGTCCACCTGTAGTGGCATCACCTGAGGTTGCACCACCACTACCGCCACCACCACCGCTGGTGGCCGATCCATGGCCCCCTCCGCTGGTCGGCTCGGGCGTCTTGGACGCGCCACCTGTACCCGTGGCGGTAGCCTGGGGACCTGAGCTGGCTGACAGCTCAGTGGTCGAGAATGAGAATTCACCCTGGGCACTGGCTTGGCTCTTGTCCCAGATCGTCGTCTCCGAGACGCCCGCCAGACGCTTGGCCGCATTCCGCGCCAGCCCCTCGTTGAACAGGCCGGGGAGCGAGGTGGTACCATAGATATCCTTCAGCTGCGTGTACGCATCAGGGTAGTCGTCCTTCGCACTGGCGAGCACGCCGTTGCCAGCAGCCGCCCAGTCCTTCCACGCAACCATGATGTCGGTGTAGATGGCATTCTCGTCCTTGTCGGCCAACTCAAATGCATACTGCGCAGAAACTGCGGTGGACAGAACAAGCGCACCCAGGGTAGTGGCGTATAGCTTCATTTTGGTTCGGTAGAAATATGGCTATATTGTTGTCGCAGAAGAATATATAAAGCTCCGTGGAAACAAGGTGCAAGGGGGACAACAGGATTGCGAGTCCCTTTTCAGTCTGAGCCTGCCTGTGTTCCTCCAGGATGAAGCTGCGTCTCCTGCAGGCCCCTGCTACGCGTTGTCGATATGCTAAAAGAGTGGGAAAACAAAAAAAAAACAGGGACTCTCTTGGTCGAGACATGTGACCGGCCGCGCGTAGGGGAGTATTCTTAGCCCGCTCAAAGGTTGTGGCATGCAGCTTTCTCACACAGTTCGCTGGTCAGGCATGCATATGTGGGCCCGGGTCGGAGCTGTACGCGGCTGCCTACTGGGATTTGCCAGTCTGTCCTTAGTGAGCAATATTTCTCACGAACAGCGCAGCTGCTGGCCCTAAACCCACGCCTATTCAGCGATATAAGCGCATGGTATGCCTGGATGGAGACGCGGACTGACGACAGAAGCATCCCTGTTTTCTCCTTGTTTTCTTTTCACACCCCTGCTCAGCACATAGCCTGCTATTAACGCCATTCCCCAAACATGGCCAGCCCAACACCGTCTCACAGGATTGCCGTCGTGGTGGTCGGCAGTGGCGTCATCGGACTGACGACTGCGCTCAGCTTGCAGCGAACTAACCGCTACTCTGTGACAGTAGTGGCCGACGACGTTGTTGCCGACTTGCATGGCCCGCACAACATTTCCCAAGACTGGGCATCCCCTTTTGCCGGCGCCAACTGGCGCAGCTTTGCAACCATTGAGCAGACCGAAGCACGTGCTGCAGAGGAAGAAGCCTACTTCAAATTCCGCGACATTGCTCGTACGACCCCCGAGGCCGGCGTCAAGATTGTTGATATGGTTGATTTCGGCGACGCCCCTGGCGAGTGCGAGATGCTACATCGCAACTATGTCGCCAACCTGCAGCCAATTGATAAGGCAGAGTGGCCGGCGGGTGCCTCCATGGGCTACAAGTACGACTCGCTGATTATTAATGTGCTGCAGTACCTGCCTTGGCTCACTGAGCAGTTTACTGCCCAGGGCGGCCAGGTCAAGAAGGCGCGGCTGGATCATATCCTGGATGCCACGCATTACGCCGACAATTGCAAGGTGGTAGTCAACTGCACTGCCATGGGTAGCCGGACCCTGGGCGGCGTCCTTGACAAGGAAATGTACCCGACGCGTGGCCAGACCCTGCTCGTTAATGCTCCCAGTCGTCGACTTCACCACGATGTCTCCTGGCAACACTGGCTCAGAGACAAAATGTACATATGTAATCCCTCGCGGCGACGGCACAGTGATCTTGGGTGGGGTCATGGAGAAGGACAACTGGGACCGCAGCGAAAACAAGGCTACAACCGAGGAGATCCTTCGCAACTGCCTCTCGCTATGCCCGCAGCTGCTCGGCCGAAGGCTATGAGGGTAGATACTCCCGTGATGCTTCGGATGCCGATGTGGAGGCCCTGCGCAACAAGCTGATCCGAGTCAACGTCGCCTTCAGGCCTTCTCGGCGGTCTGGACCACGGCTTGAGGTTGAGAACAAGGGCGATGTGGTCGTTCTCCACAACTATGGCCAGTCGAGCTTCGGCTACCAGTCCAGCTGGGGATACGCGTTTTCAGCTGTCCGCAAACTTGATGCGGCTCTCCTGAACCGCCAGCTTCCCTCTGCCAAGCTGTAGCGACACGAGGACCATTAATATACGTGAAATTGTTTCTACTATACAGCGTAAAAGTGTGAAGGGTACATGGGAGGGGCGTTATGCCTGGCGAAGAGTGCCTGCGGTTTTGGCCTTGGGTGGCCTTTGCGGCAGCCCCAGCGATGTGCGGGTATCAGAGTTGCACAGTGGGCATCGAGATGACTTGCTCAGCAGCCACCTGTCAATGCACTCGCAATGAAAGACATGGCCGCAGACCAGCGCCCGGACCGTCGACTCGGCATCAAACCCATCGATGCAGACCGCGCACATATCATCTGTATCATTCTTGCCATCGGGGGTTCCAGCACATTCCTGCTGTTGCGCGATCGCGTTCTGCACAGGCACATGCTGCTCTTCCAAGTTCTCTGAGTGGATACTGATAGCATCGATGTCTACGGCTTTCTGCTTGTCTGCCAGCCCATCGAGCGTCAGGACCGAGTGCTTGTGTTTGGGCCACGCATGCTTGGCCCCACTGGATTTGTACTCGGCAAACGTAAGTGCAGGCATGAGGTCGAGCTCGGCCGGGGTGAACACGTTTTGTTTGGCGACGCTACGCCGTGGCCTGTATTCGACCGTGAATCGCACGCGCGGGTTCTCTTCATCGCCGATCTCCATGCGCGCCGCGCGAATACGCCTCTGTATGATGTAGACCGACAGAACAAATACGAACAGGATCCAAGCTATAGCGAGAGGGTGATTAGTCAGACTATGTTGCCATTAGTGTATCCATTTTTCTCTGCCGATACATTACCTCCGAAAACAGTCACCAGTATTGTAGTTTGCAGCGTGCTACTCCGGGTCTGTGGGGGGCTTGGCTCAGAAGACAAGGCACTGAGAAGAGTCTCAGTTGGCGCACCCGATGCTAGTGTTTCGACAGGGGTGGCTGTGTGGGCGGTTAGGATGTCGATGGACATGATGCTCATGTGTAAATCAAAAAATATGCTGTGTGGTTTCAAAGTGTGCTAATGCGGTAGTGAGGATGTACAACTAATCGTCTGCGCAAAAAACAAACAGTCCTGGTGTAGTTTTATATCACCTTGACAGATACTGCCGGCAACTTGTAGCCTTTGTCTTAACCGCAGAAAAGTAACGGCGCATGTCCCTGCCGGTTTTCGGGCAAGCCTGCATGTCGTCACAGCTACTCCTCGGCCCCAGATGACTAGCTGCCGAAAGAAAGAAGTTCTGGCCTATATACCGTTGCCACCCCTTGCTTCCGGGAGGCGGTCACAACAGGCATTGATGAATGCCGAGTTGCCACACAACGTCCCTCGCTGTCTGAGTGCATCTCCCCGCACATTTGCGGATTGCTGCCAAGATTGTGCATGACATGCGTGGATATTTGAAACACGCGGGGCAGGGGGACATCCGGCAGCCCCATGTCTGGCCAGCTGACCTTCCCCCTGTTTGCCGCTGCCGTGCTGAAGAAAAAGAACCGGCAGATATGCTTAGGCACGATTACTGCCTCTATCTGCCGACTACTGGGACGATGCCGAGCACGATTTTTCTTCTCGGGACTACCGCCCGGCTCTAGATGGGAGGCAGTGGGCTGGCCAAATGCGTTTTTGAGAATGCAATGAGTTTTTCTGCATACGACAGCTTTTTGGCAATTATCTGCTGTATCGCGTTGCACGTGTGGGAGTGGCAGTTGTGATGACAGCCTACTGATGCAACATTGTGACCTGGTGCATGCTCTTAAAAAAATTATTACGCAGCGAAAAGGCACACCTCGTTCCCTCTCTCTTCTTCTCGTTGTTTTTTGTATTTATCCATTCATTGCTACTGTTTCCATATGCGTATAATTCACGCGGTGCTCGTATGCCTGGCTCTGGTTGTCGTGCCAGCCAATGCAGCTTTCTACATCCCGACAACATCAATCGACAACACCCAAGCGTACTATTCGCAAATGAGCGTCAACTGGGATAGCGTGCGCTCTAGTCTATCGTCCCAGATCGACGCATACGCCGAGGACAAGAACTATGGCGTGTATGTTCTAATGACGTCTATATACGGAGCGATAATCCCATCGACATACGACCAGGGGTACATGCAGTCGCTCATGCAAAAGTTTCAGGACCTTGGGCCGCGCACGTGGGGGGATGTGGAGCTGCAGAGTATCTCGTCAACGTACCAGATTGCACACAATTCTGCGTATGTCATTAACCAGGGCTCGCCAGTGTCGGCCATCAGCTCGTGGTGGTTGGCGGCGGTGGTTGCTGGTGTTGTTGCTGCACTGATGGTTGTATAAACTTGACCACTGAGGGGGATGCTCAGCCGTAGTTCTACTATTTGGTCCTGGTTTGTCTTCCAGTTTAGTGAATAGAGAGGGTGCGCTATTCGCAGCGTTCCGAAATGTAAAAAAAGGATAGTATCCGGATTCAGCTGGGATGCGTGCAATAAAACCGGTCCTGTCCTGCGATGGCGACAATGGGTGGCAAAACGATTCAGCTTGAAGCTAGGATCTGCTGTAGAGTAGCAGTGTCTGGCAAGCCAGGCTTGGCAGTAAATGCTGGCGTCCGTGGTGGTTGATTAGGCCAAAAATGTCACTCAGGGAGGTCCTGCGAGGGGTTCAGTAAACTAGCCGTAGCATAGTCTACTAGGCTGCAGACGAAGAGGGGATGCGTGCATTTGCTCTCGTACTTTATTTTCTAGAAAAAAACAAGGGAAGGTGTTCCCTTGTGTGCGTGTGGAATGGGCAGGAGCAAACAAACAGCCAGTCTCTCAACAACAAACTAGTCGGTGCAGTAGTAACTGCTGCTTGTGCTCGCTCGCCTTGTCAGCCACGGCTCTATAGCCGTACGCCGGTCTAATCGCCCAGGCATGTAAGGATGCAACGAGGTCAGCCAGAGTTCCGAATCCAACAATCGGATCAGTAGACTGGGAACCGTCAACAAAAGACAATCCCCGGGATTATGTCCCTGTTGACATGTTGGTTTGGTCCTGTCCCCCTCCGCACACACAGATAGAAACGACCGAATCGCTGGCCAGCGGTACCCATGCCCAACAGAAAGAAAGAAAAGGTGGCATGGTGAGCGCATATTGCAGATGTATTTTTTTTTTTGGCACTGCGGGAGGCTTGCCGCTCCCCTTTTCTCGCTGGGATGTGCACCGTGCATATGTTGCTTCGGTAATCTTTATAAACTGGGCACAACGAACTCGCCGCTCGCATCCCTTTCTCTTCCGTATACCTCCTCCCTTCTTCCTACCACGTTTGCGTAATTCTTTTCGTCGCTACCAGCCTCTTCCCACCCGCCTTTCTCTTGTAATCATAATGAAGTTCACCGCCGCCGCCGTCCTTGCCCTTGTCGCTGCTGTCAACGCTGCCAATCCTTCTGCCGCCGGTCTGGGCGGCATCGCCGACCTCCCCGCGGACCTCCTGGCCATCGTTAGCTACCTGCCCTCGGACATCATCCAGGACGCCCTGGCCGACGGCAAGCTGCCGACTGATATTGCCTCGGTTCTGTCGCGCGCCACCGGCATCCCCACATCGCTGGTTCCGGCGCTGTCGTCCGAGTACGCCCAGCTGCTGGCCCAGATTGGTGGTGGTGAGGCGTCGGCTACCCCGACCGCCCCGGCTGCCAGCTCCGGTGCCACCCCGGCTGGGTCGCACCCTGCGTCGCACGCTGGGTCGCACGCTGCCTCGGATCTCGACAGCCTCGATGAGGAGGAGTCGAGCCATGCCTCGCACTCGGGCTCTGCCGCTGCTCCCAAGCCGAGCGCCGAGAAGTCGGGCAACGGCGCTGCCAAGGTGGCTGGTTCCCTGGCCGCTGCTGCCCTCGCCGCCGTTGCGCTCTTCTAAATCTCTCCTTTTTCTTGTTTTCAGCAATTGATCTGCAAGCTTCCAATCAATGTCTGGTTTTCGCCTGGTTAGCTGCAGAGCAATGTTTGCGAAATGCACGAAGCGATGCTCTGGAAGTCCACCATTGGTCTGGTGTGCATGCTTCCGCATCCATGTTTTCGTTTGCGCATAGACCGAATGCAAAAACCGGTTTTTGGCAGCTGCAGTGTGCAGCGGTTCTCACGTATAGTGTTGGCCGAGAGCCGTCCAGGAAGTGCGCTGTCGGACCAGCCTTGGGCTTGGACTGAGCATGCATAGCCGACGAAGAACCTGGGATGGTTCCTGAGCTCGGATGTGGAGCTGCCTGTATCCCTGGATCATGCATCGCGCTTTTGTTTTGACATTGCAGCCAGGTGGCTTCGATGCCAAGCCTCAAAATACCCACGCTGCGACAGCACAGGCGCCAGCTGCTGCCTACACAGCCTACAGCGCAGAGTTTGCGGATCCAGCTAGCTCATAGTTGGTGAATGCGCTCCCTGCGGCTACTATTGCGGAGCCAGATGGCGGCCAATCCAACACAATCCACGTGCAAACATTCTGGCACTATTCTCGACAGCGCTGTTTAAAAGGCAGCAACTTCTGGATTGTCTTGTCCTCATCGCCTTTTTTTTTTTTCGAGTTTTCCTTTTTGCACATTCCAGGCATTTGAGAAAGCTAACAGAGAGGAAACAAGGATTATTAACCATGGAAGATATCGGCGGACCAGGAGCGGCTTCCGGTACCGAGCTTGAGCGGAGTGCAGCGGTTTTCTGCGACCCGAACATTGTCAAGCAGTATCTTTTGAACCTGGTTCCAGTGCTGCTGGGCAGCGGCAGCAGCGACGATGACGACGACTTTGAAGCCGTCAAGGCAATGTTCTCGTTCCCGGACGCGAGCGCCAAATGCAAGTCGTTTGCCAACGACCCAACGATCCCGGTTTTGTATGTGATCAAGGAGACAGAATCTGATGGCAGCGAGGATACCGATGCTGAGATGGCTGGCTACTCGTTCTCGACATCGACGTATACGCTGAGCTACGAGCTGTCGTGGCGGCCGTCGCATGTGGGCAGCATTGCGCTGATCAAGCGTATGACAACACTGAATCCGTCGCAGCCGCTGGCAAAGCAGATCCAGGTCATGAACCTGCCTGGCCCAGCATCGACTGGTAGTGCTGGCAGTGTAGCAGCACCAGCTGCAAACTGAGGCAGCAGCAGCGCCCGCGACCGAATCGGAGGAGGCGAGCAAGGAGCGTGCTGCGGCAGCAATGGCCAGTGGGCTGAATCCGTACGAGGCCTTGCACGCGTACATCCATTTTGCTGTGACACCGTACTTCAACGCATATGTGACAGCCAAGGAGAAGGCCGAACAGCAGGCGGGTGCTGGCGGCGAGGCTGGTAGTGGGGCATTCCGGGAGGACAAGGACTCACAGCCAGGGATTCCGATGGCCAAAAAGAAGCTGGCCGAGCTGGAGCTGTCGCTGCTGCATCTGCAGCAGAACATGGAGATCCCAGAGATTGTGCTCAGCATCCACCCTGTCATCGTGCGGGCTGTCGAGGAGTGCCGCAGCAAGGGCGAGCGCGTGACGGTAGATGCCATTGATTCAGCGCTGCTGTCGGACTCTGGGTTCCTGAACCAGCTGCAGGGAGACGTCAACGGGTGGATCAAGGAGATCCAGAAGGTCACCAAGCTGGACCGCGACCCGGCATCGGGAACGACCAGCCAGGAGATCAACTTTTGGGTGTCGATGGAGCGCGCACTGGAGCGCATTGAGGAGCAGCTGCAGAGCGACGAGATTGTGCTGGCCATGGACATTCTGAAGGCAGCCAAGCGGTTCCACGCCACGGTCTCGTTCCGCACCGATACCGGTCTGAAGGAGGCAGCAGAGCGTGTCACGCGCTACAACGTGCTCATGAAGGACTTTCCGATCAACGAGCTGCTGTCGGCCACCGATGTCGGGCGCATCAGCGCAGCCATCGAACAGATCTTTGCGCACATCAACAAGAAGCTGAAGCTGACGCCGTACCCGGTGCGGCGTGCGCTGCCGCTGGTAGAGGCGGTGTCGCGCGACTTCAACGAGCAGCTGGTGAAAGTGCTGGGCCACGTGCGGCTCATGCACATGGACTACGCGGGCTTCGAGCGGCTGTTCATCGACACGCAGGGTGCGTTTGAGGCATGGGAGAGCCAGGTCAAGGAGTTTGCAAACTTGGCGCGCGATGTCACGCGCAAGCGCAGCGAAAAGTTCATCCCGATCAAGATCCGCGCGGCGCACGCAGCACTGCAGGAGCGTGTGCAGTTTGTGTACCAGTTCCGCCAGTCGCATGAGCAGCTGCAGCAGACCATTATACGGGTCATGGGCTCCCAGGCTAGCATCCTGGAGGCACCGGCAGGCGACGGCGGCTCATCGAGTGTGGGAGACATTGCAGCAATCGACGAGATCAGATCAGCATACGACTCGGTGAAGATGGTCGATGTGCTGGATGTGACGCCTGAGGGAGCAGAGCTGTGGGAGCGCGCCGAGACCAGCTACAATGAGCGCGTGGCACGGGTCGAGAACCAGATCATTGCGCGACTGCGCGACCGCCTGGCGACGGCCCGCAACGCATCGGAGATGTTCCGCGTGTTCTCCAAGTTCAATGCGCTGTTTGTGCGGCCCAAGATCCGCGGAGCGATCCAGGAGTACCAGACGCAGCTGATCAGCTCGGTCAAGGACGACATCCGCAAGCTGCACGAGACGTTCAAGCGGCACTACAACAAGTCGGAGGCGTTCACGCTGTCGCAGCTGCGTGATATCCCGCCAGTCTCGGGTGCCATCATCTGGATCCGCCAGATCGAGCGCCAGCTTGACATGTACATGAGCCGAGTCGAGGACGTGCTGGGCAAGGGCTGGGAGCTGTATGCCGAGGGCCAGCGCCTGCAGGCCGACTCGGCGAGCTTCCGCCGCAAGCTGGACACGCGCCCCCTGTACGACGCGTGGTTCGCCGAAATCAGCCGTCGCGATCTGACCGTGTCAGGGCGTGTGTTTCTGGTGTCGCGTCACCGCGCGTCCGGCAACGCATTCCAGCTCAACATCAGCTTCGATGCACAGCTGATCACGCTGTTCAAGGAGGTGCGTGAGCTGCTGTGGCTCGGCTTCCAGGTGCCGCACACGCTGGTGAACATGGCGCGCGACGGCAAGCGCGTGTATCCGTTTGCGGTCAGCCTGATGGAGACTACCAAGATCTACCGCCAGACCAGCCACCGTCTGCAGCAGCACCAGGACATTCATGCCACTGGCAGCTGGATACCGCCGCGACGTCATGCTGTGTATTCGCCGCGGCATGGGTCTCAAGTGGCAGTATTTTGTGACCTCGGCCGGTCTGTACTCGGCGGGCGGTGCGGGCGCGCTGGCGCAGGTTGATGCCCATGACAGCCGCAATGCGTCGTTTGTACGCGAGTTTGCTGCGGTGGTCGCGCTGTACCAGGAGAAGGTTGATGCGCTGATATCGCTCAACGACGAGATCAACGCGGCTGTGCGCGAGCTGGCCACCTGCCCATACACCGAGGACAAGATGCGCGCAATCCTGGACCGTATCCAGGTGCTGATTGACCGCCTCAACCTGGACAACTACGCCAACCTTGAACAGTGGGTTGGGGAGCTCGATGTGCGCCTGGAGCAGGTGCTTGCCACCCGTCTGTCCAGCGCCCTGCAGGCGTGGATCAAGGAGTTCCGCCGTGCGCCGGCTGTCGGTGACGAAGACGATGACGACACAATTGGTGCCGACGATAACAAGATCTCGCGCCGGCTGCAGCGCAGTCTGGGGGTAGAGGGCGGCGCACGCAATGGCAGCGGGCGTGACAAGAGCGCACAGCGACAGGAGAGCGAGGCGGAGGAGGTCATGCCGCAGCTGCGCACGCTGGTGCATGAGCTGCGGATCAAGAACCAGATCATGTACCTTGATCCTCCCCTGGAGAATGCGCGTGCCTCGTGGGTGCAGCAGCTGCATGCCTGGCTCTCGGTCATCTGCCAGCAGCGGCGCCCGCAGGCTGCGCGCTACGAGGTGGTGGCAAATACCGACGAAGACCTCGAGTACGACAACCTGACGCTCGAGTACGACCCAGGCACTGCTGTGACAGCCACCAACAGGATCACGACAGCCGGGCCGCAGGCACGGTCGTACAAGGACCTGCTGTCCCGGCTGCCTAACAGCAGCCTGAATGAGGCGTACCAGTCGATCGAGGAGCTGACGCGGCAGGCAGCTGCGTATGTGCAGATCTGGCTGCAGTACCAGGCACTGTGGGACCTGCAGCTGGACCATATGGTCAAGTTCCTGGGCGACGATCTGACGCGCTGGCAGTCGATGCTACTGGAGATCAAGCGCGCGCGCTCGACCTTTGACAACTCGGAGACAGCCAAGTTCATCGGCGCGCACTGCATCGTCGACTATGAGCAGGTGCAGAGCAAGGTCAACGCCAAGTACGACAACTGGCAGCGCGAGATCCTGAACAAGTTTGGGCAGAAGCTTGGCCAGGCGATGCGCGACACCTGCCAGGCAATCTCGAGCGCTCGCCACGAGCTTGAGTCCCACTCGGCCGAGTCGAGCACTACCTCTGAGGTTGTCACGTTCATCACCTTCGTGCAGGAGCTGAAGCGCAAGTGTCCTGGCTGGAAGCGCGACGTCGAGGAGGTGTTCCGTGGCGGCCAGCGGGTGCTTGAGAAGCAGCGGTACCAGTTCCCCTCTGACTGGCTGTATCTGGACCAGGTCGATGGCGAGTGGAGCTCGTTCAACGAGATCCTGGCTCGCAAGAACAATGTGATCCAAGAGCAGCTGCCGAACCTGCAGATGAAGATCATCACCGAAGACAAGGCGGTCGATACGCGTATCAGCACGCTGTGCGCAGACTGGGAGAAGAGCAAGCCTGTGCAGGGCTCGCTCAAGCCCGACATTGCCACAAACACGCTGAATGTCTTCCATCAGCGCATCACGCGGCTGGTTGAGGAGTACGAGCAAGTGGGTCGCGCCAAGGAGGCCCTCGACATGGAGATTACCCGCGACGAGCGCCTGACGCCTGTGCTTGAGGAGGTCAATGACCTAAAGAGCGTGTGGGCTGCCTTGGCTGGCATCTGGAAGGAGGTTGATGAGCTGCGTGAGACGCCCTGGGCCAGCGTGGTCGTGCGCAAGGTGCGCCAGCAGCTGGACCGCCAGCTGGCCGAGTCGAAGCAGCTGCCGAACCGTATGCGGCAGTACGCGGCGTTCGAGTACATGCAGAAGACGCTGCGCGGGCTGCTCAAGGCCAACATTGTCATTGCTGACCTAAAGTCCGACGCCCTGCGCGACCGCCACTGGCGGCAGCTGTTCAAGGCGCTGCGCGTGTCGACCACAATGTCGGATCTGACTCTGGGCGACGTGTGGGACTTTTGACATTGTGCGCAACGAGTCGGTGATCCGCGAGGTGATCACAGTTGCGCAGGGCGAGATGGCGCTGGAGGAGTTCCTGGGCCAGATCCGCGAGACGTGGACGGGCTATGTGCTGGAGCTGATCCCGTACCAGACCAAGTGCCGACTGATCAAGGGCTGGGACGATCTGTTTGCCAAGTGCTCGGAGCAGCTGAGCGCACTGACGGCCATGAAGGCGTCGCCGTACTACAAGGTGTTTGAGGAGGAGGCCAGCTCGTGGGAGGACAAGCTGAACCGCATCCACCTGCTGTTTGACGTGTGGGTTGATGTGCAGCGCCAGTGGGTGTACCTCGAGGGGATCTTCTCTGGCTCGGCCGACATCAAGCACATGCTGCCGGTCGAGTCGTCGCGGTTCCAGAACATCAACACTGAGTTCCTGGCCGTCATGAAGCGTGTCTACAAGAGCCCGTTCGTTCTCGACGTGCTGAACCTGCCCAACATCCAGCGTAGCCTGGAGCGACTGGCTGACCTGCTGAGCAAAATCCAGAAGGCGCTTGGCGACTACCTGGAGCGCGAGCGCGCGTCGTTCCCCCGTTTCTACTTTGTCGGTGACGAGGACCTGCTGGAGATCATCGGTAATGCCAAGGACGTGCCGCGCATCCAGAAGCATCTGCGCAAGATGTTTGCCGGCCTGGCCTTTATCCAGCTGTCGGAGGACAACAGCGAGATCCTGGGCATGTCGAGCCGCGAGGGCGAGCACGTCACATTCCGCCAGCCCATCGTGCTGAAGCAGTTCCCCAAGATCAACGACTGGCTTGCGGCCATCGAGCGCGAGATGCGCATGACGCTGGCCGACCACCTGGGTAAGGCCATCGAGAAGCTCGAGGCGGTTGTCAACCGCGAGGAGGCAGCAGCTCTGGACGCCGCGCAGTTCCGTGCCTGGATCGATGCGGTGCCAGCGCAGCTGGTGGTTGTGGCCAAGCAGGTCATTTGGACGCGCAAGGTCGACGAGGCGCTGGCAGGCTGGCGGGTCCGCGCTGCCGCAGGTGCTGGCTTGGTGTCGAGAGCGAACTGCAGGTTCTGGCTGACGCCGTGCTGGAGGACCTGGCGCCGATTGTGCGCAAGAAGAGCGAGCACCTGATCACCGAGCTTGTGCACCAGCGCGACATTATCCGCTGGGCTGATTGACTCCAAGGCCAGCAGCGAGCAGGACTTTGCGTGGCTCTCGCAGATGCGGTTCTGCTATGCTGCGACGCCGAGCGATCCCCTCGGCTGTCTGATTGTGCGCATGGCGGACGCGCAGTTCCGCTATGGCTTCGAGTATCTGGGCGTGCAGGACCGGCTGGTGCAGACTCCGTTGACGGACCGCTGCTATCTGACGCTGACGCAGGCGCTGGAGCGGCGCCTGGGCGGCTCGCCGTTCGGTCCTGCGGGAACCGGAAAGACCGAGTCGGCCAAGGCTCTAGCCACGCAGCTGGGGCGGTTCGCGCTGGTGTTCTGCTGCGACGAGAACTTTGATTTCCAGGCCATGGGCCGCATCTTCGTCGGTCTGTGCCAGGTCGGCGCATGGGGCATTTTCGACGAGTTCAACCGACTCGACGAGCGCATTCTGTCGGCTGTGTCGCAGCAGATCCAGGTCATCCAGCTCGGACTGCGCAAGGCGTATGAGTCGTCGGGTGGCAGTGGGTTGCAGCAGACGGAGATTGAGCTGCTCGACCACAAGGTCAGACTGCATTCGGATACTGGAATCTTCATCACCATGAACCCGGGCTACGCCGGCCGGTCTAATCTGCCGGATAACCTGAAGAAGCTGTTCCGCTCGTTTGCCATGACCAAGCCGGACCGCGACCTGATTGCGCAGGTTATGCTGTACTCGCAGGGATTCCGCCAGGCAGAGCTACTGGCAAGCAAGGTCGTGCCACTGTTCAACCTGTGCGCGGAGCAACTGTCGCAGCAGCCGCACTATGATTTCGGACTGCGTGCGCTGAAGAGCGTGCTGGTGTCGGCCGGTAATCTGAAGCGCGACCGGCTGCAGAGCAGCAGCGATGACGCTGCAATGGAGGGGGCCGAGGCCGAGGAGATGCCTGACGAGCAGGGCCTTTTGATTCAGAGCATTCGCGAGACCATGGTCCCGAAGCTTGTGGCCCAGGATATCCCGCTTCTGTCGAGTCTGCTCGAGGACGTGTTCCCTGGAATCGAGTACAAGCCAGCCAACATCTCGCGGCTGAAGCAGGCGATCCTGGATGTCTGCAAGCAGCGCAGCCTGGTGCCGGGTGACCGCTGGATGGACAAGGTGATCCAGCTGTACCAGATCCAGGCCATCCACCACGGCCTGATGATGGTCGGTGCGTCGGGCAGCGGCAAGACCACGGCCTGGCAGGTCCTTTTGGCAGCATTGGAGCGTCTGGAGGGCGTGGAGGGCGTCAGCTACGTCATCGACCCCAAGTCGGTAACCAAGGATGCCCTGTACGGTACACTGGATGCCACCACGCGTGAGTGGAAGGACGGGCTGTTCACGCACCTGCTGCGCAAGATCGTCGATAATGTGCGCGGCGAGAGCACCAAGCGTCACTGGATCATCTTTGACGGCGATGTCGATCCCGAGTGGGTCGAGAACCTGAACTCGGTGCTCGACGACAACAAGTTGCTGACGCTGCCCAACGGCGAGCGTCTGTCGCTGCCACCCAACGTCCGCGTCATGTTTGAGGTTGAGACCCTGCGCTACGCGACCCTGGCGACAGTGTCGCGGTGTGGTATGGTGTGGTTCAGCAACGACACAGTCAGCTTTGATATGACGGTGCAGCACTATTTGCGCACTTTGCAGACGGTGCCGCTGGACGAGAGCGAGGAGAGCGCTAACGCGCTGCTGCTGGGAGGCGGCAGTGGCAGCAATGCTGCTGGGCGCGGCAAGGAAGGAAGCGAGGGTGATGAGACGCAGTCACCGGCCATGCAGGTGCAGATATCGGCGGCGACTGTGTACGAGCCGCACTTTGCCAGCGACGGTCTGGTTGAGCGAGCACTCCAGTATGCTGGCGGCCTGGAGCACATCATGGACTTTCACCGCGTCGCGAGTGCTCAGCACGCTGTTCACTCTCCTGAACAAGGCTGTATCGACAGTGATCGAGTACAACTCGCAGCACCCAGACTTCCCGCTGGCGCCTGACGTCATCGAGGCGTATCTGGCCAAGCGCCTGGTTGTTGCGGTGGTCTGGAGCTTTACCGGCGATGCCACGCTGGCTGCGCGCAGAGACATGTCTGAGTTTGTGCGGGGAGCCACCACCATCGACTTGCCGGCTCTCAGCGGCACCTGCTGGCGACGAGTCGATCATCGACTACGACGCAGCGCTGCGCAATGGCCAGGCCGAGTGGGTGCAGTGGACCAGCAGAGTGCCCACTATGGACATCGAGACGCACCGCGTCACTGACTCGAGCCTGGTCGTGCCCACCATGGACACGCTCAGACACGAGGACGTGCTGTACGCATGGCTGTCGGAGCACAAGCCGCTGCTGCTGTGCGGACCGCCTGGCTCCGGTAAGACGATGACTCTGCTGTCTGCATTGCGTAACCTGCCGGATCTGGAGGTGGCAGCGCTGAACTTCTCGTCGGCGACGACGCCAGGAGCTGATTCTGAAGACGTTTGAGCAGTACTGCGAGTACCGCAAGACGCCCAGTGGCGTGGTTTTGGCGCCGGCGGCTATCGGGCGCTGGCTGGTGCTGTTCTGTGACGAGATCAACCTGCCAGCACCCGACAAGTACGGCACCCAGCGTGTGATTTCGTTCCTGCGCGAGCTGATCGAGCGCGGCGGGTTCTGGCGGGCCTCGGAGCACCAGTGGGTGACGCTGGAGCGGGTGCAGTTTGTGGGCGCGTGCAACCCGCCAACTGACCCGGGCCGTGTCCCGCTGTCGCACCGCTTTCATGCGCCATGCACCTCTGGTGATGGTCGACTATCCAGGCGAGCTCTCGCTGCACCAGATCTACGGTGTGTTTGCGCGGGCCATGCTGAAGGTGCAGCCGCAGCTGCGTGCCTACGCCGAGCCGCTGACGCGGGCCATGGTGGACGTGTATTTGGCGTCGCAGAAGCGATTCACGCCTGACCAGCAGGCGCACTATGTGTACTCGCCGCGTGAGCTGACGCGGTGGACGCGCGGGATCTTTGAGGCGATTCAGCCGCTGGAGACACTCAGCGTCGAGGGGCTGGTACGTCTGTGGGCGCACGAGGGTCTGCGGCTGTTCCAGGACCGCCTAGTGGATGCCAGCGAGCGGCGGTGGACCGACGACAAGATCGACGAGGTCGGGCGCCAGCACTTCCCGACCATCGACCTGCACTCGGCGCTGCAGCGGCCGATTCTGTTCTCGAACTGGCTGACGCGCAACTATGTGCCGGTGGACCGTGAGGAGCTGCGCGAGTACGTCATGGCGCGGCTGCGGGTGTTCTACGAGGAGGAGCTGGATGTGAAGCTGGTGCTGTTCAATGATGTGCTGGACCATGTCCTGCGCATTGACCGCGTGTTCAGACAGCCCATGGGCCATGCCCTGCTGATTGGAACTAGCGGGTCGGGCAAGACCACGCTGTCGCGGTTCGTCGCGTGGATGAACGGCTTGTCGGTGTACCAGATCAAGGCGCACAACCGGTACAAGGCAGCGGACTTTGACGAGGACCTGCGGAATGTTCTCCGGCGCAGCGGATGCCGTGGCGAAAAGATCTGCTTTATCCTTGACGAGAGCAATGTGCTGGATGCTGGCTTCCTGGAGCGCATGAACACGCTGCTGGCAAATTCGGAGGTGCCTGGGCTGTTTGAGGGCGATGAGCAGGCAGCGCTGATGACGGCGTGCCGCGAGGGCGCAGCCAGGGATGGGCTGATGCTGGACTCGAACGAGGAGCTCTACCGCTGGTTCACGCAGCAGGTCGGCCGAAACCTGCATGTTGTGTTCACCATGAACCCTCCGGCCGACGGGCTGGCATCTCGTGCGGCGACCTCGCCAGCACTGTTCAATCGCTGCGTCCTGGACTGGTTCGGCGACTGGTCTGACCAGGCGCTGTTCCAGGTCGGACGCGAGTTCACAAGCTCGGTGGACCTGGATGTGGCCGGGTTCATTGCGCCTGATACGCTGCCGGTGGCCTACGCTGACCTGGAGCTGCCGGCTTCACATCGCGACACAGTCATCAACTCGTTTGTGGCGGTTCACAAGTCGGTGCGGGTAGCAAACATGCGGCTGGCGAAGCGGCGCGGGCGTATCGCGCATGTCACACCCCGGCACTACCTCGACTTTATCCAGCAATTCAAGGACATGTTCTTTGAGCGGCGCGAGGAGCTGGAGGAGCAGCAGCGGCACTTGAACGTCGGCTTGGACAAGCTGCAGGCAACGGTGGTGCAGGTGGAGGAGCTGCGCAAGTCGTTGGCGGTGAAGAAGGAGGAGCTGGCGACCAAGACGCAGCAGGCGAACGATAAGCTGAAGCAGATGGTGCAGGACCAGCAGGAGGCCGAACAGAAGCAGAAGGCATCAGGTGCAGCTGCAGGCGGAGCTGGAGACCAAGAATGCGGCGATCGAGGAGCGTCGCAAGGTTGTGATGCATGACCTGGAGCGGGCGGAGCCGGCGGTTGAGGAGGCACAGCGGGCAGTGTCCAACATCAAGAAGCAGCAGCTGACGGAGGTGCGGTCGATGGCGAACCCGCCCGGCGCGGTGAAGATGGCTATGGAGAGCGTGTGCACATTGCTGGGCCACCGCCAGACCGACTGGAAGACGCTGCAGGGCATCATCCGTCGTGACGACTTCATCGCATCGATTGTCAACTTTGACACGGACAAGCAGATGACGCGCGAGCTGCGCAGCCGCATGCGGCGCACATTCCTGGAGCGGCCCGACTTTAACTTTGAGATCGTGAACCGTGCATCCAAGGCGTGCGGACCGCTGGTCAAGTGGGTGATTGCGCAGGTGGAGTTTGCCGAGATCCTGGACCGCGTCGGGCCGCTGCGCAACGAGGTCAAGAAGCTGGAGCGCGATGCGGACGAGACCAAGGTGCGGGCCACCACGCTGTCGCAGATGATCGGCGAGCTGGAGGCGTCTATTGCACGCTACAAGGACGAGTATGCGCTGCTGATTGCCGAGACCGAGCGGCTCAAGGGCGAGATGACGCGTGTCGAGTCAAAGGTGGAGCGCTCGTTGAAGCTGCTGGCGTCGCTGTCGAGCGAGCGCGAGCGCTGGGAGAACGGCTCGCAGACGTTCGAGTCGCAGATGGGCACGAATGGTTGGCGACGTGATGCTGGCGGCGGCCATGCTTGCCTACGGCGGCTACTACGACCAGCAATACCGTGACCAGCTGCTGCTGCGCTGGAACACGCAGATTACGCGGTCAGGCATCAGTGTGCGCGCCGACCTGCGGCTGGCCGAATACATGTCGACTCCCGAGCAGCGTCTGCAGTGGCAGGCATGCGGGCTGCCTGATGATTCGCTGGTGATGGAGAACGCGGCTATGCTGGAGCACTACAACCGGTATCCCGCTGGTTATCGACCCGTCGGGCTCGGCCACGCAGTTCCTGCAGCAGCAGACAGAGCGGGCCGGGCGCACGCTGACGGTGACGTCGTTCCTGGACGATGCATTCCTGAAGCAGCTTGAGTCGGCGCTGCGGTTCGGCAACCCGATTCTGATTCCAGGACGTTGAGCATCTGGACCCGATCCTGAACCCGGTGCTGAACCGCGAGCTGCGGCGAACTGGCGGACGTACCCTGATCCGCCTCGGCAGCCAGGACATCGACTTCTCGCCCATGTTCAAGCTGTATTTGTCGACGCGCGACTCATCGGCGGCGTTTGCGCCCGATCTGTCGTCCCGCGTCACATTCGTGAACTTTACGGTGACGCCGTGCATCGCTGCAGACGCAGTGCCTGAGCCAGGTTATGCGTCACGAGCGGCCGGACGTAGGATGAGCGGCGGCGCGACCTTCTGCGGCTGCAAGGCGAGTTCCGGCTGCGGCTGCACTCGCTGGAGAAGGAGCTGCTGCGGGCGCTCAATGCCTCGCAGGGCAACATCCTCGACGACGACAACGTCGTGGCCACACTCGAGTCGCTCAAGACCGAGGCAGCGGAGATTGCGCGCAAGGTCGAGGAGACCGACGGCGTGATGCGCGAGGTGGACCGTGTCACTGCTACATTCACGCCCCTGGCGCGGTCGTGCTCGGCCGTGTACTTTGCGCTGGACCGCCTGCCTGCGCTGCACCCGTTCTACCAGTTCTCGCTGGACTTCTTCAATGCCATCTTCAAGCAAGTGGTTGAGCAGAACCCGAACCTGCGCAGCGTCACCGACGAGCGTGAGCGGCTGCGTATTCTGCGCCGCGACTTGTTCCAGCTGGCGTTCTGCAGGGCGGCTGTATCGCTGCACCACGACTCGCAGCTCGTGATGCTGCTGCAGCTGGCCCAGATCAAGCTGCGTGGCGACGAAGAGGAGGAGGATGTGGCAGTGCAGGACGGCGCCGGCACTAGAGCTGAGGGCACCCAGGAGGCATGGGCCCGGCTCAACGCCGACCTGGACTTTGTCATGCGCGAGTCGACCATCCTGGTCCCTGCCAGCGGCCACCAGCGCGACCAGGCGCCGGTTGCTGTGCCGCCCGAGATTGAGGCTCTGATTGACGATGACGTGCGCTCGTCCCTGGCTGCGCACTCGCAGGCGCTCGGCTGGTGCCGCTCGTGGATTAAGGCCATGGGCAATGGCGAGGACACTGCTGAGTGGGTGGAGTTTTTGCAGAGCGAGGAACCCGAGAAGCGTGTGCCGCGCAGTGCAGTGCTGGCCGACGGCGAGCTTCTGCAGGACATGAAGGAGGCAATTGCGCTGCGCGAGCTTATTGTTGTGCGCCTGCTGCGCTCGGACCGCGTTCTCCCCGCAGCCACGCGGTTTGCAGCCACAGTGTTTGCCGAACCCAATGGTCCGGTCAGTCTTGAGGCGGTCGGCATGGTGGCCGAGGCGAATCTACGCGAGATCACGAGCACCGAAGTTGACCCAACCACGCCGATTGCGCTGTGCTCGGTGCCTGGCCACGATGCGGCGTATCGTGTCGATGCGCTGGCCGAGGAGATGCGGCGCAGCGTGCTATCGGTGGCCATGGGTTCAATTGAGGGCTTTGCGCTCGCCTGACCAGGCCATCGCCAACGCGTCCAAGTCTGGATCATGGGTGCTGCTGAAGAATGTGCACCTGGCGCCCACCTGGCTGGGCCAGCTCGAGAAGCGGCTGCAGTCTCTGCGCGCGCATGCCCAGTTCCGGCTGTTCCTGACCATGGAGATCAACCCGGCGGTGCCGGTCAGCCTATTGCGGCGGGCACGCACTCTTGTGTTTGAGCCGGCGCCCGGCATCCGCGCCAACCTTCTGGAGAGCCTCAACTCGATTCCAGCTGCCAGCGGCAAGGCAGCCCAGCCGGCGGAACGCGCGCGGCTGCGCTTCCTGCTGGCGTGGCTGCATTCAGTAGTGATCGAGCGGCTGCGGTATGCTCCGCTGGGCTGGACCACGCGGTACGAGTTCAGCGATGCCGACTTTGCGTGTGCTCTCACCACCGTCGACTGCTGGATTGACCGCGCTGCGCAGGGCCGCAGCAACATCGACCCGGCCCGCATTCCCTGGGATGCCATCCGAACGCTGCTGTCCGAGAGCGTGTATGGCGGACGTATCGACAACGAATTTGACCACCACGTCCTGGAGACCTTTTGTCCAGCGCTGGTTCTGCGCCGACGCCTACGGTGTGGACTTTAGCCTGGTTGACGAGGGCAGCAATGGGAGCGGCCTGCTGGCGCCCGAGGGCACTCTGTTTGAGGACTTTGTCAAGTGGTGCCAGGCGCTGCCAGAGCACGAGCCGCCGACATGGCTTGGGCTGCCAGCAAATGCCGAGACGCTGCTGCTGGTGCAGAAGGGCCAGCGGTTGGTCAACGACGCACGTAAGCTGCGGTCGCTGATGGATGACGACGACGACGAGGAAGAAGAGGCAGTGGCCGAGGCTGGTGGCAGCAAGGACGCAGCGGTGGTATCTGGTGACCAGGCCGAGCTGCCAGCGTACATGCGGCAGGTGGAGAGCCTGGCGGCGAGCTTCCTGGCAGCGCTTCCCGAGCAGCTGGCTGAGCTCTCGCACGCCGACGCCGAGCAGGCCGCGCGGGTGCCGCTGTTCCGTGTCATTGAGCGCGAGCACTCGGTGGCCAGGAAGCTGCTGGTGCAGGTGCGCCAGGATCTAGTGCATCTGCGCGAAACCTGCCGCGGTGAGCGCAAGCAGACCAACCATCTGCGCGACCTGCTGCGCGACTTCAATGCTGGCAGCGTGCCGCTGCCCTGGCTGTCCACATACACGGTGCCGCGCGACTTCTCGCTGGCCAAATGGGTTGCGGACTTTGGCGCCCGCCTCGACCAGGTCTCGCAGCTGGTCAGCCGCATCAGCCAGGACTCGGGCGATGTTGTTGAGGTCGTGCAGCGCGAGCCCGTGTGGCTCGGCGGTCTGCTGTACCCTGAGGCCTTCATTACCGCGACGCGTCAGGCAGTAGCCAAGAAGCTACAGTGCTCGCTGGAGGAGCTCGGCATTGGTCTGGCTATTGGCGAGAGCGCCATGGACGGCTGCGGGTTCGGCATCAGCGGCCTGCGGCTTGAGGGTGCTGAGTGGCATCAGGGCTCGGTTGCGCTGAACGATGGCTCCAATGAGCGCCTGGCTACATGCTTCCTGACCTGGACCCGCTGCAGTAAGGATGCTGCTGCTATCGAGGGCGTCGATATCCCTGTGTACCTGAACCTGGACCGCAGCGACCTGCTGTTCCAGGTGCGCTTGCCGATCGATGCCCAGGGCGGCACTATGCCTGGCGCTGTTATCCAGCGCGCTGTGGCGATTGTGGCCGCCTGAGACCACGCCTGTCTATTAATAGCCCATGGTCCCTTAGCATTTTTGCGTTTTTCAGGGTCTTTACACTGCCAAAACAAAACGTGCTTATTTAATCCACTAGGAATAAGCGTTCGCTATGTCTGACACCACCTTTTTTTCTCTCTGCAGCACCTGTCTATCGGTCCAGGACCATGCAGACCGGTTGTTTTGATTTTGCCCAGCTTTCATCTTTTTCTTTTGCGTGCAGCCCGCTTGCCAGGAAGCGTCGATCATTTGACCTCAGCGCTCAGTGGTCTTTTTGGGCCCATGTGGGGATGGATTCGCAATCTAGAGACACCCATTTTTTTTCGAATGTGCGATTGCCGCTGCTTCGCATCTTGCCCAGACGCGCCAAGGTGAACGGCTGATGAATTTTCTTTGCCATTGTCGCCTCATTGACCGACATGGAACTGTACAGGAGGCAGACAGCAACGGCGATTTTTCTGCTTTTGCGAAACCAGTGGTCTCGGGATGAAATGTGTCCATATTCTCCTCTCGCTACATTTGCCTTTTCGCGTTTTCCTCTTCCCTATTTCCTAGTATTTTTCTATTCTTCCGTTCGATATATCGATACGCTATCCTTTTTCTTTTTGCAACCACTACTAGTCCACCTTGGTGCAAAGGAGGCTTCCCCCCAGACATATTACATAAGGCATATTAAGAAACAAAAATGAAGCTATTTTCCTTGCCCCTACTGGGTACGGCGTTTGCAGGACTGTGCCACGCCGACATCATATTCTCTGTGGCCTCGGTGGACAACTGGGACAGCTACCTTGACGTGCTGTCGAGTGCCTGGCCAAGCCTGTACCCGCGCCTGAACCTGGCTCTGGCAAGCGCCAGCATCCAGGTTCCGGCTGAGTACAACCACCTGACAAGCCTCCTGTCGCTGACCGGCACTGTGCCGGCCACATACGACGAGTCGTGGGCAAGTGCCTTTGTTCAGCATGCGCAGGAGATCGGGCCCACAACCATAGTGGCGAGCGCAATTCCGGGCGCCGACCAGGACCCTGTCATGCAGCCGACCGCAGTGGAGACGTCCGATGCTAATGGTGCGGTGACTGCAACGGTGACGCCGACCGCGTACCCGACTATTGTGGTCGCGATTAATGGCAATGTGGAGAGGCAGGGGCATAATGCTCAGAGCGCTGAGGAGTCGAAGACGACAAGCAGTACCTCGGGCGCTGGGAGCCGGGTGGTCGGCGGTGCAACGGCGTTGGCGGGTATTGCTGTGGCCATGATGTTCTGAGGCGGTTGGAAGTTGTGAAGTTATCTGGCAGAGCGCATTAGCTTTTTGCCTCGTTTCTTCCTCTTTTTGCGTTTGCTCTTTTCCCTCCTCATTTTTCTGATACTCCTGCTCCTTTTTCTTTCACTGCACTTGCAAACCTTTTGTATAAAAACACACGTCGTAGTGCAACGAATTCCTTTACTTTTAATACTAAAATTACTTTGCTCGCGATATGAACTTGGCTGCCAGTCAGCATGGTTTGACCCGTCAATAAAAGCATCACAGCTAACCGACCGTCTAAATGTGTCGGATGATTGCTAGTGCAATGGTGATCTTGGACATCTCCTGTCTTGATGGCTTGCTCACTGTGGGTGTTTCCGTGCTGGTTCGCCACTGCTGGCCAGCAGAATCGTGTGGAGCTGCAGCAGCCCTCTTGCGCGGCTTCTTCGTTGCCGGAATGGTGCCAGAACCATCGGTAGCAATGGCTGTAGAGCAGCAGAATCATTCAGGAACGTCACCTGAACCACAGTGACTGGAAAATGAGTCTGCAGTTTAGAACCGCTGTGAGATCGCGGTTCAAGAGCCAAGACAAATAGGCCCGTCTGTATTGCGTCATGTCCCGCTTCCATGACTCGCTTGTACAGCGGAGAAGGCCATGGCACTTCACAGCTGGGTTCTTCGATCTCTGGTAGGGCTGCGGGTTAGGAACATGCCAGAATGTCTGCAGTGACTTTTTGCAGCAGAACAGGTACATTGATGATGCTCGGAATCTGTCGATCAGATGGACTCTAAAACCATGGAACTGCTCGTTTGACTTAGTGGGCTGCTGCTCCGGTACCCTTCGCGCTATCATTGTGTCGACATAAAACAGTGTTAGGACACACCGCACAGATGCACGGGCAGCAACGTAGGCACGGAATTTTGCTGAGCTAAGGGTCCGGCAGCAGTGCTTGGAAAGCTCTGCCTCTGCTCTGCGGACAGCATCTTCTGGGACTTGATCATTTGTATCCCGACGAATCCTGTCATAGTGGTGCAGCTTGAGCTCCTTATTGCGCTGTTGCCGTGTGTAGCGGTAGAGCATCTTTTCACCCTCTTTCCCATTGCTGCTATTTTCATGCATCATATACAGTAAATCGCCCCGACCTGGATCGATGAATACACAGCGGCCTTTCAGATTTTGCAGCTCTGGCTTTGGGATCTGGTGGATAGAGCGACAGCCAGCTATAGTATTGCCTCCAATAGCACCATATCCCGCAGCATCAGCATCTACTGCAGCATCAGCCTTGGATACCTTGTCTTGTAACATAATACATATCGCTACACCATCTGTTGTCACCATTCCGTGGAATTTTTTTTACTACCATGCACGTTAAATCGCTTTGACGCTAGATCTGCGACTCAGTCCCACACATCCCACACAGATCGTGCGATCCCATGGATCGGGTCGTGTACAAGGACTGAGGGTACTAGCCTGTATGGTTTTGGAGGCTGTCAGCGCTGATACAGTCTCTCGGATCAGCCCACATGCAGACCAGGTTCATTGTGGCCCAAATATAATCATGTACACATGTTCATAAAACTATTGAAGGTATAAAATAAATCCAAGACTAATGCATGACCGCTGGACGAGCTATGTAGCCCAAGACTACATATCAGATCAAAAGGATAATGCTGCGTGTTTAAATATCTTAAAACAACTTCCCCTTAATATATCGCAATCGGTGACAACCCCTACCCTCATCCAAACGAATGCATACATGCTCTGCTGTCATAGTCGTACTGTACTCCTTTTTCAGGAATATTATTTCACAAACAAAATGTCTATGCAATAATATACACACCTGCTTATATTCCGGATCACAGGCTACTATGACCTTCTTCGAACTTTGATACTCTCACACAGCCAGTTCAGTCCTTCAAACAACCCTTCGCCTGTCTTAGCGCACGACGGCATAACCGTCCACCTAATATGCCGTTCGCTGTACAGCCCAAGCTTCTCGGCCACCTCATCCTGAGTCATGGCATTGGGAAGATCCTGCTTGTTTGCAAGCACAAGCACCGGAATGTCTCGCTCGTAAAACACATCTTCATTCATCAACCTCCGTAGCTCATCACGTGCCTCGCTCATGCGCTCACGGTCATTTGAATCTATAACGAAAATGACTCCCAGCATGTCACCAAAATAATGATACCAGAGCCGCCGGGCCCCGTGGGCGCCGCCAACATCACAGAGCTCGAACTGCATGTTGTTGTATGGCACAGTTTCGGTATTGTATCCAATTGTAGCGCAAGTGGTGCAAAATCTACCAGTGAGTAGGCGGTATAAGATCGATGTTTTTCCCGGCGCATCTAGGCCTAACATCAAAACTCTGACTTTGGTATTACCAGCTGGTTCTGGCATCAAGGTCGACAGGGTTTTACCCATTTTAAATAGTATACAAATAGCAAAGGTGATGTGAGCAGAGGAGAAAAAGGTTGGCGTTGTCGAAATCAATCCGCAGCACAAAAGAAACTTGCTTTGGCTGGTGTAGGCAACTGTGCTGCCAATCGGCCACGTAGCAAGGATATGCTGATTTAATCTCCTCTCATCACCTGCAATGGCATGGCTGCCGAATTTATGTCTCAGGTAGGTTTGCCTAGCTTTATATTGCAACATAATGGAAGGTGACTGATGGCAAAGATTGAAAATGGCTTGACGAGGGTTTAAAGTGACATGTGGTTCCTACAGTTTTTCTCCACTTTGCTTCCAGTGCTGGCTGAACCCGATCTTGCCGCGCGACCATCCCCGCTTGCCAGCCATGAATTGCTCATCTTCGTCCTCATAGGAGCTCATGTCAATACACTCAACAGTGTTTTGTGCCAGCAGAAGCCAGTTGATGCTCGGCGGCATTTGGTAGTCGGCAGGTGCTGGTGGAGCATTGTGGTTGAGAATGCTACCATACCAGAGAGCATGCACAGCCTTGGCAATATGCATATCGTCGTTCTGAATAGCCTTCGCAAACACCATTTTCCACTGCTTGTCGCTGCAGTATTCATCGCCAGTGGCAAATGAGATATCGTCCGCTGCGACTTCGTCGATACGATAGAACTGCGGGCAATGCCCAATCGCGTAATACCGCAAAACGACAAACACATAGCTGCGCAGCACTCTAACCTGCTGCTCGACCGTAAGAACACCGAGGACCATTGTCACAAAATAGGAGGACGTTAGCAGATGCATTAGCGAGAACTCGTACTGGTTTCTGTAGCCGTGTGGGGTCGTTGCGCCATATAAAAGCGCAATCACGCACTGCAGTTCGCGGTATTTTAGCGCAATGCACTCTTCAGTCGGCGACACCTTCCATTGCTGCAGATAATCGAGCGCGACTTGCTCACATACAGGCACATCCTCCACCAACATGGGAAGGTAAGGGATGTCGTTCACGCGCACATCGCCCCGGATATTCTCGAGAATCTTCATCAGTGGCTGGTCATCGATGGTCGTTTCGATTACGTCTGCTGAGAATGTGGTCCTGAACATAGGCGAATGAATGCACGCCTGTGCTAGACTCATAGCGATGAGTAGCGCGCTCTCGAACTCGATACTGAGGCCGATATGGATCAGGGGGTGGATCAGGCCGCTGAACACTAGTGGGTAGATCTCATTGTCAAACATGTAGCGCACCAGCACGGACCTCCAGTCGCCGCCTTCTGCTCCGATTTCGCATCGGAAGAATTCAATGTAGTTTGGGTAGAACTCTTCCTTTCCCAGATACTCGTGCATATTGGCCTTGGTTATTGTCACTCCAGGGACTGGTTCGAGCAAGGGACGCTGTAGAGTGATATTCAGGTCATATATCTCCCGCAGTCGCTTCTGGGTAGCACCCAGAGACAGAGATGCCAGGAGGTGGTATATGCAGTGGTTGTGGAATTGTATGTGGTTGAAGAAGACGTGGTGCTCGAGGTAGTCGCGGGCACACAGACGCTCAGTCTCGCGAAGGGCTTCGTCGCTGATTCCAGGTACACGTAGTGCGGTTGGAGCTTTACCCAGCTTCATTCCAGTCTCCTCAACGATAGAATAGTCCGAGTCGCGGTGTTTAGGTTTATTTTCCATTAGGGTATGCAGATGATATAGCTTATTTTGTCGATGATGGGTGGATAGAGGGATGGTGACGGAGAAGATGGCTTTTGACTAAATCCCCTGTTTCACAATTGCCATTCTTATTCCTTATATGCCTGCTGGCCTTTGGAACAGAGTCACTCCCCCACTCCATTTTTATCGCCTATTACTACTATTTGTTTCAGTTTCCTAAATACTGCAATGTAAATGCTACAATGGGGGACCTGGCAGGCGCCGTGGCGCATCCCTATCCCCCACTAGTTGCACTACATGTCGACAATGGTGCTCAAGCAGCATTGCTATACAGATAATTTATTACCAGTTCACGAATGGAACCAACGAGCTACAATAGTGCACAAATTACTCGGGTCTGATGCCTCTCCATGCGCTGTCGCATTCACTGGTCTCAGCCTCTGACGACACCAGCTCCTCGAGTGTCATATACCCGGCATCCTCATCCAGGCCACAGTTCATGCGCTGTAGGTGAAGCCCAACGGCAGGCTGGCAGAGCAGTATCGCACCGGTCTCGGAACCCGCACCCATCATCTCGACAGTAATACATGCAGGCAGTTGTCCCTCGGCAGGAGCCCCGAATGGGTGACGGAGGAGCTTTAGGGTAGTAAAGGAAATATCTGGGATTCGAAGCCACCCCCTGCAAAAACTCGCCTGCTTTGGAGATATCGTCGACAGCAACCAATGACAGGAACGGAGTTCCCTGGAGGTCGGTCGCATCGACGTCAATAATTTGCTCCATGCTGTTGGTCAAGAAAGTGATGGTTGGGCCATGCGGCGTTCGGCTGTCCACTCGCTCCAAGTTATCAAGGATGATGCATGCCTGGATGAGAACATGCTGGTGCTCTTGCGTGCTGCCATGCAAGCGCTCCTGAGGAGCAGCGGCAGTTGAGTTGCCAGAGTCGGGTGCCTCGCTGATAGCTTGGTTAATTTGCGTCAGCGTCTCCATCCTGTTCTCGTCCTTGGTTACATACCGGAAGCGCTTGATGTGGTCGCGCTGCATCATGCGCTCAAACAGCCCGCTTGGGTCGGACGACCCGATGACAAAGGCTATGCTGCTGCAGATAAACGATATGGTACGGATCACAATAGCTGAGCCATCAGACGTCGTGATACGCACATAGCTGATAAATACGTTATCCGTCGTGTGGCCCAGCAAAGTTCGCCGGATACGTCTCTAGACTTTCACCAGTGATAAATTCGGTCGCCGGAGTTCCTATGCAGTCACTGGCATGGATATTGACTATATCATACAGGTTTGACGACGCGTACAGAATACGCATGTCGTCTGACGTGTCGTGGACCCCGACCCAACTTCCGGCGCGGTAGGGCATTGCTTGCCAAACGAACGAGAGGTTTGCCTGGGAACTACAAAACGTTGAAGGTGGAATAGTTACAAGTGTGAGAAAGAAAGGCAGTCCAAATGCCTTGGAGGAGACTTTATAGCAGCTCCTGCAGGCGTGCGCGAGTTACAAAAGGATCTCTGGTACAACTAGAGGCTTGGTTATAGTTTGGGGCTTTTTCAAAGCGATAAATTCACTTAACCAAGCGTGCTTTTATTCGCCGACTTTCGACAAAATTCTGCGTGCTGGTTGCCTGTGCCACCACAAGGCATGAGCCGGCCTGTGAATGTGCTGACAGGCCTTTTCCTGCCATTTTTGTTGCCTTGGCCAGCATGTGGCGTAGGCGATGATCCTACACCAATAATTAGCTCATATCGCGTGTGCGACCAGCACTCATTGTGCGCTGATACCCTCGCCAAGTTGATCTGGAAATCCATGGCATGATCATCTCTGGATTTTGCTTTTAGCCCAAGCTCGGTTTCAATGCGGACACACTGCATAGCCTCGCCGAGTGGGAGGTTTTCAGGGCCCATGCAGATGCATCGCTGGAGGCATCTCCCTCACCCCTGAGGCGATGTTTACCTGCTGGCACGTGGCACTGCCGCAACACATCATACATGATGCCTATGCCATCCTTGATTCCAGCTGTTGTATCAACTCTACTCTTTTGGAATATCCAAGGCACCTGTTCTGCGGTCCTGGCGATCCAGGCTGGTGGCAAATCATTGTATCTCAAAGAAAATAGCTTTGGAGATTTGTTACTTCGCAGTGGGGCTACTCGATCCCTAGGCCATTCCAAGTACTGTCGTAGCCGCTGGTCTCTGCGTCAGTCGATATAACATCAGTGAGCAACTGATGCTGGAAAATCATCACCGCTCATCGTGTCATAATGGCTGTCATGTCGGCGCATCGGCTTCGTTTGCGGTTGGCACAGCAATATCCCGCCATCGTCTGAGCCAGCACCCATGATGTCCACCACAACCAGCTCTGCTGCTTGCCTATCTGTGACTTGCACAAATGGGTCGCGCAGCAGGCTCAGTGTGATAAAGTATATGCCAGTGCCAGGTGCCCAGCTTTTGCAGGAATTCACTCGCCTTGGTCACGTCACACTGGGCGACAATAGACAAGAGCGGGAATGCCAAGCAGGTCGATAGCGATCGCAGTTGAGAATGTGCTCCAGGCTATTCGTGGCAAAGCGGATTCGGGGGCCATGCGGCGAAGTCCCTTGGCAAGGTCTTGAGGCTGTCCAATATGACGCATGCTTGGATCATGCCTGGTGGCGTCGGGTGGGTTCTGTGCAATACTGGCGACTCGGGCTGTGGCGGCCGGTCCTGTGCGTTGGCTGGCATCGAGCGCACTGCCTGCTCAATCTTTGACAGCGTCTCGTGCTTTTTGGCGTCAATGGCGGCATAGCGGAAGTGCCTGATGCGTGTGTTCTCCATCATCTCTTCGTACCGCTGGTTGCGCGGATCGAACGAGCCGATGACAAAGTTCATGTTGCTGCAGACAAACGAGATCGACCGGATCACAACAGGGTTTCCGTCGGCGCCCATGGCACGCGTGTAGCCGATCACTACATTGTTGGTGGTGTCGGACTGAAGCGACTCAGGGTATTTGGAGATGCTTTCGCCAAGCAGGAACGCCGTAAGCGGCTGGACCCACACAGTCACATGGGTTGTAGTCAAGGATTGACCGCAGGTTTGAGGACACATAGAGGATGCGCATGTCGCTTGACAGGTCATGGATGGTGACCCAAGATCCGGCGCTGATGGGCATACTGGACGAGAATATCGTTCCTGTTAGAATAAAGGGACTTGGTAGTGGTTCTGAGAGAATGTGGTGGGGGTAGCTGGGGGTAGGGTGAGGATGCAAGACATGGTAAGCACTGGGGGAGTGAGCAGGGTCGCTTATATTCCTCGATCGAGGGGCTTTTTTCCTGGCAGCGAGGTCTATTTCCTGAACCGCATGAAACAGGGCACAAATGTTTATTTTAGGCGGCAACAAAGATGTGCCTGAGTAAAGGAAAATATCGAGCTTTTTCCATGGCGCAGTGTAGAGAGGGCAGGAAGCGCAGCACATGAGTGACCGAGACGGCAGGGGCTGCCCTCGTGTGACGCTACCCAATGCGATACAAACCCCCGTCCTCCTCCCACAAACGGTGGCACAAAGGCGAAGGCGACAAACATAATGGCACGGTCAACATTGTGCGAGCGCCTCCCCTGGGATGTAAATATACAGCCTTGATTATTTGCATGTGCAGTATGCGACAAGGGGCACCAAGGGGCTGATCCCAGCCATGCAGTTCATTCAGTTAGGCGCTGCGCGTCTTTCTCCTCGGTAACGAGGAATGCTAGGTGATTGTGTCTGTTTGGACGGACAAGCATAAGATTGCCTGTTATATTTGTTGAATGTGTGGGATTTTAAAAGCTATATTTAATACTGAAGAAAAGAGAGAAAAGAGAATAGACGAGTTGCGCAGGGGAGTTTTCAATACGGCCGTCTGTGCAGCTTATCAGAGGCTAAACTCTACCTCCATATTGTAGGCTGTAGCGGGGCTCTCGTTGGCGCCTGGTTTGCTGTCACCTGATTCGGACTGACATGTCGACGTCAGGGACAGCCGCAGCGGGCGCGCAACACTGTTTACATATTGTTGCGCCAATCTTTTGCCAATATTGTATTCGTTCTGGGAGTCAATGTAGGGGGAAACTCTGTATGTCTTTTCGGCATGGGCATCATTCGCTTGCAGTTTCCAGTCTAGTGCATCAGGCGAAGTCCGGGTTGATCATGCGCAGAAAACGAGCGCCCTTTTGTATCGACAAGACCGGCAAGGCACGGGCTGCAGCGACGGACATTGCGGTTTGAGCCCAGTGGAGCGAATGAGCGCCATGCTGTGCTCCCCTAGCACAGCAGGCCTCTACATGGACGAAGTGATTCGCAGTCTGCAACGCTTCCAGAACGCCAATGAAGCGCTGCAACTCGCGCCAAATCCGCTTTGCCCGATGATTAGCGTGCATGGCGTATAGTGACCGCTGGTGGACTGAGGCTCCGTTTGGCGACATGTCCATTAGATAACGACGGACATTCCGCTGGAATTCGCACCCCAAAGTAAGATCTTATAACGAGTTGGCTGCCAGCAAAAAATGCGCTTTTCTCTGCAGAAGATTCCAGGCTAGAACTCGAGGTACCAAAGCGGAAGCAGGTAGCGAACAAGTGCAGCCCATTTCGAGCAATATGAGTCGGACATTGCCGCCTTGTCTTGCTGCTGTCATACGATGGAGGTGGCTTCCAACTCCCCTCACAGCTAGTCAGTGGCCTCAGAGATACTCAGGAAATGGCATGCTTTTTTCGCAGAGCAATTCCACACTCCGAGGCAGACCGAGACGCACAAAGCGCGCGATCCGCACCCGGGCTGCATTTGTCGCCGAAGGACTATATAAGACAAGGGTCGTGGACCGCCAGACGAGCGCAAGATATTGTAGTAAGCCATTTCGCGACTCTTCCTTTGCTTTTGTACCTTATCACATTAATATCATCCATATACAAAAATGGTCTCTGTCACCCAGATCGCCTCTGCCGCTGTGCTCGCTGTTGCTGTCCAGGCCCAGCGCCCTGGTGGCGGTAAGACCGCCACCCCCGAGTTCTCAGAGCTGATGGATTCCGTGTCCGAGAACTGGTCGAGCTACTACAACTTCATCACCAGCGGCTTGCCCGTTCTGCAGCGGATCCGCACCTCCGAGTACGGCTGGCTGACGGCTGCCTTTGGCGGAACCAGCATCCCGACCACCTTCGACGAGGCGTTCGTGAGCAAGGCCATTCTGGGCGGTGCCTTCGGTGCCTACAAGACCCCGGCTGAGGGTACTGAGGTCAGCTCGCCCACTGCTGCCACCGAGGGGTCTGCTGCCCCTTCGACCACCGGTGAGTCTGCTACCCTTCGGCTACTGGGGAGTCCGCTGCTGCCTCGGCCACCGCCGCCTCGAAGGCCAAGTCCACTGGTGCCCCTGAGGCTTCGGAGCTCTCGGACGACGATGTCGAGTCTGAGAAGCCGGGTGCGTCGTCGGGTGCCGCCAAGTCGGGTGCTGTCAAGTCGTCGGCCACTACCAAGGACTCGGCTACCACCAAGGGGTCGCCCAACGGCGCCGCTAAGGTCGCTGGCTCGTTCGCCGCCGCTGCCGCTGTTGCCGCCGCCGCCTTCTTCTAAGCAAGAATGTTCCTCTGCTTGGATCCAGGAACCAAACCTGTTTGCCCCATTTTTCGATCTCGTTAATATACTCTCATCTCCTCCCACTTCCCCTCTACCTCTGAGTCACGTATGCAATGTAAGCGTGCTGCAATGTAGAGCCAATAGCACCATGTCTATCGCGATACATGCCGGCAACTTCCGCACCGGTGCTTGTAGGATATTTATTGATCTCTATAGCTGCTGCGGCGCTCAGGGGGCATGGTGCAAGCATACCGCAGGGCCGCCGAACCCAACGGCGGCGCATGTGATTTACCGTGCAAAACGAGATGGCTGGCTGATTGTTGGGTTCGCTTCGTCGGGACGATCGCTAGATGCGCTTGGACACAGAACAAGAGGGGTGGAAAAATTCCCACCCTTGTGCTGCTGCTTTGCTCGTTTGGCAAAATAAAACGCGATTGAAGAGCCATTCTGCGGCTGCTGACCGCAGCGGAAAATAGAAAGTGCTGTTTTTGCCAACTGCTGACGAATCCAGGAAAGCCAGGATTAGCTAGAATCCCTCTGGAACCACTCAATAAAGGCCGTCCGGCCAGGTCTGCTCTCCATCTCTTGTTTCCTCCTCCACTTATTTTTATCTCTTACTGCGCACCCTCCAGCTCCTCTCGAGGCTGAGCTATTCCTCTTATACTCCTACCGCACAATCCCCCAACCCGTCTGCTCTTTCCCCACGCATACCAGTCCCCACAAGAACGAGAGAAAAGAGCCTCCCGCTTGCTGCCTCGCACCTTGTCCCCCTCACCTTACCAGAGTTTCCTGTTTCATCTATTTTCCACTTTTTTTTATCTTTTCCCGCGGGTTACTGCGCATCTTGACACTTTCGTCCTTTCACATCAGCTGTGCAAACGGTCTCGCTCAGAAAGGAAGGAAAGGAAAGAAAGTTCGCAAACCGTCCAGACCAGGTTAGACTGCCAGCACACCCTACCGTCTAGCTCCTCATTTTCCAGGTAACTAGCGCTTTAAGACGCCGCCTTAAAATCACAGTGCCTGTCCCTTTTTCGCGTAGCACACCAGCACAGCTGCTGTGTTTTCTTCAAAGCGGCTATACAGGCTGTTGCCACCTGAGGCTAAATGCTAACCCTGCTACCTTCAAACCTTAGACCGCCTGATTTTTTCTGCTAGTGATCATGGCCGCAGCAACATCATCGCTGGCCAAACTAGCAACTGTCGCTGGCGCCACTGCCACCTCAGCGTACGCCTTGTACAGACTGTGGCAGCTCACCACTACCGTCGCCACTGACCCCACTCGCCTGTGCGGTGGTACTGATTGGGCATGGGCGCCTGACAACGAGTGCTTCCGTAGCAGCTTCCTGTGGCCCACCTTGATTCTTATCTCGACTGGTGGCGGCTCAGCGTACCTTGCTGCGAAGACGCTGCTGTGCAATGATCAGGCTGTCGCTTCGCAAACCGCACGCAGACCCCCAGGCAAAGTTGTGGTTGTGGACAACCGCCCGTCTGTGGGCGCCTTGATTGCCTTGCTGGCAATTGCTCAAGAGGCACTGGCAGTTGCGTGGGCAGCCTCGTCGACGACCCTCACTGATCAGCTGCTGGCATGCAGCCTGGGGCTCGGCAGCCTGCTGGTGGCAATCACCTCGGTGGTCAGCTACGTTGCTTTTCTGCGCAGCCGCGACCGCCTGTCATACCAGGGCTTGTTCCCGAACTACATTCCAAAGCTCACTAGTGTTTTGCTGGTGCTCGGCTTCGGCGAGATGTACTATTCGTTCTTCACGCCCGGCACCAGCGATGTGCCGTTCTGGTTTGGTGCCACGAGCCGCTCCCGGTTCCTGGTGTCAACCACCACAGTGAGCTTTGTCCTGATTGTCCTGTTCTCTATTGTGCAGCACGGGGCTGCGTTCCTGCGCCCGGATATGCCCGAGGACGCCGGAACAGAAGTGTCCTCCAGATACGAGGCAATTGAGTCCAGCAGCGCCGATCAGGAGCTGACACCGCTGGCGCAACTGCGCGGCCGGAAGCAGCCCGATCTCATTGACACACCTGAGCCCAACATGTCGTGGTACAGCAAGCTGATGTTCTCATGGTCCAACGACTTTCTGCGCAAGGGCGGAAAGCGCCAGCTCGACTACCCGGACATGTACGTTCTGGAGCACCGCGATACCCCCGTGCCTAACTGGAGCCGCTACCTCAAGCACCGCAAGGCTGGACGCCCGCTGATGGTGACGCTGCTGCTTACGTTTGCGCCAGAGCTCCTGGCGCAGCTGGGCATGGCCACTCTTGCTGCGATCCTGAAGTTCGCGGGGCCGTTCTTCCTGCAGCGCATCCTGAGGTCAATTGATATCCTGGGCACGCACAAGGACGAGCCGGCGTCAAAGAGTGTGCGCGGCGCATACCTAGATGCGTTTGGTCTGCTGTTCTTTTCTATCCTGACTTCGCAGCTGACGAACCAGGTTCTGTGGATTGGCAGACATATCGGCATGCGCATCAAGGGCATGCTTGTTGCGGAGCTGTCAACCAAGACGCTCAGGCGCCGCGGAAAGGGCTCATGGGAGGACGAAAAGAAACCCAGCGACGACGAAAAAGAGGGTGAGGAGGATGAGCCTGCGACCGCGCAGGCAGCCGCCGATGGAAAGATTATGAACTTGCTGACGGCTGACTTCCAGCGTGTCACCGAGGTTGCTGCCTATATGGACCAGCTCTACTCGTTGCCTCTGTCGCTGGTGGTTGGTATCTGGTATATGTACCAGCTGCTGGGCATATCTGCGCTGGTGGGCATGTCGATCACTGTCGTGTACTATCCTCTGTCCAAGATACTGTTCGCGTACATGACCAAGATCGAGGAGAAGCTCAATGCCATCAGCGACGAGCGCATCACAGTGATCACCGAGCTTCTGCAGGGCATCAAGGCCGTCAAGCTCTTTGGCTGGGAGTCGCGGTTTATCGAGAAGGCGGAGCAGAAGCGCGAGCGCCAGCTCAGCTACCAGTGGAAGATGGTGTTTGCCTGGGTGCGCGTGATGGCAGCATCGTCGCTAGCGCCCATGATGGTGCTGGTGATCATCCTGGCCATGTACGTGGTGGGCTTTGGAAACCCGCTGACCGCCGAGATTGCGTTCACGTCGATTTCCGTGTTCCAGATTATTCGTATTACTTTCGAGCACTTCCCTGGGTTCCTTAACTGGGTGGTTGGTGCGTATGTGTCGCTCGGCCGTATCGAGTCGTACCTGGGCCAGCCTGAGGTGCAGTCCCTGGACGAGCGCGTCAGCCAGGAGCACTCTGCTGATGGCTTTGGGCTTTGTCGACGCTGACCTTGTCTGGGATGTATCCAACGTTGATATCGACGAGTCCGTCAGCCAGGCGAGCAGTGACGAGCCAACCAAGGTCAGCACGCCGCAGATGGAAAGTTCCGGATCGAAGGACAATGCCGCCGATGAGACTACGCCGCTGCTGCCCTCGACGTCTGTCATCGGTGATGCGCTGATCAGCAAGGCACCCGAGGCAATGGCTGTGTTTGGACTCAAGAACATCTCGGTGCAGTTCCCACAGGGCGGTCTATCGGTTATTGCTGGGCCGACCGGCAGTGGCAAATCATCGCTGCTGTCGGCACTCATTGGCGAGATGTCGCTGGTCCGTGGAACAATCCTGCTGCCGACCATCAATCCAGCCCGCGTTATTGGACTTGGTGATCCCTATGGAGACATCATCAAGCTGTCTGAGGAGGGCTTGGCGATCCGCGATATTGCCTATGTTGCGCAGGAGGCATGGCTGCGCAATGCCACCATCCGCGAGAACATCCTGTTCGGCGAGCCGTATGATCAACAGCGGTACGAGGAGGTGCTGCGTGTCTGTGCACTGAAGCCTGATCTGCGGATCCTGACTGCTGGCGACCAGACCGAGATTGGCGAGCGCGGCGTGACGCTTTCGGGAGGCCAGAAGCAGCGTGTTGCACTGGCCCGTGCGGTGTACTCGGACCGCAAGATCCTGCTTATTGACGACTGTCTGTCGGCTGTCGATGCGCACACTGCCAAGCACATCCTGATGGAGTGTCTGCTGAACAAGACGTCGCTGATGCACGGCCGCACCCGTGTCCTCGTCACCCACCACGTGTCGATGTGCCTTCCGTATGCGCAGTACATCGCGGTGATGCGCGAGGGCGAGATTGCGCTCAAGGGCAATCCGCAGGAGCTGCAGGCAATGGGCAAGTTCTCGGCGACTCTTGCTGAGCTCGACACCAAGGACAACACAAAGGCTGAGGAAGGGTCGAAGGGCAAGGAGGTTGAGGACATCGAGGATGAGGGCAGTGCTGAGCGCGCCAAGGCTGTCAACGATCCGACGTCGGAGGACGAGTACAACATTGAGCGACTGCGCAAGCTGGCTGTGGCCAAGGGTCTGGACCCCACTGCTGACCTGTCGGCATTCGAGGGTACGCTGATTGAGGATGAGGAGCGCGAGGCCGGGTCCGTCAAGGGCGCTGTGTGGCTCACATACTTCAAGGCTGCTGGTGGTCGCTGGTACTGGATTCTCTCGATTATACTGCTGGCCTTCACACAGGTGCTCACGGTTTTGCAGGACTACTGGGTTCGGATCTGGGTACAGTCGGCCAAGGAGCCCTCGTCCTCTGTCTACGCATCGCTTGCCATGTCTCCCGTTGCTCTGCCTGACATGAGCCGTCCGATTGTCAACAGCTTGTCCTCTGTGTTTGCTGTCCTCCCGGCGGCTGACGAAGTGGTTGTGCAGTCAGTGCAACAGCACTCTGCGAAATACTGGCTTGGTATCTACTTCCTCATCGGCGTGGTGGGTATTGTGTGGCGTGGAGTGCAGATTATGTACGTCTTTGGCGGTGCGATCCGCGCCTCACGTAAGCTGCACTCCGAGCTGCTGCAGGCTGTAGTGCACGCAACACCGCGCTTCTTTGATTCGACACCGCTGGGCCGTATCATCAACCGGTTCTCGCGCGACATGCAGACCGTCGACGAGTGGACCATGGATATCCTCGTGTGGTGGCTGCTGGACATCATGGGTGTGCTGAGCATCTTTCGCCATCATCTCGTATGTGACGCCTGCCTTTGTGCTGGTTGCCATCGGCATCTCGGTTACGTATGCTGGTATCGGATACTACTACCTCAACGCGTCGCGCGAGCTGAAGCGTATCGAATCCAACACCATGTCACCGCTGCTGTCGCTGTTTGGAGAGTTGATTCTAGGAGTCACCTCCATCCGTGCGTTTGGCCTCAAGAAGTACTATATTAAGGAGGCAGTTAACCGGATTAACGCTCAGAACCAGCCGTTCTACCAGGTGTGGGCGGCGAACCGGTGGCTGTGTGTGCGCGTGGATCTGGCAGGTGCCATGGTCGCATTTGCATGCTCGCTGTTTATTCTGATGAACCTGCGCTGGATGGACGCTGGTCTGGCTGGATTTGCGCTGTCGTATGCGCTGATGTTCTCAGGAGCGTATGCTGTGGGTGATTCGCAACTACTCACAGAACGAGCTGAACATGAACGCGGTCGAGCGCATCACGCAGTACATGAAGGTTGAGCAGGAGGCTAGTGCTCAGTCAACGCCTGAGAACAAGCCTGCGAGCAACTGGCCCAGGACCGGTGACCTTGAGATCGAGGATCCTGGTCATCGAGTACGTGCCCAAATGTCCCGGTGCTGCATGGCCTGAACATGTCGATCAAGCACGGCGAGAAGATCGGTGTGGTTGGCCGCACCGGCGCTGGCAAGTCGACGCTGTCGCTGGCGTTCCTGCGGTTCATCGAGGCAGCCAAGGGCCGGATCGTGCTCGACGGGGTCGACATCTCGAAGATTGGCCTGGAGGATCTCCGCCGCAATGTCACGATCATCCCGCAGGACCCAGTGCTGTTCAACGGCACCATCCGCTTCAACCTCGACCCGTTCAGCGAGTACCCCGATGAGATTGTGTGGGATGCGCTGCGCCGTGCGCATCTGGTGCGCGAGCGCGGCAGCCAGACCGCCAGCACTGCGACCAGCACTGCGACCAGCACTGGCCGTGTTTGAGGGCAATGCCAACGACAGCTCGCTGGAGCGCATGTCGGGCATCTTCAATAGCCTGGAGGCCGAGATCAAGGAGAACGGGCAGAACCTGTCGCTGGGTCAGCGTCAGCTGGTGGCGCTGGCTCGCGCTCTGGTGCGCCGGTCGCGACTGATCATTATGGACGAGGCGACAGGCGTCGGTCGATTTCGATACCGATGACCGTATCCAGCGCACGATCCGTGGCTCCGAGTTTGCCAACTCGACCCTGTTCTGCATTGCTCACCGGCTGCGCACCATCATCGACTATGACCGTGTGCTGGTACTGGACAAAGGCAAGGTTGCCGAGTTTGACACTCCGGCCAACCTGCTCAACAGGCAGGACGGCATCTTCCGCAGTATGTGCGAAAAGTCTGGCGAGCTTGAGCACCTAGTCCATGCGGCGCAGCGCAAGGCTGATAATTAGGACTTTGCTCTTTTTAGCAATAGTGCTTTTTCTTTGTACCTGCAATTGAGCACCTCACAATTAATGGCGCCATCTCTTGCATATATATTCGCATTGTCGCCCATGTATACAGGTGTAGTGCAGCGTGTGAAATGTGGATAGTGATTAAGATATATCGTTTGTAGAGTGCGGGAGCGAAGGAAAGAAGAAGATAAATTAGGTGTGCGCCATCTTTATTCACGAACTCCAAATGAGGCAAGCTAGGTTTGCATTTCTTTGTTCGCTTCTTAGAAGAACGAGGCGGCAGCAATGATGGCGGCACCCAGAGCCGTCCAAGCGTTCAGCGACCCAGCAGCGTTGTCTGGCGTGGTGACGCTGCTGACTCTCGTCGACGATTCCACGCTGCTGTCCTCCTCAGATGACAGCTCGGAATCAAGGGAGCTCTCCTCGGAGGAAGACTCGTCAGTGCTGTCCTCAGACGAAGTGTGGTGCGACGACGACGCCTTGCTCGTGGAGGCTGTGCTGTGCTTGCTGGTACCCGAGGCAGTGGCGTCTGTCTGGGAAGCAGTGTGCGAGCCGGAAGGCGTGGCATCAGTGTCGGTGGCTTCGGTTCCAGAGTGAGTGGCATCGGTTCCGGAGTGAGTGGCATCAGTGCCAGAGTGAGTGGCATCGCTACCCGAGGGAGTAGCATCGGTACCAGAAGGAACGGTAGCGTCAGTGCCGGACGGGACGGTGGCATCGGTACCCGAAGGGGCAGTGGCATCGGTACCCGAAGGAGCCGTGGCATCGGTGGCCGACGGAGCAGTAGCATCAGTGGCCGAAGGAGCGGTGGCATCGGTACCTGACGGAGCCGTGGCGTCGGTCACCTCGGGACCCGAGGGCGTAGCAGCAGTATCGTTGGGAGCAGTTTCCTGGGGAGCCGTGGGGACGGTGTTGGCATCGGTGGGCTCAGGGCCAGTAACGACAGTCCCGACGGGGACGCTAGCGGCAGTCTGCTCGGCATTGGGTGCAGTAGGCACAGCGCCCTGGTTGTTCTGCGACACGCCCAGAATGGCGAAGCCAACCTGAGTCGGCAGCTGGTTCTCGATCAAGCTGACCAGCGCCGGATCGTAGTTGGCAGGCAGAGTGTTGGCACCGCCCAGAATGCTCTGGTACTGGGCCAGCAGAGCAGGCTGCTGCTGGATCAGCGGCAGGGCGGCGGAGGCGTGGGCGACAACCTCGTTCCAGTTCTGCGAGATCGAGTTGTAGTCAACCTGCTGCGATGCGGCCAGGGCGGCGAGCAGCGATGTTGTCAGAGCAGTCTTTGTGAACATTTTGTATGGTTTATCAGGAAAGGAATAGAGAGATATTTTACTGCAAAATGTACAGTCCCGCGAGGAATCGAAGAAAAAGTAGAAAAAGACAAAGCTCGTAATATTGATCTATCGCAATGTCGTCCGTCCGAGACGGCTTTATGTACCCGGAGATCTCGTGGGCTGCCACAGCCGTCTCTCCAAGGTCTCGCTTCGGGTGAGCCTATTGCCTGTCCCAGTATTTGTACAATAGTGGACACCCAGGTTGGACAGGGCCAGTGAGCCCATGGGAACGAAACGCGCAGCATAATTGCGTAACATTGTCGTTTGAAAAAGCCATCTTCTGCACAGCGGACGTTGGGGATGGAGGCAGTGGGGCGGGCATATCCCGGAGAGAGGAGTGGTCGCACCCAGGAGAGGAGTGGTCGCACCCAGGAGAGTGCACAGCGCTATGACAATGGCGCCAAGCGAGCAGCATATAGTGCGCAAATACGCCGGCTCATGCTCGATACCAGAGAACGTGCCTCGCATGCGCTGTGAGAGGGCAAGGGAGACGAGGAACCAATTGTCTGTGCGACATGCCGGTGTTCTCACCAAGCACAAGGCCCTGGCGATGTTGAGAGCACGCTGCGTGCTCGGTGGCTGTCTAAAAATACCCAGGTTTTGCAAAGGGCATTCTGACGAATCACATGCAGCTTCGGCCCACTACTGCCCCGAGGATCTAGGTCCCTCTGCCAGCTCCTTACGGGGTGTCCCTCTTGTTTTTGGCCAAGGGCGATTCAAGCCAGATTTCAACAGTACATACACATATCTCTGCAGCGAGGGCGCGACGGGCATACATGCAGCTGGCGCCGGTGATTAAGCAGAACCGCATGTATTTGGTTGGCTGGAGAGGAAGGCCGTGGCTGGATCAATCATTGGCCCGCTGTGTATGCCGATCACATTTATTTTCATGCACAAAATAGGAACGCAGTAATACTGTTTGGTACCTCAGAGACTGGTGAGAAGACCGCAAATCTCGCAGTGTTTGTTGAGGCATTTCATCAACTTCAGCTCGCCTTCCTGCTCGTCCTACAGCCTTCAAACTCGCTTCCGCATCCAGTTTTATTTCCCACTCTATGAACCACCTGGGCGACCGAATTCCACTCCCCGCATGTCTGACCTGTCGTAGGAGCCTACTAATGCAGAGCGGTGTCAACGCAGACGTGCAGTTCACGCATAAACGGCAGCTTCCAGCCCGATTTTGTTGACCACCAGTGGGATCGGACCACAAGCTCTCTTGACCCTGGGCCAACACATGGTACAGCGTCCAAGGCAGATGGCCACCACAGGTTTGTGCCTTACAAGCTCAATCCGAACCGCGTATCGATAATCACAACAGACTACCTCGGTCAAACACCCTTACCAACGGCCGTTCCATCATCAGAATCGGGCGATGGCAACGACGGAGACAAGGCGGTATCCTGTCCCGATAACGACTACCCGTGTCATAAGAAGGTAATGGAAGTACCTTCATTCTATGAAACGAGCAGCACACCAACCACAGACGCTGACGCCTATCCAATATATTTGGCACCGACACCAAGCTCCAACCTAAGGGGCGGACCCGGCCCAATTTCGCCAGCACCTAGCTATGACAGCAACAACAGACGTACCTTGCCATTGAAGATTGCGATACCTGGCGGAGCAATTATTACCATTGCCTTTTTCATAGCGTGGTTCCTGCGCAGGCGCAGGCGCCGCAGAATTGCGCTGGTGCAGCAGCATGTAGACAACGGCAACGACAACAACGAGTCTGCGTTTGACTCCGCTGATCAGCTCCCACCCCCATTCAACCGGCGTGGGCAGCGGCGTGGGCCAGAGATGCTGCAAATCACCCGGCAAACGAACCACACTGCCGCATCCATTTCGCCAGTGGAAGCTGCCCATACTGCATCTCGGTGGTCGACGCAAACCAGTATTGCCAGCAGTGCACCGCTATTAACTGCACGCTCACCGAGCGAAGTCCCCTCACCGCCTCCTGTCCGCCAGACCCGTGGGCTATCGATGTATAGCGACCTGCCCCACGAGGAGCTTCCGCCGTACATTGACCCACTGATCGAGGCCATGGGCCGTGGTGAGAACAGCGCCGGCCGAACGAGCCGTCGGTCGGTGGTGACCCGGTCTATGCTTGTCAGCCCACCTCCGTACCAGGCCATTGAGACACCGCCGGTAACCCCAATAACGCCAATCCGGCACCCCCATGCATTAAACCACACAAAATACACCGCTTCCTCCTGTGCAATAGCTTCTTTCGATAACTGACTCTGTATATCATTTTCTTTGCTCCTCAATACAGTCTATAGACTGCTTCACATCCCCAACCCCTCCAGCGACAGGGCATTGACCAGGAACGACAGTGCTACTTCCTTGATGCTATCGCTGTCATCGTCCGACTCTTGCGCAGGCTCAGCTGCTGTTGCGTCAAAACCGGTGCCCAAGCCCCTATGCTCGCGCCCAGCCTGGGACTGCGAATTAGGCGAATGGTCTTCATCATGCGTGGCCTGTGAGGACACCTTGCCGACGACTTCTGCCGGCTTATCTTCACGCATCGAGGCACGCCTCGACGTGTTTTCTGCATGGCGACGCCTCAACTCTTTGTGCACCAATTTCCAGGTTTCCTCCACCACCGGAACGCCTGCCGGCACATTCCCATGCTGCTTCTCGCTCTTGGCGGTAGCCTCTTTTGGTACAGGCATCGCGTCATGCTGCCTCGGAGACATGTCTGCATGCTCTGTCACCGTGGCCAGCGAAGCCAATGCTCCCGTGCTCGCTGACGGGTGTAGTGTTCCCGGCTCGTCCCGCCTCGTCCTTCTCTGCTTCGTTGCCCTTTTGCTCCAGCGACTTGAGCCTTGCCAATTGCGGTACGCCCGGGGTTCCGCCGCCCTCAAGATCTGCCTATGTGTCCTGGATCCTCAGTATTGGATAGCCCCAGTGCCGATGCTAGCTCACCTGGCAATTTAACCATCTCTAAAGTGCGGCTCAGCCGCTTCGATTCCGTTTTCTCTGCAGTCTCACCGTCCGGATACGCAATTGGATCCGTAGCGCATCTTGACAAACTGACCAGCGGCTCAGCCTGGCAAATATCGGTTGACATCCTGTACGCCAGCGTAACGTAGCGCATCACCGGGTGCATGTTGTCTTTGAACGGCAACGTGTTGATATCTGTAGGTGCTCTTGCCATCGGCCAGAGCCAAGGCACGTACGGGTTGGGGAGCTTCAAGTGTTTTCCCTTGAATGCTTCGACAAACTCGCTTTCCTCCGAGATGATCTCGCCATCCTGCTCAAATCGCAAATATTCGTTCTGGTACGATGCTACCCGCCATAGCTGTAGCTTGCGCAAGCACATAATCACCACTCCTGTGACGTTCGAGCCATCCAAGCAATGCACATACATGGGGAGCTTTGAAGGATCAGTCATGAGTGCCAGGCACTCGGATACCACGTCGTCAGTCACAGTTACGTTTTCATTGGGGGAGGCCACGGGAATTACTACCCGAGTTATGTTTTCTGCTTGGCAGAACTCGTCGAGATGCGGATCCGGGTGCGACGGCACGAGAGAGAGTATTGTTTTGAGCTGCTGGCGCCGAAGGAATCGGAAGTTGCGCTTTTTTGGGTACCCGCCACGGAACAGCTCCGGCTGCACGCGTCCGAAGCGGTATGGTGGAATCAGCGGGTAGATGATATCTGGCATATGTATATCTATTGGGAAAAATACAGGGTGGTAAACAGGATTGCTTTTTTCAACAAGACCCACCCAACCGTGTTGGTACTTGTTGCTAAATGGCCATCATATGGCATATGGGCCAGGGCGTGATCAAAAAATCATTTGATCATTTATTTTGCACTGCCCCTGTGGTACTCGTGGAGACGATAAAAGCGCCTAAATCGGCATGCTGCTGGCGACGGACCAACATGTTCTGGGGGACGATAAGTGTGGCTAAATGTCAGAAAGTATCATGTATCTGTGCGGAGAAATCAGTAGAACCTCATCATGGGTATATTTAGATTCGGGTGGTTTTGACACATGACATCCATCATGTACGAATGCATGCAAAAACCTTGGCATACGTCACGGATGACAAAGAAAACCTGATGGAAGACGCTCGAAAATCACGGCTAGTTTGCAAGCTCTTGGCTGCAGACAGGCACGGGGTTGAAGGATCGCCATCTACAGCTATTGTAGCAGCCTGTCATGGAAGGAGGGTTAAAAGCACCATTTCGGAGCAGACATTGGGTGTCTCCTTTTCTCCTCACTACCCTTCCCAACCTCAAAAGAACCATTGACTAGCATATTCACACAACTACTTTAAGCGCCCGACTCCTATATCTGCGTTCATCACACAACCACACCGCTTATTATGACTGGCCATCAAGAAGGTGGCAGCACTGACCCGCCGCCATATATCAACCTGTCTAACCATCCGCTCTCCAGCGAGGATAAGCGACTGCTTGAGAAGTATGCTCCTTTGCCCAAGGGCTTTGAGGAGGATGAACATGGCGTATTCCACTGGGTGATTGATGACTATGACAAGAAGCTCAAGCAGTCTAAGGAGAATAGCACTGTGTATTCGCAGGCGTTTACCCTCGCTGGCTGCCAGTGGCAGCTCCACATGTACCCGCAAAGCACTCTGCACCCAGAATATGTCGGTATGCGTATCAGATGCGACACTGTGGATGTTGTACCGGAAGACTGGGAAAAGTGTGTGGTGTATGGAGTCGTCATGTCGAATGTCAATGACCCTAACAGCTACGAGAACGCTACTTCAAGGTTCAGGGTGTCGCACAAGATACCTGCGTCAGTGTACGACAAGTTTATCATCAGAGAAAAGCTCAGCAAGCGCCAGACATATAACGACAAGCCTGTCTTGGAAGACAACAAGGTGCGCGTCAGCATCTATATGCGCACAATTCTCGACGACACCGGTGTTCTGTGGGAGTACTTCAAGAAGGGGTACAGCTCGTACGAGCAAACCGGGTATGCTGGGCTGCTCGCCCAGGACAGGTGCTTGCCGCTGGCTCCGCTCCTGCAGTCGCTGTTCCATATCAAGCAGCTGCGCACTACAATGGAGTCAGCGGTATATGCCGACAACGAGCCTGACAGCTTGCTGGCGATTGCACTGCTTGAGCTTTTTGCAGCGATGAAGAAGAGCACGCGTCCAGTGAGCACGACAAAGGTGGAATCCGCTGTCAAACTGCTTGGCGTCGCTACGCAGCCTTACCCGTCCAACAGCCAAATCGGCGAATTCACCGCCGCGTTCCTTGAGAGTCTTGTGGCAGGCCTGACCAAAGCAACTCGCTCAAAGCATATCGAGATCTTGCTGGGAGGCCTGAAACGGACCACTACGAAGCGCGTGGGGGGCGGGGACACGAAGCGGCTTTCGTTCTTCCAGCGGCTAGGTTCCTCTGACAAAACCGTGGTTGAATCGCCGGTCAACCCTCTACGCCTCAACATTAGGGGGTTCCATAGCGTCGCAGATGCACTGCGCAACCACTTTAGCCTGCATATTTTGACTGGCGACGAGCGGCCACGATCAAAGGGAATCGTCCCGTATGATGCCACTGAGAAAATAGATCTGCTTTACCTGCCTTCCGTTCTCTTTATCTACCTGAGTCGGTTTGACATCGCAGGGACGCCAGCAAAGGTCACCAAAAGCGACGCAGATATCGAGTTCGAGGAGCGATTGGATATGGCCGAGGTAATTGCGGGGTCGGATATAAGCTCGAGTTCGTCCCGCTACACACTGTATGGGGTCATGGTCCATCGAGGTGATGCTGAGAGAGGAAACCACTTCTGCATCCTGCGCCCAACCGTCGATGACAAATGGTTCATATTTGAGGATGAGCTTGTTGTTCCCGTCAGGCGCGATGAGGTATTCGACCAGTATGATGCCAAGGACATAGCGTGCTCGTTCAACGAAGCCAAGCGCCAAAGGGACATCGTCGGAGCAAAGAGATTCGCAAACGCCTATATGCTCGTGTATGTCCGTGACGACAAGACCTCGAAAATCATTGGTATGTGAAGATAATAAATTCATTTTGGTGCTCTGAACCACAATACCCATTGCACATAGCAGGTAGCATGTGGATGTGGCAAAATGGATGTGGACCGTATCTACGGTTCAAACCCAGCGAGATTACCAAAAGTGTAGATGAAATAAGACTAGAAGAAAAGAACAATAACAAAAAGGCGTAAATCTGACACTAGAACCCCGGTCTGCGCTGCTTCTTTCCCTTCTGCTTGCGCTCTCTGACGTTCTCCTCCTCCTGGGCAAACGCGTATCCAGTGTACGGCTCCAAGGTGCCGTCATCAAGATAGTAAATCGACGACCTCATGCTGGCCCGCGACGCTGCACGCTGCAATGGCGACATCTGGTAAACGTCGTCATTCTCCTCGCTGATATCCTCTGCCATCGCACGTGCACCATGGTGGCGCGACTTTTGGTGCACAGACATGCGCTTCAGGATGTTGCTGCCCTCGAACCCGGATGCTTCCACATGCGATAGGCGATGCAGGCGGTTGATCATGGCAGTGTCGGTCTCGGGGTAGCTCACAATCTTGCTGAAGTCATAGTCGGCCTCTTCGGTCTGTCGGGCTGTCCTCCGCGGCGGTGAATGCACGGGGAAGTCGTCCAACGGAATAGCACCCGCCATGCCAGGCGAATCCGGACTGCTGGGCCGACGTAGGCTATGTCTATGCTGCGTGCTTCCACTACGTGTTGGGAGGGTCCCGAACGGCATTTCCTTGTGGTGTGTAGGGCTCGGCAGAGTCGATTCGCCGCCAACAAGGCTCGCTGAGGGCTGTTTAGCCGAGCTTTGCCGTCTTACCCGTGCGCTTGTGGAAAGCATGGACAATCTCGCGGATGATATCAGTGTCGGTCGGGTACCATGCTGACCGCACAAACTTGGCAATGTAATGCGGCAAAACGCATGCTGTCACGGTCAGCACCAGAAGGAGCCACATGTTGGCCTGGGCAAACACACGTGTAGCAGCACCAGCACTAAACGACGTGTCGTACATCACGCCGTAGAGGAAGAACACAGCAAACAGCAGTCCGACGCCGATGAGCTGCGCCAACGGCATCACCCAGGTAAAGGTGCGGTTGTTCATCAGCATGTACATGTTGGTGGTGAACACCACGCAGAAGGCACCAACTGTGCCAACATCGTCCTTGTTTCGATGTGTCCAGGCCATTGCGCTCCGCTGCCGACGTAAAGTAGTAGACATAGACGACCAGAAACGAAATGGACAGCCGACTGGTAAATCCCATCAACCACGTACATCCAGAAGCGCGCCATCGAGTACTCGAGCTTGTAGATGCCGCGTTTATATAGCTGCGGCACAACCATGCCGATAGCCGCCGGCAGATCCTGGTCGAACACGCCGAGGACGCCAGGCGGCAGAGACGTGAAGAACATGTTGTAGAGCGTGATGAGCGTGTAGTCGAAGAAGTTCTGGCCTGAAAACTGGCAGTAGATCTGGTACCAGAACGACGCAATGGTGAACACGACATTCTTGTAGAAAAAGTTCAGGATCATCGACGTGATGCGCAGGTACGACCAGCGACCGTGCACCAGCAGGAGCTTTTGCAGGAACCGGAACTGTGCAATCGCATAATCCGACGCCATTACTGCCTGCAGCCCTTCCTCGCCACTGATGCCAATGCCGACATCGGCCTCCTGGATCATGCTGACATCGTTGGCACCGTCGCCAATAGACAAGCACAGCGTTCCCAGCCCTTCCTTGACCAAGCGCACCACCAGGGCCTTTTGCAGCGGGCTGACGCGGCAGCACACAACAGACTGACAGCGCACAGCAAGCTCGAGCAGCAGTGGTGAAATATCAGGCTCCAGGGCGTATTTGAGCGAGTGACCATCAATGACTAGGCCCAGCGGGGCGTCGTGCTTAACTGTCAGACCCTGCTTGCGCTCCTCGGGGATGTTGCGTGTCCGCACATCGTCCCAGATGCCCTTGATGCCCTTGCGGTGGTTCTTGTTCTGCGCAACATCGCGAGCATGCTGGAATGCCGATGGCTGTTTGCCATGCTTCTTCTTGTGCTTGCGGTGATCCGTGACAGGCCTCAGCAAGGCGCGCCACGAGCTGGTGCTCTCTTTGGGCTGGGCTCCAGCCATGACATCGCCTCCGCCTCCACCACGGAAAGACAGATCCAAAGTGCGTATCGCCAAACTCGCGCAGCGCCCGCTCCAGCTGGTCTCGCGTTGACTCCTTGTCCTCGGCCTGCACCACGATTAGCTGCATGTCATTGTGGAGCAGATTGCAGCTGTATCCAATGTTGATTGCAGTCTCGGTCTTGTCACCAGTCAGCACCCACAGCTTGATACCAGCCAGTGCCAGCTGCGAAATGGTCTCAGGGACACCGTCCTGGAGCTTATCCTCGATGGCCGTCCCGCCAATCAGCTGCAGATCGCGCTCAAGCTTCTCGCACACCTCCTCGACTTCCTGATCGCGGTCACCAAGGCTCGACATGGCCTGATCGTACTCGCTCTTCCACTCCTCAAACTCTTGCACATCCAGCAGGCGGTATGCCAGACAGAGCGTGCGGAGCCCGTGGTTAGCAAACAGCTCCAGGTCATCGAGCGTAGCCTGCACCAGGCGGTCCTGGTTGCTGCGCAGGCGTTCCATGATCACAGAGTCAGCACCCTTGGACAGAAGCATCAGGCGGCCGTCCTCGCGCTTCACTACAACAGACATGCGCTTGCGGGCGCTGGTGAACTCGAGCGTAGCCAGCAGCGTGTATGTCTGCTGGTGGCCCAGGAAGTTGCAGAACAGACGATCCTTCTCACGCCGCAAGAATGTGAATCCGACATCGCGTGCCGTGGATACCAGCGCTGCTTCGTCAGGCGACTGGGCCTTGTACTCAATGTAGTCCTTGTTGGCTGGGTCCGGGGTGTCACTGATGACGGTATGGCACAGAGACAGCACCGTGAAGAACTCGATGACTGCCCGTGCCTGGATATTGTCGGCACGCAGGTCGTCGTAAATGCCTGTGTCCAAGAATGTTGTCGTGTCAGAGTGGCGATACGGGTTGTCGAAGAATGTTGCCATTTTGGCCTGCATTGAGCGGCGCAGCTCAGCAGCACGCTCAGCCTCATCATCGCCGACGATTTCGCCATAAATGCGGCCACGGATAGTGCACTGGCGGAACTCCATCACATTCTGTGTCAGCGTGCCGGTCTTGTCGCTGAAAATGTACTCAACCTGGCCAAGGTCGTCTGACAGATTCCACGACTTGGGGATGCAGCGGCGGTCTGTGCGGGCATAATACATGTCGATATCCTGGTTGATGAAGTATGCCTGGAAGGATTTGACCACCTCAATGGTCACGTACAGCGAGATAGGGACCACGGTCTGGTATAGAATCAGCATGGTCCAAAAGTCCAGGAAGCCGAAATAGGGCGCCGATTGGTTGGTTGATGTCTGGTACCGAACGATGAAGGCCTGCTGGAACGACTGCGACTTGCCGTAGTAGATGCCGCCGACGATGGCCGACACCAGGCACAGCACAAACAGCAGGCAGAACTGCGACAGGACCTGGTAGTTCATCATGCGCTCAATGCGGCTCCGCTTGGACGGTGTCTCGCCAGCATTCATCATGATCTTTGTGTCGTCGCCAGTGAAGATGGCCACGCCGACAGCCCACCGAGTGTTGCGCAGAACGCTCCCACGCAGAAGCAGGTTGTCGACGTTAAGCGGATCCCTGCTGCCTGCGGCAGGCTTTGGGCTTTGGAAAATCGTCCCCACCGTCAGCGAGGACTTGCATGGAGCCCTTAAACGAGTACAGCTGCGTGCTGGGCGGCTCGGCGTCGATCACGCACTGGAAATCAGCAAACTGCTGGGGCATCACCAGGTGCGCCGTGTTTCCTGTCGACTGCTTGCTCTTCAGATTGGTCTCGCCGTCCAAGTTCTTCGTCTCGATGAAGCATGTGCCGTCATCCTCGCTGGTGCTCAGAATAACCAAGTCTACTGGCACCGCATCGCCCTCGCGTAGCAGCACGATGTCGCCCACATGCAGATGCCGCCACTCGGTCTGCAGCCAGCTACTGCTGCCGATGCCCACGTCCTCATCAGACCGCTCGCCGTGGCTTCCTGGCCGATACGACGTGCTGGCGAATCCAGACGCACCAGGCCCCACAGGCAGCGTGTTGGATGGACCCACCGCTCCACCCACCGAGCCGTCAGCACCCGAATCGCTCCACAATAGCCGCATAATGCCGCGCGGACGGAAGAAGCCTGCAGGAGGTTTGTTTGTGTTGACCCAGGCATTGCCCAATACAAACGCCGGCGCCTGGTTCGCCTCCTTGTCGCTCTGGCTACGCTTCGAGTCCTCGTACCCGTCCTTGGCCATCGTCAAGGCCACAATCACGAACAGCGCAAACGCGCTCAGGCCTGGTGATCCCGTGGTCACCGCGGGGATGAACTGCAGAATCAAAAGAAACAGAAAATACATGTTTGCAACGCGCCGGAACTGCTCAAACAGGTTCTTTGGCACAAACGATACCACGGTGTACTTTGCTGTACGGATTTGGTTCAGCGGGTAGTGTGTCGGCCGCCCATGCTCGTCGTAGGCGCTGCCTGGCATAGGTGTGTTGACATATACTGTGCGCTCCGCACCCGGCTCGCTGTCTGGTTCGCCGGCTTTCCTCTTCCGGCCCAGTATGCGAGATAATATCGATGGCTTTTGGCCACCGCGTGTCTTGGCCATGTGCAAAAGAAAGAAATTTAGTAAGTAAAAATAAACAGTGAATGAGAGAAAAGAGAAAGAAAAACACTGGCAGTTGCAACTGATGAACGACAAGCCACTAGGCTTTCAGAAGCTTTAGAGGGAAATGTGTTTTATAGCACTGAGAAGAGTGGAGTGAAAAATTGTCTTGCACAGGTGCTAAGGGAAATATTTTTAGAGAAGAGCAAGCTTGATTTTCCTTTTCTCTGTGCCTGCGCTGATTCTTTGCCTCCATCCTCTGGCGCATCATTTTGCGGGGACGGCGCCCAAAGGTACATGGGGGAGGAAGAGGGGTCCTCCGCTATTAATAGGCACAGCATATTGTGAGCATGCACAGAGCTTTCGAAAGATGTTCCTTTGCGAGCCTTGGCAGCCTGGCATTACTGGCCAATCCAATATTCATGTCCATTGATGTTGTGGATTCCAGACGACATGCCATCAGCCACCACCGCCCACTCGTACCACACTCTGGAGTTTCCCGACCGTCTCCACATGCTGACCGACACGCATTCGCCAGCTCTGATCTGCACCGGCTTCTACAAAGACGGAGCAAAATGACATTAGACAATCGGGGCCAAGCTACCAGCGCCTTGCATGTTTCCCCACACCAGGCAATCCACACATTGGTGGCGTCCACTTGTGACTCGGCATATTCTCTTACCTTGATGGGGAAGTACATAGGGAACCACGAGTGCATCCCGGGCGTGTGTGTAGCTGGACGAATGCTCAGCGACACATTTCCGTACAGTGTCGCCTCAAAGTACCCTGCCAGCCCGTGTATCACCGAGTCCTGTGATATGCAGAACTTGGCTTGGCATTTCCGGTCATTGTGCTTGTTAGACGCGCTGATCTCGCCCACCGGATGCCCAAAGGACCATGCCATTTTGGGCGCTGCCAAGACACTGGCGGCGTTGAAGTTTACAACAAATGGCGTCTCCATCTGCGTGTCCTCATACGCCTTCGCCTTGTTGTATAGTGTGCATGACGACAGAGGGGCGACAAACGCTGTGTACTGGGCGGGGATCGAAATGCCATCCTCTGCCAGCAGCCGCTGCGCACCGTCCAGGCATTCAGGCGACAGCTCGTTGTCGCCAAACGATCCCAGGAGCTCGCTGACAAGGATATCCGCCGCCACACCTGTTGCCTGTGTCCGCATATCGCCGAATACCACAGTAACCGCGTTTCCCCACACCTTTGCATTCTTGCGCTGTAGCTCCGTGAGTGCGCTTGGGTTCTTTTCCACCGCAAACACCTTTACAGCGACCGAGCTGCGCTTGGCAGCAGCCAATGCACGGGTCACCAGGGGTCCGCGGCCTGCGCCCACCACCGCAACCACGATCTCACGGCCCCACTGCTGTCTGTCGACCAGTGCCTGGTATACAGCCTCCTCGTACTGCGCATACTTTGGCGTGTCTTGCTCAAACACCTCGTACGTGACAGACTCCAAGTGGTCCATGAGCGGCTGCAATGGCGCCTGCAGCACGTCGTGATAGGCATCAGATGCCATTGCATACTCGTCCTGTGTCTCCAAGGTGCCCCATAGATGCCGCACATACGTCGCAAAGTCGCTGGTTGAGCGGTAGAAAACCTCCCGGCTGATCTCTGCCGATCCCACATGTGATACTACAAAGGCCACATTGAGCTGCATCCACCGCTTCACCGCGTCCTGGTGCTCTTTGCGGAGCACCGGGTACCCAGTCTTGTTGCCAATAAACATGCACGTTGGCAGCATCACCAACTGCACTGGCTCCGCGATCCACTGCCTCATATCGAGTGGCCCAGAAGAAAGCTCCAGCGCAACCTGCAGCCGCGGATCGTGATTGCAGAGCATCCTCACCCGATTCCATAGCGTCCACGCGCCATCAGCCTCCGCCCGAACACGCACCAGCACATTGCTGTGGCTTCCTAGCTGTGCCAGCAGCATCCGTGCATAATCCTCAACATCGCTCTCGGAAATTTCCGGCAAAAGCACACTACTGAGCCCAGTATACGCTGCATAGGCCAGCTCACGCTCAAAAGTACCACTAGTCGGCAACTGGGTCTTGCCGATCAGCCGATATGCGTTCTGTGACGTATTAATTACGAGGTCGTGAGGCATGAAATACGGACGGGCGGCGGTGTCAGCATCGTGGTGCAGGATCGGCACCACGCCGAAATCAACATTATCGGCAGCAGCAGAGTCCGTGATGAACCGGTCAACATCAAATACCGTCGAGGAGGGCTCGACGCCTACACTGAGCTTGCTGTAAGTCATGGAAGACAAGGAATGAGCGTGTAAATGAGTGTTTTTTTAACTGCTGCCTTTCTGCATATTTTTTTTATGATTTTGAAACTGGCAACTGCAAGTGAGCTGAGATCATTTTGGTTCCGGGTTGGGACTGCGAATTCTCGTCATCGGCAAATATCGACACAATAATCGTGTTGCAACCTTCCTATGTAAACTAGTAGAACTATGCATGGCAGACAAGCCGTATACTCCTTTAGCGTCAGCATACAACTCTCTCCTGCTATCCACTGCCAGTAGCCCTCGGAACACAAGTTTATCATTAGCGTAGATTCTGATGAAGCGCAGGCTCGATGTCAATTCTGAACGGCTGTTTCAGCAACGCCTGACACTGGCCATGGCAGATACTACCAACGAGCGATGCAACATGTTTTTTTTGCAGACATTGAGCACTATACCCTGTACCGCGCTAGGAGGAGACTCAATAGGCAGAGAAGTGCTCACCCAGCAGCACAGTCAGCCCTGCACGCAGCCATCCAATGTGGTAGGCTGTGTGAAATAAGGTGCTACAAGAAGCGGGTATCCGAATCTATGAAGCGCTACGAATTTCCTGTCGTGGACCTGAATGAACATATAAATGGATATCAGTCAGCTCTAAGCATCTGTTGCAAAGGGCACGCACAGTATCCAGCATAGAAACTATACAAGCTGTTCTGACACCTGTTTAATCCACTATATGGACGACGGGCCAAGGGTTCAGGCATACTGTGCAAGGGCAACTTGTTGCAAAATCTAGCGTTTAGACAAAACGGAGAATCACTATAAGTTAGCAGAGCTCTACAGGCTCGACAGACAGCAGCTACTCTGCCCTTTGATGAATCGTGAAACCTGAGTAACAAAGGCGGTTAATTCGGGGTCTATAAGGCTCAGTGATCGCTCTAGGTACCCCATGTAGATATCACTACTAAAAACAGGTATAGCTGCTGCATTCCGCAAGAGTTACAGTTATCAGCAAGTGACACTGCTCCTCTGTTTAAAATGGAAACCACCATTATTGGCACCTGCTAAATATTCTGGCCACTGCAAAGAAATATTATTCTATGACCATTAATTAGCTGGCTCGGTAGAGGTCTATACACAGTGAATGCAGGATGGGTGAATGCTAAGCCATGCTAGCACTTGTCAAATCAAGCACATCTAGTGAAGGTTGAAACACGCACAAGGAGACATATGGTTCGCCTGAAAACGTCGTAGTCCCTGGTATGGTCGCCACTGCCGTGCACTGCTGATCTCCAATCAGGCAAACCGACGGAGACACAGGCGATAACACTGACACTTGAAGCTCTACACTTATAAATAGGCTCCATCAACTAGCAACGTACGTGAGGAGCCCGCCGCAACTGTCTGGAAGAAGTTTCCTAGGAATTTTGGGGAGCACATCGCAAGCAGAAATTCCGACCTGAACAACGATTCGTCAGTTCTAGCAGAAACTCGCCCGAGGTTATCTCCGTGAACAGGGTTGTGCTAATCTAGCATGCTAATATCAGGAATGCTTTGCCTTTTATTGTGCTGGCCGCTGCGGCCAGCGCCACCAAGAATCCCGAGGTGAGAGATGTTCAGGAAACCTAGCCATCTGTTTCTCCGTCCTCAAGGTTACTGCTATATCTAAGTGCCGCTAGCGGGTTTGTATTTTTCTTTCCTTTGCATCCTTTTCTACAGCGAATTTTTCTTACCTCGACTACTTAACAAAGCTTGGTTGGCAGCAAGCTCTAGGGTAGCTAATATTTCCAACTAGCAATACAGCCTAATTATAACCCAATTTTAACATCTTTAGGATATATAGCTCTCGACGTATGGCCCCTTTCAGTGCCCCACTTGGCAGAAAACCGTTAGCCCTCGCCGCTGCAACGCTCGCTGCAATTTCTCTGGGACAGCTCGCATCCCTTGCATCAACTGTTGCACACGACCACGATGAACTGTGCAATGGCAAAAGCTGGTCATGGTCCTTGCGCAGCGACTGCTTCCGGTTTGGAGTCTTGCTTCCTTCGATCACTCTGCTGATCACAGCAGCTGGATCGGTTCTAGCTGCTGTCAAACTATTGTCCAAAAGCTTGGCCATAGCTGAGGATTCGAAGCCAGTTCGCTGCCCACCGGGTAACACCCGTCTGATTGACAACCGTGTCGCGGTCGGTGCGGCCAGTACCCTGCTGTCGATTCTTTTGGCCGGACTCTCGCTCGGATGGCAGTTTTCTGCCAAAGCAACACCCGAGAGGCTATTTTCCACCAGCCTTGTACTAGCCATGCTAGCAATCGCAGTAGCATCGGTATTCTATTATACCACTTTCATGCGCGCTGCCGATCGCATCTCGTACAGAGGGCTGTTTCCACCATTTTTGACCGGGGCTATTGGTATTCTACTTGCCCTGGATTTGCTTGAGGTCTACTTCTCGTTCTTCACACCCGAGAACAGTGACACTCCGTTCTGGTTTGGTGCTTCGCAGCGCTCACGCTACCTGCTCTTGATTACAGCCGGCAATACCACCTTGCTTTTCCTCCATGGAGCCGCGCAGCACCGTGCAATTTTCCTCCGCCCACACCAACCCTGCACCGATGAGGCCGAGGAATGTGTGGATGCTGAGTCGAACGGAGACTTTGTCGAAACCCCGTTAGCACAAGCACGCGGAAAGAACGGCACTCCTTCCCTGGTCGATACACCCGAGTACAGTGGTTCGTGGTTCGATACACTCACGTTTTCGTGGGTCAGCGACATATTCCACAGTGGGTCTCGTCGTCAGCTCGACTATGTGGATCTCTACAGACTGGATATGAGTGACATGACGGTTCCAAACTGGTACCGCTATGCAAGGCACCGCAAGCCAGATCGGTCTCTACTAACGACCTTAATGCTGACGTTTGCCCCTCAGCTGCTCGCTCAGCTGCTGCTTTCTGTGGTCATCGCAGTATTGCATTACTCCGGCCCGTTCTTCTTGCAGCGCATTTTGCAGTCGATCGAGATTATTGGCAATACTGCCGTGGGTGGTACTCCAGCAAAATCGATCCGTAGTGCATATCTGGATGCATTCGGACTACTGTTCTTCACAGTCATGAATTCGCTGGTTGCCACAAAGGTCGTTTGGATTGGAAGCCATTTGGATTTCCGCATGAAGGGTCTCTTGGTTGCTGAGCTGTCTACCAAGACCTTGAACCGCCGTGCAAGGGACTCATCTGCAGGCACCACCGACAAAGACGATGGAAATGACGAATATGGCAGTGATGATGACTTAGGGTCGGCACAGGAAGCGACAAACGGCAAAATAATGAACCTGCTCACCACAGATCTCAACCGTGTCGCCAGGGTCACTGGGTCCTTGGAAGATCTATGTGTTCTGCCAACGATGGCCATCATTGGTCTGTTCTATCTGTTTCAGTTGCTGGGATGGTCGTCGCTCATCGGATTCTCGATCGTGATTCCGTATTACCTCCTGACAAGGAAGATTTTCGACTGCTTGTCGGAACTAGAAGAGGAGACTTGGAGACTGAGTGACAGGCGAGTAGAGACGATTACGGAGCTTCTACAAGGCATCAAAGCCGTCAAGCTCTATGGCTGGGAGTCCCGGTTTCTCGAGATAATTGACAAGCATCGCGAGGACCAGCTGGATTCGATGTGGCGGTGGCTCCTCGGCTTGACCTACGCATACCTCGTTACGAACCTGGCACCGCTGCTGACTTTGGTCCTAGTACTACTGACATATGTCGGTGTATTTGGCAATACTCTCAATGCTGAGGTTGCGTTCACAGCTATCTCGGTGTTCCAGCTTTTGCATGTGGCAGTGGAGCATTTCCCAGAGTACTTGAGTTGGGCTATATCCGGCTATGTGTCCCTGAGACGCATAGAGTCTTATCTTGCGATGCCCCAGGCCCAGGACCTCGAAGACCGAGTCAATCGAGTAGACGACGACGGTGACGCACTAGGATTCAGCAAGGCTAGTCTAGTCTGGGACACATACACAAAGGACGACTTGGGTGATACTGCCAATGATGCTACTCATATGGCAAATGCCAACGAGGACACACCGCTGGTATCAGACATTTTAACCCATTCAAATACTTCGTTGGACAACCAGCAGGATCAGCTTGATAAGACTGCATTCATGCTCAAGGACATCGATATTCACTTCCCAGTTGCTGGGCTGTCAATCATTGCCGGTCCAACGGGCAGTGGCAAATCGTCGCTGCTGTCAGCACTCATTGGCGAGATGTCGCTGGTCCGTGGAACAATCCTGCTGCCGACCATCAACCCAGCCCGCGCTATTGGACTTGGCGATCCCTATGGAGACATCATCAAGCTGTCGCGCGAACAGGAGGCAATTCGCGATATTGCCTATGTTGCACAGGAGGCATGGCTGCGCAATGCCACCATCCGCGAGAACATCCTGTTCGGCGAGCCGTATGATCAACAGCGGTACGAGGAGGTGCTGCGTGTCTGTGCACTGAAGCCCGATCTGCGGATCCTGACTGCTGGCGACCAGACCGAGATTGGCGAGCGCGGCGTGACGCTGTCGGGAGGCCAGAAGCAGCGTGTTGCACTGGCCCGTGCGGTGTACTCGGACCGCAAGATCCTGCTTATTGACGACTGTCTGTCGGCTGTCGATGCGCACACTGCCAAGCACATCCTGATGGAGTGTCTGCTGAACAAGACGTCGCTGATGCACGGCCGCACCCGTGTCCTCGTCACCCACCACGTGTCGATGTGCCTTCCGTATGCGCAGTACATCGCGGTGATGCGCGAGGGCGAGATTACGCTCAAGGGCAATCCGCAGGAGCTGCAGGCAATGGGCAAGTTCTCGGCGACTCTTGCTGAGCTCGACACCAAGGACGACACAAAGGCTGAGGAAGGATCGAAGGGCAAGGAGGTTGAGGACATCGAGGATGAGGGCAGTGCTGAGCGTGCCAAGGCTGTCAACGATCCGACGTCGGAGGACGAGTACAACATTGAGCGACTGCGCAAGCTGGCTGTGGCCAAGGGTCTGGACCCCACTGCTGACCTGTCGGCGTTCGAGGGTACGCTGATTGAGGATGAGGAGCGCGAGGCCGGGTCCGTCAAGGCTGAAGTCTGGCGCGCATTCTTTACTGCCTGCGGCAGACACTGGTACTGGATTCTCTCGATTATACTGCTGGCCTTCACACAGGTGCTCACGGTTTTGCAGGACTACTGGGTTCGGATCTGGGTACAGTCGGCCAAGGAGCCCTCGTCCTCTGTCTACGCATCGCTTGCCATGTCTCCCGTTGCTCTGCCTGACATGAACCGTCCGATTGTCAACAGCTTGTCCTCTGTGTTTGCTGTCCTCCCGGCGGCTGACGAAGTGGTTGTGCAGTCAGTGCAACAGCACTCTGCGAAATACTGGCTTGGTATCTACTTCCTCATCGGCGTGGTGGGTATTGTGTGGCGTGGAGTGCAGATTATGTACGTCTTTGGCGGTGCGATCCGCGCCTCACGTAAGCTGCACTCCGAGCTGCTGCAGGCTGTAGTGCACGCAACACCGCGCTTCTTTGATTCGACACCGCTGGGCCGTATCATCAACCGGTTCTCGCGCGACATGCAGACCGTCGACGAGTGGACCATGGATATCCTCGTGTGGTGGCTGCTGGACATCATGGGTGTGCTGAGCATCTTCGCCATCATCTCGTATGTGACGCCTGCCTTTGTGCTGGTTGCCATCGGCATCTCGGTTACGTATGCTGGTATCGGATACTACTACCTCAACGCGTCGCGCGAGCTGAAGCGTATCGAATCCAACACCATGTCACCGCTGCTGTCGCTGTTTGGAGAGTTGATTCTAGGAGTCACCTCCATCCGTGCGTTTGGCCTCAAGAAGTACTATATTAAGGAGGCAGTTAACCGGATTAACGCTCAGAACCAGCCGTTCTACCAGGTGTGGGCGGCGAACCGGTGGCTGTGTGTGCGCGTGGATCTGGCAGGTGCCATGGTCGCATTTGCATGCTCGCTGTTTATTCTGATGAACCTGCGCTGGATGGACGCTGGTCTGGCTGGATTTGCGCTGTCGTATGCGCTGATGTTCTCAGATCGTATGCTGTGGGTGATTCGCAACTACTCGCAGAACGAGCTGAACATGAACGCGGTCGAGCGCATCACGCAGTACATGAAGGTTGAGCAGGAGGCTAGTGCTCAGTCAACGCCTGAGAACAAGCCTGCGAGCAACTGGCCCAGGACCGGTGACCTTGAGATCGAGGACCTGGTCATCGAGTACGTGCCCAATGTCCCGGTGCTGCATGGCCTGAACATGTCGATCAAGCACGGCGAGAAGATCGGTGTGGTTGGCCGCACCGGCGCTGGCAAGTCGACGCTGTCGCTGGCGTTCCTGCGGTTCATCGAGGCAGCCAAGGGCCGGATCGTGCTCGACGGGGTCGACATCTCGAAGATTGGCCTGGAGGATCTCCGCCGCAATGTCACTATCATCCCGCAGGACCCAGTGCTGTTCAACGGCACTATTCGCTTCAACCTTGACCCGTTCAGCGAGTACCCCGATGAGATTGTGTGGGATGCGCTGCGCCGTGCGCATCTGGTGCGCGAGCGCGGCAGCCAGACCGCCAGCACTGCGACCAGCACTGCGACCAGCGTGTTTGAGGGCAATGCCAACGACAGCTCGCTGGAGCGCATGTCGGGCATCTTCAATAGCCTGGAGGCCGAGATCAAGGAGAACGGGCAGAACCTGTCGCTGGGTCAGCGTCAACTGGTGGCGCTGGCTCGCGCTCTGGTGCGCCGGTCGCGACTGATCATCATGGACGAGGCGACGGCGTCGGTCGATTTCGATACCGATGACCGTATCCAGCGCACGATCCGTGGCTCCGAGTTTGCCAACTCGACCCTGTTCTGCATTGCTCACCGGCTGCGCACCATCATCGACTATGACCGCGTGCTGGTACTGGACAAAGGCAAGGTTGCCGAGTTTGACACTCCGGCCAACCTGCTCAACAGGCAGGACGGCATCTTCCGCAGTATGTGCGAAAAGTCTGGCGAGCTTGAGCACCTGGTGAGGGCCGCCAAACAGACTATGAGCAAATAGCTGGCCAAAAGACTAGCTTAATAGTTTTACTTTATGTACTGCTAAGGTATATCTCGAAAATATGCCTCATTGTATGCCGTGTGCTGGGATTAAGTCACCCACAGCGCCTTGTGCCATTATGTCCAAGAGCAATTGCACACATAATAGGACTCCAAGTGCCTGCTAGTCCATCTTTTCTCCTCAGTTGTTCTTTCACATACTTCCCTCCATACATGCAGGTACGTACTAGTTTGATTGTTAACACCGTATATATAAATGGCGATGCTGATGCTGTAGGTCTAGAGCACACGGTGGGTGATGTAGGGCAAGAGAAAAAGAATATAAAATGAGTAGCGAAAGATACCTTTTGAGTATGTGTGTAACTTCCGTGTAGCGCGGATTCTGAACAAGCTGTCAAGCGATGGTATCTTAATCCAGAAATGTGCGAGCGGTGTGAGCGTATCAGCAATAGAAAGTGACAGAGTCAAGGAATATATATTGATGAAGAAAAAGCTGAAGAGAATTAGGCTGGGAGAGACGAGCGCAAAGGTTTTATACCATCGTTCAGGTGGCACAGCCAAAAAGAAGAAGAATGAAAAAAGCATCAGGATGAAAAACTATGTAGTTCACAGTAATCGGATCTTGAGATTCTAACACACAGGTCTCCACTGGATATCTCCATTGGTTCAGCGCAAGAGCTGCTCTCATTGTCGGTCGGCCTGATAACTTCCATGGCGTCATCATGGTGGTCATCACCGGCTGCGCAACACTCTTTGGATATTAATTCATGAGTACCTATTGAATAAGGCCATATAACTCTTCTAGCGGTCATGCAATATTTGTGGATTTATTTTATATATTAATTTGTCTTTTGAATATGCATAAGTGGTAGTATTTGGACCACAATGGACCCAGTCTGTATAGACTGATTCAAGAGACTGTATCAGTGCTAAGGGCCCCAAGAACCATGCAAGCCAGATCATTTTTAATAAAAAGTTCTTAATGCTATGCATACGCAATACAGCAAAACTGAACAGCATCATTTCTCTTCTTACTTTGCCTATTGAATTTCTCAAATGAATATTACTCGCAGCACTACTGTCATAAAGACATCACTTGGTGGTATTGGCTTCCGTGATTCTATGTTGCCCCGCCTAGAGCAATTTGTACATAGTGTCAATATCATCAAAGAGCATGCATACATGCTTGCACGATGGATATTACTCCATCAACTAGCTGATGATGATGCCTTTGACCCTGGAACATTTGTGAAAAAGGGATTCTTTCGCTCAATTTATTTATTTATATATCACAATCTGAAGGCAAAGGCGACCATATCTGCCGAGGATTTCGTCAACCGGAAGGACCGGCCAGAACTGTCGAGCGCAGATTTCGGTGATGTAGTTAGATACCATATTTATGATTATCTATTGCATAATGGCGATATCGAGCTACATGGTGTACGTGAAATGAATCAGGTAGCGACATACGTGGATACCGAGCTGATGACAGCATACAAGAACAACATTGTGTTGCACTATGGCACTTGCCTACAGCGGATTCTGGCCAAATTGATTGATATTCGCAGCCGCAAAAACACACTGCGCAGTACAATGGGCAATGTGTCTAAGGCTGAGTTCAATAGTGCATGTCAAGTGTGTATCTATACACCTGCACAGAAGCTCCGCCAGACAGTTGCCTCTAGGCACCCTGATCTCAGTGTGCTCACCCCACCGATGCTTGTAATCTACAACAAGCTGGCACCAGTCCTTAATGCCTATGATGCCAAGTACAGATTCGCCAAAGACAGCCGATACTATGATGCCAAGGTAAATCAACTTCAGCATCTGCATACATACATTAGCCTATGCCAGCTTATCGAGAATGAGCAGCTTGGCAAGTCTCCCCCCAATGCTTGCCTCTGCGGACATCATGGATCCCAGGCCATGTGCGCTTAGACAAGGAAATAATCAAGCAGGTGTTTATTTCGAAAACACATGAGCAGGTTACCAAGATCAACGCAGCAAAGAGGGCAGCAACAGAGGCAAGGAAAGTAGCAGAAAAGGGCGAAGAATTGGCCAAGAAGGCTGCACGCGAAGCAGCGAAGATGCCATTGGATGCAACTGAGGCCACTGCAGCAGACATTCCGGCATGTTCCCAACCTGCGGCCCTGCCAGAGATCGAAGAACCCAACTGTGAAGTGCCATGGCCTTCTCCGCTGTACAAACGAGTCGTGTAAGCGGGCTATGGTGCAATACAGGCGGGCCTATTCGTCTCGGCTCTTGAACCGCGACCTCGCAGCAGTTCTAAACTTCAGACTCGTTTTCCAGTCACTGTGATTCAGGCGATATTCCTGAGCGATTCTGTCGTTCTACGGCTATTGCTGCCAATGCTTCTGGCAACACTACCGCAACAAAGAACCCGCGCAAGAGGCGTGCAGCAGCGAGCCAGCACTGTAGCGCCTGTGCTGAGCAGGCCATCAAGGTAGGAGATGCCCATGATCGCCATTGCACCAACAACTATCCGACACGTTCAAATGACCGGTTCGCCGTGATGCTCTTATCGACGTGCCAACCCATGCTGACTAGCAGCCGAGCTCACATCGCGAGCAGAGCAATTCTAGTATGAAAGGCTGGTGCAGGCAGTCGGTGCGACGCGGGTTAAGGTGAGCGAGATTAGCCCCCTGTTTGAACTACGCGTTTACATCAGCGTATTTAACGGCAGCAGCGACCAGCCATGGCTGACGATGCTCCTGTTTTTTGGGGATGACTAGAATGATGTATCTGTGAAAAATACAAACTATGCATATGGTATGGCAGACACGTTGCGGTTGTGACTAGAGCTGATCTCGACGCTCGTGTCCACCGTATATGGCGGAGTTGGTGCTGGATCAAGCGAATAGCGGCCACGAGTAATCGGATGATTTCATGGTGATCCCAAGAATGTACAAAGCCGAAACGCAAACATAGCTATTTTCCTGCTTCTGACGCATCTTTCGCTTTTCGCCTCGAATTTGTACAGTATTCCTTTTCGCAATGACCGAAGAAAAACAGAGTGCACCTCGGGCTTCAGAACAGACGAAGCCGAACATAGAGCTAGCAGCGCGCCGAGAGCAAGGCAAGCTGATCAAGGTTCTGCTGGCAGGAAGTGCGCTGCGGTTAATTATCATGCTGCTGTTCCCGCAATTTGTCGAGCAGCATTTGGCTGGACGCGTCGAGCTGTCGACGCCAGTCACCAGCTACAAGCGGCTGGTCGAGGGACTGTATCTGAGCAGCCATGGGGTCTCGCCGTTCGATGGGGGTGTGTTCCACCAGTCGCCGCTTCTGCTGCTGCTGTTCAAAATCCCGTACTACCTGCCAGAGATCGTTACGAACTTGGTCTTCATTCTGGCTGATGCTGCAGTTGCTCTTGTTCTGGCCAAAATCACAGGTGCACGCCACTCGCTCCCGCAGTTCTCGCAGCGCGCCGGTGTCCCGGGCGAGCAGGCGTTTGCGTGTCCGCCATCAGTGGTTGCAATGCTGTATCTGTTCAACCCGCTGATGATCGGGACAACTGTGGTCAAATCGACGATTGTATTCAGCCATCTCGCAGTTGTGCTGGCGCTGTATATGGGCATGCACGGAAAAATCAATGCCTCGGTAGGCTGGGCAGCAGTGGCCGCACATCTATCGCTGTATCCGGCAATGCTGGTCGTGCCAATTGCGCTGATGGCGGGCAAGCGCCAAATGCTCCGCTCAGCAGTTGTGCAGACTGTGGCCAAGTTCGCCGTAGCGGTTTTGGCCCTACACGTGGCATTTACCATGGCGTTTGGCAAGCAGTATTTTTTGGCGACCTTTGACTTCACGCTGCGGGTGGCCGACTTGCAGCCGAACGTCGGCCTGTTCTGGTACTTCTTCATCGAGATCTTCGACGAGTTTCGGTCTTTCTTCTTTGTCGTTTTCCAGCTGACAGCACTTGCATTTGCGGTGCCCGTATCATGGCGGTTCCGGCGCGAGCCCGTGTTTGGCGCCATCATGCTGGTGGGCGTGATCAGCGCATTGAAGGCATATCCGTCGTGGGGCGATTTGGCGCTGTTCCTGGGTCTGCTGCCGGTGTATGAGGAGTTGTTCAAATACCTGCAGTACTCGTTCCTGTTTGGAAACCTGCTGATGTACGGGATTGGTCTTGCACCAGTATTTTGGCACCTGTGGATCGAGCAGGGCAGTGGCAATGCCAATTTCTTCTATGCAGCAACGCTGGTTTATGAGTTTGGACAAATTACCATGCTGTTTGACTTTGGCAGCGCCATGCTTCGCCGCGAACTGGATATCAGCGAGCCCGAGACCCGTACCCACGCAGTGATTCAAGAGTAGTGGTTGGTTTGCAAGATTCGTCCTATTCCTTCATCATATCCGTACATGAGGCACAGTTCACTATTATTAGCGGTCGTTTAAACGCTGTTTTGCTTGATATCGTCAAGTACGAATCTGCATGTGTCACCTATGTATATTTGGCATGGCAAGATGCACAAGATATCCACGAGATAGACTTTAGTTGCACAGAGACACAGAAAACTGGTATGTGGTGAGGGGTTGGGATACAAGAGGAGCACAAGTTAGAGTGGGCTCTTTGTACACTAGCTCCACATTCCGTGAAACACATTTCTGCTGGTCACTTTGTACGTGCGGACCACAACAGTGGCATCCAGGATTTGCAACCTGGCAATACGCCCTGTGGTTGCGGTGGGTATCGCAAAGGGTGCAGCTTCACCATTAAGACCGAGACGTTGTGACCAGTCGCCTTTGTGACCAGTCTGTGCGTGACTCGAAGCACATGGGGCGCTTGTTATACGTGGCGTGCAATGCTGCCAGCACACGGTCTGACAATGGATGCACATGGCACGGGCAGGTCCTATCTGTGATTCCAGCTGCCCTGTGCGCGGTGTGGCTCAGGGGACGTGGGAATCGCGCGCATTATCTCTACCAGCCACATGCAGCAATGCATATCGGGACCAGAAAACAGCAGGTCTGATTTCCTCGCATCTATTTTTGTCGACATTCCAGCCTGCTTCTGTTATCAGGCATGGAGCGACCTGCTCTTGCGCCTCTTGTTCTCAGCGCACTTGCTTGTGGCCAGACGGGGGCAGGTGTGCAAATGCATGCGGGGTAAAGGCTGGTGGAAACCTGGCCTGGCTCCGCGGCAGATGAACATATCCGTGCTGCCCCGAGAACAAACAGCTGCATAATGCGGCAGCGCTTTGTTCGGTGGGCGAGAGTCCATCATACCGCGCAGCTGTTCGATTGGACAGGTGGCCGCACATGCATGCATATCGGGTCGGTGTCAATCCATGTTTGAATGGATTGGTGGGGAGGAGAATAAATGTCTTGGCTGCTTTTTCTCGCTTCTCCGAGCGGTGCTTCTGCAGAGGCGCTCGCTGCCATTCCCTCCCCCAAATGGCGCTGCTCAGGTTTTCGCTGGCGGCGTCTCGGCAGACGTATGCGCATATGAAAGGATCCCCCCTTTTTGCCTCACCGAGTCGAAGGAGCAATATATCAGGACCGATATGCCATCCCCAAATTGCCCCGCCTGCTTTCGGTGCATAATATTTCAGCCCTGGGGTTATTTTTATCTCGCTTGCATTGCAATTACTTGCTCAGCTGACCTTGCCAGCGCGCAGTTAGTGCAGAGGCAGAGGGAGTGGTTGAGAGAATATTTCAAACAAATGTGCCGCATGAACTTTTATTTTGAATCCCAGTGAACGAGCAAAAATATACTGTAGATCGATGGTGTTTTGCAAACAACCCTTTTTCTTGCGTGCGATATCGCGGGCGGGGGGCAAGTACGTAATATTGTGTCCGCTCACAAGATCGCAAGCCAGTAAGCTTATGACGGCATCCGCCCGATGGCACTCACTATACACCCTGCGTCTCTCCTAAGTTGAGGTCATCTTTGGGGCTGTGGGTGCAGCGGACTGCGCAGAGCATGAAAGGGAGATCGCAGTGCCCACCCAGCCAAAACGTGGGGTCGCCAAATGGAGCATACGAGCTCCCCTTGGACTATTCCCTGGTTTGGGCACGATCGTGGATTATTTTTGTCCAACAGCAGGAGTCCGTCTCACCCGCAAACTGCAGAAGGCAAGAAGTTCAGGCGAAGGAGCGGTAGATTCTGCGTCCCACTGCCGGCTGCCATTTGTCGGCTTATACACGGGCTTGTTGCCAAATCAACCCTTTGGGTCGAAGCAAACAGAGATCTGCTGGGCCTTCCCCTACAACGAATACGCATTTGGCGTGTATCTGCCGAAGAGAGGGCCTTCCAGTGATTCCGTTTGTCCGTCAATCGCCCTTCTCCGCTTCGCTGCATAAACACCAACCGATCACTCGCAGAGGCCAAACATTTTCTGCAGCCAGATTTATTTTTGTTCGTCGCAGGGGGGTTGGGGGCCCGGGCGGCAAACAGACCCAGGCGTAATGTTTCGCAGTGTGGGCGGGCAAGCAGAGGACATCACCTTATTTTTCGCCCTCTTTACCCAACGATTATTTCTGCACTTTCTGCCCAGGCGGCATTTTCGACCATTTTAGTATGTCGCTTTTTAAACCCGATGCCCACTGTCCTCTCTGTGCATCTCGTCTAGCTGGATCTGTGCGACCCGTTATTTGTTGATTCGACCGAGGGCACGCAGGGGAGAAAAACGTATATATCCAGTCGGTTCGCTCCCTCCTGCCTTCTATGCTATCCTCGCTATAGCATCATCGCCCGCCATTCCCTGTTCTATTTAGTTCTCCTTGACTCCTTTTCATTGAGATCGCAGCATATATATTTTATCCCAGTGCCCCTGCTCACCGTGGTGCTTAACTTATCACCTACCCTATCGTATTATCCTCCGCATACATAACCCGGAATACGCTTACCTGCCCCTCCGCATTATCACAATCCATCTTCTGTTCCACAACATATCCCCCCCCCCGCGATCGCACATCCGAACTTCCCAAGCGCCCAAATCATGATGGAAGAGACACCCAGCACTGCATGGTCGCCCAAGATTGCGTCGCAGCGCACAACCAGCGTGCCGGTGCCGCCGGGCGCTATGCCGCCACAGTACAGCCAGCAGCCGCTGGCCAACGCTGGGCAGCAGACGTCGCCGGTGTACAACGAGCAGCAGCTGGTGCAGCAGCCGGGCCAGCAGGCGCCGCAGACCGCAGCAGCCGGCTTCGATGCATTCCAAAACTACGCGCTGCATGTGCCGTTCATGAGGTTAGTATTGTGTGGGCATCTCTCCCTCCACCCCCAAACCCAGATTGCGGACATTACAGCGAATCCCTTCGCCGTTGACTTTTTCCTTTTTGCCAGCCGGGCTGTCCACTGAATAATTTCGTTTCATGCAATGTAGCTCCACCACCAGCAATCAGCTGTACATGGATGTGGCCGCTCGGCGCGAGCCCTCACTCCCACGCCCCACCATGACCAAGTAAGTAGAAAAACAAACAGAAAATGCAAAACGGGACGGGACAGCGAAAATCGAATTCCCGTGCCTACCGGCGATTTTTTTCCTTCGCGGGTCACTGGTTTATTAGACGGCATATTGGCCGCAATATCACGCTTGACCACAACCGGGGTTCCATGGGCCGGGTGTGACCGTAGAAAATCCAAAATATCCAGCTAAACACCGTTATCTACACAAGTAGCAGCGACATGGGAGCTAATGCAAGCGGGATCAACCTTGTCGAGTGGTACAAGGGACCGGATTCGTCATCGACATTGCCAAGCGTTGGTGCAGCGGCCAGCGTTGCCGGCACCATGGGCGCCGCCAGCAACAAGATCAGCTCGCTGCCGTTGATCCAGCGGCGGCGCACGGTGACGCACGGCAGCCGTCTGGACTCGGACCCGTTCTTTGTCGAGGCAGTGCAGTACAAGGACCTGTACAGCATGGACCAGAGCAACAAGTACAAGGTGCGGATCTTCCCGCAGATTGACCGCGGGTTCTTTTTGTCAGACAACGACTGGACGTGCTACCGCCGCAACTACTTCCAGGTGAGCAGCACGTTCTCGCTCATTGGCATGTCCGCGCCGGTGACCGACCCCGAGTGCCCGTGCCTGGTAGTCGACGGTGACCAGTCTGTGCGCACAGTTGTGCGGTTCCTGGTTGGCATCTCAGCACAGATTTCTGGCAGCGACAAGAAGATCGAGCTGGTGCAGCACACGCCCAAGCGCGACAAGGGCCCGCAGACAACGCCGCACGCGCAGCCGGTGCGGGCCTCGGGCAGCATGCACGCGACAGCCATCGGCATCAACTCCAACACGGCGTGCTTCGAGCGCCTGCAGTTCAAGACGGCCACAGCCAACAATGGCAAGCGCCGGGCCGCCCAGCAGTACTACGTGCTGGTGGTCGAGCTGTTTGGCGAGTGCGAGGATGGCTCGCGGGTGCTGATTGCTGCATCCGCATCCTCACCCATTGTTGTTCGCGGGCGGTCGCCCGGCCATTACGCCGACGGCAGCAACCGGCGCAACACATCGGGACACAGCACAAAGATCACCCCGTCGTATTCGGCCACCACCTTTGACCGCTACGCGCTGTCGTCCCACGCAGCGCTCAGATCCGCAAGCAACATGCTGCCATCGGTCACTAGCAGCTTCTCAAGCTCGGCTGACTATGCGTTCCAGTCCGACCCATCGTCACTGGCTGGCCACCCGTCGTACCAGCACCAATTGGCCCAGCAGCACCAGCACCAGCACCAGCACCAGCAGCACCAGCCGCCGCCGCAGAATGCGTTTGGAATCACACCCTTCGGCCTGCAGAACATGGTGCCCCAGCAGCGGCCCTACCAGACCGTCAGCCCGACCCAGATCGACTCCAACATGATGGCGGCCTCTTCTGATGCCATCGCTGCTGCTGCCCAAGCTGCTGCCGCTGCTGCCGCCGGCGTCTCGAATCCGTCGCCGACGCTGGCGCAGATGGCTGCTACCACAAGCCTGCAGACGCAGATGACGGCCCGCTCGGATGCCAGCACCTTGGCTGAGAGCGGCGGCCAGTTCGCATACCAGCTGCACAGCGAGCCAATCCCCATGTATCAGACCGAGAAGCCCCACGACACAAAGTACGTGGGCAGCACTCCCAGCCTGCCGCACATGTCGACCCAGTCGACGATATCCTCGGTGCCGTCGAACGTGCCGTCGGTCTCTGGATACACGCAGCAGCCGCAGTCTGGCGCCTTCTACGGGTCGTCAACGCCCGGGTTTGTGAGCCAGCAGCAGGGTGTCGCTGGCGGTGCTGCTAAGCAGCCGTGGGAGACGTCGCTGCCGCCGCTCGACTCGTTCATCCCATCAGCAAGCACTACTCCGGTGGTCGCCAGCATGGCCATGGGCGGCGGTGCCCCTGCTGCAGTGTCGCCGCTCGACGCTCAGCAATAACTGATGACCCCTCCCAGCCCTTCAGTGTGTATAAAATTTCCCTTAGTTTATTATCTTTGTCCTACTACAATAACCCAAATACCCAACCAAACCTGCGTCACGAGATGCTCAATAGGTCGCTCAACCTTTCAGCTAGCCCGGTGGCCGGGGAATCATCCGGCACCGGATTGCCTGCCAGCTGGCTTTGGAGCTCGTCGAACTCCACGCCGCACTCGGCTGTGAACGAGCGGGCCACGCTTGAGATGTACTCGACGTCGGCCTCAATCTGTCGGCGGCCATCGCTTGTGATCGGTGGCCGGATCTCACCCACCCGCTGCACAGTGTTCCTGAGCACAAGCTGCAGCACAAACGCCAGCATTGCGTGGATTGCCAGCCCGCCTGCCGACGCATCGCACGGGGTGTCGAGCGACACTAGCACAAACGTGTACAACTCCACAGGCGGCTGCTCCGGCTGCTGCATGTCCATGACCTCCAGCTGCTCCAGCTCCGGCAGCAAAATGTGCATTTTCTCGCCCAGCTCCACGGCCTCCTCGGTCGGCGACACGCTGAATGTCGGTACCTCGATGTTCATGTTGGACCGGCTCTGCTTCACTGCGTGCCAGACCGGAAGACCCGGCAGCCGCTGCAGCGCGGGCCTGAACCCGCTCGTGAGAAGAAACACTACTGCCGCCGAAAGTTTGCATGACAGATCGCCCGGCGCCTCCCTCAATTGGCTGAGGCCCTCAGTGAGCCCCAAAGCACGCACGGGTTCTAGAACCGCAGAAAGCTCCATGGTCGTTTGACAGGATTCGCGGAGGCATTCAACCACTGGGATTGCTGTCTCCCCCGCACATCCAAGGTGCTCTGACCAGCGCCGGGCAATCGCGCTCCCCAGGGCCCCCGTGGATTCGCTAATGTGCCGGCCAAGAACCGACAGCCCAACCACCGCTGACGCTGCATTCAACTTGTCCTCGCTTGTCAACGACCCGTAAATCGCCGTCCCGAACTCGTCGGGGTTGCCCGCACTGAGATCATCGTAGAAATCCAGTGCGAGCCGCGGGATCGAGAACCGCTGGGCTGTTTCCGCGAGCCGGTCTGACACAACGTTCGAAGCGTCAGCCACCAGTTGCGCAATGCTGGCAACGCCTGCATCAAGCCGGGTGGTTGGCACCAGGATAAACGCCCGCTCTACTATGCTGTTGAGGTGGGCAAACAGCGCCTTGATGGTCTCAGCTGCCTGCTTGGTGTATGGCTCGATCCGCCCAAACTCGATCTGCTGCAGCGGCTCCAGATACTGTGTCCGCGCGCCATCGAGCTCCTTGTCGACAAACGAGGTCAAATAGGGAATGAATGGCTCCAGCAGCAGCCGCAGCGACTCTGGCACCTGCTCCCCGTCCCCGCTGGCCTCCTCTGATGACCCGCCCACACACAGCGTCTTGTCGCTCATCGCCCGATCCAGCTGCGCCCAGAGTCCCACCATGCTTTCGTACATGTCAAACACAAACATCGCGTCGCTAGCCTTCAAAATCGCCTGGATGCTCGGATGTAGCAGCTCGCACATGCTGACCAGGAGCCCCTCCAGCACCTGGTCCACGCCGTCAATACCAGCCAGCTCCATAAATCCACGCTCACGTACGACTGCCTCAGAGACATAGTCCAGCGCACCGTCGATGCTGCTGCTGTCAGCAGCATCTGCCAGTAGCACTGCCAGACGCTCCGTCAGCAGATCGGTTGTCACCCGCACATACGCTGGGCGAACAATATCCCCGCTCTCATGCTTGTCCAGCAGCACGCGCAGCCCTGCCAATTTGTCGGCGTCCTGCTCCTTGATCGCTGCCTCAACCATCGTGACTGCCATGTCTCTGACCTTTTGCTCGCTGGCACCAATATCCACCGCATTCTCTCCCGGCTGTTCGCCAAACGACTTGCTCATAGCCCTTGCTCGATCCACAAGCTCCCATGCCTTCTCAACGTCTCCTTCGTCAACAAGCCTCTGGATCTTCCTTGGGAAGTCGGCATAGTCCCTGAAATACTCCATTGCCGACACCGACTTCTCCAACTGCCCTCGCACAGTCTCGATATTGACCACTCGTTCAAGAGCATTCGCCGATAGCGACTGTGCGTCTATAGTTTTCGAGAACGCCGATATGGCTACCTGCGTCTCTTGCACCAGCTTGCTGAGGGACGCAATGTCGCGAGCGATCTGTGGCGCCTGGTGCCGGAACCGCGCCTTGATACGGTCGTTGCTTTGCTGCGAATTCGTGGCCAGGAAATGCAGCTGTGTTGTCAGTTTCTGTGACAGCGTGTCGGTGCGGTTCTCTGCAGATATCGGGTCCGAGCTGGCCGACGAGAACTGCGCATTGAGCCATTGCTTCACATCAAAGGTCGAGCTCGAAAAGTCATCCAGCCGAATCTCCATTATTGAAAAAGGGTATGAAGTACTAGGTGTGCGGCGAAATGAGCGTGAAGCAAAGAGTGGCAAAAAACGGCCATGCGGCGTCACTCTTTTCCTCGCATTCTCTTTTACTATTTCCCTCGCTAATTTTATTTCTTGTAGCTCGAAGCTTGCAGATTCCCCTCATTGAAAATGTCGATGGTGCCAAAGAGAATTATGAAGGAGGTCGAGCGCCTGACCAAGGACCCTGTCCCCGGAATCAGCGCCGAGCCTCAGGAGGGCAACATTCGGTACTTCAGCGTGCTCATGGATGGCCCCGATTCGTCACCCTATGAAGGTAAGCATTGCGTCTCTTCCCGTAGGTGTCTCGAACCAGCAGCACAGCTGTCGCTAACTCGGAATCTCTGGTAGGCGGTCATTTCAGGCTGGAGCTGTTCTTGCCTGAGGAGTACCCCATGTCGCCGCCCAAGGTGCGCTTTCTGACGAAAATGTACCACCCAAACATTGACAAGCTGGGCAGAATCTGCCTCGACATTCTCAAAGGTAAGCAAGGCACGCTCACGCCCTGGCCAGCAATGCAGAGGCGACTACCAGGCTAAACATTTATCAGCTCCCATGCGTTCTGTAGACAAGTGGTCGCCCGCTCTGCAAATCCGCACCGTCCTGCTGTCTATTCAGGCTCTGCTGTCAGCCCCGAACCCCGACGATCCCCTGGCCAACGATGTTGCCGAGCACTGGAAGTCGGACGAGAAGGCTGCCATCCAAACGGGTAAGGATAACTCTTTTGCAATGCGTGGCCACATGGACGGCACAAGCACCAGCAAGCTGGCCACTAACCTGTTATTTCCTCAACCATGTAGCACGCGAGTGGACGCAAAAGCATGCCAAGTAGAAGGTTTCCATTTTTTTCTTGTTGCTTCCAAATATTGAACCTGTTAACCGCTGGCTGCATGTGGTGCTCCTCTCCCGCCAGCCTGCCACATGTGTACGAAAAATGTCTCAGCACAATATGCTTCATATATCCTTGGCATATTCTGAATTTCCCAGACTGCCGGAGAAGCTGTTTACTGCATTCACTCAGGGTGCTGATTCATGCATTTTGCTGGCTGTGGTGCACGCTATATTGCTTTGTCCGACGGTCTGGTGAATGCCGGGGGAGGGACATTTAATATGCTGCATCGTCGATGCAATTAGTCGATATTTCGTTGTATGTATTAGACGTGTTCGAGACCATCTGACAAAATGCTAGAGCGGCTGTGCTGGCTGCGGCCAAGAATTGCAGTGCACATCGTAAAAGAGAGACGTAGCCTATCTAGACCACACCTAGACTGCACCAAATATACTCCGTCAAGCCGCCATCAATTTGGACGTCCATCGACCGGACGCTCGACCACTGGTGCAAGCTGCTCATATTCACACTATATGTCCATGCGTATATATCAAGCCGGTCTCGAGGAATTCTCGCCAGGAATTATCATAATTTCCTTTTTTTTTTCTCGGTACCCTTGCGGAATTGCCTTTCTCTTCCTCTTTCCCCGCTCAACCTCTTGCTGCATCTCTCATCTTCTCACCACACCCTGGTTGTGCCTTTGCCCAGAAATCTGGTTGAAATTCTAGCTTCAGTCGATCCTTGCTGTCACGAACCTTCCCATCTCACCTGCACTCTCTTCTCTCGCAATCGTTTCTGTCGTCAAAGATCCATACAGCATATTCATACTACACCTGTTTCATGATGCAGGCAGTCTACACTGCACACCCAGGCAGCAGCCTGGCCGCCACAATTCACGGCATGTTAATTCATCCAGGCGACGTTGAGTACTCGCCATTCAGCTCGGTCTCCGACAAGAGTGAATTCATTGAGGACGCCAGCGAAGGACCAGGAGGGCTTTACAATTTGTACCAGCGGGCAGAGGAAAGGAAACTGCGGCGACACGCAAACCACCGCTATACGACATCTACACATCACACAGAATTCTCGCAGGACACGATGGAGAATCCAGGCCACAGCCGGTCCAGAACGCTGACGAGTCTGAGTGTTGACGGCCTTGGAGTCAGTTTAAACACACAGGACTCGCATAGCTGTGGCAACTGCGGAAGCACACTGGTAGATGAGCCAATGCGGTGCGACGTGAGAGATACAAGCAGCACACGACCAGCATTCCTGTCACAGCCACCTACGTCGTTCGATTTCTACATAAACGATCAAGATGACGCTGCCAGCAGCACGAGCCGGTCGACAGCGCGTCAGCTAACGCACGCTCTATACACACACCTGGCGCGCCCTGTTTCCAGCCGCTCTCATAAAAACTACGCAGACGTTTCCGGGGGACAGCATTTCATAGTGCGCCGGCACACACATTTTCCCGAGGTTACCGAGGTGTTTGATTGCGATGATCTGAGCGTTGCGTACCGCAAGATATCTCACACCAACAAGCAGTGGCTGGAGACATTCCACAATGTGGCGGAGGACAATAAAGGCAATTCATGGCCTGCATCGTCGCAGAGCTCTGCGGTTACCGCCACGCACCTGTTCCCGAGCCGCACAGTGTCATATGGGGGCTCGATTGTCTCGCAGGACAGCTTGGGTGGATCGCCGGCGCCATCCATATCTGGATGCTACAGCGGCGTGCCTTCAGTTGCTGACACCAACGTCGCGTCGACCATGCGGCCCTTCTCACCTTCATATTCTCTCAGTCCCTCTACGAGCTCCTCCATGCATTGCCCACGACGGCGTCGCCGCCGTCCGCCGTCCTATGACAAGAACCCGTTGTGGGAGATCTCAACACCATATCCGAACCAGTTCCCCATGCACTGCCGTGACGCTCGAGGCGTAATTGACCCCGTGCCATTGACCTCAATGGTCCTGGACCGCCACAAGTTTTGCTACCGGTTTCAGCTGGCAGGAAAGAAGATGAGGTGGGTGGCGAAGCGGTTCGGTGGGCAGCGGACAGAGTTACAGTGCTATGTGCGCAACGCGATTGTGGCGGTCATGTTGTTTGACTATGAGCCGGTCACAGGCTTGCCACAATCGAGGCGTCCTATGCCAGGCGCATTGCCACTGCTCAAATGTCAAGACACTGCTCCCTGTGGCGACTGCTCACCCAGGATTGTAGTCTTACCGGCGGCCTTTCGGAAGCTGGCGAATGTGGATCCGGCTGTTGTCGAGTCGTTTGTTCTGTTTACCGGCATTGAGGTTTTTGAATGCCTGTTCATTCTCTAGTACAAGAATTCATGAACAACCTACGACAGTGGATAGCCGGCCGGAGCGCTTCGGCGGGCATGTCCGTTAAACCGGCCTTGTCAAAACGGCTGGCAAAGACATGTTTTGTTTGGCCATACAAGTAGAGGTGATTGTTGCAAATTTCTTCTTGGTGTTTGGCCGTGCCTTCTTTGAAGCAGCTTATGTGCGCTCGGATGCTGTGGGAGAGGGAACCCAGCGTGGATTAAAATAGCTTGGCGCTAGAAACAGAGTACAATGGCATAGCGGTTTCCAAATTGGCGTGTGCAGATTGGAAAGACCTACGACCCACGACCCAACGACTGCTTGTTATTCTTTTTGTTCCATAGCAGCTGCAAACCAGAAGCTGCAGTGGCTCGCCCAGGTATAAAAGCCCTGTGTCTTGGCCTCAAGGCTAGCCGGCTACCCCATACAGCAACAATCCATCAAGACCTATATCAGCCATTATTTTTCACACTTCAAACGATGACTGCCAGCACTGCTACTTCGTCGCTCTGCATCAAGCACACCCTCGCCAACTTTGTTGTCCGCGCCTTCATGGGCGGCCGCCCTGCTTCCACACTACATACTGTGCATTCTACCCCATGCAGCTCGTCTGCACGCTCGGCCTGCACATCACCCCAGCCCTCCGCCCTGCAAGTGTGCACCGGTGCCCTTTATGATGTGGCAGCAATTGCAGCTCGCTCAGTGACAGTGCTCGCCCTGCTTGCATCTGCTGTGCTTTCCAAGCCTCCACCACGTGCCAATCCCGGCACCCGGCAGGTCATGCCGATAAGCAGCACGCGTGGTAGCCGCAGGCTGCCGACTGTCGCCGACCTGGATCAGCGGCTGCCAGTGCTCTCACTAGCCAAATCAAGCAACCCCAAACACCGGGAAATGTGTTTGGAGAAGTGCCCGATTTGCCTCGACTGCGTTGGAGAATGCACAAAGGTGCGCGTTCTTCCCTGCAAGCACTATTATCATGCGGAATGCATTGACAGCTGGGCCACAACGCAGTCGACCCGTTGTCCTATGTGCAAAGCTGACTGCATGGAATTTTGAGCACCGCTGATGCCACACCCTCTTCCCTCCTTCCCTCCTTCCTTTCTATTCAAGCCATGTATATGATTAATTGTTCAAACTCGTCTCACTCCTCTTCGCCCTGTTCAGTCTATTGCTGTTGGAACATCTAATACAATGTATCCCCCCCCCATTTGGAGATCGCAGGACAGTGACTAGTGTAGTGGGGGTGAATGCTCTATGCATTGCACATGCACGTCCCTCAGCAGATGTGCTGGAATAATGGCAGCATGGCTTGGTCCTGCAACAGAAAAGTATTGGCGCCGCTGTCTGGTTGGCTCGTTCCGAGATGACTTGGGAAAGCCAATGCAGATATATGAGCCTTGCACATCCGCCTTGTGGAAATCCCTACCAATGCGTTTTTTGCTTTATAAGGAATGCACGAACGACCAGTATCCCCCAGGCCATTCTCGCTTTCTTTCTGTCAGAATCTGACCACTCATCCTGCTTTTTGGCACATCCCTTTTTAATTCCTGCTCTTGCGGATCTTGCGCAATCCACGCTCCTTTCATTTCCCCTTCTACTAACAGCCAAGTCATATATTACAACACGTCAGCACTTTTTGTGTGCACCATGCCTGATAGTATCATAGCGAAGCACGCCATTGAGCTTGCTAAAGAGCTCGGTATCAGCTCGACAGCTGACGCCATCATAGCAGCTGCGACGTGCATATTGCTGTACTTCATTAGCACCCCTATCTACCACCTGTTCCTGTCACCTTTGGCCAGGGTGCCCGGGCCGCGCCTCAATGCCATTTCCAACATCCCGCTCAACCGTGCAGTCCTCGCAGGCAACTACCACCTGTACTCACGCCAGATGCACGAAAAGTACGGACCGGTGGTACGCCTAGCTCCAAACAAGGTCTCGACATCCAACACATCCGACACACGCACCATCCTTGCTACCCACGCATTCCGCAAATCACAGTTCTACGACCAAGGCAAGCTGATATTGCCGAGCTTGTTCTCAACCACCGACCCAGAGACGAACAAGGTCCGGCGTCGGCAGTTGGGCAACGCGTTTGCGATGCACACTATCCGGTCAATGGAGGATTTAGTTATTCAGGATGGCGCGTGGTCACTTGTCAAGCACTGGCGGGCGCTGGCGGAAAGCGGCGGTGCAAACAATGGTTGGGCACGTGCAAACTACTATCAGGGATTCCATTCCATTGCCATTGACGTGATCGGGGCACTCGGGTTTGGCCATAGCTTTGGCATCCTGCAGAGCGGCAATGCCGAGATTATTAGCTGGATCAATGACGCGCTGAAAATGTCAAGCATCCGCAGCTCATACCCGATCACCAAGCACATCCCGTGGATGTTCAAGAAGTACAAGCGTGGTGAGCAGCAGCTGATTTCGTTCGTCAAGAGCACGGTCGCCGAGCGTAGAAAGCTGATACAGGAGACTGGAAAGCCACCGCGCGAAGATATTTTGCAGAGATTTATTGAGGCCGTTGATCCAGCCACTGGCCAGAAGATCACCGAGGACGAACTGCACACCGAAATCATTTTGCTCAACAATGCAGGTACTGATACCACCAGCCATACGCTATCGTGGACCCTGATGTACCTTCTACACTACCCAGATATCCACCGGCGCGTGTGCAAGGATATCCGCTCTGCCTTCCCCGATCACTCTGCCCCTATTCGCTATGATGAGGCCAAGTCTTTGCCGTATCTGACTGCAGTCATCTACGAATCTCTGCGCATGATGCCCTCAGTCTCTGGCCTATTGCCCCGCGTAGTGCCATCGGGCGGGTTTGAGCTAGGCGGCTACCACATCCCTGGCAAGAGCGAGATTTGTCTGGCGTTTGCCGCCTGTCAACGTAACAGCGAGATGTGGGACGAGCCCAATCGGTTCAAGCCAGAGCGTTTCCTGGGCCCACATGCCGACCAGCGCATGAGGGAGGTGATGGCTTTCAGCTCTGGGGTGCGCGTCTGCATCGGCAGGAACCTGGCATGGGTGGAGCTGTACACGGTCCTGGCCAACATTCTGCGTGAGTTCGACATGCGGGTGCCCGAGGACTCTGAGTACGGCCCGCAAAGGAAGAACGAGATTGGCGAGCCGGCAGAAATACCTGGTGCTGCGTTCATCACTTGTGGCCCTCGCAACCCAAAGGTCGACTGCTGGATCGATATTCGGCGCCACTCATCCGCAGTTTGAACTCTCCTCCTTCTCTTGACTTCTTTACTTCATTTTCCTGTTTGCTGTTTATTTCGCCCTTACGGAATGCTAGCAAAATGCAGTCTGCTAGAGCAACTAAATTGGACCGCCCGGAGCGGCGATATGCAAGCAGGTCAGCATTGCAGCATGCAGTACAGTCTATGAGCGTTGACGGCAAGCCAGCCCTGATGCAGCTTGAGGGCATGGGCACGCTGTGGAAGCAGCAACAGCAGCAGCAGCATCAGCATAATGACAGCAAGAAAAAAGCGTGTGTGGAGCCCTTCGCGTACCCGGCATTGCAGCAAATTTCGTTCCAGAATGCACTTGTGGTTGTAAATGAGGCAATAGCCAGCTCTGCGTCTCATGCCAGGAGGCTAGAGCCACAGGATCATAATGCTCAAGCCCAAGGTCAGCATGGAGCAGCTCAAGCACAGCGCAAACCGGTAGATCCAGCACCAGCACCAGCACCAGCACCAGCACCAGCACCAGCACTAGCACCAGCACTAGCACCAGCGGCGCCAAAGCCGACTCAACCAAACGGTAGACCAGCTAATGCACATACTCCATCACTGCAATCAAATATCCCTGGCAGAGACTCTGGGCCGCGTAAGGATTTTGCTAAATCCGACAAGGCACGAACAGCGATGGATCTGGATAGCAATTCTCAGAGACTGCAACGACAGCAGCCAGCTGCTCAACAGCCACAGCCGCAGGTTTCAAAAGCGACCAGTCTAATGAAACCCCTGAACATGAGATCCAGTGAGAGCCGCGGAGGAAGCTCTGACCTCGGCTGGGAGTCCGAAAACGATGCCTTGGAACATGCAGATACACGATCAATGCAGCCTGCGGTCCAGCCCGCTCGCCAGCAGACATATGCGGATACTCCACTGCGCGCTGACAGCAGCTTGCAGGAAGCTCGGTCGGATCATGCGGTGGCCAGTAAGTCCAGAGAGGTACTTCGGCCGCCACTGCCTCCTGCAGCGCCCGTTGCTAGCACCAGCAGGGTGCAGACGCAGGATGATCTAACTGTGGACAGCATCAGCCCTATGGATGCTGATCTAGCCCCACATCCCGCTCCTGCTAGCTCCAGCAAAGGCAAAAAAGTGGATAGTGGCACCACTACTGTACCAAGTACCAAGCGCCAGGCGATGCAGCAAGGCCCGTCGGTAGCAGATGTAGTTTCTCCACCTGCCAAGCGTCCAAGGGCAGAGAGTGCAGAAGCGGTAGGCGCTAAGCAGCTGGTACTGCCATGGCCCGGTGGCGCAGCTCCGAGCACGAGCCAGCTTGGACAGTCTGGTCAGCAAACAGCCCTAGACGAGATGGATAAGGCCACAAACGAGCTTAGTTTCTATCTCCTTTCCTCATACGTCCTGTCGAGCCAGGGCTTCGAGATCCCTGGAGCTGTCGGCGAAGATGTGGACAGGCTGCTCGATAGCGCGCTTGAGGCAGCAGCCAGAATTGAGCGTGGAGTAGACTAGTGGCGAAACCTAGCCCGAAAATAAAATTTGCTACAGGCTTTTGCTGTTCTTCTTTCCAAACCCCACATCAATTGTATTTTCTATCATGACCTCGTTTTTTGCTTGGCTCGCGAATGCGCGGCTGCCGGCCTCAATGGTCGTCTCGTATATCCCCGACTGGATAGTGACGTGCTCGTGCACGCTCATTTGGCTATACCTTGGAATTGCAACGCCGCATTACCAGTACTTTTCAGTCACCGACAAGGAAATATCGTACCCGTACGTAAAGCCCGAGGACCAGACAGTGACTGTGCCTATGCTGTTCTTTATTGCGACGGTGGTGCCGGCGGTGATAGTGGTGCTGTATTCGCTCTGCCTCCGCCGCAACCTACACGACCTGCATGTTGGCTTGCTGGGCTTGCTTCTGACTATCTCGCTGACGCTGATGTTCACAAACGGCCTGAAGAATGTGCTTGGCCGGCCACGGCCCAACCTGCTCGCGCGCTGCCAGCCCCGGCACCCCAAGGACGGCGGCCCGCTGGCCGATCCACCGCAGGGTCTGTCCAGCATCGACATTTGCGAGCAGCCCTCTATCGGTGTACTGAATGAGGGATTCCGGAGCTTCCCGTCGGGGCACACCTCGCTGTCGTTCGCCGGCATGACATACTTGTCGCTGTATCTGGCTGGCAAGCTGCATGTATTTGACAACCAAGGCCATTCATTCAAGTCGTTTATTGTGATGTTCCCAATCTTGGTTGCTGGCATGGTTGGCGCGTCGCGTGTCGCCGACTATTGGCATCATCCGACGGATGTGTTTGCCGGCGCCTTTGTTGGCCTGGCTACTGCCCTTTTCAGCTACCACCAGTATTATCCCGTATTGTATTTTGTGCATTGTGACAGGCCGTTTGACCCGCGCAAGGCGCCATCGCCGATATTGCCTGTTGTCGATGAGGAATTCCATCGGCGCCGTATGAATGCTGGCGAGGGGCACGGTTACGCTATGTCACCCACGACAAGCAGCAACAATTTTGCTGAGGATAGTCAAGAGGCACTGGTCAGACTAGAGAGTGGCCGCAACTAGGATTCTTCTATATTTGATAGCGCGTTTTGTTGGTCCATTATATTCGAGCTGATGATATTCGTTGCACATGGCACATGTCCTAGGCGCAATACAGGGTGGCATTAGAAGTTGTTTGAGGCTACCATATCAGCAAAGTGGCCGCCCTTGGCAAGCAGGATGGCCGGTGTGTCGAACTCGGCAATGCAGCCGTTATCCATGACGATGATCCGGTCGCTTCTCATGACGGTTTCAAGACGGTGCGCGATAGTCAAAATAGTACTGCCCGCAAACTCCTGGTGAATTACATCGTGGATGAGTTTATCTGTTTCCCGGTCAACGTCGGCTGTAGCCTCATCGAGCACCAGAATCTTGCTCTTGCGAATCAGCGTGCGGGATAGACTGAACTGCTGTCGCTGTCCAGCACTGAGGCTTCTGGATTGAGGGAAAATGAACATGTTCAGTCCCCAGTCCTTTCGGGCAAAATGATGGAAACGGCGGGTGGGAGGAACACCAACAAAGTCGAGCAGTCGTCGAACAATCGATCCCTGCAGCTCTTCGTCAGCTGCATTCGCTGTCTTCTCAGGTGAGTGCCCATGCTTTTGGTGCTTGGATGCTGGGTTCACAAACTCGACGGCCTGGGTGGTCTGCAATGCAGCCCACATATCCTCGATCGTAAACTGGTTGAGAGGATCAAGGTTAGCCCTTACAGTATCCGTAAACAGCGTCGAATCCTGAGGAATAATTGCCAGGTTTGGGCGTAGGCAGTCGGCCCGCAGTGTTGAGATATCTACGCCGTCTATGAATATCGATCCGCTCTCGCCTCAACCAGACGGAACAGAGCGCGTGTCAGCGAAGATTTGCCTGCACCGGTTCGGCCCACGATGCCAATATGCTCACCCCCTTGATGCTCAGAGTGACATCCCTCAGCACCAGGCCGTGTCCAGATTTGTACCGCATGCTGTAGCCACAGATCTCGATGTCGCCCTTGGATGGCCAGTCTGATGGCATCGATCTTTGGCCTTCAGCCCACGCCTTCTCACACGGACGGTCAGTGAATCTGCGGAACTCGCCCACAGTATCGCCCATTTTCGCCACCCGACCTTTAATTGCCACCAGACACTGTATGTCCGAGATTAAATTCCTGGCCAACCCCTCGAACACCTTGAGCTCGACAACAGTTATCGCACTACCAGTGAGCTGCGACTGCAATATGATAGCTGACTTTATCAATATGCTTAGGCACTCGCCGACAAGCATAGAGATGGTTCCTGCCAGGTTTTGCATAGACTGTATCTGAGAATTGATGCGAAGCCAATCGTCTGAAGCCTCAGAGAATCTGGTAGTGAAATGATCACCGACTTTATGGACACGGATGGTCGTCTGGCCACTGGAAAGAGGCCGCTTGGCGTCATGCATCCGTGACAGGTACTTTAATTCGATGGCCTGGGACTTTGCCATTACTGCGAATGATAGCGAGGATATACTGTCCGACAAGTATGCTAAAAGCGGTGCCAGCAAAAGAAGGAGGGGTGCCCTTGAACCTACGCGGTAGACACACAACACACCAACCACTGCTGAGGAAACACACGACTGAAGTATATTTGGCAGCTCGTTTGCAACCTCATGGCTGCAGTTGCGGAACAGCCGTTTTGTTTGGTAGTGGTCTGTGCTCTCAAACAGCGACATCGGAGCAAGCACAAGCCCAGACATCAGCATTCGGTGAACGCGGTCCTCTACATGCTTTCCAGTGACATTCTCCCGGATGAACTGTCTGGCCCGATGCATAGACCTGTGGACGATATTCGACAGCGCCCTTCCACCAGCGTATCTCAACAACGAACGCCCATCAATAGCACCACGGCTCCCGCTCAATGAATCGATTGCTAGGCTATCGAAGATATACCCGACAATAGGATCGAAGACCGCTGACACAATACTATAGGCTAGCACTGGGACTCCGAAGAGGTGGACAAGATAGGCGATGTTTGACCATTTGATACCTCCCAACCCATTCGATGTGTCCCTGTGCCGAGCTGAATCGACAGGCACAACCTTTGGTGGCGATGCTGAGACTCCTGTCACTGTATTAAGCGAAGTATCTGAACCAGTATCGCTGTGGTAACACCTCACAGCAACGGAATGCACTCGCGGCTGGGTCTGAATATCTACAACAGCTGTGCTGTTCTCGATACGAACATTCTGATTAGCAAATGGTTTCAGGTGGTCCGAGTTCATGGATACAACACGCAGCTTATCGCCAAGGATGCCCGTGTTCAGCAAGACATGGTCAAGCAAATGGCGCTTGATGTGCGGATCGACTGCGGATAGTGGATCGTCCAGGATATAGATATCCGCCTTCGTGTAGATAGCCCTTGCCAGTGCCACCCGTGCCTTTTGTCCACCAGAAATATTGCCGCCATCGTCGCTTATGATAGTCATATCACGATCAGGCCACCGACTGATGTCCTCAGCCAAGGCACACGCGTCAATAACACGCCGGTAGAGCTCCTCCTCATAGTTGTTTCCAAACAGAATATTTGCCCGCAGTGTATCGTCAAGGAAGTAAGGGTTTTGCTCCACGTAGGCAACTCGGCCAGCCACAAACCCTGTCCCGGCTGTCAGCCTCACTTCTCCGCACATTCCCAGTAACAGAGTCGTCTTTCCGGACCCAACGCTGCCCATTACCGACACCAGTTCACCGGCATTCACTTTGAGTGTCACATCCTTGAGAGTGTCCGCCTTATAGCCTTTACTTACTGAGAACGAGCAGCAGTCCAGCTCAATACAAGGGCCAGAGCAAGCGGCTGTATCGGTGACCTCAATGGTGGTCATAGGCGTTGGGAACAGGTACTTTTCGGCCTTGATGTTTATGCTGGCAATATTTGTGACTTTGCGGAATCCCGAAACTGTTCGGTGTAAACTCCTCTCCAGGTTCGAAAACTGGTCGATGAGCTGCAACATTTCGACCCCAGACATGTTTCGGCCATTCTTAAAATGCCACTGAACCGTGATAAGTGATGACAGTTGCGCTGAGAGCTCAGTGGCCAAGCTGTACAGGAACTGGACACCCGAGATAGCATGCGATAGACAATATGCCTTCCACCCAGGGGTGACTACTGAACGAGTGCGGCGACTGTTCTTTGGCTTGTTGAGGTACCTCTCCTCCCAGCCATTAAATTTTATAGTCTTGATGTTCGAGTAAATGTCGTCGATGGAATAATGCTCTGACATGCCCATACAAATATCCATGGCCTGGGAATGCCTGAATATGATGATGATTCGCTGTATCAGGGACATCACTAGCAGCATTATTGCTGGTGCTGCAGCAGCTCGACCAACCTGCAGATACGCCGTGTATAACGAAGCAGCTGCTGAAAACATCCAAGTTACGCTATCCCAGGCAGATAGCATGGAGTCCAAAAGCTCGTCGACAGACCCATGTCTTGTAAATGTGGCCCTGCCACTTCCTGGTTGCTTAGTCTGTCGCTGTGCACACCAGAACTCGGCTGCTCTGGTAATCCGCCTTTTCTCAGTTCTGACAAAGCCGTGGATGCGGGTTTCCATGCATGATGTCAGCAGCAAAAGCAGGTTGCCAGTCAGATACAGATACACTTCGTACCACATATGCTTGGCCGGGTCATCAACACAGTCCAAGATGTATCCGGCAACGATGGTGCGGTAAAGTGGAACAACCCTGAGTAACGACTCGATGGCCAGAAGCGGCAGCAGTGAGCTCCTTGCCATCCGAACGATGGCACGCATGGCAAAAAGGTGCTCTTTAGGATTAATTACAAACTCGCGGCAAATAGTGCTGGTTCGAAGGCGCTCTGGAAGCGGGCAAAAGTCATCAGTCGCCAATTCACGCATGCGCAAGACTTGAAGGAGCCCAAACTCTTTGAAGTACAGTAAGCTAGCCAGGAACGTACTCAGGTCGCTCCACTCGGAGGCAGCTAGGGACTCTGCCAATATGCAGGCGTGTAGGAATATGTCGATCACTTTGGCTGACATGGGGACATCATTGGCTACCTGTGCCAGAGTCAGAACCCAGACGAAATTGACTGCCTTGAAGCTGGACTGCCCACTACCAAACCGAGCTAACAGAGGGAGCATTGCTAAAGAGAGCTGATGCAGCCCACCCGGCCAGCCAGTGCCATGCCGCGCCGACGTAAATGCCAGAAGAGCACAGGCACAGCTGGCCAGTGGCGACGTGAAGTGATGCTTGCGGATTACAGTCCCCGAAAGCAAAAAGTAGGCGGTGGCCCCCACGGCATATGCGTCAGAGAGAATAGGTAAAATCGTCTGCAATGAATAGCCTCCCATGTTTACAATTGTTGAACAAGTTGCGAGGAAAGAAGGCGGAATGTGCGGCTTTCCTGCTAGTGCCAGCATATGTAAAGCACTAACCCTACTCCGCAGTTGTCAACCTGGAATTGCTTGAAAGAAATCCAACTGTGAATGTGGAGCACTTGTCAATGGGTGCTCCTTTAACCTTATTCATAATCTCCCTTGAAGTGAGTTCTGAAATCTTGACTAGTACTGAATGACGAGGGAACGGTTGTGGGTCTAGAGCACACAGTGTGTGGAGTAGGGCAAGAAAAAGGAAATAAGAAACAAGTAGCGAAGGATACCTTATATGTGAGTATGCGTGTAACTTTTGTGTAGTGTGGATTCTGAACAAGCTGTCAAGCGATGGTATCTTAATCCAGAAATGTGCGAGCGGTGTGAGCGTATCAGCAATAGAAAGTGACAGAGTCAAGGAATATATATTGATGAAGAAAGGTAAAGAGAAGTAGGAAGGGAGAGGCGAGCGCAAAGGTTTTATAGCATCGCTCAGGTGGCACAGCCAAAAAGGAAGAAGAAAAAAGGCAGCAGGGCGAAAAACTATGTAGTTCACAGTAATCGGATCTTGAGATTCTAACAGAAATGGACACAGCAGCGCCTTTTCTAGCAACGAATCGGCCACTTTGTGGTTTAAAATAGGGAGTATATACTGGAAAGCATATCAAAAAGTGGATGTGCTATTAAACACATGCCGTCAATGCCACTAGTATAAGTTCATTGTCAGATCCTTATATCCTAGAACAATGCAGCGGTCTCAGTTTTGTATATTGTTGCAGCCAGCAGAAGCTAGCTGAGGATGCCCGATGCTATTATCATTGACACAGTGAAGATTAAATCTGAAGTAAAAATCTGCAGGAACACAACATCCAGCGAGGTCTGGCCGATTGGCCACTAATTAGTTCATTCTTAAATGGTTTGTAGTACGTGAGATATGTAAACAGCTTGCCATTCAGCCAAATGATACCCATGTCTCCATTCATCTTCTGTGAGAACTGTTGTCCAGTGAGCCGACAGTACCATCAGCTATGCCTTTGTGAAGCTTAGCATTTCATACCGATTCACTTTTATTATTAAGAGAATGCAATCTGTAGTGCAAAATAGCTGAATGGCAGTATTACTCCCAGAAAAAGGATTTATTGTTACAACAAATGTGGAGAAAACGTGGCCACGACCTTTGGTAACAGAATAGAGCTAGCGGGTGCTCGCGGAAACAGAAATTCACTGCCCATGCCCAAGCAGCACGAGCAGCCCCCGCTGCTGGAGGAGCGCGAATGCTAAAGTGGGACTAGTCATTTAGAAGGAAAGCCAATGTAGTTCGAATGGCCGAAAAAATGAGAGAAAATTACACGGTGTTTCCTGTGCCAGGAGACCGCTGCCATCAACAAAATTCAGTCCCGAAGCTGTGGTGCTAGCGTCGCCAGAGCAACCAAACCCATCAAAAAAGCGACCAAGCTGACACTGTTGCTGAGATCAGTAGGCAGGCGACCTGAATCCAAAGATACTGCTTGGGTCCTCGCAAAAAAAGAGGCAAGCATTAAAACAGCGTTAGCCATTCTCCAGGGATTCATGTGCTAGCAGCACACTATTCCGGAGATGCCATGCATGACGTAGCAGGCCTACTCTGGGCAATCTCCAAACTAGAGCGGGATAATCAGGAACGAGTGGTATTATAAACGTAGGCAAAATCCTCTCCAGGACAGAGACCTGGACGACTGCTATTTCAAAAGTTGCTGTTTTGAACCATTCCACCCGGCCACGAAGATGGCCAGAGTGAAACCGGGCCTGCTCCGCCTTTGTTGTATTTTTACAAGCGCCGGCGGGCAGGCCCCCTACTGCCAGCCAGGAGGCCATTATTAGCCCCGAGGGTGTCACAAATACGAGCAGGATTTCAGCCGGCAAGCTTGTTTCGCTCAAAAAGCAAGAAAAAAAAAGGTTCCCATGGTCCCCGAGATTGCTACTGCCCACGTGTACCTTACAGGAATTGCGTGCAAAGCCTGTTTGGCAACGGTCCCTCAATTTCCTTTTCTAGGAGGCCGCTCGTCCTCCATCCCATTGCACTGAACCCCTCCCTCCTTCTCTCTGCCTAACAGAACGCCTGCTGTTTTCCTCTTCTTTTTATACGGTAATTAGCCACTCTCTTTTACTATACTTTAACAGAAATGCCTGCGGCCATGGCACCAAAGAGCAGGGCAAGACACGCGATTATCACCACAGTCGAGGAGTTTGACGCGCGGAAACGGACGACGGCGGCCACCAACGAGCACACGCACGACCATGACCATGACCACGGACATAGGCATGAGCACAAGCACAGCCACGGGCACTCGGTGCTGCCGACAACAGTTGTATCAGACGCCAAGAGCCAGACACGCCACGGGCCACTGCAGCTACTGTCGCGCAGCCGCGGAATGATCTCAAGCATAATGAGCGACAGCGAGTCGCGCAGCATCTTCATGTTCCTGCTGCTGAACCTGTCGTACATGTTTGTGCAGATAGTCTACGGATACATCACGAACAGCCTGGGGTTGATCTCGGACGCAATCCACATGCTGTTTGACTGCATGGCGCTGGCGATTGGGCTGGTGGCAGCGGTGATGAGCAAGTGGCCGGCGAGCGAGGGGTTTGCGTTTGGGTATGATCGGATCGAGGTTCTGTCGGGGTTCTCGAATGGAGTGTTTTTGATGCTTATCTCGGTGTCGATTTTCTTCGAGGCGATTGAGCGGCTGATGCATCCGCCAGAGATGAACACGCAGAGGCTGCTGCTGGTGTCGTTTGGAGGGCTGGTGGTGAATTTGTTTGGGATGTTTGCGTTTAATGGACATCATCATCACCATGGAGGTGGTGGATGCAGCCACAGCCATTCGCATGGACATGACCACCATTCGCATGGACATGACCACCATGACCACCATGACCACCATTCGCATGGCCATGGCCATGATCACCATGAGCATGACCACCACGAACACCACGAACACAGCCACCCACACCGCAGCCAAAACATGCAAGGGGTGTTCCTGCACGTTCTCGCCGACACGCTGGGCAGCGTTGGGGTGATAATCTCGACACTCCTAATCCAGACCTTCGGATGGACCGGGTTCGACCCATTGGCCTCGATCATGATCGCAGCGCTAATCTTCGCCAGCGTGATCCCGCTGGTGCGCGACTCAATGCACATGCTTCTGCTGCGGCTGCCGGACCACAGCCAGGACGAGGTGCGGGTAGCATTGAGTGAGATCGCGGACAACGTGGGCGGAGTGTCGCAGCTGACAAAGGCGCAGTTCTGGCCGATCACCGAGTCCCGGATCATGGGGGTGGTGCATGTGCAGGTGGAGCAGAAGCTGATGGGCGACAGGGACGAGATGCCGCTGTGCCCGTTGACGGTCAGGGATAATGTCAGCGAGGCGATCGGGAGGATTGTCAGGCGCAATGTGTCGGGATTGCGCGACGTGTTCATCCAGGTGGATGTGGTCGAGTGAATCATCGCCGATGTTGACGGATTAGTAGAGTAAAATTAGCTGGTTTTCTTTTGGCATTTTTTCCCTGCTTTCCGATTCAGTTTTGTTTTTTGTCTGCTACCTGCTTTTTTATTTGCTTCAATACACGTCGTATTTTGTCTTGTACGTAGCTACTTGGAGATGGGAAAGCCAGAAAAGCCGTCAAAGGAGAAGTCGTCGAAGCACGGATCGAAGAAGGCGGGGGAGGATGTGGTGAAGAAGGTGAAGAAGGAGCACAAGATGAAGGAAAAGAGGGAGAAGAAGGAGCGTAAGGACAAGAAGGAGAAGAAGGAGAAGAAGGAGAAGAAGGAGAAGAAGGAGAAGAAGGAGAAGAAGGAGAAGAAGGAGAAGAAGGAGAAGAAGGAAAAGAAGGAAAGTAAGGACAAGAAGGACAAGAAGGAAAAGAAGGAAAAGGAGAGCAAGGTCAAGAAAACTGGAAAGACCGAAAAGACTGGTGCAGAACCTTCAACATCAGCAGGCTGGAACAACTGGGCAGCAGCAGACTTTGGCGACGACGCGCGCAAGCAGAAGTTCTTGAAGTTCATGGGGATCAAAACGACAGCGGCAGCAGGCAGCGAGGGATCGGGCGGGCAGCCGTCGCCGTTCGAGTCGGCGCTGACCAAGAGCGGGGCAAGCAAGATCCAGGGGGAGCTGGAGAAGCAGTTCAATGCCGGACTGGCAATGCGGCAGCAGACACAGAAGGGATTCCGCGGTGGACTCGGGTTCTGAAGGCAATGGAATAGGATGTATGTAAAAAAAATGGAAGAGAAACTAGTTTGGTGTGGCATTGCGGCTGCCATTGCGGCTGCGGAGGGAGCCGAGCTCGCGCTCAAGGCGGTGCTTGGCGACAGTCAACTGCTGCTCGGTCTCCTCGAGCTCGTGGATCTGCTCCTCGAGGCGCTTGATGCGGTTGGTCATGCGCTGGAGGTCAATGTCGTTGCGCTGCTTGGCCATGTCTTTTTCGGCAATCTGGAACTGCAGCTCGCGGATCTGGCGCTCCATCTGCTTGAGCTTCTGCTGGTCCTCAAGCGACAGCTTCGCCTGGGCCTCGAGCTTAGAGGCCAGGTCGGCAGGCACGGGCTGGAAGCGCTTGTTGCCCTTGGCATGGAAAGCGACGGCCTCGGCCTCGAGCTCGACGATGCGCAGCTTGAGCCCCTTGATCTGCTTCTCCAGGGCGTTCTTCTCCTTGGTCAGCATGGTGTTGGCTTCGCGCTCCTTGTCCAGCGCCAGGTGGGCGTCGGCCACGACAGCATCGAGCCGGGTGACACGGTCCTCGGCCGACGTCTGGTCCTCGTTGATCTCGGAGAGCTTGGCGCGCGCCGACTTGACTTCGTCCTCGAGCTGCAGGGCAGCCTTCTCGGCGGTCTGGCGGCCGCGGCTGGCCTCAATGTACTTGTCCTGCAGCTCGTCCAGGCGCTGCTCGACCTTGTCCTTGACCAGACGCATTTCGTCGCGCAGGGCCTCGGCTTCGGCGGTGCGGATGGCGGCCGAGTCCAGGGAGCGCGTGGCAGTGGCCAGCTCGTCCTCGAGCCGCTTGGCGGTATCGCGGGCGTGCTCATAGGCAGGCACGATTTCCTCGAGCTTGGCCATGACGCGCATCAGCTCGCGCTTGGCCTCGACCGCCTCCTCGGATGCGCGGTCCAGCTCCTGGGCCTTGAGCGCCAGGTCGCTGTCCAGGGAAATGTAGGCTTCGCGCAGATCTACGTGGTCTTTCTTGATCGCCTCCAGCTCGCGCGTGGTGTCCTCCAGTTCGCCCTGGTACTTGGCGCGCAGCTCATCCATGACCCGGTCGTGGTCGTCGATGTCCCCGCGGTGCCGCTCCGACACGTTGTCCAGCTCGTGCTGCAGCCCGCGACGGATCTGCTCCAGCTCGGCTATGGTCAGGGCGCTTTCGTCAATGCGCGCCTGCAGAGCCAATGCGTCGGCTTCCATTTCCCGCACGCGGTCCTCGGCGGCATTGCGGGCACGCAGCGACTCTTCCAGCGACTCGCGCAGCTCGCGGGTCTCGGCGCGGGCTCCGCCAACGACCTTGTCGGCGTAGCGCTTGTGGTCCTGGGCCTCCTGCACAGTCGACTCGTAGCTGGCCAGGCGCTCGCGCATCTCCTCGAGCCGCTGGCTCAGCTCGTTGCTCAGCTCCTCGTTGTTGCCGCGCAGGGAGCGCTCGGACACAAGCTGCTCTTTCAGGCTGGCTAGCGATTCAACCGCCTCGTTGCGCTCGCGCTCGGCGGTCAGCAGCTGGGCGTGCTGGGCGGCCATTTCGTCCTGGATGGCGCCGAAGCTGCGGTCCAGGTCCACCAGCTCGCTCTGCTTGTCCTCAAAGTCCTGCTGCGCAGTGCGCAGGGCCGCCGAGAGCGCCAGCCGCGACTGCTCGAGCTCCTGGATCTGCTGGTGGGCAGCACGCATGGACTCGTCGGAGCCGGCGGGCTTGCCGGGGACGTTGCTGAGGTCGCGCGTAGTGGGCGAGCCGCGCAGAGCCAGCTCGAGCTTCTCGCGCAGCTCGACGTTCTCTGAGTCGAGGCGGTTGCGGGCGTCCAGGTGGTAGGCAGCCTGGGCCATGACTTCCTCGAGGCGGCGCTCGGTGCGCTGCAGCTTGCGGCCGAGCTGCGTCAGCTCGAGGTCGCGGGACCGTACGGTGTCCTGCAGCTGGGTGGCCTTTTGCTCATGGCGGGCGGCTGTGGCCTTGTAGTCGGCCACGGCGGTGCGCAGGGACTCGGCGTGGATTTCGGCCTCGCGCTTGGCCTGCTCGACGGCATCACGCGTCTTGGTCGACTGGTCGGCCGACTCGCGTGCGCGCTCCAGCTCGCTGGCGCGCTCATCGCTCTCACGCTGCAGCCGCTCGTGCAGAATCGCCTGCTCGTCGAGCTTGCTGCCCAGCTCGGCGATTTCGGCCAGCAGTTGCTGGCGCGCCTGCTCGCTCTCCTGGTCCTTCTGCGCCAGCTCCTTCTGGATCGACTCCTGGAACTCCTGGTGCTGCTGCTCCCAGCGCTGCTTGACCTCAATGGCCGACGCGCTGGCCACGGCCTCGGCCTGCAGCTTCTCGCGCAGCTCCTCGATGGTCTTCTCCAGACCCGACTTTTCATCGCTCAGCTCGGCAATGCGCTGGCTGCGCTCCTGCTGGTCCTTGTCGAGCTGGTCGAAGCGCTGCTTGAACTCGGCGTTGGCGTCCTCGAGCTCCAGCGCGTGGGAACGCTCGCGCTCGGCCTCGAGCCGGGAGTCCTCGAGCTCGTGGGTCAGGCGCGTGCGTGCGCGCTCCAGCTCATTGGCGCGCTCCTCGAGCTCAGCGTAGCCGCTACGCAGGTCGCCCAGTTCGGATTCGGCCTGCTGGCATTTCTCTGTGAGCTGGCGGTTCCGCACGTCGGCCTCCTGGTGGAACCGCTCCTTCAGCTCGGCGTACTCCTGCGACTGCGTGGTGATGCGCTGCTGGAAATCGTCCTGCACCAGAGCGGCCTCCTCCAGCCTTGCCTGCAGCTCCTTGATGGTCTGCTGGGCGCTGGCCAGCTCGCCTGCGGTTTGCTTGTGCTGCTGCTCACTGCTAGTCTGCAATTCGGCCATTTGCGTCTTCAGCAAAGCGCGCTCGTCATCGGCGGCCTTGAGCTGCGTGGTTAGGTCGGCGAGGCGGGATTCGGCGGCGTCCTTGGTCTGGCGGGTGCTGGCAAAGGCGGTCTCGGCCTCGTGGTGCTTGGCGGTGGCCACGGCTAGCTGCTCCTCGAGCGCCATGTTGGCGGACTCGAGCTCCTCGAGCTTGGCTGCGTGCTCGTGCAGCTGCTGCTCGGTCTCCTTGGCGTTGAACTCGAGCCCATTGCGCTCCTGCACGGCCTGGTCGCGCTCGCGCCTGGCCACTTCCAGCTCCCCCTGCATGGTCTCCTCGGCCTCAATGTGGGCCTTGCGGAAGTCATCCAGCTCGCCGGATACCTCGGCTAGCTCGCTGCGTAGCTGTGTGAGCTCGTCCTCGCGCAACCGCCTCAGCTCGCTCTCGCGCGTGCCCTGGTCAGCCTTCTCGTCAATCAGCTGCCGCAGCTCGGCAATCTCGGCCATCAAGCGCTTATTAGCCTCGGCCAGCTTCTGCTTATCGGCGGAGACATTGGCCAGCGACTGCTCCGACGCCTGCATTTTGATGGCCAGGCTGCTGCGCTCCTGGTCAATCTGCGCAATCTGCGCGCGCAGCTCGCTGACCTGCTGCTGGCTCTGCTCGAGATCGCGCTGGCACTGGTCGCGCTGCCTGTGGGCGTCGTCCAGAAGCGCCGTGGTCTTCTCCAGCAACTGCTGGGCTTGCATCGAGTCGTTGTTGAGCGCCAGCTCGCGCGTCGCCTGGGCGTCCAGGGCTGCATCGCGCTCGGCCAGCGCCTGCAGGGACTCGGCGAGCTCAGCAGCCTGGCCTTCCTGCTTGGCATTGGCTTCGGCCAGCGCATCTTCGAGCAGCTGGATGCGCTGCTGCGCCTGGCTGCTCTCCTGGTCAAGCAGCTGGGCGCGGGCGCTCAGATCGCGCACAGTGCCGACCTCCTCCTGCATCTTCAGCTCGGCAGTCCTGAGCCGGTCGTCGAGCTCCGACCTGGCCTGCTCCAGCTGCTGGCACTGGTGCTCTAACTCAAGCTTTTGGCGGGCCAGCTCCTCGGCCTGCTCCTCGAGCTCCTCGAGCCTGGCTGCGTGCTCCCTGAGGCTGTCCTCGAGCGCCACCTCGCGCTCCTGCGTGCGCTTCAGAATCTCCTCCTGGTCCAAGGCGGCGCTGCGCTCGGCCACCAGCAGCGACTCGATCTCGGCGTGGGTGCGCTCGAGCTCCGCGTGCTCCTGGACGAGCCGCGTCTGCTCTGACTGGGCCTCGGAGCAGGTGCGCTGCAGGTCGGCGATGCGGGCGTCCTTTTTGCGCAGCTCCTCGTCGATGCGCGTCACGTGCAGCAGCGGCTTGACCGTCCGGTAGAGCTTCCACCACGGCCACTCGCACAGCTGGTTGTAGACGCGCGCGTTGCGCTGGATCACGCGAATGGCCTTGGCCTGCTCGATGCGCCTGCGGAACCTCTGCCTGGCCAGGGCGCCGCGGGCGCAGGCCTGGAACTGCGCCAGAATGCTGGCCAGCTTCTGGTCCCTGACTTCCTCGAGCTCGGCAAGCACGCCGGCGCGGAAGAACACCTTGGTGTGGCCCAGGCGGTACTTGGCCGGGTCCATTTTCAGCGCGCCAAGCAGGAGCCCGGCGGCCTGCTTGCTGTCGACGAACACCTGGCGGGGGATGGTGTTGGGAGCCAGGATCTCGTAGCGCTGGCGGAACTCTGGGAAGGCGACGCGGTTCGGGAAGCCCTGGCGGGTAATCCGAATGCCCTCCAGGACGCCGTTGCAGCGCAGCTGGTCCAGAACCAAGGGCGTGTCCACCAGGCCGGCCTTCTTCTCGCTGTTGGGCAGAATGCAGCGCACAAAGTGCGGCTGCGTGGCCTGCAGCTGCGCCATCAGCAAGTTCAGCTGGTCCTTGTGCCGCTGGCCCACGGTCCGGAACGCCCCGCGCTTCAGACTGGTGGCCACGCGCGACCTGACTTCGTGCTGCATGTCGGCGCCGCCGTCTGCGTAGTCGGCGTACAGCTGCGCTATATATGGCTCCGACGAGTTGGCCAACAGCTTGGTCACGTTCTCGTTGAGCGGATCCTTGTTCTTCTCCAGCCAGCCCACGGTTGAGTACTCGACGGTCGACGCATAGTGCTTGATGCTGAAGCCCATGGCGAACCTAGGCACTTCGTACTTGTCCGACTTGCCGCTCCACAGGGCGTGCAGCTTCTCCGTGAATGTCTTGTCGGTGGCCTTGGGCATCACGCACTCCTCGTCCAGACATGACATGATGCCGATGGGCTTGGCGCGGTCAATCAGGTCGATGGTGGGCTGCAGGTCCATGCCAAAGTCGATGAAATTCCACTCGATGCCCTCGCGCCGGTACTCCTCCTGCTCCAGAACAAACATGGTGCGGTTGAAGAACTGCTGCAGACGCTCGTTCGTATAGTTGATGCACAGCTGCTCGTACGAGTTGGTCTCGAGGATCTCGAACCCAGCGATATCCAGCACTCCGATGTATGTGGTCTTGCCGTCGGGTCGGCACAGGGCAGCGTTGATCCGCGACACAATGCTGCCAAACAGCCGCTCGTACAAGGACCGTGCTAATGCCTCCACCGAGAACTCCACCTGCTCCTGGCTGCGCGACTGCGTGACCCAGTCGCGGCCCGCCTTGATGCTGGGCCGCAGCAGCGCGCGCGTCAGCTCGCCCAGCGGAATGCCCAAGACGTGGCATAGCTTCTCGGCTGCCACCTGCTCGCGCAGCACGGCCTCGCCGCTGCGCGTGGCCTGGAACTGCATATTGCCCAGATGCAGAATCGCCGCAATGACGCGGAACAGGTCGAGCTGGTTGTCTGGCGCAAACCCCGTGACCGCCAACGCCCTGGTGAGCTCGTCGAACTCGGCGCGATCGTCAACGCCCTGGATCGTGGCCTTGCAGTTGCGCGTGAACGCATAGCCGCCCGGCCCCTGGTCAATCAGCAGCCTGTCCTTGGTAGCCTGCGGGGCGCCCTTCATGAACTGGTAGAAGATGTGGTAGTTGCGCTCGAGCCTCGACTGGTGCGTGACGCGCGGCTTCTCCAGCAGATACCATTCGATGTTGGCGCCGGCGATCTGCCCGGCGGCATTGAACTCGATGCGGATGAACTTGCCGAACCGGGACGAGTTGTTATTGCGGATCGTCTGTGCATTGCCAAACGACTCCAGGATCGGGTTGGCACTGAGCACCTGCTGCTCCAGCCCACTGGACACATTCCCGGTGCTTTTGTCGCCGGCGATGGCCGTCAGATACTGGATCACCTTCTTGGTGTTTTCGGTCTTGCCCGCGCCCGACTCGCCGGTGATCAGAATCGACTGGTTCTCCTTGGTATGCAGCATGTCGTGGAAGGCTGCGTCGGCGATGGCGAAAATATGCGGCATCATCTCCGTGCGCTTCTTGTTGCGGTACGCCATGACGAACTCGTGCCCGTATATCTGCAGGTCGTAGTACGGGTTGACTGCGACCAGGAACAGCCCGCTGTACGTGTAGATTGCCTGCGCCGCGTACCGCTGCTTCAGATTATGCACCACGCTGGCCTCGTTCAGGTAGCCGAGGTCTGCCATGTCCTCGACCTTCTCGAACTTTGGCGGATTCACCTTCTCCGTCACGTTTATGCTGACGACCACGTCCTGGCCCGTCATCAAATGCACATGCACCTTGTCGCCCGCCATTTCCTCGGTTATGTACCCGGCTATGTAGCCTTCTTTGGCGTCCGGCACCCACACCCATTTCTTGTCGCTAAAGTTCACGTTGGCTTGCTGGAACAGGTCCGGCGCCGCTGTGGTCTTGCTGTTTACCGTGCCCACATGCGGGCTCTCGGGCCGGTCCAGCCCCTGCTGGATGGCGCGCCGGATACTGGCCACTGTCGGCCCTTGTCTGTTGCCGCGCAGCATGGATAGAAAAATGTGTAATATAAAATAACAAAAAAGGACTATGTAAAGGTTTGGACAAGCAAGGGCCGGGGGAGTGTTTGGAAAGGTGTGCTGTTGTTTTCTTTAAAACGTTGAACGGGAAGGGAAAAAAAAAAAGTAAGCTGCTCTTGAGAGGGGTAGAGTGCAATACAGGATGTGCACTATTGTCTTTACAGTTCCCGGTTCCTGGCGATTGGCCGTGGGATGCAGGCGCAGAAAAACAGAAAGTGCTACAGCTTGGTGTCAACGAGGCTGTCTGTGCAACACCCCAAAAACCCTCTTCCACCTGCTCCTGAACAGGACATGCTACCGATAGGAGGCCTCTAGCTTTCGTCATCCGACACATCCTCCACCACCGTCTTGTGCGCCTGTGCCTTTCCACTGCCCAGTGTCTTTTCGTTGTTCTGTGCCTGGCTGGCCTGTGTCGTGCTGCTGCGTGACAGCCACACCACCGGGTTGCGCTTAAAGTACGGCCACGGGAACAGCGCAACAAAGTACGTCACCAGCACGCCAAACGCATACGCAGCGAAGCTGTAGCTCAGCCGCTGCATCACAAACCCAATGATGAACGCCACCACCCCAGAGCTCACCAGCAGCGCATTCGACAGCTTGGTCGCCAGCTGCTGCCCGCTAAAGTCTATGCGTCCGCTCTCCAGAACCGGCTTCAGAAAGTCCATGCCGTACAAAGGTGTGAAAATGCGTGAATTGAGAAAAAAAGTGAGAAGAGCCAAAAACCTTACTCCTGTGGCTGGCCTGGATTTCAAACCACATCTCTGAGCCCTGCCAGCTGTGGGATGCGGTGATTGGTCAGTTATTTAATGATTAATGAGCGTCCATTTGTCTCCTTCAGGCAGTCCCGTTAACCAGCGGCTGGCCCAGCCCGTCAAACAGCTCAAAGATGGACTCGGACGGCTTCTGGAAGTTGTTCTCGACAATGTTGACCAGGAACCACTCGTCGCCGAGCTTCTTCAGCAGCCCAGCCGCCTCGCTGTCCTTCTCGTACATGCGCGACCACGCGTTCCAAAAGTCAAACGCCTCGTCCTTCCACGCCAGGAAGCTGATGCGCTCGGACAATGGTTGGCTGCAGGATCTCCTTGCCCGGGAACACGCCCCAGGTGACGGCGTTCGGGCCGTCCTCGCGGCAGTTGGTGCGCAGCTCGCCGGCCTTGTTGACTGCATAGTACGTGGCCGTCGGCTGGCTATCGAGCCGCTGCAGGAGCTGCGTGAGGTTCTCGGGCGACACGAAGAACTCCAGATACGCCTTCTTGTAGACGAAGCCATTGGTGGGTCCCCCAGCCGTGGATCTTGTCGCTGGACGGCGCGCCGTTGCAGCTGGGCTGACTGTTGATGGTCAGGAAGCCCTTTGCGTTCATGTCGGCCAGGCGCTGCTGGATGATCTCGGTCTCGGGCTGCAGCGCCCCCTCGCTCCACGGCAGCGCATCGAGCTTGCCCTGGCAGTACTTCACAAACAGCTGCTTTACTGCGTCGACGTCCATGGGCGTGCCCCACTTGCGCAGCGCCTGCTGCGGGTTGAGTCTGACCTGCACGCCATGGAGCAGCTCACCGTAGGCAGGCGAGCGGGCATCGCCCCAGCGGCCATTGGGGAACTCGTCCCAGGACTCGGTGCGCTGGATGTAGCTGCGCGCGTGGTTGCGCCAGAAGATCGGCCGCACGTTCTCGCCCGCGCGCTTCTGCGACAGCGACGGGTTCCACGGCAGCGGCCGAACCTCCTCGACGGTCGGCACCAGGTCCAGGCGCTCCAGCGTCAGCCGCGTCGACCGCTCCAGGTTGATCGTGTAGAAGTGGAAGCCGCGGACCCCGGCCTTGCGCATCTTGCTGATCATCTCGGCCGCCACCTCAATGCCGTAGTCCTTGATCGCCTGGTCGTCGTCCTTGATTGGCTCCAGCCGGTCCCAGATCTCCTGCGGCACCTTGATCCGACACAGCTCCGTCATGCGCTTGAACCCGCTATAGTTCTGGATCGGCATGATCCCAGGCAAAATCGGCATCGTAATTCCCGCCGCCCGGCACTTGTCCACCCAGTGCAGGAAATTATCCACATCGTAGAATAGCTGAGTCACCACTATGTCGGCACCGGCATCCTGCTTCTCCTTCAGATACGCGATGTCCTTGTCGACGTCCTCCGGACACATGCAGCCCTCCGGGTAGCCGGCCACCGAAATGCAAAAGTACTCGCCGTACGTCTGCCGGATGTACCGCACCAGATCGGTTGCATACTTGAACTCGCCCATCTCGGGGTCAAACTCCACAGAGTTGTCGGGCAGGTCGCCGCGCAGCGCCAGGATGTTCTGCACCCCTTGGTCCTTGGCCTTCGCCAGGGCCTCCTTGATCAGCCCAAAGTTCGTGTTTGTGCACGTCATGTGCATGTTCGCCTCGACGCCATACACCGTCTGCGAGTTCGAGCACAGCTCCAGAGTCAGGTCCGAGGACTTGCCGCCCCACCGCCATGTAATGTCCACAAACAATGGGCCCAGGTTGCACATGCGCTCTATGCGGTCATACAGGTTTACCACGCCCTGCTGCGTCTTGGGCGGAAAGAACTCGAACGACCAGAAACACCGGTCGTCCTCGAGCGCCTTGTTGATTTTGTCCACAATCTTCATTTTGGCTTACAAAAGAGCTGCTCCTGAAAGAGAGAAAAAGGGTATATCAAAGGGGGGGCTTGACGGAGAATGAAAACAAAGATGACTGACTGGATACACTGAGCACTAATGCACACCAACTGTAAAAAAAAGAAGCTACCTCTACAAAGTAAGAAGAGAAAAAAGAATGCTAAGAGACTGGAAGGAAGAAGAAGTCCCGGATAGCTGATCCAGCCGAAAACAAAAGGCAAACGTGGAGGCTGTGGATGCAAGCATAGTCCAAAGCTATTCAGCGAGAAAAATTTTAGCCCTATTATTTGGGGCGAGTCTTTGTTCGGTTCTGGTATCATCTGTGAGCATCTGTGAGCAAGGCCAATAGGAAAAAGTGGATGGCAGGTCAATCATCAATGGGTTTATGGCGGCTGGCTGCAAATCGCTCCTTGCGTTTTATTTTTGCCTTTTGCAGACAACAAGAGTCATGAATTTGAAGGCCGCCGAAATTGTCCGCCCTAATGCCCAGCAGTGCATGTGTGAGCATTCTCCCACTGCCCGCACAGAAAACAATGCGCGACACAGATATGCAATAGTGCATGTCTGAGCATAGTGCGTTTATCACCAGGCGCCGGCCTCCGTCGGGGACTCTCCTCCCTGAAATCGCAAAGCAAATATTGTCTGCAATCCCAAAACGCCTGCGTATCAGAACCCCACACGGCCCACATGCTCCCAACCAGGGGTGCAGCGGAGACAAAAAAAAGCCCATCGTAAAACCTCAATCCACACTCTATTTTCAAGCACCCCTCATGGAATCCTCGATCCGCGCGCAGCTAAGCGCAATAGTGGCGAGCAGCAAGCACGGGTCCGTGAAAGAGCAGCATCTGCAGGCCGCAGCCCAGCAGCTACGCAATACACACCTGGCACTGGCGCTCCACCGCACGCCGCCAGCAGCCCTGGCCTCGGCGGTACTAGTGACATGCAAAGTACGCACAGACCCAGCGCAGCTCGAAATAACCATCCACAACCACACTTTCGGCCACGGGTGGTCGGCCACCGCTCAGTTTCTGCCACAGGACCGCCGGCATGCGCGCAACTACCAGCACTGCTCAGCCCGATTTGCCCGAGTCCTCAACCTTCACTTTTGCCATGCACGGCGTAGATCTGCTGGGCGAGTACGCGGTCGAACTGGCGCTTGTGTTCGATCCGCCATATGCGCTGCCAAAGTTTGCTGCTCGGCCGGTGGTGGCGATGACGCAGACGCTTTATATTGACGCCCTGGACAGCATTTGCCCGGCGCCAGGGGGCGATACCGGAGAGTTTTCGTGTGTGGCGAAATCTGGCTGACGATGCAGAATACGGATGCGGACCGGCTGCTGCTGGCACTGCTGGTCGGCAATGTGTCCAGGCAGCTGGAGTGCGTGGTTGCGCGGGGCATGGCGGAGTTTGTGCTGCCCATTGACCGACCCAGGCCGGTGACGCTGGTGTGCATGTGGGAGCACGACCACATGTGCGTGCGGATCCGAAGCGCCTGCAAGATTGCCTACGCAGTCACCATAGGCACCATTGCCCGGCGGCTCATGGCGCTGGGCAGCAGCTCCGACGGCCTGCAGATGCTGGCCGACAAGTACTCGGGCGTAGCTCAGAGCCCGAGGGCTCGGCTCGCGAACTTGTGGACTTTGCCACGGCCCCGGCGATGCAATCATCAGGTCTATTGAGTAGATTCCAAAACTTCTAGGGCGCGTGCCAGCCGGTGCTCAGTGCTGGCGACTGGCAGATACGCCATTAGATCGGCGAGCGCTGGTCCGGTGGGCTGGCCGGTCAGCGCGTACCGCAGCATCATGTTGGGGTGCTTGGCAGGCACATCCAGCTCCTTGCTCAGGGACTTGGGGAGCCCGTGCCAGGCCGCGCATCGGCAGCATTGAAGCCGGGCTGGGCAGCCATCGCAGAGACCTGCGCCAGCGCCTGCCTCAGCACCCGCAGCTGGCTCTCTCGCGGCACCTTCAGCGCAAACGCCCTGGGCCTGCTCCGACTCCAGGTCCGGATCACCAAATAGATACGGAGCGGTCGTGTGCAGGTCGCCAGCGCGCGCCAGCCGGTCGCCGCACAGCCTGAGCGCCCCAACTACGGCCTCGCTGGTCAGCCCCTCCCGACCAGCCCCCTCAGCGCCCCTGATCTCCGCCAGCGCCTGCTCCGCCAGGCCCATCACCTGCTGGTCGTCGTGAATGGCCGCGCGCAAATGCTGCTTCTGCAGCCAGTCGAGCCGGTCCCGCGACACGGCCGATTTGCTGCGGCTCAGCCCGCGCAGCGCAAACTGCTGCTCGAGCTCGGGCATTGTAAACACCTCCTTTGTGCTGTCCGGGTGCCACCCGAGCAACGCCACGTAGTTGACCAGCGCCTGCGGCAGATAGCCAGCGGAAATGTAGTTTTTCACGGGCCCGTCCTGGTTGCGCTTCGAGAGCTTCGACCCGTCGCTGTTCATCAGCAGCGGCAGGTGCGCGTAGGCGGGCGGCTCCCAGCCAAACGCCCGGAACAGCGCGCGGTGCTTGGGCGTCGAGATCAGCCACTCCTCGCCGCGCATCACGTGCGTGATCCCCATCAAATGGTCGTCCACCACATTGGCCAGATGGTACGTGGCCAGCCCGTCGCTCTTCAGCAGCACGGCGTCGTCAAAGCCCGCCGGGCCCGGAACTCCATCTGCCCGTGCACGATATCGGAAAACCGCCCACCTCCCGCCCCGCCTCAGTTAAAGCGCCCGGCGCCTTCATCCGCACCGTATAGGGCTCGCCCGTCCGCAGCTTCTCGTCCACCTGGCGCTGCGACAGATGCAAGCACCGCCTATCGTACATGGGCGCGCGGCCCTGCACAGTCGCCTCTTGCCGCAGGAGCTCAAGCCGGTGCGAGTTGCAGAAGCACCGGTAGGCATGCCCGCTGTCTAGCAACAGCTGCGCGTGCTTCTGGTACAGCTCGGTGCGCTGCGACTGGAAGTATTTATCGGGGCCTTTGCCCGGTCCCTCGTCGATCGCCAGCCCGGCCCACTGCAGGGTCGCCAGGATGTTCTCCGTGGCGCCCGCAACGAACCGCTTCTGGTCGGTATCCTCGATCCGCAGGATAAACTGTCCGCCGTAGCGCCGCGCCAAAAGATAGTTGAAGAGGGCTGTGCGCAGTCCGCCCAGGTGCAGGAACCCGGTCGGCGACGGCGCAAACCGCACACGCACCGGACCCGTGGGCTCGCAGCTGTGCGAGTGCTGGAACCGGGCGCATTGTGTCTGGGCAAGCTTCAGAAGCCTTGAATTGAACCGCTGCCGAGCAAGCATTACTGAGAAATAGATACTAGAAAGATAAAAAAAATAACGATCCAGCTTTGACCTGCACTCGATCTCGTCAGCACTTTTTTTTGATCACACCTAGGCTTTTCTCTCTCTGGCAATTTTCACCTTTTAATTTCGCACTTTTTTGTTCACAAAATGACTCGCGTCCAGCAGCAGGCAGGCAAGGCCCGGCGACTTGTGCTTCAGTTCGAAAAGGCCTGACCGGCTGTGCCAAGGAGGTAAGCCATGGCGGGGGAACCTGCACCGCGAGCGTTGGCGCCGTACATCCACTAACAAAAAATTTTCACCTAGGCAACTCTGTATGGGCAGTGCATCTCCGCCAACATCGAGACCATCGGCAAGCACGTCTGCGACGCACAGTTCCAGACATTCAAGGGATGCATGCAGCAAGTGATGAAGCGCAAGTGGTAGAGCCCTGTTTCATGTATTTAAAAAGATCGTTTCTAGACAAGCTGGTACGACTGGTGTTTGATGTTCTTCTCAAACTCGCCCTCGACGCCCTTCGGCACATGGTAGTAGGCAAGCTCAATGTCGAGCTCGCGCGGGTTAGTGGAGCTCTTGCGGCACACAAAGCTGCCGCGCACCTCGTCGCCCTGCTTGGCGCTGAGTGCCTCGGGCAGCACAAACACCGTCTGCTTCCAGTGCGTCGGCGTGCCGTGCGGGCCGGTCGTGAACCCATGCATGCCCGGCTGCCTCCACAGCGCCTTATCGGTGACCTCGCCGCTCTCATACGCATCGGCGTTGAGGTCCTGCTGGGACGGGCCCGGGACCGCCTGAGACTGGGAGAACGCCACGTCGAAGTATCCGAGCAGCGCATGGATGGTCGCGTCCTGGGTAACCGTGACGGTAAACTCGCTGGCAAAGTCGAGCTTCTTGGATGTTGTGGTACCGTGGTCGATCTCGGCAATCAGTGCGCGCGTGGCCACGACACTGTTGCCTGGGATCACATCCACGTCGGCCTCAGCCACCACGCGCTGCTGCTTCATGGCCGACATCTTGAACCCATACACGTCGTCCCAGTAGTTGACCTGGTCGCGCATGTACTCGTCGTCCTGGATCGCCGTCAGGTAGATGTACGAGGCACTGGGCGCCAGCAGACCGCCGGGCGCCAGGAATCGGTCGCGCGCCACCAGCACCGAGTCCAGCATGGCTTCGAACAGCAAAAAGTAGCCCATCCACTCAGAGATGATGATATCCACCGAGTCCACCGGCAGCTCGATCTCCTCGATCTTGCCGCGCACCACCGTGATCACTCCGTCGAGCCCGTTCTCGGCCACGTTCGCCCGCGCCTTGACCACAATCTCCGAGTTATCCACCGCAATGACCCGAGCCGCTCCCGCCTGCGCTGCAAACATCGACAGAATGCCAGTGCCGCACCCGACATCCAGCACCACCTTGCCCTTGAACAGCTCGCGCGACGCATACATGAAATCCCGGTACCCCTCCGTGCGCACCTTATCCTGCAGCATCTGCAAATGGATGTCGTTGTTGGCGTACGAGTTGAAGTAGTAATCGCCCTCGGCCTTCTCCAGCGCCGGCTCGCCAATGTTGTCGTAGAACTGCCGCTTCACCATCTGCCGGTACTCGTCAAACTGCTCCCCGACAAACTTCACCTCGCGCTCCTTGATCCCCAGCTGCTGCTCCAGCGCCCGAATCTTGTTCATCAGCTCGCGCTCCTTCATATTCGCCGCCGCCTCGAACCCGTCCAAGCGGGGCGTGCGCGCCAGGCTGCCCGGCCGCGAGCTGCTGACCGACCGCGTGTCGTCCAGATCCAGCTCATCCAGTGCGTACAGCAGCGTGTCGTCCTCTAGCACTGGCTTCAGGTACTCGTCGTCGTTCAGGAACCCCTCGGTGCCGGTCACCGAGAACTCGGATACGCGCGCAAAATCCGGATCGCTCTTCTCCAGCTTGCGGATGTAGTTCACCAGGCGCATGCTCTGGTAAAAGTCCAGGTGCAATGTCGACCGCACTTTCGGGAAGTCGAACCCGTGCGCCTGCTTCACGTGCCGGAACAGCGTGATCGCGCTCTGGAACGTCGTTTTGCAGAACAGGCACTTCATCGGCGTCATCAGCTCGTCGTCCTCCCAGTCATCCCACCGGTCATCTTGCGTGTCCCAACCAGACTCTGAGTATGAAAGCACCGACATTCTTGTTTTATAAGTGGGAGCGTATGAAAGAAAAAATTTACTTGGGAAAGGTGCTGTGCAGAACTAGAGTTCCATCCACACTAGGTCGATGGTCCATAGACGGTTTGGACAAAAAAATTAAAAAAAAAAAGGACATCGGATCTAGAGATGATCTCTGATCAAAGGCAAGAACTAGAACAAAGATGCTGGATGTCTACGACAGGATAACATATACGCGCCGTTTATTTGGCAGCAGGTTACAAAACTATGATGGTAATGCTAATAGGAGATACAGGACTGCAATGCATTAGTTTAGATTAAGACTAGCGTTGCATCGGCCAGAGACTTGTCCTCGTACGGATTGCTGACAACCCACTTCTGGTTCCGGCCCAGGACAACTGGCAGGTTGACAATCGACCCCCGGTATGAAACGACCTTGGCTGACTTGATATTAGGCAGATATGCTTTGCGTCCGTCGGTTGGATGAGGGTACTGATACTTTAGCGAGCGTTCCATGCTGGCCTTGTCTGACTCGTCGAAATCTCGCTTAGCACCACCAGTTTCGATCAGCTTAGCCTGCGCCTTGTCCCGAATGAATTTGTTATAGTTTATAAGGTACTCGTCCACCGAGTCAAGAACAGCGCCGTTAAAGTTAAGTTCAAGGTCGGTAAGCTTTGTGAACTGGAGACCATCTGCCGTGAAGGTGTTTCGGAACAAGGACCAAAGCTGAAGTGTGCCTGTGATTGATAGTTTAAGTATCTCCAGTCTATCCACGTTTATACTTCCCAGACGATACTTGTCTGTGGATAGACTCATAACCCGAGGGTAGATGGTAAATTGTTTTTCGCCACCAGCAACAGTCATCATGAGCTCTGAATGGATGTGGAGTCCTTCCAGCTCCCGTGAGTGGTGTTCAATAAACTTGCCGAGAGGGAATCTGGTGAAATAGGGCGAGCCCCTGTCGACGTACATCACGATATTACGAAAGTCTCCAGACACATTCGTCAACACCTTTGCCATCCTTTCTGGAAAATCCATGTCGTCAAACGGCTCACGTGGGTACATCTGAAGGACGTCACTTCCGAGAATAATCATGAGAGTATGAAAGCTGGGGCTGAACCGGCGCTTCAGCTCTACGATGGCATTACCCAATGCGTCAGGAACCGTGGTAAGCTGGCCCCAGTTTATAATGAGTTTGTCGCCTACCAGCCTCCCGTTGTGACGGAGAACATCAGAGTAGTTAAACGTCCACCCAATTGATTCTTGGTCCTGAGCGCTATTAGTCGTCAAGTGTCTCGCAGCAATCGGCTCTTGCCCGACCAGCGACGTAGAGAAGCTGCCTACTCCGCAGTCACCAGTTAGCTGAGGAGAAATGACGAAGGAGTTGAACGCAAACCTGTTGCTCCATCCCGAAACAAATCGAAAATACTTGTTGCTGAGAAAAGCAGCACGGTTTTGGTCGCTTCCATGCTCAGCGACCAGATAGTTGCCAATCTGAATAAATATAAGCACTATTTCGATCATCATATTTCCAAGCCCTCGTCTCTTGAGGCACACACGCACCACTGGCAGTGCCTTGCCCACATCCCATTTGGTTTCATCCATGGTTGTTACAAAAAACAGTATGAAAAATAAGAGCCAAGAGAATTGAAAGGAAAAGTGGCAGAAAGACGAGAGTACTCAGCTTACAATTAGGTGAGCTGGGCGGGGTGCCCCAAATGCCGCATGCATGGCGCGTTGGGACGACATCTGCTAAGAAATAATAAAACAGGTTTGTGGCTACCATGATTACAAACGATAGGGGCGCCAAGACATGAAGGTTCTATTATTCCTTTTCTTTGCACCGGGACAATGGTACTAATAATATACCCGCATACTAGAAATACTTTGCTCGCGATGCAAGCTCGGCTGCTAGTCAGCATGGGTAGACACGTCGATAAAAGCATCACGGCGAACCGGTCATTTGAACGTGTCGGATGGCTGTTGGTGCAATGGCGGTCATGGACATCTCCCATCTTGGTGGCCTGCTCAGCGCAGGCGCTTCAGCGCTGGTTCGCTGCTGCACGCCTCTTGTGCGGGTTCTTTGTTGAAGGGGTGGTGCCAGAAGCATTGGCAGCAATGGCCGTAGAACGACAGAACCGTTCAGGAATACTGCCTGAATCACAGAGTGACTGGAAAATGAGTCTGAAGTTTAGAACTGCTGCGAGATCGCGGTTCAAGAGCCAAGACGAATAGGCCCGCCTGTATTGTGCCATGGCCCGCTTACATGACTCGCTTGTACAGCGGAGAAGGCCATGGCACTTCACAGTTGGGTTCTTCGATCTCTGGTAGGGCCGCGGGTTGGGAACATGCCGGAATGTCTGCTGCTGCAGCCGATGCACCTGCAAGTGAATCAGCCGCTACTGCTGCAGTTGCTGCAGTGGCCTCTGTTTCATCAGATGGCATCTTCGCTGCTTCACATGCAGCCTTCTTGGCCAATTTTTCGCCCTTTTCTGCTGCTTTCCTTGCCTCTGTTGCTGCCCTCTTTGCTGCCTTGATCTTGGTAACCTGCTCGCGTGTTTTCGAAATAAACACCCGCTTGATTATTTACTTGTCCAAACGCACATGGCCTGGGATCCATGATGTCCGCAGAGGCAAGCATTGGGGGGGAGACTTGCCAAGCTGCTCATTCTCAATAAGCTGGCATAGGCGAATGTATGCACGCAGATGCTTAAGTGGATTTACCTTGGCATCATAGTATCGGCTGTCTTTGGCGATTCTGTACTTGGCATCATAGGCATTAAGGACTGGTGCCAGCTTGTTGTAGATTGCAAGCATCGGTGGTGTGAGCACACTGAGATCAGGGTGCCTAGAGGCAACTGCCTGGCGGAGCTTCTGTGCAGGTGTATAAATATACACTTGACATGCATTATTGAACTCAGCCTTGGACACATTGCCCATTGTACTGTGCAGTGTGTTTTTGCGGCTGCGAATATCAATCAATTTGGCCAGAATCTGCTGTAGGCAAGTGCCATAGTGCAACACAATGTTGTTCTTGTATGCTGTTAGCAGCTCGATATCGCCATTATGTAATAGATAATCATAAATATGATATCTAATTACATCACCGAAATCTGCGCTCGACAGTTCTGACTTGTCCTTCCGGTTGACGAAATCCTTGGCATCAGGCTGACCAACAATGAGAGCAGCTCTTGCACTGAACCAATGTAGATACCTAGTGGAGACCTGTGACCACTACAATACCAGCTTGTCACCCTGGTTTCGCCGATGAGGTCAGATGCTGCACAAGATCAAAAGGAGTTTACAGAGCAAGTCACTCAAACTCGCTTTGAGGTTTAAAAGAGCTTTATCTTATAACCAATTAATAAGTTTCTAGCGGATGGTCGAACACTTTTTGGGCTATAGAATCTTATATATTGGTAAGGATTACTTGATGTATTTCAAGTCTCTCAACGGATACGTGTTTATTATACTACAACCACCGTTCAACATAGTAAGCAACCACCCTGAGGTATTTCTGCAACTTCCTTGGCTTTTAGACTTGGTGACAACATGGGGTGCACTGGTATCTCTGTGTGGGTGGCTACCATGCAGCGATGGTAGGCCATATGGAACATTACTGACTAATGGGCAATGCCTGCCCTCTTCGTCCTATTTCTTACATGAGATCTCACTGTCAGCCAAATGACATTAACATTCGCTCAAGATGTGGTTTCCTAAAGCTAGCCCTATGTGTTGATTAAAAGCTAGATATATGATAATGTCCGCCTGAGTTTACTAATCGTCTCAATGGCAACAAGACCACATCTTGACATATGCATCGGATCCATGGAAGTCAGCCTGTGCTTGCCCCGAATAATACCATCTACACGGTCTTGACGCGTCACGACCAGCATGTCCACCTTGCTAACATTGCCAAAACTTTCCCGTTGCCCAATACCGCTGAATATGCCAATCGCTCTGGCTGACCAGCTATTTTCGTACTCTAGCGCCTTGACCATGTCGTAGTCCTGATTACTCTTGTGAGCTGCCGGCTCATTACTGGATAAGGGTATCTCGAGCTCGATCGGATCATTGGCAATCCAAGTTGCCTCGATTTTGCAGGTCGTGTAGCGGCCATTTGTGAACCAGTCGATACGGGTAAGCGCCAGCATAAATGATCCTTGGTCATATGTAGTCGTCTTCATTCCTTTGCCCTTCCACTCTTTGTCGAATTCAATGGTCGGGAAGTAGAGCATTGTCGAGTACCGAATCTCAATCTCCGCGTTCTTGTTGACTGGCAAATACCTAGGCGGGTCCTTGCTCATACGTTCAGCGGCTGCTCTGGCTATCGTAGTCGCCTCACCAAATGTGGTGCAATGGCGATGCTGGAAAACTCTGCGACCAAAATCGATTGACACTATCATTTTGGACTCATCACTCAAAGCACACGCGGACGCCACCAGCTGCTCCAGCTCAAGAAATGAGAGATCGAAATAGCGTAGTCGTGTGGGCGTATCGATATCGCGCTTTAAGCTGGCTCCATCAAAAATCCACTGGAACTGCTCATGAACAGTACCGCTGAAATAGCTCCGGTACAGGATACCACATGCAGCAGCTGGCTGAGTAGTCGAGTCGTTGCGGTGACAAAATGCAGCAGACGCATATTGGCCATTGCCAAGAGCATAGTCTGGAACCACAAACTGCAGGTCGCGACACAGATTAGGCTCCATACTCAACCCATGGTGCTCCCTAAAAATAGCAAGCTTAATCCTCAGGAGCTTTGCGCGCAGGTCTCCGGTTTTGGTTGAGATCGCCCACATGCTATCACCAATTTCCGGTCCCACCCGGTGCATGTCCATGACATCAAACCTCGAAATAGTCTTGCTTAGGGTTTGAGTGACGAAGGCTGAATGTTGCCGCAGAATCCTAGAGTTACGTTCCAGAATCTGCTCGTTGATGCATACTCGCAATGGATCGGAACTGTGGAGACCAGTACTGACTTGGGCATCACTCCTGCGCTCGACGTAGTTGCTAAGACGGGTCAGTGCCGATACGACATCAACAGCGTGGTTATCCAACTGGGCTGAGGCACGCTCCAACTGCTCTGCAGAAAGTTCCAGTGATGGGTGCACAGCAAATGCAATATTTGCAATATCTGCATTCGTGGGAACCCCTGAAATGATGCACTGCACTGTACACCCGACGACCTGGTCAACCTTATTCGCGTTTGATGTCGATACGACTGTCATGAACTGCTGGCTCTGTCCCAATCCAAGAATATCAATGACTAGTTGGTTACCATCTATACCAACGACCTTTTCGATGTGGTCCACAAAGAATACAGGCGTGACAGTGTTGTCGATGCAAACCTAACGAATGTCCTTCAGAAGTAAATTCGTATGCTCCGCCAGATTCGCCTGTGACGTCCCAGAATTCCTGTACCACCTGGAAATAGCGTCCAAGGCAACCGGGTAGTTGATGAATGCACACGCAATATGCTCGATAACCGCAATGTACTGGTCATTGGAACCCGGCTGCACAATGAGATCGCCTGCGTCGCCGATGTATATAACCACCACCTTGGGCATGCATGCTAGTTTTGCAGCAGCACCGAACATCAAATGGCTCTTGCCTATTCCCCATGGCCCAGAGATAAGGAGAGGTTTGATTGTTCTTCCCGCGCTATACCCAGGATTGTCCCTGTACAGGCTGGCTGCTGAGGAGCTGGAGCGTGGCTCACGGACAAAGCAAATACCCGTGCTCAGGTTTTCTGAGCTTCGGTATAAGTCGAATTCAGGTATGGGTACACCGGAAAAGCTGCATGTCGAGAGACGGTTGTGCCTGCCATGACTGATAATCCACTCCGTAATTTGCGATACGAGCTCAGGACGAACGGCATAGTTGATTGCATAGGCGCTGACCTCGTACAACTCACCGGTATCCGCATCGGTAATGTCGACAGCGCTAACATAGCGCGCAAAGCAGCCGCTGATATTAAGAGCAAAATCCGGTACAGATACCACCTCAGCCGTTTCAAATAACTCACAAAGCTCACCGACGCCTTTGAGAATGCCTGGTGCGACCATGCGGTTGTACTGGTACATAGTGTCGATGTGGCCTGCCCCTGTGGAATGGCCAGTCCTGCGTATAATCTCAGAGAGCTGATTCTTCTTGTCTTCGGAAACCATTGCATCTCTGGTAAGTCGTGTGACTTCCTGCTGAACCTGTGAGCTGGACTGGGAGGTTCGAGTTTCCCTTGACCTTTTGTGCTGGTGATGCTTGTTGGAGCTCATTTTGCCAATGGTATCCGCAAGATATAGCGAGAATAGGTATGCAGATAGTATAGCTCAATAGCAGACGCCGGGAACAGGCAAGGTAGACAAAACAGACGGAGGGTTGAGAGACTCAAGAAGCATGCTCTACATGGGTGTACACAAAAGCAGCACCTACTCAGAGACAAATAGTCGCATGCAGCTTTTGACAAGTCCGTACCGCTCCTGATTCACATTCGCTACTATTTGTTCCCAGAATTTTTGGCAAAAGAAGTGTGCTGACATTCGGGAAACCCCATGCCCTTTGTGGTGATCGCACCACAGTCACTCAAAGCCAATTGTTGACATTCGGGCAACCCCATGCCCTTCGCCACCATATGCAGATCCAAATCACTACCTGTATAAACATTGTGGGCCGAAATGGCCTATCCTCCCTTTTTTCTCCTCAGCAATTTCTAGTTATATTCATTCCATAAAGCTCATAACTACTGGACTCTCTGAAAGTTAACAGTGAAAAGTAATTGTGATATCTGTGCTAGTCGTTTGATAATAGTAGCACTTTTCAACCAACATACCCATTGGTTAACCAACCATACTGTCTGCTTAACAAAGGGGTGGCATGCAGTGCATATATTAAGACTATTGACAAACACCTGGAGTCTTGAGTGCATGAAAAATCGCTTAAATCAGATACATTGATAGATTAGACGGCGGTCGAAAGTGCAGCCACGAGCACAAGGTATTTGATTGAAGCTGTGGCCTCATAGGTGAGAACATATGGTGAGGCTTACACAGGATATACGGGGTGGCTTGTTGTCAAGTGCAGCTTTTGCTGTCTATTTCAACCAGTATGGCGATTTTTCGCTCTGCCAAACTTTGCCTTCTTTTTCTATTTTTTTCTATTTTGCACAGCTTTCATATTTCCCATCTCTGTATACCTGCTATTGTACATTATATTATTGCTTTCTAGTGGCACCGTAGCATGAATATCATAGTCACTGGCCTGCTGCTATTTCCTATCCAGCCATCGATTGCCTTTAGTCGCCTGTTGCAAAAGCGTGAGACATCAGCTGCTCAGGCCAAGATTCCTCATGGTGGCATTCTCTTGAAAAACGGTAGGCAGACGTCATGCGAGCTGGCTTTAATTACAAACCGACTTGCATTTGCTGCGGCTAGCTGCTTTGATGTGGATACATATAATAATGCCAATGGTATATCCCGGTATCAGGTAGCCCTTGATTCCGGCGGGCCACCGATAACTAAGGAAATCGTCAGCGTTGACAAGGTCACGATCAATCCCCAGTACAACTCCACCACATATGCTAGCAATCTGGCAGTTGTATTTTTCAATTCCAAAGCCAAAGAAGCATGGAGCAACAAGATCGACGTATTTCCGCAAGAATTGGCCAACAGAGCCTACGTTCGACACTCGCTGGGTGATGTGGAAAACCAGGTTTGGAATTCACCAGCAGTCATCAACGGTAAGCGCAACGACGATGGATGCAAGCAGGCATCGGTTCAGTATGCGTCCAACCCCGCTGACCTCTGGTGTACCACGCGGACAACTGCATCCCCAGTGAACACAACTTGCCATGTTCCATATGGAATTGCATATGGCATAATTAACTCGGACATGGTCATAACCGCCCTGTATAGCCACTCTGCTGTGTACGGAGGTGATTTTTGTAGCAGCTCAAAGACCTACAGCTACTACACGGTGCTCTCCAACTTTATCAAATGGGCAAATACCATCATCCCGAACCCAATCTCTGTATTTTCCAGTGATGGGCAGTCTAGTGCTAGTAATGATGACTGGTATGGATTCGAGAATGCAACGGCTCCAATTCCCAGAGGTTTCCAGTTTATCAGCGGAGATTTATATGCTCGATACGGCAGTTCCGAACCAAACACTACTACAAGCAATCACTTGGTCCCTACTGGCACTGTGGCGGCCCATGATACATTTTTATCATCATCAGCCAACCAAGACGAACCAAGTGGGAACGTAGGTGATTCTTCGGTTACAGAATCCCAGGGGCTTGGAAAAGCACAGATCGTTGCGCTCTCTGTAAGCATTCCAGTTGCCATCATCATCATTTCACTCATGTCCTTATTCTTCTACAGGCGTTGGCGGAGATACAGGAGCACTACATCATGCGATTCCGAAAGCGAGAACCATGGAATAGTCGAAGTTACTCACAATGTGGAGCGGCCTGACGAGCCCACAGCCCGGCCACCATCATACACCAGCACTGATGGCATAATTGATGATACCTCCGGGTTTGACCCAAAGAACGACAGCGGCATGCACCAGCAATAAAAAGAGTGACTAGTGTAGTTTCAGACAGCATCAAGAGCCACTGTAGCTGACCAATACTACCATTCAAGCCATTGGCATCATTATTGCAGGGTCAATGATCAGCTTCCCTGTTGGTCCTATGGCCGTATTTTGATAATTGCACTTCGAGGCGGTGTACATAGTACTGCCACTCACCTAATTGACCAAATTAAACGTGCTGTTATTTCTCCTTTGGATTGCACGTAATTCGCTTGAGATCCCGACGCAAGGACTGGCCAGCGATCTTATTGCAGAGGCAGGAAAGTGTGACAATATCCCGAATAAGACCATTTTGCTACTTATTGCAGCAATCACATTCCGTGCTATTGGGAACGGGCGAGTACGGCATGGCTCATTCCGCTACCAGTGCGTGTCCGGCTACCACTATCATTACAATTCACTAGTAATTGGCACAATTACTTTTCTACAGTTATGCCGAGGGACCAGATGGGCCATGCAGTCCCCCTTCAGCACATATAAAAGGCATGCCTTGAGCCCGTGGCTTTTATATTATCATCTAACAACACACCTTAGTACCTAACCAACCTCAACCAACAATGAACGCCTTTGCCACTATTCTTGCCATCGCTGCGGTCGCTATCGCTTCGGCCAATGCCCAAGTGTTCTGGACTCACTGATGCGAAACGTTACTATTTGTTGAGTGCTCTTAGCAAGTACCTGTATCTATTACGATATGTAAACCCCAATATAGCTTTGCGACGAAAGCAACGTATTGCTCCTGGCCGTAATTCCCAAATAATAAATATCTGCTTTGAGCATTTTCCATTACATTGTGATATGAATGTTGTATGGCTATGGTGTAGAAAGTATAAATAGGTTCCATTTCGCAAGTACCCACAAGAACGGCATATTAAGGGCCAGAGTCAAAAATGCACTAGGCTAAAAAAAAACACAGCGTGAAAATGGCTGTATTCAACCACTACCTAGGGTCTAGCATATATGATTTCTACGATGAGCGCAGCAGTAGATATTGACGATATCGACGACACACAGAACTCGATTCTGACGTTCATTCATGACTCCAAGAAGCAGCGTGATATTCCCCGTGAGCTCCCATCAAAAGTCTCTTCGCCCTCGGCAACAGATACCGAGCCTGAATACATCGAGATCCTGCTCAGCGTATATGAACACCTGATTAGCGCTGCCCACCACAGCCGGCGGGAGTCAGGCACTGGAGAGTGGAGCGCAGACAGTAGCGAGGTGGTAGTGACTAGGCCTGTCAATGTGATAACCAAAACATTTGGACTGTCCATGGGGGGCAAGATGAGGCTGAATGGTGAAGAGTTTGTGCATTTGCACGAGCGTGGTGTCCTAACAGTCAGAGACAGCGGCCAGGCATTGGATACAGGCGCAGTTTGGCGGCTTGCGGTGGGATCTGCACACCTGCTTGTCGGTGTATACACTGCATATGCGTACTTGCGCCGCCTTGGATTCACTGTTATACGGCATGTACACATCAGCAGGGACAGGCAGCTGGTCAGAGACACACCGCAGCAGTCGGGCTCTGCGCCAAAGAAGGAATTTGGTAAGTTATCTGCAGCTACCTACCAGGAAGCACTCGCCTGTGTAACATAAAGACGTAGAAAATTCCGGTCTTGGCGTGCCTCTCGATCAGATGCTTCTTAGAAACCTGGCCTGCAGCTCTATATGCTATCTCACTCCTTCCCCCAACTTTATTGCGAATAGGTGAACTGATCCGAAAGATAAGGCAACGTGGACCCAGTCCCTGGGCCTGCAGGGTCGATCCATCGCCGACATCAAGAACCCTTGCACTGTACGATGTCTTCAAGCCCACCAACCAGTACAAGAGGACCGAGCACAAAGTGCCCAGCTATGTAATGGCGGTGTGTAGCGCTGACCAGCCTGCCCCAACCCCAGCAGAGCTGCGCAGGCTGACTGGGCTAGCGTATGAGGAGGCAGCGCTCATTGCGGTGACTGAGCCAGGGAGCACTGCCTTCTTGCGTGTTGAAACCGCTGAGACGCCATCAGTCAACATATAACATGGGCTAATTCAAGAGACAACGCACAACACCACCCACTTAGGGCATGCGGCGAATCTACCCAGTCAATCATTCGGCATACTGGTAATGGTGGTGCTGCCCAGAGTAGAGGCCGTAAAGTAGTATTACATTTGAAGAGAACATTAAGGTCTCGACCTAGAAACAGTATAGGGAAGGCAGTACGTCAGAGTGAAACGTGGGCAAAAAGTAAACAGAGGGAGGGGAGGTGATGAGGAACAGATATGGAGTCGAGGAGGTAGCCTGGATTTCTGTGTGGAATGCGAGGGGGAGTTGCCGCATGCACATTGGGCAAGAACCATCAGTGAGCATGTCGTTTCCTTTTTGAGCAGCCTGCTCGGTGATTCCGATGCATGCCATGCACAACGACGAGGACAAGAGCGGAGATTATCTGCACAAAGGCGAAAAAAATTCGCATCCTAGCGGCGTGCTCCGCAGGGCGACGTGTTTGGGCCGAGGCCAACAGGATGCCAGGCCGCCTAGAAATCTATCGCGAGTACAGGTCCTTCATGTCGGTCGAAGCCAGGCTGCTGCTCGACAGGCTGGTGCTTGGCCCGGTGGAATAGAACTGCGAGCCGGAGATTCCAGACAGTGCCGATGGCGATGCGGGTGACGCTGAAAGCGGCGACCCTACTGCCCGTCCGTACACGCTCAGGCTGTCACCTCCGGCCAGGGCGCTGCGCAGTGATTGCTGGCTGGACTGGTGGGCGGTGTTGCCGCTGTGCTGCCCCTGCTGCTGCCCCTGCTGTTGCCCCTGCTGCTGCTGCTGTTGCTGTTGCTGTTGCTGGTCAAAACGCGCCTGCTGTTGAGCCCGCTGCTGCTGCTGCTGCTGGATGTGTTGCTGCTGCTGTTGATGCTGCTGGCTAGCGCTCAAATGTAGCGACGGATTGGACGTGGAATGGTGCAGCTGGGTGCCCAACTGCTGGAGCTGTGGGATGGGGCTGCTTGGGCCGGGCGAACCCGAGACGCCTCCAATGAAACTGTTGGGGCTGAGCTGCAGCTGGGTGCCGAGCGACGACATCGACGTCGAGTAGTTGAGCTCCGGCTGCAATAGCGAGGCCGTGTCGTGGTCCGAGATGAATATTGATGGCCGCGTGGCCTGCGAGCCAAGAGTAGCATCGATGTCAATGTCGGTCGAGATGTTGACGTTGACGTTGTTCTGCTTCAACACGTGCAAGAGCTGGCGCACGACAGCCTCCTGGGTCGCCTGCTTCTTCCGGGTCTCGCCCAGCTCGCGGATGACCTCGCCCAGGTTCTCCTGGAGGTGGTGGACGCGCTTGACCAAGTCGGTGTGCGAGACCTGAAGCATGACAAAGCTCGCGTGCAGGTCGCCTGCCTCGCGCCGCAGCGACTCGGATTCCATCGTTTTGCGCTTGATCTGGTCAAGCAGGTCGGAGCGGTCGCGAATAAACTTTGGGTGCGAGAACTCCCAGATCTGGTTCTCGGCCATCGTCCGGTGGCCGCGCGGCGATTTGTTGACCTTGTGGAAGCCGTACATGTTGAGCTGGCGCACGAAGCTCGAAAAGTTGTTGTGCTTGAAGTGCTTGGGCAGCAGCTCGCGCGAGAACTCCATGATATTGCACACCACAAACGAGGTCCCCGAAAAGTTCCACGAAATCAGATGCTGGTACTGGTTGTCGTTGACCATCCTAAAGAATAAAGGCATGTGCGTGTCAGCAGGTGTGCATCGCGAGGGACTTGTGAAGGAAAATCTCAACTGACGGGGGGGGGAGCGGATGCCGCCAACGACGTGAGAGGCGCCCATCAATGCGCGCGCACTTTCCCTCCGACAAGCGTATTGAGTCTCTGTGGTCAGCGTATACTTACTCATGCAGTTTGCTGACAAAGGTGTTGCCCAGCTTGCTGCCGTTCGAAGACACCGACGACCGGCGGCTCTCCATCGACGACGGCGTGGTGCTGCGGGCGACGGGCTTCAGATACTGGTCTGAGGGGTCCATGAGCAGCTGCGGGTTGGATGCGTCCATGGCGGCAGCCGCATGCGACACGTCGGGCGAGAGCGGTAGTTGCCGGCCTCCATTGAGGTCTGTGTTGGCCAGTGTGCTTTGCAAATGATGCAGGCTGTGGTTCATTTCAACGTTCTAAAAATATAAGAATGCGGTATTCTAGGCCGGAAGAAAAGAAAATAATAGTAGTGAAGAAAAGAAAAAGAAACCGGGCTGGTTCTTGGAAGGGGCAGTGTTACTGGCAGTCAGGGCGAGGTTGTTTTTAAGAAAAGAGAGAGCTCGAGAAACAAGGCTGGCAGGGCACACTAACTCTGGCGGATGGAAGGGCTGCAAAATATATGCTAAGTGAGCAGGAGGTAAGAGGGTCAAAGTAAAGAAAAAAAGGAACTGGATGCCTCTGTCCAATAACCGCGCCACCCTGCCCAGCGTCTGTCCTATCTATATTATCCTGGCGAAAGGGCCAGTCCTACGCGGTGTTTGGCCCAACCACCGCGGTGCAGAGCACAGAACATTCCACGGATTCCTTTCTTTTGTGGAAACGCTCTTAATGTTTGCTCGTTGGTGCCCAGTTTGTTGTTGCCTGTGACGCCCGTGGTCGAATTAGGGCGCAGCAATAAGAGCGTATTGCCCCGGCAGGTACCACTCGACGTGACACCCGGTATATGGAAATACGGCGCAATTGCTACACCACACCGTCCGCCGCCTTTGCTCCTCATTAGCATGCCGGGCCCAGCGCTTTGCGGAGCGTGTGCGGATCGGCGGCGGAGAGATTGCACGATCTTCCTGAATTCTCTGCGGAAAAGCAGCTCAGCTGCTTTTATCATTGAAGGCGGCGAGCCCGTCCGTCCAGGAGATGCATTTGATAGTGGGCTGGCTGTGCTAGCCAAAGAGACTGGTCGATCGCTATTTCGCGCTGGAGATGCGGAAACTTCTGTCCTGCGTCCTTGCGCTCTTGGCACTGTTCACGCCTGCAGCAGCATTGAGCGTGACGTTTGGGGAGCCGATTCGCGCACACTTTCAGCACTGTGGCGATGGGGACACCGCGCCTCTCACATGCAAGTAGCTGGCCACCGCCCAACAAGTGTGCTTTGGGAGAATAGGTTCCAGGGAATACGCAAAGGTCCTTGCACAGGGATGCCCACGTGGGCCCATGAGCGGTCACGGCTCAGTCATACGGGTCTTGTGTCGTCTGCCTTCCCCCACCAGGCTGGATGCAGTAGAGACGTCGCACATATGCCAGATACAGTCACTCCCAGGCCCAGATTTGGGCACATTACCGACCGCAAGTAGCATCCTGGGAATGCGAAAGGGCAGCGGCGCACAAGCTAGCTGCGCTCAGTCGCACACGCAAATTTTAGGCCGAGAACCCGCCGCAAAAATATGCGATGATAATTCTGCGTTCAGATCAGTGGATTGAAATTACCAGCTGATCGATCAGTGCATTAATCTAAGATAAGGTGTGCTGCCATGCCTTTTCGTGTCAATTTCGCAATTTCGAGGTCTGCATTTGCAAACCCCCCTCTCTACACAACCTCAATTTCACCAAAATTCCCCTTCACAGCGGCAATGATTGACCCGGCCAAGATTATCGAGAACGCGAAGAAGTCGAACATTAAGGACCCGTGGGCGCGGCGCGAGGCCTGGCGCAGCCACCCGTCCTTTTCCAAGATGGCCCAGCTCCGGGGCATGTTCCCGGGACTCGGAATCGCCACGGGTCTGTTTGCCGTGTACTGTGTGTACGACCACTTTGCGGCCAAGCCCAGCGACAAGCACCACTAGACGGCAAGCTTGCTAGGCACACCCCCAAACCCCTTGTTCTATTACACATACACTGGCTTTAAAAAAAAAGTAAAAAATTGCACGCTTCCTTTCATGTCACAATGGCCGAGGTGCACAGGCCAGCCCGCATGCTGCTGTGGATATGGACTGGCAGTGCCGGACACACCGCCGGTGGTGCAGCAGTCACAGCTCGACTCGGACTGATCAGAGCCAGCGGGCCAGCTCTGTGATTTTCTCCGTTCCGCGCGTGACACGCCCGGCGTGTGGGAACATTTTACACGATGGAGCAACCAGTTCCCACGGCAGCGTCAGGCAGGCCAACCGCTCTCGGAGCAATTCGCCATTCCCACCCTCGGACGACAAAAGAATTGGCAGTGGGTTGTCTTTACAATGCGGGCACAGGCGGAGACAAAGCGAGGCAGGCAGGCGGATACATAAACAAGGCAGCTCATGCCTCTTCTCTCGCCTTTCTCTCGCTGCTTACATCTGCCCCCTCGCTTTTACTCACCCCTGTTCTTTTTATACACATATCGACACCATGTTTGCTTTTCGCACAGCCGCCAAGCGCGCTCTCCTGCTGCGGCCTGCTCCCCTTGTTGCCAAAGCGTCTAGATCACACCGCAGCCTGGCCACGCTCTCGCTGCCCAAGCACGTAGCGGCGCCCCGTTCGCTCCGGTACCGTGGTCTGCAAACATCGCCGGCCCTCGCAAAGACCATCAGCTACAACCTGGCTGACATCGGCGAGGGCATCACAGAGTGCGAGATCATCCAGTGGTTCGTGAAGCCTGGCGATAAGGTCGCGCAGTTTGACAAGATCTGCGAGGTCGCGTCCGACAAGGCCACAGTAGAGATCACGTCAAGGTACGATGGCGAGGTGGTCAAGCTGTACTACAGCGACAACGAGATCGCGCTGGTCGGCAAGCCGCTCGTTGATATCAAAATGGACGGCGAGGGCCCTGCCGAGGCTAGCGTAGAGGAGGCGGCAGCCGAGGAGACCGCCGCCGAGAAGCAGCCCAGCCAGGCGGCTCCCAGCACACCTGTGGATCAGCCGACGCAGACGGCTTCGGCGCAGCCGCACGACTATTCGGCCTCTCGCACCAACGACGTCGTGTATGCTACGCCGGCTGTGCGTCGAATTGCGCGTGAGCACAGCGTTGATCTGAAGTTTGTCCCAGGCACCGGTAAGGAGGGCCGGATCCTAAAGGACGATGTGCTCCGGTTCGTCAACAACGGTCCTCCTGCAGTGCCTACTGCAGCCCAGACGCCGGGTGCCCCGACTCCCGGCGCCATCCAGACATCCCCCTCAGCCACGTCCTCGCATGCGCCGCTCTCCAGTGCGTCGGCTGTGGTCACTGGGACCGACCGCGAGCAGTCGCTGACGCCGATCCAGCGAGCCATGTTCAAGAGCATGACTGAGTCGCTGGGCATCCCGCATTTCCGGTTCAAGGACGAGATCGAGCTGGATGCGCTGATGCAGGCACGCACGCGCATCAACAGCTACCTGGGCAGTGACGCCGACGCCCCGATCACCAAGCTCTCGTACATGCCATTCTTCATCAAGGCCACATCACTGGCGCTTGCCAAGTACCCGATCCTGAATGCCAAGGTCATCAATGACGGAGCGCCGAGGCTGCTGTACCGCGCAGCGCACAATATCGGCGTGGCCATGGATACGCCGGGCGGCCTGATCGTGCCGAACATCAAGAACGTGCAGACAAAGTCGCTGATCGAGATTGCTGCCGAGCTGCAGCACCTGGTCAACAAGGGCAAGAGCGGCGCCATCAGCGGCGCTGATCTGAAGGGCGGCACTTTTACCTTGTCCAATGTCGGCATGATTGGCGGGACATATCTAAGCCCGGTTGTCGTCAGCTCGGAGGTCTGCATCGGCGCCATCGGCAAGACCCAGCGCCTGCCGCGCTACGAGTCGGTGGTCGAGGACGGTAGGGTCGTGGAGAAGGTCGTGCCCAAGCATATTCTTGTTGCCAGCTGGTCCGCCGACCACCGCGTTATCGACGGCGCCACCATGGCACGCTACGCAACCCTGTTCAAGCAGCTGATCGAGCACCCGGAGATCATGCTGGCCAACCTCAAGTAAGAACAGACCTAGAGTATCTATATTCCAAGAAAAAACATATCTTAGATCCTGCTGCTCATGATAGGAGGAACTTGTTGTTCTCGTAAAAGTCCAGCATCGGGTTCTCGCCCGAGCGCGTGCGCGTCTTGTCCAGGTCGGCGTTCTCCTTGGCAAACTGCCTCTGCGTGCACACCCGCGACTTGCCGCCTCTCACTGCATCGTACATTCGGCTCAGCAGCTCAAAGTTGGTTGGGAAGAAGATATCGAACCACCCTGGCTGCACCAGATATGTCTCGCATGGCACCATGGCTCCAGAGAACCTCGTCTGCACCACCGGCGCATCGACTGCATTCGGCACGGTGTCCGGCAATGTGAAGAAATCGCTGAGCACCAGCCGGTGGTGCGGGAAGTACTTGCTTAGGATCCTGCAGAACTGGAACGCCTGCGTCGGAATAAACTCGGCCTTGGTAAGGTTCGGTGGTAGTGGCAGCCAGTTGCGCAGTGTCCGGTAAGTGGATGACGGAATCGCCGGCGTCTTGTACGGAGGACTTGTAAGCGACGTGCGAACAGCAAGATAGTCGCGGATCAATGGATCGCTGATCCTCTCGTAGCATTCCTCGAACTCGCCATCGTCATAGACGCGCACCATGGCCTGGTACGGCTCGCTGGTGTCAAAGTCGTAGCGCACCACGTCGTGAGCAAAATTGTCAATGACCTCCATGGCCACAAAGTAGCAGTGCTTGTCGACAACCTCGTCCCACTCAAACACCGATTTGTTGATAATCTTGACGTTGGTGTGCGGCACCTTGCGGTCGCGTGTCTGCTGGCTGAGCTGGTGCCGAACAAGCTTGGAGCTGATCTCGATCAAATTGTACTCCATGCTGGCATAGATCTCGGGCTCGGTATCGCGCACATAGTCGAGGATGTTCATCATCAGCGTGCCGTTACCACCGCCCATTTCGAACACTGTCAGCGGCTCGCTATGCTTCCCTGTCCCGACATCCCGCTTGTACTGCTTCACGATATGGCTAGCCACCGAGTACCCGTACCAGGGCTTCAGAATCTCGGTCGGCGTGTGCCACAGCTGCTTCGGGATGTTGCGCACATCGTCCAGCTCACGCTCGATCTCCTCGTACTGCCTCCCGATCGTCTTTAGCAGATCGGCTGAGTCGCGCAACTCGCCAAACGGGTACGGTGTTGGCGGCGAGAAAATCAGTGCCTGCTTGGAAAAGTACCCGTACGAAGGGTTGTAGAGCGAGTCGTGGATGAAATCGCGGGTCAGCATCAGTACGTTCTTGGGCGGCTTTGCGAACTTTTGCGCACAGTATGCTGCGTCTACACGCTTGTAGGGGATGCTCGGATCGGCCGTCGTTGTGGGCATGCGCAGAATCTCCTGGGTCGTCTCCAGGTACCCCTTGAACGGCACTGCCGGAAGTTCCTGCTCCTTGAGCTTCTTGGGCTCCTTCTTGGGCTTCCTAATGGGCTTCTTGGTTGACATGTTCCGCAAGCCGGATCGGGCAACTGCCGATGCATTAACCTTCAGCGCCGATTGCCGCCACACCCTGCTGCTGGCCGTCGCCACAAACGATGCCATTTTCTACTGGTGTTTTTGCGGATGGTTGAGTCCGAGTCAGTGGGAGAGATGATGATATTTGGTCATTTTTCGTCGCTACCCTGATCCGACCCCGCTGCCTTGGAGAGGGGCGCTTCGTTGCTGCCGATGTGGGTTATGGATTTGCACTGATATTCGATTATGCTGCTGCCTGATCCCCTGCGCTCTCTGAAACGAGTGTTTTGGAAGTATCAACAAGGGCCTTCATATGTACAGACTCTGGTCATTATTGAGCGTGTGCCCAAAATACACGTTGCCACATGATGCAGCGTGTGCCAGTGCCTTTGTGTGCCTAATAATCCATACACCCACCAGCCTCTACAATTGAGTCAGTTTGATATTCACAGGCAAATAGTACCAAACAAGCAGTATTCTTGGGATCACAATGATGGGGACTTTGGTTGAATACTGCGAGGCTAGAGAATCGATCGGTTTCGTTTGCTATCAAAAAAGCAATGTCCGGAAATCAGCACCCCTTGCACAATGTAGCCAACAATACAGTTTCTGACACTGTATAGGTGGCTGCCAGTTAATGACGTCAAAGTGCTGTAAAAGCACTCGCTGGACATGCACGCATGGCAGCCCTCTCCCTCGCTTTCGCCAATACTCAAGCAGCTGGTATCCATCCAATAATCGGCTCCTCGAATCAAATGCCGGTACATCATGAATACTAATGAAACATGGATACCCTCCAAAGCATGCAATATGGTATCCACCAAACTACAGCCACTTGCTGCAAGCTCTATGCGATCGGTCTACTGCTGGTAGTGGTACGCACCACCCATCTTCCAACAGCAATACAAGGGTCATGGCAGGTGTTTCCAAAAGCAAATCAGCCTTCTCTCCATATCTACTTCAATGTACCACGGCCGTGCTACCACTATTCGGAATTGGTGCGTTGTCCGCATCGGACAAATCTAGCATCGAATCTCATTTTTGGGGTTGGTGGGATTGGTCGCAGTTTGGTAGTTTGTCCGCCATGGTCTGCACATGCCAGCGCGTTCCATGGAAGCCACAAAACCCGACATAGCAGCAACAGCAGCAGCACTGGCTGCATAGAGCGATGAAATTGCTGGCCCGGTGCCATTGCATGTCTGGCAAGGGCTGCAGTGCATTGCTCCATTCTGCCATTGCCTGCGGGTAATAGCAGGGGCAAGCAATAGCGTGCTTACAGTTGAGCCTCAAATTGACCCCTCCCCATCAAAATATACAGCAGCCAACAGCCCAGTGTGTCTTGACTCCAGATTGGCCGGGGGCTACAGTCTAGGTAAAGAACACTATTCGTGCAAGGGACAATCTTGCCTGGAGCCCGGTGGCGGGCTATGGCTTGCGTCCCGGCTGGCGACACATGCCATTGCATAATTGGCAGCTCTTGCACCATGCCTTCCGCCAGGCATTCACACAGTCGGCTATCCCAGGAGACAGCTTCGCCGACGTTGTGACGTGCCTGAGAGCTCTATGGGTGCGAATCTCCTGGGCTCGTGCACCGATCGCCTATGATGATGACATCAACCAATGCATTCCGGTGACGCGATGTCAACGTCAACATGCAGCGCACGCATAACTGGGGAGGCGCCTCATCCTCATCAGAAAAAAAAGACACAAAGAACTAGTTCAGCCCAAAACGTGCGTTCCGAACTCTGGGGGCAATCCGAGAATGCGCAAGATGGCGATGAGATCGTCGAGGTGTCTGGCTGGTGGGATTCGCAGATGGCTTGAAATATGCGTGGTCGGTAGCCCAGGAAAAAAAAAGCGCTTTAAATATAGCTAGGCTTGGTTATGCTTGGTACCGGGCCCCGAAACTGCTGCGGACACCCAGTTCTGGTCGGTCATGCAGGCGGAATCTAACTACAATATGGCTGTGGCGCACCGAAAACAACAACGGTCAGCAGCCTCTCCGTGGGCTTCTCAGAGGTATCGCCGGCCCCGGCTGTCCTAACATGGATACTGCGCAATGTCTACTTTCTACTGGCCATCCCCCTGCTCCCCGTGTTCACGCACACGGCATCATAAGGCCTGCTGGATGGACAAAGAAGGAAATAAGAAGTGGTTCGTTGCTGTGTAACCGGACGTGCCCAAGGGTGGCAACCCTTTGTGGCGCCACCGGGCTGTGGGAGCAGCAAATCTTGGTGTCTCACTGGGCGGGCTTGTTCATGGGCAGAACAAGGGGAGCGGCGATGGGAGGGATGGCCCAGCTTGGGCGTTTTATTTGCAAAAAAAAACAAATGGGCAAAGACCGACCTGTTTCTTGCAACTTTTTTGCCTGCCGTTTTGGCAGCCAACTTTAAAATGGCAGAAGGCAGCCTGCGAGCCAATCGAAACTACTGCCAGGACAGAAAAGGGCTGTGAAGAGCCCTTCTAAGGGGAGGAGTGCAGACCCCCCTCGCTTTTTTTAATTCCTGGCCACCATGCGATTTAAAAGGGGAGAGCCAGGGCGCACCGAATTAAAAATGTGGGTCTACTCCTCTTTTTCCTTTTCTCGCCCTGCTACAATAAGCCTTTTTCTTGTCTGCTATCTTTCCATTTCAAATACTTTATGGCTATCTCTGCTGACTAAACCACGAACAACAGCACCCACTCTAGAAGCACCCAACCCAACCCACAGCGCCTGCGCCCAGAGCCACTGTTGCATTTTCCCCCATGACCCGTACCGAGATGCCCGCGTACTCGTGGCAGGAGATACTCCCGTGGATGGATGCCATTCGCAAGCAGGCCACGGACCAATTCATCGAGGCCTGGCGTGCATCGCAGAAGAACAAGGCAAAGGACTTTGTCTGGCACGAGACGGTAAGTGCGCTTCCATTAATAGCCAGGCTGGCGCTCGCCCCGGGCGCACACTGCAAGGGCAGCGGGGGGAGCAGAGGCATGGGCATGAAATCAGCCAGTTCCTGAACTCGCTCCGGGCTTCATTTGCCCTGCTCCTCATCGCCCTCCTTCCCAGCGATCATGCAGACTCATGACAGGTCATTCCTGTCAGCTGTGACCCCGTCCTGTTCGCGCCAATTTTATTTGCCCTTTCTATTCTGCCCTCTCCCTATTCTACCCTGCATGCAGCTAGCGGCAGACATGCGGTTTTTCCTCCCCCTCTACTCCCCACCACTGACGTAGTTTGCGCCCAAATCTGTTTTTCCCGTTATGGCCAGGCTCGTGGAAAGGCAAATGAAAATTTTTTGTCGCCATAAAATGACTTCTGTATTCAGGTTTTTTTTCCCACCTGCGTGGAATTTATCGCACCATTTTTTCCCTTGGCATATACGGTAGATGGGGTATGTGGTGGTCAAGCGTGACGACGCAGCGAAGCGGGCCACACTGAGTCCGCGGGCTCCAGGCATACTAGCCGACCTTGGATGCGAAGCTGATCCGTCGCTCAGGACGCTCCATCCGTACACCCAAAATAAGGATCGCGCGGGGCCTTCCCAGGACTTCTTCCGAACCTGCTGGCGCCCAGCTCACGCCAAGTTTGCCATGAGATGTAAGTTCTGCCATGGGGCGACAAGGAAGGCGTAGCCCCTTCCTTTTTATGCCACTATTTGTGCCGCTCCCGTTCATAGCCGCCCTTTGTCGGCGGGGGCTGCAACATATCCCTTCCGCCGTATGCAGCTGCTCGGATGACCTTATGCGCTGCACGATGCAGCCCATCCCTCATCCATGAGGCAGTGGTGGTGCCCCCGCCCGGATGTGGCCGGAATGGCAGCTGCCTGTGTGCTGTGTGTTTCTGGCGATGCTCTTGCACCCCATGACCTGCTTCAGTTGCTAGTTGTTTTTTTTTTTTCTTGCCTGTACACTGCCAAACAGCAACCGAAAATCTCGTGCCGATTTTCTGCTGCGAGCCGAAGCGGGCTCCCGCCACTCGCTCGCCTGCAGCATATGAAAGAGGAACGCCGCCTGCATACCTCAGCGAATACACCAGATGAGCTCCAAACAAAAGGCGAGTCTGCCCCAGCACCAATCGAATCCTACAGCGGCCTCCTTCCTTCCTTCCTGATCGAGGTTGGCTGGGCTTCGGACGACGAAGCGGTCGATCCGATTTACGCATTCTCTCCGTTCAAAGAGCAGGCAGCATTCAGCCAGGGGCGGGCGGTGCGTGTTTGCTGCCTGGCGTCATACATGCAGCGGCTAGGCATTGTCCGAGGCGAGATTCTGTGCATACAACGTGCACTATTTTTGGAGGGAGGGACGGCGGGACGGAGCGCCAAGAATGACATATGCGCTGTGTGCCTCTGTGCCCAGCGGCAGGGGATTGACATGCCATTGCTAATCAGAAATACACATGTGCGTGTTGTTTATTTTAGGCTCGCCGTACTATTTTCGCAACTTCTCGCTGAACCAACTTGTATACGAGCTGCCCGAGAGTCTAAGGAGCCGGCGCGAGGAAATCAAGAGCCGCCTGGCGCCCGACGAGATGCTGCTGTCCATCAGCCAGTTCCCGCTGCTGGGCGCCGGCTCGTACATTGAGGACCAGGGCTCGCTCGACGGACCGCTCCTGCACAGCAAGCTGCTGTCCGACGACACCCTCAATGCAGTGCCGCCATTCACCCTCGAGATCAACGGGATCAGCGATCGGCGCGGCGAGGTGCCGCTGACCAGCGTGCCTGTCTTCCACGATACCAACACGCCGTGGCCATTTGTCGACCCGATCCTGGGCGCCTCCACGCCAGACCGCGCCAATGGCCGCGACTCCGCATGCATGCTCGGTGATGCGAAGCCGCAGGAGCTGCTGCCTGGGCCAAATGCGGCCAGCGGCGCTTCGGAAAACTTTGACAGTGACGCGGTGTGCCCCGAGGGCGAATCGACCGACAGCTGTCTGTTCCTGGACTCGCCGCTGTTTGGAATCGGTAGCGGCGGCGTTCTGCGTGTCACAATGTGCGCTGCTGACCTCGAGGAAGCCCGCATCCTCTACGACAATCTGGCGCCAATGAGCGCTATCATGGTACGTATTGCCCCTTTTGCTCTCAGACGAGAACAAAAAAAAAAAAAAAAACTCGGTGCTGGCGATTTCAGGCGAATGCTTGGCAGGTTCGCACACAGCCCCTCGAAAACAGCACAGTCCTGCTGTTGCTAACCAGAGCGGATTCTTGCTTCAATCTGTAGCTAGCCCTCACTGCTGCCACTCCAATCGTGCGGGGACACTTGACCAACCGCGATTGCTACTGGAACACACAGTGCAGCGCTGTCGACGACCGCTCGGCCCAGGAACGCGGAATAGTGGTAGGTATCATCGGAAATCATCGGATGGCTATGGCCCATCTCATGTCGCACATGCAGCACCAAGTCTTGGGCTGCCACAGTATTATCACTCGATACTAAACATGTTGCGCAAACACCAAAAACCGCACCTGCCTGTAGCCCATCACGACGGCCAAGGGCATGCTCCACAAGTCGCGCTTCGGCACAGTTGATGTTTTGCTCAGCCCCGGCCCACGCAGCGCCGATCTGTCGTTCCGGCCGGAATTCAACGACGGCCAGTACATGTACGACGACAACTCGTACTGGAAAATGCGCGAGGGCGGAGTCGACGACCTGCTGGCCAAGCATGTCTCGCGGCTGTTCATCCGCGACCTTCACTATGCCTCCGACCATCTCCTGCAGCAGACAAAGAAGGACAGCAAGGCCGAGTCGAACGGCCAGGAGCACTTCAAGCGCTTCCTCGGATGCAACCGCCAGAACGTCTGCCTGTACCCGCCCAACATCAAGACCGGCAGCGGCTGGGAGGTCGAGTTCATGTCGCTCGAGGTCCAGCTGACCGACGAGGAGAACGCCGCGCTCATCACATTCATGGTCCTGCTGAGCCGCGCCATCCTGTCGTTCCGCCTCAACCTCTATTTGCCTATTTCGATGATGGACGAGAATACCGACCGCGCCCAGAGGGTCAATGCTGCCAAGGAGCAGGTGTTCCTGTTCCGCCGCGACCTGTACACGGGCCGCGACGGCAAGTCTGGCGGCTCCGGTAGGATCTGGCGCCGCATGGCTGCTGCCGCTGCCAAGGACGCGCCCGCTGCCAGGAGGGGCCAGTCGGGCTTCATGGTCAGGGACCACCGCGCCCCGTCCTCGTCGACACTCGTCGACAGCCAGCCATACACCGCAGAGTACATTGAGCTGACGCTCGACGAGATCATGAACGGTGCGCCGCAGTTCCGCGTCGTCGGTCTCCTGAACGCCGTGCGCTCGTATCTGAGCTCCCTGCAGCTGGAGCTGGACGTCGAGATCAAGCTGCGCCAGCAGCTGAAGCTGATCGAGAACCGTGCCAAGGGACAGACATCCACCCTGGCCGCGTACATAAGGGGCTTTGTGCAGAAGCACCCAGACTACCGCCAGGACTCGATCGTCCCGCCGTCTATTAACTACGACCTTATGCGCACGCTTCATGACATCGAGGACGGCAAAATCAAGGCGCCCGAGCTCCTGGGATAGTTCGCCAGCCCCCCCCCACTGCACCAGCATCTCTTATATTGATATCCACCCCACACACCCACACATCTCCACACATCTCCATCTGTCTATTTACCTGCAAGCATATGTTCTAACCACCTACTTCTGTCTTTTGTGCACTTAGTAACGAATTCAATACCCAATCCTCTTAGAAAAAAAAAAAACGTGAAATGAATACTTTATGAGCGACCACTGTTTTGCGTTTCCTGCACAAGCTTGGTGAACAGGCTGTCCTCGTTTGCAAGCAGATTCTGCGGGCTGTCGTACTCTGCCAGCCGGCCGCCGTCCATGACCAGGATCATGTCGCTATCAAGAACAGTGTTGAGACGGTGGGCGATGGTAAGGACTGTGCACTCCTTGAACTCGCTGCGAATCGTCTCTTGGATGACTGCATCGGTGGCGTTGTCAATAGCGGCGGTGGCTTCATCGAGCACCAGGATCTTGGCGCGCTTGAGCAGCGCACGGGCCAGGCAGATCAGCTGGCGCTGGCCAACGCTGAAGTTCTCGCCGCTCTGGGCAACAGCAAACTCCAGACGCTGGTCCTTGGAGCGGATAAAGTCGCCCAGGTGCGCGTTGTCCAGTGCACACCAGATCTCCTCGTCGGAGTATTTGCTGAACGGATCCAGGTTCTCGCGGATCGTGCCGGCAAACAGCACCGGATCCTGGGGGATGATCGACAGTCGACTGCGAACATCAAAGAGACCGAACTTGGAAACATCCTCGCCGTCCAATAAAATCTGACCAGACGATGCCTCGATGATACGGAACAGCGCCAGAGTCAGCGACGACTTGCCAGCGCCAGTGCGTCCAACGATGCCGACCTTCTGGTTAGGCACGACGCGGAACGACAGATCCTTGAGCACCAGATCCAGACCTTCGCGGTAGCGCGTCGAGTAGTTGCGGAACTCTACGACGCCCTGCTCGGGCCAAGTCTCTAGCGGACGGCAGTCTTCAATTACCTCTGGTGCCTCGCTCTCCAAGCGCGAGTAGTCCATAGCACGCTCGGCTGATACCATTGTGATTTCGAGTGCAGCAGTGGCCCTCACACAAGAGTTTAGAACACCAACCATCGATATCGCATATGTCAACGACAGACTAGCATACCCGCTGTCCAGCGACCCGACGAAATACAAAGTCAGCACGAGCAAGAGCGTAGTCGCAAGGATAATGAGCGCAGCAACCAGGTCCAGGCGGCATGCCAGCCAGCGATTGGCAAACAAAAACGTCCAAAGAGTCGTGGTAAACGCCTCAGAGCGTGCTGCACATCCCTGCTCGAACGACGCCTTGCGGCCATATGCCCGGATCGTAGCAGCGCCCTGCACTGCCTCCTCCGTGCTGGTAATCATGGAGTTGCGCGCTGTGTTCTGGATACGACGAAGCTCGCGTGACGTTGGCATGTACAGTCTCTGGATCCAGATGAAAATGTAGGCAACAGGCAGGATAAACACCAGCGACAAGGGCACAGCGACAACAATCAGGGCCAGCGCAATAGCAGTTCGCAAGATGTTGTTGAGCCACCATCCAAAGAATTTCGGGATGTTCTCGTCGATCTGCGACTGGTCGCTACTGAATAAGCCCAGGATGCGGCCCATGGGTGTTGAGTCGAAGAACGACATGGGCGCGTGCAGCACACTCTGCAGCATCTGCGCATGCGTGTTTCTGGCTCCGTTGACTGCACATACGAGCCACAGCAGCATCCACACACCAATCATCGACAGAGCGCTAGCCATGCCCAGCACACTGTAGACAGTCAGATAGTAGAGAGCCTGGTTAGCAGAGTCGCCGTCTCCACCCTCGTTGAGCCTGGTCCAGCGTGCGAGCCACAGGCTGCTGCCGACTGAGAAGAGAAGAGCAATGATCGATGTGGCCACCAGCATGATGATACTGCGTGTGCCGCAGGCACGGATGTAGTACATTATTGCTCCGAATCCAACTGAGCCAACATGCTGCTGCTCGCCCTTGATAATCGCATGCTCTGTGGTGCTGTGAGTCTGCACGGTGGCATCGTGCACTTCTGAGCTAACGCTAGCACAGCCCAGGGTGCGTCTACGGATCGGCTCCTGGGCATCAGCCAGCGAAGGTTCCGAATCAAGCTGAGAAGCAGCGCCAGTTTCGCAGCTATCCGCCTCGTCTAGCGAAGCTGTGCTGGTGGTCTCGGTAGCAACACCTTCCATGAACTCGAACGCCTCACCTTTTGACACCGCTAAATGAGCAAATGCCCCCTGCTCGACCACTTTGCCGTCGTGCAACATCACGATCTGGCTCGCAGCATCCAGATACTGAAGGGCGTTGGTAACGAAAATGCGAGTGCGAGTTTTCAGCAGACCATTCGGGCCTAGAATATGGTTAAAGATGTGCTTGCCGACATGGGCATCGACAGCAGATAGCGGATCGTCCAGCAGATACACATCGGCGCGGGCGTAGACAGCGCGGGCTAGAGACACACGAGCCTTCTGGCCACCCGACAGATTGATGCCCTTCTCGCCAATCTCGGTCATATCTCCGCCAGCAAGCACCTCGAGGTCGGCGCGAAGCGCGCATGCATCGATGACCCTGTCATAAAACTCCTGCTCGAGCTTGTTGCCAAATAGGATGTTTTCTCTGAGCGTAGCGTTGAGGATCCACGGTTGCTGAGGTACAAGGGCAACCGATCCGCGTACAGTCACCGAGCCAGCAGACTTGACCATATCGCCCAGCAATGCCGAGATGACTGACGATTTCCCCGAGCCGACCTTGCCGATAACCGTGACAAGCTCTTCGCGATGGCACTGAATGCTGATGTCCTTGAGGATGCTGCCTTCATCCGGACACCATTTAAAAGACCCTTTAGTGATCTCAACAAGAACATCATCCGATGAAGCAGTCTCCGCATACCGGTCATATTCGGTGTTTTCAACCGCATGCGGGTCGCGGTCAGCGCTCAGCACAAAATTTCGGATGCGCCTATACGACTGGACAACGCTGACAGCCATTGATAGTATCGGTGGCCCCTGCGAAATCGGATCCTGAATCATGAAAAATAGAGCCAACGAAACAAATATCAGCTGCGACGTCAGCGGACCATGGCTCTCGCCATCAAACGCCGCGTATGTTGCAAAAGTAGTCAAGGTGATGAGCACGGGCGTGAGCGAGCTGACCAAAGAGACCATCGAGTTCCAGATGCCCATCTGCCTTAGCGCCTTCAGCTCTCGGGTGTTGCGAATATCCTCGATTTTGGACACAAACGCTCGCTCCCACGCGTACAACTTGATGGCCTTCATGTTGCTGAATGTTTCGGCGACTACACGCATCCTCTGGTCGCGCTGCTGCATAAACTGCTTTGTACTGGCACCAACCTTGTTAGCAAGACGTATGTTGACATACGTGCTACCCACAACCAATGCAAGGCCAACTAGGCAGCTCCAGCCGATGGTCGTGTAGAGCAAGTAAACTATGACGATAACTTGAAGTGGAATATTCCAAAAATCATGCATGTAGTGGATGAATGCGGCAACGTTATCGGCGTCTACGCTTAGATAGGAGACTATCTCACCAGTCGAGTGGTGTGTGCGTGCTTCGTTGGAGATTGTCAGCGCTTTGCGGAATATGATGGCTGCAAATACCCTGTGTAGATACATGTACAGGAACGTAAGTGCAAACCAGTACATCTGAAACATGAGAGCCTTGATGACTGCTGGTACAGCCATGCACACGACAAGGAACAATCCATATTCAATCGCGCTGCCTTCGGGAGTGCCATATGTCTGTATGAACCCAATAGCCTTCTTAAGCACAAGCGGCTGCAGTAGTAGTGCCGTGGTGGCGGCCGCCAGGTAGATGCCGCCTTCGATAAAGTGATGCAATTCGGCTCTACTCAAGACACGCATAAGCGACGGACTTGGCTTCTGCAATTCGCGACTCCAAGCTCCAAAGAACTCGTTTGCGGCAGTCTGCCCACGGCATCCCTTGTGGAGCGGGTACGTGTCATCCATTTTGAACACCTGTGTTGTGTAAACGGCTTTTAGGGCCGGAGTAACCCACGAGTATGTTAGTCGCGAATATATGTTCGCATGCGCTCTAGGGTTGTACCGCTCACCATCGCACTCCAGGCGGAAATAGCGTTCCGAGGGAGTGACCTGGAGTTCCAAGTAGAACACAGTGGCAACGGCCACCAAATACACAGCCTGCGGCCATTGGGTCGGCCAGTCACCAGGAAGTTTGCCGGACCGGTAACTGTTGCGCACAGACATCGCCGCCACAACCCAGTTAGCAGGCCAGAATGTAATCAGAATATCCGATGTGTATACGCTGTGTCTGTGCTGAAGAACGTGGAGCCTCAGTGCTGCTGCGGCCGCCAAGACCTGAGCGGCCGCCGGAATGATAGCTAAAAGTCTCCATTCGACTGAGACAGCCAACTGGAGCACGGAAAAAGATCGATATGCTGGTAGCTAGGAACAGTGATACAAATTTGGTATGGGTGGACCAAGGACATGGGTAGTAAGAGCGGTCAATGCACGGGAGCGTTGCCAGCTGAGGCGACCGAATGCATGCCGCCACAACAACTGCCAAGCTTATAGCAGCAGACGCTAGGCTCGTCCATTCTTCGACTGATAGCGAAATACTCGGCAGGTAACTGTCTGCCATCTGCAAAGAAAGTATAAATTCCAATTGAGCAAACAGCAAAAGGAACTGTTAACCTTGGAATAGGACGAGTGTTTACGAGCGTGTATGTGAGCTAAATAAAGGGTGAAACAAGATTGACTGGAGGAAAAGGGAGGTCCGGTCGGCCTGAGGTCTGATTTTATGTGGTTTGGTTGTTGGTATGGTGACGTGGGAGTGGATCGGCACTCCAATGTCAACAGGAACTAGAGGAAGCTAAGAAAGGTGGGGAAAAAGTCCAACAACCCATGGTTCATGCCATGCGGCCATGTATATCTGGAAATCCGAGTGGCCAATCTTATGACTCAGGACTGTGTAGTCTTTTTTAAAGTAAGCTCTAGCATGCTTAGGCTCGAGAAGACAGGTGGCTCTAGACAGGTTGCCAGAATGCTGGGGAGAATGAAAATGACTGCGAATAAACCGGCGTGAATAAACCGGCGTGAATAAAGGAGATCCATAGAACACACAGAAAAGGCTTTATGCCAAGCTGTTGCTTGCTCATCAAGTGCGTCCTTCCTGAAGATACTCTAGGACGGTGCTGGTATTTGTATCCAGAATGCAAATCGATGAGTATATCTTGCTATGATCCATACTCAATCGCACCCAGATCAAGGTTACATAGATCGTATTTGCGCAGCCACTCTTCATTAAGAAAAAAAACAGTATTCCCTAATTTTCCCTTTTTGTTGTTTTAAAGCACAATCCCCTGCGTCTACTTTTATCAACACAGCTTTGTTTTCACTATGCGAAAGGACGTGATGCTGACTCAAGACGAAATCACGCAGCCCACTCAGCCGACACAGCCCACGCAGCCCACCCAGGAGACTCAGCCCACTGACACAACCCAGAAACCGCCGCGCAACGAGCACAAAAGCGAGCCCGATGTATTTGCGCATCTGGTTCCGCGACACCCGCACCTTCGGCCTGTTGCAATGACCGTTAGTAAGTTACTTGGCGATGGCTACATGATCGGGCGGCTGAACAAGTGCGACATAGTGCTGGACCGCAACTATGTCAGCAACACACACTGCCGACTATACATGGAAGAAGATCCCCAAACAAACCAACAGAGTCTGTATATTGTCGACGTGAGTACCAATGGTACATATATCAATGACCAGATCTTGGGCCGCGACAACCGCACACTACTGTTCCACATGGACCGGGTCGGATTCCTGCAGGCAATCGACGCACTGCCATCGGATGTGGCATTGGAGTATAGCGTTGAGCTGGCCAATTCCAGTAACCAGACTACGGGCCAGCCCAAATTTGACCCAGAGGTATTGCGTGTATACGACTTCAAGCGCGAGATTGGTGCAGGCAACTTTGCCAAGGTGTGGATGGCAATCCACAAGCCAACCGGCACGGCATGCGCCTGCAAGGTGATCAATAAGAAACGGCACCTGTTCAGTAGCGGACTCTCAAAGGTCTTTGAACGCGAGGTCAGCATCTTGAAGCAGCTAAAGCAGGCACACGTCGTGCCATTGCATGAGCTGCACATCGATAAGGAGCGTATCTACATTTTCATGGAATACCTGGATGGCGGCGACCTATTTTCTTATCTATCAGAGCACGGTCCCTTCACTGAGTCCGGGTGCCGGCCGATCTTCAAGCAGATCTGCAGTGCAGTGCGGTATCTGCACTCGAACGGCGTCACCCACCGTGACCTGAAGCTGGATAATATTCTGATCAAGAAGACGCCAAGTGGAGCGATTGCGTCAGTCAAAATCGCCGACTTTGGACTGGCAAGGGCGGTGAGCGACGGGGACCTGATGCGCACGATCTGTGGCACGCCCAGCTACTTGGCACCAGAGATCATATGCCGCAACTCGACGTCGACTCCGTACAGCAAGAGTGTTGACATCTGGGCACTGGGTGTCGTGCTGTATGCGCTGCATCTGAACAGCTTCCCGTTCTCCAAGATGCTGCTAACGGGTGAGACAGGGAAATCAATTGAGTCCTATTTGAAGGCCAGCAAGCTGACCGACTCAAACCTGAAGTACATTCGGCTGTCAGAGAGCCTGCGCAATCTGATCGAGGGCATGCTGAATATTGACCCGGAGCTAAGGATTACAATTGACGCGACAGTGCTACACCCGTGGGTGCAGACAAGTGAGGACGGTACGCCTGGTCCGTTGTTTGAGCCCCACGACGTGTGGGGGAGGCTGGTTCCGGTGCGCAGCAGCGGTGAGGGTGACAGTGGATCCAAGGGGAGGCTGTTGCCCATCGACCTCTTCCGCTACCGCACCACAGTGGGTCGCAGCAGCAAGTGCCATATCCAAGTGCAAGATCCGCGTATTTCGTCTCAGCATTGCGAAATTCTGTTCAGAAATGGCAAGGCCAGCGTCCGCGACACCAGCCGGGGGTCATGCTGGGCAAATGGGCGCATAATTGGACCCAGCAATACAGCGATACTAAACGACCACTCTACGTTCTCGCTATGCTCGCTGTCGGGGGGCTTCGGGTCCGAGCGCCGCCCCTATGAGTTCCAGATCCAGGTTCTGGACAAGCCCTGGAAGCGCATCTGGGTGACTAGCCAGCCGGAAGCTCCCCGGCGGCTGTCGCTGGAGATGCATACGCGCCACGCAGCAGCTGATAGGATTCTCAAGGGTGGCGGATCAGATGTGGCTGGGGAATCCGAGAACTGTGCCCTGCAAAGCTGCCCATCGCAGCAGCAGCAACCGCCGCCGCTGGTGATGCCTGTGCAGTCAGCGCACCTCTCGCATCTTTTGTTTGGAGGCGCCCAGGTAAGTACATCCAGCGAGCAGTTTGCTATAGGTGGAATATTATCCGGGCTCTGTAGCGTGTACAACAAACTCAAAAGATGCTGGGCTCTGCTTGAATAGAAGGCGTACGCTGTGGGGGGAAAGATCCTGTTTGATCCGGACTCCACGGCGCTCGAATTGGCCATTGGCACCGAGAAACGCAGCCCTTGGATAGTGCTGAGTGTGCTCGATGGCGAGTTCCCGCAGCTAGTCTGCTACGACCGCCGCATCACGTTTGGGCGAAGCACCGCAAGCACCGTTCGTCTGGACGACGCCCACATCAGCACCCACCATTGCGAGGTTTTCCTGGATGCTGACGAGCACGGCCTGCCAGTGCCTCGGCTCAAAAGCACAAGTCCAAACGGCACTTTTGTCAACGCTGAGCGGGTCGAGGAGACTGTCGATCTGGGAGAAAACGACGAAATCGTGCTGCTCTACGACAACATCGGGGCAGCGGCTGCCGGGCGGGCGTGGTTGGGGCAGCACCGGGTGCTTGACAGTCACGGATATCCCGGTAAGTACATCGCCACACCCCCACTCTGCTCAGACAGGGTGCTCTGCCCAGCGCCGGAAAGTTTTTTTGGCTGCCATGGCACCAAATTAGGGCATGAGGAAAAGTGTGGGGTGACGAGGTGGACGAGCAGCCTGTAGCTGTACCGATGTTCGATGCTGGCTGTGGGGCGGGTGCAGCTAGAAATTCTGCGAAAGGCAGGTGTGTGTAATTACAGGCGCTAACTCTCGTCCTCAGCTGTAGTGCTCATTGGGTACAGGGTCGCCATGGTTTGCTCAAGCGCGCAGTAGGTGGCGAGGCGGATATTTTCAGTGCTTTTGGAACCACCCCAAGGGCGGCATTGCAAAACTGATCAACCGACCTCGGTTTGTTTTCCTCCCTCAGCGTAACATAAAATCGCGCCTGGAACACTCTGGCTGTCCACGTCAACGTAAACAGTTTTTCTCACAGAGCCTTTTTTCTATTGATAAAAGTTTGCTTCTACAGCCCCTGCGCCTGCCCGGTATCCCTCTCGTCCCCACGTTTCATTCCATTACTGCCTTTTACCAGCATATTGGGTAACAGGATACTTTACATATGCAATCACTAGTGCCCTCGACAAAGCTGGCTGCCCGCGCATTGCGCCCCACCCAGCCCATGCGCCGCCTCACGACTTCGCCACGCACACTGCAGGCGATCACAGACCAGAGGCTGGCGCAGGTTCCCACGACAAAGGTTCCCGCGGGCGCTGCTGGCATCAAAACGACGACCTCGCCGGCAGAGCAAGCACGGCTGGACGCCGAAGCCAAGCGCGCGCACGACTCGCACGTCGAGAAGCTTGAGGAGGAGCACAAGCGGATGCTGGAACGGTATGACGAATCGCAAAAGATCCTCGACAAATACTCCGTCATGCCTGGCAAGAGCGCTGACTATATGGGCATCCTGCAGCGCATCAACGACGCCAACCTGGCCGACGCCAAGGCGCACAGAGAAGAAGCCGCTGGTGCTCAAGAAGATCAGCGACTCGTTCACGGAGACATTCCTGCGCTTCAAGGACAACAGGGCACTGAGGGAGGAGTATATCAACTTCTACGGCGAGATCCGGCTCGGCAAGGTGCTTGAGGATCTGGACCGGCTGGCAGGCGCCGTCGCTTATAAGCACGCGTCGGATCAGCAGGGCGAGCTGGCACCGATCGTGTTTGTCACTGCGTCTGTCGACCGCATCGACTTGAAGCAGCGCCTCAGCCCGAACAAGAACTACCGCCTGGCAGGTATGGTCACGTATGTCGGGTTCAGCTCGCTGGAGATTTATATCCAGGTGCAGCCTGTGACTGAGCCCGGGATGCCGGCCGAGGCCGAGCCCAACCTGGTTGCCCGCTTCACCATGGTGGGCCGCGACAAGTACACCGGCAAGTCCTCGCAGGTCAACCCGCTGCTGCTGGGCGACGAGAGCGAGCGCCGCCTGGTCAAGATCTCGGAGCAAATCAAGGAGCACAAAAAGACGATTGCCCAGACCAATCTGTACAAGCGCCCGCCCAGCGAGGAGGAGACCATGGTGATCCACAACCAGTGGATGGAGACGAACAAGTTTGCGTCTAGCGGATATGGAACGCATGTCAACCTACCGACAGACATGGTGTGGCTCGACAAGACCGTGATGGAGTCGGTGACTGTATGCTTCCCGTCGGAGCGCAACGTCCACAACAAGATCTTTGGTGGGTATCTGATGCGCCTGGCGCACGAGCTGTCGTTCGCCAACGGCGCCGTATTCACGCACAGCCGGCCGTCGTATGTGTCGCTCGATGATTTTTCGTTCCAGAAGCCCGTGAATATCGGGTCGATCCTGAAACTCACGTCTCAGGTCGTGTATTCAGAGCCAGAGAACAAGACCTTCCAGGTCGCGGTATCGGCTGATGTCATCGATAACCTGCAGAACAAGACCGAGCGCACAAACACGTTCTACTTCAACTTCCACTGCCCCAATGGTCCTTGTGCGCCGCGTCGTGCCTCGCTCGTACAAGGACATGATGAAGTACTTGGAAGGCCGCCGTCGTGCCCAGACCGGCAAGATTATCTCGCGGCTGCAGACCGCCATGCGCGAGAACCGGCACCCAGTATAAGCAGCTCAGCAGAACTAGAAAACAATAGCCTGTAGCCACCTGATGGGACCTGTATATGAATATAGACATTCGCTAGATGAAAAAGTCCGCCCTCTATGGTAGATGCTGGAATGCAAGAATAAGCAGCCAGGAGAGCGAACGAGGCCTATGCGAGCCCCTTCGTGGACAACGGACCACTAGGCTTCTCGAACAAGTGGGGCTGGAAGCAGCTCAGCCGATGCCCTCACACATATATCTGTGCATACAGCTACTCCTGACCTCTGTATTTGCTGTCTCCGGTGCAATTTCTATCGTCCTTTACAGCGAGTACTGATAGCATCCATTTGCTTTAGAAATGTAAAAATGAAGACAGAAAAACTGGCCTTAGTCCATGCGGCCCTTGAGATCCCGCGTAATGACCCCGTCCTTGGTGATGACATGCACAACCGCGCCCCATCCGCTCATAGCATCGCGGTCCACGGCGTTCAGCAGCGCTTGCGAAATGGTCTCAAACAGCTCCTCAGGCTCCAGATCGGGCTCCCACAGCGACTCGCACATGCCAAACAAGTTGTCGCTGGCCGTTCCGCTGACAATAAAGTCTTCGGCGTAGTTCGGGCATCCCGATCAGATCCATGCCGCACACAAACGGCTTGTTGTCCTTATCCAGTCCGGCGATTACCGGCTCCACAAAGTACGGTCCGAACCGGCGCTCATACAGCATGTGCGAGACCAGGTTCGAGAATGTCTTGGGCTCGATAATGCGCTCCTCAGCGCTGCCGGTACAGGTTCACGTTGAACCGGAACCGGTCGTACAGAGTCTTCACATCCGTTGCCAGTCCCAGGGAGCCCAATGTACGTGCGGTCTGTGATCGGGAACACTTTCTGGAAGTTCATATCCACTGTCAGCGCGCGCTGTCCCAGGCGCTTATCCGCCGCGATAGCCACGCAGTTCTTCCCCACCATGGCCACGACGGCCGACCCGTTATATTCCATGATCGACTACATCGAGCGCTTGTTTTAGAGGTGGTGAACAGAATCTCGGCCGCGCCATTTTGAACCATGGGTGTGGCATTAGTCGGGCTCTTACCATTTTCGAGAGTTGTTTGCTGCTGTAATGCACGCGCTCAGAATATCTGTCCTTGCTGACCGGTCTGCTAAGAGTAGAAGACCTCTGCGATGAGAGAATAATGAGAGTATTAAACGTGTACCTTGAATTGGGAGCAAGGGAAAGGAGCAGCAGAAAAGCACGTCAGTTCTCTTTAAGCAGCCGCAAGCGCATCTGTGGACACCTGCGCTAGCCAGCGCATACGCAAGTGCTGACGACGCAACCGCGGCTATTGATTGATTACCAGATCATATCACGGCAGCGGAATCACCGCCTGTGATCAGCCCTATCTCATCTGCGTTCAGGCCTGTGGATTTTTATCTCTAAAATACCTGAGGTTGAAGCGCCAGGGCTCAAGCCCTTGACAGTCTCGAAATTTGCTGCTGTTGCAAGCGTGCCTCCCCTTCTCTCCATACGCTCTTTTTGTTGTCTTTTTAGATTCCGCATTTATTCAGCGCTGTCAATTTCTCGGCCCGAGGGACAGGATTCGCAACACTCAATCACATCAGCAGACCTCAGTAACACAGGACAACAAGAATGCTTGCCAGAATCAGACCCGGTATGATGAGCAGCGCCGCCCAGCGTCTTCGCATGTTTGGTATGCGTCAGTTCAGTGCGGCTACCGTCCGGCGCAGCGACGCGATCTTTGTGCACCGCGATACGCCCGAGAACAACCCGAGCATCCCGTTCGAGTTTTCCTCGACGAACCTCTCGGAGGCGCAGAAGATCATGGCAAAGTACCCTCCTCAGTACAAGAAGGCGGCGATGATCCCGCTGCTGCATTTGGCGCAGAAGCAGAACGGCTGGACGTCGCTCTCGGTGATGAACTACATTGCGAAGCTGCTTGAGGTGCACCCGATGCGCGTTTACGAGGTCGCCACTTTCTACACCATGTTCAACCGCAACCCTGTTGGCAAATATTTCCTGCAGGTGTGCACCACCACGCCGTGCGAGCTGTGCGGCGCCTCCAAGATTGTCAAGGCCATCGAGGACCACTAGGTATCAAGGTCGGCGGCACTACTCCGGATAAGCTGTTCACTCTTGTTGAGGTCGAGTGTGCCGGCGCCTGTGTCAATGCGCCTGTGGTGTCAGTCAACGACGATTACTTTGAGGACCTGACCCCTGAGAGCACCGTCAAGCTGCTGGATGACCTGAAGGCAGGTAAGGAAGGTCAAGCGCGGGCCTCTTAATGGCCGTATTAACTGCGAGCCGCTTGGCGGACAGACGACCCTGACCACACCGCCGCCTGGCCCGGGCTTCATGGTCCGTGAGGACCTGTAATTTTTTACCTTCTTGTCCACCCACACCCGTTCTTTCAGCACAATCCCACTACACTTTTAAAAAATATATACTTTCTTTCTCCCACATGAGCGGGTTCAGCTGATATCGTGATCAGGGCAAGAAAATCTATGTTGCATATCATGGCGGATGGCACGGCATGGTCCTGGGATGATGTCCTACCGCACCTCATGTATAGGTAGGCAATGTGGTCAAGATAGTTATCTCGTGAATAGAATGGGAAAGCTATTAATCGAATTTGTAAAAGGGGGGAACTGACGTATGAAACACAGGGATATATAAAACTGGGGGCTTAGATCATTTGGGTAGGGGCGTTCTTGCCGTAGGCAAACAGCAGACCAGCGAGCAGACCAGCAGCAGGCAGGGTGATGATCCATGACAGGAAGCACCAGCTGAGCATCTTCCAGTTCAGGGCGCGCCAGCTGCCGTTGCACAGGCCGATAGAGGTAATGGCACCAGTGATGCAGTGGGTGGTCGACACGGGCAAACCAATCTTGGAGGCAGTCAGGACAGTGAGCGAGGTGCCAAGCTCAGCCGAGAAGCCACGGCTAGGCGACAGATAGGTGACACCGTTGCCGAGCTTGCGCATGACATGGTAGCCGTAGGTGAGCAGACCAAGATCAATGGCAGCACCGGCCATGGCCAGAATCCAGCTGGGCACCTGAGCCTTGCCCGAAGGGTCGACCTTGGCAGTACGCCAGATATCGTAGATGGCAGCAATAGGACCGGCGGCGTTGGCGACATCGTTGGAGCCGTGCGAGAAACTGGCAAGGCACGCAGTGATGACCTGCAGGAACGAGAACAGGTACTCGGTATCGCCGTCGAACTTTTGGGCAGCCTCGTGGACAGACGCCAGCTTCTGGTTGTCGAGGTTGCGCACATCCTTGCGCACGCCACGCAGGAACAGATCCTTGGCCATAGTGAACAGCGACTTGACCCGCGACTTCTCCTGCTCCTGGAACTCAGCCTCGTTGTTAGACTCAGACTCAATGGTCTTGCCGCTGGCAGTGATCTTCTCCTGGATCTCGGTGCCATCACCGTTCTCCAGGCCACCCGGAATCTCCTCAGGGGCAGGGGCAGACGGGCGGGGCTTGACAAAGTGAATGACAGGGATGTGGAACCAGCGCACGTTCTCCTTGTTGATGACACGGCGGCGGAGCCACGGCACAAAGAGAACCCAGGCCAGGATTGTGACACCGGCAGCAACACCGAAGCTGATGCCAACAATAGTACCGATCGACATCTTAGCGGCCTTGGTGCCCGGGGCGCCCTTGTAGATCAGGTAGAAAGCACCGATGAGCGAGGTGATGAAGAAGTAGATCGGGATAGCCTTGATTCCGCGCTCCAGCGAGTTCACACTCTTGAGCACAAAGATCTTGGTCGGCATGTAGATAATGGCAGTGACGATACCGGCGGCCACCGGCGAGACAAACCAGGAGGTGACAATCTTGGCCACACCCGAGTAGTCCCACTTGATAGTATCACCGCCGAAGGCAGCAATGCCGACACCGATGATGGCACCGACGATCGAATGCGTGGTTGACACAGGCATACCGAACCTGCACGCAGTGAGGACCCACACAGCCGAACCAGCAACAGCGCACAGCATACCGAGCATCATCAGCTCGGGCTGGGGCACGAAGAGCTTGACATCCATGATACCGCTCTTGATGGTCTCAGCCGTGTTGGAACCAAGCAGGAAGGCACCAAGGAACTCTGTGAACACGGCAATAATGCAGGCCTGCGCAAGCGTCAGCGAGCCCGACGAGACACTGCTAGCAAATGAGTTGGCCACATCGTTGGCACCAATGCCAAAGGCATCGGCGCAAGCCGCAATGATACCCAGAACGAAGATCCAGGTGTAGTCGTGAATTTCCATCATCTTGAGGAAGTCCTTTTCTGAAGTGTATGTGAACTAGCTGAAAAGGGAGTCTTGGAAGATTAAAGTATACCCAGCTTCTCTGCAACAGGTGGTAAGGAACCGCGGTGTGAGAGCTGAAAAAGTGGGGAACTTGCTGACTAAATGGCTATTGTGTATATAGAATCTTTTTGCAGTCGATAGAGGCCAGCCGACACATGCCTGCTTATAAACAAGCTGATGGCGCTTGGACTTGACATTTTGCCAAAGTTTTTTAGGCGACTCTGGTACTATTGAATGGCAGTAGGGCATCATGCCCATGCCCCTCATAATGCTCATTTACTGGGTCGTGGTGGGCAATGAATCTTCGCGGGATATCTTCTAGAAATATATGCATAGAAAAATCTCCTGGCTCAGTGCATATCCCACACGCCGATTGATGCGTCCAAGCACAGGTGCAGCATGGGGGAGGTGTGCAAAATGATACGCGAGGAATCGTCCTCAGACGATGGGGTCATTCGCATTGTGGAACGGTCTCCGTAGAAGGATAACCGGTCTTTGCCAACTACCTCAGTTTCTTTGCACCGCTTTGCTTGTGATAGGGCGGGGCGACGGGTCAATTTTTTTTTTTGCTCAGTGTCAAGCGAAATTAAGCGAATTGAAGAGCTGAGCACCTCTTTTTCTCCTCACATCTTTTGCCCAAGCTGGTCTATAGCTGGAGTTTTTTGTTGAGCGATTTTGCTCTTCCGGTGGCTGCCTATTATTTATTTATTCTTTTCACTCAGCGACCCGTCCGATCTCTTTACAGAGACTTCCTCTCTTGCTGCCAGCTGTAGGGAATGTTCGAACAAACCATTCCATACAATCTCTCCTAATGTCCAACCAAAAGTTAGGACAAGAGCGCATGTGCGATCCCAGGGTTCATAATGATCAGGGCATAGGTGCAACTCTTCACATTCTGAAAGTCAACAAGGGGACGGATATATACGTTCCGCGCCATGTGCTAGTTTTTGGTGTTCGGACACGGGAAAAGATGTGAAAGCAGCCCACGGCTATTTTAAGCACTGCAGCAGCAACAACAAAAGGCCGTCATCCGAGTCTTGGGAGCAACTTGCATGGTGTCGGCCGGACCCTCAACATATTTGACACCATGCAAGTACATGGAAACACCATTGAATCCGTGCCATTAATGGCCAACCAACGTTCTGCAACCGGACCACGAGAGCTGCAGGCGCCGTGCACGCTTACCTGAAGCAGCACAGCTCTTCCCAACATCGTTTGGGGATCTTGTGAGCAGAGATAGTCGGAGCGCAGATGATCCAGTCCTGGCCATCTTTGGCTTCTCCGAGTGCATGGAATATTCATCAGCTTCCATTGCTTCTGTGCCGCTCGTATCCAACCAAAGCCAGCCACTCGGTGCGCATGTGTTAACTGCTGGGTGCCAGCGAACTGAATTGAACCTTGGCATGCAATGGACAGTCAGAAGCTGTGTCAATTGCAGGAATGGCGACGGATCCCTCCATCTTCTGCACGCTGCACTGTCATTTGATCTGGTACATCTGTGGGAACATGGGAGAGGAGCTATCTGAACACCACATGTTCTGGAGCACATGATTAATCGTCTGATTAGCCGTATGTGCAGGCACGGTGTTGGGTTCTGTGTTGGCTGAGCAGTGCAACCAACAAAGATCCCCTCCGCCGACTACCTGATGGGACCAACGACAAATGGCAACCTAGGGCCGGTCATACCATCTCCATTATATGGGTATCCAAGCATACATTGATGACTTGAACATAAAGAACCAACGCAGCTAGCTGGATTGCATGACATCAATTCTCTTTTGACACTCCATTCCTCCAAAGACATGTCGCAGCAACAAGAATTCCTGATTTGGATATGCAATTCACCAGCATTCTGAAACCTCATAGATAAAGGAGTAACCCCAAAAAAGGTATATTGAAAGTCAAACCATTGGGCTTTTAGAGGGCGGCCAGAACCGCATCAACGCCGCTAACCGAGACCTCGCCGGGGTTGGGCTCCTGCTCAGCATACGTGACCCTGCCATTATCGACGATGGCCGCGAACCTGGTCAGCCTGCCGCTGCCCAGGCCCTTGGCAGTCAGATCCAGGGTCAGTCCGGTCGCCTTGCCGAGCTCGCCATTGGCGTCGCTCACCAGCAGGATCTTGTCCTTGACGCCCTGCTGCTTGCCCCATGCGTCCAGCACGAAAAAGTCGTTGCTCGATGTGCCGATGACCAGATCAACGCCCTTGGCCCTCAGCTCGTCCACCTTGGCTAGGTATCCGGGCAGATGCTGCGCTGAGCATGTCGGCGTGAAGGCGCCAGGCACGGCGAAGATCACCACCTTCTTGCCGGCAAAGTCGGCCTTGGTGTCGAGCACCTGCGGTGCACCGCAGGCATCCGGGTTCGAGGCATCGTACGGAACGTACTTGAGCTGCACTTGGGGGAAGGAGTCGCCGACCTTGAGAGACATTGTTCAGAAGTAGTAGAGGAAAAAATATGGATGGAGTAGATGGGTGAGGAGAAACAAAGCACCTACCCTACTCCTGCTTCTGCAGCGGCCTTTAAATCTGCATGCCGCCCTTACACTCTTCCTACTGCGCGCGCATTCCCACAGACTATGCGATGCTTGCGTGGCACTCCCGCCGCCGCACAGAGAGATTGCGTTATTTGACTGCTCCGATTGTCATTCTGGCCAAATAGCGCGCGAATCATCCCAAGTAATCACCGGATTATACGGGATATGTCCTTTTTTCAACAAAAAAGTATATTTTTGGTGGAACAAAAGTGAAAAGCGGGATGCTTAGTCGGCAGCGTTGAGGTCAGGTCTCGCCCTTGGCGGCCTCATCCTCGGCCTCGACGAGCTCGGGGATGTCGTCGTCGACGTTGCCAATGTTGGCCTGGTTCTGGAAGCTCTCAGGCAAGCTTCTTCAGGATCAGCCAGCGACTCGGGGCCGAGCTGCGACAGGATCTCCGGGAACATCTCCTCGATACCTAAAAGCAACGGGACAAGCAAAGAAGAATTAACCTGAATGCACACTGCAAACCCCCCCCCGTCATCACCCGCATGTATGCTTACCCTTGTTCTGGCTCTTGCCAGCGATGACAAAAGTGTTGCCGGCAATCGACGCGCTGACTACAATGCAGAGATATCATGCAATTAGCATACACAGAATTGCACACGCAGTGTTTGACATGCAGCAGATGCAGAGCTGGCGAGTACTTACCACGCGGGGCAACAAAGTTGGTGATCTTGCCGTCATCATGGAACATGTTGACCTCCTCAATGGCAGAGATCGGCTGCACGTTCAGCTGCTTTAGGGTCGATGCCAGCTTCTTGTCCTCCTTCACGGCCGGCTTGTGCGCAGCCTTGACCTTGCGGCGGGGAGTGCCCTTACCGCCGGTGCGGACCTGGGCCTGGAGCTTGGCAAGCTTCTCGGGGTTCATTTTTCTACACACAGCGTTGACAGGAACATCATGTCGCTTAGCTTGGCCCACACAAACACTTGCCAGGGGTTTGGAACTCACGCGTCCTGCTTTCGTAGTAGCTGCCGCGTACTGCTCGAATGCGGCTGTGATTACGCAGCTCTGATTTGGTCGGTGAGGAGGGGAAATTCTAGCGGCACAAACTGGCTCCTCAAGCCCCGATCCTCCTTCCAGCTGCGTGTGCTCTCTTCGTTTCGTTCCAACAGCAACCCGACATGCCGACACCTACCTCTTCCTGGTGACAAAAAGGGGGGTGTTTCGAAATCAGAAGCGATTTTTTTTGAAAAGGAGAAATCGACCTCTCTTTATGCTGCGAATGGCGAATCCACTTCACCTGCTGAGAGGGAGAAAAAATTGAACGGGCTCCCCATGCATATTCCGCGCGCGAGTGCGCATATATAATTGGAAGGCTATGATTGGATAGAGAATAGACTCACGTGGAAACTTTAGGGTCAGCCGCTCAGGCCGGGAACTGCTCGAGATCCACGGTGAGCACGTGCGAGCTGTTCTCGGCCTGGTCGCGGTAGATGCCGACGAGTGACTTGGCGCGCTCGTACAGCGCTTGCTTGAGAGAGATGACGATGAACTGGAAGTCGGCCTCCTTGGGCGGCTGCTTGTCGTCGCCGCTGGCAGTGCGCTTGGTGCGGGCGCTCTGGCGCAGCGCATAGTGGCCCGACTCGGCGACGTCCAGCTCCACGTCCGTCATCGGTGGCGGGCGGGGCATCAGCCTCAGGCTGGGCGCGTGCGTGCTCGCGCAGGTAGTTGGCCAGCTTGGAGACATTGGCCAGGTCCAGGGCTGCATCGACCTCGTCGAGCACAAAGAAGGGAGCGGGGCGGAAGGCCTGCAGCGAGAACAGCAGCGCCAGGGCAGCCACCGACTTTTCGCCACCGCTGAGCTGATCCATGTCGCGGAAGCGCTTGAGCGGGGGCATGGCGTGGTATTTGATGCCGCCCAGGTACGGCGAATCGGCATCCTCCAGCGCCAGATACGCGGTGCCGCCCAGCGGGAACACTGGGCTCTGCGTCAGTGCCTTGTAGGCGTGGTCGATTCCAGATGCCAGGTGGCTGTAGCACCGCATGAACAGGTCGTGCCGCCGCCGCCGCACGGTCTGGAACCGCTCCTTGGCATCCTTGGCTGCCTGCCGCGCTACGTTGTGCTCGCCCTCAATCTCGCGCAGCCGCTGCCGTGCAGCCTCCAGCCGCTCACGTGCGTGCGGGTTCGGGTTCAACGCGTCGATTTCGGCTGACAGTCGCGCAATATCGTCGGCAAACTGCTGCTCGGACCGTCGCCAGATCGCCGTTGCGGATGCGACTCGGCAGCTGCGAGTAGTCGGCCTCGATCTCGTCGGCCGCAATTGCCGATGTCTGCGAGCCGTTGAGCGAGAGCTGCGACATGTACGACTCGGCCAGCTGCGTGCCCGCCGCGACGCTGGTCGTGGCCTCCAGCGCAAGCGCCTCAAGCGAGCCCTGGAGCAGCGGGAGGCGGATGTCCTCGAGTTTGCAGCGCCGCAGCACTGCGAATTTGTCGGCCATGACACGGTCGAGCTCAGTGGCCTTGGCGCTAAACTCCTTGCTCATCTGGTCCAACTCGCGCTGCCCCTCCTCGAGCCCCTGCCGCGCCTTGCCAACATCCTCGCTCACGTCGCCATACTTGCCATTCAGAGTGCTGAGCTCGCTGCGCAAGCCCTCGAGCTGCTGCACCAGTGCAGCCATGTCTGCCGTCTCGCGGTCCAGGTTGGCCCGCAGCCCTTCGAGTGAGCTCTGCGTGGCCTGCAGCTGACTCCGTCAGGCGGTCCAGCTTGCCCTGCACCTCTGCTAGCTGCTGTCGCTCAAACTCGCGCTGGCTGTCAAGCCGCGACAGGTGCGTCGTGAACTGCAGCCGCCGCTCGGCCGTGGCCTCGGTGGCAACCAGCAGCTGCTTCTCGAACTCGTCAACACTACTGACCCCGACAGTCTGGCAGAACTGCACGAAAATCGGCTCGGCAATCTGGCCGATGCGTGCGCTGAACCTCATCACGCTCGCGCCTGACCGCATCCAGGTCGTCTTCGGCCTGCTGGGCAGTTGGCTCGCCCTCGGCAATCTGCCGTTCAATGTGTTTGCGCTCACTGGCAATGCCCTCAAGCTTGCGCGTCACAGCATCCAGCGACTCGCGCGACAGCTGCAGCTTGGTCTCGAGTCCTGATAGATAGCTGCCGACCAACTCCTCCTTGCCGAGCTTGCGGCGCTCACGGGCGACGATTGTGCAGCTCCTCTGTGAGCCGGTCGCGCGCCCTGCGCAGCTTCTCGACCTCGGCAGCCTCCCACCGCCGCGCCTGCGCCTGCTGCCCGCTGCCGCGTCCGCTTGTACCGCCGGTGATCAAGCCGCTGCGGTGAATAACTGAGCCATCCAGCGTCACCGCCTTGACCTCAAGCCGCCGCTCGTAGCAGACATGCCGGGCCACGTTCGATACTGTCGCATATCAGCGCGTTGGCACACGCATGCAGCACTGCCAGCCTCGACGCTCCGGTCGTACTTTAGCACGTCTGTCGCCAGACGCGCTCCGGTGTGCACGTGCCGCAGGCTGTCGTTGGTCGCCTGCGGCTGCAGCGTGTCTAGCGGCAGGAACGTCGCCTGGCCTGCGCGCTGCTCCTTCATGTAGTTGATGCACTCGATGGCCGTCGCCTGCTGGTCAACCACAATTGCGTCCACGTGCCGTCCCAGCACCGTCGCCACACCGATCGCGTAGCGCTGCTGCGTTGGCTGGACCAGCTCCGCCAGCCGACCATGCACGCCAGAAAAAACGCGCTGCAACGCGCTGATGACGTCCCTGAGCCGTGCCTCACGCGTCGACTCGCGCTGGTCGGCCCGTGCCTGCGCCAGCTGCTTCAGCACACCCGACAGCTTCTCGTTGAGCTCGACCTCGAGCTGCACAAGCCGCTCGTGGTCGCTCTTGGCCGCCTCCACGCTACGTCGCGCCTGCTGCATTTCCTGCTGCACTGCAGCCAGGTCCGCCTGGGCTTGCTGCTGCTGCTGCTGGACTGCATGTCCCGACGCTTCCACGCTCTCGAGCTGGCTGCGCAGTGCCCCAAGCTTATCGCCAGCCCGCCTTGCTGCCTCGCCCATCAACTGCACCTGCCGGTCCAGCGTGTCGCGTCGGTACGCGTCCTCGACCGACTCGCTGCGCAGCTGCTCCGAAAGCCGGTTGTACTCGGCCATGGTCGCCTCGTTGATCTGTGTGCCGCGCCGTGCCTGCGCTGCCTGCGCCTGCTCGTCAAAACGCGTCGCTGCGTCCTGCACGCGCTGGTGTTCTTGATCAAGCTCCTCAACAATCTTGCGCTGCCGGTCAACATCCTCCTGCGCGCGCCCCACATTCTCGCCGATCCGTGCTGCCTTGCGCTCCGCATGGGCCACTTTCTCGCCCAACCCTGCAAGAGTCGGCTGCCGCCCCTCCATCTTTTGCTCGACGAGCTTGATTCTGGCGCTCCTGGCGGTTGACAGCTTTGAACGCCTTGGCCTGCTTCTTCTGCTCGGCCTGAAGGCTAGCGTCCAGCCGCGCCCGCTGCTCGCTGGCCCCAACAATCGATTCGCCGTGCAGCGTGCCCATCTCCGCCTTGATCTCCTTGATGCGGTTCTCGGCCACATACAGCTTGTACAGCATCTGCTGCACTGTCAACTTGCTGCGCGTCTTGACCTTGCCCTCGTACAGCTCAAGTTCGCGCTTCTGCTCCAGAATCGACTGCACCTTCCGCTGCCACCGCGCGCTTCTTGTTGTACGCAAATGTGGACTGCTCCGCAGCCGTATCCTGCTCCTTTTCGAGCTCCGTGTACCGCTGGTGCAGCTCCCATGACCCACTGATCTGCTCTACCAGACGCGTCAGGTCTTTTGGCGACTGCGATGCCACCGCCTCCACGTCGCCCTGGAACACCAAAAAGTTTTTGGCCCGCACCAGGATGTTTTGATTCTCCAGCGCCTGGTTATACGTCTGCTGCGTCACCACGCGCCCGTTGATGCGATATTCGCTCGTTCCTGACACGCTGATCGCACGCTGGAAGTTAATCGTGAATCCGTGGTCGTCCTCGTACACCACCTTCACCCACGCGCTTCGCTCATTCTGGTCGCCTGCTTCGTCAATCACATGCCCGTTGCGCGTCTCCACTGTGCGTCCGCGGTACACCAGATCCCGCAGCTGCGACGACCGCAGGTGTGACGACTTGACACCCAGAACGAAGCTGATCGCGTCCATCAGGTTCGACTTGCCGGCGCCGTTCGGTCCCACCACCGCTGTGAAGCTGGTGAACTGGCCCGATGACCTGGTGGCCGCGATATGACTTGAAGTTCTCAAGCTCCAATTGAACAAGCCTTCCCATGCTTAAAGATAGATTGTTGCGTTCAGAATAGTAAGAGGATAGAGTTACAGTGCCAGTCCGGAGACGAAAGAAAGCATCTGGAGTTGAAACACCATGACGCGTTTAGCTAAACGCGTAGCGTTGGTTGAGCCGAGCCTGATGCGAGCCGAGCTGCGCTGTTTTTTGATGCCAAATTCAGCCATATATATGCCTGTCCAACTCATGGGACAATGGACGCAGCACATCCGCCGACCACATGATAAGAATCGGCAGGCACGCTGGCTGGACTTGCCTCTCTCCCTTCCTCTGCTCTCTCTCTGTCGCCTTCTCTGTCTTGGACCTCGAACCAGTGCATACATTTCAGTCCTCTATCACCAGACAGAATGGCGGGGCTTACAAAGAGCAAGCTGGAATCCATGCGCGACATTGCTGAGAAGATAGCTGATGCCCACTCAATCACCGGAGCCTGGTTCTTTCTCGAGGCCCTGCTAGCCCAGGTCGGGATCACTCACCACAACGGCTACACATTCCACAAAAGGATCAAAAAACTGGCGCCAGGTAAAGCGAGACCCACGACAAAAAACCTGCGGGTGAGTATCCAGGACGTGAACATCATCGTTGTTGTCCCTGCCTTTGGCGACATAGAGTACCGCAAGGTCAGAGGATCTCCTGATGCGGTGCATGACCTGTGGCAATGGCGTCCCAGTGGGGCTGCTTCTGAACCCAGCCCAGTTAACTGTTTTCAAAATCGATCAGGATGTGCGGCCCTTCAAACCGCGCGAGTCTGACAACTACGATGTTGTCGATGAGCTAGAGGTGGTTATTGAGTTTTTGGGATCGCTGCGTCGGCCCGACCTTGAGGAGCGGCTACACCAGCCTTGCTATCGAATGATCTCCGTCCCCATGTTAGTCTTGTAATGCGTTTAACCAATACACAGTGCAATATCATATACATGCAAGCTGTTGTCTGCTGTGCCTATCACCGCTGTGTACAAAAGCCTCACTTCCCATCAGAAGACGCCGAAACTTGGGAATTGCCCACGGCGCTAGCAGCAATCCCTGTTCAAAGCAGGCGGAAAAGCCACTGACAAGCTTGGCCCGATTTTATGTACATGACAAAGTTGTCTGGCATGTCGGAACGAAAAAAAGCTGCCTTGGCGGAGGTTCAAAAATATAGGAAAAATATCTACCATGTCCTTAAACATCTGACATCATCACATGGCTTCCTCGGCCATTCGTATCCACGACAGGGCTTAGGAAAGTATGTCATAACGTACTAACAAACCAACGATCAGCAGGTCACATTGCGTGATTTGTGTCGAGCAGTTCAATTATAAACACTGTCTTGGAGTGTGAGTGGAGCTGCTGTAAACTACTTCCACTCAACCCGTACCATCATACAGCTAACAAATTACAATCAAATCCAAGTTGCGATGGCATCCCATTACCAACGATAGACGCCTAGCAACCCAGTGGGTTGCTGATGTACTCTCCAAAAATCCCTCTGCTGCTGCAACATGGATATTCGTTGAAGCCCTCCTCGAGAATGCCGGCATACACGCCAGGTACGGCTACAGAATTACCAAGAGGAACCTACGTGCTCAAGAGAGCAACGGTAACAGCAGTCGACAAATGAAGGTGACCATTGGACATACAAATATCCTCGTCATCCGCTACATACCCGAAGGAAGCAACCGACAGGTAGCTATGGATTATCTGCGCAAGTCTATGAACGCTCTGGGCAGATTCCCCACTGGTATTCTCATGTACGCAAACCGCTTCGAGGCATATCAGTGGAGCAGCGAGTGTTCAGGCGCCAGGTTGTACTGCATGGGCAAGACAGACCTGTTTCAGCAGTGCGATCAAATCATGGACTATTTGGTTAGGACTGCGCAGACCCACACTTGAGGCTACTCCGACAAACTCTTAGTGTGCTGGACTTGCACTGCCGATGGCCGTAGACGAAGATGATCTAGATATTTTCTCACAAAGCAATGCAACGACTAAGTAGCAGATATATTTATGCGAACGACCCAGACCCAGGAACAGATCCATCCAAGCGCTTGTGGAGCTCACAAAACTTTGAATCTCAGCTCATCCATGTACTCTATGTATCCAATGATGCGTGTATGTCATGATTCCCTAGTCGTGGCCCACCCTCCCCTTCAGAATCCTTCCGTCAGAAAAAATGTCCACGGCAGCCGATCCTCATGTGCAAGCACCATGCACACATGACCGCGGCAACTAAAAAGCCGGCTGAACGCAACCCTACCCTACTCGGCTTCTGAAAAACGGCGTCAAAAAGTCCGTCTGAGGATGTGTAATCTTGTGCAAGGCTTGCCCCTACCTTGCTCCGAGTCCCATCACTGAGCTTCTCTTTTGAAGGAAGGAAACGCCAGACATGATAATCATTGATTTGCAACGGCCGCAGCCAAATACACCTGCTTGCATCCCCTGTTTCCGAATACCACCCTGGTCCGCAACAGTTGTCAACTCTATACGCTCCCACTGCCAATAAGAAAGGCAGCCAGTGGGTCGCTCCAACTTCCATGCTCAGAGATGCTGGCGCCAACTGTGAACGCATGCTGCATGCGGCTTCGTTGCTCATTGGGAGGGAGGGATATGGCTGGCTGGCTGTCCACAATGGCAAGGGGAAGTGACAGAGAGATAGAAGGATGTAGTTGCGACTGCCGAAAACCTATTCTCCAACCATCAGAGTTGATATTGTCACTTGGGTATTCCCGCCGAAAGCAGCTAGGTTGAGAAGGGGTACAGCAAGCTCACCAACATACATGCAAGAATCGTATTAAAACCCATTGTACCAACCCAACTAATAAGCCCCCGAAACAAGATTTCAAAGAGCCTCTTCAGACCCACTCTCTGATTCCCTGTGTCGGAAGGTCCCACCTTCCTTGTTGCCTCCCGCTGGAATGCTACACCTGGGGGTAAGCCATGTCCTTTGTTCTAGTACAGGCAGCAGCAACCTTAATTAAACACCCCACAGTTTAAACAGGGTGCTAGGACATGGAGGCCATTTAGCGCAATTTTCACTCGGCGACGCTCATGCATGATGCTACAGAGAGAAGCAGGCATGGCATAGGCATAGGAGAGTGGAAAAGGAAGCGATGGCACACTACCCAAATAATTGTCTTTTACAAAATGACCACCCCCTTGCTCAAACATTTTCACACATCACCACACTATCCTGATTTTTTGGTGCCTGGTCAAATGCTTTCAGTGTGACCAAGTAGGGGCCGGACATGTCAACTGGGAGAGACAAATAAGTAAATGCAATCTTTCACTATGCGTCTGGATGCAAGCTAAGCCAGCCGATAAATAGAGTAGATACGTGGAAACGGTCAGCGACGGTATAGCAGAAAGTGAGTTTTTTGCTGAAAGCGAGGAAATCCTGCAACTGAAACTTCATTAAATAGCTACCGGCATTCCTTCTCCCTGTCTCCACCTATTCTTCTTCCTCTCCTTTTTCAGCCATGTAGCCTCCCTCCGCCTTGCACACTACTCTATCATGAAATTTGACCATTTTTGCCGTACCGACAGCTCCATCCTCACCAGGATTCTCGAGTTTGTAATCCGCCCTCTGCTGCATTCAGGGTTCACCATGAATGAGTACTTTTCGGCCATGCAGCTTGCCGGCATTCAATCATACTTGGCGCTATTGCTTCCCAGACTTTGCCTGCCAGTACCTTGTGCTGCACCGCCAGGTCAGCGGTGCATGCGAAAAGAAAGGGGTGCGCTCGTTCCACAAAGGGCACTGGCTGTCAAACTACCGCTTCCTATCATCCATGGGCAAGTTGCATCATGCCATTGAATTCCGGGTCGCCATGCTCGATGAATGCAGGCATAGCTTGATGCTGGCCCAGGCTATTCGGGGTGCAGGTATTGGTGCCTGCCAGATGCCGAATGTGCAAAGTCTGGTGTTTATCGGCGGCGGGATATTCACTTCTAGCATGTACATCTACCGGAGGGATCGCATGAAAATTGACAAGGACGCTGTCTCTCTGCTGCAAAGGACCTTCCCCAGCTTTACCAGCATGCGGTATTCCCTGGCCGACTCTTCCTTTCCGACTGCTGGCCTTCCAGCCTACCCGAACACGGAAAGCTCCCGGTTCTACGAAATGCTGTTGGCAAGTCGGCTCTGCTCTCTGCGCATGGCACAGGCATTTAACCCAGTGCCTGTCAATACCACCATCCAGTTTTCGCACCACCTTACGCATCTGCAGATGAACGCTGAGCTTGTCGCCAACAACCAGGCATTCGGGTTGCTTCCTGTCGATCAGCTCAGGCGTCTCGAGATGGTTAACATCGATGGTGTTGCGCCCTGGGACAAGTTTGAGCGCTCTGGCAACACTGTCAAGTTCCCGAATGTCGAATGCCTGGTCATGCGCTTCCGAAGAACCATGCACCTGCGGCTGAAGTTCCCAGGCTACAACCTCAGGCTGCAGTTTCCATCGCTGCAATTTCTTACCATCTGCGATGCCGGATACGCATATCGAGACCTGTACATATTCTTTTCCCGGTACCAGCTGGCGTCTGTGGATATTTCTGAGTGTCTGGACCACTACGAGATGATCGACCCCAGCATCTTCGAGAACAGCAAGGTGCTGAAGATAATGTGCCTGATGCCCAAGACAAAGGAGGGCACCAGGCTCTCGTCCAGCATGTTCCATGCCATGTTCAGCCAATGTGCCACCGCTGAGAAGATGTCACTCGCTGGCCTTTACTACCCAAATCCAAGACTAGTTCTGTGGACAATGCTGCTGTCGCTCGACATATCGATATGCATTGCTGACTACCAGAGTCTTGTCAGCCTCATCAGCCAACTTCCGTTTCTGAAGGAGCTGTGCATGTGCTGCTTTTCAATGGACCGCCGCGACGCTGTGTTGACCATCTACACCGACCTGGATGCAACATTCGCATATAACGATATTATGCACCGGCCCGAGGATAGGTCAGCAGTCAACTTCAATCTTCGCAGGCTCGAGATAAATGCGGCACAGGCACTGAACAAGATAGCAATCCTGGCGCTTGCTTGTCGGCTCCCCGCGCTGTGCCAGCTTGGGGTCAACAAAGAGCATGTCGACGGTCTTCACAGCATGGTTAAGGCAGCCAATTGGCTCAAGGACAGGGTCTTCGTTCCACAAATTCCAGCCACTAAGCTAGGCACCTTTTTGTATATTTTCCTTCTCAATTTCTGGCACCGTCAGGTTCTTGGCACTGCTGCGCACACAGAAAACATGGCGAATACATCGTGCTGGTGGTGGCAAAAGGACCCAATTGATGAGACTTCCATTGTCCTTTGCCACTATGTATGCCCCCGTCTTTAGCGGGTTTGAGCAGCAAGCAAGATGGGCGTCCATTGTTTACATTCCATACCAGGCCCTTAAAACCCAGGGGATGGTGCCTGCATGACGCTCCTTGGCCGTTGTCTCCTCGCTAATTTTTTTTACTTCCTTTTCGTCTAGTTCAATATTGCAGCTGGTTTTTTTTATAAATGACTCAAAATGAGAATGCTTCTCCTGTCCCGCCGCCCAGAAACACTCCAGCTCGCGGGCACCATGATGTAGCACAGGCTAAGCGCAAACAGCCCCAGGGCAAGCACCACCACAGTGCCCACGCAGAGAAAAAGGCATCAGATACGGGGGCTGTTACACAAGCTGAGAAGAAGCAGAAGCCGCCATCTAAAGCGCGATCCGCGAACGATGGCACAGCCCGATGTCGACAAGCGACTCAAGAAGCTGCACCGCCGAGCCAAACTCCTAGACAGCCAGTTTTCATGCTGCTGTGGCCTGCTGCGCTTTGGGCTTGACTCCCTTATCGGCCTCATTCCGGTTATAGGCGACTTTGCCGGTGTATTCCTCGCAGTCACCTACATGAACACAATCCGGCGGCAATTTGACATTCCGGCGACGCTGGCATCGCAGATGACGCTCAACATTGGTATAGATTTTGCCGTCGGGCTGGTCCCGCTGCTGGGTGATATTGTGGACACCATGTTCAAAGCCAATATGCGCAACTACAAGATCGTCGAAGAGTACGTCGCGAAATCGCGTGCTGATGCATCATTAAGAACCGTTGAAGAGGGACGCGCTGGCCAACACCATTCAAAGCGGGATTATCTGCCCACGGTCCCTCTGAGGAATGCGGAGCATATCACGCAGGCATTGGCCAACTCGCGCAAAAAGTAGCGGCGGCTCAGCATCGGCACCGGGTACCGCTGCTTCGTCATAAGACACCTTGTTTTGTGCGCCTTTTTCATCCCCAACTTTTGGCTAGCAGCGGCGGTGCTTATCGCTCCAACCTTTCTGCTTTTCATTTATTTTTCTATTTTCCATTTGCTTCTCTTTTTGGAATGCAGCGTCACTTTACACTAAAGTACTTGCAGAGACTCGGTACAGCAGCCGGTGCGCAGCAGGCTGGTGCACGGCGGCGAGCCGTAGCTACCTGTGTGCATGCAGCCAGTACACTGGCACAGCCAGCAGCAGCAGCCACACACTGGCCGGCTGGTGAGCTCGTTCTCTACCGCCACGATGGCTCAGCACACAGCAACCGCAGCAGCGCCTGAGACTCTGCCAAAGAAGAGAAAGACCTGTTGGCACTGCCAGCAAGAGTCCGATCCCGCAAGTGTTTTCTGCTCCAACAACAAGTGCGGGGCCATTCAGCCTGTGGGCCCAACAACAACCTACTTTGACGTGTTGGTGGGCGGCCGGCGAACCTTTGATGTCGACATGGGCGAACTGCGGCGGGTGTTCCTGAAACTGCAGCAGGGCGTGCATCCCGATAGCTACTCACAGAAGGAAGACATTGAGCGGACTTTGGCCGAGACGCAGTCGTCGTGGATCAACCGCGGATATGCTACCCTGCGCGACCCACTGCACCGGGCGCACTACCTGCTGAAGCTGGCCGGGCGTAAAATCAACGAGGAGGACAAGATCACTGACCCAGAGCTGCTGATGGAGGTCATGGAGCTGCGCGAGGAGATTGAAATGGCGCAGAGCGAGGAGCAGATGGCCGCAATAAAGCGCAGGAACGACAGCAGCATTGAGCATGTTGTTAGGGAACTGGCCGCGGCGTTTGGCCAAGACGACCTCGATCGTGCGCGGCAGCTCACTAACCACTTCCAGTATCTGCGCCGGGTGTCGCAGGCGATCCAGAACTGGGAGCCTGGAAAGTCGGTAGATATCGGCAATTGAATGCTGTCTGAGAATGCGTGACTGCTGGCCTACTGCCGCTAGTGAAAGCAGCACCCATCTGGGGCGGGCCTGGCCCGCCTGCCAGTTCGGAATGTCAAAGCCCGACTTTTGCAATACCAGTTTCGGTCGCTACTTTTCTGCTCGGCTACTCCTCCCACGCAGCATTGTGGACAGGCTAATTTGCCGCATCGATGGCAAGCATGTGTGGCCTCCGTCATGGCCACCAGTTCCCCTCTGCTTGCCTTTTTTGAATTTATTAAAATTTCCACTTCCAATTTCAATACAGTATCTCTCCCCCTCGTTGAATGACTGCCAACGGCGATATCGAACATGGCGATGCAGATAGGGCGGCAGGCGTGCCAGCAGGTACCATTGAGCAGTCGCCGCTGCTGCACAATGGGGGAAATGCAACCAGCAACCTGACAGCGCTGGTGAGCAGCGGCGACGGCCCGAGGTCAATGGATAGCGGCATTACACGCACATGCCTAGCCAGCGCCATTATCATGGCCATTGCGCCGCTGCAGTACGGATACCACATTGCAGAACTCAATACGCCCAAGGGAATTATCACAAAGTGCGACAGCGACGCAGCACATGGCAGCCGCCTGCCGCTGTGTCTCCCAATGAACGACAACATGTACTCGCTGGCCACATCCATCTTTGCTATCGGTGGGCTGTTTGGGTCGCTAGCAGCTGGATGGATGGCCGAGCGGTGGGGACGGCGCGGCGCGCTCATGTACAACAACCTGCCGTTTGTCATTGGTCCACTGCTGATGGCCTTTGCGCTGACGCCTGGCATGCTGGTTGCAGGGCGGCTCATTAGCGGGGTTGGCTCAGGCGCGTCTATCGTCATTGCACCGCTGTACCTGTCGGAGATCGCGCCGGTCAAGCTGCGCGGCACGCTGAATCTGCTGAATCAGCTGAGCATCGTGGTGGGAATCCTGGTCACGCTGGTAATCGGCGTGCTGGCCAATTCTGGCCCGTACTGGCGTGTCAGCGTCGGGTTTGGCCTGGTGCTTGCTAGCCTGCAGCTCTTGATTATCCAATTTGCCGTTGAGAGCCCGCGGTATCTGTGGTCACGTGGCCAGAGGGTTGAAGCCCGCCATGTTCTGCGCTATCTGCGGGGCACAGCCAACGTGGATGATGAGGTAGCGGGGTGGGTGTCGACCAGCGACGCATCCGACAGCGACGAGGTTCCTTCGCGTGCCGAGCGGACCGTGACCATCTTCAACATCTTCATGTTCCCCGAGTACCGCAAGCCGTGGGTGCTTGTTCTGTTGCTGCAGTTTGGGCAGCAGCTATCAGGGATCAACACGGTGTTCTATTATTCGTCATCTGTTCTCGAAAAGATGTTCTCGAGCCATGTGAGCAGCATCCTGACCATGCTGATCGGTGTCCTGAATGTATTGGCCACGTCTTCAGGTGCGTTAATTGTCGACCGCTTTGGACGGCGTCCGCTGCTATTTGCCTCGATGGCGACCATGACGATCTCTATCACGCTGCTAGGCCTGAGCCTGGCGTTCAGCTGGAATGTGATGGCCGTCGCCTCGCTGTACCTGGTGGTGGCTTCGTTTGCGCCCGGCTATGGACCGGTACCGTTTTTGCTTCGGCACCGAGTTCTTTGATGTCAAAGGCAGCCGCTGCTGGCGGCTCGTGGGCGCTGGCGGCAAATTGGACTGGCACATTTATTGTTGCAGCGGCGTTCCTGCCTGTGCAGAACATCATAGGGCAGTGGGTGTTTGGCTGTATTTGTTGCCGCATTGGTGATCTGTGGTGCGGTGTTTTTTGTGCACATTCCGGAGACCAAGGGGAAAACCATCGAGGAAATCGCAAAGAAACTCAGGTGAACGCCCTTAGCAGGCTTTCTCACGTCCCTTCGCATAGCATGCTTGTTTCGAAATACAGCAAAATCCACAGCATGTGTGCTCAGGCGTTGGGCATGAGTGTGATACGGAGCTTCAATAACCACCGGACATTGCGCTGGCATGTACGTCCAGATAATAAACTGCACGCTAAAGCCGCTTTTGGCAGGAAATAAAAATACGCCCCGCAAATCTTTCTGTTTGTCGGCCTTTGCGGAGATTTTCTGCTGTTGTCTCTTCGAAATATTTTCTGATAAGCAGGTACATGTCGGGCATCTTTTGCTACATGGATAAGAGGCAGTCGCACAACAAATAAACCGTATTTCCAATAATAGCCCGCCGACTGTATTGTGGCGATGGGGAGAGCCACATCGCGCCTACCAGTTAGTGAGGCATGGGATTCGCACACATTGCCGAGATGTGACGCACAGGAAGCGAGCACTCCCATTCGCATCCACGCAACTGTGCCCACCCAAAGAGCCGCATATTACCACATCCAAAGCTCCACGTGTCGAAGGCAGGTAAGCAATAACACGGGTTGCAAGCAGTCTCCAAATCTCTGGCCGACAGAGCAACAGTGCGGCAGAGGTTGTATATGAATGTGCAGCGCACCTCCATCCCCACGTCTGGCGGGGTCGTCAAGCGCGGTGCAGCTAGCGCCTTGAGCATTTCATAAAACACAAAAATAACAACCTGACATCATCAGATGGGTCGTGAGTGACCCAGGTCGGTTTCTGAAAAGCACAAGAAACCAACTGTCATACTTGCTATGCAAAGCGCAGCTCAGAGGGAGAATCCTGCAAGGGGCGAGCGCGCGCAGTGCAAACAAAACCGTACACTATTCTGGTGTGATGGCGCCGAGCATTTGCAATTCCTGTCCATCCTGGCGCGGAAAACTGTAGCTGTGCCATCTAGTTGTCCTTAGCAGGCGCAAACAAGCCCATGCCTTTTTCTTTCCTCGTTGTTGAGAAGCAAGCACATGTCAAATTTATGATTGGAGGATGCCCAGGTTCCCACATGCGACAGCCTTTTTTCCCACCTCTACCTGTGGGTGTTCAGCATGAGATCGGCGACGGGGCGGGGCGGTGCCATGTTTATCTTTTTAGTTGACAAAAATAGAACCGACTAGGAACAGACCGACAGAAACTAGAAATTACACGAAAAGTGGGGACCATAGAGGGATAGTCTGAGCGGCGTGCTGGTGGCGGTATGTTCAGATCCATATTGCGAAGCGTGGCTTTTGTCAAAGCGCTGTCAAAACGGCAGTATGTAGAAATGCAGGCTGAATGTGAAAGAACGACGCCAGCCGACTAGGCGTGGCATTGGCTGCAGATAAGCCAGGATAGCAGGCCGCTGCAGCCCATGGGGCATCGGCCCTCATCCTGCCAGAGGAAGCATGCATCCGAGGGGAACCGCAAGCTGGCCAAAGCCGAACAGATTATTAATTGCAGGCTCAGCAAGAAAAAATACACGCGCAAGGTGCATATTGTTGGGGGTGGGACGCGGAGGAGACGCACAGCCTTGGCATAAATGAGGCTCTGAAACAACTTTCTCGTGAAGATTCGCGCCTTCACAGGCATACATCGCAGGCTGCAGTGGCCTATGGCAAGTCTCTCGAGCGCATGCCGAATTGAAGTTACAGCCTATGTCAAATCCGCTATCTTCCACCTGCCTTCCCCTCCTCCCCAAAAAACGCGCACAGCCCAGATGTAATGTGGGTGGAATGTCGCCATGATGTAGGTGTATGTGAAAATACCCATCCTCACAGGCAGTCAAGGTGCTGCATTGATTATACAGCTCCAAGCGGGATGATGCAGCAAGTACATGCAGCCGAGGGGGTTTGTTGTTTGCGTTGGGGCAGTCAAGGCAGGGGAGTCTGCGAATTCGACCCGGATCCACCCCGGCAGATGCAGAAAACGACCCTCTTGTTTGATCTTTCCACACCACCCCTCCCCTTTCACATTGACTTTGCGAGTGCAGGTGCATATGCAGCATTGGGTACATCATGCTCAACCTTTTTTGCTTTTAAAAAAGTCCACGCTTTGGACTCCTGAGCCAACATGTAAACATTTACCCTTGCTCTGAGCGGGGCCTTGAGCACTATTGCCGGCAGCAATGTAGTGCGTCGTTTTTCTAGCCATTCCCGCGAACCCGCTCTTTGCGCCGAATCGGCCGGAGTTTGTATTATCCAGGCTTTTTGAATGGATACAAAACAGCGAGGCGGATCCAGCCCAAACCTACGGATTGCTGATCGATGGCTTGTGGGAATTGCGTGGACGAGCGGAAGAATGGTCTTTCACAGTCAAGATTCGCACTGAGAAGTGGTCTCGGATGCAAGGCAGCTGCTGTTCGGCAGCCGGCTTCCTTGCCCTGCAGTTTCACAGGATAAAAGCTTGTGTTAGCCTAATTGGCGCAGCACGCTTGCACGTAGTGGGGCATCCCACTATTGGTGCGCATGTTGGGCAAACAGGCAACAGGACACCAATGCACGAGCAACCACCATTGTCCCATGTGCAGTCTGAATTTGGGAAGGAGTTGCCATATTGGGGAGGGGACCTGTACGTGCCTGCCTAAGAGGCACGCATATGCGTATCTGCGGGTTGCAAGGTTGCCAAAACCGGCTGCTCCATGCCGCCAGTATCGACATTGTATGCCAGATAAATGCAGGCAATGATGCCATATACCGGAAAAATTCTCCCTGCAAATATACCCGTTGGTCTGGCTGGTCGGCCTAGCACCTATTTCCGAGTATAACTCGGTGACCGACAGCTGCATTATCCCTGTTATGCGGGAGTGACGATGGCGATGGCGATGGCGATTGTTTGTCGGACCCATTTTGCCCCGAGAACGCTGAACCCTGGCCGTCTTTCTGCTCTGCAGTTTGTAATCGACAATAGCGAGGCGCGCACTGGTCCCAGACCGAAGCACATCGGTTCCCACATTGCAAAATCGAATAATAAGCAAGCGAATCTTTTCTCCCCAAAAATTGCTGCTTCCTGAGTGCCGTGGCAGGGCCGGCTCAACACAACATCAAGCTGAACATCCTTTTTTGAGCGGCGCCATTAAGGCGAATCCCTCAAGCCTTCCTGCGATCCAAACTCTGCCGCTTTAGAAGTTCGGGGTTCTGAGAGCTCCATACGCAGAGTCGCATCTCGGGTGGGTTTTCCGCATGGGTGTGGCATTTTGTGCTCATATAGGGCAGCTCCATAGCTGGAAAGGGGACTGCAATCGTGATGTGGGCCGAAGCCCGCACGGATCCTGTTCCTGACCGCGCATCAATCCACTTCTGCCAGTGCAACGTGGCGACATCCAGAAGAGCAGGGCGTGCGCTTGTTGTTTGGGTCGGCTGCTCCCACACCAGGTTGCCAGACGTCGTACGGCATCCAGAACATGGCCCCTCCCACGTCCTCCCCAACCCCAAATCCGCAATCACGATCGCCGGCATCCACATATGATGCTCTTGCGTCTCCCCCGCTCGCACACCTCCCCGCAATCCCCCCCGCCACCATGACCCGCCACCGCTGCAATCATCTGAATAGTGGCATTCAACGATCCGCCGTCTTTCTTTGGCAATGACGAAAACACGCCTCTGCAGTTGCGCTATGTGTGGGGCGCGATGGTAAGGAGGCGCGTGTAGTAGAATGTGAGGATCGCTAATTGTGAGTGGGCAAGTTCCCAGCCATGTTTGCACCACAGCGCTTTCCAAAAATAAGACGAGTGTGGTGGCCATATGAAAGCGAAGGCAGGCGCCTTTATGAATCACATCACCCTGGGAAATCTAAAGGCCATTTCTAGCCCTCTCCAGGAGGTGGACATGGCCTGACGGCGATAAAATTGGGAGACTGCAGCGCGTGGGGAGCACAGAGCGCACCAGCCATAGCGGGTGTGTCATCGCTCTTTGCTGTGCCTCGGTTATGAGGCTGTGGATCTCAGCGCATTTCATGAACGAAAGGAGACCTGCATCACCACGCTGCTATGTTGGCAGAAGGCAACAGAACAATAGGAAAGGGAACGGGAAAGCAGAGTGGATTGCGTGGAGAGGCCGGGGGTGGTGGCAGGGAGGGGCAGAGAGCCTGGATAGGATTGCCGCTCCCTAGAATGCGGGTTAGCCATGGGGTAGCAACACCCCCTGTCTTTTTTGCGCGCTTTCCAGAGTAACAAATTTTTTAGCGGGCCTGAAGATTGCAAGGAGAATTACTGTGTTCGCCGGGCAGCGGAAACGGAATAAATAGAACCGCCCTGTGGCTAGATTCCCTCTTCGAATACAATCCAAATCAACATCAACACTTTTTTCCCTTTTCTCCTCTCCCTTTTACAAAAGACGCAAGAAGCGCAGCCCTTCTCGCCTCTCCAAGCAAAACCCTCGCAGGGAAACCATCACCCAAAAAAACAACCCATCAAAAATGCTCGCTGCTGCCAACAACGTCTTCGCCGCTGCCAACAGCCCAGCCCGGGATTACCCGTACGATGTCATCGAGGACGACACCAGGTAAACGGTGCAATCTCGACGCCTCGAGACCAAAAACAAAACCTGATCGGACGAGACCAAGAGGGACTGGACTGAACCGGCACAAGGGGGCTTTGTGGCCACAGAGCGGCTTTGCCTCCCGGGCCTGCTCAGTGCCGTGAGACTTCTCGGAACCCATTCTGTCACAGACAGGTGGGATGGAGCTCTGTTCGAAGGTGATCTTTCACCGATGCTCGTGCCCCATGCCCGGGCCCCTCACGCTCGTGCTCTCTCCGCCCTGGATCCCCCTTCGCCGTCCGCCAACACCGACCTTGTCTCCTGCCCGATTCAACAAAAGACATCGCCCTTCCTGTTCTATTCCTCCCTTTCCTTTCTCTTATACTCCTCAGATAATCATTCTTACCATCGTCCGTCTGGGGGAGGCTGCACACAACAAAAAAGCACCGCTGTTCTGGCCCCTATTGCGCTCCTCCCGCAGCCTATTGTCCACCCAAAGTTGAACACCGTCCCTCTTTTGAGCCTCCTCCAGTATGCGTCCTGCTATTTCTCACGCAATGCACATTTTTTTGCTGTATACACCCCTCACTCTTTCTTTCTTCTTTCTCTCGCTCTCACCGCATTCTGTAAAGCTCCTCTCTCCCCCCCATTTCAGAATCAATAAAACCCTGTCCATTTTTTGCCTCCGTCCAAATAACCTCGCAATTGCCTGTGCTTGTCGTCATGTATATCCTTCACATGCGACTTGTAAGTTGCACATTGCTGCATTTAGGCAGCATCCCTGCGCTGTCGTCACCAGCAAAGCGAGGTAAACGGCATTCAGCCCCTTGCCCGCATGCGCTCGCGCTCTTCCGGATCGTCCGCAGATCAGTCCTCATGGCAGCACAGGGCCAGACGCGTTATCCAGAATGATGCATCCATGGCGCGGCGACAATCATTTACAAACAGCAGCCTTGCTTTTCTCCTACAAAATAACCAGCGATCGGAATATTTTTGCAGCAAACGAGGATGCCCGATGGCTGTCTCTTCTGGTTGGCCCACACCCATTCGTCCAGCTCTAGAGACAATGGAAATAGGCGTGCATATATTGCAGGATAACGTCCCCTCGACACAGATTGTGTTTTCTTGCTCTCTGCTGCTGTTCGGGCTTTTGGCGCAAACCTCACATTCCGCCGTGCTTGCTGCCCATGCTTTAATTTGTTTCAGGTTGGCCGCCCCTTAATATTTTTGTTTATACCAGAGCTCGGTCCTCACGCAGCGGGTGCATGCTGCCAAGACCAGGCTTGTGCCGACACCCTAGCCATGCCCTGCTCGCTTTAACATTTGTCCACCCTCCTGTTCCCTGCAGACACAAAGAGGTGTGCCAGAAGCAGGGCCAGGGCTGGTGATCACAAATTTTAATTTATTCGGGCACATTTTTTTCTTGGCTGCGTCGCCAGTGCTTTGCCGTTTTCAGACAATCGCGGTAGCATGCTGCATCCCATCCCATTTCTCTGGCAGGACCCATTCGCGGTATGTATGCCCAGTGCCATCATGGCGAGGGGCAACGATTGGTGGCGGTCAACAAGTGGAATACAGCCGGACAAGCTCAGTATGCACACATAAAATGGTCAGACGGGAACCATCATTGTTTGCGCTCGGATCTGCTTGCTCCCCTTTTTCGTTCTGGCTATTCAGGTACAGAAACTCCGTTCGGGTCACCACAAGCCGTGTTCTAGCGCTTGTTGCCGGACCATCCCTTATTTCCAGATACGTATTATACAATTGGTGGTTGCCAATAGTCTATACGCGCTATTCAGTCTTTTGTGTCTGTACACCCATGCTCTTGTTGGAATATGTCTATTTGTGAACACCCTGGACAATGTGCTCGCAGCTTGAATATTCAGATATCCTTAGGATCGGATTCCTTCTCTCCAATTGCCAATAGCAAGGGCAGTGGCAATGCCTCAACCAAATCCACAATAACAGAATAGAACCAGGCAATCCCATCTCCATTGCCGTGCCAACCCCATATACATATATATCATGCCAATTCTCTCTTAATCTTTGTACAAGGCAGTGAACGCTACTTGTAGAGTGCCTGGTGTGGCTAATCAGTATCGCGACCACGGTACAATATCCACAGCATTTCTTACTGCACTGCAAAGAAAGCATGGCACTTCTTTGCCTCAGGGGTAGAAAGGCCTTGCTGCCAAGGAAAGAGACAAAGGAATACAATGAACACAAAATTAACAACAATAATGTCCACAGCAAAACAAACGCCAAAGGGGAAGAGCAGCATTGGTCTGTTGGACCAACAAACCACCTTTTGGCACTCTCACAGCCCGTGGCCTGCAATACTTCTTGCTGACAAGCTCGAGCATGGGCTGGCAGTGCTGCGCACCAGTAACAGCCGCTGTCCGTAACCAGTTTTTGTGCCTCCGGGCCTGGTGATGCGTTTACGGTAATAAACGGGTGTTCTTGAGAACAGCTTGCCTGAAAAGGCAATTGACATGTAAATCAATACCCCACCACACTGCAAAAATTGATGTCGGAAAAGCAAGGGATGCAGAAAACGCCTTTGAACCCCTATCATCATCAGACACCTATTCACTCATCCTCGCCAGGAAAAAAGAGCCACGGCACGTAGAGTCGGACACTAAAATTAGAACCTTATTATGCGAATAAGAGAATGGCGGGTGTCAATGCACTCTGTGCACAAGGTTCAAATGTCCAGGAACTTATTTCAGGCTGGTGCCATCGAGAAAAGAGCTCTCTGCTTTTGCCAGCCCTAGCAGAAATTAAGAACAAGCGGCTGTATTCACACACCCCAATGGGACTTTCGTTTGATAGACCAATGGACCGAGCGGAAGGTGGGCGTATTATAGAGGATCGTCGGTGCCATTATAAGGGTCAATAAACGATATAATTATCGATTATCGCTGTTGCCGTGCTTGATATTCAATAGGCTGCATCTGTGGCTATGGACCGCAAAAGGTATTTGGGAAGTCGGTAAGCGCGAACTGGCCTTTATCATGCGCTTTTCCTCATCTTCCCCAGCTTTGGCCTTGCCTATTCCTCGCACATATACAGCCACGTTGACACCGTTTCCTGTTTCCCCACATTCATTCATATCAAAGAAACCACAAAGAATCATCAATTTACAAGATCTCCTTATTCATTCTTTCTTGCTTTTGTGTCCTAGAGAAGCGTGCAAAAAGGAGCAGCTGGGCAAGCGGGTAAGGCAGCTGGACTGGTTGGAAAGAATAAACAAAGAAGCATATATAACTACCCGACTGCCCGGCGCACTGTGTCTCACGGTACTAGTTCAACAAATAGCTATTCTCTTCTGCACTCAGTTTCTTTTTCTTTCTTCTCTAGCCCGTGTGTTGGGGGTTCAATTCTAGCATCATCTTCCCTCGCATCCCTTGCATACCACCATTGTTGACTTTTCAGTACTAACAGCTCGACCTACATACATTCCACAAATCAGTTAGTCATGTCGATTATTAGCACCTGTGCTCCTTATACTGCCCTGTACCGCCACTCACCACTGCCCATTTTCGATGTAGAATCCGATTCAGACACGGGTTAACAAAGGACTACCGGGGTGGTAGTATCGTATATATACCGTCTACACCGCAGTCAAATATAGACCACATGCACTATTGACTAGATGCATGATTCACTTTTGTGCGACCTATAGAGCTGGTTATTTATATTGACACACCCCCATGTCACGCACACACAATTTCTTTTTTCTCACTATGCCAGCGTCACGATACAATTAACGCAAGCGACGAGCCCTTGCATCACACACCCAGTCCAACTCTCTTCATTCCGTGTATTATTATCTTCATAGAATTTCGCTTTAGACAATATATAAATACATTATCCCTATATAGCATGCCAGAAACAACACAGGGTGCCGGTGTAAAACGAATCTTAGATGGGCTGTTGCATGGGATGCCATTTCCTCTCGGCAACTTTTTGTGCAGCGAGTTTTCTTGCAGGTAGGCCAGAAACAGGTTTTGGTGATGGCATGAGCAAAGACGGACAATAGTGGTGCGGGTATGGAGGGAAGGTAGAAAATCATGCTCCAAGCCTGTTTCAGCTACCTTGCACCTTACATATGCAATCAGAGGGCATCGGCATACAACACGCCCAAGGGGATTTCCACACTGCCATTTGAGGATACTCTGTCCCCATTTGCAAGGCAGGTGCAAATGTTTTTTTGTAAACAATTGCACGATGCTTGCAGGAGCAGGATCTTTCAGGTGCAAGCAGCAAATGGAAAAATCGATGGCTTGAACAGCTGTTGTCAACAAAAATAAATACTACCTACCCACCCCCTTTGCACATGGCTCACGTTCCTGCCAAACATCCCCAACAAAGACCAATGTGCTCCTATTCACCTGAGCAAGTTTGAACGGGTACTGGCATCGTCCAAAATTTTTGCACAAGAGAAAAAATGAACAGCCATTCGTAATAGCAGATTCCTATAGATAACACATGAGCGTACATGGATAGAACAGGGACAGAAGTGCAGAGAGGTGCAGTTTGGATAATGTAGATGGTATCCATATAGTGTTTTTGGTCGTTCCTCGATGAATGTTTTGTTTGCTCTTGCGACACCTATCACTTTCACTAAGAGCATTCCACCTCACCCCACATGGAGCCCAAACCAACTGCCTGCTGGCCGACAGACGTGACAAGAGTACTGGATGTGCAGGGGTCTGGCGAGCGTGCTCTCGATGGGAACAGAAAATCTAGCAGCTGGTGTCTTGGCCCGGTAGAATGTCCTTCTCTCCTCCGTCTCGTGCTTGGCGGAGGGTGACCGGGGGCTGGCTTGTGAACATCAAATCTATTTTGCGCACACGCATGCATGCCGATTATGTATGTTATCTACACTCCATCCCAGGCACTGCCAGGATTGGCTTCGCCTGCCCCGTCAGAAACACAATTGCCCTTAATCCGCGCATACCTATGTCTGTCCTCGCTTGTTCCTAAACAAACGCATGCCGGCACATTGCATCGAGGCGAATAAATTGCATGTCCGACTGCTGCAGCTTATGCTGCTCAAAAGGAAAAGCGTCATGTGACCTTAATTAAAGCCTGCTCTTATAGCAGCGGTGGTAGGAACACCAGGGTGCACGATGCCGTTGTCCTTGCCGCAACTCCTTTCCCGCCTGCATCTCTGCCCACTCTTGTGTCTTTATCCTGTCACCGCGCTCATCCAATATCTGGACCTGAGTTGAACTTTATTCCTTTTGTATCTGGGCATCTGCGAGAACAAGTATGCGGGCTCGGACTATGTGATCTACCGCCCCTGTCTACATGTTGCCTCCAGCCACATCGTGCTGGGTTTGCAATTAGCAGTATTTGATCAGCACCCCTCTTGATCAAGGGCTCTGGCCAGCACAGCCAATCACGCGTAGGCAGGTTCGCTACCAGCGACGCGTTCGATTATCCCCGCTCTTTAGCAACGCGAATTGCAAGGAAAAACAAATTGGAAAAAAAAAAGCTTGCTGCCAGAGTTCAGGCTCGCATCTTCTCTTCTTATTGCGTCTGCTGGCTATCTAGCTCTATTTCCCACATCGACAACAAAAATTTATCATATTGTAAAATACTCACTTTCTTCTCGGAGCCATGTTTTACGCCGAGGCTATCCTGTCAAAGAAGGGTCCGCTGGCCAAAGTCTGGCTCGCCTCGCATCTTGAGCGCAAGCTTACCAAGGCGCAGCTGCTGCAAACCAGCATCCCGCAGTCGGCTAACGCCATAGTTGGACATGAGCATGGGCCGCCGCTGGCACTGCGTCTCTCTGGCCAGCTGCTGCTCGGCGTCTCCCGCATCTACGCGCGCAAGGCGCGTTATCTGCTCGAAGACTGCAATGAGGCGCTGATCCGCATCAAGCTGGCATTCCGTCCTGGCGCTGCTGACATCACATCAGACTCAGTGGTTGCCACACACACATCGATTACGCTTCCCGAGGCTCTGACCGAATTTGACATCCTACTACCGCCATCGTCGCGTGTGTTTGGCGACAGCGCGCTTGAGGTTGAGATGGCTGCGGCGGCAATGAATACGTCCCGTATCCAGGATATCACGCTGGCGGAGCAGTCGTTCGATGTATCGGCGGTGGCACGAGGGGTCGAGGCAATGGATATGGGTGAGGAGGACCTGCTCGGCCACGACAACGACTTTAAGCTTGACCTCGATGAGGACTTCATTCTGTCACCTGGTCCCCAGGGCGACGCCAGCATGCTTGAGCCTGAGATGGGCCGTGACGCGATGCAGGGACTCGATGATAGCATGATCCGCCCTGAGGGCCTATCGCTGGTCGGAAAGGACGGCGAGCCGTTGCTGCCAGGAGATATTTCGCGCGAGGACCTCAACGGTGATTTCAACGGTGATTTCAACGGTGATATCCTGCGGTTTGGTGACGATGGCCTAGACATCTCGCTGGGCCCTGACTCGTCGATGGTGCCCAGCACTCAGGAGGTTGCGCTACAGGAGGCAGAGGCTGCTGTGCTGGCAGCGGCAAACAGGGATGCCGCCGAGCGCCAGGCCAAGCGTCGGAGACTGAACATGTCTGACTTGGTCACCAACGAGGCCACGTCGCTGTCGCCTGACGAAATCCGCAGCCACCTGAACGATGCTAGTGATATTGTTCGTGTGCCGACGTATCTGCCATCCACTCGGGCGCCGCGCCTCGATGCTCTGAGCTCTGCTGCTGTCGCGTCGCGGTTCCTTTCTGGCGCTGGTGCTTCGCCATTTGATTCGCTCTTTGAGCGCACAGGAATGGATCCGTTCGAACAGGAGGTGCCTAGCTTTGTTGGCGGCGCCGATATTGGTGCTGTGGAAGGCGAAGACTTTAGACTGGACGACGTCGAGGACATGGACTTTGATGCGGGCATGGCCGAGGGTCTTGCCAGTGCCGCAGGCCAGCTCGACGAGCAGAATGCTCTGCTGGGGGGAAAGTCGATCGAGCAGCTGGAGCGCCTTGAAGAGGAGTCGTTCCTGCGTCTGGCCGACGAGCAGCAGGGTGATGGTGTGCGTCTGTTTGCTGAGGACCTGCCGGTGCGTGATGAGGATCTGTCAATGCAGGCCACTCAGCTTGAGGCTCTGGCAGCCCAAGACCACGAGGAGGAGCCTGCTGCCACGTCCAGCGCGTCGGGCGCACTGGAATCCGGATACAGCAAAAACACAATCCGCGCCATCCATCTCATTGACAGCGAGTGCCGCAAGGCCAATATCCCGATGGCTGACAGCGTCGCTGAAAGCCAGAAGTCGCTGTCGTACCTAAATGTGAGCAAGGGCGCGCAGCGGTCAGATGCAGTCAAGCTCTTCTTTGAGCTGCTGGTCCTGAAGACCAAAGGCTTTGTCGATGTCAAGCAGGAGGACCCGTTTGAGGATATCCTGATTGCACCGCGCGATAAGCTCCGGCGAGCGGCCGATTCGGTGACTGCTGCGTCGCCAGTCTAAATCTGGCTAATTACACGGTGATTTGTATTTACCGATTATTTCATCTAATGCAGCTTGCTGTCAGCTTTTTCTTTTTCGAGTGGCCAAGCGGTAGCGTGTTTTGCTCTTGAGCTTTCAGACGTATTTTTCTTGCATTACATTTACAATAGTGATATTCGTCATGCTGCGCGCGGCATCAGTTCGGTGTAGGGTTCCGCCTATGGCTTGCACCCGTCTGCTATCGACAGTAGGGGCTAACAGATCCGATAAACCAGTGTCAGGCGTGAGCAAACCGATCAGATCGATTCTGACCGATCCTGACACAGACTTGCAGGGACAGAGCAGCACAGGCTGGCTGCAGCAGCGGTTAAAGGAGGATAACTCCACTGCAAAAACCCGTCGGTCTGCCCGGCCGTTCAAAGTACACAATGCGAGAACAGCTGGCACGCCAAATGATCGCACATCTGGGTTTGTCAAGATCGACAAGACCAGCACGAGCGCGAAAGCAACGAAAGAAGAGGGTATCGAGTCAGAAACGACGCTGACGCCCAAAACCCTTATAGATAAGCTCAAGTGGGAGCAGAGCGGAGAGCGGCTGCAGCGGCTGCGTGCGCGCGCAAAGGACAGGGACCTGGATGGCTGGCAGCGGCGGAAAATTGAATGGAGGATCAAAAAGGTCGAGGAAGAAGGCGATGGAGCATGGGGACCAACAAAGAAGCTGGCAACCTCGAGCATGGAGAAGATCAGGCTGCTGAATGCAGAGTTCCCAAACGAATGGACCGTTAGGAAGCTGTCGGACCAGTTTCATGTCTCGCAGGAGGCTATCAGACGGATAATCAAATCCAAGTTCCGGCCGACCGAGGAGCGCACCAAGAAGCGCGAGACCAAGCGTAGAGAGCAAATGGAGCAGTATCGGAGAGATGGAAGCAGGCACGAGAGGGATCAGGCAGGTAGTCGGCCTGATTAGTTGCTAGCTGGTATAGCCGCTTTCAGTGGCCTTAAATATATTGCGATCGTGAACAGCAAGCGCTTTGGTTGACTGGCGGACTGGCGGACTTGCCAATATGTGCATGAGCACCGGCTTCTGCATATCCAGGCAGCCATGAGCAAACCTTGTTGATTATTGCTATTAACTTGCCGTATCTTGAAGGGTCATTCATTCAAAAAGTGCCGCTGAGCAGCAGCATCAACGGAAGCTGCTGCTTGGCACAAATGTCGTACGATATTTCAACAGCCTGCTGGCTGTTTTTAACCTTTGCCATTCCTGCTGTCCCTGCCGTCTGTGCCTACAAACAAAGGATCTTGCTCTTCGTTGCCAATTCCTGAAGGGCCCAGAGACAAACTGCATTTACATCACCAATGCGGCTGAGGTATTCATAACAGATATCACAGCAACATCTGGAGGGTAGCGAGTCCAGGAAACTGCACCCCCTCCCTGGCCTTCGGCGCTCCGTGGTATCCCAAACGGCTTGCAGCCAGTGGCGGGCGTTTGTTCTTCCGAAGGGCACCGACACAGCTCCTTTCTGTTCATCGGTCGTCAGGCGACAGAAGCGCATGGGCAGGTAGGTTGAAGTGTCCTATGCTGCTGCTGACACCCATGTCTCCTCTCCCCCTGCAGCCGGCGGGCTACCGCAAACGAAGCGTCTTGAAGCGAACTGCAGGCTCTTTGAGTGCCCGCAATCCCACACAGACACACAGAATAGGCTGAGATTATTCTTTTGAGGGCGAACTATTTCCGCAAGGTGTCTCGTAGTGCCAATCTGCCAGTCTGCCAGTCAATGCGCGGGGCAGCAGCAGCAGCTGCACATCGTCACCGCGCATCAGTCCGGCGCAACCCGTGGAATACCGGAGGCTACGGGTTATATTTAGCTCCTCAGTTAGATCCCGGTACAATGCCGCTCAGTCGATCCTGCACCAGCTTGTGTCAATGAGGACGCAGGAATGGTCAGAGGCACAAAAATGATTAGGGTGCCTTCATTGCCCACCATTGACGACGACGACGGCGACGACAACGCCCACGCCCACATCCGCTACCACCAACATCCGCCGCCATTTTCGCAGGCAAGAGTGCGGGATTGAGAAGATTCTGGCAGCACACATTGGGGAACGCTACCAGGGCGTAAGAATAAAAGAGTGTGGGATGGGCAGCTGCGCCGCGCCCAGCGCTGCTTGGTCTATTCTAGGAACACAGTCGACATTGGACGGGACGTTACTGTGTCAAGAGATGCTGTGCTACATGGAGCGGATCAGTGTTTGGCGCAAAAAGTGGTCTCGCCACTCGCTGTGTTTGGCTGAGGAGATGCAAAGGAGAAGCGCAAGAGTGAGAAAAAGCGTCATTCGAACGCATTTGCCAGCCCGCTACACAAACCGCCGGTTGTGCGCACTGGGGATACGAAAAAGGTGATGGGCAGCACAAAGAGTGGAGCGAGTGGGTGGGAGGAGCGCTCTCGTAAGAGCCGAGCGGCGGTAGACAGAGGAGAACAAGCAGCAGCACGCAGCAGGGGTTGAGGATTCATGGAGCAGCGCTCTGTGGTCGCACAACGGGTTCAGCTCTAACGATGCAAATATAGCTTCAGCACCTTGCCTCACGCAATGCGCCCATCATTCCCAAAGCAGGCCGCCTTGTGTTCCTCTGGGCAACGCTTTCTGTGGACCACATTGGCTGATGCCCGCGACAGAGTGCCGGATCGGGCGGTGTGGGGGTGAGAGGAGGAGAGAGCCGGCGGTGGGTGGGCAGTTCGAATGTGTGCGGATATGCTGCGTTCTGTGTGGACCTGCCGCCATTTGGGGGCGATTATAAAACGGCCGTGGATTTTGACGCTCGAGGTGGTCTTTTTCCTCTAGTGAATTTTTTCTTTCTTGTTTGGTACAGCACAACTTTCTCTCTGCTCTGCTTGTTGTTATACAAGACCTCGCTTTATAAAACCCCAAGGACTCAAAGAAAAGCAAACTTCACCTTTCTTCTTTCCCTTTCTTTTTCCTTACACCTTATTTCTCCTCCCACCTTAACCTTTATTCCCCTCATATCTCCTACCCCTTATAAGCTTACCTTATATCCGACATCTTTTTGATTGTTTTCAGCATCTTTTGGCCAATTTCGATCGATTTCCAATCCCGAATCCAGAAGATCATCCCCCCTTGAAACATAAAAGACCCCTCCCTGCCCTGCATTTTGACTTAATTTATCCAGAGTAAAAATGGTTCGCGCTTCGATTCTTTCTATCATCGCCCTCTCGGCCGCGGTTCACGCCAGCACCTACGAGTCCAACACGGATGCCGTTGAGTCCACCTCTGTCCCGGCTACCAGCGTCACTCCGACTTCCTCTGTCGCGGAGACCACTTCGGTTTCGTCTGTTGTCCCGACCCTATCTTCTCTCGAGGAGACCACCGAGGCCACCACCGAGGCCACCACTGAGGAGACCACTGAGGAGACCACTGAGGAGACTACCGAGGCTACCACCGAAGAGACCACCGAGTCGACTACTGAGGAGACCACCGAGGCCACCACTGAGGAGACCACCGAGGCCACCACTGAGGAGACCACTGAGGCTACCACCGAAGAGACTACCGAGGTCACTTCTGAGGAGACCACGGAGGTCACTTCTGAGTCTACTTCTGAGGAGGCTACCGAGGCCACTTCGTCTGAGGCTACTTCTGAGGAGACTACCGAGGCCACTTCGTCTGAGGCCACTTCGGAGGAGACCTCTGAGGAGACCTCTGAGGAGATCTCTGAGGAGACCACCGAGGCCACTTCTGAGGCTACTTCGGACGAGACTACCGAGGCCACTTCTGAGGAGATCTCTGAGGATACAACCTCATGCGAGAGCACCACCACCGACTGCTCGACTACTGAGGAGTCTTCTACAGAAGAGTCCTCGTCTGCCGACGAGTGCCACGGTGACTGCAGCACCGATGTTGAGACCGTCACCGAGACCACCCCGTGCGAGCCCACCACCGTCACTGAGACCATTGTCACGACCCCGTGCCATGAGTGCGAGCCGACTACCGTCACCACTGTCTACACTGTGACCCCGACCACCGAGGTCCCGTCGTCGGTCGAGTCCACCTCGGAGACCACCACCCCGTGCGAGCCCACCACCGTCACCGAGACTGTTGTCACGACCCCGTGCGACGAATGCGAGCCGACTACCGTCACCACTGTCTACACCGTGACCCCGACTACTGAGGTCGAGTCCACCACCCCGTGCGAGCCTACTACCGTCACTGAGACTGTTGTCACGACTCCGTGCCATGAGTGCGAGCCGACTACCGTCACTACTGTCTACACCGTGACCCCGACCACCGAGGTCCCGTCGTCGGTCGAGTCCATCTCGGAGACCACCACCCCGTGCGAGCCCACCACCGTCACTGAGACTGTTGTCACGACCCCGTGCCATGAGTGCGAGCCGACTACCGTCACCACTGTTTACACCGTGACCCCGACCACCGAGGTCCCGTCGTCGATTGAGTCTTCGTCCGAGACTACCTGCCCCGCTGAGGTTGTCACCGTGACCGACGCTGACTGTGTTGAGACCGTCACCAATGACGTCGTTGAGACCGTCACTGCCAGCGGCAAGGACTCGACTGTCACTGAGACCATTGTCAAGTCGGGTGAGGGTGCCGTCGTTACTGAGACCATCAGTGCCGAGGTTCTCGTCTCGATCGAGGACTGCACCACCGAGTACGTCACTGAGACCGTCCCGGGCTCTGACATCTGCCCCACCCAGACCGAGACTGTTGGCACAACCACCACTGTTGTTGTTACCAACGAGAGCGAGCTCACCAACTACGTCACTGAGACCGTCGCCCAGACCACTGGTGGCGCCGAGCAGACTGTTACTGTCACTGTCGAGAACACCGTCCCGGCTGCCGATGTCACCGTGACCGAGGCCGTGACCGAGACCTGCGAGGGTGAGGATGCCACCGTCACTATCCCGGGCGCTGCTGGCGAGACTGTTACCGTTACCAACGCTGTCCCGACCACGGTCACTGTCGACAACACTGTTACCGAGTACCAGGAGACCCACACCGCCCCTGCTCAGACTGACATCAACACCGTCACTGTCGCTGGCTCCGACGTTGTCGTTGAGGAGACCAAGGAGGTCACCATCCAGGAGGTTTGCGATGAGGAGGTCACCGTCACTGAGACCCGCGAGGAGGACGTCACTGTCTCCCAGACCATCGAGTCCACAAACATCGTCACTGTCCCGACTGACGTTGTCGTCCCGACCACCGTCTACTGCGAGAACGTCGCCACCGAGACCGTCCAGAACGACGTGACCGTCACTGTCCCGATGGTTGCCACCGAGACTGTCCTCAGCACCAACCAGGCGACTGCCTACTACCCTGTGTACGAGACCATCGTCCAGGATAACACTGTCACCCAGACTGTCACCCACGTCGTGGACACCACCGTCACCAACGTCCAGACGGTCCTGGTCGGCGGCGAGACTAGCGTCGTCCTGAACACTGTTACCCAGACCGTGCCGAGCGAGACTATCACTGTCACTCAGGTCCAGGAGGAGACTGAGGCGTGCGAGGAGGATGTCATCGTCACCGTGACCGAGGCCGTCACCGAGACCCGCAAGGAGGATGTCACCGTCACTGTCTGCGACACTACCCCGAGTGAGGTTCTGCCCACCAGCACGACTGCCACCACCCCGTGTGAGCCGACCACCGTCACCAAGACCATCGAGACCACCCCGTGTGAGGAGTGCGAGCCGACTACCATCATCACCACCATCGTGGAGACCCCGTCGTCGGTTGAGTCGTCGTCGGAGACCACTACCCCGTGCGAGCCCACCACTGTGACCTCGACCATCGTCACGACCCCGTGCGAGGAGTGCGAGCCGACCACCATCACCACCACCATCGTGGAGACCCCGTCGTCGGTTGAGTCGTCGTCGGAGACCACTACCCCGTGCGAGCCCACGACCTACACCACGACCTACACCACCACCCCGTGCCCGGTCTGCGAGCCGACCACTGTGACCACTGTTGTCACGGAGACCCCGTCGGCTTCGGAGGAGTCGTCGGAGGAGCCCTCGTCGGAGGAGCCTACTGAGTCGTCGGAGGAGTCTGTCGTCTCGTCGGAGGAGTCTGGTGTCTCGTCGGAGGAGCCCGCTGAGTCATCAGAGGAGTCTGTCATCTCGTCGGAGGAGGTTGTCTCTTCGTCGGAGGAGTCTGCTGAGTCGTCGGAGGAGTCTGTCGTCTCGTCGGAGGAGGTTGTCTCTTCGTCGGAGGCCGCTTCGTCTGATGCCGCTTCGTCGGAGGAGGTTGTCTCGTCTGAGGAGCCCACCACCGAGGAGTCTGCTGCTTCTACTGCTGAGGAGACCTCCGAGGCTACCTCCGAGGCTACCTCTGACGAGCAGACCACCGAGGCTACTACTGAGGCCACCACTGACGTCGATGAGTCCACTGGCTTCGAGTCGTCGGCCCCGGCCACCAGCATCACCGCTGCTCTCTTCTAAGGAGACAACGAGTCTTAGTGGCCCGTTGCTGAAGGCTGCATCTTAGAGCTGTGGTGCGCAATCCTGCGCAATGCTACTCTTGTAAAATCGTTGCGATTTTTGTTTCTACAAGATTCCCCTCCCTCCCACTTCCCCTTTTCTCTGGTTATCTAACGCACAACAACTTGTTCTAGGATGAAGGCATAATTGTTTTCCCTTTTGTTTCTTTTTGTTTCTCTTTCAATACTACAACTGGCTTATTAAAAATTTCCTACTCTGTGGATACGGTGCAGCTGCTCTGCATCTTTATCTTTATCTTTATCTTTATCTTTACCTATATATAAGATTTTATAGTCCAAAAAGTGTCCGACCGTCCGCTAGAACCTTTTTTAATTCGTTAACAAGTAAAACTCTTAAGCTTCAACACGGGTTTGAGTGACTTGCTCTGTAAACTCCCTTTGGTTTTGTGCGGCATCTGACCTCACCGGTGAAACCAGGGTGACAAGTTATTGTTGTAGTGGTCACAGGTCTCTACTGGATATCTCCATTGGTTCAGCGCAAGAGCTGCTCTCAGTATCGGTCGACCTGATAACTTCCATAGTGTCATCATGGTGGTCATCACTGGCTGCGCAACACTCTTAGGATATTTATGAGCACCTATTGAATAAGGCCATGTAGCTCTTCTAACAGTCATGCAAAGTTTGTGGGTTTATTTTACAAATTAATTTGTCATATGAATATGCATAAGCAGTAGTATTTGGGCCACAATGGACCCAGTCTGTATAGACTGATTCAAGAGACTGTATCAGTGCTAAGGGCCCCAAGAACCATGCAAGCCAGAAAATCTTTAATAAAAAGTTCTTAATGCTATGCATACGCAATACAGCAAAACTGAACAGCATCATTTCTCTTCTTACTTGCCTATTGAATTTCTCAAATGAATATTACCCGCAGCACTACTGTCATAAAGACATCACTTGGTGGTATTGGCTTCCGTGATTCTATGTTGCCCCGCCTAGAGCAATTTGTACACAGCGTCAATATCATCAAAGAGCATACATACTTGCTTGCACGATGGATATTACTCCATCAACTAGCTGACGATGATGCCTTTGACCCTGCAATATTTGTGAAAAAGGGGTTTTTTCGTTCAATTTATTTATTTATTTATCGCAACCTGAAGGCGAAGACTGTCATATCTGCCGAGGATTTCGTCAACCGGAAGGACCGGCCAGAACTGTCGAGCGCAGATTTCGGTGATGTAATTAGATATCATATTTATGATTATCTATTACATAATGGCGATATCGAGCTACATGGCGTACGTGAAATGAATCAGGTAGCGACATATGTTGACACCGAGCTGCTAACAGCATACAAGAACAACATTGTGTTGCACTATGGCACTTGCCTACAGCGGATTCTGGCCAAATTGATTGATATTCGCAGCCGCAAAACCACACTGCACAGTACAATGGGCAATGTGTCCAAGGCTGAGTTAAATAATGCATGCCAAGTGTGTATTTATACACCTGCACAGAAGCTCCGCCAGGCAGTTGCCTCTAGGCGCCCTGATCTCAGTGTGCTCACCCCACCGATGCTTGCAATCTACAACAAGCTGGCACCAGTCCTTAATGCCTATGATGCCAAGTACAGATTCGCTAAAGACAGCCGATACTATGATGCCAAGGTAAATCCACTTAAGCATCTGCGTGCATACATTCGCCTATGCCAGCTTATCGAGAATGAGCAGCTTGGCAAGTCTCCTCCCCAATGCTTGCCTCTGCGGACATCATGGATCCCAGGCCATGTGCGCTTAGACAAGCAAATAATCAAGCGGGTGTTTGTTTCGAAAACCCGTGAGCAGGTTACCAAGATCAACGCAGCAAAGAGGGCAGCAACAGAGGCAAGGAAAGCAGCAGAAAAAAAAGCGAAAACTTAGCCAAGAAGGCTGCACGCGAAGCAGCGAAGATGCCATCAGATGAAACAGAGGCCACTGCAGCAACTGCAGCAGTAGCGGCTGATTCGCTTGCTGCTGCATCGGCGGCAGCAGCAGACACTGTTGCAGCACTTAACAATGCATATGCACCAGCACCCCCAGTCTGTGCACACGACCCGGTCCAAGGGATCATACAATCTGTGTGGGATGTATGGGGCCGGGTCGCAGATCTAACATCAAAGCCATTTAAGGCGCATGGTGATAGAAAATTCCACGGGATGGTGACAACAGATGGTGTAACGATATGCATTTTGTTACAAGACAAGGTACCTAAGACTGGTGCTGCAGTAGATGCTGATGCTACAGCTGACTGTTGCTGCAGTAGATGCTGATGCTACAGCTGACTGTTGCTATATCCACCAAATACCACAGCCAGAGCTGCAGAATCTGAAAGGCCGCTGTGTATTCATCGATCCAGGTCGGGGCGATTTGCTATACATGATGCACGAAAATAGCAGCAATGGGAAAGAGGGTGAAAAAAATGCTCTACCGCTACACACGGCAGCAGCGCAATAGGGAGCTCAAGCTGCGCCACTATGACAGGATTCGTTGGGATACAAAGGATCAAGTCCCAGAAGATGCTGTCCGCAGAGCAGAGGCTGAGCTTTCCAAGCACTGCTGCCGGAGCCTTAGCCCAGCAAAATTCCGTGCCTACGTTGCTGCCCGTGCATCTGTGCGGTGTGTCCTAGCACCGTTTTATGCCAACACGATGACAGCGCGAAGGCTACTAGAGCAGCAGCCCACTAAGTCAAACAAGCAGCATCAGAGGCGCTGGAAGGTCCATCCAGGTGTCAGTACCAGTCCCAAGGTGTACCCACTTCACCGCAAGCTGCGCCTTGATTCATTCATGAACCAGGCCCGTGCAGACCACAGGCTTGCCGCGAAACTCCGGAGCAAGTTCGGTCCAGACCCAGTGCTGATCATGGGCAATGGGAGTGCGCCGATGGCCCGGCACCATGCGCCGATTCGTGGCAAGGGATGGCGCGACAAGTTCAAGCACCATGGCTTTGAAGTCTATCTGATCGACGAATTCCGGACATCGTCGGTGTGCCCGTTCTGCTGCGATAAGTCACTGCAGACATTCCGGCATGTTCCCAATCCGCGGCCCTACCAGAGATCGAAGAACCCAACTGTGAAGTGCCATGGCCTTCTCCGCTGTACAAGCGAGTCATGTAAGCGGGCCATGGCACAATACAGGCGGGCCTATTCGTCTCGGCTCTTGAACCGCGATCTCGCAGCAGTTCTAAACTTCAGGCTCATTTTCCAGTCACTCTTTGATTCAGGCAGAATTCCTGAACGGTTCTGTCGTTCTACGGCCATTGCTGCCGATACTTCTGGCACCACCCCTGCAACAAAGAACCCGCACAAGAGGCGTGGACCAGCTGCAGGTGATTCTGCTGCCAGCAGCAGCGAACCAGCCCTGAAACGTCTGCGCTGAGCAGGCAATCAAGATGGGAAATGATCATGATCACCATTGCACCAACAACCATCCGACACGTTCAAATGACCGGTTCGCCGTGATGCCCTTATCGACGTGTCAACCCATGCTGACTAGCAGCCGAGCTCGCATCGCGAGCAGAGCAATTCTAGTATCTTCCATGTGAATATAGCCTCCACCAAGCTTGGGCATGAGCGCGATGATGCCAGTCAGGGATTCCATCATGACATCTGTCAGCTTGGCGATTCCTTTACCCTGAATACGCTTTTCACATAGAGATGATGGCAAGTGCTCACCACCCCTTCAGCCTGACACAGCTGTCTATTTTCTCCAACGACAGGTGCTCGTCTCCTAGAGCTATTTAGGCAATCTGTTGTCTTCGGAGCACGTTAAGGGCGAAGGATGCGCTGATTTTCATATGACGGTGCAGCAGCTCTTACATATTTTTCGCGCTCTCCCAAAAACTACCGGAGGAAGTGGTCTACCTCTTTGGTACCCCGTTTCACATGCGCATCCGCAACAGTCATATAGAGGAGTCGTTGCCACTGCATGTGAAAGCAGCCGTGTAGCTTGAGTTTTCTATGGAAACCAGGCACCAAGCAAGCCAGAACCCAAGCACGTTCCTTCGCATTTAGTGCACGTGAGAAAGTTCAGAAAGGAAATGGTCAAAAATGCCGCGCCCATCGCTGCTACTGTCTCTCCACTGCTTCCCCGCTGCACTCCATTTAGCAACGCAGGCAAGCAGCAGCCCCGTTTAAAAGGAGTGCGCCGCGCGTTGGCAATGGCATTGGTAAAGGACAATAAGAAACCCCGCCCGGATACAACTCTCTTTCCTTGTCTCTATCTGTATTTTTTTTTTAGCGTTTCAGTTCTCCCTTCCACCTACACATTTACTCCAATTCAAACAATGCCTCTTGCTGGTTTCAAGTCAAGCGCTATCATCGACGAGCTCACGGCCGTGCTCAACTCGTTCTCGGCTGAGGAGCGCAAGAAGGAGGTCACCAAGACCAAGGCTGTGTATGCCTTTGAGGTCACCAACAGCGACGGCCAGAAGCACTACTTTGTCGTCGACCTGAAGCAGGCCGGTAAGGTCACCGACGGCACGACCGAGGCTGCTGCGGCTAAGGGTCAGCCCAAGCCCGATATCAGCATCACGCTTACAGACGAGACCTTTGTCAAGATCTCGGAGGGAAAGACTACGGCTGCGGGCGAGTTCATGAGCGGCAAAGTCAAGATCAAGGGTAACATGATGCTGGGCATGAAGCTGGAGCCCCTGCTCAAGCGGTTCAAGGGCCTGGCTGCCAAGCTGCCTGCTACCCCGGCGCCTGCTGCTGCCCCTGCCGCTGCCGCCCCTGCTGCCGCTGCTGCCGAGCCCATTGCTGTCGAGGGCTACCAGGGTAGCGCCATTATTGCTCAGATTAACAAGACGCTTGGATCGGACGATGCCAAGCGCGAGGCTCTGCTCAAGAAAACTAACGCTGTGTTCCAGATCGACCTCAACGGACCCGCAGGCATCAAGTCGTGGGTGCTGAACCTGAAGCCTGGCGCCTCTGCCTCCGACGCTGTGCTTGTTGGCACTGCCCAGAAGAACAACAAGACCGCCGGTGTCACGCTGACCCTCAAGGACTCGGACTTTGTCGACCTTGCCTCGGGCAAGATCACTGGCCAGAGCGCGTTCATGGGTGGCAAGCTCAAGACGAAGGGCAACATGATGCTTGCTCTGAAGCTCGAGAACGTCCTGAAGGCTGCCAAGCCGGCTGCCAAGCTCTAACCGCCGTATCATCACTTTAATATATATCGTTTTCTGGCGCATAGCGTCTCCCAGCATTGCTGCTAGACCCGGTTCGGAACCTTCACCTGAGCCATTCACTTTGCAGAGATTATCACCACCGATTATACAGCCGCTAGGCTGATCGCAGCCATTTATCGGCACTTGCCACTTGTGAATGAAGCCGGCTGTGAAGGCAATGTAGTGTATGATAGCCGGTGTTTGGCAGCCTTGACAAATCAAGCCACTCGTTTGTAGTTAGCCGTTTGTCCGGCAGAACTCTTTCAGCTACTGAGGTCTACATGTATGGCACGCTACCCACACCTCTATGCATAGCGTGTAAACACGTTCAGCAACTGTCCGTATGACGAGCCCCCAGTACTGATCCGGGGTCTGGTCGCAGAGGCATCCATAGCTCTTTCTACCGCTTTTTGCACATAGCACCAGCCGGCACCTATAGCTAGTAAGCGCTAGCGACTGGCACCTACAGTGTGGCCATGCCAACATGGCTCTATTGCGGCCTTTGCGCTATTGCAAGGACAGCAGCCTTTGCTGTTGACTTCTGAGGATATATTTTTAGTAGCCAACATGGCACCGTTTCCGATTTAGTCGAAAAGTGCCCAGCGAATGCACATCTGACACCTGTGCTCATAGCACTGAACAATCTTTCTCAAGAGGAACACAGCGGTGTGACTTTTGGCGACATCATCTTGCTGCAAAATTTCTGCCAGACACTGCCAGACACTGCAAGACACAACCGGGTATCTGCTGCTGCATCCCACTGTCGAGTCTTTTTGGCACAAGCGTATCTCAGAATGATTGATCCCTTTTTGCTGGCAGAGGTCAGGCACGCAATCAGCCTCACTTGACCCCATTGTGCATTCGGGCATAGGTATTTTTGGCAAGGACACCACATGAGCCGATGTGTTGGTGTTTGCAGCATAATAACACGTCGTCATGCAAATCAGCGCGTGGCAAAATGCAGGCAGGCGTGTGTTTTTTTTCTGCGACTTGTATGGCTCGGGAGAAGTGGAGTGGAACCCGGAACGGCAGCATAGGGCAACCACCTCGGCGCTGAGGTGATTGAGTAGTCAAAAAATGGATAAGTGGTATCCCTTGCCCGGTATTCCTACTCTCGATAGGCGGGGTATAGAGCCGCCAGAACAATATCACATAGAATCCGGCGAATGCCACACGGCAAAGTAAATACCAAAAAGAGAGGCGTTCGCATTTTCAGAATGCGGTATTATTGCTTTCGCAAAGGCTAGGAATAAGCCAAGAAAATAAAGACGCTGCAGTTCGGGCAGCCCAGTGCAGTTTATCGGGTAGAAAGGAGAGGCAGCCATTCTTTTGAGGATTGGTAGGCGTAGCCGAGGCTGACTGCTGCTGCTCAATGACACCGGAAATTGATGGGGCGGGATGATATTTCCCACTTGTTTGCTCTTGCCCAGTAGATGGTGTCTGTCTCTCACTCAAGTTTGCCACGGTATATGGCAAGATAAATACCGGAAAAAGGGGGAGGGTGAGGGGAGGGGCTGGATGCACCACCCCCAGTACCGCACACCCCCCAATGTGGCCTGGGAGAAGACATGTCGTGTATCATGTGCAAGTCGTCACTTTATTTTAGCGGACACTCTTGCTTGGCGCAGTATGTTTACTTTTTGTCTCGCGTTTTGACAGCACGCCTCCCTTCAGATAATGTCTGGCAAGCAGCAGCCAAAATGCAAAAGCTTTTGTTTCAGTTTTTGAATAGCACTTGGCCGCCTTACAAGCGCTCTCCTATATAAAGGCAGCCGGGAGGCAGGGATCGAAGGATTCAACATCAGCCCTTTTGCAATTCACCCCTTTCCCTTCTTCTACCTCTACGCATCTAAGTTATAGCATCTTGCACTTTTACATATACAAGCCACCATCCTACACATATACAATGACCTGGACTGTTTGCAACGTGCCAAAGCCTGTCCACCACGACCATGGCTACGCGCAGCTCACTGTTCCGCTTGTGCCCGGAGAGTATGAGTACAAGATTGTTCTGCCATCCAAGGAGACTGTCAAGCACAACGAGGAGGCCTGGGTTATGCAATATGACAGCTGGAAGACCACCTTTAGCGGACATAACTACCATGGCCACCACGGACACATGGCATGCAGCTGCAGCCACACCAATCACTGCCACCATCCTCACCACGGACACTGCGGCCACCACCACTGAGCGGTTACCAGTGAGGCGTGGGCGCCACTGGATCTGCTTCTTTCACGGATAACCCCAGATTCCTCAGTTTCACTCTGGCCCATTTATCATCCAACCACACCAACCTAATGCTCCACTCTACTCTCTTGGCGAGCATTGTCACACAAGCCTCCTCTCCCGATACCTTCCTTTGACTCAGTTGTTGCCGCGCATTGCATTTTTCAAAAATAAATTACGCTGACACACTACATCAAATAGCTGGCTGGTCATGGTAGCAATGTGCGAATGTGCAAATCGGATATAGAGACATGCACAATGTATTAATAGGACACACATCGAAGCCTGTGTTTGCAATAGCAGGTGTATGGCTGCAAAGGGCAACCGGCGGACCAGCCAGAAAGAGTGGTGCCCTTGAAAGAAAATAGCCTCATGCTGGAGTATTCGCTTACCCAAGCCCATCCCTCCTCTTTCTGCAAATCTCTTGCGGTCGATTACTGAGGGCTGTCGGGGGTCCAAAATAAGCTGCCCACCGCCTAGCGTTGTTTGCCCATTTCTTATATAATTGCTCTTATAAACGCCATGCCTGTCTGCTCTTTGTCTAAGCAGCTGTCGTATGGAGCGCGAAGATGTAGGTTGAATTATCTGCTCACAGGCGGGCAGTGTGGTCGTCGCTACGTCCGAGAAATAGATTGACGTTGACACCAGCTTTTTGGAATGCGTTCATCATAAATTGCGGTGGTCTCCCCAATGCGGACCACAGACGAGCGGAACCAGACAGAAAATAGAGGCGTGCTTACTGCCTCCAGTCTAAATGAATGGGCGAGCTTTTTCAGCTGCTGACGCGTGCAGAGCCTGGATTACACCCAGTCCGCGTACAGGTGGAGCAAACCACGCACTTTACTCGGCACTTTATAGTGGCATTCAATTTCCTTCCCTGTGAAATCTGTGAACCAATGTATGCACAAGATGGATAAGTAAAAAATCAGCTGTGCGCTAAGACGCTGCTGGAAAAAGGGATAGACCCCGTCCTATGCACCGATCGGCGATGTCCATGTCCCAGTCTGCATAGATTTTCCTCTGTGGATAGTATCGCCGCCCTTCTTTTTCCAATGCCAGGGCAAATCCTTTGCGTGCGCTCAGACATTCGTCTTGTCAGAGCGCACATATTCCTACATGGGTCTGCATCCACTATACCTGAGGGGTGCAGAGGAAATAAAACCATCTGCAAATCCGTTTGCCCAACATCAAGGATAGGGGATAGATAAAGTACGTGTTCTCTCCACTATGGAGTCAGAAACGGGCTGTGCTGGACTCGAGTCTTGGCCACAGTGCGGCAGTTGTGAATACGCAAAAGGGATGTGAATACATTCACAGGCGGTTTCTGATTGCGCATTCATGGTCACTGAGATAGCAGATGCAAAAACACGCCTCCTGTTTTCACGCAAAAAAGGAGCAGCAGTGCTGGTCCGCAGTTATATTTAGATCCAATGCTACGACCCGGCTGCTGCATCAGTGCGTGGGTAGAGTGAAAGGTCGGGCCGGCGCGTAAAACGTGTATATAGTGCAGATACACACAGATACATTATATGGGGTGCGTGTTTTAGTGTTTTGTGTGGAGCACAATGAAGCGAGGAGGAGAGTGTGGCTGATTTAGACGTGCCAGAGAACAAGTGCAACAGAGAGGAGGGATGGCATTGAAGAATGCGCGACGCGACAGGAGTGCTCCTCCCCTTTTCTCCCTCTCTCCCTCCAGCCAAGCCTCATTTTTGGCGGTTTCTTGCTCTGGCACAGCCGCAATCTACCAGCCAGCGTGTAACCCGACTGAAGCCGAGTGACCAGGGGCAATGGCTGGCGGTATGTCACCGGCGTGGAGTCGGAGGAGGCCACCACCACGCGCTATGTCTGCGGATCCGCGAATGCCTCTGCTAGGTTACTGCATTCGCGATTATTATTGCCCACCTGCGAACGGGAATTGATTGGCTTGTGGTTAGGTTGCTAATTCTGCATCAAAAGGGAAAAGGGTGACCAGAGCGGGTTTTATTCTGCGAAAGTGCTGGCAGAATAAGAAATAACCCATCATGCCGGGTGACCATCGTGATTGTGCATTTCTCGCCGCAGCGTGTCACTCGAGGCTGGTCACCACTCGGAATTGTGCATATAGCGGTTTTTAACCCTTCACACTTTGCACCTCTGCTACAAAAAGCACTTTGCTTGATGGCCTGGCAGCGGCCAGCCGGGGGATGATTTTTATTCTGTTCATCGCGGGTTAGTAGCATGGGTTCGCGGTCCCTCCCCCCTTGCATTTTCAAGCAAGTGCTTGGCAGCCAGCTCCTCAGTCGAGTTATAAAAAGCAGCCCAAAGGACATCGTCTCCACCTCTCGCCTCTTCCTGCTTTCTTATCCACACCAGACTCCACACCGCCTTTTCTCTCTCTCTATTACTTCTTCAGTACACAAACCAGCGGATTACAAGCTCTGCACCACTACTCAGCTACAAGCAGCATACCCGGTCCTCAGTTCCCAGAGCCCAAGTCCATACACCATCATCACATAAATACACTCGCAGCAAGAACTACAGCTAGGTAAGTTCCGTGGGCTCTCTCATTACCAATGCGCTGCTGTCGACATCATCGGGCAAACGGCTGCGCTTGCATTCTTTGCGGTTGGGCACGCTTGCACCGATGCTTCGACTTCTGCCTGTTCGCCTTAGCGCGCTTCTCACATTGCAGATCCTCCTCGCCGGTGAATGCAGCTGCGCACACCTTTTCCTCCCTGACTTGCCCCCTCTACTTCTCTCCCCCGACTCTATGTCGCTGACATGCACGTTGGCCGAAGAAGTATATTTGCACCTCACAGGTTAATAGCAGTGCAGTAGTTTACACGTAACTATTTGTTCTGCGAGCAAGCTGTGCGGGGCTGGGCTGGCAGTAGCAGCTCTCCATGCACACAGGCGCATCTGTTGGTTCTTTTTCCGAGTGACACCCCACCGACTACATAATTGCTTTGTGCAGACCTGTCGATCCATGCATGTACTGCATTGGCACCACTCGGTTCGTTAACAATACCTGGTCCTCATGCACCAGAAAGAGTGCAATAATAATAAAAAGACTGCAGCTAGAGCGGTCTTGCGCGCGAGAAAGCACGGCTTTGCGATGTTTTGAAGAAGCGCACTATAGCATCCAACTGGCCGACGCGTATGCATGTATTCGGTGTGGCACACTACCCCTCAACACCATCACTAACATGCGGCCCCCCTCGATGTAGAACAAGACACAATGGCCTACAAACTCCACAAGACACCCTACTTTGAGAGCGAGGAGGGTCTCCCGGTTGTGACCTACAAGTGCGACGCGGATGACTGGACCGATCTGCCAATCAACCTCAGCGTGTCCGAGCAGACGTTTGTCATCCGCAAGCCCGGAGCCCCCGCCCCAGCTCCGCCCAAGACCTGCGGTGGGTGCCATTGCCATCAATGCAAGGCCGAGGCGGAGGCAGCAGCAAAGAAGGCGGCAGCCGAAGCAGAGGCGAAGAAGAAGGCAGCCGAGGCATGCCCATGCGCGGATTGCAAGAAGGCAGCGGCCGAGGCAGAGGCGAAGAAGAAGGCGGCGGCAGCCTGCCCATGCGAGGCCTGCAAGAAGGCAGGCGGCTGAAGCAGAGGCAAAGAAGAAGGCAGCCTGAGGCATGCCCATGCGAGGCCTGCAAGAAGGCAGCGGCCGAAGCAGAGGCAAAGAAGAAGGCAGCGGCGGCCTGCCCATGCGAGACCTGCAAGAAGGCAGCAGCTGAGGCAGCCAAGAAGAAGGCTGAGGCAGAGAAGTGCGCTTGCCCATCGTGCGTCAAGGCAGCGGCAGAGGCAGCAGCAAAGAAGAAGGCCGCCGAGGAGGCATGCCCCTGCGAGCACTGCGCGAAGAAGAAGGCCGAGGAGGCAGCCAAGAAGAAGGCCGCCGAGGCTGCTGCCCAGAAGTGCGGCTGTGCCAACTGCAGCGCTGTCGTCCCTGTGCGCTTCTCACCGTTCGCGTCATCATGGAGCCCCTTCAACAACTACAAGCGCGAGGTGCCCTGCTATGGTGGAAGCTTCTTCACAAACTTCGCCCACTGCATGTGAGGTTACCGCTGGTGTCTGCTCGGCTCGATGGCTGAATGAAAAATAATTGTAACGCGAGGGGGGCGCTGCTTCACACTCGCCTCTCTGTCTCTCTGCAGCGCCTCGTTCCCACTCACTCTCACCCTCTCACTCACCCCTCCACACTCCGTCATGGCACTGTGTCTGTCCGCCAGGAGCGCTGTGGAGAGGCAACCGCTGTCGGCAAACGGTCTTCTCAGTGCGCCTCCCGAAGCTACCTTTTTTACCCTGCCGGTAATGGCCGGCTAGGACCTCACTTGACCGCTAGCTGCGGCCTGCACTCCCGGAATCAGGCAGCTGGCAGCCTCATTCTCTTTTCTTTTTCTATTTCTCAAAGTTTTCTGTATAAAATTATTGACTCATTCCGCAGTCCTCACATCTGCCAAGGGGAATAACTATGAGAAGGAAGAGCGCCCCGCAGCTGACAATAATGCTGACACAGAAGAAATCAAGACTGGACGAGCATTATGCTAGCGTGTGCCGCAGCTTTTTCTTGCTGCAAGGCTGATTTTGGTTCTCCTGCTCCTTTTTGGGATAGCGACAATCAGTGAGACCCTTGGTTAATTCCAACCGCGGTGGTAGCAACGTTGTTGGGCGCCGAAGTTCCGCAGCAGTCAGCAGCAGCAGCCAGCGGTTGGTCGCAGCATTATGTAGATAGACGCCAGTGTCGCTATCCTTCCTGGGTCTGGGATGCGCACAATGCGCTGTTCCAAATTGATATATGCGTTCCTAGTTTGGGCAGGTGCTGATTTTCCAGCAAAATATCCCTCGCTCACTGTCAGCGGTGTGGGCTCGGTGTGCTGCGGTAGGGATAATGCAAGAGACCCGCAGCAAGAGTACCGGGGCTGAAGGTTGAAATCGAGGGATTGAACAAGCTTATTGGGTCTGCCAACCAGTGCCAACACGGAAAATCCATGTGTGGTAGGATTCCAGCTGCCTAAATATACACATGGAGGCGCGTCGGCACAACATAAGGCACAACATAGGACACAATGGGCTGTGGCCATCCAGCCAATACCACTGACAGGAAGAGTGTGCTGGGAATTCATATCATGTGTGTAATCGGAAACTCAATCGTGAACGCGCTCCCCCACCAAACATATGATCTACCGCCAATTGGCATAGTGCGGCCAAAGGGGGGTCGACCATCTCTTTTTTAGGCGGGTACCCTACCGTGCCATGACAGCCTACCATTCCAGTGATGAGAGCTATTGTGAAAAATAAAAGACGTGTCCTTTACATTATGCATCTTGTATTTACTACCTGGCGGGCGCAAAACCGGAAACTGCTGTCTGCCAGCATGGCCCTCTCTGGTCGATCCCCCGTGCCCAGTATAGGCACTTGGCAGCCAGCACGCCTTATTTTGGCCCTGCAATGGTTGTCAGTCAGGGTTGTCAGCTTTCCGAGCTGACCAGGGTCAGCTTTTATTTTTGGGCACGTACCCGAGCAAAGAGTACGGGTGGCCAAATGTGCCCGAGATGGAGGCGAATGCCTGGCTTGGCACTGCCAGCACATGCCGCTGAAGGCAAGCGAAAGGAGACTAACCTGGGCTGGCAGCCACGCGCAAAGAGTTATTCGCATCTTCGTCATTGCATGCCAAAATGGACTTTCTGGAGAAAGTCAGACATCAGAAATAGCTTTTGAAATAGCTGCTTGTTTTCCTTCCATTTGGCCGCTGCAAAGCACGCACATAATGGCTTAGAAAAGGGGTATTCAGCTGGCCAGTAATTCTTTTTGACAAGTTGGGGGGTGGGTCATCAACCCCTTTCCCCATGTATCCTGCCCACCACCAGGAATCATTTAAAAGGCTCAAGTCCGATCCGCCAAGCAGACCCTTTTCTCTTTATCTCATCACCAAATCCTTTCCTCCACTTGACCCAGTCCACAACTACCAAGCCAAATACCCAAAAATGCCTTACATTACCTTCGACAACGACCTTAGCCACCCGGTCCACTTCAACATGACTGACGGGACATACACCTCCACCATCATCACTGTCCCTCACAAAGTCGAGACCTGCATCTGCGACGAGTGCAAGAAGATCCGTGCAAAGAAGGCTGCCGAGGAGGCTGAGCGGCAGGCTCGTGAGGCCGCCGCTCGCCATTCGTGCTTCTACTACACACCGAACTACAGCTGCTGCTGCTGCCATCACCACCACTAAGCGATTGCTGTGGGCCCGAGCGTTTGTGCTAAATTTTCCGCAGTCCAGCCCTCTCCCTAAGCGCTCACTGCCAATTTTCGCGCCCCTATTTTTAAAATACCGTCGCTGCTGGCCCTGTTTTGTTTTTATACTTTTCAAACTCTTCTTTGTAAGCACTTTCCACTAGTCATTTTTTAAGTTATACAAAATCACAAACTCCCCTCCTACCATCGGTAATAGACAACGAGTGTGCTTTTTGCAAACGGCGTTGAAAGAAGCTGACAGCGAATCAGTGGATTGGCTGGCTCCAATCCACAAGGCTTGGCTTGCGATATCACGTCTCCTTTTCCTGACCACGGCCACATCCTGTACATAGCATTCTCGTGACATATGGTGCTGGCAGTTTTAACAAGGATTATTCTTGGTGGCATTGTATGTCTACAGAATGCACAACCGAAGCTGCATCCTTTCCCAAGCGGCCCAGGCAGATAATAGCCCTAGGGCATGGGATGGAGCGGTGGATGCAGCCCTGGTATGACATCCACAGGGCGAATGCAATGCACATGCAGCATGGGCAGTTGCCTGGGGGAGTCTGCTATCCTTTCCTACTCGCCGGGTGCTTGCTGGGGTTGAAAAGCATCGGCAGGGCTCGTTCACCGAGAAGGTCATGTATTCGGATGGTGAGGAAATCAAGCCTGGCCGCAAGGCGCAGACGTTCCCATGGCATTCCCCCACCGGCCACCCCGTGTCGCTGCCTTGTGCTTGTCTCGGGATACAAGAAAATGCAGCCAAGCACCGGGCTCAATGTCCACGGGTCATTTATACCCGGCGGCTCCCCACCCGCCTTCTTGCTCATGCTTGGACCCACTGTTTTTCTGCCGAAAGCGATGCACGCAATCAGCGAATCAAGGGCGAAGATCTTGTGCGGATACAGCATGTGGCCAGGGCTGGTATAGTGGGCCAGGATGTGCATTAAGAGTATGTGGCCCAAAAAAGTACACGGTCGAGCAGGCGGGTCGGGAGTAGAGTGCGCTGGTTGCTCCCCTTCGTGATTCGCACTAGTCATGAAGCGAGGAAGGGAACTCTATTCGACAGGGACGCTACTGCCAAAGGGTCATTTAAAAAGGAGGGGGCGCTAGAGCCGCGCGCAACAGCATCAGTTACTTTCTTTTCTTTATCTCTCTTCCACAGCCCGTGTCTTTTATTTTCAACTTTCATACTATCCTCTACGTGTATATTTCTTGTAAAGACAGCGGGGCATATTGTAGGCGACTGTAAAATAACCCACGACGGAATTAAAAGTAGCAGTCCAGCAGGTTTCCTATTGACACAAAAGAAACACGGGTATTTGCATTTATACAGGTACGACGACATGGCATCAGTTGTTTTTTGTTTTGGCATGGGACTGCGGAAGGTGGACCTCTGCTAAAAATGGGTGCATATGTGTTCATACTCGGCGCCATCTAATGTCTCCTGTGACACAGGGATCTCAGTGCATCATGAGCTTATGACTAACCTGTCACCTTTTAGATGGCGATTTGGAAGCAAGGCGGATTTTTCGAAGAGCTGGCCGAGCGTGAGCAGCACCTGCAGTGGTACCCGAAGGCGTTCGTGCCAGCAGTGAAGAAGGGCGATGAGTACGTCGTGTCGGTGACATGCTGCACATGCGGCAAGTGTGAGTGCTGCCTGGCCAAGAAGAAGAAGGAAGAGCCGCCAAAGCCTGCTCCTCCCCCACCCAAGCCGGCCCCGCCTCCACCTCCGCCCAAGAAGGAGTGCCACGGTCATCATCACCACCACCACCACTGTCACTGCTGCAGTTGCTGCTGCTAGAACCACAGAAGGGCACATATCGCCTAGGGCAACAAAATACTGTTTCCTTGAATTTTTATTGTTGAATTACATAAAGACACTAAGCTGCTAGGTTCGGCGCTTCTTTGCTGCCTTGGCAGGGGAGCTGGGTTCAGGCGGGTTGTCCTTCAGGCTCTGCATTTCGCTGAGCATGGCCTCGAAATCCTTCTCCGAGTCATCGTTCGTGGACGTTGGCAGGAGCCCTGCTTCATCGTCCCAGAAGGGACGGACAAACACCTGCTACAAGCAGAGGGGTGGTGGGTTAGCAAACGCTGAGTGCTCTACGTGCTCCGCACATGCCAGTGTTTTTGCACTTTACCTTGCGCTTCTTGCCGTACTGTTTCGCAGTGGCATTGTTTGCTTGCTTTTCGCACACAACGACCATATCTTTTACGGATTTCGCTGTCTCCTGCTGCACGCCATTGCTGCCTGCTGGCTTGCTCACATTGCTGGTGGGCAGCTGTGGTATGGATGGCGGGATTGGTGATTTGGCGGTCTTGGATATTGGCGGGAATGAGCCGTCGTGTGCCTGGTTCCATGAAAATCGCTTGAACCGCACGGACCTTTTGGTCGGCACTGGCAGGGCGAGTGTGGCCATCATGTGTAATTTATTTGAAGGGCGGGCGCGGCGAGGAGTTCTTCACTGAGAAAGCGAGAGCATAGGGTGATTTTGAGGTTGGCTGGTGCCGCAAGGATGCTTCCTGGACCTATATGTGGAAGGCGCTCCAATGTGCTTGGGGGACAAGAAAAATTAGTGAGGTGTGGGGCGTAAATAAAAAATGCAGCGCCCGTTTTATCCCCAGGCGCTATACCGCCAAGCTGGTGCACAGCCCGACTATGGTTGAACCGCTCCAGGTCCAAGTGGTCCGACACTTGCTCGCTGCCCACTGCTTTCCATTCTCTGTTTTTCGATATTTTTCTTTGCTGTCACGCCTCCTTTTCCTACACTTTGCGTTTTCGATGCCCATGTCGCCGCCGTCGCCATCATCGCCGCCGTCGCCGCCACACGAGCAGAGCGGTGCTCGATCGCCAGCAGCCGATGGATCAGAGATCAATATGGCAAAAGGAGCACGGCTGTTCCGTACGCGCTGCGGGCTCTGCCACACAGTGACGCCTGGATGCAACAAGTCGGGGCCGTCGCTCTGGCAGGTGTTTGGCAAAAGGCTGGCACGGTGGAGGGCTATGCGTACACGCCGGCGATGAAAAGCTCCAAAGTCCTGTGGTCTGAAGATACCATGGCGGAGTTTCTGCGCTCGCCCAAGCGGTACATTCCGGGGAATAAAATGGTGTTTCAAGGGTTCCAGCGAGACAGCGATATCAGAGGTAAGGGTGGGTTGGCGAGGGGTGTCTTGAGCATGGGGGTGGTGAACATGGGCTGTATTGCATGTACTAGAAAACTCGCTGCTATTGGCCACTCGTTTATTCTTGTGGTAGATGTCGTCGCTTATGTCAAGGCGGAGTCCGAGCGCAAAAAGCTGTTCTAGCGTCTTGTTTAACAATTACATACAATCAATGCCTCTTGTCATCAGCAGGGCATCGCGGCCCTCGGCGTAATAGTTGGGCACCACCGTCTTGACGCCAAATCCGCACTGGAGTGTACAGCTGGATCGCCTCCACCCGTGCCTTGTCCACATGGAGCTGCACCGCACATATCTCCATGGTGGTTGGCAGGAACACGTACTTTGACAGCGGGATTGTTGGGCAATTGTGCCCCTCTGCACTCTCCACGTCACATGCGCCCAGCGCACCCAGCATGCTGCGGACAACCAGCCTGCCTGCACCCTGCCGCCTGAATGCCGGGTCCGTACAGATTTTTGAGATCCGTGCGGTGCGGTCAATTCGCGACAGAGCAAGGACGCCGTAGGCTAGCAGCTCAATGTTGCCAGCATTGGTGCGCCGCAAGACAACAAACAGGAACTGGTTGGGTTTTTTCAGCTCGCTGGCCAGATCCATAGCCTCGGACTTTGGGAACACGCGCTTCTCCAGGTGCTGGCAGCGTGGGATCAGCTCCTTGTATGCAGGGACAGACAGCCATGGATGCAAGTCCTTGGGTTGCCGTGGGATCGGTGAGGCCACAAGCGAGCTTGGCACATCCTCTGGCACGCTGTCCTGGGCTTGGCCCTTCTTGCTGCCCTTGCTGCGAATGCTCTTATCTTTCCCCATCCGCTGATATTTCTGCCTGGTTGTCTCTTTGAGTGAAAAGGAACGCTGAATGGCACAGGAGAGAGGGAGTGCCATGTGGGACAAGTGACCTGGTTTGTTCAGCAAGAGCCGCACAAGTATATTCCACATTGTGGTACACAGCGACAATGACCCAGCACAAAAGGCGGCTAGCCTGAGGGAAGACGTGCTGCGCTGCCGAGCCAAGAGGGGAGGGGCAACAGCGTAATATACATCCAGACATATGACCCGATCCCAGATGCTCTTGCACACATGCAATGCTTGGTTCGGCCTGCTGCTACATTTTGGCTTGCTGCCACATTTTGGCTTGCTGTGACAGCCTTGGTTGTTGGATGGAGGGCCATTGTCCCCAATCACGAGGCGCCTGGCCGATCGATCAGGGAATATCTAATCAGCCACCCTCACGATCAGTGCTCGTTGGGATCCAAATTTTTTGTTTTATTTTTTTCATGACAGCTTGCAAGCCGCCACTGTTGCTTCTGCACAGTTCGCCTTTTTATATTTCTACTTCAACAGAGCCATGCCCAAAATTACTACGCAGCAGCTGCGGAAACGCAACCAGGAGTCGGCAGCAACGGCGACCAACAGACCAAAGACGATCGGCGCCCAGCCGTACGACAAAGCAAAGCGCGGCACCAAGGGCAAGACCATGGGTGGCGATGGCGGCGACAACGCACGGCACTTTGGCCCAATGTTCAACAAGGACCTGGGCCAGCACATTCTGATCAATCCGCTGGTCTCGCAGGGCATTGTTGACAAAGCTCGTCTGAAGCAGACCGACACAGTACTGGAAGTCGGTCCAGGAACCGGTAACCTGACAGTGAAGATCCTGGAGCAGGCCAAGAAGGTGATTGCGTGCGAGGCTGATGCGCGCTTGGCAGCCGAGCTGACGAAGCGTGTTCAGGGTGGTCCGTTCCAGTACAAGCTGGAGATTCTGCACGGCGACGTTATGAAGCGCGATCTGCCGTTCTTTGACGTGTGCATCTCTAACACGCCGTACCAGATCTCGTCGCCGCTGACATTCAAGCTGCTGTTCCACCGGCCAATCTTCCGGTGCGCTGTACTTATGTTCCAGCGCGAATTCGCGATGCGGCTGGTTGCGCGGCCCGGCGATGCGCTGTACGGGCGCCTGGCAGTCAATTGCCAACTGTACTCCAAGGTCAGCCATGTAATGAAGGTAGGCAAGAACAACTTCAAGCCGCCGCCCAATGTCGAGAGCGACGTGGTCAAGATCGAGCCGCTGAACCCGCCGCCACCCATTGACTTTAACGAGTGGGATGGCCTTGTGCGCATCGCGTTTTCGCGCAAGAACAAGACGCTTGCCGCTAACTTCAAGTCGACTGCCACTATGGAGATGCTCGAGAAGAACTACAAGACGTACTGTGCCACCAACGATATGATGGTCGAGGACGACTTTGACATCAAGGGCAAGGTGCTGGGCGTGCTAGCCAGTGCCGGGTTCACGGAGACGCGTGCAGCCAAGATGGATATCGACGACTTTATGAAGCTGCTGGTGGCCTTCCACGACGCCAACATCCACTTCTGCTAGAAAACAAAAGCCCTTTTATTACATCTCACAAACGATATTTGCTTAGCGGTGCACTAGCATTGAGATCGACTCGGCCACCGAGCTCATGGGCAGGTTCTTGATGGCCTCAACTGCATGTCTGACCCCGCTAGCCAGTCGCCCGCCATGGCGGTAGTTGCCAGGTATTGTGCTATCGCCGGGGTTAGCTCTGTCCTCGCCCTGGTGGTGATGTCGTAGATGGTGGTGCTGCCGGTTCAGCTCGACCAGAGTGCTGGCGGTGTCGACCGGTGTGAGCGTGTCGTGTGCAGACATTTGGGACTGAGTATTGGCTAAAGTGATGTTACAGCTGGAAGGAAGGTCGATAATAGTGGTGAATAAAGGTAGGCATGGAAGAGCATTGGTAGACTGCTTATAAGCGGCTATTGTCAGCCTCGGACTCGCCGCACGCAGCTGGGATGGCTGTGCCTGCTGGTTCTACCGCGGAACGCCAGCAACAGTGCGGGCAGCGGCACATTAGCGCAGTTCCGTCAAAGGCGGAATGTCGCCAGTACCACCCTCTCCGCTCTGTTACAAATGTGGATCTGGTGAGTGCCAATGGCTGCACTCATTCCTCACCAGATACCGTTTGCCGAGGAGGCGGCACTTGATGACATGGTGCTGCCTGTTTTCCGCAGAGCCAGCAGGAGAGGGGCGAGCCATCCTGGCCGAACGAGCCGGCGAGCCACATCGGGCCAGACGAGCTGCTGCCACGTTCGCCTACCCAAGCTGGCCAGCAAGCCGGTGGAATGCACATCTCGACATCCTTTTTCGGCTTCTCCTCATTCCTCGCATTCAACACCTGTTTCTTAAAGCCATCCCACCAAGCATGTCCAATTTGACGCTCTACACGACGCGCGCACTCATTATTCTCGACAGCGAGGGCAACCGGCTGATAGCCAAGTACTACACGCGCGGGTCGACGCAGCAAAGCTACAAGACGCCCAAGGAGCAGGCAACGTTTGAGAAGGACCTGTTTGCAAAGACGCGCAAGTCAAACAGCGAGGTGATCCTGTACGACGGCCAGACGGTGCTGTTCAAGTACGTGTCGGACGTGTACTTTTACCTGGTGGGCGATCCGGAGGAGAACGAGCTTTTGCTGGGCTCGGTGCTGAACGGGTTTGTCGAGGCGGTTTCGATTCTGCTGAAGCACAATGTCGACAAGCGCAGCGTGCTTGATAACCTGGACATGATCGTGCTGGCGCTCGACGAGACGATTGATGATGGCATCGCGCTGGAGTCGGACCCGAATGTCATTGCGTCGCATGTGTCGAAGCGCGGCACGGACACAATTGACGTGTCGCTGTCAAACATCAACGAGCAGACGCTTATGGACGCATACAAGCAGGCCAAGGAGCGCTTCAACCTGGCGCTGCTCCGATAAGCAGACGTAGTGTTCTGATCCATTTCTTCCGTATATTCCTTTTTTAAACCATGAGCCGTGAGGCTGGAATGTAAGAAAGCACATACACTCGGTAGTGTTATCCAGTGGTTACAGGAGCTGCGCATAGGTTGCAGGCTTTGGTCCCGGCTGGCTGGAGCTTGTTGCGCCAATATCGATCAGTGGGTTGCCAAGCTTCTTGGCCGCAGGCATATATGTACGTGTCTGGGTGTGCGGGGGGCGAGTGACGAGGCTGGGAGCAGGTTGGAGTACTTTTGCCAGCTTTTCGGCCAGCACCGCTTCTTTCTTTTCTCTCTCTTCACCTTTTATAGCCCTGTGTTTTATTTGTATACCCGCAGCCTTCTATTCCTTCATTACTTATCACTACCGCCACTTCTTTCGTACAGACGAACAGCTCTAATTTTGGCAAATGACTGACGGCAAACACGCTGGGGCAGGCGACTGCACGCAGTGCCAGAAGACGACACGCACCGCCAAAGACTCGACGGTGTGGAATATCGACGCGCTGCAGACCGCGCTGGACACAAATTCATGGAGCATTGCCAGTGACGACAGCTGGCAGGTAAGTAGCCATATGCGGAGGCTGTTTCATGCGCAGGTGTTTCATAGAATACTGACAAGTGTCTTTACTGTAGTTGCTACTCGCCGTTCTGAAGCGGTCTGGGTTCAGCGGTCGCGCGAAACCACGGGTTCCTCACAGACACACTGCGGAGGAGCAGGCCACGGCGTGTGCGGTTCTACCATCCCGCGTGACCATTGCCGTGCACAGCGCGCTGGCTGCCGCTCTCAAGGCATGCTGGCTTCTGCATACCGATAGTGTAGCGGACAAGAGCCTGGAGCGCGCAATGCTGGTTTTGAAGTTTGTTGCGTGGGCGAGTAAAGGGGCAGAGAACCGGCGTGTGCTGCTGCACCATGAGGTTCTGCAGACGCTCAGTGTGGCACTCGCAGGCATCCACAGGCGTAATATCAACCCGTTCATCAGCAGTGAGGCTGCCAGTGAGGTGACGGTCAGAGATATCCGCACGTGTGACTGGCAAAGTGAGCTGCAGGGCGTGCCTGGGCCACGCACAGACACCGGCGTTTTGATGGGCATGCTGCTGCAGCATATTCTTGGCGCCTGTGTCGTGCTGTTCGACCCAGATGCCCAGTTCGCCGCGTACCTTGTAACACCAACCCTGCCAGAGCCCCTGACCGACGTCAACGTGATTGATCCACAGGACAGTTCTGAGCGGGTGTTCCGTGAGCTGCTGAAGCTGTGGCAGATGCTGGGTTCGTCGCCACCGCGCACCCATTTCAGCCCTGTGGTGCTGGCACTAGTACACGCGATGGGCGGGATCCTGGTCTCGCGGGGACTCGACGACCAGCAGATCGCGCAGATGCAAGGTAATCGAGACGATCGCCAAATCGATAGGCTGGCTCGACGCCGATGAATCGTATATCGCATGGCGGCTGATACTACTGGTCGCCGAGGTACAGAGACAGAAGGGCCGGTCATGGAGCGACAGCGTGCAGGCACATATAGAGGAATTGTGGGCAGCAGTCCATGGAGCGGACGTCAGACTATATTCGGATCGACATCCCAATGTTCCGGGCACGCTCGGCTAGCCAGAAAGACCATTTGGCAGCTGGCTATGAGGGGCTGAGGGCGATTTATGCGATGGTCAAGGGGTTCTCGCTGGATACGGGACTTTATCAGGCGTAAGAGCCTGGTCGATATTGGCGCACGGTCTGACGATTTGGCTGTGGATCTGATAGCAGTTGCTCAGTGCCTGGGCGCTGATGATGCAGTGATCCCCGATACGCGGTTGCGGCGGATGCTGTCGACGCTCATTGCACATATCGCACGTGAATCGTCAACGGCGCCGACCTTGCCATGGGTGGTCCAATCCAGTATGCTGACAGTCAACCAGCTGCTAGTCATGAATCTAGACAACCCGGGCTCGTCGATTTTATCAGCCAGCAAATCTGGGCCGGTGGTAGGCCAAGAAGGATTCAAAGTACACGCAGTTCGTGATACTAGCAGAATATGTACGGTTCCTGTGGAGTCTGTGCTTGCTGCCAGTGAATCCAGCTACGTTGAAGACAGGCTTTAGGCTATCATTGGAGCCGACGTATGGAATGCCCTGCTGATCGGCAGGATCTGTAGAGTTGTGTTTATATGTAGCTGCTGCCGGACAGGGCGCACACCGGATTATAGTTGAGGCCACATTGCAGCGGACTGTTCTCGCTAGCTGGGTGGCTCATAACCCAGTCATCACCGTCGGATGGACTCGCAGAGGCCTCAGCCTGCTATCAGCATCGTCCTGCAAACTAATCTTTGCCAAGCTCCTCAGCGCGAGTTCATCGGATCTGCCATGCGGCTCATTGAGCAGTACGTCTGCATATTTTGCAGCACAAGGCTTTGCTGCTGGTAGCATGGGTGCATCTTAGCAAGTTCCAAATACTGCTGCATGAAACGCAAGGCGCAGCAGACCTTTTGATGGCATTTCCGCCATGGATGCATTGCACTTGATGAGCAGAGGCGGGACGATGCCATTGTCTCGCCCAGCGTCGATGATCCTGTCCATCGTCAGTTTGCCTGAGGAGAGCGCGTGGAATTTGACGGCCCCGTCAACATCGAGCGCGGGAAGCCGAGTGGGTTGAGCGGTTTGCAGGCGAAGTCGCGCTCCTTCTCGTGGGGTCTGTACTAGTTGTGTCCAGGGACGATGGCGTTTGCAAGGACTCCTTGGCAGCTGTGCAGCGGGTGGTCTGGCAAATGCACAAAGCCTCTGTGCCCGTGACATGCTTGGATATTCTTTCGGAGGCGTTGTCCAGTGCACCACGAGTATTGGCAGACATAGCGGTTGAGGTCTCAACCGGGATATTGCAATGGCTGCTAGCTATGGCCTTCAGCGATCAAGCAATAGCGGGAGCTGATGTCGACCAGCAGCAGCGGCTGAATTCAGCCCACAAGTGGTCGACAGGGCTGACTATGCTTTTGGTGGCAAACGACCTCAGTAGTTCCATCGCTCATTGACCGGCATGTAGGGTTCCTACATGCGTACCGTGTATCATTACTCCGGGCCATGGCCACTTTACAGTCTCCTCGCGGGCGTTCAGGACGTGCGACAGATTGGTTGTAGGGTGTGGCGCGTTGGAAGAACTGCTGAGTTTGGCCCAGCTGGCTGGCACACTGGGTGTGGGACCCGAGGAAAACGACGGGTCGCCATTCTCAAGCATCAACAGCAGCAGCCGCCGCACTGACAGCAAGGGTAGGCAGGGCACAGCGTTGGGCGCAATGCTCGGCGAATGCATGTGTCTTGTTGCACTGTTAATCCATGGGTCCCCGTCGCACGTACAGATGTTCTCTGAGCTCAGCGGCTACCAAGTCATCCATGATTGTGTGGCGGCTCTAATCAAATGCCCGGGGATTGCGCGGCCAGCAATTGCCAATGGTGTTCTGTCGCTAATGTCTGGGCTGGCTGATCCAAGCACATGTCGGTCGTGGGAGACATTGGTAGTGGACCACAAGTGGATTCCGACACTGCTGACGGTTTGCGAGCGGTTGGACATGGGCGAGAAAAGGCCAGTCCTGCGGTTCCTTGGGCGGTGGTGCGAGGCAAATGGTCGTACGCAGTACTGGCTTTCGCAGAGCTCGATAGCCCGGCAGTGTATCGAGTCCCTGCAGCACCTACTTGTTGACTTGTCCCAGCAATCGCCGGATTGCGAACGGCGGCGGCAAATGGCCAGCACATACTTGAAGGCGCTTGGGCATCTACTAGTGAGGGTGCTGGGTCGATCGATGCGTGCGTCCGATCTGAAGCTTATCTTCCGCACGCTAGCAACAGGGCCAGGCGACGCAAATGCTGCACTGCTGGATAGCGACGAGTCCGCCGAGTATACGTTGGCAGCTCGGCGTATGCTGTCCAAGGTGCTACTAGGAAGCGCACGGCATGAGGTAGGCGGCAGTTTCTTTAGCTTCGATGGTCAGCCAGCAGCGATAGTTGCACCGCACTTCAATCGCATATCCGAGAAGGGCTTCACATTCAGCGCGTGGATAAGCCCAGACCGGATAGTCTCTACTGGGCCGCAGCACGTATTGGCACAGCCCATGCACAGCACAGTCTCGTTGCAGCAGAGCTCAGCGCTAGCAACACGGCAGTCGTCGATGGCAGCGCTGCCGCAACTCAGCGAGGTTGAGCCGAAACCGACGTCAGGCACCGTCTTGTATTTGGCAGCGGTGAACGGAGATATGCTGGTGGTCACACATAACTACATCTCGCAGGGCATTGAGATCCAGGTGGGCTTCAATGGAGCAATGCACCACGTGCGGTGTTCCGAGGGAGTGGTGCGTCCTGGGCAGTGGCACTCGATTAGCATCTGCTATTCACCGCCAAAGCGCGGGTGGTCGCCGTTTGGCTCGTCGAACCTGCACGTGTACCTAAATGGCGTGCAGACGTACAAGGGCTCGTTGCCGTTTATCGAGCCACTGCAGTACCGGTCATGCTATATTGGCGGGTCGCCAGCTTTTGTGCCTGGCAGTCGGTCGGATGCCGATAAGCTAGCAGCTCGGCACGGCGATGGTCTGGCGAGGTCGTTCTCGGGGCAGATAGGCAATATCCGTATGTTCGATGGGTTGCTAAAGACCAGCGAGCTCGAGTTACTGCACCATCTGGGGCCAATGAGCATAGTGCAGTTCCGCAAGCCACAGGCAGCAGACCCCGAGATTGAGGCATCGACATTGCGGCAGACGCCTAGCGAGCACCCAGCGGCATCGCGTGGCAGCAGTCTGCGTGACGATCTGTCGGGTCTGTTCCAAAATAGCGACCTAGGCAGCAGACTTACGCTAAGCCTCTCTGGGGCGGCCACCAACGGTGACGTGTGCCATGACACGAGCCCGATCGGAGTCTGCCAAGCAATCGTGCGCGAAAACTTGCATTACTCGAGCTCGATCTCGGCACTGCAGGGGCAGAGCGTAGTCTCATTGACGCGAGCCAATGCGCCAAAGGCGGCATGGGAGACTAATGGCGGCAGAGCTCGGCTGGAGGAAGCAGCACAGGCGTGGAAGATGCATGGCGGTGTGCTGGCAGTGACTACGACGACGATCCACCAGGTATTGCATGCGCTGGGCGGTCTAGAGCCGACTCTGATGCTGCTCCACCACTTGAGCTGGATTGGCCCAGCGAGTGCCGCCAGCCAAAGAGGGCCCGCTGGGCACCGACGAAAGAGCGTTTGACCAGCGCACAATGGAGCACACGCCGTTGCCTTCATTCTTCATGTGGCTCCGCGATCTTGTCCGTGGCGACCCCAAGCACCTGGCAGGCATCCGGGCGGTGAACTTTGTTCCCCTGGTGGCCAGCATCCTGCAGAAGCACCTGCAGGACCCTGGCATGCACCTGACGCTAGCGGCATTCCGCGCCATGCAGGCGTTCCAGACTGCCTTCGATGAGCAAGGCGGGCTGCTGCCGGCGGTCTACAGCGACACATCGGCGTTCTGGAGCCAGGTGCAGCATGATCTGATCCTCAATGTCAGTATCTGGCGGCATGCCGAGGTGGGCAACCAGATGGAGTATCTGAAGGAGATACACAAGGTGCTGTGTGTGGGGCGGCGCGGCGATCGACTCGGCAAGCGCACCAACGCGGCAGCCAGCATCAGTGGGCATAGCGGCGGCGGCAGCAGTGTGGGCGTGCGCTGGATTCTGTACGTGCTCTTCAACCTGTATCCGTACGACTCGTCGCAGCATTTCCAGCAGCAGCAGAGGTCGAGCCGCTCGACGCCCAAGCCGCAGGCGCCGCAGCGGATCTCGGTGCTGATCAACGAGGGCGCTGACCAGGAGTCGATCAGCGAGAGCCTGGCCACCAGCGAAGACGCGCTGAGTCTGCATGACGGGGACGACACTGAGGGCGAGCTGCCTGGGTTTGCTGCGTTGCCACGAGCCGAGACACGCCAGCTGCGACGTGTCTTGCTGCATACGCTGGAGCTGTTTCTGTCGGCATCCGAGGACCAGCCGTCGCGTCATACGAGCGGCGGGGTCCCCGAGCCAAACAAGGTGGATGTCTCGCACCTGGTGCAGCATCTGCTGTATGCGTGCAACCGCGACGGTGAGCATACGCGCGAGATCCTGCAGCTTCTGTTCCGCAGCCTGGCCGACGGCTCAGCCAGCGCTGGGCATCTGGCGTCGCGGCTGCTGGGGCAGCGCGGGCTAGGTATGCTGTGCCATATCATTGAATGCGATGATGATGCGTTGGCAGCCGAAGCCATCAACATCATTGCCTTGCTGTCAGCCATGTCGGCAACGGGCAAGGGCAATGCCAGCACTGCCAGCCGCCTGGCAAACAGCATCCGTGGCCGTGGGTCAGCCAGTGTCGAGCACGAGAACATTGCCCGCGCATTGACGCTGGTGCGCACAAAGCGGGCGCTGACGCCAGCGCTGTACCGGGCACTGCTGGCGCTGGCGCTGGGCGACCACGAGTCGCTGCTGGCCAGCATCAACATCGACCCCATGCAGTCCGGGCCGAGGCGCAAGCGCCATATGCGGAATCTGTCGAGCTGCGGCGACGCTATCTCGGTGCATGACCATATGAACATCCAGGAGTCGTTTGTCAGCTCGTTGCCGGCTCGCTCAATAGCTGTGCCTGATGCCTGGTATGCGATCTTGGAGCTGTCGTGTGCGCCGCAGACCGAGCCGTCGATGCGCGTGCTGGCAGCCACCGACCTGCGACAGTTGCTGGATGACGAACCGGGGAACTTCTCGAGCCTGTATTCGCCTGGCGCGCCGCTGTTGGGCTTGCTTCTGCGGGTCGTGGTGCTTGGCGGGTTCTTCACCGACGAGCTCTCAGCTAAATCCCACAGCGCCGAGCAAAAGCCGGCGCAGCAGCCGCATCTAGCCGACGTGTTTGTCAAGGCGCGCAACCACCTGAGCCTGATTCCGCATACAGCGCTCGACCAGCACATGCAGAATCTTGCCCACGGCCATATCTCCTCCCGCAAGGCTTGGGTCACTCGACGGGTGGCGGCGCTGCGGCGCACGCCTGCTGGAATCACGTGCAGTGACAGTGCGTTGGCAGTCCAGGCCGAGACCGAGCTGCTTACTTCCGTTGAGGAGTGGTCGCAGGTGACTATTGATTTGGCACTGCTGGTGATCTGGGATCTGTTTGAGCGCAAGCCTGAGAGCGCACAGGAGGTTCACAATGCTGTGCTCCTGCTCTGGGCCTATTCGCCAACTGGCGCTGTACCGCTGGCCTTATGCCTGATCGCGATGGTGCTGGCCAGAGCCCATATGGAGCTGGCATCAGCGGCCATTTCTGCGCATGGCCAGCCAACGCTTAGCGAGCGACCCGTGCTGCTGCAGAACCTGGCGCGGTTTGCAGTGAACGCACTAGATTTGCTGTTCGGGTACCGCCAGCACCAGGAGTACGTGGCATTCCACCACGAGCGGCTCAAGGCACTGTCCAGCACGCCAGCAGCAACACCGCCGCCCAGTACTGCGGCTGACTGCGACGCCGTGTACAAGAGCCAGCACAGCCCCTGGGACGATACGCCGCAGCTGGCACGTGAGCTGTCCAAGTTCCTAATGCAGCTGGACGAGCACCGCACACAGCTACACATGCCCGCTGTGCGACCAGACATTGCGGCTGGTGCTATCGGGGATCCGAAGCATGCAGTTGCGGTGTGTTGAAGAGAGCCTGACGTTCCTGGTGCAGCTGCTGGAGCGCCACCCGCAGCTGGGTGCCAGTCCCGACCTGCCTCTATCTGATGCCTCTGGCTTCGTGTGCTCCGGCGGCTGCTCACTTGCGCACAGCGCCCTGGCCATCCTCGGCTACATTCACGAGGCATTCGTATTCTCTGAGGAGCAGAATGCCTCAGGCAGTGCTACGCCCAGCAGCTCATCACACGACCGGGAGGCCATTGCGCAGCAGACGCGCGAAAGCATCGGCGCCCTCTACATGCTGGTGTTCCAGCGGCTGCGCGGGTATCTCGAGACCCACTGCCTGACGCTGTTTGTGTCGCGTGGCGCCCAGGCCCAGAATATCGACAAGTCCACAGACGCCTTTGTTGAATTTGTACAGGCACCCGACTGGCTCGACATCTACCGCACGCGGCTCATGCCCAGCATGCGCAATGTCGAAGAGGCTGAGATGCGTGCGTCCGCTCAGTCGCAGGACTCATTTGCAGGCACGCTGGCCGACCAGCTGGCAGCATCACAGAGGCGCGAGTCATTGCTGGTCCGCTCGGTCAAAGAGGTGCAGACGCAGGTGGCCAATATGACGCTGCCCATTGAAAATGAGGAAGTGATGCGTGTCAAGCAAGCCTTGCTGGACGGGCCGTGTTGGATTCCTGGCGGCGTGCGTGGTCCGTGGCTGCGGCTGTGGCGGAAACGCCTCCGAGCCACCGCCATGCCCCGCGGTCCGTGGCGGGCCAGCACCGCGACGCGGAAGCCGCACCGGCTGGATGCTTGACCACACCAGAAAACACCAGCCGCATGCATCGGCGGCTGGTACGTAATCCACATTACGAGGATCATCATGTAGCTGCTAGCCGTCGCGACAAGACAGGTAAGGGCCGTGCGCGGAACGATTCGTCAGCAAACTCGTTTGACAGCGAAGAGGGCGTGCCGCAGCTGTCGCTGTCCATCACCGGCATCGAGGAGCCTGGCAACCAGACTCCCGCCAATGACGACGACTGGAACCTGGTGACGCCCGAGGACCTGAACATTGTCTCAGCCAGCACCGCTGACCCTGGCCGCATTCTGATGAGCATCTCCTGCGAGCGCATAGCCCTGCTGGGCGGCGTCTGCGGCCGGATCGAGCTGACCAAATCAGTGCTGCGGTTTTCGGCGGACCGTGACAAGGACGGCAGCGTCACAATCAAGGGCCTGGATTCGTCAGGCCCCAGCAATGCTGTGCCGCGGGCCATCCTGGCCGAGCTCAGCCGCGACATGGTGTGGCCGCTGATGGATGTGCACCAGATCCATTTCCGCCGCCATATGCTGCGCAAGTCTGCCATCGAGGTGTTCTTTGCCGACCGCTCGTCCGTGTTCCTGAACATTGCCAGCAAGAAGGAGCTTTTGCAGCTGGTGTGGAAGCTCACATCCCTGTCGACTGCCAACACCGGCCTGCCGCTCAGCGACGTGCGGTCGGCGCCCACGCTGTTAAGCCGCCTGAAGCTGACCGAGCGGTGGCAGCACGGCGAACTCAGCAACTTTGACTATCTGATGGCGCTCAACACCATCGCCGGCCGCTCATACAATGACTTGTCGCAGTACCCGGTGTTCCCGTGGGTTATCCGGGATTACACCAGCAAGTGGCTGGATCTGAATGACCCCAAAGTCTACCGCGACCTGTCCCGCCCCATCGGCGGCTCTGAACTGGACCAGCGCCTGAAGCACTTCATTGAGCGCTACGAGTCCTTCGAGGACCCGACGGGCCGGATCCAGAAATTCCACTACGGCACGCATTACTCATCAGGCAGCCTCCTGTCGCCTACTATCTTTTGCGCCTGGAGCCCTTTGCTTCCGTCCACGTGTCTCTGCAGAGCGGAAAGTTCGATCACGCTGACCGCCAGTTCCATTCGCTGGCCGATGCCTGGCAGTCGTGTATGACCGGTCCTGGCGACGTGAAGGAGCTGGTTCCCGAGTTCTTCTACCTGCCCGAGTTCCTGACCAACCAGGGCAACCTGGATCTGGGCACAAAGCAGGACGGGACACGGCTGAATGACGTTGTCCTGCCGCCGTGGGCGTCAACACCCGAGGAGTTCGTGCGCATCAACCGCCAGGCGCTCGAGTCCGAGCACGTGTCTAGCAATCTGCACAAATGGGTGGATCTGATTTTTGGCTACAAGCAGCGCGGCGAGGAGGCAGTCAAGGCCCACAATGTCTTCTACTACCTGACATATGAGGGTGCAGTGAACCTGGATGCAATCACTGACCCAGTTGAGCGCGCCAGCGTTGAAAGCCAGATCAATTATTTTGGCCAGACACCGACCCAGCTGTTCACAGCGCCGCATCCCCCGCGTCACGCCAATCTGCCGCGCCCGCTGTACTCGCCGTTGACCGAGCCGTCTGGTCCACGTGCAGCACTTTGTTCTGCAAGCATCTAGCCATGACATTACCTTTATCGGCAGTGCAGTCAAATCCCCAGTGACAGGCTCTTCGGTCCCCTGGCCTGCTATCCAGTCGCCCCCGCCACCGCAGAAACCACAGCTAGCAACCAGCAATGCACCAGCTCTGGGCAGCAATGGCAAGCGCGGGGTCCATAGAGAGTTCATCACAGCAGTCGACAGTGCGGGCCGTGCCAGCGTCTACAACCTGACATTCTTCACCAATGCCGACTACAAGTTCCAGCTCGCTGTCGAGCCTGTCACTGACGGTCACTGTGTGGTTTCGGCAGCGAGTCCAGCCAGCCAAATGCAGTGCAGCGCGCACGTCCACTGCCGGCCGACCGCGTACGCGCTGATTCCGAATATGCCAGAGCTGCTCGTTAGCTGCGCGCACTATGACGGCACAGTCAAATGCTCGCGGATTGCCAGCGAACCGCTGCCGCCTAATGCCACGGGTGATACACCGCAGCAGCAGGCGCTGGTGACTCCCATGGTGACTACTGACCGGGCTGCCAGCATGACAAATGCATATGCGGGTGCGGTGGTTGGTGCGATGTCACGGCCAAGCCGATCTGAAAATAAGACGCAGCGCCCGTCACCGCAGCCTGTGCGCTCCTCCTTTGGCTCGCTGTTTGGCGGCACTTCTGCTAGTGGGGCAGAGCAAGCCGGTGCCCAGGCAATTGATGATCCGGCCGGGCTAGCGGCGCCTGCCAGTGTGTTTATCCCGCTGGCCGCCCGCCTTTTGGATACCATCAACACTGCTACATATGTATATTTGCCGGGCTACCAGACCTGCATTGCGGCCAGCGACGATGCCACTACAGTTGTGGTGGGCTCATCGATGGGCAATGTCGCCGTGCTGCATGTCGATATAGGCACACTCAATGGCGTCGAAACTGCTGCAGGCGCAGCATCCGCCCCCCTGGCCTTTGCTGCAGGCCTGGCCGACCCAATGAACCCGGAGCTTGGCCACACCAGCATGGCAGCATATTCGAATTCATCTGGCTTTACTGGCCAGAGCGGCAAATGGAGATTAATGCACGTTCTACTGGCGCACGACGCCAGCGTCCTGGATGTTGCCGTGAGCACGGACCACGGCATTGTGGCAGGCGCCTCGGCCGATGGCACTGTGGTTATTTGGGCGCTGCGCTCTGGCCAGTACCTGCGCTCGCTTATGCCATGTGTGGATCCAACCATCGGCGACGCCATCCCGCAGATTTCCGACAGGGCAAGGGGCATGCGTGTCGAGCGCGTTTTGATCACCGCGGCAGCACATATACTGTGCTACAGCGTCAGGGGCTCTGGCGATAAGCTGGACCCAGACCGCGCGCTATTCGGCAGTGAGGAGGATGGCGAGGCGGCACTGCATGTGTATAATGTCAATGGCCGGCATATGCGTACGCGCAAGCTGGCCCACCGGCTGCATGACATTGCAGTGACCAGAGACGGCATGTTTGGCGCTGTGGTCAGCTCGGACGCTCGCGTGGCGGTGTTCGACGTGCATACTTTGGGGGTTGTCAGGCAGTTCGAGCTGCCGGCGTGCGGGTGCTCGGTGGCGTGGAGCGGCGCGACTGAGCAGCAGATTATTGTTGGGTGCGAAGGCGGAATCATTGTGGTGATTTCGGCTGATCTCTCTTACATTCACTAAACGTCATTTTTATCCAGGACATCATATTTTGTGACATGCTTGTGTTTATACATGGTTTTTACAGTTCGTCCAAAGTCTTGATCTCGAACTTGGTGAGCTCTGCGGAAAGCTCGGTATCACAAGGAGTCAGAACGACTGTGAGCAGTGGATGTCCAGGAGTCACAAACCTCTTCAGGTAGAGATCATACACGCGTCGCAGGTCGGCACTCTTCACTGCGCTGATGTGTGCTCTTCTCCAAACAGTGTACTGGCTTGCCGACGCAAAGCCCAGAAGATTGCTACTAATGCAATAGTCTGTCAGCCAGTACGGCGAGCACTGCAAAGACGCGTTTCCACATACCATCTCTGACTTGGCCATAGCAATCTCGAACTCGGTGACATACTTGTCCCAGTGCTCGCCAACACCGGACACGAATGCCAGTATTTCCAAAATGGCCTTGGATGCGTCTGGCGTTTGGTCGACTTCAAAAACAAGCATATCTGACCACATGTCTTGCCTGAGGGAGGGTGTGTATCCAAGGCCTTTGCTGCGAATCGCATTGTACAAGGGTCCGCCGGTGCGCTGAAGCACTGAGATCAAGACCTCCAAGTGCGTAGTAATCGATGCCAGGGAGATCCGCCAGCTGCTCGTCGAACGGTCTGTCTGGTGTTGGTGGTGTGAAAACACAGCTTTCGCAGCAGATACGCACGACAGCTGCTTGAAGAGTTGGCATAATGACCTGAACGTTCAGTGGATGTGGAATATTGGAGAACCGGGAGTGGCGTAGACATGGGAATGGATATGCTGGTAAACCACCATCGCGGGAGGAAATATCGCCAGCCGCTTGCTCCGAGAATCTTCCAAAGCAGTCCTGCCAGTCTTGGGCCAGCTTGTCGATGAACCCCATGTTTTTCTCGCGCTGGCCACTGGAGGATGTGAATGTCAAAAATCCTCCTGTTCTATTGGCAATATAGCTCTGGAGCTCATTCAGCTGATCCACAATCCTTGTATCGCCAGAATCCAGAGACTTGATGACGCCCTGTAGAAATCGCTCATGTTCAAATGCGCTCATTTGATTACTGACCCAACGGGAGCGGTTGGTGGGATCCTGCGCGCTAAAATGCCATGTTATCTCATCGAGCATGCAATCGCTGAGTAGCTTTCGGCTAGTGATGTTGCTGAGGAGCTTTTGCGCGGCGGCCAAGGTACGCTCGGCTGTAAAATCAGCGAACAGCAGTGCCCGAACAAGCAAGTTGCTGGCTACATCAACATTCTCATGCGTCGACTTGAGGTACACATAGAATATATCGGTGTTTGGCACGATGTATGCCCACTTGGACACAGTGGTGGCAGCTAGTTGGCGATCAAACTCAGTGCGGCTGACACGGTGGGCTGTATCAGATATGTCACCATCGTAGGCAACTCCAGGCGGAATAGCGAGGTCAGTTGCTAGTATAAGGTCCCAGAAAAGACCCAAGCAGGGACGGAGATTGTCAGGCAGGTCTGGGAGGGGGATGCTGAGGCTTAGTGCAGGGAACGCGGTCTCAAGCTCGATTAGCTGAACAACAGCCGCAGGACCGATCGGTGTTGCCAGCTCTACAACCTCATGTACATGTGGCAGGCTGGAAACCTTCTGTGCATCCGGGATATGAATACTGCGCTTCAGCTCATCTGGAATGCTCAGCTTGCTAGCCTCAACTGCCCTCTCGATACGCTGTGTATGTCTGTCCTTGTCAGAAATCGACTGCGCATTCCTCTGCTCGACATCGCGGCGCTCCTGCTCGAGCTTCTTTCCCAGCTCTGTATCCGGCACTGCTGCTACATAATACACACGTGTGTCGATGAACCTCTTGAGCAGATCCAGCCAAAAGTCGACTGGTTTCTGAATAAGTTCATCGATGACATCGAACACCCGAGCATATGTCCCGACACGAAACTCGCTGCTAGATGACCAGTGAGATGCGGTGACATCACGAATCAGGGTGGTCTCTAGTCTCTGGAGAGGATCATCCTCAGACTCCATTGCAAGTGACTGACGATACTCCTTTGCAGCTTGACTCAGTGCACCGGCATTTCCATCGAATTTGGAGTCGTATAGTCGCTGGAGTTCTTGGATGAGCAGACTCTCGAAACAGCCTTCGGAGAATAACACCGGAATCTCAGAATCTGCACAGGAGCTGCATGGGTCGATATACGGCACGCCATTGAATGTTATGGTGACTGGCGAAGGAGTTCCAATACCTATGGCAGCATACAGTGAGCCAGACAATGGCATTGTACGTTCAACAAATCGCTGCCTGAGTGGACTGGATGCACCTTCAGTCAGGTATCTCAGCAGAATCTCCAATGCTGTAATGGCCACAGCATCATCAGGCATCGGGCCACGCCACCCGAATTTAAACGACCCTGTGTCTGCACTTGCCGAAGGGAACCTGATGTACTCCGACCACCTATCACCCACAGGCTCAGGACACTCGACAGGCTTGCGTGAATCACAGCCGCCACTGGTTACCAAATCGGCAGGTAGCTGCTGAAGAACGCTCTCGAATGAGTCGCTGAAAGATCCAACCAGCAGAACTGTGATGTTGTTGGCATCGTAGAATCTGCGATGGTAGTCGATGATCTCCTGGTTTGTCAGCGTCGCAATATCCTTGGTAAGGCCGCCAAAGTTGTAGGAGTATGGTGATTTCTCAGAATACATCAACTTGTACAAAGCAAATTCCACCAAATCGAATCTACTGTTCTCGGTAGCAACCTCTTCGCTGAAAACGACGCCTCGCTCCTTGCCATCAGCGTCGAAATGGTAGACTTCAGTTACGAACTGGTCGTCGGATAGTAGAGGATGAAGAACATGGTCCAGGAAGACTGGTAGCATATTGGCGATCGCCTCCTCGCCTGCAGTTGTAACTGTGTAGAATGTGTGGTCTGCATTGGTACACCCACATGTACCATATGAGAAATTACAGCCAGCAATTGCGTCTAGGCTTCCACGGTTGGGATAGCTTTCTGATCCACATAATACCAGGTGTTCGAGTGTGTGCGGCAGACCCTTGTTGTCTGTAGCAATGGTCGGCACGCAAATAGTAAGGTAGCACATGGGGCTCGGAACACGACACAGTACAACTCGCATGTTGTTCTCGTGGTGACGGTACACCGTGGTGCGGAATCCCTGACCAGCAGTGCCACTCTGGTATTCAAAGTCGTCGCCTTCTCTAACAAAAAGCGCGCCTGGCTGAGCTGATGTAGATGCCATGGTGAGTAATAGAAAAATGAGTGCGGAAGATATGCAGAGAAGGGATTAGTTTGGTGCGCTTTTAAAGACATTAGGATAGAAAACTGTGGTTCATCTCTGAGCCAAAGCCGCAGCAGTTGTAGAGAGCAGGGCATAGTGTGCGAAAGTGTTTGAATGCAGCTGCTGTGGTATCCGAATTCCCATGACCCGCAGCAGAAATGCAGCTTGCGGTTGTCAAGCAAGCCTGTTTTGTGGACAGAAGATGGCTTGGCTGTTCATAGTTCTTCCTGTACCAATCTGTTGCTTTGCGTGCTGAGCGTAGAGGCAAATCTGAATAGATGTACATGTAGCGTAGTGTAGACGCCCCGCTTATTCACCTAGGTACTGTCTGCCATACATATGAACTACTACTCACATACATGCGTTAACCTACATAGTACCTGTGCTATTGTGACATGGCGAGCAAATCGCTGATATCCTAGAATACATGGATAATGTGAGGAACATAATGCCCAGACAGCCCAGGCCCTATCACGACATGGCCGCAGTCCTTTTGGCCGCAGTGAGAAACAAGCAGACATCACTTTCCACCTGAACAATGCCCATGTATTCGGAAACTGCCGATCCACTATGCATTCATGGCTGCATGTCCCTGAGCCATCTTTTGCAAGGGTTGTCAAGGGATGCGGCAACCCAAACCTTGTCTCGCTCCTCATTCCCCTCATCATCGTTCCTACCGTTGAATATGAATATTCTTAATAGTGTTTTTGACACTATCATGCCCCGGATGTACGTATTATTTTTGAAATACATGGTCTGGTGATGGCTACGCAGATGCTAACTAGTAATCTCACAATTAGGACTCTCGGAGCGATCGCAGATGCATCACTGACTGCTGCTACTTTGCTATGGACACCTGAAAAGGATCTTGGCGCGCCGGTTCAGAAACAGAAACGCATTGCTATTGCCCTCAGCGCGGTTTGCCTCGCCTCTCTTGCTGCGTCTATTACCAACGTCCACCTTAGTTCAACTGCCTCGCTACTGGCATCAGTAGCTGTGCTCGGGCATACCCTGTCTTGCAGTACGGTCAGCGATGGCACTGCATTCCTGAACATCGCCCGTGCCATTCTCATGGTGGTCTTCTCAGTACCCCGCCTGAATATTTGCTTGTTAACAAGTGCTCTGTCCCACCTTGCTATTGCGTGGTACATGCTCATTCCTTCAACACAGAGAGAAATACACAGGTATATGAGGTATGTGCTGGGCTTCGATACCTTGGCTCGTCTACGACTTTACTCCAAGAACGACTTGTCTGATAAGGATATGCACAGCGAGGAAGGGATACAGTGGACTTTACGCGGAATTGAGAAGCTGCAGCTCGATACAAGCAAGACCTACTTTGTACTGCGTGGATTTTTGGCTTTTGCTTGGAAGCGAATGCTTTCTCTAGCCATCATCGACCTGGTTTTCCATCTCTGCATTTATTACAAGGACATTGTGTTTGTGATGATTGTTGGTGCAGTGGACCAAAATAGCCGCGTAGAGGGTACAGAGATATTGGTACTCTGTGCAATGTGGAGCGCACTGTCCACGTTTTCAGCAGCTTACAGTTACCATTGGGGATTTAAGGCCCATATCTACTGGGAAATTCTCGACGTTTTCCGTATCAAAGTCATCGGCATCAAGACGTCTCGAAATGGTGGGCAGCTTGCAGACGAAGAATACAACAGGACCCATTCTGTCGATTTGCATGAAATGGTATGTGGAATACGCAATGTGGTAAGCGTTCTCAGTCAGTCAGTGGCAAGCTTTCTCAGCATTCGGTTGCTTATCTCCAAGGTTGGGTGGCATGCTGCTCTACCGGTTGCTTTCATGATCGTATTTTCTATTGCGCGGAGTCTGGTTACAGCTAAGCTTGAGGCGCTGGAGAAGTTGAGCAAGGCCAAGGTCAGACCTAGATTCTATACGAATCTAGACATTCTACTTCGGAATATGAGCACGGTCAAGTTTTATGGATGGGAGCAAGCGTTTCAGCGTGTGCGTGGATATCCAGACCGCTCACGATACGTTTCACCCCTATTCTGGCGCATCGTTAACTACATCGTCACCCTCGTCGGCAGTTCAGCGACTCAACTTGCGACTGCTCTGACAGTTGCATCATATCTTCAGTCATCCTGGGACGCTGGCATTTACTGAGGTGATGTTTGTGGTGTCGTCAGCAACACATATCGCAGGATTTGCCTTGAGGTGTTCCAGCATTATTTCTGTCTCTAGGGAGATCATTGAGCATGCAACTGCACTGGAGAAGCTATTCGAGGACAATCATAGCAGGTACATCGAACGCACTGCTCAAGTAGGCGATACTGCAGTAAAGCTCGACAGGTGTGCATTCCAGTGGGGTCCTGACAAGTTCACTCTTGCACCAACGACATTGTGTGTCAAGACTGGCGAGTTCGCAGTTGTTGTCGGCAGAGTCGGAAGTGGAAAGTCGTCCCTGTTGTCTGCTATCTGCAGTGAGAATGCCGCTGGTTTCAGGCACAGGGTGCACATACGGTCGGATTGGGTATGTCAGTCAGAAGCCATGGATCATGAATGCGACATTCCGTGAAAATGTGCTGTTCGGTCCAGGCGTTTGACGAGAAAGTTCTACTGGCGCGTTGTCGAGGCGTGTGCACTAGCTGAAGATGTCCAAGCTGTTCCCGGCGCAGGATTTGTCAGAGATCGGACCGCGTGGTCATCAACCTGTCTGGCGGACAGAAGGTGCGGCTGGCACTGGCCCGTGCTATTTACTCCCGCGCAGACATCTATGTTTTGGATGACCTACTGGCGGGCAGTTGATGCACATGTCGAGCGGCATCTAATCGAAAATGTGCTTGTTGGCAGTGGAGTGATCAGTGATAAGACGCGTATTCCTGGTCACACACGCCGAGCATGTCGTCCCACTGGCGGATAAGATCATTGCACTGACAAACGGCGTAGGCAGATATCGTGGATGCAGCATCCTGTGACGTTTACTCAGAGCCGCCATCAGATCGTCCAGTCAGAGGATTATGAAGATTCGTCCAAGGACGGTGATGAAGGATCTGGCCCAATTCACCATTGACCCGGAGATTGGCGTCCCTGCAGTTTCAGTGGTCGTGCATGTGGCGATATCTGAGGATGAGCGGATTGCATATTGTTGGAGTAACATTTGCGATCCAAGCAGCTGGTGCCTATGCGACGTTCTACGTTGACAGCTTGCGCTTGGACTTGGTCATGGACAACAACAGGGAGAGCATGGTCCAGTCATTGCAAATGTATCTGTTCATGAACGCCTTGGTCCAACATGCTTCAGCTCCAATTAGATATGGCTGGTGACTGGATTCAGAAAGGATTGTGGTCTGCACGTTTACGGGAGAATACTCGAACTGAAATGCTTGGCACACTTCTCCACATGCCATTGCCACAGTTTGAGAGCCTCCCGAGTGAGAAAAATCGCCATCCTTTTCAACAGGGATCGAGCCTAAGATGTGTGACTTGCTTCCGCGTATCAGATCAGCCAGCAAGTACTAGGTGCCCTCTACGCCTTGAATGCGATTATACATGGTGTTCAGCGGATGCCTGAAATATTTGTGCTTGTATTGCCTACGATTATAGCAGTGACACTTAGGAATCGGGCGGTTGCCAAAGCAAGGAAAAGGCTGAATGATGTCTTTTACTCGACCACCAAATACTACCCCTGGACTTCATTCAGCGTACTTTTTGGTGGCCAGGATGTAATGCGTATCCACGGAGTCCTTGATACACATCTACAAATATGCGTTTCTCGACTTGCAACCTACAGCAATATTGTGTCGAGTACCAATTTTCTTTACCAGACTGATCAAGTCCTAGATAAGCTGTCCTTCATCCTCTTCAAATCTGCATTGCTGTTTTGCCTTGCTTGGAAATCATCTACTTCGGGAATACTATCAGCACCGGGCGAGTTCGAGATGACAATGCGGCTTTCTGAGATTATGCTGACTGGTATCAAGAAGGTTTCTAATGCTGGCCATAACCTCAAGCAGGAGCTACCTTTACTTTCAAAATACTTTGTCTATACTGGACTTCCACGTGAGGCACCTACGACCATCGAGGAATCGCAGTCACTCCGGAATTGGCCAACCGATGGTGCTGTTGAGTTCAGGAATTACAGCATGAGGTATCGCGAGAATCTGGACACTGTTCTGAACGACATTTCGTTTTCAGTTGGCTGCAAGGAGAAAGTTGGTATCGTTGGACGCACTGGTGCTGGCAAGTCGTCGCTGACATACGCACTACTGCGCCTAATCGAGCCAGCAGGTGGCTCTATCTTCATCGACGGTGTGGACATCTCAACAGTTGGTCTCCAGGAACTTCGTTCCAAGATCAGCATCATTCCACAGGATCCAGCTCTATTTGTTGGCACCATCCGCGAGAATCTGGACCCGCTGGAGGAGTTCACCGACGATCAAGTCTGGGAAGCAGTTTGCAAGGCCCATATCGAAGATCTTGTCAAGAAACCAACACAGACTTGGGATATTGATGACGATAAGAGTGGCCCGTGGGTCGAAGGAACAGGTCTGGACAAGTGGGTGGAGGATGACGGGAAAAACCTTAGCGTCGGTCAGCGCCAGTTGGTCAGTCTGTGTCGCGCACTGCTCTGGAAGCGCAAGATCTTGGTTCTTGATGAGGCGACGGCAAATGTCGATACAAAGACGGACCAAATCATGCAACATGCTATCCTTGAGGAATTCAAAGACCGCACGATTTTGACCATTGCGCATCGGCTCAGGACCGTCATGGACAGCGACCGGATACTAGTCATGGATCAGGGCAGGGTCGCCGAGTTTGACACTCCATCCAACCTGTTGGCACAGGACTCGCTGTTTAAAGACCTTGTCGAGAGTATGGAACTCAACGAGAGATGCTGAGTTTACTCCATGAATATAGTGCCAAATTTAGGTGACAGCTGTCCTTGCAATCAGTTCAAATATGAAGTATATATGTTTTCTAATCAGACTGATGACTGAAACCGGATAGAATAACAGCGCTCATATCACCTTAGGGTGTAGCCACTACCTTTGCTTAAATCTGGTGTGAAAAAAAGTATCAACAACAATATGAGCATCGACAACTACAGTTGGCCTATTATTAACAGCTACTACTTGTTTTCGGAGGAATCCTGGGTCGACAGCACTCTCAGTGACCTATTTTGAAGTCAAAGATTCCATGGCCAGGCAGATTGGCATTAAGCAATGAACCTTCAAGTGATGGCAAGAGCCTTGACAGCCTATGTCCTTTCCTAGTTTTTTGTTCAAGAGTTTGAGCAGTAGACTTGACCAACATATCCTCGTTAAGGCACGTACCTACAGTCTTCATACCAGCAGCTTTGGCACTACAAATCTGTTGGTCGGAAGTGTTCTGGGGTTGAGGAGAAAATGTATTGAAAGGTATGTAGACAGTGGTGCAGCAGAGATTCGACCTGTCTAGTAAGCTCCCTAAGGAGAAGCTTGGGCTGTGTACATGCTATCCTCTCTGAAAACACTCCTGTTGGAATCTAGTACTTCCTAGAAATTGTTAGGCTCACCAAACCCCGAGACAGTGTCGGTATCTTCGTGGGATGAGACAAAAATGCTTGTGTATCGTGAGAGCATGGTATGAATGTATTTCTTGGGTATAGGAGAATTCTGCTGATAAGAGAATAGAGAAAAGAAAGGTGGAGCTAAAGAAGACGGAGATGTGGGAGTTGGAACGCAGTATCTTGAAGTCTTCAGAGCTAATTACCAAACTATCTTTTTATACGACATGTGGCTGTAAAGTAAACTGAGGCGTTATACGCAAAGTTTCATAAATAAGAAATGAGAAAATACTAAGCGGCTAAACCGATGAAGAAGAAAAAAAAAAAGAAAAAGTTCTTTCTGAGAGAAACTCAACGTCACATAGTTGGTGGGTTGTCTAGTCAGGATTTTCCTCAGTGACTTTCCGATTTAGGACTAACTGTAGTCCATCGACTAGTGTCCAACAGGCTGTCATAAAACTAAGAATAGGGCCTCCCTATCCCTCTCAAGGCCTACAATTCATGCGCGCGCCTCAAAGAGCACAACTGGCCAGTATACAGCCCTTTCTTCCTTGATATCGCTTGCGACACACAAATTGTCCTCAGTATGCCGCCGCCGCCTCCTCTGTGGCATTCGCCTCCATTTGCCCACCATCCCTTGCCAAGAGCAGCATGTGTAGCAGAAGCTCTCCTCAGCAAACCAGAACCACCCACACAGTGCGCTGAACCGCCTACTTTAAACTCCAACCCTTCTCTTCTCCAAAATGGATATTTTAAATATGGACACAGAGGTCGGTGGTGTCGGTGGTGTCGGTGAAAGGGGCTGGCTCCCACCGTCTGTCCGGCTGTTGCATGGCTATGGCGTGTTGACAAACGGAAAATGCTACGGAGTATGCTCAAACGGCGGATAGAAGGCTGCGTGAAATGATAGTGGAAAGGTATGTGGAGAAATGGACTTGATGATAGGCTGGCTCCACTGCATCCAGGCTACCGAGTCTATATACTCCTGAGCGCCAATAGATGCAGTGCTTGTCAATTCTTGACAGCCCTACAATGGACGCAGCAACCATGACGCACCTCACCGATATGTATGCGCTGATTAGCACACCCTGCTACCCGTATATAGACATATTAAATTTTCGGAAACAGTGCAGGCGTTGTTTCACAGCCAATTGTGGACAATCAGCATGCAGTGTCGAGTGCATCTCGTCTGGCAAGAAAAGCTGGCACGGTAGGCTGCAGTATGGCAGGGGTTGCATCCCTCAGCAGTGGCTTGCAGCACCACCTGAAGTGGGTGCCAAAGCCCGCACTTTTGCGTTCGCAAATGCACAACGGGTGTCGGCCCACACCGCGCCTTGGAGCGAACAAAGGAGATTGACCCAATAACCCTAGCTATGCTCTGTACCGCCACCCGGCTAGGGCTGGGTTCACGAATGAGAACTTAGTGCACGCAAATCCGCTGCTCCTGGCCGTGGCACGGCTGTTCCGTCTGTCTCGAGCGCACTTTTGGGCTGCACGCCTCTGAAATATCTTTTTGCATCGATATGGGCCGGCAGCACGATGCTCTAATGTCCAAAAATACCCGGAAACCAGGTAGGCAATATGTTTCTGGTGTACTACCATACCTGCTCCAAACAGATTGGGGGTGGATATCAGAATGCCTTTTGCAACTCCTAGCACATACGCAATAGACTATAGACATGTCGAATTGGTAATGCAATATAGTTGATTTCGCAAGGTAAGAGATTAATCTAAACAAAATTGTTCGTTTGAAGCCAAAATCTGCCTCTGGCAGTGAGCGTTTGGAAATATAAATCGTTAAACATATTTTTTTTACATGTTTGTGCTATTGACACAACCTATATTCCAATCTGGGACATGATTAGTGAAAGTTTTGCGATTTTGAGGTAATCCAGACATACTCATTGCTATGGCGGTGTTAACAGGATATTGTTTGTTGAAATGGTACAACTCTAAAGCATCTCCATGGACGTCCAGGTATATTCACGACAGCAATGTCCTGTTGTCTTATAATTTCACTAGCGCATGTGCTTCTGACAGCCATTGTAGAACCATATACCCTTCAGCCACTCAGTCACCTTGAATAAAACAGCAGCCAACAAACTTGTTGCAAGGTGGTCAACCCAGCACAGCCCGTATTGTCTCAAGAGCAGAATAGTGCGATGCGCAAGTGGTTTCCGAATACACCTCCAGTGCTTCCATTGGCCATATGCACTAGAGATGCAGCTGCCGCAGCATAGACAACCTAGCCAGAAAATAATCTGGCTCAGCGACGTCACACTGAGATTCACTCTCCAGCACAGGCTCCAGCTACTCTGCTCTCTTCTCCAACTTCCTTCTATTCTTTCTCGCACCACCCTCTCCACCATGGATATTTCGAATCGCTCCACTACCACATTTCAGCTGTACGTGTCAAAGGCATCGCAAAATGTCTATCTGACTTATCCGTAACTCAAGCACTGACTTGCCCATCCTCACCGTTGTAGGGAAGGAGCTGCCATCGCCGATCTTCTGGTTCTCGGATTTGTCGGACTGTGGGGACCAGCGGTTAAGGGCGTACACCCGCTGGCAGGGGTTCAGAGACTAGTTATTATTACCCTTTGCGCATCTACCAGTCTGCTGTCTTGGTATTCACATGCTGGAACCCAGTTCAACTCAACTCTGGCCATTCTCTGCTCACTGACACTTGCTTTCCGGACAGCTAGCTTGAGGTTCTCCAGCGACATTGCTGCCATGGTGCATGCCCTGTGGTCGCTCCGTCTAGTCCTATTGTCCGACACTAGGGTTCCTGTAGTTCATGTTGCAGGGGCTGTAATCCATTTCCTTGTGGCATCGCTTCTCCTCAGTCCAGCCACAAGGAGTCATATAAGACGCCATGTACGCGGTCTGCTATTTTTGGATACTATCGCCTTTTTTCGCCTCTGCACCCAGCGTGAAATTACGATGGAGGATATTTGGGATCCGAGATATTGCACACAGCAACTCGAGTTGGCCAAGCGTCTCAAATTCGATATCACAAAGCGGTTTTTCGCTTTACGCGCTGTATTGGAGCTATTCTGGCAGCCATTGCTGGTAACAACTGTTGCTAGTACACTCCTATCCACGGTACCGCTGACAAAGAGCATTGTTATGTCACGAATCATCAAAGCCATTGACTCCAATGCAAGCACAGATGACTGCCGTGTCTACAGCCTATTCGCTCTCTGGATGGCATTGTCACTATTTTCACTTGGTGATGCATATTTGGCCGCATTACAAAGGTTTTGCAAAACGTTCTATTATAATGGTTCTGCGTAGCAATATTTTTGCTACCCTCAAGTCGCAGACCTCCCTCGAGTATCGACAGATAGACCATTTCAAGATTGATTGGACTAGTTCGATGAGATTAGTGGATGGGATCGATCACTCAACGACCCTGTTAAGCAACATGCTTGCGAACTCGCTTACAATCAGCGTACTGGTTTCTACAATCGGCTGGCGTACAATCATTCCGCTTCTTACCTCGCTGGTGTATTTAGTAGTGTCACATTCTCTAACAGCACATCTCGATATGCTGGAAAAGGCGCATAAGCGGAACAAACAGCCGCATCTGGGCCACACGATATTCTCGCTGATACACAACATGCGTACCATCAAGTTCTACGGCTGGGAAGAGGCATTTAGGCAGGTAGCGGACGATGATCAAGTAGACAAATTCGTGCCGCCTGCCCACCTACGGATCGCAAGATATGTGACGTCTTTAGTTGGAAGCTCTCTCCCCCAGATCTCAGCAGCATTGACAGTCTCGTCGTTCTTACACACCTCGAACAATATCGAATATGCGGATATACTTTTGGTCATGTCATCTGCCGAGTCCCTGACTGGCCTTTTCTCGATGCTCGCTTCGGCCACAGGGATTATAAAGAGTATTTCTGAGACTTCCGAAGAACTAGAGATGCTGCTACGTAAGGACGATTACCAGTTTTATCGCGTGCCGAAACGATGCTGACGACGTGGCTGTCTCGATGGATTACTGCAGCTTCCAGTGGAACACAGGGGATTTTGCTCTGAAGAACATGGATCTCAGGATTAACAAGGGCGAGTTCGCTGTGGTAGTCGGTCGTGTTGGCAGTGGAAAGTCATCGCTGCTGTCAGCGATCTGCAGCGAGATGCCGATAACAGATGGCACCGGTCTGGTCTCTGGCAAGATCGGGTATGTCAGCCAGAAGCCTTGGATAATGAACGCAACGGTTCGCGACAATGTGCTGTTTGGGAGTCCTTTCGACGAAAAGTTCTACCATACGGTCCTCGGTGCATGCGCGTTGACCGAGGACATTAAGCTGTTCCCGGCCCAGGACCTAACTGAGATAGGTTTTCGCGGGATAAACCTGTCGGGTGGCCAGAAGGCGCGGCTGGCACTCGCTCGGGCAATCTACTCTCGCGCCGATATCTTTGTTTTGGATGACCTGCTGGCGGCAGTTGATGCCCATGTGGAACGGCATATTATTGAGAATGTGCTTGTCGGAGAACGCGGGATCATCAGTGGCAAGACGCGGATTCTGGTGACTCATGCCGAGCATGTTGTACCCTTGGCTGACAGAGTTGTCACGCTTGTCTCTGGGTGTGCCGCCGTTGCGAAGCAAGTCCCGGCGCAGCTGAATGCGGGCGTGATACCTTCTGCAAACAGCGGACAAACAGCAGTTTCAGACGACTCGTCTGCCGGTTCAGGACAGTTCACATATGACCCAGAGCGCGGTGTGGACACGCATATTTGGCCAAAGCTGTGGCAGTACATCATGTTTTGTGGGTTCTCTGCTGTTGGTCCGTCGGTGCTGCTACACCTGGTGAGCACATTTATTGTCTACCGAGTTGAGAGCGTTCGGATGGACTTGCTCTTGGACGAGAATCGAGAAACGATGGTATCATCTCTGCAAAACTACCTTGTCGCCAGTGCTGTGGTTGGTGTCGCACGGACACAGTTACACATCATCGGTGAATGGGCACGTAGGGTTCTGTGGTCACATAGGGTCTACAGGAAGACGCGGGCCGGTGTCCTGGATTCACTCCTCAGCATGCCTTTGGTTCTATTTGAAAGCCTACCGGGCGAATCGCTCATGTACTTGTGGGGATATGACCGTAAACTAACAGGGTACTACTTCCCTGAAACCATATGTCAGAAAATGCTGGCAGCCATGGAGTTCATGAGTATCGTTGCGCAAGTATACAGTCGATTCCCTATCCTGCTGTTCTTTGCTGCTCCTATTGTCCTGGTTTCGTACAAGGTCAAACAAGTGGCAGATATAGCGAGAGGATATGGAAATCAGATTTATGACAACCAGGGGCTTGCTTCTCCATATACACTCTACTCGGAGATTAATACGGGCGGATATGTCATGAGGATCCAAGGCGTTCTGGGTACCTTTCTTCACAAGTTCCACGTTGGCCTAGCAGTTGAAAATAATCTCTGCATCTGCTATCAAGATATCGCTGATCTACAAAGATGGCTGCGAGACCTCTTCAAGGTTATTGTAAGCGCGACCGCACTGCTGGTGACAATTCGCCGATGCGTTGCCTCAGAGAGTCATGCGACGCCTGGCTCAGTCGAAATGACTATGCGACTAGTCTCACTCTTCTTGACAGGACTTGGTGGTATGTTGGAGCTCGGAGAGGATCTCAAATACCCTTTAGGTAGATTTTCGAGATACTCCATCTATACCGGCTTGCCACGAGAGCCAGATAACAGCGATGTCAGCGTGAATTTGTCCAGCGACTGGCCAACGACGGGCACCATCGAATTCCGCGATTACAGCATGCGGTACCGCGAATCCCAGGACCTGGTTCTCAATGGTGTTTCATTCTCAGTCCGACAGCAGGAGAAGATCGGGGTAGTTGGACGTACTGGTGCTGGCAAGTCGTCTCTTACATTTGCACTGATGCGCTTGGTTAGCCCAGACAGCGGGGCCATCTTCATTGATGGGGTGGATATTTCGAGTATCGGGCTCAAGCACTTGCGCTCGAAGATCAGCATCATCCCGCAGGACCCAGCTCTGTTCAACGGCACTATACGCGAGAATCTGGACCCGCTGAACGAGTTCACCGATGATGAAGTCTGGGGCGCCATTCACAAGGGTTGTATAGATGATATAGTCAGTACACCCACAGAAACATACAGTGCGGGTGACAACAACAGCGGACCGTGGGTAGAGGGGACTGGGCTGAACAAGTGGATCGAAGATGGCGGCAGGAATTTTAGCGTCGGACAGCGTCAGCTCGTCAGTCTGTGCCGTGCACTTCTGTGGAAGCGCAAGATCCTGGTCCTCGACGAAGCAACAGCAAATGTTGATTCAAGAACTGATCAAATCATGCAGCGTGTTATCCACGAGGAGTTCAAGGACTGCACAGTTCTGACCATCGCGCACCGGCTCAGGACCGTCATGGACAGCGACCGGATTCTGGTCATGGATCAGGGCAGAGTCGCCGAGTTTGACACTCCGGCCAGCCTTCTGGAACAGGACTCTATGTTCAAGCACTTTGTCGAAAGCATGGAGCTCAACGAGAAGCCCCAGCTTTTCACATAAACCGTAAATGAAACAAAAACATCTACCAAGTTTTATTTCCCTCTTCGTCCTGAGCTGCACTGCGCCAATGCTAAAGGGTAATCACGATGGGGTATCGATCTTGTATGTGTTGTCGTTCATGAGCTGGTCGAGCACGCCGCGCACGCGCTCGAGGTGGCTGGAGGTAATGAACAAGTGGGTGCTGTCGAGCTCCTCGATAATGAACTTTTCCTTTTGGTTGACCTTCAGCAGGACCTCGCGCGCGGCTGGGTCGCATTCAATCAGCGTGCCTTTGACTGCCTTGACCATAGTGTGTTGCAACAAATATAAGGAGAGTGATGCGCCGGACACAGATAGCGGCTATATTTAATATCCCATGTCTGGGGGAAACAATTGGTTATGGCAACACTGGACATTAACAAAAATTCTGGTTTCCGCAGGCCGGAAGCAAAGGGCAGGTAGGAAACTCTTCCAGGAAAATGCACGAGGAGACATGGCATAGCGGTACCGTTTATGTGCGAAATGAAATTCAGATACATGTAATGAGCCAAAGAAACCTCCCCTTTTTCTAGATCTGCTTCTGCTCAACGCTCCCCTCAATACTGCGCAGCTTCAGGAACACGTCACACCCATAGCCTTCCATGGAGACAATATCGAGGGAGCCGCCAAAGTAGCCAGCATACAAACGTGCCATAGGAAGGCCAAAGCCAAGACCAGCAATCGGCCCGCCAATCCCTTGCTGCATGGCCAGATTAGTCTGCAACGACATGCCGGCAGTCGACGTCTCATCATCCTGCATGGTTGACCACGAGTACTCAAAGACATTGCGCATGTTGTCCTTGGCGATACCGCCGCCCTGGTCGCGAATGCGCACACCCACGTAGCCCTCGCCCTTGGTAATGGTGATCTGGATAGGTGGGTGGGCCAGGCGGTGGCTCTGGCGGCTGAACTCAACCGTGGCGCGGAAGGCGTTCTTCAGCAGCTCGCAGGTGATGTACTCGAAATGCGACGGAATGTAGCTGATAGTCTCGTCAACATCGCCGTCCACATAGTACGAGGGCGCGGTGCCGTAGTGCATCTCACACATGTTCTGCACCAGCTGGGCACATTGGCGCATCATGCTGGCAGGCAGCAACTTCGTATGGATGGCGCCCACCCACACGTCCTCCAGACTCGACCGCTGCTGGTCGCGGAACTGGTACGACAAGGCCACGTGCTGCTCGCCGATCACACGCAAGCCGATGCGCGACCGAATCAGCTCGTTGATGAACAGCGCTCGCTCCTCCCGCTTCATATACTGCTTGCATTCGAGGAACCCCTGGGCGATGGTCGGGATGACGTCGACCAGCAGCTGCGTCTGGCGCTCCAGCGCCCGCGCAAACTCCCACTCGCGCTCGATCGAGTCGATCGGTGCAAAGGAGTACAGGCGGTCGAAGGCTTCGTAGTATTGGTTGTAGACGCGCGCAATGTGCGGGTTTGTGCCCACGATGAAGGGCAGGTTATGGAAGGATATTACGCGCTTCGCCAGCCGCACTGGCAGCTCGGATTGCGTGTAGGCGACGCTGTCCAGGATGTTTGCGGGCGTCAGAGGCGGCTGGCTGTACTTTAAGAGCTGGCCGATACTGACCGGCTTGAGTTGCTGCGAGGCATACTGGTAGACGATTTTCTCGTCATAGTGCGTCTTGCTGGTGAACGCACGGCGGGCACACAGGCGCTGGACCTGCGGAAGCCGGCGGAGAAGCATTATTTAAAAGTACAAATTGCAAAAGAGGGTAGGAATTGAGCAACAAAAAACACGACAGATAGCGAGGGGGAAAGGAGAATGTATTTTTTCATGCGTCACGAGTCGATGCAATGGGCTTTCATCGGAATCGCCAGAGCCTGCTCATCGCCCACCAGCACCTCGTGCAGGCGGCCATGGAAGCGGTAGCGCACAAACAGCTGCTTGTCCTTGGCAAAGGCCGGGTCGTAGAACCCGGGCAGGAAGCGCTTGCTGGCGCCCGCAGCCACCACCAGCTGGTCGTCGTTCACCAGCGCCTGCAGCGCCAATGCCACATCGCAGGCACGCGGCTCGTCGGCTGTAGCCAGAGCGCGCTGCGACTCTGCCAGAGAATCAAGCAGGGCCTGCACGTGATTCGAATTCTGGCTCGCCACGCCAAACGGCAGATCGCCATACAACGCAGCCTCAATGACCAGGCCGCCAGCAGCACGCGCCTGGTCGCGGCGCCTGGTAACGGCATCGGCGATCAGCTGCACGGCCTCCATGGCATGGCGCTTCTGCAGGAACAGCTGGTGGCGCTGCTCCTCCTTGAGCGCAGCCAGGCGCTCGGCAATCAGGCGGCGGCGGCGCGGGCGCAGCACCAGGTAGTGCAGAGCGGCAGAGACAGCCATAGGCAGGGCGGCGGCATACAGGATCAGGTCAGGCTCAAGCAGCGGCGAGAGCAGCAGCGGAAGCTCGATCTGGTGGCCCAGCCGCTTCATGTGCAATGTGGCCTTGACGCCAGACGTCAGGCCAAAGTTGACGCGGTAGCCGACCTTGGTCCACTCGTCCAGCTCGCCTTCCACACCAACGTTGGCCGAGGCCTCACCCAGGCCCTGTAAGCCGGCATCGAAGTCGTCCAGGGAGTCGCCGAGCCGCTCGATCGGGCCGTTGGGCAGGGGCGCGCCCACGCCCACCAGCACCAGACCGGCAGAGACCGAGAAGTGGCGGTCCAGGCGACGCGTGCAGTTCAGCGACACATGCGACTGCTGGATGCCCGCGGCCACGTCCACCACAAATTCGTCGCAATCCATGCGCTTGCCCGATAGCCCGATCGACACACCGCTGGGTTCGCGCGCAACCGGCCGCGCAGCAGCCTTACTGGCCTGCACGCGCGTCGGACTGCGGTCCCAGAACGGTCCCAGCGCGTACTGGTTGCCGGTGCGCATGCTCATGTACGCAGTGGTGGTCTGCGTCATCATGCGGCCAGCAGTAACCGACACCGACGGCGGCGTGACCAGATTGAGCGTGTGCATGGTGGTCTGCGTGGTGACAAAGGTGTCGGATGACGGCTGGTGCGACGACTTGACGGTGGCTACATACGGCGGCAGTGCCGGTACGCTGACCGACACCCAGGAACTGGGGCCAATTGTGCGCTTCAGCGTACCCACCAGGTTACCAGCGCCGCGGCGGTTACGCGACACCATGTGGCCGGTCACAGTGGCAGTCACAGCATCGGTCACTGAAGCCGAGAACGAGTGCTTCATGAACAGCTGCTTGACGTTGATCTGCTGGTCCAGCGGCAGGCGGCCGACGCCCGCACGCTCCAGCGCCATATGCACGGCCGGCGACACGGCCTTGGCCAAGTCCAGCTCCACCGTCACATCCGACTTGGACTGCACCCACTGCTCGACCTCCTCCAGCCGCCGCCGCCGCGCCTCGCGCTCAAACTTGTCCTGCAGGTCCTTGGCCGACTCCAGCTTGTGGCTCACCGCCAGGCTCGCATGCAGCCCCTCCTCACCCAGCTGGTCAAAGGCCGCGCGCCGGTACGGGTCAGTCAGGATCTCGTATGCGCGCTGAATCACATGGAACTGCCGCTGGGCCCACTCACGCCGCTCCGCCTGCCGGTGCCGGTCTGGGTGGAACACACGGCTCAGCCGCTTGTATGCGTCCCGCACGTCGTCTGTGGATGCTGAGCGCGGCAAATTCAGCACCGCATAGTAGTCCGTGCTGCCCGGCTGAGCCTCGGCCCATTGCCGCTCCATGTCCCGCAACAGGTCCTCATCGGAGGCGTCGTTGGCGTTCATAGTAAGAAAAGAAAAGAAGAAAAATAGAGATTCGAATTGGGAAACAAAGCTAGAGAGAGAAGCCTATGCCAGAGCCTTGCGCAATACTTCGACGCACACCCAGACATCCTCAAAGGTGTTGTACAGCGGCACGGGGGCGAGCCGGATGCAGTCGGGCTTACGCTCATCGCAGATAACTCCCGCATCCATCAGCGCGGCAAACGCCTGGTCAAACAGCTCGGTTCGCACCAGCACCGAAAGCTGCGCGCCGCGATGCTCCTTGGGCGTCATGATCTTGATCTTGTCGCCCAGATGCGTAAGCAGCAGATGCTCAAGGTACCCGGTCAGCAGCTCGGACTTTTGCCTGAGTTCCTGGATGCTGGTCTGCTCAAACACCTCCAGCGAGCCCAGCAGCGACGCTGACACCAGCACCGGCGTACACGAGATCTCGAACCCGGCTGCCCCGGTATTGGGCTCAAACTCGTTGGTCATCTCGAACCGGGTCTTCTCGTCGTGCGCCCACCAGCCGGTGAGCCGGTGCTGGGTCGCGTCCCGTGCGTACCTCTCATGGACAAAGAACCCGGCAATGCCGCCTGGTCCCGAGTTCATGTACTTGTACGTACACCAGCACGCAAAGTCCACATTCCAGTCGTGCAGCTGCACCGGCACATTGCCTGCCGCATGGGCCAGATCCCATCCCACCACACAGCCCTTGGCTTGCGCGGCCTTGGTGATCTTCTCCATCTCAAACACCTGCCCCGTGTAATACTGCACGCCGCTCAGCATCACCACTGCGACCTGCTCTCCCTGCTCCTCGATCAGCTGCAGGATATCCTCAGTGCGCAGCGTGCGTTCGCCTTCGCGCGGCTTGGCCAGCAGCATCGCCTCCTGTGGCAATTTGTGCCACTGGATCTGCGACTCCACTGCATAGTGGTCGGACGGGAACGCCTTTGCCTCGATCAGGATCTTGAACCGCTCCGCGGTCGGCTTGTAGAACGATGCCAGCATCAGATGCACATTGACCGTCAGCGAGTTCATCACGCCGACTTCCACAGGCTTGGCGCCAAACAGCGGCGCCATTTTCTCCACCACCTGCTGCCGGTACTCCACCCACGGCCGCCCCAGCGAGTGCCGGTGGTGGCCCACCACTCCGCGGTGCGCCCACTCGTCCAGCTCCTCGGTGATGACGCGACGGGAGCGCCGAGGCAGAAGCCCCAGAGAGTTGCCGCACAGGTACGTGCAGGGCGAGGAGCCCAGCGACGGGTTCGACGTCACCTGCGCTTTGGTTGGAATTTCGAATTCGCTGCGCAGGTGGGCCAGCGGGTCCTGCGCGTCCATGGCCTGCGCGAACTCGGGCGAGGTCATGTCAAGGGACTTGGCGGTAGCGACGGCTTGAAGCTTGTCCATGGTGAAGGAAAAATCAAAAATTCGGCTGCTGCTTTTGGAGTAAGATAGCGAACCTGCGCTTCCCCTCAGAACCCGCGCTCACTTTATACCTTTGTGAACTCCGTCCGTCTCGCATCCGTAAAAATCGGATCCTCACACTGGCAAGAGCTTTTTTCTCACAGCCTCCTAGTGATTGTCGTGAGTTCAATACACGCTGCACTGCTTGTTAAAAATTTTTATTCACACGGCTCCTTACATCACCTTCTGCTTTTTGCGCTGTGGCTCGTCGTCCACCGCCACCACCGCACGCAGCGTTTCGCGCCGCGTATACCCGTGCATCACCACAGCCCTGGCATTCGACGTCATCGCTCGCTTCGACAAATCCCCATTGAGCTGCAAGATCCCGCCCAAGTTGACAATATCATACGGCGCCCTCAGCCCAAACGGCCGCGACGCCGCGCTCGTCCACAGCACGTTCCTGCCCTTGGTGACCCTAACAACACTGGCTGCATTGCTCACCCACTGCCTTCTGCTGGCTGCATCCGCCAACGCCTCGCCGTACGAGATCTCCAGCGCGTACTGGTGCTGCATAGCCAGCCCAATGGTCTTGTGCTTGGCAAAGAACCCCCAGCGCGCTGCCATGTCCAAAGAGATAATGTCAACAGAGTCCCATGCGCCATTGCACGCCGAGAACAGGATCTTTTCGTTTTCCGGCCGCACCGCCACGATATCGTAGGAGAGCACCGATGGGTTGCCGTTGCTGGTGAGTGCGTGGCCGTGCGACGCATCGGCGAGCACGTTGGTGAGCCGCCGGAGCACCCGCAGCTTGCCTTTCGCTGCCGTATTCGCAGTCCATGTGTAGTGGGCGAACGGCACCTCTGGCAGGGTCTCCCAGACCTTCAGGTGAGCGGGCGTCACCTTGCCGCGCACTATCTGGTTGAGCGCTACTGTCTCGTAGCCAAAGTAGAGCGCCTGCTCGAGCGTCTGCGCGATCTGCGCCCAGTCCTGCGGGCTGATGTGCCCATTGGGCTTTCCGGCCGAGTCGGGCAGCTGGATATTGAGATCGTAGAACATGGAACGTATCTGGAGGCCCCCTCGGCTAAGACAGAAAAATTTACACACGAATCACAAAATGGAAAAACAATTCAATATTTGGTTTTGCTTTTATTGGCAGCACTGCCTGTATTGGGGGACGCCTAATTTCAAGTCAGTCGTCGTCGTCATCCGCCGGCTCATCCACCACCCGATCGTCCGTATGCACCAGCTCGTCCTCCTCCATCATCTCCTCGTCCTCCACATCCTCTTCCCCCTCTTCCTCCTCCTCCTGCTCCGCCATTTCCGCATCGCCATTCACCGCCGCCTCCTCTTCTTCCCTTGGCAGCTCGCTGGCGATAATCTCCAGCATTGCGTCCAGGTCCTCGGCCTGGAACCGGTCGCCGCACTCCTCGATAATCAGATACAGCTCCACCGGCACCCGTGGCCGCAGATTGGCTATCTGCAGAATCTCTGCCTTGGTCAGCTCATACTCGGCCAACCGCTGCCGCAGCCCAGATAGCTGCATGCCGTCCTGGCTCGTGCACGACGTGTTGCTGAGGTACTGCAGGGCCTCGAACTTTAGCGTCGTGACGTTCTCTGGGTACCGCATCTGTCCGCGCTCCTTGGCCTTGAGGTCCTTGTGCCGCGCATCTTCTTCCTGCAGAACCAACAGCATCTCGTAGTTGGACAGCAGGGCTTCCTGCACATTCAGAACTTTCATATTTCAATGTATGGGAAAATGGAGGGGAAGGTTAGGACTGGATCCGATACTAAATTCCTCTGCTCCACCTTGCCCCTCCCCTCCCCAAAAATACACTCGCACAAGCAGCTTATGGCAAAGCACAGGCCATCATGGCAAACATGAATATGAGTGGAATAAGACGTGTTGGTAAAAGGAAAATGACAATATGAAGGAACTCAGTCTACTCGCAGGTCGTCCCGCTTCGGCACAATGATCGGGTGCAGCTGCGCCAGGTACGTGATTCCCCACATGAGGTAGCACGACGATAGCGTCAGAATCGTGCACGTCCGCCACAGCGTCGGGTCATTCTTGCCGTTGAACACAAACATCGACAGCACGCACAGCCCGACCACGAGAAGCCCAATCCAGAACACCAATGCACCGCCCATCTTTATATTTGTGAATGAAAATTTGAAAAAGAAAAAACAGGATAAAGCAATACAACACCTGCGAGAAGGCGAAATGGCTTGGATTTCCACCATATAATACAGACGGAGCCAGGCTACCATGCGCTGTGAGCCGAGTCGAGCTGGTGGTTAAAGTAAACACGACATTTCAGACTCGGCTCTCCGTCGCTTTTTTTGCTGTTGTCTCCACTTGTCCGCACGCGCTGCAATTTCCTTATTCTTACAAATGAATCCGTCAAGCGACGCAGACGCGATCGACCAGGGGTCGACGCCAAAGCGCCTCAAAACCAATGTACGCAAAATCAATGCCTACTGCGACCTTTTTAAACTACCATTCAGGCCAACCCGCGCATAGCATCGTTTCCTACTGACTGAAAACGCTGCCTGTAATTTGAATACCTTGTAGGACCACAAAGCAGTACCGGCCAGTATTCTCATGGCCAGTCCATCTGAAGCGCACGCTGAGCAGAAGCCGCCAACACTATCGCCCAAAGACCGGCGCAAGGGCCGAAAATCGCTCGGCCGCCGCGTGAGCTTCGCGCCAACTGCCCATGTCCGCATGTTTGAGATCCAGGAAGAAAAGCAGGCCCAGACACCGCCTGCCAACATGTTTGATATCCCGGACCTGTCGTCGCAGGCCGGCACCGGCGGGTTCGACCTCGGCGGCCTGTCGGCGATTGAAGAGACATCTATGGTTAGCAATGAGAGCTTCGATATTTCCGTGCACCAATCGGATCTGACGGACTCGAGCCTCGGCGATTCGTCGTTTCTGGCCAATCTGCAGGCGCCTGTGGACAATGCGGCCCAGTACCAGGAAGTTCTGAGCGACGATGACGAGGATTTGGAGGACGATGATGAGGAGGCACAGACTATGGAGCTTACAGGCACCTTCGATATGGGCGCAATCCAGAATGGCGCGGACAGCCCTGAGGAGGATGTCGAGGAAGAAGATGGCGTGCAGTCTACGCACTCGCTGGCGTCTGGCCTCGCCACCACCGACGTGTCGAGCTTTCTCAACATGCTTTTGCAGGGTAATGGAACTTCTGCCACCCCTGCTGGGGCTCTGGCCGCACAAGAGCCGAGCCTGCTCGACAATATCATTTCGCAGTTCGACACTACCCAGCAGATCAGCGTGCTTGCCGGCCAGGGCAACATTACTGACAGCGAGACTACCCGTGTGGGCATCGACGAGGGCTCGGCCGACGAGGACACTATCAGGGTACAGCCTGCCGGAGATAGCAGTGACGAGGACATTGATGATGAGGGCGACGAGGGAGCGGTGACTATGGAGCTAACAGGGATTGTGGGTGATCTGGAGCCCGGGCAGAATAGCAGTATGATTGTAACTGAGGAGGACTCGGACGCCGAGATGGAGATCGAGGGTGAAACCCCCGTGGTGGACGGTGACGCCGATACCGAGCCAGAGGATGAAGGTGCAGAGCTTGTGGCAGACGACAATGCTGATTCTGGGCCAGAAGAGGCAGAGGATTCTGTTGATGAGGAAACGGCGGAATCTGATGAAGAAGAAGTGGCAGAACCTATCGCGGAGGCAACTAATGCTGCTGAGTCCGTAAGTCTCCAGGCTACCGACGCTGCGGAATCCATAGCCAGAGAGACAGCCCCTGAGCCAGCAGAGGACGCAGCTGGCCCACCCTCACCTAGCCTGAGTGCTTCTCTTCAAGCATCTTCTCCGACATTACCACCAACTCGGACAAGTCCTAGAACTCCTAGAACTCCAAAAGCGCCTAAGGTCGCGGCAACGCCAAAGATGCCCATGACCGCAGCGACACCAAGCACCAGGGCTACTCCCAAAGCAGCGACGCCAGCACCGGCTAGTATCTCCAGGTCCTCCAGAAATGGCCCATCTGCCATCCCAAAGACCGCAGCCACACTGCCCCGACCTGTTGCTACGCCAAAATTTGGACCGCTACCAAAAGGCCCTGCAACTGCCCCTCGGGCAACAGCAGTCGAGCCTCTGTTCCCGCCAAAGTCTGCTGCTCCGCCGACCAACGCTTCGGCAGCTGAAGCGGCCATGTCTCCGGTACTGGGCATGCAGACACCCAGGACCATGGCCACGCCTGGGGCAAATGGAGGCGTGTCTGTTGCAGGAGTCGCGTCGCACAGCCTGTTTGACGCGTCGCCATCGGTCGAGGCATCAAACCGGCGCGACTCGCGGTCACGCAAGAGCCCGAACGAGAAACCCCCCGCACTGCTGTTCGATATACACCAGCAGCAGCCTGAGCCTATGGGCGGTGACGAGACGATCCCTGCACCCAAGGAGCCGACACCAGAGCCCGTGCGCGACCCGATGTTTTCGCTGGACCCACTACCCCCGGTCCCCACCCTGGACGGCACTCCAGAGCTAATAACCAGCAAGGTCTCGCCGGCGCTGGGCGACATTGCCAAGGCTGGCCTGGTGTTTGGTATCTTCAACGCATACCAGCGGCAAAACCTGGTTCCCACAGCCCCCGCTCCAGATCTCGACATGGAGTATCCGCAAAAATACGAGCCACTGTACCGCAAGGCGAAGTTGAAGGCACGGCTCGACTACTGCCTGTCGCTAAACAACCTGTTTGAGATCGACCGAGAGGTCAGCGAGGTGATCAAGCAGCCGTCAGCCGATGTGACTCCATTTGCCGAGTTCTTCCAGGAGCAGAACGCGCTTCTGGAAGAGCATCGATCGAATTTGCTGCTAAAACTCTCGCGTCTGAAGCAGAAGCTGTCGCAACCAGCGCCCAGCGAGTCCACTGGCAGGCGTGCGGCCGACATCAAGGCTCTGCGGTCGCAGGTCAGTGAGCTGCGCGCAACGCGCACAGCCAAGGTGGCAGCTGTCGACGAGCTCAATACTGAGATCCAGGCACTGCAGCGCACCAGTCTAGCGCTGGACCGCAAGGCGTCGGAGAAGAAGAACTCGCAGAGCGTCCTGCTTGCCATCAACGGCCTGCATCTGTCAGATGTATCAGAGGACAGGTGCGAGTTTGTCTACGACAAGTTTGCGAAGCTCAATGTCGACGCGACCGCCGAGTTCTCCTCGCTGCATCCAGACATCGACTGGAATGCTGTGGTCAAGGATGCTGTTGGCGGAAAGGAAATGGCGTCCCGCCACTATGTGATCAAGGCCATGAAGGCCAACGCCGTGATCAAGCGGCTGCTCGCCGATGTCAAGGCCATTCGGCGCCAGACGTTGGTGGAGCTGCAGTACAGCGAGGGTATCCAGGTCCGCGTGCTGTTCTTCTCGCGTGCGCATCGGCGACGCTTCTACCTGCAGATCCCGCTGCCAAAGCTCGATGACTATGTGCATTTGTACGAGGAGTCGAGGTTCGGACTGGCCAGTCGATGTCACGTATGGCGATGTGGATGCTGCCCGGTTTAGGCAGTGTCTGAAGGCGTGCAAGATCAATCCACAGATGCCGCTGCTGTCGATGTATGAGCACATTGAACGGTCAATGGACGGCTTTTGAATCTACGAGTATTTTAAAAATGTGTGCCCATTTTAATGCGCTGGCAATCAATGTGAATATTCCTGTAACGTAAAAATCGCGACTGATTGCGGGCGGTAAACTACACTATTATAGCATTCGTTCCAACACAGATATGGCCGATCAACAAGAGGTGCTCCGACAGGGCGCCGAGGCGGTAAGGCTCAGAAGAAGAAGCACCAGACTGCAAGCGTGCCGATATATGGACTGCTAAGCTAACTGTCTTTCTTCTTTTTTTTTTCCGGCTAGCGTATCTACAAAACCGAGTTCGAGGGCAAGCCAGCAATCGCCAAGCAGCGGTTCTCGAAAAAGTACCGGCACCCGGAGCTCGACCACAAGCTCACCAAGGGCCGGCTCAACCAAGAGGCACGCAGCCTGCAGCGGTGCCGCGACAACGGCATCAAGGTCCCGCGGGTGTACCACACCGACAAGGCGGCGGCGACGCTGACAATCGAATTCATCGCCGGGCCGACACTGAAGGAGTGGGTGTTTGCAAACACCGACGACCAGCTGCTGAAGGACCAGATGGAGGCGCTGGGTCGGATCCTGAACAAGATGCATATGCACAATATCATTCATGGCGATCTGACCACGTCCAATGCGATTGTGGACCAGCAGGGCGAGCTGGTGCTGATCGACTTTGGCCTGAGCCAGGTGTCGCCGAGCGCCGAGGACAAGGCCGTGGATCTGTATGTGCTGGAGCGCGCCTTCATTAGCACCCACCCCAACTCGGAGCTGCTGTTCGGGTCGGTGCTCGAGGCATACGAAAAGAACGCTGACGAGGCAACCAGCGCGGTGATCAAGAGGCTGGAGGACGTGCGTCTTCGCGGCCGCAAGCGCGACATGACAGGCTAGAATGGCGTTTAAGGAGATGGAGCAATATATATTCGCAGTATTTCATTTTTTTTAGTTGGTCTTGGACTTGGCCTTCTTGGGCTCAGTGTTCCAGAGCCAGGCAGCAGAGAGGGCCAGGAACCCAAGGACCATGGTCAACGAGCCTACGTAGTACGGGTAGGCGGCGGACAGGAAGCGCGGGTACTCATCGTGGCGCAGCGGCCAAATGCCAACGGTATCCTGAACAACGACGTTGGAGTACCCGGTGCGCTTGTAGTTGACGCGGAAGGTGAATGTGCCATAGCGGTCCGGCAGCTTGATGTCGCCATGGTACGTGGCATGTGCTGCGTTGGACTCTGTGCGGTTGAGCGTGGCGCGGATATACGGATCAAGCATGATGGCCTCGAACTGCACGTCGCTGGCCACATACGGATGCCATGCGTCATCATAGTACACCGAAAGATCGACCTCGTACACAATCTCGTTGTTGACGCGGTAGTGCTCGGGGGTCTCGCCAGTGGCAGCAAAGTGGTGGCGGTGGGCGGTAGAACGCAGCACGGACTTCTCCTGGAATGCCCACTGCGAGATCTCCTTAACGAACTGCGTGTTTCCCGCAGCCTTCTGGCCCAGAAGCCTGTTGGAGAACAGATCGGCGCTGCCCGAGAACACGACGCGGGCGTTGGAGCGCGTCTGGAAGGCACTGACCAGGCCGATGGACATGCCCGTCAGCACGACGTCCGACCGAGCGGCACTGGACGCGGCCGAGTATGTCGTGCGGGCGCCCGTCAGCAGCGGGACCAGCAGCGGGTTGGCAGCATCGTATGCATGCGCAATGCCCTTGAACAGCACGGGCTTTCCGCCCACAACCTTCTTCGACAGCACCGCATCCACCTGGGCAAACTGCTTTGCAGCCACAACTGAGTGGTCCGACTGATTCACTGTGGCAGCCAGATGGCTGGTGTGGTCGACCACCCGCGAGCCGCGCTTCTCGAACGTGACGCCAAACTGCAGAGCCAGCTTGCGATGGATGTCGCTGAGCTCGTGTGACGCGGCCACGATCAGGTTGCCGCCGCTGTCGACAAACGACAGAAAGTCGCTAACGGAAATGCCAGAGCCGAACTTTTTCGATGACGGCGAGAGGACGATTGCGTGGTCGTACAGGCGGTCACCCTCAAACTCCAGGGCCACCGAGGTGTTGCTGGCTGCGCGTACCGATACATCGAACCCGCGGGTGCCCAGAGAGTCGAGGAACTGCGAGTATTCGGAGGCCGCGTCCAGCTTGGGCACAAATACCACCACGCGGTCGCCAGCGGTTGACTTGGCCTGCACGTGGAACGCACCCAGGCAGAGGCAGGCGGCGAATGTTGTCAAGAACCGCATCTCGGGGAATGTATAAACTGGAAATTGTGTATGCTACGGAAAGGTCGGAGAGCAGAATACAGTCTGGCGGCTCCTCAATCCGCGCGCTGCCAAGTGACTGGTGCCAGCGTGGCAGGCTGGCGTTGATCAGGCCATGATTAGCGGCCATCGAATATCAAGGGAGCGCACATGGCCGCTTTAGTAGCACTGGTAACCAAGCGGCGTTTGTTTGCAATTCACGCCTTCTGCCTTTTCTCTTCAGCTATTCACCCTCCCCTCCTCTATTCTGCTTACCACTATGTTAGGAGGGCGTTCTCTTATTCACACAGCGCTTGCGCTCACGAGTCTGAGCACTCTGGTCGCAGGCCTGTTCCCAGATGAGGCTGGGCGCATTGATTGGTACCGGGCGCAGATTGGCGCTCCGACGCAGCTCCTCCCGCATACAAACGCAACGGGCTCAACAAACATCTATACGGTCACCGACCGCAACGTGCTAGCCTCGCTCAACCCGCAGACCGGCGACATCATTTGGCGGCAAGTGCTGGGCGACACCGAGCCGATCCAGGCGTTGAAGCTGCGCGGCTCGCAGCTCCTGACGCACTCGGGGCTCAACGCAAGCCACGTGCGCGTGTGGGATGCGCGCTCCGGCAGCCTGCAGTTCGACTACGCAAAGGAGTCGACTCGCGAGTTCCAGCCAGGCAGCGGTGCTGCCGAGTTCCTGCAGGACAACGCGGGCGTGGTGGCGGTGGTGGGCGATTCAGTAGTGCGCTTGGACCAGGCCAAGAATGCCCCTGTGTGGCAGACGGCGCTGAACCAGACCGGACGGTATACGCGGATCGTGGTACAAGACAAGTCTGCGTTTGTGCTGGGCGACGCGCGCCTGACAAAGCGCAAGCAGACCAAGCGTGTGCATGTTGTCGAGGTTGATCTGGAGTCGGGGCTTGTCAAGCAGCAGTACGATGTTGCTGAGGGTCGCGGGCTCGGCAGCAACAACCTGATCGTGCTTGAGTCGCGCGAGTACGGCGCATACATTGTGTGGCGGGAGGAGAAGAACATTGTGTGGCAGGTGCACCGGGTCGGCATGGCAAAGCCTCTGTGGGAGCCGTTCCACGCCAAGGTGGTTCAGGTCGAGCTGATGCCGCCCGAGATGCTGACGTCGACCATCACCGAGCTGGATCAGGACCCAGGTGTTGTGCCGGCTACGCCGCGGTTCGTCATGCGCTACACCAAGGACGGCAAGCAGAAGGCAGTCGTGGTCGAGATGTTCCGCAAGGGCGACAACCTCGACATGCGCAAGTTTGTCGGCTTCCGCTCCGAGGGTGCTGCAGTGTCGTCTCACTTTAGCAGCGGTGGGAGCGATGCCCCCAAATACTCTGTGGTTGCAGCGCGCTCGCTGGACAACATGTCGTGGCGTGTGTACCAGGACAACAAGAAGCCGACTCACACCGGCGAGTTCAAGTACGATGCCCAGACATACGGCCCCGTTAAGCGTACGGCGCTGTTCTATGCTGGAGCTGAGCCGCGCGTGCTGGTCCAGACCAAGGGCGGCCTGCTGGCTGCGTTTGCTCCAGGTAGCGACGAGCCCGTCTGGTTCCGTGACGAGTCCTTGGCGCATGCCAACGACATGGCGTTCCTGGAACTGCAGAGTCCGCCGTCGTCGGCCGAGAAGGATGCCAAGGCCACGGATCCTGAGATTCTGCCGTCAGCCGTGGCTCGCTACGTGCTGCGTTGGATCCAGACATTTAGCATGCTGATCGACTGGACCACGTCGGGCTTTGGTCTGTTTGCGTCCTCCAGCGAGCCGATTGTGCTGCCGCCGGCGTCGGTGGCCGAGTCGATTGCACCAGCTGCGCCGCTGGTTCAGGGCGACCACTTTGGATTCCGCAAGCTCTCAGTGTTTGCCACCTCAACAGGCGTTGTGGCAGCCATCAACACCCAGAGCGGCGCCCGCTCGTGGACGTTCTTTGTCAGCGATGACGCCGGTGTCCCAGTCAATGTCGAGAAGGTGTTTGTCACCCGCCGCACGCAGCCACTGGCCACCGAGTCCCCGCTGGTGACTGCGGTAGGTAAATCCGCGTCGGGCAACACTGTGGTTGTGACGCTCGATGCGTTGACTGGTCTGCCAGTCGACAATGCTGCCCAGCGTACCCTGTCGATCCAGCATGCCAAGGTCCTGGAACTGCCGCACGCCGACCCTGCTTCGGGCCAGCGCCTGCTTGGCCTGGTTGTCGATGGTGAGGAGCCCGAGCTGCACCTGTGGCCGGCCACTGAGACTGCCGCCAAGGAGTTCTGCAGCGGCACCAAGCCCCTCTACTTTGACCTGGGCGACTCTGCTGGCAGCACGCAGCTGCGCGGGTACCACGCCCAGTGCGCCGATGAGTCCCCTTCGGCGGTCGTCAAGGCAGTCCGACAGTTTGCCTTTGATTTGCCTGCCGGCGAGTCGCTGATTAAGGCTGTGGGCTATGATGGCAAGGAGCGCACGGCGCTGATGGGCCGCGTGCTCGGTGACCGCTCGGTGCTGTACAAGTACCTGAACCCGCACCTGATGACGCTGGCCACACAGCGCGAGGGCGGCATCGGCATCTACTTGATCGACCGTGTCTCGGGCCGTCTCCTGCACTCGGCTGTGCACGACCAGGCGCAGGTCAGCGCCAGCAAGCCCTTCCTGGCGCTGCAGACCGAGGGCCGCGTGATCTACCAGTTCTGGCAGGACGGCATTCCCGATAGCCGCGCGCCAGCTGCTGGCTCCAAGCAGGTCAAGCGCGTCGCCAAGGGATACGTCACTGTGGTTGCCGAGCTGTACGAGAGCGACAAGCCCGACACACGCGGCACCAGCAAGGAGTTCTCGAGCTTCGATGTGCTGATGCCACATGTGATCACCTCTGCCTTCACCGCACCCGAGCCCGCATCGGCGCTAGGCGTCACCAGCACCACCAGCCACATCACCACGCGCGACGTGCTGTTTGGTCTGCAGTCGAGCAAGCTGCTGAGCCTGCCGGACCAGCTGTTCGACCCGCGCCGGCCCAAGAAGGCGCCGACCAAGGACGAAGAAGCCGAGGGCCTGGTGCCGTATGGCCCGGTTCTGCCGATGGACCCGAAGCGCGTCTTGTCGTACTCGCACAGCGTGGCAGGTATCCGGGCCATCCGCGCTGCGCCAACGCACCTCGAGAGCACGTCGCTGGTGGCCGCATATGGCCTGGACCTGTTCTTCACGCGCACCAGCCCGTCGGGCACCTTTGACCAGCTGTCGCCGTCGTTCAGCAAGACCAACCTGATTGTGACCATCCTGGCTCTGACTATCGGCTGCGTTGTTGGTGGGCCGCTGGTCCGCCGCAAGGTCACCAAGCAAGCGTGGGCGTAGCACTTCAAAGCATATTTAGATCAATTTTTTCAAAGTTAAACAAAACCCTCAGTCCATGTGGATGACGTACTGCGCACGGTCCTTCTTGGACTGCATCCTGCGGTCCCGCTTCTCGGCAAAGACACTCCGCGTCTCCTTCTTCTGCTCGCGCCGATCGCGCTTGGCATCCTTGAGTTGTTGCTTGCGCAGCCGCTTCTCCTCCTTTGTCTCGCCCTTGGAGCGGGCCTCGCCCATGTTCTTGCGGTCCTCCTCCTCAACCGCCTCTTCCTTCTCCTCGTCAGGGTTCTCGACCATGGGGAAGCCAGTCTTGCGCGACACCTTGATTCTGGGCGCCCGCTTCTCGTAGATCGTCGATGGATGGTTGTCCAGTGTCGAGTACGTCGTCAGGATCGTCTGGCAGTCCCACGGCACGCGCTGCTTCTCCTGGAACTGGTCGTCCAGATCCGCATAGTCGTCGTTGGCTGCACGCTCGTTTGCCTCGTCGATCATCTTCAGGCCCTTCTCCAGCAGCTCCTTGCGGCTCGCATCGGCGTCCTGGCCCTCCTTGAGCATCGCATTGCGCACCGTCGACAGCTTGCCTGCGCCATCACCGCCCTCGAGCTTCACCTGCAGGCGCTTGCCTGTCAGCTCGAACTCGCTGAGGAACTCGTCCATCACGTGCTGGAAGTCAGGCCGCGTCGAGATGCTCTTGGCGTTGCCATCCGAGTCGTACTCGACGATGCCATGCCCGTCCTCGTCGTACCGCTCATCCTCGCTGTCCGTCTCCTCACGCTCGTACATTGCCTCCACTGCGTCGAACTGGTCGTCCAGCAGCGTCAGCTTGTCGTTTCGGAACATGGCCGACGAGGACATCGAAAAGTCCGACGCCGCCTCAGGCATATCGTCCGAGAATCCACACTCGCTGTCCGAGTCGTACTTGCGCTGCGCCTTCATGCGCCGCACGTGCGCGAACACATCCTCGGGATCAAAGTCCTCGTCGTCCTGGAACTCGTCGTACTCATCCGACATCTCGGCTCCCTCGGGCGCCTGGTCTGCATTCAGCTGGCCGAGGAAGTCGTCGTCAAACTCCTCAACACCATCGTCTTCAAGGGCCTCCAGTGCCTCGCGCAGATCCGAGTTCATGTGCGGCTGCGGACCTGTCGGAAATGCCTCTGCCCGGATATCCATGTGGTGCTGCGATGGCAGCAGCTCCGCCGGCATCGCAAACTTGCTCGGCCCCGCCGCCTCCTCCTCCTCCTCCTCCTCTTCCTCAGTGAACTGGATTCCTGCTGCCCGCTCCTTCTTTGCACCAGACGCCTCCAGCATCACACCGCCACCGCTGCCCACCACCCGCAGGTGCTTTGTGTAGTCGTACTCCCGGTCATCCAGATACACGCCGTACAATGCAGCCTTGCCGGCATCCCGCGGCCCATCCAGGTCCTCCTCAGGGATATCGTCAAGTGCAAGGTCCCGCAGGCTCTGCTCCACCGTCTGGTCCGGATCAATCATCTTGCCCTTGTTCTTGGGCTGCCCGGACTTGCCGACCTCGACGAACACGCGATCCGAGGCACCCTCCTCGAACGCCAGCGGATCGTCTTGCGACCGATACACGAGCTTGTATGTGGTGGCCTTCTTTTTGTCAATAAACTTCTTTGGCATTTTTGGCTAGTATAATTGAAGGTACAAAAAACGAGTAGAACAAGAGCTGAACCAAAGCTTAGAAAAAACTAGTTCAAGACACTTGCATAAAAATGCAGAAAAAAACTGGTGATCACCTGCTTAATTAGTCAGGGGCGATCAAGGGTTATATACATGTCTCGCATGACCGCATTCTGACATTCCCCTACATCCTCCACTTATACACTCAGCACTGCTTTTTCTCTCGCCATACTCTACTTGACACCTCGATTTTCTATAACCATGTCGTCTGCGCAGATCCTACTAGTCCCAACACCGGAGGCTATCATTGCAATTATAATGCTTAGCTTGCTACCTCGACCAGAGCTGTGTGCACTATTTCCACCACCAAAGCCACCATTTTCGAACAACAGACTACCATTTGGCGACATTTGTAAGGGCTAGCGTTCTACCACACATAATGCGATGTTCCAGGACTTGGACCTCTGTCTTGACAATAGCCATGGTCACTGTATGAGTGGACCCCCTGCAAATGGCTACGCTACATCCATTAGCCAGCTCAGTATCTGCAAATCCCGTACTTCTGTCGGTTATTAGCCTGACAACGGACTCTTCATTTGCATTTAGCTCCGGGCTGGGTCCACCAGATAGGGTCTATGAAGGCGCTAAGATTCTCACTGATGCGCTAAAGATGGTATTTCCTAACGTAGGTGGTGTGTTCTTGAAGTACCACATAGATGGAAAGCTTGTGCTTGTCGGTGACACGCTGCGGACAAGCCTCCATAGGCATATAGAATCAACGCCCGCGGCTGGTTTGGCTCAGCAGTCACAGTTGCAAGGTTTGCACCTGTCAGATGATTCAAACCGGAGAAGTTCGTTGGAGATGGTACACCGCTACGCGGAAACCATTGAGAACGTGAAACTCCGCAAAATAGCCCTAGTGCTCGAAACGAGAGATGGGTCCCCAGCCATTTTCAGAAACCTCGACTCCTTCCACACTGCTCATAGACACAGGCATTTCAGGATAGACTCCCCTAGCCTGTCTGGTTCATCAGACATCGTTGTTTTCCCGGTCCTACGAAAGCTTGTTTGCAAGATCAATCGCCCGTCTCATGACGATGTTGTATTCTGTGGCAATTCACGGATATTGGAGCACGTAGATGTCGAGACGGACCCAACACTCGCTCATATCTTCGACTACATTGAGCTTATGCGGCTCGCCCGACTGACCTTTTCGGCAGAACATAATGTTGAGCAGGACAAGTTCAGAGCGTCCATGATAAGCTCTCACGGATTAGGTTGCTATTCTGCAACCGCTTGCTGTGAAAATACCCACAGAGTACTGTTAGGGAATTCGGTATGCCTACACGCTAAGCAATAGCCTGCAATTTTTAGCCTGGTTAGGGTGGAATGCACATTGAGCGAGACCATAGCTCTGCACAAGATGCGCAGTCAGCCGACAGGCTACGTGCTAGTGTCAAACGGTTCGGAAAAGCCTCCACTTGCAAAGTCTCGCGGTTTACCGATTGGTGTCCTATCGTGATGTTTTGGATTCAGTCATTGTCAGACCAATCAACCTCGCAGCACACCGGTTCAGGCCAATGGCCTGACTATTCTTCGTTCTCAACCAGACATGATTTCCAGCTGTTGCAAACACACTGCCGGTCCATCCAACCAGAACTGGAAGGGCTGCTTGCAAGACAACTACTTGTTAGTGATATGGCCATCCTTTGAATGCTGTGTTGCACAAGTTTCCTTGTTTAGATCATTATCGGCCGCAAAAGGAAGCCTCGGAAATGCTTCTAGCACTCTTGATATTGGCGTTTGCCGCCTTTCCTTTGCGCAGCCTAGGGCTTAAATTGAGCGATGTTTCTACATGTTTTTCGTTATCTCCATCTGATTTTCTCTTTATTGCGCCTGATAATTGAAACCAATAATGCGTTCTTCTGCCGTTCTCACTGCTCTCACCTGCGCCCTTGGTGTCTATGCCGCTGGAGGTGTCAACTATGACTTCGCCTCGCCTCTCATCGGTAATCTGGAGTCGACTCAGATCATCCCTGACGTGTTCCCAGCTACCTTTGAGCCCAAGATCTACCTTAATGTTACCTACAACGACGACTCCATCAGCACTGGGGAAATCCTAACTCCAGCTGACACCGCCAAAGAGCCTACTGTCGTGTATGAGGCCGATCCGTCCAAGTTCTACACTTTGGCTTTCCTTGATGCTGGTGACTCGACAATTCCCAACCGTTCAAACGACTTGACGCGCAACTGGCTTGTTGTCAACATCCCGGGTAGTGATATTGCCAAGGGCAGTTCGACTGGCACGCCTTACATGGGCACCAAAAACCCTGATTGTGGAATGACACGCTATGTCTACGCACTTGCTGAGCAGCCTAAGGAGATCCCTAACCTTACTGTCTCTGCTTCGCGTGACAAGTTCGATCTGATGGGCTATTTCAACAGCAACAAGATGACAATGGTTGGCGCAAACTTCATTGTAGCTCTCACTGATAGCAACGAACTCTGCCCTGGTGCCAGCCTTCCGTCACATGCCGACGATTTCTTTGATGAGTCGGCTTCAGAGCTGTCTTCAGAGTCGTCAGTGGAGCTAGGCTCACTCGACTCGCTCGACTTAGTTGATTCAGCAGAGTCCTCAACCCACTCTGCTTCAACCAGTACCTCGTCGTCTGGTGCCAAGACTACCCAGCCGAACAGTGCCTCTGGCAATAGCCCTAACGGACTTGCTCTTTCTCTGATTGCCGCCCTCGCCATGGTCGCTGTTGGCTCAACGAACTACTTTTAGTATTGCGTTATTTAGATTCTCGAACAATATGCCATTTCTATACGCATAGAATAAATTGTCCCAAATCTCAATCTAATGGCTGCTACATCTGCACAACACTGTACATACTGAAGGCAGGCTTGGATCCTTGATACTGCCGCAGGAGCGTGAGTTATGAGTGCGGATAGTGTTTGCACGCAAGATATGCCACTCATTTCCGCAGATCTTCTGGAGAACACAAACTGAGCGCCGACAATCTAGTAGGCGTTTATCCCAAAGTGCAAGCGCAAATCACGATTTCGCCACACTTGCAGCCCAGCAAATATACCAGACAGCCATGGTGAGGTTTTCAGAAGAGCAGCTTTGTTTCCACTTTTCGTACACAAATTCGGGTAGACGTCCAATATTATTTGCGAAATAAACTGTAGTGCTTGTCTTTCAAAAAAATTAGATATTAAGTTTCTGTGCCGTGCATGGCTGAGAGTGCTGCCAGCCCATCTGCTATGCAGCCATTTGCAAGATACGTCAGTGCAGCCATGTCAGCGAGGATTTCTGGAGATCCTATGCTGTTATATGCAACCCATTGCCTGTGTCTATTTATAGGGACTGTTCGATTCCCAATATCTGCCTGATTTCTCGAACCTCAGGGTTCTCCAGGAATAGTACAATGTTTTTCTCTTTAGCATCAATCCTTCATATGGTCTCCATTGAGGCGATTAGCATATAGGTGTATATAGCTATACTCCCAAGCACAATCCCCACTTTCATCTTCTCGTCTCTGAACTTCCCAGCCACACGCATCTACTACTCTAAACTAAGGATGCGTGCACCTACAATATTCGCTGCCTTCACCTGTGTCCTTGGTATCTACTCCGTTAGAGGTGCCAGCAACGACTTTGCTAAGCCCCTCGAAAATTTGGAACAATCCGAACTCATCCCTGATGTGTTCCCACCATCCTATAAACCCACGGTTTTCCTTAATGTGACGTACAATGGCGAGATGCTCAACAAAGGAAACTTCTTCACTGAGGAAGAAACTGCCAAAGAGCCTACTGTCATATACAAGGCTGATTCATCCAAGTTCTACACTCTAGCTTTCATTGAAGCTGGTGACTCAACAATTCCCAACCGCTCGAAAGACTTGACGCACAACTGGCTTGTTGTCAACATCCCGGGTAGCGATATTGCCAAGGGCAGTTCGACTGGCACACCATATATTGGTGTAAAAAGCCCAAAGTGTGGGATGACACGCTATTTCTACGCACTTGCCGAGCAGCCTAAGGAGATCCCTAACCTTACTGTCTCTGCTTCGCGTGACAAGTTCGATCTGATGGGCTATTTCAACAGCAACAAAATGACGTTGGTTGGTGCAAACATTTTTATAGCTTTGGACAGCAAAGGTAACCTCTGCCCGGGTGCTGTCATTCCATCTGAACTTGAAGAGCCCTCTGCGGAGTCGTTTTCAGAGCTGGATTCACTCGACTCTGTCGAATCTACCTCTCACTCTGCATCAGTTAGGAGCTCGTCATCCAGTGCCGAAACCACTCATCCGAACAGTGCCTCTACCAGCAGTCCTATCGGAGCTCTTCTCGCCCTGGCTGTTGCCTTCGCCGTGGCCGCTCTTGGCTCATCAAGCTACTATTAGGCTTTGTTGTATCAATATTTTCGAAATGAAGCAGGTTGAATGTAAAATAATGCAATGAGCAAGAACCTATGAAATGGTCCTTGGTGTTGCCCACAATCCCTTGTAAATTTGTCCATAATTATTGTGCATATATCAGTATCCACGTGCGTTAGATGTGAATAGGCTTTTGTCACAGTGTAACGACATCATCAGAATACCGTGGAAGGTTCCTTGGGGTGCCTGACCATATTTCCATTTCCCACTTTTCTGGTTCGCCTTGGCTTTCATGACTTAGTTTTCCAAACCCAGGACGGATCCGGTTCTGCTGCGGTGGACATGCGGATCCCTAGTATTCCTTGGATTAAATTGTTCAATAAAGAATGGAGCCAGTTCGCCAATTAATTCCGCAGAAGAAATTGGATTCAAAGCCATGGTATGCAAGAAAACAACATATAGTGTAGCTATTGCGATGAAGGCTGTTAGAAACCCCATGCTACTTTGGCATAGAAATCGGCTCTTTCCTCAATCTGTAAGGATTATTTGATCGACAGTGCTGGTCTGATTTCTCGGACTATGCTCTATTGTAGAAAATAGCGCGAAACTGCTTTTATACTCTGACAAGCCAGCTCAGAGGATCCTAACCGCGAATACCCATATATATGTAGCTGCGTACCCTTAGCACAACTTTTTTATAAAACAGCTTTCCTCCTACACGTTGTTAACCCTCTTCCCCTCCCCATTCCTTTTTCAGCCGAACTGCTCCTTAATCCTAAAATCCGAAACCATTAATGCGTTCTTCTACCGTTCTCACTGCTCTTACCTGTTCCCTTGGTGTCTACGCCGCTGGAGGTGTCAGCTATGACTTTGTGTCGCCTCTCCTAAGAAATCTGGAGTCAAACAAAATCATCCCTGACGTGTTCCCGTCCACCTTTGAACCCAAGATCTTCCTTAATGTGACCTACAACCATATGGTCAACAGGGGAAACGTCTTTACGTCGGCTGAAACCGCCAAAGAGCCTACCGTCGTGTATGAGGCCGACTCGTCCAAGTTCTACACTCTGGCTTTCATTGATGCTGGCGACTCAACAATTCCCAACCGCTCGAAAGACTTGACGCGCAACTGGCTTGTTGTCAACATCCCGGGTAGCGATATTGCCAAGGGCAGTTCGACTGACACTCCTTATATGGGCGCTAAAGACCCTGATTGCGGTATGGCGCGTTATGTTTATGCACTTGCTGAGCAGCCTAAGGAGATCCCTAACCTTACTGTCTCTGCTTCGCGTGACAAGTTCAACCTGATGAACTATCTTTCTGACAACAAGATGACACTGGTTGGCGCGAACTTTTTTGTGGCTGTATCCGATAATGGCGAGCTTTGCCCCGGTGCCGTCATTCCGTCAGATACTGAGGATTCTGCTGATGAGCCATCGGAGAAGTTGTCTGAGAAGTCGTCGGAGAAGTCGTCGGAGAAATCATCGGGGAAATCGTCTGCAGAGCTAGGCTCGATTAACTCACTCGGCTCGGCTGAGTCCTCCGCCCACTCTGCTTCAACCGGTAGTTCGTCATCTGGTGCCAAGGCTACCCAGTCAAACGGTGTCTCTGGCAGCAGCCCTGCCGGACATGCTCTCCCTCTAGCTGTTGCTTTTGCCGTGGCTGCTGTTGGCGCATCGAACTACTTTTAATGACACTACTCATGTTCCTTTTTGATGGCTCACTTCAATTCATCACTGTGCCGTGAGTTCACATTTACACCAGTACCTCACTGTTAGGCGGTCTACATGCCAGGACTGATGTTGACCGATATTAATGGCACCACTTCGGATTCCCATGCAAATATGCTAATCCAGCTCTAGCATGGTGATCAGAGTAGCCTAGAATTCTTTAGCTGTCGTTCTTGGCAATATTTCATAGACCCCTCTAAATCACCACATGCAGTTCCACCTCGTGGCGCTCGCTTGACTAGACATATTGCGACTGCACGTGTGCGACGCGCTTCCAGCAGCATGTAAATATCCCGCCCTGCCTTGCGCTTTCTGCATTTAGGGAGCACTGTCTGGACATTGCTAATGCTGAGAGCTGTTGCAAAATTTCAGAGCAGAAGCTTCTCTGGTAAAAATTCGCCGCTTTTTTGCAAGGAGAAATGTATTGTGATCTTGGCATCCCGGGACATCTCCCCGATCCAATAGAACTAGGTTCCTATGTCCGTGCGGATTGCGACATCCTAGCGCCATAGTGAAGATCTCTAGCTGCCAAGACCTATTGAAGAGGAGTCGTGCGTTCCATTGGATAGATTAGCTTGACCAAAAAACCGGGATGTGTATCGTGCTTCTGACTGTTTACAGCCGGCAAAACACTGTATGGCGCTCCAGGTGCTAGTGGCATAAACTCCACGAGTGGTTGAAATATTCGCCGCACTGCCTTACTCGCATGTTGGGGTGTTGCAAAGCCGTACTTTCGGGGACTGTACTTGCACCAGTACTGTCGTACGCCGCTAGGCTATAAAAGTCATTTCGCTCTCCCCATGTCTGGTGCAGTCTCCAGAGCCCTACCCTTCCTTCACATTGAGCAATATCTCCTACCCCTTCTCCCTTCCCTTTGGACTTTCTCGCTTCCGAGCTTTCTTGAAAACAGACTCACCATGCGCTTCACTGCTGCCATTGCTTCGCTTGCCTGCGCCATAGGCGTCTACGGTGTCTCGACTATCGACGAGGTCAAGCCCGCGCTCCAGGCTGATGATGTCATCCCTGGTGTCCTGCCCGTCTCCTTCGAGCCCAAGACCCTGCTTAATGTCAAGTGGGGCGAGCATGCTGTCGACTTTGGCAATCTGTTCAACCCGCCCAACGAGACCGCCCAGGCTCCCACTGTTGCCTGGGATGCCGACCCCGCCAAATTCTACACCCTAGCCCTGGTCGACCCCGACGCTCCGTCGCGCGCCAACCCGATCCGCGCCCTGATGCGCCACTGGCTGGTTGTCAACATCCCGGGTAGCAACGTTGCTGCTGGCAACTCGACTGGCACTCCCTACCTGAACCCGAACCCGTTCCCTGGATGCGGCCGCAAGCGCTTTGTGTGGGTTCTGGCCGAGCAGGCCAAGGAGCTCCCCGAGCTTACTGCCCCCGCAACTCGCCCCAAGTTCGACCTCGAGGGCTACCTTGCTAGCAACGATATGACCTTGATTGGTGCCAACTACTTCCAGGTCGATGCTCAGCCCGCTGACAGCTGCCAGATCCCAGGTGCTTCGTCGTCGTCGGCTGCCCCTTCGGCTACCGCCACTCCGACCGAGGAGGTTCCGGCTTCGTCTACTCCTGAGGCCACCGCCACCCAGCCCCCCAAGTGCAAGCACCACTGAGCACATGTTCGTCTTTAGCTATCTTTCAGTGGCCACTTAATTTGACCTTTTTGTACTCCTGCATTGCAAAAAGGCTGTGTGACATTTGCAGCCATATCTTTCCAGTACCGGCCATATGGAATAATTTCGAAATCGATGACAAACACCGCCCATACTGTCAAAATATACCTTTGTGCTTTTAGTAATTAGGCCGACATCACTCGTATCTACAGCTCTGTGTTTTCCGAACTACTTAGCATGCCGAACCACGAGCAGCTAGAAAAATGCACACAGCTGCTGTCGACCAAATCCACTGATGACGAAAAGTTTGCTGGACTAATGCTGGTGCCACGCGTTGTGGCTCCTGACGACGCGGAGTCTTTGGAGTACATCTTCGATGCCATGGACGTCAAATTCCTGGAGCGACTCATGCGTACGGGGCTGAAGCAGGCGGACAAATCGGCCATTATGCTTAATATCGCGATCCCCGTCATCGACAGCTTTGCCTCCCATTCGCAGATTGCAGGCAAGCCGAAGATGCTCGAGCGCATCCCGACCCTGCTGCAGATTGTTGGCCGCCAGGTGCCGCAGGTGTCAAACGAGGCTGCCCAGGCAGTGTGCAAAATAGTTTCGACCGATAGCGGTGCCGAAGCGGTTCTTGAGTCTCCAGAAGGGCTTGTTGGCGTGGTTGGCAGCCTGGCCTCAGCCGACTCTGATACCAAAGACCTCATCGGTTTCGTAGACTTTGCGCTTAATCGACTGTCGACATTTGCCAGCAGCAGCCGTGGCCACGGGCTCTTGGGCCAGTGGGTAGAAATTGTCACCAAAACATCGGCACTATTCGACAATAACCAGCAGATGCTAAAGTTTGGGCTTATCGGCGTGCTGGCCAATGCGCTGGAGCCAATCGACCGGGATATCGGGGCTGAGGCCGACACACAACATCCATGCGCACAGCTTATCAGCCACGTACTCTCTGGCTGTGTCTCGGTGCTACGTCAAAGGTCCGAGACGACCCAGTATGCGGACCAGGCGCTGGTTCTCGCCTCGCACCTGGTGAGACTCTGGCCGGATCGTGTGTTCGCGGACAAACGAAAGAGTGACAGGGATTCCAACGACCAGCGCAAGCAGTCGGATCTGATCCTGCGATTGGCATGTGTCGAGGGTCAGTCGTCGATAGACTCGATGATGATAAGCCCGCCGCTGGCCAAGGGGAAGCCAGACCAACAGCGGCTGAAGCGCGGATGGAAGCTGCCGTTCTGCGCTGAGATCGCAGCTGGCTGGCTCGAGTGGGTGTCCCAGTGGCTCGACGACCAGGAGCTCGAATCGGACAATGTCGATGAGGAAGCCATTTATTCGGCAATGGGCTCGGTGCAGAAGCTTGCTGATGCTGCGGTTGGGTTCCTGACTGACTGGAGGGATCGAGTGGACTGCGATCAGGAAGTGCTAGAGGCCAGCCCCACCGTCTGTCTGAGCACTGTGCACCTGCTGACCCAGTGGCTGGCAACTGACCCGAAGCTTCACAGCAACGCACTGCCCCTCTTGCCCATGTTCACCGAGTGGATTAAAAAGTGTCCTGAGCACAGTGCAACTCTGCGGGGCTATTTACGCCCGTGCATCTCATTTGCACTCGACACATGCAGCATTGACGAAGAAAAGTTTGTCAAGGACCTGAAGGCCCGCGAGCTGACACATGCGCGCGGCGAGGGACTGGAGTTTTCTTCGCCGTGGGTTGGTAGCATCGAGTTCGACGATCTGGCATATGCCGTCTACAACATTCCCTCGGATGAAGAGATTCTGGCCAAGCGCCAGGACCAAAGCTGAACTGAAAAGTAGGCTTAGTGCTTCTTAGGATAGACACAGCGCAGCCTTAAAGACCAAGCATGTTTATCACTACATCCGCTTCAATACATTGGCACCCAATGCCGTGAGTCGCCCTTTTCAAGGCTCTTTTCAAGGTGTTTACTCATGGGTAGACGCGTGCAAGCAGAGCACACGCATATTTAGTACATGCAAGATAAAACCATGCTACTCTTTGCAGTTGTGTGTAAGCATATGTCTACTTGTGCTTGTCATGTTCGCGGTGGCCGTAGTAAAGTGCCAGGAAACGCTCGGCGTTCTTTTTATTCTTGGCCTCAGCCGCCTTCTTTGCGTCGGCCGCCTGCTTCTCCCTAATCTTCTTGCACGCGTCGCACAAGCAAACCTTAACGTTGTGCGGGTTGTTAGTCACCGTACACGTAATCTTCCCGTCGGTTATGTCAACCGACCCAGCCTTCGTAAGGTCGCCAAAGTGAAAGTGGTGCATTCTCTGGAATTGCGCGAGCTACCGTAAATTCAAATGTAAAATGGTTGCAGGGGTTTTTGCTGTGAAAGAAGGCGCCTATGTGTCAGCTGTGGGGTGTGCGGCCGCCTCTCCGGGGAGGAGAGCGCGTGGTGTAGTGCGGGATGTGCTGTTCCTTTTGCTGGATTGTCTACGCAGCAGCAAGGGAGTACGTGCAGCGGGCTGCATTGATATTCCCTCCAGCGGGCTAGCTCGTGCAGATACAGCCATTCAGAATCAGAGTCAGATTCACTGTCAGCGAGACCGAGGGCATATCGATATACTCAGCCCACATTATATACTCCACTGTAAGTGTCCACTACACCCAAGCTTTATCTCTGCAACGCCAGACTAAATGCGAGCAGGGGCCAATGCGTGCCTCAGCTGGGATTGCCAATCTGTGGCGTGAGAGCCTACAAGAAGCTGGCATTCCCTAAAGCAGATGCTAGAGGGGATATGGTGAAACCCCAGACTCCAGTGCTAGCGAGTTAGCGCTGCTCTGCCATTCGAATTTGGGGCGTTGTACGAGCAATTTTCTGTGTTCTTATGCTAGCCGTCCGCTAGGCGCTCCAGTTGAAAAATTTTCTTTCACGAGACACTAGTTTATGCGGGCTAAGCGCTTTGACATGGCAATATTGAGTATAAATACCAGATGTGTTGTATGCCAACAGTCTAATCTCTTCTTCTTTTTCTTCTTTTCCATTCACTATGAGAATCCCTAGCTCTATTATTACATCACATCCATTATATTTTTGTCCTGTCACCAGCGTCAAGCTCGACATCACATAGACCCGATTGCTTCAATACTCCTTTCACCACTCAGCACGTAGCCAGGCAATTTTTCGTGGAAACTTCTTGCCCAATTCCACAGGCCCAAGCACCCACACCGCCCTTCCCACTGATTCAAAATGGATCCAGCCAGCACCCACCCGCCGACATCCGAGTCCAAGCAGAGCGAGCTCGACACCAGCGATACTGCATCTGGATCAACGAGCAAGACCGACAAGCAGCAGCAGCTTCAGGGCCAGGGAGACCACAGGCTAGATGGTGACTGGGCAAAGGACAGCGCAGACAAGGAGCTCGGCGCCAAAGGCGGCTATGAGGTCCCCAATGAGGTCCTGTGGCCCAGATCCAGGCTCGATATCTTGGGCAGGGTCCGGTATATCTGGCACCACTACACCCTCTGGTGCTGCCTGGTGATCTGGGTCCTGATCACGGCGTACTTTATTGTGTCATGCGCGCTCAAGGACAAGACGCAGTTGTCTGATATTCTGCCGTTCATCTTCCTCTACGTCTTCATCTCGTTCAAGATGCTGTTTGCGTTTGTGCCTACGACAATTGTGTCAAGGCCGATTGAGCACATGTTTAGCAAGATCATTGCCGAGCCGGTTTCGCGGATCCCCATTTATATCAAGTATACTGTCGGTGTGGTTGTGCTGTTCGCTATCGTCCTCGGCGTTTCTCTGGGTACGAAAGTATCGGAGCAGGGCAGCAAGCTGCAGCGCATGCAGTCGCTGCTGGGCGTTCTTGTGTACACTGCCATTCTGGCCGCCACATCCAAGCACCCTAAGCATATCCCGTGGCATACAGTCATCATTGGCTTTCTGGTCCAGTTCTGCATTGGATGCATTGTGATCAAGACTGGCTGGGGCCACGACCTGTTCAGCTGGCTCGCCCAGATGGCCAGCAGCCTGCTCGAGTTTTCGCGGTACGGTGCGATATTCCTGCTCAACAAGCATATTGTTGAATTTGGCACATTCGCAGTTTCGGTGTTCCCTGCGGTTATCTTCTTTGCTGCGTTCGTGCAGATGGTCTACTATCTGGGAGGCATGCAGTGGCTGCTCAAGAAGCTCGGGTGGATCTTCTACACGATCATGGACACCTCTGGCGTCGAATCGATTGTCGCCGCTGCCTCGCCATTTATCGGCCAGAACGAGAACGTGCTTTTGGTCAAGGACTACTTTGAGTCGATGACCAATTCCGAGATTCACGCGTGCATGACAGCTGGCTTCGCCACCATTTCCGGCTCGACGCTGCAAGGATACATTGCGCTGGGCGTTGATGCCAAGAACATCATCACCTCGTGCATCATGTCTATCCCGTGCTCGCTAGCGCTGAGCAAGCTCCGGTATCCCGAGACTGAGGTTCCGCTGACAAAGGGCAAGATGGTCGAGCCGCCCAAGCGCACAGACGAGGCGAACATCCTGCATGCACTGGCCAATGGCGCAGCGATCGGCGTCAACATCTCGCTCCTGGTAGCAGCCAACCTCATTGCTGTCGTGTCGATGGTCAAGCTGATCAACTTCTTCCTGACGTGGTTTGGCCAGTTCATCTCCATCAACGCGCTAACTCTGGAGCTGATTCTGGGCTACATCTTCTACCCGTTCACGTGGCTCCTGGGTGTGCCCGGCCGGGATATCCTGAAGGTGTCGCAGCTCATTGGCCTCAAGGTCATCTCGAACGAGTTTGTTGCTTTCCAGAAGCTCCAAGGACAGGACGAAAAGGGGATCTATTACACTGAGGACATGTCTCATCGCGCCACCACTATTGCGCAGTTTGCGCTGTGCGGCTTCGGAAACCTCGGCAGTATCGCCATCCAGATTGGCTCCCTCGGAAGCCTGGCGCCATCGCGCAAGGCCGATATCTCGCGCCTGGCCCTCAGCGCGTGCATCACTGGCGTGTGTGCGACACTGATGACCTCAGCCATCATTGCCATGGTTATGTAGATGCGACATTTTGCTTTGTTATTTCTTTCCAACTATTCATCTTTTTTTTTTTTTTTTTTTTTTTCAAAATGGCGCGGCGACATACAGAAATTTTTTCGGTGGATCGGTGGAGGGAAGGCGAAACGCTCCGCTGTGGCAATCATGGACGCGAAAGCAAATTATTCGCATGTGCAAAGCATTTTTTGCCCTCGGTCGCCGTGCCAGCACTCTAGTGCAAGTAACGAACACGACGCTTTTGTAGTCTGCCAATACGCCGCAGGCACTTCCCGACGAAGCCCGAAAGCATGTTTTGCCAGAGATTGGATCGATAAACAGGCCGCGGAGGAGCGTGCCTCCCAGAGACTGCATCTGGATGCAAGAAGGGGCTACATATCGATATGCTTGATACCATCTAGATTCCAAGGAAGAAAGGTCAATAGTGTCTGTGCTCCCCCGCCTCACATTGAGTGGCTGCAGTCAGCAACAGAAGAAGGCTGTCCAGCCTGATAAGGAAGAGAGCACCCCCATCAGGCATTTGGACCCCCAGCAATCACGCAATAATCCTATTCATTGCACCAGTCATTTCTAATAGAACTGGCTTGCCAGCCGCGCTGCTTGGCCAGAAGGCTGCAGCTTTCGGCAATACCGCTCTGCACCACCAGCCATCTCGGATCTTCTGGCGACTGAATCCGAAGCTGCGATTGACCTCAGCATTTTTATTTCTCCAGTTCCAATGAGTAGCGCGGGTTTAGCGCGGCGACTGGTATGGCTGTGGACAAAATGTGCCGGGATAAGGCGGAGCTGGCTTGATTTGCAAAGGAGTCCCTTTCTGCGTCTAGGTATGTGCTTCGGGACATGGCCGAGATGAACGGGAAGCGGCGACATTTGCCTGTGCAAAAAAAAAGAAAATTTGGCCAATCCACATTCCCCCTTTTCGCCTTTCGTGGGTCATGATGGCCAGCGCAGCGAGATTCCTTCCATACACCCACCATGCCTGTCAGATCGGGCCGAAATGCATTTACCAACCTTTTTCCTGCAGCATTGCAAGCCAGAACGGAATACTGGTCCCCGTTCGCCAGGCAATATAAAAGCAGCTGGGGGACTGTGGCCCGTCGTTCCATCTCAACTAGAGAGACAGGACGCTGCTCTTACCATTTCCTCTTCGCCTTTTTCTGTTCTCATACATATCCATCATGTGGTTTGCGCAAACGTGTCCAGCACTGGAGGGTCAAAGTGCAATCTGGTGGCTCGACCGCTTCTTCGGTACGTGCATTTACAGCTACACCGATGCTGCCAGCTCGCTCCTGGGCACCCTGACCATCGGCCTCTGGTTCGTCGCCCTGTTACCGCAGATTTACGAGAACTGGTTGCGCAAGTCGACAGACGGACTGTCGACACACTTCATGTTTCTCTGGCTCATTGGCGACTCGATGAACACGCTCGGATGCATTATCCTGAAGCAGCGGCCATTCCAGATCTTCCTGTCCTCGTACTTTGTCGTCTCCGGCATCATCCTGATCATCCAATACTTTTTGTACCGCGGCAATACCCCGAGGCTGACCGAACCAGCACCAGATGCTACAGAATACACCAGCCTTTTGCCTAGCAGCGATGATGGGCGGAAAATGCCGTGGCAGCGCAAGTCCGTGTGGTTCATGGTGGCGTGGGTTGGCGGGGTTGCCCTGTTCTGGACGGTTGTCAGGCACTGGCATGTCATTGGATCGAGCATCAACATGCAGGCAGTAGGCATGGCGATGGCGTGGGGCAGCACCATGTTTTTCCATATATCGCGTCTGCCCCAGCTCTGGCTCAACTGGAAGCGGCAGAGCGTCGAGGGCCTGGCAAAATCCATGTTCATGGTCACATTCTCTGCCAACGGCACGTACGCAATCTCGCTGATCATCATCATGGCCACGGGCGATGCCGATGTGTTCCGGAGGTCGCTGGCGTTCCTCTACGGAGCCATTGGCTCGATGCTGCTCGACGTCTTCGTGCTGATGCAGTGCTACATGTTCGATCGCTGTGCCAAACCGACCCACCACCTAATCGAGGCGTAATCCCATTTCTGATTACTTGACTATTATCATACTATTAACGCATCTAGATCATGCTGCGACAGGGCGCGTATTTTGGCTGAGCCTAAAGACAGCGCTTTTTTTACCTTTGCGCCTCTTGCTAATTCGCTCTTTACATTTTTCCTGGTCTTTGTACACAATTTAAAAAACAAAAAAAGTAAGCGAGCCGCAATGTGGCTAGACGAGCGCAGAGAGCAGGGGGCGGCAGGATCGCTTAGCACGAGGGTCGCGGTGGCCAGTGGAGGGGGCGCGCATTTACTAATGATAAGGCATGTTATTTATTCGCTTGCTGTAGTGGCCAAGAAGGCAAAGTCGAGAAACATCCTGGTCCGCCTTATCAGCACAGCAGGCACAGGGTTCACGTATGTCAAGCAGCGCCCGCGCACAGCCGCATACCGCCTGTCGATGATGAAGTTTGATCCGCGTGTCAACAAGCACGTCTTGTTCATGGAGCACAAGATGAAGTAAAGTTTGTATTTTCACTCCCGGGCATTAAAAAGATATCACAAACCAAGCGCTTGCCTAGTTGACAGTGTGGAGAACAGAGGTGGCGACATAGCTGAATCCCAAAAACGCGGTGGCCGGATCAATATCGTCGGGCTTGTCGTTTTTCTGATCGGCGGTGTTATCGTTCGGCACATCAAGCTTCGCCGGGTCGGGCAGCGGGTCGTTGTCGATCAGGCTGCCGTTGGCGACAGATGGCGGGACATCCTCGTTGGTGAACTCGGTGTCAAAGTTGCTAAAGTCGCCGTCGTACTGGACCACTGGCACAATGGGCGGGGTGATCTGGTGGTAGTTCTTCTCGAGCGCCTGCCAGTCAACCTTGCGGAAGAACCGGTGCTTCTTGATGTCCTCCGACCCCTTGCTGCCGTACCCAAGGCGCTGCGCCGGCTTCTTGCGCAGCAGGCGGATCAGCAGGTCCTTGGCGTCGGGCGTCAAGTAGTTCGGGTAGTTCACCTTCATCTTGGCGATGTTCTTCAGAATCTGCTTCGGCTGCTTGCCCTTGAACGGCACCGCGCCCGTCAGCATCTCGTACAGCAGAATGCCCAACGACCACCAGTCGACCGAAAACTCATACGACTCGGACGAGTCCAGAACCTCGGGCGCCATGTACGACGGCGTGCCGCAGAAGGTACTCGTGCGGCCATCGGCGCCCAGCGCGGTCTTGGACAGGCCAAAGTCCGTCAGCACCAGATGGCCCGTGTTGCTCAGGAGACAGTTCTCGGGCTTGGCGTCGCGGAACACGATCCCCAGCTTGTGCAGATGCGACAGCGCCAGCACCAGCTCTGCCGTGTAGAACACCGCCTGGTCCTCGGAGAATATGCGCTCCCGCGCCATGTGCGTGAAGAGCTCGCCGCCAGCCACGTACTCCAGGATCAGGTAGAGCTTCGAGTTCGACTGGAACGCGTAGTAGAGCTTGACGATGAACGGGTGCTGCACCTCGGACAGAATGGAGCGCTCAGTCATGGTGAAGGTTATCTGGCGCTTCTGCAGCAGAATCGACGCCTTGCGCAGCACCTTCATTGCATAGTGCCTCTGTGTGGTCTTGTGCCGCACCAGGTACACCTTGCCGTATCTAAGACAGGGAGGAGAAATTAGGTAGTAAGCGATCGGTTACTTTTGGCGACAGCATTCTCTCTTTGTTGTCAACCCTCCTCCCCCCACATGTCGTGCAATGCAGTAGCAAAAGAAATAGCAGGGACGCATGTATGAACCACCATTCTACTGCGCTCCCAAACAGCAATAGCCTATGCATACCCTCCCTTCCCAATCATCGTCAGGACGTCAAAGTCGTTGATAGAGGCCCTGGATGGCCTCGCTGGCCCCTGCGCCCCTGCCGCCGCCGTCTCCGCGTCCGCCGTCCCCGGGCTCTGGCGAATTGGCCCTGCTGTCGTTGACAAAATCCTCATCAATAGGCACCTCCACCTGCACATGCCCCTCCATATCATACTCGGCATCAACATGCAGACCGTCGAGCTGGCCCTCCAGCATGTCAACAACGCCCTTGGAGACGCTCTGCTTGCGGTGCAGTGCCGGGGACCCGGGCCGCGACGCCATGCGCGAGCCGGGGCGCGAGGAAAACGCCATGTTTGGTAAGACAATGGGCGACCGCACCGACTGCTTGTTGCGCATGGCCGCGCGGTCGTCGAGTTCCATGTCGAAAATCATCGCTGGTGTTTGAGCTGGAGAAGCGTCAGATAGCTAAGCAAGTATGGTGTGTGCGGGGTGGTGTTTGCTATCCGCGGGTGCTGGTATCTGGGATAGAAGGAAATATCGTGGGCGTGATAGTCAATGCGAGAAGGTCATTTGGCTTTGACGAGTAGAAGTTGGCTGTGTGAAAGAAAGTAAAGAGGTGGGCTTTGCTCTGGAAGAGAGGATGGCGCTGTTGTGTTTGGAAAGATTCCAGAAAATCGGACTGCTGAAGCATCCTTTTTTTTTTCTCATCTAAACCCCTCCATTCCCCCTGCCCCAACAGCCTTGCCCAGTGAACACGAGGAAATCTGCCTTTCCAGTGACCGAGTGCTCGTGATCAGACGAAAGGCGCTGTTGCGGGCAAATCGCAGACAAGGTAATTTGATAAGCTAATACGCAGGAAATCCGGACATTGGCAGTCTTGCAAGGAAATCAGGGCTGCGCAAAAATAATAGGAGTAGCATTGGTCCTTGGCAATGCCTGACACTGTGTGTCGTCACTGATTCCTGCTTAAGGAAGGCGGAGAGCATGCTGCCCCGTGTCATGTGGGGAGAGCCTGACTGCTTTTCAGCCTCACAACTAACGGTGACGAGCGTGCATAACAAGTCGGAAACTTGTATTGGACGGCCGCAGGGCGGAATCTGAAATGCCAGCTCTTCTTACATCAACTCCGGGACACGGGTGGCCAGCTACGTGCAGAAGGCTGCATAAAGTATACAATAAGCAGGTGGGAGACAATTGGATGTCAAGGTGAAAGATCCGGAGCTTCAAGCTTCCAGGCACCAACAAAAAGTATTTCATCTAGCAGTTTTCCCCATCCAAGCGCTAGAGCTGGCCTGGGCCTCTGGCGAGACAAGAGCAAGTATAAAAGGAATGCACACGTCTCCCTCCTGGACTCTCCTCACTCCGTTCTTTTCTAAACCCCCTCACAGGTGCCTTTACTCGCTTACAGCTTACTCTAGAAACCACCCACCACGAATATACCGATCATGCACCACATGAGCGCCGACTCCGTCAGGATGCTAGGTGGCCCGGGTTCCCGGGACTACGCAGTCATGTATAGCCAGATGGCACCGGGTTCTAGCTACAACCCGTGCAACACGCTGCTGTCTCCACTCGCAACACTACAGCGCCAGCGCACCAGTGACATCAACGAGCAAATCGGACAAAGAAGCGCGTTAGGTTTGCCACGCCCCTGGTCACATACGATATGGAGGCGGTAGAGTTCCACGACTACGACCCGCGATTCGCAATGTCCTATGGAATACCTGCCCCTCCACGGGCGCACATAGCACGGGGCGGAAGCATCAAGCGCACGTGTGCGAAAAGAAAATGTGAACTAGAATATTTATAGCTCTTCAAAAGCGTCATCATCTGTCCATTCAATATCATCCATCAGCTCCTCAGTCTCGCGATGCAGCTGCGCCAATCCCGTCAGCGTCTCAAGGTAGCTGTAGCCGGCAGGCGGGGTCGCTTCAACCTCGCGATGGGGATCGTCCTCACTCACACAGGCGTTGTTGAACACGCGCTCGAGAAAGGCATAGCCGTGCTCGCGATAGGCGCTCAGCACCGAGTCCGAGCATGCGGTGCACTTATCGTAGGCATGGCCGACGATTGTGTGCTGGCGGAACCCGCCCAGATATCCCGCGGATCTGGTGCGGCGGGGCGCCAAAGACACCGGCGTCGGCGTCGGCAGCGGCAGCTTTGCCCAGCGGGTGCTGCAGGATGGTGGAGACGAGCTCGACACCCATCCCCGACGCAATAGGCGCCAGGCCAGGGCGCGTCACCGTGCATTGCTGGTCAAGCGTGCGGTCGGTCAGAGAGTCGGTCGGCGCGACCACATCGCTGCAGAAATAGCAGCCCAGACGCCCGCTGCCCTGCGACCGCACGCCATGCCGCATGGCCACAAACGAGTCGAAGCCCAAGGCAATGCACACCACCAGCTTGTCATGCAATGCCCCCAGCACGGTCGCCAGCCAGCGGCTCTCGCGGCTATCAGTCAGTAGGAACACCACGTCGTGGCTTTCCACCAGCTGCTCCAGCCGCCCCACCGCCTGCCTAGTCGCCTCCCGCTCGCTCTCGGGGACCGGATGGCCCGGCATGGGAATGCTCAGCTGCTCCCCCTGCGCATCGACATTGGGGAAAATCCGCCTCAAGGCACTAGGCTGCCGCCACAGCCTTGGGCTTGCCCTCAATGCTATCGGCAAACTCGTACAATGGCTGCCGGGCCGGGTTCGAAAACGACACCTTGCCATTGTCCACAAAGGTGATTTTGCGCACCCCCCACGCCAGTAGCGCCCGCGCAGCATACGAACCCAGCGTCCCGGCGCCCAGCAGCAGCGCCCGGGTGGCCGAGATCCCTCCCGAGATCAATCTCTGGCACCAGCCGCCACCGCATCAGCTGCAGATTCAGATCCAGCGCCTGACTCGGCCAGCCGGGACGGATCCATGGATGCCGACAGATTGGCCATGCGCGGCACCAGCCGCCCGGCCTCGTTGCGCTCCCACCCGCTGACCTGCCCCTGGGCCTTCAAGTCTCCAGCCCTGGTCACGTTGATGTCCAGCACTATGCTCTCCGGGGGCACTGCGCTGGTCTGCATCAGCGCATCGCGGAAGCACAGCACCTGGATCTGCGTCTGCTCCGGGTGCGCATGTCCGCAGCCATGCCAGCAGATTGCGCAACGGCCATCCCGGCCGCGTCGCATGGCTGCTGGGGTCAACAAACCCAAGCATGACGCCGTCGCCAAAGAACCCCTGCCAGTCGCTCAGCCTCCCCACCTGCCACTGCCCCATCGAGTACTTGGCCAGAAACGCTCCCCCGACTGTCGCCACGCGCGCCAGGTCCCGCACCCTGTCCTCGTCGCCGCCCACGTACTCCAGCAGCGTCTGCTCCTTGGCTACTGTATCCGGCGGGTCGGCCGTGATGGCTGGGAACGCAAACCAGTGGTAGAACCGGTACTTCTTCAGGTCAGAGAACGCCAGAACCACAAATGGCCACAGGGACCTCGGGCGTCGCTGTCGCTTTGCCTGACTGGATGTCGTCCAGAATCCCCTGCCCGGCAGTCCGCAGAAGCTCGCCCTTGTCGGCCGCCTTGAACTCCTCGATTGTGTTGGTGTTGAACAGCGTGCCAGGTCACGTGAACCACATGCCCTGCTGCCGCTGCAGCGCTCTCGCCGGTGCTCCACGCCCGCTTAATGGCCCGCATGCGCGCGGGCGTGGCTATGCGCTGCTGTGAGCTGCCTGTCTGGACCGCGCACTGCATGACGCCGCCCGCTGACAAACTCGCCCTCGATATCCGTGCGTGCTGTGTCCAGCTGCGCCGAATGCAGCTTGTGATGCGCAAGCCCGGCCCAGAATTCGGGCTCCACCACCGAGCTGAATGCCTCAAACCGAAGAATATTGCTCATTCGAACTGGCTGAATTGCTAACAAGATAAAAAATACTAAAAAAATAATGGTAAGCGCTGCAAAAGAAGACGGAGAAAAATTGCTGCCATCGCTTGCACAAGCCATTCATTTTGTTTGTGTTGATCACACCAACACAGGTGGCTATGTCACTTGCCAACATGCCGCGAGACCAACGTGTCCAGAGATGGCATCTTATTTTATTTTTTAATAAATGGAAGGGAAGAAAGATGTAGAACAGCAGAAAGGAAATGTGGATGTTTACTTGTCGCTCTCGTCCTCGACATAGTCGGGGTTCTTTTGCAGAACAACAAATCCCTCGAGCACATTGGTCAGCGGCTTGTACTGCTCCGTAGCCAGCTCTGCTCTCTCGGAGTGCGCAAGCAGCACCGGTGTATCGTGTGTCTGGAACCCAGTGATGGTCTTTGGCCGCCCCACCTGACCAACGGCATCCACTGCCTGCCCCACGCGCACGCTGGTAGTCACTGGCTCCAGGTTCTCGTCGAACGTGATTAGGAACCGCGGGTACATGGCGCGCACCAGGAAGTAGAGCATAAAGTGCGATTCGCTCATGATCAGCTTCTCGGCGTTGGTCATGGCCACAATGGGAATCAGCAGCCCAGCCAGCGCTGTGTGCGACAGAAGCGAGCGGTCGTGGTGGTACGGGTTGACTGTCATCGTGCCCTTGCCCATGTGCAGCAGGCCCTGCGCAATCCGCACAATGAACAGCGTATCCGCATCCTTGTGGTAGTATGTCGCAAGCTGCCGCAGCAGCTGTGCCAGCCGAGCATTGTTGGTGCCAGCTCCAACGACTCCCATAGCAAAGATCGCGTTAGCCGCCACCAGCTTGTCGTTGTCGTGCGACTGCTTGCTCAGCGTGTCGATGACTGTGACCAGCGGGTTCGACGCGCACGCCAGCCCGATGGCCAGAGGCACTGTGCGCCGCACAAACGCGTCGCCGTAGTGCATCAGGTGGTTGAATGTGCGCAGTGACATCTCTGCTCCAACTCCCTCGCCCATCGAGATTAATGCAACGCCCAGCACAGCGAATGCCTGCGGCAGCTGGTCCTCCTTGTCGCCCAGATGCTCAGAGCAGATGTGCAGCATCTTTTGCACCTCAAGCACGTTGCCTGTCCCCGCATACGAGCACACCTGCACCAGCACCGACGCCTGCTGGCCTATAGGGTGCTCAATGGCCTTCAGCGTCTCAAGCGTAGCCTCAGAGCCTTCCTGCGATCCCATGAACAGCAGCGCCAAGCCAAGAATCATGAACCGCGCATACTTGTGGTTGAGCTCAGTGTCCATGCGCTCCATCAGCGCCTGCAGAATCGTGCTGGCAACCTCGCCATGGCAGGTGCCAATGCATACCAGACCCGCAGACAGCGCCGCAACCGACGACAGGTCAACGGTGATGTCGGTGTCGCCGGCAAGAGGCAGCAGCAGCTCCAGGATATCCTCGCGGTTGGTCCCGGCATAGGCCATGCCCAGACCGGTGATCGCAGCCAGCTTCACAATAGCAGGGTTGTTCTCCTCAGTTAGATACTCCGACAGCAGCGCCTTGGCCGAGTCGGTCTCGTCGTGCACAGCTGATGTCAGCATACCAATAGCCAGAATTGCCCCCGCCTTGATATAGTTGTCTGTGGTGTACAGGTACTTGTCGATCTGGTTCAGACCAACCTCGACATCCCACAGCATGATCATGCCCAGCGAGGCTGAGGCGCTAAGCATCCCCAGCTCCTTGTTCTTGTAGATCCACTCATTGCCGTCGCCGTTGGCCGTCATCAGCTTGTCAGTGCCGTAGCCGGCGTTGACAAATGCATTGACAAATGTCGAGGCCAGGTTGTGCCGCGCCGAATCCAGAGGCATGTCAGTGTTGCGGTTCTCCAGGTGCGACTTGTAGATATCCTCAGGTGTCTTGGGGTCGAGCAGCTCGAGCTCACGTGCCAGGTCCAGATAGTTCTTGGACAGGCTGGCATTGTTCATACATGCCAGCAGCTCGTCGTCGTCATCATCAATGAGTTCGGGCATATGCACCTGCTGCCGAGCCATGATGAACGCCAGCTGTGCCTTCTCGCTGCGTGACTTGCAGCTGTCCCAGTCCTCCTTGATTAGCTCCTGTCTGCCGAGTCCGGATCGACAGTGGCAGGCACTGTGCTGGACGTCCAAACTTGCGGTAGATGGTGCGCGCTGTCTCCAGGAACAACCGATCACTGGGCGGTGCCAGCAGCGGCGAGCAGCTAATCATGTACAGGCACACACGCTGGTATGTGTCCTCACTCACAAAGTCGACGATCAAGTCAGAGCGCTCCAGCTCCTCGAGCAGGTCGACAGCATCGGCCTCGGCGTTGTGCGCAAGGCAGAACGGCACCACCTTCTTTGCGCACTCGAGCAGATACTCCGTGTCAGGCTCAGTCTCCTCGTCGTGCTTCTCCACGTACTCTTCGCCAATCTCCATCGCCAGATGCCGCACGTACTCGTGGCCCCACTCGGCCACTGTCGTCCCATCAATGCCGGCCAGCATCCGGTACTTCAAGCAGCTGCGGTTGCCATCGTGGTCGTATGCCATGCCCAGCAGCGACAGAATGCTGGCCAGGTACTTTTTGTTCTCATCATGCGTCCACCGCTCGTACAGACCGATGAGCGCCTCGTAGTGCACCTTCAGATATTTGAGCGGCTTTGGTACTGAGGTCATCGAGCTGGTTGACGACCGGATGACGTTGCGCAGGTTGTCCAATGCTGAGCGGTGGATATCCGTCGAAGCCTCCTAAAACACTGGCGAATGCAGTTAGCGCTCCTGCCGAACGAGAAAAAGCAGACTGCGTTTGCGCTTCCATATGGAGGGGGACTTCTTACCTGCAGTCTCTCTACAATGAGCTCGAGCTCGCTGACTAGCTGCTGATCCTCCTCTGACTAGAAAATTCCAAATGACAACAGAATTAGTAATTGCCTGACACGTCCTGACGTTTTTCTGTCTCATTTCTGCCAATTGGCACTTACCAGCTCATCCTGCTCGTCCTTGGCGTTCTTCTTGGTAAGCTTCTCGGCAGCAGTCTTCGGGTTGAGCACATTGCTCTCGTCCTTTGGTGCCGTCTTCTTCTCAACCATGATTGCTTAGATTCTTAGTCCTAGAAAAGCTGTGTGTGTAATAAAATTGAAGTAGAAACAGAGAGGAAGCGTTCTTTGAAGAGGGGAGAGCCCGCTGTAGCCTGCAACGGCCTTTGGCGCAGAACGCGCTGCCGTCATTCCAACACGCAAGCACCTTGACGCCCATCCTCCCGATCAAAAAGTGCTGACGCACTCGCAATGGTGATCAGATCACAGGTGATCCAACCAGAACTGGAAATTATGTTCTGTGTATTAGCAAGCCAGATCAACAGCTTCAAGCTGGCATATATATGCATACGCTGAGCGCAGTTGCATTTCAGCTGAGATCCACCATGCCATTCCGGGTCTTGCCAGATGATGCCAGCCCTAGCTGTCCTCACTGCAGCTGACACAACAGCTTTCTCAAATTGGATTTAGTACTCATCCCTACAATCCTAGGGAACGAGATTCGTGGCCTTGGTAATTTGGGCTGGTATCAGTAAATTTCATTAATTTCAAGAACACTTAGTCGTCCATACGCCACAGGCTCTCCATGCATCTCCGTAGTCAGATGTGTCGATGTCTGACGAGATGAGCTCTTCCAGCGACAAGTAGTTTGCACTATCATTCTCATTGCCGTTGATGATATGCACGGCACCTCTTTGCGCTTCCCTGCCTGGTCTCTCCTCTGACTCCGGGGCCAGTTCGCTGGCTGACACAAGAGAATCCCACCGCACTCGGATCCAATCCCCATGATTTCAACCGGTACAGTTTCGTTCTGCTCAGTGTCTGGCCCCAGCGGATTGCACCGCATGTTCAGCACAACGAATGTCACATCTGGTTTCGACGCTACCTGCTGCAAGAACTCGCCTGCCTTGGCAATGTCAGCTGTCACAACTAGCAACAGAAACTCCAGTCCATGAAGATCGCAGGCATCAGCATTCACAATCAGCGACATGCTGTTCGTTGCAAACTCAATTTCTGGGGCCCAACGGCGAATTGTCCGTGTTGGGACCCAGATTGTTCAGAATTAAACACGCCTGGGTGACCAACGGCGAGAGGCGGCATGAAGGAGGCGCAGGTCGGCTGATTAAGGCGCCTACTACACTGTCTCCCAGTGCCTGCTGGAATCCGTGCCAGGGTCTCTGAGCGCCCGTTATCCTTGGCCATGTATTGGAATCGCTGAACCCGTGCTGTCTCCAGCAGCAGCTCGAACGATCCGTTCGGGTCAAAGCTACCGACGTTGAACTGGATGTCGCTGCATGCAAAGGAAATTATACGGATAGCAAGCGACGTCCCGTCCCTGTGCTTTACCCGAGTATACCCCACAGACACGTTTTCCAGTGTTCGCTCGCCAAAGTCGCCAGCATATGCAGGAACGAGGTCGCTTGCAATGAATGACAATGTCGGCTTGCCAATCATCTCGCTAGGCTCGTAATCGAGTATCTGCTTGATATTGGAAGACACGTACAGTATCCGCATCTCGTTTCCTTTTTCATGAACGCCAACCCACGAGCATGGCCTATCGATCATGGCTTATGCTAGCAGTAAAAAAGTTAGCTTGAAAGTGAAGAAAGGAGGAAAGTATGGAAGGATAAGAGGAGGGCGCGAGATGTATGTCCAAACCGACGCCTCCTTCCACATTTATTACTTGATTCCCGCCAGACAATTGCATGCTATTGTACCCTGCTAGAGGAGCAGAGAGTCCTGACAGAAATGCTGATTGATGCAGTGCGTTGCACAAATGTCTGCTATCACTAAATATCATGGTAGTGGCACATACTCATGCAGCTGTCGCAGCAGCCATTCGAGGACATTCCATATCTCTCGACACCAGCCGTGCATGTGCTGGCATCTGGATCAAATACCATTCGAAAACAAGGGCTGGAGGGAAGAAACACTGTCCCACAACCGGGATTGTTCACGTGACCTGTGCCGGAGTTCAAGTCAGGGCGTGCCACGACTGACACCTCACGGCTCAAGTCTTGCTCCTTTCCCCCGATCGCTGACCACGTTCGTTTTTGTACTCGCTATTCGTTTAAACCACCCATTTTAGCCATTACCAATGTCGACATTTCCAAACAACCGGCTTCGCCATCCAGACATCACAGCGCAATGGCCTCTACAGCGGCAACGGGCACAGCGGCAATGCAGGCCAGGTTGAGGACGAAGAGCAGGACCCGAACAGCAAAGGACCACCGGCTGAGGAGCAAGATATCGATGCTCAAGGAGGTCAGCATCAGCATTGGCGACGAGATCCGGGACCAAAACAAGTTCCTGGAGACGATGGGGCAGGACATGGAGGGCATGGGCGGGCGGCTCCAGGCCACAATGAAGCGGTTCTACGAAATGTGGGCCAGGCAGGGCTGCGGGCCATTCTTCTACATCACGCTGTTTGGGCTCGGCGTATTGACGCTGCTGTACTTTTACTTGAAGATGCGGTAGAGCAAGAATAAGATTGTTGGAATTAGTTACAAAGAGCAGAAATTGATTACGCAGAGGTCTCGGCCTGAGCGTAGAACTTGGACATGAACTCGAAGAAGGCGAACTGGCTGGGCACGGCGCCGTACTCGTAGACAAAGTGCGAGGCCAGGTAGGCGCCAAAGATGGCCTTGAGGTAGTTGACCGGCACGCGCCCCAGGATGGTGTCGAGATCCAGGCTCTCGAGCAGCTTGGCGGGCAGGGCCTTGCGCATGATCAGGCGGCGCAGCGACTCGTTGTCCCACAGGTTGGTGCTCTCGAGGTTCTTGCGCAGGTCGACAATGGCCACCGACAGCTCGTCAGACAGCACGCTCTTGGGCTTGCCAGTGCGCTTGGCCTCGTTCCACAGGCACTCGAACTCGCGGGCGGCATTGGCCTCGATCGCGCGCTGCACGTCGGCCACGTACTGCTGGTAGAACTCGGGCAGCGAGCCGTCGGGCTGCTCGCACATCAGACGGCCGTGCTCCTCGTCCGTCAGGGCCAGCGCCGCCAGCACCTCGAGCGACGACGAAGTGACACCGCCCTTGTTGGCAGACGCATCCTTGAACAGATGCACACCGGCCTTCTCCAGGCGCAGACGGGCATCCTGGGTGAAGAACAGGTTGGCGCCCTCGACCACATACTTGAAGCGCGCGTTGCCCTCGGCATCAAACAGGCTGTGGACGTTGTTGATGTCGATCGACTCGGGGCGGCCACCGCAGGGCACGAAGAAGTCAGCCGCAGCCAGCTTGTTCAGGTGGAAGCCGTTGCGGAACGACAGACCGTCCTGCACCAGCGTGCCGTCGGGCAGCGTGACCTGGTACTCGTCGACCAGCACACGGAAGCCCTCGGGACTCAGCTTCGACACATCAAAGTGCTGGATCATCTTGCGCTCGTTGGCCAGGCGGGTCAGCTCAGTGCGGTCGATGCCGCGCGGGTCGTACAGCACGCCGCTGCCATCGACCACCGCCGTGGTGCGGTCGTGGCTGATCTTGATCTCGTTCGAGCCCAGGTCACCGTCCGGACCACCGGTCTGGAACTTGGTGCAGACCGACTCGTCGAGGCCGAGCTGGCGGATGATGCCCAGCACGTACTGGTGCACCGAGCGCGTAGTCATGCCGTACACGTCGTGCGGGATGCCGCCCATGGTCTGGCTCTTGCCCGTGGTGAACGCCTTCCAGAACGGAGCTCCGCGCTTGCGTGCGTGCTGGCTGGCCCAGTCCATGTATCCGGCAGTGCCCTCATCGGGGCCGAAGAACAGGATCTCCTCGCGGCCCAGGCGGTCAACCAGGCGGTCCTTGATGCCCGGCGACTGACCGGTCAGCAGCAGGTCGAGAATGGCATCGACGTACTTCTCAAAGGCAACAAACGGACGGTCCTGCGAGTCCATGTTGAGCAGGATGGTGCCCTTCGAGCCGCCCTCGGGAATGTCCTTGTTCTTGCGGTGCTGGGTCGAGGCCAGCGAGTAGTTCTCGTCGAACAGCGTGCGCTGGTTGATCGAGAAGGCCTCGGGGTTGCGCGAGCGCACAATGCGGATGCCGCCGCGGGCAACATCCTGGAAGCGCACGTGGAAGCCGCGGAACTCGTTGCCGACCACAAGGAAGATGCCAAAGGGCTTGGCCGGGTACTCGATCACCGGCAGGAAGCCCGGGTCCATGCGGAACGACAGAGCGACCTTGGTCGGCTGGTAAAAGTTGGTCTTGAGCACGTGCTTGTTGAAGTCGAGCATCGAGCGCAGCACCATGGCCTCGTTCTCGTTGGTCGTGGTGCGCGTAATCTTGGCCAGCAGATCCTCCTTGGCCAGCGGGGCCTTGTCCTGCAGACGCTGCTCCGACAGCGACACGCGCAGCTCGTCGTTCAGGCGATCGGCCAGCTTGCCCACATAGCTCGGCAGCTCCGAGTGGATGTAGTGCTCGCTGGCAAAGTCCTTGTACAGGTCCTTGAGCAGCTCGGGGTAGCGCAGCATGATGTCGAGGATCAGCTCGCGGGTGAAGGTCTCCTGGCGCAGGCGCTTCTTCAGCTTGGCCAGCACCTCCATGTCGGTGGCATCGCTCGGGTCCAGGATCTCGACCAGCGTCGCGTACTCGCTGCCAAGGCGGTTGAGGAAGTGCTGGGCAAAGATCCAGCACGTGTATCCGTACACGGCCTCCTGCACAGACAGCACACCGGTGCGGAACAGGGTCTGGAACGGGGTGCTCGGAATGCAGTACACCAGACTGGCCTCCTTCATGATCTGGCGGATCGAGTCGTCGATCGACGCGGTGCCGTTGGCAGCCGACAGCACCGGCGACGAGCCCTGCGCTGCTCTGGGCCGAGCTGTTGGGGCTCGCAGCCAGACGCTTGGCATGCTTGGACGTGTCCAGGTACAGGCTAATGACGGTGACGCCGCACGAGAACTGCTCGACGTACTTGCGCGACGAGTACATGTGGTAGTAGTGGTACAGGTCAGACAGACCGGCAAAGTAGCCCTGGGTGCTGCGCTGGCGGTAGCCGATGACCAGACGGTGCTCGCCGCTGGGCAGGGTGGTCTGGGTGATCACGGGGCCAGTGCGGTCCAGGACCTTGCTGATCACGCTGCTGTACAGGTCAAGCACCGCAGGCGTGGCCTTGGCCAAGAAGGTGCGGTCCGAGGTCTGCTTGATGTCGTGGATCTCGTCGCCCTTCGGATCGGGGTTGACAAAGTCGCACTGGTTGACAAAATAGGCACGCAGCGAGGCATCAAGGCTCTTGGAGACCTTGCCGCGCGAGCGGTACGACTCGAGACGATAGGCGCTCTGGGGCACGCTGACATCGAGGTACTCGGCATCAATCCTAAGAATAGAATCGGTGGCTGTTAGTAAAATTGGCTTTTTCGCTATCGATCGGCTAGAGCGCTTCGGCCAACAACTGGCCCAAAAATAAAAGGCAGCCCCGTCCTGCATGGATGATATTTCTGCTGGCGAGCCCCTAGATGCCAGACTGATAGCACCAGGAAGCATGCTCCCCCCCCCCACACAATGCCGCGGGAAGGGGAACACGGCCACTGCACGATGGCGCGGGGGTGCTTTCTTTGCATTGTCCCACGCGGCGCACGACACACCTGCTAGCCTTATCCTACGCCCATCGGGCCAATCAGAAGCCAGAACCGGGCTGGATGGGCGGTCCCGGAGAATGCCTGGAGTACTTACATCTTTTCGTAGTTGGGGCCCTCGGTCTTGGAGATGCCGGGGGTCGAGTTGTGGATGAAGACGGCGCCGCGCTCGTGGCGGTTCTCAAAGTGGATGCCGATGTCGCCGGGGCGGGTCGAGTTGGACAGCTGGGCGCCGTACAGGGCGGTGATGTGGCCCGCGACTGCCGCCGGGTCCTCGAGCATGAAGTACATGTCGTCGATGCCCAGGATGTCGTAGAACCAGCCGACCTCGGAGTCGATCAGGTGCTTGGGGATTAGGCCCTCCTTCTCGACGAGGATGCAGACCTGGGCGCGGTGGTCCTGCTTGCCAGAGTACACGTTGTCAGTGTAATCGCACTGCTGGACGGGTGTAGCGGACATGGCTTGTGTGTGTGTATGAAGAGCTGGCTAGGAGGGTGTGGGGCTCAGTAGCGAAGGAGTAGTCGGCTAAGAGGCTTCTGGATAAAAGTACTAAGGGTAGAAAAAGAAAAAAGTTGGGAGTGGCTAGTTGCTATGCTGTGTCAAGACGACTCTGGCGGCCGACCCGCACTCGCTGCCTTTTATACGGGACGGGATGGCTGGCACGTATGCAGTGCGCAATAAAGCTAGTAACCTGGCACACCGCGAGGCGCAAGCCAGAAAAATGGACAGGGCTCCGCGGTAGCGGACCCACCCCTGCAACCCGGCGGAGAGCATGATTCCACGCCTTGGTGGCACTATTTAGTCAGAAAATCGCATTGGCACAGGCTCATTTAGCAATTCCTGACTCTGTTCCCAGACACAAAAATAGCCTGGGCAGGACCGCGAGAGCGCGGCCTGCCACACTGCCAGCCGGTGGGCATGTTTTGCTTCCCCGCGCCAGATGGGAAAACACTAGCATCCAGAGTTGTTCATTTCGCCTGCCAATGGCGCTATCGCTGCGTATCTTTTAGTCCGCTTGGGAAAAACACAGAGAACGTGCCGTCACACTGGCAAATCCTCCTCCTTGGTCCGTGCACCGCAACCTGCCATAAGAGGAACTATCCCCCTCCTCTTGGCCCGGTATGGCAACAGGGCTGCTCCATATAGATTCGCTTTTTCTGACAGAGGGTTCCTCCAAGGGGGAACGCCGTAGCCGTGTCCGTGCCCACGGGCCAGTTGCAGGGCTGCTCCAAGGCGTGGGAGGGCAGAGGACCTGTGTTGGGGGGGCGGGCAGTGATGTGCTAGACCGCCAGAATGCCACAGGTTTTTGCTGGTGATCGCCGACGAGAGCTTCGCTGTGTGGCAGAAGAGAATAAAAAAGGTGGCCTGTGCGCAGATTCTCGATTGTTTCATCGTACTGCTTTTTTTTCCGACTCGGAGGAATGGACAGGCTGGGCAGGAACAGCAGCATGACACCGCATGCAGAAAATAAACGGCCGGGCACCGATTGCGGGCGGTGCCCGCGCACATCCAGTGCCCGTGCTTGAAGCTGGTGGTGGAGGGTGGAGCTCGGTGGTCAATGCGCTGCATACTCGCAACGTGCCAATAGCGCCTGCCAAAATATATGCATGAGGGTCAGCTGAACCCCTCCTGCGAGAAGCGCAGTTGCAGCCAGCGATGAGCACTGACCACCACTTCACATTCCCCTGCTGACTGCCAAACAATCGTGGCGGCTGATGGATACCGCTTGCCAACCAAAAACCGTCCCCATTCACCACTGAGCTACAAAAACGGGCAGCACAGATCTGCCCCTATGCACACATGGTCGGGGTGCTGCTTCTGACCCAACCGGCGACGTGCTGGAGATGGAATTTTCGCCCGTTGGCATGCCCAATGCGAACGACATGTACTAATTTTACGTTGTACTTGCCCTCATGACAGGAGCATGTCCATACTTGTTTGTAACCACCGCTGCTGGTATATGAGGCTGCATTAATGCCCGAATGTCCACTGGTAAGCGGGCATTGCTGCGCAATTTTCAGACGCTTCTACCTCGGCATTCGCTGTCCGCCGGCCAATAGAATCTTCACCGGGCGCTCCGTACGGCGATGCGGTCGTCTCCCCTTCAACGCCAAATGAGTGGTTGTGTAGGGAGGGCAGGGCTTTTCCTCCATGCTGCCAATGCGCCTATGAGCATAGCAAACCAGGCAGATGGCCATTGGTGGGTGGAGGGCAGCGCAGTAGCCAAGTGAACAAGCCACCGCCCGCCCTCATATCTGTCGGGATCTGTGAGAGGGCTACGCCTCCACGCATGTCATTTTGCCTATCGCTTGAATCAAAGTTGTATTTGTGAGCCACCAGCCCGCCTTGCCCTGGATCTTCCATATCGAAGCACACTATAGCGGCCATTGTCTCTACTGCTCTAGCAACACGGCCAGCTTGCGAAAAGGTGGCTCCCACACCCGGCCTCGGAGTAAATACAGAAAACCTCCAGCGCATGTTCCCACGGGCGCCAATCTCCGCCAGCATCAAAGCCCGTCCCCCTTGCACATGGGCCCGGTACCAGCAACCCGTAAATTCGTAGATTTATTTTGATAATCTGCCTGATCCGGTTGTTACCACAGCAGACGGCGGCGCAGCCGGTTAATGCGGATCAGCCGCTTCTTGTATCCAAGTCCCTGCCACTGCTGGTCGGCCTCCTGCTGCATCTCCTCGCGGCGCCATTTGGGAGCCGGCGCAACCATCAGCACGGCCTGCGGCGGCAGATCAAACTTCTTCGCCAGCTTCGACACCGTCCAGTGCTTCGGGTCCTCGTTACGCAGTGTGCGCACAGCATGCTTCAGCTCGTTCGTCAGCGGTTTCCGCTCGACCGGTGTGTACTTGCGCAGCAGAGGGGGCAGATCGGCCTCGCTAATCTCAGGCATCTGCTTGGGCACACGCGACACGAATATGCTGCCGTCCGAGAGCTTTTCGGTGAAATGCACGTTGGTGCCCAGCGAACTCCGTGCCGCCGCCGAGCTCATGCAAGCTACCGAAGGAAGACGGGCCAGCGTGGGGCGGGCCAGTGTGCGCAACAGACCGAGGCTCATTTTGTTTTGTTGTTGGTAATTTAGAAGAAATGCGGGAAATTGAGAACGAAGCTGATTTCTATGAGCAGCTGAGATATATTTTTTATCTTAGCCAAACCCGTGATCTCTGTGATCCTAGCTTCTTGATCCGACAGTCGGCAATTCTCACGTGATGGAGCACTGCTCACGCTCTGTCCGGAATCGTGGATAAGGGCGAAAAAAATTTTGAACAGATTCTTTTCATCGCTCCTTACGTTTCTCAGCGCTCAATTTCCTGGCTTGTCTCACTTTACACACTAGTTTTATAAAAAAAAAACGCCAATGAAGAATATTGTTGTTCTAACCGGCTCGTCGCACCCCAAGCTTGCGCAGCGCATCTGCGACAACCTTGGCATCGAGCTCTCAGAGTGCAAACTGGGCAAGTTTTCGAATCAGGAAACCAGTGTCGAAATCAAAAACTCGGTCCGTGAGAAGCACGTATACATTATCCAGAGCGGCTGTGGGCGCGTCAATGACAATGTGATTGAGCTGTTTATCCTGGTGCAGGCGTGCCTGATGGGCAGTGCCAAGCGCGTGACGGTGGTGACGCCGCTGTTCCCGTACTCCCGCCAGTCGGAGAAGTCGCAGAAGAAGCGCCTGCCGCAGCACCAGATTGGATCCGAGATCATGAGCTCGCTGACGCAGCAGGCCGACGGGCCGTCGTCGCTGCCCCAGGGCACGTTCGCGCAGAGCTTCATGGGCATGAGCATCGGCGAGGGCGGCTACAGGCAGTGGTGCGCCAGGGCTGGCACGCTGGTGGCCAACCTGCTGCAGGCTGCAGGCGCCGACCACCTGATTGCGATGGACCTGCACGATCCGCAGTACCAGGGCTTCTTTGAGATCCCGGTCGACCTGATCTACGCCGAGCCGTGCATCATCCAGTGGATCCGCACCGAGATCCCTAACTGGCGCCAGGCGGTGGTTGTCTCGCCGGACGCTGGAGGCGCCAAGCGCGCAACATCGGTGTGCAGCAAGCTGAACCTGGACTTTGCCCTGATCCACAAGGAGGACCTGGCCAACACCAAGGAGAGCATGGGTCTGGTCGGCGAGGTCGCCGGGCGGCCGGTGATTGTGCTCGATGACATGATCGACAGCGGCAGCACTGTGGGTCTGGCCTCCGAGATCCTCAAGCGTCCACGGCGCTACCGAGATCTATGCGATTGCTGTCCACGGTGTGTTCTCGGGCCCCGCTCTCGAGATCATCAACAAGTCGCCCATCACCCAGGTGGCCTGCACCAACACCGTCCCCCAGGAGGAGTTCAGGAAGCTGTGCCCGAAGCTGGCCACGATCGATATCTCGACGATGCTGGCCGAGATCATCCGGCGCACGTTCAATGGCGAGTCCGTGTCGCAGCTGTTTGTACACGATGAGCAATTCTAAACCCTCTTTATTTTTTTTTTCCTTGAATACTTCCAAAACATCGCCTTTTGATGGCCGCCCTAGGCAGCTCGGGCCTGCTTCCACTTTTTGCTGGTCGGGGTTGCCAGCCAGAACCGAGATGATGGACGGCAGCAGCTCAGCGTCGGCCGACAGATGGTCGCTGATAGACACCGGCTCGACATCCTGCAGATACGGAGCCACGCCGTCGACGCCCTTGCCAAACGAGAAGCGGAAGCTGAAGATGCCAAAGTTGCGGCCATCGCTGCCATCGAAGCCCAGCATGATACGCACGATATCAGCAACGATATCGTCGACCTTGCACTCGAGCTCAGGCAGCAGCTCAGCGCCAAACCTACCGCCCATGGCCTGCTTAAACTCGCTGTATGGCACCTCGATCTCGTCAGGCAGCACCTGGTACGGCTCCATCTTGTCCTCACGCATCTGCACCCGGAGCTTGTGCACCCACATCTGCGGCGTCCACAGATACAGCCCATCATCAGGCGTCAGCAGCGCCAAGCGCGTGCACACGTGGAGCTCATCCGGGCTGACCACCGACGGAACACACTGCAACGCCGTCGAGTACCCGACATCCGCATGGCGCACCACCGTGGTCGGGTTATTGGTCAGGATCCTCTGCGCCTTGACATTGGGCACCGTGGTGTCGTTGGTCAGCACCCACCAGCTGTGCGGATCCATCAGTGCTGCACCAGTGAATTCTGTCAGCTGCGACCTCAAGAGGAAGCCGGTGCGCAGCCACGACTGCGCGCCAACAACATTCTGGAACGCAAAGACCGTGCTCTGGCTCGAGAAGAACACGCTGTTGAGCGGGTGGTGGTTCGACGCTTGGCTGGTCTGCGCGACATCGTCAAACACCAGGTCTGCCTCGCTGGCCTGGTCCACCAGCCGCAGCCCTTGCTTCTCAAGAGCCTGGGTGACTTCGGGCGTCGCACCGCTCACAAGCACATTGCTGACTGTATGCGCAGCCACCGGCTGGCTGGCCAGGGTGGCACGCGTCGCTGTCTTGGCTGTGGCCTGCCAGCCATCGCACATCTTCTCATAGGCATCCAGCGCAAACTGCGTCGGGCCCTGGAAGATTGCGTGGAGGTACCCCTGGCGCTGGTCGGCGTCCTTGAGCCATGCTGGGCAATAGTCACGCGTCAGCGACTCGTCCTGCCTGATCTCGCTGGTGGGCCACATAATACTATACGGCACCATCTGGCCCTGCGGCGTCACATACAGGAACGGCGCGCACGCGACATTGGGTGTATCCGAGTGCTGGATCGACAGCCCAACCTCGTCTTGGATGTACCAGTTGGTCTGGTTCTCCAGCGATCCATCGGCAGCCTGCCGCAAAAACTCGTATCCTTGGAAGTGCCGCCACAGTGCACCAAAGACACGCTGGATGTGCTTGCTGTGCTCCTTCTCGTCAATGTGCTCCTCGCCAGCGATGGCTTCGGGCCAGACCTCAGCCTTAGCCTTGACCAGCGACACCGTCAGGACGCCGCCCTCCAGTGTCCACGTCGCTTCCTTTGCGTCGATGCTGGCGTACAGCTCGCCGTCAATAACCACCTGACCCATGACAGACACCTTCAGGTGCTTCGGTGCGAACTCACACTTCACGTCCTTGCTGGCTACGCCGGCTCCGATGTCAACACGCAGATCGATTGCGTCAATGGCCTGCTTGTCGTCGCCCAGCGCATACTGGGTGCAAGAGTAATCGCGCGTCCGCCATGCAGTCTCGGGCTCGCCGTCACCCTGGTTGGCCATATTGCCCATGATCTTCTCATGCAGCGCCTGCTGCACCTTGTCATTGCCGCTGGCCTCGTCCTCAGCCGCCATGATCGCCTCAATCAAATTGCCATTGCTGCTCACCAGCAGCTCGCGCGCCCGCTCCTCGCTGACATTAGCCTGTGCCACTACAATTGGCACGTTCTGCTCAATCTCCTCATCCGTTACTGTGTCAAGGCCGACCTTCTTTGGCGGCACATACCGGATGCCTGTCAGCGACTCCATGCGTTCGAGCAGGTATGGATTGCTGTTCAGCTGCATGATCGCTGCATCAATGGTGGTGGTCCAGGCGTGGTCCACCAGAAACACGTTGCTCTCTGCACCCAGCTTGGCCCCCTTCAGGCACAGCTTGTGCTCGGTGATGCCGCGCGGCTTGCTGGCATCTGTGGTGTTGCGCTCAGACCCATAGAGCACCACATAGTCGCCCAGATCAAACGACTCCTGCGTCAGCTTGCGGTAGAGAGCCTGCCACAGCGGCTTCGCAAGCCCGACTGACTCGAGCTGCTGCTTGTGTGTGGCTTCGAACTGCCCATACTGTAGCATAAACGTGCTGGCTGCGTCGACCGACGGGATTGGGTTGTTTCCTCCGATAGCCATAGCTGTTTAAATAAGGCGAATGTAGAGAATTGGTTGAATTGGTTGAATTGGGAGTAAAACTAAGGCGGTAGAAACCGATCCAAAACCTGCTTTAAAAATTCTACTGGCGATGCTGGACAAGGGTTGAAAAATGCTAATCACCAAATTCTGGGTGTGATGATCCGCACACATATTGCATGCCATGGCCCTTATGTACCGATGGACTAGAACTACCAAGGCACTTGTTGAGTACCAGTTAGAGGCCCATGATCCAGCATCACTCTTCTTCACTTCTTTGAGTGGGCTGGGATGTACTATGTACGCTCCTACCTTCATTGTACAAGTAAACTAATCTCTTACGTTGACATAGAGATTGATCTATGCCGCTCAACCAGGTCCTCGCCGTCAACGCAGATCGCCTCGTAAGTCCCAGGTGAGCCGTGGGTGACGATCTGAGCAAGCTTGTGCGATTTGGTGACAAGATTCAGGCTGATTCTATCGAGTCCAATGATGAACAGATCCAGGCCCTTATCAACAGAGATATCCCGAAGTACAGTCTTGAGTGCCTCTACACCAGACGAATCGTACATGGTAGATTCTGACATGTCTAGTATAACAGCAGCACATAGCGATAACTGGGCAACAACGCTGTGGTCCTCGAAAAACGTCATTACTTGGGTAGCCGATCCAAAGAACAATGCCCCTGTGATCTTCACTGACGCCATTAGGCATGGTGTTGGAGATATGCTGGTCTGCATCTTTTCGATGTGAATCTCGATGCTGGTTGCTGACAGTGGAACAATTGGGGTAGAGGCTTTGGTGCCGTCGCCATCGTCTGCTCCCTCTGCCTGCTCATCCGTAGGTGCGAGTGCAGCTGCATAACCACCGGTACTTGCTTTAATTGGCTCCACCTTCATCGCAATTCCAGTGTTGTTTGAAAGCTTCCACGCCAGAACCACTGCGCTCCAGGCAATACCGATGAGCACAGCGATGGCAAGGTCTGTAGCGACAGCAAGCACAGTGACAAGAATGATTGTTATCATGTCAGTCACGGGGATGCTCCAACGGAAGATGTACACGAATGTACGCCATTCAAACGTCTTGATGACGACAACGAAGAGGATCCCAGTGAGTGCAGAAACGGGGATCATCTCGATGACCTTTCCAGCTACGGCGACAAACAGGAGTATCAGGAACGAAGCAACAGTTGTAGACACACGAGAGCGAGACCCATTGGTAAGGTTCACCGTGGTCTGGCCAACCATGACCGACCCACCGACAGACGTGAAGAACGAGGATAAAAGGTTTCCAGCACCTTGCCCCAGACAGTCGTAGTTGCAGTAGTAGGCAGGGAGGTTAACACCAACTATTTTCAAGCACAGCTGCCACGTCATTGCCGTTTCAACAAGTCCAATAATGGCGAGCAGGATAGCCTTCGGGATCACAATCTCCCAGAAGTGGCCAGACCGCCATGGAACATCAGGGATGTGGGCCTTGGGAACACTTCCAGAAAATGTTGCCATATCGCCAATAGTACGGATGGGCCGATTGAGCGCACTGTCGTATATAAACCGAGCGATTACAGTGCCGATAACCATTGCAGTCAGAGATGCAGGTAGAACGTTGGCTCCAACCGAGAACTTGCCAATGCACAAACGTCTCTTAATGCGCGGCTGAAGAAGCACAACCGCCATCGACAGGAACACGATGATTAGGACCTGCCACGTCTGTCCCTCATCAAGCCGTAGCCAGCGCTGGTCGTTGGGCGGAATGAAATCCATCGGTGGACACACTCTCCCGTTAATGATCTCGACGTTGTCCTTTGGGTTTCTCGATGAGCTGTCTGTTTGAAACGCATTCAGCTGCGCACGGAAGACCACAATCGCCAAGCCATTCATGAACCCCACCATCACCGAGTGAGGCACAAGCTTTAAGAATCTTGTCACTCCAAGTGTCCCAAGCACAAGTTGGATTAGCCCGCAAAGAAGTGTAGTTGCAAAGAGCCACTCGGTCCTCTCGGAAAGGCACTTGTCACCCAGGGGCCCGTCATCTGCTGTCAGCTCTTTTTGAATGTTCACCATTCCGCCAGCAATCCCGCTGACCATGCCCGGTAGTGACCCAAAGATGCCTGCAATCAGACCAATGAAGAATGTAGAGTATAGGCCCTTCACAGGAGAGATCCCCGCCACAAATGCAAACGCGACTGACTCGGGGACCTGCATGAATGCGATGGACACGCCACTGAGAACCTCGTCCTTAAGAGCGACTGGGTTCTTGGCAAAGTAGACCGTGGAATCAGCCAGAAAAAAGAAAAGTTGTTTTGGTGCTGTTTTGCCCACTGTAATAGCTGTCTCAGCAGCCCACTTGGTCGACGACCATGCTGTCTTAAAGTTGTGCCTCCATACTCCCGCGTAGATATCGGCCCGTTCACATACAATAACACGCCAAGACGAGACCCTGTCATGGATGAGCATGGTGAATATGAAGAAGGTTTATGTGACAAAATTTATCTAGTAATGCTACCTCTGCACAGTAGAACCATCAGAAAAAAAACATCAGGACTGCTGCAGTCTAAATAGACTAATCACTATCAAAGCGCCTTGTGCTAGCATTAATCTAGTGATCATCAATCTTAACGAGTAGATCGCTGGCTGCTTAGTGGCTTGGCCAGCCAGCCGAACCCAACATGCAGCTGAGTCAGAGACAAGCATGCACCTATGATACTAAATACACACCTTGCACTGGATGTAGCAAATCTAAATCGAAGAGACCTTGGAAATACGTGCTGCAGAAAACTAGGACAGAATGTTCGGACATACTAGTTTTTTTATGTTGTAGGTCTAGAGCACACGGTGGGCGGTGTAGGGCAAGAGGAAAAACGAAGAAGAAATGAGTAACGGGAAATCTTTACCTTTATATAAGATTTTATAGTCCAAAAAGTGTCCGACCGTCCGCTAGAACCTTTTAAATTGGTTATAAAAATAAAACTCCTAAGCTTCAACATGAATTTGGGGGACTTGCTCTGTAAACTCCTTTTGATCTTGTGCGGCATCTGACCTCATCGGTGAAACCAGGGTGACAAGTTGTTATTGTAGTGGTCACAGGTCTCCACTAGATATCTCCATTGGTTCAGCGCAAGAGCTGCTCTCATTGTCAGTCGGCCTGATAACTTCCATGGCGTCATCATGGTGGTCATCACCGGCTGCGCAACACTCAGGATATTTATTTATGAGCATCTATTGAATAAAGCCATGTAACTCTTCTAGCGGTCATGCAATATTTGTGGATTTATTTTACAAATTAATTTGTCTTATGAACATGCGTAAGCAGTAGTATTTGGGCCACAATGGACCCAGTCTGTATAGACTGATTCAAGAGACTGTATCAGTGCTAAGGGCCCCAAGAACCATGCAAGCCAGATCATTTTTAATAAAAGCTCTTAGTGCTATGCATACGCAATAAAGTAAAACTGAACAGCATCATTTCTCTTCTTACTTGCCTATTGAATTTCTCAAATGAATATTACCTGCAGCACTACTGTCATAAAGACATCACTTGGTGGTATTGGCTTCCATGATTCTATGTTGCCCCGCCTAGAGCAATTTGTACACAGCGTCAATATCATCAAAGAGCATACATACATGCTTGCACGATGGATACTACTCCATCAGCTAGCTGATAATGATGCTTTTGACCCTGCAACATTTGTGAAAAAGGGATTCTTTCGTGCAATTTATTCATTTATCGCAACCTGAAGGCGAAGACTGTCATATCTGCCGAGGATTTCGTCAACCGGAAGGACAAGTCAGAACTGTCGAGCGCAGATTTCGGTGATGTAGTTAGATACCATATTTATGATTATCTATTGCATAATGGCGATATCGAGCTACATGGTGTATGCGACATGAATCAAGTAGCAACATACGTGGATACCGAGCTGATGACAGCATACAAGAACAACATTGTGTTGCACTATGGCACTTGCCTACAGCGGATTCTGGCCAAATTGATTGATATTCGCAGCCGCAAAACCACACTGCACAGTACAATGGGCAATGTGTCCAAGGCTGAGTTCAATGATGCATGTCAAGTGTGTATTTATACACCTGCACAGAAGCTCCGCCAGGCAGTTGCCTCTAGGCACCCTGATCTCAGTGTGCTCACCCCACTGATGCTTGCAATCTACAACAAGCTGGCACCAGTCCTCAATGCCTATGATGCCAAGTACAGATTCGCCAAAGACAGCAGATACTATGATGCCAAGGTAAATCCACTTCAGCATCTGCGTGCATATATTCGCCTATGCCAGCTTATCGAGAATGAGCAGCTTGGCAAGTCTCCTCCCCAACGCTTGCCTCTGCAGACATCATGGATCCCAGGCCATGTGCGCTTAGACAAGCAAATAATCAAGCAGGTGTTTGTTTCGAAAACACGTGAGGAGGTTACCATGATCAACGCAGCAAAGAGGGCAGCAACAGAGGCAAGGAAAGCAGCAGAAAAGGGCGAAAAATTGGCCAAGAAGGCTGCACGCGAAGCAGCGAAGATGCCATCGGATGCAACAGAGGCCACAGCAGCAACTGCAGCAGTAGCGGCTGATTCACTTGCTGCTGCATCGGCAGCAGCAGCAGACACTGTTGCAGCACTTAACAATGCATATGCACCAGCACCCCCAGTCTGTGCACACGACCCGGTCCAAGGGATCACACAACCTGTGTGGGATGTGTGGGGCCGGGTCGCAGATCTAACATCAAAGCCATTTAAGGCGCATGGTGATAGAAAATTCCACGGAATGGCGACAACAGATGGTGTAACGATATGCATTTTGTTGCAAGACAAGATATTCAAGGCTGATGGTGCAGTAGATGCTGATGGTGCAGGAGGCGATGCTGCAGGAGGCGATGCTGCAGGAGGCGATGCTGCGGGAGGCAATTCTGTGGGAGGCGATGCTACAGGCGATGCTACAGGCGATGCTACAGGCGATGCTACAGGCGATGTTGCAGGCGATGCTGCAGGCGATGTTGCAGGAGGTGGTGCTGTGGGAGGCAATACTATAGCTGACTGTCGCTATATCCACCAGATCCCACAGCCAGAGCTGCAGAATCTGAAAGGCCGCTGTGTATTCATCGATCCAGGTCGGGGCGATTTACTGTATATGATGCACGAAAATAGCAGCAATGGGAAAGAGGGTGAAAAGATGCTCTACCGCTACACACGGCAGCAGCGCAATAAGGAGCTCAAGCTGCGCCACTATGACAGGATTCGTTGGGATACAAAGGATCAAGTCCCAGAAGATGCTGTCCGCAGAGCAGAGGCAGAGCTTTCCAAGCACTGCTGCCGGACCCTTAGCCCAGCAAAATTCCGTGCCTACGTTGCTGCCTGTGCATCTGTGCGGTGTGTCCTAGCACCGTTTTATGCCAACACGATGACAGCGCGAAGGTTACCAGAGCAGCAGCCTGCTAAGTCAAACAAGCAGCACCAGAGGCGCTGGAAGGCCCATCCAGGTGTCAGTACCAGTCCCAAGGTGTACTCGCTTCACCGCAAGCTGCGCCTTGATTCATTCATGAACCAGGCCTGTGCAGATCAAAGGCTTGCCGCGAAACTCCGGAGCAAGTTCGGTCCAGACCCAGTGCTGATCATGGGCAATTGGAGTGCGCCGATGGCCCGGCACCATGCGCCGATTCGTGGCAAGGGATGGCGCGACAAGTTCAAGCACCATGGCTTTGAAGTCTATCTGATCGACGAATTCCGGACATCGTCGATGTGCCCGTTCTGCTGCGAAAAGTCGCTGCAGACATTCCGGCATGTTCCCAACCCGCGGCCCTACCAGAGATCGAAGAACCCAACTGTGAAGTGCCATGGCCTTCTCCGCTGTACAAGCGAGTCATGTAAGCGGGCCATGACACAATACAGGCGAGCCTATTCGGCTCGGCTCTTGAACCGCGATCTCGCAGCAGTTCTAAACTTCAGACTCATTTTCCAATCACTCTGTGATTCGGGCAGTATTCTTGAACGGTTCCGTCGTTCTACGGCCATTGTTGCCGATGCTTCTGGCACCACCCCTGAAACAAAGAACCCGCGCAAGAGGCATGCAGCAGCAGGCGGTTCTGCTGCTAGCAGCAGCGAGCCAGCGCTGAAGCGCCTACGCTGAGCAGGCCACCAAGGTGGGAGATGTCCATGATCGTCATTGCACCAACAACCATCCGACACGTTCAAATGACCGGTTCGCCGTGATGCCCTTATCGACGTGTCAACCCATGCTGACTAGCAGCCGAGCTCGCATCGTGAGCAGAGTATTTCTAGTAGTGCATATATATATTAATAGACTAGTTCAGCAAAGTCGCTCCAGAACTCGTTCTTCAGGACGCTGTCCATTACCGAAGGTGTGTCACAGAAACTGACAAGAATATCTTTGCTCGGAGGCGGTGAAGGAAGAATAATGCAAACACGCATGCATAATTCAGGATGTATTGTCGAAAATGCTTGAACGCCGTGGCCAAAGTCCGCATCGTACATCTTGATAGACGTTATATTGGTAGCTGTGGTCACAACCTTGTAGTTCATGGCAATGGTGAGGAAATCAGCGGCATATTCTACATCGGAATCAAGAATTTCAACAGTTTGTCTGATGCGCGGTGTGGTAAGCGCCAATAGCTGTGACCGAATCTGACCAGCAACCACCGAAATAGTTTTAGGAGTAATTGGCAAATGTGCCTGTTGCATCGGGGTGAGAATAAATTCGCCGAAAGCCGGGTTGCCCATGTAGTTCAACTCTGTCATTCCGAGGTGACGACGATGGTTAATGACGACAAAAGTACAGTGTTCGCCCGCGACTCCATTGCTCTGATCAATTAGTCTTTCCAGCCATCCCTGACTCTTCCTTGTTGCAGCCTGTTCGTGGACCCTGTGCAAAACTGCAGATATGATGTCATTAGTGGACAGGTATGTCCCCTGTGGCAGATACTCGAGTACCTGGCTACGAAGCCCGTCAATCCTGGCACGCGAAATCCGGAATAGATGCCCACGCGGTGAAGCAGAGCTGGTCAAATAGTTCATCAGCCTTCCGCGTTTGTTAGGAGAGAGCCACATAATGAAATCTGCCACGCGAGATTGAGCTGAAAGCACTTTGGTGGCGGTTTCACTAAGAGGTGCGCTCTCGCTCGGTAAATGGCTCTTGATGATATCAGCACCAAAGCAAAAGCTTACTTCTGCCACAGGCACACCGGATATCAGTGCACGCGTCTCATCTGCCCAGCGTCTGAGGAAAGTTAGAATGCTGGTAGCATCTGCAACTGTATGGTTGAAATTAATCGAAATAGCTGTTCCGCTGTTGTCCTTTAGTCGCACGACGTGGATATGCACAAGTTTAATCTTCCCTGTAACCTTGTCACAGCAGGGAAAGGGCCCAACAGGAACCAGACCATCAGGCCATGTTGTGCGGCTGAATCCAGCAGACTGTATCTTGCTGAAATGCACCAAAGACTGCGACTCACGATATTCAGGCATATTCAGGTTGTCTTTGTCAACGACGACCTCCATTCCGCCACCTTGTGTAGGGTGAAGATTACCAGCGAACCAGGGACAGAGAGCAAGGGTCCGGTAGAACCCTTCCTCGAGCTTGTCGCTTGGCATGAAATCCTTATCACTAGACGTATTGGCATAGAAGAAGAGAAAACGCACGGTAATCTCCAACATTCGCATCTCAAATCGTCTGCAGGCAAACCTCTTCGATTCAATACTGCTTACAAAGTGGTTCATAGTAATGGGAATATATACTTTAAGTTGCTAATGACAAGATGAAAAGGTTTTGTTAGTCTTACCTCCAGTACTTATACCAGAAGCATCAGGGGATAGAGTGTGAGGAGGTTTACAGGCGAGAAACAGAAATGGAGTATAGTAGTATTCAAAACAATTGGCCAATAGGTTTTTAGCTGAAATAGTGCATTGTTTAACATGATGGTGTTAGATATGAAGGAAAGGGAATATAAATTGGAATAGCTGCTTAATATAAAGCTCAGGGAACAGAGGAAAACGAAGAGAGAAGACAAGGGGGGCTAGATAGGTTGTAGAACAATTAATTTCCCCTTGAATCATAATGGCGATGTGTCGGTGATAGGTGCCATGTTTTCATTGGCCGATAGTATGCGATAGTCGAGGAAGTATCCTCTGTTGACTTCTGTCAGCTGAGCATTAACACCTATATTGTTACTTGGTTGTGTCTGATCAGCCACCTCATTTCTCGTGCTCGGTCCTCCGAGTAGACGAGAATCGACACCCATGTGGCCGTTGATACTCAACTGGCCAGGAACGCAATAGTGACTATGCCTTCAGCCATTTGTCTATGTGGAGGTTATCCACATGCCGAACACCATGCATCTAGGTCTGGATCCTAGTTACTAATTATATAGAGAAACTTGATTGGGAACGACCCCACGGAGCCGTCTGAACTACCTGGCTAAGTGCAATGGCATCCATACTTCACCAAATTACATTTGGTGATCACATTACTGCCGCTCAAGCCCAACGACTATGCGAACCAGCCAATCTGGAAGATGAGACAAGTCCAGGAGTAGTCTGGGTAGGATTCATCTTTTTATATTTGTTGAATATGTGGGGGTTTGAAGTTATATTTAATACTGAAGAAAAAAAGAGAAAAGGGAATAGACGAGTTTTGCAGTGGAGTCTTCAATACGGCCGTCTGTGCAACTTATCAGAGGCTAGACTCTACCTCCATATCGTAGGCTGTAGCGGGGCTCTCGTTGGCACCTGGATTGCTGTCACCTGATTCGGCTGACATGTCGACGTCAGGGACAGCCGCAGCGGGTGCGCAACAAACTGTCAAGCTATGGTATCTTAATCCAGAAATATGCGAGCGTTGTGAGCGTATCAGCAATAGAAAGTGACAAAGTCAAGGAATATATATTGATGAAGAAAGCTAAAGAAAAGTAGGAAAGGAGAGGCGAGCGAAAAGGTTTTATACCATCGCTCAGGTGGCACAACCAAAAAGAAGAAAGAAAAAGAACAACAGGATGAAAACTATGTAGTTCGCAGTAATCGGATCTTGAGATTCTAACATCGCTCCACTCAATTCACTAGCGTAGTCAGCATCCTGCCTGCTCGCCCACCAAGCAAGGATGTGTATGTCTCAATTACTGGCACGCCAGCAGTGCTTGAGAGCATTTGCAATAACAAGTTTTGGAGACGATTTGCCAATTTCGTCTATTTGAATTAATTGCCGGAGCTGGAATGCCAAGCCACTCCTACACGATCATAAACCAGATCAGGCACGCTCAGAAACAGACTCAAGGAGGGCAGGTGGCCTCTCTTTTATGTTTCTTAGACACTATTTAGTTCTATTTCCTATATATGCTTGTAAAAGCTTGTTCTGAAAGAAAAAAGCACTAGATATCTCGCGCTCGCAATGCCAGCCTACCTCTATGTAAGACAAACAGTGTTTGGTTTAGATGGAGGTCAGGGCTGCTGATACATGTAGTTTACTCGGCTCTACATTGCTTGTTGTGTCCGGCCTCGGAATCGCTCTTGTGCAAGCTTTTGAGAGCGGAATTTTTGAGAATCCAAAGCTGCCTGGCGCTATTGTAATGTAGAAGTTGTATGTATTCGCATACTTGAAAGGAGGACTGTGCGAGAAAAAAAGTATTGTATCTGCAGAGCGTGTCATGCACACTTGCTGTGAGGCTCAGAGGAGTGCAAATCCTTTCGACTAGCCAATAGCGCACTAGCGGATGGTTGGCCACTTTTGGATACTAAAATCCTAAGCAAAGCAAGATATACTGAAAAGGACCGAAAAATCTCAGGAAATAAATGCCCGTTTATGTATGGCGTTTGTCTTTTAAAATAGTGTATGGGGCTATTGTATCCCAGGGATTGAGGGTCATGTGCTCTATTAATCCTATGACCGGCTGGTGTGGGAACTGTCCCTGAAACATGAGGCCAGGGAGGGGGAGCTGTCGACACTGAAACAGTAAAATGCTTTTACACCAGTATGGCCAAGCCAAACACATACATTATTAGATCCCCCGAGTCCACCCGGCCCCCTTTTCTCCTCACTCGCCTTTAATCGGGATTATTTTCCGAAATATACGCTTGTGAATACTTGTTTCTATCTTTGGGGGTTAATTATATGGTACTTAGCTTTTGTATGAAGTTTCCAGAGAGGAAGCAGCTTTCGTCCTACTGGGAAGCATAGGTGGGTAAAGGTATTGTGGCATACATTATGTCTGCAGCCGTTTTCCACCTCCTTCCCTGACAATTGTGTTTCCTTTTCCCATTCCAACTGTACATACCATCCTCTACTGTGATGTTGGGGTGGTCGGCGAGTCGGCATTGTTTGCTGTGTTGCGTATAAATGGGTGAAGTGTCTGGTTGGAATAGTGCTTTTTTCAATTTTAGAGAACGGAATGGGAGAGAGCTTAAGAAAGGATACTAAAATAGGTTGTAGAGAAACCACACCTATCTTGAACATGGTGACATCGTCTCGATGCTGGGTGACATATTGTCGTTGGCTGGTGATATGCCATAGTCGGTGGGGTCTCCTCAGCTAGCTTCAGTTAGCTCAGTGTCAATATCTAAGCTGTCACCTGTTTTTGTCTGATCAGCCACCTCATTTCTCGCGCTCGGTCCTCCGAGTAGACAGGGGTTGGCATTTATGTGGCTGTTGGTGTTCAAATGGCCAAGGGCACCACACTTGAGCATAATACAGCAGCTAGGTTGAAGCCAATGCATGTGTGAATAAAAGGTCAGTACAATTGTGTGAATATTATTTGTGGCTACCTCTGCGGGAAGCTCTATGCTCCTGAGGTTTCAAAAATTGTTTTGCAAACTTTGTAGTGGCACCATCCAAAGTAGTTAGCTAGAGCTCCTATATATATGCAGTGGTTTGCTAAAGAAAATCGTCTCGCTATCTCACTTTTCTTGCAAACATTGCACATCTTAACCACTCAAGAACCAACTCTTACAGAGCATACTTCAACATCTCCCGCAGAATGAACCTGTTTATCTGCAAGGTCGCACTCGCATCTGGCGGGGTGGCAACTAACATCCCCATTCCTGGTGACAACTTCCCTGTCGTCAAGGAGCTCGCTACGTCTTTTCTGGATGGCGGTCCTCCTGCTGTCTCTACGGAAATCGAACTCGTCGCACTCTTTTTGGCATACTGCAGCTCCCGTAATCCCGATGTGGCCGTTGTCGTGTTCCTTCACCTCCATCAAGGATTCTGTCCTGACGAGAACATCCACGTTGTGGTCCAGCAGCTGAACCTGTCTGCTGAGCAAGCGCGCACCGTCCTGAAGGGATACTATTCGGTCTGGAACATCCTTGAGGCGCGCCAGCTGCTGCCCGAAGTTCCTGTTCCCGCCATCTTCTCGGATGTGAACATCAGGCTTGCTGTCATGTTTGGTGGGCAGAGCGGAGCAGAAAGCTGCCTTGACGAAGCAGGGTGGCTTCTTGACGTTTATGGCCCGCTGCTGTCAGATTTTGTTACCCATATGTCTGACTTCCTCAAGCGCGAATCCGCCAACCCCCTAATGGCGAAAGTTCATTCGCGCCCACTAGACATTGGTAGCTGGCTTACTTCTCCCGATGCAATGCCTGATGCCAGGTATCTGGCAATGTCACCAGTTGCAATACCCATACTAGGACTAACTCAAGCGATGCATGTGACTGTCTTGTATAAGGCACTCCATGTAAACCCAGGCGACCTTGTCTCACGCTTTAATGGTAAGCACACATCATTCATCACTGGTTCCAGTGTATGCCAAACGTCGGTATTCATCATTACTAACTGTTCATTTTTTACATCTGTAGCTGCAATTGGACACAGCCAAGGTATATCCATGGCTGCTGCCTTTGCTTCCGTGACTGACGAGGCATCATTCTATGCCATCACCGAGAAGATTCTCGGTATCCTTCTTGCGATACCAGCGATTTCACGGCTTGATTTCATTTCCAACGCATCGCAGACAGACATTTGTGGACCTCCCTTATGCTCTGGTGAACTCTCCATGCCCATGGTCTCTGTTCGTGGCCTGGATAAAGCAACGTTGGAGTCGTTCATTACTGCGTTTAATGCGGATCGCACAGACGACACGTCAAGGGTCAATTTGACCCTAGTCAATGGCCCCTCAGACTTTGTCATTTCTGGACACCCAGGCGCTATTTCCCACTTTGATTGTTTCATCAGCATGCACACAACCTTGCCAACAGTGGATCAGTCGTGCATCCAATTTTCTCAGCGCAAGCCAGTTGCTGTCGTTAGTCCGCTTAGCATATCTGAACCGTACCACTGCGATCTCCAACTAGAGAACGCGTTTAAGGTGTACGAGTTTGCAGCTGCTAAGGGGTGGATCCTTCACGCTGACACTCTTCGCATCCAAGTCAATGGTGGAGATGATGGGCACGATCTTCGCGACGAAGCTGATCTCACTCGGTTCTTGATTGACAGCATGGTTATGCACCGTGTCAACTGGCCGGCAGCCGTCAACAGCACTGATACCGCGTTTATCATCGACTTCAGTCCAGGTGGCTTCAGCATCTTTGGGAAATACACCAGAGACATTCTGGACGGCTACGGCAAAACCGTCATCAGCATAAGCTCGCTTATTGCTAACACTAAGTCGCGCATGGGGTCTAAGGCCGATTTGTTCAAGCGGAATATATCCGACGTCTTCTCGGCGCCCAACTGGCAGAGCGCTTTCGGTCCACGCCTTGTTCGAACCGCACATGACGGCCAGCTTCATATTTGCACCCGCATGTCGCTCGCTCTTGGACTCCCGCCTGTGATGGTTGCAGGGATGATGCCGACTACGCCCAACGAGCACTTTGTCGCAGCTATCAGCAATGCTGGGTACTATGTCGAGCTTGCCGGCGACGGGATGTTTAATGAGAAGCTGTTCTGCGAGAAGGTTGAGAACTTGGTCAATCGCCTTGAACCTGGTAGAGGATTCGCTTTTAGCGCCGTCTACATGAACCAGAAGCAGTGGGTGTTCCAATACCCAGGTATCCTGCATATGCGTCGAGAGGGAGTACCGATCACAGGGCTCCATATTAGTGGTGGTGTTCCCTCAGTTGCTGTCGCCAACGGGATAATTGCGAACTTGCGCAATGCGGGCATAAAGCATGTTGCCTTCAAACCCGGGTCAGTGGCTACAATTCTCCAGACACTCGCGATCGCTGGGGCAAACCCTGACTTCCCAGTCATTATCCAGTGGACTGGCGGTCGCGGTGGTGGCCACCATTCGTGTGAAGACTTCCACAAGCCAATTCTGGAGACCTACAGCAAGATCCGGTCACTGCCGAACACCATCCTGGTCGTTGGGTCAGGGTTCGGCGATGCCGACAGCATTCTGCCATATCTCTCCGGCCAGTGGAGTGTCCAGTTTGGATATGCGCCTATGCCTGTTGATGGAGTATTGTTAGCTTCATGCGTCCTCACTGCAAAAGAGAGCGCCATATCCCTGGAAGCAAAGGAGCTCATTGCGGCAGCTACTGGCGTTGAGGACAGCGAGTGGGAGTCGTCATATACTGGCAATGCTGGCGGAGTGATATCAACGCTGTCCGATTTTGGAGAAAATGTCCATCTTCTAGCTACTCGAGCTGCGCTGACTCTCAGAGAGTTGAACGACATGATATTCTCAAAGCCCCTCGCTGACCAGCTGCCGACAATCATGGCAAACAAGGATCATATCATTAAGCGGCTCAATATTGACTGTGCGCGGCCATGGTTTGGCAAGAAATCCGACGGCCGGGTGGTTGATCTGGAAGAGATGACGTACCTGGAAGTACTCAATCGACTCATGGAGTTCATGTACGTCGCAGATAAGTCCAAATGGTTGGATGTGTCCTACTGCAGACTTTTTGGGGAATTCATTTCGAGGGTTGAGGACCGAGTGTCTGGGGCAGAAACCACCCGAGCATTTAAGTCTGATATACAGCTTCAAAATCCATCCGGGATCATTAATTGGCTGGTCAAAAACTACCCAGAGATAAGCTGCGCTCTTATTGCGCTTGAAGATGTTCAGTATCTGGTCTGGCTTTGCAAGCGTTCTGGGACCAAGCCAGTTCCATTCGTTCCTATCCTCGACGCCGACCTGCATGTCTGGATGACAAAGGACATGTATTCACAGGCTGAGGATTTGGATACAGTTGTTGACAGAGATGTCCAGCGCACCGTTGTTGCCCTGGGTCCTGTGTCTGCAAAATATGTTACCACAGTCAACGAGCCAGTCAAGGATATACTCGACCGTGTTTACACCGGGCTAGCGGAGAATCTTAGCAAGTGGGATTTCGATAAGGATGCATCTCTAGTCCGTCCTTGCGAGTACCTTGCACCAGAGCCTTTTCCAGTATCGCTCCCTACCTCAGTTGCAGTGGCTGTTGATGAATCAAGCCGCATATACAAGCTTCCAACTGATGCAGCACTGCTTCCGGATCATGATGTATGGCTAGAGGCCCTGGCTGGTCCTACTCAGAGCTGGCTTCGTGCACTTCTCACATCGCCAGTTGTAGCTCGTAAGTCACTGTATGCTGCAAATCCAATAAGGCAGGTTCTGCGACCGATGGAAGGGCAAACAGCGGAAGTGGTCTTTGATGACGATAAGCCGGCCAAGCTCGATATCCACGGACCAACTGGGTTATTGGACATTTGTGTGCAGTTCGATGGCGAGAAGAATATTCTGGTGAATATTTACCATCGGATTGGCGAAGAGCAGTTTGAGATTCAGTTCCCCTACATCTACACGCCATCCAGACCTACAGCACTTGTTGCTGAAGACGTTGAGGGCCGGGACTTGTCATACCGCAATGCGTTCCTTGACATCTATGGAATAGCAGCTGAGTCCGCCGACATGGGCGGGAGTAGTCTATATCGACTCTTTTCGGATATTGAGCACAAGTCATTCGCTGTAACGGAAGACTTTGTTCAGAGATACTGCTCGAGTGTTCACAACTCATCAAAATATTATAAAAAAGCAGTTGGTGAGCAACATCTGGCTCCAATAGACATTTTCCTCAGCGCCATGGCCAAGCAAATGGTTTCTATTATGACCACCCCTCCACTTCATCAAGGACTTGTTAGAGTTCTCCATCAATACCATAACGCCGAGTATGTATCAGGTGTGGCGCTACTGCGTGTAGGAGATACCATTGACTACCAAGTAGCACTTACTGCTCTTGAGAATATGGATTCAGGTCTGAAAATCACACTTACGACAAAGTTTCACCGTGAAGGAGCACTCATTGCCACGTCTAAAGATGTCCTCATCTCGCCTAACCAGCATGTGACATACAGCCAGACGTTCCGATCAGGTGATGAACCTGTACGACGCATGCTAATTATATCTGATGTGATGCCAGCAGTTCTTGAATCCAATGAGTGGTTTACTTGCAAGGAATCCCCTGAACCGTTCAAGATCTTGCCTGGCGATATTCTGGAGTTCAAACTTCATTCTCTGTACCAGTTCAGATCCAAGAATCTGTATTCCAAGATCAAAACAGCTGGACCTGTGTATCGTTTACAAACCTATGGGGAATTCGAGCACATCGCTGATGTCTATTACGAGGGAGATGGTGTTTGTGGAAACCCTGTCCTACAATATCTAGACGAAAATCATTTAGAGAGTATTGGTTTTGTGCCTATTGAGCATGGGGGAACGGCATCATGGCAAGCAGGAAATTCTGGCATCTTGTCTATGAATGCTCCATCAGAGAACTGGGAGTTTGCGCATGCTTCTGGCGATCAGAACATGCTGCATACTAATCCGTATATAGCTGCATATCTGGGAGAATCGGAAATGCTCTGCCAAGGTATGTGGACATCTGCTGCAACCCGTGCTATTGTCGAACGAGTTGTTGCTGATAACGACCCTCGGCGCATGCGCTCATACAGCGTCCAGTTTGTTGGAAAGGTCTATCCAAACGACAAACTTCGGGTGGAGCTGGCTCACACGGGAATGAACGACGGATACATGGTTATCGATGGCAAGACGGTAAACCAGAATGGGGAAACAGTGCTGACGCTCACAGCTGAGGTTGCCCAGGCAAAGACTGCATATGTCTTTACTGGCCAGGGGTCACAGTTTGTTGGCATGGGGATGGATCTATACATGTCATCCACAGCTGCTAGAGATGTGTGGGACCGAGCTGATAGACACATGTTGAATAACTATGGTGTCTCGCTACTGAAAATAGTCCAGGAGAATCCGAGAGAGTACTTGGTTAAACTCGGTGGCAAGAAAGGCACACCAATTCGTACAAACTACCTCTCTTTGGTACGTGAATTTGATGGCAAGATAGAGCAGCTGATTCCGGAGATCACTCAGTCATCGAAATCATACACGCACCGGTGTTCAAATGGCTTGCTCAATGCGACACTGTTCACACAGCCGATCCAGACGGTGATGTCGCTAGCTCAGGCTGCAGACATGCGTGCTCATGGTCTTATTCAGGACGATGCTATTTTCGCTGGCCATTCGCTTGGTGAGTTTGGGTCACTCGCAGCAATTGCTGAAATTGTTTCTGTCGAAGATGCGGTCGACATTGCTCTCTATCGCGGGCTTTTGCTCCATACATCAGTAGATCGGGATGCCAATGGCTGCTCCCAGTATGCGATGGTATCTGTTCACCCGCAGCTTGTTGGAAACAACTTCAGCGAGGCCAATCTACTCCAAATAGTTGACCGTATTCGTGAACGAAAACAGCAGCTCCTTGAGGTTATCAACTACAACGTTCGTGGACAGCAATATGTTGTCACAGGACATGTGGAAAGCCTATATATCATGTGTATGGCTGTAGAAGAGCTCTCGTTAAGCTTTCTGTCATTAACAGAGTCGAGAGTGGATGATCTAATATCAAGCACTATCGATGATATACTGGCTTCCCATCCTAATGAACAGATATTGCAAAATGGCCGAGCGACAACCGTAATCCTTGGTGTTGATGTTCCGTCGCATTCAAGTCAGATGGCTACAAGTATTGATACGTTCCGCAGTTTGCTTGACCAAAGGATCCTACATATACAAAGGCTTCCCATATTACTCTGTGGGAGGTATATCCCCAACCTGACTGGGCAAACGTTTGCGATTACAAAGAAATACCTTGAATATGTCTATACTCTCACCCGCTCACCAGTTATTGAGGATATCCTTCAAGTCTGGAGCACAGGTGATGATTGTCCGTCAAAGGAAATGGCATCAGTTGCACGGACTCTTCTTATTGAACTTTTATCTTTCCAGTTTGCTTCGTCAGTAAAATGGATTGAGACCCAGGACGTGATGTTCAATAGGTGTTCTGTGAAGCGCCTGGTTGAGATTGGTCCAAGCTCAACATTGTGCCGTATGACAACCCAAACTTTGGAGAGCGACAATTGGTTGCGCAAAGAAACTGCTACTCTACATGCACTCAAGGATAAAGATGAGGTGTACTACATAGGTGCTCAAAGAGATGGTGTACCTACTGATCCATTGCTGCTAAGGTCAGCTCAGAGTTCAAGCACTAAACCGAGCATTCAAGAGAAACCATTTGAGCCCCAAATTCCTGCCGTGGAGAAACAGGTACCTTCGCTTCCTGTTCTGCCAGCTGTGGTCTCATCTGTTGATGATGTGCCCATTCCAATTATTGACATACTGGTAACAGTTATTTCACGAAAGCTCTCTATGGCTGTTCCTGAAATCAATCCCAACAAGTCGATTAAGGAACTTGTAGCTGGCAAGTCAATGGTGCAAAATGAACTATTTGGTGAGTTCCAAAAGGAATTTGGTAAGAAACTTCCTGATCATGCCGAGGAGCAGCCCATAGAGGAGCTTGCCAAGAAGCTTGGAAGCACTACGGACTCCCTTGGCAAGCACTCTCAGTCACTTGTTGGCAAACTGCTGACTAGCAAATTCCCAAGTGGGTTCACACTGTCAGCTGCTCGTTCTTATTTGATGGATAAATACGGGCTGGGTCCGCGCAGACAAGATGCCTTGCTACTATTGTCAGTTACTATGGAGCCACCAAATCGACTTGCTGATGATAATGCAGCCCATATTTGGTTGGAGACAGCGGCCCAAAAGTATGCCAGACATGGAGGAATACCATTGACGGCTGCAACACAAACTGGAAATAGCAGTGGCAACATGACAAGTTCGGTTGTTATCAACAGCGCTGAATTTGACAAGGCTCAGAGGAACCAAAGAAAATTAATTCTGGATCAGATAGAGACGCTCGCGAGACATGCAGGCCATGATATGCGCCAAGGTGCCAGATCAGCTAATGAGCAGCAGTTGGAGATTGCAGCTCTCAAGCTCAACATTAATGAAATTAAACGAGAGGTTGGTGACAAGTTTATCGAAAAAACCAGAATGCAGTTTGATGCATACAAGGCTCGTCACTTTGACTCATACTGGAACTGGGCCCGTCAGGACGTGTTTGAATGGATCTCTGGCATTCTGAGCGGAGAGGACTCAAGCATGGACCGTGCTACGTATATGAAACGTATCCACATGCTCAAGAACCGGTCCAATCCTGGACTGCTTTCGATGTTGCAGGCATTTATTGGGACTCTCAAAGCAGACTCTTGCCCATCTGCCCAACGCGCACTGAAGCAAACGGAGATTATCTATGCAGCGTGTAGGGAGTCAGAAAACGTGGCACCTGTCTATAAAGAGCTTTCGACCCCAATGCGACCACATACTGAGGTTACTCATAAAGGTGATATCGTCAGTTCCGAGATTCCTAGGGAAGGCGAGAAATCGATATGTGACTACATTAAGAGTATGAAAAACACCAACCAGGATGGATTGCCTTTGCTACATATGCATGAAAAGCATGCTGGAAACACTTGGTCATATGACAAGGAGTTGACTGATGAATACTTCAGTTCGATGGAGGACGCGGCGGTAAACGGTATATCGTTTGAAGGCAAATGTGCACTGGTTACCGGGTGTGGAAAGGGATCCATTGGCTCAGGTTTGATCGAAGGCTTGCTATCTGGTGGAGCAAAGGTTATTGCCACAACATCCAATTATTCCCTGTCGTCAATCCGATTCTTCGAAGAGATGTACCGGAAGTTTGGTTCTCGCGGATCTGAACTGATTCTTGTCCCCTTCAACCAGGCATCATCATGTGATGTAGAGGCCCTCATCCAGTATATCTACAATAAAGATGGCCTTGGATGGGATCTGGACTACATTGCCCCATTTGCTGCTTTCCCAGAACATGGCAAAGATGCAGCAAGTGTAGACTCCTATTCTGAGCTAACAATCCGTATCCTTCTGACTAATCTGTTCCGGATAATAGGACAGGTTAAAGCAGCTAAGATAAGGACTGGAAACATCCTTCAGCCATCGTTACTTATTTTACCACACTCGTACAACCGTGGAATGGTAGGCTATGATGGGATGTATGGTGAAACAAAGGCAGCCTTGCATACACTGTATAACCGTTGGCATTCCGAATCATGGTCAGACTATATCTCCATAACAGGGGGTGATATCGGATGGACTCGTAGCACAAACATGACATTTGGAAGTGCAAATGTGTATGCAACCATAGAGGAAATTGACATGCGTACGTTCTCTCGCGAGGAAATGTCTTTCAACATACTTTGCCTGCTATCACAAAGAATGGAAGAGGCAGCGCACAGCAACCCTGTGTTTGGCAACTTCAATGGCATGCGCAAGGTAAACGAAGGCTTTGGGAAAGATTTGGAGAAAAGTCGCTCTGAACTTAAAAGCGCTACCAACGAAAGAAAGGCAATAAGTGCAGCCTATTGCCTAAAACACATAGCGGAGAATACGGAGGCCATATTACAAGTGGAACAGGGAAACAAGACGATGCCCCGAGCCCAGCACAGAATCGACGCACCACTTGTAAAGTCATATGAACAGCTCGAACACCTAAGATGTCTGGAGGGCATGCTTGACTTGGATAAAGTTGTCGTTGTGACAGGGTTTGGTGAAGTTGGAGGATTTGGGAATGCAGCCTTGCGCTGGGAACAGGAGGCGCATGGTGTGTTTTCAGTGGAAGGCTGCATTGAGCTGGCATGGATGATGGGGCTGATCAAGAGGTTCTCAGGCGATCATCCTGACACTGGAAGCTATTACATTGGTTGGGTTGACGCAAAAACTCAGGAGCCAGTGCATGACATGAACATCAAGGCAAAATACGAGCCATATATCTTGGAACATACCGGTATTCGTGCTGTTGAGCCAGAAGTTTGGGGGGAGGATGCGGTGAATATGAAGTCCTTCATCCGCGAGCTTCAAATCGATCAGGACATGCCTCCATTTGAGACCAGTGCAGAGGAGGCTGTTCATTTCAAACAGGCCAATAGGGACAAAGTTGACATATGGGAGAACCCTGATGGAACATGGTCTGTTAGATTCCTCAAAGGCGCAATAATCCATGTGCCAAAGGCGGTTACTTTTAACGGTGCCCTTTTATCTCAATTGCCCACCGGATGGGATCCAGTTCGGCTAGGAATACCCAAGGGCCTTGCACAGGGTATGGATGAGTTGAACTGCTACACACTCATTGCTGCGATGGAAGCGCTTCTCAAATCTGGCATTACGGATCCATATGAGCTGTACCAGTACTTCCATGTTTCAAAGGTTGGTCACTCAGTTGGATCTTGTTTAGGTGGAGCACAAAGTAATAAAGACTTAGTGCACGGCAGGTATATGGACAAGAATGTGCACCCGGGCAAGTTGATCGAGTGCTCTGTCAATAATATGAGTGCATGGCTCAATACACTTCTGTTCTCGGCATCTGGCCCATTAAAGCCGACTGTTGGCGCATGTGCTACTTCAGCCATCGCACTAGACCTTGCCGCGGAATCTATTATCCAAGGAAAAGCGGATGTCATGATCGCTGGTGCAGGCGAGGGGTATACCAGTGATATGTCATATGAGTTGAGTTTGATCAATGGCATCGTGAATCCTACGGATGAGCGCATCAAAGGAAGAAATCCTAAGGAGTGCTCACGGCCCTGCACATCTACCAGAAGTGGGTTTGCTGAGAGCTATGGCTCAGGGATGGCCGTTCTAATGTCAGCCTCTGCAGCTCTCAAATATGGTGCGCCAATCTATGGAATTTTGGCAATGACTGCCACTGCCACCGACAAGTCAACACGTAACTCGGGTGCCCCAGGCCAAGGAATACTGTCGATTGGAAAGGAGAGTCCTACCCTGTCAGACTTGCAACTGCTTGATATCCATTATAGGAGGCAGATGCGTGACGCACAGCTGGCTGCACTAGATCGTATCAGTAATGCCAGCGTGGCGAACAAGATGAAAAAGGCAGTTAAGACAACATGGGGCAACGACTTTTACAAAATGGGTGAGTCTATCTCGCCCCTTCGTGCTGCACTAGCGACGTGGGGTCTAGATGCAGATGATATTGGGCTGGCGTCATTCCATGGAACATCCACCAAGCTGAACGATAAGAATGAGTCCAACATTGTGAACATACTCATGAAGCAAATTGGACGCACGCCTGGTCTTCCAGTCCCTGTTGTTTGCCAGAAATGGATTTTAGGCCATATGAAAGCATCCTCTGCGAGTTGCTCCATGCATGGTATTCTTCAGTCAATGACGACGGGGCTGATTCCAGGAAATAGGAATGCTGACAATATTGATAAAGATTTTGAGCGGTTTGAGCATCTCGTCTATCCGAGTAAGACTATCCATGTGCCGACTATCAAGGCCGCGCTGTTCACATCGTTTGGATTCAGCCAGTCCAATGGAGCAGGACTTATCGTTCATCCGGACTACCTATTTGCCGCACTTTCAAAGGAGGAGCTGGACGAGTACACAACTAAAGTCGAAGAGCGTATGAAGAAGTCAACTCGCTACCTGCAGGGTGCACTCCTTGGAAATCACACGTATTTCCAGGCAAAGGAAGCAGCCCCATTCTCACAGGAACAAGAAGCTAAGGTGTTCTTAGATTCAAATGCAAGGGCCAAGTTGGACTCCAGAACCAACCAGTACACATTCTGAACAGATCCAATACTTTTTCAACTGCAATCATCTTTAAATATCAGAACTGAAATTCAATAAAAACATAAAACATAGATTTAGGACGTCCATTAACTACTTGCAAGTGTTAGAATCCCAGGATCCGATTACTGCGAACTACATAGTTTTCATCCTGTTGTCCTTTTCTTTCTTTTTCTTTCTTTTTCTTGTTGGCTGTGCCGCCTGAGCGATGGTATAAAACCTTTGCGCTCGCCTCTCTCTTCCTATTTCTCTTTAGCTTTTCTTTTCATCAATATAATACTTGACCTTGTCGCTTTCTATTGATACTTTGCTCACGCTGCTGGCATATTCTTGGACCGATAAATTACTGTTCGAATATCTGTTCCGACTATAAACGAAAATTACACACATATATACATATAAGGTACTAGAATTGCTCTGCTCGCGATGCGAGCTCGGCTGCTAGTCAGCATGGGTTGACACGTCGATAAGGGCATCACGGCGAACCGGTCATTTGAACGTGTCGGATGGTTGTTGGTGCAATGTCGACCATGGACATCTCTCACCTTGGGACTGGTACTGACACCTGGATGGGCCTTCCAGCGCCTCTGGTGCTGCTTGTTTGACTTAGCAGGCTGCTGCTCTGGTAACCTTCGCGCTGTCATCGTGTTGGCATAAAACGGTGCTAGGACACACCGCACAGATGCACAGGCAGCAACGTAGGCACGGAATTTTGCTGGGCTAAGGGTCCGGCAGCAGTGCTTGGAAAGCTCTGCCTCTGCTCTGCGGACAGCATCTTCTGGGACTTGATCCTTTGTATCCCAACGAATCCTGTCATAGTGGCGCAGCTTGAGCTCCTTATTGCGCTGCTGCCGTGTGTAGCGGTAGAGCATCTTTTCACCCTCTTTCCCATTGCTGCTATTTTCGTGCATCATATACAGTAAATCGCCCCGACCTGGATCGATGAATACACAGCGGCCTTTCAGATTCTGCAGCTCTGGCTGTGGGATCTGGTGGATATAGCGACAGTCAGCTATAGTATTGCCTCCCACAGCACCACCTCCTGCAGCATCGCCTGCAACATCGCCTGTAGCATCGCCTGTAGCATCGCCTGTAGCATCGCCTGTAGCATCGCCTGTAGCATCGCCTGCAACAGAATTGCCTCCCGCAGCATCGCCTCCTGCAGCATCGCCTCCTGCACCATCAGCATCTACTGCACCATCAGCCTTGAATATCTTGTCTTGCAACAAAATGCATATCGTTACACCATCTGTTGTCGCCATTCCGTGGAATTTTCTATCACCATGCGCCTTAAATGGCTTTGATGTTAGATCTGCGACCCGGCCCCACACATCCCACACAGGTTGTGTGATCCCTTGGACCGGGTCGTGTGCACAGACTGGGGGTGCTGGTGCATATGCATTGTTAAGTGCTGCAACAGTGTCTGCTGCTGTCGCCGATGCAGCAGCAAGTGAATCAGCTGCTACTGCTGCAGTTGCTGCAGTAGCCTCTGTTGCATCCGATGGCATCTTCGCTGCTTCGCGTGCAGCCTTCTTGGCCAATTTTTCGCCCTTTTCTGCTGCTTTCCTTGCCTCTGTTGCTGCCCTCTTTGCCTCGCTGATCTCGGTAAGCTGCTCACGTGTTTTCGAAATAAACACCTGCTTGATTACTTGCTTGTCCAAACGCACATGGCCTGGGATCCATGATGTCCGCAGAGGCAAGCATTGGGGGGGTGACTTGCCAAGCTGCTCATTCTCGATAAGCTGGCATAGGCGAATGTATGCACGCAGATGCTGAAGTGGATTTACCTTGGCATCATAGTATCTGCTGTCTTTGGCGAATCTGTACTTGGCATCATAGGCATTGAGGACTGGTGCCAGCTTGTTGTAGATTGCAAGCATCAGTGGGGTGAGCACACTGAGATCAGGGTGCCTAGAGGCAACTGCCTGGCGGAGCTTCTGTGCAGGTGTATAAATACACACTTGACATGCGTTATTGAGCTCAGCCTTGGACACATTGCCCATTGTACTGTGCAGTGTGGTTTTGCGGCTGCGAATATCAATCAATTTGGCCAGAATCTACTGTAGGTAGGAGGCTATTCACAAATAAGAAAGTTTAAAGAATCCAAATATCTTAAATCAGAATATCCAACTAACCAATTAGAAATCATTTACTACCAGTTAATAAATATTTTAAAACCAGAATGTTTAGTAATAGCCAAAAAGATATTAGCAGCTAGATTAACTAATAAATAAAAATACAAGAAAGGGCACTTCTACAAAACTCCCATTGGCATCCTAAAAAAGTTTAGTTAACACATAATTAATATGCTTCTTCTGAGATAGAGACTGGGTCATAAGAAATCAACTACAATTTTTTAGGATGCCAATAGAGGTTCCATAGAAGTGTTTAAATAATAAAAGAGCAAAAATTTTTAGAAGATTGAAGTATTTATCACTTAGTTTAGTAACTGTGAATGACCTCCTATTACTATTCATTTGTATGCCACTTTATATGCCTGCAAACATAGCATACTAGTATTTTTTGATTTCATTACTTATGACTAAATCTATGGTCCTATAGTTTACTGACTGCCCTTGTCTCTTACACTATATCTCCTCTACCTATAACAAGGTTATGCAATCACTATATATCTTTAGTATGGTTTGTAACCCCTTTAAATAACTCCTATCATCTGGCAAATATATACAGGCCATGTATCTACAACAGTTTCATTCTATATAAGACGTTTTACCATATTAGATATGGCCAACCACATTGCTATGATATGCGATCTACATCCCAGTTTGTCACCATTTTGCTATTGTTCATAGCAGCTCAGTAATTTTACTTTATATGGTGCTCACAATAGAGCTTAGGTGTTGTGATACTGGTAACTTAATGTGGTATATAACTAGTGACAGTAAAGAAACTAAGGAGGGCTGCTGACGCGCTGGCGTGTACTGAACTATATAGTGGGGCCACTATACTCTTGCGTATGCACTGTGGCGTGGATCTAAGGATCAGGATCAGTTATGCAACATCCTTCCCTTCCAGCCTGCACCTACGGTGGGTGGACTGAGCGTTGATATGCCCGCAATGTGCGTTGTGCATGCTTCAAGTTGTCTGCGGATATCCACTCATCGTGATCCCGTGTGTAACCCTTCCAGCGAACTAAGTATTGCCGCCCCTTTGTCCGGTGGTCCCGATGGTCTATGATCCCTTCGATCTCATGCTCACCCTGACCATCGATTGTACTCACGGCCGCCGGGCACCGCTGGTCCTTCCTGCGGAACCTTTCCGACTCGATATACTTCCTTACTAGTGCTACTGACACCACTGGATGTATGCGCAGTTCTGGGGGTAGTTCCAGGCGGACTGCATTCGGTCCGACCATTTCCACTACGGTGTATGGTCCAATATATCGGTCCTTCAAGGGTGCTGGTGTCCCGGCCATATATTCGGGAGTGGCTAATCGTGCCAACAAGTACACTCGATCGCCCGCCTGTAGTGGTAGTTTGTCACGGCCCTCGTTGTAGTACTCTGCCGACTCCCTGTTCGCCAACTCGATGTTATCTCGGATCTCCCTTGAAATGGTTTGTAGCTCTTGGATGCGCTGGCTTGTGGTGGTGCTGCTGGTTGCTTTCTCTATCTGTACCCCGTTGAGTAATCTGGGCGTATACCCATAATTTGCGTAAAATGGCGCGTACCGGGTGCTGCAGTTTTTGAAGGTATTGCATGCCCACTCCACAAATGGTAAGTGTTTCTTCCAGTCATTTTGGCGTCGGTTTACCACTGTCCTAAGCATCGTTTCAATGGTCCGGTTTGCCCTCTCCGTCTGCCCATCTGTTTGGGGGTGGTGCGCCGTGCTCATATTCAGCCTTGACCGTAGTAACTGGGCCATTGTCTTCCAAACAGTCGATGTGAACCGCGGATCCCGGTCAGATACTATCGAATCAGGTACCCCATGTTTGCAGAATACCCTGGTGAGTAGTAGCCATGCAACATCTTCAGCAGTTGCAGACATCGTCGTCGGTATACAGATAACCATCTTTGTCAGCCGGTCTACCACAACTAGGATTGCATCACAACCATCAGATATGGGTAGTCGTGTGATGAGGTCCATCGATATACTTGCCCATGGCCTTGCTGGTACCGCTAGGCTTTGCAATAGCCCATGTTTCTTAGCCTCGGGTTTGGCACGTTGGCATACGTCGCAGGATGCTACATATTCGGTTACGTCTGCCAGCATACCTGGCCAGTAGTATGATGCCTGTAGTTGCTGATACATACGGTTGATACCAGGGTGGATCGCTGCCAATGTATCATGGAACTCCGACAGCAGCAACTTGCGTACACTTCGCTTGGCCACACATCTCTTGTTGCTCCGTAATAGGTATCCATCCTGTAGTTTGTACTTCTGCAGCTGTGTGTCGCTTCGTTGTGTCTCCATGCCTGTCCCATTCTCCGCAGCTAGCAGCTGTTCCGCGATGCGTGCCAGGTCCTTGTCGCCCTGGTATGAATCCTCTGGCTTGGCCAATACTGTTGTCGTTGCGGTTGATACAGCATTGAGATGACAGCTTGTACCAGAGGAGCCAAATCCCTTTTCGCCTCGGTCATGTTGGCCTAACTTGTCCACTGCTTGTACGGCTACTATTGGTAGCATGTGTGCTATCATCTGTGCTACACGTTCGCCCACTGCGACTGCATATGGTTCTGCGCTGCTATTCCTCAGAATCACCGAAACTTCCCCTGTGTACCCTGGGTCGATCACTCCTCCCTCCACTGTAATCCCTCGTTTGGCTAGACTACTGCGGCTTATCAGCTGCATATACATGCCTGGTGGAGGTGTTACTGCGAACCCCACTGGTACTAGTTCTGTGGTACCTGGTGGGATGAACACGGCTCGCACTGATGATATGTCCAGACCAGCATCTGTCTGGTGGGCACGGCTAGGTAGGGTTGCACGTGGATGAAGTAATTGGATCTGAACGCTGTTCCGCTCACCTGTCCCCAGTTGCTGGATGTGTAGGCTATCCAAATCTCTAGCTGCTTGGCCCCCGATTGCTGAGCCCATGAGCTGATCCTCGTCGCTGTCCTCACCGGCCCGTAGCGCTGTGCGGACTACGTCTGGTATAGATTCTGTGTCTGACTCAGATTCACCGTGTGCCTCCTGCTGCTCCTGGTACGATCCCTCAAACCATATTGGTGGTGGTGGCGGTGATGCCAGCATTGGTGCATGTGTCGGCTGGGTCTCCATGTGGGTTGGTTCCTCATCTTGCGATCTAGCTACCTTGTCACTTTTGGTCATTGAGGAAACCATACCCCCCCGCGAGGTGCCTTGGCTTGGTATCTCCGTCTTGTCATAGTAGTCGCTTGGCTGTTGCAGGTCGGTACTTGAGTTAATCGCTGGGGCTTGAGACAAATGACCGTCGTATGCTGTCAAGGGTTCTGATGCTCCTACCCCTCCTGGTGGTCGTGATAGAGTGTCTGCAACTACATTCAGTTTACCTTGGCGGTATGTTACAGTAAACTCGAAATCAGCCAGCTCATCTAGAAACCGTGCGAACTGGTTATTTACTCTTGACTGTAAGCGTAGGTGCTTAAGTGCACACTGATCTGTGAGTATCTCGAATCCAGGGTCAATCAGGTAGTGCCGCCAGCTCCGCAATGCCTGGATTATTGCTAGCAGCTCCTTTGCATAGATAGCATGCTTCATATCTGCTCGTGATAGCCGCTTTGACAGGTATGCCACTGGGTGCCAGCCATCCTCGTGATGTTGGTGGAGGACTGCACCAATGGCATGGTGTGATGCGTCAGTCTCCAAACGACGTGGCAGTATAGGATCGAATGGCCGTAGTACTGGTTTGGAACACAGGGCCTGTTTCAGCTCCTTGAATGCGGTTTGCGCCTCTGGCGACCAGCGGAACACGCCATTCTTGAGTAGATCTGTGAGTGGCCTAGCGATGTGTGCATAGTTGTTAATAAATCGTCTGTAGAAGTTGCACGATCCCAGGAAACGGCGCACGTCTGTCTCATCCCGTGGTTGCGGCCAATCTGCGATGCCCTTTAATTTGCCTGGATCCATTTTGATGCGATTGTGCCCCACAATATGTCCCAGAAACTCCACGCTATCCATGAAGAACTCGCATTTGCTGGGTTTGCAGTACAGCTTTTCCTGGCATAGCGTCTGTAGAACTGCGTCGACGTGCTGCTGATGTGACACCCTGTCCCTGCTGAATATCAGAATATCATCGAGGTAGGCCAAACAATATGCATGGTGTCCTGCTAGCGCTTCTCGTATTGCTCGCTGGAAGGTGGGTGGTGCATTGCAGAGTCCAAATGGTAACACACGGTACTGGTATGTACCATTGTGTGTTCTAAACGCTGTCTTGGGTTCATCACCTGGCCTTATCCTTATCTGGTGATATGCCGCATGCAAGTCCAGTTTGCTAAACACATTGGCGCCACGCAATTTGTCTAGCAACTCATCGATACGCGGGATCATAAATGCATCCTTCTTGGTGACCTGGTTTAGCCGCCGATAGTCTATGCACATCCGCATGGTACCATCTTTCTTTTTCACAAACAGTACCGGGGCACCCCATGGTGATAATGATGGCTCGATGTAGCCTCGGTCCAGCAGTTCTGCCAACTGTCGTTCGAGTTCAGCTAGTTCGCCAGCTGACATCCTATATGGCGTCTGTGCATATGGGCGTGCCTCTGGTTCCAGGTCTATCCTATGCTCTATGTGTCTCTGTGGGGGTAAGCCCTTTGGTGGCTCACACAGTATATCAGCGAACCTCTCCCTGATCTCCTTCGCTTCCTCCCCTCCGGCCACACCTCGTCTACCCTGCTCTGTCGTAACTGGTGTGATGATTGCGATCGTGACAGTATCAATGTCCTGGCTGCGTGTGTCAGAAGCTAATGTCGTGCAGAGCTCGTTGACTGAGATCAAATCAATGCTCTTTTCTCGCTGTGTCCTCGGCGTGCGCTGTACTCCATGGGCTCGTACATGGGCCCCGTTGTCTGCGACGAACTCCAATGTCTTGTTGCTGCAGTGTACAGATGCCTTATGTGCTGCCATCCAATCGAATCCTAGCAGTATATCTTCACTGATTGGAACGACCATGCACTTGAGCAGCGTCTGTGCATTGGTATCTCCCAATATAATCGGCATTGACACCATCCACTGTGCTCTATAGTGCTCACGTCCGTCGGCCAGGTGTATAATGACATCACGTTCCGTACGCGTCTGTTGTAGGCCTAGCTCCTTTGCTAGCCGTGGCGATACGCAGGTACCCTGTGATCCCGTGTCCACAAGAGCATGGTAGTTTCGCCCTTTTACTGTGCAGGCCAACAGCAATTGGTTTGAGGCAAGTCTTGAAGAGTGGAACGCAGCATTTATTGAAATCTTCATGCTGGCCACTGCAGGTGCGGATCTGGTGCTTGCATGGGCGGGTCCGCCTACTCTTTTCCCAAGGGGCTCCCTGAGAATGAGTCATCAGACTCGTTACCATTCTTCATATTGAGCTGGTTGACTCGTGCTGTGTTCTTGTTGCCTGTTGCACCCTTTTGGCGAGCTACATCACACTGGCGAAGTATGTGTCCCTCATGGCCACATGCGATGCACTTGCGTGCCTTCAGGCGTGCAGTGAACTCGTCATATGTCACCCAGCCTTTAACGCGGTCGAATAGCATACTTGAGCCTCCACGATATCCCATGGTTTTCTGTGAGCGGGTCTTCGCTGCGCGCACCTTCAAGTTGTCCACCTCCATAGGCTCACCATCCGTGGCTGAGCCTGTGATGCTCGACCTTGTAGTGTTGTGCGTGGTTGCAGAGTGGCGAGCAAACTGTAGTTCTTGGAGTGCGGCCGCCTTCCTACTGATGAGAGACTTGTCCGAGCTCCGCATAACAGAGGTCCGCATTGCCAACGGTAAGCATAGGACATACTGGTCAGCTAGTAGTGCATCGCTCTTAATCCCTGCTTGGCGCGCCAGTTGGTCGAAACGTGTGTTGAACTCGTTTGTCGACTCAGCACCTTCAGCAAGTGTCAGCTGCTGTAACTTGCTCAGCGCAATCACTGAATCTCCAGATGCTGCCTCCCGAGAGTCGAGGAAATCATACAGGTCGGAGAAGGAGTCCTGTAGCTTCATCGTTTCATTTACGACGCCCGTATTGTGACTATCCTGGTATGACGCCCAGGCATCCCGTAGCTCCGGTGAAATCGTTGCACTGGCTAACTTGAACCGGTCTCTCTCATCCGTTACGCAAAGTCCCTCGAACATATCCATCATGTCACGCTTCCAGCGTGTCAGGGACATTGATACCTTAGTTCCGGTGAACTTCCCATTTGCTTGTGCCCAGTTGACCGCCGTATTGAAGGCCCGGGAGAAGTCGGCTGTAGATAGCTTCATCATGGCTATTACCAATCAACGCCGATTGGAGTAACGTGCAAAGTTAGGTGATGCTACCAGGTGTTGTGATACTGGTAACTTAACGTGGTATATAACTAGTGACAGTAAAGAAACTAAGGAGGGCTGCTGACGCGCTGGCGTGTACTGAACTATATAGTGGGGCCACTATACTCTTGCGTATGCACTGTGGCGTGGATCTAAGGATCAGGATCAGTTATGCAACATTAGGTCTCATGAGAGAAAGGGAAAACAGGGGGAAGAACCCCTATCCTGAATTATAAAAAGTTGGCCAGATTTTGTATGCTCCAAAACCTTTTCTTTTCGTCTTTCCAATAAAATCCCACTACACATAATATCTACTATGATTCACGCATTCAAACAGCTCTATTCTCATGTTACTTGTCTATGGTTAAGCCGCGTAAACTCGCTCACTATTTTCTGGACAGGTAAATACTCAATCATTACTTTTCACTTCATGTTCCATACAAACCGTTTTTATTGCCAATCTCCGCTAGCACACCTTTGCCGAAATAAAAACTGTATTTCTTGATGCATTTGCAATTCGCAACATCGCTGTACTCTTGCACACCACGTTTTCGACCTGTCCTTGCAGGTCTCTAGTCGCTGTTCAATCTCTCCTCCATCTTGCCTTTGTCTTCTTTCTGACTCTCATATGTTTGTTTTAGTCTTTGCGTGGTGTCAGTATGAACCCTGCTTTTCATAGTTGTACACTCCCCCATGAGAGTCTTGCCATATGATATCCGGTAATGGGTGATGGAGGACTGCCACCAGCAGCGGCTCGAGAAGGTGGCGATGGTTGGGATTCCATCAGGCCCGGTCCAAGATTGTACTGTGCGGTACCGGGGAACTGGCGAAGTGCAGGAGCTGTATGACTTTGGCAAGTCTGGTCAGTCTTTCACTTTCGCTGTACTGAACATTCTAGCGACTTGGCACTGCATTTGTATTACTGATGAAGAGCCAGGGACTGAGAGGCATTGGAGACTAGAGATCTGCAAGCGGTATTGTTGCTACCTTTTCAACTCCAGGTATGTATAAACATTTCAAGAACTCATTCAAGACAAAAGATGGTTTCTGGCAGCGCTACACTGTGTACGGATCAGAGAAGCATCGGGGTTCAGCACGTCAATAGCTGCGGCTGGTGTTGCTCAATACTTTGCATTCAAATATACTACATAATCTTCGATGTACATGGCAGAAGTCGGGGTGCTGGTTTTCCAGGTAGTCTATCTCGCCTTGAGATGTCCCCAAGAAATTAAACAGTCTGGCTTCTTTCTACTTGTTTTTGATAAACAGGATAGATGGGCTATGTAAGTGAATATCACCACTAGATATGTGACAAGCATGTCCATTCTGTGACCAAAAAGATAGCGTGACTGGTCCTTGTTGTGGAGGATGTACGGTGTGCAGAGTACACCTAGTCCACCAGGCACTACCTCGATACCAGCTGGGATGACAGCACGTGTTGGGCCATCAGCGTTGCTCATCAGCCATCCAACATCAATACAAAGAATTCTGAACAAACCCTATGCCAGCATACAGAGGGTGATAACCCGCGCAACGTAGACAGCTGTTGGCCCCAGAGTACTGGCATGCTCGGATTCCACCACGGCTTAAGCCAGACACTTACATATGGAATTCTCCAGCAATGAAAGCCACATTTGGCTTCAAAGATAGGCACCTTTCTGAACTCTGTTGTTTTACGGCAGACAAACGGCACATTCGCCATTGCCTGGCATGCAAGTGGAACTCACTTCACTTTATCCTAGCTACTTTTTACTGCATGAAGCAAGACTGCATAGAGGAAGGTCACTCGAAAGATAGGACGTTTGGTAGCCTTGTGTTCTGGCCACTACCCGCAGACGCACACCCCGGAGACCAGGCGTGGAGCTAGAATGTGTAAGCAGTGTAGAACATGGCCACGGAACTTGGATCTTATATACAACATCCAAATGGACCAGTTGCAATGTTTTTGCTCAATGGGATTTGAAGTATTTGGAAACTGAGAGTTGTGCATATTCAAGCCGGTACCTGGCAAGTAAGAATCCCCATATTTGCCACACCCCAATCAGATTGCAAATCAAGAGGAAAACCGCACGCATGCAGCAATGCACATACACCCTTGCTTTTATACCATGTCAACCATCGAGCAGAAGATCCTGAATGGCGAGTTCCGGAACATGGGTGACGAAGATGTGTCTGAGCGGGTGCGGGCCATCGCTAATGAAGACTCCACTCCCAGCGATACCGAAGACACCTCCCCAGATCTACCGCAACAGCAGCTCGCTACGCACAACGGCCCACAGACAGGCGTCAAGGGAATAATCGCCGACTACTGGCACCAGCGTCAGACCGAGAACGCGCGCCGTGCTGCCGATACAGCCGCTGCACAGTCCGAATTCTCGGCTCTTATATCGCAGCGCAGCATCCAGGCATCGACAAAGACTATTTGGACCAAGGACGACGAGTCAGATACCGATAGCATTGACGCGCTGCTAGCTGATGATGACGATGCGCAGTTTTTCGATGACTACAAGCAGAAACGGATGGATGAGATCACGCAAAAGGCAGCAAAGGCTGGGCTCGGATATTTGCGCGATGCGACGCCCGACGAGTATGTGGAGACTGTCGAGAGGCACAAAGATGTGGTTGTGGTGCTTGGCAACGAGAATGTCGAGGTATCGGCGCGATTCGAGCGCTTTATCCGCGGAGAGTGCGGGAAATACCCGCACGTCGTGTTTCTGAATGTGCAGGCTGGCCTGTGCGGGTTCGAGGATCCAGAGGTGCTGCCGATTGTGCTGGTGTACCGGAACGGCGATTTGAAACACAACCTCGTGCATGTCGTCGACCAACTCAAGGGCGGCGCGGGGTTTGAGCCAGAAGATGTCAGGCGGCTGCTGGAACGCGTGCTGGAGAAGTGACATCGGAGAGAAGCGGGAGAATTGGCGCCGGTCGGCATGCCCCGGGTATGCCACCCCCTCCTCCCCCTGTTGGATCTTTCACACGCCTAGCACATGCCGCATAGGGTACGGAAAATAAATTGTGACTGTGGAATTGGCATGCCGCAGATCCAAAACGGTACGAATAATTCCGACGGCGCGGGGGTGTGCTCAGGCCACAACAGCGCTGAGGCGAGAGTTCCTTTATCTGCGGTGATATACGCTTCATTTTTTTAGCGCTGGCACCGAGTAAAAAAGCTAGTGGTGAGGTGACGCTGGCACGTCTTGCGCCGATAGGCCGGGCAGACTGCCCCTATACTGCACGAAGGCTGCACGAATCTGGGCTCAGACGATCCGCAACTTCGCTTTTTCAGATCAGGGTTTGCGACTTTTGGTCCTGCTTTTGGAACCCAGATAACACGCAGAAGGTTTTATGTGACAACTGTTATTGGGTAGTAGTGTTTAGACAAGAGAATGAGGAAACAGAAAGTAGTTGCTAGAAAGGAGCCATAGAAATAAACAGCTTACTCCTTGGAAGCAATGTACTTGATCAGGTCGACAACACGGTTCGAGTAACCGAACTCGTTATCGTACCACGAGAGGATCTTGACGAACTTGTCGTTCAGGGCGATACCGGCCTTGATGTCGACAATGGACGAGTGGGCGTCACCCTGGAAGTCAGTGGAGACAACCTCGTCCGAGGTGTAGCTCAGGATACCCTTGAGGTCGGAGTCGGCGTGCTTCTTGACGGCGGCAATGATCTCGTCGTACGAGGCAGACTTCTCCAGGCGGACAGTCAGATCGACGATCGAGACGTCGGGGGTGGGGACACGCAGCGACATACCGGTGAGCTTGCCGTTGAGGGCGGGGATGACCTTACCGACAGCCTTGGCGGCGCCAGTGGAGGCGGGGATGATGTTCTGGCCAGCACCACGGCCCGCACGCCAGTCCTTGCCCGAGGGACCGTCGACGGTCTTCTGGGTGGCGGTGGTGGCGTGGCAGGTGGTCATGAGACCCTCGACGATTCCGAACTCGTCGTGGATGACCTTGGCCAGGGGAGCCAGGCAGTTGGTGGTGCACGAGGCGTTCGACAGAACAGTGTCGGTGGCGGGGTTGTAGGCATCGAGGTTGACACCGCACACGAACATGGGGGCGTCGCCCGAGGGAGCCGAGATGATGACGCGCTTGGCACCACCCTGGAGGTGGAGACCGGCCTTGTCCTTGGAGGTGAAAACACCAGTCGACTCAACGACGTAGGTGGCACCAGCCTTACCCCAGGGGATGGCGGCCGGGTCGCGCTCGGCGAAGACCGAGATCTCCTTGCCGTTAACAACAAGCTTGCCGTCCTTGACAGCGACCTCGCCCTTGAGACGGCCGTGGGTCGAGTCGTAGCGGAGCATGTAGCTCATGTACTCGAGATCCATGAACGGATCGTTGATGGCAACGACCTGAACCTCGGGGTGGTCCAGCGAAGCGCGGAAGACGAGACGGCCGATACGACCGAAACCGTTAATACCGATCTGGATGGGAGCCATTGTTGACAAGTTGTTTGCTGACGAGTAAGGTTACTACGAAAGGGGGGGTGATTCTACAGAAGGCAATGGAACAAGAGCCAGGGTTGTTAGCAAGACAGTCCGGAAGCGCACAGCGAAATAAGCAGCGGGATCAAGAAGTGAAGAAGAATTTTACCTTTTGAAAAAAGAAGAGGTGGATGAGAAAACTGAAGAGAAACGAGAGGCAAGGCGAGGGCCGGGCGGCAGGCTATTTATTCGATTCCGGAACGGCGCGGCCCCGCTCTGGAATTCGTGAGCGATATCAGAGCAACAATGCTAGTTCAGCTACTACTCTGCATATTACACAGAAAAAGCGCCCGTTTTGTGATGGGGGCGGGCGCATGTACCCACCACCCACCCGGAACCCTCCCCCTACAGGCCGCGGCTGATAAAAAGTTTGGGCCCTAGTCCGGACATACATGGGCCCACCTTTTTTTGGGCGACTGACCGCGCGCACAGGAGGACATCCGCCGGTATTTGCCGCATGCGGGTTGCCTGGCTGCAAATTCGCTCTCCCCTACGGTTTATTCGATACCTGGATTCTGACATCATGACATGTCTGAACCCACACTGGGCTTTTTTTGGGTGGCCAAGAGCATCCAAATACCACCCCGGCGTGAGAGGCATGGGGAGATATGGAATTCCTTGGATCAAAGCACCTGATGCGCACGGAGCGGCCGAACCCAAACGCCAGCCAGTGGAATGAACAGCGCCGATTCTTTCTCCTTGCTGCACCCCCAACAACGTCCCTCTGACAATTGCTGGCAGATGCGTGGCATCTTGCTGATTCCGTCAGTGCTTTTTCCGTCGGCGCTTTTTCTGCCAATGGCTGCACTCCACCTCGCGCCCGATAGGCACGCGTTGTCAGCGATGTCCGATCCCAAGTAGCCTGCTTCTGCATTTGGGATGCCTGCAAACCTCCGTGGTTGGCTAAAAAGCTCCCTCCTTCCGCCGCCTCACAGCCGCCGCATGCGCTCGCTGGTGGTCCGATGGTTATTTGCGTAAGCGACCGCAGCTGCAGAGAAGCAGGCAATCACACGTCGTGAATGCGCAGGCGGCGGGAGAGGGTCAAGCCAATCATAGAGGAACGTGGGGTTTAGAAAGCCACGCCAGAATTCGGTATGGGCGCAAGCGGTAGGATTGTTACTCCAGAGAGACCGTTGGCAACAGAGTAACGGCGGCTAGTGGATATCTCCATGTGAGTACCGCTCAGGGGAGTCTCTTTGCCAAATCACAGCACCAACATACGGCATTAAGATGCTGCAGTGGCGCGGACCGTGGCTACACTATTCAGTTGCTGTGAGCATGTACTTGAGCCACTTTTGGACCCAGATCAAAAGGGTGGATCCAGAGTTTGAGCACGTTCGAGCCGAAGCAAAAATTCGAGCCGACGAGTTGACGAGCCATATATCCCAAAACGCATCTGAGACAGTGCTGACTGCCCGCCTTTGAATTTGCGCATTTTGGCTTGCGCTTTTTCCACCCACTCTTATAAATTCAAATTAGCAGGGCATTATGGCTGCCGATTCGTTGCCAAACCAAAACACCGCGTCAGACACAGTACTGGCCAAGGTCGACGAGCGGTACCAGCTAACACAGCTCAAAGAGAGGCTTGCAGAGGCGCTGGGTGACGATGGGCCTTCGTACTGGAACGCTCTGCGCGACTTTGTGCAGGGCAAGCTGAACCGGCAAGAGTTTGACTTTTACGCGTACATGTATCTTCCCGGCAACAAGTCGGCACTGCACAACCAGTTTATTCTAGCAACCATCCACAATGCGCAGAGCGGCCAGGCACCGCCAGACGGAGAGCCTGACAAGGGGTTTGAGCGGCGCAAGCGCGGGCATGGCGAGATGCAGGACGACGAAAAGGGGCACAGGCATGGGAAGCGTAGTATCAAGGCAATGCTGGAGGATCCCAAGTGGCGGTATGTCAAGGAGCTGGTCAAGTCGATGAACAAGGGCGAGCGGCGGGCGATTAAGCTGCTGCTGAGGAAGCCAGACATCACGCCTGAGAAGGCACAGGAGGCGATTCGGGCAATGAAGCCTGTGGTGCTGCCGATGCCGGCGTCACAGCTGCCGCAGTCATACGCGATGGATATCGCCAAAGGCATCACCGCACCGTTGGTATACGACACCAAGGCAACCCCGGATGCAGAGTCGCTGAACTACCGCATGGTTGCGATTGCGCTGGAGCAGGGGCTGGCGGGCGGCGTCACGAGGGAGTCGGGTGAGCTATTGCTCTACGCGCTTGACTGCCATCTAAAGAACATTGTGTCAAACATGATATACAAGATCCGGTCAAACCGCGCCCTGGGCATTCCTGTCAGCAGCGTGGCACCGGACGAGACGCCAGAGGGCAGCCAGCTCACAAACGGCAGATCACCAGCTGCACATCCAACGACCGGTGGTCTGCGGCTGCGCGACCGGCTGTATCACAGCAAGACCACACTGCGGCTCTCGGACCTTGTTTTTTCGTTGGAAATCAGCCCGAATGCGACAGTGGAGCCGCCGCTGTGCCTGGAGCGGTGTGGCAATCTGCTTGCCAACCAGGAGTCAGCAGAGCGCAATGACGAGGGCGGCGAAGACGCGGTTACCGATGTGTTTGCGTCAGGCTCAGCATCGGGCGTCGCCGATGGTGCTGGCACAGCAACAGCGGTGGATCGGTTCAGCGGGATGGTGATGGATGAGGATGACCAGAAGCACCGCCGCAAGATCCGTCGGCTGCGGGCTCGCTATGAACGCTGGTTCGGCCCGTATGTATCGGTTGAGTACAGCGGCAACAGCAAGCAGTCCAAGGACGCCTGACCACTCTTATTTCTAGCACATGCAACCCTGTATTTGTCTCAATAAATGAAGGATTCAATTTCCAAAGTCAAAAGAGCGGCGCAAGCGCCAAAAGAAAGCTACACGATTAATATGGCTTGTATCCATGGCCACGCGACGAGCCGCCGCCGGACCCACGCACCGGGCCTTCGCGGTCGCGGTTGCGGCTACGGTCGCCATCCCGGTCGCGGTCTCGGTCGTGCTTGGAGGACCGCGAGCCACGGCTATCGCCACCCGACCGGCCGCCGCGGTCGCTACGTCCACGGTCGTTGCGGTCTGAGCGGTCCCCACGGTCCCTGCTTGACCTGCGCTCGCCATGGCGGCGCGACGACGACCTGTGGTCGCGGTCCCTGCCGCGGTCCCTGCCACGGTCCGACTCTCTGTCTCTTCCACGGTCTCTGCCGCGGTCGTTGCGGGCTCCACGGTCTCCACGGCTCTTGCCCTCTTGCTTGGAGTCGTATTGGGTGGAATCCTGGTACCCCGACTGGCCGTTGTTGCTGGTGTTATTGCCGGCTGCTGCATCGGTCTGTCCATCGGCTTGTCCATCCGCGTTGTAGAACCCACCCATCTGCGCATAGTAGTTCATCATAGCTGCCTGGTCGGCGGGGTTGCCTCCATCGCCGCCGTCGTAGTACCCTGCCATGTTGCCGTAGTATCCAGGATACCCCATGGCTGCGTAATCGACAGCACCAGAGCCATTCGGGGATCCAGCTGCTGCTGCCTGCTGCTGCGGCTGGTGCTGCGGCGACATCGGCTGCTGGCCATTGGCACCCGGCATCATATTGTATCCGGGCATACCCATCATGTTGTAGCCAGGCATGCCCATCATATTGTATCCCATCATGTTGTATCCCATCATGTTGTATCCGCCCTGCGCCATGCCAGGCATCGGGTTGCGCTTCTTGTGCACTGCAGGCTTGACATCAACACGCTTGCCGTGGATCATGATCCCACCGACCGAGTTGCCGACCTTGACGGCCTCCAGTGCCGAGCTCTCGCTCTCAAACTGCAGAAAGCCGTAGCCGCGCGATCTTCCCGTCTCTCGGTCAATCATCAGCTTGGTCTCGGTAATGGTGCCGTACACAGAGAAGGCTGAGTTCAGATCGGCGTCTGTAGCCGACGGCGGGAGTCCACCGACAAAGATCTTCTCGCCCTTCATTTCGCCAATGGGGTCCGCAAACGTGTCGTTGTTGCCGCCCAAACTGCCGCCGTGCGTATGTGCTTGGTGTGCCCCCGGCTGCTGCTCGCGCGGGATCGCGTGCTTTGGATCGATCTGCTTGCCATCAAGCCGGTGCGACGGCTCTTGCAAGACTGCATCGACGCTGGCAACGTCAACAAAAGTCACGAAGCCGAATCCGCGCGGCCGCCCGGTGACTTGATCGCGCATGATCGAGCAGTCCATGATGGGCCCGAATTTTGCTAAAGTACTCGCGCAGCCGGTTCTCGTCGGTCTCCCAGCTCAGGCCACCGACAAACAGCTTGCTAGCGAAGGGGGTGGTCGCCAGAATCATATTGAGGTTAAAAAGTTTGCGGAATTTGTTGAGAAAAGAGATATAAAATATAGCGACCCAAAAATCGACAGAAAACCACAGCGCAGGCATGTACAAGAATGTAGGTATGCACGGGACTGGCTCCATGTGCTGGGAACATGAGAAATTGTAGTTTTGTGTTGTCTTTGCAAAAAAGAAAAGGAAAAGTTACCGAAAACAAAACATATTACATGGAAGACAGTACATATACAGAGGACATCATACACATGCATGCGGAGGAAGGGTGTGGAGAGGAGTGCTTGTTTAGCAGACACCCCCTACACCGCTTTCCGTGCCATGCACAAAAGAGTTATGACACAAAAAGAAAATTTACATGTCTAGGAAGAATCGGGGTTGCGTGTATCATTTGTATGTGGTTCATATGCGAAAGCGTGGTGTTGACTTACCCAGCGTCCTTGTTGTCGTTTGTTGTGTAACTGGTATCGTTGCTAGGATTGCCCATGGCGCCGCCCATGGCAGTGCTAGGCATCTCCGAGGGCTGTTGCTGATATTGCTGCGGCTGCTGCTGTTGCGGCAGCGACTGCGACTGCACATCCGGCTCGGGCATCTGCAGCGCCTGGCTGTCGTTATACAGCCACTGGCTCTCTGTCTGGTACTGGTCGTACGCGTAGCCGTTCGCATCGTCATTGTAAATGGCGTCGTCCGCCGCCTTGCTAGTGTCAGCCATTGCTAAAAATGTATCTGCAGCTGGTGCGTGTAAACTGGAGAAGGGGGTGTTTGTCGAATAGTCACTTGGAAATCGGCGTCAAAAAGTGCTCAGAAAAGGGTGCCAAAATTGAAATTAGCTTGAGAAAAGAGGAGAAAAACTAGGCTGTCAGCTTTTCCAATGGAGCAAGGGGTCGTTCTTTACCTCGGTTGATTTTTTTTATGGTAATCAAATTCCGACATTGCGTTTTTGGCCTCGTGACAGCCCAAGCCTCAGCGGCGATTTTAGCCCTCCCTGCACTTTGAAGCTCGTCATATTTTGCTCTAGCTTTTTGTTTTCTTGCCTTGCATTCACAATGCCCAAGCGGTCGCTCAGTGGAACGGCAGGGAGTGGCAAGGCTGCTGGTGGGCGTGGAAAGCGTGGGCGAGGCACGCGGGGTGGTCGGGGTATGCGGGGCAGGCTGCAGGCCAACTCGTCTAGCAGCACGGCTAGTGGAAAGGATTCAATTGAGAGTGAGTATCAACCAAAGAGGGGGTTAGAATCTTCTGGCGATGATGTGCTGTCGACGAGTGCCCGCACCCGTACTCTAGAGTCTAAGCTGCAAAACCCAGTATCAGATGATGGAGAGGAGGAGTATGAGGTAGGTACATCCGGTGGCATTGTGTGTGGGGTGATACACATGTATAGAAGCATATACTCATTTCAGTGTCATGTAGGTTGAGCTGATTGTGAATCACCAGAAGTTTGATGGGGTTGACTTTTATCTGGTGAAGTGGGTGGGATATCCTCCTAATGAGAATTCGTGGGTTGCCAGGGTCAATATGGCCTGTGACGAAAAGATAGACGAGTTCCATCGCAGGCATACCCCAAACGAGGTCGATATGGCACCCATGTACAGAATCATCAACCCAGCAACCAACACTCCTCCACTTTCAGTTGTCAATACGGTAGACAATGTGAACACCATCGAGGACTTTACCTATATCAACAGATGCAAATACTCCAAGAGTGTACCAGTACCTGCCGATATGCTGTTCCCGTGTGAGTGCGATGGCGGCTGCAGGAATGACTGCCCGTGCGTTGAGAAACAGTACTACGATGACAACGGGCGTGTGCAGGTGGATCATGAGGAGCCAATATTCGAGTGTTCTGAGCAGTGCACGTGCGGGCCCGAGTGCCCATCGCGCGTCGTTCAGCGCGGGTCTGCGATCCAGTTCGAGATATTTCGGCTGCCACAGAAGGGCTGGGGAGTGCGAGCCAAGCACAAGGTCGAAAAGGGTACCTTTATAATTGAGTATGTGGGCGAGATCATTGACTATGACGAGGTCGAGAGGCGCGGCATAGAGGACCGAAAGGCGGGCAACACATATCTGTTTGACCTGGACTCTGACTACAGCGCTAACGAGATTGCCGACTTTTCCATTGACGCCAGGCGCTACGGCAACATCTCGCGATTCTTTAACCACTCGTGCGACCCAAACATGGCCATCTGGTCTGTGTACATTGAGCACCACGACCCGCGGCTGCCTCGCCTGGTGTTCTTTGCCATCAGGGATATCGAGGAGGACGAGGAGCTGACGCTCGACTACAATCCTGGCGAGTCCTGCGAAGGCCGACTCGAGTCGCCGTGCTACTGCGGGTCCAGCAACTGCCGCAAGCAGATATTCTTCTGAGCCTGTTTCTGGATATGTGCCGGTGGCAAAGAAATGTCATACTGACCTAAAAATGTTCGGTTCTATTTTGGTTTATTTGTTCGTGCATACTGGAACCGGGCTAGCAGCCGGTTTGTTATGTAGGTGGAAAAGGGAGGGAGGGAAGGGGGACCAGAGTGGACCGGTCTGAAAACGGGGACTAAAAATAGGAGACCGTTTTGGTCAATCACTTGTTGGGCTTGGCGGAGGTGGATTCGGCTATATCCTCGAGCTGCTTGTGCTACAAAGACAAGGGTATTCAGTGCAAAGAACACAACGATGCCGGCATGTGTGGCAGCCACTCTGTCAATGTATGGCACCTGCCCGTTGTGCTTGCAATGCGAGTTGGCACGGGGTCTATCTACTACTCACCAATGCACCATTCCTGCGTGCGCAGAGCTACATGTGGCAGTCAATGCTGGTTTAGCGACACATGCAGAATATACTCCCCTTTTGCCACATGGCGGTGGTAGCAGCAGAGTCTATAAACGGATGTCTGTACTTGCCTTGACATCGTCGACCGAAATCTTTGTCCTACGGGCGTGCTTTGCAAAGCACTCGAGATCGCCGCCCATGGTTTCTATTTTCAAATAATATTAGCGTATGAGCAATATTGAAGCGATGGGCTCCAATGCGAGGTGCTACTTGCCTGCCTGCGCGTACACGACATGGCTCAACGCTTCGACAAAGGTCGGCGAGTAGCTCACGCCGCTGCTGGTCTCTACAGGCGGAATGCATTTGAGTGAGCTGCCTATCGCTTGCAAAGAAGGATTTACACAAAACGCATCGAATTGGCTAGATGCATCTGCTCAGAGCTTTTGCTTGCGCGCCAATATATAGCACGCTTACCGTCCTCGCTGCACAGCTTGGCTACAGCGAGCCACACTGACGCGCGGGGATCGTTGCTGTCGGCGTTCATCTATTTGTGCTGTTTGCGGGTTTGGCTTGTGTGAGGAGGAGAGGAGAAAAGCGATCCTATAGACTGAGAGCAGCAGTGGGGGTTTTCGCTTCTGTGGATCTCTGCTAATTAAAGGCACCTCATCTCCCTACCGCCTGTGTGCAGGTATGGTCTATGTGCTGGGTGGGGCCACTGGTCTAGCATGGGCCATCGCCTACTCTGGCCGCGAAGAGGGGTAGCCCGGCGATAGACTGGTTCAGAGGAAAATTTTTAATGCTTTTTTGTTAAAGGCTCAGCATTTTTCTTTGAAAATCAGTCTTGCTGTTCCCTCGCCTCCCTGTTTTTGTTGCCTTTCTACTTCTTGTGTGCTTTTTTTGCTCTTCAGATTATTGCATTAAATTTCTAGCCTTCTTCCCATTTCCACATCTAAAATCTACTCGAGAACGTGCAGCTGGGGGAACGCGTCGAAGACGAACCGACCATACACAGCACCTTTCCAACACCCCTTCCCCTCTTTAGACAAGAGGCAGACTATATTAACCGCCCGGCAGAGGTCTATACCGCTTGAAAATGACGACGCTCAAGGCAGGATATATTTCCCTAAAGGAATCGTGGATGTGGTCCAAGCGATGGGCCATACTGACAAATGACACACTCACCTTCCACAAGAACAAGGTATGTACATGGCTGCTCTGGCAGCCGATGTGGTGGTGTGGGCTCTCCCCGCGAGTAAGCCATGGGAGCGAGCCTACGCGATAGCTGGAGGATTCCCCGAGCAGTCCGCCTGCATTGTTAGTGTTTTTTCTTGTTTGGCCCAAGACGGAGCAGCATCGTTTCGCAACCTTCATGGTCGCCTCACATTTTCCCTTTCATTATTCTCTTTGGCCGTTCTGTAGAACGTCAGTCAAGCCACTGCGCTCATTTTTCTCAAAGAAGTAAACGGCGTGAGTCGTTCGGACATGAAGACGTACTGCATTGAGATAAAAACCAAGGAGAGGGTGTATTTCATCCAGTGCACGAGCGACGACGACCTGTACTCGTGGATGGACGCGGTTTACGAGCACTGTCCGCTGCTGAGCGACGTATCGCCGCCGACAGACTTCCACCACCAGATCCACGTGGACTTTGACCCAGTGTCGGGAATGTTTATTGGGCTGCCCGACAAGTGGGCAAAGCTGCTGCAGACATCAAACATCACTCAGCAGGACTATGCTCAGAATCCGCAGGCGGTGCTAGATGTGCTCGAGTTCTATACAAAGAACACCGCCGAGGGACAGGCAGCTGTGCAGGCCGCAGCGGCAAACAAGATGGCTGGGCTGGTGCCCACGACATCGTCGGCGTCGTCGTCACCATTGCTGTACTCGCGCCAGAGCGTCACTGGCCAGTCGCTGCAGCAGGCGTCGTCACAGCAGAACGCGACGAGCCGGTCGCCGGTGGACCACAAGACGGGGGTGTTTCTGCCCGAGAAGCGTGCGCCGCCGCCCAAGCCGGCTCCCCCACCAGCCAATGTCAAGCTGCCGTCGACGAAGCCGCTGGTGGTGGAAGAGGCACAGATCCGTGCTCAGCAGCAGATAATGAATGGGGCTCTGGGCAAAACGAACCGGCAGTCAATGACAATCCCGCAGCTTGCGTTCCAGCAGCAGCAGCAGCAGCAGCAACAGCAGCAACAGCAGGCAAAGCCAGCACCATCAACACGGAGTGTAGGCAGCGACGAAGTCGTGGAGTCGATAGACAGCAGCCGGACGCTGACTACAAAGACACACTCAAAGGCAAAGGAGGATGCGCTGGCCGCACTGACGAGCAAGATGGAGGGGGCGACGCTCAAGCCGAAAAAGGAGACGCAGCGGCTGTCGACCATGTCCGAGTCGCAGATTATGGCACGGCTGCGGTCGATTGTATCCCGGGACGACCCCAAGGTGCTGTACAGCAAGGTGCGCAAGATTGGACAAGGCGCGTCGGGCAACGTGTATATGGCCAAGTCGATTGTGACGGGCCAGATGGTGGCGATCAAGCAGATGGATCTGTCGAAGCAGCCGCGCAAGGAGCTGCTGGTCAACGAGATCCTGGTGATGAAGGAGTCGATGCACCCGAACATTGTCAACTACCTCGAGTCGTTCCTGCTCAACTCGATGGATCTGTGGGTGGTCATGGAGTACATGGAGGGCGGCGCGCTGACCGACGTCATCGACAACAACAGGATGAACGAGAGCCAGATCGCCACCGTGTGCATGGAGGTGTGCAAGGGGCTGAGCCATCTGCACAAGCAAAACATCATCCACCGCGACATCAAATCCGACAACGTGCTTTTGGGCGTCGACGGCCAGGTCAAGATCACCGATTTTGGGTTCTGTGCCAAGCTGTCTGAGCAGCGGGCAAAGCGCGCTACCATGGTGGGCACGCCGTACTGGATGGCACCCGAAGTGGTCAAGCAGAAGCCATACGGGCCCAAGGTGGACGTGTGGTCGCTAGGCATCATGGTGATTGAGATGATTGAGAGCGAGCCGCCGTATTTGGACGAGGAGCCGCTCAAGGCGCTGTACCTGATTGCGACGAACGGAACGCCTGCGCTCAAGCACCCCGAGATGCTGAGCCGCGAGCTCAAGGGATTCCTGGCCGAGTGTCTGTGCGTCGACGTGCAGAGCCGCGCCACGATCGAGGAGCTGCTGAAGCAGGAGTTTTTGGTCAACCAGGCGCGGTCATTGAGCGTGCTGACACCACTGCTGGGCAAGAACTGATGGCGGAGGGCGGATACCTTATCACACTACGTAACCTGCTATTATTTTTTCCACATCTCTCCCTCGTCCATCTCCACTCTTTCTCCCTCTTCTGCCTACCACACATGCTTCTTCTTTTTACCCTTTCCTTTCCCTTTAACCAAACATTTCCAGCAAAGCGCACTTGCCAAACATTATTTCCCTTCTAGTTCTATACTTTTTTCTCGTTTAAAACAACCAAACCCTTGCCCATTAATCCGTTGGTACATATCCGAAAAATTAATAAACGCTGCGTTGTTGCTAGACCGTGTGTAAAACAGTTCCCAAATGGTCGAGTGTGTCGATCCCTGACGCGGTCTAATGATAGTGCCAGCGAACTTGTACAAGGACTGTCGCTCTTGCTATCATGCAGCCTCCCATGGCGGTCTGGCGCGTAGCTTGGCGAGGCTAGCTCCTTGGGAGCAAGCCCAGGCACAGAGCCTCCGTTTTCCTATTGCAAGCGACACGCACTCCGGCAGGAGCCGTCCTTTGTCTGCTCGTAGTCTTGCCAGAAAGCAGCTGGAAGTCGAGTGCCACTGATTTCCTATTGGCAGTAGCCGGCGCGCTGCCCAACACGCGGTCTGCTACCAGAAATCCAGCTGCCCTTCCTGTTTTGGCCTGCAAGCAAAAAACATTTTCCTCTTTTTGCTCCCTTCACTTTCATTTTAGCCTACTTTTACACCGCAATCCACGTAGCGCGTCGCCCTTTTTATATCGTCCCTCAACGCGCTCTAACTTATACACACATACACACACGGCACTTCACGATAATGGCTGGACCTGAAGAATGGCTGGAGACAGTGAGGAAATGCGACTGCCTGTCCGAGCCGGACATCAAGAAGCTGTGCGAAATGGTCAAGGAGCTGCTGATGGAGGAGTCCAATGTGCAGCCAGTGCAGACACCGGTAACCATCTGCGGCGACATCCACGGGCAGTTCTACGATCTAATGAAGCTGCTGCGGGTGGGTGGAGAGCCGCCAGAGACAAACTACATATTCATGGGCGACTTTGTCGACCGCGGGTACTATAGCCTGGAGACGTTCACGCTGCTCATGTGCCTGAAGGCGCGGTGGCCGGACAAGATTACGCTGTTGCGGGGCAACCACGAGAGCCGGCAGATCACACAGGTGTATGGGTTTCTATGACGAGTGCCACATGAAGTACGGCAACGCAAATGTGTGGAAGTACTGCTGCCAGGTGTTCGACTACCTGACGCTGTCGGCGATTGTGGACGGCAAGGTTCTGTGCGTGCACGGCGGGCTGTCGCCGGACCTGCGGACCCTGGACCAGATGCGCACCATCCAGCGGTGCCAGGAGATCCCGCATGAGGGCCCGTTCTGCGACCTGATGTGGTCCGACCCCGAGGACATTGATAGCTGGGCTGTGAGCCCGCGTGGCGCAGGGTGGCTGTTTGGCGCACGCGTGACTGACGAGTTCAACCACGTGAACGGACTGACCCTGCTAGCGCGCGCGCACCAGCTGGTGCAGGAGGGGTACCGGTTCATGTTCCCAGAGCGGAACCTGGTGACCGTGTGGAGCGCACCAAAACTACTGCTACCGGTGCGGCAATGTGGCCAGCATTCTGCGGATCGAGGAGGATCTGGAAGTCACCGATGACTCGTTCCAGATCTTCCAGGCCGTGCCCGACAAGGAGCGCACGGTGCCGCCGCGGATACCGGGCAGCATGGGCGGGGCCGGTGGCCAGTACTTTTTGTGATCAAATTAGCTGTTTCGGCAAGTGAGCTCTGTATTGTCCTTGTGTGTTCTCTATAAAAACTGGCCTGTCGGCAGAAAGACATCCAGGCGAAAATTTTCTCGCACGACAAGGATGAGGGGCGCACAGGCGCCGGGCGGGCTTGTATCCTGGTTCCACCCACCTGTCCATCTGTTGGTGTAGCCGGAAACAGCGAGCTCCTCTGCCAGTGCGAGCCGCGGGTGTCGCCTAGTCCCACTCTGTTGACCAAGCCTTGTTCGCTAATAATAGAGCGAGGTAGAGCCACACAAGCAGCATGACTTTTGAGAGCGCCAATGGTCGCCAAGCATGAGAGTTGAAGTGAGAGCAACAGTCTGAAAGAAAAGAGTCCGGCTGTCATCATCATGCTATCAGCTTTGCAGCAATGCTCGAGAGTGCAGGCCACGCTTTTTCTGGTCCACCTTCTGGCTTTACTGCTTTTCTCCCTCCTCCCTCATCCTCCTCCCTGTATCTCCCTCTTTCTCTTCTCTTATCTCACAGCACCTTTTTCTTTCCTCTTCTACCTTTTTCTTTCTTGCTTCTTACTTTTTAAACCGAGTCTCCCCCAGGCATGGCGGCTGCACTGAAGAAAAACATTGGCAAGATTGGCCAGGTAAGCAGCGGATTGGGGCCCGGCTCTTTAATCTGCACTCTTAGCGGCAGTGGTCCGGACCGGCATATGAAGACGGAAATCAGAGCTTAGAAATCGGACCTTTTTGTGCCCTGTAGTGGACTGGCGAAAAGCTGGGCCGTGACGGCGGCAAAAACCGAAGTGAGCGACGAATTCAAAGACCTTCAGAGCGAGACGGATACCCGGCACCAGGGCATGGATGGGATCCAACAGGCGTATATCCTGTATACGACGCAGCTGCTGAAGAAGAAGGACGCCACGGATGCGTCGCGGCAGAAGCTGTATCTGCTCGAAAACCTCGGTGCCTCGATGGTGCGGCTTGGTGGCAGCCTCCCGAGGGATTCCAACTACGGTAAGTATGCTTTCCATGCAGAGGTGGTGGTTGCTTTGGCCGCGCACTCTTGCATCCTGTGCGGAGCGGGCTTTTTCTTTTTTCCTTGTGGAACAGCAGGAGCCTGGCACGGCATGCCTGTGGATCGGTGCGCCATATGTGCTTTTGTCTCTGTGCTTGTCATGCTGATCCAACCGGCTCAGACAGTCATAGCACGGGCACCGCTGGCCACGGCTGGGGGTGTGCTGCCTCCCAGACAGCCTGCCTTCCGCATGTACGTCCTGTGTTTTCATTGCATGATCTCCGGAAATCGGCAGTGGGCATAATAGGAGGAGGACAGTGGGGCGGGGAGCCGAATGAGAGTGGAGTGTCATTGCTGCTCCCCCGTGTAAAAATTGGTCGTGTTTCACTGGAGCATGCATCCAGGCGTCATGCGCGCTTGGGCCCGAGCACAAGCCTGTGGAAACCTGCTTCTTTCCCGAAATCCTCTGGGAATAAAAGGGGCCGTGGGGCCATTCGAAAAATGCCATGCCACCGCGCCTGCGTGCTGGTGTTGTCCTTCTCGCCCACCCGCTGTTTTGTCTACACCATGCCGGTGTTTGTAATGTGTGTGGGGAAGCTTGTGTGTAATGACGAGGGGCTGGTGACCGATCATTCCCGCATTGTTCTCGTGACAGCATCACACAGCTAATTTCTACATTGTGATGTAGGCCGGGCATTGGAGCGGCTGGGCCAGGTCGAGGAGCGCATGAACGACTCGCAGCTGCAATTTGTGGCCCAGATCAAGGAGGGCTGGGGCTCGAGTCTGCAGCGTGCGCTGGACGACTTCAAAGAGTACCAGCAGCTGCAGAGGAAGATGGAAAGCCGGCGCGCCGACTACGACGGACGCATGGCCAAGTACAACAAGGCGCGCAAGGAGAGCGTGCAGCTTGAGGACGAGCTGCGCTCGGCGCAGACGCGGTACGAGGACACATACGACGATCTGGCGCAGCGCATGATGACGCTGCAGGATGCCGAGCAGGGCTACCTCAACGACCTGTACGGGTTCTATGAAGCGCAAATGGCACACTACCAGCAGTGCTACGAGATGCTGGATGGCCTGCGCGGCTCGCTGGACGAACTAATGGCGAGCCGTCGGGCTCCCGCTGCCGACCGCAATCCCATGGGCGGCAGCCTGACGACCCGTCACTCAACGACGTCGCTGCGCGCCAGTGACCGCAACCTGAGCATGCCGACCCGCCGGCCAATCCCGTTCAACTCTCCGCACGGACGGTCGCTCTCGCGGTCCGCTACCACCAGCGCGGCCCGCGGCTACAGCGGCTCGCAGTACAGCGACAACAGCGACGAGATGCAGGCCCAGTACAACTACGCCCACGGCATCGACTCGACCCCCGACGGCGGTGGCCTGGAGGGCAGCCTGGCAGTTCCCCGACCCAACCCACAGCTGGCACGTGTGCAGAGCGAGATTGGCACCAATGGCTCGCGCCGCGCACCGCCGCCGCCGGTTGCCCCCCGCCGCCATGCTCCAGCGCCACCGATGCCTACCCGTACGCCGCGCCGCATCCTGCGCAAAACAATCTATGCATTCAACCCCGACGAGGGCGGCGAGCTGGCGCTGGCCGTCGGCGATATCGTCGAGGTCTCCGAGCGCGTCGATGACGGCTGGTGGATGGGCTCTATTGTCCACTCGCAGGTCGCCAGCCGCCTCAGCCAGAGCGGCCTGTTCCCCGCCAACTACACCGAGGACTGCCAGGAGGCCGATGTGCCGCCCAGGCTGCCTTCCAAGGCGTCGTCGCCGGGCCTGCGCACGCAAGCCGATCCCTTTATGAGCTACAATCCGCCCCCCGCCCATCGCGCCCGCACCCAGCCCGACCACCCGCACCAGCCGGCGGGCCACCAGCGCACCAACAGCCAGGCCCTCGCTGCCGCCAAGCCATGCGCATGCGGCTGCGACGACTACTCGCCGAACCTGTTCAAGAAGGGAAACTGCACCAACTGCTTCCACAACCACTAGGTGGCGCGATATGAATGAGTGATGCTCTCCTCCTTGCAGTAGCCCAGGTCCTTAGCCTCTCCCGCCGAACGTGTTTGCCAGCCAGTGCAAGAGCTCCACCATTTAATTTTCTTTCTTCATTTCTCTCCTATTTGTGTCGAATATTCTCCCCAGATGATGACTACATCCAAACTCAGCACTGTGTCTGGAGCTACTGCATATTTGCATGTCAGCCCTGTGTATCGGAAGTGGCCCTTTCTTTCCAGGCACCTACTGCTGCCTGACACCGTGCCAGGGAACATACTCTAACTATGATCTTGCCGATCAGCACAATGCCATTCGTGACTGGGAAGGTACTCATATTGGCAACTGCGCCTTCCATTCCGCATTGCGCTCTTCCAATCCCTCTTTCAGCGCATCGTCTGTTTGTATCTGTGCGCTGCTGATTTGCCAGTGCCACCCGGGGATTGTCCTGTCCAGCTTACCTGCACTGTAGGCGGTTTCTACAGTCAACAACCAACAGCAGACTAATGCGAGCCACGGATCCATGCTTGGTGGGAGCGATTTACGAGTCACGCAACTTCGCAGCTGGTGCGGCTGGGTCAAGATGAGTTTTACACTCTGGCTGGCTTATCGCTACCAATCGCTGCAGAGTGAGGACGGGCCCTACTCTTCGCAGCTGCTATGGTTCGCGGTGGGTATATGCGCTGAGGGGCTCTTCGGCTATCTCATCTTTCGTTCTTTTACAGATGTGCTTCTGATCCCCTTTTTCTGTATAATTGTTTTTCACGTTAGCACACCTCTTCATATTCGTCTCCAATGAACTCTGCACCGAAGGACGTGGCTCAGGCCAGCCACTAGTACACAGCGAGTCTTGATGGCGACACACTCAACGGAGTCCCTATCGATGCGCGCCGCATGATCGATGCAGCAGTCTCTAAAACCGACGACCCATCAACTCCCTCGCTCACATTCCGCGCCCTGCTGCTGGGCGGGATATTCTCGGCTGTCCTCGCCTTTGTCAACGTTTATTACTGGTTCCGTAGCAACCCCATTACGCTTGGCATTCCGGTGGTGCAGTTACTGAGTTTGCCGGCTGGCTGGATTCTATCTTTCGTTCTGCTGACACGGCAGTTCAACACATTTGGCATCCGCTGGTCGCTGAACCCTGGCCCCTTTTCAACTAAAGAACATGTTCTGATATCGGTCATGGCCAACGCCAGCACGGGCGTCGCCTATGCCCTGGACATCGTTGTCGTGCGCCGGTTCTGGATTGGCCAGCCGACATACACCTCCAGCTTTAAGATGTTCGGATACATCACAGTCAAGCAGGGTCTTATGCTGACCAAGGACCAGAAGCTCGGGTACTACATGCGCGTGCCGCCTCGCCACTTCTCCATCTGCCAGGTTTTGGGTACTGTGGTTGCCGTATTTGTGCAGCTAGGGCGCCACCTCCTGGCTGATGGAAACTGTCAAGGGTATCTGTACCGACGCCGGGTTCCCATTCACCTGCCGGCAGGGCGTCTTGTTCTACTCGACCATGGTCCTGTGGGGTGACATTAGCCCCGAGCGTCAGTTCTCTGGCAAGTACCAATCGCTGTACTATATGTTCTTCGTCGGCGTAGCTCTGCCTATCCCCTTCTGGCTGCTTCAAAGGCGGTACTCGAAGAGCATCTGGAGGCATGTCAATATATCTGCGATGCTGACATACATTGAGTATATGCCAAATTCGCATACAAACAACTTCGTCATGTTCACGCTGTTTTGTTTTATCTTCAACTTTTTGCTCATGAAGTACCGCTATGCGTGGTGGTCAAAGTACAACTTCGCGCTGACTGCAGCTCTCGACAGTGGGTTGGCCATATCCGGAATCATCGGGGGGTTTTTGCATTACAGAATGTCAAGGTCGTGTGGGCTGGAAACAGAAATCATTGCCTACTGAGCAAGATGTCGTTCAACGATGCTACGCAGCAGCGCAGCTGAGTTACTGCTCGCAGCTTGGTTCACTGGTAAGTTAATTTTCTGGTTATGTAGCAAATGGTATATCTTGACCACTTCATCGCCAGCACGTTGTGTATGCCGATCTCCAAGTGTTAGTACACTCAGATGCCACCATGGCCAAAACCAAAACCCCACATGTCTGAGCTCAAGGAGGCCAGCTGGCGTCCCTTTCCTCCTCAGTTCAATACTATAAAGGCTAATAAACCCCGTCTCTTTCAGGGCTACGCGATCAATATTGCAGGGTCCACTATTCAGATTCAGACGTCTGCCACATTCGCATCAGTTCGGGCTGCTATTGACGGATCTTGATTTGGCATAAATTGCTTTGGTCAATTGGCACACCACAGACAGTGCTTGATGCGCTGCGAAGAGATCGAGCTCAAAGCACCGGAATTTACCAAGCGCAAGGCACGTCATCCGTGAAGTGCCGTGTGGGAATTGCCAGTACATGTGGTGGCGGTTCACATTAGCCTGCACGAGCAAGAGCACGCTGGTTTTCCATGTGGCAATTGGCTTGCTTCTAAAAATAAGGCGACATTTTTGTGGAAAAAGCACGTTGCTTTGTAGCTAGATTGCCAGTATTCGCTACGCAGCCCTCGATGCCCAGAATGATTATTTTGGTTGGCCTCAAGTCTGCCGCAAAAATGAACACGTTTTCCAAATATGCTACGCCTTGAAGCCAGCCAATGCGGATTTTCGCAGGTGTGAATACGGCGAAGATTTCGTGCCTTTTTGCATGACAACACAAGTCTCATTGCATTCAATATTTGACTGCCAGTCTCTTTGGCATTTAAATTCAGCTGCGACAGAGTAGAGTGAACAGGCTCCTTTACTCACTCCATCTTTACTCCATCTCACCCACACCATTTGCATATACATACCCACCTTTTTTTTTTTTTGGCTGGTCCAACCTGTATCTACTTGCACTATGAAGGCATCATCCATCTTCACAACAGCGTCCACGCTTATCGCTGGCCTTGCTTCGATGGTTAGCGGCCACACATACCTAAGCCATATCTATCCTAATGGAAAGCGGTATGCCGAGGGCGCCTGTATCTACCCTACGACAATAATCGCGCCAACCCTGTCATTGGCCCAGACTCGAAGTCCATGACATGCGGTATTTCGGGCTACAACAACTCGACTAACGAAATTTGCCCTGTCAAGGCAGGTTCTACCATGACCATTGAGTGGCATCGCTATAACGATACGATGGAGGACTATGTGCTTACACATAACCACATGGGTCCATGCCTTGTGTACATGGCACCAAAGGATAGCCGTGGCCACGGCGATGTGTGGTTCAAGATCTTCGAGGATGGCTACGACCCCAAAACCAAAAAGTGGTGTGCCCAGAAGGTCATTGACAACCACGGCAAGATCGATATCAAGCTGCCTGCTGACATCAAGGCTGGCGACTATCTGCTGCGCACTGAGATTATCGCGCTCCACAATGCGGCCGACATCAACGGTGCACAGTACTATCCAAACTGTGCTCAGCTCCGGGTCACTGACGGTGGGTCTTCCACCCCAAAGGGCTACGCCATTCCTGGAGTCTACAAGAAAACCGACCCAGGAATCCACTTTGACCTGAAGACCCCCTTTACGTCGTATCCCATTCCTGGTCCGCCGCTGTACCAGGGGAGCAGCCAGACTATGCCTGCGGGGTCTTCCGATAGTGGACCGGCAAAGGCTGGCCCCTCGTGCACCAAGGGTGCCAGCAAACAGACCCCCTTGGCTCATACTGCGATGGGCAGATACTCTACTGCTCCAGCTAAGCCCTCAGCCACCAGCGATAGCCCGCAGACAGTAACAGTGACGGCACAGAGGACAGTCACACAGTTCATCACTGTAAAGCCGTAATACATCACTATGTAGCTCTCTATGACCGATTCAAGCTATAAACTTGTGACGATAGCGATAGTCTAGCAGGGTGGTTTTGTCCACAGTTGGATCTGTGAGAACAGGTGGAATATTCGTGGACATGCATTCTTGACATGAAATATAGGCATGGGCTCGCTGGGTGTCTCATGCGACCCAAATACACTAAGTCGCATGCACTTCTAGAGACCTGCCCAGTGACCAAACGCAGAGTTGGCGGTGTACATCTGCTGCCGCTTGTTGCCGCACATGGTAGGGGGTGGTCGGTGTTCATGAAAAATTGGCCTGTCTGGTTCTCAGTAAAGAAAGTGTACAAACAGAATGGCCGGCTTGGTGCTGCACATGCATGCATGTGCAGCAATTCCTAGGTGCTCCATGTCGCTTGTTTCCCAGAAAATCGGGGTGTAGTCGGCAGCTGCAATGCGGGTGCCAGAATGAGGGGCTGGATGCAATGCAGATCGGCAGACCATGCGTTAGTCAGATTCCGAGGAAGCAGCGAACATCATGGATCCGAGGTCTCCCTGATTCCATGGAAGCAACACTACATGGCCACCACTAACGACACGGTGTATTTTTGGCAACAGAAACAGCCTTCAGAACCCCTGGAGCCTTGAACCTTCTATTTTTGCCAACTGACGTGGCATCCCTTTTACTTTGTACCTCCCTTCGCTCGCTCTGGTTTTACTTTAGTCGGTGCTAAAGTAGACAAAGTAGAAAAATCAGGCTTTGTATCTATACTTGCCTCTGCCGCATTGGGTTCCACATACATAGTGCGACAGCTAATACGCACTTTGGCGGTGCATGGGTTGCTTTGCTCGGGCATAGGAGCAGAAGCCGAAAACTTTGATTGCCCAAACGACGCCCATTGCCGTACATGTGTCAGCAGCGCGCATTTCCGAAAGCAAGGAAATAGCTCAGACTTGAATGGAATTTCCTGAGCAGTTCCCAAATAAACACCCACGAGCCTGTCAACCAGACTGATATCTGTTGAGGCATTTTAAAACACGTATTTTTAGTAAATTTCCCTTTTGACAATCCAAACCACATGGCAGAACCTGCACAACGCAAAGAAAAAAAAGATCTTTCTGGCGGTTTGAATTGGATTGCGAAAATATGTGTGCTAGCTGGCTGCACAATATTATCCTAGACAATACTGCTAATCGACAATGCCAAAGTCACGTCAGTGGTGTGTGTATCTTTCGCTCCTGCGAGCACCAGCGGAATTGTATAAAGCGAATTGACAGACACCGGGCTTCCAGTATTCGGCATCGCAACCTTCTACTCACGATTTTATCCCTTACCCAATTGCATTTTTGGCTGGTCCAAACATCTTTCACGCACTGCAAAAAATGAAATTCCTCTCTGCACTCACATACGCTCCATTCCTGCTGACGGGGCTCGCCTCAGTGGCGAATGCGCACACGTACTTGCGCAACCTCACGATGAACGGTGTAAAATACACCGAGGGTCAGTGCATTCTGCCGTATGTGGGCGACCGGATTCAGCCAGTCTTGAATCCGACTAGCCAGGACATGATGTGCCGGACGCAGGACAAGAATCTGACAGCCTCGATGACGTGCCCGATCAAGGCCGGCTCGACAATCACGGTTGAGTGGCACTGGCTCGAGGACTTCCCGAACGATGTGATTTCGTTCAACCATCTGGGTCCGTGCATCGCCTACATGGCGCCTCTGGAAAGCAAGGGCCACGGCGATGTGTGGTTCAAGATCTTCGAGGAGGGCTATGACCCCGCGACAAAGAAGTGGTGTGTGGACAAGATCCGCGAGAAGGCTGCGCACGGCCAGTGGAACATCACTATCCCCGCGGATATCAAGCCTGGGGACTATATGATCAGAACAGAGATCATTGCCCTGCACGAGGCATACAGAGAGAACGGCGCGCAGTACTATCCCAACTGCATCCAGGCGCGTATCCAGGGAAGCGGCAGTGCTACGCCCAAGGGATATGCAATTCCGGGAATCTACAATGCAACTGATGCAGGCATTATGTTTGATCTCAAGAAGCCGTACACGTCGTACCCGATCCCGGGCCCGCCGCTGTACAAGAGCGGCAGTGCCGACACTAACCAGAGGGTTGCATATTCATCGCAGGCTGGCACACCGACTCCGACACCTACTGCTGTTCCGTATGCGACACAGTCAAAGGTGTATGCTGCCACCTCATCAGCCGTCCACAGGTGCGCCGCTTGAAATGCATTTATTATAACGAAGTGTTCAGGAATACAACGTCTATTTAACCAAATCTGATGCTGCAGCTGCAAGGAACATTCTTGCGGCATTCATGCATGAGTGGCTGTTGGCTCCAGCGTGCCAATTATCGATACCAGCACCTGCATGATGTCTAGATCCAGCAGCCTGCTCAATGCAGGGCAGTCAGACAATGCTTATCACGATCAGTGCTCAAGAGCTCTGTTGATCAGCAGCAACGGCACTGCGTTTGGAGCCCTTCTCTTCAATGGTTCAGACACGCTCTTCTCATAGTCTCCTCCATGCCAGGCTTTCTAGTCGGATTCCATCCAAATTCACTAGTTCTCTGTGGATTTACTATTTACATAGCTTCAGCAGCAATATCCACAGCAGTGTTACTCATCGGCACCAAAATGGTGTATACAAAGCCATCGCTGTGGCGGAACTTTGTGTTTCAAATACTCTTGCTGATCCAGATCCCCAGCGTCATTCGGTTCACGGTCCGTGCGGTGACGATCAAAAGCACGCTGACAAACGAGGCCGTGTGCCGAGCATTGGGGGGCGATAAACCACATCTCAGCGCTGCTGCCTGCATACATGGCAGTCTACTGTGTCGTGTATTTGCAGATGATCACGGTATACTGGGTGTCGATGGAGAAGCAATGGCCGCATGTGCTTTTGCTTGGCAGCAGTGCGTTGTGTATCATTGTGCCGAACATCGTGTACTTGTGCTTGAGCTGGCAGAGGCTAGGGCTGCCGTCGGATTGCGAAGAGCCACTTGTACCCACCAAACGCGATTTTGTGTTCAGGATTCTGACAATGTCGGTGTGGACGTATATTCCCGGCGTGGTTGGAATCTGCTCGATGGCGATGTGCATATTGTGCGGACGACACACAAGACCAGTCGGACAATGGGAGCGGCCAATGCAGAGTGGGCTGGCTCGAATCTTCTGGCAAAGCGGCACGGAAACGCGATGCTGCTAAACCGCACACTGTATGTGGTCGTGGTACTGCCAGTGACACCGGTCCTGGACCTGTGGTTCAACCAGGCGCTAGTCATTGTCCGGTACTATTCGCAAAAGAAAATGCTGGCCATGGAGTACGTTAATTCTGGGCTGTTTTCGCTGATGGCGGTGTTCCTGGGGACATCGTTCTTTATCAATCCTGGTGTGAGGCAGCAGTTACGCGAGCAATTCAGGCCCAGATAAAATGGTGTGCGTGGGCTCTGTGGAGCTGAATGTGCCAGGCAAGCGGTGTGGCTGGGCTGATTGCCAGGCACGGTAGGAGAAAACGATACTCGCTAATATCCTTCCAAGGTTCAGCAATACACGATGAGCCGGCCGCAAAGTATCGCTCTGGGGTAGGGAGTCCAGGCAGGTGCATGGATGCTTAGGACTGCATGGAACCTGCAGGCGAATGATCCGTCTGATCTAGGCTCTAAGCACAGAAATGCGCTGGCCGTAAGAAAGGCGTGGCATAAACCCAAGGATATTTAGTAAAAAGGAGGATTGCGAGATTTGAAATTCAGTTCAGGAGCATATTTGCAAAGCAGGAGCACATTCCATTGCACAGTTTTTCTATTCTCGCTTACCTAATTTCTACATTTTTCAGCACACTTTGGTTCATGTATGGATGAGCAAGGATGGATAAGAGACAAGCGAGGGTCGCCGATGATCAAAGACTATCCAGAGTATCTGCACACATTATCGCTGGTGATGTTCATACTGGCGGCGACAGTAGGGTTCCTGGGGCTTGTGTTCGGGCTAGTGGTAATACAGATGAACAGGAAAATCTGGAAAAACACGATATTCCGTGTTCTGGTTGTGGTGCAGGCGATCAACGGGATCCGGTTCACACTGGCGACACTGATAACGGTGCCACATGTTAAAGGCACAGATGCTATGTGCCGGGTGATTCTTTTTGTGTGCGGAGTGACGACAATGCTGCCGATATACCTGACGACATTCTGTGTTGTGTACATACAGCTGCTGGTGATCCACCAGATATCGCCGTCGAAGCGTCGGACAGCCCGGATAAGCATGCTGACATTCGGCGTGCTGTGTTCGGTGGTCCCACAGTCGATATTCCTGTTTCTGTCGCACCGCGCCATGGACATTACATCGTTCTGCTATCTCCCGCTGATCCCGACCAAGCGACAATTCATCGCGATCACACTGTCGTACTCAATATGGAGTCTGATTCCGGGCATCGTGGGGCTAGTTAGCATGGGGATGACTTTGTGGCATGTGTTCCGGACATCGCGGCGGGTGAGCCAGTTGCTGATCGCCACCAGCAGGCAGACGGATGGCATGGATTTCGAACTGGCGCGACACAGCAACACACTGCTGCTGAACAAGACAATGTGGACGGTAGTGTGGTTCCCGGTGGCGCCAATTCTGGCAGAGTGGTTCAACGTCATCCGACTGCCACTGAACTATTACGAGCACGATGTGGATAACTGGAGAGAGTACCTGGCGATTGCGCTGGCATGCTCAATTTCGTTTGTGCTTGGGATTGCGATTGTGGTGAATCCGGCGGTCCGGGCAGTGGTTAGCGAGCGGAGGCATCGGCGGCAGCGGGAGAAGCTCGAGGCAGAGGCCAGCATGGTGGCATCGGTGTCAGTGCATTCGATGGTATTGTAGCCACGGGACCAGGAGGTGTCAGGTGGCAGCTATCCTGCCAAGGCCTTTTTGCGGTGCGACTGGGTTGATGAACCGCTTAGATTTTTATCCTAATGGCATTTGCTTATTTTTTTTCTCCAAAGCACAGTTAGTCCGAATTGGCAATTAGCCACTGGATTCTTTTTCTTTTCTCTTTTTTCCCACCTTTCAAACATTCAGTTTTTACTTTTCTGTTTCGAAGAGCACCGATGAGTTCGACGCAAAACGCTGCGAACAACACGAACGTTTCAGAGCAGGCCAGAAAGAGGCAGACACGCAGAGACGAGGTAAAGATAGGATATTTCCGGAAAGGTGGTTCCCCTCCCCTGGTGTGAATAATTCAGTTTTCCACTCCTTGGCAAAAAAAACAGTTCTTGCAGGGGCTAATTGCAGAATTCAAGGTAGATAATTCGCAAGAAGGCCGAGGCAGACCTCAACAAGAAGATGAGCCAGAACCGCAACAGACCAGGGCCTCCGGGCAGTGGTGAGGCACCGCAGGCAGCGGCAGCGGCATCCCGCGGCAAGCGGGCGGCAGCGGGCACAGTAGCGGCGCTGCGACCAGCACCGGCGCTGACGGTGCGCGACGGGATTTCAATCACGGAGGCAGCGCAGCTGATGGCAGCGAAGCGGGCTGACAGCGTGCTGGTGGTGGACGACGACGAGCGGCTGGCAGGGATCTTCACGGCTAAGGATGTGGCGTTCCGTGTGGTGGCCGAAGGTCTGGATGCGCGGACCACGCAGGTGCGGGAGATCGCCACACGCGACCCGCTCTGTGTGACTAGCGATACGTCGGCGACGGATGCGCTGAACACGATGGTGGGGCGGGGCTTCCGTCACCTGCCGGTGTGCAACGACGAGGGAGACGTGGTGGGGCTGCTGGACGTGATCCGGTGCATGTATGAGGCGCTGGAGAAGATGGAGCGGGCGTACCAGTCGTCGAAGGCGCTGTATGCGGCAATCGAGGGCGTGGAGAAGGAGTGGAGCGGGCAGTCGGCGCAGATGATGCAGTTTGTGGATACGCTGCGCGAGCGCATGAGCTTCCCGGACATGACGACGGTGATCGACGGCAATGATCCGGTGATTGTGGGTCCCAAGACGCCGGTGATGGAGATTGCGCGGCAGATGCGCGCTAACCGCGTCACGGCGAGCCTGGTGGTGGACGACGAGTCGGGCGCCATAGCCGGAATCTTCACCAGCAAGGACATTGTGCTGCGAGTGATTGCGGCGGGGCTGGATCCGCGCACATGCAGTGTGGTGCGGGTGATGACTCCACACCCCGACACTGTCGCGCCGCAGACGTCGCTGGTGGATGCGTTGAAGCGCATGTACGAGCGGCACTACCTGAATCTGCCGGTGGTGGCCGAGGACTCGGGCGAGATCCTGGGGCTGGTGGATGTGCTGCGGCTGTGCTACGCGACGCTGGAGCAGATGAAGTCCATCCAGGGCGCCAACGCCGACGACCCGGCGGGCCCGGGCGGCCCGATGTGGTCGCGGTTCTTCAGCGGCAACCTGCCGGCAGAGCTGGGCGGCGCCGGCTCGACGCTCAGCGACTCGATGCATCCGTCGCAGACCGCGTACTCGCACACGGCGCCGTCGTTTGTCGACGGCACTGCGCGGCTCGCGTCGGAGATCTACCCGAACGAGTCGGCATCGATGATTGAGGACATTCACTCAGCCGTCAACTCACGCGTGGGCGAGCAGGACCCGTATGCGTTCCAGTACCAGCAGGACCCGAACTATGCGCAGGCCCAGTATGCGGCGTTCAACCAGCAGATGCTGATGCAGCAGCAGGCGCAGCAGCAGATGATGCAAATGCCGCAGGCCTACTCGAACCTGGGCAGCGCCGCCGTGTTCATCCAGCCGGGCATGCCGACTGCGTCGCATACGGGCTCGGGCTCGATGCTGCAGTCGCAGGCTCAGTTCTCGAATGCCCCGAGGGCCACTACGTGTTCAAGCTCAAGACCCCGTCGGGCAAGACCCACCGCTTCACTGCCCCGGCCAACGACTTGGACTTTGTGCGTGTCACATGCGTCAAGAGGCTCTTGTCCGAGGGTGTGACTGACGCGCAGGCGCTGGTCGACGAGTCGGGGCTGGCATACATCGACGACGAGGACGACTTTGTGCATATCACCAGTGCCGCTGATCTGGCCGACGCCATTGATCTGGCGAACCGCGAAGGCAAGGGCCGCGTGCTGCTGCAGATCAACCCGCGTGCGCTGGCCTACCAGACCGCCGCAACCAAGGAGCCCGCCGAGCTTCCTGTGCAGGAGCTGGGTCCGCTGGGCATCCCCGAGAAGTACCTGGTGCCTACGGCCGTCGGCGGCGGCTTTGTGACTGCGCTGTTCTGCGTGTGGCTGGCCATGAAGCTGTCCAAGAACTAGGTCTTTTGCTTTCTTTTGTTTTCATGTTATTGAGAAGTCCCCTTTCTAGAAGTCAAAAGATGCTACGCCAGGTACATGCGAGGGACCCTGTATAGAGTACACTGTTCGTTAGAGCCTCCGGGCTCGCCGCGTGTCGGCCGAGCGGACTGCGTTCTGGCACGTGCAGCAGACAAGGAAGGCCGCGTAGATACCGGCTGCTACAAAGCATGCGTGTCCGACCGCCTTGGGGTCCGCTGGGTCCTCTGTCGAGCTCGTCAGCTCGTGCACCTCGGCCTTGAACAGCGCTCCCAAGATGAGCAGAAAGATAATTCCAAACACCGACAGAATCTGGCACGTCGTAGCGCAACCGGGCGAAATGAAAGCGAGCTGCATGATTGAAAGACGAAAATAGTGCGAATTAGAAGAGATTGAGCGGAGAAGTAAATGCAAAGGAGGGAGGAAAGGAACATATGAGCCGGTCAAGGCCTGTTGCTGCATCACCGCGGGTGCCCAGTAATCAACAGTGTCAAAGCCCTGGTAAAATTTTTCAAAGTGCCGCACACCTGCGTGCGCTTTAATTTTCGGGTCCAGCCAGCCAGCCCAGCTGACGCGAGCTCCGTTCGTGTTTGGTTTACTTTGTTTCTCTTCTTTCTTGGCCACCGGCATTTGTTTCCTTTCCAAATTAATCGGGGCCTAACCTTATTACATTCTACACATTTTTGCACTCCATGGACGGCTCAATAAGACACGCAGCCGCCAAACACCGGCACTGCCCCTACACACGCAATCGGCATTCGCTGACTGACCAGGCAATTAGACTATACCAGCGTATCAGCCGGCCCTTCCTCACCCGCCGCCCCTTGCTAGGCTCCGACACCGACGCATTCAGCGTTCCCTGGCACACCGAGGAGCGCGAGATCGCCGAGCTCAGAGAGGAGCTGCGGGAAGCCCAGCAGGCGGCCAAGGCATTTGATGCTCGCCAGGCGTCCGTATCTGAGCCGTTCGAGGCTGTGTTTGACACTGCGCGGAGGCTTGCCGAAGAGCGGTCTGTGCCGAGCCTCAAGGGCAAGGAGCCGGAGGTTGGCTCTGGTGAAGAGCCCACGGACCGTGATGCCGGCAGCAAGGGTGTATATGTGAATGAGCAGGCGGTTGTTGCTGCTGGCTATGAGGATGGCGAAGATCTGGAGGACATTGACTATGTGCCGGATGATGAGACCGATGAAGAGGAGGAGGAGTTGCTGCAAGATATTGAACCGATCGATGAGGCTGAGGAAGTGACTGTAGGCGGATGCGAGAGGGCAGTGGATCGCAGGCTAGCAAGCCGGCTCCTGAAGTCGTTCTTAGTCCACCGGAGCCGCCGAAACATGAGGCTGTTAGCGCGACTAGCGAGTCTGGAGAGGATGAGTCTGAGGAGGACAAGGCCTGAAGAGAGTGAGGAAAACGAGGACACACCTGATCAGCGATAATGCTAGTCAGTCTGAGTCTGAGGCTATTGCCGAAGCCATTGCTGAAGAGGCTGCTGATGGTTTCTGCTCCCGAAGAGTCCTCCGAGCAGGCTTCTGAAGAGGATATCGAGGCTGAGCCGGCGTCCGAGGATGGTACGCCGATTCTGATCAAGTCCATGTCGAGGTTATAATCGAGTCTGACAGTGGCGACTAGCGCTGACGAAGATGCCGATGAGAACATCGATGGATAGCATTGACGAAGGCGTCGCCGAGCCCATATGTGGGATACCGAATGCTGCGGATTCGGACCAGGTGGCTGAAGAAGTGATTGCTGCTGATTCGGATTCGCTCCAGCAACCCAGCGACGGCGAGGAGACTGACGTGATTGAGGGTGATTCAGAGTCCGCCGATGACGACCAGTCCTCACCAGCCGCATGATGAGACTGAGCACATTCAGCCAGAGTCTAGACCGATACAGTGGTCACTTGCTTAAGAGCGTGATCGTCGTTCCTTGGTCAGCTTGCTGCATCCGCGCCCAGTTACGCACAGCAACAGCAGCAACTACCAACAGCAGCAGCAGCAAGAACGCATTGAGGATGGGCAGTATGACAGCGATAAGGCGGTTGAGACTGAGGCCTGATAGTGAGCGATCTGAGGAAGATGCCGCTGCCTACGGCGAGGAGCCCACTGAAGAATTGTCTGCGGAAGAACCCTATGAGCAGAGGCACGACCGCAGCAGCGAGGTCCGCGAATCGATGTTTGCGTCCCTCAAGCGCCAGCTCAGCGAGGCTTCTGAGCCACAGTTACCCAAGCGCAGCTACCAACCATCTACCATTAGGTGCAGCAGAACCAGCAAGCAGAGCCTGACCGAGCGGCACCCTCCAGAAGAATACCCGGCCGTTCCCGCACGTTCCGCGCACATTTTTAGACTTGACGAGGCCGCTTACGCCTTTCTCGAAGCGGTTTAGGGCAGCCGGCCAAGACAAACCCATCCAGGGCCACACATCAGTGCCTATGGTTGCCTACCAAGCCAGCGCCAGCACCAGCAGTCAAATCAATGTCAGACCAGGTCTTGTCCAATGCGGACCCATCTACCAACACGACGATCACTGCTGCGTCGCTTGGCCTGGGACCACTGGGGGGCTCGGCCCGCGCACACTGCACGCGCCTGCCCAAGAAGACAAAGGCGTACTACGGATCGGGATACGGCTCGCGTAGTCTGCCATACGTGTTCCGCGCGTCACGCAGCGCACCTGCAGTTGCCACAGCTGGATCACGCAGCTCAACTGCAGTGACAGGGGATCCTGATGGCCCAGCAGCGTCTGAGCCCAAGGGCAGTATCACAGCACGGAAGATTCCTTGATATCATCAGCGAGATACCGCCAGCACGGTCAGCAGGCAGCTCTGGAGTCGCGGGGCATGCCTAACCCGTACGAGATCGTTGCCTCACACCCTGGGCTGATCCGGAACACGAGTGCACAGCGTCAGGCGGGTGCTGGATTCCTGCCAGTGCCCGTTTGCCGGAGCTTGCACGAGAAGTCCTCCAGCAATGCAGCAAGGAGCAAGGCAAGCGTCGCTTTTGGAGTCGATTCAGTCAGCTGCCCCGCCCGAGATCCAGTCGCTGATCGCCAAGGACCAAGGAGGATATGCCACCGGTGGCTTCAAAGCCGGATACTGAGAGCAAAAAGACAGAGGCTTCTAGCCTGGCCCCGCTGGTTGCTCCTGCACCGGTCAAGGAGAAGTCAGCCGAGGCTACTGTGTTGCCATCTAAGGCCTGAGAAGTCCAGCAAAGCCTGAGAAGTCAGCGTTGCCTGCCTTTGCACCAGAAACCAAGAAGGCGCAGGATCTGGCAGTTGCCCCAGCAAAGGATGCCGTAGGTTCAAGCCGCAGATGCCATCGGCCATTACCACGAGGCCTCAACCAGTGACGGTGCGGGCACTGACGGCCGGCCAGTCGCAGTTACCGCAGTTCTCGTTTACACTCCAAGTACCGGAGTTGGCCAAGACCCCAGTGAAGCGCAAGATCTCCCAGATGGACGCGTCTGAGCTCCCGGCCTTTGATTTCACTCTAGGAGTAAAGCGGCAAGCGGTTGACCCGCCAAAGTCTACGGCAGCCACTGCCACGCCACCTGTGCAGGACCCTTGGAACCAGCCCGCAGCAGCGAAGAGCAACCAGTGGAAGTGCTCCATCTGCGACTGCGTGAGTCCCGATTCGGCAGACAAATGCATTGTCTGTGAGGGTCCAAAGCCCACGTCTGCCCCTGCTGCGAAGACCTTGCCTGCTTCTGTTGAGAACCCGGTGCAGGATCTTTGGAGCCAGCCTGCAGCAGTGAAGAACGGTCAGTGGAAGTGCAGTGTTTGTGACCTGCTGAGTCCCGACTCTGCCGACAAATGTACTGTCTGTGAGGCTCCGAAGCCCGGACCAACTCCAGTTGCTCCTACTCCTGCTCCCGCTCCGGACTGCCCCGATAAACGATGTGTGGAAGCAAGCCTATGGTGAAGAGTGGTGAGTGGGTTTGCTCGCTGTGCAGTCTCAAGAGCCCCGGACTCTGCTGACAAATGCATCGTCTGCGAGGCTCCGAAGCCTGGATCAGCACCAGCTGCTCCTACTCCTGCTCCCGCTCCGACTGCCCTGATAAACGATGTGTGGAAGCAGCCTGCGGTGAAGAATGGCGAGTGGGTGTGCTCGCTGTGCAGTCTCAAGAGCCCCGGACTCTGCTGACAAATGCATCGTCTGCGAAGCACCAAAACCCAGATTAGCTCCAACTGCGCCAGCTGCTAGCACCACTGTCCAGCCATCGGCCGGTTGGGGACAGCCCTCGCTCGGGACTGACGAGTGGAAATGCCCCACCTGCGACTGCAAAAGTCCTACATCGTCAAACAAGTGCATTGTGTGCGAGGCACCAAAGCCAGCGCCTGCTCCGGTTGCTCCGACGAACGACATCTGGAAGCAGACTGCAGTAGTGAAGACCGGCCAGTGGAAGTGCAGTGTGTGCGATCTCCTGAGTCCAGACTCGGCTGACAAGTGCACTGTCTGTGAAGCGCCTAGGCCCGGATCCAAGCCCGTCCAGCCCCTAGCCGCACCCGTGCCGGCTTCTTCATCCAAGAGCTTCTGGGGGCAGCCATGTGCTCAAAGCCGACGAGTGGAAGTGCCCGACATGTAGCTGCACAAGCCCAAAGTCTGCCAGCAAGTGTGTTGTGTGCGAGGCCCCGAATCCCGCAGCAGGCAGCGGAAAAGCCGCCGGTATCCATCAGGGACCGCGTCAAGACCTTTGAGGCAGCCAAATTGCCGCTCGTTTAACTTCGACCTGGACGTCAAGAGTAAGCCGACGCCGCCATTCCTGTCGAGCGGCTTTGGGTCACCCTGCAAGCACCGACTCGGGCAACGCTTTCCAGTCGGCGGCACTGGTGGATGGCGAGTGGAAATGCGCGCTGTGCGGGCTCAAGAAGCCCCAGGGATACAGTAGAGTGCACGGTGTGCGGCACAGCAAAAAAAATGAGGACCTCACCATACATGCTCCTCCCACGCCGCACTGTTTTTACGTTGTTGCTTTCATGTCCGATGTTTGGGAAATACAGTTGTTCCTTTTTCGCCTTCCAGGAGCGTAGAATGGCGATTGGTGCACATTTGGGGAGCGCCACGGACACGCATGTACCTCAACCGCCAAAGAGTGCAAATGCGGCACTGGCTGGGCCTGCTGCCCGCCAACACCATCGGAGATGTGCGCCGGGAATTGCCAGAGGGACGTGGGCGTGGAGGAGTGTTCGCGCAGCCAAGGCGCCTAGGTTCAATTAGGTAATCTGATCCTGGGTAGGGTGCTGCTGCCGAGCTGTACAGTCGGCATTAGGCCGGTGGTAATTGGAGGGGGTGGTGGAAAGACATTAGCTTACAGGCGTTCAGTTTTTTTTTTTTTAAATTTCCTCTTGCCGGGCGATTTTTCTGTCCCTCTCTCCATTGCGCTATCTCAGCTTTATTCGTACCTCAGCACTTTTCTCTCTTTGCCGTGCTCCTCATTTTTCTATAACCGCTGTGCACCGATTCCCCCACCACTCTACCTTCCTGTTCTGGATCTGCATCGAAACCGCACGGTAGAGGCTTGGTTCCATATTTCCTTTTACCGGCGACCAGGGTCTAGCTTTTCTTTTTATAGCACGCCATCTTGCGGGATACAGGCGCGGCTTCATTCACAGAACCGCCTTTTACACAGCTACGCACTGCGCATTCACAGGACACGGGCTTTGGCATTTAGACATGAGTGGCTCACACCAGGCCTGGGTGCTGTCGATGACGTCTGGGGTTGCGTCGGCGCTGGGAGGTACGTACTTTATTGTCTGCGAGCCATTTGGTTTTTGAGGGTGGGGCAGGAGCTGGGGTTGTGCCACCAGGGTGAAGGGCGATCTGGCCGCGTCCTATCGTCCCTCAATCACCATCTGCTCCGAAAAGGGCACATGACAGTAACGTGTGTACCCGACGCATTATTAATCCCTCCAATCTATGTAGCAGCGATGCTGTACTTGGACCCATTGCTGCACAAGCTCGGTATACCAGAGCATGTAAACATACTGGAGTCGCACACAGTTCTATCGGCACTGCTAGCAGGGGCGTCAGGAATCATGGCGTACACGAGCATCAGCTCACTGACCGGCGAATCGATCGACTACCTGGCGCAGTACAAGGGGTGGCCGATTGCCCAGCAGTACCCGGGCGCAGTATCGGCGGTGTTGTTTTTGCTGGGCGCGCACCTGAACCTGCTTCTGGTGAAGGTCGTAGCGTATGTAATGCCGAGTGACTCGCCGATCAAGCACTCGTGTGCATCTCACTCGCCCAGCGAGGAGGAGCTGCAGGTTGGCGCATCGCACGGTAGAGATCCATCGACAGGAAACACGAGCACTCGCAGTCTGGTGGGAACGCCAGCAGGTATAGATGAGCGGCAGCCGCTACTGAGCAACATCGCCAGCGTACAGCCGAGTCCGCTAGTCAACCGGTTTGTGACGCCAATGGACAGCATGAGCAACTTTGACGGCGATATTACGGCCATGGCAGCAACCGACCGGGACGACAGTTCGCCTGAGGTTGTGCTGCGACACCACCATCGTTGCGACTGCCATTGTGCGTCCGAGTGTCCTGACTTGTACATCCCTGGGCGCAACGGCGAGTGCGAGTATGCATGCACCAAGAGGGATTGCTACCAGTTTGAGCATTGTCACATCACGCCACTGTACCCACACCCGCATACGCATGGCGTCGAGAACAACGGCATTGAGCAGCTTGCCCACGGTGGGCACTGCTACAGCCCGGTAATCAATGAGAATCCGGGCAAGAGCGCCGACCACCACAACCATAGCCATGTATGTGGCAAGTCGACCACAGCAGCCGGCAGCGTCCATAGCAGTGTGCATATCGAGGAGGTTGACGAGCACCATGCTCATCATCATCATCATCACCACCACCACCACCACCACAATGATGATGATGAGCATGAGACTGAGGGTGACAGCAGGACAGCGGCCGAAATCAGCACTCAGCACCACAGACTGCTACTGCATGTCGGCCTGCAGACCGCTGTAGCGATTGCGCTGCACAAGATCCCTGAGGGACTGATTATCTACATGTCTCGACGCGCATCACCCAAGCTGGGCGTGTCAGTAGCGGCGTCACTGTTCTTCCATAACCTTCCCGAGGGCCTGATGCTGGCGTTGCCGCTGTTCCTGGCCACGGGCCGACGGACGCAGGCATTCCTGGTGTCGTCACTGATGGGCGCAGTACCGCCATTTATTGGAGCCACAATCGGGTGGTTTATTGTCGACGATGTGCTGGACGACGGGGCAAGTCTCGCAGGCGTGTTTGGCGTGGCGTTTGGTATCATCGCAGGCATGATGAGCATGGTGGCTCTCAACGGAATGCTCCCGACTGCACGGATCTACGACAAATCCGGGAATGTTGTTGCATGGTGGTTCGCGTTTGGCATCGCGGCGATGCTGTTTGCTAACTCGACTCTTAAATGATAACTAAGAGTCCCGCGCTGGTAGATAATAATATATTCTGCTGAGACTTGAGGCTTTTTGTTGCTGGGACTTGCGAGGTGGGATAGTAGCGGCCCGCTTGTCCCGACACCATCGACAATGTGCAGCTTATTGAGTCGTTTGGATGCCTCCCAGCTTGCGCTGTCGTGACCGCTGTCATGTGCCGCCTTTTTAGTGGCGATGGCATTTCTCTCGCGTAACACCCAGCAATAAAACTGTTGCAATTGTCGTTGATTGTATTGTCTTTAGGTGGGTGTTTATCAGCGCTGAGCACCATCTGGCCGCTTTTGCAGCGTTCGTCTGGATACCACTTGCAAACTCTAGTCGCCGGAGGGCTCAACAGACTGCCCCTCAAGCAGTTTGACTGGGTGGCCTGACACCGAACTCCCAGGCCGTACGGTTGAGGCATAGCGGCAGATATGTCTGAGCAGCTGTGGTTGTATGGCGAATGCACTATGCCGAGTAGGCGATGGCCACTGGTCTTCTGGGGACTCTGTACGTCGATCCAGGGAGTCAGCGTAGCCAATACAATAGCATGGCCCCCACCAAGAGTGGGTTGTGTACCCGGTATGAATCAGGGAATTTGATCGTCCTGCCATGTGGTGAGGTGCTGCCTATCCATAGAGGAGCTGGCCAACAGGCACATCCCGGCGCCTCCCTGCCTCTGCTCAGCTTCCTCGCACATTGGATTTATTTACCTACACAAGCAAATGACTCTTGGGAGTACCCGCAAGCGCTTCAGCACCATCCTGCGGCGCAAAGAGCGCCTGCCTCTGTCGGCGGTCATTGACAACTCGACGCGTGCCAGCAGCACCGACGGCTCCACAGCCCCATCCAATGCCCTGGCCCGGACCCAGATGGTTGGGTCGGCGACCTCCGAGGACATCTTTGTGGTCCGCATGACAGCGTGGAGGCGGCTGGTGAAGCTCTACGAAACATACTACCAGAGTATCGTCGCAGCCGAAAAGGCCGCGGCAAAGAACCTTGAAAAGGCACTGGGCGAATTTGCCGTTCCGCTGCAGGGCGAGCACTTTTTCCTGGGCGTCGAGCATCCGGGCGTGCAGAATATAGCCAGCCAGGTCAAGAGCGTGCACGGGAGCTTCATTGCGCAGCAGATGAATCTGGTGCAGACGGTGGAGACAGAGACAATCGAGGGGCTCGGCCAGCTGAGGACGGAAATCAAGGACAACATTAAGCTCTATGTTGACCACATGGCACCGCTGTACAAGCGGCTGAGGCGGCAGGTGAGGGAGGCAGAGCAGTATAAGGAGAAGCTGGCGCGCACCATCGACAACCTGCCAAAGGACATGGATGCATGGCTGGCCCAGCAGCAGGTAAGACGCGAGCTGCGGTACCAGGCGGAATGCGAGAACGCACTGTTCCGCGGCGTCCAGGCCGAACACACGCGTCTGGTAAAGTGGGAGGCAGGATTGGCCGAGCGCCTGACGCGGCTGGTCACGACAACCATGCGCCAGCAGCGATCGGCGGCCACGGCCAATCAGCAGGTCCTGGACAAGTTCCTTGGATACATGGACACGTTCGACGCAAAGCATGAGCTGGAGTCGTTTGAGACGCAGTTCGGCGCAGCACTCCGCAACCCGATGGGTCTGGATGGTACGTCGCATACGAGCAAGTATGACTACATGTACAAGAACCACGAGTACACCGACGTGCTGCTGGAGGGCCCGCTGGAGCGCGAGAAGGGCGTGGTGAAGAAGTTCCACGCGCAGTACGCCGTCCTGACAAAGCTCGGGTTTCTGCACTGCTTTGCCGACCAGCTGTTCCTGCTGGAGACAGATCCCGAGGCGTCGTTCTTTTTGCGCGACTGCAATGTTGGCCCGCTGGACGACAACAACAACTTCACGCTGTTCTTGTCTGACAAGGTCGTGGGGCGGAGCAGGTATGTGTTCAGATCGCACGATCGCGAGGTGATTCGGCAATGGTGGAGCATTATTGACGCAATCATCCGAAGCTCGCCCAGCCCGAACAAGGACGGGACGATTGTGGGCGGGTCGCTACGAGACCCGGAGACCGCGGCTAGGGCCATTGCAATCTCTCACCCCAACACCATGCCGACAGCATCGGGGCTGACAGCCAGCGAGCTGGCGGCCCGCAACCTCGAGGAGGATAATGTCCGACGCAGCATGTCCCGCGATAGCCACTCTGCCGGCCATGTATTGCCGAGGGAGACCAGTGCTCCGCTCCCGCCGCCACCACCACCACCCCGCACTGACTTGCCCAGTCCACAGGAGTTGGGCGAAAAGCCTGGGACCCGGTTCCTTGACCTGAACCATGATATTGATGAGCTGTCGCTGGACGATGTGAAACCCGCCAGCGTAATCATGTCGCCCGCCGAGCCTCAGCAGCAATTCTTTGCAAATTAATATTTCATTTGGGAGCATTTGGTACCTTGCAAGTATAAAATCACTCTACCAGCCACGCTTCTCGAGGCGCTCGTTATCGGCCAGCGAGTCGCAGTTGATGCCCACCATGGCCTCGCCGAGGTCCTCGGAGATCTCCGCCAGGACCTTGGCGTCATTGAAGTGGGTGACGGCCTTGACGATAGCGCGGGCGCGCTTGGCCGGGTTGCCGCTCTTGAAGATGCCGGAGCCGACAAAGACACCGTCGCAGCCCAGCTGCATCATCAGGGCAGCATCGGCGGGGGTAGCAACACCACCGGCGGCAAAGTTGACCACGGGCAGACGGCCAAGGCGGGCAGTCTCCTTGAGCAGCTCGTGCGAGACACCGAGCTCCTTGGCGTAGTTGTACAGCTCCATCTTGGACAGCGACTGCGCGTGCCTGATCTGCTTGGTGACCGTGCGCATGTGCTTGACAGCCTGGACGACGTCGCCGGTGCCAGCCTCGCCCTTGGTGCGGATCATGGCGGCACCCTCGGAGATGCGGCGCAGGGCCTCGCCCAGGTTGCGGCAGCCGCAGACGAACGGCACCTTGAAGTCGTGCTTGTCGATGTGGTAGGTGTCGTCGGCAGGCGTCAGCACCTCGCTCTCGTCGATGTAGTCGACGCCAACAGCCTCGATGATCTGAGCCTCAACAAAATGGCCGATGCGCACCTTGGCCATGACCGGGATCGTGACCGCGTCGATGATCTCCTTGATCATCTGCGGGTCCGACATGCGCGCGACGCCGCCGTCCTTGCGGATGTCGGCGGGCACGCGCTCCAGCGCCATCACGGCACAGGCACCGGCCTCCTCAGCAATGCGGGCCTGCTCGGCGTTGACAACGTCCATGATCACTCCGCCCTTGAGCATCTGGGCCAGACCGGTCTTGACGCTGAACGATCCAGAGTCGTCGACAGTGCCGGCGGCGGGGCCGGTAAGGTTGGTGGCGGTCTTGAAATCGGACATGACTGTTTGATGATGCGGGTAGTACCTGAAAGTAGCAGCTGATTCTGAACAGAAATAAAGAGAAAAGAAATGTGTGATCGGGGACTGGAGGTGCTTCTGGTATCTCCGCCCCCCGACCCACGCCTATATTTATACTTCCGCCGGAGGAGCACTGGAGGAAAAAACTCTAGCCCGTCCCCAGGCATCTCAAAATCAGGCGAGGAGGATCAGGGGAGCGAGGCAATGGCACCACGCTGCGCCGAAGCTTACGGAAATCCTCCCGAGCAGCACCTTTTCGCCCAACTGGCCAGGAACTGTGAGGTTGCGTTCGCCCTTTTTCACACTCTCGGGTAGTACCACAGGGTAGAATCACTCATTACCAGCGATTGTTCTTTGGCGTGAGAAATAATGCCCGTGAGAGGCTGCGGCCAGCGGTTCCGACACCATTACTCAGCACGCATCCTGTTAGTTGCTCATCTGTCCTCTCTGCATGGTAGCGAGTCATATGACCGGCCCTAGCCACCCATGCCTCTTGTCCGCACTTTACCAGGCTTGACTCGGTGCAACCGGTCGGCAGCGGCTGGGGACCGCCCTCCATTCCACTGAGCCAGCGTACAATCCCAATTACCGGCTACGGAATCACGGATCTGGGCTGTACCAGCATGCATATACATGTCGCTCTTTGTTGCCAACTGGATCAATATATTGAACTGGACTATGTCCACACCCGAATATAGCCTTGCTAGTTGCGCCATGGCTTCTTGCGCATTATGCCACGCACACTTGGGCTCATGTACATTGCAATGGCCAAAAACAGCGGCACAGTGAAATAGAGTGCAATGGAGACATATTCAAGCCAGACGTATGGTCTGGGTTGATGGTACCGAAGCGGTATATGGAAAGTAGAGAACCATGTAGCCGTAATCGGCGCAATAGGGCACCATATGGATGTCTTGACTGTTCGCTGCGGTATATTATCGCTCTGTCTGCCATGCATAGCCGGGACCTCGTACTTTAGCACATTCTGCCTCTCCACCAACTGCAACTCCTTTGTTATCCGTCGGATATGAAGTGCAAGCTCTATCATGTTTACAATCCCAACTGCGCCCAGCAAGAGCGCCCACAGCCCCAGACAGCATCCTGATCTGATACGCTTTGCGTGAAGGAACTAGTGGAGTAGTACAGAAATCTTGATTGAACTCTTTTAGCGGCACAAGTGCGACGTAGAGATTTGGGCCGATGATGAATGCGGCGCTGGTCAGTATCAGCAGTATTCGCAGCCACTTTGTATGCGGCGGAATGCTGTGGATGGCGGTCTGTTGGAGAATAATCACAATATAGACACGGGTATGTCGGAATGATAGTTGCCGCGTTGTTGACTATGTGAAAGAACCGGCACAGGCCCTGGTCAGCCGTTCTGGTATTGCTCATGACGACACGGAGAATAAACCGGACCCAAACCACGACCTGGGTAAGGAATAGTGCTTGGAATATAAAGCTCCTCCAGATGTCCCCCCGCGCGTATATGATTACGATACTAGCAGCAACCACTAGGAAGGTAAACAATGCGGCGAGCCCGCAGACTGCTGTCTCATATTCTTGGACGATGTGGACGCGGTCCTAAAATATGTATCTGTGTTATCCCCCATGCATGCCAATGGCTTGATATAGAATATGCAAATGAAGGAAGTAACGGGAAAAGACGCCAAATAGAAGAAAAAGCCGCCCATTTAAATGTTCATGGCGAATTGTGCCTTCGGGCAGCACCGGTGCCGTTTGCAAAACCCAATCCGTTCCTTCCATTTCTGGCGCCACCAAGCCGATACATGGATCATGCAATGCTGTCTAGTCGTACCTCGCATTGGTGAAGAGTGCTAGATGTTAGATGTACTTAATGAGTACTGCTATGAAACAAAGTCGGCTAAGGTCCCCGAGGAAAACAACGAGTTGACTCGTATTCTCAGTCCTATAGGGTTACGCTGAATGTTGTTCTGTGGATGCCCACACTTTGACGCCTTCCATGATCTACGGTAGTCGCGTAAAAAGCCCATGACCATCGGATTGAAAAAGAACGCAACAGCCATGAAGATAGTCATCAGCGAAAAGAGAGATATGTTTATGTATTCGAGGTTGTAGTATGGCCGCTGTGAATAAAACCGAACGAATACCAGCGCGCTGTTAAACCAGAGGGACGCAACCGGAGTGATAGGAAACCACACTGCTGACTTCAATGTTTGGTTCAGTAGGTCAGCTGTGGACCGGCCGACGTCTTTCCTAGAATAATTACTAGGCATGCCATCGTGAATCATGATGTTACTGATGCGTCGGGCCCTGCGTGATGTCCTTCGTATATGGACTGCTACGATTGACATGCTCACAAAACTGGCAATCCCTGCCAATAGAGCCCAGACCACAACTGTACCGATAATGACATGGTACAGTTTATCATTGACGACAAGTGGGAGGTCGCAAAAGCTCTCTAGGCCGACAGTCTTGCGTGGAATGGTTAGGTACACGAATTGGGGACCAACCGAACACAGCACACAAATGGTAGCTAGGATTACTCGTGGCCGTCTCGCATGCGGCGAGAGGTTGTGGATGATGACCAATTCCAAATAGATAACCATATAGGCGCACAAGTACACCACAAGATGTGAGCTCATGTTGCTGAGTGTGAGCACTATTCGGCATCCTGCCTCGTTGTGCATAGCTACGCTGGTGAGGAGAGTGCGAGTGAGGAAGCGAATAAAATTCATAAACTGGATAACCAAGAGGCCGCGGAAGACGCTGTTTTTCCATACTCGCCGCTGTATATACACGACAGCCAGTCCAAACAAGAACACCACCAAGGATATCGCCGAGCATGTTACAAAAACAACGAAGGCGTACATTTGTAGTGCTGATGGATAGTCTCCAAACGTCCGAGTCTGTGGATCAGTTGGGCGATGCATACATTATGACAAACGTCAAGCGATAATAATAATAGAGTTGCTTCAATGGAAGAGGAGTGAGATAGTGTCTGGGGCAAATGGTTTGGAGCTTTATTCTGCTCGGCAGACTGTCTAACCCTTTAGTCCCTGGCTGCAGAACAACATAGCCTGTTCCAGGCTCATATGCATTATGCATTGCTCACTAATGTGCAGAATGATGGATGCATCAATGCACATTTGCATATTACAAAGCACGACTCAAGTGTATTCTGTCTGGTACTGAGAAATGAAAAGAAACTATTTACGAGCTGCGACCGAGTGTTGCCTGTGTAGAAAAGTCTGACCTAACCTCGAGTTCACTAGGTTTGCGCCTCTGAGCATGGTGTGATAGATCGCGCCTGGTCATACTCCACGACTTTCCATAGTCGCGAATAAAGTCTAGAACCAACGGGTTGACAAAAAAAGCGACGGCCATGAAGAATGGCATGAGTGAAAGCAGGGAGACATTTACGTACTCGAGATTGTGCATTGGCTTCTGGGTGTAATATCGGGCAATGATCAGCGCAGAATTGAACCATAGCGCTATTATTGGAGCTATCGGGAACCATACAACCGTCCGAAGCGCCCTGTTCAAAAGCACCGCTGTAGAGCGTCCATAAGCCAAGCTGCGGGTGGCGTAAGTATACTCGTCACTTGTCATGTATTTTCTGGTAGATTTCAGGGTGCGGATAATGTGAATCGAGATTACTGCCATACTGGCTAGACTGACAATACCCGCAGCATAGGACCAGACTATGACAGTCGAGATGAGCACGTAAAAGTACCCTGTGGTTGAATAAAACGGAATGCGGCAGAAACTCTCAAGCCCTACCTTGCTGGGCGAAATGAAAAGATAGACCACTTGTGGGCCAAAGGAGCAGAGCACGCATATTGCCATCAGCAGCACTCTTGGCCAGACCTTCGACGGCGAAAGAGAGTGTATGATTGTAAGCTGGAGATATACAACAATGTACATGCAAAGGTACATGGCAAATCCGACTGTACCGTTGTTTAGTGCAAGCAAAATCCGACATCCGGTTTCGTTTGAAATATTAGCCCTACTCAGAGAGAGTCGGAATATGAAACGTAGGCAGTTAACAATCTGGATAACCAACAGAATTCGAAACGCGACGTTCTTCCAGATACGCGGTCGTTTGTATATGACGAACAGGCCAATCACAAAGACCATAAATGATACGGATGCTGATGCAACGAAGATGCCAAGGACATAGTCTAGCAGACTCTGCGGATATCTCCCGAGGATGAGCGATGGTGCTGTGGATTGGCTATACATTCATCGCGCGTAGCAGTGGAGGCAGTCAAGATTGAAAAGGAGTAGATGAGGCGAAAGAGTCAATGGCGCAAACTGCAGGCTGAGCTGGTTATGCTGTGCCTTTGCAAAGTTTTTTTTTTTTTGCAAATCAACGAATCTGTGCAACGCACTGTTGTGCTACACAACGGTGTCAAGGTACATGAGCTTGTTAGTTGGTGGCCCACGCTTCCCTTGTATGTTTATTGGGCAGTTTCGAGATAAGAGTCCAAAGCTACCTAAGTGCCTGTCTTACTGGTGGGCTGGAAGACAGAAAGAGACGAAATGCTAATTGTCAGCTCCGCCGGATTACGGCGCAGTCTACCCTGAATACATTCGCGCCTAGACAGACTCCACGATTTCCTGTAATCGTGCAAAAACTCGATGACCATGGGATTGAAGAAGAATGCCGCAGCCATAAAGATCGTCATCAGCGAAAACAGGGATATGTTGATGAACTCCAGTGGGATGTGGGCTTTCTGTGTGAAGTGGCGAGTGATGATCATTGCACTGTTGAACCACAGCGACATAACGGGCGTAATTGGGAACCATACAACAGTCCGTAGCGTTCTGTTCAGCAGCGCAGCTGTAGTGTAAGCCCGGTGCTGTCCTCCGGTGCCATACGAATGATCGATCCTGTCCATGAACGTCTTTGTTTGCCTCGAGGTGCGAACAATGTGAATGCTTATCACCAACATGCTAATTATACAAATAAAACCCGCAGCAAATACCCAGACGATGATGGTGCCAATAAGGACATGCAGCAGCCGGGTACTGGGAATAAATGGGATTGCACAAAAGCTATTTATCCCGGCGTTGTGCTGAGATATAATAAGGATGACTAGATGCGGGCCGTAAGAAAACAGCACACAGCCAGTCATCAGCAGTATGCGCGGCCATGTTTTATATGGCGAAAGATTGTGGATAATAGTAAGCTGGAGGTATACAATGATGTATACGCAGAGATACATGACGAGTTCTGCCGTGCCGTTGTTTAAGAACATCATAATCCGACACATTGACTCGTTGGTGATGTTTGCCTTAGTTAAGATGATGCGGATTATGAAGCGTAGGCTGTTTACAATCTGAATCAGCAGCAGCGTGCGGAACATGGTGTTTTTGGAGAGTTTCGGTCGCTTGTGCAGCATGAAAACGCCAGCAACAAAGACCACGAACGAGATGGAAGCGGACAGTATGTAGATAATAAGCGCGTATTCCCTCAAACTTCGCGTGTATTCTCCAAACACTGGCGTCAGGCTGCTGGCGTTGCGATACATTCATCGCTTTTAATAAAAAGTTGAACTATCTGCGGAAAATATTAAGAACTAGAAAAGCTACCCAGGCTAGCGTGCCTCGTGGGAAGTCTACAGCTAGAGATCGTTTGACCCAAAAGTTACAATTCCAAGAAAATGGAGGTTCTGCATGATAGTAGCCAAACGCCCCAACTGCACATCCATGCAATGCTCCCAAACATGCTCCTTTTTAGTTGGCATTGGCCGGCCGCATTGTAGAGCCCGGATACAAGTCATGGCCAGGTGAAACAAGTGTACAACGGTAATGCTTTATTGGGTATAGTAGAGATCAGCAAGAGACAGCTGGGAACCAAGCTCGAGCGACGAATACGAAGATAATGAGCGGGTGCGGAAATTCAGTCCCACTGGATGCTGGTGCAGCTGTCCTACCGAGTGTTCACGCCTGGTTGATGGTCGCAATCGTCTGTAGTCACGCAGAAAGTCCATGACCATTGGGTTAAAGACAAATGCAGCGGCCATGAGGATCGTCATCAGTGAAAAGAGGGATAAGTTTATGTACTCGAGATTGAAGTAGGGGTGCGCTGTATAGTGACGGACAATGATTAGCGCCGAGTTAAACCACTGTGAAATGATAGGTGCGATTGGAAACCACACGACAGTTCGAAGTGTCCGATTCAACAGTTCAGCGGTTGAGCGAGTGTGTTCCCTCCCATTGTTGCCGTATGTATACTGGTTATTTAGGATGATCTTTTTGGTCTGCCGTGAAGTCCGAATAATATGGATGGTTATGATAGACATGCTGGTTAGGCATACGATTCCCGCTAGTAGCGGCCACACGACGACTGATCCGATTAGAACGTGGAAAAAGCGCACGCTAGAGGTAAATGGGATGCTGCAAAAGCTGGTTACTCCAGCCGACCTGCGCGAAATGACAAGATATACTATCTGGGAGCCAAAAGAACATACCACGCAGAAAGTCATCAGTGCTACGCGTGGCCATGTTTTGTAGGGTGAAAGGTGGTTGATGATGGTGAGCTGAAGATAGACAGTGACATACATGCACAAGAAAATGTTCATATTGGCTACACCATTATTAAGCACAAACAATATCCGACACGCAGCTTCACTGGAAATAGGCGCGTAAGTTATAATCAGTCGGAAGACGAAGCGCAGGCAATTTATGATCTGTATCGACAACAGCACACGAAACATGATGTTCTTCCATATCCATGGCCGCTTATACACGATGAACAGACCGAAAAGAAACATAATCAAGGGAGGTTGATGCCGATGCGGTGAATATTACAAGACCAAACACCTGTAGACCATGCGGGTACCCTTCAAGTATTGTCGATGCTGAATATTTTTGCTGCGACATTCATATTTTTGGATGACAATCAAAATACAGTCAAGTAGCAAAAAAAAAGGTCGACAGAGGGCTGCAGAGAAAACATCTACTTTCCTTGTAATCTGCTTGGATAATACCAGCATCTTAATGCATGAAATGCGGCGATGGACCTAGACCCCGCTTTCAAACCAAGAACTGTCCAATTTCATGCCGCAGTGTAACGGTAATTACCATGGCTGCCAATGTTCGTCAATAGTTGTTTGCATAAGAATTGTAGATGCTATTGTAAATGCAGAATGCTAAGCTCAGCTGTAAATCCTTTTTAGTAGTCGGCTCAGGAGCATTTCTTGGGATACAAGGGTTTCCCAGTTTCAGTCTACTTCGGTCGGTGCCTTTCCAGTCGCTGGCTACGGAAAATACTGTCGTACACAGGGATTCATTATCATTGCCAACGCATGAATAACCGCCATTAGTGCGAACAGCGCGATGTTGATAAACTCGAGTTCCTGATACTGTCTTCCAGTGTAGTACCGGACTATTGGCAATATCCCATTGAACCATGTCGATACGATAGGGGCAATCGGGAACCACACTACGGCTTTTATCGTTCTGCGCAGCAAATCGCTATTGCCGTTGGTCTCAACAAGATGGGCCGTTCTACTGCCGAGCATCATGCATCCGGGATACCCTTTTGATTCTGCGCGCCGTATGGACCATGTATATCCCGGTAATGCCCATGCTGATGACCCCAATAACCCCGGGCAAAAAAATAAATATGTCGTATGTCACAATAATTATTATCAGTCGGCGCCATGTGGGGATCATGGGAATGTGGCAATAGTCCTGCAATCCCATCTGCCTGGGTGGCAGGTACAAGTAGAGCGTCTGCGGTACAACTGACATTAAAGCTCCGAGCGTCAGGCTTGCAACACGAGGAAAGCGCCTATGCGGCGACACATGGTGGATCACCACAAGCTGAAGGTACAGATTGCAGTGAACGCACAAATACACAGGCAGAATTCCCAAAGCATAGTTTAGAAATGCCATGATCCGACATCCGGCGTGTGAGGTCAGTGGAACACAGGTGATAACTACGCGAGATATTAGTCGTGCGCAGTTGATCGGCTGCACAACGAATACGATCCGAAATATACCATTCTTCCACATAGAACGCTGTCTGAATACAAGTACGGCGCCGAATATGGACATTCCGAGCGAGATACTAGCGCCAATGGAATTGATGGCGATTGCGTATACGCGGAGACTTTGCGCGTAATTTCCAAGTACATAGCCTTCGTTCTCTGGCATTCATAAAAATATCAGTTCTGTCGAGAGAGGGGCCAAGCAGTGGAGAAGACAAAGGCAGGCTGCAGGCTATTCAACGGCCGTGGTGCGTAGCACGAAGAAAGAATCCAAGGTAGCGATTAGATCCTGCAGCAGGTACAACATTGATGGATAATTGAGTTCAAGGCATAGGTGCAAGCCAGGGTCTAGAAAGGAGCTGGGATGCTGTCTATGCAGCAGCATAAATGCCGCAACCGACACATTTCATTCAATGCATTAAACGGACACTAGCAGCGCTCGAAAATCTTGTACAGGTCAGGCACATCTGCCAGCTCGGTAATGCAGCATTCGGTCAGCATTGCATTAGGCGCCCAAAATGACGAGCCCTTCAGCGCTGCCAGTATGCGGTGCTCTACCATCATCCGGTACTCGTCCTTGGCGCTTTGCGGATCGCTCTGCAGAGGCGGCTCGAGCGCAAACATGGTGGCCAGAACGTTGATAAACGATTTGAAGAATGCCTGCTCGTCGTCCCAGTTGACAAAGTACGTTGCGTTGTAGAGAAACAGAGGCAGTTTATCAAAGTCAGGGTGCATAGTCCTGGGACTACCATCGGCAATGTCTCGATAGTGCCAATGTCGCTGATTTTGATGTGGAAATACTCCTCGAGCATCTCGCGACTGTCCCTGAACTTGTCCAAGACTTCCTGTGCACACTTTTCGGGGTCTTCAGGCTTGAGCTCTGTGGCAGCAGCCATAGCCAAGGTCATAGATTGACGGAGCGGGCTGGAGTATAAGCCGGCCAAAGTTCATAAAGTCGAACAGGCAGCGGTGGTAGAAGAGGTGGTAGCTGACCCTGCAGTAGTCAATCATGTAGAGCCGTGTGCTGTACTGGATCAGGGCGCGCCGGTCGTCAATGAAGCCAACAAAGGTATGCTCGCTCATGATCCGGGTCAGTTCTGGGTGCATATGCCGCTGCAGGTCCCTGCGCAGCCCAAGAATACTTGTCAGCCGGACCTCAACGCGTGGGTCCTTTTGGGCAGCAGTGTATGACTTGTCTGTAAGGTCATCGGCAGGTTCCGGATGCTCTGTCGAGAGCTGCTTGGCAGGTGCGCCTTTCTGCGGAGATGGCGATGTGGCGGAGGCTGGCCTAGGAGTTACCGTCGGCGATGGCTGCAGGGTTGGCAAATAGCGGCTCGATATTCTCTACGCTCGACCCCGATCTATCAACACCTTGCACTGGTGGGAGTTGACGCAGAGCTGCTTTCGCGATCAAGTCTACTCAAGAGACTTGTCTCGATGTTTCTGTTGGTACGAGTTGGCGATGGCTCGAGCACCCGTCGTTTGGGTGGTGGTGATCTGATCGGCGACACAGACATATCGGGTTGGATCCGTGTTTGCACCGGCGTGCGCCGAATCGTTGGCGAGTTGCCAAAAGAGAATGAGTCGAGTGAGAGGGTCTTGTAGTTTGTTCGCACAGCACGGTTAACTGGTGTTTTGCGCGGTGTGCTTCCGATTGCTGGCGGATCTACCGGCAGGGCGTTGGCTGATGTAGATGCTGCGGTTCTAGGGATTACAGGGGTAGTTGCTGGTTCGCTGACAGGCCTGTCCTCGGCGTTCGACGCCTCATGTGCGAGCTCCCCACTGGGGCCTTTGACCAGAGTCGTTTGGATGGCGTACTGGCGGACTCTGATTGCTGGCCACCTAGCTTCTTCTGGATATGTGCAATCACCGACTCAATGATCTCATCCTCGTGCAGGAATCGGACCTCACGTTTGGCTGGGTGCACGTTGACATCAACATGCTCCGGCTTGATCTGCAGGTCCAAATACACGAATGGCTTTGACGACTTGGGGAGCACGCCCGAGTACAGTGCATCAAGCGCGCGTTTTATCGGTGTATGGTCGACCAGCCGGTGGTTGATGAACAGAAGCATGACCGACTTTGACATGTCATGGGTGGCGCTGGAAACATAGCCTCTGAATGAGAACTCTGGCCGTTTCGTCCTTTGAACTCGACAGGCACAACTTGCGTTGGCGATCTTCGAACCAAAGACCATGCGGAATATTACTTATTGTTGTTGCCCCAGGTAGCGTATTCAGATCAGCCTTCGGAGCACCAATCTTTCTGCAGGTGAACGCAACACCGGAATTGTGGATTGCATAGCGGCTGGCGACCTCGTAGATCCTGTTGTACTCCTCGCGCGTGTTCTTCAACGCTTTCAGGCGCGACGGGATGTTGTAAAACAGATCCTCCGCAGTAAGCATTGTTCCAGGATTTCCTGCACAGGGCTCAGGGTCGGCACTGGCGCCAGGCTTTGGTGGGGCGAGCTTGCCATCAATGTAATGTGCGCGGTACGCACAGTCGGTGCCCGCCTGCTTCGTCACGATGCTCAGGTGCGACACATGGCTGATGCTAGCAAGCGCCTCGCCCCGAAACCCGTAGGTATGGATACTCTGCAGGTCTTCATACACGCGCAGCTTGCTGGTCGTGAAGCGCTCGCATACCAGCGGCAGATCCTCGGTGCGGATGCCATGTCCGTTGTCCTGGATCTGCAGGACTTTGAGTCCGCCGTCCTTGACGTTAACCGATATGCTAGTGGCGCCAGCATCAAGAGAGTTCTCAATGAGCTCCTTTAGCGCATTTGACGGCCTGTTGATGATCTACTGGGAGCCATAGCTGAGTTAGAGGCTGTTTGTATGCTAGGCCGGAATTCTAGGCGCCACAAATAGCGTTACCTCTCCGGCAGCGATACGGTTAATGACAGTCGTATCGAGCTTGCGAATCGGCGCTGGCCCAGTTTGATCTAGTGGCATCGCTGGATTGTAAAAATGAAACTGGATCTAGGAAAGAGTGCAGAAAAAGAGCCTGGGTGAAGAGAAGGAGAGCAGAAACACTGGCGCTGACGCTGCCTGAGGTTTCCCGCAGCGAGTCCACTGCTGGTTCGCAATCTGCTGATCACGATCGCTGGATCTGAGAGTGGGGCTTTTATCTACGACGTTTTTTTCTGGACACTCGATCTTAATAAGCGGCAGCTCAAGGCAGCGCGTCTGCTGCTATTTCCTCCCAGAAATCGTTCAATTTGCACACAATCCTTACACTTTTCGAAATCAATGCGGTCTATTCTCATTCGCAGTCTGCAGCGGGCACAGCCGGTGCGTTCAATCCACACGAGCAGTGTACGCCATGGCTGGTCGCGAAAAGCGTAAGGTGGACTTCAAGAGCTACGCCCGCACGAACCGCAAGGCGCATACCGAGCTGTACGACGAGCAGGACGCTGTGTTTGATCTGGAGGGGATGCCAGCATGGGAGTACGACGACCACCACACGTACGGCCACCTTCTTATGGACAGCGTCCGTGATGTGCGCAAGTACGTGCGTCTGGAGAAGTATGAGCTGCCGAACGCTGGCCAAGCACGCCAAGGCGTTCCGGCCGCCGGCGGCAACGCACTGCTTGCGGTTCGAGCGGTCTTTTACGCACGGCGATAAGCACCAGGCTGAGGATCGCAAGGTGAAGCTCAGAGTGACTGTGTCGCAGCTGGGGCTGAAGGGACCGGAGCTGCACAAGTTTTTGCTGCTGGCGGGCGTGCGGTACAACCCGTCGACGGACGAGCTGGTGATGTCGGAGGATCGGGAGACGACGTCGCTGCTGAATAAGAAGAGGCTGGCAGAGACGGTCAGTGAGCTGGTTGCCGAGGCCAAGAAGAAGGACGACATGTTTGCAGATGTGCCCCTGAACTTCCACCACCACAAGAGCCGGCCCCGGCAGAAGTTCCCGGTCGAGTGGCTGCCGAAACAGCCTGCTGCTGCTGCCGGCAAAAAGTAGAAACCAACGTTTACATCCACAGCAGATAATGGTTGAGTGTGATGAGATTTTATATTTAAAGTTTTGGCACTAGTTCACGTCTGGGCATGTATTGCCGATGATTGTTGTCAGGTACTCGCTGGGATCGGTCTTGCAGATCAGGTCCTCAGTGTTTGCCGCCACGAGCTGCGAGCTGACGGCGGCCGACTCGTCGCTGCCAATGTCATAGTACGTTAGGCTGGACCATGGCTCTTCCTCGAGGCGCTTTTGAATGCTGGCGATGGAGTTCTGCTGCTGGCGCAGCGCCTCCTCCGCCTGTGCCGACCGCACAGACACCTGCACGGTCTGTACCTGCTTTTCCTCCTTCGTGTCCTCGTCGTCGTAGTCAAGCTTGCTCGCTGCGCGCTCTTTCTCGGCGACCTTGTCCAGGTACTTCAGACTAGGCCTGAGCTGGGTGATCTTCTCAATGGGCGTCAAATGCAGCTCCCTGTTCTTCAGCACACCGGCCAGGTAAGTGCTGCTTTTTGGGATATCGACCGACACGATTGTCTGGATGTCGAGCAGGCGGCCAGAGTCCGAGAGGCCGATGCCGAGCTCCTGGCCACGCTCGCGGTTGTACATGGGGCTAGTGACATCCAGCGGAATGTCCATTTCGATCTGGCCGTGAATCGGCTTGATGCGGGCGGTGCTGGGTCGCAGCTCGCCGGGGCCGATGCTGCCGGCCTTGAGCGGATACTGCAGGAGGTGCAGGTTCTTTCCAATCTTCTCGGTCAGAAATACGGGGATCTCGGCTACAATCTCGTCGTCAGGAAGACCGTAGTCGGTTGCTGGCCGGCCGGGCTCCGACATCTTCACATCCTCAGTCTTCGTCACATCCTCGGTCTTCGTCACGTCCTCAGACATGACCACGTCCTTTTTGTCGTCCATGGAAGAGAAGATGGCTGATTATAAATGGCTAGAGCGTCAGTGCAGCCATTTCTTCGGCAGGGACCAGCCCGTGGGGCATCGCGATGGGACTGGGCAGATTTTGTATGGGTTTCCATATCCACGCACAATCTGTGCGAAAAAACCAAACTGCCTGCCAGATCAACTGCGCGCTTGCTGGCCGCATTGTCATTAGCAACTATCACTTTTATTATGTCATCGGTTGACAGGGCCGTCCGCCGCGTGTGGAGTCTCTTGCAAGAGTATGGGCTCTCGGACAAACAGCTGCTGCTGGCAGTATCTGGGGGCGCTGACAGTATGGCGCTGGCATATCTTGTGAGCTGTGCTGTGGGGCCTCAGCGCTGCCACGCAATCACTGTCGACCATGGCTTCCGTCCAGAGAGCGCAGCTGAGGCGAATGCGGTGTCCAAATACATGGACAGGCTCAGAATTCGGCACCATGCCAGGAAACTCAGCTGGGACCAGCAGCCAGCAGTCCAGCAGCTCGAGGAAGTAGCGCGCAGCAGGCGGTATCTGGAGATCTCGAAAGTGTGTACAGAGTTCGGCATAGACGCCGTGCTGACCGGCCACCACGCAGGCGACCAGGCAGAGACGTTTCTGCTTCGGTTTCTTCGGCAAAGCGGCGTGTGCGGGCTAGCAGGGATGCCCACACAGGCAGAGTTCCCGCATGCTGTCGCCGGGGCTTCCTCTGCTCCGGTGCTTGTCCGACCGCTGCTGCAGTTCAAAAAGCCTGAGCTGTATGAAATCTGCAAGACACAGCGGGTTCCGTGGTTTGAGGATGCCAGCAACAAGGACACGAGGTTCCGGCGCAACCAGCTCCGGCAGGTGATCGGGTCCAAGGACAGCATCCCGTCGTCGCCGTTCAACACTGACACGCTACTTGAGGTGTGTCGGGCGATGCAGCGGCACCGCGTGTACATCAACGGCAAAATGAAGCTGCTTCTCGACCAGCACGCAAGATTCGACACGGTAAACGGCGTAGTGGAGCTGGCTGCATCGGCGCATGGCCCGCCGGAATGGGCACGCAATGCAGCACTGCGCGAGCGCATTCTGGCGCATGTGGTCTCGTGGGTGAACTGCAGAGAGCACCCGCCAGAGCTCTGCCACCTGCGCCAGTTCGAGCAGGCAGTCTCCAGCTTTGCTGGCCAGACATCGTCGGTGGCAGCGACTGCCGCCCACGTCTCGCTGCTATGGCCGACCGGCAAACGCGGGTGGGTGTTCTGCCGCCAAGCTCCGCGCCCGGGCGAGATCGGATCCATGCGCGGCCTTGCATTTGGATCGCTGGTGGTCTGGGACAGGCGCCTCGTGATTAGCGTCGCGTCCAAGGATCCCCGCGGCACATGGGCGGTGCAGTCGCTGGGTGACGCGATGCAGCGCTGGAGTGGCATCATCGGCGAGCACCGGCGGCAAATAAAGGCAGCCAAGCGGAGGCTCGAGATCCACGCAATCCAGGTCACGCAGCCAGTGGTCAGCGTCAAGATCGGCGAATGCGAGGTGCCGGTGTTTGCGTTGGGTTGCACCGTGGAGAGCAGTGGCGTTGGGGAGGGCTGCCGAATCCAGGTCCAGGCAAAGTCCCCTCCGATGCGCTTTGAGGGCGAGCGCTTTCCGACCAGTGTGGCTACTACGCATGGAGTGTGAGAACCTTTTTATTACATGCTGGCGCCTTTCCCAGGCTCATGAAAGAGATGGCCATGCGGACACGCCAGAGATCCGCCGGGAGAGCTGTCCGTATGCCAGTGCATGAGAACGGCGCAGAGAGGGGCGCCAGGGGGGAAAATCGGGCGAGGATTGTCTGCCATCGGAGCATTGCCCGCTCGACGGACGCAAGTCAGGGCCAAAACGGATCGCCACACTAAAAATTTTTTCCCAGCATTTCTGAGGCTTCTGCGGGGCCAATGCGTGCGCGCTGCCACTCTTGTTCCCTCAAGCATAAAATGGCGAGAGGCAAGTTGCAGGCAGGCCGTGCCTTTTTCTTCTCCACAAACAAATTCAACTCTCTCTCCCTGTTCTTTTTTAGCAATATGGCCGACTCTGACATGCTCTGTACCTGTGATGCCGCCCCCGGCAACCAGGAGCACCACCACCGCGAGCTGTAAGTTGTCCGCCCAAATTCAGACAGGCACGCAGCGTACCCTGGCAGCTCCTGTTGGCTAACTCGCATTTACTCGTTTGTAGCAAGCCCGAGCCGCCTATCCTCGACAACATTCTGCAGCACATTGGCAACACCCCGCTGGTCCGTCTCAACAAGATCGCCCAGGCCGAGGGTCTTCAGTGCGAGCTGCGTACGTATAATATGCCACAAGCCATGCAGCTGTCCGAGCACAGCACATCAGCATTTTCATGCACCCAACACTAACATCACCGCTTTCTCACTTAGTCGCAAAGTGCGAGTTCTTTAACGCTGGCGGGTCGGTCAAGGATCGCATCGCCTACCGCATCCTCGAGGAGGCCGAGGCCGAGGGACGTATCCGGCCGGGCTTTACCATCATCGAGGCTACCTCGGGCAACACTGGTATTGGTCTTGCGCTGTCGTGCGCCGTCAAGGGCTACAAGTGCATCATCACTCTGCCCGAGAAGATGTCCCAGGAGAAGGTCGACGTTCTTCGTGCTCTGGGCGCCCAGATCATCCGCACGCCCACTGAGGCCGCGTGGGACTCGCCCGAGTCGCATATCAGCGTGGCGAACCGGCTGCACCAGGAGATCCCGAACTCGATCATTCTGGGCCAGTACACGAGCCCGTACAACCCTGTTGCACACTACGACGGCACTGCCGAGGAGATTCTGCGCGCGTGCAACAACCAGGTCGATATGCTGGTTGTTGGTGCCGGTACCGGCGGTACGCTGAGCGGCACAGCGCGCAAGATCAAGGAGCGGTGCCCCGAGTGCATCGTCGTTGGCGTTGACCCCGTGGGCTCGATCCTGGCGCAGCCCGAGAGCCTGAACCAGCAGACCGTTGCATGTACTATGTCGAGGGCATCGGCTACGACTTCATTCCCTGACACAATGGACCGCTCGCTGGTCGACCAGTGGATCAAGATCACCGATAAGCCGTCGTTCACCATGGCGCGCCGCCTGATCCGCGAGGAGGGCGTCCTGTGCGGTGGCTCTTCGGGCGGTGCTGTGTGGGCGGCGGTCGAGGCTGCTCGCAACCTGGGCCCGGGCAAGCGCGTGGTGACGCTGCTGCCGGACTCGGTGCGCAACTACATGACCCGGTTCCTCAACGACGACTGGATGAAGAAGCGCGGGTTCCTGGACGAGGAGGAGGAGCGGAGGAAGGAGGTCGAGCGCAACGAGCACTGGGGCGGGGCCCGCGTCAAGGACCTGAGCCTGAAGCGCGCAGTGGTCATTGAGATGAGCATGCCGGCGCAGGAGGCGGTTGAGCTGATGAAGAACAACGGATTCGACCAGCTGCCGGTCATCACCTCGTCGGGCATCCTGCGCGGCATCATCACCCTGGGCAACGTGCTGTCGCTGGTCACCACCGGCCGCGTGACGGCGGACGCCAAGGTCAAGGACGTGATGTTCCGGTTCAACACTGCCTCCAGCAAGAAGTTCCGCGAGATCACGCCCGACACGCCGCTGGCTGAGCTGGACCACTTCTTCGAGTCGAACATTGCCGGCATTGTCACCGAGCGCCTGTCGATTGACGAGGACCGCGTCGCGTTCAAGCCCGTCCACGTCATCACCGCTGTCGATCTGCTGACCTACCTGATGTCCAAGAAGTAAACCGGAATTTGTAGCCATAAATTGCTCCTAATATCAGATGTTGGGTCAATAGACATAAACGCTGCTGGCCAAATTTTATCAATGCGGTGGCCCCTCTCCGTCTGTATCGTCTTGCTATCGCCATGAATGTCGTTCAGAATATCAAGCGCCTAAATGAAGCTGAGGCACGGACGGGGCTGGACCAGACTGCGTCCTGGCACGAGCAGTACAAGGACAGCGCGTATATATTTGTCGGCGGGCTCCCCTTCGATCTGACCGAAGGCGATGTCATATGTGTGTTCTCGCAGTACGGTGAGATTGTAAATATCAACCTCGTGCGCGACAAGGAAACAGGGAAATCCAAGGGCTTTGGATTCTTGCAGTACGAGGACCAGCGGTCGACAATCTTGGCCGTCGACAACCTGAATGGAATAACGCTGCTAGGCAGGGTGCTGCGAGTCGACCATGTCAACAACTACAGGCAGCCAAAGCGGGACGGCGAGGACGAGGTGGAGGAGTTCACGCCAGAGATGAACGCGGCACCAAAACGGCTGGATGCTGCAGCGGATGAAGACGAGAAGGAGGATGACGAGGTGCTGATGCAAAAGGCCGGGATCGACCCCGAGGACCCCATGGCTGCGTATTACCTAGACAGGTACAAAAAGAAGCTACGGAAGGAGAAGAGGGCTGGCAAGAGAGAGAGAAAGGAGCACCGGCACCGGCGCCGGCACGGGGACCAGGAGCACAAGGACAGGCGGAGCCGCAGTTCCCGGCGCTCGCGCTCGCCGGAGCACAATCGACGCTGATTACTACGATCGCCCGTTGTCTATCCGGGCAGTATATGCATTTGTGTCAAGTGACCGCGACAGCGGCTCCAAGCGCGTGTCTGGACATGCCATGCCTCTCGCATGACTGCTGTTTTTCAGCAGCGGTTCGCCAGCACAAACAACAGGACTCTACTAGCGTACAGGGTGTGGGGGCTGCAAGACTGGCACAGGCTATATAAGGCAGGTCTCCTGGCGCCCGGCCTGGGGCGAAGATCCTCAAGCTCTTTCTACATTTTTGCTCTTGTGAAGAAAATTTTTTATTTGTTCCCTTTCGCAAATGGCCGTGTCCCAGAAATTTCGCTCTGACCATGTCATAAACTCGCCAGCGGTGGTGCCATACAAGGTCTCGGACTCTATCCCCAGCACAGGCGCCATCACGCCGCTGCCCATGTCGGCGCCAGCAGGCGACAAGGTGACGTTCATTGGGATTGGCGGTGGGCGCGGGGCCGGCAAGGCGTACACGTGCCGGAATGTCATCGACAAGGTGCGCGAGCGCGGGTACAGCGCCTTGGCCGACTCAATCATCCATCTGAATCTGGACGATTTCCACTGCGAGCTGCCGCATGCGGACCGCGTCCAGATGGCCGACGGCAAGGCGCGCATCAACTTTGACCACCCCGAGTCGTTCGACTTTGAGCTGCTGGCACAGGTCCTGGACAAGCTGCGGCAGGGCCTGGCTGTCGATGTGCCTGTGTGGGACTGCGCGGCCAAGAAGCGCATGGGCGTTCGGCACATCGCGACAAAGCCCAAAGTGGTGCTTGTCGAGGGCATTCTGGTATTGTACACGAGGGCTGTGCGGCAGTTTCTGGACATGCAGGTGTTTGTGGATGTAGACAGTGATACTCGGCTGGGGCGCCAGGTGCGGCAGGTGCTGGAGGGCACTGGCGAGGAAGAGGCAAAGAACCATACCATCCTGCGCCAGTTCCTGGATGGGTACCTGTACTTGGCCAAGCCGTCGTTTGAGGAATTCATCCTGCCAACGAAGCGGTGGGCGGATGTGATCGTGCCGCGCGGCGACATCAACCACGTAGCCATTGAGCTTATTGCGCAGCGCCTTATTGAGCTTGGGCACGAGGCGGCCGCCAACTGAGGATTACTAATGAACTCTTTTTCAGCACAATAAAACACTCCGAGCTTTGTTGGCACTGTTTATACAGCGAGCCTCCCCAGAGAGACGCTGCCACAAAGCAATGCCTGCGGACAGTGCTTCTTTTTCCAGCACACATGTCTCCCCGACACTACAGCAGGCGCGCTCCGGCGATGCCCCAGAGTAGCAGCCAGGCTGGCTGACGCGCCAGTCTAGAGCCGTCCGATTCGGACTCACGGGTGGGCTACTCACGTGAGTAGTCCGAGCCTTACAGCGATCACGAGTTACCGCTCCAAAGAGGCAGCAGCCGTCCCTTTGCCATGCCGCGTCGCCCAGCCTTGAGCAGCAGCTAGCCTCCTTTCCCCCGCTACTACTTTTCTTACTAGTCGATCGCCGAGCACTTTATTCCTAGTAAAATCCTAACTGTATTTTCGCTTGAAAAGTGGGAGGCATTCAAAGCGCCCAATCTCTTTTCTTTAGTTATTATTTCCCTTCCCTTTTCTTCCTAGCAAATGGACCTGACCCGTCGTAATCCGTCGTTCAATGCTGGCGCGCCGGTTGGCGAGACCAGCACGCCGACGCAAAACATGGACTCGATTTTGAACCGCACAGCGCCGGCGACGTCGATATTCCAAAACAGCCTGAACCTCCTCGACAAGCTCGCATGCATCCCAGGCTTCGAGTCATACCTGTCCTCGTTGCTCGACGACAGCAGCCGGGATGCGCCTGGCGGGTCGCAGTACCTCGACCCCATCCAGCTGCTGTGGGACACGTTCCGCCAGGGGACAAGTCTGTGTGTGCTGTACAATGCCCTGGGACCGGCGGAGCCGCTTCGGACAACGCTTGACGACGTGCCGAACACATTGAACCAGCGCAAGGACCGGGTGTACCGGTTTGTGAAGGCGTGCAAGGAGAACCAAATTGTGCGGGATGAGGACCTGTTCACAATTTCGGACCTGTTCAAAGATGACACGAATTCGTTTGTCAAGGTCCTGAAAACAGTCGGGATTGTGCTTGACGTCATTGAGGGCCGCGGCCTGCTCGATATGAGCAAGCTGGAGAAGAAGCCGTCGGCGAGGTTTACCGAGACCCAGCTAGGCCCGCCGCAGGACAACCGGGAGCGCGTCATCAAGGAGTTCGTCGAGACCGAGCGGAGATATGTGCAGGATTTGGAGACTCTCCAGGTATGTTTACACTTTTCTTGCTTCCTCCCTCCTTTGGCCTTTGGGAAATTGGGCGGCCAGCAACAATCGCTCCAAACATTATTTCTGCCTGTGAGCGAGAATTGTGCGCGCTTCCGAGTTCTCAGCTTCCCCTCCTTCTGCACTTTTGCATGTCTTGTCCTGCGGCTTCTGCATCCTTCCTTCTGGCACTCAGCGCGAGAGGGCTTGCAGCTAAAGTATGCTGGCATGCGTGGGTCGCAGCTGCAGGAGTTTTGACTTGACAGAGAGCAGCCAGGGTGCATCACGGCTGTGCCGGGCGCCAGCAGGAAGCCTGTCCTCAGCCGACAAGGAGCCAGCACCCGGCAGCCAGTAGTGCGGCTGGACAAGGCCACTTCATTACCTTTCGATCTCTGCCCATGCACGCATTATTCGTGCCCTTTAACCAAGCGCTCTACATGGCAGCAGAAATTGTGTGCTTGGACAGTGATCGACCCATGCAATCTACCGGGCTGGACGATCAATGTGATGTGCGCGCACGGATTCGCGGACTTTTGCGCTTTTTGGAACTGGACCCAAAGAAGCCTCGCGCTCTTTGGGCAGGAAGGAATCAGGCGCGAGACAGCGCATGCCTCTTGTTCAGCATGCCTAAACCGCACACCCCACCTCACGACATATAGGGATACATGCAAGAGCTGCAGAAGCAAAACATCATCTCGAACGAGACAACTCGGTACATGTTTGCCAACCTCAACTCGATGGTGGACTTCCAGCGGCGATTCCTGATCGGCGTCGAGGCCAACGCGTCGCACCCGCCCGAGGACCAGCACTTTGGGTCTCTGTTCATCAACATGGAGGAGGGCTTTGCCGTCTACGAGCCGTACTGCGCTAATTTCACACGTGCGACAAAGCTGTGTGCATCCGAGGAGCAGGCCCTGCAGAAACTGGCCCACGTAATTGAGCCGCACTACGAGCTGCCGTCGATGCTGATCAAGCCCGTGCAGCGTATCTGCAAGTACCCGATGATGATGGACGAGCTGGCCAAGTTTTACGACAAGGAGTCTGCCACGCACCAGGAGCTGAAGCAGGGCGTGGCGGCCATCAACCGCGTTGTCGAGCAGGTCAACGAGGCAGAGCGCAAGGAAGGCAACCTGGCTGTCGTGAGCGAGCTCGAGGAGCGCGTCGAGGACTGGAAGGGCTACTCGATCTCGACATTCGGCGAGCTGTTTTTGCACGACACCTTTGTCATGTCGACAACGGGCGTGGAGCGTGAGCTGTACATCTACTTGTTTGAGAACATCCTGATTTGCTGCAAGGTGGTCAGCGAGCGGGACAGGCGCCGCACCAACAGGGTCCGGTCCAACGGGCTGCAGCTCAAGGGCCGAATCTTCCTCTACAGCATACACAGCATCGTCGACACCACCCGCGACAACCAGCTCAGCTTGACCATCTACTGGCGTGATGTCGTCATGGAGAACTTTAGTCTGGCGTGCCGCTCCGAGGACCAGCTCAAGCTGTGGAAGAGCACCATGGACCGTCTGATTGCGCGTACCAACGAGAAGACCATGCAGGCCAAGGCTGCCGCTGAGCAGGCACAGCTGGGCATCTCGGGAAGCCAGATGTCGCGCGGCCTAGGCAGCATGCAGAGTGGTGACTACGACAGCGAGGACGATGTTTCTGCGAGCCGTCGCGGGCGGTACTCGGAAGGCTCGAGTCTTACTGCTGCCATGCGCCACGAGAAGCAGCAGCAGCAGGGCGGGCTCACGTACCGCAAGACCTACGATGGCGGGGCGTCGCGCAGCCGCAATGGCCGCAAGGGCAGCGACTACCAGCAGGAGCTGATCGAGGGAGTCGAGCGCTCCATGACTGTCTCGCATGGCCGCCGGCCCACCAACGGCAGCCAGAGCAGCGCCGGCGACTACACCGATGCATCCACGATGTCGCGCGGCAGCCCAATGGGCAGCAGCATGTACTATGGCAACCACATGATGCCGCCGCTGCCCGTGCCCTCGATGCCGCGCAACGAGACCGACCCCTATCCTAAAGCAGCAGCAGCAGAACGTGATGACCAGCATGGTGTCGTCACCGATCCCAACTGCCTTCAGCTCGGCGATGTCGCCGATCACGCCCAACGGCACCAACGGCGTAACCACGCCGGCGCCGCGGATGGGCACCCCGCCTGTGATGACAGCGGCAGTACACGCAGCACGCCGGTGCCCAGCAACCAGGCACGGCCGACCAAGGTCAAGGTGCATTTCCAGGAGGACATCTTTGTCATTGTCGTCAAGCCCGACATCCAGTTCAAGGACCTGGTGGAGCGCGTCGAGCGCAAGATCAAGATCTGCGCTGGTCCACGGGTCGGCATCACCGGCGGGCTGGAGCACGACCTGGCTACGTCACCGCCGCTGGGTATCCGCTTGAGGTACCAGGACGAGGACGGTGATATGATTATTATTGGATCCAACGACGATGTGCAAATGGCGTTCGAGTCGGCCAATGCCTCGAGGAGCGATGCGACGGTCATGGGCACGCTGAATATCTTTGCGTCAGTCTAAGCCTTTATTCCTCTTTTTCTCTTCTTCTATTTTGAACTCTGTATACTGTTTTGCCACATGCCGCGAATGTCTTGGGACGTCCGATGTCAGCCATGTCGATGTCAGCCATGTCGATGGTGGGCGGTCCGGTGGTTGTGTGGCATAGAGCCTGCGTGAGTCGAGTGCGCTGGGTGAGCCGAGCTGCAACCCGAACCGATTACGTCTGCCTCTCGAGGGCATGAAGGCGGCGCTTGCGTAGCTCCTTCATAAAACCGCCGTGCGCAATCGCTCCTCTCCTCCCAATCAGCTTTTTTTTTACTCTATCTCCTTAAAACACGTTTTGGCAGAGCCCAGCAGAACGGCCACACCTAAGCGCACCGACTACAAGGCTCTATCTATTCAACAATGTTCAGAAACCAGTACGATAATGATGCGTCGACATGGAGTCCACAGGGCCGCATTTTCCAAGTCGAGTATGCATCGGAGGCTGTCAAGCAGGGGTCAGCAGTTGTCGGCCTGAGGTCGAAGGATCATGTCGTGCTTGTGGCAGTCAAGGTAAGGAAGCAAGGAATTCCCGAGGTGGAGTCTCTTGAAAAAGGCGTCCAAACACACTCAACGCATTTTTGTCATTTTTTCACTAGCGCTCGCCGAATGAGCTGGCGTCGTATCAGAAGAAGATTGTGCGCATCGACGACCACATGGGCATTGCAATGGCGGGTCTGACGTCTGACGCGCGCGTTCTGAGCAACTACCTGCGCACGGAGGCGATGCGCTCCAAGATGGTCTATGGACGGCCGCTGCCGGTTGGGCGCGCAGTGAACATGATCGGCGACCGTGCACAAATCAACACGCTGGAGTACGGCCGGCGTCCCTATGGCGTGGGGCTGCTGGTGATCGGCTACGACGACGCGGGACCCCATCTTTTGGAGTTCAACCCGTCGGGGATTGTGAGCGAGTACTATGCGTATTCAATTGGCGCGCGGTCGCAGTCGGCACGCACAAACCTGGAGCGCAACTTTGAGCAGTTCCAGGATCTTTCGCTGCAGGAGCTGGTGACGCAGGGCCTGCGGGCGCTGAGGGACACGCTGCAGCAGGGGAAGCAGCTGGATACAATGAACACGAGCATTGGGTTTGTGGGCAAGGACACCAAGTTCACGATGCTCGATGGCGAGGCCACGCAGCAGTACCTTGATCTGATCGACGAGGGCGCCAGGCACGCAGGAGGGCGATGCGATGGAGACTGAGTAACCGCTGGACGTATTATCTGCGGTTTGTTGTGCCACAGCCCTTTTTGCCTCTTTCCCAGTGCCATCATCATACCTTTAAATGACCATTTTTCAATCTGACATCGTAATGCTGGAATAGGCTGTGCGGTACTGCATGTAGTCAACTGGCCTGTGCATAGGCCGTTGCCTGCATGGGATGGCAGCGGCAAGAGACCTACTAGCAAACTCCGACAATGAGCCAGTGCTTGAGCTGATGCAAAGCTTCCTATTTTGTCCTGCAGCGCACAAGCCAGAATTTGGGGCAGGTTCAGAGTTTCATCCCTTCTACTACTTTTACCTCTCTGCTCCGCACCGCCCCTCATTCGCGCATACGACACTCGAAATTAAATTGTTTACTTTTTAACCCATGGCACACGGTGGCGGCGTTCTGCTTACATTCCGCGGTCTGCCACCGGACGCAACTGAGGCAGACCTGCGCGAAGTAGTCAATGCACCTGTGCATTCCGCCCATATACAGAAGGCTGGCGGCAGGGTCTTGTATGGCGAATGCCACGTAAAAAACATAACCGAGGCCCTGAACATCTTGAGAACATGCAACTTCACGATGGTCCGGCGCTGCGCAGTGAAGATCCATCTGGGTACCGGCAAGCAGCCGCTGTCGCCTAACCAGAGGATAGAGATTCCGCAGCTTTTGCCTGGCGTGGGTGAGCCTGAGGTGTTTGGATATTTCAAGCAGTTTGGGACAATAATACGAATCGAAGTGGACCAGCAGAAAGCATCCGTGTGGTACGCAAACGAGCCAGAGGCACTGAGGGCAGGGTGCAGCGTAAGCAGCAGCGGGCTGGTAGGGACGGTGCCTGTGTATGAGATAATGGACTCGGGCTCGGATGAGGAGGGGATGATCACTGACGACGACGTGCCGGCTAGATATCATTGAGGAACGCGGGTGCGTGGGTCCCTATACGGCTGCCAGCAAGCCGCCTGCTGCGCCAACAGCGCTAGCACATGAACCCTCTGTTCGGCGAACTGAAAGACATGCGCCAGTGGCAGCTGGTCCAGCTGTTAGTTCTCAGTCATCTACGCCGCGTCCGCAGCCGCTGCCAGCTAAGAGCTCGAGTCAGGACCAGATAATGGCAAAGGGAGCGGTGCCAGTTCGGCCTACGCATCGCCCGAATTCAGTGACTATGCCAGCTGGTGGAGGCACGCCGATCCAGCTGCCGCGACCGACTGTGCCATTGTCGCAGAGGCCGAGAGCGCAAGCAGCAGCAGTGAAAACCTTGGCACCAGCTCGATCAGCAAGGCCGCCAGGGTGCGCCAGCACAAACAAGCACGACCAGCTCGGATGCATGTCAAACCTCAGTTGACGACTAGATCGCATCGACAGCATGCGCGTCCATCGACCCTGGCGCAGCTACAGAGTTGGGCGGTGAATGGCGCTAACGTACCAGCTCCCTCACTGCCCAAGAGACCTTTGGCACTGGCTTCCATCGCAGACACAGGCTCGATCACAGGTGCTGGCACAGGTGCAGCCACGAGTGCTGGCGCAGCCGCTACGGCTGATCGATACCAAAGTGCGCGGTTCAGCGCCTGCCCATTCGACACAGCCATCGGATGCGCTGGTATCCCCAGTAGGAACACCTCAAACAGCCCCATATGATGTTAGAAGCCAGGTAGCCAATTCATTCTCCTGCGAACCGCCGGCGCCTCTCGCCCCTACTATGCAGTCACCGCATCCATGCTGGATGCAGCAAACGATCCTTGCCAGCACCGCTATCACATCCACTGCCGTCAACATCAGCCCTGTTATCTGCTCCAACACAGTCCGCACAGGCAGGTCCTGCGTCCACCGTCTGTGGTCCAGGTCGTCGCAGGGTGATACTGAAGACCCCTGTGCCACATATTCAGATCGCTGTATCCCTTCCGCGGCCACCAGCGGTGATCCACACAAAGCCAAGGAGCCCAGCACCGAGACAGCCGTCACAGCCTTCCCTAATCCACCAAAAAACCGTACCTGCGGTCAGCTACATCCTGCCTCTTGCCATGCCTCTACCAGGTACGCTGAAAGCAACTACACCGCAACCCACTGCCACTCCAGATCCAGCTCCAGCTCCAGCTCCAACTGAGCCCTCAGAGCTGCCAGCAAAGCGAGCCAGAGCTTCCAGCCCTGACCCTCCAGTTAGTCAGCTGAGCTCGCTGCCGAACTCGCCGTCTAAGCCACAGTCGCTGGAGGTGAGCAATCCACAACCTGCTGATTTGGCTCCACCAAACGCCACCGCCCACGCAGCACTGCCGCCAGAGCAGAACCAGCAGCCAATAGCGCCAGTGATTCCAGGTCCGTCTCTTGTTTCCACACAGCACCCAGGCAACAAGAAATCGCTGAGCATGCACACACCACCATCCACACCCTCTTCATCAGTACAGGACGGCTCCCCAAAGCAGAGCACTGACCCCCTGCCGCCACCAGCCCAGGTTCACTCTGATGCATGTACTATATCATCAATTGTATCTTCTCCAGTTACCTCGACAGCAACGTTGGCGGCTGTTGCATCAGAGCGCAGGGAGGGCTTTGCGCGCAAGTCAACCAGAACTCGAGGCCGCACACTCACGACACAGGCCATTCAGCAATATCATGCGAGAATGGCGGCCATGAAAACAGCACATCCCGTTGTGCCACGCAAAAATGTGCTGAGCAATGCGCTGAAACGCAAACTACCAGAGGTTGAGCACCCGCCGCAGCCTCGGCCACAGAGCTATCCGGCAGCCGATCAGCTCGGCACAGGTCCGTGACTTTATGACCATGGATAAATGGCGTGCGAACATACCTTTAACATATGACATGTACTACCGCCATGTGCCATTTGATAAGGCTGAGCGCCTGGCCACGCCCCCTGTCGATTGCATGGCACCCTTTGGCTGACAGATCCGGCGCAAGCCAGTGCCTATCTTTCAATTGGCAACCCCCAAGCGCGTGGCAGCGCCATTGGCGCTGACAGTGCCGATGCCAAGTCAGTGGTAGCCTTGACTAATATGCATCTGGCACCACTGGGTAGCTCGGAAAGCATCGAGACGGTGCTGGACCAGTTCCGGCGCAACCACGTTACAATCCTCAACGCTGGCAAGGTGAAAGACAAAAACGAGACTGCGATTCGGTCGCTGCGGATGCATGGCGGCGGTAGCCTTATGCTTGGGTGCACTGGACGCACCATCATCATGTGGGACACTGAAAATTTTGTTCAAAAAGGGACGCTCAGGCTGATGGGTGATATCAACGACGTGTACGATGTCGGCGGTGACTATCTTGTTGCCAACTCGACACAGAGCAAGGTTGGTGTGTGGAAGCGCGATTCCTCCAACTTCATGTGGTGTTTCAGCGGAGCACGTCAGTTCAGTAGAAAGTCCGATGGCTGCCGCATAGCCACAGCGATCAAGGTCAACACAAAGTGGGCAAACAGCATATGTGGGTGATGTGATGGGAAGTCTGTCGCTATGTGATTTCCGCGATCGCTACATGACGAGTCTGAGCACGACATTCAAGGGCGCAATTAAAGGAGCTGGAGACCGTTCGTGACTGGGGTGTGTCTGTGGGGACTGACACCGGCGAACTTTCGCTGGTCGACGTACGGTTCATCAAGGATAGCTCGATGAAGAAGGAGGTGCACCAGCTTAAGCTACCTGCAGATGTTAAATCGGTTGGTGCGATCCGCATATGCCCTCATAACCCAGACATGTTTGCATGCACTGCCGATAACTATGTGTGCATATATGACGTTGCGGGAAAAACGGGTGGCTCTCCGCATATTTGCACATGAAGCCCACCACTCGCCTGTGGTCGACTTTGACTGGAATCCATGTGACAAGTACCAGTACACGATTGGGTCGCTCGAGGCAGGCATTGAATCAGGTCAAGGTGAGCTACATGTATGGCGGCCTAGCACCATAGCACTGTTCGGTGTCTGAAAATACTCATTTTTATCGTTGGCACAATGATATCATAAACACATTTGCAGCATATGTACGCAGTCTCGTGTGTAGCGTGGATCATTGAAGGTAATGCATGTATTTTGCAGTTTTATAACATTTGGCCCTGTGTCAGAAAACCCCGAATGGCGTTGCGCTACAGGAGCTGGGCCTTGATCCTGTAGTACTCGTCAAACCGCATCTTTGCGTACTCCATGTAGTCAAAGTCGATGTCAGAAATCGACGCTTGCACCAGCCCCCACACGCCCCAGTAGACGTGCGAAGCCAATGCAAACTGGCTGACCTCGACATACATGCCCTCGAGCACCTGGTCGCTAGCGTCCGCACCCGATGCGGCTAGGTAAGTCCTGAACCACTCAATCTGGCGCTCTTTAGACGGGTACCTTGAGTAGTCACACTCAAACCCAGCATACTCGCAGAAGTGGTTGGCGATGTCAAATCCGCGGTACGAGTACGTCGCGTACTCGTAGTCAATGAAGCTGACCGAGTCCTTGGAGTCGTTGATGATGACATTCCCTGACAGAAGGTCGTTGTGCGAGAACACCACAGGCGACTCCAAGCTTGGTCAGAACGCCTTCAAGCTCTTTGATCTCCTTTGCCAGCTTATCGTGTGAAAAGTGCTTTTGGAATTTGGCATCTGCGCTCGGATCCGTGCATTGCTGAGGGACGTCGTGGAGCCAGCGGGTGATGGTGCTGAAAAGCTCGGGCGTATGGGCGCCGGGAAGTTTGATTTGGTGCCATTTCGCGAGCTCGCGGGCGATGAGCGGGGCCATTACAGAGCTCCCCATTTGCTCAGGCTTGGCGACGCTGCCCGGGATGAACCCGTAGACGAGGCCGTTCTGGAATCGGGCGTAGAGTGGTGGGCATATGCCAAGGTGCGTCAGGCCGGCCATGTTCTATGGAGGATTACGCTATCAGTACGAAATTTCGAGAGGGACTCGCAGTGTATAGTGGGGAATGAGGCTGCATGTGGTGAGCACATGATGCTGCTGCACTCTGCCGACAGCGCCAATCCCAGTGTGGTTTTTGGAACGGCCAAGCGTCGGCAGCCGAATGCCTTCCTCCCCACGGATGAAGCCTGGTGGGTAGGAGAAAGCGCAGGAAGGGAATTCAAGTATCGAAGCGGTTCTGAAGCCGGGCCGCAGTGTACTTACAATAAGCTCCTGGTCCCGATCGATAATGACCTCGGTGTGCTTGCCATACGCGCGGATGAGCACCGTAACCCCCGTCCGCCTGTTGGTCGACTGGATAACTACGGACAGGATTTGGTGTCTTCAGTGAACTGCGACAACAGCAGGGGCAACTGCCATATTGGGATTCTTGCTGACCCGGGTGCCCGGGGGTGTATAGACTTACGCTTGTTTGTAATGCCGTCCTTGCATTGCTTCATTTCGAGCTCATCGCCGGCCCATTCCGGGAACACTTTGACCAGCAGCGCCTTGGAGTCGTCGAACAGCGACTCGTGGTGGACTGCATGGTCGACAAACGGAATCGAGCTGACAAGCGCCTGCGTGTTGAGGTTCTCGATGGATAAATGTGCGGCAGTCATTTGGAAAAAGAATAAAGGAGTTCTGCTACAGAAGGAGAGAAGAGAGATATCGGCAATCCCACACGACCGGGCTGGAGGTTTTATAAATCGCTGCTAATTTTTGGGGTGAAAGAGAGCACGGTGCTTCGTCTGGTCCTTTCTCAGAAGTGATTCATTCCGAAAAGATCATTTTTCCAAAAGGTCTACATGGTCCAGGGTAGCACTCAGTAATCGTACTTGAATCTGAAGTAGTCCGGATCGAAGAAGTGCACGCGCACGTAACCGTCCTCACCACCCGAGGCAAAGGCCTTGCCGTCGGGCTGGACAGCCAGCGTGTTGATGGGACCGAAGTGGCCCTTGGCGCGGCCGACCTCGTCCTCAAAGATCTTGTGGTAGAACCGGGACTCGAACTTGCCCTGGCGCGATGACGTAGTGGTAACCTCGCTGGCAGCCTGACCACCACCAAGGATAACCAGATCCTGCGTCGGCGTGAATAGTCGCCGTGTTGATGCCAGTGTCAGCCTTGTACATCTTGAGCGGGTTCAGCGTGGTGGTCTCAAACAGCCGCGCCGTCTTATCCTTGCTGCTGGTGATGAAGTACGTGCCATCCTTGGACATCTGCAGATCGGTGATCGTGTCGTCGTGGGCCTTGGTGCGCCTCGACACCTCCTCGTACTTCCACTCGAACAGCGAGATCGAGCCGTCCTCGTGTCCGGCAACAATGTACTTGTCAAGGTGGCTCCAGGCGGCCACAGTGGCCTTGGACGGCGTCGGCCGCAGGACCACCACGGGCTCGTTGCTCTGGACGGGCGACGACTCGTCGATCTCGAACACGTAGATGCCGCTCTTGTGGCCCATGCGCTCCTCGGTCACCATCAGGATGTACCGGTCGTCGTGCGAGAACTCGACACGCTTGACGGCGGTCGGCAGCTCCCAGATGTGCAGCACCTTGCCGGTCTCCGCGTGCCACAGACGCGCCGTGTTGTCGGCCGAGCCTGTCACCACAAGCGTGCTCGGCTTGTTGATGTCGATCGACCACAGGGCTCCCTGGTGGCCCGCATACGTGCCCACGCGCTCTCCGTTGTGCGAGTACCACAGGTTCGCCGTGTTATCCTTCGCAACCGTCAGCAAAAGGTCGCCGTCCTGGTTGTACTTGACCTGGGTAAGCGGACGCGTGTGTCCCTGCAGCAGAATAGGCCTCTACACCGGGGGAACATTTGCAAATTGAGCTGGATGTGCGGGTTTCTGCAAAAAAAATAGATCCCTTGTATGTGAAGCAGCCTGCTCGCTCTGATTAGCTGCTCCGTCCCAAGCGACGCCTTACCATTTCGTTGATGTTTGCTTCTTTTTTGTTCGGGTGTGCGAATCGCGATGCTGTTTAAATTATCCTCCCGCGAGTGTTCTGCAGCGCTGTCAAATGCAAATCACACTGAATCGAAGAGAGAGACTAGAGATAGGCACGAAATGAGCTAAATTGAGAGAGAGAAAAGGTGTATTCTTCGAGCTGCCTCCAAGCTAAAATTTTTCCCCATCACTTTGGCGAAAAAAATGCCAGGCCAGGAGCCAGCAAAAGAGCGCCCTGCATGAATTTCGCTAGAGCCGCCCCTGGCCAGTGCCGGCTCGCGGCTCGCTGCCCGCTGCTACTTGGATGGCGAACTCAGCGGCATGAGCAGCTTGACTGCCTGCATCGTTGCCTTGAAGCGGGCCAGGATGTTCTTGTCGTAGTGCTTGACCATGCCGCTGCTGGACGAGACCTTTGAGATCTGGGCAAAGGCGATGACCAGGCTCTTGATTGCGGGGGCGCAGTCCGACAGCGCATGGGCCATAGCAGACTCTAGGTCTACAACCGCCTGCTCAAGCTTGGACAGTGCCTGCGACAGCTCCTGCAGGCTGCTCTGGTCGATGGGCTGGTCGCCGATCGGCTGGTGCGCAGTGGAGAACCGCACTTGTTTTGACCGCTCCGTGGGCTCAGCCATAGGCAACGCCGGCGTGCTGCCACCGATGCTGGGCTGCCTGCTGGACCGGCGCATAGACAACGCTGACCTGTGCTGGACCAGCGGCGGTGGAGCCGTGTGTGGAGCGGGAGTGCCGTTGCTGGATGTAGATGTCTGCAGCTGGCTGTCGGACTGATTTCGCAGATGTGACGGTGGTGTGTCAGTGGTGCTATTTACAGAGTATGCAGTAGGTGGTGCAGTGGCAGCGTGTGGGGCGGCAGTGGCAGACGTTCTGCGGTTGCTGCCGACAGTGATGCGCAGGCCTGGGGTTGTGCTGGATTCGGTCTCGATGTCCTCCGACACCCACCGACGGTGCTGCAGCGTGCTGGCGCCGGAAGACAGCGGTGAGGGTACTGACGGCGCGTGGGCCAGGTGCGAGCGGTTCGACACCCACGAGTGCTGCGATACCCTTGCGAAGATGCGCAGCAGGCCAGCCAGTGCTGACGCTTCGCGCATCGCGTCCTTGACAAGCAAGACGTCCTCGGATTCGGGGCTGGCCGCGGCTCCATTGTCTGTGGGTCTTGGCAGATTTGGTGGCAACTGGTCTGCAGATCCGCGGACCGCCAGCCTGCCTGCGCCAGGTTCCGGTGGCTCATGGTTTCTGGTTGGTTTGCGGCGGCCCTTGAGCGTGTGCAGCTCGTCATGCGCCAGCATGATCTCCATGGCGACTGTGTGCAGCGCCATGGCAGCAGTTCGCAATACATACTCGTTGGTCTCGCCCAGCTCTGTCTTTGCGGCCAGAGTCTGGATGCATGTGCGCAGTGCTCCCACAGTCGCCTGGCTGGCGTCAACCAGGTGCTGGACGTTTGGCGACGTGTGCTCTGCCTGCTCGGTTGTGCAGAGCTCGTTCAAGAGGCGGTTAACGCGGGTTTCGGCTACCGCCCACTCCGACTGGCAGAGGGTCTTTGCGCACTCGCCACGCACGCCCAGCTTGATGCGCTCGAGCTCGCTGAAGAATATGTTGCAGGACTGCAGGATGTGCCGGGCCAGGCCTATCTCTCTGTGCGCCGCTGCTGTGTCGTCCTGGCGGACGGTCGAAAGGTACTGCTCAATTCTGGCCGACATTCGAGTAAAATACAGAAAAAGGGCAAGTAGGGTTAGAAGAGCCAGCTGCTGGTAAGCTTGCAAACGCGGGCACCCACCTCATGGCGAAAACAGCGCTTTGCCGGTCAGATGCAATCTGCCGGATCCCGCGGCCAGCCAAACGCTCCAGTGGAGCTCCGTCGGCTCTTGGCTCATTATCCACCTCTGGCGTCAGCTGGACAGCTGCATGCGGGCTTAATTGCGGTGATTTGGTTCGCTCGACCAAGCAGAGCTCATGTGGCCAGAGCTGGCCTTTGCGTCACGCGTCGCTGCGACAACGCACTGCGATCCCAGCGGCACGCGGGTTCTCGCGTCCTCAGGCGCTGACAAACGAGTCCGGGATATCGTGCCAAACGCCCCCTCCCGCCGCGTGCTCCACGTAGCCTCAGTGAAGCAGGCGGCCAAAAATGGACGGCAGCGCATCGAACACTCGGGCTTGTGGTCAACCTCCCCCAGCCCTTCATAAGGGGCCCTCGACCTTTTTCCCAGATTTTTCTCTTTTCTTGTCTCTGTTCTTTCCTCAAGCTCATTTGTAAATACTCCATTTTTTGTTCCCTCCCGCCTCGCCTCCTCTCCTTTTTGTCCACTCGGCTGGAAGAATCAGTTGGAAGAAAACCAAAGATTGGAAGTACAATCCCGCACGTAGAGAGCGAAGCTAGCGTAGTCAAATAATACCACAAAAAGGTAAGCGTGCACTATCGACACACGAGTAACCGCATACACCCGCCTCCTATCTCGTATGCCGGCATGGGCCCATGGGAACATTGATGCGTGGGGGTCCAGCGGTTACCGACGCATTCCACGGCCTGCAATCTGCAATCTCGCTCGCAAGTCGTAGCAGCCGGCTTCCGAGCATCGGCTTGCCTTTGCGCGCTGGCCGGCATGCGTCATTTTAGGCCTATTTATCTTGGCAGTAATGCGCACGGTCGACAGCAGTTGTCGCCCCTCTGCCCCTTAACTCGTTGGAATGTCCTTGCAAATTCACAATCTGATTTCGGCTTAAAAATTATTTGTATTCCCTGTAGCTTACGAACACCAGCGCCAACGGCCCCGGCTATATTCTTGCACATCTTTACCCCTGCCCGTGGATTTTCTGTACTCTACCGTTGTATTTACCATTCTCTTAAGCGAGTATTTCCTTGTGTTTGCAACCATCAGCAACCTCTTCTGTACAAAGAACCTCAACTAGTCGTCACACTCCATGATGGCCCACCCCGGCAATATCGCAGACGCCACCGCTGGAAGCAACAGCAACAACAAGAAGCCTGAAAGCCGCTTTCTGGGACACTGGGACCAGTCCGCTCAGCAACAATCCCGTCAGCCCATGGGGTCGCAGGGATTCGACTGGGATTCACTGGTCCCTGGTGGCGGTAGCAGCGCCAGACCGGCGCTCTCGGGCCAGGTCGGCGTCTCCAGCTCTGCCGACGACGATTGGTCGTCGCTCCTGAACCAGGTAGAGTATAATGACGCCTTTAATGTCGTGATCCAGCCTCACCCATGTATTATTTGGTCCTCCATGCATATGTCCCCTTTTGCCGCCCATGCCTACTTGAATAACTGCCAACGTAATACTGAAATCCGCACTGTCTTGTAGACGAGCTCTGGCGGCGGAGCAAATGCGGGCGGAGGATTCGCTCCAATGAACCTAGGTGGCAAGATGGGATTCGGCGAGGTGCCTACCACCCCCAGACACCGTCGCCCGCTGGTCGACATGATCCAGAACGACTTCCCCCGAACGCCGTCTCCAGCCATCGACTCGAGCGGCTCCCGCATCCGACTCCCCAACGGCAGCGGCGTGCCCATCAACGCGTCAGCGCCCGGTGCAGGCGACGCTGGCGGCGCGGAGCTGACCAGCAGCACTCAGGACCCGGTCTCCATCACCGGTGCGAGCCAGCAGCAGTCAGCCCCTGGCTCATCTGCGTTCTCCTCGCTCACGACGCCCGGAGCGCGCACCGGGTTCTCTCCCTCAAGCCTGCTCTCGGACTCGGGCCGGCTGGGGGTCCCGATGCGGCAGTCGTCGATTGCACCGCCCAGCCGCTCGCACAGCGTGGCCATCGACAACCCCAGCGACGTGCTGAGCGCGACAGGGCAGACCAGCGCCGACAAGATGGTCAACTCGCTGCTGGACCAGGAAGAGAGCGGGGGGCGGCGCGGCTCGCAGCTCGACAGCTTCTCGTTCCTCTCGACCGGCGCCTCGTCGCTGGTGCCACCGGGACAGCAGCTCTGGGCATCGCACCACGCGGCGCGGCTCGACGGGCTGCAGCGCGCGGCCTCGACGCCGCCCATTAACGCCTTCGGCAATGCCGGCAGCGCGGGCAGCGGCAGCAACATATGGGGCCCTGGCAACGACAGCCACTCGATCGGCTCGGGCTCGCTGCTGCGCGACAACGCACTGCTCTCGCGCAGCCCGGCGGCACCCAGCAGCAACCCGCTCTCGTTTGGCGACGAGCTCAGCTACGGCATGGGCAGCATGCGTCTGGGCGACAGCGCGGATCAGCGCGGATCATTTGATCTGTATGGCGAGCTGGAGGCTCCTGCAGCGCGGCCGCTGACGGCGTCGTCTCACGTGACGCCAATGGGCAGTGGCACGCCCGACCAATGGGGCGATCTGTCGCAGCAGCGCATGTACGGAAATGGGTCGATGCCGCCACCGCAGACGAGGCGCCAGAGCCAGACGCCGGGGGCGACTTCGGCGCCGTTCATCGATGCCATCGTCACGGACCGCAACGTGCTGTATGCGAGCGCCGACATGGGGCAGGGCGTGCAGAGCGCAGGCATTCTGCCGTCGCAGCACCCAGGCTTCTCGCGCGCGCAGACGTACAGCGACGGGCGGTTTATGCGGCCTGGCGGTCCCACCAGCGCGTACCCGCTGCCGCAGCCGGTGGCCCAGCGGCCCAGCATTGCTGGAATGCCTGGCGCAAACGTACCTAACATGTACGGTCACCCAGCGCAGATGCATCCAGCAAACGCGATGGGCCAGGGCATGCAGAGCCAGACGCCGTACGACCACCAGTCGCAGCCGCAGACGCCGCTGCAGCAGGTGCAGCATCTCCGCCAGCAGCAGCAGCAACAGCAGCTGATGATGGCTCTCCACATGAAGCAGCTGCCGCCAGCACAGCAGATCATGATGCAGCGGGAGGCCATGATGTACGGCACTCCGCCGCCGGCGCTGCTGGGCGTGGCCGGATCGCAGATCATGTACCGGACCGGGCCCAAGAGCGCCAGTGTTCTGGAGACTGCCAGCCACACGCTGCGCAGCGCGGTGCTGGAGGAGTTCCGCAACAACAAGGTGCGCAAGTACGAGCTCAAGGATATCTGCGGATACATGGTGGAGTTTAGCACCGACCAGCACGGCTCGCGGTTCATCCAGCAGAAGCTCGAGACAGCGACTCTGGATGAGAAGCAGCTTGTGTTCCAGGAGGTGCTGCCGAACTCGCTGTCGCTGATGACCGACGTGTTTGGCAACTACGTGATCCAAAAGTTCTTTGAGCATGGCAACCAGATGCAGAAGCTCAAGCTGGCCAAGCAGATGGAGACCCATGTGCTGGTGCTGTCGCTGCAGATGTACGGCTGCCGCGTCGTGCAGAAGGCCCTGGAGCACGTGGTGACCGAGCAGCAGGCGAGCATAGTGCGTGAGCTCGACGGCAACGTGCTCAAGTGCGTCAAGGACCAGAACGGCAACCACGTCATCCAGAAGGCCATCGAGCGCGTGTCCGCCGAGCACATAAAGTTCATCATCGACGCGTTCCACGGCCAGGTGTTCAATCTGGCCACGCACCCGTACGGCTGCCGCGTGATCCAGCGCATGTTTGAGCACTGCACCGAGTCGCAGACCCGCCCGCTGCTCGACGAGCTGCACAAGTTCACGACCGGCCTGGTGCAGGACCAGTACGGCAACTACGTGATCCAGCACGTGATGGAGCGCGGCCAGCCGCAGGACCGGTCGCGCGTCTGTGCGTGCATCCGCGGCCACGTGCTGCAGCTCAGCAAGCACAAGTTTGCATCGAACGTCGTCGAGAAGTGCATTGCCTACGGCGAGCCCGAGGACCGCAAGGCGCTGATCGCCGAGATCGTCGCTGTGCGCCGCGACGGCATCAGCAACCTGGTCGTCATGATGAAGGACCAGTATGCGAACTATGTTGTCCAGAAGATGCTTGATGTTGTCGACGAGCAGCAGCGCGACATGATCCTCAGCAAGATCCAGCCCCATATCTCGACGCTGAGAAAGTTCACCTACGGGAAGCACCTGATCAGCAAGGTCGAGAAGTACCAGGGCATCGACGAGTCGAGCAAGCCGTCGGCGTCGCCGGAGCCCGGCCCTCCCGAGCCCCAGGCTACCCCGCGGAGCTCTGGCCGCGCGCCAACCTCCTCTGGCAGCACCGGATACCCGCGCTCGCATGGATCCGCCAAATAGAGCCCCACACCGGGGGGACTGCTGCTGCTGCCAGTGTAAAAAATGTGTATCTTTCCAACATCCCACTCCCCTCCACTGTTAAGTTTAGCAAATACTTTTCTTTCTCTTTCTTTCTTCTCTATCCAACGGCATCTAACCCTTCCCAAGCAGCCAACCTTGTCGATTTCGATTGCCTAATGCGCTGCTTTCGGAAATCGCAGGCTCGGTAATTGTGACTGAAGAGGCCACTGGACATGGCCGCGCTTTGAGCATTTCTCCGACGACGGGCCAAACCAAATATATTAAATCGCGCGGATATTGGGAGTCCCAAACTCCCAGGGCGCATATTTTAGCTGCTGGCATCGCAGGGCCGCGAGTGTCAGTTTCCTGGCTCGCCCTAGTCGGCGAATATCTGGTCTATTTCTCCTATCTCGCAGCAGCCATTTGCGCACGGGTGGATATTTTGCCTGGTCCCCTCTCTTTATCTGGTCGAGGTGGGAATTGGCCTGCTCCTGAAAAGTGGGCATGTGGGATTGCGATGTCGAGATAAGGATGTTTTTTGGGCTCGGTGGAAATAAGCTCCGTTGCCAGGGTAGCTCGAGCCGATGACGGCGGTCGCGCACGCACTAGGCTGGTGCGGCGAATTCTTTGGCTCCGTCTCCAGGCCACGCCCCTCCCATTTGTGCGCTGGGAGGGATTGGCCTCACTGCTGCCTATTCCCTATTTTCTGCCAGACTGATGCCCTCGCGTCGTCACATTCAGCGCACCCGCAGCTGCCCGGTAGCTGCTATAAAAGGCGCCTCGGCTGCCTGGGCAGTAGTGGCACGCTTTTTACTGGTGTTATCTCCAAGCAAGCATTTTTCCTCCTGTACCATTTTCTTCTAAAGCAAAAAGCAAACATGTTCAACTCAAAGGTCGCCGGTGTTCAGATCCTGGGCAAGGTCGTTGGTAGCCAGGCCGAGATCCTCACCCCCGAGGCAGTCTCGTTCGTGGCCAAGCTCCACCGCCTCTTCAACTCCACCCGCAAGCAGCTTCTGCAGGCGCGCGAGGAGCGCTACCGCCAGCTGCAGGCGGGCAAGTCGCTGGACTTTTTGCCCGAGACTGCCTGGATCCGCGACGACAAGACGTGGCGCGCTGCCCGCCCCGCCCCCGGCCTCGTTGACCGCCGCGTCGAGATCACCGGTCCCGTCGACCGCAAGATGGTCATCAACGCCCTGAACTCGGGCGCTGCCACCTTCATGGCTGACTTTGAGGACTCGTGCTCGCCCACCTGGTTCAACCTGATTGACGGCCAGGTCAACATGCGCGACGCCGTGCGCCGCACCATTGCGTTCAAGAACGCCAACGGCAAGGAGTACAAGCTCCGTGAGGATGGCAAGATCGCGACCCTCATCGTCCGGTAAGTTGCATATTTCACATGGGCGAAGCAGTGCCCCTCTTTCTCATGACGACAGATGCACTTTTATTTTTTCCCATGTGATATATTTGCTGTCTGCTGAAAGTCGCGGGACATGGTTTTGCCCTTCCGTGCAAATCCCCCTTATCTGCCCTGTCTGTGACTGCTGATTTACTAACCGCTCCACTCCCCTTATCACCCTCTGTAGCCCCCGCGGCTGGCACATGGAGGAGGCCCACGTCCTCGTCGACGGCGAGCGCTGCTCGGCCTCGATCTTCGATTTCGCGCTGTACTTCTTCCACAACGCCCAGGCCACCCTGGCCGCCGGCTTCGGCCCGTACTTCTACCTGCCCAAGATGGAGCACCACCTTGAGGCCCGCCTGTGGAACGACATCTTCAACGTCGCCCAGGACGAGCTCCGCATCCCGCGCGGCACCATCCGCGGCACCGTTCTCATCGAGACCATCGCCGCCGCCTTCCAGATGGACGAGATCATCTACGAGCTGCGCGACCACTCGTCTGGCCTCAACTGCGGCCGCTGGGACTACATCTTCTCGGTCATCAAGAAGTTCCGCCACGACCCGCGCTTCACCCTGCCCGACCGCTCGGCCGTCACCATGACCTCGCCCTTCATGAGCGCGTACGTGCGCCTGCTGATCAAGACCTGCCACCTGCGCGGTGTCCACGCCATGGGCGGCATGGCTGCCCAGATCCCCATCAAGGGCGACAAGGCTGCCAACGATGCTGCCATCGAGAAGGTGCGTGCCGATAAGCGCCGCGAGGTGCTCGCTGGCCACGACGGTACCTGGGTCGCCCACCCCGCCCTGGTCACCATCGCCCTGGAGCAGTTCAACAAGCACATGCCGTCGCCCAACCAGTTCCACGTGCGCCGCGAGGACGTTGTTGTGACCGCCGCCGACCTGCTCAACACCCACATCGAGGGCGGCAAGATCACCGAGGCTGGTCTGCGCGACAACATCGCCGTCGGCCTCATGTACATGGCCGCCTGGCTCAACGCCAACGGCTGCGTGCCCATCCACAACCTGATGGAGGACGCTGCCACCGCCGAGATCTCCCGCTCGCAGCTCTACCAGTGGGTCCGCCACGGTGCCCGCACCGCCGACGGCTCGGTCATCACCCCTGCCTACGCTGCCAAGATCCTCGCTGAGGAGACCGCCAAGCTCGACCGCAAGGCCTACCCCAAGGCCGACCTGGCTGCCAAGTTCCTTGGCTCGCAGATGAAGGGCGATCGCTACGACGACTTCCTCACCACCCTGTGCTACGACTCGATCCTCGAGACCACCAGCAGCCCCAAGCTCTAAGCCGGCAGGTTTATTTCCATTCCGTTTATGTAATTTCAGCACTGGAATCCAGTTTAAAAAAAAGCCTCTCTCCTCACACATGTTGTCGCTTTGGACACATGGCGCTTGTGTAGGATATGCGTGTATCTCCACCCCTGCAGGCCTCATGCATAGATCAAATCCGCTCTACAGCCATTAATCTTTGACAGCCCCTCTGCCAAAGAGTACTACGAACTGCCGAGAACAGGGGACGAGAGAGTGCGAGTGAGAACGTGTCTTTTTCTCCATCTCTACTTCAACCTTAAGCAATGGCCGCCCCGCTGACCAGCCAGCCCCCTGACGCTGAGCTTCCCCTCGACAAGTACGCGCCACCGCCGCATGGATATTCGGAGCAGTCCCATGGTGTCTTCCACTGGGACATCACCAGCTACCACACCATGCTCCGCCAGTCGCAGCTCTACGCCGAGCTGTATTCGAAGGAGTTTGCCCTAGCCGGCTTCGACTGGAGCATGACCCTGAACCTCTCCAGCTCATACCGCGGCGAGTTCATCGGCCTGCACGTCCACTGCAAGACCGCCGACACCATGCCTGAAGACTGGGAGCAGTGCATCATCTACTCGATACGGTTCGAAAACCCCGCCGACCCAAGCAGCAGCGAGGGTGTGCAGCAGAGGTACCGCCTGTCAAGGGAGTATGCCAGCCTCGACATCCCACACGCATTCCTCCGCAGAACCCTCAAGGAGAAAAAGATCTACAACAATGTGCCGGTGATCCAGAACAACAAGCTGCGTATCTCCGTGTACATGCGCGCCATTAGCGACCCCACGCGCATGCTGTGGCACGATTTCAGCAAAACCTACAACTCGCTTGTGAGGACCGGATATGTCGGGCTAGAGAACCATCTCCCGTACAAGTCCATGACTGCCTTGCTGCTGACGCTGTATCAGATTAAGCCCTTGCGCGAGGCCATTGCGTCCATCAGGGGCAAGGATCCGATCCGCGACGAGTCGTTCCACATATGGGGCATGATGCGGCCAAAAAACGGCAACGGTCTCTCCCGCGAAATTGCCGAGGTCTACCACAGGCTAGGCTCCACACGCCCCACCACGCACATATACGAAATGTCCAAGGCCATAACCCGTCTCGGCTACATTGCCGGATACTACATCCCCCTGGGCCATGTGGCTGCCGTCGTCCTCGAGCGCGTTGTGCGCGAAATCGGCATGGTGGTCGACAACAGGCACCTGCTGCCGATGATGTGCGGGCTAAAGCAGACCACCACCATACGGATAGCCGACAGGACATCAATGCTCGAGATTTTCGATGCCGTGGTCGACGAAGATGAGGAGGAGCCCGAGCTGGCCATGGTCAACCCGCTTATTCTGGACATCAGCGGGTGCTACGATGTGAAATCGGTACTGCGCAAGCACTTTTCCCTCCACGTCGTCAAGACAAACCAGCAGCCTATTTTCACCGTCATCCAGATCCACAACAGCGTCAGGAGAGTGGAGGTCCTGGAACTACCGACAGTTCTGTTTATCAACTTTGAGCGGTTCACCAAGCCGTTTCGGCCCATCACTATATACAAGACCGACGCGCTGGTGACATTTGAAGAGACGCTGGACATGGCCGAGGTTCTGCCCGACCTTGCAGGAAAGCGGGAGCCCAACTAAGTATACACTGTTTGCCGTGATGGTCCATGTCGGCGAGGGGATGCGAGGAACACATGCGAGCTTCATGCGCCCAAAGATGGACCAGTGGTTTGTGTTCGAGGATGATTTGGTATTCCCTGTGCATCATGATGTGGTGTTTGATCGAGTCGATGTAAACCAGTATCTGTCTACGATCGTTGACACTGACCGCCCAAGGAAGATCCTTAGCGCAAAACGGTTCAGAAACACGTATATGCTTGTTTATATTCGAGACGACCAGATCGACTATGTTCTGGGTCTCTAGGGGTATTAATTTGAATATTAGCTACTATTAGGATGGCAGGAGAGAGATGTATGCGTATACAATATTTGGCCTGCAACCAAGGATCAGAGGGAGGGAAAAGGCTGCTGAGACGCAAGATATATGTGGCATTTGTAGTCTGCAGCAGCAGTATTGCTACATTTTGTGTTGTGTTTCTAACTGGCCATCATAGAGTTTGAAAAGTACCCGATATCCAGAGAGGAGTGGCCAGTGCCAATTATAGAACTGACAGCCATGTTTGTAGTTAGGCATATGCCCAGTCCACAAATCACCAATACAGTCAGCTCAGCCTTCAAACTCATTTTCGTGATTATAAACTATGTGGTGTATGTTTACCCGAGAAAAAAGTGCCTCAGGCTAAGGAAATGACACGTTGTAAGCAATACATTGCGTTCAAAATATCTTCTGGCAAGTTTGGCGAGTTCTTCTCACACCTTTTTCTTAGATGCCATTTCATTTCATTGCATTGTAATAGTCGTAACGCATGGGTAGTCAAGTCTCATCACTCAAGGCGTCAGACGTTGTGTTTGTGTGGAAGCTTGTCTATAAAAGCTAGTCTCTGCACCCTTGCTCCTGCAAGCACCAACTATACCACATATTTTACCCATACACAAAAGTGCATATTCGCCAACGCTTGTTTGCACTATTTCTGGCACTTTTCCAGCTCTGCCACGCGTCGTGGGTTGATGGTATCCGTCCAGATTCTCCACGAACATTGCGGTAGTTTCAACAGAGTCGTCAATGTTTGCTGGCGACAATTTTTGCTGGGTTTGCCACCACTTTTGGCTTATACATCCTTGCTTTCCATCTCGACAGGTTCTCCCAGCATCTGATAGCCCTGAATGCAGGGTCTCTGAATAGGCACGTATTCAAGCAAGTAAAAAGTGGGTCGTGGCATGTGCTACTCACAGCGACACTGCAATAATCCATAGTATTTCTGCACTGTATGGTGTTAGGCTTGTTGGCTGTGGATATCATTCAAAAGAATGCCGGCAACAGCATCACATCCTTAATGATACAGCCAAAGCACAAAGTGATCCTGCTGCAACAGCCGAAGCACAAAGTAGCGGGAATGATACGGTCAAAGTCAATTCGTGTAACTGACCTTCCTTGCTCAGCATTATCGTCTGAAATGTGAATATATATTCATACTATTAGTTTTACCACCCTGCTCGAGAAATGACACACTTGCTCATGTATAAAAATCGGAATCCAGTACATGTGTGGTAGATCGGTTCCCAGCTGGCAAACAAAAAACCGGTTTCTCCAGAGCGCGATTTCCTTGCCCATCCCTGCTCTTTCTCACGTACCTTGTGATACCATTTTTCGCTGATTTTCCAAAAATTATTTCGTGAAGGCCTCCAAACTTTTGCCAAGACCTGACTCCCAGACAGAGGCATAAAAAGGAGAGGCATAAAATACAGCTGCTTAATATTTCCTAGAAAACGCTTCATCCCAATGTACTACATCATTTCCTAGCTATATATCCTATTCACTGAATCCGCACATTTTTCTCGTTAACAGCAGGCAATGGACCACAACAACACCGTAGAAAGCGATACTCCCTTGAGCCCTCTGTCAGAAAATGACCAGACAGCGCTTGAATATGGAGCCATCTCCACACCTTCATCCAATATTGCCGGCGACATCAACCCAGATACTTACCTCCAGTGGACTCACGTCAAGTCAGAGCTCATCTGGCTCATCTACTCGGCCACACCCATCGTCATTTCGTCAACCTCGCAGTTACTAATAATGGTGCCAATACTGGCAGCCGTCGGGCGGCTCGGCACGGTGGCTTTGGCCAGCTATGAACCTTGCTGGCCTCTATGCTGGGCTATTTGGTGTCACGCCCCTTGCCGGCATTGCCATGGCGCTGGACACGTTCTGCAGCCAGAGCTTCACAGCGGCCAAGGACAAGCGCATTCTGGGGGTGCTTTTGCAGCGCGCGTTGCTGATTGGGGCTCTCACCATGGCGCTCATTTACCCGGTGTGGTGGGAGTCCAAGCATGTGTTTGAATGGTTCGGAGTGCCGACGGAAGTGGCGGAAGTGGCCGGGCGGCTTCTGCGCGTGTACTTTTTCGGCATCGCGCTTCTAATTTCATACGAGTTCCTGCGCAGCTTTTTGTTCGCGCAGGGAGTCCGTAGATTCGCACTGATGGCACAGCCAATTGGTCTTGTGGTTGGCTGGTCTCTTACCTGGGTATTGATTGGCAATCCGTCGACATCGATGGGAATCATGGGCGTGGCATTTGTCATTCTTGCAGTCGCCGGGACGTTCTCTGCTGTCACAGTGCTGTTCATAGTCAAGGTCGAGGGCTACCAGTGCTGGGGCGGATGGTCGCGTGCGGCGCTGCGCGACTGGATGCCGCTGGTCAAGCTGAGTGTAGCAGGCGCAATTGTGTCATTCCTGGAGACGTTCTCATCCAGCGCAATCGACCTGGGCTCAATGTTCATGGGCGCGCAGGTGATGGCTGCACAGGCAGTGCTGTCAATGCTGATGACGTCGACATGGGTGATGGGCACAGGGTTCTCGGTGGCCGCCTGCAACCGCATCGGACACCATCTGGGCTCGGGCATGGCGAACCGCGCCAAGCTCACAGGTCCTGGCATCAACTGTGCTGGCAACAGTGGTGTTCACCGTTCTGGCGCTGGTCTTTATTGGGTTCCGGTCGGGGCTCCCGCGCATTTTCACCGATGACGGGGAGGTGGCGGAGATACTGGCGGCGCATATTCCGTGGGCGGCGGCTGCCGGAGCCATGCAGGGCATCAATATGGCGTTGAATGGCGTGCTGCGCGGGCAGGGGAGGCAGCAGATGATTGCGCAGGTTAGGTTTTTGTCGTTTGTCCTGGTGGGGGTTCCGGTCAGTGCATTGGCGGTGTTTGTGCTTCGGTGGACGCTGGCGGGGCTCTGGCTTGGGTTCAACGCGTGCCTAGCCTCAGCACTGGTCTTCCAGGGGTATGTTATTCTGACCACGAACTGGAACAAGCAGGTGGTTGCATGCCAGAAGCGCGTCACAGCGACAGTGGGCACTTTTCACGAAGTTGACGGTGTTATTGCAGGCAGCGAGGATGCTGAGTCGCTCCTGTGAAATGGCTAAATGCCAAGCCGGTTTTCCGAGTAATTATTGTTGGAATAAAGTCTAATCTGTAACCCACTTGGCATCCATGGCACATTTGTGGCTGTTGTAGATGTGCCCCTGCGGTGCTATGTAATGGAGGCCGAGCCAGCGCGCCATAGCACGGATACAGTATGAATCACCTGGTCAGCCATAACATGGTGGATTCGCTCAATAGTGGGGGTATTCTGAGAGGAATACAGTGCATGATCAGAGAAACCTACATCCATACATAAACATCTTTCGCGGCCACGCAGCACATACACAGCAGCCATGGGGCTAAGCGACGAGCTCAACAAGTTCATCCCAAAGGACTTTGGCAAGAAGAAAAAGAAGGCAGTCACCACAGCCCACACTACAAAGCAGACCAAAAGCACCAGCAAGCCCGCTGCGCACCCACGCACACCCACCCCGCCAGCCGACCTGCCCCCAGCCAAGGACCTGCCGATCTCGCACCACTTCCGTCTTTCAGAGCACAGCAAAACCGTCTCGGCGCTCTCCTGGGATGCCTCGGGCGACACGTTGCTGACTGGCGACCACCAGTCGCTGGTGAAGCTCTGGGACTTTACTTCCATGGACCAAGCAGCGCATTCCTTACGCACACTCAGCCCATTCGAGTCCCAGCGCATCTGCCAAATTAAGGTACAGCCACGATGGCTCGCAGTTCCTGTGCGCAAGCAGCGATCCGCGCGTAAAGCTGTTCGATGCAGACGGCCATAAGCTGTGCGAGTTCCGTCGCGGCGACATGTACGTGTCCGATATGCGGAGAACTAGCGGCCATGTGTCTGGCGTAACATGTGTGGACTGGCGCATAGGCGCGCCGCAGCAGTTCCTGTCGGCCAGCCAGGACGGGACCGTGCGTCTGTGGGACTGCAACCAGCCGCACAAGCAGCTGGCGGTGATTGTGGCCAAATCCCGCACCCGCACAGCCGTGACAGCAGCTAAATATACACTGGACGGCAAGGCGATAATTGCAGCGCAGCAGGATGGGGCGCTGGCCGTGTGGCCAACCGACGGCCCATATATGCGCCCGGCACAGCTCCTCAATGGTGCGCACCAGGGCGGGAGCGAAACCACCTGTGTTGAGTTGGCCAGCCCAGACACGTTCCTGACGCGCAGCACTGACGATACGGTGAAGCTCTGGGACCTACGCAAATTCACCGAGCCATTGGCCCAGCATGACCTGGAGACGCCAAACGAGGCCAACCTGGCGCTCAGCCCCGATACACAGCATGTCCTGGCCGGTGTCTCCAACGGGCAGATCAGTGTTTTGGACCGCCAGACGCTCACGCCCAAGCACGCAGTTACTGTGCCCGAAACCACCGGCGGAATTGTACGTATAGCCTGGCATGCAAAACTCAACCAGATCGCCTGCACGAGCACAGACGGGTCCACCACGGTCCTGTTCGATCCCGAGACAAGCCAGGCAGGTGCTCTTCTGTGCTACGACCGGAAGCCGCGCAGGCAATTCGACCAGGTGGCTACGTCCTCGACAATTATCACACCGCATGCCCTGCCGCTGTTCCGCGAGGACCGGCCGATGTCGGCGAAGCGGAGGCGCGAGAAGGAGCTGAAAAAGGCGGTGAAGCCGAAGATGCTGGTGCATGGGCATGGGCACGGCGGCGAGATCGGCATCAATGAGACCCAGCATATCATGAAGAGTCTGATCAAAGACACGCTGCGCGATGAGGACCCGCGCGAGGCGCTGCTAAAGTACGCGAGGGTGGCCGAGGAGGACCCAAAGTTCATTGCTCCGGCATACAAGGGCACCCAGGACAAGCCGGTGTTCGATGAGTCGGGCATGGCCGACGAGCCAGCCATGAAGCGGCGAAAGTAAGCTTGTCAATTCGGGTGTTTAGACTTTTTATAACTGAGATTTGAGAGAAATATAGAAAAACTGGGACCTTTTTAATGAGACGCTGCCATCGGACATGGAGGCGCTTACTTCTTCTTCTTGTCCTTCTTCTTGTCCTTCTTCTCCTTCTTCTCCTTCTTCTCCTTCTTGGCCTTCTTGGCCGGGGCCGCCTCCTCGTCATCAGCCGCCCGCTTCTTGCTCTTGGCGGCTTGACCTCGTCCTCATCGTCCTCGGTCTTCATGGCCTTGAGGACCTTCTCCATGACATCGGCGTTCTTGGAGGGCTGGGCGCCGGTCTCGTAAAAGTTGAGGCGGTCCTCAACCTGCTGCCGCAGGGCCGAGCCAAAGACGTCATTGGGGGTCTCTGAGAAGCAATCGATGCGCGAGGCAATGGTAGCCTTGTTGGCGAGGAAGCGCGAGATGCGGCCCTTGTTCTTGGTGCCAGCGCGGCCGATGAACGACGAGTTGTAGATGAGGCCATACTTGGGCGTGTTGCCGCGGGTCTTGAGGGCACGGAACAGGGCCTTCTCGGCACCGAGGATCTGGACGGTGGACGCCGGGTATTTGCTGAGGTTGGTGAGCGAGCCGGCGTGGCAGATGAGGCGGGCACCGACAATGTCGCCAATCAGGGCAGCCAGGTTGGGGGCCACGACGCTCATCTTGCTGACCAGGTAGTCGTACAGGCTCTTGCGGTACTCGGACAGCGAGATGACGCGGGCGGCGAAGGTCTCGATGTTGAGCAGGTCGATCTCGGAGATGTCGGTACCCATGGACGCGCGGGCAGCATCGAGGATCTGGCGGGAGATAGAGTCGTCCTCGGTGATCTCAGTGAGCGCATCGATCGAGTCGTCGCCCAGCGTGCCCTTGTTCTTGATGAGCTTGGCCAGGCGCGCGTACTTGTAGTGGTCGGCGATGATCTTGGAGAGCTCAGGGAAGTGCCAGCCATACCATTCGCGCACGCGCATGGCGAAGGTGTTCAGGTCCTTGTCGAGCTGGTCCAGCAGCGAGATCGCCTGGATGATCATGTTGTCCGAGCGGTTCACGTTGAACTTGACCTTGGCGCGCGAGTACGCGTGACCCAGACCCAACTGCGCCTTGGACAGATCGCCGGCCTTCAGCTGCTCGATCAGCCGCTCAGCGTGCAGCCGGATACCGCGCAGCAGCTCGTTCGACAGCTCCTCGGTCGTGCACGGGATCTCGGTCGCCGCCTTGATGGCACCCGCCAGGTTGCGGTCGCTGACGCCCAGCAGCTGGTGCTTGCCCTTGCCCAGGTTCAGCTCCAGGAACGCCTGCAGGGAGTCGCTGCAGACGCCCTCCGACACGTCGTTGATGTTCTCGAGCGCATCGGCTGCGTTCTTGAACGGCGCAAACGACTTGATGCGGACATACTTGCCAAACTTGCTGATGTCAAGCACCGTCGACTGCACCTCGGCCAGCTTCGCGCCGATCTTCTCTGCCTGCATCACCTCGAACAGGCCGTAGCCGGAGGCCGACTCGTACAGAACGTGCGTGAGATTCGTCATTGGATGTCTGATTTTGTATATAGAAGGGGAAGGGGAATTGAGCAAAAAGAGACGGGCTGGAGAAGAATATACGCAAGAAAGGTAAGAAATTGTTTTTCCAAGCACCTTGCTTTCGCCGCTGGGCCACAGAGCAAAAAAAATTTTTTTTGGCTGTATGCCAGATCGTGGTGCCTAAAAAAAAGGAGCACAGATCCGTTGATGTACTGATTGCAAATGCGGTGATGGATTAGAACTTCTCGTGCAGCGTGAACTCGTAGCCTGATACCATTCTCGGTCTGCGGGCCGCTGGGCACCGGGAACCCGGCGACCTGCTCCAGACGCTCGTGCGTCTGCCTGGCAAACACCTCGGAGCTGAACTCTGGGAAAAACGCATCGCACTTGTCTGCCTCTGCAAACTGCACGCGCGTCAGCAGTACCTGCACCGGGCCTTGTGCCTCCAGCGCCTCCTTGTAGATGCCGCTGCCGCCCACCACACACACGCGCTCAATGCACACGCTGCGTAGCTGCTCAATATGCCTGCAATGCGTCCGACATCGTCGGCACCACCACCGTATACGGGGCATCTTCGTTGTCCAGCAGCGAGGCATTGCGCGATACCACGATGTTGTAGCGGTTGTTCAGCGGCCGGTGCTTGGGCGGGATCGACTCCCAGGTGCGGCGGCCCATGATGCAGGCGTTCATGACCGGGCGCGAGGGGTCGGTTTGCGTGGTGGTGGTGGTGGCCTGGTTGAAAAACGCCATGTCTTTGCGCAGGCGCCAGGGCAGGTCGTTGTTGATGCCAATGCCGTTGTTTTGGGCGGCGGCGACTACCAGCAGGAGCGGTTTCTGGGATACAGTCATAGTGTAGTGTAAAGCGTGTGTTAGAAAACGTAAGGTGCTAGCCACAGGAGGCGGATGTCTGGGTGCCTTGGTAGCATAGAGCGTGAGAAGGACTCTGTTCTGTGATCTGGTGGATCAAGGGGTGATTTCCGGCAGTTTATTTCGCTAATCGCCTCTGGCTTCTTGTCTCATCGATCCGCACTTTCCTCCTTCACTCGCTTTCCATTATTCTAGACATGAATGCACGAACGCCCACACAGGCTAGCAGGGCTCCTGTCCCGATACGCACCAAAGCGCGCACTACATATTTCAGCCCGTCTGCAGGCGGGCGGGCAGACGCCGGCAGCCGACAGCACACATGCGCGATCGCCGCAGACAGTGGCCGAGCAGGTGCGCAGCATCATCTACCCGTCGAGCTACGATAAGATCAGCAGGGCGCGCGAAGTACTGCAGGATGCACGTGTGGCCTCTACCCATGTGGGCATGCAGCTGGCGCAGGCGGACCGGCGGCAGCTGGCAGTGAAGCGCACGCAGCTCAACGAGCTGTTCAGCCGACAGTCACGGGAAACGCTGTCGAGCTCGGACTACAGCGAGTTCCTGGAGGGCTACATGATCACGCACGATGCGTACGGCGGACTGGCGGTTCTGACAGCAATGCGGCAGCACGGACAGAAGGCAACGCTGGCGCAGTACAATATGGTGCTGAAGACGGCCGCGCAGGACTTCAATGCGCGGGCAATCTACGAGATCGGCGAGGAGATGCGCATCGCCGGTGTGGCGGAAGGACGAGTATGTGGGGTTCTTCAATCAGCTGCTGCTGAGCCTCAGTAAGCGCGGGCAGCCGGAGCTCGCCTATAGCGTGTATATGGAAATGCAGACGCGCAATGTCGCAGTGCAGCGCAATGCCTGCCATGAGCTGATCTGCGCGCTGGGCGCCATTGGCGAAGTTGATCTGGCGTTCAGTGTGCTGCGCGCAGCAATGGCCGCAGCTTTGGCGTTTGACCAGACGACCAGCCTGGCATTGCTGCGTGCGGCCGGTGCGGCACTGCACCATGACGCGTATCGGCACAGCTTCGAGCAGCTGACGCAGGTGTTTGGCAGTTCGCTGGCCGAGGGCGACTATATTCTGGGCCTGCAGGTGGCCGCGCGGCACGGCGACGTATCGCTGGCCACATCGATCATCCGGGCAATGCAGGGCCACGGCTACGCAATGCAGGAGCACCACCTGGAGCCGCTCTTCGAGGCACTGGTACAAAAGACGCAGTGGCTGCCGGCGCTGCGTGTGCTCGAGACCATGCGCAGCGCAGGCCACGGCGCCGAGCCAGCGACCGTGCGCTGCCTGATGCGCAAACTGCAGGGCGCCAAGGCCGAGGAGCTGACCGAGCACGTGTTCTCCTTGCTAGCCAGCCACAGCGCCGAGCTGCCGCACGCGATCTCCACAGCAACGCTCAATGCCCTGGTGGGTGCCCTGGCCAAGTCGCGGTGTGTCGAGGCGGCGCTGGACCGCCTGGACCGGTGGTTCGGAGCGCTCCATGTCTCCCGCGACATCCACACCTACGAGCTGGCGCTGCAGGGGTGCGAGCGCGCGCGCAACAAGGCTACAGCAGGAGGTTTTGTTTGCGCGGCTGCTGGACGAGGACCGGCTGGTGCCGAGCCAGCGCGCGTACGAGGCGATGCTGGGCACATGTCTGACGCAGTACGTGTACGAGGATGCGTTTGTGTATCTCGAGTCAATGAAGGCCCACGGCATGGTGCCTGGCTGGAAGACGTACTCGAAGATTGTGCGGCGGTGTGCCCGTGTCGCCGACCCGCGCGCCCACACTGCCATGCAGGAGATGCGCGATCTCGGCTACGTTGTGCCTCGGGCCCTGGCTAGCTTTCGTGGCCACCGGTGGCCGCAGCGCACGCCAGGCTGCTGCCCGCCGCAAGCCCAGCAAGTCCGACAAGGACTCCGAGCCGCTCAGCACACCTGACCCCAGCACAAAAGTCCCTGATCTCGAGACGCTGCTGGGCGATTCTTTATTTAAGGTTTAACACTACTTGGGGAAGAATACCCCCTCCCCCGCTCTTTTCGGCACCCCTTTTTAGACTTTTTTTTTTTTAATTCTTTCCAAATGGACGACTTCCTTGCCAATGTGCCCGAGCTGTGCAATGCCGACCAGCGTGCCTTCCTGTACTCGGACCTCGAGCGCCAGCGCACCGACAACCCCGACGGCTACTCCACAGCCTTTCACATTCTGGACGCAGCTGCTAGTCAGTGCCCAGCGCGCAGGCGTCCTGGGCCCCTCCCGCCTAGTACTCTCCACTGAAGCGCTCGACTCACGCTTCGCCTTCCGCGGCGACACACCCACCGGCCTGCCCACTATAGTGCGTGCGTTGCCGCAAAAGCTGCAGCTATTATCAGACTTTCTCGCTCCGTGGCCGCGCCGCCTATTGGGGTGGGCCCTGGGCCAGTTCCCGCTAATGCCGCGCCGCCTGCCGGCCATGCTGGCCATGGGTGCATTCCACGTCGACGTAGACGCCTATGTGGTCACGGAGGCAGTTGAGGAGGTTGCACAGCAGCTGGCAGACTATCATTATGCACATGTCGAAAGTCCGTTTGACAATCCTGATGGATATCCAGCGGGTTTGCGCGCCGCTTCCAGCACATCATATCAACCGACATTGACCTGAAGGTGATGCTCAAGCACTTGCAGGACACCCGAAGGATAACCACCCGCCAGGTGCATGAGCAGACATTGATCCGCTTTGCCGCATCGCAGGCCGAGCATATAACCGTCCTGCCCTCCATTGCCGACATGAACACATTACAAGTCACCAACACCCAAAACGACATTGCCCACCAGGTCACTCTGCTCGAGCAGCGCACCAAACAGCTTCGACGATGAGGTACGCCAGGCGCTTGCTAACAAGCAGCGCACCCTGGCCATGTCCAAGCTCAAGATGAAGCATTTTATTGAATCCGGCCCGCTGGCCAAGCGCCTTGATGCGCTGGAGCAGATCTCCCAGGTCGTCCTGCAGCTGCAGCAGACCCACTCAGGATATCCAGCTCATCCAGGCGTTCGAGGCCGGCACCCGCTCATTGCAGAGCCTCAACCAGATCGCCGGCAAGCACGATCCGGACGCTATTTTCGATCAGTGGAAGGACGAGGTCCTGAAGGCTAACGAGCTTGAATCTGCGCTGGCCGCTAACCAGTTGGTACCCGATGAGGGCGAGGACGTGCAGAGCGACCTGGAGGCTGAGCTCGATGCCCTGGTGCGCGAGCAGGAGGAGGTGTCCCAGGAGGATCTGGAGCTCAGCGCTGCCTTTGGCCGTGCATCTATCTCTGACGAAGCCCAAAGCTTCTCCACCCGCCAAGGGCTCCCCAGCCAAACGACCCTCGCCCGCCATCAGTGCTGACGCCGTACCTGAGAATGAGGAGCTCCCTAGCAGAGTGCTTCTCGCAGAGGAGTAAACCTCTCAGTCCTTACCCTAAGCGCCTTCCTTTACACATACTGTCGTTTTTATTGTCATTAAAGCGGAGTGTACTAAGAGATCGGATGGGCGTTTCTCTTAAAGGAAGGGTGCATTACGCTCCTCTTGCTGCAGCCGGGACAGTGAGACACCGACTGCTGGGAAGAGAGCGAGGGGGTGGGGGTGTGGGGAAGAGAGAAGAGGGGAGCGTTACAAAACGTAGTCCAGTATGTGCGTGTGAGACTCCCACCACTGGGGGACGTCTTTGGTGGGTGCGAGCTCGCCGAAACCGCTGAAGGGCAACAAAGTGGAGATGTGGGACCCAGTTTCCCCCGTCGAACCATGATCGATACCTTGAGTCTTTGAAAGACATAGAGCTGGCCATTTCGTCGCCTTCGCCGCCTTTCCTCACTAGCGTCCCATGCCGCCTCCGCTGTCCTGAAAAATAATAGAACAGAAGGCTGATATTACAGATTGGCATAGGCGGGGGCTGACATGGCTTCGTGAGAGTGAGACAGGGGCGGAAGAAGACATAAGCTGGCCTGCAGGTTCGAGAGAGAGAGAGAAATAGATGGCGCCTTAAGCATATAATTAGGCGTGGTAAGACGGGGTCAGGGTGCCGTTAGGCATCGGCGACACTGTCGCCGCGCGGTTCTGAGACATTCTCCTTGATCAGACGCAGCTTCTGGAACATCGCCGACAAGTCTGCCGCCGGCTGCGTCAGATCAACCGCCGAATGGCTGTTGTTGTTGTGGATGATGTTGCCGCGCACCAGCATGTCCTCCAGCTGACGTCGAGCGCTCACTCAGTGCCACATTGGCCACCTGGGCCTCAGGCCGGCGCACAAGCAGCTGCTCCGGCCGCACATGTGCGTTACGCGACGCTCCAAACACATCGTCATCGCGCACTGCAGCGGTCACTGTCGACTGCGGCGGGCTGTTCGACGTCAGGAACATGGGCGGCAGCGGAAGCGTGTTGGGCGCTGGCGAGTTGTTGAACGACGCTCCAGCATAGTGGTTCGACTTGTTGATCGACGACGGGCTGCCACCACGGTGGATACCGATATGATGACGGCGGCGACTGCCCAGAGCCAAACGGAGCAACAGACGGAACCTGCGGCGTCGGGCTATAAATAGTTGCCAGGCCCGACACAACCGCATGCTGCTGCTGCTGCTGCTGCTTGTTGTGCCCGCGGCGAGGAGGCGAGCGGCTCTGCATCTTGCCCGGCGGGACCGACGCCGAGCCATGGTGCGCCGGCGGCTGAGGGAACACAGAGTCGTCCTCATCCCGCGGTGGCGACGCCTGCCGACGGCGGCTGCGCTTCGACTGCCCCTCGGCAAACTTGGACAGCATCGCCTGCTGCTCGCCCTCCGACGCCGACTTTGTCAGAAGAGTGACCTTGCCGTGCTGCTTGTTCTGCTTTGCGCGAGCCACGGCCGCCCGACTTCTTGTTCGGAACTGTCTGCTGCTGCTGCTGCTGCTGCTGCTGCTGCTCGTCTTCCGACTTGGACTGCGCTGCGTCCGACCTGGCGTGAGGCCGCTGGTTCGAGTTGTTCTGCTTGCCGCTCTTGCTGCTGTGGCGCTGGCTCTGGTGCTTTTGCGTCACTGCGTTCTTGCGGGCATACTCGTTGCGGGCGGAAGACGTCTGCTGCTGGCTGGTGGTGGTTGTTGTTGTAGCTGTTCTGCTGTGGGTGTGCCTGGTGGTTCTGGCGAAGGGAGCTGTGCCGGGACGGCCGAGGGGACGAATGGTGGCTAAATCCGCCGCTGGCGGCATCCGACTTGGAGACCGCGTTGCTGGCAGTGCTGTTGGACCGGCGGGAAACTGAACGGGGAGTCATGATGTCTTCGACTTGAAGCATATGCTGATGTGACAAAAAAGCTGGAGGTGGGAGAAATATAACCGGGCCCGTGTGTTGAGGGTGGAAAATGTGTTCACTGATAGTACACAAGTAGAGAGAAATAATAATAGGAGTGGGAAAGAGAAATAAAAGGGTGCCTTTAGAGGAAATAGGAAAAGGGCCTAATATTCTATAGCTTGTTTAGAAGCGGGTGTTCAGAGAAGGAGTAGTCTGACTGGCGAAATGCAATAAGCGAGTTTTTTTTTTTTTATAACTTTGGAGACGGGGCCTTTGTGGTGTTGCGAAAGTCTTTTGTTATTCCTGTTGTCATTTCAGAACTATGTTGTGTACAAGCGGGAATGTAGACTTTTTAAGAATTCTCTTCCGAATGCGCTTTCTAGTTCTGCAGGGAAAATGTGGGAGAACTGAGAAAAAAGAGCAAAAAAGCGAACAGAAAAGTAGGCTGGAATTTCAAGTGTAGAGAGAAAAAATGTTGTGAGAGAGGAAAAGAAAAAGAAAAAATGTGGCCCGGTTGCCGCCGCAATCCCCCAAAAAAGACACTCCGTTGAATTCCTCCCAAGCCCATGATCATTGGTCTGCCTCGCTGCAGCCAATCACACCCCGTCAGTATGATTGCTGCTATTTCCTTGACGCACAATGCCTTTTGCCGAAGCGCGCAGCGCACGCTCTTGGCAGAGCTTGTGAGATTTGTGGAGATTGGGTCCGGGCCGACAAACTCCAGGCCGACGGCAGCCCGCACAGACACCAGGATAGGGAGAGGCTGGCCAAAGGACACCCGTCAGGGGCGGTGATAAGCGCTGCTCGCTTGCCTATCTGCTGTATATCGCCGGGCACATCATCCGCAAAAAGCATACCCAAATAGTGATACACTGTCAAAAGCAAGAAAAATAGGGCCCGGACTTGCGAATCCTTGGCTTTCCGCGATCGACTCGTGTTTGCTCTGATGCGCATGCTTTGCAATAATAAAACCGCATTGCTGCAGCCCGCATGGCCGGCATGGTGTCGCATTATTGCTTTCCTAATCGCTGGTGACTATGACACCACCACCACTGCAAACAGCAGAAGCATTAGCAGAATCCGGATCCCGGTACAGCCGCCCCATTGTCCACAGATCCCCCCGTTGCTACGTTCAACACAACAGAGGCTACTTGCCCAAGCGGGGGACATCTCCCCCATTTTGAGCGGTATCCTCCCCAGAAATACCAGCAGCATGACGCAGAATGGAAAGCTGTCAGAGTCGGAAGCCATTACAATTCACGGTCATATATTGATCACACTCACAATCCGTTACCGCTGGCGCCGTCAGCCTTGGCCGTGCTGCCGAGCCCATTGACAGCCGCCGCCGAGGCTGCCATCCCCACGCCATTTCCGCTGTTGTTCACCAGGTTCCACAGCGCCGACTGGTTCTGTCCCTTGACCGTGCTCAGCTGTGCCTGCAGCTCACGGGCCTCGCGCTGCGCTGCCACCAGCTGCCGCTCGATATCCCCCAGCATCATTTTGCCGCTGATGACATTGCTGCCGTCAGCCGTCAGCATCGGAAGCAGTAGCAGCGCCGGCTGATGCTGCCGAGCCATCGGACGCAGCACCGCCTTGCCTGGTCGTCTGACGCAGCAGCTCACCAAATAGCCCCGTGCTGGGCAGGCCAGGCGGCACACCGTTGACCATTCGCGGCGCCGCGTCTTCTCTCTCATTCCCCCTGCTGTCCCCAGCATTGGCGCGATGCGAGGGCTGCTGCTGCTGCTGCTGGCTGCCCACAGCAGCCATGCCGGTCTCGTTCTCAGACGAAAAGTGGGTCAGAAAGCGCGACCTGCTGCTGCTGTTCGCACTGCGTGAGGGCATTGACATGGTCGAATGCTGTTGCTGCTGGGCATCGGCGTAAAGAGGCGACGTGATTCCAGGCGGAGGACCCACCTGGCCCCGTTGAAACAGCCGTCGCCACCGGCTGGTTCATTCCGTTCATGCGACCAACCTGCATAATGGCTGGGTCGACGAAGCCGCCAGCACTCGACACGCTCATCTGTGGCGGATGTGCCATCATGCCGCCCACCTGCTGCCCAAACTGCCCAGCAAACAGAGGCGAGACAAGGCCCGCAGCACCCTGCATCATGCCCATTGGCATCATGCCAGGTGGGTGCTGATGCTGATGTTGGTGCTGATGTTGGTGCTGATGTTGGTGCTGATGTTGGTGCTGATGCTGATGCTGTTGAGCCAGACCAGGACCAAGAGGACTGGTCTGCTGCTGCATAGTCCATACCCGCTGAGGCACCACCCAGCTGGAGTCGAGCCAGCAGACTGTTCAGAACATTGGGGTCGGACCTGTTCGCCTGCTGCTGCTGCTGATACTGCTGGTGTCCACCAAGACCACCCGCCATAGGCCCCCATGTGCGTGGACAGAATGGCTGGGTCTTGGAACTGGCCACCCTGCTGCTGCTGCTGCTGGAACAGCTGCGACGAAGCAGTGGTCTCCACAGCCCCCCCGTCCATGGACTGCCCCATGAGACGCGAAAGCAGTGTTCCGGGTCCGACTAGACATAGGAGGAGCACCGCCGCTGCTCGGAGGAAGGATGCCAGGCGGGGTGTTTGTTGCCATTGACCTCAGCGCGCCATCGCTGCGCTGTCCAGCACCACCAAGCCCTGGCGGTGGTGCTGGCACTCCACCCGACTGGTGCTGGCCATGTGGGTTGCCCAGCACCGTGTTGGCTAGAGGACCACTGCCCCACGAGAAGCTACTGGGAGGTGCAGGTGTTGAGAACAGACCAAGGTCGCGAGACGACGTGAATCCAGGGCCAGCTGGAAGACGCAGGTGCGCCACGGTTAAGCACAGACTGAAGCTCGGCCTGTGCGCTGGCCTCGTCCACGTTTCCGTTCGAAGCAAAATCCCACCGCGAGCGCTGCCGTCCCCCAAACGGAGTAGCCGGTGCTGGGATCTGGCCGTCGCGCGACTCGCCGCCAATAAGAGCTGACAGCGGAGACTGCATATATGAGCTGCTGGCTGCTGGGCTATTGGCAGCTCCCCACTGTGCTGCTGTTGACGGTGACTGTGCCGCAAACGGATCAAACACCGATGAGGCTGCTCCAGCAGCAGAGGCCGCTCCAAACAGCGACGACGAGCCCGAGACCCCTCCAGCCGACGAGGGGGGGAACAGCAGTGGGTCGACACCAGAGATGGGGAATGCGCCGACGCCCAAGTGCGAGCTGAAGCTGGGATGTAGCCGAGAACGCCGGCACGCCGCTGGTGGGGGGCGTCGATACCTTTGCGTTGAGCTGGGCAAACAGCGAGTCGGCAATTGACTGGAACGACTGGGCACTGGTGACGTGGCTGGCTCCAGTGTCGTCTGCAGCAACTGTCGCCATAGGACTCGGGGCCTATGCTTCGGAGCACTTGCCGTCGGTGGCAGGGCCATCTTGCTTCTCGACAGCGATGGTGCCAGCGGTGTTCTTGGTTGCTTCGGCACTCGTCTGCTCGGCCGAGCGAGGCTTGGGCTCATCATCCGCCTTCACTTCTGCCCTAGTCTCTACCTTTAGCCGCCGCCTGCTTGGCCGCCGCCTGCTTGGCCGTTGTCGCTGGCTTCTGTTTAGACTCACTGGCGTCAGCCGCAGGCGCCTCCTTCGACCTGCTCTTTGATTTCTTCGACTCGGCTGCTGCCACTTGCTCCTCTGCCTGCTTCGACTTTTGCTTGCTTTGAGAAGACGCCTTTGTAGCACTCAGCTCTGCAGTGCTCTCTGCCGTCTGTTGCTGCGATTGCGGCTGGCGCTGCTGCTGTCTGAGCTGCTCCTTGCGCTCGCGGCTAAGCTGCTGGAGCACTGGATGATGAGCTTGGGAGTCACCCGACAATGCGGTCGATTTGCCGCGCTCCCGAGCCGAGACATTTTGGTTGCTGCCAGCAATAGCATTATTGCTGCTGTTGCTGTTGCTGGCGGCTGTGGTCGCAGTAGCCGTGGCCGTCGCAGAGCTTGTGCCTGGCTCCAGCGGCTGCACCCGCCACCTTGTTTGTAGGCACGGTGGCATTGGAAGCTGAAGCCTTGTTGCGTGACGAGGGAACCATACGCAGGGTCATTGTGCCGCCGCCCTCCGGCCTGCGAGCCTTGACCTCAGGCTCGGGCTTCTTCGCTGGTGGTCGCGACGCCCACGATGCTGTGGCAGGTAGTGCTGACCCAGTCGAGCTGTCGTTGTCCATGGAGTTGGGCTCGACGCTGCGTGGTCTGTGGTCGCCGAGATCCGTACCCTTGCGTAAGCGGGCTGCCATGGTACTGCTAGATGACGACGAAGCTGGGGCTACGGTGTGTGCTCGCCCCGCGCCACCACCAAACCCAGCGATCGAGCCAGCCGGCACAACCTGCACGCGACCTGAGCCCAGGTGCGTGGCCGGTGACACCTGTGCGATTGCCGCCATGCGGGTGGTGGTGGTGATGGTGACCCATGTCATCATCGTCATCAGAGTCCTGATGATCGTGGTGTGCGTGGCTGGGATCCCTGAAGCCAGCACGGCTACATGATACAAACATGGTTAGCATTAGCGACAGAGACTTGCAAACGTCAGCCATTGGAAATATGCGTAGTCCGCCCTATGGCGCAACAATACTTACTTGGCAGCGAGGTCCTCCTTGGTGAAGCTGTCCGCCTCCTCTCCCGGCTCGTGAAGGTACATGCATCCCGGGTTCTGGCAAGGGATGTTGCGCAGATAGTACGAGCAGTACTTTGTCGTACCAAACGTTGCGCGCAGCACACGGTTTTCAAGCATGCTGCCATCCACCGCGTTAATCGCCCGCGCTGCATCGTCCTTGGTTGCGTATGTGACATATACACCCACCGTCGGATGGTGGGCATTGCTGCCCGCTTGTCGCCGGTTGATGACAATCTTGTTGATACGGCCAAACTGCCCAAAGTAGTCGTGTCCCTTCAGAATCTACAGCACGACGAACACAGGCAATTAAGAACGCTGTTACATCAGCATTGTTCGTGATATGGCGGGTGCTTCCTCACACCCACCTGCTCCGAGTCCTGGAACTCGATTGGCGAACACCACACTGTGGTCGCAGGTTTTTTCCTGAAATATGCTTACCTCCTCCGTGGCCAGGTTTATTGGCAGGCCAATGACATAGACGAGGTTCTTCTGCACCACACGCACATTCGCCAGGTGCCTTCGGTTGTTGCCTTCGATTTCGCGCCGCTCACGCTCCTTGGCCTTCTTTTCGTTGCGAATCTTTGCCATTCTACAGCAAATGTCAGCACAATGCAGGTTGTTAGCATATGTGGGCATAGCAGCTACTTCTAGAACCATCACCATGCATGGTCGCAGAGCTGGGCGGCTGTGGCAATCCTGCCCCTTCCAGAGCTAGCCGGGCGCTGAACACGATACTTACTGGGCCGCAGAAATCGGCTTCCACCGAGGCGTTTGCTCCGAATAGAGTCTTCGGCATGCGGGACACCGTCCGCCGTAGTCTTGCGAGAGACGGTTGTGGCAGAATCGGCAAATCTACGAAAATGAAAGTAAAAATCCCAGCCTCCATCAGTAAAAAAAATAAATGTTGATTCCTCGGTAGCGACCACAGTCCAAGTGGACCTGACGGTTATGCTGTGCGCCATGTCTTGGTGCTGCTACTTACCTGGTAACCACATTCGCAGGGGAAGAACCCCCGATCGTCAATGTCGAGCTCCTCCATGCACAGAGGGCACTCCCAATCTTCGTTTTCAGAGCTGCTCATTTTGTTTGTTGGAAAGCTGCGAGTCGGTCGCTGTGGGTGTAGGAAAAGAAAAAGGTTTAAAAAGGCTGTGAATCCTTTGGAGCAACAGAAGAAAAAGAGTCTGATATGAGTACAGGTTGTTTCAAATGCACAAGGCTTCTCCGAGACGCTCTAGTTTTTGCTGTGTGCTGGGAGACAAGGGGCAGTAGGTCGCGATTGCTGTTAACAAGGAAGTTTTTTCTCTATGATGTGAAGCAGAGTTTTGAAAATTGAATGCCCTTGCCAAAATAAAAAGTGTAGAATTCGATGAAAAGTGGTGCTGGAAAAGCTTTCTTCATGCCACCCAACCGTGGGCGCTATTTTTTTTTTCAGCGATGCTCAACAAAAAGGCTCGTGGAGCGGTTGGGAGCCGACTCGCTGCGATTCGCCGCGATTATCTTGGCTCGCAGTTCGCAGAGGTTCTTCAGACTTCCAACTCGCAAATCGGCGATCGGCAGGACTCGCGCCTCCCCTGCTCTTGCCCGCCCGCCGCTTCTGGATGTCTCAGCCGGTACATGCACGGCATATCCAGGATATGTGTGCGTGGGGTCAGGCCCACATAGCCTCCCAGCCACTGGCTGCAAGCCACGCTGGCTGCGCCTGGCCCAGAAAGCCATTTTCCGCGCGCCTGTGTGCGGAGGCAGCAGCACCACTTCCCACCCAGCCCTCTCCACGAAACACCAGCGCTGCCACTGAGACAACCATGCACCGCCCCCCCCGCGCTCTCTTCTTGCTCCTCGCACTGCCATGCGGGTTGCTGTATCGACAACTGCAACTAATTATTGCTGGTTCCTCACCCGCAGACATGCTCCAATGTCTCATTCGCACTCGCCTACAGGTGGATGCAGGGCTTCATTTGAGCCTGCGACATGCACATAGATAATCCTGTGGCCGCTTCGACATCTCCACCTTTTCCTCGGTCCCTTGAAAAGGAGTATATGTGCAGCCATACGAGGAGATTCAGAACGAAGGACTCTCAATTAAAACTGAATGATCCATGGCGGCTTTCATTCATTCACCTCTTTTCCATTTCATATAGACATTTATCCCCTATCATTGTATCCAGCCCCCGACATCTACCGATCAGCACCATGCACCTCCATACATCTGCGCCTGCACTCTTGCTTTTGCTGATCTCGCTCATAATCCTATCGCCTACCCATGCAAGCCCTGGCAAGAATTCCGACGACGGAGTAGAATTCGTGCGCGCCTGCGACAGCGGCTCCGACGATGTCACCAACCAGTGCATCAACCGGATCCCCGAGGACATCGGCGCAAACAGCAGCAACCACGCGTGCGCCTACCACGAAGCCGAGGTCAAGTGCCTCGGCCTCTGCGGCAACACGCTCACCTGGAAGGTCGCATACATCAACGCCCTCAAGCGGTACAGACTTGTCTGTGCCGGCTACATCGACGAGCGCATTGCCGAAAAAGAAGAAAGCGGCGAGGGCGGCGATCCCGACTCCAGCAACGCCATTAGGAAGCATAAGAAGAAGAAGGCTGCTGATGAAGACGACTCGGGAGATGCCCCTGCTGGCGATGACGCTGACGCGACCCCCGCAAAAAAGAAGAGCAAGAAGGCAGCCATCGCATTCGACATGTCGGCGCTTACCGGCGACTCAATGGTGGCGGCAACGTCGTCGTCCGAGGCTCCCGACTCATCGTCTGCCGCGGCCAAGTCGCAGTCCAAGGCTGCCAAGCCCACAAAGTCTGATCCTGCAAAGGGCAAGCCGTCGCCCAAGCCCACAGGCAAGCCATCGGCTAAGGCTGGTAGCGGCGCCTCAAGGCCAGCATCTGGCAAGACCCAGGACGACAAGAAGGACGACTCGAAGCAGAGCAGCAGAGACTCCGAAAAGGACGGCAAGTCGTCGGCCAAGGGCCAGGGCCTGTTGCCCACGATGGACCCTGATATGGCCGGTGCTGGCTCGCTGCAGGCGTGGTCTGGGTTCACCATTTTTGCCGGGCTGCTGGCACTCCTTTCAACCCTCTAGACTTGCATTAACTGGTACCACACCATGGCAGCTAATATGTTTTCAGGTGTATAGCCGCTGACGGCATTTTGTTTAACCAAAGAGAGGATTTAGAAAAGGAGGTTCTTAGAAGAGTAGAGAAATAGGGCATTTGCTATAGATTTTATGCTGCGCGTCACATATTCCAGCCGCTACCGCCAGAAGATGCAGGTCTTGACGACCCGCGGCTATCGCCGGCACCCTCCCAGCCACGGCCCGAGTCGTTGTAGCTCCTGCGCGACGAGCGCTCACGGTCATCGGCTCCCCAGCGGCTGCTGCCGCTATGCGACGACCTGTACGACGACCGGTCGCCACCACGCGAGGAATCGCCATTCGTCGGACGCGACGACGTCCTGCCCGATCCGCTGCCATGGTGTGTAGCCGCCTTGCTCTGCATTGCCTTGAACCCGTTGATGAGCCCCATGACATTGGGGTAGCGACCGCGGTCCCCGAGCCTAAACTCGTTGGGCTCGACACGCGCGGTCCACTTCTCGAAGCCAGCGTACGTTGGGGTCGGCTTGAAGGCCAGGGACAGCGCGCCAGGCTTGCTCAGACTCAGCGCGATGCAGTATGAGCCGCGACCCGTGCTCTGCGCCAGGGTCTCGAGGTGGCGCGCCATGCGTGTCTCCCACAGCGTCTGGCGGCGAGACTTGTAGTCGGAGCTAAAGTCGTTCTCGCCAAGAACCTGCTCTAGCGGCTCGGCCGCGTACAGCGGGTCTGTCTCGGGGTCGTAGAACTTGTTGCTGCGCTTCACCTCCTCCATCTTGCGCGCAACCGGATCAATGTGCAGCGCCAGCAGCTCGTCGAGATCAGAGTACGCCAGGTCGCCAATCAGAAGCGTCGTTCCCAGCGCGGCATCGTTGGCCTTGCCGCGCTCCTGAACATCGACATGCTGGAACAGTCCGTCGCTGACCTTCCAGGTGATGGCAATATGGTCGACACCGCGCGACGACGGGCGGATCACACAGTCGCCACGGGGGCGGCTGGCCAGGTACTGCTCAGCCTGGCGTCCGTTGAAGGGCCGGAACAGTGGGTGCGGGATAGTCCGTGTGCGCAAATTGGACTTTTGCTGCTCGGCCTTGGCGCGCTCACGCAGAATCGTCTCCGCATCAGCGTCAAAGAACATGTCGATCTTGTTGGGAGCAGGCACCAGCTGCGTGCCCTGCTCCTTGGCGCCTTCAATGTCTTTGGGCTTGATTGACAGATCCAACGACATCTTCTCCAGGTCGATGCGCTTGACCACGGCCGCGATGGCCTGGCCTGGCGACAGCTCGTCAGAGACCTGGTCGATCATGTGGTCAGACACATTGGCAATGCTGATGAAGCCCTCGAGCCCCGAGTCCAGCCTGGCAATGGCGAACCGCGGCTGTACACGCACAACTGTTCCGGCCACCAGGCACGTGCCATCTTCCTTGATGGTGTCGCCGACAATCTCGCCCGTAAGCATCTGCAGGACCCTGGTGTCGTTGGGCTGCTCGAATTCTCTGCGAGGGTCATCGTTTGGATGCTGCAGCTCACGCTTGATGAACTTTAGCGTCTCGAGCTTGTGCACGTCCAGCAGCCGCTTAAGCTCCTCGGCGTACTTGACCAGATCAAGCTCCTCAAGCTTCTCCGGCGACCGGTTCATGACCTCTGCCACATAGCGCGACGGACCATCCGATCGCTTGCGGCCATAGCGCCCCGAGCCGTCATCATCTTCGTCATCCTCGATGTCCAACGCATCCAAGGCCATCTTGCGCGCCAGATCGTAATCCTCAGGGTGGATACGAGTGTCGTCCAGAATGTCCATTGGTGCCGGCCTGATACGCAGGAACGACGCACAGTTGACAAACACGGTACGTGTGCATAGGCGCTTAGTAACAAGGTCGCTGCGCGCCTCGAGAACCTTCTCGCCAGGGCCGATCTTGCTGATGATGGCCTGCGCCTTTCGAGGGCCAAGACCGCTGACGTACTGCAGGATTGCCTGCTTGTGCGGATACACCGCCAGCTCGTTGATATCGATGCCGACCTTGTTGACGATGTTGACAAAGGCACGCTCAACAATAGTGAACAGCGCGTCCTGGTCAACGTCGCGCTGGGCTGGATGAAGAGGCAGATGCAGCAGGCTGCGGCCCAGCGCCGCATACTCGATTGCAGGGTCCTGCAGCGTACGGGCAACGCTGATGCAGTACCGCTCCTCCTTGCGCAGCTCAGAGAACTCTTCGCGGGCCTTCTCGCAGTCCCACCACAGCCGGGCAACCTCATCGCTCCCGTAGGTGACCACGATATCGTCGTTTGTCCGCGCGCAGTGGCCATTAACCACCTGCTTCACATCTTCAAACAGGCGCTTGGTCTGCAGCGACATGCCAGCAACCGCGACAACCTCGACTGGCTGGTGGCCCAGCAGCTCAAGAAGCGGCTTGACTCCATCGCCATCGGTCACCATGCTGCCACTCATTGGACGCATCGAGTCGGCTGTGAAATGCTCGACGTATTTGCCGTGCTCGTTGACATAGACAATACGCAGGGATCCACGCGAGCTCGCATCAAACCCGCCGCCACCGACGACCACAACACGCGGCTTTTCGCCAGACAGCATGCGGGCGTTCTTTGCCGGCTGCATGTCAATGCGATTCTCCAAGGACCTGCGGCTGGCATCGGCAATCACATCAAACGCCTGCTGCTGCAGGCGCTGTGTAGTCTCGCGCCAAATCATCGGCAGCAAATGCTCAGTAACTGCAGCCGCGACTGCCTCGCTGCGCAGGCGGTTCCACTCATCGGCTGCCTCGTGAACAGCATCAGGACCTTACGTGCTTCTCGATTTGCAGTGCAATCACCTGGGCGGTGCGCTCCTTGTCCTCCTCAAACACCCGGTCATCGCTGCCCATGTCGTGGTTGTCGAACCGGTACTCGCCAGTCAGCGAAAACTGCAGGCGAACGAGACCGTCCTTCTCAGCCTTCTCGATCTCGATAAACTGGGCGCTGTTCATGAACTCGGCCAGAGGCTTTTGCTTGAGGAACTTGAATTCAAACGCCGGGTGGTCGTCGTGTGTGATCTCTCGCCGCCCACGCTCGGTGGGCCGAGTAATCATGCAGGTGTGCTCGTCACAATAGCTCCGCACAAATCGCCGGATCTGCGGATCCGCTGCCAGCGACTGAGCAAACATCGACTTGCCCACACGAGCCACAAGCTCAGCAGTGGCGAAATGAGACCCAACGAACTGCTGAGCAACCGTCAGCGGAGTCGCTGCCGAGTCGTTGTCATCGATGTAATGCGAGCCAGGGTTGAAGATGTTGGTGCCGACCTGCCTAGCTGTGATGCCAAACCGGCTCAGGAACTTGTCAATGCCAGACTGCTTCGCCTGCTCCCACATGCCAAGCACCCGCGAGCGCTTCAAGGTCCCCTGGTTCTTCCACGAGCGGATGACTTCAGAGTACTGCGAGTGCAGCCACTCGGTGATGTCTGTGATGTCCTCGACACGCGTCGCGGTGGTGGTCAGAGTTTGCACATAGACTTCGTCGTCATTGTTGATTATGCTCTCCACCGGCGCAAGCGCGTCATCAGCGATATCATCGGAGCGGTTGGTTTCACCACGCAGGCGTCGGAGTAGGTTGGTGAGCTGGTGGCGGCACGACAGGAACCCGCGGAACTGCTGGTCAAAGTCGTACAGCTTCCAAATGTCATCATGTGATAGCCACTCGCGCGTCGGCAGCTCTTCGCTCTGCTCGCCATTGAACCCGGAGGCACCTGTGTCCTCGCCTGGAGCAATGGGCGTCACGAAGATCTCGCGGCGGTGGCGCACAATGTACGGCACTTCATAGAACTCTTGCGACAGTAGCTTGAGAACAGAGAGTACAGCAGCCAGGAAGCGCTCGTTGGCAAAATCAGCATGCTTGAACAGCGTCCTCTGCTCAGCCTGGGGCTCAGCACCAAAGCCACCGGCAGAATCGCTCCACCCTGCAGTGCCCTGCTGCCGTGGCCTGAGGCTCTCCTGGCGCTGGAACATAACGTGCAGCTGCCGCACAACCCACGTCGTCTCCTCCTCGATCTCCTCCTCGGTCAGCGTGCGCAGAGAGTCGCTTCCTGTGGCGCGCATCTGCATGCGCTCAGGCACATCAGTCGAACGGATCTCCTCGTCACGCTGTGTCATCATCTTGGCCTCGAGCTCGGCAGGCTCAAACACCTCGTCCAGCCCCTTTTCACGGTACCGGCTGCTTTCGCCTTGGGTACTCTCCATGGCAAACGCATACTCCTCGCCGTCGCCAAAGATATCCTGCAACTCGGCCCACGTGTCGTCATCAATGCCATCCAGGTTATCGCCAAAGTAGCTGGCCATGGCGCCAGTGCGCTCACCACCCAAGGCGCGAGGCACGCCCATATCACCATCGTCGTCCAGTCTGCCGCTTCTGCCGCGGTCATCAACTGCCAGGTCGTCGTCGATACCGTCATCCATCTCGTAGCCGTCACGGGTCAGGCGTTGGCGGTCCTCGCGACGTCTGTCGTTACGCCGATTTGAACGGTAGTCGTCGGCTGCCAACTCGTTATCATCGTCGTTTTCGAATAGACCAAGACCGTCATCATAGTCATCGCGACGTCCACCACCGGACCGCTTCATATCGTCGTAGCCATAGCCGCGTTCGTCATCAGAGTATCCGCCGCGATCCCGGTGTCTGCTATGGCCGTCGTCTGACCCGCCATTGTCGACTAGGTCATTGAGCTCAGCATCGAGATCGTCCTCATCGTCAAGGGCCTTCCGCGAGCGCCCGCGCTTCAGCCGCTTAAACTTTGACCCCGATGCGCCTGTCGAGTATGAGCCCTGGTTGGTATTCTCAGCAACCAGCGCCAGGTCCTCTTCGTCCAGCAGATCGTCGTCCGTCGTTGTCGTGTGACCGGTCGCGCTCGGCGTGGCGGCGCTTCTTCTTCTTTTTCTTTCTCCGCCGACGTTCCTCATCATCAGACACCACGTCCTCGACATCGTCGTCATCTACAACGAACCCGTCACGCAGCTCTTCCATATCCTGTTCATCATCCTCTTCGTCCTCGTCATCATCGTCAAACGCAGGGCGATGATCAAACGTGTCCGAGCCTTCTTCCTCGTCGTCGTCGTCATAAACACCACGACGCGAGCGATGGCGCTCAGCCCGATCGTAGTCATCGATGTCAGACATCCTACACACGACACAAGGTGACAGTACTTCTGATTAGCTCAATGTCGTCCCAAATTGCCTGCTCAAGTTGGCAGATTTGGCCAGTGCTGCTCACTCACCCGTTGTCTTCCGTGCACTATCGGGTACCGAGCGTTTTAAAAAATAAAATAGGTAAACGAGCTGCCCAGCTTTATATCCTTCTCTACCTCAAATGAGTTCAAGTGGAACGAAGGAAAATACACGAGGGAGTAGTTTGAGAGCGAAAAAGAGAGGAAATAAAATGGTCGCTTGAATTTTAAGAGAACTGAGCAGACACGCAAAATTCGAAATCGCGTGTTGAAATGCGGGGCCAGCGTGAGCGCGTAACAATGAGTGTTGATTTGTTTCTGGCGATCCCTTGATCCCATCAGCACTGTCTATGGCTAGCACCAGAGATCCTCAGTCCATGTCTCGCAAAAGATGTAGCGCACTTGCTCAAGCGTAGCCATTTATTATTAGAAAACCACTTCAGCAACACTGCTCCAGAACCTGTTCTTGCGAATACTGCGAATCATGGCGGGAGTGTCAACAAAAGACACATAAAAATCCCTGCTCGGTGGGCGCACAGGCTGTATCTTCACCCCGACCTTCGCCAGATACGGTCGGGGAGTCGCGAAATCCGGGATACCATAGCCGAAATCGGCGCTGTATATCTTGAACCTGACATGGCTAGTGACGACTATTGCACTCTTGACTGCTGTATCGGCTGGAGACAGAGGGAGGGCGAACGATGTCGGACTACGCTCAAGTGTGCTATAGTACTCTGTTGCATAGTTCTTTTGAACAGAGTTCACGGCGTTGCGAATTTTGACCGCAACATCGGCTATTGATTCGGATGTGGTCTCGGAAGCACCGCTTTCTAATGGATGGGCGAACGATGGCAAAATCAGAGCATTCCCTACGTAGTTTACAGCCGGTGCTCCATACAGGGGGCGTACGTTGTAAGGAATCGATATTTTCTGGAGATGGACAGCATCAGACCTCTCAATAGGGGCTGGCACTTGGTTTTCTCCAAGGTTAAGGACATCCTTGGTTGCCTGTGCCAATGTCTTTGATATCAGTGCAGCGAGCACATCGTTGGTTGAGAGCCGCGTGCCGTCTGGAGCAGACCTGAGTACCTCCTTGCGTAGGTTATCAAGTATATCTCTGTCAACCCGGTACAGGTTTCCTTCATTTCTGTCTGCTACAATCTTGTCATAAACTGCCTGGTTGCGCGGGATTGAGAGCACCGACTGAAGGTATGCTACTCTGTTTGGATCCAGAGCCTTTTGAACCGAGTCGGGGCTGTCAAGGAGAATGGCCCGATCGAAGTGGAACCCCTCTGTGGGAGCAGGTGCACCATCGACAAGCACACGCGTTTCGTCAGCCCAACGTTGGATGAACCTGTAGAAGCCCTCGCCGTCTGCAACACCGTGGCAACCACTAACAAATAAAGCAACGCCTGAGTTGTCCCTGAATCGAACGATATGAACGCTGAGCATTTTGGTTTTCCCCGTCTTTGCGTCAGGTAGGGGTATGGCCCTGTCAGACATGAGTCCTGGCGGCCAGCTCTTTGGGTTGTAGTTGGATGCCTTGATGCTGCCAAACGGAATATCTGACGTCGACTCTAAATACCCCGGCATATTCAGGTTGTTCTTGTCGACGACCAGCTTAACGCCCTCCCTCTCGCAGACTCGATATTCTCCGGCGTAAACTGGTAGCGCAGATAACGCCCGATAAAATCCCTTCTCCAGCTTGGTGCTGTCCATAAAGTCGGTATCACCAGCACTGTTTTCGTAGAAGCTGATGAGCTGCGTGTTGTAGCAGGTCACTGTTATATCCATTACATTTACGTGGATATCCTGCGAGACCACCGAGCCAGTAAATTCATCCACAGTCATTTTTAATGGAGAAAGAGGTGTAATGGAGTATGCCGAAATCTTTGACAAATCGTATGCTTTTTATTTGATGGAGTAGACTGAGCTCTTATATCCAAGGCTGTCCAGTGAGGAGGCTGGTTTGATTTGTATATGCGGCTTGTGTCTGCGAGGAAGTAGTATAGTGGATTCCGCAAAACCTGCCATGTACTGCGGTTGGCAGGTGAGTCATCTGCTTTATTGACAGACCACGAATGGCTTGCTCAGGTGCGTCATGGCACTCTGACGGATGAAGTATATCCCGGTATAGGTAGCGTAACTAGCGTTGCTGCTGAAAGAGGCAGTAATGGTTTATTGATGAATACACATGGAGGACCCTAGTACACCAGCTCTGCCAGGCTGTTCCAAAACTTGTTCTTGCGGACACTGTCGAGAACGGCAGGCGTGTCATTGATGAAAACATAAATGTCGTTGCTTGGAGGGCTAACAGGCAGGATTCGCACGCAGACCCTGGCCAGGTAGGGGCGTGGTGCAACAAAAGTTGCTACACCAAAGCCAAAGTTGATCTCATAGACCCTAAGCTTGAAGTGGTTGGTCAGAATGGCAGTATGCTTGAACGGGCTATCATGCGCCAGCGTGCTAGCGACCTTCTCAGGATCTCCCTCAATACTGGCAAAGAACTGCTGGACATGATGTTTCTTGACCGCGTCCACCGAATTGCGCACCTTGAGCGCCATCTCGGCCAGCGACTGGGCTGTAACAGCCGAGGCAGAGCCGTCGAACGGATGCGTAAACGAAGGGATGTACAAGCCATTCCCTATATAATTGGCGAAGGACTCACCCAGGACTGGGCGGATATTGTAGGCAAAGGCGACGCATTGGAGAGGCGGCTCCATCACCTCACTAGCAGGAGCAGACTCTTCGGACGCCTCATCAGCAGTAGAGTCTTTAACAGCCCACGCCAGTGTCTTGGACATCAACGCAGTGAGCACATCGTTGGTTGATAGGCGCGTGCCTCCTGAAACAAACTCCAGGGTCTCTCTGCGCAGATTGTCGAGATCGGCTCTGTTGATCCGGTAGAGATTGCTGTCGTATCCACCGTCTACAATCTCCTTGTGGCACATTTCATTGAGCGAGGTCGAAAAGAACGACTGGAGGTTCTTTCGCTCGATTTCACTTAGCTCCATGCTTTCGGCGCTAGGAGGTCCAAAGATGCTTGACCGGTCAAAGTTGAGTGGGTAGTCCGGTCCCGGTGTACCCTCGACAAGCGCACGCATCTCGTCTGCCCAGCGCCGTACAAACGTGTACATGCCGTTCCCATCAGCTACGATATGATGGCCACACACGTATACAACTACACCAGAGTTGTCCTTGCAACGCACGACATGTGCGTTGAGCATCTTGGTGACTCCGGTTTCGGCATCAGGAAGAGGGATAGCTGCTGCCGTCATGAGCCCAGGCGGCCAGCTCTTGGGGCTGTACTTCGCTGCCTTGAGATCGCCGAAGGGAACATCAGACTCTGAGACACGGTAAACTGGCATATTGAGGTTGTCCCTATCAATCACCAGCTCTAGTCTGCCGTCCGATCTCATTCGTGCCACTCCAGCATAGCTAGGAAACACCACAAGAGTCTTGTAGAACGCCTGCTCTAGCTTGGTGCTGTCCATAAAATGATCGACACCAGCCTCATTCTCGTAGAAAAATATCAGCTGGATATTGAAGGAAGATAGCACCGTGTCGCACACGTTTAGATAGGTCGTCTGCGAAACGACCGAGTCCTTGAAGGTGTCCATTATTCCAAGAGAAAAGAGCAAGTGTCTGTTGTGAGCGGAATCGAAGATGAGTGCTGCAAAATGTCTGGAGAAAAGCGAACAGAATATAAACCCAGTATCCTGCCCATTAGGCTTACGCAGGGTGCATCATACTGGCGGGACTTGCCGCAGAGGCTCAGATAAGGGGAGCCCGCTTTATCCGCATGCCTTTTCCATTGTCTGCTCTAGCGCACTACTGCACCCAGGCGGAGCGCCATGCATGTCGATATTGCAGCTACTTTAACATGGCTAATCCGCCTATAGAAGGTTCTAATACACAAACTCAGCGATGCCATTCCAGAACTTGTTCCCACGAATGCTCTTCAGCATTGAGGGAGTGTCGATGATGAAGACATGGACGTCATTGCTTGGTGGATGCACCGGGAGTATCCGCACACATGACGTCGTCGAGTGCGGTCGGGGGGAGGCAAACACGGGAATTCCGTACCCAAAATCCTGCTCATATATCTTGAACCGCGAATGGTTGGTGATGATGGTATCATGCTTGTGCTTATCAGGCGAAGCTCTCGCCGAAACAAATGGCACCGGATCAGCCTCGATGCCGTTGAAAAACTCTGTAACCTGCTGTTTCTGAACTGAGCCGACAGCTTTGCGGATCTTGCATGCGACCTGAGCCAAAGACTCCGATGTAGTCTCAGATGCTGAGCTTTCAAATGAATGTGTGAATGACAGCGGGTACAGGCCATTGCCTATATAATTTGTATATGCCTCACCCAGACGTGGACGCACATTACATGCGATACCAATCTTTTGGAGCGGCAACACAGCTGATACGTTGGATGAGGTAGGAGCCAGATCAGCACCGTCATCAGTCTGATCCTTGGCTGCTTGCGCCAGGGTTTTGGCTATCAGTGCTGAGAGCACATCGTTCGCCGAGAGCCGCATGTTTCCAGAGGTATGCACGCTAACTTCTGAGCCCAGACGATCCAGTTTGTCCTTGCTAACTCGATACAGGCTGCCTTTGTTGCCACTGGCTAAGATGCCCTTCTGGTATTCCCTGTTGCGCTCCGTCGAGAACAGCGACTGGACCTGCTCGAGTTCTTCGGAATCCAGTTCTCTGCGTGATAGAGCAGAGGCATCAGTTAAGATCGACCGATCGAACGAGAATGTATCTGTAGGAGCAGGCATACCCTTGACCAGCGCACGCATTTCATCTGCCCACCGCTGAATGAACGTGTAGAACCCAGTGCCATCGGCGATAGCATGGTTACCGCAGACAAAGATAATTACGCCTGAATTGTCCTTGCACCGAACAATATGCACATTGAGCATCCTGGTTTTCCCATCTCTGGCGTCAGGTAGTGGCGTTGTTTCAACGGATAGCAGACCAGGCGGCCAGCTCACAGGATTGTATTTCGCTGCCTTGAGATCGCCGAAGAGGATATCCGTCGTCGATTCAGTATAGCCGGGCATGTTCAAGTTGTCCTTGTCAATTGACACCTCCAGCAGCCCGTTAGAGCTCCAATGAACCATGCCTGCATAGACAGGGAAGGCGCACAGTGCTCGGTAAAATGCCTGCTCGAGTTTGTCGCTGCTCATAAAGTCGGCATTGCCGGTGCTGTTCTCGTAGAAGCTGATGAGTTGGATAGTAAGTGAAGACAAGTACGCATCACCAATGCTCAGGTGTAGAGTCTGGGAGACAACAGAGTCGATGAAAGTATCCATTCTTTAGGAATAACTCGGGTGCAAAAGAAGTGTATATATAAAAGCAAGGTGTAATGTAAAACCAATGTTTACTGACAAGAACCATGGCAGCAGAAGCGACATGGGACGGATCCTATTATAGAAATGCGGTCCTGGATTAGGGTTCTGCATGAGGTGGTAATGGTAAACGATTGGGATAAGCATGTGGGAATTTTCTGCTTCTGAGCTGTGTTCTAGAAATCAGGCGAGCTGGTTGCCGCAGCAAATGCCTTTGATGTTGATAATGAACTTGTAATGTCGACTGAGATATCCTCCACTACACTCTGAATCGTTTGCTGCCACTTAGCTGGCGGGCGAATGATTCGAATCAACTCTAAACGAGTGGCCATATTCACATATAATACTGCAGGCTAAGAGGCTGGAAAAGTTGTATTCTGATGGCTGGCCACGATGTCCACACACTGGGAGCCTAGGACGGTGGCCAGTCGCACCTTCCTCCTTAATATCCTATTTCAGTCTCATGCACAGGTTGGGTTCAAGTTAACAAGTTGTGTGAGAGCACAATCTGCTGGCTGTAATCGTCCATCGATTCTATATCTATATCCATAGTGTTGACATTGGAGTGCCGATCCACTCCCACGTCACCATGCCAACAACCAAACCACATAAAATCAGACCTCAGGCCGACCGGACCCTCCCCTTTTCCTTCAGTCAATCTTGTTTCACTTTTATTTTAGCTCACATACACGCTCGTAAACACTCGTCCCATTTCCAAGGTTAACACATAGTACTTCCAACAGTATTGCACTTCATCCTAAGGCCATCCAACCTCCTTGTGTTGAATTCAGCTACAAATAATAATGCATCATGCTCCTGGCTATTCATTACATGATGAGCGTTGTAGTTAGATGGCCAGACAATATTCCCATTTCTGTCAGAGTTACCAATCGTGCCAAATGCCTGCTGGCGAATGCGGTCGACTACCTGAATAGTTTCCTCTAAACGTCCCTTGTCTAGCTCACTACTGCCTCCCAGCTCCTCACTCTCAAAGCGCTCCTCTACATAATAATAACATTCATCAATTTTGTTGTATTCGAAAGATCGAGATGTCAGATCTCTTGCAGCGCCTGTTGCTCCAAGGCATTTACCATGAGAAGACTGGCCGCGATACCCCTTGCTGACACGGTCCTCACACTTGATCACGCAGGTCCACTCTGTTGGGGACATCACGATCTAACGCTCACTATCACACAAGTTCGCCACGCCGGCGATATCGTGGGGGTCTATAGTGTCAGAAATGGATACGAAAGAGGCTAAGGATGCAGGTTATAGAGTGATGGAGATGCTGCAGTTTGTTTGGAGGGGAAGCAGGGCTTTTGCCAGAGCATTTTATATGGTGCTATCGAGTATATTACATCTGCGAATACTCATTTCGGGTACAAGCACCATGGCAATGGTGATGTTGACAATAAGGATTACTGTTATACGAATGCAGCGACTCAGACTGGCAGCAAACACAGTCCATTCTCTTTGACGATTGAGCAGTACTTGTGAAACGCCCAAGCCTTTGTGTTTCCAGAGCATTCGAGACACATAGTGGGTTCCAGCGATGGCTTAACTCCGGAATGGCACGCTTCCTGGTATTTCCATATGTCGAACTCCGGGGCTGACCTGTCCACATTGCACAGTCTCATATAGACTACAAAGTACTTGGCATGTAAGCCTGATATGCATGTACTTGCTGTACCTAATCTAGCAGCGCTAGAAAGGCAGGTGTTACCCTCGGGGTGAGTGGCTATCGGATATATGGAAAATTAACTTTTCAAAAAATGACTGGGAGGAAGAGGGAATGCTGATCGCCAGCCTAGGCCTTTGTACGTATGCGTTTCGGCCTTATCCATGGTGGTGCAGGGGGGACTCCAGACCTCGAATGTCAGCACCAGGGTTGAATTTGTCAGCTGCCTTTTGCGGTGATGACGTCGCACGATTCAAAAACCATAAAAAAATCGAGCGAGCCCTCCCCCTGCTCACACCATATCTCCAAAACATCTCTTCTTCACTCTCACATCAAAAAGAGCAAATATCTCTCGAAGCAACGTCATGCCCTCACTCCCCAAGCGCGCGCTTATTTCAATCACTAGCTATCACGGCGCCTTTTACCCAAACGGCGACCCCACCGGTCTCTTCTACACCGAGGCCTTGCACCCATACCATGTCCTGACCGCTGCCGGCTTCACTGTCGACCTCGCCTCCGAGACCGGTAGCTACGGCATGGACCCGCATTCGATCGACAAGACCTTCATGACCGAGGCTGACTTTGCTGTTTACAGCAACAGCGGTGATGAGTTCTCCAAGAAGCTGGCCAATCTCCACAAGGCCAGCGATCTAAACCCATCCGACTACGGATTGTTTTACGCGTCGGCCGGCCATGCGACCCTGTTTGACTACCCAAAGGCCAAGGACCTGATCAATATTGCTGAGTCTGTCTACGAGCGTGGCGGCGTGGTTGCAGCTGTGTGCCATGGCCCTATTATTCTGCCGTTTATCAAGGACCGCAAGACGGGCAAGCCAGTTATCGAGGGAAGGAAGGTTTCGGGGTTCACTACCGAGGGCGAGGAGCAGATGGGTCTGATGAGCGCAATCAAGGACAGGAAACTTGAAACAATCGAGGAGGGGGCAGCAAGGGTGGGCGCAACTTATGTGAGGCCAGCAACACCGTTCGAAGCCTTTGCGGTTGTTGACGGTAGGGTCGTGTCTGGTACTAACCCAGCGAGTGCCGCGGTGACCGCAGAGAAGGCCGTTGAGGTCTTCAACTCGCTGTAAACCTGCTCATACCAGAAATGTTCATTTAAAGACAATAAATTGTCATCACACGTCGCTGACGTTCGGCTTATGGCCATATGTGATGGATATAGATTGTATGTCTAGCTGTAAATAAATCAATGTAGTCAATGGCAATATTTTTTTCACAGTATCTGCCTCCACCGCGCCCAGGCAAAGACAACAACGACGAACCCCAAGCACATTGCCAGCACCGTGAAGAACGGTGCCAGGCCATCGTAGTTCTGGAATGGCACCAAGAAGTTTGACCCGAACATTCCCGTGACAAAGTTCAGTGGTACAACAATGGCTGCTAGCGCCGACAGCTTTGCCACAACGTCGTTGGTGCGGTTCGACGACACAGTCAGCTCAATCGATATTTGCGCCAGGTAATTGGCGTGCGCACGACCCAGCACACCGTCATAGTGCGTCGCATTTTGCGTCATCGTCACGATATGGTCAAGTACATCGCCGAGGTACAGGAGAACCTCGTGGCCCTTGCGCTGGTCCAGAGCGGCCTCCATGGCCGTGTCTGAGTTGTCTGCAGGGCACACTACCATGTGCTCCGAGCCAGGATGGTGTGGGCTGTAATCAACAGCGGTGGTGGTGAGGCCAGGGATTGAGGGGTTGCCCGCCATGGCGTTCATCTGCGATGTGGTCATGGCAGTGGCTGTTTCAAAGCGCTTGATCAGGGCACGCACGACGTCCGCCTTGCCTTGCAGAAGCCGCAATACCATCATGATGCGCTTACGCACGGTGCTAATACGCAGCAGCATGTCAGACTGCTCAGACGACGAAATAACCAGCACCAGCTCGTCGATCGAATCAACCTCAAACTCAATCATCTGCATGATTGGCGCTAGCAGATCGGTGATGTCGTCGATGATTGCGTAGTTGAGCCAGTCGGGCGTCACCACGATATGGTCGATCTGGCGGCGAATGCGCCGCAACACGTGGTACTGATGCACGGCCGGGTCCATGTGGAAAGTGATAATGCCTGAGCGCATGACCACGTTGTAGATGCATTTGGGCTCCAAGTACAGCTCGCTGTTTGGGTCCGCGTCAAAGGAGCGGAAGCTGACCAGATAGTAGTTTGCGTGGACCTCGCACTTTTCGCGCACATCCTGCGTCATAATGTCCTCGACGGTTAGCGCATGGATGCCAAAGATTTTGCTAATCAGGTGCATCTCCTGGAACGATGGGCGCAAAACATCGATCCAGAAACATCCGCCTGCTTGGATCATCGATGCCAGGTCCATCGCGGGCGTGCGCAGGTCAGCCAGCTCCTGCGACCGCACCGTGCCGATTGCTGGGTTAAAGAACGTGAACCGGTACGACTCGTCAATGAAGCCGTCTTTGTCCAGAAACAGCTCCTCCTGGTGCATGCGCTTGCGCCGCCGCCGCTTCTGCTTCTGCTTCTCTAGTGGCCGGCCGTCAAACGACCGGTGGTTGCGGTCTGGCGGTGAGATGCGGGCGCGCTGCGGAGGCTCGTCAATGGGCGGGAGGTCCGCGGGAACAAAGCTGGGCGACGCCAAGTTGTAGTGCGGCGATATGGTGACTGCGCGCTGCAGAAGAGGCTCGCGCTCAGACGAAATTGACGCGCGATTCGCTGTGCAAGTCGGCCGTAGCGACTGGTTGACCATGCTCCTGAACGAGCCCGGCATGGTATATACGGCCTTACTCTCCTCTGCTGCCTTGGCCGCTTCCTTCTGTGCCAGCCCGGCACCACCGGCTGTGTATTCGTTAAATATTGATTCGGGCTCCGAGTACTCGCCCCAGCTATAGTCGCTGGCCGTCTCGTCGTCATCCTCCTCGGACGTAGACTCTGGGATCTCGCCGGTCTGTAAGAACCGCTCCAATGCAGCAATATTGATCCCCCCATTCATCCTCTTGTCTTCAGACTCCGTCTCCTCTTTCGGCAAACCTTCCGGTGGGTTCTGCCCTACAGAGCCTCTGCGAACAACACCCTCGGATTGCTCCCCCATGTTCTGCACGCCCGGTACAGATCCGCCGATCACGCTGGACGGACGGCTACTGCTGAGCGCAGGCGAGAACATGTAGGAGAGGCCGGGTGCAGCACGTGCCATGGCTGTGCGCTTGCTGGAGGCGGCAGGCTTGTACTGTGTTGCACCCATAGTGTTGATGGACCGCCGGGGTCTTTGTTGGTGCTCGGTAGTGCTCAGCCCAAGCCCATCATCCTTTTCGCCAATGCCCAAGAGCCGCGATGGTACCATGGGCAGGGTTTCAGAGAGATCCTGGCTATGTTCGCTCTCGGGCTGCTTCCCTCCCTGACTTGCTGTCTGACTTCCAGACCCTTCAGACGGCGTCCGAACCATATCAGCCACCGGGCTCTCAGGAATCGTTGCCACGGTCCCATCGGGCTGGCCACCACTGCCTATGCTCTGCGACCGACTAGTATCCACAACATTTCCTGGCCCCTTTCCTACGCCGCCGTCTAACGGTGCGCTCCACTCGCGCAGATCCCCTGGTTCTGACATGGGCTCTGACATCGACGGCGCATTCCGCTGGTCCCCGGCCTCTACCCTCGGATGCACGTCAGTCGCAGCCCGGTTTATCCGTCCACGAATCCCGCCATTCGACCCGGTGCCCGATGATCCAGTAGTCTTCACCCGGTGGATTTTCCGGCGGTTAGCCACGCTCGGAGAAAACAGCGGCAGCGTGCTGTTCATTGGCATCAGCGGCCGGTCGGCGTTCTCGGGCAGATCAGCCATGTTGCCGTAGTATCGCGACGCCATCAGCCCGTTTTCGTCGTCGTTCTCAAACTCATGCATGTAGTGTGACAGCACATTGGCAATGTTGGAGTTCTCGCTGGCCCGGCTCAATGCGCTGCTAGCAGATGGTCGCCGCAGCATGTCTTGGATCCGGTGCTCGGACACTGCGCGCTCCAGGAAGAGCCGATGCCGGGAGCTTGTTGGACTGCTAGGCGGTATGGCCTTGTTGTCGGGCGAAATGCGTGGCTCGACGCACGCTTGCAGAGCCTGTGAGGCCGTCGCCCGGCGCTCGGACAGTGCGTTCTTGGTGCGCTGCCCGCTGGTGCCGCTGGCCTTGCTTGCTTTCGAGCTCCGACCTCCCCTTTTCTTTCCCATGGCGAAAGTCGGCGTTGAATTGCAGAAAGGAAAATAGTGTGCAATTTGGTATTGTGTATGCTAGCAAATTGTATGCGAAGGCCGAAAAAAGTGTGATACTGGAAGAAGCAGAAGAAAAACGCTCGTCCTCCGCTATAACTCCCCTATTGCAGATAGGCCAAGCGTGAAGCATAAAATCCCATGAAAAATACTGAGTAACGTGACCAAAAGCCGATGCAGCCTGCATTCTCTAATGCCGATGCAGGCATAAAGGTTCTGAGTAGCAGATGGCGGTCCAGCACAATGTAAAAAAATCGTCGATATAACGACATTGAAGGTATTAAATAAAATACTACGCAATAGCTGAGACTGAGGTTGCGGTAGAGGAAGACGTCGATGCACTGGAGCTGGTGCTCGCTGTCCGATCGTCGGTCGCCGCAGTCGGTTCAGAAGCTGTTGTAGAAGCTGTGGCAGTAGCTGCTGCCGTGTTCGTCTCGACCTGATTGAAGATCTGCTTGACAATGGCTGCCGCCAGCCAGTTCGGTCTCCGCCACACAAAATCCACATCACAATCGCTCTTATCCTCGCTGACCGGCTTTGTGCACAGCAGCAGTGCTGCGTTCTGGCTCAGCGTCTGCTGGTACTCGATCTGCTGCCGGTAGTAAAACCACGAGAACGCCTGCCACTTGGTGCACTCCTCGCTGTCGCTGATGCCCTGTGCCTTGCAGTCAGAGTTGAACTGCTTTGCCGACGCCAAAATGACTACAGGCAGGTGCGAGAAACTGGCCGGATCAGTCGGCGCTTGGCCGTCGCGCTTCGCAAGCCCAGTGACAGAGGCGCCCGAATTCGGCGGCAGCGCCGGCCACCGCAACGGCCAGTGGTGGTAAATCAGCACGGCATCCGTATATGGTTTCACATACGGCTGCAGTGCCTGGTAGAGCTTCGCGCCAGTGCCGCCATACTCAAAATACTTGGCCTGGTAATACAGGTTGTTGCGGAACCGCGACCTGTGCATGCCCAGCGAGCTCTGCGGCTGGAATCCGTCCCACCCGCTATTCCTTGCCCGATGCAGTGCCAGCGGACTGACCACCCGCCAGTTCTCAAAGTTTCTCGACGCCGCAGCCTCTATAGCCTTGTTGAAGTTCACTGTGGTCATCGCCTTTGTAGTTCCACCCAACGATGACCGCATGTTGCGCAGATTCTGCAGCGTCGTGGTTTTGTTCAACGCAAATGTCTGCAGAATCTCCTGGTTCGGCAGCGTATCAAGCAGCACGACGCCGGCTACCTTTGTGTAGTCGGCTACCTGCATGTACAGCTGCGTCCAGACGCCGCCCTCGCCCCATCCGACAAACACCAGCGGGTTGTTGACCGGATACTTGTCTAGTGCCTGGTTAATCGACTTCACTACATCTGTCGGGTCCTGGTCCCAATACCCCGGCTCGCTCCACCCGTACCCGGGCCGATCGATGATACACGCGGCGTGCCCGGCATCCGCGAATCCCTGCGCCAGCCCCATCATCGACGTCGAGGGCATGCCGAACTCTGTCAACAGCACGAACACCGGGTCTCGGCCAGACTGCTTCTCTTCTGTGTACCCGAAGCACCACACATGCATCTTGTACCAGTAATCGCCATTATGCGTCTGCACCGGCACCAGCTTTCCCGGTGTCTTATACAGCCGGTGGTCATTGGCCAGCGCCAGACCCTGAATAACCAGCAGAAGGCCAAAGAACAGGCCAAATACCCATGTAATCCACGGGAAGGCATAGTCCATGAGCCTGTAAAAGAGCGCCGACCCGCGCGAATCTACCAGCCGCGGCTTAAACTCGGGAATCCCCATGATGCGGTCCACCTGGTACCCGCGCCGCGCTTTTTGCGCATAAACAACTGAGCAGACCGCTGGGAACAGCCATGTCAGGCCCCAGACCGCTGCTGAACCGTCACGTGAATACGCATACCCGACTAACAGCAGCACCGAGAATATGCACATCACGCTGCCGTATGCCATCCACTGCAGTGTCCAGAACAGATACCGGTTGGTCGAGCGGTATGCCGAAATAACAAACACAGCCTGCAGGTCCAGCCACAGCCCCAGCAGCGAGAGCCACATGTACAGAAACTGGTTGCCTTTGACCAGCCGCCCGTGCTTGTTTCCGATGACTGCGTATGCAAGGAACGCCAGGAAATGGGCCAGCGCCAGGAGGAGCAAAAGTATGCCCTGTACCGAATACAGCGTGTGCTCTCTGAACCTCCACATAGCGGGTTGTATATACAGGTAATAAAAATAAAAATAAAAAAACGCGACAGTTCAGGGAAGAAGGACGAGACAATCGAGGGCAGTGTGTCCTGTCCCTCAGACCTGCCAGCCAATTCAACTGCAAAAAAGCAGTTTAGACTTTGCACTCTACCTGGGATTCCTGCATGCGACCTATGAACTCCCAACCCCTCCTTAGGCCAAAAGCGGGCCGATCGCGTCTATTTCTGATGTTTAGTATAGTGCCAGCGGTTGCTGCGCACAGGTAAAACGCGAAAAATAATTAAAAACTAGGTGAAAAAGGCGGGTCACAGAATCTTCTTCCACCGCGCATAGCCGACCACCAAAACAACAAAGCCCAAGCAGCACCCGACGATAGTAAAGAAGGGCTTCAGCGACTCTTCATGTTGAAACGGCACCTGGACGTTCTGGCCCCACAGCCCGGTCACAATGTTCAGCGGCACCATGATAGCTCCAATGACGGTCCAGCGGCTCGCAATGACAGACGTCTCCACCGTGGACTCACCGATCTCCAGCGACAGCCGCGCAAGGTAGTTGGAGTGGGCCCGCGACAGCACCATGTCGCAGTGCCCGGTCGAATTCACCAGTGCGACCAGGTGGTCATAGACATCTGCAAGATAATGCGCAATGTCGTCAGCAGTCACCATAGCAGCGCCCTCAGGTTGCTCGCCGGGCTTTTGCTCGTACTGCAATGCGCCAGGCATAACAAACGACTTTGAATGTGCCAGACCCTGCATGCCGTCACGGCTCCGCCACGCGTCGCGTCTCTGACCCGCCGCCTGCACATTGATCGTCGAGTACGCATTGCGATTCAGACCGGATCCTGGAGACAACACCTGGCCCACACTGTCTTTGCTGCCATCATAATAGCCTAGCTCCTCGCCCTCAATAGTTGCAATCTCGTCCATCTGCGCCTGCCGCTCCATCAGCTTAGTGAACCCACGCACCACCTCCGGCTTGCCTTGCAGTAGCCGCCAGAGCGCCAGAATCCGCCGCCGCGCCGCACCAATCCGCTGCAGCATGTCCGACTGCTCGTTCTGCGACAGGATCAGCACCAGCTCGTCCACAGTATCGACCTCTAGCTCGACCCCACGCATCGATGGCACCAGCATGTCAGTGATATCGTCGATGAGTGCATATGCAATATATGCAGGCGTCACCAACGGTATCTGCTGCACCAGCGGATCGGCAAGGTTGTGCAGCCGGTTGATGACACTGCCGAGGTGATCGAGGTTGCGCGCGCCATGGAAGGTCAGGATGCAGGACTTTTTGACCACCATCGAGTAGCACGCCGTAGCAATGCCGTCAGCACCTCGGTTGAACTCGTACGTGGACAGGTTGTCGCTGCCAAAGTTGATTGTCCGGTACATCAGGAACTGGTAGTCTGGGAAGGCCTCGAACTTGTCGCGCGTCTCTTCTTCAGCCAAAATATCCTCGACTGTCAGTGGGTGGATGTTGAAAATACGGGCCAGCGATGACATCTCTTCCGGGGTCGGATCGCACACATCGAGCCAAAAGCAGCCGTTACCAGGAACATATGCCGTGTCTGGAAGCTGCTTGCGCATTTGCAGCATGTCAGATGCCGAATCACCCGATGGCCCCGCCCGCTCACCGCGCAACTGCTCCAGTGACATGTTTTTGCTGGATGCCTCGATGATATCGGCCAGGGTCAGTTCCTGGTCTCTGAGGCTGCTGAGCTTGGCTGCCTGGAATATCCCAGCTGACGGCGAATACAGCACAAACCGTGCCTCGCTCTCGGGCACAAACCGATCCACAGGCCCCAGCAGCGACACTGCCAAGCTCCCCATGTCGCTGCTCGGCGGACTCCCAATATCCACATTCAGCGCCCGCTTTTCGTCGTACTCGGGTGGATACGCACCTGGGTGGCGGTCAGCAAATTCATCACTAGCCTGACCTACGGACTTGGACGACCTCACCGACGATGCACGCCGGCCGCCCAGAGGTCTGTGAGCTCCCCCGATCGCCTTGCGCGCCTCCAGCTCGTACTTGTCATCGGCCACCTCAGTCTTCTTGCCTGAAATCTCCAGTAGCACGTCCGAGTTCCACTCACCTGTACTACCCGAGCCACTGTGCAGCTCATGCTGCAGGTGGTCAGATTGGCCCACGTGTGCCGTCTGCGGCCGCTCATACCGCAACGCATCAGCCTCGCCACGTAGCCCTGAATCCTCCGCCTTCCCTTGCTCCGGGCTGATCGCTGCCAGCAGCAGCCTTGCCAGATGCGACTTCCGCGCCTCCGGGGTCTCAGGCTTCTCCTGCTGCATGATCTTGTCCAGCATTTTCGCCACCGCATGCTGCCGCTCACGACTGGCTTCCATCAGCAACTGATTACTGCGCTTCAGCGCCAGGTTCTCCCTGTACAGCTGCTGGTCAGAGATAGGGTGGCGCAAGTTGGTCCGTGAATCGGAGCGCGGGTTCCCGATCGCATCACCCATTATACTGTCAAATGCGTGCAGCCCGCCATGCCGCAACATGACGCTGGAGAGGTCCCCGCCAGCCGACCCCCCGAATACTACCCCGTTGAAGCCGCCGCCGACCGATGCTGGCTGGTCGGCAAGCACCGGCATTTCGGTGCGCCGCCGTGCTGTCTGCATCCGCCGCTGTGGAGTGGCCGCGCGCTCATAAACCTGCCGTGACATTCTAGTGCATTTATAAATGAGGTGGGGAAGGGGAAATTAGGTAAGTGAAAACAAAGGGAGCAAGGCACATTAATGTGCCGAGGGGATAGTTGAGCCTGTGCTTCTTTTTAGCCTTCTATCTTATGCATGACGCTGCTGCATGTTGGGGACGGCGATCACTTTTCTGTGCCCAAACCTGCCATTCGCTGGCTTCAAGCACGTGGTTCACGTGTGCCATGCTGTTCTGAACCCAATTCGTGCCTGTTGCTCTGAGAGCGAATCGAGAACGCTACATTTGGCTTGATATCATCCACTCGCTCTCGTTTTGATCACCCGGCTGGCGGAGAATGCATAATCTCTGCCGCGTTCACACCGCAATGGATCACTTTTTTCTAGCTGTTATCCTTATATTCGCGTTTTCAATATGCAAAATGGTTTCTAAAGATAAAAGTCTTGGCGGCTAGGATCTTCATACTGTTGCAGCTGTCAATAGGATCGTCATGCTATTGCAGCGGCCATCACACCAAGTTACCCCAACACAGTTCGGCTCGGGCCGCAGCAGTGAGCAGTGTCCCTGGCCACCCAACCAGGAATGCCCCCAGCGATATGCCAACAGCTGCGATACTCATCACTCGTATGTGAGGTGCGAGGATTATAAGTTTTTGGCATGCGTGGTGGGGTTTAAAATATGATGTTTACTTGTAGAAGTAAAAGGAAATTACAGAGACGTGAGGATGGCATACATAGTGGCTGTAGCATGAGCCCCTTGGATCTTAGGATCGAGGCACACATGCTCCGATCACATACTGTTGTTCCTCAGAGGTCCGAGTCAGAGTTATCACCATTGTCAGCCGGACCAGAGCATCCGTTATGCTGCGCTTGACCTTGAACGAGATCACTGGTGCTAGTGCCCAGGCCTGGAAAAGCAACATATTAACTATAGCTCATATTTATATGTGGATAAAGATACTGAGCACAAACAGTGAAATATAGTGTTTGTGGTTCCCTGCAACATCATGACTGCTCCTAGAAACACATTTTCTGACCCGCAGTCAACAATGGCTCCTGTATGCCCATATTTGGGCACTGCCTACCTATATACACAGGAGGTCATTCACAATTACTAAACTAAGTAAAAAAAATATTTAGAGCTTATAAAACTTTTTGTTCTTTTGTTTTTTTTGAGCTTCTATGAAACCCCCATTGGCATCCTGAAAAATTTCAGTTAATACACAATTAATATGCTTCTACTGAGATAGAGGCTGGGTCATAAGAAATAAACTGAAATTTTTCAGGATGCCAATGGGGGTTTTGTAGAAGCGCAAAAATAATAAAAGTGCAAAAAGTATTAGAAGATTTAAATATTTATTACCCAGTTTAGTAATTGTGAATGACCTCCATACTGGAAAGAGAACACTATTTATAATTATAGGGATGAGGCTATAAAGCAAGTATTAACCTGTTCAACTACTAGCTATGTGATGAGCCCCCAGTACTGAGCTGGTATCAGTTGAGAAGCTATAGAGCCCTTAATTGCATGGCCATATACTCATTTATATAGCATCAGCACAATGGTATGCATATGCTATATAAATCTAATTGTGGAATTCAAGTTGAACATACAATATCTAGGGTCTAGATACTAAGGTATTCATAACTTTTTCTAACCCTTCTTAATGCTCTTCTGACCTCTGGACAATATGTCAATAGAAGCCCACAGCTGATGGTGCTAGAATTAAAGAACCAGATAGTTCTATTGGTTTCAGAATTGTTGCCAATACCCAGGTCTCAGGGTAAAAGCAGAGTGATGTATTTGCACAAGAAAATCTAGTTATAATAAACTGTGAGCATAAATGCCCCATATGTTGCAGCTGTTCTGGCATTGCCAGGGTGTGACTGGAGTGACATATGCGGCAACACAACCTGCTCTCCAAGCCCTTTGTTGCTCTCCAGTATCCTCTAAACCTCGCATTGCAAAATAATTAACACCAGCTTCTCTTTCCAGCCTTTCTTCCACAGGTACATGGCTAAAGAAGCCTCCTTCTAAGAGGAAGCCATACCCAGCAGTATGCTGTTCCCTTTGGCCAGACAGCTCACATCTGCTACTGTCTGTGAGCTGCTAGACTACAAATACCCAGATGAATAGTGTCTTCTACCCCGGCTGCGCGCCGGGCTTAGCTGGTCGGCCCAACCACCGAGTGGTGGGCAGTCTGGTGGTTAGCGAATAGCCCATTTATGCGATGATGATCACGAGACATGCACCATTCTGGCCGCAAACCGGCTGTGTGCCAAGCAAAAAGGAAAAGCTGCGTCTTTGCGCACTTTGCGATATTCCTCTACTCCACTCTTTTGCAATTCGTTTTTATTTTTCAGTGAAATGTGCTCTTGCCCTGACTTTCTTCTAATTCTCCTGAGCGTGATATTCCCGCCACTGGGCGCGCTGCTGCGGCGCGGGTGCGGGGCGGACTTCCTCATAAACATTGGTCTGACAATGCTGGGGTACATTCCGGGTCTAATTCACGCATGGTACCTGATCTGCAAGTACCCGGCAGACGAGTACGAAATGCTGGTGGACGACTCCGACTACTCGCACCACCACCACGTGGTGGTTATTAGCCATGAGCGGACGCCTGTGGCTGGTCCGTCGGCACCGGCCACGGACAACCAGCAGCAGCCGCCGCCATACTCTGCGATTCCCAAGTAAACCTGCTCTTTATTTCTTGAACGTGAAACATGACAGAATTTATTGGTACAAGAAAACGTGAAAGAGCTAGTGAGGGATGAAAGATTTTGTTGCCTAATGCGAGTAGATGAATGGTGGTGTTTTTCTCGGTTTACCATAAAGAGATATGCATGAAAGACAAGGGCGGGAGGTATAAGCGTCAGTCTAAAACCGTGATAGAATTTTCATCGGTCATGAACACCGTCCTGTCAGAGACGGCTCCGGTGAAGAGATTCATTTGAACATCATCCGCAAAAATACCATTCCCAGGTTTTCACGCATATCCTGAAAAGTAGATGAGAAGAGGGGGTGGGGAATACCTGGAGAAGTGAGCCCCGTTGAGGTAACTACCCAGATGGATAGCCAACCGCATAACTGTGCTATGACGAACAGGACGCCCGATCCCAAAAACCCTCTGCCAGATTGGTGCGAACAGCGCCCACTGAAGCTCCGCCAAGGCATCTTTGCTTCCCAGAGCGAACCCCGGAGGAGCGCTGAACGCGGAATCTATAGGCATAGCGGTTAGTAAAACAGGAGGGGCGTCAATTACCTAATTACAGGCGGCACTTTCTGCCCAGGGTCCGGGGACTTTCACCCAAAGCCAAGAGATAAGTAGACATCGGCCGGTGAGGCCGCTGCTGACTTTGTGTGTGAGGCTTCGATAAAGTGTAAAAATAAGCGGTTCTTCCAAAAAGTATTCCCAAGGAGAAGCAAAAGCCAGCAAGAGGCATTTCGCCAATTTATAGGCAGGGGCGGCTGAGGAAAAATTTTCTTCGCTTGATTTAATTCTGGTGCTGGAAGCGCTGCATGCATTTCTTGAAGGCCAGCATTTCCTTGGCGCATTGGCGCCAGTCGCCGGTGTCGGCGTGGCAGATCAGCAGGCGCTCGTTCTGCTCGAAGCAGCCGGTGCGCTTAATGCGCTTGTCCCACTCGTCGTCGTCGCCGTCGTTCTGGGCGGTCGGTGTAGCGTGCTTGTTTGGATCAGCCATGGTGTTTAGAGCAGAAATTTTATATCCGAGTTTGCCCGCAATACCCACAGCGCCTGCAGTGGCGGCGCGAGATGCGAGCCAGACGCGCATGTATGGGTGAGGTTGGAAAATACAAACCTGTGTCCGCCAAGCTCTCTTACCTTCAGTCTAATGTTATTTGGACTAATGCCAGCAATTACAGAGCCTCCAATGACAAGTGACATACAAGACGCCTCGGCGATCATCCAGCACCGGGTGGTAGGCGACGCGGTTGAATACAAGGTTGCATGGGCCGACGGCGCCCACACCTGGGAGCCCAGCTCCAGCCTGGCAGACAGCCCGGAGGGGCTAGCGCAGTACTGGCGCGACCACATAACAAGCAACCCAACAGCGCGGTATTTCGACCGGGATGCGCTGCAGGTGAGCAAGCCAAAACCGCTGAAGCGGCGGGCGAAGCCGGAGCTGACGCCCGAGGTCGACAAGATGGCGCGGATCAAGGGCACGCAGCAGCGCAAGGAGCTGGCGCGTTCCCGTGCGGCCATGCAGAAGCCGGCTGTGGTGAGCACGTCGAAGCCGCCGCCTGCCACAGCTCAGCGCAGCAGGGAAGCGAATAATGTACCAACAAAGCCGCCGCTCAAGCAGACCGCGCGCAAGTCCATGGGCAGGCGGGTATAGGGTTTTTTTTAGGTTCCTGGTTTTTTTTTTTTTTTTCAGGTCTCTACTGCACAGCTCAATTTATTTGTTTTTTCTGCAAATGCAAACTCCAAATTCGGGAGAGGAAATGGACGGGCAAAGCGCGAAGCGTCTGCGGCTTGATGGCAGCGCTGAGCAGGAAGCGAACTCATTGACGCTGGCAGGGATCGTGGAGCAGGCGAAGGACGAGTGCGTGCCGATGTCCCCAGCATCGACCAGCTCACGGGCAAAGAGCTATGTGTGCGACGAGTGCGGCAAGGCGTTTACGCGGCCATGCAAGCTAGAGGAGCACAGCCACATGCATACCGGCGCCCGCCCCTACGCCTGCCCCTTCCCGGGCTGCACCAAGACATACATGCGCGACACGCACCTGGCTGTCCACACCCGCACGCACTCACCGGCGCTCCGCCACAAGTACCAGTGCTCGCTCTGCCCCAAGGGCTTCGCGACCAACCAGCATCTGAAGCGACACATGCGAACCCACGAAACACCCAAGCCCTTCGCCTGCACCTCCTGCCCAATGGCGTTTGCCAAGAAGAGCCAGCTTCATGTCCACACAAGCAAGCATACGGGCGAGCCGCCCTACAAGTGCAGCGAGTGTGGCCATGGCTACATGCACCCGTCGCAGCTGAAGCGGCACCGGATGAAGCACTCGACACAAGACACGTATCGGTGCGCGGTAGGTGCCTGTACGCAGACGTTTGTGACGTGGTCGGCGCTGCAGACACATATGAAGTCCCACAAGCCGGAGCCGATTGCCTGCGCTGAGTGCCATGAGGAGTTCAAGAAGCGGCACCAGCTGACAGCCCATATGCGTAAATGCCATGGCGATACGTCGGTGCTGGTGTGTCCGTACGACGAGTGTGGGCGGCTCTATAGCGACGCAAAGGGGCTGAACGCACATGTATCCGCTGTGCACTTGGGCCGCGCGCGCTTTGCCTGCACACACCCGGGATGCAACAAATCGTATGTCTACAAGCACTCGCTACACAACCATGTCGCCAAGGCGCATGGCGACGGGCCGAAAGACGAGCTGAAAAAGACACCGCGCACGCCCGCCAGCCTGGTAGACGTGCTGACTGGCGCCGCATACAGCAACCCCGAGATCTCCGGGCGTACCTATATGTGCCCCATTGCAGGGTGTCCATTCCAGTTCAAGCGCCAGGCCGACCTCGCCAAGCACCTAGCGCACATCCACCACATGTGATAAGAAGTTTTTGTAAATAGTACTGTTTACTGCAGAATCTGCCGAATAGCCTTGGCCACCTTGGCCGCATTGAACTCGAGTAGACTCTGCTGCTTGACCACCGCTGACGGCCCCAGGCACAGCAGCGACAGCTCCAGATTGACCTGGTACATGAACAGCCGCATGTTCGTGTCCATGGTCACCACCGTGCGCTGCATCACCACCTCGTCGTCGCGCTCCGGTCCGAGCCCCGCACACAGCATAGAAATGTCGCCAATCGTATCGATGGTCTTGCACGCAAACTGGTACAGTTGCGGGTCGGTCGGCGATGAGTCGGTTGCCAGGTAGATTTTGGAGCGCACGTCCAGCAGAAACACCTTATCGAGGCTCGACTTTGAGCAGAACGAGTTCAGAAGGCTCTCCAGGTAGTCGCACCGCGGCACCATCCGCAGCGACACGCGGCTCATGGCCTCGCGGATCGTCTCTGTGAACACCGTGGTCAGGAAAAACTGCACGTTCGACGAGTCCAGGCTCTCAAACCCCATGTTCTTCAGCACCCGCTGCTGAATCCCCTGCTGCGTCTCCATCTTCAGCTCCTCGCTCAGCCCGTCGATCTTGTGGATAAACACATTCACCGGTAGCGCCGGGTTCGCCGCCAATGCCACGCGGATCAGCGCCAGGAGCTCTGCTAGCGACTTGCCCGCCTCGTTCTGCGCGTCAATCACGTACACCAGCGATGTGTTTGGGCCCACGAATATCTCGGGGTCCGGCCCGCCCACGTCGGCCAGGTCCTCGATTCCAGGGAAGTCGTATACTGTGATCCCCGAAATCATATCGTAGGCTGTCCGCACCATCGTCGGCGGAATCAGCTGGTCCATCAGGTCATACGGGTTCTTGTCCTCAAAGATCAGCTGCATGATGCATGTCTTGCCGCTGCGCGGCATCCCCATCACCAGGATCCGCCGGTCTGCCAGCGGCTCGCTGAGCTGGCTGCCCTGTGTCAGGTCCGTGTCCGACATCGCCCCCATGCTGCCGTACGGGTCTGTTGCGTTGTATGAATTCATCAGAAATGCAACGATATGTAGAGGTGGTTGGAAAAGGCTGGCTAGGTAGTGACGTGGTGCCTCCTACTCTTGCCCTCTTCATCCCACACGTGTCTTGACAGTTATTATGGATTACGACGAGTACAGTTTTTATTGCCCGCATCTCACTCAAACAGCTAGCGCTTTCTACGAAATGGCCCTCCACCGCTTGGCGCACGTAAAGTCGTTCGCCCAGCCCTCCCCCGGATCGCACACACACGAGCCCCCCTCCTTGGACCCCTTCGGGCAGTGCGACATCGCCGGGTGGTAGTACCCGATATCCTCAAAGTAGTGCACCTGCGACTTTTGCAGAAACATCGCCACTGCAATCGAGTGGATCGGCGCATCGCCCCATCGCTCGTAGAAGAACCCGCCGGCGCGGTCCAGATAGTCAAAGTACGCCTGGTACGCCTCGCTGCGGTAGAACGACAAATCCACAATCTCAAAGTTCGACCAGAAGTGGCACTTGGTATACGTATTGTCCTTGTTGCGCACCCAGTCCAGAATATTCTTGTCCGCCACGTACTGCGGGTTCTCCTTCATAAAGTCCACCGTTGTTTTCCACAGCGTGCGCACCGTCGGCTCGTACTCATCCGGCGCAATATTCCACCCGTACTTGAACCCGTGCTTCTTCATGTACACGAACGGGTCGTAGTTGATATCGCAGTAGTAGTGCACCTCGGGCTCAATCCGCCAGTAGAACTCCAGGTCCCGCAGCAGCGGGTGCTTGTGGATGAACCCGCTCTGGAACCGACACATGAACCGGTACGACTCGCTACCCCCCTTGATGTAGTTTGCTTTCTCCCGCTCCTCCTTCGCCCGCTGCTGGTCGATCCACGCCGGATACCCCCACGTGCCTTCTTCCAGTGTCCCAAACTCCACCTTGGCCTTCGTCAGATCCCGGATCCCCTGCTTGAACTTTTCGGTAAACGGCTTGTCGTTCAGGAATATGTACGGGTAGTTGTACTTGTGGTTCCACCGGTCCTCCAGCTCCCGCACGCTCTTGCGCATGTCGTACAGGTCCTCGTTGCGCACCAGCGCCACCAGTGCCGCCCGCACCGGCTTCTGCCCGTTCGGCGCGTAAATGCTGTCCTTTGTGCTGTTTCTGCTGAAATTGCCGGTCCAGCCCTCGTAGCTGTCGTCGCTGGCCCCCGGGCTGACCAGCCCGCGCGGCTCGCGCGACGCATACAGGACCGTGCCCATATGCAGAATCAAGCCAAATACGCCTATCACGCCAAGCAGCTTGGCCAGTGCTATAAGTCTCTTGGATGACAGCATATTCCTTTGTCTACAATAATAGAAAAACAGTTGGATGCAGAGACAAAGTGGGAAATCCTCAGAGTCTGCGCCGGTGTGCTTGACCGTGTTTATGGAGGCTGGTGGCATGAGATCAGAGCTGTGGGCAAATCTAATTGGGCCATTGCCAAGAGCGTGCAAAAACAAGAAACCGTCCTGCGCGGAATGTTCCTGGCTCCTGTTTTGCGTCTTCTTGAACTGCCCCGATTATTTTTTTCCCTCCATTCCAGCCTCGCGCTCATATCACCTTCCGAGAAAATACAGTCCTGTTAACGACCCCCGGTCCTGGCTTTTAATTAATTTTATCTGCTCTGCTGCTACTACCAGATGCAACGTTCTTCAGATCCCCCTGTGTTTCCGCACCGCGCCGTGCTCAATCCTCCCCCGCAGGCCGGCCACCGCGGGACCGTCGACTTGGACGCGCTCCAGCAATGGTCGACCACTGGCAAGGTGAAAAGACAGAGCCGTCAGCACCGCAAGTACCGGCTTGGACGATGGCAGAACCGGTCGTTCAGCTCCTGGAACCCGCCAGCGAATTCGATCACGCGGCACTCGAATGCCTCAGTGCTCTCCGTGGACATCAGCTACAAGCCATCAGAGTCGCGCCGCGCCTCCATACTGAGCACCTCGGATTCCGACGACTCTGACGACGATGAAAACGGCCCCTTGGCGCAGGTTTTGTTGCGTGAGAACGACGAGATATGGAACAACAGAAATTACCGCTTCACATTCTACTCGCCACGCACTGGCACTGTGCGTGCCGCCGACGTGCAGTCATTGCAGACCGATAACGAGAGTGGCCTGGATGACTTGATGCGCCAGGCGACCGGCGAAGTAAGCAAGGTCGATGAGAAAATCGGCATGCCTACGGTCACCGTCTCGAATGGCCTGCTGCATCCGAACGATGCGCTGGGCAGGGGGAGGTCGCCGTCTGCTGGCTCGTACGACGCCCCGAAGTTGCCCGAGGACGATGGGTGTGCAAATCTATTCTGGCTCGATATCGTCGACCCTGTAGACTCTGAAATCATAGCAGTTTCACGCATCTTCGACCTGCATCCGCTCACCACTGAGGAGCTGCTTCTGATGAAAGACGATGCGCTGGTGCAGGACAGCTTCAAGTCATTCAAGCACTACGACATCATCTGCTACCACACATCCATAGCTGCTTACAATGACGAGCCGTGGGCGCAGGAAGATGTGCCGCTCGACACCATGCAGTCTGCGGAAATTAATACTGAGGGTGACAAGCAAAAGGCTGGCGAAGAGGGCCTGCGATACCGCATCCGCCAGTGGTTCAAGCGCCCAGCCGACCCCAATATGCCTGTGCCTGAAATCATGGTCCCCTCGCCATCAGCCGACGAGCCCGCGCGCGACGACGACATCCTGGACGAGCCCATCCCATTCTACTCAATTGTGCTGACCCGCGGCATCATCACCCTGCACCGGCGCCGGCTGCCACATGTACGCAACACAATTGCGCGGCTGCTGCTGGACGAGGACACCGTCAAGCTGACGCCCGACTATATCGCCTACCTGCTCCTTGACGACATCACCGATACATTAGTGCCGACAACGCGCATGCTGGAGCTCGAGGTGGATGCAGTGGACGAGCTGGTGCTGATCCTGGCCGAGGCTGACCATGACGACATCCTGAAGCGCATCGGCATTGAGCGCCGCCATGCGCTCTGGCTGGTGCGGCTCCTGCACGGCAAGGCCGAGGTTCTGGGCGCCATAGAGCGTCGCGTGCAGGCGAAACGGCACGTGCCACGCCTCCGCATTGACGATGACACACACAGTCAGCTGATGACCAGCGACGAGGAAGAAGGCGATATCTATGGCTGGGATAGGAAGCCTGTGCGTGGCCGCCATGACGAGCATGCACCGGATGTTGCCAAATACCTGGCTGATGTCCACGACCATCTGCTGGCGCTGACGGCGTCGGTGCATCACTGCGAGCGCATTCTGGCACGCGCCCATGGCAACTACCTGGCCAGGATCAACCTGGAGCTGACCAACGCGTCGAATACCACCAATGGCCTGGCCACGCAGGCTGCTATCCTGGCCGGTATATTTCTGCCTCTCAATTTGGTTGCCGGCCTGTGGGGGCAGAATGTCAAGGTGCCCGGCCAGGATCGCGACGACCTGCTGTACTTTGGTATTATCTGCGGGTGCATGGCCACGTTTGTCATCTTTGCGCTGGCCTTCTTCCGGTGGCGCCGACTTATTTAAATGTGGCTGTTTGATCAGCGATCACGGGTGTATGTGTGGATTACCACACATATGGGTGGTGACGTGCACTCGTTCCTATTACATTCAGGCTTTTTCCCCTCTGCTGAAAAGAGGATCGGCATTCTTCCCCTCCTCCTTTTCCTCCTGGACTGGGCAATGCACCTGATACCTACGGATTGCATACGCTGTCAAAAGAGTTGCTCTTCCTCAGCCTCCTTTGACAGCCCCCTTCTCTTTCCTGCCGAGAATAACTCGACTGTGAATTCCACGCTCTATTCTTTGTCTTTCCTTTCACATATCAGGTTTTTTCATTGTATTTAGTATACTCCCAAACTCTCTCTTCAGCCATGGTTGAGCCACAGGGCTGTATCAATGACATGGGTCAGGGCAAACTCATCGACAAGATCCTCTTCGAGCTCAAAGTCCTCCTCGTGAGGGAGAAGAACGAGCTTGAACGCACCCGCCTCACTATCTGGTCTGCGTCTGTGTGCCAGCGCTGGCGCGCCTTCCTTCTGCCGACGCTCTACCGCTCGCTGGTCTTTGAGTTCTACGACCCGCGGCCGCCGGAGCCAGAGCCCGCTTCCGACGACGACGACTCCGCAGACTCTGACGAGGACCCGGAGGAGCGCCGGTATCGCCGGCAGGAGCGCCGACGCCGCCGGATGCTGCAGCGCGACAACTATGTGCTGGCGTACCAGGACCACTTCAAATGGCGCACGAACGCAGGCATCCTGGTGAGCTCTGGCCGCATGGACCTGACGACCGAGCTGGTGATGCGCGGCCACTACGGGTACGACTTCAACCAGCTGGCGTACCTGCTGCCGCTGACAGGCGCGAACTTTGTCGACTGGCCGAATATCGAGACCATGCGGTTTGTCGGGCATCTGAGCGAGGGCATGAACTTTGTGTGCCCGGACGACGTGCAGGTTTTCGTCGACATGGTGTACGACAAGATGCCCAACATTAAGGATATCCGCTATCCAAACATGATCCACAACAACAAGCAGTTCGTCTTCATCCTGCTAGCCATGATCTACCAGTACCTGCCGAAGCTGCGCTCGCTGGGCCTCGACCACGTGCTGCCCATCACTTACCCGCTCAATTACTCACCGGAGCTGACGCGCGTGCGCATCGACCCGGTGTTTGTCAAGGGCTACCACAACTTCCCACGCATCGACCCGAGGCCGCTCCGTCACGTTCAAATCTATGGCGCCCGTAGCGACTTCATCTGGTCGTACTTTCAGCAGCAGGAGGAGAATATGATCGAGTTCACCAACCTCGAGACCCTGCGTCTGACGCAGGCCGGGTCAATGTGGATGACCTCGGAGATGCCCGAAAGCACAAATATGATGCAGCTCAGCTTCCCAAAGATCAAGGAGGTGCATCTCAATAACATTCTGGGCGTCTACCACACTGTGCTTGTCCCATTCATCCACAGCAAACTGCGCAAGCTGTATATCGAGGAGAACAGCTCGCATATTGTCACCATCCCGCCGATAATCTACCAGTGCACCGAGGAGCTCGTGTTACAAATCAGCGATGTCAGGTATAACTACCGGGATGACTACGAGGGCGGGCTCGACGAGATGTACCTCCACCCCGCAAACATCAAGAAGCTGACAGTCAACTACTCTCTCAAGCCCGAGAGCTTCACCTGGACCTCAGTAGAGCACCTCAGGATCGACCTGCTAGTTGTCGACTTTGATATGCCCGAGCGTCTGATGCAGGTCATGCCCAAGCTGAAGTGCATGCTCATAAACTTCCCGCACTACACCCATGAAGAGAAGGATGCTGAGAGGCCCGAGTTCAGGCTCGACCGTAGCATCCTGGAAAAGACCAAGCTGCAGTATATCGGCCTCCACAACTTGCGCCTGCAAAAGACGGAGATAGACTATGTCAAGGGCTTCCTAAAGAGGTATCCACAGCTGTGCGACATCCAGCTGCTGTCCAACATGGTGCCGGTCATCCGTGAGTTTGTTGAAGAGGAAAACATTGATATTATTGTTGGCGAATTCCCACCACCAAAGAAGCCTTTGTATCATTGATCCAAATAAACCTGTCAATTCTGTTGCTCGCGGTCTGCTGAGAAAACCGTTGCCTTAAGCCCTCCCTGAGCCTATTGTTCGGAGGTCAGAGCATTCATTTTGTGTGGTTCGGACTGGCCATACCACATGGCTGTTCGCCGTGCATGTATTCTGCTTCCATACTTGTTTTCAGAAAAGGTATCCCAGGCTGGGCCAGGGCTTTGTCCACTAAAAAAGAGCCAAATGCTTTATACATGTCTAGCAGGTGTACTTTATCGAAAGACCATTCATGAATCAGCTGCAGAACCTTGCGAGGAAACTACGAACAGCAGGCACTATCCTCACCCTATGAGCTAACACCATTGAGGTGCGTTGCCCCCACTGCCTTCATGTCTAGAAGAATGATAGACCTGTTGCAGAAGCCACCGAACCAGGCCTCACACTTTCGGTGTAGATACTTACCCGTTGGCTCCTCATTTCAAGAGTATGTGCTAGGTTTATAGGAATAGCTACAAGCTGATCACAGTCTACTGAATATTCCCACATCAAAGAGAAGCATGTGGCTAATTGCTACACATTCTTGTTCATCAATGCAGTGTACGACGATATTATGCAAAAATCTTGTCCTCGAATTGAGAGCAGAGGTGAAACGCAGTAAAACCTTGGGGTTTTGCACCTATGCCTAACCTCATTGCTGGCCAAGGGATAAAAATGAAGTATTTCCTAGTATATTGACCAAAGTGAGCTACCCCATTTGATTATTGCACATGTAACCTAAGATATTCTGATAAAGGTGCAGGTGGCATGGCGCATTATCAATATCAATTAAAGCTGAAATATCTACACGTTTTGACCCACCTATGCCTACTTCTATTGCAATTTATTAGTAGAGCATATAGATTTCTCGCCATAGCCTGTCCTCAGAAACATCAGTCACAGCACATACAACCGATGCATTTAAAGGATACATTCAAGTGTAAAAAGGCGATCTCCTGTTGCTGGTGTGCAGGACTCGGATTGTATTGCATAGTTGTAGCTTGGGAAGTGGCATTTGACCAGGAATTGGACCATGGACGGAAGAATTTTGTTGCAAACGTCCCCAAAACCATCGTCCAGAAAACTACAGCACTCCGCAATTAGCATCAATTCATACAGGTTGATTAGAGCTCCCTGTATTTTGTCAAAGGGCCGGGATTGGCGCCTTGACGGTTTATTTTTTGTACTGGTGGCGTGTCTATTTGTACTTGTTGCTTGTTGCCGTGTTGAAATAGCCGAATACCCACAAGGGACTGCATCGCTTGCTTAGCCAGACTCACAAATGGCTGCTCTTTTCTCTGTTCTTTTCTCTTTTTAACCACTTGTTTGCTCTTTACAGTTTTGCTTTTACTCTAACACTCTCTCCTCTATGGCTGTGCTAACCAAGATTAAGCATAGCATCAGCTATTTTCCTTTACTTGCGGATGTCGGTGTTGCACTATCAGCCTTTTCATGGCTGCAGTTGGCTCAACTATGCTATGTATCGACCACTGTTGTTATAAAGTCGGTTTATCAGTACTATCGAAATGGACCGCGCCTGCCGAAGTGGGACCTAACAATACAGCTGACAGTTGATCTTGGATCCGGTTTGTCTAAGGTCGTGTTTCCATATCAGACAAATGACGATGGCATCGAGCGCATTGACTTTCACAAGATTGTGATTACAGTTCGCAGGTGGGGTAACAAAAAACTAGCGTGGCCAAAGGAGAAGGGAACATACCGTAGTCACAGTATCAACACACAGGAAGTAGAGATCGACATAAGCAAGCTTGCCGATATCGAGATAGTCGGGACGAAGCTTACCAATCTTGCTCAGAATGATATGGCGCTCCAGGACCCCCGAATTCTTGAGTGCGAGATTATCTTGAGGAACGCTGCTATCCAGATGCTGGAATCCCACGCTACCAACGCCGACAATCTCCTTGATACCGTTCCTGTGGTGAAAGATGAGAAAATTGTACTGTATTTTCATGGCGGCGGCTGGATCCTAGGAAACATTGAAACACACCGGGTGATAACGGGTGAAATCTCCCAAGCATCAGGCACTCGTGTTGTCTCTGTCAACTACCGTCTATCGCCAGAGTATGCATTCCCAGCACACCTGCTCGATGCGTACATCTCCTACTGCTTCCTGCTCAAGCAAGGGTTCAAGCCGTCGAACATCGTTGTTGCTGGCGACAGCGCTGGTGGACAGCTGGCTCTTTCGCTGACTCACCTGCTCCGCCATATCGGAGCGCCAGTGCCAGCTGGCCTTGTACTTTTGTCGCCTGCTACAGACCAAAGGCACATCAAATATGAGCATGACGCGCCTGCTGCACTTGATTATCTCATGTACATGCCTGTTGAGACACCTGCATCTATGGTGCGCCTGATGATCGCGCCTGGACAGCCTCTGAGTGAGCTGATGAAGAGAGAGCTAGAGTCACCACTCATATCGCCTATATATGGATCGTTCAGCGGATTTCCATCTACTCTGATCCAGACCGGCGGCTGCGAATGCTTTCTTGATGGAAATATTGCCCTGCGCGAAAAGATAAAAAGCCAGAATCCAGATGTGCCCGATATTGTTCGGCAAGATGTGTATGACGACATGCCACACGATTTCCATCTCATATTTCCGTATCGGCGGGAAGCTAGCAAGTCGTATAAAGTCATTGGTGAGTTTATCAATAATCTCTGAGCTCAATTGCGGTATACGTCATCTTTGAATTCATATATAGCTATATATTTTAGCTGCCAATAAATTGGGACCATGCACTACCGATACTAAATAAAAAAAAGGCATATATATAGCAATAATGACAAAATTGTAGTGTGAAATGGATATTCTGGTGTAGGTATGCTTTATGATTGGTCGGCGGATTTCTTGAGGCGTATCCGGCAGCAGCTTCCACTCGTGCGAGCACTTGCCCCAGCCGGCGTTAGTGATGGTCTTGTCTTTGTCCGACGCATCGCAGGTGCAGCGGTTCTTGAGCCACGCGTCGCCACTGGGGCAGTGCTGCCATCCCGGGTGCAGGTATCCGATGTCCTCGAACCAGTGTACCTCCTCCTTCTGCAGGAACATGGCAGCAGCAATCGAGTGCACCGGGGCATCTCCCCAGCGCTCGTAGAAGAAGCCGCCTTCGTGGTCCAAAAAGTCAAAGAACTTGGAGTACGCCTCGCCGCGGTAGAACGACAGGTCGGCAATCTCAAAGTTGGACCAAAAGTGGCAGCCGTTGTGTGTGGTGCCGTTGTCGCGCGACACCCACCACAGCGAGTTGTGCTCGGGAATGAGCTCCCTGTGCGTCTCCATGAACTTTCTGACCGACTTCCACAGTGTCGGCACAGTGCTCATCAGCTCATAGATGCCGATGGTCCAGCCGTACTTGATATTGCGCTGCTTCATGTACAGGAACGGGTCGTAGTTGATATCGCACAGGTACTGGATTCCAGGCTCTAGGCGCCAGTACATCTCAAACTGCTGCATGATCGGGTGCTGGTAGAAGAAGCCGGACTCGAAGCGGCACATGTGGCGGTACGACTCGTTGCCGCCATACATGACCTTGTTGTCCTGGATTTTCTTGCGCTCCTCGCGTGCCTTCTCCTGGTCGATCCAGTCCGGGTATGACCAGTGCTCCTGCGGGATCTGGCCGAACTTGACTGTCGCCTTGGTCAATGACCAAGGCATGCTCATAAAGTTCTCGTCAAAAGGCCCGTCATTCAGGAACACATACGGGTAGTTAAACCTTCCGTTGAATATGTCTTCCATCTCTCGCATCAACGTGCGGATGCCAAGCCAGTCCTGGTTTTGCGCCAGCAACACGAAGCAGGGTTTGACTGGGTTAGGCTTGTCTGGGTTGTAGCTGGCCCCAGATGAATAGTCGGGCTTTGCTGCTTCTGTGAACGATGTTGTAGTCCCATGCAGCGACAGGTTTTGTGCAATATACTACATTTGGAAGAAGTAGAGCTCTGTCACCAACGTCAGAGTAATAACGATATATCAGGTGAGCGGGTTTTTCACGCCAATGGCGTATATTGAGCGAAGCTTCGGGACAGTCATTCGGCCAAAACGAGTGAGGAGTATGCAGAAGAGCCTGTGTTCAAGTCTAGTTTGTTCTACATCCAGCTAAAGGAGCCACTATCTAAATGCCCATGGGCTTTGTTGTACAGGGCAGAATCTGGGACGACGAATGGTGTCATCGCAGCTCACCAAGCGAATAGCATTAACCTCACAAGGACCATACAACAGGGCTCCGATGGACATTTTGTAGTGTAGCCTTGCTGACTGCTCGTACTTGCATCATAATCTGCCATAGGTCAACCAATTATTCCAAATTTGCGCGTACCGAATGCCAAACCCTGATCTGCAACCGGCGGAAACGCAGAATGCCAAGAGGCAGTGTCTACAGAGCTACACCGCATCCATGTAGAGTGGTACCCTTGAAGCACTTTGTAGTATGCTTTCCTCCAAACAAAACATGCCACTGCTGACCAGAAGGACGCAAAGTCAGCAGCAATGCAACCAGACCTTGTGTGCAGGCGCATGGATCTCTGCATGTCTACAACCTGGTATGCAGCTTGGTCTTGGCAGCTGTATCCAAATTGTTTCCAAGCGAAATAGGCAGACCAGCGAAGCTACCAGATATAATATCCTCTTCACCGACTCTGTTCCTTTTGGAAGGCTGCACGCCAGCACACAGTGGAAAATCGGATAAGCACACACGGACAGTGGGCTCAGGTGCACAAAGTAAACAATACCAATCCCACCATCAGATCCCGGCCAAGACTGCTACACAGACCAAACCATATAGCCTATCGGACCATCAGCCGCGTGAGCAAATGCATCCGGCCATTAGGGCTGGCACAGTCATATTTGTCACACTTGGTTTGCCAAATGCATACATTTCCACAGGCATAGGTGCCAATAGTGTCAGTGAGGATATAGATGGGGGATATTATTAATACGTATGTGCTGATTAAGGACTAAGAGTGGCAGATATGTAAGGTGATGATAGGAGTTAAAGGATAAAAGGGTATAAATGGATGGTTGGCAGGAGATTTGTGTGCATATTTCGGACTATGCCGGACCTACTCATTGTCGGCGGCATCGACTAACGGAGAGACAAAGGAGAAGCCTGAGAATGCAACATCGCTGGTGGAATCAGCCGACTTTGCCATACCCTTGGTGTACTCGACCTTGTCATCCTGCCCCTGACTTGACGTGTCAAACATGCCATTAGCGGTCTGCTTTGTCTGCTGCGGGAACGCAGCAAGCTTCGACTGCATCTCAAGCTCAGCCTTGCGCTCAGCCTCGGCCGCCTCTGCCAGGATATCCACCTGGCCCTCGGCCAGAATCGACTCTGGGATCGGCTCGTTGCGGAACTCGGGGTCAATGTTGCTCAGGTCAAAGATCGAGCTGACGTTCGGCATGAACGGCGGCGCGTACTCTTGGCGGTAGATCTTGCCCCAGTCGATGCCATAGAAGAATGCATGGCGCTTGACGTTCTCAGTGCCAAACACGCCGGCTCCCAGGCGCTTCTTCGGATCGCGCTCGAGGATCCTGTAAATAAAATCCTGTGCGAGCCGCCCGATGCTTTCGCCGGGCACGCTGCCGCTACTTGAGCTGTATGTGCCATTGCCACGCAGAGGGGGCGGCAGAGATGTCGGGAACCGCAGCGGCTCCTGCAGGATCCGCCTGTACATGACGTTATTGTCCTGGTCGTAGTATGGCGGCAAACCAGTCAGCATTTCGTAGAGAACAGCGCCGAGGCAGTACCAGTCGACCTCCTTGCCGTAGCTCTGTCTCAGCAGAACCTCGGGTGCCAGGTACTCTGGCGTGCCGCAGAACGTGGCTGTCTTGCCACCTTCCTCCACCGAGTACAGCGCAGACCCCTCCGTGCGCCAGACGATCGGACCGACCTCCTTGGCCAGCCCAAAGTCGACGATACGCACATGCCCGCGCGCATCCAGCAGGCAGTTCTCGGGCTTCAGGTCGCGGTACACGACGTCCATGCCGTGGAGGTACGCCAGCGCCGAGGTGATCTCGGCAGCATAGAACCGGGCACGGTTCTCTGCGAAGCGCCGCTCGCGCTGCAGGTGGAAGAACAGCTCGCCGCCGTTGACGTAGTCGAGGCAAAAGTACAGTTTCTCCTTTGTCTGGAACGCACACTGCAGACCGACCAGGAACGGGTGCTGCACAGTGCGCTCCAGGACACGGCGCTCTGACATTACACGACGGATCTCGTTAGGACGGCCACGCAGCTTTGACTTGGAGATGACCTTGATGGCCATGACCTTGCCGGTGTCCTTGTAGCGGGCAAGCATGACCTTGCCGTAGCTGCCCTTGCCGATGACGCTGAGGAGATGGAAGTCGTCGAGGCCGACCTTCTTGGGCTTATCGACAGCCATCTTTACGTCCTGCTCGGCATTGGCGCTAGCAATAGTGCCCATCAATGTGTTGACATTGTCCGTCATCATGGCACCGGACAAGCGGCGCTCGCGGTGCACCTGCTCGGCCCCCTCAGCACGCGCAATGCCGCTGCTGGCTATCCGGGTAGCGACATCGGTCAGCGTGTCGTCTTGAGTCGTGTCCATCTCGATATCACTGCCATCGTATTGCGCATAGTCAGAATCAGTGGCATCGCTGTGTTCCGCCCACTGCATCGAGCCGACCATATTCTGCGCTTGGAGACCGGCGTATGCAAGCTCGCGCGGGCCCAGCAGCTCGATGTTCCCGTCGGGCATCTGGGCAGTGCTAGGCACGCGGGTCTGGGCATCGTCGATGTATTGGATATTGCGGCGCAGGCCGTACTTTTTGCGCACAGCAGACTGCTCAGCACCTGGCCGCTTCTCGGCGCTCACATAGAGCTGCGGGTCAGAGGCCTTGCGTAGCAGCTGCGCTGCGTCGGCGTCGTTCATGAGAGTTGCAAACGGATGCTTTGGGTTGTCGATGCCCAGTGGCGGGTAATTGCCGGGCTGTGCGCTGTCCTGCTGCTCGGCGGGGCGCGACAGCGAGCCATTGGGGCTGGTTGGCGAGCTCATGTAGCTGTCCTTGAGTGTTGGCATCGAGACCATGCGCTCGATCGACGACCGGCCGGTGTTTGTGCGGTTGGCCTTGATTGACCACTCGTCAGGCAGGGGCATGCGCTGCTGGGCAGCGCGCTGGGTGTCGTCGATAGATATATCGTGCAGAAACAGCTGCAGCTCCTCGCTCGGGCAGACGTCGGCGTCGCCGGTGACGCTGCGCAGGAAGGTGTTGAGCTTCTCGCGGCGCTGCATCACGACATCTGGCGATGCGCTGAGGCCAGGCAGCATGCGCTTCGGGAACAGGTCGCCCCAGACACCAGCCTTTTTTGGGAAGCGGCGGCGGAGAACCTGGAACAGCTCGTAGAATTCGCTGTAGCGACGCGCCACCCACCACTGGCCGGTGCGACCCGAGACCAGTATTTTATAGACCAGGTGCTTCTTCTTGCCCATGCGCAGGCCGCCGGACTGCTCACGCGTCTCAACGCTCGTGATGTAGGCGGCGAAGGCAGGGCCGCCCTCGGCCAGCGTCTGGTCGCCAGCGCCCATGGACTCGAGCACCATGGTCGACGAGGCTGTGGTTGTGCTGGCGTTCGAGTTGAGCGACCCGCGGCTGTTTCCTGGCCGCAGGTGGTACTTGGAGAGCCACGCGCCAAATGCGTTGCTGCCGCTGCCCTTGAGCGTCGCCTGGCTGCTGTTGCTGGTCAGCGACGCATTCGGGTCAGCCTCCAGGGATGCCCGCCCACCCATGATGGTGTCGGCTGGCTGCTGGCCATTTTTGCTGTAGTAGCCCGAGATCTGCTCTGTATGCAATTGGGACACTATACCGTCGATCTGCGGGTTTGTGTGCATCGCACCTTTGCTGAGTAGGTGCCGAAGCGCGGTAGGGATGCCATTTGCGTTGGTGTTGTCCATCGGGATTGGGCTTCTAATAATTATTGTTTGTTGGTAGCGGCAGTTAGTAATGTGCGGTTGGATAGAGGGACTCGTTGTTTCTGAAAGGCAATCGGATTCTCCTGCTTTGCGGCCGTTGAATACGAAGTAGCAGAGACGTACAGGAATCAATATAGTGGGGGATTTGCCTTCAGAAATTCGGGGGAGGAGATTGGAGGTTTGTGGTACGTGCGAGTGGTCAATATCCTTGGTATGACAAAAAGAAAACAGAACAGAGGCACGGAATACAGGAGATGCTGGGCGTGTAAATGCAAATTGGTTGCTTGCTGCTGCAATAGTGCGCGCTGTGTGTGCGAGTAGGGAGGCTAGAAAATAAAGTTGGATGGCTGGGAGAGGCGGATCGGAAGGAGGGCGTGAATAAATGGGATGTCTTCCAGAGCGTGAAAGGGGTCGTAACAAATGGAGCACAGAGACTAAATATAGAGTGAGGGTGAGTGGTATCCCCCAAGAAGAAGAGAAAGAGAGGGTGAGTGGGCGAGCAGGGGAGGCCCGAATGGATGAATGAAAAGGGCAGAAACGAAGAAAAGCCTACTGGAGAGAGTGCAAGACTCCTTTCTGCCATCTCCATAGACAAGGGAAATAGCAAATGCCCAATGCGGAACAGGCAATGTGCTAGGGTGAGCAGGCTACGTATAGTATCCTGCATTTATACTATTCCTCTGCCGCGTATTTGCAACAAAAGATCCGAAGAACAGCAGGCATGCATCGTTTGCCGAAGGACTCGCCGCAGGACCAAACGAGACAATACCCCATGGCAATGCCTCTCTAAGCCCCCCATCACACACGGGCAGTGTATGAGACCAGCTAGTGAAACAAGCAGCAAAAAAATAAAAAGACCGCTTGTGCGAGTCTGCTGTGTGGTCCCATCGCCGAGTGGCTTTTATTGGGTGCGGGCCATGAAAATGGCATGGGCGCGGGCGTGGCTGACTTTCAATTTGCTGCCTCGGACCGCGACGCCTGTTGTATCAGGCCATTTCGTATACTCCCGCGATTCCGGGCCGGAAAGCTGCGTCTGACACTGTACCTTTTTGCACAGAAGCTATCTGCGGATGTCTTGGTGGTGGTGGTGGTGGTGGTTGAGATTGAGGTTGAAATTGAGGCTGTGATTGTGGTTGAAGCCGTGGAGTGAGAAGGGTCTAAGCGGAGTTTGAAGTCAGGCGGAAAAGAATTGTGAGACGGAGAGATTAACTCTGAAAGACAGTAGAATATAAGGCGAGGAATTGATGGGCGATGTAAATATGGTGGGCGATGAAGACAACAGGAGAGAGAAAGGGGACCACTGGCCGGACGAGACAGGGTGTTAAAAAGGAGCACTGACGGGATTGACGAAGCAGAAATATCGCCACTATGTGGTATCGATGGTGGGGGAGAGCGACCCGCGGTTGATGCCCGAGCGCTCAGGCAGGAAGCCCGGCTCTAAGTGTAAACAACTTTGGTGGGCATGTAAGAAATAATCATCCGCTGCAGCGCGGGCCTGGCGAATAGAAACTTGCATATCCAATGTGTTTGGGATCGCCCACAGAAAAAACAGCGGGAGAAATCGTCAAGCTTGTGTGCCCAGCGGCGACGCTAGGCTGCCGGGGCTGGCTGCCAGAAATAGAAATTTTCCAGCGCGTTTGCCCAAGGCTGAGATAAAAATTTTTGATGGCGACAGGTTGCAGGTGGTATGATTTTTCTCGCTTCTTGAACACTGGGCCTGAGAGATCATCATGCAGCGGCGCATACGGTGTGGCGACAAACCGGTACTGCGTCTCGTCCGCATTGTTCTTGCGCCTGCACCGCCGCATGCCAGCACCATCAATCGGCCACGGACCAGCACAGGGCGGGCTTGGACTTGCTCGAGGTGCATATGGTTTGTGTTCCGTACGTACGTGTGTTCATCTGGATGCAGTCCATTAGGAGCGCGCAAGAACAACAACAACAAAAGCAATCATAACAGCCTGCACCGCCCGCGGCGTGACCACATTGCGCGCCGGGTGATCTTTGGCGCCCGAGCCGCTCAGCAGGCGAATCCATGTGGATTTCACTACAGGCCATTTATCGCAACTAAAAAAAGACAGCTGGCAGGTGCAAAAATAGCCACAGCTACAGCTGCGGGCCGTGTTGAAATCCTGTGCTTCCTTAAGGCAAGAATGCACGGAAATGTAAACAAACGCAATATGTTGAGTAGAAATGACGCTCACTTGTCCTTCTTGGGCTCAGCAGCATCGCTCTCCAGGGCGTCTGTCTTGATCTCCGCCTGGGTTTCTTTGCCGACCTGCCCGTATTCATTAGCACGCGAGTGGTCAACTCGGTAGATCCAGCGCTGGTACAGGTAAACAACAAACACAACATCGTCGCGCAGCGTCGCTAGGCGGTGCAGCCACGGCATCTTCATGACCCAGCTAAACAGATCATCAATGAACGTCGACAGGGCCTTGTAGGCAAAGGTGCGCCACGGCATGTGCGCGACGGACTTTAGTCGGTAGTTGATGTACAGCTGCGGGATCATCATCATGAACCCAAACGTGTACACATACCCAACCAGCACCGACAGCACAAACGAGTACCACGACCTTTGCTCCTGCGTGAACAGCGAGTAGATCGCGTACACAAGCAGTAGCGGATAGGCCACGTAACTTAGATACTTGTATGCGATTTGGTCGTACTCGCGCGTGCTGCTCTCCTCCTCGGTCATCGCCTCGTACGCCTTAACGGTTACCGCATACCCGCCGATGCGCACCAGCTCCCTGCGAGTTTCCTTGGCCTGGGCGCGACGCCGAACCTCCGACTCGGAGTCATAAGTGCCAACCGGGACTGCCTGCAGGTCGACGGCACGGACGACCTTCCAGCCCTCGATTACCACACTGACAGTGTTGCTGATCAGGATCATGTAGCTGGTGTTGCCGCGGTTGTCAAACAGATACAGCAGAATGACTGCCTCGAATGCCACATTCATCAGCATGGTGCGGATGCTGACGCCCACCGTGTCCTGCTTCTTGCGCCAGAACTGCACGTCGTTTTTGAATGCCAAAAAGTCGAACAGCGAGTGCAGCAGCGTGACAATGAAGGTGATGGCCAGGAGCACCGGGTTGGTGTCGGCCAACATGCGCTTCATCTCATCCATGCCCGATGATCCCAGATCCTCTCCAAACAGGCCCTGCTCCTGCTGCTTGGCCGAGTGGTCCATGCTGCAGAAGACCCGGAACTTCCATAGCGACAGACTGCTGACTTGCACATGCAGAGGCAGGGCACTGGTGGTCTCATTGATCAGCGACATGTGCGACTGCAAGCGCCAGAAATCGTTGACGAAGAATATCGGCTTCATATATGTCAGGTGAGACTGCGGGTCCTTGCCGCGGACATCTGCCAGCTTGATCCACTTGTGCACCACCGGGGGCTCGCTTGAATACGGATACAGCTCCATGCCCGAGTCGACAATCGCCAGTGTCAAGTTCGGGTACCAGTAGCTGACCAGCTTGCCGTCCATCTCCGATTCGCGTGCCTCGCGCAAAGCGCGCTGCTGGTCGCGGGCAGAAATCTCCTCGGCTGTCAGTTCCACTCCGCTGCCCTTGTGTGGAAACTCGACAAGCTTCTTGACGTGGTCTGGCTTGCGATACCTTACGTAGTAAGTGAGCGGCCATGTTACCACTGCTACGTTGTCAGCGTCGTAGTTGTCCTCCTTTGGGTGTTTGCCGTAGCCATTCCGCGTAAACACTGCGTGCGCATACAGCGTGCCATTGTTTTGCACGCTTGCCGATGCCGCCAGCTCCAGATCAGCCTGGTAGCTGATGCCGGTGTCGCCATACAGGATGTCTTTGACCTCCCACGCAGGCGACTGCTGCTCGATCGTGGCATTACTGCACGCGGCGTCTTCGTTGACATACAGCGCCAGCGACATACGGTCACCGTACCGCCAGTAGGGCACCAGGGCTGGCGTTACCGTCATGTTGGCGAACTGATCGACCGCTGGTTCTGTGGTGTTTTGGGCCGCTTCTGTGCTTGAGTCGCCACCGATGTTCAGCAGCCCGCCGCCAAGTAGCATCGACACAAAGTTGAACAAGACCATTACGATGGCCAGTGTCTTCAAGAACTCGTACACTGTGTCCCAGAGCGACTCTTGCTGCTGCTGCCGTTGCTGCCTGCGTGGCTGCTGGCTGCCGGTTGCAGTGGCCGGTGCAGCCGACTCTGCGTCCTTGCTACCCTCCGAAGCAGCCTCTGCAGCAACCGTCCCTCTCTTCCGCAACTCTGATTTCAGCGCCTTGTCATCCACCATTTTTTGCAAAAAAAAAAACTTATATAATGTCTAAACAAGAGCTGAGCTGAAGAGGATAGCTGAGGAGGTCGTGAAACGTTGTTGCCTAAAGCTTCCTGTGCTGCTGAGCAGCGCCAAAAGCGCTGGCTCTACGATCGCCGGTAAACCTGCTAAACTGCTTTCCTCTCTTTGCATTCCCTTTCTTTCTGAATTTCAGCAAACTTGCCATAAAGTATAACTTCTTTTTTTTTTTTTTCCTAAGCAGAATGAGCGAGTTTGAGTCTCTTCTGTTCCTCTCCAAGGAGGTGTTCGTGTATCAGATCCCGCCGCGGCAGGCCAACGCCGGATACCGTGCGACAGAATGGGACGTAGATAATCCGATATTCAAGGCCCGACTGCGCGTGCTGCTGGCCGGCGAGGAAAAGTGCGTGGTGCGGCTCGAGGACAAGAGCACAGGCGAGCTGTTTGCTGCCTGCCCCGTCGACCCCAAGGGTCTGGCCGTTGAGCAGGTGCTGGACTCGAGCCGGTACTTTGTGCTGCGTGTGCAGGACGAGGCCACCGGCAGCAAAATGTACATTGGGATTGGATTCCTCGACCGCTCTGAGGCATTCGACTTCAACGTTGCTCTGGAGGACTTCCGCCGATCGCTGGTCCCCGCTGAGACTGGCGGCTCTGGGAATGCCAGCGGTGCCACTGCGCTGGCCGCTGAGCCGAAGCTGGACTTTTCGCTCAAGCCCGACCAGAAGATCACTGTCAAGATGGCTGGATTCAAGAAGAAGAAACCTGCAGCGTCCGGACAGACTCCGGCGGCAGCGTCGTCGGACAACCCATTCTTCATTCCGCCGCCACCACCGCCGGCGGGTGGCCGTCGATAGACAACCCCCTCCTCTGCCTCTTACGACGCCTAGCGGCCTGATCTTGCAAAAAAAAAAATACAATACTTGCTAGCACCTCTAGGCTGACGTGCTGTGTAGGCGAAAGGTTCAAATGTATATGTAAATTGATAGAAAATTAGTGTACATGGCTATAGGGAATGCTTAGTTGTTCTTGTCCTCGCGGATGTGCTCCTGCAGGGTCTCAATAGCACCCTTGGCACCGAGTACGCATACGTAGATGCCAAGACCCATGATGCAGACGCCGACAATGAGCTGGTACCAGGTCACGCGGCTCCAGCCGAGCAGCTTCAGGTAGCAGGCAACAGGCACGATGAACAGCAGAATCGACGTGCTGAATGCACCGACCAGCGAGATGATATCGCCAAAGTACGGGATCACGATGGCAATGGCGGTCATGATGCCAAAGAAGATTGTGCGGAAGATGAACCGGCCAATGAACTCCTTGACACGGCCAAGCTTCTCCTTGGTGACACCCAGGGCAAGCTCGAGCTCAAGCGACAGCGATGCTGTCATGACCGGCGCGGCAAAGATTACATGCATGGCAATCAGGATCTGGGCAGCCTTGGTGGCAGCGTTGTGCGGCAGGTTGTCGAGCACGGGCGAGACGACCTGGTCGCCGAACGCCCAGTAGCCGACTGTGGCGATAAAGACGTATGTGCCCGTCACGACCGTCATGGCCGAGCCAAGAACGCGGCTCCACATGTTCGGATTCTTCATGCTAGCCTCAACACCAGGCATCACAACCACGGCACAGAACGAGAACGAGATACTGGTCAGAGCCAGGGGAACCCCGCTGCCGATGGCCGACTGATGCGTGGCCTTGTGGTGCTCGAACGGGACGTTGCCGTCTCCCTTGTACGGATACATGAACGACTGGATAATGGCGATGAGGATGGTGATGATGCTGGTGGCAAAGCCCAGCAGCGAGAGGATGGCGGCTTCCGACATCTGCTTCAGGGAGATCGTGGCCAGCCACATGACCAGAGCGCAGATAACCATCCAGGTAGTCTTGCCGATGTCGTGGCCGTCGGCCATGGCAATGGTGTGGAAGCTGGTGCCCGACAGGATGATGTAGTCGCCGACAATACCGATTACGTAGACGGCATGGAAAAAGTAGATGATGAGACGTCCGGGGAGGCCGAAGGCTGCCTGGCCGATCTGGTTAAAGTTGCGCACCTTGTTGCCGCTCATCAGGTACAGCGACTTGATGACGAGCATGCCCGTGTATGTGCCAATGATGCCCGACATGATCACGAGCAGCAGTCCGATCCAGCCAGACTGCTTAAGAGTCAGCGGCAGCTGCAGACTGCCCGATCCGATGATGACACAGCAGATGGTCGCAAATGCGCCAAAGGCCGAGCCTTTGCGCTCGGCCTGGCCCTCGGTGCGCTTGGGCACAGTGCTGAGATCCGAGTTGCTGTCGCTGGCCCCAACAGCGCCGGCGCCCTTGTCGTCGCCAAAGGAGAGGTTCCAGCCACCGTTCTCATTTGAGGAGCCTGCTGTCTTGAAGCGGGGAAGATGCATTATTTAACCAGCGTGTTCGAGAGTGGATGCAATACTGTATACCCGCGTGAGCAAAATTAATAGTGTACGAGAAATGCGCGGATGAAATAGCACGGATAGCACGAGGAATTCTAGTTGTAGTTGCCGGAGTAGAACTGCTGTCGCTTTGCATTGCTGACCAGGCCGCAGACGCCTCGTTATATACGCGATCGGAATCGGCTGGCCGTGCTCCCCTCCATCCCCTTATCGCCCTCCGCCAAATCAGAAGACAGTGAATATGAAAGGGGGAGCCGTAGAGCGTGTGAGAACACTTGCCCACTGGCCCCACCTCCCCGTCCCTTTTCGGCTGTGTATTGGCGAAGGGCATGGAGGAATGTGCCACGCATTGCGGCGGATCCCTGGTGCTCTATACTGCGACGCTCGGCTACTTTGCCTTTTTTCTCTTTCGTTGCTGCTGATAGTCGAGCCAGCCCAAAAACGGACTCCAGCATTTCCATCTTTGGGTATTATCCGCAATGGCCAGCGCGCCCAAGACCACCGTTTTCCAGTAAAGGGGGCGAGGATTCGCCAGAGGACAGATTCGGTCATAGTCGATCCTGTCCTACCGAACAGTATGCGACAAGCTGTGCACTGGACGGTGGAAAAAAAACCTGTTCCTGCTTTCCCCACAGCGCAGCCGCCGGTCGCCATAGGTCAACTGACCTATATGGCAGCCCGTCCACTCCGGTTGCCCAATGAGTCGCACATTGCGTCAGGCTCGTGGCAGGCATGGTTATAGCTCAGCTGCCAAGCGTGCTCTCCCCCCCAACATGATAAGATTAGTGTGAGCTGATCACGCCTTGACGAGCTCCTGCTGACTACTGCCAATGGCCAAATACACAGCTGGACGCCATCCTCAGGTGTACAGTAAACTCAATCGACTTCCCAGAACATCAGCCATGACGACATGCTGATTGCGAGACCCGGCAGCCTCGATTCGTGGTCCAGATCTTTGGGGTATGGGGGAGGAGCGCAAAACAGCTAATGTACCTGGGTCTTGGGTGATCTGGCTCCAGAGCCCTCCCCACCATTTTGTTGAGCTGAACTGGCTCGCAGTTGCGTGACAGTGTGGGCTGCCTTTTTTTTTTCAACAGGTTCCACTGTTGGCCGGCTGCGGCGCTGGCTCGGAGGATGTGTGGCAGAGGAAATTGTTGCGCACTGTCAAAGCCCGCACCTGCATAATCGACTGCACGCTTATCGGCCCCTAGTGGCGCTCAGGCATTATCAGTCCTACAGGGGAATCTTCGGGGATTTTTTCTTTCTGATAATGCGCCGAAATAGTCTGCTGTTCCATGTGTTGATCCTGTCCAACTAGAGACACTGAATAGCAATTCTGGTGTGGGTATACGGCGAATATACAGATCGGCTACAAAAAAGCTGCCTTTCAAAGAGCTCCTCGCAGATAAGGGAGCCGTAAAAGTAGCAGTAGACCGCTCTGTCCTCCCGTTCTATAGCGTGTTCTGTCACAATTAATACGGGCAATCTCCAAACAAAAGACGCCTCTGTGCGTCTCAGAAGGATTGCTAGATCGTGGACAGATGGCGGTCACGAGTGTCGGAATGTATCTGGTACCAGGTGAGGTTGGCGTTCGATGACAACTAGCCGTGATAGCGAACGATCTGCTGCTCACATATGCTAATGTGTGGGGGTACATCGGCGCATTTGCATCGTGTGCGGGTGCGACCATATCTGCTGTTGAAGCAGTAGTTCGTTGGTCGTTCGGGAACAATAGCACTCGCAGATGCGGGCTTCAGCATTCAATAGACCCCAGTGCCCTGGCTGAGGTATGTCCGCATATCTTGGTGGCAGTGCTATCCCATCGTTGCGACTCGGCTCGTGCTGAGCGGTTTGTGCCAGCCGGTCCGTCAACGGTAGTAAAGTGGTGGGAGATAGTGCTGCGCAGTTTTGGTAATTGAGCTGCAGCCCAGTGGCTGAAAAAAAAAAAAGGACACTCTGAGTTACTATTAGGGTCCAGGATCGTTCTTTGGGCTGCTGCAATCCGGTTTTGCCTGCTGTGCCATGTTGCCCTGGCGGTATATGATGTATACACCAGCCATATAGCATTGTTACAATAGCGGCCCTGCTCGAGGCCATTGCAAGAATCGGAATGCGTGCTGTTCACAGTTGCACGCCCTTTTGTACAAGACACTATGCCAATGCACCATAGAGGAAAAAGGTGATCCCCATTGCTCCCGTGACATGCTAGCCAAAGTGTATACTGCACACATCGGCTAGTGGTGCGGCCGGGTGGTTGCAAGCAGAGTATGCAATGCACCCACCATGGGCAGTGCAGGATGCCGCTCACACCCAAAGAGCCGCCATCTTGTCCTTGTTCGGCCGCTCCCTTCTTCACAGGAACCTATAAAATCATTTCGACACTTTTTTCTTTGTTTGCTGGTCAATTTACTTTTTTGCATAGCTGTGGAAAAAGGACCCGCATATAGGTGGAACAAAACCGGCACTCCTGCTCGCTCTCTCCACTGGGAAACAAAGTATACTATTACACCGGTTCTCTGCCAAACGTTCCCCTCCCCCGCCTGAGGACTCCCAGCTTGGCACAGACACTTGGCTTGCCCATCTCCATTAAACCGCTTTTCCTCGTCTCAAACAGCAGGCGTGTATTATTATCCAGATTCTTGTTTCGCCTTTTCTGCCTGTTTCTAACCGTGTCTCATTCGCAGCGCTGGTGTTTCTTTTGTACCTCCCGCTCATTCGAACGCACTTTGCTTTTATTCCATTCTCGTTTACTCTCAAACCCAGCTGCTCTCTTATTTATATTACCAGGCGCGAAAAATTAACTGCTGCACGAGGGGCCAGACTGAACAAGGTATGTACAATTAATTTTTTGTAGCCCGCTGTGGGCGCACCCAGCGCACAATTAATTTGCAGAGGCTCGGACGCTTGCATCTGGCGGAGCTGACCTGGCTCTGGCAGAGCCGCTTGGTCTGTGAGCTGCTTTGCTACCAGAATTTGGTTGGGTTTGTCCCACGCTTATGCGCTTCCCCGACAGCCCACTGCTGCCCATTGCCATGCTATCTTCGGCCTGGCGGACACTGATATGCTGCCTTTAATCTCTCTACAACACTGCCATTGAAGCCCAGAGAACAAAAATCTGGCTTTGGGATTGGTGCTTTTAGAGTGCTGCCTGGCTTTTTTAGAGCCCTGGACCTGAAGATCCTGTCGATTTTTGGCATACTGTTGTGTTGCTTTTTTCTTTTTCACCCACCCAGATATTTACTGCAGCAGGATTCAGACACACTCGTGTTTACGCTTTTCCCATCTCGAAGCAGTTTTCTCAGGCTATTTTTGTATTTTTCTCTGCCAAGAATAGGCTGCTGGACGGCGCAAACAACAACAGCATAGACACACATCGCGAACATCGCCGACCCAACAGAAATGGACACAGGAACGAATATCCCGCATACATTGCGGCATCTCCTTTCCAAGGGCGCCACCTCAGCCCAGCAGCAACAACAGCAGCAGATGTACGAAGAGTACCAGAACATGCAGTCGCCAATGTCAGTGTCGGCAACACTGCCTGCGTCGCAGGCGTCGCTAGGTAGCAAGCTGACATCCGTGGGCAGCTCGGGGAACCTGAAGACAGGCGGGTCGCTTGGTGCATGGCTCACCAAATATCACCTGCGCCCCAATCTAAGCCGGTCGTCTGTGGGCAATCTGAGCGGTGGGCCGAGCACAAATTCGCTCTCGTCGCAATCAACAACATCGATGAGCGGGCGCACACATGTAGACGCAACAAAGGTTCTGTTGGCAAACAAGCAGCAGCAGGCTATAAATAGCAGCATGGCTTATGCGGCGTACATAACCAGTGTGGAGACGCGCGAGCAGACGGGCGGCGGGCTGCGGATGGGCCGCAAGAAATACCTCGTATATCGAATCCTTGTCACCGGCCGCGCGGGGCAGTGGTGGATTGCGCGCCGGTACAACGAGTTCACTGACTTGCACCAGGCACTGAAGCGCGCGTTTCCACAGCACGCAGTCCACTGGGCCGAGCTCCCAGCCCGTCGGCTCATTGGCGGTCGGGGCGCATCGGCTGACGCTGCCATGCAGAGACGCGAGAAACTCAATCCTGTTCCTGAAATCGCTGACCAACGACAGCGAGGTGTGCTATAGCGAGGCGGTGCAGCGGTTCCTGCGTGATGCGCAGCTGGACGCCGAGTCGATTCCGTTGCAGGAGCGCGTCGATGGGGTACGCGAGTCGCTGAAGATGCATGGGCAGCTGGAGTTTGACAAGCAGAGCCCAACAAGCCTGGCTAGTCCGAATCGCCCGCCGCTGCCGCAAGGGTGGGGTGCAGATGTGTCAGTGGCAGGCGAGGGGCAACAGCAGTATGGTATCGGAAAGATGAAGTCGATGCCGGTGCTCAGCCATGCTCAACAGGAACAACAGATGCAAATGCAGCAGATGCAGCAGATGCAGCAGATGCAGACGCAGATACAAATGCAGCTGAGCCCACAGAGCTTTGTGTTCGCCGTGCCGTTGGCCGAGGAGCCACAGCTTACCGACCTGCCCCAGGGATACGCAACAGTAGGCGCAGCAGACGGTCGAGACGCGCAGCAGGCGCGTGGAATGCGTCGCAAAATCTCGGATCCGATGGAGTACGCGACTGCAACCAGCCGAGAAGCGACCCAATGCCACGATGCCAAGCTCGATGCGCAAAAAGTACGGGCTGCGCAAAAATGTGCAGTACCGCAACGAGCCGATGCCGCAGACACTGATGACCGATGAGCAGCTGGTGCAGGCGGCGCAGGAGGCCAAGGCGAAGATTGCAGCAATGAACTGGGAAAACGACTATGTGATGGTCGACGGAGACGCCGTGCGCGAGGCTGCACCGACACTTCGCTCGTCCAGCATCGAGAGCGATATGGATGACTCGATTGGCAGAGCGAAGCGCGGACGCAATATCCTGAATCTCAAGCGCATACCGCTGGGCGGTATCGGTAAGACCCGGGCGCTGGCAAGTGAGGACCCTGCGGTGATATCCGATAAGCTGAACCGCCGCAGCATCAGGCGTGCATCCATGGCCATCAACGATGTTGGAGCGCTGGAGCGCGACATTGATGCCGATGGCAGCGAGCGGTCACCCAATATGTCTGGCCCACAGCGGATCAGCCTCGACGACTTCCATCTCCTCAGCGTCATCGGCAAGGGCAGCTACGGCAAGGTCATGCTTGCCCGCTACAAGGACACCGGCAAGGTCATGGCCATCAAGGTCATCTCCAAAGTCGAAGCTGCGTGGCCGTCCCAACGAGATCCGCCGCGTGATGGCAGAGCGCCGTGTCCTGGAGCGCACTGTGCAGCACCCGTTCCTGGTCGGTCTGCAGTGTGCGTTCCAGACAAAGGAGAAGCTGTACTTTTGCCTCGACTACGTCAACGGTGGCGAGCTGTTCTTCCACCTGCAGCGCGAGCGGCGCTTTGCAGAGAACCGTGCCCGATTCTATGCTGCCGAGATCACCTCGGCGCTGGCGTACCTCCACGGCATGGATGTCGTGTACCGCGATCTGAAGCCCGAGAACTGCCTGCTGGATGCGCGCGGGCATGTGCGTATCGTCGACTTTGGGCTGGCCAAGGAGGTCGGTCCGATCGTCTGGCGCACGGAGGGGTCTGCGCTGTACTCGGTGGAGGAGGGTGGCAAGACAGCCACGTTCTGCGGCACGCCAGAGTACCTGGCACCCGAGGTTCTGCTGAGACAGAGCTACGGCAAGGAGGTCGACTGGTACTGCCTCGGCGCTGTTCTCTACGAAATGCTAACTGGTTTGCCGCCATACTACGACCAGGACAATAACGTCATGTACCAGCGGATCCTGCAGGATCCCCTGCGATTCCCAGCGACACTGCCGCCGCCGCTACCTGGAAACGGCACTGCTTTCCCAGGAACAAACATGATGGCAGCTAACCACATTGGGCGGCTCGCGCAGGACTTTGTGTACCGGCTGATGGAGCGTGATCCGAAGAAGCGCCTGGGAGCCGGCGTGTTTGGCACTGAGAACGTCAAGCGCCATGCATTCTTCTATGGCATCGACTGGGGCAAGATCTACCGCCAAGAGTACGCGCCGCCATTCGTGCCCCAGGTTAGCTCGATCTTTGACCTGAGTAACATTGACCCCGAGTTCCGCAACGAGCCGATTCCAGCCTCAGTCATTGCTGAAGGCCAGGTGGATATCCTGGCAGAGGCGGCCGAGGCTGAGCGCAAGGCTGAGCTTGAGATGCAGTCGAAGCTTGCCGCGTTCCCGTCACCCGTTACGGGTGGAACACAGAACAGTCTGTTTGGCGAGTACGGTGGTATGGCCCGCACATCCCTTAGCAACGACACAGCCGCGTCGACGCTGAGAGGCACAACTGGCAGCGATGCTGAGCTCGATGCCACCATTGATGCGTTCCAGGGCTTTTCGTTTGTGTCACCCTGGGTCGATGCGCCGCCGGACAGTGACTGATTCGGCGTATTCGCCTCCCCTATTTTTCTCCTTACCATTCTACGTACCTGTATGTCAGCCTCCCAAGTGGGTCCAGCTCTTGTTGTTTATTATTAGCTTATGTCACACATCATATTATCGCATTATGTTTAAACTCTATATTGATCATTATGCAAGAAATGCTGCCATTAGCAGCTACAAATCTACCCTTTGCCATGCTTCTTGTGGTGGTCGTGGCGTTGATGATTGTTGCCATCATCGACAATCACGACATGGCTCGAGCTGCGGTGGTCAACAATGAACAGCCCGCTGTTCTCGAACGAATTCTCTGTATCCTCGCGAAGCCCAGCTACATGCGGATTAATCGCAGGCGTGGGCGACGACGATATACGCGGCGAGTGTTCGGTGGACTCGGTCTGGTCGAAGCTCAGAGAGCGGTTTGCAGGCTGACTGCCCGATTCCGGAACAGACAGAGTCTGGGACGGCACTTTCTCGGTAATACCGGTATCGAATTCAATGGCGGTCGGCGGTAGAAGTATCGGCTCTGGCATGACCACGCCATCCTCGTTGTCATTGCCAGTGTTGGTTTGCCCCTGTGTGGCCGCGGCAGCGACGGCGCTTCTCGCGCCACTGCGCAATACCGCCCTTGATCGACACATGGCTAGACTGGTTCCAGATGGAGCTGGCCGAGACGCTAATCGTGGTTTTGACACGTTTGCCCATGAGGACCAGCGGGATAGTGACACCATGGACTAGGACGGAGCCAAAGACGATCATACAGACGACCGGGTAGACAAGCTTCTCGACGCGCCCGCCATTGCTGTCGTCGTGATCCTCGAGCTGCTTCACTGTCTCGATTGAGTAAAAGATGGCTGAGACACCGATCGGCCCAAACCAGCCAGCGAACAGAGCCTCCTGCCATGTGCGCACGGCCGAGATCAGCTTGTATGAGGCCATGAGGATCGGCAGCCGACGCAGAACCATGATCAGCAGAACAACCACAAAGATCCGCCACGGCTCAAGCATGTTGCCCGACGTGTACTCGTGCCAGGGGATCACAGCACCAAAGTACATGAAAAACGACATGGACAGCAGCCCGTTGACAGTCTCCTGTAGTCCGGTGTCCTCGGTCTCGACGCGGAACCAATCGTCCCAGGTGAACGAGTTGCCGGCGACAAAGCAGCACAGAATGTCGTCAGTCCCGATGATTGTGCAGACACCGACCAACAACAATGCCAGCGTAATGGACGATGACAGGAACGACTCCTTGTCCACCCACCCGGCTGTCTCCGCATACCGCAGTGCTTTGCGGCCAACATATCCAGCAATGACGCCGATGACGACAGACAGCGCCACCTGATATAGCCACGTCGAATATACCCATGTGCCTATGGCCTTGCCGCCGCCGAGGCGCATTATATACAGGGCAAAAAACAGGAACGGATAGCCGAGCCCGTCGTTGGCGCCGCTCTCTGCGGTCAGAATGTTGCGCAGGCGCACCGGGACGTGTGTTTCGGCAAAATTCCCCTTGAGGATCGCGTTCGCCAGGACCGGATCGGTGGGCGCAACGCAGGCGCCGATTGCCAGGGCCCGGATGAATGTTAGGTTGAATGCAATCATTATGATGACTGAGCTAATCAGCCACATAATCGACATGATGGGCAGCAGCAGTATCGTCATGGGCTTCCATTCCTTCAGCAGGTACTTTTTGGGCAACGTCACACCCGCAATCATCACTTCGATCGCGAGACAGTAGCGGCTGAACTCTTGGGTGAGCTGGAATTCATTCGAGGACCAATGGGCTGGATCGACCCAGTTCAGGACCTGGGGGCCGATGATGATGCCGTACACCATGGCCAGCAGGGTCTCCGACAGAAAGAGGCGCTCCTTGGTGATCAGCGACGAGAGGCCAAGGACGAAAATGAACCCGCCAACCAGGGCGGGCGTGACTTGTGTCTGGTCAGTATGGATAGAGATCTCACCCATGCAAGTGGCAACAGAAATACGAGACTAAGGGGCTAGCTGGTCTTTGAATCCCACGAGCGGGTGCGGATTGGAGTCTTGTGGAGACGGGCGTAGCGCTGGCGCGACAAACCGGCAAAAATAATTAAATAGCAGTAAAAAAAAAGAAGAGAAAAGGAGGAGAAAGGCGTGGGGAGGCTAGTAGGGCTGGGCCTTCTCTCTGGCAAAGACTCTGAGATGTGTGCTGGAGATGTGGTGGTAACCGCAGGTTACAACAACGCAGACTGAAAATAATAAACTTGTCCTCCGCAAAGCCGCCGGATGTTGCGTGGGGGCAGGAGGTAGGAGCGAACGAAGCCTTGAGCGGGTGCAGTTGGCTGCAAAATACACGTAAATCGTGGCTTCTAGGTCCTCAGGTGAACAGCGTGTATTCGAAGAAAGTAAACAACCAGCAGCGTATATCCTATACTGGAGGCGAATAAAGAAAATATGATTCTAGCAGTGTGCCGCTGACGTCGGTGTGGCTCCTCCGCCGCAGGTCACTTCTTTTTATATGCGAGCGGGCAGTGGCATGCAAATCAAGCTCGTCACGAAATATTTCAACATCCACTAAGCGGAACCCCCAAACTGCGCCTTGGATGCCTATGTTCTACACCAATGGGTGTGCTCCTGGTTATGTACTTTGCAGAGGGCACCGTGCCAATTTCTCCCACTACTACTGAAAGAGAGGAGACAGGGTGCAGAAACATGGCAATTTCCTTTGCTTGCAAGTCAGTGCGTAGAATTCCTATGAAGAGTGTTCCATGAAGCTAAGGGCATCATGGTAAAGCTCGCCGCTGCCATATCCATCCATATGCTTGCAGCACCACTGGCTATTAGGGTATCTCTTGCGCCAGCATCGCCGGCCATCATTGCCCCACATAGAAAGGCGAAGCTTCCTCTGTTCTGTGAAATATGTGCAGACGCAGGTTGCTAAAGACGCAGTCAGAGCAAGGGAAGGCCCCACATTGATGGACCCTTCGCTGCGATTCGCTGGCTCCTTTGGCCGGGAGTTCACAAAAGCAGGCACTAGGGCGATTGCTGGGAGTTTTCTGGCACGTGGACTTTATCTCCATGACTTATTTTTGTGCTCTTTGACCCACCCAATTTGTTGCAAATGCAATGTTCTCTGGAGAACAGCACAGCGGGAAAGGCAGCGGCTCCGACGACATTCACGCTGTGCGTCACACGTCCTGACGGAGGGGCACAGGTAGGCTCGGCAACCAGCATCACGGAGCTGTGCGTCGAAGGAGGCGACGGGTTTGCGCAGGCAGTCGAGCAGGCCCTCGACGAACGAGCGGACAGCGCAGGCAGCGTCTGGCTTGATGTCTCGTCGCCATCAGCTGCAGACATCATCTGCCTGGCACAGATATTTGATATGGACAGCACGACAACAAGCGACCTGCTTAGCGGAGCTGGCAGCGGGAACAATGCCGCAACGTCTCAGCAAAATGGGCCATGGCCAGCATGCCAGGTCACTAGCCGTGCCTTGTACCTGTGCTGGCAGGAGACAATCGCCACTGAGGCTGGCCTGGGGCAGTACCTTGTCAAGGGCACGGTTCCAGGGCAGATCGACACAGCGCTGGAGGGTCATGGGCACGGGTCGTGGTGGGCGGCCGATCTAGTGCCCGTGCCACAATGGCTTATGCCGAGTGCGTCAAAGGCCGTGAGCGGCTATCACATGAGCACTGTCGTCAAGATGATGGTTGATGGCTCTGTGGGCGCGTCGGATGCCGAGGTCGAGCGGATGCGGCAGCAGTACGTGCAGCAGCTGCTTGGATTGCTGGACAGACCGCGCAGACGGGACACATCTGGCTTGCTGAGCGCAATCCGCCGCTGGGGCACCCGGTATGAGCGATGGGCGGGACTGCTGGGCAGATCCAGGGCAGACCTAGGAGGACAGTCAGGCCGATCCTCTGATTTTGTAGGCGACATACTTGGCGTGACACAGGCGCTTGTTGGTCGCGGCACCGTGCAGGTGTGGGTGCAGGGCCCGATCGTCCTGACCTTCCACCGCGAGCCGTCGCAGGCGATCAGCGATATTCAGAGAGAGCTAGGCGGAGATTGCACGGCCTGTCAGCCCCGACAGTATTCTGCACGGCCTTATTGAGCACTGGGCGCACGCGACCAGCGAATGTCTGCCTGTGCTGGAGCGCTTAGCGGACAAACTCGACCACGACTTGACGCGGCCGGTCGAGGGCGCTCTGGTTGAGGCATCGCAGTGGACTCCAGTTATTGTGCGGTGCCGCAAGGTTGCCTTGGCGCTGCTGCGACGCTGCCAGGAAAACGAGTATGTGCTGGCGCAGCTCTGCCGGCACATGCGCGACAGGCAGTCTGGCAGCTCGAAGAAGGCACAGTTCAGGGCCAAGCGCCCACCCAAAATTCCTGCGCTCTGCCAGCAACACCCAGTCCATGACGGCAGCATCCGGCAAGCGCATCGGTATGCGGGCCATCGCGCAGTTCAGTGAGGAGAGGCGCGCCGAGACCCTGGCAATGCAGTGCTTGCGGGCGCGCGATTCATGGGCGCTCTACAAAAAGGCGGAGGTGCGCCTGTCGCGCCTACATCGGATACTGCTCGACCGCCAATGCCTGCGTGTGCTGGCTGTCGCCCACAAAATCCACCAGCGCTTTCGCTACCTGGTTATGTACGAGGTCATCTATCTGCCGATGGAGCTGTGGAATAACCTGGACAACATGAACGGCATTGCGACGCCCGGCGAGCTGCAGTGCGGGCATGATAACGTCGACGATTTTTACTGGGCGCTTATCGGTCTGCTCCTGTGGGCTGGTGCGGCAGGACTGCTGTATTCGGTCTACTCGCGGTTCTTTGCGCCCACTCTAAACTCGCGGCGTGTCAAGAACATCCGCGACATGCAGAGTCGCCGGCAGAAATACCAGAAACGACTCCAGGAAATGTACGAGCAATCAGGCTTGGCCCGGTGATGCGACACTGCAAACGCCATGTAATCCTGTTTTTCTACTATCGCTGCATATCCATGCAGGTTGTAATAACATGTCCAACCTCGTGCATGTGCATATCCAGATACTTTTATGCCAACATCCATGTGGTAGGGTGCACATCGCCTAAATTTGCGTAAAACGAGCCGGTTGCTATTTTCAAAGCCAAGCGGGGGATGGTTTCTGGGTAGGTGACGAAAGGGGGTTAGAAAAATGATGTAATTCATTCTCGCACTACAACAAGCATTTTCTGTGCTACTGTCCCACCTCGACTTGCCTGTAGACAAGCAAAAAAAGGATGAGGGAGAGAAAAATAGCCTGCCGCCTTCAGAAGTATGCAAGGCAGAGGCTGAGGCCCACAGTGCGAGAAGATTGCGTTTCTGCTAGAGGAGCAGCAGCTAACTGCTTGGGGCCCAGTGTTGCCCTCCATGAGTGTAGTCCACATTGTGCGCCCGACAGCTGGGCACTTGTGTCACTGCCAACATCAACTCATGCAAAAGCGGCCACGAATGGACGAACCACACCACCGCTTTTTCCACCCCCTCCCTCGCAAGAACAAGGAAAGTAGAAGCGAGCTTCTCTTCCCTTCTGCCTTTCTTGTCCGGTATATACTCCCAAGCCTTATTATTTTGTAACCGTCTAGCGACAGGAGTCTCTATACTCAACCATGTTGACAATGCGCAGTCCGATCCTGCGCTACGTGCTGCTGGCATTTGCGATTGTCACACTCTACGGGCTGTTCCAGCACAGCTACCAGGACAAGCTCAACCTCAAGCCATACGAGCGCGCGGTCAGCTACCAGCCAGGCGACCCGAAGCCCGTCAAGGCGTGCTTCGTGGTGCTGGCGCGGAACCGGGATTGGTTCTCGCTGCGCCAATCAATGAAGCACATGGAGGACCGGTTCAACCACCGGTACAACTACCCGTACGTGTTCCTGAACGACGAGCCGTTCACCGACGAGTTCAAGAACATGACGCAGTCGATGACCAAGGCCGAGGTGCTGTTTGGCCAGATCCCGCAGGAGCACTGGTCGTACCCGGACTGGATCGACCAGGAGAAGGCACGCGAGGAGCGCAAGAAGATGCAGGACAACAAGGTCATGTATGGCGGCAACGAGTCGTACCGCCACATGTGCCGCTTCGAGTCCGGCTTCTTCTACCAGCACCCGATCATGCAGCAGTTTGAGATGTACTGGCGCCTAGAGCCTGGAATCCAGTACCTGTGCGATATCAACTACGACCCGTTCCTGTACATGAAGCAGCGCAATATCAAGTACGGCTGGACCATCGGCATCTACGAGCTGATGAACACCGTGCCGACACTGTGGAAGTCGGTCAGAAAGTTCATGGAGACGCACAGGGAGCTCATTCCCGAGCACAACTCGCTGTGGTGGGTGTCGCGCGACAACGGCACCACATACAACGGCTGCCACTTTTGGTCCAACTTTGAGATTGCCGACCTGTCGTTCTACCGCGGCGAGGCGTACTCCAAGTTCTTTGACTTTTTGGACCACGAAGGCGGCTTCTTCTACGAGCGCTGGGGAGATGCCCCGGTGCACTCGATTGCCGCTGCCATGTTCCTGCAGAAGGAGGAGGTCCACTGGTTCGAGGACATCGGATACCTGCACCCAGGATGGCAGCACTGTCCCAGTGGCGACGCATGGCTCAAGAACCGCTGCACCTGCGATGCGTCGGACAAAGACAAGACCATCACTAATGCCGGCTGGGGCAAGTGCTCGCACGAGTGGAAGCTGCTGCCGGATACGCCAGAGCACCTGCGCAAGGCGCGCGTTGACTAAATTAATTGCCTGTTTCTTGCAAATAGAACGATTCAACCCTTGTTTGCGCCGCACACGCTGCCTGTTTTCATTGCAATCAGCGCGATGAAATATCCTGGCTGAGACCGATTATTCCGGTCCGTCCACATGCCGGATATCCCGCCGGTCTGCGCTCAGCTCGCCCTTCTGCCTAATTCTCTCTGCACTTCTGTACTCCCCTCCCCCGGTTGCCCCGGAGCCCAGAGTGCGGCTGCAATGACTGCAGCTTCCAGCCTTTCGCTCTAAACAAAAGGCAGTGAAGGCCGCGCGGTACTGGGAGCAGTGATCTCTGCAAAAGTTCAAGTGAGAAAAAAATTAACACCTTCCGGGTCGAGCCGGTTGCTTACGGAGATCAAGTGATTTATTTGCCGTCTATAAAAGATAGGCGATTCGACCGGCGTCTCGAGCCCTTCATCTTATCTCCCAACTTTTTTCTTCTCGTAGACTATCACTATCACAAAAATGCCTTTCGCCGAGGGTAACGCTAAGAACGGAGCCAAGCTCTTCAAGACGCGCTGCGCCCAGTGCCACACCGTCGACGCTGCTGGTGCCAACAAGGTCGGCCCCAAGCTGCACGGCATTTTTGGCCGCCAGTCGGGTACCGTCGAGGGCTACCAGTACACTGACGCCAACGTCAAGGCTGGCGTCACCTGGACCGAGGACTCGCTGTTCGACTACCTGGAGAACCCGAAGAAGTACATCCCGGGCACCAAGATGGCGTTCGCTGGCTTCAAGAAGGCCAAGGACCGTAACGATGTTGTCACCTACCTCAAGGAGGCCTGCTAAATTATATAGGCAAGCATCTGTTTCCACCACCCCACTCGTAAATTTAGAATAAGAAGTCCTTCGTCGCTTCCTTGACCATGCCCGTTGATGGCGGCACCGTGGATCGGACGCTGCAGCTGCCTCTTTGGCGCCGTGCAGCCCTTGCCGCGGCTTCTCGTTGCAGAGCCGAGATAAGCGCAGGATATGTGCAATTCCTTGTGACGGTGGTTTTCTCCATGACTTTGCAGTGGCCTTGCGGACCGCAATTTTTCCCCAACATCGGACAAGCGTCGTCCCTCCCCACACCCGCGCCCCAACAATATCGCAGAGGTAGCAGCGCAAATGGCAAATGGTTTCGATCTCAAGGAGCGTGATTATTGATCACAATATTATTTGATCTGGGTTATTGAGACTTGCTGATCAACGGTCTGGCAGTTCAGTCTGTGGCAGTTGGAGCGACGAACTTGGCCGCCGCCTTGATGATAGTCTCGTCGGCGGGCTGCACGCGAGTGAATTCGGGGTGTGCGTAGATGGCACCGACCCACCTATTGAACGCAGCATACTCGTCGGTCTGAGGGAGAACAAACCCGCGGTAGTGCTTGGGTATAACCAACAGGTTGTTGACGAACGAGGCAGTGTTGACCTCGACAATCGAAAACCGATCTCCGAGCCAGAACGGGCCGCCCTTGCCGCTGGTGCTGGTCCACTGCTTGGCCAACGCATCGTTGACCTTCTTAATACCATCAAGCAAGGTGTCGCTTGCCTGTTTCTGCTCCTCGGTAGTCTTGGCCATCAGGAGCTTAAAGGCGGTGGTGTTGATGTTCTGGCTGAACAAATCGACAAACTCTGTGGTCTTCGTGTGCTCAGCAGGGTCATCGGGCAGCAGCTTTGCCTCGGGGAACTCGCTGGCGATGTATGCGGTGATGTCCAGAGATTCGGTCAGCACGGTGCCGTTGGGCAGGCGCAGCGAGGGCACGGTCAACTTCGGGTTGATCTCGCCATACCAGGCTGGCTTGTCGGCCAGATCGATGTCGATACGCTGATGCGGCACCTTGGCGATGCTAGTGGCGCGGAATTGCGCGCTGTGCGTAGGGACAGTGGGCAGCGACATACAGCGTATAGCCGTTTTCGAGGAATGGGGCGGCGAGCGACATATTCTGTTATGCAGGTAGACGTGATATGGCAGCAGGAGTGTATAGAAATGAGTTGGTGGAATTGAATAAGATACAAGTGAGATAGTGACGAGTGCACTTTCGCGTGGCTGAGATAGGACTAGCATTTATAGCACAGCCGATGACAAATAGTGGATACAAAATAGTAACCCCTAGAATTCTGGAATTACTAATCACGCCCTCGTCACCGACCTTGCACCGGAGCAACTCCGGTTTAGGGCAGGCTAGTGAATTGCTTTTTTTTTTTTCACCAAGCGACTGTGCTTGGGATACTGCCCATGCTATTTCAATCCTATCTTGCGAGCGCAATGTTGGCCTGCTACTTGTTATGCTGCTAAAGTAGTCTTCAGGATCCGGTGCCCAAAGAGGTGCGTAGCAACACCCTTGACTTGAACTTGTAATTCCTTGTACCAGGCAAGGGTCCATTTTCCAAATCTGATTCAAAGAGCTAGAACGATACTCATTTTGTGGTCAATGTGCGCAATGCACATTTTTGAGAAAAGCAAAAAAAACCGACAACTTGCTGAGAGCTGCTAATATCCTTGTTCAGGTATTTATTTCTCCATGACATGGCTGTATAGTTCAGAGCAATGAGGACAAGGCAATGGCTGCTACTGTAGCGATGGAGCTATATGGTTGGCATCCATGCTCCTACTTTTCCATGTGTCAGGCTGTCAACTATTGCTCTTGATCTGTTCTAAACGAGAGATACAGGGCTTGTGAATAACGATACTAGACTACAAATTCCTTCATCAAATCGAGAACGGTCTTATCTGGGGTCTGAAACCCGGTATAGACTGGTGCTGAGTAAATGCGACAAAGACTTGCTTACAAATCAAGGAATTCTTCGGTGGCAAAAGTATATTTGCATCCTCTTCTGCTTACAAATGGCTAGTCTTTTGGATAAAGAGGACGCTTGTCTGCGCATTGTCTTCTACTGGTATATTCATAGGCTATTTCGATAATGACGGCTCTGAGTGATCACCGAGATACAGAACCCAACTGGTCCCGTCCGTTACATTATTTCAACGAACATGAGCAGCGGTGAAAAAGGGACAGGAGTCCAATGTGTTTTGATTTATACACGTCGCAATTATACTGCCTTGTGTAGAATGCTTCAATTGGGCATCTTAGTATGTCTTTACCAGACTTGGAAATGTGTTTATTGGATACACATGCTGAAGCTGCGTGAAGTAGAAAATATAGTCTCTAATCCTCAGCAACATAGTTCTTCAGGGTGCTCACAACAGACGTGTCGGGCGTCTGGAAAGCAGTATACAGGGGATGCTGTGAGAATGCTGCCACCCACTTGTGGTATGCAGCATACTCATCAGTTTCGGGGATGACCAGTCCGCGGTAGTGCTTCGGGCCAGCAAACAGATTGACAAACGACACAGTGTTGACCTCGGCAAGCGAAAACTTGTCACCGAACCAGAACGGTCCGCTCTTGCCGCTTGGGCGCTCCCACTGCTTGGTCAGCTCGTCGCTGACTTCACGCAGACCGCTCAGAAGCTTCTGGATCTGCTCCTCCTGAGCGTCCTTGGTGGCAGCACGCAGAGATCCAAGGATATGCGGATTCACACGGCTGCTGAAGATTTCAACAAAGAGTCTCAGCTGGGCACGCTCGATAGCGTCGGTAGGGATCAGCTTGAGATTCAGGGAACTGGTCAGCGACAAACTCAGAGATAACGAAGGGACTCGATCAGAATTGTTCCATCAGGAGTACGCAGAGCTGGAACCTTGAGCTGGGGGTTGACGAGATGGTACCAGTCAGGCTTGTTTTGCAGGATCAATCTCGACGAGCTTGTGAGGAACCTTGGCAAATTCCAGAGCACGCAGAGCGCGCTGTGCATAGGGGCAAGCAGCAGTAGAGTAGACCGTGTAACCGTTCTCCTTGTACGGGTAAGCGATGCTGTCAGACATTGTTTAAAGAAGCAAGAGAGTTGGTGTCAATACGGTTGTGGATTGAAGTGCTCGTTGGGAGTGTACTGAAGCCCATGTAAATGATGAGGGGCGTGGTTTGACTTTTATATATGCTGCAGATATGATGGTGTCACTGCATTTGATTACAAATGCCTGAACATGAGAATGATCTTACCATCTGCAGAAGATATGTCGCAATTTCGAATGCTCCTGCCAAGATGTTGATCAACATGTTCTCCGCTGGAACAGTGAGCTGACAAACCATTTCTAGCAGCTATTTGAGTGTGCGGACTTGAATATTATCACTGGTTTCCTAGACAAAATCTAGTAGATCATTGGGTGTACGCCCTTCTCATTGGTAATCATATAGCATACTGCAAGCCTAATATTGCCGCCTGTACGAATAAATTATAACCTAATATATCGATATGCAGCATTTGAGACGTAAGGTTGTTATTTATTGGTTTCATAAATACTAATAAAACATGGACACATGGAGGTATTTTGTGTCCAAAGGTGTCTGCTTTCAGAGGATAAACTTCTTCATACCCTGCACAATAGCCTCGTCGGAGGACTGGAAAGCAGTATACAGGGGATGCTGCGAGAATGCCGCCACCCACTTGTGATATGCAGCATACTCATCGGTTTCGGGGATGACCAGTCCACGGTAGTGCTTCGGGCCAGCAAACAGATTGACAAACGACACAGTGTCGACCTCGGCAAGCGAAAACTTGTCACCGAACCAGAACGGTCCACTCTTGCCGCTTGGGCGCTCCCACTGCTTGACCAGCTCGTCGCTGACTTCACGCAGACCGCTCAGAAGCTTCTGGATCTGCTCCTCCTGAGCATCCTTGGTGCCGGCCCTCAGGGAGCCAAAAATATGAGGAATCACACGGCTGCTGAAGATTTCAACAAAGAGTCTCAGCTGGGCACGCTCGATAGCGTCGGTGGGGATCAGCTGAGATTCAGGGAACTGGTCAGCGACAAACTCCAGAGATAACAAGGGACTCGATCAGAATTGTTCCGTCAGGAGTACGCAGAGCTGGAACCTTGAGCTGGGGGTTGACGAGATGGTACCAGTCAGGCTTGTTTTTCAGGTCAATCTCGACGAGCTTGTGAGGAACCTTGGACAAATTCCAGAGCACGCAGAGCGCGCTGGGCAAAGGGGCAAGTAGCAGTAGAGTAGAGGGTGTAGCCGTTCTCCTCGTACGGGTAAGCGGTGGTGTCAGACATGGTAAAATCGGTGGGATTTAAAGATGGCCTAGTGATGTTGTCAGTGCACAAAGAATTGGTATGCTTTTTTCAAGAAGAAACGAAGACCAGCTATCACTTTATATATCTGGATGTGAGGGGTGACGACAGCAGCCAGTACGGTTTTATCGCAAATTCAGCAACATAGGGAGAACCATAGTGGTTGGATTTTCCTGTCCGCTACTGCTGACAAATAGCTCAGCGCCAAGGTGCAAACAGGACCATGTACATCGTGTATGTCGCAATCGCTCTGCTCTTGGAAGAAAGACTGAGCCGCATGTGCCTGGAGTAGACCACCGAGTCGACGAGCCAAACCAGAGCCAGCTTTTGATGGACACGAGCTGCATGTTTGCTATTTAAACTGATTGGCAGATGGCACGCGAACACCGAGCTCAAGCATGGGAATAATGGGAAAGGGAGGGATGTATGCGTCTACTAATATCTCCGAATTGCATTCTGATAGTAGCCGGCATTGAGGCACGGGCTTAGTGAAGAATGGGAAGGGGGCGTATAAATTGCCGCTGGCCCTCCTCGACATGGGAGAAAGCTGCTCTCTCCTCTGGCTAGAAAATTTTCCAACCACTATTCTCAGCATCACCCGGCAGACCCCGTGAGCTGCATCACACCCATACGGCTAATTGAATCCTATTGATACGGAGAAAAAACCGCAGTCCTTCTTTGACTTGCAAGCTCCTTCATTGATATGCGCTCCTTCTTTAAGCAACACTCTCCGTTTAGAGCCGTTCCCAACGATGTCCTGGAATCCAAGGTACAGAGCCAGCGATAAAGACACATGGCTTGAGGGCTCCCAATGGACAAATTCAGCAGGCAATGTCCTAGTTTAGTGTGCCCTCCCGATTGACCTTCCCCAGGCTTTTTTTATTGCTGCCTGCTTCCAAATTTCGCTCACACATTTTTCTTTTGGATCTCTAGAAACAGCTCAGTCCGTTACACAAGAATCACAAGCGAATCAAATAATGTAAACCTAGAGCGAAGAGACCCACTCAGTGTAAAACGGACAAGCCCACGCCGCTCTCCTTCACATTGCCCATTCTGACACTTCTGGTTTCTATATACTTGCTTTTCTTCAACTTAGGAGCCACCACAAGTGCAGCAAGCAGATCCTAGACCCGGCATACTCTGCATCAACCTGACAGATAACGACATGGCAGCGAGACCACCAAAGTTTGTGTTTTTCGTGGTGTTCTGCATTACAATCGGCGGGCTCTTGTTCGGCTACGACACGGGGGTGATTTCGGGCGCGCTGGTAGTGATCAAGGATGAGTGGGATCTGAGCACGACGCAGCAAGAGTTCATTGTGGGCGGGACAACGCTGGGGGCGATTGTGGGCGGGCTGTTCTCGGGGTACTTTGCGGACCGGTGGGGGCGGCGCGTGGTGACGTTTCTGTCCTCGCTGGTGTTTATAGCGGGAGCCTTGATCATGACGTTCTCCAACCACTACTCGATCCTGATTCTGGGCCGCGTGGTGGTTGGCTTGGCGGTGGGCGCGGCATCGATGGTGGTGCCCATGTATATAGGCGAGCTGGCGCCGAAGGAGTTCCGGGGACGGCTGGTGACACTGAATGTGCTGGCGATTACCGGCGGGCAGCTGATCGCATACCTATTGGCGTGGGCACTGACCGACGTGCATAACGGGTGGCGGTGGATGTTTGCGATTTCAGCGTTTCCGGCGCTGGTGCAGCTGTGCTGCCTGCCGTGGCTGCCCGAGTCGCCGCGGGTGCTGATCCGGCGCGGGCAGGAGGACCGGGCGGTGCAGATTCTGCACAAGGTGTACGGGCAGAATGTGCCCGAGAGCGTGATTGAGGATGAGCTTGAGAGCGTCCACCAGTCGATGCGGTCGGAGAACTCGAGCCGGTACCGGGACCTTTTGCGCCCGATCAACTTCCAGCCGCTGATCGTCGCCTGCATGCTGCAGCTGATGCAGCAGTTCTCGGGCTTCAACACAGTCATGTATTATTCGGCGACGATTCTGAAGATGGCCGGGTTCCCGAGCACCAAGAGCGCGACGCAGTTCTCGATTGCCATTGCCGCGACCAACATGATCATGACCATCGTGGCCATTATTATTATTGACAGGTTTGGCCGCCGCAAGCTGCTGCTAGTGTCCTTTGTGGGCATGATTGTCGGCCTGATTCTGCTGGGCATTGCCTTCATTTTCATTGTCGGATTGGTCAAGATCACCAAGGACTCGTGCGCAGAGTATGTGAAATGCGGGGCATGCACTCTCGATGACCGCTGCGGATGGTCGTCCGGAAGCAACGTCTGTGCATTCAAAACCGACAGGGCGTTTTCGGATCTCACGGGCAACTGTGAGTCCAAGACCACCAGGGATCGGGCCGGGACGTGGCTGGCGCTGGCATCGCTGATTTTCTACGTGGCATTGTATGCAGTTGGCCTGGGCAATGTGCCCTGGCTGGTGCAGTCGGAGATTTTCGCACAGGGCATCCGCAGCAAGGCCGGCGGATTTGCCACCGCCACCAACTGGGTGTGCAATTTCATTATCTCGATCACATACCTGACCATGACTCTGCATATTACTGCCTCGGGCACGTTCTGGCTGTATGCGGGCATTCTGCTGATCGGCTTTGCGTTTGTGTTCCTGATGGTGCCTGAGACCAAAGGGCTGAAGCTCGAGGATGTGCAGAGGCTGTTTACCGGCAACCACAAGCCGTATAAGCGCGCGGTGGCGACGCCCAAGCCGGCAGCAGATGATAGTGAAGTGGCTGGCGAAAATGCGCAAGGCGAGCGCGGCGATGTCATGGCAGCGTACCGCGGTGGCGACCATAGGAATGCCGATTCTGATAGCTCCGATGACCAGGGCACCTCTGCAGGTGCCTTTGGGGCGTCGGTCAGCAGCGGGTACCAGCCCAAGCAGTTCAAGACCAGTGTCACGACAAAGGCTGATGCCTGGATCCAGCAGACGGTACTGAAAACCGACAGAAACATCCTAGCTGTTTGCGCTGGGCTTTTATTAACAACATTGCTCAATTAATATAAATCTTCACGGGTCGGGCATCCTTTGGCAAGCTGGCTTGAAACACAAGACTCAAGAAGCTTGGGTAGGAATCCAGCAACATGATTATGTAGTGATGGTTTGAGTGGGTAGTATAAGCGTGTCTATGAGCCGCTTTGGCGCCCATGAACAGGGTGTGGGGGACAGGATAGAAAATAACTAGGATGTCATGTGCAGGTGTATGTGCATCAGGAACAGGAATGAGAATGACTTGGTATATGGACTGCCAGGAGGCAAATGAAAGGGTACAGGCAATTTTGTTTTTTGGACGAGCAATGCCAGCTACTGCTGGAGAGCAATGGGCCAACTGGTGGATTCTTCAGTGCAGCAAAGAGTTCGGAAAGGTGGTGCTGTCAGCATGCGGCCGAGGCACCGACTCATTCCCAGTAGCGTACTGTCGAGGCGCCCGGTTCGACTCCATATCAGCAATGGTCATCGATGGCTTCATCTTGCGTCCATGCGCATAAAACTCGTCGGCCGGGACCGCCGATGACTTGCGCAACTGCGGAAACACAACATTATTACTGCGCATACCGCCGACCGACTGCATGGGCCGGTGACTGGGGACGAACCGCAAAGGCGTGCGCCTCTGCTGGCCGGCTGGGATCGGCGGCAGCGGCTGCTGCGGGGCATTGCCCAGACTTAAATCAGAAAAACCGTAAAGCTGCCGGAGCTCCAGGCAATTGCGGCGATTTGTGTGCAGGAACCACCGTCCATTATGCCGGTTTGGGTGAACGACGCCGAGAAGACCGTGGCCTCGTTGAAGTTTGCAAATACCGGCGAGTCGCACTTGTCCTCGGATTCAGGTGGATTGAGCCGCGGCGCCACGTCGGTTCCCCGCGACACCAAATCAATCGACCGGCTCATGCGGCGCTGCGGCGGAGCATTGCCGGGCACTGGCGGCTTGGATACCATTTCATTGCTCACGGCGCTGAATATGCCAAAGCTTTTCTGGCGCTTCATTATGCTGCGGCGCTTCTCGGCCATAGTCAGCAATGGCGAAGTGTTTTGGCTGGCCGTGGATCCAGTATCATAGCCCATTGTCGGCGATGCGCTGGCGTTTGATGCGTCGCGGGACTTTTTGCTGCGCTGCCGGTCATGCACCATTTTGACGCAGAACCGGTGGGCCAGCTGGCGCTGCTCCGGCAGCATCATCTGCCATGTCAGTTTGTCCACCGGCACAATACTGGGCGGCATAATATCGGATGATGTCGAGGCGCCCAGCGTCGACGTGCTGCTGTTGTTCATCGGCGCACCCATGACCTGGGCCGTCTTGGGCCGCCCTTTCTGGGCTGTCTGCTTTGGTGCCATGCAGTCACTGTCCGACCGCGACGTCGTGCTCTTGCGGGTCCCCGAGGGGGCCACTGCTGCGTCCAGCGGGGTAAAGTTGATCAAAGTGCGGCCGTCCAGCCTCAGCTGCGCTAGGGGCACGCTGATGTTGGGCACAATATTAGCAAGCACAGTCGGCTGCTGCTTGGGCGGGCCGGCAGCCCTGGCAGCATCGGCGGCGGCGGCGTTGATTTCGCCGTGGGTATTGATGTAGTGCTTGAACTGCTCGTACTCGATATAGTCAAAGTTGTTGAAATCGCGCTCAATAACATCGTACTCGGGCGTCCGCTGCGCCCCCGTGACGGGCTTGAACTTGGCCCCGCGCTTTGTGCGCGCTGTCAGTGGCTCCTGCTCCAACAGCATCTCCTCGATATCGTGTGTGATGTCGAAGTTGGACTGCTCGCTGTCGGGCACAAACGGCGGGTCGAGCTGTCCTGGCTTCGAGCCGGTCCCAGTCGATTGTGCTGAAAAAGGCATGCTGCTTCAGTGCCTCGTAGCCGGAGCAGCCAAGGCGCTGCTTTGGGTCCTTCTCCTAGAAGCCCGCGCATGGCCGAGATGCACTCAAAGCTAATCCGCACGTCAGCGATAATCGGGAACTGCACCTCATCGTTTTGGATCGCCCGCTTTCAAGTCATTTGAGGATTTGCCGTGCCGGAATGGACGCTTTCCCGTAGACACATTCGTACATCACCACGCCCAACGACCACCAATCGACAGAGTACGTGTACCCGTGGCCGCTGACCAATTCGGGCGCCATGTAGTTTGCTGTGCCTGCCACCGAGTAATGCCTGCGGTCGTCCTGTATGCGTGTCGCAATGTTGAAGTCGGTTAACGCTACGTGGCCCTTGTCGTCCATCAGGATGTTGTCGGGCTTAATGTCGCGATGCACCACATTGTGGGTCGTGTGCAGGTAGTTGATCGCACATGCGATTTCAGCCACCCAGAACCGGATGACGCCCTCGACGAACCGCCGCCGCTGCATGTGGAACCGCAGATCGCCGCCCATCATCAGGTCCATGACCATGAACATGTCAAAGTCGTCCTGGAACGAGAACCGCAGGTTCACCACAAACGGGTGGTCGATCTCCTTCCAGAATGTCGCGCTCACGGATGATGTTCAGGTGCGCCTTGTTGCGGATGCTGTCGGCCTTGCTGATGTATTTGAGTGCATACAGCTTGCGCGACTCCTTGTGCTCGACGATCCGCACTTTGCCAAACGACCCGCGCCCGATGACGCGCAGCAGTCCCAAACTTGTACAGCCCGAGTCCTACTGTTGGTGAGTTTTTGCACAAAACAACAACAAAACCAAAACAAAAAGGGCTCAGTTTTAAAATAGGTCAGAAGACCAGGTTTGCAACCCGATATGACGATGCGTCTTGTGTGGATACACTGAAGAAAAATCCAGGCCATTCCTGTCCCCCTACTCCTTTGTTTGCACGTACCTTTGTCTGCTGGCTGCTTGCTGATAGAGCTCCCCATTCTGTATGTCTGCTGTCTATATGTCTTGCGGTGGTGGAGAGCCTCTCTTTAAAAGCGAATATATCCGGAGGGTGTAGAGCGATAGCAAGCTCCAGCGGGTTTTTAGTTCGAAAAGGGGGTGAAAAATGAGATAATAAAAAATTGGGATGCTACAATGGGGGAGAGGAAAAGAAAAGGGGGAGAACAGTAACCGGGAGTGCAGTCACAGCCGCCAGAAGCATACACGCCAATTTTCCCGGCCAGGAGCCAATTTAGTAACAGTTGTCAAGCTCCATGTTTTGTTCTGCGCAAGTAGTTTCAGCTGTCCTTCTACTAGAAAAAAACGACGGTCCACCGGATATCTCGAACGCAATCCTTTTTTCCTTGTTGAACTGCGCAAAAACGGCTGCTCTTACCAATACAAAATGCAAGCACAGGGTGGTATAGAAAGGAATGAATACAAAGTGCAAAATAAAAATGAAGTAGTGCAGAGAAAGAAAAAAAGGAGTCGGGGAGAGAAGAACGATTGCGGTTTTGTGAGACGCAAGGGAAATCAAAAAACCCGAACCAGTGGAGATTGGCGGTTTCTTTCTTTATTCGTCGCCGACGCCCTCGCCACAATTAGAGGCGTTCTCTTCGTCTCTTCGGCTACCTTCGTGGATCAGGTTTTTTGTGTTGTCGTTTTGAAGAGACATGAAAGGAACATAGGAACTGATCGTCTCGAGGTCGTTCACAATTATTGTTTCTCTTTCGCTTGCTAGAAAGAGCACGCCCATCCTGGCAGACCCAAACAATTCCAACTCACAAGTCGCAAAAAACAGGCGGATCGTCCCCCATCCCATCCCTAAACCACCAAACAAGCTGGAGCAAAAAGGATGTGATTGAAAATAGGATTTCTAGCCAGTGTTCATTTTTCTACTTGGACGAGACGATCTTGGACGCGCCAACCTGGACACGGTCGCCCTTCGTGGCCGACATACCGCCCTGGACGGCTGCCGGGTTAAGGTACGAGATGTCGTCCCACGGGTGGCGGTACAGGCCCTGCTTGAGGCGCTTCTGGTCAAGGTAATGGCCAATGAAGCCAATGGAGCGGCCCAGCACGAACAGGCCGTTGAGGGTGCCGATGCGGGCATACTCCTCGGCCTCCTCGCGCGAGAAGGCGCCCGAGTGCCTGAGCAGATCAACAAACAGCACGCCAATAGCACCGTCCACGTTGAGGATCAGGTTGTCCTTCTTGGCCGTGGTAATGGACTCGACGGCCAGCGCGTAGTCGAGGGTGGGCGTGGCCGGGAAGTTCTTGCGGGCGAACTCGGTGATGATGGTGACGCGGAGATCCGGGTTGGTGCGCGACTTGATCTTGTGGCCAATGCCCAGAATCAGCTTGTTCTGCTTGCGCATCGAGTCGACGAACTCGCGCGGCGTCAGACCCTTGTCGTACGCGCCGGAGAACAAGTCGGCGGCTCCGTCGAGGGCTCCGCCGAACCGGTCGCCGATGGTCAGCAGGCCGGAGCACAGCGAGGAGATCAGGTCCTTGCCGGCACGTCGCCGTGACGATGGTGTTGTGGGCGCCCGAGACGGCCGGGCCGTGGTCGGCAGTCAGCATCAGAACCATCTCGAATGAACTTGCAGGCGTAGTCAGGCAGGCGGCGCTTGAACCACAGGAAGCGACAGCACACCGCCAATGCCAATGTCCTCCTTGAAGACATCCGAGATGCGCATGCCCGCGTACAAAAGCTCTTGGCCGCGGTCGTCGCAGATGGTCGAGACGAACGACGCCGGCTTGCGCACCAGGCCGAGCTCCTGGGCCCACGCGTAGTCAATCGGGATCTTGGGCGCCTCGGGCTCGGGCTTGGGCACAATGATGGCCTGCTGCACCAGCTCCGAGTACACCTGGTTCAGCAGTGCCGGCAGTGCCTCGAAGGTGTCGGGCACGTGGATGCCAGCTGCCCGCATGGCAGCGTTCTTGGCCTCGGCCGTCTCGCTGTCCGAGTTGGCCAGCGCTCCGGCGTGGCCAAACTGCACCTCGGTCTCGAACATGCCAGCGCAGGTGCCAATGCACCAGGCGACCACAGGCTTCGTGATCTTCTTGTTGCGCACGGCCTCCGCCACCTTGTACTCCTCGACTCCACCGACCTCGCCCAGCAAGAGAAGCATCTTGCAGCCCGGGTCAGCCTCGTACCGCAGCATGTGGTCCAGGAACGTCGTTCCAGGGTACCGGTCGCCGCCGATCGCCACGCCCTCGTAGACGCCATCGGTGGTGCGTGCGACGATGTTGTTCAGCTCATTCGACATGCCGCCCGACTTGGACACATACGCGACCGATCCGGGACGGTACAGCTTGGACGACGCAATGTTGTCCATCATACCGCCGGTGTTACCGATCTTGAAGCACCCGGGCTTGATGCCGCCGACAGTAGCCGGGCCGATCAGCGTCACGCCAGCCTTCTGCGACAGGTCGATCAGCTTGCGCGTGTGCCGCTCGGGCACTCCCTCGGCGATGATGGCGACGGTGCGGATCTGCTGGTACTGCAGCATCTCCTTGGTCGACTCGAACACAGACCGGCACGAGGCGAAGTTGACGACCACATCGGCGTCCGGGAACCGCTTGACAGCCTCCTTCAGCGACGCAAACACCGGCAGAAGCGTCTCCTGCGTGCCCCAGTAGAACTTTTGCACGTGGTTTCCGCCAAACGGATACACCATGCAGGCCACCGACGGCACCTTGCGCTTGCAGATAAAGTCAAAGTCAAGCATGCCCTGCACTGCACGCGGCTGCATGCCGTAGACGATCGCACGAGTGTTGGCTGTGAACGGCGAGTACCACGGGGCTGCCTCGCCAGAAGCTACCGGGGCAGGCGCTGGCTGCGGTACCGCCGGGGTGGGGGCGGCTGAGGTGGCCGAGCGCAGCGGATCCACGTCCATCTGCCCAGGCGTGCCCGGTGTGCTGCCAGCGACCGAATCGGGGATCTGCTTGACCAGCTGGTCCTTGAACCCAGCACCCGTGGCTCCAGCCGAGGCCTTGCCCAGCGCCAGCGGCACAATCGCCGTAATATGCGTCTCGGGACCATACACGCGGATCTCCACGCCCAGCGTCTCGCCGAGCTCGCGCATAGCCCGCAGACCCTCCTGCCAGTTGGGGCCAGCACGACGCACAAACACCCGCACGTTGTTGGCAATCAGCGCCTGCTTGTACTCCTTGAGCGCCCGGATAATGCCCTTGAAGGTCGTCGCCACGTTGGTGAAGTTGGCAATGCCACCGCCGATGATAAGCACCTTGCCGTCGGGGTGCGGCGTGCGCGTCATCAGGTCCAGGATGGTCTTGGCATACTCGTATGTCTGCGTCTCCGAGGGGGCGCCCGAGTACTCGCCATAGTTGGCCAGCTCGTGGGCAAAGCCCAGAGCCGCGATGGCGTCCGAGTAGACCACGCTGGCGCCGCCTCCGGCGACCATCGTCCAGACACGCCCGTTCTTGTTGAGGATCGTCAGCTTCAGCGACGCGCCAGTCTTGGCGTCCAACTCCGCCACATACGCCTCTTCCTTGCTCAGCTCGCGGCCGAAGGGCGCCGGGAACTCCATCGCCGGGCCCACCTCCGCCGCCTTGCCACTCAGGCCATACAGGGTGGCGTCTGACCGTGCCCGTGCCCACTTGTCGCCAGACTCAAACTCCGCGGTCTGATCAAGCTTGGCCGCCAGATCAAGATAGATCACCTGCGGCGCCGAGCCCTCCACCTCCAGCACCACCAGGGGGTTGATCTCCAGGTACGTGAAGTTCAGGTCCACGTAGACTGCGTACAGGCGCTCAATGAACGACGCCAGAGCCTGCACGCTGCGTCTCGCTCTTGATGTCCGCCAGCAGTGCCTGCGAGATCCTGTCCACAGGCAGCTGCTGGTCGATCGGGATCGCCAGCCGCAATGCCTTGGCGTCAACATCGCCAATGTCAATGCCACCCTCGTGCGTGAACAGAATCTCGTCGCCCTCGCGGTGCGACTGGATGCACACGTAGTACTCGACGTCCTGCGGGTGCGGCACAAACGGCTCCACCAGGAATGTCTTCAGCACACCGCTGATACTGCCCACGCTGACCTCCTTGACCGCGCGCTCGCGGATCCACTCCTTGACCGACGCCCAGTCGGCGTTCAGCAGAAGAAGCCCGCTCTTGCCAGCGCCGCTTGATCAGCTGGTCGGGCTTCGCCACAAGCTTGCACGTCAGAAGCCACGGGTTCAGGCTCTCCGCACGCGCCAGCGCCGCCTCCACCGCGTCAGCGATGTGCTCGGCGGAGTCGGACACGTTGACGTGGGACAGGTTCACCTGCGCCAGGCGCGCGGCTGGCTGCGTGAACGCAACCGGGGGCTTGGTGGTCGCCACTGTGGGCGCCTCGAGGAGGTACTTGGAAAGAAGAAGCTTGCCGTCGAACTTCGCGAACTGCCTTTGCCGACATTTTTTAAAACTATAAAGCTGGGGGGTTAGGTTAATGAAAGAAATAAGAGCTGTTTGATGATAAGAGGAAGAGTGCAAAACGGACGCTTCCAGGTGCAAAGCGAGCGGGCTTTATATTGCTCACTTCCTGACCTATTGGCCGATCACCTCCCGGTATTGGCTCACCGGCTCAACCCGCGCGGCTTTGCCTGAGTTTCTCGTCTGACTGGCCTTTTTTTCCGACAATCTTACCTTTTCGGTATGCTAGGTCTATAGACTGTGATTTCGGTGATGATGCTTGGTGCTATAGAAGAAAAAACCGAAGCGGTGCTTGTGATACTGCTCGCGTTGGGCCTTGAAGTTGTATCTGGCGGTGCTGGCAAACAGCAGCAAGATGAATCAGTAAAATGAAAAGAAATCGGGGAGAGGTGGGGAGAGGAAGGAAGAAATTAGCACCTCTGGGACTTTGGTTTTCTGGCCAACTTGGTCGTGCGACTGCGTTTTTTTGGATGGGGGTAGATGGCGGGAATGCGAGGAGTAATAGCGTGGCCCTTGCTACCTGGCAGCGGCGTGTCTTTATAACGAGAGGCGTGAGAGCCATTATTCGAGACAATGTATGATGCATGGCGGCCGCAACCCAACTGCTTCTTTGCCTGGACCTCTCGCTCCCCTGCTCCATGCGCAATTGCTCCAGCTAACCCGCCGTTGTTGTCTGACCCAGCTTCCCGACAAGCACTTCCCTAATGGGATCTGCGCGTGCGCTAAGGCAGTCACAAAGCCCGGTCGTCGAATTGCCAGCCAATCCACAACCGCCGTCTGTTCCCCTGCTCGCCCACAAGGACAGAAAAGATGGCTCAGCGCTGTTCTCAGTCAACCGACCACTTTCCTTTGCCACCTGTCTCTCTGACGAGAAGAGCGTGCCCAGCAGACACAACGACGGGATTTGCCAGAATAGAAACTGCCACGTTGGCAGAAAGAGCAGGCAACAAGATATCCCATGCCCGGATATTTGTCGTGTGTTGTTTTGCTTTTTGCCCAGCTCGGGTCTCGTATTCGAGCGCGGGTTTTTATTTTCAACCCAGTCAGCGATGCGGAACGCTGCACACTCCGAGCTCCTTCATGTTCGGCTCTCGGTGTCGGGTGGCGCTCAAATGCCCAGTGCTAAGCAACAGAAACCCCCTCTCCCGGTGTCCGCCTTGCCCCCGCCCTTTCCGACTGAAGCGCCTACTGCCGACCCCTCCTCCGACAGCATAATAGTGGATGGCTGCGCCACCAATGCCAGAGACCGCTGGGACCAGAGGGTGGTGATTTGATCACGGCCGCAGGACAGGCGAGGGCTGTGGTCAGCTGACGACACGAGATCAGTCCTTGAATCTCGGAAATAGGCTGGAATCGCCCCTCCAGAGATATGCAGTCCTTTGCCATGCACGCTTTGCAAGCAAGTGGCTGGCACAGGCAGCCTTCATACGTGCCTTGGTAGCTGCATCATGCCCCACATGACATTCTGCCAGCGATGCAGCTGTACATAGACCTGGATCTGACCCACCACGAATAACAAACACAAATCGTGATTTGGAATAGCCTCACCGACAAAAAGCTTGGACCTGCCGCCGTCCCTTTTTTCATTTCAGCCCGCTTGCTTTTATAAACATACCCTTTTTTTTCCTCTACTAGCCATTGTGTTTAGCGAAATGACTAATCTTGTCACGGAGCAGTACGAAACCGGCAAGCTCTTCCTCGAGGGAACGCTCGGCCACCTGACCAAGGATCAAGAGCAGCTTCCTGCGCCAGCTCTGGAAGTCCCTGTTCGAGTCATTCGAATCGGCGACAGACAATCTGGACAGCTCGGCCAACCCCGAGCTCCCGACGCGCGCAAAGAAGACCAAGGAGGAGGGCACAGTGCACAAGTCATCGAGCTGGTTCAGCCTGGGCAAAGGCCAAGGAGGAGGCCGAGGCGTACCGCCAGATCGTCTCGGACATCGCCCCCGAGTCGAGCAACCCGCCGCCATTTGTGCGCGAATCCAGCAACACAGTGCGCGAGGCGTTCTGGGACGCCATTGCGTGCGATCACCCGGACGTGCTTTTGCTGCGGTTCCTGCGGGCGCGCAAGTGGAAGGTCGAGGATGCACTGAATATGATGCTGTCGTGTCTAAAGTGGCGGCTCGACGAGGACATTGTTGCGCTGAACTGGGAGGGCGAGTCGCGTCTCAACTACGCGCTGCTGCAGCGTGGCATTGGCGCCATCCATCAGACGGACCGGATCGGCCAGCCTGTGCTCTACATTCCGGTCAAGAAGAACGACCCGAAGGCACAGCCCCAGGACCATATGCTGGACTACACCGTGTATCTGATGGAGGTCACCCGTTTGTTCCTGCACCCGCCTATCGAGAAGGTGTGCCTTGTCTTTGACACCACCGACATGTCGCTGGCCAACATGGACTGGACATTCTTCAAGACCTTTTTGCACTACCTGGAGCACTACTACCCCGAATGCCTTGGCCTGGTGCTGATTTACAATGCCTCGTGGGTCTTCAACACGCTGTGGAAGGCGGCGCGCCCCATGCTGGACCCCGTAGTGGCCTCCAAGGTCCACTTCGCCAACACCAAGGAGGAGGTATTGAAGTTTATCCCCGAAGAGCACCTGCCGACGGCCCTGGGAGGCGCCGATCCGTGGGTCTTCAAGTACACGCCGCCCGTGGCCGACGAGAACAAGCCCATGTTTGACGCTGCTGCCCGCGAGCAGTCGCACAAGGAAAAGATCGCGGCCAGGAACGAGTTCGAGTCGGTGACCAAGCTGTGGGCCGAGTCGGGCAGTGGTGAGTCGGCGGAGGAGTTCGTGGAGAAGCGCAATGCCACGGCGCAGAAATTGATTGAGGCTTGCGCGCGCCACGATGTCTACGTGCGTGCCCGGTCGCAGTTCCACCGCGCCGGTATTATTGACGGCCTTAATGTTAAATGGTAGTACCTTGGTCTGGATATCAAAATTTTAATAAGTAACCCATGTGGGCTCTGTCGGCATTTCATATCCAAATCTCCCTGCACGCTTGACATGGGTGGAGTACGAAAGGGCAAGCGTCTATATATATGCCGCTCGGAAGGCGTGATAATGAAAATGCATATTTGGCATCTCACCTGTGCGATTTCTTTTTGCACACCTAAACACAATATTTTCTTTTGCATTCAGTAGTATAGCTTATACTCCGCCATGACTAGCCTGTCTCTCTTGGCTGCTGCGCTGCTCAGCTTTGTGTCCTGCTCCATCGCAGGCAGCATCGTCTTTGGATACCTTCCGACCTGGCAGCTCGAGGCAGCCAAGGACGTTGATATTTCTCGCTACACGCACGTCACCATCGCCTTTGCTGAACCCTCCTCTAACGGCACGCTTGAAATGGACAACCGTGACTCGGCCATGGAGTGGGTGCCTGAGATTACCAAGGCCGGCGCCCAAGCTCTGGTGTCAGTCGGTGGATGGACAGGATCCAAGCACTTTTCGCCCATCATGAAGGACGCAGGCAAGCGGGCACAGCTGATTGACAATATTGTGTCGTGGGTCAAGGACTACGAGCTCAACGGCATCGACATTGACTACGAATATCCGGGGCGCCAGGGCGACACATGCCATCCGTTTGATGCACGCGTGGATACTGACAATTTTCTGACCTTTTTGACTGACCTGCGCTCAGAGTTTTCCCGTGTCTTCAATGACCGCAAGCTGATCACGTTGGCCACCCGCTTCCAGCCCTTCGACGGTCCCAACGGCCCGATGCGCGATGTGTCCGACTTTGCCTCTGTGATCGACTACCTTAAACCCAATGCTCTACGACTTCAATGGCGTCTGGTCGGAGACCACCGGACCAAACGCGCCGTTCAACCACGAGAAGGACAAGGGTCTGCAATATTCGTTTACTTCTTCGATCAAGGAATGGGTTGATGCCGGAATCCCGGCCGAAAAGATCCTTGCCGGCCTCCCCTTCTATGGCCGCACTGTCACTGCACAGAATGACCTGAGCGTGTCGCGGCAGATGTATGCGCCGCTGAAAAAGGTCATTCCCAGAGGCGATGAGGACGACCAAGGAGGAGTCAGACAAGTCGTGCGGCGGACCCAAGGCATTCTCGGGTGTCTGGAAGTACAGCAAACTGCGCGGACAGGCAGTATTGTCCTCACCTGATGTCGCCGAAGAGCCATGGATCAGGCAGTTTGACAAGGTCACCAAGACACCATGGCTGTTCAACACCGATACCAAGGACTTTGTGTCGTACGATGACCCGGCAAGCATCATGTACAAGTGCAAATACGTCAAGGACAACGGCTTGGGCGGCGTCATGGTGTGGTCCATGACCAACGACTTCCACAATGAGCTTGTCGACGCCATCAGCTCGATATTATAATTTGTAATGTCTTAAAACTATCTAGTGTATCCAGAACTGCGCCTTCTAAAAAGCCCATTGAGATCACTGGCATGTCACCGTGCGAGTCCTTGACCGCACCCATCAGCAGCGATGTCAGAAAATCGCCGCTGAGGGGCGTTTCACCGGCGTTGAGCAGGGCCTTGCTGATCGCCTGGTTGATCGAAGGCGTGGATGCAGACTCAGGCTTAGGGCCAGGCTCTGGTTGGCTCTTGCCCCGCTTGCCCTTGATCATGATCGCATTGGTGAGCTGATCCAGGTTGGCCTTTTTGTTTCAGCGGGGGCTGCTTCTTCGGAGGCACAACCTTCTGACGCTCCTCAACAATCGTGATGCCTCCATCATCATCGTAGTTATCGTCGCCATCAAAAGGGCTGGGAGGTGACTACAGTGCCGATGATGGCTACAAAGAGAAATGTGTGGACGATATGCATATGAATGAGGAATGTAATAAAGGTATGTGAATGAATGCAAAATGGTGTGGTGCAATGCGAATGATAGACATGGTGCATTATCGGCTGCTCACCTGCCTATTTATTATCCAGCAATGTATCCAGCAGGTGGGTCCACCAGATATGGCCGGCTATCTCCACTCTCCACACATAATAACAACATGCAAATTTGCAATCCCCCAACTCGCTCTATATTGAATATATTAAACACCTCCAGCTCATTTCCACACCCCATCTCTGAAAAATACTAGAGGCGCCTGTGGTGTTCTCCGCTCTACACAAAGAACACGTCCTGACAAATGCCGCCCTTGTCAAGGCGAACGTTGATCCTGTCCGGACGGAAATCCATGGTCATTGGCACATTCTCGCCCTTGAGGATCCGGCGGCTCTGTGGCAGCTGGTTGGCCGTAAACTCGTTTTCGCCAATGCTGGAGACCAGCGATTCATCCTCGATAAATTTCTTACCGATCAGCTTCCCCTTCCAGAGCTCTGTCTGCTCCTGGCGCTTCTTCTCCATGGCCTCGTAGTCAAACTGCATTGTAATGGCTTGCGGTGCACAACTGTAAAAGAAAATGTAATGCTTACGGGGATATTCAGGTAGCTTTGAAGTGGTTGCTTGTCTTCAACCCCTGTGCTCTGATCCACCTGCATCATATGTGATATATTATGCAACGATTCACATGGGTTGACGTATTTCCTGGGGCTTTCCTGACTGCCATTGGCTGGTGGGAATTAGCTGCGCTGTGCCCCGTGGCTCGCCGAGATACCGCACTACTGCTGCATTTGCTTTGGGTACTTTCCTGACGCAGCCCCTATGACGTCATTCTGATTCCATTTTTTCTTCGCTGACAGATGCAATAGATTGGATTGGGCTATTCGCACCTGAACTTGCGTCGGGCTCGCCGTGGCAAACAAAAATGAGAAAACACCGCCATGGTTTGCTCTTAATCCCTCGAGCTTGCTGTTTACAAAAAACAGCCATCACCAAAAATAAAGTGTTGGCTTGGGGGCCGCTGTCCTAAGCCTAGGCCGTCCTGGCTGCTAGCTACACGCCGCACTAGTAGGAGCGGCCATATTGTTGTGAAAAAAACCTATTGCTAGATACTATTTTCCACACTCTTTCCAAGTCCTTTTTTCAGTCTTTAATAATTTATTTTCAGCGTCTTGCAAGCGTATGTTTTAATTGCGACCCGGTATTGGCGTCTTTTGACAGTGCAAACAGCGAATTCAAAGTGGTTACCAATTGCAGAGCACCTATTTCTGTATTCTATCTGGGTTCACAGAGTGTGCAAGGATATTAGGCATTATACTCTGGCACGAACCCAAACTACAATTCGCTCAGGTACAATTATTCGGCGCAGGATACACCGTTCCGTACGTAGCTACTCGCATGGTTGCTCTCAGCATAAGTTACTTGTGTGCAGATTACCAACGCTCTCCTCGATGGGAGAGTATCATTGAACATGCCGCTTTAAGCGACCTTGCTCTGCTTCCAAAGAGGGATATTGCGCCAGAACCTATTGGCTGCATATGCTAATGAACTCTTTTCAGTTCCTTGGCCAAAAGAAAATACAGAGTGATACGCTGCTCTAGTGCATCTCCGCACTATTCCACCAGACATTAATACGTAGGCAGTGACTAAGCGCTTATGCAGCAGGTAGCCAGGGTCCTGTCGTATATTAATAGCACAGATCATATTCGGTATTTGCCCGAAATCCTGGTTCGGCGTAGCACACCGCCCGTGGGGCTGGTGGTAACTTCGGGTATATTCGCCTCTGCTTGCTGCTGCCGCTGCCTGCCGCCCATGGTCTCACTAACCGCGTGCTGATTTTTCGTCGCGCCTTTTCAGAAATTGCCCGACGAGATAAAGTGCCCGATGATTGATGTTGGGACGGTGTGCCGTCCATTTTATGCGGCGATTGTTTCTAAAAACAAGCACACGGGCATTTTTACTATAAATGTAGGCGTAACTCCAGTCGGTTGCTTGCCGCACGCAATAGTGGTGGAGGGCATGAAACTACGAAAAAGGGTATGGCACCTCGCCTGCTCATGGACTATATTGCAGAGCCGGTTGCGCTGCTTGGCTCGCAGACACTAATTCTGGCCATTGGACATATAGGGTATCAGCAACAAAAACGATGTGCACAATTCGGACAGTGACATGTTGGCTGATGACAGTGACCACCTGTCCAACGACAGCGGGCACGATGTAGGCCGGCCTCGGAATGGCGATGTGGATCTCGAGCTGAAGCGGCAGCGGAACCGCGATGCAGCCGCACGACACCGGCTGCGGCAGCAGCGGAGACTCGACGGGCTGGCAAAGAAAGAGGAGATCTTGCGGCAGCAAGTGGAAGAGATCCAGCTGGAAATCAACACAATGCGTAGCGGGCGACTGGGGCTACCGGTGCCATCCTAGGGACCGATTCACAGACACGGTTCTTCGAGCTGAGCAGCAGTGTCGGCGAGCTGAAGAAGGCACTAACAAAGCATGCGCAGGACTGCCTGTCGCTGACCGACGAGGTAAGACGAGGTCAGGCAAGCTGTAACAAAATGGAGAGGCCATTCTATGCTTGGGGTGCTGCTAAAAACGATCCCGTACTGTAATACCACCTCTTTATTCGTGTAGCTTCGGCATGTTGCAGAGACGATCCGGGCGCGGCGGCGAAGAGGCGGCCGGCAGCAATTGGATGGCTTGGATAGATGGTAACAACAGATCCTCGGTGCACGGCAAATCCGCCTGTTCCCTGCGAAAAAAAAAAAAATAATAACAGCCAGCGCTTTCTCATCCACACACTCTGGTGGTGCGCTGCCATCAGGGCGAATGTTTTTTTGGCTGCCAATCAGATCTCAGGGCCGGTAACACTGGCACTTGGCCTGAAGTCGTGCCACCGCCCCGCGTTGAGCGTCCCTGGTGCTGATTCCGGTATTACTCAGTCTCTGAGTTTGCTTGTCAGTGCCGGGAGAGGGCACCCGTGTGCCCCATGCATGAAGCAGCAAAAACCAGAGTCGCCCGGCTGCCACAAAAGCCTTAATTTTCCAACCCAAAACTCGACCGTATTTTCGCACCGTTCAGATCTGTTAAGCTGGTTATGCGGCGCAAAAACGTGTGGGCAAGCGAACTAGAGTATACAGCTTGACTGCACAATAACGTCCTCCCACTCTCTTTTTCCACCCTTTTGCTTCCACCCAGACTCCTTTTCCTGCTTTTTTAATTATTACATCTTTTACCAATACTTTTGGATTCCATTTTTTGTGCGCTGGTCATCAACCACTTTCGGATACGCGCTGAACACAATCTGGCAGCGGCGACTTTTCTTTGTTAAACCTTTGCGGTTATCCATTTATTGTGCCATTGGAAGTGCTGCCAGAGTAGCACACTATCGGCCCTGTGTCTATCTACGCTAACTGACAGCCTGTGCCAGTAACCCCCATGTTTGACCGTAACATGGCTAAAAACACAGACCTGGTAAGCAAGCAGTCGATTCACCATTCCAAACACAGCTGTACAGAAAAGGAAACGTGGCCCACCTTGTTTCCAAAGTGTTCATGCCTATTTTTATTTGTTTGCTTACCTGATGTGTTCTGTGGCATCTGCAATCGACATTCCATATTACTTTTGCATGGCAGTAGGATACCGTTGATCACACAAGTACAGACAGTTCGGACGACCTTGCGGATGCAGCATCCGACGAGGAAGGTCTCAGGGCACACGGCTACCATGATGGGCAGGATGCTGCCGGGCCAGCAGGTGGCCAGGGCGACAACGTTGAGGAGCCAGTTGTGCGGCCGCACTCACCGCGGTCGGCGCGCAGGGTGCGGAATCGACTCGCTGCTGCACGCATGCGCACGCGGCAGAAACAGCACCTGGCTGAGCTGGAACAGCGCAAAACGGCGCTAGAGGAGCGGGCATCGGCACTGGAGCAGGAGCTGCTGGAGCTTCAGCGCCAGAACAACCCGCTGGACATGTCGATTGTCAAGCTAGCTGGCATGATCGACGACCTGACAAAGGTCGAATTCTCCATGCTGTCTGGCATTGACGAGTGTAAAACGCTGCTGCAGAACCTGGAACAGCTGTATAATGCCTCCACTGCCTCCACTGCCACCGTGAGCAGCACGGCCGCGAACAATAGTGGTAGCAGCCGTAACCTCGCCGCCACCACCACAACCACAACCACAGCCAGTAGCAATACTCTTAGTACCCCTTATCACCACCATTCCCATTAGAAAGTTCATTGTCATTTCATCATGGCGGCTGAGGATAATTTTTTAAAACAAGTCACACTGCACTATTCAAAAGAACAAGCAAGCCAGGTCCAGCCTAGCCGTGGGGGTTGGTCAAGAAGGATATGGAGATCCGCGACCCGCCATCCAGGTTGGCTGCACCGCCACTGCCGTTGTAAGGATGGTCGGGCTGCATTTCCTGGATTACCCCAGCCATGCGGCCGCGGATTAAGCTCAGCTGGCAGATCATAGTCTGTATATTCTGCATTCCCTGACTTCATCGTGTCGACCACCTTATAGAATTGGTCGTTTATATGAGTGCTGCTGACACCTTGTGGGTGATACCGTTGCTGCTGCTGCCTTTGGTACTGCGCCTCAGCACAATGTGGCGATTCGACCCTGGCTATTGACGATGACGATACTGACGAGGGTCTTGGTGTTTGAGCACCAATACAGAGCGTCGGCGAAGCGGTGGTTTCTTTCGGTGATTGAGCCATGGCTAGTGGGGTTATAGGAGGGCTTTGGTCGCAGGTTGGTATTCCGCGGTTCTGCTGCCGAGTACGCACATGGTCAATCATATTCTGTAGCGATAGAACACGGGTTTCGAGTTGGCGCACATCCTCTTCAACCGCAGCAGTGCGCTCACGTTGGCGCCGGCGCAACCGGGCAGATGAGAGCTTGCTTTGGTACCGGCGGCGGCTCTCAGGAGAGAGCTCCCGCAAATTGGTATTAGCTTGATGTGCTGTGTTGTTTGCCGATGCTGGGCCGGCTGGGGGAGGCGAAGAATCTGGTGCAGGTGGGGGAGGAGTCTGGGGTGGTAGAAAGTATTGCAATATCGGCTGCAAAGGCAGGACCTGGGGCTGCCCTGGATAGCGGCTGCCCGGTGCTGATGCCACGGGATGGCAGGGTGAATCCGTGCGTGTCTTCTCGCTGGCGCATCTGCTGCTCTTTGTAGAATGCAATCATGTACTGCAGCGATTGGATTCTAACCTCGAGCTGCTGGATATCACGCTCGGCTTCAGCCGTGCGCTGGCGCTGGCGCTCACGCAGACGGGCAGACGACAGCTTGCTTTGATACCGGCGGCGACTCTGGGGTGATAGTTCGCGCACGTCAACGGACCTCGCCGAATTAGACTGGCGCTGAGAACCTCCAGGCATGACAGTGCTAGTCTCCCTCGGCCTCTTTCTCGACATTGGTAATTCTCCGGAATGTAAAAAAGTCAACCGAAAAAATATTTGTACAACACTATTTCCAATGTAGTATACCAGTGTTTGGGAATAGTGGGTGGGCCAGAATGAATATACACGCGGACAGTAAGCCTATTCTGAACCAAGTGGATGTGAACGTCGATATCAGGATCGTATTCAAGTATAATCCTAGACAATGGTAATTGTACACCCTTGGTGAACAGTCGCCGAACCCGAATTACTCTTACAAAAGTGTGCGAAAAAAATAAAATAAAAATAAAAAGTGCAAGAGGAGGAATTGATCGTAGGGAAGTGCTCCTACCTCACAGATGGGTCACTCACCACGCGAACTATGCAAAAGAGTAAAGTTCAGGCCTGGGCTGCACCATTATGCGCGATGCTTGAGCTCAGTCACCAGTGATGATGGTGGTACCCAGTATCTATAGTGTGCTTGTCTGTAGAAAGCCATGCTATGCGACTAGTTGGAGGTGTACTCAAGAAGAGCCCAAGAACACCTTTGCTCAGTCTTTACAGAGGTGCTTTATTGAGCAAAGAGGTAAATATTTTCTGCAATTGATTCAGCGATGTTCATCCCGTTAGGCCACTCAAAATCCCATTCGATAGTTGATGCAGGATGTGCTTTCTGAGGGGACCAAAATGCGTTCTCTTCTTGCCTAAATTCGTAAACATGACGACAAGAAGGTTCCAAAGTAATTCATGATGCTAATGATTTAGAAAAAAAAAAGTACCATTTTTCTTGTCGATAGGGCGAAAGGGTAGGAGATGGCATGGCCACAGAATCAGCGCAGTGATAGCTAGAGTATCGTCAGAGCTTGGTGGCCCAAAGAATGCGATTGCAAGCCACCCCCTACCAAGATTCACTGTAAACTAAGGGCATGTATGGTGCATCCCTCAGATACTGCCAATAAGGGATCGGGCCAAAAAACATGGCTGAAATTTGCAGCTGGAGACATTTTCAAACATGTTCAAAAATTACAGATTCGCTCCAACTGCGCTGAAAATTAGCAGACTTGTTTCTGCGACACAAAATTTCTCAGAATAAAAATACTAGAACCCGAGGATGTCGCTCTGTGGTGTGTATATGCATTGTCAACATGTATAGTTTCGCCAGTCTGATGCTGCACAAAATGTGGATGAGAATCGACGATTGCCCACTTTGGGGGAAGCCATCACCTGCACAATGAAACAGGAGATTACCCGAGATTTTCCAACCAATCATGCATATCCGCGGCAGCAGGTGCCCTACCGACTCGGCTCAAGCAACTCGAGGTAACTATCCCTGCCAGTGCTGGTCGAGTGTGCGAGAGGCTCGTTCGCCGCACATGTATCCAAGGCACTATGCAGTATCCACGGGCTGTGTGGTATCCGCAAGTGCGGCTGCACATACTGCTATAGGCTAGCCCCTTTCCACCTGCTTTGTGGATTGATTCCTAGTGCTGCAGACTTTTTGCAGCGCTTCCGATTACGTATTTTTCGTGAATAGAACCAAAAGTCTTATGCACGCAAATAGTCTTGTGCATTCTTTTGAAGCCATTTATGTGGCCATTCACAATCAAAATAATATCGAGCCAATGTGTTCCATGCGTTTGCTTGCGACTGGCAAGTCACCACGCCATGGGTCTCCATGCATGGCTCACAGCTGAAAGAATATGATGCCGACACTGTCACTATTCTATTATAGCCCAGTGCACAGCAGTATTTTTTAGCTTCTCGCAACTATTGCAAAGAATACGTCGTATTCATAACACTGTACACTTTGCGAAGAGTCTGGTGTTCATTTTGCTGTCTAATGCTTAAAAACCGCGATAGCCAGCGCGCATTTCTGATGAAAACACACCACCATTGCATCCACATTCATTTTTCTCTTGCACCCTGCATTGCATCCACTCACTTGCATTTTTCCATATTGCTGTTTGCCTCACAAACCACATACTAGTAGTTCAAGGTAAAGATATACGCCTGGCGCAGATCAGCCCAGGCCGATATTGTATATGGGGGATAGGCAAAAGTCGTACACAATAGTGCGCTTGAACCAATTCGGGCAATTCATCGCCCATCGAAACACCTGCGGCGGGCTGTGAAACAGTGCGTCTAAAAACCGGTAATTGGGCGGTCTGTTGGTCCTGGGCATCAACAAGCCCCTTGCAAATACAGGGCGAGTCGCAGTAGTGTTTCTGCTTCCCCTCCTCCCTTTTCCAGAAGTCCCCTTTCTTTATGCGCAGTGGGCGTATTTATACAGTCGTTTCGCGCCTCCACAACACTTAAATAGCCCCCTCTGGGCTCTGTTGTTGTCTTGCAGAGAAGATAAAATATCAGACTGTATTAGCAACACGAATCCTCTTTCTCTTTCGCTATTCTGGTTGGACCTCTCGTCGATCTCCCTTGTCTATATTGTAGATACATGCATTGGCTTTTTTTCTGATATCCGATTATCTTTCCTTTTATTCTTAGATATTATAGACGCTTGATCTATCGGTTCTGCTTTGGACACCTTTCACGACTCGTACATAGCATTGGCCTTGGTGCTCAGCTTCTTCAATTTAAAAGGTAAGCGAATGTTTTGAGCTAGTTGCGGTGGCGGTGGCAAATCACTCTTGGTCTGGCGTAAATTGTGCACATTATTTTGCCCCTTCGATTAAGGCAATTGTCGAGTTCTAACAAAGACATCGCAAAATGCATTCGCCGATGGCGTCCATATCGCGGAAAACACCATGGGCCTTTGCTGGATCATTTTCAAACAGACACATCCTCAACGACATGTATACTGTTCCTCCCACACATCATTGCTACTGCCCTACATTGGTTCCCGCACTCTTTTATAACAAAGCAGGAAATAGCCCTGGCGTAATTTTTCTACGGGTTTGCTGCTATTTTCTCAATATTTCTGCGCACCGCTTAATCCAAAAACTGTTTTTGACTGGTTCGTGCAGACAAATTGGCAAGCACTACTAGCCACAAATGATGCCTGGTTCATGTGGATCCTTTTGCCTCTCGGACATGGCGTGGGCTCATATGATCGCCTTCGCATATTAAAACGTCGCAGCCACGCATGCCAATTCAGATCACCCGCTGTTTTTGGTATTTACAGTTTATTCTACACCCACGAAATCCACCTTGGTATCGTGATCCCAAGCCATATATTGTTTTTCTCCCAACACCTGTCCCCATTTTGTCACTTGAGCGCTGAGAGTACGCACTAAAGGCACATTTGTATATTTCTTGTGTGTATCAACAGACACGGCAGTGGTGCCAGCCTCGTTGTTGGATGCGGGAGTCAGTTGTGCTCAATATTTTTTAATATGTGTCATATGCGGGTCATTCGAGCACTGGGCCAATATGTCTGCTCCGGGAAGAGACTCGATAATGAAGGCTGTGCTCTGGGTTCACTCGGCCAAATAGCACACCTGCTTTTCTGTTTACCAGGGACCTTAATCCAAAGGCAGCACTGACCGGTGCCAGCTTTTTTTTTTTAAAACGCCGACCAACCGATCTCTCCGTGACAACGAAGCTTGCCTACAAACAGACTAATATTCCAAACATACAATAATCTGTAGAAACCCTACTCAATTCCATTATTCCTTCTTCTCACAGATGCGCAGCCTTCTAGTTCTGGCAGCGCTCTCTTCAGCAGCGCTTTTCTCCAGCACATTTGCAGCGCCGAACTACAACGAAGTCAACGATGATGCTCGGCCAACCACCGCACTTGTAATCACATCCATAGCGCCTGCGCTCTCCTCTGCCATGCCCCAGGCCAGTGCCGAAGCCGGTACTGCTACTAGCATGGCGCCTAATATTGTGTACGTGACAGTGACACAGACAGTCAACGTCGATGCTCTGTGCGGCGAGTCCTCGGGCAAGCAGCTCTGGGTCAGCACGCCAGCGACAACGCACATGCCCGTGGCACCGACACGGCTGCCGCAGCCGCCCAGCGGCGTCGACACGCCCAGCGGCAAGGACCGGCCGAACAGCGAGCAGCGCGAAAGCAGCCCGGATTTCTTCACACAAGTGTCTTCACCTGACTCTCCTGAAGAATCCTCGCTTATCCGTTCCCAGGACAGCTCGCACAGTGGCGTTGAAAGCGACTCGCGCGCAATCCTGGCGCCCTTGGACCCGCACCAACAGAGCCCGCTGGACACCAACCAGAGGCTTCTGTATAGGAACGCCGACAATTCGTATGTGCCCAATGCGGGACTGTTCGATCAGTCGCAGATCAAGCGGCCGTTCCAGACAAACCGCTGGTGGCAGAACCTGGTTGTCGAGGACGGCACTAATCCGATTCACGTGTACCCGTATATGGTCAAGTGTCTGAGCAACTCGTCTATCATCGGGTTCCCAAAGTTCCAGGCAACCGAAACAGCCATGACCAGCTCGCAGTCGCCCGACTGGACGCTTGATGACGCCAACGGACGGCTGTCGCAGCGCCTGGTGACTGGATACGATGATCTGGGCGTGTATGTTGGGTGGTCGGGCTCGGGCCCTATCATGCGGTCGCGGTTCTTCAAGGGCATGCCGTTTGTGACGTACGAAATGGTGTCAATAACCCCGCGACTGTCAACCATCCACGCAGTGATAAAGACCGAGCTCCTATCGCACTCGGTCGGCAGTAACGGCGTGCGCACACTCAAGGATATTGCCAAGTTGACACGCTCAATGACGGAGTTGCCAGGGCTGACCAAGATCACGCTCAACGACAACTCAAAGTGGCTGGTGGTATCCAAGCCCGCCATTACGTGGCAGCAAAGCGGCAATGTACTCAAGGGCCCGGACAACTTCAAAGGCACCGTGCAGCTGGCGCACCTAGGCGACAATCCCGACGACAACATCAATATTCTGCAGAAGTACGCCGGCACATATGCCACGGAGGGCACAGTCACCTATACGAAGATCCAGGATAAGATGACCGTGGGCCGCTCATCGGATCTTGTGTTCTTCTACAAGACAAATAGCGACGAGGGCGGCTCAACCGACCGCATCCGTGCAGCTAATGAGGCGTCGACGCAGCTGGAGCTACTCAGCTTCATGCTGCCGCACCACATGGACTCGCTGAACAGCACGGCGGTCACCAAGGAGGACCTGTCGGGGTACCGGTGCGCCAAGGGGCCGTTGACGGCCGTTGTTGGCAATATGATAATCATCAACCAGCCATTGGAGCCCGTCGACTACGAGGGCCAGAACAAGCTGACGACGGCCGACCAGGACTCGATCAAGCAGCAGCTGCTTATCGACGCATCCACCGGCAATCAACGTCACAGCCCCCGATCCTTACTTCTTCGGCAAGGGCCTGGCGCGCGTGGCGCGGCTCTACCAGATCGCGCAGGAAGTCAAGGACACTGCGACCGCCGACCAGCTACGCGACCGACTGGTGCAGCTGATGACGCCGTGGCTGATATCGTTCAATAACGAGGACCCGCTTGTCTATGACCAGACGTGGGGCGGCATTGTGTCGACCAAGGGCCTGACTGACCCGGGAGCAGACTTTGGCCAGGGCCGCTACAACGACCACCACTTCCACTACGGCTACTTCCTGTACGCCGGGGCCATCCTGGCCAAGCACGACGTGAGCGCCTTCTCGCCCTTCAAGGAGCCGCTAAACCAGCTGCTGCGCGACTACGCCAACCCGACCTACAAGGACGACTATTTCCCGTACATGCGGCATTTCGACCCCTACGACGGCCACTCGTGGGCTGCTGGTCTGTTCCCGTTCGCCGACGGCCGCAACCAAGAGTCAACGGGCGAGGCCATCAATGCCTACTATGGCGCATTCCTGTACGCCAAATCCCTGGGACTCTCCGATGTCGCTGACTTCTATGAAATCATTCTGAACCTTGAGGCCACGTCGGGCCGGCGCTACTGGCATCCAACATTGGCACAGGCGCGCGCCCAGTACATTGCCCCGTTCACCCACAACGCTGTGGGAATTCTGTGGTCGGGCAAGGCCGATTTCGCCACGTTCTTTGGCGCTGACTCGGAGTTCATTTTTGGCATCCAAATGATTCCCTTCACGCCTGCCACACGCATGCTGCTCAAGCCCGACTGGGTCAAGGAGGCGTGGTGTCCCGACGGCTCCACGTGCGCTGGCGGCATGAAGCCCGCCGCCGAGCACGCCAACAAGAACGGCTGGGCACAGTTCCTCTACACGGCCCTGTCGGTGGTTGACCGCAGCACTGCGCTGGCCAATGTCAAGAAATGCACGCCGGATGATGGCAACACGCTGACAAACGTCCTGCACTGGATCGCTACCAGCGGCCAGGAGGCTGCTCCAGGCACCGCTGCTCGCCGGTAGCCACCCTGTCGCGCGTCTATATGGTTAATCTTCAATTCCCCTGTCACTATTAAATCAACTTGCTCTCGAAACGAAGGATCCGAGCACACAATACCTGTCCAGAGTTAATCGCAGGGAGCCTATCGCAGCCCCTGACGGGGCGATCTCCTGTCCTTCCTCCTGAAGCGCAGGCTCACAGGCTGCTTGCTGGGGTTCTAATTTCGCTCACACTCATTTTGAGACGCCGCTATCACCAACAACAAAAACGGCCAAATGCAGCGATCGCCAGGACCATTCGCGGCATGAAAAGCACAGTGGAAGAATAAATTTAATGCTGTACAAAGAAAGTTGCCAAAAAACGATTGCGTGTCCAGCCGGGAGGGGAGCAGCAGCTTAGGCGGCCGTACATCCATACAGGTAGTGGTTCCTGGCGTGCTGCTCGGTGCGGAACGACTTGTGACACAGCTCGCACTGCGTGGGCACGGCCTCCTTGCCCAGCCCGCACATGCGCTCGTGCCAGACCAGCGACGATTCCGGGGCAACCGAGATATTGCAGAACTTGCACCGGCCACTGCACGCACTCTCCGGCGCATGCTCGGCTTCCACGTCCTGCCACGAGATCCCGCCCGACGATGACTGCGACCACGGCCGCGGTTTGCGTCGCAGGGAGCTGGACTTTGCCTGCGCATTGTCCGCTGGCCGGCACGACGCAGCCATGCACATAGCCGTTGCGTTGTCGTCGGAATCGTACATGTCGATGTAGTTTGCTGGCGGCTCGGTCTTTGGCTGGCTACGCGAGTAGCCGAACGACAGGAACCTCTTCAACGAATGCATTTGCAAATGAAGGCAGTGACGGGTATATAAAATTTGGTGTACCTCGATAAGGTGAAAAAAATATCAGGTGAGCAAGCGGGGTGGGGGAGAAAGAGGGTTTTTATGAGCTGCTTGCTTTCTCTCCCCTCACGTCTCCATCACACGCCCCCTGGTGTGCTGGTGATACCGAATCACGGAAAGAGGAAAATGCGCAATGCTGGCTGACACCTTTACTCGCTAAGGCCATTTGGCCACTGCAAGGCCAGACATCCGCCTCCCCTCCTCCAAAAAGAGCCATCACTATGCCAGCTTCATAGTCGGAAAAGCCAAAGAACCGCGCCGAATGCCTATTGACCTTTTTTTATTCGCGCCAGCCTAGCCATCTGTGTTCTGTGCATGTAGCTGCGGTCTCGCTCAGTCGCCCATTGCCTCAACTGGGGGATGCTGGTGGAAAGCAGAGCTTGCCTGTCCTACAGGATGGAATTGATTACCAATATACAGAGACTGTGCACTCCTCCCCCTTTATTGCCTGACAACGGCTGCTGACTGAGCGATACACAGCGCATGGAGCTTGAAATAGGACCTGTGCTACCTTCCCAAATCTAGTGCCGGGATCTTCCGCTATCAGGGTGTTTCGCGATTACCAGCACGCTTCGGGGTGGATCGGCTCCTGCCCAACTCTGGGTTTCTGGCAAGTAGCGTATCGATACTGTCCCTCTCCTTTCCTTGCTCACCCGTGCTTTCCAGTCTACCGGAACACCATAGGCACCATTGTGTTCACCGTGTCCAGCCTGTTCTCCGACCGGTCAGATCTGCCGTTCATGGAAGAGCTCTCGATCCACGCAATACGCTCGGCCTTTGCTTTGTAGCTACTCCAGCCAATGCTCACAGTCTGGTCCTTAAAATACCACCCGGCTGTATTAGGCGATACATAAGGAAAGCAAACTTGCAAAAATGCGCTCATAATGCCCGCACTCGGTGGAATTTCCCCCAGCTGCTACACAGCTACTGCAACTCCTTGTGTCACTATTGATTCACTGGGGGCTGGCCTGTTGGAAGTGTGTTGCGATATGCTGATTTGTGATAGACCGACGCTGGCCTGCGCAATGGTGCTGTACGAGTCCTCCCAAGTTCCTCTACTCAAACACCTGTGTTCCTCTTCAGCCAGCCTGCGCTTCCTAATTTTAAAGTACGCCGTAACAGAAATGCCAACAGCGACCATGATCGCTATTGGCACACACAGCGCCACGGCCAGCATGTCCAGTACACTAAAAGTCGACTTTTCGATCGTGCTGATAATATCAGAATGATCAGTGTCGATATCTGTCTGACTAGGCAAACACCCCGGCGCTCTTGTTGCCACAGGATACCCGGTATTACGCAAGTCCCCAGTCTGCCCCATGACATACGGGTTGCGCGAGTCCGGACCACACCAGGTTCTGCATGTTGCCGCCAAAAGTCCGTGTACCTGGCGTCGCTGTCCGTCCACGGCTTTGTCATCCCAGGCATGCCGACCAGCACCACGGGAGACACGATCGAGTAGTCTGGTGGCGAATGGTATGAACTGCGGAAGATTGATGTAGTAGTGGTAGCATTGGGTGGCACCGCACATGCTATTGCCGTATACCGAACTGTGGCAGTACAGTGCTGTTGCTGCCGCTGCACTAATACCGTTAATTTCGTATACCAGTCCTATACGGCAGTGTGCATGCCCGACTGCCGATTGGCGACGGTGGTGGCTGACAGTGAGGTGCACGAGAGGTACAACGCGTTGGCATTATACAAGGCTTGATGCACTGGCTGCAATTCTCTGTGGCTGCCTGCAATGTCTTGGCTAATGTATTGCCCCACTGCACCTTGTCTACATTATCGAGCTGGTGGTACATATACAGAAGTGATCCGTATGAACCGCTGGTTGCATTTCTAACCAGTCCGCCTTGCTGATCTATGGTTATTTTGGTCCCCAAACTGCACTACCACAATGTTGTTGGCCTATGTTGGAGGATGTCGAAGTTTGGAATGAATCGTGATTTTTGTGACCGGCCGCAGACTCGGTTTTCCCACTAGTGTCAACCAGCGAGGCCCTGTAGCTGCGGGTGTCGGTGGCCTGCACAGTAGAGTTCAATCTTAAACAGGCTGCAACAATCAAACCCTGAGGCGCTATCGATCAGCGCAATATCGCATGTGGTTGGTGCACAGTTCCCTCACTAACATGGCGCCGACTGTGATTCGTGACAAGTCATAATCATTAGTGGTGTCCTGATCACTGGACCTTGCGGATACTTGACTGTAGAATAGCATGTTTTACTGGACATGAAGAGTGTGAATAAGAAGGGTGATGCGAGAATGGAAATGAGTACGAATCTCATTATAAAGACATTAAAAGGAAGGTGTGTGTGCTGAAGTGGGGTGGAAGCGACAAATGGCCATATTGCAGAAGTTCAAGTTCCCGAACAGAGCTGCGATATACACGCTGGGATACTCGGTGTACATGCCACTCTTCCTTGGGATGTATCAGAGTGGCAGGCAAAAAGAACGTGTTGCCACGGGCTTCTCATGTGAGCCGACTCCTCTTTCTCTAAATTCGGGTTATAGAAATAGAACAAAGAGCCCTTTCTAAGGGAAGCGAGCTGTATTATTCCTTTCCCGAGGAGCACCAGGGTCGCTGAGTGCCAACCTGTCAAAAGCGAGTCTCCTGGTACTGAAATCACGGGCGGTTGTGCGGTGGGGCAAAATATATGAATCTCCATTTCATTCCACCACAGGATATGTATATCCAGAGTCGCCCACTGGGGACAGTGTATTTCCATAGCCAGTTTGACTATCCGGAAATAGATATCTATTGTGTGAGGATGCCCTCCAGACAGACGATTACCTAGGGAGCGCGAATTGGCTAAAGATAATTGACTGGGCTATTTTTGCGACCTGTTTTGGCCAGTAGTTAACAAAACACCATTGGTTTCTAATACCTTTTAGGGACAGCACAGATCACCACAGCGGTTGGTCAGCTTGGTATAAACCACATCAATCTCCCTTCTTTCCATCTGTCCAAGCTAGACAAGTGGCACGGTAAATACTACAATATGTTTGCAATGTATAGTAAATACCAAAGCAGAAATGGCCTATTCGAGACTCTTTGTAATTTCGGCCAGCAGAGTTGAAAAAGTCGAATGGAGCGTACCGGTCATTGATGCTATCATAGGTTGGTGGCTCCTCAGTCCCCGTGGATCTCTGCCTGGAAAGCTCCATCGATGTCGGCCCAGCAAGGTCCAAAGCGACTGTGCGCGTATTTTCTGCCTGTAACTGGGAGTCATAGACTTGATTAGCTTGTCTGCGTCTACACCATTTGAGCCTAGAAAGACAACCAAAAAGATGAAAATCAGGCTGGCAGGTACGCAGACAGCAATGGCAATAGCTTCGCTCCGAGAGATGCCGCTGTTCTCATTGGAGGTTTGCTGCAGGGGTTCCAGGTTCAGTTGCGGCATCTGTAACCCGTATGCCACCAGCACCAGCACCAGCCTCTATTGCAGCATTGGCGCTAAGCACGCCCTCATCAACAGCAGTCGTATTCACCGTACCATCTTCGTGTAGGACAGGTGCTGTGGCTTTTTGGACACCCTGTAGCGTGTAAAGGTCGCCACAAACAGCGCCTGTAGCCATCGATGGTGGCTGAGTCAGGAATTGTCATCGAGTAGCTTGCTGGAGGTGTGGAGTTTCCTGATTTATTTCCCGTACCGCGTCTGATTACGTTACCAAGCACGCCTTTGGCCCAGTTGAAGTGATATGCTATACTGCGTAATGGCAATATTGCTGGCGAATGAAATAGGGGCGTAGCGTGGGTGTACGCTGATCCTCTCCGTTGTGAACCTTAATGGCTTGTTTGCTGCGTTGGCGCTAACATACACCCCGTACTTTGTAGCATTGTTGACGCTGTTTCCAATGTAGTCCAGGCAGCTGGCCGCAAGAAACCCAGGTTGGCTGTTCAGAAGTGCTAGCTGGCACGAGGTTTGCGTGCTGTTCTTGACAAACACGCCTCCTAGAACACTATCCATATCCGCATGGTTGGCTCGCTTGAGGATGGTATTGACGCGGGTTTGACCTTGGCTATCTGCCATCGCTAGCTGGACCGAATGTATCAATACAGTGATGGCAGAAAAGAGTGGCAGCAACACCATTTCCTGGGCCTGAATATTGGGTTTAAATATAACCCATTACTGAGAAATGGGAGGATAGCCTGATACCCGGTAAAATGGTATGCACAAATTCAACAGCGAAAGCAGCGGGTGTTTCAGGGAGAGGGATTAAATCGAGGGCAATTTTCTGTTAGCCGAGCGAAATGGCCACTTTTAAGACTCTCGAAAGATTCTAGCCAAGAAAATATTAGCAACCTTGGGCCTATCAATAGCATCCTGCATCAACTACAACTGTATATGGGCAGGTATCTAAACAGAAGCTACAACACGATGCGGATCTTGGCCTCATCATGCACAGCACGTGTCTGGTTGTAGTGAGGGAAATTATCCAGTGCAGGCGCGCTAAACAAGCAGGGTTTACTAATCTACAAGGGCGCTGTATCCAGAGATGATGGGCTTTAATAGAAAAGGAAAAGCATGTCGGTATAATATGTAAATGACACAGGATCAAACATAATTTTGTCTAAGATACTCCGAGTATATGCAAATCTATTCAATGAATTAGCGGAATATAGGTAAAAGGGCCATAGAGTAGTTAAGAACCCTTCATGACTTCGGAAATAGCACTAGGAAATGCTAACGCAGAGTTGTGCTCGTACATACTCTCATACCTGGGCGGGGCCTCGGCGTACACAGATGTCGCCCCAGGAATATCCAATGCAGCCGTGCGTAGGTTTTCCGTCTCTAGCTGTGGGTCCCAGCTGCGTGATGCCTGCCTGCGCTTGCGCCATTTGAGCCCGAAGAACACCGCCAAGAAGATGATGATCAGACCAGCAGGCACACAGACGGCAATGGCAATGATTTCGCCCCGGGAAATACTCTTGCTTTCACTGGGAGCAACAGGTTCAGAGACGCCTGCAAAAATACCCTCTTCCAATCAGGTCGAGTGCAGATTCCAAATCTATCGCAAAGTCCGCACTCAGGAAGTCCAGGCTATCTGATTCTGTCGTTGAGGGGTTGTCATCTGGCATAACAGGGACCGGAATCGTTCTTAACGCCCTGTAGGAAATAGAGGTCTCCTCCAATAGCCGAGTAACCAGAGATGGTGGTCGAGTCCGGATGTCTCATTGCATAGTCAGCAGGAACGGTGACCTTGATGTCTCGGTTTTTTGTGCCGCGCCGAATAACGTTACCAAGAACCTTCTTGCCCCAGTTGAAGTAACTCGCAAGCATCGTATAGTAGTGTAGCTGTTTGCTGTTGCCGCAAATATCAGTACCATGTACAACAGAATGGCTATATATACCGGCAATTGTGAGTTTTGAATCAATGGCACCATATACTGTGCCATACGGCACCGTGCAGCCTTCGGTGTAAATAGATCGCACTGCTCTGTTGTTGCACATCCAGTCCCTTTTGTTATTGGAAAAGACGTTGGACCAGGAACTGCACTGGCCATCAGATGCCTTGACAGAAGTAACCTCAGGCTCGTACCACTCCATAGTGGTGAGGTTCTTTAACGCACGGCGAATGAAATAGACATCAGCATACTCTGTCACATTGACACCTAGCGTCAGATTCCAGGTCATTCCAGACGATATGTTGTACTGGATAATGGCCACATTGTTGGTGAATGTGTCGGGGTCGTAGCTGGGGTGAACATCAATCTTCTCTGACATGAACCTTAGCGGTTTAGAAGTAGAGTTATTGCTCACATAAACCTCGTACGTTGTGCCATTATTGATCCGATTTCCGGATGTAGTCCAGACAGCTTGCTGCGACGAAGCCAGTCCGGCTATTCAGGAGCGCTAGCTGGCATGATGTTTGTGTGCCGTTTTTGACCAGTACGCCACCCAGATAACTATCCATATATACACGACTGCTACGTATCTGGACACCCGCCTGTATCGCTGGAGTTTCGTGATCAGCCGATACCCGTTGGAGCATTAAGGTCAAGAAGGCAGCAAAGCAATAGAGGAAAAGCAGCATCATGCACTAGGCTGAATGAGGCAAGGGGTTGTTAGAGAAGGCTAGATACACAAAACTTAGGTGTAAGGGAGCTGAATAACCAACATAAATCGACAGGGCAGTAAAAGGACAAAGTAAATAGAGAGGGATCGCGGGCGTGGGGAATGCATGAGATACGCTCAATGCCAAAACTCCAAAGGCTGCGCTGTTTGTTTGTTTCTCACAACTACAGACTGGCCGGTACAGGAATGATTGCCCCCATTTACATTCCAGAAATTTTCTAGCCAACAACACGGCCATTTTAGACCTCCCTTTTCTTGGCACAGGGTTTACGAGGAAAGGGACATGGCTATCGCCACGGTACTCACCATGTCCTTTTGCGATCAGTGGGCGCATTACCTCTGGAATGGGTAGGTTGCTTCGTCTGAAGGGAGAGGCGCCTGCCTATATTTGTGCAGTGGCAGGAGTAGGGAATTTGGGGTGCAAACTGTTGGCACAGAGATATATCATACCGAATACATGTCTATCGTGTCAGGGATGAAACACAAACACCTTACTACCACCCCAATATTTGATGTTGGCTGGCTCTATGTGTGCTGGCTATCCGTGCATGTGTGATGCTCATGCTCTGCAGCTAAATTGCTTCTAGTGGTCACAATACGTCTTTCTATATGCACACAAGTGCACAAGAGTACCAGCAAGCAGCGCTGCTCACTTCTTGATGTCGGTCATGCCGAGGGGAAATCAAAGCAGCATTCCTTTAGCACCACCCATGCTACTACGCATGGCCGCAATGCTAATGAACACAACGCGGAAAACGAGTGTGCAGCACTGATGTGTAGCAGCAATCGCGACCAGCATATGATTGCCGTCCCTTTTATGTTTGCTACTTTCTAGCCATGGGGATCCGAAGAATATCCCTGAAACCGTGGTCTAGTACACAAAGCACAGATAAATATAATTGGACTGGTCAGGATCTATGGCTGTCACTACTACTTGGTTTTATCGTGCTAGTCCTTACCTCTCTTCCGCACCCCCGTCGTACACAACCATCATCCTTATCCGCATCACGCTATGAACCCTCAGCTATCATTCATTTATTTTTCCCTACTTTTTCTCACATCTAATGCCCTTAATTACCCACTTGTGAGGCGCGAGACATCGGTTGCCAGAGTTCGTGAATTTCATGGTGCTGTGCTGCTGAAGAACGGAAAGCAAACTTCATGCGAGCTTGCCTTGATGCACAACAAAGCCGCGTTCGTTCCAGCCAGCTGCTTTGATATCGACTCTTCGAACAACGTCAACGATGTATCCCCGTACGAAGTGGCTCTCGATGCTGGCGGGACTCCTATCACTCGGGAGACAGTCACTGTTGACAAGGTTATTATCAACCCACGTTACAATCCTACGACCTACGCGAATAATGTCGCAGTTATTTTCTTTAACTCGCAAGCCAAGGAGGAATGGAGCAACTATATTGACAGATACCCGCAAGAGCTGACTGACCGCGCCTACGTCCGCCGCTCGATGAACGATGAGGAAAAGAAGTCATGGAATGCACCCGCTGTTGTAAACGATGTGAAAAACGACGAGGGGTGCAAACAAGCGTCGGCTCAATTTGCCTCCAACCCTGCAGACCTCTGGTGCAGCCCAATGTCAGTGACTTCTCCAGTAGGAGGATCCTGCCATGTACCATATGGAATCGTGTACGGAATTGTCGGCTCGGACATGGTGGTTACGGCCATGTACAGCCACTCAGCCGTCTATGGAAACGACATGTGCGGCGACTCGAAGGCGTACCACTACTACACAGTACTGTCGAACTACCTCAACTGGGCTGTCTCGGTTGTCCCTGGCGGATTTGCTATCTTCTCCAGTGATGGCCAGTACTCTGCCAGCGATGATCCAAACTACGGGATACAGGATTCAAATGGTTCAAGCCCCAATGGCGTCAACGTTGTTGGTGGGGATTTGTATGCTCGCATCCCAAAGGCGGACTCTAAAGCTACCTCTAGCCTCCCCAGTACCAGCACAAGCACAAGCACTGAGCCGTCGTCAGCTAGCAGTACCTCTTCCCACGATTCGTCGCATTCATTGTCAGTCGCCTCTAGTGACAGTGATGAGAGCTCAGAAGAAGACTCGCTTTCTCACAAGACGTCCACATCCAACAGTTCCACTGGCAGTGCCTCCTCGACATACTTTAGCACCCAGCCCACGGAGTCGTCAAATAGTACTCCAACTAGTGGAATGCTGGAATCAAAGTCACCATCCAATCTCAGCAAGGAGTGAGGTCATTGCTCTGGCAGTAAGCGTCCCGCTTGCCATGATCATTGTTGCTATCGTGCTGTTCCTCCTGTACAAGCGCTGGCGGAGGCACAGGAATTCTGCTTCCTGGGACCCGAACAGCGAAAATCATACAATTCGCGCGATCGCCCTCGACCTTGATCAGCCAAATGCAACCAACGGCCGTCCCCCAACGTATGCAAGCGCAGATGGTGAGGACTTTGCAGTTTTCAATTTCAACAGAAAGGCATGAGGAATGTCCAAAACAATAAACCAACTATTACACTTGTCAGAAGGCTGAATGCGCTTTCCTCTACAGGCGTTTGAAGACCGGGCAGTTTCAATGGGGAGGACTGCATATGCTTGATGGGGAGTTCCAGCTCCGCTCTTGCTCTGGGGCGACTGGAATACGGATTCCCTGAAACGATGCAGGCAAGGAGACGCTTAAAGGGGATCTATAAATAGTGCGTCTTTGCGCGATGCGCGGATCCATGTTCATTTCAATATATCGCGCATGCCGTGAATAGCCGATCCAAAAATCGGCCTTTGCTTGCTGCCTTTCCAGGACCCGGAAACCTGCAACGGCTGAAAGCGCGCTCACTTCCCCATTGGGGATCTCGATTTGCCGCTGGCGCAGACCCGGACAAGCTGCTGTGTTCAAAAGTCGCATTGAGCTCCATGCTTCCACTCAAGCATGGTCCGAGCCAGTGGTAGGCTGAGCTGGTGTAGAATCTGGCAGCCTTTCTGTGCTGGAAGCACCCAAGACACCGCCCATATGTGAAGTGTTCTCCATGCCATCGATATGGAGCGTGTATGTAGTAGGTCTTGCTATGGACAACACAAACAGCATATCTGATACACATAGCCAACACGCATGTGTGAAATCGATGAGATCTTCCTTTTGTGGTGTGTCAAAGTAGACGAGCAGGTTTTATACGAATGATCATTTCTATGGATTCATCAGCATATACGCCCAAATACACTGAGAGTGAAAGGAATGTGGAAAGCTGATAATCCAATGCAACACAATCAATAATGGCTTAGATGGCAAGGAAGGACATATTTGTGTGTGAAGCGCAATGTAATCAGCTGATAGCATAACATGGAACTAGAGGGCACAGTGTATGGATCAGTATATAAACAGACAGCCGCTATCAAAACAGGCATCTTTGGTAGTGCCGCTGCTCTGGCAATGGTATCGTTCACCCTAGTCCAATACTGCAGAAAGCGGGCGTATCTTCTGGAGGTGAACAGATTGCATCTGAAACTATACCGGAAATAGACTGGGCATCCTATACATATGACGCAATCTTACTGACGCACGAGGATATTCTGGGAGCAGGGTAGCCTGTAAGGATACCAATCTAGAACCTAGAAATGTAGTGGAATCTTAGCCGTGGACCTCTTGGAATCGACGAAAAGATATAAATAAATAGGAGCACTGCTCGCTTGGAAATAGCTTGGAGCACGGTAAGCGTGCTTTCTGACATTTGTATTCTTTCTGGAAGTGCAAAGAAAGATTGTCGACTCGAATCTTGGTATGCATGATCTAGTATACCCCCTCATTTCCGGCCACGAATGCAATTTGTTTTGGTTTTTTCTGCCTACTGATATTATTAAAGGAGCTAGCAAAATCTCGACAGGTATTTCGCACATTTTGCAAAATTTCTCTCCAACTTCCCTTTTTCATTTGTATCTTTTTTCTTCTGTAGCATTGGCTGCAATTGCATTCACTAGTCAAAACACCACATATTCATTGTTTCTGCATTGTTTCTGTTTATGCCTACTAGCTTAGGCTCAACGTCGTTATGAAACACGCCGGTATCACATCCTATTACCATGCTCTTGCTTACTCTGCTCCTTTTCGTGACGGTGTTTGCCCATGCTCAGGAAAAGGACCAGAATAGTGGCGCTGCGGTAAACATCAAACAGCTCCGCGGTGCAGTCCTATTCAAACAAGGGCTCCAGACAACATGCGAGGTTGCTCTAATCGACAGCGGCGCGGGGTTTGTCGCTGCTAATTGCTTTGAGCTGGACGACAGTAGTTCGGTAAAGGGACATTGGCGCATACTCTGTGGCGGTGGATAGTGGAGAGAATTCAAAGTTGGGGGTATACGATGTCACTTCTATCAATGTGCACCCTGGCTACCAGCCGCAGTCAGTGGCAAACAATATTGCGATCATCCAGTTCGCCGGTAAGCAGCAAAAAATCATGGACCAACGCCGTTGGAATAAACCCTCGCGAGTATACAAACCATGTTTTTGTCCGCCGAGTATCCAAAGACGTGGCCGGAGAGACGTGGGTCACCCCATCAAAGAAGTCGTCGGTCTATCCAGCCCGATGGATGTGCTGATGCCTCGCCGATGTTCGCCACAAACACTGGCGATTACTGGTGCAATTCCTTGAAAATGGACGCAGTTGGAGGGACAAACTGCTCCATGCCATTTGGTACCGCATACGGGTCTGTCAACAACACTCTAGCCATGGTGGCCTTATATAGCCACTCTGCCGTCTATGGTGACGATTTTTGTGGGGGCAGTGACCAGTTCCACTACTACACCCTACTTGCAAACTATACTGCATTTGCCTCGGGAGTGCTTGAGCGCCCGATTAGCGTCTTCTCAGGCAAAGCAAACCCGTTGGTGACCCGCAGTCCAGTCTATTCAGTGTACGTTCCGCGTTATCATAGTGTCGAGGGCGTGAACGTTATCGGGGGGAACCAGTTCGTCCGACAAGGTAGCACCAGCACCAGCACCAGCACTAGCCCTAGCACCTTCACTGACTCGACGCCGACGATCCAGGCGTCTCAAGAAAATCAAAAAGTGAATGGCAAGCTGACAAAATCCGAGATAATCGGGCTGGCAGTGGGTGTCCCTGTCGCTTCAGTTGTGCTGGTTGTCGCGTTTATATTCCTCTATAGGTGGTGGAAAAAACGGCATACTTTTGAAGCGCAGTGGGAGCCGGATGATACGAGCATGCTTCAGCGCCGATCTGTTCCAATGAACCAGGTTGGATATACCGGAAGAGCTGAGGATTCCAGTCCAACCTACAATGCGCTGCAATTCAGGTCCTAGAGCCCCTCAAAAATATAATGTATTACCATTACAAGTACAGATACATGTCGACAGTGGGCTAAGGGTAGCACCTAGACCACGCTATTTTCCTCACTCGCTATTTTCAGCAGTCAATCGCAGAAATTTCTTGGGCCTGCACAGATGAGCCTCCATTAGCTGCAACCAGGCTGTTTACGCCAACAAACAAGAGCTTTCTCATGGACCCCGTTTTCAGCTCATTTGCGCTACCACTTTCAAATGCATCGGATGATATGACGTGCATGTGGGGATCGTTTTTTTGAGACTGTCAGCAAGATTCACCCATGTTTTTGTAGCAAATGCCAAGAGGCGAGGTGGTGATGGGGATGGCAGGCAATCCCCTCAGATGCATAATCTAGCAATGTCCGTTGAGTCCAGGGGATTCACACCGCTATGCAGTCATCGCATAAGGCGATTTCTGCGCTTTCTTGTGAAGGAAATGAGCAAGGTTTGGGTGGGCTCGGAGTTGCCAGTGGGCCTTTCCAAGTGCTCGTTAGCCGTGCTGCCTGGGCGTTTACCGTGTTCCTAAAAGCAGGATGTCCACTCCACCCAGGCTCCAACAAGGTTGGTGTTTGCAGCTCTTCACCATAGCAACATCCATCTATCTCTCGCTCTGTATTCTTCCACTCTGTTTCCCCCGATACCTTCCTACTAATATCTTTTCCAGTCTGACTCTAGAGGATGAATCTGCAACTCCTCTGCTCTGCTATCGCTTTAATGGGGCAGGCCATCCAACCGGTAGCGGCAAATGGCCAAAGCTCCCTTGGTACCACTAATATCGAGAAGCGCTACAACTTTGCGGACATGGACCAGTTCTTTGGTGGCGTGCTTGTCAAGAATGGCACACAGACATCGTGCCAGTTGGCGCTTCTGAACAACCAGGCTGGTCTGGTTGCCGCTAACTGCCTGGACTACATTGGAAACAGCGTGAACAATGCTACAAAGTATGAGGTGTATGTGAGCGGCACCCCAAAGGGTCAAGCCGTCAAAGTTCACATCAGAGAAAATTAACGTTCATGCCTGGCTACGATCCGATCTCGCTGGCCAACAATGTCGCCATTATACAGTACAACATCTCGACAAGCTTCAGCTGGGACTTTACACTTGGCGTCAATGTTACAGAGTACACCGATGTGTACTTTGTGCGCCGCTCGCTGAAAAACCTTACAGCTATGGAGTGGTATCCAAATGACGTTGTCTCGGTCAAGGCATCCGACAGCCAGTGCAGCTCCTGGTCAAACGTCTTTTCGGAAAACAAAGGGGACTGGATGTGTAATAACAAAACCACCGAGTCGATATTTACCAGCAAGTGCAATGTGCCGTATGGTACGGTCTACGGCATCATGGGAAAGACATACACGCTTGCTGGCGTTTACAGCCACACAGTGGTCCGCGGTGATAATGTGTGCAGCGACAGCAAGCAGCTCCAGTACTACACGATGTTTGCAAACTACTTCAACTGGGCAAAGAGTGTCCTTGGATATTCCATACGGCGCGGAACAAAGAACAAGGACAAGAGCACCACCGTTCCTGCCGACTTCTCGATGCGGCGTCCGGACTCGATCACCATATCTGGCTACTCGGCTATTGGAGGAGACCTCTACTTCCTACAGGGTGTTAAGAACCATTCGGTTCCCGTTATGGCGGATGAGAGCTCCACTAAGGCAGATCCTGGTGATGAAAGCTTCTTGAGTGCTGACACTGGGATTGAGTATGGATCTGCACTAGAGCCGGTGGAAGGGGATACCTTTGTGAGCGGTTCGGAGCCTGTTGCTCCCAGCGAAAGCAAGAGTATTTCCCGGGGCGAGATCATTGCCATTGCCGTCTGTGTGCCTGCCGGTCTGATCATCATCTTCTTGGCGGTGTTCTTCGGGCTCAAATGGCGCAAGCGCAGACAAGCATCACGCAGCTGGGACCCACAGCTAGAGACGGAAAACCTACGCACGGTTGCATTGGATATCCCTGGTGCAACATCAGTGGACGCCGAGGCCCCGCCCAGGTATGAGAGTATGCACGAGCGCAACTCGGCGCTAGCGTTTGCTAGTGCTATTTCCGAAGTCACAAAGAGCCCCTAATTGACTATTTACCATTCTAATTTGTTTTGCATTTTCTCTTTTCGTATAATATCCCAGCATTACCAAACAGCTATGGCGATATGCTCTACGCACCTTCATTTTGATATCCGCTCTGTCATGTAGCTGAGCACAGACTCAGTATGCGAGACATGCTAAGGTGCTTACATGACTTCAACATAGTTGCATATTCCTGTGTGTTAATGAGCACAAATGATGCCAGGTAAGCAGTTGAGTGATAACTTCACACAAAATTCATTTTTGCGGCTATATGCTTGCCACGCAGATCTGGCATATCGTTGGTGTTGACCAGAGCAAGTCCCACCACATGCATACTCGTCAGCGATAGCATCTAGATTGGGGCCAATCGATATCTCACAAACAATCCACAACAAGCCAGCCACTAGCAGAAACGGAGACTTCTTGCATGGCATTGGCATGGAGAACACCGCACACATGGGCGGTGTCTTGGGTGCTCCAGCACAGAAAGGCTGCCAGATTCTACACCAGCTCAGCCTACCACTGGCTCGGCCATGCTTGAGTGGGAAGCATGGAGCTCAATGCGACTTTTGAATACAGCAGCTTGTCCGGGTCTGCGCCAGCGGCAAATCGAGATCCCCAATGGGGAAGTGAGCGCGCTTTCAGCCGTTGCAGGTTTCCGGGTTCCGGAAAGGCAGCGAGCAAAGCCGATTTTTGGATCGGCTATTCACGGCATGCGCGATATATTGAAATGAACATGGATCCGCGCATCGCGCAAAGACGCACTATTTATAGATCCCCTTTAAGCGTCTCCTTGCCTGCATCGTTTCAGGGAATCCGTATTCCAGTCGCCCCAGAGCAAGAGCGGAGCTGGAACTCCCCATCAAGCATATGCAGTCCTCCCCATTGAAACTGCCCGGTCTTCAAACGCCTGTAGAGGAAAGCGCATTCAGCCTTCTGGCAGGTGCATGGGTTTGTTTATTGGTGTAAATCGCCCTATCCTTTTCTGGCGAACGAGAAGAAAGTAAATTCCTCGCCGTCAGTACTGACATATGTCGGTGGCCGAGCTCCAGCGGGGATAGACGAAGTAGGAATTTCAGGCTGACCGAGATCAAGTGCCATGGCGCGCATTGTGGCGGATTCTCTGTTCGGGTCCCAAGAAACTGTTTTCTTGTGCCTCTGCCAGCGCTTGTACAGGAAGAACAGCGCGACTATGAGAATAACCATTGCCAGAGGAATGCTTACAGCCATAGCAATGAATCTGGCCCTTCTTCAGCGTATCTGACGAATGGGAAGCCTGCGCATCGCCGGTCTGCTGGCTGCCATTGGTGGCTGAAGAGGACTCAACGCTGAGAAGCCCGTCATCGTCGGAATCATCATTGCCGGTGGACGTGGTGGATACTGTGGAGGTAGGAGTTTGCATCGACCCTGCCGTTACGAGCGTAAAGGTCACCGCTGATGAGGCTCACACCACGAGGGTTTGCGGCTGTCGCATTCTCAAATCCATACCAGTCGTCTTTGACAGCAGCAGTCTCTCCAGTGCTTGAGAATGTTGGGATCCGATTCGGTCACGACAGTGTTGGCCCATTCGAGGAAATTGGCCAGTACAATGTAGTAGTGGAATGACGTTGCGCTGCCGCACGAGTTGTTGCCGTAGACTGCCGAGTGGCTATACAGCGCCGTAAATGCAATGTCAGACTTGACAAGGCCGTAAACGACTCCATATGGCACAGCGCAGGTGCCGTTCACTGGAGAAGGTATTGTCGCTGTGCTGCACCAAAGATCGTCCCGGTTGGATGCATACTGGACCGATGCCTCCTCGCAGCCCTCATCGATCTTTGCTGCCGTTTGTGATTGCTGGGCTGTTCCATTCCTGCTTGCTAACATCGTCTCAGTGAGCGGCGAACGTAGGCGCGGTCAGTCAGCTCCTCTGGAAGCACGTCTACATGGTGTGGTCCACTTCTCCTTGGACTGCGAATTGAAAAAGACAATGGCCAGGTTGCTAACATAGTTGTCCTTTTGGTACTGAGGGTTGACAACAATCTTATCGATGTTGACTATCTCCTTGTTAGGAGGAGAGCCGCCAGCGTCTAGAGCAGCCTGATACCGGGTGATATCATCAACTTCGGAGCGCTTGTCGAGATTAATGCAACTAGCAGATACAAATGCCTGTCTGTTTGAAAGTAGAGCAAGTTCGCATGAGGTCTGCTTGCCGTCTATCAGAAGCACACCGCCGTGGAACTTGTTGATTTGAGCAACAGTTGTCTCGCGCTTCACCAGCGGAGAATTAAGGGCATTAGTCGTTAGAAATAACAGGGATAGGGCACTGGCTGCTCCTTTAATATTCATGTTGTTGGGTTAATAAAAAACGATACAGTGTAAAGGGAGACAGAAGGAAAAGGTAGCTACGAGAAGAAAGATGGATGTGAAAGTGATATCTCCCACAGTGGATGGCATTTGAATGTTTTGACAGGTCGAGAATCCAGGTGCAGATATGCGTCGTACAGGTCCACCCAGAGTCCTATTGATGATTGACATGGCTGGCTGGAAGTCGCTTGGCGAGGGGATGGCAATCGCTAGGTTGTCGCTTCGGCCACCATGCAGCTGAGGTCCAAAATCCCTATCCCCAACTGTTTGTGTCTGCATTTCTGCCAGGTGCATAGCTGCGAGTAAACCAGGCAGGAGGCCACTTGTAGCCTCTTTGCGGCAGGATATAAATCGGGATAGTGCCAAGAGCTCCTGTCCACAACTGGTCGCCAACACTATGACGGCCTGCCTGTACAAGTATTGTATCTTTCCACGCCAGCCAAGCCTTATAGAGCGTGATTACGCCTTGCATCCATTTTGCGTATGTATTCCAATGAACGCAGTCGTTTTTTTTCCCTTGAGAGCCAATTGTGTATGTAATAGCCTTACAGGCAGAGGACAGCATCACAAGTGCTGCAATATCTTTCTGTGCCAGAGGGCATGGAGGTATAGGGGATGGGGGTGACCCGTTGGAAACAAAATGCACCCAGATCAACTGTGGGGGTGTCCCTTATGTCACCTAAAATAGCATGCTGCCAAGCAGAGTATCGGAGATAGTGATGCAATCCCATCCCAGCATTTTTTGCACATGCCTATGCCGCTATAAAAAGATTATGTCAACCTGATGGCTGCATGCCTGGTTTTCTATTTTTAGAGGTATCCTGACCCCGATATCCACAGTGCTTCTATCACAATAAAGTCTTACCTCTGGCTTGGCAACATCAGAAGTGGCCATGCTACCATCGCTCTCCTCACCAGCGGTGCCTAGCCCTGAGTGGATGGACTTGGGTCGTTGTGGTTCGCAGCATAGGCGGTATACTTGACGAAGATCACCCCTGCGAATGCCAATCGTCTGCCTTTTCCGTCCATCTGCGAGCGCGACGGTCACTATCAAATGCCCTGGTTTGTCCATGCTATAGACCCACTCAAAGCTATAACAAACAGGGCTTCCAAACCAAGCGTGCAGTTTTGGCCACCTAGCTGCACATGGCCAGTGGAGTCCACGGCCCAGGGCATGCATCAAGTAGTGATGTAATTATCTGAGTCTAACAAAAATGAAAAATACACAAGAGCGAGTTCGTGCGGTCATGTGAACAAGCGTTGCTCGGGAGGTCTATATTACGCTTGTCGTGACAGCAGCGTGGACAGCGCGATGATGGTGGTGGTTATAGCGACGATAAACGCCAGAGCAATCAGGAGAGCACCTGACCACCGCAGCGGCCGGCGTTTCACCGCCAGCTGCGCATGTACATGAGCAAATGAAGCCATTGATGCCACAATAGTGACAGCCGCCAGGAAAGAACAGTAGCAGACCAAGGCCCGTGGTATGCTGGTCGACAAAGTCAGACAGCCAGTAGTAGAAGCGGGAAAACTCGATGTTATCTGGGAACGAGTTTCTTGAGCCATTAAAGTCGGCAAGCGCAGCCATGCCTGTGGCCATGATTGCAAGCCCAAGCCGGAACCAGCTCAGGAAGTTGCGCTCGGCCGCATAGAAATCGCGCGCAGTGCTGCCCTTGTTGTCTATCTCGCTCGGGATGCCAGTAATCCCTAGAACGCGGTCTTCTGCAGCGGGGTCAAATGCTGTGCTGCCGGTAGAGCCACTGCTCGCGCTGACGCTTCTGCCCGCAGGTGACCATGGTCGTGATGCTGACTGCAGCAGCGAGTCAGACTCTGTGTATAGGACCCTCCATGACATTTCGAAATGAAATAAAATAAATTACAAATTTGCGTTCCGAATACCTGGGAAAAAGAGGTGTGCCAAGACGGCCTGTATATAGGTGGGGCAGAGGGACCCATCGGCGAGAGCCAGGAAAGTGCCGGGTATTTTATACTTTTGCACTCTACGTCGTGACCAGCTCACGTTGCGGTCGGACACAGCCAAGCCATCAGCAGCGCAAGATTTCGTTATACAAAGTAAGCAAAACTATCCTCAATCAGGAAGAGTCAGTTGGATCGGCGCCCGCCGCAGTGGATTTGCACCGTTTATTGCACCTTCAATGTATGTATCTGCTATGCTTCTGCTGTCGGGTCAAGGTCTAGCACGGAGATTGCTTGATGCCAGCCGTGCAGACTGGTACCTTGCTGCAATTAGAATCCGCTGCTGAGGCAGTGGACGACGCGGCTGGTGGCCTTATTCGGCTTATCAATTCGTAGTTTATTGGGAGCATTGCTGCGTCGCGCCTTTTTTTGGGGGAAGCTGTTCTGCAAAAGGCGCTGGCTGATCCGTGGGGGCCAATCGAATAGCGTCATTGTTTATACACATGACGAAGGCCTGGGCGGCTCCTCCGCTCGCTGGTTGACCTCGTCGGGCGCTGTTCGTTTCGGCAGCCGTCGGGCCAGGGTCCGGTGCTGTAGCGGCAGGGTCCACAGAAACATTGCCACAGCAAAGACGAGCATAATCAGAAACACGCGATTGAGCGAGTGCATGTATGCATCTATGATTTCGTCGCGTAGCTCCAGAGGAACATGGGACCCATATATGACATGGGGGTTGTCAATCGCACGGAGGATGGTACGCTGAAAGCCGCTGTACGAGTTGATAAGCCCATATAGGCGGTTCCGCAGCTCGGTTTGCAGGACTGTCTGCATTGCAGCCATCCCACATACGCTCCCAATAGACCGGAAGAAGGTTAATACTGCAGTTGCCGATGCCATGTCCTCAACCCTGGCCGCTGCCTGTCCCGCAATCAGACTGAGCTGGATGAATGCACCCATTCCCAGACCAGCAATAAGCAGATAGCAAATACGCTCAGCCAGTATCGAGCTGCGATCCAGCAGCATCAGAAGCCCGATACCTACCGCGCACACTGCCGTGCCCGTCCACATGAAAGGGCGGTAGATACCGAGCCTGGCAACAAGCCAGCCGGTCAGAATGCTGGTGATCAGGATGCCGATTACGAATGGAAGCAGGTACAGGCCAGCCTGGGTCGATGACAGATTCTCGACAACGTTGTAGTACAGGGGGATGAAGAATATGATGGTGAACATGCAGGCGCCCATGAAGAACGACCCACCCATCATCAGGGTAACGTTGCGGATCTGAAACAAGCGCAGCGGCACAATAGGATCAAGTGCAAATTTCCACTCAACAATGAAAAACAGCGCTACCGCAACGGCACCGCCCGACATGCAAAGCACAACCTCTGTTGACCCCCAGCTGTGGCCGTTGCTGGGAAGAGTCAGCCCGATCATGAACATGGTAAGCCCACCAACAAGCAGCAATATCCCTAGGTAATCAATGCGCTTGAGCTTGGCCCACATGCCAGTCGACGAATGAGGGAAGCGAATCAGAATAATGACCGCCACGATAACGAACCCAGCGATGGGCTCGCTAAGCCAAAACACCCAGCGCCAGGAGATGTGATCGGTAAAAACCCCGCCGAGCAAGGGTCCGACTACTGATGATATGGAGAATACAAGAGAGAAGATCGCCATGTACGGCCCTCGCTTGCGCATGGGCACAATGTCAGACACGATCACGAGGGTGAGCCCAATAATGCCTGCGGACCCGGCACCTGCTATTCCACGTCCAGCTAGCAGCACATTCATGGACTTTGCAATTGCGACACACAAGCGAGCCTGCCGCAAATATCACCAGACTGGCCAGCAGAACCTGGGTGCGCCCGAAAATGTCGCTCAGCTTTCCCGTTACTGGCTGGAGCGCAGTTGAACTCAGCTGATAGGCGTTTGCTAGCCAGACTATCTGTGTCATAGCGTCGAACTCCTCGCTTATGCGGACGGTGGCTGTGGCGACGATGGTTTGGTCAATGGCTCCGACAAATAGTGCTAGCGATAGGACAGCCATAGTCAAAAGAAGCCGGGCAAAAGGCATACTATTCTCCTCTTCCTCGTCGAGGGGCATTTCGCCGGCCCATGGCGATGCTGGGACCCTTTTCCCCACCATCGCTGCCCCTGGACTGTAGCAGCAGCAAGCCCTACCGATATTTCATGCCTGTGTCTGGTCGTCAGATGATGGCACCTTGGATAAGATGCCTGAACCGTGCTGTATTGCATCGTCAACCGTAATCTCTGACGCCCGTTTGCTACCATGCTCTGGTGCAGCTGTGTCCATGCCTTGAGCGTATCGTGCGTAGATTACTGATCTACAAAAGAAAGAGTATGTGACGGAAGGAGGAGAGTTGCTGTACCAGAATGCAAAGAGTGTAGAGTGACAGAGTGACAAACGTATAAAACAAAACTCATAGAGTGATTGTTTAATGTGGTGGCCAGCCCGGTCCCCTTTAGGGCAAGTGGCATGGGTCAACAGGTACTTTGCACAAATTAGTGACAATTCAGATTTTAAACAACTGCCCATGCGAACATCAAGAGGTATACAATATGAGTATCTTGGCTCTTGGCCCGAGGCACACAAAGGGGGGCACCACTGTCATATTTGGTCCCTGCCATGGCTTCCTTACATGCAAGTCTGCTGATGCACCTAATTTCTTTAGAACACGCTAGCTATTGATGGAAACCATGCGCATGGCAGTAAGCAGCCCCATCTCTCCACCCAGTGTACCAGAGCTATCTATATTTGCTATACCTAGTTTGGATCTCATTAATATCCAGAACACAGTTACTGAAACAAGGCCAGCATAGAACCAGTATAGAGCTACCATAGGACCAGCATAGGACCAGCACAGGGCCAGCATGGCGGCGGAGCATGCTTTGTGGGGAACTGGATTGGAATGGGCATTGCCTCTACAAGTCCGCCCAAATTACAGTATCACCTATGCATCTTTTTTGTCCATTTTATTATTTCTCTTGCTCCACGCAGCAGCCATTCGGGGTCCAAAGCAGATGCGCCAGGACTATGAACAATGTCGACATCATATGTGGCGTACATGAGCTATAAATGCCATCATTGTATGGGTGCTCTCTGCGCACCATTTGTTTACTTTTTGGTTGGCGGCTTTTACTGTCCTTTCCATACTCCATGTACATTGTTGCATACTCAGGTCTACCAGCGCTGGCAAGAAATGCCAGAACACCATCCACAATTCAAATATCCTTGCAGCGATATATCAGCCTGCATAGTTGGCTATAGCTAGACATACCCGTCTGGTCGATTGAGCAGCTGGCTCAGAAGCACTGGCCATGCTGTATCAAGGAGCACAGTATTGTGTCTGTGAGTGAAAACAGTAATTGCTAAGCCATATTGGAATACTCTAAATAGGCGGTATTGCGGTACTACTGATGAACATTTTAACAGTGGTGGAGTGGTGGGGTGGAGTGGTGGAGTGATGGATGGCATTGCATTCCTTTCACTACACCGTATATCTTTGTGCAGCTAATGGTTCATAGAGCAGACATGGTCACTCTCACCAACATGTAAGTGCTGCCTGCTTTTCGTGAACTAGCACCCTGTCGATCCAGCAACTCGATAGCTGAGCTGAATTAGTGGTAGCTTTTGGTCATGGGTGAATTTATACGATTAGTGCTGAGACATTGAGTGTATCGACTACAGCTTGCCTATAGGCTGATCCAATGGTGAGCTTTGTTGGCTCATAATTCGTTTTTCAAGACCAGCAACCATATCTACAGACGCGACATGCAGTCCGTCTAGCGTGGTGTAAGGGGCTCCCCTTTGGATACTTTTAGAGTTAGGGTTAGTTCATAGTCGTACATGCAATTGGCCCATTATTCTTGCCTGTAATAAAATAGGAGTGGTGCCCAAAATCAGGCTGGCCACGTCATCTGCAACATATGCAAGCATGGCCACGCCGATTATTTTTGTTTTTTGTACTACCACATACACCTTCGAACACCATACATACTTATCTCATTAGCAATGTCACGCGCTCCAGACTCTGGACCGCTTCGCAAGGTATGGGCCTCAATGATCCCAGTGGAGATACAGCTTGCTCCTAGCGACGCAATTGAGCTGCTGGCCTCGGCAACGCTGCCCGAGCCCTTTCAGATATTTTACATGTTGGTGCCGCGGGTCAGCTACCTGCCATTTGTCAGTACCAAGGTTAAGGAGCAGTGGATAGACCCGATGCTGGCAATGTCTGGCTCGCCCATCAACGGCAACGACATCACCACCATTGCGCCGGAAACAGACTTTTGGTTCGAGTACAAAGGTGTCCCGTTAAAATGGCACTACCCGATCGGGCTACTCTACGACCTGTACGTGAACAGCGCGCTTAATGGCGAGCCCGAGCTGCCGTGGTCGCTGACAGTGCATGTGCGCAGGTTCCCGGACAAGATGCTCATCCCGTCCCCATCGGCAGAAATTATGCGCAATATGGCTATGGCGGTTGTCAAGGAGGCAGACTATGTTCGCTACGGCTCAACCAAGCGCACCATGGACCTGGGGAAGGCAGAGCAGTTTCAATTGCTCGACGGGCTGGAGACGCACTCCTTTGAAAAGTACATCGCCATACACTCTATACTTGTGCCAACGCCGGACCCACGTGCCCCAGTGTCGTCATCGGGCCCAAAGTTCCAGCCGCCCAAGGCTGTTCCGCTGCGGTTCTACGTGCCGGCCGCATTCAGTAGCGAGGAATACACGATCCGTCCGATATCTGCAGGCGGGCGGCCTGCGTCGTCGTCGTCAAACCCGAACGCTGGCATGTCGCAGCCACGGCACCTGAACTACAATGTATACCAGTGCCCAATCGCGCCGACCAAGGACGCAGGCGACTCGGACAAACCCACGACGCTGGCTGATGCCTACAGGACATGCGTCGAGTCGGCCGAGCAGCTCGAGAGCAAGGTCTGTCTGTGCCAGGGCATCCGGGTGCCGTGGGAGACGCCGGTCAGCTGGCTCGCAGACAACCTGGTCTACGCTGACTGCTTCCTGCACCTGGTGGTCGTCGGCACCAACGGCACGCCGCTGGCCGAGGCGCTGCCCACAATTGGCGAGTGAATACATTGATCTCGCTGCGCTAATTTTGTGAGAAATTACCAAATGCTAATCTGATTCAGAGATAACGGTCTGGGCGGACTGCTTTTGCAAACACCCCTCCGCACAGACGATCCTCCAGCAGCAGCCAAGCAGCACGAAGGCAGCTCCGGCGGTAGTAGTTACTTTTGGCCCAGCAGTCTGGGATATTGGCGACTTTGTTTGGAGAAAAGACTCGTTTGATAAAGAAAGGGAGGAAAACAGAAAAGACAACTCAGTTTAAACACGACAGGAAAACTTAGTTGGCACCGCTGGCAGCCATCTCGCGGGCAATGTCGGCGGCCTTGCGGACGACATCATCGATGTCACCAGCCATGTAGAAGGCGGACTCGGGGAGGGCATCGTGCTTGCCGTCAAGGATCTCCCTGAACGAGCGGACGGTGTCCTTGAGCGAGACGAGCTTGCCCTCGAAGCCAGTGAAGACAGTGGCGACCGAGAACGGCTGCGACATGAAACGCTGGATCTTACGGGCGCGCTCGACAGGTGAGCTTGTCCTCCTCAGACAGCTCGTCCATACCGAGAATGGCAATGATATCCTGGAGGGACTTGTACGACTGCAGGATGCGCTGGACACCGGTGGCGATGTTGTAGTGCTCCTCACCGACGATACGCGGGTCGAGCATGCGCGACTTGGAGTCGAGCGGGTCGACAGCGGGGTAGATACCCAGCTCGGAGATGGAACGCGACAGCACAGTGGTGGCGTCCAGATGGGCGAAGGTGGTGGCGGGGGCGGGATCGGTAAGATCATCAGCCGGCACGTAAATAGCCTGCACCGAGGTAATCGAGCCCTTCTTGGTGGTGGTAATGCGCTCCTGCATCACACCCATGTCAGTGGCGAGGGTGGGCTGGTAACCGACAGCCGAGGGAATACGGCCGAGCAGGGCAGACACCTCGGAACCGGCCTGGGTGAAACGGAAAATGTTGTCAATGAAGAGGAGCACGTCCTGGCCCTCCTCGTCACGGAAGTACTCAGCAACAGTGAGACCGGTCAGAGCAACACGGGCACGGGCACCTGGGGGCTCGTTCATCTGGCCGTAGACGAGGGCAGCCTTCGAGGCACCGTCGAGCTTGATGACACCAGTGGCAATCATCTCGTGGTACAGATCGTTACCCTCACGGGTGCGCTCACCGACACCAGCAAAGACGGAGTAACCACCGTGGGCCTTGGCGACGTTGTTGATCAGCTCCTGGATGAACACAGTCTTACCGACACCGGCACCGCCGAAGAGACCGATCTTACCACCACGGGCATAGGGGGCAAGCAGATCGACGACCTTGATACCAGTCTCCAGAACCTCGGGGGCGGTCGACTGGTCAATGAACTCTGGGGGAGCAGCGTGGATCGAAGCAACCTTCTTGGCCTCAATGGGGCCGCGCTCGTCGACGGGCTCACCAATGACGTTCATGATACGGCCGAGGCACTCGGGACCGACGGGGACACGGATGGGGTAGCCGGTGTCGCTGACGGGCTGGCCGCGGACGAGACCCTCAGTACCGTCCATGGCAATGGTACGGACGGTGTTCTCACCAAGGTGCTGAGAGACCTCAAGAACAAGGCGGGAGCTGCTGTTCTGGACCTCAAGGGCGTTGAGGATGGGGGGAAGGCTGTCCTGCTCGAACTGGACATCGACGACGGCACCGATAACCTGTCTGATCTTGCCGGCAGCGATGGCCTTGGCAGCAGCCTCGGTAGCGTACTGGCGGGCTACATCGTGGTGAGAGGGAAGCGGCCGGTTTGGTTTGCTTGTTAGTTGCTTAAATCTGAAGATAAGAGATTTCCAAATGCTTGCAATAAAAGGTGCGTGTGCTTTGTGAATCACCAGCAGGCCTTCCAGATAAGAGTGCGAAATTCGCGTTGGATCTCAACGTCGGATTCACAGTTTGCAATTCGAAACACAAATTGGTGCTCGTCGGCAGATTTGTTTGAATCTATGCTCTACGAACGCCAGGTCTATGTTTTTCTTGTAGGAACTTACCAGCAGAGGCAGCGGCGGCGCGGGCAAGGAAGGCGTTGTTCTGGCGAACAACACGGTTAGCCTTGGAAGCGAGGCGAGACACGTTGCGAGTGATAATCATACTTTTTTCCTCTAGAAACAAAGAAAATAGTGGAAGAGAAGTTGGCAACTATTTAGAGAGGAGAGGAAGGCAAATACAAAGTGGACAGGGAGCGGGGCAGGCATAGCCGCCCGAACTGGCGAGGGCGCTCTTATCGGGGACTCGCGCACACCGCCCACGCTCCAACAGCCGCGGGCCAGCGCCCAAAAATGCACGCACCTGGCGGCTATATCAGCTCGGGCGGAAATTTGGCCCAAAAACCAGTCACTTTGGCGAGCCCCGACTCGGATTGATCGGCTGATTGCATGCTGATCCCGCATCAGCGCCGAGCTGAAACGGGCAACGTTATCTTGCAGAGCGAGGCACCACCCAAAATCGCGCCGAGCCGCACCAGCGCAGAGCGGTGCTGCCCGCGCCAGTCCAGGCGGTGCGCAAGGGCGAGAGGGTTATCGAAATTTGGGGTCAAATTCGCACCAGCAACTATCGTTTTTGCTTCTCCTTCTTGTCATTGACAGCCCGCTTTTATTTCTGTTCTCTATTGCACGAAGAAATCCGCACAGCACCACCAACAATGAGCTTCATTACTCGCGCTATCAAGCCCGCCACCCGTCTGGGTAAGCACAACTGAACCGTGAATTCATGCTGAATCGGCCAGCCGCACGCATGAGACACACTCTGTATACTAAACCACCACGCACCTTCTACCATGTATGGCTCGGGCAATTGTGACGGTCGTTCTGCTTTGGCGTCCTGCGAAATGGCATAATTCGGGGGGATTTGGCGGTACCGCTTGCGCTTGGCACGTATAGCTGCCCGCCGCTTCTACGCTTCGGAGGCTGCATCGTCCGGCAAGCTTATTGTCAACTTTGCTCTGCCCCACGAGTCGGTTCTGAAGAACCACGAGGTCTCGCAGGTCGATCTGTCCGCTGTCTCGGGTGACCTCGGTATCCTTGCCGACCACGTCCCCACCATTGAGCAGCTCAAGCCGGGTGTCATTGACCTGATCAGCGAGTCTGGATCGCAGAAGTACTTTGTCAGCGGTGGTTTCGCCATCATGAACCCGAACTCGGTCCTCAACATCAACGCCATTGAGGCCTTCAAGCTCGAGGACATCGATGTCCAGGTAAGAACACAACAGACATATGGTGTAATAAGGTGATGCGGTATTGCACGCTTGTGGTACTAACTCTGCTGTGTCTCGCACATAGGCTGTTGCGGCCAACCTCGCCGAGTCCCAGCGCCTGGCCTCGTCCGCCAAGGACGAGATCACCAAGGAGGCTGCCGCCATCGAGATCGAGCTCTACGAGGCCCTCCAGGCTGCCGTCTCTGGCAAGGCCAAGTAAACATTTCAGTCGCTAAATCTCTACTTCTTCGTTCTTTTTCAACACTGTTTGTTTGAGCAAAAACGCTGAGAGTATCTGTTACTTGGACGCTGGCACTCTGTTTTCAGGCAGGTTGCTGTAGCTCGGTGGTTGTTCTTCCACCTCCTCTTCCACAATGGCATCACCAGCTCCTCCAAGCTGATGCACAACCTGTGCATTCTCGCCTTCATATGCCAAATCACGGTCATACCGGTGCTTCTTGAGCTTGATATAAAGAAACACGACAACCCCGATCAATATGGCACCGAGAGGGATAGCAACGCCTAGAGCAATCTTGGTTCCACTCGACATACCGCTGTCGCTGCTGTTACCAACAGAAGCAAAAGGACCTGCTGTGTTTGTTCCTATTCCTCCAAAAAGACTGTTTGCTATTTCTCCAGCTTGAGACAGAAGTTGTCCAAAGTCAATTGAGTCAGGGGCTCCTGTTGGCACAGAGCTGGTGATATCTCGAGTAGTTGGTGTTTGGGTAGTGGAGCCTGTAGCAACAGCAGATGAAGTTGGTGCGTCGAGTAGCGTATTAAGCGCGACCAGTGCTGAGGAAAGCATCGCGTTTATATTCTGGCGAGCTTCAAGCTTGCCACTTCCATTGGGTGCAGGGCTCGCGTATCCGCCAGCGGCGCTAGCGCCTACCAGCGAGTACATGATACAACAGGCGAGGAACGAGGACCGCACCATGATTAACGGTAATAGAAACAAATAACAGTTATGTAAGCGAGGAAATATTGGATAGGTAACGGCTTTTTGGAGGAAAAGAAACATTGGTTGGATGTGCCTTTACCTCACCCAAGTCTTCTTCTTGCACACTTTATCGCAACAATCTGCACATCACTGCATCTTGGTCCAAAAATACCCGACCCGAGACCTCTGCAGAACAATGCCAACAGCAAACAATTTTTTAATGGCCTCTGGAAATTGCCGACATCACAAGAGACAGTATGCAACCATATCTTATATATAGTTTTGATATCCTGATTGATCAGACGTTTCTACTGAGGCACATGTGCTATATAACACCAATACTGGCCATGTTCGGTACATATGTAGAAGTGGGATTTGTGGACTTGCTAGTGTCCCCAACATGATTGCTGAGAGCACATATTGATAGCGTAGTCATAGTACTGTTGTCTGTACCACATGGTTGACACATGAAGTACTAGACGGGACAGCGATATCTCGCTCACAATTACGTAGTGTGGCGGTATGGCATATTAACTCTTGGCACTGGCATTCGTAACAGGCCTTGGCACGACGTACCTAGCCTTGGACATGCCAGAATGGCGCTAAGCTAAGCGTTTCGATTCACTGCTATACAACATGATAGGATGGGAGGTGAATGGCGGAGTGAGATATTGATGTATCTGATGCAAGCGGCGTATTTGCAAATTACCCATCCAAAGATGTGCAAGCTGCCGCTGTGTATAGGGCAGCTTCCCTTCAGCAGATTGCCTTGCAGCAAAACCAGCGCGAGTTGCTTGATCGTGTTTTTCTGAAATTTCACGAAACTGTTCGCCCAACTGCCTCCTGCTTGAGTATTCCTGTAGCATAAAACCTGTCCAACAAAGGCACTTTCGAATCCCTATGCTTACTCCTACCACAATTGCTACTTATTCGCTTTTAACTGCCTAGCCGATAATGAAGTTTACCGCCACTACTCTCGCGGTTGTTGCTATTGCCGCTGCCTTTGGTTCTGCCAATGCCGGCCTCTCCACCTGCTCCAAAAAGATTGCACTGCAGCTGACAAATATCTACGAGAACGGCGACACAGTGTTCCTACTACGACTACTGCGAGAACATTCATGACGGCCGCGGCTACACAGCCGGTATTGCTGGGTTCTGCACAGGCACTGCTGATGCCTGGGAAGTCATCAAGAAATACCACAAAGCCACAGGTGGCAAGGACGTGTTCAGCAAGTACGACGGCGTGCTGAAAAAGTACGCTGATACAGAGAGCGGGTCAACTGCAGGCCTGAGTGGCTACTGTAGCACATGGGAGAAGCTCGGCAAGTCTGATGCCAAGTTCCGTTCTGCGCAGGATAGTATCCGCGACAGCATGTACTTCAACCCGTCGCAGAATCTGGCCGACAAGCTGGGTGCTAAGCTCGACGTGACCCGTGCTCAGCTCTATGACACGACAATCCAGCACGGCGAAGGTTCAGACCCAGACTCGGTCGGCGCACTTATCAAGAAGACGAGCAGCTCGTTCAAGGCTGACGCTAAGGGCTCGTCGGGCAGCACCCTAAGGATCAAGCGGACACAATGTCGACGAGATTGTCTGGCTAAACAAGTTCCTCAAAGTCCGCATCGCTGATCTCACAAACCCTCACAACAAGGAGACACAGAAGGAGTGGGCCAAGAGCATCACTCGTGTCAAGTCGTACCAGTATGTGGTCGCTCAGAAGCAGTACAAGTGGGGTAGTACGATCAAGGCTCTCAACAACGATGGAAAGCAGGTTGCACGGTGAAGTGCTAGGTGGTAGTGGTCTTAAGTGCGGGCTCGGTAATTCGGCCTCTGTTTTCTGAAACCGAATCATATGCTGGATTTGCTAGCTATTTCTTCCATGTGAGCAAGTTGCACGCTTTGGGATGTGTTGTCCGGAATCGGAGATTACGACATGGCATGCGAATGCCAAGAATTAGGGTGGGAACATACAGGATCCCAATGTTCTTTTCACACGGATTTGAAGACAGCTATTTGCCCGATCTGCCATCTTGCAGCAATGCGGGCGGGGGACCCTTCTCTCCTCAAGTTGCATACAGCCAATGGGGACGATTCCGATCCGAACTGGACATGCAAACTGGGATGGCATCGACAACAACATACCTCTCCCTGCCCATTAGTTGTCCAAAAGCGAATCCTATGCCGTTCGACAGCCCAAGGACCTTGTACACTGCAACAGACATCGGACTGCAGTATAAAAGGCCAAGTGGAGACGAGGGTGAAAGGGTGTATTCAAACTAAACAGACTTCACGCCACTAATAACTCGTCGCACAATATGAAGTTCTCTGCTGGTACCCTTGCCCTCGCTGCTGTTCTCGCGGCCTCGTCGAGCCTCCTGGGCGTCGTTGCTAACTACTGCCCCAAGAACATCGCTGTTCAGCTGAACTCCCTCAACCAAGGCAGCACTCCTTCTTCGTCTGCTACTGCATTCAATGCTGCCTCCGAATCTGTCCGCAACGCCCAGTTCTTCGCTCCGTCCCAGGACCTTGCAACCAGCATTGGTGCCAGCCTTGACATCACCCATGCCCAGCTCTACGACGCTGCTATCCAGTTCGGTGCTGATGGTGCAAAAGGCCCTTGTTCAGACCACCAATGACTGCATTCACTACGGAATGTGGCAGGAACCTCGGGCAGCACGCTGAATGTCAACGGCCACAGCGTTGACGAAATCGCAGTGGCTCAACCGGTTCCTTCAGGAGCGCCTGGACAGCTCCAAGACCTCAGCTAGCAACACCGCTGGCGTCAAGACGTACCAGTCTCTGATTAACCAGAAGCAGTACAACTGGGGCAACTCGGTCGAGGGCCCGACTATTGGAAAGAGGAACATTATTATCTGGTGCTAATTTCCCTCATCCCTCCATATACCGACCGAAGCTACAAGCTGTTAGCTCTTTCTTAACCAGCTTTTCAGTCTTAGTATTTTTCACTAAACGCTGCTATTTTGCGTCCAAAGTGAAACAAGTTGCACACACAAATGATGTTTCCCAGCATACACCTGCCACGAACCAACCTTGGGCAAAACATGCTATCGACCTCTCATTCTGGCTAGCCGAACTATTTCGGGATTCAGCCTGTCTGAACCCCGGAGAGCAATGTCTCCCCCGTTGTGCCAGCTCTTTGTGGGAAAGAGGGACATATTGCAAGATTCTCACGAGTACAGCTGCTCTGGAGCAAATCGATCTGCAATCTCACTGCAGTGGATTTTAGGATATTCTCTTTTCCCGTATGACATACATTCCCAGGAACGGAATCAGCCACCGCTGAGCAGATGGGCGCATATGAACAGCACTATTGGACAATCCACCTTTTGGTCAAGCGCGCATTCAGTACAAGTCCCTTGGTTTAAAGTGGGGCGTCCTGTCATCCTCGCTCTAGCCCAAGGTACACGACTTTTAGTATGAAAGCAGTCGGTCCGGTTGTACAGAGCAGACCGCACTCCAAACACAGACGTATTCCTTCTAATCAACCAACCCGATACCCCGCTTGAACCATGAGATTCTCTACTGCTTACTGTTCGGACTTGCCGCTGTTCTCGCCGCTTCGTCAAGCCTTCTTACTGCCCTTACCAACTATTGTCCTAGCAGCATCGCTGTTCAGATTAACTCCATCAACCAGGGCAACTCTGCACCTGAGCCTCGACACTAGAGTCCAACGCTGGATAGCGTAGCCATCCTGTGACTCCAAGGCTCTTACCCAGTCCCAGGATCTCGCCACTAAGCTCGGTTTGACTCTCGAAATTACGCGTGCCCAGCTCTATGACTGTTCTCCAGTTTGGTGTGGGTACCACCAGGGCTCTTGTCAAGACCACCAATGCGATGTCATTCACTACGGATGTGGCAGGAACCTCGGGCAGCACACTGAATGTCAACGGCCACAGCGTTGATCAAAATCGCATGGACTCAACCGGTTCCTTCAGGAGCGCCTGCACAACTCCAAGGCTTCGGCTATCAACGTCGCTGGCGTCAAGACATAACAGTCCCTTGCTAACCAAGAAACAGTACAACTGGGGCAACTCAGTCACTGCCTTGACTATTGGTGGCAGAAGCATTAACATTCAGTGCTGAACTGGTTTTCTTTACAAAAGCAACTGTGGCAGCCGCAATCTAACAGCAGATTTGGACTCTCAAACCACAACCAGCAGTAGCCGGCATGCGTATCAATTAAAAATATTAAAAATGAAAGCATCGTTTTTGAGCGCCAAGCCCTACTGTTCTTGACTGGTCCAAAAACGGTTCTCCGCCCATGCCACCCAAGAATGACCAGCCTGAAAATGCCCGGAAGGTGATAGGCAGTCAACTATAATTTCCAATCAGTAGTGGGCTACTTGCTGTCATTCTTCAGACGTCCTGGTCTAGATATCGGCTGAAACTTTTCTGGGTCGCCAAAGGTGCATTTTTGCTGCTCATAATACCATTATTCTATCCCACTCTTCACTATTGTACACAATGCGGATCTGCACTGTGAGAAGCTTCCTGACCTGCACATTAGCAGCACTGGCTGTAGTTGGCATATCTAGCTCGCTAGATATAGCTACCGAAGACAACGAGCTAGTGACTGATACTGATATGCCAGAAACACCTATGCCAGCGAGCATACAGCCAACTGATTTTACAGATCCTGCAGAATCCTATAGCACTAGCGACTCCCAGGGGTTGTCAGTACGACCTCAGCCCACCCCGAGACCATGGGCTGATCCGTGGTGTTAATATCGGTGGCGTGTTCCTGATCGAGCCCTTCATCAAGCCCAGTCTCTTTCGACCAGTTCCGCAATATGAGTGTCGAAGACATGCCTGTCGATGAGTGGACATTCACGAAGACACTTGGCAAGGAAGAAGCCAAGCGGCAGCTTGAGGACCACTGGAACACGTTTGTGACCAGGAGCCACCTGGAGGGGCTAGGCCGATGCCGGAATCAACTGGATCCGGATCCCCATACGGCTATTGGGCATTCAACCTTACTAGCGAGGAGCCGTACGTGGACGGCCAGATACCCTATATCGAGCGCATTCTGGGGTGGGCACGTGAAATTGGACTCAAGGTCGAACTAGACTTGCATGGTGCACCAGGATCCCAGAACGGCTATGACAACTCGGGTCGTCGCGGCACGCCAGAGTGGCTACTGTCGCGCACGAATATCGACCGGACACTGGACGCATTGACCAAGATGACTAGCATGGTGCTGGACTGGGACGATGTGGTGTACGGGATCCAGATATTGAATGAGCCATCACGCTGGAAATGGTCAGTGGAGAGCATTTTTGGGTTTTACAAGGAAGCGTATGATCTGGTGCGCAGTCATTGCTCCCAATGTCTATTTTATGATCCACGACACGTTCCTGGGACCCAATGATTGGGGCACGCTCGTCAGCTCGAACTGGACCAACACCTTGATGGACACACATATCTACCAGATGTTCGACAACTACATGGTCACAATTAACGAGACCGCGCATATCAACATGGTCGCAGAGATGGCGCAGAATGTGACAAAGTTCGACCGCGGCAACACACGCGTCGTTGTCGGCGAGTTCTCGGCAGCAACGCACGACTGCACAAAGTACATCAATGGGCTTGGCCGCGGCAGTCGCTGGGAGGGAACTCTGGAGGGCGTCGACCACCCGCTGTGCCCATTCAAGCAATGCTCATGCACTGGCGACTACGGGTCAGACTACAAGGAGTTTTCAGAGAGCTACAAGGCATTCCTGAAGGGATACGTCGACGCACAGCTGGCTATCTATGACGGCGAATTGATGGGCTGGTTCTACTGGAACTTCCGCACTGAGGAAGCGCCCGAGTGGGACTACCTGCTGGGAGTCGATCAAGGCTGGATTCCAAAGTTCCCTCGCACAGCCTACCCAATGGTGCCAGCATATGTTCCTGAAGAGGACTCCGAGCAGAACACCCGCGAGGAGAACGGTTCTGCAAATTCAGCTGCGTCAGTGCTCGGCAGCCTATCCCGGCTACACCTTGAAGTGTGAGGCACTTCGTTGCCTTGCTTGTATTGGCGATTGCTTTCCATTAACTCTTTTCATTTGCGTGCGCTTTCCTCAATTTCTACTTGGCCAGTTTGCAACAAGTTCAATATCATTTTGTTTTCAGTTTTTTGCTGGACCGCATAGGCAATTCTGAAGCTGGGGGCGTCCCTCCGTCAATGTGTGCAAAAGAAAAAGACGTCATTCAACAGTAGCAAACAGTCAGACCACATGGTCCATGTCGGTCTGATTCTTAGTAGCAGGTAAGGCCATGTAAACAAGATCTGCATAGCAATGCATGGATCGCCTCTCGCCTACTGGTCTTTCCCAATGGACCATCAGCCATACTCCACTCGGGTTCGATTACAGCCGACCTGCTTTACAGAGTGAACAGGGAGCCGTAGCTGTCTTAATATAAACGACGAGGGCAAACTCATACCATACAGCCTGCCATACAACGCATTTGGCGTAACTTCAAGGACAGCGCATTCATTGAATCCTGCGTTTGGAAATACCTCCTGGCTACAATTCACCCAAACACAGCCAACTGCCTTTTGGTTTTGGCGACAATCCCTTTCCTGATTTCATTGCTCTTGGCAATGACCTGGTTTATAGTAATGCACGTACATCCTGCGCTGTATGGTTGTGCCCCTCCTGTCAGGCTTAGTGTAAGGGTTCAATTCTCTCTCCACTCTCATCCTCCTTTCCTCCTTAGTCTGCCTACACCGCCTTACTTTCCTCCTCTATTTCCTCCACGCTATCCCGATCAACATCCTCGGCTACTTTGCCATTTCCTTCCCTTACCGCCACATACCTTATTAATACCGCTATTTTTAGACACTAATGAAGCTACTTCCCCTAAATGGCAGCCTCGTCCAAGCCTATGTTGGCCCTAGCAGTGGCTGGGTACCTCGTTTATGCAGTGTGTAGCAGCGCGCAGCCATTGGAGCAGCCCTGGTGAGCTTGGTCTGATTGAGCGCGACAGCACGGCCTGAGGACCCTCCCAGCACAGTTAAGCCAGCTGGCCACGGAGCAATCCGCGGCGTCAACATTGGCGGCGTATTCCTGATTGAGGCATTCATCAAGCCCAGTCTCTTCGATCAGTTCTCGCACATGAGCGACGCAGAAATGCCGGTTCGACGAGTACACGTTCTCCAAGGAGCTTGGCAAGGAAGAAGCCAAGCGGCAGCTCGAGGAGCACTGGGACACATTTGTCACCCGGGATCATCTCGAGAAGTTGGTTGAGGTTGGAATCAACTGGATCCGGATTCCGGTCGGATACTGGGCATTCAACCTTACCCGCGAGGAGCCGTACGTGGACGGCCAGCTGCCGTACATTGAGCGCATGCTGGGGTGGTCGCGCGATCTCGGCCTCAAGGTGCAGCTTGATTTGCATGGCGTGCCGGGCTCGCAGAATGGATTCGATAACTCGGGTCGCCGCGGCAACACCACATGGCTCGACCAGCGTGTCAACATCGACCGTGCCATGGATGTGCTGACCAAGCTGGCCGACATGGCAAACAAGTGGCCGGATGTTGTGTATGCGATTGAGGCGATCAACGAGCCGTCCAAATACAGCACGCCGCTGGAAAAGGTCCGCTCATTCTACGAGGAGGCGTATACGACAGTGCGCAATATCGCGCCTGACCTGATGTTCATGACCCATGATACATTCGCTGATACATACGAGTGGAATGTGCTGGTCAACACGACCTGGGAGAACCACGTCATGGACTCGCACCTCTACCAGATGTTCAACGAGTGGGTGGTGACGTTCAACGAATCCACCCACATCAATTTGGTGTACGATACCGCAAAAAACATCACCATCTTCGACAACACCACTAGGCGCGTCGTTGTCGGCGAGTTCTCGGTGGCCACACACGACTGCACAAAGTACATCAACGGGCTGGGCCGCGGCACTCGCTGGGAAGGCACTCCTGCCAGGCATGACCAAAGCCGAACTGCCCAACCACAAACTGCACGTGCACCGGCAACTACGGATCAGACTACACGCAGTTCACGGACGAGTACAAGGCGTTCCTGAAGAATTACATGGACGCACAGCTTGATGTATATGATGGCCAGCTGTTGGGCTGGTTCTACTGGAACTTCCGCACCGAAGGTGCCCCCGAGTGGGACTATCTTCTCGGAGTCGAGCAGGGGTGGATCCCAAAGTTCCCGCGCACGGCCTTCCCCAAGGGCTCGTCATCCTCAGTCCGACAAGAGCGACAACTCTGCCGGCAGCAGCAGCTCTGCCGGTCTCGCTGACCGGCAGCCGCACAGAGCACGGGTTTGTGCTGCAATCGATCGGAATACTTGCCTTGGCAATACTAGTCCTCTTTTAGATCTCCTTAATCATTCACCCACTGAAACGCTTCAGAGAATCTTCGGGCCTCGGCTCGAGGCCTGGCGATGGAATGCCTGCTGTAAGGAGCAATTTTTGCGCACTCTTCCAGACTGAGCCTGCGTGTACTTTTCGGCCAGCCTGTGCCACTGCGATCTTGGCCAGGCGAGTATTGTGGAGTAGGGTAAGCCGGAACTCTTGGTGGGTGGTTTTTGCACTTTTGCTGCATACATTTTTCGGGTGACTGCACGCTAGATGGATTTCTTGGCAAAATTTCTACCATATATAAAATGCGCAGGCAAATCCTCTCCTCAGACACTGCATCAGCCATCAACCGACACTTCATCTACCAGCTCTCCAAGTCCGCCCTAAAACCCACAACCAGCCCTACGCAAAGAATGATGCCTCGCACAGCTCGCGGAAACGGACTTGCCGTCGTCGGCGGCCTCGCCCTGACGGGTCTTGGCGCTGCCGCCTACAACTTCCTCAACAACAAGCAGTCCCGACACGACGCTGACGCGACTGGGCTTCACGCCCGTGCAGCTGCAGCAGTCACAGCAGCTCACACACGACGTCAAAAGGCTGACGTTCCAGCTGGACAGCGACAAGAAGCTCGGCAACTACACCTCCAGCGCGGTCCTGTTCCGCGTCACATTGCCCAGCGGCAAAACCAGAGCTCCGCCCCTACACACCCGTGTCAGCACGAGCTCCAGCGCGGCTCCTGCGACTTCGTCATTAAGCGCTACGACGACGGGCAGGTGTCGCCGGCACTGCATGATCTGGGGCCCGGCGACAAGGTCGAAATGTGGGGCCCAATTCCCAACTTCTCGTACAAGCCTAGCGAATACACAGACATTGGCATGATTGCCGGCGGCAGCGGCCTGACGCCCATGTTCCAGCTGATTAACAGGGTTGTCAATGACCCGAACGACAAGACGCGCATTACGCTGGTGTTTGCAAACAAGAGCAAAGACGATGTATTCCTGAAGGACCAGCTCGATCCGCTTTGCCGCTCAGCATCCAGACAAGTTCAAGGTCCACTATGTTCTGACAAAGGCGTCCGAGGACTGGACTGGCGAGCTTGGCTATGTCGATAGAGAGAAAATCCAAAAGTACATGCCGCCTGCATCGACAAACTCGCTTATCGCGGTCTGCGGTCCCCCGGCCATGATGAAGACTGTCTGCGGCAGCAAGCCCAACGTCATGAAGCAGGGAAAGCTTGGTCGGTATCCTGAAGGAGCTCGGGTACAAGAACGTGTACAAATTCTAGACATACTACGTGCAAGATACATATTCCTGACCTGCACCCTCATAGACTCCTTCATGCCGATTCCACGATACCTTTATTTTGCAACAACAATTCTGACGCTTCCTTATTTAGGTCTGTGTATTGGTCATGAGCGCCAATGCGTCTAGTGAGTCCAAAAAGTGCGAGCCAGGATCCTGGTCAGAAAGAACCTGCAAAAGAGGCGACAAGGCCCATCCATGCACAGGCAATCTTGGCGACGAGGGCTGGCCCTTTCAGCAAATAGAACACTACTATCTTGTGCTTGCCAATGTGCTACAATACGCCTTAGACCGTTCTTTTTGTGTGGCCAGTGTGTGGCGAGCACAGATGGTCTGCGGTATTGCATTTCCAGGTCCTTGCCGATCGCCTGCATGTTTCCGGCTCTCTACAAAGGGTGCCGGGCGATCAATGGCCCTTAGCACCAGCCTAGATAACTGCGTTCCTTCGCAGTTTTCTCACTTTCTGGCAAGCCAGCATGGGGGATTGCTTTTTGGTGTCAGAATGTGCATCCAAGAAAGCGAATGGTGGAGGGTGAGAAAAGCTTGACGTTCACAATACTGATAATATCCCTTTGGCTCCTCGCTACATTCAAGGTCTCTGCCGGTTTGGAGGGATACTGGTGTGCCAAATGCTTGCTGCAAGATGAAGGGCAATAGAGGACTATAAATGTTCAATAGCTCCCTTTTTCTTTGCCCGCCCATTCTCTTGTTCCTGAGCATATTTGCATTTTTTTCTAGTTATCCACTTAATGTTTACGCCTAGGCCGCTTCAAAGCACTTGTGCGCAAGCTGTGCTTCAGCCGCAAGTCTCTCGAGCCACTCAGCACTTTGTCCCAGTCATCTCGCCAATACAGCCTTGTACGCAAACCACGCGCCCAGCCCCATGGCCTCGCGCAGCAGCTGCCGTGCGTAATCCTCCGCGGCATCTTCAGCTACCTCAGCTGCGCTCAGTGCACGCAACCCGCCCCATGCCTTTGCAAGCCACGCCAGCTTAGTTTCCGCACACTAACATTAGTCTGCAAGGCCTGGCGGCATGCAGCTTTGGACGCGTTCTTTGCAACAATACAGCTATCGGCCAAAGCCCCGATCCATGCGCCAGAGCATGCATGGCGGCATGCGCGCCATCTGCATGTCAGCCTGGGCGGATCCGCCACTGAGAAGAATGCCGAAAGGACTGATCAGCCAGCTCAGGGCGGCAGGCAAGGGTCCACGGGGCTCCAGGATCGCTGCAATCACCATCACCGGCTGCAATGGCGCTGTTAGCAAGGACCTTGCCAATGCAATCGCCGCTGCCATGCCCCGAGTCCGATCAATCATCTATGACTCCAGGCGCGTGTCAGTGCACAGCTGACAGCCATTCAGCAATCATCGGCGATATCGTCGCTTGTCTGTCCGATCCAAGTAGGCTGGGCAGCATCGGCGGAGTGGTTCCAGGCGCATGGGCATGTCCATTGGTTCGCTTGGATTTGTCTCGTGTCAAGCTGGCCAAGCGCAGCGATGTGCTGCGCGTCTCGTCGTACCACAGCACACTGCAGTCGCTGGCCATCGGCAGCATCACCTCGGCAGCATTTACTTCTCTGACTCGCACCAGCAGCGGCCACACAAAGGAATACCCAAGGCTGCGCTCACTGACCGTCCTCGAGTTTACGCCTTCCAAAACGGCTATTGTTTGTAGCCACCACCCAACAGACTCCAGTGCTGGCGTTCCCTGCAGTCGAGCATCTGGTGCTGGGCAAAGGAGAGTACTCGATTGCCAATACCACCTACATCCCCACGCGCCTACCAGCTTTCACTAGTGCCGGTGTCAGGTCCATACTAGCGCAATGCGGCGGGTCCCTCCAGACGCTGTGTATTGAGTACGCCGATAGAAAATCGGCAACCTCCACCATCACCCAGTTCCTCACGACGCAGCACTGCAGCCTGTCGCGGGTCAAAATCATGCACGTCTCTCCGACGGCAGGCTATAGTGACACGGACATGCGCAGCTCCCGCCGGCTTGCAACTAGCCTGTTCACGCTGCCATTTTTGCAGAGCCTCGAGTGTCTCCAGCCACTCGACTGCACTGGTATCGTACCGTCGCTCGTGTCTCACCATCTAGTCCGTCTGGTGCTGCCTGGATCGTTCATCTCTCTCCAGCAGTTGTCGGACTTGCTCAAGGCGCAGCAGTTTCTGCATACTATGTGTGCCCAGGTCGCCAGCACCCCGCTCGAGTATGTGCTCCCAGACGGTCCCATCCACCAGCGCTTAAAGTCGCTGAGTCTCTCTTGGAAAAACGACAATAGTGGACATCGAGGTCAAGGGAATCCACCGAAGGCTGCCAACACTCGAGCACGCCGACTTTCCTATCAGCTACTACCTGCAATTCATGTGAAACAGTTTATTGATATGTAATGAAGAATCCCGTATGACTAAGGCACCGTCGTCTACCACAGCGGGACCCATCCTGGATACAGCACAGCCAGGTTCTCCGATGACGTTGCCTGCTGGATCAGTTTGTCGATCTGCGCGGCCACGGTCAGCTGTACGTTCGGGTCGAAATCGGTGCCAAGCAGCTTGCTCGAGATCCGGTTGACGATGGCCTTGGCCTTTGGGTTTCCGACCTGCCACCCCTTGTCATCGAGACCAGCAAAGTCGGCCATCTTGGTCTTGCCGGCCCTCGTCACCTTCTCATCGGGCCGGCTGCCGCCCTCGATCGCATTGCTGCTGCCGCCCTGGCCCATGTTCCATCTCTTCAGCTGCGCCTGGTTTTGCTGCTTCTGCTGCGCTGAAACATTGCCAGTGCCGTTGGCCGCTTCCTGGTTTGTGTTCGACTCCGGGTCTTGGATGTACGACCACGACACCAGTGGGTCAAACACAAAGGCCTCGAGTACAGCCATCAGCGAGTCGCGGTTCGCACGCAGCACGCGCATCGTGTGGTTGGCCGTGAACTTGAACGAGCCCTCGATCGAGCTGACCTCCATCGGCATGACAACCATGCGGGTCAGTCTGAACGGAACCGGTCTCGGGGTACTTTTCGCGCTGTGAAGCAATCTCGAAGCAGTCGCCAAAGTCAATATGCACAGCCTTGCCCGAGCGCTGGTGCAGCATGATGTTTGAAGGGTGCCTGTCACCGAGTCCCAGGATGTAGCCGGCAATCGACATGACCGCCATCGAGCGTGTGTACGTCGTGCGCCGCTCGAGCCACGTCTCGGCATTGGGCGACTTGTACCACATCGCGCGCTGCAGGTCGTTGCCTGGTGTGTTCGACAGTGCATATTCGAAAGGACTCGACCTTCTGCATGACCGTCAGCGTCTCCCAGTTCGGCGAGAACTGCATCGCCATGCGCTGCTCCAGATTCAGCGGCTGGTTGTGCGAATCGCGGTAGTCGCGAATGACCTCGTGCATGGTCTCGCAGTTCGGGTAGAAGCCGAATCAGACCAGAGTTCGATGACAGCGGAATGACCGGGTAGCGCTCGATTGTCAGCGCACGCCTCGCGGTCTCTGGGTCCCTGGCCAGCAGCGACGTAATCAGACCGAACAGCTGCATAACGCGCTCGTCCTGGCGCAGATCCTCGTGACCCTTGAGCACAAACGTGTACTCCTTGCCGTCAGAGCCGAAAATCCCGACGCGACGAGGATGCTGCTTTGTGTTGTATACATGTACAACAGGGTCGAACGACGTGATCCGGACAAGTGGCCGGTCTGGATCGTACGTACCTGGAACGGCCAGGTGCATATCGCGGCACTCGAGAAGCGTCGGTGCCGTGTCCTTGAGCGCCAGCGACGTCGGCTCCGGGAACAGCTTCTCAATGCGACGGAAGATCACATAGTACGCCTCCCACGCCTGCTGAATCAGCGCCTCGTTGCGTCGTCCGGGTTCACCAGCCATGTACTGCGTCGTGTACTCGTCGGCAGCTGCAAGCTCGTTGGCAAACATCTGCACGAAGTGGTACTCGCGCAGCGTCTCCGGGTTGCGTGCACGCTGGTGGAACGGCTTCAGCACCTTGATCATGCTGACCGGGTCGTTTTGGCCGTAGTAGTGCTTGGACGCGATGTCCAGCGCGTCGCGGCACATCTCGGGGAACAGCAGCGTGACGCGGATCAGCTCGCGGCTGACGACCTCGGTTTCCTCGACCAGCTCCGGCGTCAGATCGTGCAGTTTGTGCAGCACATCCTTGGCCGCGTGGCTACGGTCCGTGTGGTTCGAGCGCGCCGCTACGTACAACGAGAACAGGATTGCGTGTGGGTGGAACTTGCCCACCTCGACCAGCAGCTGCTGGATCAGCCGGCTCGTGCTCTCGGACTTGATATGGATGCGCGCCAGGATCTGCGGAATCACCTGCAGCCAGGTGCGGATCGAGACGGTGTTGAATCCGTCCAGCACCGCCTGCGCAACCGACGAGTGCTGGGAGTAGTTGAACCACACCGTCAGCAGTCGCAGCGTGTCCTGAAGCGTCGTATCGCTCTTCGAGAGCTGGATGGCGCGGAAGAACCCATGGACCGCCGGCACCACATGCTTCTCGATGACGTTCTCTGGCACGATGCTGAGCTCGCTGTCAATCTTCTGCGTCTCGTAGTAATGGCGCAGCGCCAGCGAGTGCCACGCCTTGTACCATTTGCGGTCAAGCACTGTCGCCGCCTGGTATGACTTCAGGATCACCTCGTTAATCGGGCCAACCTTCATCCGCGACAGGAACTCTGCGTCGCGGTCGGCCTCCGGTGACCTTCTGCGGCGCCGTTGGTCGCACCAGTCGCAAATCCGGCAACAGAAATCGACATGCTCCGGCCCGACCGTCTGCTCACCGATCCGCGCCGGTCGAACCGCTGCGGCAAGTAATGGCTGTCATCGGCGCCTAGGGCTGCCTTGCTCTTCGCCTCCTGCACCAGATTCGCATTCTGCTGAATGCTGGTGAGCCACTCGGCCTTCTTGAAGAAGAAGCGTGCCAGCAGACGTACCCGCTCGATATCACCGCTGTGCGTTCCGATCGTTGACTAGCGACGTCGCAGCGTCCAGCTGGTCGATGAACGTGTGTGGGTTCTGCACATCGAACCGGAGCTGCGCCGCGTACTCGGTGGTGAACGTATCCAAGCCCTGGAATGCGTCCCGGCGACGGTTGTCAGCCCACTGGTACTTCAGATACGCGTAGACCAAGGCTGGCTGCTGCGACTGGCGGATCGATATGTCGAGCGCCTGATCCAGACTCCTCGCCGTACTTGCTGAAATCGCCGACCAACCCTTTCTGCCGGTTCATCTCCTTCAGCCGGGCATACTCGTGCGCCTGCTGCACCAGCATCGGCGGTAGCGTCTCCGGGTCACCGCGCAGCGTCTCGTCCATGTACTTGGCCTCGTCACTGACCAGTGTGCGGATCGCCTGCTTAGGCGATGTTCATCTGGTCGGCCTTGCGACACAGGTTGATGAACTTGATCCACGTCTCCAGATCAAGCACCGGCCGCAGCACCATGCTGTGCAGCCGCAGCAGCCGCTGCCACATGCCGACGTCGCGCTGAACGCCCTGCATCCGCTGCCGCCAGGTGTTGGTAATCGCCATCTGCCGCTCGCGGTTATCGTGCGCGGCCTTGAACTCGATGACCTCCTCGAGCTCAGTCAGCATCTGGCAGCGGAACATCTGCGTGTACCCGCGGCTGTACGACTCGGTCAAGTGCGACGCGAACTCATTCTCCATCTCGCCCCGAGCCCTCTTAATCGCCTCGGCCGCATCGCCGATCTTGTTGCGGTAGACCGCAATCAGCGCTTCGCTGAACGTGCGATCGCGACTCTTCTTGGGCAAGATCGGCGTATACTTTTCGAGACCCTCAACGTCGCCCAGCGCCCACGACATGTTGACGCCGATGTTCGCGGCCGCCATGTGCATCTGGTTATTGCCCTCGTGGAAAACGCGGTTAAAGAGAGGCACGAGCCGGTCCCAGTCGGACATCTCGTACAGGCAGCGCAGCTTCATGTTGATGACTGAGTACGAGTGGCCCTCCACGTGCTCCTGGCGGTTGACGATCGCCAGTGCCTCATCCCAGCGGTGCAGACGGAAGTACCATTCGACGCTCTCTTCAAACTCGGGGTGCTCCTTGCGCACATAGTTGAGCATGCCAACCGCCGCGTCGTGCTGGTCGAGGCTCTGATTGAGCTCGATCAGCTTCTCGACCGTCTCGTAGTTGTTTTCCAGCGTCCACTCGGCCTCCTTGTAGTGCAGCTCCTTCGCGAGCGCATGGCACCGGTCGGCATACTCGCCCAGCAGCTTCAGATCGATCGGGATCTGCTTCTCGTCGCGTTCCATGTACTCGGCAAGGCTCAGGATCGTCTGCAGGATGTCCGCCGGCACCTTCTCGTTCGATGCGACGTCTTGTAGCGCCGTGATGATCTCCTGCTGGTACTGACCAGTCAGCTCGGTCCAGCACGAGACGAACGCGGCGTTGAACAGGTCGCTGTTGAGCCGCGGGTGCTTGAAGGCCAGGTTTGAGCATGCGCGCAGCGCCGGCGACGGTGACTGCTGGAGCAGCTCGACGCCGAACTGGTTGAGCCAGCCGAGCCAGTCCTCCTTGGTGACGCGCTGCTGCGTTGTGCTCCACGCCCGGCGCAGCGAGATGACGTTGATCCGGAGGCGGCGGCTGCTGTCTGCTGCCTGACCGAGCGGCGCCTCGGGCTGCGATCCCTCGACCTGCAGCATCGGCTGTACACGCTGCGGGTCCTTGGGGATCAGCCGGCCAGAAAACAGCAGTCGCGAGTACTGCCCGTAGTCCTCGTGATGGACGATCCCACACGTCTGCATCGTCGCGTTGATCGTCGGCATGTAGAGCGTAAAATCGTCCTGCAGCTGCTGCATCATGGCGCAGAACGTGTCCATAACCGCTGTCTGCAGGGTCTGCGACGGCGTGCGCTGCAGCAGCCGCACCAGCGTCAGCACGATGCGCGACGCGAAGCTGCGGCAGTTGACCGACGACACAACCGACGATATGGTCTCCAGAGTTCCCTCGACGACGGTCAAGGGCTGACAAGACGGGTCAAGCAGCGCAATGAGCCGCGGCATGACCAGAAACAGGTAGCCATCCAGGCTGGGGCTCAGAATGCGCAGAGCGTGCAGCGCTCGCTGAGTGGTGTGCCGCGAGTCGTTCTTGTCGTTGTCGATGACAGTGATTAAGAACGGCAGCACCGTCGAGATATGCCGGCCAAAGTCTCCAGACAGCGCCTCGGCAAGCACTTCGATCAGGCCAATGGTGGCGGTCTGCTGGTGGGCGCTGATTGGGACCCCGGGCTCAAACAGCTCGAAGACAGGCTCAATGTACGGTCTGACTAGCTCCTTTGCGATTGCCACGATCAAACCCAGGTTCTCGATGTAGAACTGGGCCTGGTCTGCTGGCGCTGCGTCCATCGCCTTCAGAATCGCTGGGACGACGCTAGCCAGGTACGGCTGGCAGCTGTTCTGCAGTGGACCGAACATCGAGATCAGCGCCTGTGCCGCCTGTCTATGGAATGTCGCATCTGCTGGGTCATCGAGAATCCGCAGCAGCGCGCCAACCGACACTGTCGCGTAGTACGAGTCGTTGCTGAACGTGGTTCCGTACGAGCTAAGCGGCAGATCGCCGTCCAGCATCTCGTTTGACTTGTCGTCGACGAACGTCTCCATAACGTTGGGTGCTGGGCCGCCACCGCCATGTCTCTTGCCGTGTTTGCCCGACTTCTTCCTGCTCGACTTCTTCGTCACTGTGCCCGCCGTCAAGTTGCTGCTGCTAGACGATGCCGACTGTCCGTTGGTGTATTTGTGCGGGTCAATGGCTCCAAGGGCGCCGATGACACGCAGCACCTCAAGCTGGACGGTCTCGTTCGGGTCTGATTTCAGCATGCCGATCAGCGTGCTGAATAGTGTCGGCTGGTCCACGAATGGCGTGATCACCAAGCCGCAGAACGTTGCGCAGTTGCTAAGGGCCTTGAGTGCCGACAGCCGCTTCTGCGAGCTCGACTGGTCGCCCAGCGCCTGGATTATGCTGGCCAACAGCCGGTCCAGATGCGGCACCAGGTCGCTGCCCCCGACGCGCGCCAATGCGGCTACCGTATCCAAAAACTTGCTCGACAGCTGCGGAGACGCATCGTCCATGCGCGGCAAGATGGTCTTGAAGATGTCGCCGACATAAGGCCGCACCCAGTTCTCCGCCGAGCTGACCAGCATCATCAGCAGCTCGATGCACTCCTCGCGCTCGGCGTTGCTGTGTGCGTACTCAAGCTCGGTGAGCAGCTGGACGACCATGCGGCGCAGCGACGGCATAACGTGGGCAGGGTTCATGTTTGCCAGGCGCCCGATCACAGCCAGAACCTTAAGCCGAACCTCGAAGACCTCGTCGTTGAGCAGCAGAAACAAGCTCTGGATGTTCTGTGCCTTGCCCATGTGGAAGTCAAAGCAGCTTCCTTGCTCAAGCATCCGGACCGCCATGAGCCGCACATCGGCCTCAATATCGGTGAACCGCTGCCGTGATCAGTCGCTGGACCACCTCGCTGGCGACCTCGACGCCAGCACCGGCCAGCATCTGGTAGAGCGGGTCAGACAGGACAATGTGCGACACCGCGTTGATCGCCGCCATGCGCACCTCTGGATACGAGTTGGTCAGGTACTGCAGCACATCGTTGCGCACAAACTCTGACAGGTTCTCCTGGCTGAAATCAAAGCTGCTGAGCGTGTTGAGTGCCAGGACGAGCACATCAGGCGTGACATTGGTGTTGGTGGCAGCAGATACAACCAGCGACGTCGGGTCGCCGCGGCTAGACACCGCCGCTGCTGCTACTGGACACCTGGTGCTGGCTCATTCGCCGGGTTCGCCGATGCCGAATAGTGCAGCGACATCGACCCCATGCGCGCCTCGAACGTATCTATGCCTGGCTGCGTCGGTCTGAACGGAACACCAACCAGGATAATCGAGACCATATCCAGCAGCCGGTCCTGGATGGCTCTCGCCAGCTGGCTGACTTCGGTCGCGATGATCGCCAGCGAGTCGCACAGCGCTGTGCTCAAGCCAGTTGTGAACATGAGATCCAAGAGCTCGCGCAGGTACCGTGTCATCGCCGGTCCCATGGCCTGGGCGAGCCTTGCGATTGTCTCAAGCACTGCAACCGATGTCTCGTCGGTAGTCGACGGCGGCACTCCCGACTTGTACCGCTGGATGAGCACGTCTCTGATTGCCCTCGTCGTGTGCTCGATGTACGGCCTGAACTCGGCCTTGCAGTTCAACGCGACGTTTCCGAGGGCAGCAAATGCAACACTCCGGTCCCGGATCATTGCTGCGCGCCAGGGTAATAAGGAAGTTGCATGCTCTCGCCATCAGCGACTCTCCGTTGACCGTGTACTTTACAAAGTCGCCTGGGCTGTACCGCGCCAACACCGGAAGCATGGCGATTGCACTGCGGCGCACCACCTGGTCGCGCTGGTCCTTGAGGCGCATTACCAGCTCGCTGATATCGCCAAAGTGTGCTCTCATAAACATACTGCCGTGCTCAATCAGCTCCTGGCAGATCAGCAGTGCCGCATGGTTCACCTCAACGTTGTTTGACTGGCTGGCCCTGACCCATCTCCTCGTATAGGTAGTTGTACCACTGGTTCTTGACAGCGGTATCGCGACTGGAGATCAGCACCAGGCAGGAGCCAAGGGCACGCGCAGCGGCCACACGCATCTCGGACCTGTGGTCACGCAGCTGTGGGGTCAGCGCTGTCAGAACCTTGTACGCGTACGAATACATGGCCGAGGGCGCGCTCTTGCAGGATGCTTCGAGAATCAGCACTGCAGTCATGCGGCGCACGTCGTTGCGCTCGTTGCCCAGCCACTCGAGGCTGCGCTTGACCTCGGCTTCCATTGAGGAGCTGACCATGGCCCACCGCTTGTTGATTAGCCTGCTGTAGATTTTCACCGCCTCCTGGCTCACCGCCAGGTCAGTGCCGTTTAGAAGCGACTTGAGCTGCATCGCCATGCGTGTCTTCTGGGCTTCCTCGAGCGTCTCCATGTCCACAAGCGCAGAGAGAATGGCCGTGCATGCTAGGCGGTCCGACGAGTCCGACGATCGAAGGAGAGCCACCATTGTAGTATTCAGCTCTGTGTAGATGGTGCCCTGGTTGCCATGTTTCGTGGTTGCCTCTGTGTCTTGGAGCTAAATGCCAAATTGCGATTTTTCATGTTTAGTCGAGTGAACCCATTTGAAACACCAAAGCACCTAATCCCCGGTTGCACCTGTTTGTGTGCGTGACACGTACCTGTCTCTGTAGAATTTTGGTAGCTGCTGCCCGCTCCTTTGCATTGCTACACTGAGAAAAGGGTGTGTTGGGAATGAAATAAGTGCACTGCTGTCGCTTAAGAACAGCCTTCGCCCGACTGGGAGGCGAACATGACGCTTACTGGGACTTTAGGCGCGCTAGCAAATCGGTCCGGAGATGCTGTTCTCCCATCGCTGACAGAATCGAGTTTCGTAGAGGGGAGGTAATATATAGAGCAATGCAACAGAGGCTTTACTTGCAAGAAATGGAAAGGGGAATTGAAGAAGGCTGTCAGGAGTTGAATAAAATGTCTAGGAGGGGAGAGTGGAGAAAAAGGAAAGTCGGGAGCGGCCTTAACACGCTGGCGGTTGGGTTTTTTTTAGAGCCAGCAGGAATTTCAACGAGGTTGAGTATTGGGAAAAATGATGGAGCTAGAAAGGTTTACTCTTGCAGCGAGACCTTGGCAGCCGAAATCTTGTCGCCCAGGCTCAGGGCAATGCCCTGGGTCTTTGCGCGAATGCGGATGTGGCCGGTAATCGGAGCGTCCTCCGACGGCTTCTCGATCGAGATGTTGGCCAGTGCGTCCTCGCCAAAGATCGACCTAGCGTACAGGTTGGCCGACAGGAACCCGCAGTCGCCCTCCAGCGCATTCTCGGGCGTCAGGCATGCCATGTTGGTTGCCTTCATGATGTGCTTCAAGTACGCCCTCAGGTCCATGCTGGCAGCCGCGGCAGCAGTGGTCGACATGTTGACCTTGTTCTCCCACTCAAACTCAGTCCACATGGAATGGAACTGAGCCTCGTCGCAGCGTGACGGGCGGATGTACTCCATGATGTCGACGTGGATGTCGTTGAGCACAATGCAGTGATTGTCGCCGAACACCCGGCCCGTCGTAGACGATGGTGCCAAAGATCACACCAGTCTCGGTCGACGACACCTTGATGTTGGCCTTGACGCTCGAGAACGAGAAGGGCGCAACGTTGTATGACATCGGCTTCTCGACCAGCTTCAGATCGCCCAGGGTCGAGAACTCAATCGACAGGTTGCGCAGCGTGGTGTTGGTCTGGTTGACCACCATGATGTCCAGCAGGATGTCGTACTGGTTGACGCTGACGTAGGCCTCGGCATACACCGCGTCGGAGAAGCCCGTGAGCTTGCACCACATTGTCGAGCTTGGAAACCGACGCACGGCTCTCAGCCTCGCCGGTGGCCAGCTCAATGTCGCGCTTCAGCGAGTCGGAATCGTCATCGACCGTTTTCTTTCGCCAGCAGACGGAACGAGATCGAGTCGTCGACCTGCACGGCCGTGTCCTTGCTGTCCTTCTTCTTCTCCTCAGCCGCACGCTTGGCTTCGCCGCTGACGAGGCGCGAGAACGCACTCTGGGTGTCGCTGATAAACGCATCAGTCAGCACCTCCGAGTCTGTGTCCATGTACTCCAGGGCACGGATGCACGAAAGGACCCGGTCGTACGAGTCCTCGGTCGATCGGCGTTGCAACGAAGGTCGACTGGCCAATGCGGATAATGCCGGCCATGATCAGCACGGCCTCGGCCCGCAGCGAGTTGACCTGGTCGTCGGGCTGGCTCAGCTTGCCTGAACCGCAGAACAAGCTTGGCCAGGGTGCTGGCCAGGACGGTTCCGGTGAAGAAGTCGCTGTGCAGCAGAACTGCACGCAGAGGGAGGCTTGGAGTCGAACTTCAGCGACGAGCTGCTGGGGGCTGCTGCTGCCGTCAGCGACGACTCGGTCGCGTATGTGCCGTCGGGCAGGATGCGACGCGACGCAGACGGCGCGGCAGCAGGCCGTGACTCTGTCGACTCGGCGCCATCGGGGTTCGACAGCCCATCGAGCTCACGCTGCTCAGCAGCCAGCAGCGGAAGCTCTCCGATGGCCTCACGCAGCTTAGGTCCACACATCGCGGATCTCGTCGGCCGACTCGGCATATTCACCCAGGATCCACAGGGCGCCGCGGATAACCTTGCCTGTCTTGAAGTCCAGGAAGGCATGCACCAGGTTCTGCACGATGCTCTGGCGCAGGTCCGGGAACTTCTCGGCCACCTCGCGAACAAACACAATGGCATCTGTCGCCGACGTGGCGCCAAACTCGGCAATCGAGTCGAGGAACAGATCAACCACGTCAGCAGCGACTTCGGGGAACTGCCCAGCGCACTGGTGGATGGTCTGAATCAGCAGCAGGCGGTACTCCGACGACTTATCGTCGTCGCTGTTGTCTGCAGTCTTGCCGAGCTCCTTCTTGAGCACCGCCACGACCTCGTTGATGTTGCGCCGTGACGTCAGGTTCATCACGATGTTCAGGGCCTTGCGTCGCACATCCAGGTCGGGGCTGGTCAGCACGCGGAGCAGGTCCATGACCAGATCGTCCAGGATGCCCTCGTGGCGCATGCGCAGCTGGTCCAGGCGCTCAAGCACGATCAGCTTGACGTTGTTATCCGACTCCTTGGCCACCAGTGTGATGTAGCACGCAGCAGCACCCTTGATGGCCGCCGGGTTGGCAGTCAGGCTCACCAGCGTCGTCGCGGCATCGTACTTGACAGAGTTGGATGTGGCGCCTAGGAGCTCAAAGATACAGCGAATGAACAGCGCCTTGTCGCTGGGGAACTCGCGCGATGCGCGGCGGATCAGGTCGACCACCGCCAACTGTAGCAGCTCGTCAAAGCTGGCTACCAGCTGCACGTTCTCCTTGAGCCACTGCACAGCCACCTCGGGTGCGCATGCCGTCAGCATTGTCAGCGCGTTTCTGCGGCATGTCATATCGGCCTCGGCCACCAGGAACGAGTAGATGAGCTCAGGTGCATCCGGTACCAGGTGCGGCAGGCAGCGGTAGATGGACGAGATCGCCATCACTGCGTTCTTGCGCACGTACGCGTGCCGGTGCTCGAGGTTCTCGCGGGTCGGGCCAACGAGGGGCTCCAGCAGCTCTGCTTCGCGCAGCTTGCACAGGAACCGCAGTGTGGCTCCCCGGATGAACTCGTTCGGGTGCTGCAGATCGTTGAGGAGCGCGTTACAGATCAGAATCGTCTCATGCTTCAGGGTCCCGTCGGCTGAGTACTTTGGGCACACCTCCCAGTAGAACAGGAGCAGCTTCTTTAGCGACTTGTTGCGTGTCGGCATCACAAACCGGAATAATGTGCATGAGCAGCTGCTCGTAGTTTTCGCCCTGGATTGTCCCGGCAATGACCTGCTGCAGGGCCTCGCGCTTGATTTCGTCAGTGCCGCGCTCGAGGTTGCGCCGGAGCGTCTGCAGGTTCGGAATTTCAACATCCAGGCTCGGGTGAATGAGCGTGTAGCACGCATCCGCCGATGATTTCGCAGCTGTGGTTGCCATCATTTAGCTTGCAGGAATAGGAAACAATAGACTTTACGAGTGGTGGAATGCAGAGTGACGACTGCCCTGGCTGTCGCTGTGTCAACACGGCGCCCTCGCAGAGCTGAGCTCATTCTCTGCAAGGCAGAGGTCTGGCTCGCTCCGATTGGCTGTACAGTGTAATCAGGGAATCTGATCGTGTGATTGGTATATGCATCATCGGCCTGGGATATATGCGCTGTTTTTCGGCGGGAGAGTTCTGGCTGTGGCTGGGCTGCACCCTGCTCCCACACACAAATAGCCCGCGCACATTTAGTCCGATAAATATGCCCTTTTCAATCCGCATGTGTGGCGTCGGCGGTTGCAGCCTGCCGCAATATGAAGACACTGCGAACACTGGCTGCTACCGAATTATCCGACTGCCCATGGCAAGCTGCTCAAGAGAAACCGAACAGCAGCGCTGACTCGTGGCCAGCGGAGAATGCAGAAACTCACGAGGTCACACTTGTTTGGGAACGCGTTAAAAATGCCAGGCACATGCATGCTGATCCGTTTGCGCCATAGACTCAGTGCACTTGCCTCTACGTCCGCCCATTGGCAAAGGACAGACTGGCGAGGAATGTGCCAGAGATTCTCTGCCAGACGCGAATAGAGTTTTTGAGCTGGACTGGGGGTGCCAATGCACCGCCCAGACAAAAAAAGTCTGCGATTACCAAGGGCGGGAAAGGAGGGGAGGAGCCCGAAAGGCAAGCGACAATCGATGTCTGAAATGGACGCCTATTCCTTCTTCTCCCTTGCTTTTCTTAATCTGCGAACAGGCTCATTTTTTCCTTTTTTCCTACACTTAATTTTTCACGTCTCTTTTATTTTCTGTATCGTATATCTCTAACCTACACCAGATTATGATGACACGTAAGTGGTACCCGCAGACCGGAAGCGCCGATAAGCACCGGAACGCAGAGGCAAAGCACTATTTCCTTGTACTGCGAATCCAGCAGTACTATATCCCTCCTCCCCTTTTCTCTTTTGACAGGCAACTGCACTCTATGAACAAGGGCTAGACATGTTGAAAATCGACGAGGAAAAAAGGGTGAAAGATCGCTCACTTGTTCGCAAACTGTGAGCCTTTTTACCACCAGCACCTTCAAGGACGAGTGAAAGAGCGCAAAAGGGACACTATTTTTGGGGAGGGTTGGCACTCTCGAACAATGTCTTGGGATGTGAAGCAGCAGGTTTTTTTTTCTTCGTTGCCGCTCCTGCTCATGCCTTTCAATACGGGTGTCTAGAGTTTTAGACGTCCAGCGTGGACAGCGGAGAGGGAGTACGCCTGGCCGAGTTCTCATTGCGTCTCTTCTTTTTTTCCAAAGCGAACGCTGCCAGAACCATTTCCTCTTACTACATTATTCACTTATATTCACTTATACATCTCTTATTATGCCCTCGGTAGGGAACGACCAACAGCAGCAACAGCAACAGCCGCCGCCGCCGCCGCAGCAGCAGCAGCAACAGCAGGCCACGTCGGCAGCCTCGAGTGCCCAGGACTCGGCCCATAGATACCAGCACCCTAACCACCAGCAGCGGCGGTTCTCGGTCGCCCAGCAACCACCGCAGCAGCAGCTCTATTACGGATACCAGCCTACCTCACCCATAGGCTCACCAACGGCTTCGCCGCTTGGGTATGTCAGTAGCCTGCAGGCGTCGCCTACGGTCAGCCCCCTGGGCAACATGGCACTAGTCAATGCCCAGATAATCCACAGTACGCCCGGCTACTACTACACGGGCCACGGTGGGTCTCCAGTTGGATCGCCGCCGCCCATGGCAACATTGGCTGCAACCGCAAGCCCGACTCTGGCCCCGGGCCATTTCATCACCCCGATTCCCATGAACACACGTGACTCGGGGGCACAGCAGTTCGGGTCGCCGCAGTTTGTGGCCAGTCCACCGACCCTGAGCATGTCACCGACGATGCTATACCAGCACGTCACCAGCCAGGGGGATGATCTGCACAACCCGCGCAACGTATATGTGCGCAGCCTGCCCGAGGACTGTAGCGACGAGGCACTAGAAGAGATGTCAGCCAGGTATGGCGAAATCGAGACACACAAGTCCATCATCGACGCCTCCACAGGCAAATGCAAGGGCTACGGGTTCATCCTCTACAAGACGGTAGAAATGGCGAACCGGGCCATCGAGGGGCTCAATGCGCGCGGGTACCAGGCATCGCCGGCCAGGGACTCGCTGAAGACCAAGCTGAAAAGGCTGCAGGATAAAAAGTCCGGCAATGTGTATATCTCCAACCTGCCGGTAACCATGGATGAGGAAGGGCTGAAGGAGCTGATCAAGCCAGACACTGTCATATCGGCCAAAATCCTGCGCGACTCGAACTCGAACATTCCACGCGGGGCCGGGTTTGCGCGCATGGCGGACCGCGAGACTGCGCTGCGTGTCATCGAGCGGCTCAAGGGCCAGCGGCTCCCAAACACCCCTGGTCCGCTGATGCCGCGAATTGCCGACTCTGACGGCCAAAAGCAGCTGAAGAAGCAGATAAACAGCGAAACCACCAGCCTGCTGCTGCGGTCTGGCGCAACGTCGCCGGTGATGTGGACCCCAGGCATGGTTATGTACCAGTCTGCTGGCCAGTCGGCCAATGTGTCTGCCAGCGCCTCAGCACTCGATGTGCAGCGCCAGCTGTCGCCGTCGCCAACGCCATTTGTTAATTCCCCACAGCAGTCGTTCTCGGGCATCTACCAGCCAGCATTCCAAGGATACGCATCTCCGGGATACGTCTCGCCGCTCAACTTTGGATCACCCACGGGATATGCATCGCCTACGGGCTATGGATCTCCCGGCTACGTGTCGCCGGTTCAGATGCCGTCGTCGCCGCAGCCCGTGTATCCGCATTTGCCCGAGCAGCCGTCAATTCCAACGCGCAACGGCAAGGAAGCCGAAGCTACTAGCGGCATGCAGAACGGGATTACGCCGCAGCACACGGGCGGTGAGCAGAGGCACGGGAGGCAGCACTCGCAGAACCACCACGGGTACAACCCGCGGCAGCCGCCGTCGCACCAACAGCACCAGCAGCTGGTCGACTCGGTGCAGTCAAATCTCCATATCTAGGAAAAAGGTCGATTACTTAATTAAAAAAAGCTATGCCTGGCAGACAGCCGTATATGTGACCAGTGAGCCATCGGCGGAGATGGCGAACTGCGTGTTCGGGAAAATGTAGTACACGAAGCCGGGCTTCAGCTCGTACTCCTTGTCGGCCACCAGCTTGCCGCTGCCCTCGGTGGCGATGAGGACCTGCGGGCCGCTCAGCTTGACGCTCTCCGACTCGCCCCTGCTGAGCTGGGTGCGGAGCACCGAGAACTCATCGATAGGCGGGTCGTAGATGGTCGAGTGCTGCATAATCCTGGGCGCCTTCAGCAGCTTGCCCTCGGGGGTGCCAAAGTCGTATGTCAGCATATCCACCAGAACCGGCACGTCCCTGAGCTTGGGTGTGAGGCCAGCGCGCACGACATTGTCCGATGTCGCCATGCACTCGATACAGTCGCCGTAAATATACGCGTGTGGGTCGTTCGGGCCCATATAAAAGGCATCGCCGGCATGCAGATGAAGAACGTTTAGCATAAATACACAGAACACACCCACGTCGCCCGGATACTCTGCGTTCAGACGGTGGACAAGGGCCGGCAATGACAGATCCATAGGATCGGCAGACTTGGACACACGCTTCAGCAGCGCATCCAGGTGCTCCTTGACGGCCTCAGGATTGGAGTTCATTAACTCGGCAAACAGGACCTTGAGCTGCTGCTTCTTGTCCTGGGTAGAGCCGTCCTTTGCTGACTGCTGGAACGCAGCGGCGGAGGTGGCAACCAGGGCCTTGAACTCGGGGTACTCGTCGATGTTCTGCGAGATCTCCTCGAGCGGGCGGAATCCGCTCATGGCGATGAACTCGGTCAGCGCTATCGACATTTCTGGCTTGTGGTTCGGGTCCTTGTAGACGTGCGGGCGCTCGGTGTGCAGCTTCTCCGCCAGCTTCTTGTCGGGGTGGGCCTGAATCGACAGCGCCTTTTCGATCGACAGCACCTTGAACAGGTACGGCAGCTGGGGGCCAAACTTGGAGACCACTGCCGCGCTCAGAGCCCTGGCGGGGTCAGCGTCCACGACCGACGAGAGCAGGGTGGTGGTGCCAAAGACTGTCGAGGGGCCGTTCGGATGCGTGCCCATCCAGAGCTCAGAGTAGGTCTGGTTCTCGTCGATGGCGACGTTCGGGTTGGTCGCGGCGAACTGGGCTGCCTTGCTAGAGCTGCCGTGCTTGCCCCAGGCGTAGTTGTTGGCGTTGCAAGTAAGACGAATGACCGACATCTTAGTAAACAGATGCAATTTCGGAGAAAAAAAAGAAAGCTGAAGAGAACGGAAAAGCTCCATTCTCAGTTCTTCAACATCCAATTCATCATCGACCTCCCCCTGGTCCCACAGTACAGGCCAAATATGTTGCTTGTCCGCGGGCGCTAGGGGTTGAGCGCCTGTGCGGTCACGCCAGGGACCGAAACAACACAACATCCCTCTGGCCAGAGCATCAGACTCGCGTGCAACAGCAGAAAAGGAAATTTGGCAAGGAAATTCGTTTTTCCCAAAGAGCCGATGAGATCTCTGGCATAGCCGGACGGTGGCCATTGGGTGTAAAAGCAGCGGGGCGATGTGAGCTCGGACCACGGGCTGCGCTTGGCCGAGACCATCGAAACCAGGGCTTCTTGGACTGATCGAAAAGCCTCGGCGGTGATTACGAACGGAGATCGGGCAGAGTTTCACATGGCAGCCGCCGATATCACACTCGCCACACGCTCGAACTGCTGAGAAAAAATTTCCGGCGGCGGCTAGAAAACAGGTCTTGTGAAAGAGGTTGACCCGGGGGAGAAAAACCGGGATGGCAGCTGAAATGCATGGCCGAGCTATAAATGTGACACGGCGTCGCAGCCCCTGCTGTACTCGGACTGCAGCACCGCAAATTATCCACTTCCCCCGTCGCTTTACACCACCTGTTGTCACGCTAGCGTGCTTTATTGCTACTGCCCCTATCCCGGCGGCAATTTTTTATCTCCAAGCCTCACCCCCCATTAACGGCCCGTCAGCACACTCAGCAGCAGCATTGGCAGCAGCCTGATTCCAACCCAACCATGAGTGCCACCCAGCGGTTAAACAACGTCCTGAGCCATCTCTCTTCCACAACCAACTCGCCAAACGCCAATTCTACTATGTGTAAGTGCACGGAAAACTCGGCACCTTCTGAATTCGTAGGCTTTCTCTGCTAATTGCCCAAGCGCCCTATTCTTGTGAATTCGTAGCCTTCTTTTCTCAAGTTCCCCAGGCACCGCCCGACGGCATTCTCAAGCTCTCGGTCCTGTCCAAGGCCGACTCGAACCCGCAAAAGGTCGACCTGGGCGTGGGTGCCTATCGCGACGACAACGGCAAGCCGTGGGTTCTGCCGGTTGTGCACAAGGCCGAGCAGCGTCTGCTCAACAACCCCGAGTCCAACCACGAGTACCTGCCCGTCGGAGGCTGGCCCGCACTGACCAGCGGCGCCCAGACCCTTATCTTTGGCAAGGACAGCCCAGCCATCAACGAGAAGCGCGTAAGTACCCGGATCGGACCGTGAGCCACCCCCTGAGAAAGGCTCCTCGCTGTCCATCACATGCAGATGTGCTGCTAACTCGGGTCCATCCTCGTTTTGAAAAACAAAACATCCCCCCTTCTCGGCGGGCTCCGAATGCCGGACTATTATTGTTGTAGGTCTACACGATTCAGACAATCTCGGGCACCGGAGCCAACATGGTTGGCGCGGTGTTTTTGAGCAACTTCAAGCAGCCCAAGGACGCCGCAGTTTACATCTCCAAGCCCACCTGGGGTAGGTATCGTTTAATTTGCAACGTATGCATGGATGTGCAGCGGATGTCAAGACTGATCACCGTCTGTTGTGATTGGTAGGAAATCACCGTAGCATCTTCCAGACAGCCGGCCACGAGGTGCGCGAGTACCGGTACTGCAACTACAAGACGCTGAGCCTGGACATCGACGGCATGCTCGAGGACCTGCGCAACGCACCGCCCAATCAGATTATTGTGCTGCATGCCTGCGCCCACAACCCGACTGGCATCGACCCGACTGAGGAGCAGTGGCAGAAGATCGCCGACATCATGGCCGAGCGCGGCCACTTCCCCTTCTTCGACTGCGCGTACCAGGGCTTCGCCACGGGTGACCTCGACCGCGACGCCTACGCCATCCGCCTGTTTGTGAGCCGCGGGTTCGAGCTGCTTGTCGCCGAGTCGTTCGCCAAGAACATGGGCCTGTATGGCGAGCGCACTGGCGCCCTGCACATCGTCACCAAGGCGGCCGACCAGATCCCGGCTGTCAGCTCGCAGCTCAACCGGCTGTCACGGGCCACGATTTCGACTGCGGCGGGCTTTGGCGCCAAGGTCGCCGGCACTGTGCTGCAGGACCCCGAGCTGTACAACGAGTGGCTGCAGTCGATGGCTGACATGTCGTCGCGCATCAAGACCATGCGCGATGCCCTGCGCGACAAGCTCGTTGCCCTTGGCACCCCGGGCAGCTGGAACCACGTCTCGGAGCAGATTGGCATGTTCTCGTTCACCGGTCTGTCCAAGACCCAGGTCCAGGCGCTGCGCGAGCAGTACCACCTGTACATGACCGACGATGGCCGCATCTCGGTTGCTGGCCTCAACACAAAGAACATCGACTACGTCGCCAAGGCCATCGACACGGTTGTCCGCACAATCCAGTAAATTGCACCAGCTGCTCAGAGCCAAGGCGCCCCCGCTGACATCATCCATCATGCAACAGGCAGGTCCGTGCTTTGGATCAAGTAATTAAATATATCAATTCTGTGGCGATTCTAATACTTGGCCACGCATGAGGCGCAAAAAGGCGCTCGGAAGAGTGTGTGCTTGGCAGCAGTCCCAGCTGAAATTCCATCTTTGGAGGAAAAGAAACGGATTAAGCTGCGATGAAAAAACCCCCTCTCCTCCTTGATATTCTTTCTTCTCCATCTGTCATTTCTTATTGCCGTACTCTCCCGCCTAGCAAAAATGATGACCAACACCGAATCCGCCAAGCAGGGGCTGGACCTTTCGAACTACGATGAGGAGCAAGTGCGCCTCATGGGCGAAATGTGCATCATGCTCGACAACGACGACAATGCAATTGGCGCCGAGTCCAAGAAAACGTCGCATCTGATGGGCAACATCAACAAGGGCATGCTGCACCGTGCCTTCTCTGTGTTCCTGTTTGACTCGCAGAACCGCCTGCTCCTGCAGCAGCGCGCGTCGGAGAAGATCACGTTCCCAGACCACTTCACCAACACGTGCTGCTCGCACCCGCTGGCCATTCCCTCCGAGGTCGTCGAGGAGGGCCAGCTGGGCGTGCGGCGCGCGGCGCAGCGCAAGCTGGAGCACGAGCTGGGCATCAAGCCCGAGCAGGTGCCCCTGGACAAGTTCAAGTACCTCACCCGCATCCACTACATGGCGCCGTCGGACGGCATGTGGGGCGAGCACGAGATTGACTATATTCTGTTTATCAAGGCCGATGTCGACCTGGATATCAACCCGAATGAGGTCAAGAGCTACAAATACGTGAGCATGGACGAGATGAAGGAGATTATTGCGACCGCCGAGGAGAAGGGTGTGCTGCTGACGCCGTGGTTCAAGCTCATCGACGAAACGTTCCTGTACAAGTGGTGGGCCAGCATCGACAACCTCGATGCCCTGGTCGACGAGGAGACCATCCACCGCTTGTAAGACCATTTACACTAGCTCCTATATCACCCTAATATACGGCAGATCATCTATGCCAGGTAATCACCATCCACTCCCAGGATTAGCCTGCCTTCCCCTACTCCGTGACTCACACCATGTGAATGACTTTTGGTCCTTGGCCCATCTGGGACCGCAGCAGACCAGTCCCCCACGCTCTTCTCTTCACCCTCAACACCTTATTTCTTCTTGCAAATGGATCTGTCTGAACGCACAAAGGTCGGCTCTGGCGGACCCTACGAAGACCCCATCGGCTACTCGCGCGTGCTCGCCACCGGCCCCTTCGTCTATGTTGCTGGCACTACTGCTGGCTCCGACGGCTCCCCCATCCCCGCCGGCGTCGAGGCACAGACCGCACAAACTATGGAAATCATCAAGTCCAAGCTCCTCAAGGTCGGCTGCACCATGGACGAGGTCGTCCGCGTGCGCATGTATGTCGTCGACATCAAGCAAGACTGGGAGGCAGTCAGCGAGGTCATGAACAGATACTTCAAAGACGTCAAGCCCGTGATGACCATGGTGGAGGTGAAGGGGCTGATTGATGACGACATGCGCATCGAGATTGAGGTCGACGCTGTCCGCAAAGCCTTCTCCGCAGCATCCTAGCCGTCTATTTACATCTTGCTAGGCACCCAGTCATGTGACTGATCCGTGGAAAAGTCGGGTGGGAATTGTCGCTGAGGTGCATATTTCTCCGAACAGTCGTTGCGTTCTGGCCCATTTTCGCTGCTGCTCTTCTCTGCTCTGCAATTTTTTTTCACACACTCTTTGTCTGATTTTTCCGCACCGTCTTTACAAACACAACAGAATACCCATGAGTGTACTTGCCACCAGCGCCCGCCTCAGGGTGCACAGCATGGTACGCCGTGCCTTTAGCACCAGCTCCTGCGCCCAATCGATCACAACACTAGGCACAGGCATGCCGGCGTTTCCACGCGACACAGTTGCTGCAGCCGCAGCCATAGCACGGCAGTCGGCCGCAATCCTGCACCACCATGGCGACGCATCCGCCGACAGCACATCCGAGCCCTCGTTCTACTCGGAGGAGGTCGACCAGTACGCCTCGGTGGGCTTGCAGCCGATTACTCTGAGCCGCTTGCTGCAGATCTGCCAGCCGCCGTTGACCCGCGAGTCCCTGATCGAAAACGCACAGTACCTGTGTCGCGAGCGGCCGGTGCGGTACGCAAAACGCCTAAAGCTGTTCCAGCGCCTGCCATACATTGTTGGCGTGAACCCGCATCTGAACTCGATTTACCAGATATACTACAAGAACTTTAACGACTCGAAGCACTTCCCCATGGTCGAGTCGCTGTCGGACCAGCGCGAGTTTATCCAGATGCTAGCGCGCCAGTCCGAGTCCCTCCGCGATATCATGCCCGCAGTTGCCAGGGGGTTCTATGAAAGCAGGCGGTACATTAGCACACCCGACCGGTGTGCGTTCCTTGACGAGCTGATCAAAATGCGCATCGGCTTGAGACTGCTGACTAGCCAGCACCTGGCGCTATATCACCAGTTCCGGGCCACTGCCAAGGGCACCTACGATGAGGAGACCGACCATGGCCGGTTCCAGGGCATCGTCGATAACCGAATGAAGCTCGCACATATGGTGCGTCTGTGCGCCCAGGGAGTTCAAGCCATGTGCGACATGGCGTACGGCGAGGCACCCACATTCACCATCGACGGACAGACGAATTTGACGTTCCGCTACATCCCCTCGCATCTCGAGTATATGTTAGTGGAGCTGCTCAAGAACGCATTCCGCTCGACTGTGCAGAACTCCAAGGGCGGCGAGATTCCGCCGGTGCAGATTACAATATCCAAGGGCAGCAGCCGCGTGGCCATCCGGATCCGTGACTTTGGTGGCGGCATCCCGCATGAAATCCAGAGCAAAGTGTTCGAGTACTCGTTCACCACTGTCAAGCACTCAAGCGTCGATGGCAGCCAGGACGACGTCACCATGCGCAATGTGGCCGCGGGCCAGAGCTCGATCGCTGGACTTGGATTTGGACTGCCGATGACTAAAATATACGCAGAATTCTTTGGCGGATCGCTCAACGTCATTTCGCTGGACGGATACGGGTGCGATGCGTTCTTGGAGCTTCCATCGATAAAGGTCGACCGGTCTCCAACAATGATTGAGATTTGAGGTGATACACTGCTTTCTCACTAAACCATCCCTTGTTCATTTACTCCTAGCATTCAAATAAACTATACTATCTGCATGCCAGGTGGAGATCAGACAGCTGGTTCAAATTGCTACCTGGGATTGTGATGGATAGAAGGATCATGGAAATATTGCTTGTGCATACTCGTGTTAGCTATCAAGCAGCTGCCTCCTGTGGGACTTGTCGTCAGCAGTACTAACAGGAATCTGTAAGAACAGATGACAGTGTTTATTGGCATATCACAAGCGATGTAAAGTGGGAGGTACTGCCACCAGAACAGCTCATTCAACTTCATCAAACCGATTGACTTGGAACCGATACATGTTTACGAACATCATAAAAGAGTGCTATAAAATTTAGTTGAGGGGAAAAGGAGACCGGCTGGCGTCCTTGACCCGAGATATCCGTTTGTTTGGTTTGGGCTATTGTGGTGTAGGAGTGTATCCGCACTCCGGAGCCAACAAGCCTCACCTAATAAAACCATAGGGCCTTCAGTGAGGGTGAGGCCCTCTGGAGTTTGATATCGTTGTAGGTATGTATCCACACCACGTTGCCTTGCGTACCTGGCACTAAATATGGAACCTGGACCCAGGGCTTGTCGACCTATCCCACAGTTGCCTCCCTCAAAATCTCAGCCACGTACACCCTTTTGGTCTGTCAGCAGTTGTTCCCTAAGATTAGGAAATTGCATCGTTTGGAAGCTCATACGCCACTGTAATCATGTTAGAGGCAGATGTCTAATATGCACCTGTTTCCAGCCTGTTAGAGACCTATTTTCTGTTTTTCCTCCTTCATCCTCATCCCCATCCCCACCCTACATTGCGCTATAATGGCACATTTCATGAGTTCTATCGCTTCACAGGTTATTCGCCTGGCCTACACTGATGCGAGCATCTCTACCATCAATACTGATCTTATCCTGTTCTATGAAAACACTACCAGTGACGCCGACTTCCTGAATAGCAGCGTGCTCAGAGAGGCTTTCTACAAGGCATTGGAAAAGTTCCCGATATATCTCGGATACTTCAGACAGCGCGCGGACGGAGGGCTCGCAATTGCCATTGACAAGGACGACCTGAACATGCCAAACTACCTCGAGTCAACCTCGGATATCCTCTTTTCGGACATCAAATCCTCGAGCTACAGCCCACGCACCTGGCCAGCTGGACTGATGACTACCAGCATGACCGCACTTCCTGACCAAGAAACTGGCCAGATAAAGATGCTGCATGTCCACATCGTCAGATTTCTGGAGTCATCTGGCGTGGCCATATTCATCAGTGGCAGTCATGGTGTCACCGACGCCACCGGGTTCTACAGTTTCATAAATCATTGGGCCAGCGAAACGAGGGCTTTGCTGACCGGAGTGCCTGCACCTGAGATATCTGTATGCTTTGATCGTGAAGTTCTTGTCGGTGGCTCTGCTGATGCGCGGGCTGAAGTCGATAATCTCCTCCGGGTTATTACTATGACTCCTTCGCCAGAAGCAATATCCATGGCATCACTCTCTCCCGTAGAGCGTAACAAGACAATTCACGCCAGTACGCCAACTGTTGACCGCCAAGGGTGCTTCTATCGGATCGGCCACGACAGGCTTGAATACCTGCGGGATCGCATGCAGAAGTGCACAGTGGATGGTACCCGAGTTTCAATTAACGATGTCCTGAGCGCATTGATCGCCAAGACAGTGTCCCAGGCGCAATTTGCCAATATGGCTGAGCCTCTTAGCTCACTAACCAAGCCTAGCGACAGAGCTCATCTACATTATGTTGCCATTGCATGCGATTGCCGCCACCGCCTCGGCATATCTGACATGAACTTTATTGGAAATGTCCAGTATATACCTATGACGACAAATCCAATCAAGATGATCATCCAGGCAACAACGTTCGAAACACTGGTCAAGGTTGCAGTTAGTATCAGACATGCCGTCGACCGCGTACAGGCCCCGCAGATAAGAGCCTATTTCGATATGACCAAACAGCATCCAGGCCTATTCATGTGTCCAGCTATCATGGTGCCTAAGTACGGGCTACGTACAACTATTTCGAACCAGTCTCGATTTGGGCTCTACGATATAGATTTTGGACACGGAGCTGCAGATTTTGTTACTAGTCGCCCCACTCGATTCACTGACATAGTCAGCATCCTGCCTGCTCGCCCTCCAAGCAGAGACGTGTATGTCTCAATTACTGATACGCCAGCAGTGCTTGAGAGCATCCGCAGTAACAAGTTTTGGAGACGCTTTGCCGATTTCGTCTACTAAGAAAACAAATAAATGGCATTCTAGAATTACTCTGCTCGCGATGCGAGCTCGGCTGCTAGTCAGCATGGGTTGACACGTCGATAAGAGCATCACGGCGAACCGGTCATTTGAACGTGTCGGATGGTTGTTGGTGCAATGGCGATCAGGGTGCCTAGATGCAACTGCCTGGTGGAGCTTCTGTGCAGGTGTATAAATACGCACTTGACATGCATTATTGAACTCAGCCTTGGACACATTGCCCATTGTACTGTGCAGTGTGTTTTTGCGGCTGCGAATATCAATCAATTTGGCCAGAATCCGCTGTAGGCAAGTACCATAGTGCAACACAATGTTGTTCTTGTATGCTGTCATCAGCTCGGTGTCAACATATGTCGCTACCTGATTCATTTCGCGTACACCATGTAGCTCGATATCGCCATTATGTAATAGATAATCATAAATATGATATCTAATTACATCACCGAAATCTGCGTTCGACAGTTCTGACTTGTTCTTCCGGTTGACGAAATCCTTGGCATCAGGCTGACCAACAATGAGAGCAGCTCTTGTACTGAACCAATGGAGATATCTAGTGGAGACCTGTGACCGCTACAATAACAGCTTGTCGCCCTGGTTTCACTGATGAGGTCAGATGCCACACAAGATCAAAAGGAGTTTACAGAGCAAGTCGCCCAAACTCGCTTCGAGGTTTAAAAGTTTTTTTAGCCAATTAAATATGTTCTAGCGGACAGTTTAGACACTCTTTTGGAGTATAAAATCTTATTTTAGGTAAGGTGAAGATAAAGATAGTGACATGGTTGAAACAACCCTATGGAAAATACAGACATTAATCAAAGGGCCTCGCCATTCTGATCCCAGTACTGGTCGAACCCGATCTTACCGCGCGACCACCAGCGCTTGCCGGCCTTGTACTGCTCTTCAGAGTCCTTAAACGAGCTCATGTCGATAGTGTCGACGGTGCGCTGTGCCAACAGCAGCCAGTTGATCTTCTGCGGCTGTTCGTAGTTGGCTGGGACCTCCGGCGCGTTGTGGTTGAGAATGCTACCGCGCAGAAGCGCACGTACAACCTTGGCTACGTGCAGGTCATCATTCTGCACCGCCTTCTCAAACACCGCCTTCCACTGCTCATTGTCGCTGTACTCTGCGTCGGCGGCGAACGAGACATCGTCGGTTGCAAGTTCACTGGCATGATAGAACCGCGGACAATGCCTGAGGGTGAAGTAGCGCAGTACAACAAAGGCATACGTGCGCAGAACCCTGATCTTCTGCTCAAGGGTGAGCAGGTCGAGGATCATTGGCACAAAGTACGAGGATGTCAGGAGATGCATCAATGTAAACTCGTACTGGTTCTTGTACCCGGGCTTAGTGGTTGCGCCGTAAATGAGTGCAGTGATGCTCTGCAGCACACGGAACTTGAGCGCAACACAGTATTCAGTCGGGTAAACTTTCCACTGCTGCAGGTATTCGAGCGCGACCTGATCGCTGATAGGGCTATCCTTCTCCAAGGAGGTCTCATACGGAATGTCCTGGATGCGCTTGTCGTTTCGGATGTTATCCATCACCTCCATAAGAGTGAGTGTGTCTGTGGTCTTCCCGACAGTTTCAGCAGTTAGCTCAACCCCAAAGAGGAGCTTATGCACACAGGCCATTGCCAGACCCGTTGCAAGAATAGCAGCGCTGTCAAACTCGACTCCATAGCCGATCTGGATCAGCGGGTGCAGAAGGCCGCTGAACACAAGAGCATAGATCTTGTCATCAAACATGTAGCGCACTAGCACAGGCTTCCAGTCACCGCCCTCTGCGTCGATCTCTCGGCGGAAGAACGCTACAAAATTAGTGTAGTATTCCTCCTTGCCGATGTACTCGTGCCAGTTGTCCTTGGTGATTACGACACCGGCGACAGGATCAGGCAAGGGACGCTGCATCGGGACGTTCTTGTCGTAGATGTCTTGCAGGCGCTCCTGGGATGCACCCAGAGACAGGGATGCCAGCAGATGGTGGATGTTGTGGTTGTGGAACTGCATGTGGTTGAAGAAAATGTGGTGCTCGAGGTAGTCGCGGGCACACAGACGCTCTGCCTCGCGCAGAGTGCTGTCACCGATATCTGCCACACGTAGAGCACGCGGCGCCTTGCCCAGCTTCATGCCGGTCTCCTCGATGACCGAGTAGTCAGAGTCGTCATGCTTGGTAGTAGGAGCCATTGGATACTAGGTGTTGAAAAGAAGTGCTGCTTAGTGGTGGTTATGAGAAAAGGGTTAGGTGATTCAAAAGTTGATAGTGATGCTCATTTCTGCTGCTGTGTCACCTGGGTCCTATTTATATGCACTCGCAGTCAGTAGGCAACCCTTGCTCCGTCTCTAGTCTGACGTCGTCTTTGGCCATTACTGTTCTTGAGGCTGAGAAAAAAATGGCCGATCTGACAAATGCCTTAGTCCTACTCTCTTGTTGGTACATCCCTCTGCCCATGTGATTGATTTGCACAGACCCAGCCAAGGTGTAAATAAAAAATCATAGCTGGGTTCAGGAGTGCAAGGGTGAGTGGTCCGTGCCAGTTTTTCAAGCAGCATGCACATGTGCTTACAAATCAACGTGTAGCTGCTTCTTTTCAGCGGGTATTATTGTGCCGGGCGTTTGCGCTATCAATACCGGCGATTTATGTCGAGGATTGAGGAGGGGGTGCAACCATTGCTTGCGAGCTGATTCGATCTAGATGAGATGCGCATAATCATCTATGATCTGTCACGTTTACTGATCTCAGCGCCATTCAAGTTTACTCTCAGAGGCATCTATTAGGCTCTTACCCCGGGTCGCAGCTTTCAAGTTGTATTGGGATGTCGATGGTGTTGTAGGTCTAGAGCAGATGGTGGGAAATAGAGGGCCGTGAGGAGTAGCAAGGCAAAAAGGAACGAGGACTGAAAATGCCTGATATGTAGGTGTGTATTTTCGTTGAGTTTGAAAGAGTATTTGTGCGGTGATGCATCAGTCCAAAGGCGTGCGAATTGTGTGGGTTTCGTATAATCAAAAGCGACAGAGGCAAGGGTATATTGATGTATGAAAAGTCAAAGAAAAGGAAATGATAAAATAAGGGAAAGGTACTGGTTGAAAGGAAAAACTATGTAGCTCACAGCAATCGGATCTTGAGGATCAAACACATCAGGTCACACATAAATACTATGATGAACAATGGGTCTTGGATCGAGTTCTTGATCCTAAAAAGCCATCGTTACCACACCGGCGGTCAGAGCCCACATATTATTCCGTCGAATCATCCACCAAGTTCATAGCCATAGAGCCAAGGTGGACACCGGTGGTCGGCCAGAATATCTTGGATTTGCGATCGCAATACCAGCTGAGTTGCTGCCATTCACAGATTATCTGAAAATGCGTGTAGCTCCTTCCATCACAGGTTGACACTGGGCTGTGAAACGCATATAAATATTGGTCTGACGTCATGGCAATTGAGAATTTCAATGTTGATACATTGCAACCTTTCTCATGGACAGTACACATATTGCAAGATGGGATAAGCGAGACCGCAGCATTGAAAGGGAGAGAAAGCTGCTTTATCAACTGTTCCGTCAAACGAGACAGATGGAGCAGCTGCAAGACAGTGGGTAGCATCGGGCAAGGACTGAAGTAGTCGACCTTGATGGGGTTAGCACACACAATGCTTCCGGTGATGTTTTGAGCGAACTTGGTGAGAAGCCCGTGAGAGATCCTCATGTGCCATCTGACTCGCAATCCGAATGATATAAAGAGCTCCTGGCTTGCCTTCAGAACTGCCAGCAGACAGCGCATACGCAGCACCAGATGAATGCGGAACGGTTCCAGAATCTACAGCAGCAGCAAAACAGACGCATATTACAGGGACTAGAGTGCCAAAAACGGTATAGATGCCGCTGGATGCGACAGGCAGCGCACTATCAGCAAGAGCATAGACACTATTTGCAGCAAGAGCACGGGCAGAGACAGTGTCGCACACAGCAGCTGGAACATGAGCGACAGAAGGTGTGGCGTTGGCTGATCTGGACCTCTCTACTTGTGCATGGTGGCAGTGGTTGCAAGCACCAGGGGACACCTCTAGATACGACATGTGTCATGGAAAAACCTTATTTTTAAAATTAACACATTGACGCTACCGTATTATTGGTACCTGCTCGCTAGTCCTTGCTATCCTCTTCGTTTTCTTCAGCTTCTTTGCTGTATGCTTCGAGTTGCACCTTCTTTGCATCCATCTCCTGGTGCAGTCGCTGGATAATGTCCTCGAACCGTCTCCGGATAATCGGGTTGGGCGCCGAATCCAGATCTGCACCCTTCTTTTTGATCGTGCGCTCAAGTTCGGCAATTTCCTCACCCAGCAGCTTCATTTGCATTGCGCGCTCATTGTTCGGCTGGTCTTCCTCCTCGCTCTCGTCGTCATCGTCGTCATCTTCATCGTCGTCATCGAGCTCCTCCAAACCTTGTGCTAGCTCGGCTGCTAGATTCTCATCAAATTCCATGTCGTCGTTTGCAACGCTGCTGGCAGCATCATCATCGGCAACCATAGGCGTGTTCAGATCATCAATCGTCACTGGTGACATGATGTCGACGCTGGGCGTGCCTGCGCGACCGTCCTCGCCTTGCTCGTCATAGATCTCGAACTTGATTGACATGGCCTGGGCATCCTCCTCTAGCAATCGCAGCACCTCGCGCTCGATCGCGTCAACCTTGGTGCTTGGCATGCGCTTACGGAACCTCTGCTTTCGGACGTTGGTTAGCGGTGGTGCCAGACCATCGGGATGGACTGTATCCAGCCCACGGGCGCGTGGCAGCTGTGGGATCTCGCTGTCCGCTACTTCCTTTTCGATAACCAGCATCTGGCAGATGTCTGCTGTCTTGAGCAGCTGTTTCTTGTCTACGGTGCGGTAGGACTCTGTGATAGTCGGCAAGTCCACCAGTGTTGCAGAGTACTGCTTGCCTTCAAATTTAACGATGGCGTTGCGCTCATCTCGGAACGTGATCTCTAGCCGCTCGCTGATTGACCGGTCGTTGACACACTTGCCGAACTCCGCGGCTATTTCAGGTAAAACACGCAGGACAAACTGCTCCTCGAGCTGGATCTCATTCTCTTCGAGTTCTGGGCGTGGATCGGCACCACGGCTAGCGCCCGGAGAGCTTCAAAGTCAGGCGGTTGCGCTGCCGATCGGCCAGCGGCGGCCGTCCTCGTGGCCGGGGCATATTGTAGGCAAAGTCAGCGGGCATCATCTTTTGTGCTGTGTATGAGGCGATACAGAATAAGTGAAATTATCTTGATGATTGTATACAAAAGGTGGTTGTGTATAGGTACAGAGCTAGAATCTAAAAATAAAAGCCGGTCCAGGGCCATGTATCGTGTAGTAAATATCGCGGATCGGTCTCCAATCCGAATTGGGGGACCCGCAAATATGTGATTGTCCTGGTTTAGACAAAGGAATCGCTTGCCTGTGGAGCAATCCTGATTACCGGGTTTTGCTGGACAGGGTCGGGGATTCCTGAAGCGAAGATTCTCATATAGGCAGGCGAGCGCACCTCAGAACTGTGTTTGTGCTGCCTACTCAATAATTCCTCGATGTACCGCCGGACCGGTGGGTTGGTAAAAAACGCCAGCGATATTCCCCAAGCCTGTAGGAACTGAAGCACTGTGTCGATAACATCGAGGCTACGATAGTTCTGCTGACCAGTGTATCGGATAGTGCTGTTGAGAACTGTGAAATACAGCGCCAGGATTGGTGTGACGGGGAACCAGACCACCGATATCAGAGTCCGGTTTACGAGAGTGACTCTCTGCACAACATCCGTGGGCATCGTCAAGTCCATCCTCTCTACCTTAAACTCCCTGGCCAGCGCCGACGTACGATAGATATGGATAATTGTCATAGAGATGCTGACGATGCCAATGATCCCTGCCAGCAAGATCCATATATTCACAACCAGCCATTTGAACACAAACAGTCGGTAGTTAGGCACATCGCCGTATTCGCAAAACGAACGTACCCCTGCGGTGCTTGGCGACAAGAACAGGACAAAGGCGGGTGGGACAACGGCCGGCAGCACACAAACCGTGGCCAAGACAGCGACTGGCCACCTCCTCCATGTCGCCACCTTGTAGATTAGCGTCATCTGGATGTACACCAGACAAAAATCGCACAGGTAGGCAGGGAGCAGCCCGAGGGACAGACTCAGAAATATAGTGACTCGGCATTCCGGCTCGTGCTTCAGCGTGACTGACGATACCGTGACCTCAACCACGCATCGGAACACCATCACGGCCTGGAGCACCAAAAGCGTCTGAAACACGGGCATCTTGAGCATCTTTGGCTGCTGCTTCGAGATCAGGACCGCAATGCACAGCGTGAAAAACGACAGGAGCATGTCTATCGAGAACAGGACTATCTCGAGCAGCCCCTGTGAGAATATTCGCTGCATCGCATACTGTTGATTCAAATAAGACATGAGGAGGAAAAAGAGGCGAAGCTGAAGCAAGCTGAGGGAAAAGGCACTGCCAAGAGCCGATGGCCAAAAACGGACCTTCCTTCCACCCCTTTTCCGCATTAGGCCATCCTGTAGGCACTTTGCATTACACTGGATCTCCCCCCACCTATGCTTTACCCCATCGCCCCCCGTCAATAGCCTATCGACGCCAGGGATACTGATGATCGGTCCATTTCTTGCACCAAGGTATTTTTTTGGTTTGCCTCCAGGGGGGCTCCAGGCCGGTGACCACAGTTTATGCGAATGCGAGCTGGGTGTATTTGTAATGCGATACTTGTAAGGGTGTGTATTTCTATAAATGCAAAAATATGCTACACGCTCTTGGTGAAGAGCTGAAAGTCCATGCCTGTGCGTTTGTATAGTGATGGGGGAAAGAAAGTCAGACCATGTCGCTGTCGGCGGAACCGACCCTTATGCGCTTGTGTCCCACTGCACTGCTGCATTCCATGAACACATTGCCGTCCACCTCAAGGTCGCTTCTTCTGCTCCTGCCCTTGCCGAACACACTCCTGATTGAGCGGCGGACTGGCGGGCTAGCGTAGAACGCCAAAGCGACCCACCATGCCTGGAGGAACTGGAGAACACTGTCGGTGCGGTCCATATGTATATTGTCCTCCTGTCTAACATAGCGGACCGGTGTTGTAGATTACGTTAAAGTACAGCGATACGATTGGCGTGATTGGGAAACCAGACAACTGATATCAAGGTGCGGTTGACAATGGAGTTTTTGTGTGCGATTTCGGCGTTCAGATCTGCCATCTTACTGTCCACCGACGGTTTACGGGCTCTCGACGACGGTGCGGCTAATGTGGACGATGGTTATCAGCATGCTGACCATGGCGATAATGCCAGCGAGAACTATCCATATGTTGCACACGAGCCATTTGAACACGTACTCGCGTCGCTGCGGGATCCCATCATATTCGCAGTACGACTGAAGTCCAGCGGTTTCTGTAGGAATAAATAAAACGAAGCTTTCGGGTATCACAGCTGGTACTACACAGGCCACTGCCAGCACCACTTTTGGCCACCGCTTGCGCGCCGACACGCGATACAGCAGGGTCATCTGCAGGTATATTAGGCAAAAGTTGCACAGATACGCAGGCAGAATCGCCAGGACCAGGGTTAGAAACACCACGATGCGGCAAGAAAACTCGTGGGTGAGGTTTGCCGACGAGGCGATTATCTCTATGGTACTGCGCAGAATCATCAGCACCTGGAGTGCTGCCACAGCCTGGAATATGACCATTTTGAGCAGCTTTGGCCGCCGAACTACGAATGCTATCGCAAAGCATAGTGTTGTCAGCGATACCAGGATGTCTATGGAGTACAGTATGACCTCAAACGTTCCCTGTTCGAAGACCCTTCATGGTGCCATCTTTGCTGGATATAACTGGAAATACGAATTGGGGCTGTATCAAAAAGTAGGTGGAAGTGAAGTTTAAAAGGAGAAAGGGGATGCATGAAGCCGTTCCCACAGGAAGGTCAAGGGGGGCGGGGGTGGTACTCCAGGAGCGTTCGAGAACCTCATGCCGGAAACACAACTGGCCTTGTGAACTGTTGCATGTGAGCCATGTCCGCAAAGGCTAAACAGCGAAAATTTTTATCTTTCCCCACACGACAGTGTTTGGAGAATTTGGAGCAGCTGTCGCTCTGGGAGTGAACAATATCCTGCAGGATGCACAGCAGATAAAACGATAGGGGCAGACCGCTGGTGCGATGGGTACACTGCGTTTCTGGGCGGAAACAGCGCTGAGCCCGTTTCGGCAATAGGAACGGAGGCACGGACGCGGTGTGACCGTTGTGTGCGCTACATAAATGGCCAGCTGCAAGAGGGGGTGCGGCGGGCAACAGCGATTGTTTGAGAGGCCAAAGCGAATCAGCAGCTGTGCCAAGGTTGGGGTTTGCTGCCCGCCATTGTGTTTCGGGGACCAGCCTGGCGGGTATTTGTTAGCACCCAGCAGATTCCATCTGTTCGCCTGACAGCATATTTTACGGGGTGTCGGAGGTGCTGCTGCAGAAGGTAACCTGCAAGCGGTTTTTGTTTGTACAAACACACGACAAACATGCAAATAAGCCGAGCACAAAAACTTCATTAGACTAAGCAATTTTACGATGCACATACGACGAATAGAAGACGAGGGAAGACGATCTAGCAGGAGGTTTGGTAAGGGAGGGTATGAATTACAGTAGTCACAGACTGTTTGCGTGTTCAGTCGTAGCGTACCGACGACAGCGAGGTCTGAATTTTGTTCCGACTTCAGCCGACACCTGGTCAATGGGCATTTGCAGATATCCGGACCGCTCCGGATTCTCCTCACGGTGGGTCAGCTCCTCCAGCGCCCTGCGCACAGGCGGACTGACGAAAAACGCCAATGCCACAAACAGCGCCTGCAGGAACTGGAGCACTGTGTCCGCCCTGTCGACGCCCGGAAACTCGCGCTGGTACACATACCGCAGGGTGTTGTGGATGATATTAAAGTACATCGAGACAATTGGCACCAGCGGGAACCAGACGACTGAGAGAAGTATCCGGTTCGTCAGCCGCGCTTGGCGTCTGGTTCCGGAGCTCGGGTTGGACGACGACTCGGTTGTGTGGTCTCTGAGTCCGGACGACGACCTGTGGATGTGTATTACCGAGACCAGCATGCTGACTGAAGCCGATGGTGCCTGCCAGGACGAACCCAGATGTTGAACACAAACCATTTGAACGCATACAGGCGCGCGTTCGGTACTGTGTCGATAGGCGCAGAACGATTCAAGGCCTGCCTGCTTGGTTGGGATAATCAGGATAAATACCTCGGGCACCACGGCCGGGACCACACACATCAGCACCAGCAAGGAATTTTTGGCCATCTGCGGGTCGCCAGCCGCCGGTGCAGCAGCGAGATCTGGAGGTATATCAGGCAGAAGTTAGACACAGGTAGGCCGGCAGCATTGCAAAGCAGAGGCTGATGAACAGGAAGCACGCGGCACCCGGCCTCGGTTGTTGGGCTGGTGGTGGACGCAGTGATTTCAATGGTGCTACGAACTATCATGATTCGCCTGGAGCACCAGCACAGCTTGAAACACGGGCATCTTGAGCAGGTATGAGCGGCGGCGTGAAAGCCACAGGCCAACACAGAATGTGGATAGTGACACAACCATGTCTATTGAGTACATTATGACCTCAAACTTTCCTTGCTCGAATATCATGGTTGTCACAAGCACGAAAATTAAATAGGCTATTGAAAAGATGAAAGGGAGTACAGGGGAGCCAGGAAGAGATGCAGCATGCCACCACGAGCGCTTGGTTTCATGGAAAGAGGGCCGATATGATGACAACCATGTATGCATGGAAAACCGAAATGGCACCATGGAAATTTTTTCTGCTGATGCCCTGGGATCCACTGCCGAGTTCCACTTGTCTCCCTGGCAACCTGATTTTTTTTTCTCTTGTTTCTAGGCAGCGGGGTATTTTTGGGGAGCCGTGGCCACTCCCTGGCTCGCCATTTCTCCCCCCGGTACACATGGACATACTAGCCTGCGTTAGGCAGGCGTTCTCAGAACTAGCGCTTGGCCACAGTCAAGCGAGAGGCTACTATAATTAGAGGATTTGCTCCCCCCCCTTTCAGTTGTCCATAGCCAGGAATGCCCCAATATGGCAGGCCGCGTTATCACTATTCCCGTCACATGCATAAGAGTTTGGCCGCTGCCCCTCGCAAATGCTGAGACCCGGACAAGTCGTCCAGTCAGCAGTGCGCTTGGGATCCGTTTCTCACCCCAAAGCAACCGTGCAGATGGAGGATTTGCCTGGGCAAATACGTAAACACTAGGTTTTTTCAGGCACATCCACGGTGGAGCGCTGGCGAATCGCAGCTCCGCACATATGAAGCACACCAATATGCGGTGCATCCGATTGTCCATTTGTGATTGCAGATCGACGGCTCCGGGTGAAGCAGAAAAGGAGGGGCATTGGACCTGGGCTGGCGTGCTTGCTGCAGCAAAATAAAAGGAACCGCAAATTTTGCGTGCTGCTACCAAGCTTGGGCCAGAGAACGACAGAATATAGGAGGATGTCGCGCTATTACCGGGTCGAGCATTGTACACGCCAGGCATGCACAATGTAGGTGATGTGCATGGGCAGAGCCTGTGTAGAGTGAGTGGCGGGCAGGCGCACAAGCGGCACATGCCAGTCACTCGATAAACAAACCACCGAAAATTACATAATTTACATGAAAACGATAATCTATCAACGAACAAAGGTGTGCAGCTCCATGCGCGACAGCCGGCTCTCCATCTCCCCAGACACCAACTCCAGCGGCACCGCCGCTCTGTCGGCCAAACTTGTCTCCGCCGTCCCGCCACTCGCTAAACGCGCGCCTCACCGGCGGACTCGCATAAAAGGTCATGGCCATAAACGGGACCTGCCAAGAACTGCAATACCTGGTCGGCAACATTCCATGGAGTGGGTCCTTCTCCCGGTCTTGTACTGCACAATCGAGTACGCAGTCGTGAACCCCAGGGCCACAATCGGGATGACCGGAAACCACACGACCGACTTCAATGTGCGGACGACCAGCACGCTGGTCCGGTGCCGTCGCTGTTCCATGTACAGTGTCGAGTCCGACAGTCCGGCCTCGGACGATAACGTCGTTGGACCGCCTTGCTATTCGTCACCAGGGTTATTGCCATGCTGACTATACCGACTATGGTCGCCAGCAGAATCCCAGACGTAGGAAGTGAACCACTTGAACACAAACAGCCTGGTCGACGGCAGCCTCGCGGTAGTTAGCAGTACGACTGGATGCCAATGGCGCTGGGCGGAATGAACAGCGGAAAGCACTCAGGCACGACCGACAGAGCTGCGCATACAATGACCATCGAGATGCGGATCCACCGCGCTGACTTGGGCATTACGTAGATAAACACCAGCTGGAAATACACAGTACAGAAGCACGACAGAAACAGCGGGGCGATTCGCCAGAACCAGCGCCAGGGTGGTCAGAATCCGGCACCCTGTGTTGGTCGATACCTCGATGTACTGGAACAAAAGCTCCTCGAGGACTCTTCAGAATGCCGACGACCTGCATGGCGACGATTACGCGGAACACCGTCAGGTTGCGTAGCTGGCGCTGCTTCCAGCCGAGTAGAACAGCCAAAATAAATGTTGTCCAGGGCGATGCCCAGGTCGATCGGATACAGGACCGCGCGCAGAGTGCTGAGACGCTCATCGAATTGATTAAAGCTGTGAGGGTCTTGGGCCATTCAGTGTTTTTTTTATATTTCTAGGCGATAGGCGGGGGCTATCAGGACTGTATCCGCCTTGGGTTGCGTGCAAAAGGCATCAATGGGTATGCTGGTAGGGCGGTGAGGTACCAAAAGAGTATGAAAAAGAGCTGGAAGACGAAAAAGGTAGAAGCGAGGAGGAGAGGAACTAGCAGAAGCTGCAAAGCGCCTATGAGCAGAAATGCATGGCAACTGAGGGAAAAAAAGGCCGTATTTAGTAGGCGATGGCGGTTGACCTAGAACCCAATGGCGAATTGCGGGGTTTCCATATGCAGATTGATGGACACCAGCCGTCCACTCAAGCATCGAACCCCCATTCTGTCATCGTCGGGAGCAGAAAAGTCATCCACTCAGGGTCGGAGGAACCACCAGTGCAATGGTGGTCCGCCAGTGGGTCGGGGGCGAAGCAGGTAAGAGCAGAACCCAGTCGCCAGGCTAAGTAAAGAGAAATTCATTGGAATCGATACATGAGAAAAACAAAATATTTTTTTACGCATTTAGGCGTTGTTGACCTTGGCGATGTGGTTCAGGGCCGAGCCGGCGTGGAACCAGGTGATCTGGTTCTCGTTGAAGGTGTGGTCGACAACGATGTCGTGGGCCTCGCCCGAGGGCTTGGTGACGCGCAGAGTCAGGGGCTTGCCCGGAGTCAGCGTCTTGAGGCCAAGGATCGAGAGCTTGTCCTCGGGGGCAATCAGGTCGTAGTCCTTCGGGTTGTTGAAGGTCAGCGGCAGCAGACCCTGCTTCTTGAGGTTGGTCTCGTGGATGCGGGCAAAGCTCTTGACGATGACAGCGGCACCGCCCAGGAAGCGCACCGACATGGCGGCGTGCTCGCGCGAAGAGCCCTCACCGTAGTTCTCGTCGCCGACTGACAACCCAGGGGATGTTGCGGGCCTTGTAGTCGCGGGCAACAGCCGGGACAGCGCCGAACTCGCCGGTCACCTGGTTGCGGATGTTGTTGGCCTCGCCATTCTCCGAGTTGATGCCGCCAATCAGCATGTTGTTGGAGATGTTGTCCAGGTGGCCACGGTACTTGAGCCACGGGCCGGCCATCGAGATGTGGTCGGTGGTGCACTTGCCCTTGACCTTGATCAGCACAGGCACGTTCTCAATGTCCTCACCGTTCCACGGCTTGAACGGCGCCAGCAGCTGCAGGCGCTGGCTCTCGGGGTTGACCTGCACATTCACCTGCGAGCGGTCGGCCGGCGGGGCCTGGTAGGTCTCCTCACCGGCGTCGAAGCCGCGGGTGGGCAGCTCAAGGCCGTTGGGAGCCGAGAACTTGAACGGCTTGCCCGACGGGGTGGTGATGGTGTCGGTGGTCGGGTTGAAGTTGGTCGAGCCGCCGAACGCCATGGCCGTCACAATCTCAGGCGAGGCGACGAAGCCGTGGGTGGCCGGGTTACCGTCGTTACGGCCGGTGAAGTTGCGGTTGTACGAGGTGATGATGGTGTTGCGGTCGCCCTTCTTGATGTCGTGGCGAGCCCACTGGCCAATGCACGGGCCGCAGGCGTTGGCCAGAACGGTACCGCCAGCCTGGCGGAAGATCTCCAGGACGCCGTCACGCTCGGTGGTAGCGCGGATCTGCTCCGATCCCGGAGTGATGATGAAGCTCGACTTGGCCTTGAGTCCGGCGTCCAGAGCCTCCTTAACCAGCGACGCGGCGCGGGTCATGTCCTCGTACGACGAGTTGGTGCACGAGCCGATCAGGCACGCCGAGATATCCTCGGGCCAGTTCTTCTCCTTGGCAGTGTCCTTGAACTTGGAGAGCGGGGTCATCAGGTCAGGGGGTGAACGGACCGTTGATGCGCGGCTCGAGCTCCGACAGGTTGATCTCGATGACCTCGTCGTACTGGGCACCCTCATCGGCGCGCAGGTTGTGCGCGAACTGGCGCGAGGCCTCGGCGATCTCAGGACGGTTGGTCGACACCAGGTAGCGGTGCATGCTGTCAGTGAACGGGAACACCGAGGTCGTGGCTCCGATCTCAGCACCCATGTTGCACACAGTGCCCATACCGGTGGCCGAAACAGTGTCGACGCCCGGACCAAAGTACTCGACGATGGCGCCGGTTCCACCCTTGACGGTGAGGATGCCAGCGACCTCGAGAATGATGTCTACAGAGAATGAGGAGATAGCAACGGGACCGAATTAGCAGATGAGCGGATTAATGTTCGGCGATTGTCCCACCAAAAAGTCAAACAATTCCCGAGATTGCCATCGGTGGCATCGATGCCATCGATGGGAGACGCTGACGCTTATCAGGCCAAAGATTCCATGTGCAAAAGAAAGAGGCCAAACTTACCCTTGGGCGAGGTCCAGCCGTTGAGGCGGCCGGTGAGCTTGACACCAATAGCCTTGGGGCACTTGAGCTCCCAGGGAATGCCCGCCATGACGTCGACGGCATCGGCACCACCAACACCAATGGCGGCAGCACCAATGCCACCGCCGTTGGGCGTGTGCGAGTCAGTGCCGATGATCAGGGCGCCGGGGAACGGCGTAGTTCTCAATGACGATCTGGTGGATGATACCAGAGCCAGGTCCCCAGAAGCCGAGGTTGTACTTGGCACAGACAGTGGCCAGGAAGTCATAGACCTCCTTGTTGACGTCCTTGGCGCGGGTCAGGTCCGACGCAGCGCCGTTCTCGCCGAGAATCAAGTGGTCGCAGTGGACCGACGACGGCACTGCCACCTCGGGCATGCCAGCCGACATGAACTGCAGCAGCGCCATCTGCGCAGTCGCGTCCTGGCACACAACGCGGTCGGGCCGCAGCTGCAGGTACGACGCGCCACGGACGATCTCCTGCTCGGCGGCGTTGTCGAGGTGACCGTAGATGATCTTCTCCGACAGCGTCAGCGGCCGGTTCAGGCGCTTGCGGACGATATCGAGGTTGTCCTCGATGCGCTGGTAGTTGATGTACTTGTTGGGCTCGTGGATGGACATGGGCACCTTCTGCGGCGCCGTGGCCATCGACCGGCGGGCGCCGGAGGAGGCCAGTGCCGACGAGCTCTTGAAAACGCGGGAGGCAGTGCGTGAGAACATTGTTCCTTGGAATATGTGTATAGAAATTAATAAAGGAGAGGTCAGAAGGAAAAGAGAAAGGAGGGGCGGCTTACAGAACTCAAATACCATCCATCGGGCTATCAGCGAGCCTTTTTATCTGCCTGCCCCGCAACCACACCCTGCTCCGTCTTTATCACAATCGATAGCTGGCCGTGGAGATAAGAGAATTTTTCTGTGCCTTCTCAAAGAGGCCAAAAATGTCCTATCCGCCTGGAACCCGTTGATCTCATCACTCCCCCGCCAATCCGCGCCGAGCTACGGCTGGCCTTAATTTTTTCACCTGCTAACTCGCCTGGAACCCCCGGCCCATGAATTCTCCGATGGCCCAAGCCCGCAAAGCGCACTCTCCTCCCCAAAACCTGCGGCTGCTGCACATCCGGCGTGGTCTCCAGGTCTACCGCCCTCAGGATTGGTCCACGACACAAATTGCTGTCCACCGCACCAGGTCTCCAGGCCTGCCACCTAGGTCTGCAGGTCGCCCACCGAACGGCAAACCAGCGCAATGCCCATTGTCAGCGCATGCTCTTATCTCCCCTCCCACACACTCGCAGTGTTTGCCGCTTGGGAAAGAAGCCGGAGGAACTGTTTTCCCTTCCTGCCGTCCCTCCTGAGAAAGAAAGAAAGTGCAGTAGCCGCCAGGAACCAGCGTCGCCCATCCCCTATCCTGAGCCGATGCCTGTCGTGAAAGCAGTTGGCCTGAAAACAGCCGTCACAAACCAGAGCGCAATTTGGCATGTGCACCTGCCCCCGGACGACATGTGCTTTTCCATGCCAGCTCGGATTGCAGCTGCCACATTACGCACTGCCATCCTCAGCCCCACGTGAACAGTGCATAAATCAGATCCTGGTGATTGATGTCCTCACCTGCTCATTTGATCTACGCGTTGGCCATGTATTCGCGCGCTGTTTAGTTCCAGCTACGACCTGAGCGAAGGCGATTCTGTGCCCCTTTGACCCGTCTCACCACCGCTACTTTTAACCCCACAGACAAATGACCGGCACAAATTCGCTTCCCTTTGACCTGCCCGAGGGCGAGGACGTCCCCGATCTCTACGAGGTGCTCAACACCCACCGCGAGGCTACATCCGACGACCTGCGCCGCGCCTACCGCAAGCGCGCCTTGCAGACACACCCCGACAAATGGACGCACCTGGACCCCGACTCAGCCGAGGCCAAGGCCAAGACCATCGAGTTCCAAAAGGTCGGTTTCGCGTACACGATACTGAAGGACACGAAGCGGCGCCAAATATACGACCGCACGGGCAGCGTCGAAAACCTCGACACCCTGGAGGCGGGCAAGGACTGGGACGCGTATTTCCGCGAGCTGTGGTCGGGCATTGTCGATGCGACGACCATTGCGCAGTTTGCAAAGACGTACAAGGGCTCGGATGAGGAGAGGCAGGACATTATTTCCGCGTACAATTTGCATAGCGGAGACCTGGACTTGATCTTCACCGAAGTCATGCTGGCTGAGATCGAGGACGAGCAGAGGTTCGTCGAGGTCATTGAAAAGGCGATCAAGGACAAGGAGCTCAAGCGCACCAAGGCATTCACAAAGTCAAAGAAGGGGTCAAAGGAGCGCAAGAGGAAGGCTGAGGCTGAGGCCGCCGAGGCAAATGCGCTGAGGAAGGAGCTTGGGCTCGATGACCAGCTGCGCAAAGTGAAGGGCAAAAAGCCCAAGCGCAAGCACGATGATGACAATGACGATGGACGATGACAACAACGACGATAGCGCCGCATTCAAGGCGCTGATCCGCCAGCGGTCCTCCAACCGGATGGACTCGATCATCGCCAATATTGAAGAAAAATACATCCAGCAGGCGAGCAAGAAGGGGAAAAAGAACGGCAAAGCCAGCAAGAAGCAAAAGACCGCCAAGCCGACCTTTTCAGAGCCGTCCGAGGAGGAGTTCCAGGCACTGCAGGCCAAGCTCTTTGGAAAAAAGTAAATGGGCTTTTATTTTGCTGAGCTGTTGAACATGGGATTTTGTACTAAAGTACAGGCACTTAGAGACCGCCAATGCTACATTGCGAATTTGTAATACGCAGCCACCGCAGCCGTGAGGGCAGACACCGCAGCCGCAGCCACCAGTACCGTAGATGTTGCCGTTTTGGGCCGTTTTGACGGGCGCGGTTGACGACGAGATTTGCGCCGTTTCGATGTGCCGTTGTCAATGACGTGTTGGTACGATTTCGCAATCGACGAAAAGTCGTCCACGTACGAGTTGGTTTGCGCCAACGTCGCCGGCGTGCAGTATGGAGGAGGAGTAATGGGCAAGAGTTTAGTACTACAGTTTCGCTTGTAAGAAGTTCAATATGCATATGCCAGCATTGCACCATGCCCACACTAATCACCGGTTGACTTACCCGAACGCTCCCTTCATGCTGTTCCAGTAGTACCGCTCCCAGTTCGCCTTGGTCGCATCCTCCTCGTTGAACGGCACGCCAGTCTGCTTCAGCGTCAGACGCGTCGACGATGACAGCTGCTCCAGCGTGATCACAACCTTGGAATAGTGGCCCGCTGGCCACGTCGCAACCCGCCACGTCTCCTCGATGCTCTTGCTAGGCACAACCTTTGTGATCTTGCCCTGGATATGTCCGCCAAACAGCTTGTACTCAGCACCCTCGGTAGCCGAGATCTCCGCCGCCGCCCGCGTCCATACAGACACGCGCTGCGGGTCGGTCAGGTTGGCAAACATGTCCTCGGCCGAGCACACAAACTCGACACTCTGCGTCACCGTAACCGTGCTGATCAGCCCATCGTTGGCCTTGGCCACGCCCACATCGCTGTTGCCCACCTTGCCCTGCTTGAAGTCGCGCGCCAGATCCGCATTCACCGTCGGCGTGCTCGCTCCGCTGCTGCCATCCTTCTCGGGAATGTACATCTCCGAGCCATTCGCCGCCTTCAGATCATCGGTGAACGTCACCAGCCGCTTCGTGATCGCCGGCGTCAGCTGCCTGCGCACAAAGTCCTTCAGCGGCAGAAGCGCGCTCGCCATGTTCTCTGCCGTGATCTCATATACGTACTCGTCCTCCTCAGTATCGTGTGCCACCTCGGGAATCGTGATCTTGCCCGACAGCGTCTCGTCGCCCCGCGTCGCCGTCCACGCCAGCTTCACCTCCACGTCATAGATCGTGATTAGCCGACCCTTGCGGATGTTCAGGTCCACGTCTCCCGTCACCGAGGTCACCGAGTCCACCTTCGCCGTGAAGCCGTCCTTGGACACCTCCACCAGCGGCAGTGTCTCCTCGAAATGCTTCTTGGCCCAGTCGAAGCAGTTCTTCTCCTTCCAGTGCCAGTTGCCGATGTTGCGCCAGTCACCCATGGTTTAGCGAGTATTGTTGCCGAAAAAGGTCTAAATGCTGAGGGAGTGCAAGGGAAATTGCGTGTAGTGTTTGTCAAAAGAAAAGAAGACCAGAGAGAAAGGGCGCCAGAACGGACTAGAAACTTGGAAACTGGTGGAACCGCCACTGCCCCTTGATCCGTTCCGCATCGGGATCAAGCTGATCAGTGTAGGTGCATTTGCGGATTTGTGCTGGTTGCAGCACGCCTTGACCCGGTCTTCGGACTGGCTGGTCCTGTGCCCAAGCACCCATCCCTCAAGGCGCTATGGCAGGCCGGCGCTGCTGCTTAATCTGCATTTGGGGCACGTTTACTTTCCTATTTGCTGAGCATGCGTGGAACCGTGCCCGCAAAACACTCCGGACCGGAGCCCAACCAGTCTGATCGAACGTGCCATGCAGCCAACAAGCCTCTTGTTCGGCAATGCACTTTCTCACGTCAAGTATCCTGAATCCTGATTCGGAACAGCAATTGCCTCGTTTCTTTTTAGCCAAGTGTTGGGTGGCATGTTTAACACCGAGCCCGTCCTGTGTTCTATGAGCTAAAACTATTATCCGTTCCTAAACGAAATCCGTTTCGCATACAGAAACTGGGTTGCCATATGAGTGTTTTGTTGGGCTGTCTGTCCACAGTACGTGCTGCACACTCGAAGCTTAGGCCATGGCAGGCCACTGTGAACCGCCCAAAAGCACCATACCGTGCACTGTGCACAGCATTGAAATTTTTTGCATTTGGCACGGTGCTTTTGCCTCCTGCTTTCCAGATCATTGATCATGAACGCGGTCTGATATAAAATAGCGAAACTCCCGGACGGCTGCCACAGCCGAAATGCAGTCAAGGCAACAAAAACCCACCCCATTTCCACGCATCACCGGTATACTCTTACACCTTCGGCCATGTTTGCTTCAAAGATCAAGCCCTTCTTCAGCCGCCGCAAGGCTGCTGCACCCAGCAGCCACCACACAGATGTTCACCGTGATGAGCACGCCGCACAGATGGCCCAACTCGCTGACACTGCAACCACTATTTACGGCACCAGCTCGACCGCATCCTCACCCGCCGCATCCCCGCGCCTGTTGCCTGTGGCCGCTCCTGTGATTGAAGCCTGGGATGACGATGCCAAAACTCTGGTGGGTGTCAAGGCTTCACGCCCGCAACGCATGAACCCCGACGAAGTTCTTTCACATTTTTACACTGGCAACCAGACCTTCCACCGTGTACTGCTTCGCAGCCTCTGAGCGTGCTGTTTTATTTGTTAATTCTTGGTTCTCCTGTACAGTTAATATATCCCCTTTTTCTCTCTAATTTGCCCGGATGGAGGTGATATTGGTGTAGCGCTCTAGTTGACAACCCTTATTTTGTGCTCATTTTGCAGTGGCATTCAGCCAATCAGCCCAAGCAAATCTGCCTGCGGTGGGTCTGGAGATATTTTTGGTGTCTGCCTGCGGAATCCCGGCATGCCATGCATTGACTCTTTGATAAAAATAGCTTATTGTCAATTCACTACCCAGCAAACAGCACCAGTATGAAGCAGTGTGGTGTCGACTTTCTTGGATGATATCGACTATTCGCTCTCGCACAACGAAGGATGGATCTAGCATACCTGCATCGCATTTCAGGTTGATGTTACCAAAAAAAAGATATAAATACATAGCAATACATGTCGTTCAAAGGGGAGCATTCATATCGCAGGATATCTGGTCAGTGCTTGCAGCTATTTGGTGTCACTTGAAAGTATTTGAAAGACCAGTACATCCCACCGTGCACTCGATAATTGCAGACCTGTTCATCTCGTGTCTGTGCATCGCATTTTTAAGCGCATTTAAAGTTTCCTGATATTGGCTCTAGTGGTGGCTCAGGCAATTACCATTTTATTAAGTACATCTGAGCCACAATATAGCGGTATGACCATATATACAATGGCCAGTTTTGGGCATATCAACAAAGGTAGATATCGATGATAATTTTCATATGCATTGCCTCCGAATTTGCGGAAAAATAACCTTAGCCTGTACTTGCAAATTTTTGCCCTGGAAAGGACGCCAAGACAACTGCCAACTGCTGATCTCCCATATAAGGAAGAAAATCAGCCTAAGTGAGATCCTGACCCTGAGTTGCTTCCAACCTGACAAGCCATCTCTTCTCCACACTATTTTTGCCTTGCCTACTTGTCTACTTGTCTACTTGTCTACTTGTCTACTTGTCTACTTGTCTACTTGTCTACTTGTCTTTTCTACACCACAATTCCTCGCCTTTTCTCTCCTACATTTTCATATTTTTACACCCACACTTCCAATCAGCTACCCCCTATGGACAACAGAAACCCAGTAGCCGATGCCCTGGACGCGCCACCAGCATACGACGACGTAATCTCAGAGTCAGCGTCTAGTGTGCCCCAGAGTGCAACCACTGTCCCTGACGTCCTGGACTTGTATATTAACCCGTTCAAGAGAATCTCCCCTGCAGAAAGTAGGTAGACTGGGTAAACCACATCTGCACCAACTGTCGCCGCCCTCTGTGTTCTTCTGCTGCTGGCCTTGCTAATACCTGGCTATATAGACGAGCAAACTATCTCTGAGTATGTTCCACTGTTCGGCGGGCTGAAGGAAGAAGGACATGGTGTGTTCCACTGGGAAATTGATAGCTGGTCAGAGCTATCGAGTCGGGAATCCAGCGAGGAGTTTACGGTCGCTGGCTGGCCATGGAGACTGGTCGTGTGCCCACAAGGGATATCAAACGAGAGCTACACCTCGTTATACCTAGCCTCCCAGCACAGTAAGGACTCATACGAAGACTGGCATGCATGTATCTATTTTTGTCTTGTCATGTCCAATTCACACGACCCTTCTGTCAAATGGAGTGAGGTGTTTCAGTATCGAGTCACGCCAGACATGCGGTCTCCAGGGCTGCGGAAACTACATCGAGGTATCAAAGCTCCACGGCCTCTTCGGCAGCAATGAGCGTAGCATCATCGATGATGACACTGTGCGCATCAGTGCTTATATCCGAGTCATCGAGGATAGGAACGGCCTTTTGTGGGACGATTTGACAAAGCGCAACCTGTATCCGTTGACGGGGTATGCAGGTCTTGGGTACCAGCCCAGATATCCCTATATGAACCCGCTGGTGCAGTCATTCTACCATATGCAAGTGCTGCGAGAGACTATCAGCCTGATTCCCACGTACGACAGCACCCCGTCGCAATCCCTGGAGTGTGCACTGCAGCAGCTTTTCATGCAGCTCGAGTCCAGTGGTGCCACTGCCAACACCCATGATCTTACTTGTGCTCTGCGCAAATGCGGTATTGAAGGTGTCAGGACTGCAGGGCGTTCGTGAATTTTACAGTGCGGTGCGCGAGGAGCTGACTGGTGCTATGGTCAACACGGCTGCAGTTGGAGCTATAGAGACGCTCTTCAGTGGGCGTAAGCGCACGAGTATTGTATACCCAGACACCAGCTACACTGCGTCGAATACTGAGGACTTTTGCGATATCACCATCAACGTAAATGATTTCGGTTCGCTGTACGAAGGGCTAGTTGATATCTGCACGCGACAGCCGTTAGCCAGCGACGAAGATGTGGGCAGCCCCCACGATGAAACCAACGGTGCATACCAGAGAACTACGTTTGACTTGTTCCCGCCTGTGCTCCACATCCACCTCGACCGATTCCACTGCAACCCTGGCTCCAAGGATATAGTCGAATCGCGTAAAAAGTTTGACTATCCAGGGTCCATCGATCTGGCGGAATTCCTGACCGACAGTTCTGGCCACCCAGGGACATCCCAGTATGCACTGTACGGCGCCTACTTCAGTGGAATGACAGCACTTGAGGAGACCACTAGCTATTGTTACCTGAGCCCAGAGTCTCCTTCCAAGTGGGTGTGCTTCAAGGACGATCTCGTATACCCGGTGGCAGAACCTGATGTCTTTTGCTACGACCATGAACGATGCCCAATCCCGGTTTGCTCTGAACGGCATGTCTCTCAGGCCAGCCCCGCAGAAGACGTACATCATGCTTGTCTATATTCGCTGCGACATGCGTGATCTGGTGTTAAATAGTGACAACATCTGGGCGCTAAACGAGATGCTGTCGTATGAGAGGGAGAAAGTTGATGAGATGCGTAGAGATCTCGAAGAGGTTCAACAGGATGGAGCAGATAGAAAGACAGAATGCTATACTGGCCGTTGAGGCTTCTGTGGCCGGTCGAGGCCTGCTGGGCAGTCGCCCCAAGTTGCAGTTCGAGTCATTCGTGGAAAGCACGTCAGAGATCACCAAGGGTTTGACCTGTACAATTTCGACAACTTGCATCCAAACCCAAACAAGCCTGTGTTTGACATTGACCTGCCACGCGAGTTCAGCCTCACAGAACTCAAGGATCTATACATTGATTGCGCTGGACTCAGTGCCATGCCCACCAGGCTGTGGTTCATGCAGGTGAGAGTCAACGGCACACTACGACTCTCTCATGCCATTGACGATACCAGCGAGAGGACACTCGATGAATTGCTCCGCTCCTACCCGTCACTGCCAGACACCGCACACTTTTACTGTGAAGAGGATGTAGCCAAGCCGCCACGGTCATTTTCCCTGTTTGGTAAGCCGCCGGTCGAGCATCTAATTCACTTCAAGTACTACGACGTGCTGACAGACAGTATGAAAAACATCGGGCTCACATATTTCCAGTCCAACAAGTCACTGAAGTCTGTATTGCCCAACCTGCGGCAGCGTGCCCAACTTGCATCAGACACCCCGCTTTTGCTGTTTGAGGAAGAAGGGCCCAACCGGATCCGCCAGCTGGACCCGAGCTGGACGCTGAGGTTCTCAGGACTGAGTACCGGTGACATTATCTGCTTCCAGGTCAGACCCGATGGCTACAAGGGCATAATGAATTTCCCAGACAATATCCCCCGATCTGTACCCGGGTTCTTCAAGCGCAAGGTAGTGGAGTTTGGAATCCAGCAGCAGGACCAGAGCGTAAGCATCTTCGGTATTTTGAAGTACAGTGTGTATCGCCGCAGCAGACACTTTGCACGTCTACCAGCCTGAATTGCTGGGTGGGTAATAGAAGTTTGGTTTTCACTGCTGGCATTGCCATACTAGCAAAATGGTACCAGAAAAACTCTGCGGAATGGTCACGCAGTTGTCTGTTCTTGGCCGATCTTTGTAATTCTGCCACGACATGGCGCAAACTGTGTTTTTGTGTCCATAGTGCAGACTCGTTTAACGTGTCTTTTTTGAATGGGCCATTGCACCCAGCAGGAAAATGCAAGGTATTAAGAGCCAATTCAGCCTGCTCGTGGTACGTGCTGTATTGCCAAAATCCATATGAAAATTTATGCTGGCTTATGCGGCTAATGCCACCAAGGCGCATTCTGAGATTAGGCTCCCAGCTGGCGTTCTTGGCTTACCTTTACAGTGTATGCCGCATTGCTGGGCCGGCGTTGAGCCATCTCAGGTATTTTTCGACTAGGGAAGGCTACTATCCCTTGTCTTGACAAAAAAGGAGTCAGTGCTGCAACCTCTGCGTCTGTAATGGTAGTCCAGTGACAACCTTTTGCTCCGCCACGCAGCGAAAACCCGCGCATGTTCCGGGCATTGGATCTAACGGCGCATACCGAAATGGACAGCAGCGGGTGTAGTCTGCCATGTCCATCACATTCAAGCAGGCAACCTCACGCAATTCTCCACTCGTATTTTCTGGCGCGGTGAAGTACTGTAGTACTGTAAAGACGCCCCGGAGGAGCAGAAGAATCGGGTGAAAACGTGCGGCCAAATATAGAACATTGATGTTGAGAATGAGTGTAGAGGCGTACAATCCAGGCAAGCCCAGGCCCGGATACGGAGTAGCACGATGCTGCTTGTCGGTCAGCGCCTCGTCTCCCCAACGGGCAATTGGTTGAGGTAGGTTGGTTGCCATTTGAATTGGATCGGCGCACAACCCGATTGGTTTTTTTCTCACGATTGCAGGGCAGCGCTGGATGTGCATCACTCGGTGTCGCCGTCTCAAGTATAAAAGGGGGGGGTGTGGACGGCTCAGCAGCGGAGCTGACCAAATTGTCAGAATATCAGCAAAAAACCACTCCCGTCGCCTCGATTTTTCCACAGGCCAACAAGCTACTATCATCTCACTCTGCCAGCAATCTAATCCTCATCATCTTCACCATGGTTTCCTCCTCGAACTCGTCTACCTCCATCGGCAGCGGCCACCGGCGCAGCATGGTTGCAGCCGCTATGCGCAAAATGTTCTCGGTCACGTCCCCTGCTGCTGTCTCGATGCATGGGTTCTATCCCTGCACCTCACCTACTGTGCGCGCCTGTGCGCACCCGCGACCATATGTCACCACGCAGCTGGGGCGATGATGAGCAGACGCTCTGCAACTTTGAGTGAATACGGAAACATGGCACGTCCTCTCTTCGAAAGCACCAACTTATATGTTATCTTTTTCATCTGTATACTTTCCGTTAGCACCACACATCCTGAATCCAATCAACCTCGTTAATAGACATATTTTTAACATTTTAATATGCTCGGTATGCTTTGTGCTGGAGGCACGATTTGATATCAATGTGGTTGTCGACTGGCTCGAGAATCACATTTGGTTCCAGAGATTGCCACCTCTGGGCGCTACTTTTGTGCGCCAGGCAAAGGATACATTAGTCGCCGCCCAGCTTACAGGTAATGGACCACTTCTCACATCTTGGATACTGTATAGTTTAATAAACGGCGTGCGGAGCGGCCATTTGGAAAAATTTTTACAGACAGGAGTCCTGCTATACATGTAGTTTGCGCAAGGACACTAAGCCGCAGAACTCCTAGTTAGAACATGCAGTGTATTTATAAAATTTTGCTTTCTATATGAAAAATGGCACTTGTGGTGTCATCTTTTTGGCTTTAGATCCACAGATACCGAGGTTTTGTCATCCACCTGAGCAGACAGTACGCGACAGCATAAAAAGCGAACCCAAGCACAAGATTCAGCAGCTGTGCTTTCGAAGATCGGCTGCTGGGCCAGCCCGTACGTGTCAATGACATCCTTACCAGAGGAATAGCAAATGGCTGAGCTATCGCCGCAGGTGAATTCGAGCCCATTGAACTCGTTTTGCATAAAGCCCGGAGTAGGCATAATAATACATGCAGATATACTTTAGCCATCTCAGCACAGGCGTAATCGCATTGGCGTTTGACAGATTGCCAGGCGAACAGCATGAGCGTGGCCAAAGCAACAGGGGCAATGATATGTGCAACCTCGAGACTGCGCACCATCATGGCAACCATGAAGGCAAAGCCAAGAGACGTCCAAAAGCAGGGCCGACAGGATGCCGAGGCCGATAAAGTACTTGTGCGCGACATACTGGAAGTGCGCGATGAAATAAATGCCCGTATACATGACGAAGTACGGGATAAACACAAGCGGGAAGAAGCTGAGCGATTTGGCAATGAAGAAACTCGACATGCGGTACGTACCACCAGAGCGCTCACGCATCAGAACGTCGCGGCCAGTCATAATCACAGTCATCACAGGGATGACCACAGGGAATGTGCTCTGCACAGTCAGGGCGAACAGAGCACCAATGCGATTCTGCACGGACGACTGCGAGTTGTCAAGCTGGAAGAACACGAAGCCGATAAAGACCATCATTACCAGACACTCGGCAAACAGGCCAAAGACCAGCGCCGAGTTGCGCGTGCACAGGAGCCAGTCACGCTTCAACAGGACTCACCACCTCGTCGATCCACCTGTTCATCGGGGGCGGTTCGAAGGTAGCAAGGTACGCAGCCTCACCGGTCATATCGCGCACATTGCTGCTGCTGCTAGCTGCTGGAGCTGCTGCTGCTCACAACAACCTCTTGCAGCGGCTGCACCGGCACTGCCAGGTTTGGTCTTTTCCTGAATAGTCCGTCAGGTCGTTAGTGGTAGCTGCAGACGCAAACGACTTGTTCAGGAGCAGTTCCGATGTGTTGACTACCTTGCCGCTGGCGCGGAACTCGGCAAACGACTCGACCAGGTGCTGCACCCGGCGCTCGCTCTCCTGCATAGCCTCGTCGGAGACAAAATCAATGGTCATCAGGATCGATGAAGAAGTTGGCAGGGTTCGGGTTGGTACATGGGTATCCGAGCGACTCAAAGTACGACAGGGCATCCTTGGCTGGGCCCATATAGACGAGCTTTCCTTGGGCCAGCAGAATCAGCTTGTCGAAGCGCGCAACCATCTCGGTGCTGGGCTGGTGAATGGTCATCAGGGTGCAGAGCTGGCGCTGCTGCGCCATCTCCTTGGCCAAGGCGACGACCATTTCGGCCGATGACGAATCGAGACCAGACGACGGCTCATCAAGCACCAGCAGCTTCGGATCGGTAACCATCTCGACGCCAATGCTGACGCGCTTGCGCTCACCGCCTGAAACACCGCGCTGGCCGTACCCGCCAATCTTTGTGTCCTTGACATGCGACAGCCTCAGCTGCCGCAGAGTCTCGGCGACTCGCCGCTGCTTATCCAGCCTCTGTGTACTGGATGTTCGGCAGCCGCAGGTGAGCTGACGCCATCAGTGTCTCTTCGACAGACAGCGACGCAAACATCAGATCGTCCTGCTCGACAAACGCCAGCATGCGCTTTGTAGGTGTGCGGGTTGCGCTTGTGGCCGTTGAACTTGATGTCGCCATACAGCCTGCCGCCCTGTACGCGGCCGGCCAGGACGTTAAGGAGCGTGGTCTTGCCGGCTCCTGAGGACCCCATGATTGCAACCAGCTCGCCGGCATAGACCTGGCCAGAAATATTGTGTAGCAGCTGTCGCGTGCCGTCCTTGGTCTTAACCTCGTAGTTCAGGTTGTCCCAGCTGAGGATCGGCGTCCGTGCGTGTGGCTTGCTCTCCATATCATCCACTGTCATGCTTAGTATTTCGAGAAAAATAAAAGCAAAATAATGCCGAGACTAAAGGTCCAATATGTGTATGGGGAAGAGGAAATAGCAATAATTCTAGTCGCAGCTGTGGAAACGGGTCCTGTACGCTCGTTTATATACGCGGGCAAGCGAGCCCAAAGGAATTGGCCATGGGGAGCACAGAAAAAAGGGGCATTGGCAAATCTCGGTCTTCAGAATTTCCTCTTCTTTCGGCCATCTTCGGCCATCGCTGTAGGCTGAACGGAAAGTACCCAACACCAGCGCAAAGAGCAAACATCCAGTGAATCAAGTCGCATTGGGAGCTTTAGTGGGCATTCGCTCAAATCTCCGTTACAGCTTGTTTCATAGGAGAAGCGTAGATCAGTGCATCGTGTCTTCTTTTTTTCCGATGTTCCGAGGCGCGTACTCCCTGCTTTGTGTGGGACCCGTGGAGCCCGCTGACCCTAGTTCATTGGGGGCGCAGTTCATCCTGCATTCAGATGATTATGTCGACTAAATGGAGCTGGATATTCCTCGTCACCTCATCATTTCAGATGGGCAGGCTGTGTGCGGAATAAAAAAGGACAATGAGCCACGCAATGTGTCCCTAGAGCCGCTTCTACAGCTGATTTGGAAGAGCTCAGTATGGATCCTCAAACAAGAAAAATTCGCGCCAAAGACCAGAGTATCTCCCGTCTGTACGATCTTGCAGACAGCCGTAGATCATTGGGCATATGTCATTCTGCAGTTGTGGCACTGGAGTACAGGAACGATGGCCATGGCCAAAGGACCTCGTGTGTATGGTGTGACGCCCTGCTCTCGCACCGAGTAAAAGGTACGGCGGATCACTAGGTTGCGGGCTAACCTCCCCCCCCCCCCCGAATGCCGAAGTATATGAAAACTGCGAGATGGACAATGGTTGCATGCTCGTGTCTTGGCGTGACTATCAAGGAATGTTCTGTGGCCCAAAGTCCCCGCGCTCACAGACATGCCATTGTCCTGGGTTTGTGTGGAAATGGCCGCGGCTGGTGCGGGGGTTTGGGCAAATGGGCTGCTCGAGCTGGAGGGGATCATCTGGCGTCGCTGCTGGGCTGGCATGTCCCAGCAATGACCTCGGACAATAGACCGCATATTCCCCATATTGGGACATTTTGCCTTGCTCTGGGCACGGTCCAGCAGCAGCGGGTGGTGCTGATCTGCCCTATAATTTAGTCAAATCATGCGGCGGCCTGGCTGCTGATGCTGCTCGGAGAAATTGTTTGGGCTGGGAGAGATAACCAGCAGTCGGAGAGAAAAAGGGCAGGCCAGCATCTGCTTGTGTCTTTATCTCTCCCATTTCGACATTTTTCCACACCTCAATTTCTGCAAAGGATTTGCTTACAAAATGAAGGCTTCACTCGTTAGACAGGCGGCTGCACAGTACAAATGGCACCGGCACGTCCCCCTGATAAAGTTCCTCGGTCCCCGCAAGACGCTCTGGGCGAAGCAGCAGGAAGCTGCCCCGGCTGCTGGCAACGTGCAGGAGGCGATTAACTTTTGGGAGCTGCCTGCACGCTACCGGCCGTCACCGCTGACGGAGCTCGAAATCGAGGCCATCGAGTCGGGCGGCGCGTCACTCATGTAGAAAACAGCTGAGCCCAATAGAATAAAAAGGATGTGTAGAAAAAGGAATTTAATGTAGAGGTGGATTTTTAAGCGTGGATGGCCTTCGAGTAAGCCGACATGCACGCCTCCTTGAAGGCCTCGGCCATGGTCGGGTGGGCGTGGCACGTGCGGGCGACGTCCTCAGCAGAGCCGCCGTACTCCATCGCGAGGCAGGCCTCGGCAATCATCTCACCGGCGTTGGGGCCCATGATGTGGGCGCCGAGGATGCGGTCAGTCTCAGCATCGGTGATGATCTTGACCAGACCCTCGGCATCGTCGATGGTCTTGGCACGCGAGTTGGCCGAGAACGGGAACGAGCCGACCTTGTACTTGATGCCCTCGTCCTTGAGCTGCTGCTCGTTCTTGCCAACCCAGGCGACCTCGGGGTGGGTGTAGATGACGCTGGGGATGACGTCGTAGTTGACGTGGCCGTGGCCGTTGGTGATGTACTCGACGGCAGCAATGCCCTCCTCCTCCGCCTTGTGCGCCAGCATGGGGCCGACAGTCACGTCGCCGATAACGCGGATGTTCGACACGTTGGTGCGGAACTCGTTGCCCAGCTCGACGCGGCCGCGCGAGTCGGTCTTGACGCCAGCGTTCTCCAGGCCCAGGCCCTCGGTGTACGGGCGACGGCCGACAGACAGCAGGACAACGTCCGCCTCCAGGGTATCCTTCTTGCCGCCCTTGGCCGACTCGACGTTGACAAGCACCTTGCCGTCCTTCTTGACCGAGTCAATGACCTTGGTGCTGGTCTTGAACTTCAGGCCCTGCTTCGACAGCGAGCGCTGGAAGGCCTTGGCCAGCTCAGCGTCCATACCGGCGCCAATGGCCGGCATGTACTCGACCACAGTGACCTCGGAGCCAAGGCGGCTCCAGACCGAGCCAAGCTCGAGACCGATCACACCACCGCCAATCACAATCATCTTCTTAGGGACCGACTCCAGCGACAGCGCGCCAGTCGAGGTCACAATCTGCTTCTCGTCGATCTCAAAGCCCGGGAACGGCGAGGGCTCGGAGCCAGTGGCAATGATGATGTTCTTGGCCTTGATCGCCTCGGAGCCGCCGGCGTTCAGGGTCACCTCGATGTCGTTGGCAGACTTGAGCGTGCCGACGCCCTTGAGCCACTCGACGCCGTTCTTCTTGAACAGGAACTCAATGCCCTTGGTCAGGCCGCCCACAGCCTTCTCCTTGTCGGCCAGCAGCTGCGGCAGGTTCAGCTTGACCTCGCCGACGTCGATTCCGCGCTTGGCGAAGCCGTGCTGGGCCTCGTGGTACAGGTGCGAGTTGTGCAGCATGGCCTTGGACGGGATGCAGCCCACGTTCAGGCAGGTGCCACCGAGAGTCTCGCGCTTCTCGATGCACGCGGTCTACAGACGAGTGCGCTCTTTGGTTAGAACCGGTCACAAATATTTTTACACTGATAAGCAGTGCGTGGATTTCCGTTGGGGGCGTGTGGAATGCTGGAACGTGAGCTCCCGTGGGAGAGAAAAGGCTCGGCTGATCTGCCCCCGAGAGGCAAAGAGCGCAAAAAAACCATTCCAAACCGCCTGCGCGCGTGGGAAGCGCCCTCCCATGGCGGATCTAGCAGCTTACCTTCTGGCCGAGCTGGGCAGCCTTGATAGCAGCAACGTAACCGCCGGGACCAGCACCGATAACGACGGTGTCGAACTCTACCGAAAGGTCGAGACAGAGGAATAGAGATAAGCAGACAAATCAACCTCCTTGGTGCAGCGCAACCAGCTCATTTGACAGTCCTGAACTTACCCTTGGCGGAGCTGTATGCGCGGATAGCCTGCCACAGGCTCGACTGGGCACGGAGTAGCCTACAGCAGCAGGTGCGAAATTTAGCCAGCATGCGTGCAACAGGATCAACAGATTCACTGCTCCGGTGCTGCTTTGAACTTACAGTGCGGGTCTTGGGAGCGAACGAGCGAAGCATGGTTTTATCTGTGAAAGGTTGATTCTCTACGAAAGAGTAAGAAATAGAGGCAAAGAAGAAAGGTGTGCGGAGATAAAAAGGCAGTCTGCTGCCGAAAAAAGCTGGGCTGTGGCCAGCACATTATATTCGCCACACCAGCTGCCTCGTCGATTTTTGATCCATGGCTCGCGGCCTAGCGCGGTGGCGAACGGGTAGCAGGCAAATTGCCGCGCCTGGCAAAAATAAAATCCCTCTTAGTGTAAGGAGCTAACTGGCCGCCCACAGCCCTAGGATATTTGGACGAAAATTCCGCGTATGCGGAGCCTGTAGAGCGGATAAAACCTGGAGCCATGGTTTTTCCAGCGGCAATATATACATGCGAAAGCCTGTTTGTTGATTATGAAATGCTCTGGATATAGAAACTTAGTGGTGGAACAGGCGCAGGTTGGTGTGCGCCAGGACCATGTTGTAGGCATCGGCAGTATCGATGACCACGTTGTCCATGACACTGCCCGACGGTGCAGCAACATAGTCGACGCCCGAGCGGTGGGCGCGGTGGATGTTGTCCGAGAACGGGAAGAAGGCATCCGACGACACAACGACGCCGCCCAGCTTCTGCATGTGCTCCTTGCGCTCCTCGGCAGTCAGCAGCTCGGGCACACGGGCAAAGTTGGCCTCCCACTGCTCCAGCTCGACGCCCTCGCCGGTCTGGTTGGTCACGTACAGATCGATGGCGTTGGACTTGTCGGCGCGCTTGGCCGAGGCCGCAAACTGCATGCCCAACACCTTCGGGTGATGGCGCAGCCACCAGTTATCAGCCTTGTCGCCTGCCAGGCGCGTGCAGTGGATGCGCGACTGTTGGCCCGCGCCCAGACCGACCACCATGCCGTTCTTGGCATAGCAGACCGAGTTGGATTGCGTGTACTTGAGGGCAATCGTGGCCACAGCCAGATCGCGCTTGGCAGCCTCAGTCAGGTCCTTGTTCTTGCTGACGACGTTGGCAAACAGCTCAGGGAGTGATCTTGGCGTCGTTGCGGCGCTGCTGCATCGACAGACCATACACCTGGCGGGTCTCGAGCTCCGACGGCTCGTACGCCGGATCCATCTGCAGCACGCAGTACTTGCCGCCCTTCTTCTTCTGCAGGATGGCCAGCGCCTCGGGCTCGTAGCCCGGCGCAATCACACCATCGGAAACCTCACGGGAGATGATCTTGGCCGTGGCCACATCGCACACGTCGCTGAGCGCCGCCCAGTCGCCAAACGACGACATGCGGTCGGCACCGCGGGCACGCGCGTAGGCAGTGGCCAGGGGCGTCAGATCGATGTTCTCGACCATGTACACCTGCTTCTCGACCTCCGACAGCGGCACGCCAACGGCAGCGCCAGCGGGCGACACGTGCTTGAACGACGCAGCAGCCGGCAGACCCAGCGCCTGCTTCAGCTCCTTGACCAGCGGCCACGAGTTGAGCGCATCCAGCAGGTTGATGTAGCCCGGCGAGCCGTTTAGCACCTTGATCGGCAGCTCGCCTTCGGTGACAAACACCTGGGCCGGCTTCTGGTGCGGGTTGGCACCATAGCGCAGCGGCAGCTGCGACGCACCCTGCGAGTACTGCTGACGGAAGTAGTCGGAGATGGCCGTGTCGTAGTCGGCTGTGTGGTTAAATGCCTTGAGCGCAAAGCGCTGGCGCGTAGCCTCAGTGACGCCGCCAGCCTTGATCTCCTTCAGCAGCTGCGGGTAGTCGGTCGGGTCGCACACGATGCTGACGCGCGCGTGGTTCTTGGCCGCTGCACGCAGCAGAGTCACACCGCCAATGTCGATCTCCTCAACCGCCTCCGGGATGGTCACGCCCTCGCGAGCCACAGTGTCCTTGAATGGGTACAGGTTGCAGAATACATAGGTGATCTTGCTGATCGCCTGAGCCGCCAGATCCGCCTCGTCGCTGGCAATGTCCCGCGCAAGAATACCGCCGTGCACAGCCGGATGCAGCGTCTTGACACGCCCACCGAGCATCTCGGGGGCCTTGGTGATGTCCGAGACATCCTTGACCGGGAGTCCGGCCTCGCGGATCTGCTTGGACGTGCCACCCGAGGCGACCAGCTCGATACCAAGCGAGCTCAGCTCCTTGGCCAGATCAAGAAGGCCGGTCTTGTCGTACACAGAGAGAAGAGCAATGGGCTTGGACATGGTTGTAGCTTGGCTGTCTTGTTGCTATGAGTGAGAAATAAATAAAAGTCGGTGCGTTGTGGAGGCAGAAGAGGTCCGATAAGAGCTGGTCTGTGAATTCTGCCCCCCAAACTCACGAGCTCAGGATCGGGGGTTTGTAAAATACCTGTGATTTTCAGCAAAACTTTTCGGTTGGGTCAAGAAGGCAAAGATCGCCGCCACAGCGCTATTGCAAAAAATACTGGCACTGGTCCCGATCAGGAACCGGGTAACTTGGCAGCCTGGGACCAGCGGATTTGAGGATTAGGGAGCTGTTTGTTGATGCAACTGTGGGGACCGAGGTAACCAGACAGACTGGCGAGCGGCTCTCCGTGCTGGCACGGCAAAGGCAGTGGTGCTTGGCCTCGTCTAGGATGCTGTCAAGCAGCCCAGCACTACTAGTTATTATGAAAGCGATCTAAGCTGGAAGACTACACTGGGATCGGCGTCAAAAGGGCAGAGTGTGAGCGACTCTTTCTAGCTGCTCATGCCTTTTGCTCACTGGCTCAGAAGCGTCTGAGCACCTGCTGCCAGCCTCGCAGTTGCTTTACATACGGGATGGTGCAAATCATATTCCTTGGGACATGAGTTCGATGCGCCTGCTGCTGTATGCCACAGGTCATAGACCCACCAGTATCCAATTCCAAAGACACAGAAAGATGTAGGCGACAAAAGGGGTACCAGTGAGTAATACCAGTTGGCATTGAGATGCGTGCACTCTGTTGAGAACTGTGGGCTCAGAACCCCACACGTGGCTCCTGGTCATCGCCAAGCTCATCTTTCCGATTAGCTTTCGATATACGCACGGCAATCCAAATCCTCAATCATTCATCTGTGCCTCGCTGCAACTCCGAATGCAAGTATGCCAAGCGTTACCTCGAACATGAAGTACGCATGCTGACAAGGCAGTGAGGGTTATTATTTGCTACTTTGACATAGCATATCTTCCAAAGACCCTTTCTCATACCCTTCGACTTTCGACTTTCGACTTTCGACTTTCGATTCCTTTCGAACTTCCCATTTACAAAACAGGATGTCTCTACCTACTATATAAGATTTTATTGTCCAAAAAGTGTCCGACCGTCCGCTAGAACCTTTTTAATTAATTAAAAGATAAAACTCTTTAAGCTTCAACACGAGTTTGGGTGGCTTGCTCCGTAAACTCCTTTTTGATCTTGTGCGGTATCTGACTTCCGTTGGTGAAATCCAGGGTGACAAGTTGTTATTGTAGTGGTCACAGGTCTCCACTAGATATCTCCATTGGTTCAGCGCAAGAGCTGCTCTCATTGTCGGTCGGCCTGATAACTTCCATGGCGTCATCATGGTGGTCATCACCGGCTGCGCAACACTCTTATGATATTTATCTATAAACATCACATTGAATAAGGCCATATTGCTCTTCTAGCGGTCCATGCAATAATTGTATATATATTTTTATAAATTAATTTGTCTTATGAACATGCGTAAGCAGTAGTATTTGGGCCACAATGGACCCAGTCTGTATAGACTGATCCAAGAGACTGTATCAGTGCTAAGGGCCCCAAGAACCATGCAATCCAGATAGTTGTTTAATAAAAAGTTCATTAATGCTATGCATATGCAATAAAGCAAAACTGAACAGCCATCATTTCTCTTCTTGTTTTGCCTATTGAATTTCTCAAATGAATATTACCCGCAGCACTACTGTCATAAAGACATCACTTGGTGGTATTGGCTTCCGTGATTCTATGTTGCCCCGCCTAGAGCAATTTGTACATAGTGTCAATATCATCAAAGAGCATACATACATGCTTGCACGATGGATATTACTCCATCAACTAGCTGACAGGATGCTTTTGACCCTGCAACATTTGTGAAAAAAGGGATTCTTTCGATTTATTTATTTATTCATTTATCGCAACCTGAAGGCAAATACCACAATATCTGCCGAGGATTTCGTCAACCGGAAGGACAAGTCAGAACTGTCGAGCGCAGATTTCGGTGATGTAGTTAGATACCATATTTATGATTATCTATTACATAATGGCGATATTGAGCTACATGGTGTATGCGACATGAATCAAGTAGCAACATACGTGGATACCGAGCTGATGACAGCATACAATAACAACATTGTGTTGCACTATGGCAGTTGCCTACAGCGGATTCTGGCCAAATTGATTGATATTCACAGCCGCAAAAACACACTGCACAGTACAATGGGCAATGTGTCCAAGGCTGAGTTCAATAATGCATGCCAAGTGTGTATTTATACACCTGCACAGAAGCTCCGCTAGGCAGTTGCTTCTAGGCACCCTGGTCGCCATTGCACCAACAACCATCCAACACGTTCAAATGACCGGTTCGCCGTGATGCTCTTATCGACGTGTCAACCCATGCTGGACTAGCAGCCCGAGCTCGGCATCGGCGAGCAGAGTATTTCTAGTAGCTGACATTAGAAAAAAAACCCAGTCAACTCTCGATGAGCTTGCATCCAGCAATAATATTGGGAGGCTACCCCTATTTGACATGAAAACATATATCATGATGAATGTCGAGTGCAGCCCCAGCAATACCGGGCGATATTCCAATCATTGAGGCAGGCATCGCTGCAGGACCCAGAACACAGGGGCAGCCAATACCGAGCCGGCTCAACCAGTTTTCCAGTACACAGATGCATTAGCTGCCATCGAGACACGACCAGGCAAAACATGGCACATCGCTGACAAGGCATACGCACAACCGATGCAGAGCACGCAGCACCTACTGTGCCCAGTTCAACCGGCGCTTTGCTTTTGGATTGATCACGCGTGACAACGAGGTGTGGGTGTGTCTATTTTCCAAAGGTGGGGCCTTCGTCCAGAATTCTTGATATGTTCACTATGGTGACGTCAGGAACCACGGCTTCTGGCGTGCAACAGCGCTGCAGGACATGCTTAGCACAGCGTATCTGAAGTAATGGCCGAAATAATTTAATTGTATTTTTGCAGATAATAAAATCTATACCTTTTGTTTTGTTCACAGCTGTCGGTCCAGCGCCCATCCGATGACCGGCGCCACGGCACACTCAATCCCAGCCTCGCCCTCTTCAAAGCCCGTATCATCGGACTCGGTTAAGGTGCTGGCACAATCCCTGATAACAATGGCCGGGAACTCATCATCGCCATGCAGCGTGCCACTCCGATTCGCTACCCTAGCCCTGACCATTCTCTGCTGGCCGACAAAGCCCGAATACAAATTCTGCCACGAGTCCTTGGTGACCGCCACCCTCTGGACATCGACGCCCGACGGCACTTTTGTCCACTCCATGCCAAACTTTTTGTCAGTATGGATGGCGGTGCCGGTATTGTCGACAGAAAATAGCGAAGCAAGCCAGCCGTCGAACCTGCCCGGGGTCGTTTCCAGCGCCTGTAGTGTCCATTGGCGCCAGCGCCGCGTCGGCTCGTTGTCGATAAACTCGAATTGCGCAGCAAAGTAGTTTGTCAGGTCGCCGCATACCTTGTGGGCCCGGTACAGCCACCAGTCGATGCCCTGGCCAGCATATGTCTCCTTCAGCTGCCTTGTCATCATACATAACGCGGACCACGCCTGAATGGTGCCGACCAGCTGCAGGCCGCGGATGCTCCGCCGTGCTCCGCGCCCAATGCCACGGGGTTTGCGCATCATGACATTCCGGATGCTGCCACTGCTTTCCATCCGCCCGTACTCTACCCGACCCGTATGCACATGGCCAGCAACAGCCGCCGCCATGACAATCGGCGCGGCACCATTCGACGTATACAAAGGATGGTATCCGTCCATGTGACTGGCAAACAACCGGCATTCGCGCTCGCTAGTGTCTGTGAGCCGTGCTGGCACGCCCGACGATTTCCGCAGCTCCTTCCACAGCTTATCATTGCCTCCTGCAGCAAACTCGCCATGGCCTGTCTTCACCACCGCCGACAGCGCCTGCAGGACCATCAGCCAGATGTGCTCTGCGCCCAGAACCACTGTTGAGTTGCTGGATTGCGCGGCAACGAATGCCGCTACGACCGGATGCATGTCGCCGGCAAGTGCGTCACTGAATTCGCGGTATGTCTCGCGCCATCCGTCGCCGTCAACGCCGTCCACCATTGACTGGTCGATGCCGCGTGTCATTGTGTCTTCACCGCCAGCGCTGAGTTTGCGGTCCAGTTTCTGCCAGAATCCGCTGACTGGCTCGTATGCGTCTTCTGGTGCGTCGGCAAAGTGCTGCATGGCGAGCTGGAAATCACTGCCTTGCAGGGTAGGGAAGGGCTCGGTTTCTGTGGCCGACGAGTAGTCGGTGGATTCGACGGGGAGAGGAGGCGGGAATGCAATTTCTTTCCGACGCCCTGCCTTACTGTGCCTGCTGTTACTGCGGCGAAGCTTTGTTGACCAGGAGAGGTTGCTGAGAATGCGGGCCTTATCCATGATATTATGAGTATACAAAAATGTGTGAGGGTGTATGTGTAGGAGAAGAAGATAAGAAAGGTGTGTGGGGGGAGGTGCGGGTGTGATGAATAAGAAAAATCTCGAGAACAGCCCAGGAATCGTACAATTATATACAACAGAGAAAGAGTCCTTTGCTGAAGAATAGCTGAATGTGTTCTTATTGTAAAGGCGAGAAAACCTCAACTGCGAATTTCGGAAACCGATACAGGCACAAGGGGAGAGCAACGCAGAAAATAGATTTCAATGAACAATCAATAGCAAGGAGGAAGGAAAAAAAAGGACATTAAAAAAGGTTCAAGTTGTGTCCCTCCAAAAGAGCATCCTTTTAAAACCAGCCTATTCCCAAAAAATTCACAGTACAACAGTGAAAAAAAAGAGCTAGTGCGCTGGAATTCATAGAATAGTGGGCTTGATTTGTCGCACACTAGCTGGTTTCGAATATGCACAATTCGACGAGCTATTGCGAGCAGTGCAGAATAGATGAGACACCGTGCATTCTCAATTTTCAAGCAGCGCCTTGCGGGTTCGCAAACAGAAACGTGTCCTCCCCCTTGTCCATTTCCTCATTTGTTTTTTGTGCTGCTGCCGGTCTCAGTCCTGTAAACGGTAGATCCTGCTATTGACACAGCTTGGAGCAAGATGGGGAGCAAGATTGATTGCAGAATCCCGCTTCGCATTTGCAGCTTCGCACATGAAAGACCGTCAGTCCGAAAAGAGGATGGTCGGTTTTTGTTGCAGAAAATCAATGGATTCCAGCTTTGAGCAGATTTGCACAGTTCAATAAAACTCTGCATATGCAAAACGGAAATGGGGCAAGGGTGGGAGAGCGAGAGAAAGAGAGAAAGAGATTTAATGGACAAACTCCAGAGAGGAAAAGAAAAAGCATCATCCCGGATACGGAGGGTGGAATGTGGGATGTGCATATTATGTCAACATGCATCCCTCGCCATCACTGCCGCTGCTGCTGCTGCTGCTGCTGCTGCTGGGCGAAATCAGCTGCGGATGTAGCGAGAGTCATTGGCTGGGCCGATGACGATGCCTGCGGCAGTGCCTGGGAAAACATCAGGGCGGGGTTGTTGGCCATGGACGCGCCGGAGAACAGGCTGGGGGGAATCGATGCCATCGTCAGCCCGCTGAATCCTCCGCTGCCCTGCGAGATCGAGCCGTCGGCATTGACGGAAAAGCCCGCGCCAATGGTGACCTGCGGGAGCAGGCCGAGCTGGGCGCTCTCCGCCGCCGACTCGATCGGATCATCCTTGATAAAGCTCATGTATCCGTCGCGCTCCTCGAATAGGTTCAGAATGGCGACGTGCCCGGCTTCACGCGCAAGATCGACGGCAGAATGCCCCAGGCCGCTCCGGATCGTCGTTGAGGCGCCCGAATTCAGAAGCACCTCGACAATCTCGGTTCGCCCAAACATGCTGGCAAAGTGCAGCGCTGTCAGCTCGCTGTTGTCGGTCTCGTCCAGTAGCACACCGTGCGTCGCTAGGAACGTCAGCAGCGTCAGCATGCCCAGCAGCGCCGAGAAGTGCAGCAGCGTGCGGCCGCTCGTGTCGTGCTTCATCGACAGCCGGCTCGGCTCCAGCTGGCCCTTGTTGATCAGTGTCATAAACAGCTTCACCAGGTTGCTCTCAATCTCGACCAGGTTGCGCTGCTCGCTGGCCAGGCGCAGTGCGCGCAGCGTCGTCAGTACAATCTGGTCCTGCAGGACCTTATTGGGTGTCGTTGGCTGCTGCTGTTGCGAGGCGTGCGATGGCGAGTGGTTGCTGTTGCCGCTGGGACTCGACATGCGCGACGAACTGGCGCTCTTGTTCTGCATGATCGGGCTCACCTGCGCCGACAGAGAACCAAGCCGCATGCCGTCGTCCTTGCCGAGCTGGTTGCCCTGCCGCAGGCCAACCACCTGCAATGCGAGCTCAAGCATCGCCTGGTCGGTGTCCTCGACGTACTTGAACACGCCCGGCTGCCCCACCTGCGGCACCTGCTGCTGCTGCTGCTGCTCGGACGTGATCAGACCGCTAGCCTCGTAGACATTCATCGTCAGCAGATCCCTGACCAGAACCGGCACCGGCCCCGAGGCATTGGTGGGGGGCAGAACGCAGGTCAGATTTGATGACGACAGCACCTGCAGCCGGCTCGCACGCCCTGTTCCGAAATAAACCGCGATGTTGGGGTGGAATCCGTGCCCAGTAATCAGGATATTTGCGCCACCGGCGACAGGCCCCTGCGCTGGCATCAGCTGACTGATCTGGATGGGCTCCATCTGCCCGCTGCCGCTCAGCTGCGTCATCAATGACGTCGTGCCTGCAGCCGTACTGCCCATGCCCTGGAATAGCGCGTTCTGGCCCGACAGCAGCGACAGATTGTTCGCCTGCTGTTGTTGTTGCTGCTGCTGTCGCCGCTGTTGCTGCTGTTGCTGGCCCATAGGCAGGAGCGTCTGGGGCGACGCGTGTGCGGTACTGGGAGATCCGCCCAGATTGCCAAACATTGACGTGGTTGCCGACTGTGGCAGATTGAACGACGAGTCGAAGCCAGTTAGACTCGCAGCCGACAGCATCGGCGAGCCCAGAGGCGTGTTGCCAATGCTGGGAGTGCCCGCAAGCGAAGCGAACTGCGAATACGTGTCGAGCAAAGGGTGGTGGTGGAATGGCCGCATCGTCGGCGAGTTACGCGCCGACATCGCTTGGCGCCCCGGCAGGCCACCGCTGGACGGGTCGACCATGTGCAGATTGGCGCTGCTGCCGGAGACCCCGGCCAGCGCATGGTTGGCATATGCAGCGTTGCCGTCGCCGTGGCGGTCGTACTCGGCACGGCCGCGCGTCTTGCGGTCAGTCTTGAACTTTGTTGATTTGTGGTCGTCGGTAATCATGATCGGTGCCGTCATGTGTGTGGCCAGTACCTTGCCCTGGGCGTCCTTGAGCGTGAAGCAGATGCAGAAACCAACCTTTTCGTTGTGGTGCCGGCAGTAGCAGGTGATGCGCGTCGGCAGGATCACCTCGCCCTTGCTGAACTCGAGCAGATCGTTGCAGTTGAAGATCACAATACGCTGCTTCTCCACCGCAATGCGTCGGTCGTCCCAATCCATCTCCATGGTGCCTGTCATCGGCCGTCCACTCGACCCTTCGCCTGTTGGCGAACCCGGCCGACTCTGGGCTGGCGTTGTGCACGTGCTCGGCGCCGCACTGCGCAGCCGGTTGTCCTTGCGTCGCAGCGAGCGCTTGTACTCGCGGCGAATGCACCCAATGCACGTCTCGACCTTGCGCGTTGGGTCGCTAGAGCATATGATTTTGGCCTCGAGGCTGACCACATGCTGGTCCGACACGGGCATCGACGACTCCGAGTGCGGATTCTTGTGCAGCCGGTGCCGGAACTTTTCGCGCGACACGAGCATCTCGGGCAGCGCCAGGTGCGACCAGCAGTTGACGCGCTCGCCGCCTTCAGTCACAAGACGCAGCGTGATCTTTATCTGCGTTTCGACACGTGATTTGGCGTTCTCGCTGGCAATGCCGTCCACCTCGATGCGCAGGCCCTTGGCCTTGGCCTCCTCGACGCTCCGCAAAAAGTCCGGGCTGACAGTCGGCGTCAGCGGCGGCGGCTGCCGTGATGCAATCAGCGTCTGGTGGTGCATTGCGTTGATACGCGGGATGGCCGCTGTTGCTGCCGACACGGCCATAGCAGCGCTGCCAGTGATTCCAGGCGACGCTGTGCTGGGCGACGCAAACGGCGATGCGCCAAAGCCGGTGCTGCTCTACAATGGGAGGTGTCTTTGCGGATTAGTGCGTGTACTGCCCGTATTCTTCTCTCGAATCAAGGCTCCCTTGTCCCAATGAGCAGAATAGTGCGTTATTCAGGCTCTAGGGCCAGGCAGGGGACACAAGAAGCCAGCAATCCTTCGCACAATGGCGCTGGATGCAAAGCGAGCCAGTCACAATTGAAACTGCGGGCTTCTCCGAGTCGTAAACAGGCAGCGCTGGCGTCTCCACGTTTCTGCAGCATGCGTAAGAGACTGACGAAAGAGGGAATAGAGCAAATAATTGAAATGCACCCTGTGCATACAATCGCCATCTGCACAGACAACAAAAAAAGAACGAAGGCCCTCTCCAGTGCACGCTTTCAAGCAAAAGAGGCAAACGGGGCCCGCGCCCGGAGAAGAAACCTGGACTCGTTATTCCAGAATGAACCACTCATGACGAAGCTGAAAGAAAAAAGCGCGGCCATGTGGACAGCGTGCCCATTGCCACATGCACGCCATTGCGCAAGCCAAGACGAAAGAAAAAACACACCCTCGTCCTCCTTTTTTAGCCGGGCACTGCTGTCGAGGGAGCGGGTAAAAGAGGAGAGCATGGCTGTAGGAACTGGAGGAGGGGGAAAAGCACAAACAGCGAAACAGAAGCAGGGCGCCGATCGACAACAAACAACAAACAACTTACCGGGTCCAGAGCAGTACTGCCAAAGTTGCCCATAAACGCCGTGCTAGAGGTAATGGACGTCGGCGGCAGCTGCGACATGTTCAAATTGGCCATGCCCGTGAGAATCCCGCGCCTGTTGAAGGCACCTGACGTCGGGCTCGCTGTTGCCGAGGGAGCCGCGCTATTACTCAGCGAGTCGAGCCCATACGGCTGTTGCATCAGGCTCGCCAGGTTCGTGAAGCTGTGCCGCGCATCTAGCCCGCCAAAGTTGTTCTTGGGCGACTGCGGCAGCGACGGCGCCATCACCGGCGATGTGCGCACTGAGTTGAATCCGAGGCCGCTCGCAAACGCTGCCGGCGAGCCGGGCGTTGAGCGCGTTGCTGCTGTTGCCGACATGAGGAGTGCTGAAAAGTCAGGCGTCAGCGCTTGCTGCTGGAGCTGCTGCTGAAACTGCTGCTGCTGTTGTTGTTGCTGCTGACTGTACTGCGTGTTGTCAGCAAGGTCTGTGCGCAAGTAATCGCGGAGGTTGTTGGCCATACCGGCTGTGTTGCCGTCGGCTGAACCGTTATTAGTAGCGTTCATTGAGACTCGAAAGAAGAGGTGATTGTGTGAGATGTAAAAGTATAAAATGCCAGGGCACTGGACGCAGGAGAGCACGAAGTATGAGAATAAATAGCCCCCTAATGTAAAAACAGTTTCGCAATTTTGCGCTCGATGGAACCCAAATCTACAGGTAGAAAAATATGTGTATATCAAGGGGGAAGAAAGGACGAGGTTCGAAAAAGAATACTATGACCAAAAAATAAGAACAGAAAATTTTGCGAGTAGAAAAAACCAGCTCTTAGCAAAATAAAAAACCTGGCCATATCCTCACGTGCATTTTGAGCCAATCATTACGCGCGGCAAAATCATATCCGATGACCATCGATTTTGCATTGGACGCTCTCACTGGTGGCAGCCCGCGCCTACCAATGATGGATCGCGCCACTGATTCCCGATCAGCTGGGTATCAGCTAACTGCCTGGAACACTCGGCGTCTTACTCGGCATACCCTGCGCCTCGCTGCCTCTGTGGAGGTTGGGGCCTGCTTGTTTTCTACGCTGGGGCACTTGATTAGTGCTGCTCCACCCCAACATCACAAGGTCCAGCATGGCATATATGGGCAGGGTGGTTATATGAATCAAATTAGGAAAAAGAGCGGGGGTCGACATCTACTAACCCCAAATGAAGACATTTGTTCCTTATCTATAAGCAAATCCATTTACAGACGAGGGGGAGTGGTGCGGCCAGAGGCAGGGCCGATGTTGTGGCCGCACTCCTCGAGGGCCTCAGCGGCAGCCTTGAGCATGATGTCAACGTAGCCGTTGTCCTTGGTGGCAGTGATGCCCATGTGCCCGAGGCGGAAGTAGCGCTGGGCCTTGCCGTTCAGGATACCGGCGGCAGCAACAACGCCCTTGGCCTTGAGCTTGGGCAGAATGTCAGCAGCCTGGATCGACTCGGGCAGCCAGATGGCAGTCATGGCGGTGGCGGCGCACTCGGTCGAGACCGCGACGGTCTTGAGACCCCACGAAGCAACGGCGGCCTTGACGCGGGCCGAGGTGCGCTCGTGCGCCTCAAACACGCTCTCCATGCCGCCGTTCGACAGCAGGTCCTTGAGCGAGGTGTTCAGCGCATAGATGGCCTGGACAGCCGGCGTAGCGAAGTACTTGGGGGCACGCTCCTCGTACGCCTTCATGATCGGCAGCCAGCGGCCCCAGTTGATGTAGTACGCGGGGACCGGCGTCTTGCGCGCAGCAAGCACGCCCAGCGCCTTCTGCGACGCCACGACGATCGACAGACCGGGCGGCGAGCCCAGCGCCTTCTGCGACGCCGTGATCACTACATCGACGCCCCAGGCATCAAAGTACAGGCGCTCGGCGGCGGTCGCGCACACTCCGTCGACGACTACCAGCGTCTCCGGCGAGTGCTCGCGGACGACCTCGGCGACGCCCTTGACGTCGTCCAGAACTCCGGTCGAGGTATCGACCTGCGAGATCGTGATCAGCTTGTACTTGTTGGCGCGCAGGGCCTGCGCGACCGCAGCCTTGGTCTGGCGCGTGCCCGGCTCCGAGCGCAGGCGGGTCACGGTGGCGCCGTAGGTCTCGAGGCAGTCAGCCAGTCCCTCGCCAAAGTAGCCGTTGGACAGAACCAGGGCGTTGTCGCCAGCCTCCAGCAGGTTGGCCGCGGTCTGATCCCAGCCCAGGGTGCCCTGAGCCGGCGATGACGAACGGCTGGGCGGTCTTGGTGCCGACGACCTCGCGCAGCAGACCGATGGTCTCGCCGAACACGTTGACAAAGTGCGGGTCGGTGTGGGCGGTGGCAGGGGTGCTGTGTGCCTGGAGGACAGCGTCGGTCATCTCGACGGGACCGGGAATGAGGCAGAGTGCGCGGGCAGGAGTCGACATTGTGCGGATGCTAGTGTATCTTGGAATAAGCGGAGCGATGCGCGAAGAAGCGGTGCGGCGGCTAGATAGAGTACAAATGCGTGCTGAAGCAGAAACAAGAGAGCGAATGGACATAATGAAAAAATCAAAAGCTGGTGGAGGAGATGGAGCACCCGTCTTATCTTTTATACTCGATTGCCTCTAAAAACTTTTTGCAAAGCACGACTGCTAATAAAAAGGCCGTCGTCAGCGCTCCCAGACACTGCTCTTGCAAATCCCCTCTGCCTTCGCCACTGCGACGAATCGCGGGCAGCACAGGTATTGCGCACGGCAAGGAGTTTGGACCGATGAGGGCAAGGCAGAAAATGACCGCAGTGGGCTGCCTCTTCCGTCGTACCCGCTATTTTGCACTAAACCCCTCAGTACCCGCGACGGGACATATCCACCAACCCGCTGCCATATTTAGCGCACCAAGAAATGCCATTCTGGCTGCTGCAGTGCCTGGGGGCTGTTCTGCCAGCGGTAGGCGGAGCGTGTGGACGGGGGATATCTCTCAATCGCATATTTTCTTTCAGCACCTCTCCCGCTGGGTGATACATATACGTGCATCGGGCAGAGCCGAGCTAATCGGCCAAGGTAGACATTACATCTTGGTGCCAACCACGTCGCCGCGTAAGAAAAGGGAGGCAGACGGGTGGGTGCATTGAGTGACACTGGCGGCCTAAAAGGAGATTTTTTTTGTTTAGAGCGACGGAGCCAAGCACCTTATTTCACCGCTCCTCCTTGTTGCCTTGTACGGGGATAACGTCACCGGTTGTTTTTCTGTGTAGCAGGGGGCTTTTTATTCTGGAGATCGCTTCCCCACGGCGAGCAGAAGGACAAAGCGGTGGTCCGTCCGCATCGGCTCACTCTCTGCGCACGCGCACCGTATCCACCGCCTCTGTCGCCGCAATACTGGCGCGGGTAGCAGCGGCTTCAAAATTTCTCCAAAGCCAGCAAAGGCTGATCAGGGGAGGAGAGACCAAAATCAAGAGTTCATTTCGGTTCTAGGACAAGAGGGTTACGAGAAAAGTTGGAACTAGTTGCCGCAGCTGACATCGCCGCCGGTAGCCTTGGTGTTCAGGATCAGACCGACAATCAGACCGTACAGAGCCAGCACCTCAGCGAAAATGAGAATCAGAATCATACCGACATACAGACGCGGCTGCTGGGCAGTAGCGCGCACGCCGGCGTCTCCAACAATACCAATGGCGAATCCAGCAGCCATGCCCGACAGACCCACAGCAAGACCGGCGCCCAGCTGGATGAAGCCCGTGTACAGAGCCATCTGCTGCTTGAGACCGTCAGTAATCAGAACCGAAACGACAAGACCGTAGATACCGATAATACCGGCCATGACCACAGGCACGATGCTGCGCACCACCAGGTCAGGACGCAGGATGCCCATGGCCGAGATACCGACACCCGACTTTGCTGTGCCGTAAGCAGCGCCGAAGCCTACAGAGAACATCAATTAGCCGATCATTAGTGTATATGCTTGATTCTTCCTGTGCTGCTGCTGGCTGCTCATCTACGCGAGAATTTCAACTTACAGCAAAAGATTGTGGCAGCGGCACAGCCCAGCGAACCGAAAATGGGCGAGTAGACAGGGCAATAGTCGTGGACAACGGCGGACATTCTATAAAGTGGTTTAGATTTTAGTGGAAGGCGGTCTGCGAGAAAGAAAAAAGCAAAGTATAGTAGGCGACTTTGGGACTGCTCTAGATTCTCAGGTTAGATTCCCAGGTTAGATTGCCGCCGGATTCCCCACCCCAGGCGGTCCGTTGCAGCACAGCGCGCCCTCCCCCTGTCCTCCAAGGAGGTTTTACCTTTCTAATTACTCTCTAACGTTGCTGGAGTGGGTGATAAGGTAAATGCGCTAAAATGATAAAAGTTCAAATGAGCTTGAAAGTGGAGAAAATTGAAAACAGGAGGAAATATGTTCGCTACAACGAAATAAAAACAAAAATGCTGTGGGCATCAGGGGGCCGAGTCCGGTCCGAGCCGACCGAGCCAGTCACGCTGACGATGCAGCCGACCGCTTCTTGGCACCCTCGCCTGAGGCATCTGGCTGCGGCTGCTGGCCGCTGGCGCCATCGTCGTTCCAGATGGCGGCCTCTACATCGGCCTCCTGGATCTTGCTAAAGTACATGGGCCGCTTCTTGAACGCAGCGACATCTGAGTCGATCACCACATGCCGCACTGACGACCCCGGGCAGTCAAACATGGGCTCCAGCAGCAGATTCTCCATGATCCGCCTCAGCCCACGTGCGCCGGTCTGCTTGTCAATGGCCTGCTGCGCAATGGTGTACAGCGCCTGCTTGGTGATATGCAGCTGCGAGCCGCTGAGCGCCAGCAGCGCCTCGTACTGCCGCACCAGGGCGTTCTTGGGCTCGACCAGCACGCGCACCAGCGAGTCCTTGTTCAGCGCGCCAACAGAGGTCAGCACCGGCAGCCGGCCGATGAACTCGGGATAAGGCCAAACTTTATCAGATCGCTGGGCTCTGCGTAGTCGAGCGGATTGAACGGCACGGCCGAGCCGCCCGAGAGGCTCGCGCTGTCGCTAAAGTACACGGGCGACACATTCATGCTCTGCAAGTCCACCGGCGATGTGGTGTCGCCGGCACGGCGCACCGGGTTGCCGAACCCAATCGACGCCTTGGCCGCCCGCTCCATCACGATTTTGTCCAGGCCCACGAACGCACCGCTGAGCACAAACAGGATGTTGCTGGTGTCGACATGGTACACCTCGCCTTTGCCGCCTCCGCCGCCCAGCGGCCCGCCCAGCCCGCTGCCGAAGCCGCCCGGTGCGCCATTGCCTGGCGGTCCAAAGGCACTCGACATCGGCCCGCCTCGCCGCAGCGGCCCACCCACACCCATGTTGCTGGGCGCTGCCCCAGGCGCAGCAGGCGGCTGCGTCGTCTGCGACGTGGTTGAGCCGAGTCCCGTCGGCGAAAACGGCGAATGGCCACCTGCTCCGCCGCCACTGCTGTTCCCATGGCCAGTCTTGTCGGTCACTGTCACCACAGTGCCCTCGAGCATGCGCAGTAGGCCCTGCTGCACGCCCTCGCCCGACACATCTTTGGACATTGAGAACGAGTCGGGCTTGCGGGCGATCTTATCGATCTCATCAATAAACACAATGCCATGCTCAGCACGTGCGACGTCGTAGTCGCAGTTTTGCAGCAGCCGCTGGATCACCATCTCGACGTCCTCGCCCACGTACCCGGCCTGCGTCAATGGCGTCGCGTCCGACACCGAGAATGGCACATCCAGCACCTGCGCCAGCGTCTTGGCCAGCAGCGTCTTGCCAGAGCCCGTCGGGACCAATCAGAAGCACGTTGCTCTTCTCCAGCTGCGTGTCAAAAAGAGCGCTCTCCAGTGGAGAGGCGGATTGAGGCTGCGGTGGAGACGGGGGCTCAGCACTCTTGGCTGTATTGGAGGCGCCTGCAGGGGGTGATTCAGGCGAGGGTATTTGAGGACGTTGGCTGGACAGAGGGCACCAGGCGTGTCATGAATAAACAGCCCGCTGTTTTCAAATGCTCCATTCCACGGGCGATTGACAAATGGATACTGGTGTATCGGATACGCGCTGCCAGTACCATTGCGGCCTACATGGTATTTCCCAATTAGTTAGCAGCCACTAGTTGGGGGATGGGTGGCCATAGCACCAACCAGTGGTGTTGTAGCTTATGAACTATCTCTTACCTTGTTGCCGGTCGGCAGTGGCCGGGTCAATATACCCATGCTGCTGCGTTGGAGGGTGGAAGGGATTGCCCGATGCAGGCGCAGAGGTCGCAGCAGCAAAGGCTGCAGACAGCTGCTCGCGCTGCCGCTTGAGCGTATTCGCGCGCACACGATTATAGTGGTTATACACCGCAACCGCCAGCGTCTTCTTTGCACGCTCCTGCCCGATAACATACTCGTCCAGGTACCGCACAATCTACAGGCAAAAAAGCCCAGCAGGGAATTAACCAACCATACAAGAATCTTCGCTCACAGATAGCCTGCTCTTTGGAGAAGTTTCGTCCTTACCATGCGGGGGCTGATTGGCTCCATGCCGTTGTTTGCTTGCGGCGTGTGTGCTGCACCGCCCGCGGAGGATTCCGAGCCGCCTGTTCCGCGGGCCGTGTTGTCATGGTTGCCCGTGGACTGATCGCCCGCCCGTGCCGCCAGGCGTGCTGGTGCTGCTGCCCTGCAAGGCGCTGCCCTGGATGGAACCTGGCGCCTTGGTTTTGCCGCCCGCCTTGGTCTTGGATGCTGGCGGCCCATCAATGTAATCCCACTCGCGCCCGGCCTTGCGTGCTGCTGCCGATGTGCTGAGCAGCGCTGCGGCGTGGCGGGCGGCAAACCTGCTGGATGCACGCGAAGCCTGGTGCCTCAGGAGACTTGTGGCGATATGGTTCTGGCAGAGAAGACGACTGGCCATTTCAAGACTGAATAATACAATAGTACAGAGAGAAGGATGAAATATATAGCTTGGAAGAGGGAAAAATAGCTGGTGGGGTGGGTAGTGTAGAGCGAGGAGAGAGGAGGGTGAGCTGTTAACGAGAGGAATCAGTTTAAGCGGCGGTGTAGAGGTGACTCTTTTTTATACCGGATTGATCACGTGGGTCCGAAACACCAGCATCCAGCGAAGGCCAGCGCATGACACTACTCTTTTCCCTCCCTTCGCGCCTAGTCCTGAAGCGAGGGTGCTGGATCCCCAGAGCAGCCATCGAAGGTGTCCTTCGTTCTGTTGTCCTTTTCGGCAGAGCGCATACGTAAGCGTCCCTGAGTGGGCCGAGCCGTGCTCTGGCTGCTCTGGCTGCTCTGGATCTTCAAGGTCACGGGTACGTGCTCTCACATGGGAATGCCCAACCCAGGGGCCGTTCCTCTCAGCTGCGTCTCTGATATTGCCGCGCATGCCAGGCTGGAATTCTCCGACCGCAGATGGAGCAGCAAAGGAGAAATCTCCTTCATGGCAGCCGAAGTATGTCCTCGAAGCACTGGTGGGAATCTGGGCCGTCACATGAGCGCGCACGCAGATGCAGCAAATGTACTGGGAAGCCATGCCATAGCCGTCTGCCTAAAATGGTGGGGGAGGCCATAAGCAGTGGGGTTTCCGGCCACTGATGCTAGCATCAGGCGTTGAGGCGGCCGGTTGGTGGAGGGAAATCTTTACCAATATTTACCGCAACTTTCGAAGCTTGGTACTCGCTTTTACTGCCCTGTGCGGTGCCAAGTCAATATGTTTGCCAGAGCGAAACCCAAATGGACGCAATATATTGTCAACACTGTATGAATGTCTAATAGATGGTACTCGTACATGACAACAACATGCGGAACACCCCTTTTACTCTGCCTTAACCAGTGGCTCCTTGCCTGACTTTTCCTTGAGCGCCTTCTACACAAGCAAAACAGTGTGTTCAGTCGCAACGCTTGATGCTCTTGGCAATTGCGGACCCTAATGCTGTGTCTACCTACCCTCATTGTCTCCATGCAGTCGTAGTACTCTGCTCTGAGCTTCCGGCACCCAAAGAACCGATCGTACATGGTCGGCGGGTCAATCGAGCATTTCCGCCATGTGTACTCGCACTCGGCGCACTCCTCGGCTGCAATCTCCTCTATCTGCTTGTTGGTGTAAAACCGCTTGCGGTCCTTGGGCGCCTCTTCGTCGCTGTACACAAACGAGGCATCCGCAGTCGCGTCTGGCCGGATCGGTGCCCGCTCAAGCTTCGCCTTGACCTGGTGGATATACGAGTTGAGGAAATCGTCAGTGCTGCTGTTGGAGCTCATTTTTGCTGGAGGATAAAAACTAGTTCAGGACCGTTATCTTTCTAAAACACCGCTCGAGCCGCAGGCGCTGGCTGGGGGAATAGACCACTTTGGGCCATTGGCAAATGTGTTCTTGTGGGAGATAATATATTGAAAATGAGTCCTATTCTAGTTGCCAAGAAGCTGCAGGGCAAGGCGCTCCTGCTCCTCCAGAGACATGGCAGAGTTGTCGACCTCCAGCACACGGCCACGCTTAGGCTTGGGCGCCTCATACTCCTCCTCCTCCTCCTCCTCGCTGCCATCTGACCGGTCGCGCTTCTCGCCACTGCTGTACTCGTCCTCGCTCTGGCTATACGCGTCCTCCTCGTCATCGCTGGTCCTGAGCATGGCAACAGCGCCTTGCTCCATGCCCATGGCTCCCTCTCCCTGATCTTGGCCGCCAGCTTCTTCTCCCTGCGCTTCTGGCGCGCCACCTCGCGATCATCGACATCAGCCTCCTCCATCAGCGCCTGGTTGCGCTGCTGGTACTCGCTGACGAGCTGACGCACATCGCCTTGGGCGCGGAAGCTCTCCTCGGTCTGCAGATCGTAGACCGACTTGGCGTTGCCGTCGTCGTCGAAAACCACCTTGGTGTTGCGCGTGTTTTTGATGATCTTCTCCTTGACCTTGCGCAGCTGGCGCTTGGACATCTCCTGCGCCGGGATGTTGGGAATCACCACTGGCAGGCCGGTATCGGGGTTGATTGCAATTGTCTTGACCACTGGCTCCTCCGCATCATCCGCCGACACAGTCTGCTCCTCTGCAGCCTCCTCGTCGCTTGCCTCCTCGTCACTGTCGTCATCAGACAAGTCATGGTCGGCACGCTTGAGTGTCAGGAAGTCGTTATCATCGTCGTCGCCGTTGTCCTCGGCCTGGATCAACCAGCTTGCGGTAATGGTCTGCCAGCACACCGGCGTTCTTGCGAGCAAACATCTTGTCGACGCGGGTCTTGACCTTGTCGTCCTCATTGTCGTCGCCGTCCTCGCCAGCCGCCTCGTCAATGGCAGCAGTGTTCTCGCGCTCAATCGCCTCGGTCTGCTCTCGCCGCTTCTTCTCGCGCTCCTCCGGCGACACCATGTTCTCGAGCTCATACGACTTGTTCTTTGCCGAGGACTTTTTGACAAACTTGATCTTGGGCGCTCCAGGCAGACCCAGGGCCTCGGCAAATTCCTCGAGCGGCAGCTGCTCGACGTCAAACACAGACTTGTTCTTTTGCAGAAACACGGAGCGTACGTACGTCACAAAGGCGCGCTGGCCCAGATACTTGATCTCGGGGTCCTGGAAGCAGTAGTGCTGCAGCTGCTTCGACACATGCATCATCTTGTTGCTCTTGGCGCTGATCTCCTTGATCGGGATGTTCCGGTCAGCAAAGATCTTGGCCATGCCGTCTTGCTCGCTCGGAAGAAGGAACAGCAGGCCCTTGCCCGCAGCCTCGTAGCGGGCAGTACGGCCCACACGGTGCAGGTATGTGTCGCAGTCCTCCGGGCAGTCTACCTGGACAACCCAGTCGACTGCTGGGAAGTCGAGGCCACGCGAGGCAATGTCAGTGCAGAACATGACTGCCTTGTTCATCTTCATGAAGCGCTCAAAGATCTCGACGCGCTTCATCTGCTTCTGCTTGCCGTGCAGATGCAGAAGCGGAGTGCCCGGCTGCAGCTTGCAGAACGTCTCGTAGACAAACCGCACCTGCTTGCCGCTGGACAGGAACACAATGATCTTGCTCTTCAGGTGCGTTTTCAGGAACGAGTATAGCATGTCGAGCTTGTCGGGCAGATCCACCACCATATAGTACTGTGTCAGCTTGGACGGCGTGCTGAACTTGTCCTTCTCATGCACCGACACGTACTCGGGCCGCTCCAGGCTCAGACGGGCCAGGTCCTTGACAGACTTTGTCTGGGTGGCCGAGAACAGCAGCGTCTGGCGCTGGCGCGGCAGGTTGTCGATAATGGCGTTCATCGTCTTCTTGAAGCCCATGTCCAGAATGCGGTCCGCCTCGTCAAGCACCAGCACCTGCAAATTCGAGCAGTCAAAGCCGGCGGTCTCGTCCATGTGCTGCAGCAGGCGGCCCGGGGTGCAGATCAGAATGTTCATCTTGGACAGGATCTCCTTCTCCTCGTCGACGCGCTTGCCGCCGATAACCAGGCCCGCCGAGAACCTGTGCTTGCGGCCAATCTTGCACAGCACCTCGAAAATCTGCATTGCCAGCTCGCGCGTCGGCGAAATCACCAGCGCACCGAGCCCGTCGAGGCTCGTCCACCGCGCCCGGTACAGGTTCTCGAGGATCGGAATCAGGAACGCCAGCGTTTTGCCGGATCCTGTTTTGGCCGCGCCCAGCACATCGCGCTTGGCCAGGGCGTACGGAAGCGCCTTGCGCTGGATCTCAGTCATCTCGAGGAAGTTTGATTTGCTCAGGCCCTGCATTGTGCAAGGCGAGATGGGCAGGTCGCTGAAGACATTGAAGTCCCAGCTCGTGGCGGGCGTGCTCGCGATCTCCAGGGCGCGCTGACCCAGCTGCTCGATCGCCTTGACTTCGGCGCTGCGGCGCTGCTTGCGCAGTTGTGTCGTGCCGATGGTCTCGGGCTTCGGCTCCTTTTTGCGACCCCTGTTTCGGCATAGTTGTGGTGTAGTAATGTGGAATTAAATGAGCTGTGGTGGGAGAAGAACAGGCGAACATTATGCGCAGACAGCATTAGCGCTGGTTGTTGACCAGGTTTTTTTTTCTGTCGGTGATCAGATGCCGGATCACCGGATCTATGATGGGCACCGAAATGCGCGATGCTTACGACAAGTCTGGTCGTGCACCGCTGCCGACGAATTGCTTTTTCCAAGGCTACCTTATTTTTCCCATTTGACCTTTATAAAAATCCAGAGCTGATCACAATGAGCGGTTGGAACGATCCCCAGCGTCAGGCCCAGCAGGCCTTCCAGCAATTTCAGCGCATGTTTGCCAACGGCGGTCGCGGCGGCGGTGCCCCCAAGGGAGCAATTGGCGCGACCGGACTGCTTATCGGAGCGGGTATTTTGGCGTGGGGCGTGAACGCCGGTCTGTACAACGTCGACGGAGGCCACCGGGCTATCAAGTACTCGCGTGTGTCGGGAGTGCAGCAGGAGATCTACTCCGAGGGCACGCACATCCGGATCCCGTGGCTGGAGACGCCGATTGTGTACGACGTGCGCGCGAAGCCGACGAGCATCCAGTCGCTGACAGGCACCAAGGACCTGCAGATGGTGAACATTGTGTGCCGTGTGCTGTCGCGGCCGGACCAGGCGGCGCTGCCGGAGATCTACCGCACGCTGGGCACTGACTACGACGAGCGTGTGCTGCCGTCGATTATCAACGAGGTGCTGAAGAGCGTGGTGGCTCAGTTCAATGCGTCGCAGCTCATCACCCAGCGCGACCGTGTGAGCCGTCTGATCCGCGAGCAGCTGATGCGCCGTGCGCTGCGGTTCAACATTGTCCTGGACGACGTGTCACTGACGCACATTACCTTCAGCCCTGAGTTTGCGTCGGCCGTCGAGGCGAAGCAGATTGCGCAGCAGGATGCCCAGCGCGCAGCGTTTATTGTCGACCGAGCCCGCCAGGAGAAGCAGAGCACGATTGTCAGGGCTGATGGTGAGGCGCGGTCTGCCGAGCTCATTGGCGAGGCTATCAAGAACCAGCCGGGCTTCCTGGAGCTCCGCCGCATCGAGACTGCTCGCGAGATTGCCAACATCCTGCAAAAGTCGGGCAACCGCCTGGTGCTCGATGCCAGCTCTCTGCTGCTCAATGTGGCCGAGCCGTCGGCCGTGGAGAACCCGAGACGATGAATAGCAGTGAATAAACGCCTTATCAATAGCACTCACGTGATTTAGCGCAAACGTCATCCGCCAAGCCCAACACCCTCCCCTGAACCAACATGGGCCTAGACAGGCAAGCACATTCGACTCTTTTTTGTTGCTACTGCTCTATCAAACTCCAAGTTTCAATCGCAACACGGAATTCGCAGAAATGGACTACTTTGAAGCACTGAAGGCGTCGGAGCGGGTCAGCGACCCGCAGTTCCACGCGCACTCGCCTGTGCCGCCGCCGCGGGGCAACAACGTCGGCGAGATAATAAAGTACATCAAGGCGACGTGCGACGACCTGTACTTTAGCAGCGAGAGCGACGAGCCGGTGGAGCTATTCCAGCTGTCGGCCACGGGTCTGCAAAGCATGGAGGCCGACTTGGACAAGCTGATGCTGCCGAGCGCGCACGACTTTGCAGTGTTTGTAGCTGGCGAGCGCAGCCTGGAGGAGGAGGGGTTTGTGTGTGAGCGGCATCCAATTCGACATGTTCTTTGGCCAGCTGCGGAAGCACCAGGTCAACGAGCGGCAGAAGCGGCTGGCGGCGTCGTTGGAGGAGACGTTCAAGAAGGAGACGAGTGGGCCGGGGTGCGCAGGGGGCGTATTACCGTGTGGGCATTCCGCCAAACATCGAGGTGTACGTGGTGATGCTGATCGACGGACAGGTGGTCGGGCTCAAGACTCTGTCGATTGAGACGTAGGGGTCGGGTCGCTAACATGTTGGCTAGAATTCTTTCCAGATAAAGCCAGGAAGCCAAAAAAAGAAATAGGCCGATGCACAGAAGAGTTACTACCGAAGGCCTGGAGGGAAGGTTCTTCCTAAATGCACTGATGGTACCTTACATGCTGGAATTAGGGTCATCAGGTCCCAGATGAGGACGGTCGAGCGTCCATATTGCGCAATAGGTACAGCAACTGGCCGCCTGTGATGTTGACAGCCTGGCAGCTCTTTTGGGTAGTGATCCCACTGCATCGCCCTCAAGTCCGCAAAATCACAATTTTCTGCACGGACAGGTTTTTTATGTTGCGCAACTGGCCGTCACGATTGCACCATCACGATTGGCACTGGGTACACCGATGGTTCCCGCTCCAACCCGCCAATTTTGCCTGGCAATCGTTTTGCCCAACCACACGCGCTGGCGAGCACGCACTAGCATCATGGAGGACTACCGGGCGACGCGCCTAGCAAGGCGTATAGGCTCCCCCTGTATGGATTTATCAAGCCTGCGTGCACTTTGCACATGAGCTAATGATCCATGATAAGCACCAAGCGGCCAATAATTCCTGCTGACAAAAAAGAGTGCGCTCCTTGGTCTCTCCCCAAGGCGCATTCACAGAAGCGACGGCTATAAAGCAGGAGCCAGCTGGCAGCTGGCATCTCCTCCTTGCAATTGCACCCGGTATCAGCAAACTCTCTCCCAATCCCTCTCCTGTCCTTTTTGCTCTTCCACCCCAGCACATCCGTCGGGCTCGAAGCTTCTTCCAAACACACACTAGTACATAGCACACACATACACAAGAACTGTAATCATGGCCAACCCGCCCCACGGAGGAATTCTCAAGGACCTCTATGTCCGCGACGAGCCGATTCAGGCCCAGCTGCAGGCCGAGGCCGAGACGCTGCCGTACGTGACGCTGACTGAGCGCCAGCTGTGCGATCTGGAGCTGATTCTCAACGGTGGCTTCAGCCCGCTGGAGGGATTCCTGACCGAGGCCGAGTACATCTCAGTGGTGAACACCAACCGCCTCCCTGACGGCGCTCTGTGGACAATCCCCATCTACCTTGACATTGACCGGGCGCACCTGGACTCGCTGGGCGTCGCTGCCGGCAGCCGGCTGACACTTGCGCGATCCGCGCGACGACCAGCCGCTGGCGATTCTGACCGATTGCCGACTTGTACCAGCCGGATCGCGCGGTGGAGGCCGAGAAGGTGTACGGCGCCAACGACCAGGCGCACCCAGCAGTGCATTACCTGTTCAACAACACCAAGGACACGTTTGTTGGCGGCAAGGTGCAGGCCGTCAACCCACCGCAGCACTACGACTACGTGGCCATCCGCCGGTCGCCGGCCGAGGTGCGCGCACTGTTCAAGAAGCTCAACTGGACCCGCGTAGGTCGCGTTCCAGACACGCAACCCCATGCACCGCGCGCACCGCGAGCTGACGGTCCGTGCAGCGCGCATGCGCCACGCCAACGTGCTGATCCAGCCAGTGGTGGGTCTGACCAAGCCCGGAGACATCGACCACTTTACGCGCGTGCGCGTCTACCAGGCCATCATGCCCAAGTACCCCAACGGCATGGCGCAGCTCTCGCTGCTGCCGCTGGCCATGCGCATGGGCGGCCCGCGCGAGGCCGTGTGGCACGCCATCATCCGCAAGAACTTTGGTGCAACCCACTTCATCGTCGGCCGCGACCACGCCGGCCCCGGCAAGAACTCGCAGGGCGAGGACTTTTACGGCCCGTACGAGGCTCAAGATCTGGTGCTGCAGTACCGCGACGAGCTGGACATCGAGGTCGTGCCCTTCCAGATGCTGACGTACCTGCCCGACACCGACGAGTATCAGCCCATCAATGAGGTCCCCGAGGGCACCAAGACCCTTAACATCTCGGGCACCGAGCTGCGTCGCCGCCTGAAGACCGGCGCTCCGATCCCCGAGTGGTTCTCGTACCCCGAGGTCGTGCGTATTCTGCGCGAGGCCAACCCGCCGCGCGACAAGCAGGGCTTCACTGTCTTCCTCACCGGACTGCATGCCTCCGGAAAGGAAGCCATTGCAGCGTGCCCTGCAGGTTGCCTCTTAACCAGGAGGGTGGCCGCAGTGTCTCGCTGCTGCTGGGCGAGACCATCCGCTCCGAGCTGTCCTCCGAGCTGGGCTTCACGCGCCGCGAGCGCGACATTAACGTTGGCCGCATCGGCTTCGTCGCCGGCGAGCTCACCCGTGCGGGTGCCGCCTGCATTGCTGCCCCCATTGCCCCCTACGATGCTGCGCGCCAGCTGGTCAAGCAGCAGGTCAGCAAGGCCGGCGGCTTCTACCTCGTCCACGTTGCCACCCCGCTCGAGGAGTGCATCAAGAACGACAAGACTGGCATCTATCAGCGTGCCTATTGCTGGCGAGATCAAGGGATTCACCGGCATTGACGATGTTTACTGAGGCTCCTGAGAAGGCTGATCTCGTCGCCGATGTTACCAAGACCTCGATCTCGCAGATTGTTCACGAGATCATTTTGCTGCTAGAGCGCGATGGGTATATCGGTGACCGCTAATTTTCGATTTCCTTGTCTCGCTTCTTTCCTCAATGAGCTGTATAAATCTTTTCCTTCACCTAATCTACATGGACTGATACATGTGGTCCGCCTCTTCAAGCTACTCCTTGGCGCTTCCTCAGAACTAATCGGCAGTCACGTTCCAGGATTGGCTGGTCCACTGATGATAAAGTGCCTGCTCTCCATTTTCTTTGGGATATCCACGTCCATCCAATACGCTCAGTCCTAGGTGGGTATAATCGTCGGGCAGATACCAATCGTAATCTTTAAGCATATTAGGGAGTATGGTCAGCATAAGCAGGCTGGTTGTCCAGACAAGTGAACTGGACGTTGTGTCTGTCCCGGCTTCCAGCATCAGCATGCTTTCAACTTGGACTTCGGTTTTGTTCACTCTAACGCTTGGCTCCGGGTCTTCAGCGTCGAGGAAGGCCTGGAGCAGATCAGTTGGCTTCTCTGTTCCGTCTGCCAGCAGAGCACGGCGCTTGTCGATGGTATCCTTGGCAAATCGGGAGACGGCTGTAAAACTCTTCTCCAACTGTTGCATCAGAAGCGAGAATGGAAAAACTTGATAACTGGCAGCGATGCCCTGCAAGCATGCAGTGTCACTGTATCTGTGATCTGGTGGAGCAGTGTATTGTCGTTATTTTTGAGACCGCTGAACTCTTGCCCGCAAACAAGCAAGCCGATTATGTCGAGTGTTGCCAGAATATAGTCGATTTTGTAGCTGATTTCTGTGCGCCCTATGCTGCTGGCCACAATCTGTGCATCCCATTTCTCCTTGAGTGCCAAATATCCATACTTTAGAATATTTGGCTCCATCTTCTGCAAGTACCCCAGATTGAAATAGGGCCCAACCTGACGCTTTCGCATGCTGACAAAGTTTGCATTGCTCGAACTGACAGTATTCTCTTTCCCAAACAAGTGGAAAGCATCACAGAAATCGGGTTTGCGAAAAGCATAGGTGCTTAGAGCCGACTTCAAATCAGAAAGGCTCGACAGAGATCGGCATTTGGTCCACATACATAGAGGTCGCCATATCTTTCATAGTATTCCAGTGCATATTTATTCATCTTTCCAGACAGACCAACACACCCTAATCGTATTTTCGTCAGACGGGCAAGCAAGGGTCCAGGGATGCTGCGGAGGTGAAATGTATAGTACATAAGACACCTTGTACAGTACCAGGACAGCAGCTGCAGCCAGCACATTGGCGAGTTTAGCAGAGTTATAGAGAAATGTATACCTCTTTCAAATCAGGTACCTGAAAATCACCAAAATGCATCATTATAGATATTAGTGAAGAGCATTAGCAAGAAAATGTATGTTTGTGCCCGCCTCCAACTGATCATGAATATAAAGAAATGCATATAGTCATTTGTAGTTAATATACTATTAGTGGCGCATATTGCTGACTGCTGGTTTAAAACAGTGAGGTGTATATATCATTTATTGTACTCAGTAGATATGTGCTATATGCTATAGCAGAATGAAGCAAGTGGTTTTAGCAATTCATTTTTAACGTATTTTCCTTATAAACACATCTTTCTTTAGGGTAAAACAAGATGTACTTCGAAAGCAAAAGCTCACGAGCTGTTGCAGGAGACTGTTTGTTCCAGCATTTCACATTTGAGATAATACAAAATCAACTGCTCTTCCTACCAATCATCGAAATTTCTATGCATCAAAGTCGGCCATGTCTGTCGCTGTCAAAGCAGATATGTTTTCTAACCATACTAACTTGTGATTCAAATCCATATGATTTTAGGAACCATGGATCAAGACCTTTAGGCCACAATGGCCAGCCATACTATTCCAGGCAGCTGGCGCATCTACTAGATGGCACCCACCCTTTCACCTGTGATCCCTCCTTCCATATAGCATATTTCATACGTTCAATATACGTCATGGAAAGGTGCTGGAGTAACATATTCTAGACAGTTGTAGGAGGCAGTATATCTAAGTGTATCGTATCAAGACACAACATAACTTTCGCAAGAATCTCTTTATCATGCTTACTGCTAATCTTGCCAACTTCAAGTCGACTGGTGAACTTGAAGATACATGCTGGAAGCAAGATGTGATGTGCGGCATGTGAAATGAGGGAAAGTCAAACCTATTGACTCTCAGTATCATGAGTTGTGAATTAACCGGTGGCATCTTATTTTCCTAGGAACTCCTATGATTTTGGCTGTTGTGTCTCAGGTACGATACACCTGGATAGACAGCTTCTTGCAGCTGTCTGGGATACGTTTACTCTCTAAGCACCCTTCCACGACCTATATTGAATATATGCAATATGCTATATGAAAGAAGGAAGGAGGGATTGTCAGGCGAAAAGGGTGGGTGCTCGTCTGAGTGGTGGCACTAGTCGCCTGGAATAGTATGGAATGGCTATTGTGGTCTAAGGGTCTTGATTCATGGGTTCCTGAAATCAAGTGGATTTGGAACCACAGGTAGATATCACAGATATGGTTGGAATATGCCACCACATCAAATATAGTTGCATTCTCTATTGGTGTGTCTTTGTATAAAGCGAGGGCATTTATACTATTAAATGGATAATGATATAAGCATATCTCCTTCCACTTCGGAAATGGTATTGGCGAGGAAACATATATCCGATCCTTTTGTAGACTCATTTACATCAGGGTAATGCAGAACTTCAAGCGACCTTAGGTTTTCAAAAAACAACCGACCCATGGTGGCTGTGTCTGAAGATATGCCATGAATGCGCAATGTCGGAATAAAACAACGCCAATCTCACTAGCGAAGGGGCATAAATCTTAGGGAGTCGCTCAGCACCCCTGCTGTTGATGGGAAGAATCAGGTTTGCGAGATATGAGGAGAAATATCTGCGATCAAATACTGGAAGCATAAAGTCTGATAAACTTGTTTGTGCTAAAAAGGTAAAAATTGAACATGCCACAAAGTGCCTCACATGAGGCACATGTGCTATAGAGTACTGAGAAGCTTATGACTGTCGCTCTCTAATTTACATCCCTTTTTCATCTGTTGAAGGTAGCCTATCATAATTGATCTGCACTTCGGAAATAAATGGCAGAGACCAAATCGTTCGTATAGAAATATTGTATTAAAAAGTACCATAGCTTGTCTGCTCCGAATGCTTGGCGATCAGCTCCTCGGTAAACTTCCACAGTTCCTCCTGCTCGTCAACACTACTGGCCGACGGGTGAGCATGGGTAGTTTGGCAGCGAACGAAATACTTGCCGGACACACCATTGACCTTGGGGGACAGGGCAAGGTAGATCGAAGTCAGCGCACCCTGAGTTGGGTTAATGAACAGAAGGTTCTGCAGACGCTGCCACAGGCCAATGTGTGCAAAAATGTTGGTGGAGATAAAGCCAGGGTGCAACGAGTTGGTTGTAACCTCGGTTCCCTCAAGCCTCCGTGCCAAAGCTGCCGTGAACATGACGTTTGAGAGTTTCGCATTGCAGTAAGCGAACAGACGGCTGTACGCACGCTTATCTTTGACCATCTCCTTGTCAAAGCGGGCATTGATGTAGCTGGCAATTGACGAGATATTGATGATCCGCGCCGGCCCCGACCTCTTGATGACATCCAGAAGCTTGTTTGTCAGGAGAAAGTGCCCGACATGGTTGGTGCCGAATTGCATCTCGATACCCTCCACTGTGGTCATATATGGGCACATGAAAACGCCAGCGTTGTTGACCAGCAAGCTCAGCGACTGGTGACGTTTCTTGAACTCCCCAGCGAACTTGCGAATCGACGCGAATGAAGCCAAATCTAGGACCATCAGCTCAAAGTTGTCGGTTCCAGTTTCCGCCTTGAGCCTGTTGACAGCCTCTTCGCCGAGCTTCGGGTTGCGGCACGCCAAAATGGTATGATAGCCAGCGCGGCCAATTGCCTTGGCGGTTTCGTAGCCGATTCCGGAATTTGCACCAGTAATGACGGCAGTTTTTCCATTTCCAGCCCCATTATCGAGGGCGTCTTTGACAATATCGTCGACCTGCTTCTGCGAGTTAACAAGGGCCTTAGAAAGGAACGCATAGATAATGTCTATGAGGCTGCCCAGCGACCCACTTATCCAGATGAGTGGCCCAGCACGGATGAATGTGCGTATGGTCCAATATACAGCGCTGTTGGCAAAAGTAGTGATAAACATTGGTCTGAGTTGGAAAGATAAGGCAAGAAACAAAGCGCGCCTTGGCTTCGTGAAAGAAGTTTGAAGAGAATCTTTAAAGGATTTTTGGCAGATTTACCCATGTGAAACACACTTGCAGTCGCAAAATATTGCAGCATGAAAATCGGTTTGTTGTGGTTTTTGGCAGATTGAATCATATCTCTTCGTATGGTCTGGACCGAGTGGTAGGGTGCACAGGTCCTATGTGTGGAAGTAAAGGGAGTAGGTATACCTAATCACTCTACAATTGTGTTAGTCTTTCAAGGGAATACATGTTCTCGAGCTTTATGGAAAAATGGGATGGGGTCCAAAAATGACTGAGGAGAAAAACGCGGGACTGGGTGGTCCAGAATGTCAAGCTTTTGTGGCCAGTTTGGTATGGTGGCTTTGAAATACGTCACCGTTTTGAGATCGGCAAATGGTTTCCACTGTATCGTCAGCTGCGCAGTTTCTTCTATGGGCCAGTGATTTCAAGTGTTTACTGATTATAGTGCTTTATAAAATACCCTACATTCAGGCGAACAAGACGGTGTTCCTGATACCACTTCACAGATGCCGGCTATAAAGAGTCAGACAAATGGGTACTCTTGTCGCTCACAGCCCTTCTGTTCATGGATACATCATTTGATTCTCATTATGACACCAATCATAGATGCTGGAGTCGAATACAGAACATGCTTTGTATGCGGGGCAGTGTTCCGTACAAGCAGTGATGTGATAGACTATATCCATGCAGTTGATAGAAACCAATACCTGCGGCGTTCTACTGGATCTGGCTGAGATATGTTTGACAGGACCTTTACAGGATACTGGAGTTGCCTGGTAGTATGGCAATTGAGAGAAATATTGATACCTGATAGTCAATCGGAAGTATTTGTGCTGCTGCTTCTGCGGCAGGGAATTCCAGAAAATTGATCTGTACCACGAACATCTCCAAGACGCACAAAACTAACTGACAAAGTGACAATAAACAACATATCTCACGATTGCATGTAAAGTAATATAGTAGTCTCTCCGCACTTTAGAGTAACTCTGCCTGGATGTCATTTGGCTTGAGTACGCAGATTTGCTCAATTTGCGCGCTATAGAACTCTACGCTCCTGACAGTCAGGCACAGATACAGGAACATGGGTGTGGCGCGACATAGCTCTACCATATTTATATTATTGACACACCGGAATTCCAGCTCTGTAAGCCTCGGGCACAGCTGGCCATACTGTATCATACCACCAATCCCCTCCTTCACTGCATGCACATGCGACTTTAAAAGTCCAGATGCGGGTGGTCTGACACCACGCCCATGACTCCAAACAAATCGCTATCGTCAAATTCACTGCACATGCCCCTGCAGTGGCTATGCACAGGATAATCGTAGTGTAGCGTATTGCTGCGGTGCAAGCTCAGAGACAAATAGGCGATATCAGGGAGCGTTGAAACAACCTGGGTAATCTGCGCGACGGTGAGCTTGACGGCATCCAGTTGCAATCTGTGCAAATACGGACTCAACATAGCTGTCGGCAGACGGTCGAGCGGTACCGACACAAAAAACGGCAGAGTGGCGGTGACGGCACTGCAGCTGAGCTTGCACTATGTCTGCAAGATCCTGTCAATAAAGTCATCGGAGAGAAACCGACCGCTCTGGATCTCGACCTTCTCCAGACACACAAATGGGCCGCATTTAAGGATCTCGTCGTGCAAAAAACTATGATGCATAAACAGCTGCACCGATATCGACAGTTTGCGCAATGTCCTCTGTGTGTCATGGAAAACCGCAGCTGTGGAAAAGGATAGGCGTCTGCGATTGAGCTGCTCGAGAACGGGAAGCACTGCAATGTTTGCATATGCACTAGTGCCGACAACATCGTTGATAGCGTGCAGTTTTGCGCCAATGGTCAATGTATGGACACGAGGGTATGTGACTGGATCGCCCGATTCATCGTAGACCATGGCAGAAAATGCACAGGTTCTCGTTGCCTCTAGGCGAATGCACTCGAGTGTCAGGGACTGGCAGCGGATCAGCTCACCGGGTGCCGGCGTACTATCTGCGCAACTAAAACTCACACTGGTGAGTTGCAGATCTCCAGTGGCTGCTAGCAATTCGCTGCGCGGACACAGCCCCATGTGCAAATTATAGACACCCTTCAACATCCAGTTGAATAGACTTGCCAACTGCATTTCCCCTGGCAAGGACTTGCCGCACCGCGTCATATCCACAGACGCCGATTTGACACTGGGAAGGAGCCGATTAAGCTGCTCACAAAACGCCTCACCGCTGCTATTCTCCACCTGCCGCCGCTTCGGCCACGCAAGCTCCTCTTCAACCTCCAAATGCCTACCACGCTTCAATACATGGCCACCAGGGATCCTCAAAAGCTCTTTTAGAGCGCAGCCACTGAACATATCGCATATGCGCATATGCACATGTATTGACTGTACAGTGCCATCGAAGCCCAGTGCCGCGGCATCTTCCAGGGAGCGCAGGAGGGCGTGATGGCAGCACGAGCATGTCATACAGCGAGCGCAGTTGGTCTGGCACCAGGTCACATGTTAGTAGAGCTTGTTGAGGATTGTGTGGCGCCAGCTGCGGCAGACGTGGGAGAGGGAGAGAGTGCGTGAGAGCTCATGGCATGTGAGGCGCTGGGATGGATTGTACTTGGTTTTGGTGTAGGTGGCCGCATAGTGTACGATTTGCTCAATGACTAGGCGCAGGAGGGTCTGCACAGGTGGTGACATTTGGTGATAGAAGGTATGGAAACTAGCAGTGTGCGAGTGGAAGGAGAGAGGCAGAGGCTGTCGCTGCCTTGCTGGTTCTGTTTTCGCGGCTTCAAGGCTGCGACCAGATGATTTTCCCAATTCCCAATTCAGAACGGGTTTTGAAGCAATGATGTCATACAAAAGGCACAGACGCTCCGTCGTCAGCGCATCTCTGCAAAAAGAATCCAGCGTGATCGAGGTTTGTGGAAGGAGTAAGGCTTTTTGAAGAAATGTCTCCATGGGATGCAACTGTTATTCTCCAGGTAGACATCCCAGAAGTGCCCGGCCATAATGGCTCTTCCTCTTGCATATCCACTGGTATCCCAAATTGTGTATTTTTTTAAATGTCTGGTAAAATCCTTGCTCATTCACCTTTTCGCTTCAAAAACAATAATGGTTGGCAAGAACCCACGGGCCGACAGCACCACTCCCGAGCCGCCAAGCAAACGTGCGCGCGTCGATTCGGGTGGAACAATATTCACCGATCTTGGCATGCCCATGGCGACGCACCTGGCCAAATCCTACACATATGTATCTAAGCTGCCGGAATCGCAGCCCACCGACACATACGTGCTGGGCGTGGACGAGGCCGGGCGCGGGCCAGTGCTGGGGCCGATGGTGTACGCAGTGTGTTTCTGCAAAGAATCACACTACAATGAGCTCTCGTCGGTCGGCTTCGCAGACTCCAAGCAGCTGACCGAAGAGAAGCGCACAAGCTTGTTTGCAAAGCTGCAAACTTTGCAGTACTCGGGCTGGGCGATCCGGTGCCTGGCGCCAGCAGAGATCTCAAACAGCATGCTGCAGACGGCCAAATACAATCTCAATGCACTGGCGCACGACGCGACCATTGGGCTGATCCAGGAGGTCATTGCGCGGGGCATAAAGGTCACGAAGGTGTTTGTTGATACGGTGGGCCCGCCGGCCTCGTACCAGCGCAAACTGCAGCAGGTATTCCCGGATATAGAGATCACGGTGGCGAAGAAGGCCGATGCGCTGTATCCGATTGTGAGCGCGGCCAGTATTTGCGCAAAGGTGCCGAGGGACGAGCACTTGGCCAGGTGGGTGTTTGAGGAAGGACTGGAGGTGCCGAGGAACTACGGGTCGGGGTATCCGGGCGACCCGAATACAGTTGCGTGGCTCAAGGACAATCTCGACGCAGTATTCGGCTACCCAGACATCATCCGGTTCAGCTGGGCCACCTGCACGAAGCTGCTTGCTGACCACGCCGCACCAGTAGCCTGGCTCGCCGACATGCCCGCCAACCAGCTGACGTTCCGGCAGCCGCGCCGCTCGCGCTTCCTCCACCGGCCACTGCAACTCTCCTCAACGCTATGAGGTTCTTTTTATAAACCGGCAGTTTGCGACAAGAAAAATAAACATTTACTGCGGATTACGCAACGCCCGACGGTCTCTGCTCAGCCCGCGGTCCCTGCTCAGTCCGTGGTCTCTGCTCAGCCCACGGTTATGCCCGCTGCGGTCGTGGTCGCGGCTCCTGCCGTTGCGGTAGGGCGAGCGGCTGCGGTGGGGGCGTCTCTGCATGTCCCGTGACCGGCTGCGCATATACCGGCGGGTGGGGCGCCGGCGGTCGCGGCTGTTCCGGCGGCGGATCCGCCACGTCTCCTGGCCCTTGTAGCGCCCGGGCGTCGGCGAGTGGGCGCGGCTGGTGAACGAATAGTCGACGCGCACCCGCCGCTCGTGCAGAAGCGTGCCGTCCAGGGCATTGCGCGCGCGCATGGCATCCTCGAACCCTGCCATATTTACAAACGCAAAGCCGCGCGACCGGTTGTCCTAAATAGACAAGGTGTCCTTTAGCTTTACCAAAGAAATGTCGACTGAGAGCGCTTTCTTCTTCTTCTTCTTCAACTTACGTGTGGGTCCTTGATGACCTGGACCTTGTCGACCCGCCCAAACTGGCCAAAGATCTCGTGCAGATTATGCTCGGTCGTAAACTTGCTCATGCCGAAAATGCCCAGCACACGCGACGGCCGTGGCTCCTACACTTATTATTCCCATTCAGCCCATCAACAGCTACACGCAATATAGCTACTGAAGCATGTTTTCGCCCAACGTACCTTTTGACTCCTACCCGCATCCCGGCTACCCAGAGAAAGGCATTAGTATTTCAGCCAGCCCTATTTTCATGCAATAAAAAGCAAGGTTTCTCCATACCTGCTGTGCCTAGGTGCATAGTACGCGTGCTCGCTACGCTCCCAGCCAGCGCCATTCCGTGTATGCTCCGAGTGTTCGTGCGTTCTGCGCGGACTGGCCGTGTAGTTGGGCGACTCGCTGCGTCCAAACTGCCGTCTGTCCGAGCGCTTACGTGCGCGGCTATTGCTGCGCGTGCCCCTGCCGCTAGTCTCCTCGGCGACCACTGCGGCGGCAAGCAAAGTGGGCTGGAGTGCCAGTGGCTCTGACGGCAAAATTGGATTACCGCTGGTCATTCTTTATGAAATAAAAAAAATAAACAGGGGGGGAGCGAGAAAAAGGTGCTATGTCGATTTCTGATTTCACGAGTGAACTTCTTAACCGGGGGAGACGCAAAATGCTTTCCTTCACTCAAAAGCGCCTCTCCCCTTTCCTGAGTGATCTAGCTCATTCTCTCTTGGGGCCCTTGTCGGTATCCTGGACTGCCCATTTACAACGCCCGGCTGGTCCTTTCCCAGTAATTTTTCGTCAGTGCCTGCTGTGAAAACAAACAGTCGAGTGGTCTGATCCACACAAGGGACGTACGGAACCATAGTCTCTAACCAACCGGCAGATCCACCTCTCCTACGCTGCGGAGTGACAAACGCCCACCCACTCCACGCAATCCAGGCCATATCATCATTTTATATAGAAAACACAGATGCCATCGCTACGCCAGGCCCTATACAACAACAAGCCAATACTGCTGGGCCTCTTAGTAGCGCCGCTGGGCCTATACATTGGCGTTCAACTAAAGGACCGACGCGAAGAGCAGCAGAAAACCACGGTTATGCGCGCACCCACCGAAATACCCGAGAACACGCAAATCCGATTGGAACTCCAGGACGTGCGCAATGCGCGCGCATTGCTGCAGCGGCAGGAGTCGCAGCTTTCGGTGGAGCTCGAGTCCTTGGATAGCAAGATGCAGAGGCTAGATGAAATGCAGGGTAAATAAATCTATTCACTATTTTCTCCGGGATTCATATGCGGGCTGGGTGCTGGGGGGTCGGAGGATTCAGCGTCCCAGCTGCTGGACAGGCTGGCAAACTGCTCGTTTCTCGCTGGCTCCTCGGGTGGTACTGGCTCCTCAGGTGCTACTGGCTCCTCGGGCTCTGGAGTCTCATTATCATCTTGGTGGAATAGGCGGCAAAGCGCCCTAGGGGCCCTCAACACCCTGCGGCCTTGGCTCTCGGGCCGCCTGGGCCACTCTTCCTCGAAGAACCAGAAAATGTGGCCGACGAAGATGCCCACCAGATCGCTGACCGGCCAGCGATTCCCGACCAGACTGGAGAACCCGGCCATCACCCACGGCAGGTATGGCGCAGAAAACGTAAACAGACCCAGAAAGCTGATATTCATATACGAGTACTGCCTTGCCCAAATATACGTCAATGTGAAGTTCAGCGGGCTGGCCAGAAAGCTTATATCCAGTAGCGATGCCATGCCCAGCAGGGACGAGCAGACCAGGATCAGGAGCCAGAAGAAGTCGGCGGGGCGGTTCAGGTACGAGCCTTCTTCGAGGTCGCGGCTGTATTGGATTACAAAGTACATGTTCAACAGCCAGTCGAGCGAGAAATTGCCGAAATACAGAAAGGTGGTTAGCAGGCGCCAGTACTGGGCCTTGTGGAAGGCGTATTCGTAGTTGTAGAAGAGCTGGAACCAACCGAGCCAGCCGAGCTGCGTGGCCACGGTTAGCAGGCAGACGGCTGTGATGTAGTAGCGCGTTACCGGGGGAATTTGGAAATACCACTGCTCGAGCGGGCTAGGCATTGTGAATAAAAAAAGATAATAGTACAAGAGAAAAAAGCTGAAGAGTCAGAGAAATAACAGCAGGCTGTGCGTATTCATTGAACTGGCATTGACATCGTGCCAGCACATAGGGTCAGAACCGCCTGATTAAGAGATTAAGATATCACGGCCGCCGTTGCTGGACCAGATATGCAAAAGCCGATCTGGTATTTACCGTTTTTTTCATTATCGCAAAGTTTGAATCTCCTGCGCCTTTTTTGTTTCAATTCAACATAGACCGAAAGTAAATTTGTTACAGCCTCTTTTTTTACATAGAATGTCGTCGCTGCTCAAGAGTCCGGCGGCACGGCGCTTGATCGCGCGCGCAGCACCCCGAGCCCTGACCACAGTGCTGCGATCCACGGCCCCCACACCACGGCTTCTCCACAGACCACAGGTTCTCGACATCCGGCGACAATACACGACTCTACCGGCCACACCACTTACGCGGGCGCAGGCACTGGAGCAGCTACACAGCAGTGACATCAAGCAAGCGTACAAATTGGCGCGGCACCTGCGCGACACCAATCAGCTCGTGGACATGCGGGGAGAGCCAGTGCGCAATGTGATCCAGGACACGCAGCTGGTTCAACTGCTAACCAGGACAATTGCGCAGCAGGCGCTGTGGGAGGACGTGCTGGATAGCCTTGATCTGATTCTGGCGGTTAGGCCGCAAAAACAGCACACAGACAGACGGCTATCAGACACCGGATATGCGAGCGAGCAGGCAGATGCGGAGGCCCTGGAGGCGGTTCTGGAGGCAGTGTTGTCGCGGCAGTTTGCGGTTTCGGCGGATCGCGAGTTGGCGGGGCTGACGGCGCTGCAGGTGTTTGCTGACTGCGGACTAGACCAGGGGTGGTTGAGGCTGCGGATCCGCGCCTTGGGATTTGCGTCCAGTGCGCGCGGATTGCGGGAGGCTGTGGGGAACGCAGGAGAGCTTGGGAAGGAAGACAGATTTGAGCTGGCGGTGGCGTATGCGCGGTGCCTGGACTACGACCGGGCGGTGGAGACACTGCGGGGCGTCACGGGTCTGGACAATGCGCAGCAGATCGAGGCCCAGGCAGCGCTGAGCCTGTGCCTGGCGGAGACAGCGCGGGTCGACGAGGCTATGGCAGCGTGGAAGGCCACAGAAAGCAACGATGCTGTGTGGGCGGATCAGGCGGGACGCATGGAGACGGGCTTCCACGTGCAGATGCAGCTGCTGGCGGCCGGTATGCGCTCGGTGGTGCCGCGGCTGCCGTTCACGCAAAACCTGCACACACGGGCGTCGCGTGCGCACAGCTCCAAGTATGCGCCGGGGCTGGCGGATCACTTGCTGCAGGAGTTCAGCTCTCTGCGGGAGCGCATGAAGCAGACACTGCACAGCAGGCAGTGGCAGAATGCGGGGCTGGCGCGCAGGCTGTTTGACGTAGAGTGCCTGGCACATGTGCTTGCAACGACTGCCGGCCAGCCAGTGGTCGACAGCATGGGGTCGCTGTCCAAGCGGCTGCACAAGCACCTGGCAGCGGGCCAGACTGTGCGGCCGCTGCGCGGGTTTCTGTGGGCGGTTTTGTTGGCACCGCAGATGTCGCAGCAGCGCAAGCTGGCGGTGGTACGGGCGGAGATTGCATATGCGAGGAGGCACGGCCACCTGCTGTCGGTGGCCGAGCTGGAGCCGGCGCTGCTGGCGCTGCTGCCCGAGTCAGTGTGGAAGACTGCCAGACGCGGCAATTTCCGCGACGCATCGGCGTTTGTGCCTGCAGACGGGTTCCTGCAGCGGCCCTCGCACTACAGCATGCATCCGTGCGCCGACGAGCTGCTGGAGTTGGCCAGGCAGAGCACGCGGCAAGCCGAGTCGGACAGTCGGCTGGCGCCTGTGTGTGCGTGGATTGCGGTGCTGCGCGGGCGGCCGCAGACAGCGATGGCGGAGCTTGAGGCGGCGGTGGAAGGCTCCGGTGTGTGCATAATGCCCGGATCCCTGGCCCTGGTCAGTGCGCGGTCCCAGACGTTTTTCGAGCACATGTTTTGCGTCATGTCGATGTTCCGGCGTGGCGCCGACACCGCACTGCAGAAGCTCGTGCCTCTGCTGCTGACTCAGCAACCCACGGTCCCGATAACGCCGCGGGTGGCTGCCAGCATCCTGTACTGCTGCGTAACGAGCCGCAACCGGGCGCTGGCATTGGATATCGCCAGGCAGCTAGACCAGCAGTCGCCGCGTATCCAGGAGCTGCTGATGCGCGTGCATTTCGCGACCGGCCAGCTGCGCGAGGCTCTGGCGGTGTTCCAGGAGCTCAACTACGGCGGCCGTACACAGCCGAGCGAGGCGTCGTTCGCGCTGATCGTTCGCTATATGGGTGCACAGCGCGCGTCGGCAGTGGGAGCCGAGCACGCGTTCTCCGTGTGTCTGCAGACTCTGCATTTGCAGGGCCGTGTGTCGTCGGCCGTGTGGGCGCAGTGGCAGCAGGCCAGTAAGGAAGGCGGCCGTGTGCAGAACATGTTTGAGCCGGAAGGTGAGCCGGTCGGAGCGGCGCTGGAGCGCGTGGGTGTAGAGCGCCGGGACGCCGGGGCGCTGGCGAGCCGCCGGTATATGCGCGACTGGGAGTTTGTGCTGGTGCTGGAGCTGGTGGGTGCCTATGTGAATGCAGGCGGGTACGCGCGCAGCCTGCAGTGGGAGCAGTGGCTGCTGGAGGCGCTGCGGACGCCCAAGTTCCGTCTGAAGCCGGATCTGATTGCCCGCATCGCCTTTGTGCAGCGGCTGCACCTGAAGCGCCAGAGCTGGGACGGCATGCAGATGTGCCTGGACTACATCGTGGCCATCGATCGCAATCTGCCCACCGGCCTGTTCCGCAAGACCTCCATGTTCCTGAACCAGCTGCCGGTGCTCAAGCAGCTGGCCAAGCAGATCGCCAGCGACCCTGCATTGGAGCTGCGCGTGAAGGAGCACCTGGAGCAGCAGCAGGCCGCATACATCGTTACGCACATCCAAAGGTTCAAGTAGACCATATCTGCTGTCTTTATTTGCCGCTAATAACACGTCTGTTCTCCAGGTCGGTTTCGCGCAGCTTTTCTGCGTGCATCCTCAATACCTCCTTGTGTTTCTCGAGCACCGTGTTCTTGGCCTGAATGTCCGCAGTCAGCTCCTGGATCTCCTTGCGCAGTTCCATTTCCGGGTCGTTGCGCGCATTGGGCAATGCGTCTATCATCTGCTTGATGTCCAGAAGCTGCCCGTGCAGTTGTGTGACCTGTGCGCTAAAGTCTTGCGCACGCTGCTGCGCATCGCTGGTCTCGGGGATCTGGGAGGCCACCGGGAACAGTGTGCCAAGTGCTATGTCCACCTGGGCGTCGATTTTGTTAAACAGTTCGTCCATGCTTTGAAATAAAAATAAAAACGAAAACGAAGAAAGATGGTAAATGTTCACCCTGGTCCCAGTACTTAACAACGGCGATTCAAGATATGTCTGTCAGCACTCCATTACCTTACTTGTGGCTCCAGCAACTACAGAAAAATAAACGCGTTCGCTGGGTGCAAAAAAAATTCTTTTTCTCATTCCTTTCAGTTTCTTCATTTTTTATATATATTTTGCTTTCTACCATGTCCAGCGATAAAGGAAAGCAGGCCGACACGTCAGACCCGTACGCGGCCGTCTTGCCCGTCATTGCCGATTTGGTCGAATCCGGTACCCGCGCCTTCGCCCTAAGCAACTGGGAAGAGGCCATTGAGCATTTCGGCGAGCTCTCGTCGCTGACGGAGCAGACCTTTGGCCAGAACTCGGCCCGCTACGCCGACAGTCTGGTTATGTACGGCCGTGCCCTCCTGCAGCACGCGATCGAGCAGAACGCGCTCCTGGCGCAAAAGACCTTGGCGGAGGCGGCCACCGGCGCCAAGCCCACAGAGGAAGCAGAGCAGGAGGCGATGCCAAGCAAGGCCAACATTGCCTTTGAGGGGGAGCCGGATTTCCGGCAGATCGAAGAGGCGGAGCAGGAAGAGCAGCAGGAGGATGAGGATGAGGAGGACGATTTTGGCGCGGCGTGGGCGGTGCTGGATGTGGCAAGGGTGATCCAGGAGAGCAATGCCAGCGACAGCAAGGCGCGCTTAAAGTACGCCGAGACGCTGATGCTGCTGGGCGACGTGTCGATGGAGTCGGAGAACTTTGCGCAGGCCTGCGTTGACTTCAAGTCCGCGCTGGAGGTCAAAAAGCAGCTGCTGGACTCTGACAGCCGCGAGCTGGCCGAGCTGTTTTACAAGGTCGCCTTGGCCCACGAGTACAACAACGAGACCGCGCAAGCGCTTGAGCTGATGGCCGATGTCGAGCGCATTCTGGCCAGCCGTCTGGAGAAGGCCGGGGACAAGGACGAGAGGGAGGGCCTGGAGGATGTGCTGGAGGACGTCAGGGCCAAGATTGCCGAGTGGAAGCTGCCGAAGAAAAAGGTCGATTTGAATGCGCTGACGCCCGGAGAGAGCGCGCTGGCCGAGAAGGCCAGGGAGATGTTCAAGAGTGCGCTGGAGTCGGGCCAGGTCAACGATCTGACCAGTCTGGTCAAGAAGCGCAAGGGCAAGGAGCCAGAGGACTCTGGGGCCAAGAGGAAGTCTGAAGACGAAGGCGAGGACGAGGACGCCGACGCCAAGCGGCCAAAAAACGCCTGAAAACAAGAAATAAAATGGAACCCAAAAGCAAGTCTTGTCGGCTAGCTGTGCCTTGAAAGCAAGCCCCGGTCAGCCCCGCGAATATCCTTCCTAATAAAACACTAAAAGTACATTTCCTGCTCATGCCAAAACTCATATCCTCGCTGCTCGTCTGTCTGCTTGTCCTGGCACAGCCCTGCCTGGGCGCGGACCCGACAAAGTTCTGCAAGTGCACATGCGGCCAGAACTCGACCATTATAGAGATGACCAAGTTTGCTCTATCGCACCTGCCGCACGCCTCGCAGCCCATCGATACCGACACGCTGATGCCCAGCGTGTGCATGAACTGCACGCGCCTGCTGTGCGGGATTGCGGAGCCCGACCTGTGCGATGGCGCTGCCGTCGACGAGGAGATCGTGCCGTTGTGTTTCCAGCGCGACTCGCTGCAGGACCAGCTGATTGTCAACGGCTTCCTGCTGCTGGTCATTGGGCTGCTGGCGTGGACAGCGATGCGGGACCGCGTCAAGCCCTTGGTGGACCGCGTGTGGAACCAGTACGGTCTTGGATATACACAACCCAACTAGGGCATGTTCCTCGATTTGGGGATAATTTTTCATTTTATACTCGTTCAATACATACAATCCGCTGTTTTTATATCTAGTTCTTGCTCTGCTCCTTGACCTTGGCACCCCACTTCTTCAGACGGATGCTCTGGATCTTGATGAAGCCGTCCGAGTCAGTAGGCTCGAAGCCGCCCTGGACGTCCATCGACGACTCCTCCATGTCGTAGAGCTTCTCGGTCTCGCTCCAGCGGCCCTCCATGGTCAGGCTGCCCTTGTACAGCTTGACGCGCACCGAGCCGTTGACGTCGACCTGGGTCAGCGGGACCATCTTGGTCAGCAGATCGCCCTCGGGCGAGAAGTACAGGCCGTTGTACATCATCTTGCCAAATACCGGCGTGATGTGCTCGTCGCGGTAGGCGCGCACCTCGCGGTCCAGCACCAGACCCTCGAGGTCAATGTGAGCAGCGCGCAGCACAGTGCCGCCGGGGTCTCGTAGCAGCCGCGCGACTTGATGCCGATGAAGCGGTTCTCGACAATGTCGATGCGGCCGACGCCGTTGCGGCGCGCGACCGTGTTGAGGTACAGGAAGAGGTCGAGCGGGTCGGTGACGTCGGTGCCGTCGGCCTCGTTGGTGACGCGCACGGGCTTGCCGGCCTTGAAGGTGATGGTGATGCGCTCGGGCGTATTGGGGGCGTCCTCGGGGTCAACCGTGAGCTTCCACATGTCGCGCGGCGGCGTGGTGTTCGGGTCCTCGAGAATACCGGCCTCGTACGAAATGTGGAAGAGGTTCTCGTCGGTCGACCACGGCTTGCTGGGCGTCTGCGACACAGGGATGTTCTTCTCGGCCGCGTACGCCAGCAGCGCATTGCGTCCCGGGAAGCGCTCGTAGAACTCGGGGATGCGCCACGGGGCGACCACCTTGAGGTTCGGGTCCAGAGCATAGTACGCCAGCTCGAAGCGCACCTGGTCGTTGCCCTTGCCTGTGCAGCCGTGCGACACGTGCGTGCAGCCCTCCTGCTGCGCAATCGCCACCTGCGAGCGCGCGATGACCGGGCGCGCCACCGAGGTGCCCAGCAGGTACACTGTCTCGTAGACGGCGTTGGCCTGGATCGTCGGGATCACCAGCTCCTCGACCAGCTCGCGGCGCAGATCCTCAATGAACACCTTGGTGGCTCCCACCTTTAAGGCCTTCTCGCGCGCAGCCTCAAAGTCCTCCTCCTGGCCGACGTTGGCCATGTAGGCGAGGACCTCGTAGCCCTGCTCGATCAGCCAGACAAGGATGCACGATGTGTCAAGGCCGCCAGAGTAGGCCAGCAGAACTTTACCCTTGGATCCAGGAGCGACAGACATGATGTATGTAGAAATGCTTTTTGTTTTGTTGTTTTGTTTTAGTTGGGTCTACTAGCAAGTAGTGGAGGGAGGTATGCGAGACAAGAAATGGCAGAAAAGTGGGTTTTGGTTGGTTTCCTCTAGCAGGACGGGCAGGCTGATCTAGTCTCTTTTAAATACTCCCCGCACCCTCCCGGGCCTCCACCGCGCTGAATGCATCGCGATATTGTTACTCACTAGTTGCCGGCCCATCCGATCCTCGCTCGCTGCCTCTGACATCAGCGGGCGGCCCATCGTCGTCTTTGGGAAAAAGCGTGAAGAGCATATGTGTGGGAAGCGAGCATATCAAAAAAGCGTCCCGCCGGAGCTTCTCCTCTATGACTCACATTCCTGGTGCCGGCGAGCCTTTTTGTGCAGTGGCGGGGGATTCAGCGACAATGCGGTTAAGCTCACTGGACTCAGAACCCGATGCGCGGAAGGGATTGTAGCCACTACTTTGGCAACTTTGCCCGTATTTCTCACGCCCACTGGGATCCTGCTATTGCTGGCTCCAGATAATGGACGCGCCGGTGGTGTGATGGATCCGGACCACGCTGGGAGCTCCTGATAGCCAGAATCCGTCGTGCTCAAGGACCATTTGGCTCTTAAACAGTCATTTACTCAGCCCCGAGATTGCCGATCATGCCCGCGCACAGTTTGGGGAGGGTGACAAACAAGAAACAGGATAACGTCCAAATGCCGTATCAGGTAGCGGGTAGCAGGTAGCAGGTAGCAGCCATGTCGGGCAGCAGGTCCCAGTAGCTGCACGGCCCCTGTCGCGCATCTGCTGACAGCCCCCTCCCCTCAGGAGCTGCGACCCGGTTTCACGAGGGCTGCAGCTGCAGAGCACGCCTTGCCCGTACAGAATCGATGGCTGGTGCAGGCTATCGCTGCAAAATCGGCCTGGATAGCTCATTGCTCTATCTGGCGAAATCCACCGTCAAAAGCTCCCCTCCACCCTCCGCCGACTCTGACTCCTCTCTTTCCTCTCCTCTCTTTCTCTCAACTTTCCCCTCTCTCATAACTTTTTTCCATTCTTTTTCATACAATGCTTCGCGCGACCCGGTTCCTCAAGAAGGGTGCTGGTGCCATCACCCGGATATCTGCCACCAGCAAGCACGTGCTGCGCTCCAGCGCAACGCAGCAGCGCCCGTACCACCAGGCGGGCCCCGATACGTCAGAGAAGGAGACCATCGTCAAGCTGCTGTACAACATTGGCTCGAAGAAGGAGGTCGAGCAGTACCTGCGTCACTTTTCGTCGGTCGAGTCGCAGAAGTTTGCAGTGATCAAGGTGGGCGGGGCCGTGATCTCCGACGACCTGGCAACCCTGGCCTCGGCGCTGACGTTCCTGAACCGTGTGGGCCTGTACCCGATTGTGGTGCATGGCGCCGGCCCGCAGCTCAACACGCGCCTGGCGGCTGCCAATATCGAGGCGCGGTACGAGGACGGCATCCGGATCACCGACGGGCCGACCCTGGCTATTGCGCGCGAGGTGTTTGCCAGCGAGAACCGCAAACTGGTGGAAGCCCTGGAGCGCCTGGGCACGCGCGCGCGGCCGATCACCGGCGGCGTGTTCGTCGCCGACTATCTCGATAAGGACAAGTACGATCGCGTCGGCAAGATCGTCAAGGTCAACCGCGAGGTTGTCGAGAGCTCGATCCGCGCCGGCTGCCTGCCCATCCTGACCTCGCTTGCCGAGACCCCCGAAGGCCAGATCCTCAACGTCAACGCCGACATTGCTGCTGGTGAGCTGGCGCGTGTGCTGGAGCCGCTCAAGATTGTGTATCTGAACGAGAAGAACGGGCTCTACAACGGCACCACCGGCAAGAAGATCGAGACCATCCACCTGGACGAGGAATACCAGGATCTGCTCAAGGAGCCGTGGGTCAAGTATGGCACCAAGCTGAAGCTCAAGGAGATCAAGGAGCTGCTCGACACCCTGCCGCGCAGCTCGTCGGTTGCCATCATCTCGGCCGAGCACCTGCACAAGGAGCTGTTCACGCACTCGGGCGCCGGTACCCTGATCATGCGCGGCCACCGCCTGTTCTGTGAGCAGGACCTGGCCAAGGTCGACTCGGACCGTCTGCGTGCCCTGTTCAAGGAGCACGATCCGGCCATTGCCTCGGGCGAAACCACCGCTGCATCGTACTGGCAGGAGCTGGCCCAAACCAAGAAGAGCGGCGGCCAGTACTGGGTCTACGGCGACGAGCCGTACCAGGTAGCTGCTGTTGTCGTGCGCAAGCCAGGCCAGACCGTTGGCGTTCTGGACAAGTTCATTGCGACAAAATCTGCAGTCCTGAACAACATCACCGGATAACGCCTGGAAGCTGATCACACGTGATCACTCCAAGCTGGTGTGGCGCGTGCCGCGCGGCGACGACAACCTGTCGTGGCACTTTGAGCGCGCCGACGGCAGCTGGGCCATTGGCGACGAGATTGTCTTCTGGTACGGCATCAAGGACTGGAGCGAGGTCTCCAGCATCCTGGGCACCGCTGGCCCCACTGCTGCTGCTGGCGCTGCCCCACAGGCCAAGGCTCCTGCGGGCACCCGCACCTACTCGACCATGGCTCGCCGCATGGCTGTGCGCAATGCCGCGCCCAGCTCGCGTCGCTCCTACTCAACTGCCTCCCCCGGCTCGCCTCTGCGCGTTGGTCTGATCGGCGCCCGCGGCTATACCGGCCGCGAACTGATCAGGCTCATTGACAGCCACCCCCGCTACGAGCTGGCCTATGTCTCGTCGCGCGAGCTGGCCGGCAAGCCCGTGCCGAACTACACAAAGTCGCAGCTCGACCACGTCAACCTGAGCGCCCAGCAGGTCGGCGACATTGCCAAGAACGGCCGCAGCGACGTCGACGTGTGGGTGCTTGCGCTGCCGAACGGCGTTGCGTCGCCCTTTGTTGCTGCCATTGACGAGGCCACTGCATCACTGCGCGCTGATCAGCAGCCGGTCATTGTTGATCTGTCTGCCGACTACCGCTTTGACTCATCCAAGCGCTGGGCCTACGGCCTGCCTGAGCTGCACCGCGAGAAGCTTGTTGGCTCGACCACGGGGCGCATTGCCAACCCGGGCTGCTACGCGACCGGCTCGCAGCTCGGCATCGCCCCGCTGCTGCCATATCTGGATCCGACCCGGCTCCCCTCGGTGTTCGGCGTCTCGGGCTACTCTGGCGCTGGCACCAAGCCGTCGCCCAAGAACGACCCTGCGTTCCTGAAGGACAACCTGATCCCCTACTCCCCCGTCAACCACATCCACGAGCGCGAGATCGGCTACTCGCTGACCCGTGCCGCCAAGCCCGAGTATCCGTTCAACGCCGCAAACCCGCTGAAGGTGCAGTTCACACCGCATGTCGCATCCTTCTTCCAGGGCATCGGCCTGACTCTGCACGTGCCCCTGCGCCTGTCCATCACCGCCAAGGACGTCCACGAGCTCTTCAAGGAGTTCTATCGCGGCGAGCGCCTGGTCCATGTCACCGAGACCGCCCCGCTGGTCCGCGACAACGCCGAGAAGCACTACGCCGTTGTCGGTGGCTTTGCGGTGCCGCCCCAGAGCGACGGTGCTGCAGGTTCCGTGAGCCTTGCCGAGCGCCGCGTGGTCGTCAACGTCACCCTCGACAATCTGCTCAAGGGTGCCGCCACCCAGGCCATCCAGAACATGAACATTGCGCTGGGGCTCGACGAGTACGCTGGAATTCCACTGCAGGAGGAGCCGGCGATCTCCCTTGCCTAGAGTAGTTTTCTGTCTACAACATGAATCACTTTTTTTTTTGGAACAGATCCAGCACGAATCTGCGAGAAGGGCATCGTGAAACCCGCTCTCCGCTGCTTTTCCCTCCCATTTGGCCATTGCCGCCTGTGCTGGGAACGGGCCGGGTTTGCGATCGACAATCTCGTTCATACGTCGGTGTCTCCCAGAATGGCAGGAGGAACGCATCGTCTTTCCATTCCTGAAACATTTCGTGTGCGTGTGTGACTGTCACCGAATGTTCTTGCTGTTCCTTTTTATTCCTAGCTTTGCTCACATGCACACACGATAGGTATATGTGGTAGATCGATGACGGCAAAGGTAAGCACACATATACTTGCTTTGCGCCAGCATCGTTTACTTGGGCAGTCCGAGTGAACTATACAGCAAGGTCATGGTGCCTTCGGCGGCACGCGACCACTAGCGAACAGCATGTGTCTTGGGCGTAGAGCGAGTGTTCAGCAGGGCTGAGGCCTTATTTCCGTCTTCCGGAGTTGACTAAAACAAGAAAACTGCAAAAACCAAGCCTGCGATTTACCTGTGCGTATGACCTTGCGGCCTCGAAATAGAGAGCAAGGACGGAATGCCAATCCCACCGTGCTACGGGGAGGAGCAGCCGTGTGTGGCCACCCCGATAGGCAACCCCTCATTTCCAAACACCGAGCTCGCCCTAGCTAGCCGATGCCCGGAGGTTTTTGTGCATATTGCCCTTGCTGTAAATCCATGCACTAGCTGGAACTAGAGTTGGCGCTAATGCTAGAAGGAAAAGTGACGCGCACGGATGATCAGACCGTTTTTTTTATAGCTCTAGTGCAAGGAGAGCCCTTTGTGTCTTTTACGAGCGCTCGCCCATTGGCATGTGTACTGGAAATAACGCAGGAGATGGTGCCTAGGCGGCATTGTTGGCTGGCGGCTGTCATCCAATTTCTTGTAGATCTATTGCACACCTCCCCACCTTCCTACACGTGTGCTCTTTTTCACATCTCTTCCCTCCCCCTTGTTCCTGTCAGCTCGCCTACACCCAAGTTAAGAGGAGCAGGCAGTGTACAGTCTGTGGCAAATTCGACTATAAAGCGACACAGGAATCCCTGCTGCTTCTGCTGTCATCTTCTCTCAGCACATCTCTTTCACTTTCTATCACCCACAGCAACACTCTTACATATTTAGTCAGCCAGATATTTGGCAGGAGCTAGTTTAATTTCCCCGCAGAGCCACCAACTACCACTATGCCACCTGCCTCGACAACCGCGCCTGGCAAGTTTTCCAGCGAATCGCCGTCAGTGGCCTCGGCCGAGAAGGTCACGTATGAGATCGAAAAGCAAACTGTTGACGAGAGCAGCCCTAGGCTCAAGTGGGCCTTTAGAAAGGTCGACATGACCTTGCTCTTCATCATCTTCCTCAGCAACCTGCTCAATTCAATGGATCGTGGGAACCTGGGACTATCCAAGGTTGTTGGGCTCGAAAAGGACACGGGAATGTCTGGCTCCGACTTCAATATCGTTGCCAGCATCATGTACCCGACCTACCTGCTGTTCATGCTTCCGAGCAACCTGGCTCTGCGCAAATTTGGTGCGCGTTTCTGGCTCTCGTTCATCACGGTGCTGTGGGGTATCGTCAACATGTGCATGGCTTTTGCAAAGAACAAGACGGACCTGATTCTGTGCCGACTGTTCCTGGGTGCCGCCGAAAGCGGTGCAACACCCTGGTGCGCTGATGCTTGTCACACTGTGGTACCCGCGCAGCATGGTCACTTCGCGCATCGGTCTGTTTTACTCGGCATTCGCGGCTGGGTCCGTTGTTGGCGGCCCTATCGCAACCGGCATTGGCAAAATCACAAACCCCCGCTTCAAACCTTGGGAGTGGATCTTCTTCATCGAGGGCCTGATTACTGCCGGGTTCGGCCTGGTCATGTACATGTTCCTTGGCTGACTATCCCGACAAGAGCTGGATTCTGAAGTCGGATGAGAAGGAAATCATCAACCAACGGATGGCGCAGGACCAAATCGAGGGCGGCAAGAAGCCAGTCAACCGCAGGCGTCTGCTCGACCACGCACGCGATCCCCTTATTTACTCACAGGCGCTTATCCTCTTTTGCGCCAACTTTGGCATCAACACCATCCTTACTTTTGCTGCCATTATCGTCAAGGAGATGGGCTACAGTGCTGGCGCGTCACAGGCTATGCAGGCAGCACCGGGGATCTGTGGGTTTGTCAGCATCATGATTGCTCGCTTTTACCCCAGGTGGTTTGGCTCGCATTTCTGGAGCTCAATCTTTTGCTCGGTTTGGCTCATTGCCGCATCTGCTATCCTTCTAGGGGTCACCAACAACATTGCCCGGATCATTGCCCTTTGTATGCTATCGTTTGGCTGTTTTGGCAGCCTCAGCATTGGGCCCGGATGGCTGATGAGTAACGTTGGTGGGCCGACCCGTGCTGCCTTTTCGGGAGCCATCAATGTCATGTTTGGTGGTTTGGGTGGCCTTTGCACCGCCTACATTTACCGCAACAAGGATGCTCCGCGGTACATGTTTGGCCACGGCATGAACATGTTTGCTGCCTGCCTGATGGTGATCGTCACCTGCACGTCGCACTTCCTACTCATTCGTCGTAACAAGAAGAAGGAGACACATCCGATCGATATCTCTGGGATGTCGCAGGACGAAATCGACTTTCTGGAAAACGACCATCCAGACTTCCGCTATGTTGACTAACAGCTGAGTAATTTGTATTAACTTTATCCAAGAAATGATAATGAATGGTGTGAAATGAATACCCATCACTGGTCTCCTCATGGGCATCATACGTGTAAAGTCATTTTCCTCCCCAGTCAATGGCTGAGGCTGAAAATTAACACATGGTCTATGACCTACTGTTCTATACTGCTCTTTAATTCTTCGCCTGAGCTTGTGGACTGGGTGCCACGCAATATTTTCTGGTGTAGTGTACACTAGGTATCCACTAGCGCCATTCTCAGCCACTCTATGCTGCTTTTCTGCTTCTGTTGGATCAAAATAAACCATCCTCTTTCTACCACAGGCCCGCTGTCGTTTATATTTCCATACAAGCTTCCTCCAATGTTGCTAGAACAACCTATACCACCAAATAAGCTGCCCTCTGATTTGCCTTTCACCACAACGGCTGAAAAGGACAAGAGTGCAACAATAGTCTACGATATTGATGACAAGGAAAACCGACTCAAGTGGGCATTCCGCAAGGTCGACGCTTCAACGCTCTTTCTCCTATTCCTTAGTCAAGTCATGAATGCGTTGGATCGTAGCAACTTGGGTCTGTCCAAGGTCGTTGGGCTCGAAAGGGATACGGGTATGTCTGGCTCCGACTTCAACGTTGTCAACAGCATCATGTATCCAACCAACTTGCTTTTCATGCTACCAAGTAACCTGATGGTACGCAAGGTTGGAGCGCGCCTCTGGCTCCCTTTTCTCACTATGCTGTGGGGTATCATTAACATGTGCATGGCCTTTGTAAAGAACAAGACGGACTTGATCCTCTGCCGGCTGTTCCTCGGCGCGGCGGAAAGCGGCATATCGCCTGGTGCATTGATGCTCATTGCGCTGTGGTATCCGCGTAGCATGGTCACGTCACGTGTTAGTCTATTCTACTCTGCAGTTGCTGCGGGAGGCGTAATTGGCGGTCCTATCGCAACTGGCATCGGGAAAATTACAAGCACTCGCTTCAAACCCTGGGGGTGGATCTTTTTCATCGAGGGCTTAGTCACAGTTGGGTATAGTCTTATCATGTTTATTTTCCTGGCAGACTACCCCGATAAGAGCTGGGTCCTACGGGCCGACGAAAAAGCAGCGATTAGCCAGCGCATGGCGCAGGACCAGGCCGAGGGCGGCAAGGAAGCCAGTCAACTACAAGCGTCTGCTCGGCCATACGCAGGATCCACTTATATACTGTCAATCGCTGGTTCAGTTCTGTTCCAACTTTGGCCTAAACACAATCATGACCTTCAGCGCGATCATTGTCAACGAGATGGGCTACAGCGCGAGCGCATCACAAGCGATGCAGGCGGCACCAGGGATCTGCGGGTTCGTTGGGATCATTCTTGCGCGTTTCTACCCAAAGTGGTTTGGATCGCACTATCATGGCATACTGTTCTGCGCAGCCTGGCTCATCATCGCATCTGCTATTCTTCTGGGGTCACTGGCAACGTTGCCCGGATCATTGCTCTCTGTATACTCTCGTTCGCCAGCTTTGGCAGTCTCGGCGTTGCGCCAGGATGGCTGATGAGCAACGCTGCTGGCCCTACACGTGCTTCCGCATCCAGTGCTATTGATGCAATGCTCGCTACCCTCGGTGGTCTCTGTACCTCATACATCTACCGTAACAAGGACGCTCCCAGATACATATTTGGTCACGGGATGAACATGTTTGCCGCTTGTTTGATGGTGGTTGTGTCTACCATATCACATTTCATCATCGTCCATCGCAACAAGCTGAAGGAGACTAGCCCGACTGATATCTCTGGGATGTCACAAACTGAGATTGACTTGCTGGAAAACGACCACCCAGACTTCCGCTATGTCAACTAGCTACTGATATACCTTTTAAGGAAATTTCTCAATATGCTACCGTATATTTGATGATCCTCTTGAATAATATCGTGAGCACGCGCAGGCATCTTGTCCAGGCAGTAGTAGCGATAAGCAAGCGAATGCATGAGCTACAAACGCCTCTCTGATCAGCCAACTCTTGATCCAATGCTAGTGCCTGCCCCGAGCGCCACACAGTGACTACTAGTGTAGTGCACTAGAGGTGTAGAATGGAATCCACTGCAGCCACCGCGCATTTTTCTATTGTTTTTGCAATAATCAAAATACGCTACTACCTGGCTAGCACAGAACAGTCATCCATCGTTTCTTTACTCTTCAATCATTCTATTTTCCATGTCGTCAGCTTTAGATGAGAAATATGCCGACAAGGCCGAAATACACAGTATCGATGAAAACAGCGCCCAGCTCAAGTGGGCTTTTAGAAAGGTCGATGCCACACTGCTATTCACCATTTTCCTGAGCACGGTGCTGAACTCGATGGACCGTAGTAATCTGGGCCTTTCGAAGGTTGTTGGTCTTGAGAAGGATACGGGTATGTCTGGCTCAGACTTCAACGTGGTCACCAGTATCATGTATCCGACATATCTTCTTTTCATGTTACCGAGTAACCTGGTGCTACGCAAGGTTGGAGCGCGCCTCTGGCTCCCGTTTCTCACTATGCTGTGGGGCATCGTCAACATGTGCATGGCCTTTGCAAAGAACAAGACGGATCTGATCCTTTGCCGTCTGTTCCTCGGCGTGGCAGAGAGCGGAGCTACTCCAGGTGCTTTAATGCTCATTACTCTGTGGTATCCACGCACAATGATCACATCGCGTGCTGGTATGCTGTACTCGGCAGCCGCTGTTGGAGCTGTCATCGGCGGCCCTACTGCAACTGCTATTGGCAAAATGACCAACACCCACTTCAAGCGGTGGGAGTGGATCTTCTTCATCGAGGGCTTGACCACAGTTGGCTATCAGTCTTATCATGTTTATTTTCCTTGCCGACTACCCCGATAAGAGCTGGATCCTGAGCCCTGACGAAAAGGCAATTATCAACCGGCGTATGGCACAGGATCAGGTCGAGGGTGGCAAAAAATCGGTCAACAGAACGCGGCTTCTGGTTCATGCGCGCGACCCGCTCATTTACTTTCAGGGATGTCTGATGTTCTGCGCCAACTTTGGGGTCAACACCAATTCTGATATTCTCGGCCATTATCGTCAAGGAGATGGGCTACAGCGAGGGTGCGTCGCAGGCTATGCAGGCAGCACCAGGGATATGTGGGTTTATTGGGAGCATTATTGCGCGCTTCTACCCAAAGTGGTTTGGGTCGCACTTTCACAGCATGCTGTTTTGTGCAGGCTGGATTATTTCCGCTACGGCCATCCTTCTGGGAGTCACCAACAACCCGGCAAGGATCATTGCCCTATGTATGCTGTCGTTTGGCAGTTTTAGCACTCTTAGCATTGGGCCCGGATGGCTGATGAGCAACGTTGGCGGTCCTACCCGCGCTGCCTTGTCCAGTGCAGTCGATATCATGCTTGCCGGCCTTGGAGGCCTCTGCACCGCCTACATTTACCGCAACAAGGATGCTCCGCGGTACATGTTTGGCCACGGCATGAACATGTTTGCTGCAGGCTTGATGGTGGTTGTGTCTACCGCCTCGCATTTCATCATCGTCCACCGCAACAGGCTGAAGGAGACACACCCAGTTGATATATCTGGAATGTCGCAAGATGAAATCGATTTGCTGGAAAACGACCACCCCGACTTCCGCTATGTAAACTAAGCAACAATATACTGGTAATATATGCTATTACTTGATGACCGCTGCCACCATGGTATGCCCAATGCTATAATACCGCACATTCGAGTGTCCATTCTCGGCAAGTATGCAATGCCATGCAGGCGGCATGCTGCTTCCACACTATAGCAGCATAAATGACAGGCGATCTACTGATCATGAAATCATGATATTCCAAATCACCAACCCTCAGATCTAAACCCGTCTATTATCGGTAGGCGGCTTTCAAGCTCAACTGGACGGAATTCATTTCTCCACTTTTTTTTTTTCCTTTCACATTATCAAAATTAACAAAGAGTCGAAATGCTTCACCTGCTCGGAGTCAACTTGCCGGACCAGAAGGTGGTCTCGATTGCGCTCACATACTTTTACGGGATCGGACCGGTAACGGCGCAGAAGATCTGCTCCAAGCTCTCGATCCACAAGCAGTGCAAGCTCAGCGAGCTGACAGAAGGGCAGTTGAACCAGCTGTCGGGCGTGCTGTCGAACATGACGCTGGAGAACGACCTGGAGCGGCAGGTGAAGGCGAACGTGCAGCATCTGCGTGCGATTGGAACGTATGTCGGTAAGCGGCATGCGATGATGCTGCCGGTGCACGGCCAGCGGACGCGGAACAACTCGAAGACGGCCAAGAAAATCAACGGCAGGATGCTGCGCAAGTACTCGACCGCAGACACCGCATTTGCGAGGCAGGCGTTTGGCATGTTCCAAGCACCGCTGTCGAAGCACATGGAGTAGGCGTCAGGATCTAGAGATTAATTAAAAGACTGCACGGAAGCAGGAACCCGAGGATATCGTACACAGACGCAAACGATGGTGAATTTTTTTCTTGTCTTTGAATACAAAAATACGGAATTTACTACTCGCGTAGTCGGCAATATTTATTCTTGATACTGTAAGCCATGGTCGAAGTCACCGCCGAAGCAGCCAGCCGCGCAAATGAGCTGAAGCTGGAAGCGAATGCGCTCTATGCAGGCAAGTGCAGCGAAACAAAAAATGGGAGCCAGCTCTCTCTTGCAGCATATACTCAGCATCCGCTATTGTAGACAAGCATTATCACGAGGCCATTGAAAAATATTCGCAGGCGATCGAGCTGGACCCGACTGTGGTCGCATACTACACGAACCGGGCCCAATGCTACATCAAAACCGAGGGCTACGGTGCTGCACGCGACGACGCCAACTCGGCACTGAAGCTCGATGCAGCATCGATTAAGGCTTACTACCGGCGGGCATCGGCCAACTTTGCCATGGGCAACCTGCGGGAGGCACGGGCGGACTACCGCGAGGTGACAAGGCGCATGCCGAACGACAAAGCTGCAAAGCAAAAGTATGTCGAGTGCGACAAGGTGTACCGCAGGATCCAGTTCGAGATGGCCATCGACAGCTCGGCTGACCGCAAACGGCTGGTTGATTCGGTCGATCTAAGCAGCTTCCAGCTGCCTGACAACTATGAGGGGCCGCGGATGCCTGTGCGCAAGGTGATGGTGCCCAAGTCGTCGTTGGACAAGGACGCCAAGCCCAAGAAGGAAGGGGAGGGACAAGAGGGCGGGCAGAAGGAGGAAGAGATGGTGGAGATTGACGAGGAGTACGTGGACCTGCAGTTTGTCGAGGCCATCACCGAATGGTTCCGCGACCGCAAGACGCTGCCGGTGCGGTACATGTACGTGCTGGTGCTGCAGGCTGAGAAGCTGTTCCGGCAGCTGCCGAGCCTGGTAGATGTTGCCATTCCGGAGGGCTCGGAGATCACAGTGTGCGGCGACGTGCATGGGCAGTACTATGATGTGCTAAACATCTTCAAGCTCAACGGTCCCCCGACGCCGACGCACATGTACCTGTTCAATGGCGACTTTGTGGACCGTGGGTCGTTCTCGGTCGAAGTCATCATGCTGTTCATGTCGTACAAGCTGCTGTATCCGAACACGTTCTTCCTGAACCGCGGTAACCACGAGTCGATTGACATGAATCAGCTGTACGGGTTCGAGGGCGAAGTCAAGCACAAGTACCCGGTGCACGGCAAGCGCCTGTTTGGGCTGTTCCAGGAGACCTTCGAGGCCATGCCCATTGCGCACCTGATCCAGGAAAAGGTGTTTGTGGTCCACGGCGGCCTGTACTCGCGCGAGACAGCCCGCAACTCGGCACAGGCCGACGGCGACGGCGTGGTGCGGCTCCAGGAGCTGCGCGAGCTGGACCGGTTCCACCAGCCCAAGAACAGCGGGCTGCTGTGCGAGTCGCTGTGGTCTGACCCGCAGAAGGAGACTGGCCGCCGGCCCAACCCGCGCGGCGTTGCGATCAAGTACGGGCCCGACGTTACCAATGCGTTCTGCGAGACCAACAACATCAGCATGGTGATCCGCAGCCACGAGCAGATGGACGAGGGCTACGAGATTGCCCACGACGGCAAGATGGTGACCGTGTTCTCGGCGCCCAACTACTGCGACTCGTGCAACAACAAGGGCGCCTATATCCGCATCACGCCCAGCCTTGAGACCACATACCACAAGTTCAACGCCGTGCCGCACCCGCCCGTTCAAGGCCATGGCGTATGCCAATGCGAACCGCTTCATGTAATGCACAGAAAATACACTGCTTTATTCCCGGAAAATTACTTCTTCTTGCCGTCCTTCTTGCGGATCGTCTCGTCGTTGACAAAGATGCCCTTCTGGTTGTATGGCTCCGGCTTCTTCCACTCGCGGATCTTGGCTGCATACAGCTTGACCTGCTGCAGATCGGTGCCGTTGATCAGGATTCTGGTCGGCACCGGCGTGCCCACCTTCAGGCCCTCGGGGATCTCCATCTCAACCGGGTGCGAGTACCCAAGCCGGAGCACCAGCTTGCCGTTCTCCACAGCCGCACGGTAACCGACACCCACCAGGCGCAGCGTCGCCGAGAATCCCTCTGTCACGCCAGTCACGCAGTTCTGGATCAGCGCGCGCGTCGTGCCCCACATGGCACGCTGCTTCTTGATCTCAGGCGTCCTGGATGCCCACCACCAGCTGGTGCTCGGCGTTCTCGCCAGCGCCTTCCTTGGCTGCGAATGAACTCGAGGCTGACAAACGGCTCAATCGCCATTTTGCGCTCGCCCAGCGGGCCCTTGACCGTCAGCGTGGTCTTGTTGAAGAACCGCGCGTCGGTGCTGCTGAACGGCGTCTGCAGGTGCGAGATTTGCACCTCATTTGTGTACTTCACCGGCGTGCTGCCAATATGCGACCGGATCACGGCCGTGGTGCTGATGCTGCGAGCGCCCAGGCCGAGCGGCTGTGCGAGAACCCGGATTCCGACTGACCGCATTTTGCTGATTTTGTAAAAAGCTAGCAACGAAAGAGCAAGAAAAATGTTTTGAATTGAAGAGGAAAAGCGATGGGCTTATCGGATCGCGAGCTCCAGTAATCACCAGGAAAATTTTATCTGGGCCACTATTTTAGCCCCTTTCCAGACGGTGAAGTTGTCTTTCAAGTACGACCCCGCGTTGTTGAGCAGCTCGCGCTGACGCCGGGTGTCGCCCCGGCTGCCGACTGGTGCTCGTGCTGAGATCGCGCTCCCTGTCGAACCGCCGACGCTTCCACCGATCCTCCTCATCGCCTTCATCAGTCAGCCTTTGCTTTCCCAGACTTGCTCTTCTTTGACCTTTTTGCCCTGCTTGGCCTCCAAGTGCATCTCTAGCAGGCTCTTTGGCCGGTTGGTTCTATTGAACTCTTCGATCCACTTTGCCTGATCCTCCGCCTCCTTGCGCTTGCGCTTCATGTCTGGCGTCTCTTCCTCTTGAATAAGCTGCCTGCTTCTTCTCCTTTTCCTTCTTGGCTCGGCGTTCTGCGGGTGTCTCTGTCCAGCTGTCATCAAATAGCGGTACCGATGACTCTGGCGCGTCGGGGTTCTTGCTCTGGCGAGTTGGTGGGACTAGCATCCACGAACCACGCTTGTTTTCGGACGACTCAGGGCCTGCTGCACCATGCTTTGCTGTGCGGGCCTCGATTAGGTCTAATGTTTGCTGGCGCGCTTGTCCCTTCGGAGCATCCGGCCATGTCCAGAGAGGGGCCAATCGCCTCATCCTCAGATCCACTCGAGGTGATGTCCTCCCTAGTGTCTAGTATTGGTGGCATTGTCGGCCCGATATCCCTTGGTCTGTCATCGTCGATGTCAGAGTCTGCTTCCTGCATCTGCTTTGGCGGCATCGTCGGCCCAATTGACCGGGGTGTTTCATCCTCCTGTATTGTCGTTCCTTACGGATATGCCTAGCCGAGCGGCGACTTCTGGTGGTATTTGCGGGCCGATACCCATGGTTGACAATGTATTATAGTGGATTGATTGATATCGGAATACCGTTTGAAAAGCCGTGGAAAATTCTTATACTGTCCTGAACTCTACGTTTGCATATATGGTTTCACGTGACCAACCCGGATCTCGGCTTTCTCCTCCTCTCCGAACCATCGGAACTCGAGGACTAGAGCCAGCCGTCAGCCCGAATCCGACTTCAAGCTCCAGAGCACTCTTTTTGATACCCATTTGCTTTTTTCAACATGGTCCCTGCTGTAGAAACTCCCTTGGTTACTCTCACGCGGCCCCGGCAGTCGAACAAGAACGTCTTCCTCCTGCAGCTCCACAATGGCGATTGACAACCGCGTCACCGTCGACCTGATCCACGACATCAACCAGTGCCTCACCATTATCGAAGCCGAGCTCTCCGCTGCTCCTGAGTCCAAGCTCGGCGGTGCGGTGGTTGTGACCGGCCACGGGAAAGTTCTTCAGCAACGGCTTCAGCATCCAGCAGCTGGAGGACCACTCGCTTAACATCCGCGCCAAGTTCCACAAGTTGCTCGCGCGCTTTTTGCTGTTCCGTACGCCTGTCATTGGAGCTCTGAACGGACACACGTTTGCTGCCTGGCTGCTTGATGTCGCTGTCGTTTGATTACAGAGTGATGCGCAAGGACCGTGGGTTCATCTGTCTGAATGAAGTCGACATTAGGCGTCCGCTGCTGCCAGGCATGGCTGCAGTTGTCAAGGAGAAGATTTCTGGGACAGAAGGCGCTACGCGACAGCGTCCTGGGCGGCAAGCGCTTCTCGGCCGAGGAGGCCATGGCCGCCGAGTTTGTCGACGAGGCAGTTGATGGGGACAAGGTCGTCGAGGTTGCCCTCGACTTGGCTGAAAAGTACGCCCCTAAGACCTACCGCGACAACTACCATCTGTTGAAGGCCGAGCTCTACCGCGATGCTCTCCCCCACCTGCTCTCCCAGCCTCTCCAGACAGCCGGTCAGTATCTGGCAAAGCTGTGAGGCATATGTATTCTAATATACAAGAATCTACTCTACATACTTTTTGTATGCGAGCTTCAGCTCTTCATCGTCAGGCTTGACCTCGAGGAATCCAGGGTGGGTCGAAACCGCCTTGAACCACCTGTGGAATCCCTGCATACTCGTCAGTCTCGGGCACAGAAAATCCACGGTAATGCGCAGGCGCCAAAAGCAGACCAGCAAACGACGTGGTTACCACTTCCACATATCCAAACTGGTCCCCAAACCAGAACGGCCCGTTCTTGCCACTCGGCCGCTCCCACTGGCGAGCTAGCTCGTTACTGAACTCTCTGAGTCCAGCCAGAAGCGAGTCAATCTCTTTCTTTTGCTCCTCCTTCTCTGCCGCCATGAGCGTACGGTAGATGTGCGCGGATGATGCGCGTCGAGAACAGCTCGATGGCTAAACGCAGCTGAGCACGCTCCAGAGCATTGGTCGGAAGCAGATTGGACTCGGGATACTTGTCGGCGATGTATTCGGCGATAACCATCGATTCAATCAGGATCGTGCCATCAGGAATACGCAGAGCCGGGACCTTGAGCTGGGGGTTGACAAGGTGATACCAGTCTGGCTTGTTCTGCAGGTCAATCTCGATAACCCTGTAGGGAACCTTGGCGATGTTGAACGCACGGAGCGCACGTTGCGCAAACGGACAGATCTTGTTTCGAGTAAAGAGGTGTAGGCGTTTTCCTCGTACGGGTAAGCGGTGGCCATTTTGATCAATAGTGCACGAAAGTACTGAGCGAAAGAAAGGGTGTCGTCACAAACCCCACTGGGATTGTGTGGTCTTTGGTCACAGGCAGCCTAAACAATAGTTAGGGGCGCGGCGAAAGCCGATCGCTAATCAAGATTCAAGCAATTAACTTGCCGATTGATCCTGAGCCCAGCTGGATTTTAGCCGCGATTGGCAAAGGAATGCATGGCTTTGAACCGAGATGTTGATGGTGCCATCGGCAATCGGCAATGCCAGGGACATTTAATAGGTAGACGCTTTGTTTCTCTCCATCGCCTACTTTATGCAAGCAATAGCAACCTGGAAATCTTCAAAGTGCAAGCTTATCATACTATATCGTATACGGACACCACGGAGTAAACCGTCGTCCGGATTTGCATTTGACTTCTTTTCTAATAGACACGGGGACCACCTACTATATCCTGTTCATCGGCATATTTCTGTAGGTTGATTTTGGAACATTCGGTAAATGCTCAATCTGCTTTTCTTCGCTACTGCAGACATACACAGAGCATTTGTGTGTTAACCTTGAGCGGAAATGCTGAGATGATGTTAATAAGGGGAAGTCAGGCAACTGATCGCAATGGCTTTAAGGCAATAAGATTTGAAATACCATCAATTTTAAATGGCAATTGCAGGTAATTCTTGTATAGCATCCGTACACTTTCCTATTTCGCTTTGTCGCTTTACCAAGAGCTAGATCAGGTTTACACACTATGACTGGTACCACTAGTTGCCATGTAAATGCTTTGTTCGCACCCTCTTTCTGACAACATCCAACGCCAGCTCCAGACAAGGAATCGAGTTTGGCTACCGTGGTAGATAGATCGCACTAGTTTCTGGTTGAGTGCAAAAGTTAATGATGCCATCGTAAATCCGTATGGCGACGGGTTGATCAGACACTGACTCAGTCATGTATGTCTGCCTGCTTGTATCGGAAATCCAGCTAGCGTCCCACCTCCACTCTGGCCATGCCTCTTGGATAGTGGGCCAAGAATTCCCGCTCTCGATCAATGGGGAATTGGCCATGGGCACATCAAGATGTCGTAATTTCCCTGCAGTTACTCTTTTGTGAGCACTTGGCAAATAAGCAAATATATATGCTGAATCGATGGCTGCAACATGTGAAGAAACGGTGTACACTGTAGAGCAACAATATCTTTTCTTAATCCCACCAAACCCATGTCGTCGACTGAAGCCAGAAGTTTCGAATTCTGATATCGAAAAACCCAGAGTCGATGGCATTGCAGCTGTCGACGCGCTGACTGCCAGCGAAGAGGCTATCATGAAGAGCTACTTGCGCAAGGTCGATGTTCGGATCGCGCTGTTCTTGTGTCTGGAATATGTGTCTGTTTTCCTCAATCGCGGCGGAATAGTCTTTGGCAAGGTGGATGGCATGGAGAAGCATCTCAAGCTCAAGGGAACCCAGTACAATACACTGATGGCGCTTTTCTACCCGACGTTCCTGGTCTTCCAGATCCCGCTCAACTTTTTGTGCCGCAAGATTGGCGCTCGCAAGCATCTTCCATCCATGCTTCTTCTTGCTGGCACCATGAGCGTTGGCGCCATGGGTGCTCGGAATTTCCAAGGCATGGTCGCGATCCGTCTACTTGAGGGCTTCGCTCAGGCAGGCTTTATCTCATCGCTCTACTTCACTTTCGGTCTCTGGTACCCGCGCAAGTACTTGGCTCCGCGCCTTGGGTTCGCACTGAGTACAAGTGGCCTTGCCGGTATTCTCAACAACTTGGTCAATCTGGGCTTTGCCAAGATCCACACCAACACGCCGAACCTATGCTTGGCAGTATGAGTACCTGTTTGTTGGTCTCTTTGCTATCCTTACTGGGAATTTACGGTCGCTATCGTTATCAGGAGATTATCCAGGATACTGCAAGGTTTTCTCAGCGACGAGGAGCGCGAGCTTCGTTGGTCGCATCATGAGCAAGAACAAACTGCAGGCAAGCGTCGACCACAAGATCTCGGGCAGACAGGTCGTTCAGGGCCTGACTGACTGGCGCCTTCTTGCCTTTATGGTCCTTGACTTTGCTAACAACTATGCTGCATCTTCAGCGGGTAACTGGTCGCCGGTTATTCTCAAGAGTATCGGCTACAGTACCTTCGACTACCATGGCGCTTCTGCTTGTGCCCTGTGCTGGAGGCACAATTGTTACAATCTCCTCCTGGACTCTACTTCCGCAAATACGGAAACATTGCGTCGTACCAGATCCTCTTCTCTGTGCTATCAGCCGCCACAATCATCATCGCAGTGGCTGGTGTGCACAACAACACTGCACGCACTGTTGCCGTTGTGGTGTTCCCGTTCTTTGCTGCCCCTGCCTGCCTGGTCGGTCCCACCTGGCTCAATGTAAATATGCGTGGTGTCGACAAGAGCGCCATCTCCAATGCGTTGGCTATTATCGGCACCAATTTTGGAGTGCTGGCTAACAGCTTATGCCTATCTGAATACTGATGCGCCACTCTACATCAAGGGGAAACTCGTCCAACTTTGGCATGTTTGCTGTGGCTATCATCATTGCTCTTCTCCTGAGGCTCAGCTACAAGCGCGAGAATCGCAAGTTTGCCGAACAGGAGGGCCAGGGATGGCAGGCGAGACAGGGTTCCGCAACGTCTACTGATCATGATGTTAAATAGCAATAGATTTCTCCTGAATCACATTCACTGTGGCCGTTGGGTCTGTAATTCAGACTGAACCGACCGTTCATTCTGAAGTGTTACACGTGGATCATTTTGAAAAAGCAGCTGAGGTCTGTTGTTTTCATCCGGTGCACAGGCGCTTCGCCCATTGGATTTAACAGGAGCTCCTGGGAACGAAATTCGGATGATACATGTGTCTGCTACCTGTGTATCGGCCGTGCATTCAGTAACGCATGATTTGATAAGTGTGTTCCACACATACGGAACACTAAGTCTGACTTGGTGCCAAGGGAGTGACCAGTGGAGCTGAGCTGCACCTCGATTTCTGGGGACATTAACAAGGAAACATGACGAAGCAGGACTTTAGGTGCAGGAGCGTAGGAGCTACTGGTAGGCATATAAAACAGACGAAGGATGCGTATTTAGTCCAAGAATCTCTAGTAAACCTATTACACTACCACGGCTTGTTCTAACCATGAAGCTCTTTACCAGCTATCCTTGCTGCTAGTCGCTCTGACTCTTTTCCACGGTCCAGGCATCGTTGGACTGGACCGCTGACTCGACCCTGGAGTGTCGCTCAAGAAAACTGGGCTACTATAAAGGCCAAGTGTCGACCCACTGCTCAGCACTGCTTCATCAATGCTGACAGCCTGAGCTGATGGAGAAGCTTCAGGATCTTCTGGGCCCGGATGGTAAGCTTCTCCCTAACCCGACCATCGATCAGCTGCGCCAGGCGGCCCAGATCTTCCCACCTTCTCTGTTTGAAATTTTTGCCGGCAAGGAGATCAAGGCATGCCTGGCCACATACATTACTGAGGTTCCCTACTCCTACGGAGTCCACCACCGAGGAGACGACCACCGAGAGCACTACCACGGAAGTAGTAACCTCCAAAAGCACTACGACTGAAGAGAAAACTACTGAAACTACTGAAACTACTGAACTACTGAAACTACTGAACTACCCAAGAGACGAACTACCGAGGGTACTACTAACGACGGAGAAGACGACCGGAGACGACCGATACAACTGAGACGACTGAGGGTACTGAAGCCACGAGACCACGAGACCACGGAGACCACGGAGACCACCCAGACCACCCAGACCACTGAGACTACCGAAACCAGCGAGACAACCGATGGGACTATTGTGTCTTCCGAGCCATCGTCCTGGGTAATGTCAACAGACAGATGATGCTGTTCCTACATCCGCTTTCAAATGCCCTCCTCCAGGTCCACGTCACTGTCCATGTGATGGCCCACCAGAGTTAGGAGCTAGCTCCAAATATACTGCTAATAAATGCAATTTGGACTCTGGCGTAGATTGCTCGAGAGTTATACAACTCAACTCTGCATATAATTTAAGAATATTTGGGCCCTGCGGTTCCCAGTGGGGCTGTTGTTCATGTGAGAGTTCTTACCTGTTTGCAAGCAAGTAGTACAAGCTACATTCCGCTCGCCATATTTCGAACCCGGCTAATCACGTAGTCCCTCGTATCCCTCATTTGCATTTTCTATTAGCACTCCCTACAGGAACTCATGGCGATCTCAACAAACAAAGAAATAACTCCTTTCGCTGCACTTTGAGGGCAGGTGAAATGATGTAAATACCACATGCGATCCACTAATGACAGCAGAATATTGTGCAGATCCTTAGCGGAACTGCACTGGCATTAATTAGGGACCGTTTATCAAAATGGTCCGCTGATATATAAACAATCGCGTTAGCCTCACTTTCGGACCGATTCGTCTTTATTCTCAAACCTGGTTTCCCGCTTATTCCCTTTAACCCCTCCCTCTTCCCGCTAATAACCCCTCAACCTTTTAACGACAAGCACGCTACGCAATGGTCAGACTGTCCTTTTCGCTCGGATATGTTGCCTGTATTCTTCTGGCAGTCAAGCAAGTTGATGGTCACCAGCAACCTCCTGTTAAAACGTTCTCGCCGACGCTGAAAAACAAGGGGCCACTAACGATTTACGAGCACCCGCTGGACGTCAAACTCGACTCGCCTGTGCAGGTATCCTCGTTCGCACCGAATGGAAATGGCGCAGGTTCGCTCAAGTCCATGACCAACGTGGCTATCGCTTACCTTACGAAAACACTCGCAATTCCCGCAACTAACATCAAGGTCACGGATGCGTATACCGATACCTGCTCTGGCATCACCCATGTGTACCTGTGTCAGACAGCTTGGTGATGTCGATGTCGTCAATGGCCAGGCCAATGTGAACATCGATGCACAGGGCCGCGTGATCTCGTCCAGCAACTCATTTGCTTCGGCTGATGCGCTCAACAGGTTTAGCAAGCGGTCTCGTGGATCGCTCACGTCTCGCGCAAACAGCGACGCATCCATTGTGCACTCGCTCAAGTCACTCTCCGAGTATGTCTCGACAAGCCTTGAGTGATGCTGATTTGAGGGCAATCGCTGTATCGACAACAACTTGCCCGACTACTGGTGAGCAGCAGATCAAGATCACCAATGTGCCGACGCATGTAGCTGCTACCGGCGAGTCAACTGCCAAAAAGGCCTTGCTGCAAACAGACGACGGGTCACTTGTGCCTGTTTGGCACATTGTGATGAGGCAGGAAAGCAGCTGGTGGAGTGCACACGTCAACCAGGGCACCAACAAAATCGAGGCTATCAACGACTGGGTTTCGCACTACGAGGCATACAATGTGTTCCCTCGCACTATCGACACTCCAAACGACGGGAAGCGTACGGTTGTAACTAACCCGGCTGATGCCAAGGCTAGTCCGAAGGGGTGGGTAACGGGCAACGGTACTCGTGGCAACAACGTCTGGGCCCAGAACAACCCTACTGGTGGTAACTCGTGGAAGGATAATCACCGCCCGTCATCAACCAATGGAGTGTTTAACTATCCACTCGATCTCAGCCATGAGCCTGCAAGCTACGTGGATGCAGCAACTACACAGCTGTTCTACACGGTCAACACGATGCATGATCTTTCCTACCTCTACGGCTTCGATGAGGTGTCTGGGAACTTCCAGGACATCAACTTACAGTGGCAAGGGTGCCGGGGGCGACTACGTTGTCGCCTTTGCGCAAGATGGTTCGTCAACCAATAATGCAAACTTTGCTGCTCCGCCCGATGGCCAGAACGGCGTCATGCGCATGTTTGTCTGGGACTTAACAAACCCACACCGCGATGGAGACTTTGAGCAGAGCATCGTCGCTCACGAATACACCCATGGGATCTCAAAGCGTCTGACCGGTGGGCCGTCGAACGCCGACTGTCTGAATAGCGGGGAAGCCAGCGGAATGGGCGAAGGCTGGAGCGATACTGTAGCCAACCTTTTGCGTATCAAGCCTGGCGATTCACGCAGACGTGATATGGTGGTGGGCTCGTATGTTACTGGGCAAGGAATCCGCGACTACCCCTACTCGACTAATATGAAAACCAATCCCTTGACATACGGGCAGCTCGACACACCCAACCATCAAGGCACCTACTCGATGGGAACAATGTGGGCCACTATTCTCTACGAGATGATTTGGAACCTCATCGACGCTCATGGTATTGCCACCGATCTATTCACACACGATCTGAGCAAAGGAAACTGCCTTGCCCTGCAACTCATCCTCAATGGGATGAAGCTGCAGCCGTGCAACCCGTCATTTATCGATGCACGCAATGCAATCCTACAAGCCGAAAAGAATCTGACCGGCGGCAAGAACAAGTGCGCTATCTGGAAGGCATTCTCCAAGCGTGGAATGGGACCGAAGGCTTCCGGAAAGAGCTTTACAACGCATGTTGCTGACAACGCGGTTCCCGCTGGTTGCTGACACGATACACCATCTTTATACCGCTATATTTAGAATAGGAGTTTTATATTTGGAGCACTGAAAGTAGTCGAAGGAGCAGGAAGCGGAACAAGAAAGCTATGTACCAAATAACTATGCCTGTAAACTTAGTTGGAATCTCTGCTCATCGCACAAATCTATTGTTCGAAGATTACTGTAGACATATGGTACGTTTGGCACTGTGAAGGAGTTAGGGAAATACAAGGTCCATGTGGTGGATGTTTCGCATGGCTTTAACATTTGATACTCTGGCGCTGGTACTACCACTGTATCGATGTTCTACGCTGAAAGTTTACCTGTGAACTGAGTTACGCCATCCATAGACTCAGCGGACATAGCTATATCATTTTTGTTGACATTGGATTGCCACACCACTCCCGTGCCACCATGCCAATGACCAAACCACTAGCTAGCCTTGTTGTGCTTGTTGAATGTGTGGGAGTTTTAAAGGTTATGTTTAATACTGAACAAGAGAGGAAAGACGAGTTGTGCCAGGGGTATTTTCTATACAGGCCGTCCGTGCAACTTCTCAGAGGCTAGACGCTACCTCCATAGTGTAGGCTGTAGCAGGGCTCTCATTGGCGCCTGGACTTTCTGTCACCTGATTCGGCTGACATGTCGACGTCAGGGACAGCCGCAGCGGGCGCGCAACAACCTTATACCGACCGAACATTTTCTTTTTCTTCAGTCAATCGTTTTTTTATTTTTCTTTTTTATTTTTATTTTTGCTTTTTTGCTTACTGTACATTCACGCTCGGAGCCACTCCAATTCCGAAGGTTAACGTTTTTTTTTTTGACTGACTGGAAGCAACATGGAGCCTAGCCATCCGACTGAAGACAAAATGGAAGTAGCCCAACCAGCATCACGCGAAGAGCTACACGAATACTCGCGCAAGCTGGCGATAGATGCCAAAGCGCTGGAAGGACCGCGTGATCGACCAGACACTGAAGATGACTGACATGGTCATCAAGGGACCCAGACGGTGCAGGCATACCAACAGGCTGAACATGAACTGTCGAAGACTGAAAAGCTGCTCGAGGCAACCTAAAGCACAGCTAGAGAGACTGACGGCCTGTGGCCAAGCCACACACACTGCACTATGCCCACCGCACTCGATTATGGAAAGTGCCAATACTGATAAGGTAGCGGCCTCTGCCAGCTGGACCAGCCAAGCATTGTGCCATGGGACCCGCACATACGCCATCCGACAGAGGAAAACAAGAGGGATTTCCGCATACCACGTAACCTACCCTGGTATTCAGCCAATGGACAACAAGGGCGATGATATCGAAGTCTTCCTGTACAAGTTCCAGAAGATACTATATGCCAATGGCCTTCAGCCTGACCACCACTGGACCCGACTACTACCCATATGTCTCGAGATCGAGGAGGACCTCTGGCTGCGCACCCACGTGTCATGTGACTTGAGTTGGAAGCAAGCCAGACAAGCCATCCTAGACCATTTAGCCGATGAAAAAGCCATGCGCAAGTACTGCAAGGAACTGTTCAGCTGCAGGCAAGAGGCTGGTGAGTCAGCTGCTCAATTTGCATGCCGATTTCGCAGCATTGCGCTCAAAGCCGGTGGTAAAGATAAGGACACCCTCCTTATTAACAGACTGCTTGACCTGTTGCCCGAAAGCATCAGCTATATATTACTGGCAAGGGGGCACCAAGGAGTCCGAGGCAACACACTCATTAATATCGTCCAGCAGCTCAGGGCCATGGATATTGCAGACAAGCCAACCCCGACTTCGTCAGCACTACTGAAAAAGAGCCCACGCAGAAGGAGCAGGAATGGTGACAATGGCAGACAGTGTCAGAATTTGTGATTCTCTGAGTGTCTATAATCTTTTCTTTCCTCATCGGGTCCATATGCCATCACAACCATAGACTCCGATCCTCCTTTGAGATCTCTCTCTTCTCCACTCTCGATTTTCTTCTTAGAACTTCATTCTCTTCTTATTCATAGCTCTATCTTTTTCTGGCTGCTTACAGCCCGCTCCTTATTCAATACAGCAATTATCTGGCTGACTCAGCCCAAACCACTCGCTGAAACTCGTCACCTTTCATCAATTTAGATCATTATTCATGTAGTACGGCCAAAGAGGAGGGTTGAATAAAAGGAACGAAGAAACGACGGGATGAAGAATTAATTAGTTTGCAGTAATCACATATTGAGTTTCTAATAGCATGAACTGAATGAAAAACGATGAAGTCCACAGCAGTCGGACCATGTGGTTCCAACAGGCTATCAGAATTAGATTTACCTCATTTCATCATTCTATTTTTCTTTTATTTTACTGCCTAGTCAAATACAGGACTGGATCCTTCTTGTCTTTCGTTTAAATTTTTCTGCTTGGCTCTTTTCCGCTCTCTTTCGCACCTCCTAGATACATATATCCTCAGTTGTTTCAGCCCGCTCTGCACTCTACTTTTATTGCTCGCAACCATCTGACACAGGGTTGGAAAATATGTGGTCTATAAAAGTGGGTATTGGTAATTATAACCTTCGTTGCATATGAAGGAAAGGGAAATATGAAATAGATCATTTGCATCAACTTATACTTGCAAAACAGAAAATATGAGAAAGGAACAAAAGACAAAAAGGTATGTTCATTAATCTAGAGCAAGTGCATTTGGTATGAACCATAATAGTGGTATCTCGGAGCTACATGATATGTGATAGTCATCGCTCAACCAGCAGAAGCCACCAGAAGCTAAGAGAGGAAGTTACACCACATGTATATTGCTGATTGGTTTTAACTGTTCAGCTGCTTCATAGTCTGTGCTCAGTCATCTGAATAGACCAAAAGCGGAGTCCATGTGGTCATTGAGTGCTCAACTAGCCATGGGCACAGCTGCAATGGCCATTGTCGAGCGTGGGTCAGGAAATGCGTTTCCCAGGTGTAGTGGTTATTGTATATAAATAGTGCATGTATAATCAAAGGGGAGGTGTGATTGAGCGCCTTCTTTAGACCTCTAACTGCAGGACGGACTAGTGTAGAAGTCCGGCCTCTATAATCTATGGCTGCCTGCCCTCTCGGGTCAGGGCAGACCTGGTTCTAAGAGAAGGCAAATACCTGCGACTTGTGGCCAATTCTCACTGCGAGAGCTGATTGCCCGTTGGTTAACAGGGTAGGTACATAGTGTCGATGAAGAGCCGAGCTGAGGAATGGCAGGGGTAGTGCATACAAGTGATGCAGCCACTAGGTAGACAACAAATTGTTGAAGGCAGCGACCACATTAAACAATGCACTATTTCAGATGATATTATATTGGCCGATTGTTATGAATATGACTATACCTTGTGGATGCTCGCCACCAGCAAACTAGGACGCACTATTTCTTTTGATCCTTTGGGTATAAGTATTGGTGGTACGATACCATTAGCACTCTTTTCATTTTATTCGCTATTTATATTTTTTGCTCCCTTTACTATGGACCACTTTATAGACAACATTGAATCGAAAGAGTATATCTGCAGACGATATGAGAAGCAGTTCTCGCATATAACCATACGATTTGTTTTCTTCTATGCCAATACCGCTGGCGCTGGGGATTTCATGCCAGCCGACCAACTTGAGGAGGGATTCTATCGGACCCTTGCTCTCTGTCCCTGGTTCGCTGGTGAGCTTAAACAAACCCCAAGCGGCGGAATGGAGGTCATCGTCGATGAGGAGAAACTGAATATGCCCTATTACCGTGAGTCACAGTCTTTGGTGCATTTCAGCAAGATTCAGTCCTCTGGATTCCATCGTATGACCTGGCCTGACAATCTGGTTCCTGTTGGGCCGGTTGCATATCCTGACAAGGCTACTGGGATGATCAAGCTTTTACACATCCAAGTTGTGCGGCTGAAGGAAAACAGCGGAGTGGCCATTTCAGTCAATTTCAACCATGGAGTCGCAGATGGTAGCACCGTTTATGACATTCGTCAATCCGCTGGGCAGATGAGACGCGTGCGCTAGTATCAGGCGTGCCTGTCGCAGAAGCAAGCTTTTGCTTTGGTGGCGATATCATCAAGAGACACCTGCCAACTGAGCGCGCACCCCTCAGTGAACCGTCCTGCAAAGTGCTTTCAGCAAAATCCCACGTGGCAGATTTCTTCATGTGGCTCTCACTTAACAAGCGCGGAATGCTGGCGAGCTATTTAGTCAACTCTGCTTCACCGCGTGGGCATCTATTCCGGATATCGCGTTCCAAGATTGACAGGCTTCGCAGCCAAGTACTCGAGCATCTGCCACACGAAACACGCCTGTCCACTAACGACATCATCTCTGCTGCTTTACACAGGGTTCACGAGCAAGCTGTGATAGGAAAGAGTAGAGGATGGCTGGATAGGCTAACTGGCTGGAAGAATGGAGTTGCAGGCGAGCACTGTACTGCCGTAGTCGTTAATTATCGCCGCCAGCTTGGAATGTCAGAGTTGAACTACATGGGGAATCCGATATTCAGCGAATTTGTTCTCACCCCGATGCATCAGGCAAATCTGCCAATTACTCCTAAGACGATTTCTGAAGTAGCTGGTCAGATTCGGTCACAGGTATCGGCGCTTACTATCCCGCGCATCGGACAAAATATCGATGTATTTGATTCCGGTGAGAAATATGCCGCAGATTTCTTCGTCATCGGTATGACTCACAAGCTTATGACAATAACTACTAATATAACGTCTGCCAAGATGTACTCTGCAGACTTTGGCCATGGCGTTCAGGCTTTTTCGACGATACATCCGGAGCTTGCCATGGGTATATTTCTGATTCTTCCATCGCCACCCTCCAAGCAAGGACATTCTTGTCAATATCTGTGACAGTTCACTGGTAATGGACAGCTTCTTGACAAATGAGTTTTGGAGCGATTTTGCTGAAGTAGTTTACTAATATATGCTTGGAAAGTCACGAGCTTAAACGAGTGGTTTGGACTGAGTCAGCCAGAGAATGAGTATGAATAATACCTGAAAGCAGAAAGAAAGACTACGAATAAGAAGAGAAAGTAGCTATCAGAGAAAAATAGAAAGTAGGGAAGTGAGAGATCCTAAAAGAAGATCCGAGTCGTAGTTGTGATAGCACGTGGATCTGATGAGGAAAGGAAAAATTGTAGAAACTCAGAGAATCCCAAATTCTGACAGTTTCTAAATAGCATATTTTCTGTTAAACACTAGTCGATGGACTACACGGTTAGTCCTAAATCGGCAAGTCACTGGAGGAAAATCCTGAATAGACAACCCACCAACTATGTGATGCTGAGCACTTCCCAGAAAGATTCTTCTCTTTTTCTTTTCGTTATCGGTTTAACCGCTTAGGCATTTTCTCATTTCTTATTTTTATGAACTTCGCGTATAACGCCTCAGCTTGCTTTAAATCTCAAGATCCGATTACTGTGAACTGCATAGTTTTTTATCCTGTTGTTCTTTTTCTTCTTCTTGGCTGTGCCACCTGAGCGATGGTATAAAACCTTTTCGCTCGCCTCTCCCTTCTTACTTTTCTTTAGCTTCTTCATCAATATTTATTTCCTTGACTCTGGTCACTTTCTATTGCTGATATGCTCACAACGCTTGCATATTTCTGGATTAAGATACCATCGCTTGACAGCTTATTCAGAATCTGCACACTACACAAAAGTTACACACATACACATATATGGCATCTTTCATTACTCATTTCTTATTTTTTCTCTTTCCCTACACCACCCACCGTGTGCTCTAGACCTACAACAACTTGCATTGGCAGTCCTTCTACTGAAGGACAGCCAGCAAAAAGCAAGCGAAAGCGTTGTGGCAGCAGAAATGCCACAAGTCCAAGGGTACAGATTCCCACATTCGCTTCAACGGAGTAGGAATCATACAGATTCTGCACTTTGTCCAGCCCATCCCCCTTGTGCTTTGTTTGCAAGGCGCTGCTGTTTTTCAGCTGTTGCTGCGGTATGAATGCTGCGGCCAACGAACAATAAACCTAGCAAACAGGTCCGCACAACCTAGCCCCCTGCGCACGGATGCTATAAAAACTAGTCAAGTTCCTTGCGAAGCAACTCTTTCCTCCTTTCAAATAGCTCTAACCCTTTTTTGAAAAATACACTTTCCTCAACATCTGTTTCTCAAGGGTCAGTAGACAACCAATTCTGGAGCTGCGCAATGTTATCGCTAGTGGCACGAACTGATTCTGGCTTGACTTCCATGTTTCTAGAAGCACTTTTTCTCGACGTATGCCCCCTTTCAGTCCCCACTTGGCCGAAAACCGTTAGCCCTCGCCGCTGCAGGGCTCGCTGCAATTTCGCTAGGACAGCTCGCATCCCTTGCATCAACTGCTGCACGCGATCGCGATAGACTGTGCGATGGCAAAACCTGGTCCTGGTCTCTGCACAGCGACTGCTTCCGGTTTGGAGTCTTGCTCCCTTCGATCACTCTGTTGATCACAGCAGCTGGATCGGCTCTAGCTGTTGTCAACCTATTGTCCAAAAGCTTGGCCGTAGCTGAGGATTCAAAGCCAGTTCGCCGCCCACCAGGCAACACCCGTCTGGTCGACAACCGTGCCGCGATCGGTGCGGCCAGTACCCTGCTGTCGATTCTTTTGGCCGGACTCTTCGCTCGGATGGCAGTTTTCTGCCAAAGCAACGTCCGAGAGGCTATTTTCTGGCAGCCTTGTACTAGCCATGCTGGCGATCGCAGTAGCATCGGTATTCTATTACACGGCTTTCCTGCGTGCAGCCGATCGCATCTCGTACAGAGGGCTGTTTCCGCCGTTTTTGACCGGGGCTATTGGTATTCTACTTGCCCTGGACTTGCTTGAGGTCTACTTCTCGTTCTTCACACCCGAGAACAGTGACACTCCGTTCTGGTTTGGTGCTTCGCAGCGCTTCACGCTACTTGCTCTTGATTACAGTCACCAACGCTGTCTTGTTTTTCCTCCATGGAGCCGCGCAGCACCGTGCAATTTTCCTCCGCCCACACCAACCCTGCACCGATGAGACCGAGGAATATGTGGATGCTGAGTCGGACAGAGACTTTGTCGAAACGCCGTTGGCACAAACACGTGGAAAGAATGGCTCTCCTTCCTTGGTTGATACACCCGAGTACAGTGGTTCGTGGCTCGATACATTCACATTCTCGTGGGTCAACGACATATTCTACAAGGGCTCTCGTCGTCAGCTCGATTATGCGGATCTTTACAAACTGGATACGAGTGACATGGCGATTCCAAACTGGAGCCGCTATGCAAAGCACCGCAAACCAGGTCCGTCTCTGCTATTGTCGCTAATCTGACATTTGCCCCTCAGCTCCTCGCTCAGCTGCTGCTTTCTGTGGCTGTCGCAGTATTAAACTACTCTGGTCCCGTTCTTCTTGCAGCGCATTCTGCCAGTCGATCGAGATTATTGGCAATACTACCGTGGGTGGTACTCCAGCAAAATCGATCCGTAGTGCATATCTGGATGCATTCGGGCTGTTCGTCTTCACACTCCTAAATATGCAGCTTGTTGACCAACTGGTGTGGATCGGCCGTCATATGGATTTCCGCATGAAGGGTCTCTTGGTTGGCGAGCTGTCTACCAAGACCTTGAACCGTCGCGCAAAGGGATCACTTGAGGGCGTCACAGGCGATGACGACAAGGATGCCAGCGACAATGGGTTGGAGTCGGCACAGGAATCAACAAATGGCAAAATAATGAATCTGCTCACCACAGATCTCAACCGTGTCACCAAGATCGTCGCCTACCTGGATGACCTGTACACGCTGCCTCTGTCAGCAGTCATTGGTGTCATTTACATGTTCAAGCTGCTGGGATGGTCATCGCTCATCGGATTCTCGATCATGATTCCGTACTACCCACTGACAAGGAAACTATTCAGCTATCTGTCTGATCTTGAGGAGAAAACTTTCGGAGCTGAGCGACGAGCATGTGGAAGCGATTACAGAGCTTCTGCAAGGAATCAAGGCTGTCAAGCTCTATGGCTGGGAGTCCCAGTTCCTCAAAAAGATCGACGCGCACCACGAAAAGCAGCTGGGTTTCAATGTGGAGATGGCTACTCGGCTGGGCCTATGCATCCATCGTCACATCTCTGTCGCCGATGATCGTCATGGTACTGATACTTGCATCGTATACTGGCATATTCGGACACCAAATCAATGCCGAGATTGCATTTACAACGATCTCGGTGTTCCAGCTTCTGCGAATTTCCACTGGAGCATTTCCCCGACTTTTTGAGCTGGGTCATTTCGGGCTATGTGTCGCTGAAACGTATCGATTCATACCTTGCGATGCCTCAGGCCCAGGACCTCGAAGAGCGGATCTGTCGAGTAGATGGCAGTAGTGATGTGCTAGGATTTGTCAAGGCCAGTCTAGTCTGGGACACACATGGGAAGGAACAGCTCGACTAATTCAGCCGATGATACTGGGTGTATGGCGAAGGTCGACGAGAACACACCACTGATATCAGGACGCTTCGACCTATTCAGATGCTTCATTGGACAGCCAGCAGGAACAGCCAGATAAGGTTGCATTCAGGCTCAAGGACATCGATATTCGCTTCCCTGCTAACGGGCTATCGGTCCATTGCTGGTCCGACGGGCAGTAGGCAAGTCGTCATTGCTGTCAGCGCTCATTGGCGAGATGATATTGATCAGCGGGTCTATTCAGCTGCCAACTGTCAATGCTGACCAGAGCATCGCTTCGAACCAGGGCTATCAAGACATTATTGAGCTGTCACGTGAACAGATGGCAATTCGCGATATTGGCCTATGTTCACGCAGGAGGCATGGCTATGCAATGCCACCATCCGCGAGAACATCCTGTTCGGCGAGCCGTATGATCAGCAGCGCTATGAGGAGGTGCTGCGTGTCTATGCACTGAAGCCTGATCTGCGGATCCTGACTGCTGGCGACCAGACCAAGATTGGCAGAGCGCGGTGTGACGCTGTCGGGTGGTCAGAAGCAGCGTGTTGCATTGGCGCATGCTGTGTACTCGGACCGCAAGATCCTGCTTATTGACGACTGTCTGTCAGCTGTTCGATGCGCACACTGCCAAGCACATCCTGATGGAATGCCTGCTGAACAAGACATCGCTGATGCAGGGCCACATTTGTGTCCTCGTCACCCACCACATGTCGATGTGCCTTCCGTATGCGCAGTACATCGCGGTGATGCGCGAGGGCGAGATTGCGCTTAAGGGCAATCTGCAGGAACTGCAAGCCCTAGGCAGGTTCTCTACCACACTTGCTGAGCTCGACACTAAGGAAGACACCAAGTCTGACGATGGAATCAAAGGGCAATGGAAGTTGATGACATCGGAAGATGATAGCAATGCCGAGCGGGCTAAGGCTGTCAATGATCTGACATCGGAAGATGAGTACAACAGCAAGAGACTGCACAAACCGGCCACTGATAGGGATTTGGGTGCAGGTATCAATCCGGTAAACCTTGAAGGAACTTTGGTTGAGGACGAGGAGCGTGAGACTGGATGGGTCAAAATGGAGGTTTGGCATATATTCCTCTCGGCATGCGGTGGCTACTGGTACTGGATTTCTGTGCTTCTGCTAAACGTCCTGACTGACAGTGCTTATGATTGTTCAAGACTACTGGATCCGCATCTGGGTAGCAGCAAATGACACAGCAATTCCACACATGGTTCTATGTGATTCTATCAACACAGTATCACCAACAGCAAACACCAACATAGTCGGCCAGCATACAGTATCGTTTTGGATTGGTATTTACCTGGCAATTGGTGTCATCGAAGTTTTTGCGCTGTTTATCAAGCTTGCCTATGCATATTCTAGACTGATCAAAGCCGCCAGAAATGTGCATGCAAAGCTGATCAGGTCAGTTGTCCATGCCACACCGCATTTCTTTGATTCCACACCATTTGGCCAGATCATTAACTGCTTCTCCCATGACATGGAATCGATTGGCACGAACATAATGGATTCCTTCATTTGGATATTTGCAGACTTCACCACTGCATTAGGTGTTATCGTCATCATCACTGCAGTTACGCCGCCATTCATTTTTGTTGCTGTTATCATCACAGTAGCATATGTGGTGATTGCCAAGTGTTACTTGGATTCAACCCGCGAGCTGAAGCGACTTGAGTCAAATGCCTCAGCGCCGCTGCTGTCACTGTTTGGCAAGCTGATACAGGGTGTATCGTCAATCCGCGCATTTGGTCTCAAAAAGTACTACATCATGGAGGCTATTAACAGATCAGATGAGCTGAATCGCCCGTTCTACCTGACAATGGTGTCGAGCCACTAGATGTCTGTCCGACTTGATGCTGCAGGTGCAACAGTGTCATTCTTCTGCGCTTTCTTCATCTTGTGGAATGTCCACAGCTTTGACGCTGGTCTTGCTGGATTTGCATTGGTACATGCACTGCAGTCTAAAGACTATATGCTGTTTGCCATCCGGAACTATGGTGATAACGAGCTGAACATAAATGGTGTTGAGTGGGTCAGCCAGTATCTAAAGCTTGACCAGGAGGCCAGTATTCAGTCGACGCCCAAGAACAAGCCTGTCAGCAACTGGCCTAGGACTGGTGACCTTGAGGTTGAGGACCTGGTCGTCGAGTATGTGCCTAATGTCCCAGTGCTGCATAGCCTGAGCATGTCGATCAAGCATGGTGAGAAGATTGGTGTGGTTGGTCGCACTGGTGCTGGCAAGTCGACGCTGTCACTAGCATTCCTGCGGTTCATCGAGGCAGCTAAGGGCCGGATCATGCTCGATGGGGTTGACATCTCGAAGATTGGCCTGGAGGATCTCCATTGCAATGTCATGATCATTCCACAGGACCTAGTGCTATTCAACAGCACTATTCGCTTCAACCTCGACCCATTCAGCGAGTACCCTGATGAGATTGTGTGGGATGCGCTGCGCCATGCACATCTGGTGCGCGAGCGTGGCAGTCAGACTGCCAGCACCACAATCAGCATGTTTGAAGGCAACGCCATCGACAGCTTGCTGGAGCACATGTTGGGCATATTCACTAGCCTGGAGGCCGAGATCAAGGAGAATGGCCAGAACCTGTCACTGGGTCAGCATCAGCTAGTGGCACTGGCTTGCGCTCTGGTGCGCTGGTCGCGACTGATCATCATGGATGAGGCAATAGCGTCAGTCGATTTCGATACTGATGACTGTATCCAGTGCATGATCTGTGGCTCTGAGTTTGCCAACTTGACCCTATTCTGCATTGCTCACCGGCTGCGTACCATTATCGACTATGACCGCATGCTGGTACTGGACAAGGGCAAGGTTGCCGAGTTTGATACTCCAGCCAACTTGCTCAACAGACAAGGCAGTATCTTCCGGAGCATATGCGAAAAGTCCGGCGAGTTTGAATACCTTGCCGATGCTGCCATGCGAGCCCAAGATGCCAAGCAGTTTTCTTAAAATTAGCATGACTCAATACAGAGCCACAATTGCAGCTAGGGCTGCTCTCAGCACTATCCGTGTTTGTCGTCAGTTCTTCAAGGTTTACTTGTTCGCCATCATGTTCATATGTCGCCGACAGACTTGCATATCCTGGAACTTTGTTGATACCATACTCATCCAGCATACTAATACCCAGGGAGATATTGGGATGACCCTCGAGTATTAAGTCAGGTTCAGCAATGGGATCAACTGTAAGTCCACGATTGGTCTGGCCTTCACGAACCCATCTGTAAATGTCCTGATGCTGATCTGGGTTATAATCTAGGGGTGTGATTGTTTCGTGAAACAATGACTATGTTACTGGTCTATGGCGCTCCGTTTCAGTCGATGCATTTGGTCTTGAGCATGCAGAATAATGCTCAGTCTCAATGTTAGGCACATCTTGGCTATTCAGTGCGCTATCCATTGGTTCGGACATTTCGGCTGTCACTGGTACTATTGCTTCTGCCTGCATGTCATCCAAATTCATTGTCACATTTGCAGCTAGCACATGATGTTTTGGCATCCAGTGAGTCAGGCCTTGACTGCTTAGTCTCAATCCTAATCCACTGTCTGCTGGCAAACTAGGTGGCCCTCTTCTTGATCTGGATGATCCAAAGGAGCTACCGGGTCCTCCTAGTGCTCCTGGTGCTCCTGGTGCTCCGGGTCTGCTTGATGTATTAGTCTGTCACCATTCACCATCATTGTCTTCCCAGTATCACATCAAGTCAGCACCAGCAAAGTTCTTGGCCAGCACATTTTCATGCCTGTCACAGAGCTTATAGACTGTGCCTATTCTCTGGACTACTTTGTATGGACCACATCGGCATTCTGGTGCTTGAGCAATGTTGTGTGTGATTGGGTAAGCACGGGTGGTCACCAGCTCACTGGGTAAGAAGTAGTGCAGTACTATAATGGCATTCGCACACAGTCTTACTTGTTGCCATATGTGCTGTTGCTGCTGACGTGCTCACTGGTAAAGGTTATCAGCCAGTTCGTTAATCATGTGCTGATTTCATTCACTGAAGAATAGCTCAGCTGGAGTACATCCAATTGTACTGTTGGGGGTGATAGCTTTCATAGCTACGATTCGAGCTGCATGATGCATCTATGAATTCTCATGCAGATGCTGCAGCAAGAGCAGTCTCAGGGCATTTTTGAAGCATTTTACTGCAGTTTCTGCAAGATTGGCTTGTGGATGGTATATCAACGATGGGTTCTATGCAATGTCATTACTCTGCAAAAAGTTGTGGAATTCAACACAGTCAAACTGGGGCCTATGATCTAAGGTCAAAATCCGGGGTCAGCCATATGCCTAGAACCAATTCATAGTGGGCACGTTGATGACATCACCTGCAGTAGTATTTGTCATTGGGTAGACTTCAAAATACATACTTGCAGCATCGACAATAACCAAGGCTTCACGTTTGGGATTGTCAGTTGGACCAACCATATGCAGATTGATGTAGACTTGTTCCTATGGAGTTGGCATCTGCGAAGGCACCATTACCATACTAGGCCATTGCTAAATCACTATCATCTGGCATTTGGTACAGCATTTGGTTACATCATCGACCAGTTTGGATAACTAGTGGTACTATATCCATCGGCATACAAACCTATAGAGCTGCTTATACCATGGATGTGCCAATGCCATGTGTGCCGCAGCTATGTACTTATGAGCTGCAGATTTTGTAAGTACTGGTGCCCATAGATCAGTACCATGTAGACTTCCGAGCTCAACAAAATGGACAAGTACTCCATTTTGGAGTCCGTAATCAGCTGCTTCATCCAAATGCAGCTGGTCTGCATCCACGCCTACTTGTGTTCACTCTTCACATATATGCAGGATCATAAGGAGGAAATTGTCAGTGGGCTGGCACTTGAGATATTCTAATAGATGTGGCAGATTAGGAAGCACCATATACATATGCTCCATTCTGGTACCAAGCTCTTCTTCATCTAGCTGTGCACCTATAGCATGCTGCACATCATCGTCATCATCGCTGTCATCGTTGTCATCCTGCTGCATGCTTTGTGTGTCAGCTTGTGGCATGTTCCTGCTATCATCATCAGACATCTCATTGTTATAGTCATCAACTGAGAATTTGATGTCCTCAACCTCACCATCTGAACTTGACCCTTCATCATCGGTGTCTGTTCGAATGGCGCTAAAGACATAGTGGACTGGCTCGGTAATTTTCTGGTTATTTTCACTAACTGAAAGTGCAATATTGTGTGATAGCCAATCTGCTATTTGTTGCTTGATACCCGGCAGATGCTCCATCATTCAGTTTGTGATGCCCATGCTGGACAGCTCCATCCTGAAGTTTGAGAGTTTGTCTGCATCACACTCTGTCTTGTGTCAGAATATGGCATATGTGGTAGTAGCATCTGTCTGAATCCGCAGGTTGGCACATCCATCGAGATATAGGTAAAAGTGCTTCACCGCTTCTATAATGGCCATGTATTCTCACCATCCAGGAGGATGCTGACCTTTCAGTCCATCAAACTTTTTAGAGAAGAATGCTACAGGCGCCAAATCGTCTTTGTCAGAGGATATTTGTATCAGCAATACTGCTCCTATACCAAGCTCTAATGCATCGGTCTGCAGCACTAGCAGAGCTCCAGGCTTAGGAATGTATTGTGTCTTGACATTGAGCAACACAGACTTGAGTTTACACCAGGCTGACTCCAATTCATATAGCACCTTCTTCGTGGCCCGTTTTGTGCTAGTGTAAGCATAAAAAGGTGCAAGCAGATGCTGAGTATGCAGTAGATGTCAACCAACTACTGTATCACTGCCACAAAGCTCATGAATGCCATGCTTTGTGGTTGGCATTGGTAAATTGAGCAGTGTTTCTATATGGTGGCCTGGAATCTGCCAGCTATGGTCTGTACTCCACATATATCCAAGTATCTCGACTTTGGAGGCCATTCATAAATATAAAAGTTTAAAGAAACTAAATATCTATTATCAGAATAACCAATTAACAAATAATAAATCAATTACTAGCAGTAGATAAATATTTTAAAATACAGAATGTTTACCACTAGCCAAAAAGATTCAAGCAACTAGATTAACAAATAAACAAAGATGCCAAATATGGTGCTTCTATGAAACCCCCTTCGGCATCCTGAAAAATTTCAGTTGATTTCTCAGGACGCAGCCTCTATCTCAGTAGAAGCATATTAATTGTGTATCAACTGAAATTTTTCAGGATGCTGAAGGGGGTTTCGTAGAAGCACCATATTTGGCATCTGAACAAGAAAACAATAAAAATATTAATAATTATTAAATAGCTAACCATTTCTGACTGATCTCCTTTGTCTATAGCTACCAATACTCACTTGTCCATATTACTGAGCAGATTAGCCTGTTCAATTGCTCTGAACAGTACATCTAAATTAGCTAGATATGCATCATAGTCTCCTAACACTGACTTCAAGTAGATGTTATCAATGTAAAAAAGTAGCTTGCCTTTCAAGGACAGTGCATGAGACATGGTAAGCTCAATGAATGCTTATACTAATGCTGGTAACTCAGAGTTGTCTTGGACTAAATACACTGTCTCCACATGTCTATATTGTGCTGCATAATATACCTGTATCTATTGAATCACTGGTGATAGTCAGACTGTGGAGGTCATTCAGAGTTAGTTATCTGCACAATAATTATTTAAACTTGTTGGAACTATTGGAGATCAGTCAGAAATGGTTAGCTATTTAATAATTATTAATATTTTTATTGTTTTCTTGTTCAGATGCCAAATATGGTGCTTCTACGAAACCCCCTTTGGCATCCTGAAAAATTTCAGTTGATACACAATTAATATGCTTCTACTGAGATACAGGCTGCATCCCGAGAAATCAACTGAAATTTTTCAGGATGCTGAAGGGGGTTTCGTAGAAGCACCATATTTGGCATCTTTGTTTATTTGTTAATCTAGTTGCTTGAATCTTTTTGGCCAGTGGTAAACATTCTGTATTTTAAAATATTTATCTACTGCTAGTAATTGATTTATTATTTATTAATTGGTTATTCTGATAATAGATATTTAATTTCTTTAAACTTTTATATTTATGAATGGCCTCCATTAGTAATTTCAGTGAAATAAAAATTTCACCCAAACAACTATTAGGGGTCATTCCTAGACTTATAAATTTTAGTAAATTATAATTTTGTTAGATAGATATTTGAATAATCATTTTCAGAAACATTTTTTGCTACTAGATATTTTTGGAACAGATATTTATAATTGTTGTATCCAGAATGTTTACATGTATATAATTGATTTTAAAAATATAAATATTTTTTTTGCCATTTCACCCAAACTGCCATCAGCATCTTGGAAAAGTTTCAGTGAATATAATTTCCTTGTGGTTGCTTAGCCACAACTATTGAGATATTGACTTTTATTGCCTAATGATAATTATCCCCTAATATGCAAAGTTTTTCTTTCTGGTTAAAATTATGTTCACTGAAACTTTTCTAAGATGCTGATGGTGGTTTGGGTGAAATTTTTATTTCACTGAAATTGCTAATAGTTTAAACATATATAAATAATTGTTGTGCAGATAACTAACTCTGAATGACCTCCTTATTGAAGCATTTTCTATCATTACGAATTTCTTATTGAAAATTCCTATTTTAAAAGTTACTTATAATATGTCTACATAGAAGTTCATTGACTCATCAATTTTAGCTTGAATAAGTCTATATTGTAATTCTCTCATTGAAGCCTCTAGTTCTACTTTTTGTAGTAAACTACTTCCAACTTTAGTATGTGTTGATCTCTCCTAGTTGTTGCTTGGGTAGTCAAAGTTAGATAGAACCTAAAGTGTGTAGTGATGTTCAATAGGAACTTTACTAGCTGCTAGGATCTTCATCATGGAGGCCATTCAGAGTTAGTTATCTGCCCATTAACTATTTATGCATGCTGGAACTATTGGCAATTTCAGTGAAATAAAAATTTTAC